AAAAGGTTAGTATTCTTAAACTTATTTATATAAATATATGCGGTTAAATACTAAAGTTTAAAGATAAATATATTTACTTTTTAATAGTTATAAATAATTTTTAAGAAAAATATAGATATTTTTAATAAGAGCTAAATCTAATATTGCCCCTATCTTAAATAAATAAAAAAAGAAGATTAAGATAATAATAGGTCTTTAAATTCTTAGTATATAATTAGATAATATACTAGAACTTAAGAATCTTTTTAAGACCTAGAAGAAATAGTTTAATATTTATTATAAACTAATAGTTCTATATATATTAATATAAAATAAAGCTATAGAATAGGTATATTAAATTATTAAAAAAGAAATAAAAGTTATATTTAAAAATTTAAACCTTTTAATTAAATTATAGGTAGAGATAGCTTAAACTAATATATATATATTAGAAATAGAGTATTAAATAGACTAATAGTTAATAAGGTTTAGATATCTCTAGAGAAAGCTTTTACTAGAGTTAAGCTATTAATTAATTATTTAAAAGTATAAGGATATTAGGCAATATTATATATAAACCCAGAATCTTTATTATAAGATATATAGAGAGATAAGTTAATAGATTAAGGTAAAATCTATATTTTTATAAGATATATTAAGAGAATAAATAAATAATAAAAAGTTTAAGCTTTATATATAAAAAAGACTATTAAAACTTATTAAGCTAAGTTTTTTAAAAATAAACTAAAAAAAGATCTAGATCTTAAAATTCTTTAAAGATTATTATTAAATATAGTATTAATAAAAAATTTAAAAGATTAACTAGTAACTTAATCTATTACCTTAAATATATATATACTCTTAAATAAAAAGAAGAATAATATTAAAAATTAGGAGAAGAATTATAAAAAAGTTTTAGTTTTTTTTTAAAAAAAAAGAAGTTTTTTATTAAAAAGAAATTAAAATATCTTATTATAGTAAAATTATAGAATAAGAGAAGATATTTAATTATTCTTACTCTAATAATCTAAATAATTATAAGAACTTATAAATAAATTCCTTATCCCCGCTAAATAAATAAATTATATCTTATATAAAGATCCCCTATATAGCAAAATATAAAAGAGAGAAAGTTAAATTACTAAATAATAAATAAGATACTAAGAAATTATATTAAGTAATATTTATACTAAATCTCTTACCTCTGGGTATTAATATAGACTAGGAGAAGTATATAAAATAAGTATTAAATATTATAATAGCAATATATATAGTAAAGAAGTATATTTTAATCTTAAACTTATATTATACTATAATTAATAACCCTATTTAGAATAAATTATAGTAAAATATATTTAAAGCTAAAATAGATATATTTTAAGTAAATAAAACTTTTAAAGTAATTATATTACTATTAAGAGCTAATATTATAACTAGTTATTAAGTATTAGCTATAAAGTATAACTTAGATAATTTTCTTTAAAAGCTTAAAGTATATCTTATTACCTAAGGGTTTATTTAGAAATATAGTATTAATTTTAAGTATATTTTTACTCCTATTTTATAATATAATATGCTATAAATATTCTTAGCTATTATTATAATAGAGGATTATAAGTATTATATTATAAATATTAATAATACCTTTATAAAGTTAATATTAAAGAAGAAGATTTATATAGTACCTTTATTAGAAATAAATATATTACTAAGAATAATATTAAAAGTTCTTTAATTTTTATATAGCCTAAAATAGGTTATAAAGAATTAAAATTAAACCTGTATAAAAATACTTTAAAAAATAAGTTTTATATAGATTAATATTAATCTGTGCTTATTATAGCACTTAAAAAAAGGGATTTTACTCTTAGTATATATTAATAATATCTTAATTAATATAAAGCAAATAGAGAATATTTATTAGTTTAAATAAGAGTTTAGATTAATATATAAGATAAAGAACTTAGGAGAAGTAAAGAAGATTTTTAATATTTAAATTACCTAGAATAGAAAGGACTAAATATTAATAATAGATTAATCTTATTATATTAAAGAACTCTTATTATAATATAAAATAAGTAAGAAGAAGGTATATTTAGTTAATATCTTATTAAATAGATATAACTCTCTAAACCTATTTAGCCCTTAAAATAAAAAAATAGACTAAAGAGAATATTAAAAGATTATTAATAGCCTAATCTATTTAATAATTTTAATAAGACTAGATATTATATTTATAATAGGTAGATTAAGTTAATATTTATTAGATCTATTTAAAAGATATTTTAAAATATTAAAGTCTCTTATAAGATACTTATAATTAATTATATATCTTAGTCTTAAGTTTAATATAAATTAAGATTAGTAACTTATTAAATATTTAGACTTAGATTATATAATAAATAAGACTAATTAGATATTAATCTTAGAGAATATTTTTATTTTAATTAATAGCTTAATAAGCTAATTAAGTAAGAAATAAAAGTCTGTTATAACTTTAATTATAGAGGCTAAATATATAGCTATATATTAAGCTATAAAGCAGTCCTAATAATTAGCCTTTTTTTTAAGAGATATAAGATATAGGCACTATATTAATCTAAATAAATTTAAACTAATAATAAGAAAAGAATAAGCTTTTATTATTAATTCTCTGGTTAAGGTTTATAAAGATAACTAAGCATTATTATTATTAATTAGAGATACCTATATCTATAAGAGATTAAAGTATATTAATATTATATACTATTATATATATAACCTATATTAAAAGAATAAAATTAGTATTAAGTTTATTAAAATATAAGATATAATAGTAAATAGTTTTACTAAACTATTGCTAAAGATAAACTTCTTAAGATTCTTAGATTAATTAAGATTAACTAATTTAGTAAGTCTAGATTAAAGAAAAATATTATAAAATAGCAGTTAGAATTAATAAGTTCTAATATAATTAAGATTTTACTTTAAAAAAATCTTTAAAAAAAATTTTATTATAGTAAAATTAGGCAGCTTAGAGAAACTATTTCTTAAGCTTTATAAAAAATCTATTACCCTAACTAAGAATATATAGAGATACTTTATATCTATTATATATGCTAATACTCTTTCTCCCTAAGTATTATTAGCCTTTTAAGCTATTAGATTAATCTAGAAATTCTATCTAAACTTATTCTTTTTAACTAATTACCTTATTATATTTATTTTAATCTATTTCTTAAGCTTATATCTTAATAATTAAAGCTATACTATATCTTTATAATATTAATATTTATATTTTCTATATAAAGCTAGATTATTTTAAATAAAAGGTCTTAATATAGAAGTTTAATACTTAATATAAAATTTTTATATTTTAATATACTTTTTTTATATTAATTTTATAAATTTAAACTTATAAAGTCTTTATTATAATATTTATTTATAAAATATTTTTATCTTAAATTACTATATATAATAAGTTATAAGCTATATTTATTAGCTTAATTAAAGAAAGATTATAAAGATTTATAATTATTTTTTAAAGAACTTATTTAACTTTTACTAGCTAATATTAAACTTAAATAAATTAATATTAAATCTTATTATAGAATTAAATATTAATATAATTTAAGTATATTTTAATAAAAAGATAAAACTATTAAACTTTAAGAAATAAGTAGTTAATTTTAATAAGTTATTATTATATATTAAGCTAAAGTACTATAATAATATTAAAATATTTCTTAATTAAATTATATAAAATAAGAATTTAATTTATAAATTAATTAATACTCTTAAGTTAAGTTTAAGAAATATTTTAAGAAAAAGAGAAAATTAAAAAATAAATTTAGCTAAATAATAAACTTATAATAAAGAAAGTAAAAAAGAAATAAAATAATTAAAATCTAAGAATAAGCTTATAAATTAAAATATAGTAATAGTATATTATAAATATATAATTAGATTTTTAAATTTATTTTTTAATTTATATAAATTAATATAATTAAAATACTATAATTAAATTTTAAGTTTATTTTTATATATATTTTATTATATATAATAATTATATAATAATAATATATATAAGGTTTAAGCTAAATTTATAAATTCTTAAGTTAAGTTAAGTTAAACCTTTTAGCTTAATTAAATAAATTAAGCTAAATTTTTTAGCTTAGCTTAATAAATTAAGCTAGTATTTTTAATAAAACTTAAGAGTTTTAATAAGTTAAGCTAAGCTAAGCTAAGCTATAATTTAACTTAATACTAATATTAATTTTATATATTAAGAAAGTTTCTTTAAATATATTTTAAAAATTTTCTAGAATAATTTTATTTATTTCTTTATTTTAATAAATTAAAATATAATAAATATTAGTTTTCTTTAAATTTATATTTAAGCTAATTATTATAGCTTTTAAATTTATTCTCTAAGTAATTAAATTTAAAAATAAGCTTTATTATAGTAAAGACTTAATTTAATAAATTAAAGTTTTCTTTAATTAAAGATAAATAAGTTTTTAATAATATAATATTTTTAAATAAAAAAAAATTAAAAATAAGTAAAATAAAATAATAATTAATAAGCTTAAAGTAATATTATATTTTAAGTAAATTAAATTATATTTATTAAAAAGTTTAACTTAATATAATAATATAATAGAACTTAAAGTTAAAGAGAAAAGAAAAGAAAAATTTAAAAAAGAAATTTAAAGAATTTAAAGAAATTATTATATAATTCTTTAATATTTAATTATTTCTTAAACTAATAAATAATTTAATATTTTATTAGCTAAATTTACTCCTTTATTTTTATTACTTTATTTAGCTTTATAATAAATAATTAATAAGCTTCTTACTATATCTAGTAGTAACTATTAAATTAGGAAAGAATAAAACACTAACATCAAGAGGCAAGGTGGCCGAGTGGTCTAAGGCGCACGGTTCAGGTTTCACCTGATCCATAATATTCCGTGTCATGAAAATGGCGTGGGTTCGAATCCCACCCTTGTCATTTATCTTTATTAATTTTTTGCTTCCTCCGCTTTCTAACTAATTTCTTTCTGCTAAATCAGAGATTGTCATTATACTATGAAAGATAAATCGGTTAATTATGGCGATAGAACTTTTATTATTCTTCAGTACACTACATTCTAGACACGACTAAAGAAATACAAATACGCAAACTTTTTCATCTCCTCGATATCATGTGCTTTAACCACCTTTTCATCGTTAAAGAGTACCCAGGATAAGCCACTCTCTCCAGGTATAGTTTTTCGGACAAAGGCAACATAGTGTCTAGGACAGGTGAGTAATAGACCTTAGGATACATATAAGGGAACTGAACTTACCCCGCATGGACCGATCTGCCTTTGTGACAGACTATAGACCGAAGTTGATACTGAGCGGGAGTATCAACGGACCCGGGAATTTCCCGCGCTTTTCCAGAATTTGATACTGGGCTGATTGCGCCATTATCTGCACTGTCCGAATCATCGGGGTGACTGAAAACCCAGTCCACCGCTCTATTGATATCACCATCTGTGGCCGCGAGTGCCTTCCTAGCGCGACGTGCATCTATCCCCATTTCCCCTAGTTGTGTAATCTTCTCTGGGTCTTGTAAATCACCATGGTCGGCCGTGGCTTGATTAAGGACCAATGGTTCATCAATATCAGGGTCTTCCATGTGAGCGAACAGCCAGTTCATAGCAGCCTCCGCATCAGCGTTTCCGGTTGCATGAAGTGCCTTCTCGGCTCGCACGCGTGGGAAGCCCATGCTCATGAGCTGGTCGAGCGCCTCCTGGTTTGCAGTGAATGCTTCGCTCTTTTCGTCAGGCAAAAGTTCTTCGTCTTCTTGATGGCCACGAGACAGGTAGTTGCTGAAGTCCAGCGGATCTTCATTGACTTGAACTGGAATGTTTAGTTTTGTAGGAACCCAATTTACCAGCTCAAAACGCCTCGCATTGATGACCAGTTCTTGGGGCAAGGTCTTGAACATAGAGCGCTTGCGAAAGCCGTCATTACTTCCACAAGCAGGGCATTTTAGCTCAACTGTCTCTTCAGATGTGAATATGTCTAAGCATTCCTTTAGGGTAACAGACTCAAATTGGTCGGTTTCAGATCCTTCAGAGGGGTAGGTATTGGGAGGCAAGCGACGTGCAGGTACGGAAACGGAGATGTTGTCCTGCTCATCGAGCCTATAACGCACCCGCTTGCAGGACAGGCATTGCAGACGCTGCTCGACGACAAAGCGAAAAGACCGTACAGGGTCTGTAAGGTGTTCTGGATGTCTAGATAAGCTGACAAGCTTGAAGAGGTGAAGCAAAAACTCGAAAGCATCTTGCTGTCGCATAGTAGAGAACTCCTCGTGGCCTCGACCGACCAGATGTTTGAACATTGCCGGCGGTAGACCTTTCTGGTGAGGGACTTCTGGAGTATCTGGCGTGGCGTTTATGTTCGTCTCAGGGCCCGAATATCTGCCTGAAAGGATCCCATCCGCCAGTTTTCGCATTTGCGTCTCGAGATCCTCCGCCGGGAAGGCGCACTCAGGCGGATCTGATTGCGGATGATAATACCTGTCCTGGAACTCCGGCAGAGCTAGTAGACATTGAACGATACTTGAGAGATAACAACTATTCCCGAGGTTCTTGAGCCCGGTGAAACCGGGACCGAAAATTGGTTCCAGCTCATGCCCATCTTCGGTTGTCATCGAGAATTCCCATTTCATGTTATGTTCGATTTGCATTTCCATAAGACTCTTCTCGGTCTTCTCCCGTTCGGCTATATTTATTCCCCAGTGAGCGAGATGGGAGGCAAGTTCAGGATCCGTCCGTTCTTCATTGCACTTATAGCAATAAATATCTGCCGAGCCATCTGCCGTAATGGAGCCGAGTTTGACAGCTACAGCATGAGAACTAGAATTCGCATGCGCAAGACCATGCGAGTTTCCTCCCACGCCACCGAATTGGCTTCTACCGCAGCCAAGATTGCCGCACTCGAGACAGAGCCAAAGATTTTCTTTCAAGTCACACATAGAACAGTGGGTGAGATCTAAATAGTAGATAAGTAACTTGCAGTATAAGACAAGGGTACTCCTTATTACCTGTAGACTCGATTTTCCTGCCTTCCTGCTGCTGGAGTAACAAGGTGTGTTCACATGGCACAAACTCCTGCTCCCATGCTTTAATCTCCTCGCGTTCGGTGAAGGATAGGGCTTTCATGATTCCGTCTATCACACTGGGAAGTTTCCCAGAAACCTTGTCGATGTTTTCTTCCTTGCATTCATAGCAAAGCACGCTGGTAATAGTCTCATACCTATCTTCTTCCGTTTCTGCAGCAATGGCGAGCTTGGAAATCTTATGTGGAGGTTCATCCCGCTAGACTGTTAGATATGGGAGATATTTTGAGTATTGGATGCAGACCAACCTGGAGCTTCTTCCGTAATCTCTTTATATTCAAGACCAGAGGATGTCCTGAGCGCGTGTAATGAAGAGAGGCATGGTTTCGGTCGTCAGAACAGCCACCGTTGAAACAGTGGAGGCAGACGTTAAGACCTGAGGGGTTATCCTGTCACAATTAAGCACACTGAATTATGGCAATCCCGGATCAGCTGTGTTTAGGTCGCGTACGTACAACCGAATCGAAGCATTGGGTACATTCCTCTCGATAGACGTGCTGCGATGGCTGGGGCGGTTTTAGTTCTAAAGGGAGGACATTAATCTCAGTCAACGATGGTGGATAAGAGGCGGGGTAAGATTCAGCATACCTGGTGCATTGATGTGAGGGCAGTTCCCCATGGTGACTTGAGTATGAGATAAGAAGAGAGGGGTGATCTTCTCTGGTCTAGAGTATCTGCCCAAAACCAGAAGTATTTTCAGTGGTTGAAGCAAATGGCAGGTTTGATGAGTGAAGCTTCCCGCAAGTTATGTTGTAAGTGGGCTCAGGCGGGGCAGTACGAATAACTGAGTGAGCTACCTAGTTAATAGCTTTGAGCACTGATGTACAAGGTGACTGGCTTAGTTAATGATAATAATAAAAAAAAAGGATTAGATAACTATTGATTACAATTTTGAGTGTACGAAAATAAATCTAAATTACTTCAATATTTTAGCCTTATAGCTTGCAGTGCAAAAAAGGTACTGTACATTATTATTCATCTCACTAAGTCTACAACTTGACTTGTAGGCAGAAATTGTACCAAACCTAAAGGGGAATAACCACTTATTCGCGGGATCCTAGAACGCGTCCAGAGTCTTTATCGCGCCCCTCATAGAAACAACGCGTTTTCATGCCATTTTGCCTCTAGGAGTTCCCGACCTCGGCCATTTCATGACAACTCCTCTCTCCCCTGCAAGCCCAGCTAGTATACCCTCCTGCTGGCGTACTGTATCTCATTTATCCGAAACTGAAAACCAACCAGCGCTTCAGACATCTGAGATTCCGTGTTCATCGGGACCCCGTCAACCGCCGTTATGGCTACGAACGCTGCTTCGCACATCTCCGTTGGGGCCTTAAGGTATTCTCCGAGCCCATGTGTGCTTCTCGTCTTAGAGCTAGTCGCTGACTCGTTGGCTATATTAAAGTGCAATATTTGACGACTCGAAAGTTGCTCCGCAGGAGCCCATTGTCCAATGTGTCCAGATCAAACCCTTACCTCCGCAACAAAATAATCAGGAGCGCTTTCGCGCTGTCTTTAGCGACATTTCGAACTATGTACAAACTATGCTTGCAACCCGTACGTTTTGGCTCATGCCTCCGTGTGATGTCAAGAGAATGTTCCCATGCTAATCAATCTTGCCACCTCAGAAGCGAATCACCTCGTTACAAGTGGGCTTCTTCGTAAAGGATGTTTCGTCCGTCTCAAGTCATTCCAAGCAAATTCTGTCAAGGGCAAAAAGTATGTCGCATATGCAGGAAATAGTCAGCGTGGTACTGACTCGATAGGATTTTGATCATCTTGGACCTCGAGGTCCTGCAGGAACTTGGAGAGTGTGAAAAGATTGGCGAGCCAAAGCCTCTCGAAACCAAGCCCGAGGATGATGAGAAAGCGCAGTCCACCGCGATTTCTAGTAACGGCTTTTACGGCACAAAGGCACAAACCCAGCCTCAGCCGCAGGCCCGGCGTGTACAGACACACGGTCATGCAGCAGCCTCAGCCCATGCTACAATCTATCCGATAGAGGCGATTTCTCCTTACTCGCACAAGTGGACGATTAAGGCACGGTGTACAAGCAAGTCGGCGATCAAAACTTGGCACAATAGAAATGGAGAAGGGAAACTATTCAGCGTTAATCTCCTCGATGATAGTGGCGAGATTCGAGCTACCGGTTTCAACGACCAATGTGACATGCTCTATGATGTTTTCCAGGAAGGTAGTGTGTACTACATATCCAGTCCCTGCAGGGTCCAGATCGCGAAGAAACAGTTCAGCAACCTGAACAATGACTATGAGTTGACCTTCGAAAGGGATACCGTGGTCGAAAAGGTGAGTGTCGATCTGCCAAGTCCTGCAGGGTCTGTACTAATGTGGTTGATCAGGCGGAAGACCAAAACGATGTACCACAAGTCCGATTCAATTTCACTAGCATCGGTGACTTGCAGGCAGTCGAGAAAGACACCACCATTGACGTAATTGGGGTCTTGAAGGACGCAGCAGAAACGTCTCAAATCATATCCAAGACAACCAGTAAACCCTACGACAAACGTGAGTTGACTCTTGTTGACAACACAGGCTTTTCTGTTCGTTTGACAGTGTGGGGTTCTACTGCAACGGAGTTTAGTGCTGCGCCGGAGTCGGTCATCGCGTTCAAAGGAGTGAAAGTTTCAGATTTCGGGGGTAGAAGCCTAAGTTTGCTAAGCTCCGGATCGATGACTATTGACCCGGATATTGAGGAAGCTCATAAGCTTAGAGGCTGGTATGATGCCCAAGGCCGGTCTGATACTTTCACTTCTCATGCTTCACTGTCAAGTGCCATAGGCACTACTCCTGGGAGACGCGATCAGTTCAAGACCGTGGCACAGATCCGGGAGGAGCAGCTGGGCATGTCCGAAACTCCAGACTTCTTTTCACTGAAAGCTACTGTTATCTACATAAAACAGGATAATGTGGCTTATCCAGCCTGCATTTCTGAGGGTTGCAACAAGAAGGTGACAGAGCTCGACCCTGGGCAGTGGCGTTGTGAGCGCTGCGAAAAAACGCATCCTAGACCGGAATATCGTTACATAATGCTTATCAATGTCAGCGATCACACAGGCCAGCTTTGGCTGAGTTGCTTTGATGAAGTGGGAAGAGCTCTCATGGGAACTTCAGCTGATCAGCTGATGGAACTCCGACAAAATGATGACAAGGCAGCAGGAGAAATATTCCAGGATGCGAATTGTCGAACATGGAATTTCAGGTGCAAGGCTAAAACAGATAACTTTGGTGATCAGCAACGGTACGTATTTCTTCAGCCGACAAATACTTTTGCTGGGTTGCTAATTTCCTTTTAGCGTTCGGTATCAAGTCTCCTCTGCTAAAGCCTTGAATTATTCAGAGGAAGCTTCACGTTTGGCTGATATTATTCAAATGTACACTGTATAATAGAAGGCGTGTAACTTTACCACGGTATTTATTATGCCTTTGAATATCGATGCCAATAGTATTTTTATCTCTCGATTTTGCCTCCTTGCTTGCTTGTTGCGCTTCTATTGTCTTTGCCGTATCGGAATCGCCGCAACCCCCTGGTCTATAGCAGTCATTCTATCAATCTCCTATCCTATCAAGGCAATCGAGATTCGCCGTTGCCGATACTCTACTACTCTCAAAAGAGTTGCTATCTCCTACTCCCCTTGAATGCCTGCAACGCCTTTAATATGGTATATGTGAGCATATACCTGGTTATAGAGAAGTTCTATATGTAATCCTAAAAAAGCTTTAATCTGCTCCGATTAGACCTCTACCGGACGCCTATGTCTGCGATTGCGCGATAGGATCTGTGATAATATAAAATGATTCACATCCTCATCAGCCCAGTATGAAAGATGGCTAGCGATGCTAGCGATTAGCGATATGTCAAAGACCCCTCTGCGGTTTGATAAGTTAGCATTGCTTGCTCGCAGTAGGGAGACAGAGAGGGTCAAGTATAGCCTGCGTAGACGTGGGAGGATATAGGCACAAGAAAAACAACTTACTCCTGCACACTGTAGTCTACTCGCCCGTTGGAGTTCAATGACCTGACTTTGGCCTCCTCTATCTTCAATTTCCTTGCACGCTCTTCATTTTCGAGGAAATCGGAGGTCTTGTTCTTGTCCCGCGTTTTGCGGAAGCCCTCATAAAGCGTCTCCAACTCTGGTTCAATGAGAGTCTGGAACTTTGCACCCCTTTCTCCTAAATCTCCGTCTAGAGTATTTGACATTGCTGGTGCTTGTCCATGTGAAATAACTGATGAACCGTGTTGCTGGAGATGCTGGGACTGCGCGGCTCCAGAATTGGGAGCAGATTGTGAATGTGTGCCATCTGCGCTCAACCCCAAACTGCGGTTGAGGAGAGTGCTTGCCACACCCGAGGTGAAATTTGTCCAGAGTGAGCCGACGCTCTGGCCTACTCGGCTGCTGATATTCGAGAGACTCTGTCCTGAGGCACTCCAGATGCTCTTTTTCACAGACGGCAATGGCTGTGGTTTGAGTGCAGCCATCGCGGGCGATATCAATGGCTCAAGGCGATAACTCACTGGGTCTGAAGGATGAAAAATGTTATACAGTTGCTCGCACTTGGGCGAGGACACAGTGGGTAATATGTTGCTCAGGGTGCCATCCCCAGGAATGCTTCCATGTCGTTCTGTAGAAGTTGAACTGACATTGAAGGACTTCCGATCGCTGCTGAGGCTGATGGGTATCTTGTCGGAATTAGTTTCGGCATTGCGTCCGGCGATAGTCTTCCCTTTGAGCATCTGAAAGAGTGCAATGGGCGATCCTAGGCAGAAGAACTCCTCACATTCAAAGTCTAGAGGAAAGGCCGTGGGCCGCTGTGGCAAGCCACTGTGTAGATTCGTTGAGCTTCTCTGCTGATTAGATGGCGGATCATCACTCTGATGACAAAGAATATCAAATAGGATAGCGCTCCCAAGAGAATGCCCACAGAGGCTCACGGAGCCTTTGAATTTCGGGTTTCGTTCCTTGAAGAGCTTGTAGATTCGATTGCATTCTTGCTGGACAATAGTGGCGATGTGCTCACGATACGCACTCTGGTAAAGAAGGACATCCATTGCTAAATCGGAGATCAGATTTCGGACCGCTGGCACTCCTTCAAGAGTAATGTCGGCAAGGCTCGGGTACTGTTCGTCCTCAGCAGAAAGCTCATCCCCGTCAGCTAGATCTAGTTCCTTGCGAATTTCCCTCAATCCTCGCTTTGGAAAATCTAAAAGATGACGCCAGCACCTAAAATATATCCTCACAATTAGCAAGCCAAATGAATACCACCTCAGTGGTTCAGAATAAAGTCAGGATTCCTTACACAGGGAGGACTTGTACTCGGCAGTTCCTTTTACCATCGGCAAAAGAGGAGTTGAGAGTCTGCAGGTCCGGAGAAGCTCCGTAGACACTCTTCATCGTCTTTCGTAAGACATTTACATCGTGAACAAAATTGATGCTTTCAAGACGAAGTCCTAATCGCTGACCGATCCCATGTGTAACCAGTACTAGATGGTCAATCTCTCTTTCTCTTTCTTCGTCATCAGCATCCCTCGAATCTTCCATTTCCTGTTGTTCCCGCTTACGGGCCTCTTCCTCCAGCTCAGCATCGTCTTCGGTGCGTCCCGCCAAGGACGACATATGCCGCTGTAGCGTCGAACCGTGACTCCCCTGAATTGTGCCGTCGGTCGACATCTCATCACCGTGAGCTACGATATCGGCTAGCTGTTCAGGATAAGAGTTCGGTGACAGGCCCAAGGGCTCTCTGTGAGAAGCTCTAGACGTCGCTCTATCTCCCGGTTTCTGGTGCGAAGACCTAGTGTCCATGCCCTTCGTGTCTGCTGTCTCTTTTGGCCTCTTTAATTCAGTATATCCGCGGACAACTTTGGTCCCAGGGACACCTCCAAATCTTTGGTATACAGTGCTGCTCATACGTGACACGAAATCATCGTACATCAGCCATGCAGTAGATGGATCCTGATACGAAACCGTGCTATTCATATAGGCACCGAAGAGGCGATAATTCTGGGGTTCATTTAAGTTTGTGAACGACCTCTCTCGGGCCGTGTTTTCCGTGACATTGCGCGAAGGGTCAACGGCACCAGGCCGATGAGTGCCGGTGATGGAATCTGAATTGTTATGGGCCTTGCCGGATTCATCAATTATTGTAGACGTGGGTCGAGACTTGGGCTTTTGTCGTTCATGGAACTGCCAGGGTCTGATCTTCAGATAGCCTTCCTCGAGTTGCGTAGCAAGGTTCTCATCACAGGGCTTGAGCGTAGAGCCATCTTGAAAGAACCACGTTCCCCGGCGAACTTCATAGACTGGTCCCAGCCAGTATGCAGGGCTGAGCTCCCTGCGCTCAATATCCACATCGAAAAGATAATCTTCGTTCACTGGAACTTTGACCGAGTCTCGACCTTGAGGATGTTCACGACGGGACTCGGACGCACCGCTAGTATCCTCTTCCTCTGCCAACCGTTGAAAGGCGGCCTCGATTGCCTGTGAATCCTTGACCGAGAATGGCACGAACTTCTTCGGGGGAGGGAGGGGCTTGCTGCTGTCCTTTATCTGATCGCCAAGATGTGGTTTCGATTTGGGTGTATCGACAGCGTAGAACCACCTTGTTCGCAGCGGTGGACAGTCTTTGGGATAACGCCGTAGGCTGAGCCTATGCCGATGCGAGATTGTGTGGTCTTCTCCCTTGGAGCGACGCAAGCCATCTTTCCTATCGAGATGATCTCCATCTGGATGAGGCGTCGTGCTTCTGGAACCGCTCCATGGCGAGATAGCCCCAAGGAATGAACTTCTCTGTTCCGCACCGGGCATGATCCTCCGCTGCATCCGAGGAACGAGGGCGGAGTGGACGAGAGAAGGCTAAGACTCTAAGTCACAGGTAACAGAGGTGAGAGAAGGATAGGACAGTACGGCTGCAGGCAAGGATCCACAACCGAAATACCATGATACCACATTGCACGCTCTTTTGTCTGCTGAGTCCTGACCAGTAGGGCGATTCGGTCACCGCCTACAGTGACGTCGGGATAGCGGCCGGCTGTCAGGATCTAGACTAGCCCCCAAGACACCAGCTATGCCATACTCAACTCTGTAGTCTAGGTACCTAGGTAGTTGGCGCAGTGCTGTCTTTAGCTACATTCGGGTGCAGGGCCAAGTGTTTAGTTAGAAGATTCGGTGCATGCTGTTGTGAACTAGCGCAGGGCATGACATCATGAAGTGCTGTAGGTATACCAATATATATATATTAATAGTAACAGTATATATACGAAGAATAAATATTTTAGAGGCTAATAAAATTAATAAGTTACTTAAAAAAAAAAAAGGAAAACTATTTATACCTCTTTAACTGTAATGAAAATAAGAAAAGACTAATAGATAATATAATTAAATATATAAATAAAAAAATAAAAAGAGAACTTGACAAGGGTGGGATTCGAACCCACGCCATTTTCATGACACGGAATGTGATGGATCAGGTGAAACCTGAACCGTGCGCCTTAGACCACTCGGCCACCTTGCCTTATTCGTAATATTGCTGAACATTTTGATTTATTAAGCAGGATATTCGTAAATATCAATATTGCTAGTTACATGCCATGCTTAATTAATCCATTGTCTATATTTCTTTCCTATATAACTGGTATGTTAACTAATAGGATAAATACTCTCCGGCCTCTTTGCTAAGTACCTAGTGTGTCTAAGAGATGCAGGTTTACTCTAGTCTATGCCTAGATAGGTACTAGGCAACTCCGGAACTCAGAAGAACCATCGACATCATCGGCTAGCGGCTGGTGTCATCGCAACCGACCAAGCCACACTCGACACGAAGAACAAGACAAAAGCTATCTACAGTCTTGCGCTGCCTCAGTCAGCTCATGTCATACAGACCATACTGACACATTCAACGGTATCTCTAGCCAGGACCAACCGGCCATAGTCTACTGCTCTTGTAGAGACAGACCTTGGGAACCTACATATCCATCCTGACCCCACTTCTGTTGTGTCAACTCAGCGCGCTGGTTAGTAGACGGCCATTCTCAAACCCCCTTTCCTTTCTCCACTACCGCAATATCTCCATTCCCCCTGCAATCTAGTCGGGGACATACTTTCCATAGTGTCTGATCTGGTCACGGTTAGAAGACACTGACATTCCCAGTTCCTACTTAGGTGTGTGGATGAAATAGACCCGTCTGCACCTGAAGGACCCCGCCATTGTCGAGAACCAGGCCCTGATACTACCCCACACCTGGTCAAATCAGTTCGTGATAATGAACGTCATCAAGCTTCAAAAGTACGTATCTCTTTCTGTTTGTATTAAGTTCTGTGATGGGCGCACTTTCGCGTTTTGTGAGATCCTCTGGCTTACTGGTGCCTAATGTTGCAGGAAGTACCCCCAGTTCCAGCAAGATGAGATATTCGCCCTCCAGGATGCGTTCAGGAAACTAGATGTCGACGATAAAGGCTACCTTGACGAAGCAAGTGTCATAAAGGCGACACAGCAGTCAGAACGCCAGCCGTACGATGTCGTGCGTCAAGCGCTGAAGGAGGTGGAACTGGACAGCTCCCGACGTGTGGAACTGGAAGACTACGTCGATGTAGGGAAATTCAGCGAAATTTATCTTCTGGTTGCTAATATATGATCACAGCTCATCTCAAAGCTTCGTGCAGGTGGTCCGGCCTTTGCGCAGAACAAACTCCCCGGTGGACCGGTTCGAGCCGCTGCCCCCATACCCGGAAACGGTGCCCCCTCTCCTCGGCATGTTTCAAAGGGAAGCGTCGGTGGTAAAATCCATGTACAGGGTTCATCTGCAAATGTGACGCATACAATCAACGAGGATGAAAGAACAGAATTCACAAGGCACATCAATGCAGTCCTTGCCGGAGACCCGGACATCGGCCATCTTCTTCCGTTTCCAACAGATACCTTCCAGATGTTCGACGAATGTAAAGATGGATTGGTTCTAGCTAAGCTTATCAATGATAGTGTACCAGATACTATCGATGAGCGTGTTCTGAACAGACCAGGCAAAAAGATCAAGCAACTAAATGCCTTCCATATGACGGAGAACAATAATATAGTCATCAACTCAGCGAAGGGTATCGGTTGCTCTGTTGTCAATATTGGAAGTCAAGACATCATCGAAGTACGAGAACATCTCATCCTTGGTTTGATCTGGCAAATCATCCGTCGCGGTCTTCTAGGAAAGATCGACATCAAGCTCCATCCCGAGCTTTACAGGCTGCTGGAGGAGGACGAGACGCTCGATCAGTTCCTTCGCTTGCCACCGGAGCAGATACTTCTGCGTTGGTTCAACTACCATTTGAAGAATGCGAAGTGGGAAAGGAGGTAAGTAGGCCCAATTCTCCTTTAGGAATTTTCGGTTGCTCATATCTATATCAAAGAGTTACAAATTTCTCGACCGATGTGAAGGATGGAGAGAATTATACAGTTCTACTCAATCAACTTGCTCCTGATGTCTGCTCCCGCGCACCCCTTCAGACACGGGACTTGCTTCAACGTGCTGAGCAGGTCCTGTCGAATGCAGAAAAGCTGGACTGTCGCAAATTCTTGACTCCTTCTTCGCTTGTTGCCGGAAACCCCAAGCTTAACCTCGCCTTCGTCGCCAATCTGTTCAACACCCACCCAGGGCTAGACCCTATTACCGAAGAAGACAAGCTTGAAGTTGAAGACTTCGATGCCGAGGGAGAGAGGGAGGCTAGAGTTTTTACGCTCTGGCTGAATTCGCTGGATGTACAGCCAGCTGTCAATTCTCTCTTCGACGATCTGCGAGATGGGACAGTATTGTTGCAAGCCTACGATAAGGTCATCCCCGGTAGCGTCAACTGGAGACACGTAAACCGCCCCCCTGCCTCGGGTGGGGAAATGATGCGATTCAAGGCCGTGGAGAATACGAATTATGCCATTGAGCTTGGCAAGCACAACGGGTTCTCCCTTGTCGGCATACAGGGAGCCGACATTACTGATGGCCAACGTACCTTGACCCTTGGTCTAGTGTGGCAGTTGATGCGGAGGGATATTACAAACACCCTCTCTTCGCTGGCGCAACGGATGGGCAAGCGGGAGATCACGGACGCTGAAATGATCCGTTGGGCAAACGACATGTCGCGGAAAGGAGGCCGGAATTCTGCAATCCGTAGCTTCAAAGATCCATCCATTGGGTCTGGCCTGTTCCTCCTCGATGTGCTTAACGGCATGAAGAGCAGTTATGTGGACTACGACCTTGTGACTCCTGGGCGGACCGACGAGGAAGCGTATGCGAACGCGAAGTTGAGTATCAGTATAGCGAGAAAGATGGGCGCCACCATTTGGCTGGTGCCAGAAGATATCTGCCAGGTCCGTTCGCGTTTGGTGACAACTTTCATCGGTAAGTGCTGGGAAGAGACACCCATTCTGTTACTATCTGTCTATGTCCAACATCTGATATTATTTGATGCTGACAATCACCGGCAGGATCCCTCATGGCCACCTACGAGAAGATGTAAGTGGCAAATCAGCCATAGTAACCGAGATCCCCCCGTGTTTCTGCCCTCTTATGTGCCATCTGTCCCGCGTATGGAAGCGAATAAGGAGATAGGCAAAATGAAATATACTGGTTACTTTTTGTATTTAGTTCCCAGTGTAAGAGCTTTTGTAGTTGTTGCTTAGGCATTATCTCAAATTATAATAGTTTCAGACTGTGAGAATAGTAGTGAAAATTCTCGAAGCTCCACAGATAGTTCCATTTTTCTTTGCTGTTAACTAGGCCGTTCGTTTGCACATACATTTGGAAGTAAAACAACGACAGGGCGGATGCACTGGCGGCTTTTTCCAATAAAGGCAAGTGATCTGCCCGCTCCATACAATTGGTAAAAATAGACGTTATCCGGCTCGGGGTTACTTATCATCCCTACTAACTTAACTACAGCTCGGGAGCGAACACCTCCTGTGCTACGGCTGTTAACCAACACCTCAAAACATCGCACCATCTCTGGACTCTCTCCGTGCGAATCCGCCAAAATACGTCTTATGGCTCTAGCCTCTGTGGAACTCGCTGCAGTTCAAGCGCTGCGAGGGCCATGGATCACTCTGTTGACACCGTTGCCGCACTCCGCTCTTCTCCTCAAGCCCAAGATGCGGGAAGCACATGCGATGACTCTGAGTCGGTAAAGCAGAACGCTGCTTATCCAGACAAAAGCTCGATATCCTCTCCTCCACAGCAGTCTCTAACTGATCATGTTCTCCATTTCTGTTCCGCCGCCAGTAACGAAGCTATCGTTGCTGCTGGCGTTTGTCTAGCAGCTGTGACGGTAATACTCTTTGGAAGAATTGGACTGGTTCTGGTTGGTATTGTCGCCGGCATTATATTGCATGCTTCCTGGGGAGATGCCTATCTGCAATCTCACGGCGGAGTACCAAGAAGGGAGCTGGCTCGCAGACTTCTTGACTGGCCGAAGAATGAATTCGAGGACAATGAAATCTCTCAGGATATAGCACTATCACGGCGGAGTTCGCGAGTTGCCGTGGACTACTCTAAGCTTCCCCCGGCGACGGCTGCTGCCTTGAACTCGCTCACAGACGCAATAATCAGAGACTATGTGAAGTAAGCTTATACGTTCTCATGGGAATGCAGTCGTCGGCTCACAGCAGATGCAGGTATTGGTATACGCCAATTCTCCCATCGGAAGCATCGTTCCCAGACTCTTGTCAGAGAACACTGACTGCTTTTATCTCATCGATGTCGTCGCACCTTTCTCGGAAACGACCTACGGACACATTCTTACAGTTCCTTATGAATTCTTCCTCTATGATTATCGTATTTCTCAGTGAACTCTCCGCAGCGCTAGGTGCAGGGCTGCCCGTCTCATCCACACCCGAGGAGGCGATTTCGAACTATCTCCAACAGAACCCGGACAGCAGCCTAGCCAATGTTTTGGCTGCGGAACAACAACGGAAGAAACTCAACATGGTCGCCGATGATATACTAGCGAGCTTTCTTGATGTTACCGCATACAGGTGTGAACCTGTAAGGCATTTCCTCCGGGAGGTCTTCGCTGGCGTCGTCCTAGAGGCAGTTATCAAATCCTGTTCGAGCCCTCAGTTCATCAATAGCTGGATAGTATATCTCCTCGAGGAGGGAGAACCGGAGCTCATGAATGCTATCGACGCCGGCGTGGAGGGGGCGCGCAAAGATGGAAATGTAGCGACTAGTTCAGCCCCTATTGATGAGAGAATCCGGACTACGAGTTCCGAGGGACGAGTTCGCTCTGAATCACTGCCTTCTTCAAGCTTTAATCTGGAGACTACTAAAGGAGGCGACGCAACCGCACAGACAACGAATGGCAGGGCATATAAGAGCATGTCTCTGGCAATTGAGGATGTCTCGGAAAGCGCCAAGAAGGACCTGCTCCATAATGGCCGAGATGCACATTATACAATTAAAGACGAATCGATTTCTAGACACTCTTCTGACGATGATGATACAAGGGAGCGCGGAGGCGGTGATGGCAAAGAGAACGCTATTCCTACTGAGATTCCACGCGATGGCTCCGAACAGACTTCGAATAAGAAAGGTTTCACAGACTTTGACCAACTTCTTCCACAAAAGCTGCCCACGTCTCCCCAGAGTCAGCCAACAGCCCCGCAAGCGGAACTGACCCCCCCATTAACACTTCACTCTGCTTCGGTGTCGATAGATGACCTCTCCGAATCTGGAGACAAGGGATCGATACGCGCCAAACCGAGTGGAGACTATGCGCTGCAGATCGAGCCTGCCTCATCACGCTATCCAGGATGGATAGTCTTCAGAAAATACAGTGACTTTGAGTCTCTACATGAGGTTCTCGGTCCGATCTCTAGGCTCAACCATATTCATGATTTCGTCGAGAATCACCCGGCACTGCCTACCTGGAAGGGCAAGACCAAGCAAACTCTCAAACAAGGCTTGGAAAATTATCTCCGTGATGCCCTTCGACACGAGACCCTCGCTGAGAGCGAACGCATGAGACGGTTCCTTGGGAAAGACCGGAATCTAGATGCTGCACCCAAGACTCCTTTGAAAAGCGGTTTCTCTTTTCCTGGACAAACTGCATTTGAAGGTGTGGGGAAAGGTGTTTTGGAGGTTCTCACGAACGCCCCGAAAGGCGTTGCTGGGAGTAGCAAATCTGTATTTGGCGGAGTGACAGGGGTCTTTGGTGTAAGTGGCAACAAGAGGTCTAGCAGCTTGAGCATTGGGAGGCAATCTCCGCCTGCTACCTTGCATCATGAAGCCGCTGCAAGATCTGCGGATGGAAACGTCGACAAAGATTTGAAAAAAGACAGACACCTCAGTACTCCAAACCTTCCTTCTGAGTCGAACGCGGACATTGGGCCAAGGACGTCAATGGATAGCACCAGAGGCTCGCTCAAGAGCCTGTCCCCTCCAAGTCCAGAATGCGATAGTGCCCCAAATACGCTATCAGAATCGGACACGAAACGTGACCATACTGGTCAGGACACATTTGATAGAAACGAATTAGAGAGGGAGGCACAGACTGTTTCCCTTTCCCGACCCCCGACGGAAATTCCACGACCCAGTGACGGTGTCTCAGCCTCCATTGGCTCCTCAGAACCAGAAACTCCTTCGCCGGCCGTTTCTCTGTCGACCGCAGGTGGAGCAAGATCGAGTCTCTCGCAAGGGCCCACCAAAGCAGACAAGGCAAGTGAGAAAACCAGCTCCCTATCCTCGGAAGAGGCTCAGATTGCTGTGGAGCTCATTTTTGCCGTCATTAACGAATTATATACGTTGTCTTCGGCGTGGAACTTCAGGAAGACCCTCCTGAACGCCGCTAAATCATATATTCTGCGGCCTGGGAACCCGAACCTAGAGGCGATCCGTGCATTGCTCCAAGAATCGGTGATTGAAACGTACACCAAGGATGAGACACTTGCAGATCAAATCAAAAAGCTGCGGGAAAATTGCCTTCCTACGGAAGATGAATTAAAGACATGGCCACCACCACCAACTGATAATGAGCAGGAGAAACTAAGGAATAACGCGCGCAAACTCCTCGTTGAAAGAGGCATGCCCCAGGCCCTCGTCAGTGTTATGGGTGCTGCTGCGACTGGAGAAGCACTTGGAAAGGTTTTTGACTGTCTCCAGATCGAAGTAGTTGCTCGCGGCTTCGTATTTGCTCTCTTGCTCCAGGCACTGAAGACAGCTACCCTATGAGACCATGCGAAGGGATTATCGGAGTTTCAGACTCTTGTCAATCGTGTTTCGATGAGCTGCAAACTTCGAGTGACTTGAGACGGTTGACGATAGAAAAAAGCTTATCGTATTAGCATTATATGTACTTACTCTTGGTTACCTTTGGGATGGCGTGCTTTGGGGATAAGGGAGCTATTGTATACTCTAGCTGTCATCATGTACATATACCGTTTTATATACGTGGGCCGGTTTGGGACCTCGGAGTTGTCCAGGAGCGGGGATTATTATTGTATGTTCTGAGCTACGGTTATGTAGCTACAGGAGATTCATAAAATACGTCCATCTAAGCAATACAAGTTACTACTAGCTAGCATTGGTCCTTGAATAACGCAAAGGATGTTTACTAGGAATTTTTTTTGTATGCAGAGGGAAGAGAGAAAAACACCGACATTCGAATTCTTTTTTTTTTTTTACGCAGTTTTATCAGAATAATTGATATAATTACTGCAGTTGGCTAACTAGGGACAAGCTATATTATTATTACTGTATGACATACAACGTAAGTACTGTCCATATGTGGGGTAGCAGATCTACCAATTCTGGAAGTTTGGAGCAAAGAAAAAGGTCGCGTCTTGACGCGCCGTCGTGTCGCGGCCCATTGATTATTGCAATAATCAATGTGGTTAGATAAGTAACCGATCTTAACTAGTTAGCTCCCTCCATGAGCTCATCTCATCACATCTGCAACAAAACGAAGCTTACTCTCCGCTCCGACTTTGAACATTCTCAAATCAAAGGTCATAATTACCTTTCCGCTAACGCCTTTCCAACCACTATAATTCCATTCCTACTGAACGTTTCCCGCAATGGCACCAAAGTCTAACAAACGTTCCTCCCGCGAGGACAGGTACGATACCGGAGACGACTTCGTCGTTGACGACAGTAACGGCCACGGCCCTTCCAAAAAACCCAGAAAAGAGACAAACAGAAAGGAGAGCCAGACGTCCGTTGCTGGCCCAAAAGGAGGCAGTAAGGTCGATTCTAACGGCGACACGTACTGGGAGATATCGAGACTGCGTCGTGTCACCATCTCCACATTCAGAGGAAAGACTATGGTGAACATCAGAGAGTATTATGAAAAGGATGGACAAGAGTTACCTGGGAAGAAGGTTAGATAAATGCCGCCATCTCTCTCTCTCTGTATCGTTCATGTTTTGTTTTCTTTTGCGCTCTTCGCCAAAAAAAAAACGTCTACTGAATTGTCTTACTGATTGACTTGGATTGTTATTTCTAGGGAATCTCATTGCCGATCGAGCAGTTCTCTGCTTTTGTCTCTTTACTCCCAGAGATAGAATCGGTGCTTCACGAAAAGGGAATCGTCGTGCCTCGCCCTGAATATAATGAGTCCGGGGAAAAGGTCGAAGCGGATAAAGGCAACTCTGATACTAAAGATGCGGCTTCTACGGGGCGGAGCAATATCGAGGAGACCAGTGATGAGGACGAAGAGGAGTAATTATTGAAACTGGTCGGTGAAAAGAACTGGAGTCTGGCGTTTCTTGTTTCTACTTGGGCGGGCGGGGAGCGGCAACTTATGATCTCAAGTGGCTTTTGATATTTCTTTTACTCCTTTTCTTGTATACATAGCTTCAAAACATGGAATCTGGCATTACTTCGTTATCCACTATGTCTGGGCATAACTAGGTCATGAAGCGGTATATATGTGGGAAGCCACTTATGTACCTGGGGCATGTTGCTCGTCTGCTAAGCTCCAAATTCACACGCTCGTCTCTTGCATCGATACTCGATTAGCTAGCGACCCGCCTCTCCAGGCGTGGCGAGCGTCTTGTTCATCACGGGCTTTCTTCTTGGTACCAGATATACCCCATCCACCGCCACCAGGAGTTCTCACTATGATGCGTTCTCCAGGCTGCATTTTCGCTGTGTTCTTCGCGCCCAAGTTGATATGGCGTTCTTCCCACTCGTCTTCAGTGCCATCTCGTTTCGGTATTCTACGCACCCAGATATTTTCTCCGCGCTGAGCATCTTCGCCCCCTTCGAGACCATAGGGTCTGTACACTCTCCGTTCCGAGAGTATGGAAACCTGGACAGGGATGCGGAATTCGATATCACGTACGACACCATCACCACCACGGTGCTGGCCATCACCCGCGGAGCCGTGTCGGATGCTGAACTCCCGGAGTAGCACGGGATATCTCCTCTCGAAAATCTCTGCATCAGTAATGCGAGTGTTCGTCATATGGGTGTGGACGCCCGATGTTCCCTCCCAATCCGGACCGGCACCGCTTCCTCCGGCTATCGTCTCGTAATAGCCAAAGCCCCTGGTTTCAGCTTCGCCAGAGATATTCCCGCCGAAGCCAAAGGTTAGGTTGTTAGTGTCTCCCTGTGAAGCTGCACAGGCCTTGAAGCATTTAAGAATAACATCGGTTATCCGTTGACTCTGATGTCGGTTAGAATCCAATATTAATCACCAACCTGTGTTAAGTGTCCATGTTACTTACTGTCAGAACATTTCCACCTACTACGGCAGCTCTGGCCGAAGGCGAAAGGATTGAATCTTTCGGTATTCGGACCTCGATTGGCTTTAAACATCCCTGGTTCAGGGGGATATCTTCCGATATTAGACACCTTAGACAGTAGATGATCGCAGAATAAGTAACAGCTTCTGGAGCATTGATATTCCCTGGAGCAAGTCAGACTGCGAAGCAATGATGTACCCATGAGTATCCTTACCGTAAACTTCCGGCCCTGTGCCCTCAAAGTCGAAGATAGCTTCACCCTTTTCTACATTGATTGAAATTCTCAGTTGGATTGGAGTACCGTCATCCATATAATCGATGGCACTGAGATCTCGATTGGCGAACTTGGCGCTGACTTCTCTCAAGAGGTTCCTGACACTTAACTCTGCATTTTCCTGGATCTTTCGCATGTAGAATTGAACTACATCTTCGCCATAGTCTCCAATTAAGGCCGATATGAGACTAATTCCCTTTTGATTGGCAGCAATCTGAGCTTTGAGGTCGTTCAGGTTGTCAGCCAGGCTCCTCGTGCCACTGCATTCGGGATACTGGGCAGGTTCGTCGTAAAGCAACTCTGTGATTCGTTTTTCGTTGAACTGGCCCTCCGAGACAAGCTTTTCGGATTGGATTGCAGCACCCTCCTGGAAGAGCTCCTTAGAATGAGGTGGCATAGAGCCTGGTAGGATACCACCGATGTCAGCTGTTCGAGAGGTTAGCACTAGAAATTATATGCCCAGGTGTATCCACTTGCCATGATGAGCACGCGACGCCACATAGAAGATGATATCTTTCCCGCTGAATGCCGGAGTTATGACGGTTATATCTGGAAGATGAGTTCCGCCAAATTCGGGATGATTGGACACTATCACGTCTCCAGGTTTAAGTTTTCCTTCCCATATACGGGCCTGCATTGAGACGCAAGTTGACATGCTGCCCAAGTGGACAGGAAGATGGGGAGCATTGGCAACGAGTCCACCCTGCGCATCAAAGAGCGCACATGAATAATCCAGTCTCTCCTTTACATTCGTGCTGACACTCGTCTTTTGCAGGGCCCGTCCCATCTGTTCTGCAATGGCCATGAACCGATGCGCAAAAATGCTGAGCATAATGGGGTCGACGCTATCGGCACTCGGTTTCGTCTCTTGAATCGCGGATTCACCAATATTGATAACAACATGGGTCTCAATGATGAGTGCCGCAGCGCCTGGAGGCACAACCAATGTTTGAGTGTCATCGGCCAAGATTGCTGGTCCTTTGACATGATCATTGACCACCAAATCCTGTAGTCGGTAAATAGGCGTGTGCTGACGTCCACCTTCAAAGTACACTTCGCGCACATCATATTTTTTGTCGCTGCTTACATCTTTTGGCTTCGCATCTTTCAATTGCTGGTCAACTGTTTTCCCCAGAGCCTGGAAACTCTTCCCAATGCCCCTAACCCGAACATCGTCAACAATAATGTCTCGGTCAGGAAGCGTGAAACCGAATTCTTGCTCATGCTGTTCAACAAATGCTTTGCCAAACGCCCACTGGTCCCCACCGTAGGAATCCTTTGCTTCCTCCGGGGTCGGTTTAGCAATCATCAATGCAGACTCTGTCCCACGGTATCGCATGTTGAGATACTCTTCGAATACAATGGAGTCGTCTTCAAAACCTTGTTCCCGTAGCTTGATTGAGGATTTTTTCTTCAATTCCTCCATCTTCTCTTTTAGCTCTTCCCTGACATTGCCTTCATCAGACCATACTTTTGATTCCGGCTCCTGACTTTCATCAACGACGTCTGCCAACGCCATACCATAGGCTGAGAGAACGGATGAGTATTTGTGCAGCAGTATTTGTCGAATGCCCAAACTCTCTGCAATCGCAACAGCATGCTGACCACCTGCTCCACCGAAGGTCGCAAGTCTATGTTTAGAAGTATCATGGCCTTTTGCTTCAGTGAGAGAACGTATAGGTCTTGTCATCGTCTCGTTTGCGATCTTGATAAACCCATATGCCACTTCATCAGGAGTCATCTCCTTCGCCTTATCTCCCTTCGCCACCTCGTCATTGACCACTTTCGTGAGATCTTCAAAGAGCTTTCTGCTGGCTTGTATATCTAGTTCTTCATTCTCCTTTGGCCCAAATATCTTTGGGAAAAAGTCAGGAAGTAGCCTGCCCAGAAAGAGATTGGCATCAGTCACCGTCAGTGGGCCCCCTTTACGGTAACAGGCTGGACCGGGATGAGCACCAGCGGACTCAGGGCCGACAACAAAGAGGCCATTGCGGAAGAACAGTCTAGAGCCTCCTCCTGCGGCGACAGTATTTATATCGAGCTGAGGAGATTGGATGGTCACTCCTGCCGTAGTCGTCTCGAAAACATGCTCATAGCGACCCGAGCCATAGCGACTAACATCAGTACTGGTGCCTCCCATGTCGAAACCAATGACTGGGACCTTTGTCTCCGGATCATAGGAAGTCAATGCATACCCAACGACGCCGCCAGCGGGACCTGATAGGATCGCTCGTAGACCAGAGAATCGATCAACGTCGACGAGGCCACCGTCAGACTGCATAAATTCGCATCGAGCTGCTCTGTTGTCACCCTCATTTTTGACACTCTCTGTGCCCAAGCCACCTTTGAAGCCGACCTGAAAGCTGGCGATATATTTCTTGATAGCAGGAGTAAGGTAGGCATCTGCACAGGCCGAGGTTGCTCGAGGCACAAGTTTGATCATAGGCATCAGCTCATGGCTGAGACTGACATGCTGAAAGCCGATCTCAGCTGCTAGTCGTCCTATGATTGCCTCATGGTCGGGAAAGGTATAGCTGTGCATCAAGCAAACAGCAATGCTGCGGATTCCATCATCGTAGAGGGCCTGTAACTGAGACCTTATCTTGTCCTCAGAGGGCCTTTGTAGGATGCGCACAGCTTCCGAGGACAGGCCGCGAACGAGATCTGCATCCGCGGATGTTTCTTCTCGCGGCGCTGTTTTCGTCGTATGTCGAGTTGGGTCTTCCGCATAGTCCTCCAATGTCACTCTCTCGTCGATCTCGATCACTCTGTCATAGAGGACGTCAGGTCGCTTGATAGCCAGGTCAAAGATCTTTGGACGAGATTGATTTCCGATTATAAGACAATCTTTGAATCCTTTAGTAACCACAAGGGCGATTCTCTCGCCCTTCCGTTCAAGCAGGGCATTAGTAGCGACCGTCGTTCCCATGCGAATGCTTTCAATGAGAGACGTGTCCAGCGGCTCCCCACGAGGTATTTCACGGCCTGTGAATTTGGATAACAAACGCCGGATCCCTTCTAGTGGAGCATCCTCGTAATTGGAAGGGTCTTCGGAGAGTAACTTGATAACTACGTCGTCTTCGAGCTTTCCGCTTCCTGAGTTTCCTATACAATCGGTGAAGGTGCCACCGCGCTATGAATCTTGTCAGCCCCTCGAAGCAGATATGCTGTCGAACGGACCTGGAGCCATGGGAGGGAATACTGTACATCAATAGCAATCCGGATACCTCGTCCCTCAGAGAAACCCATAGCTGGTGTATGTAGGGCGCGTGTAATGGGATTGAACGAACAGTATCCGGTTGATAGAGCAACGAATTGCTCCTTGTTAAATGCAGAGGTTCCCAGTTAACTAAGAGGCTTGATTTATGTATGCTATGGCTTACCAGGGCTCGACCTTGATGTCTGCCATCCAAGGTCGGGGTAGTTGAATGAGGGGTTCCCCGCTAATCGAAGTAACCAGCTTATCAATATCAAGGAGGCGATGTGATCATAACTGCGCGGCACTGGAGGTCCTCCGTAATACTTGCGCAACTCTAACCCGCTAAGTACATACTGTAACTACCAGTAATCCGCAGAAGCAGGAAGAGAGAACCTTGCAAGGCTAAGTTTGAGCGACCACTGCTGGTGTTGACATCTTTCCACTGCGCACAGGACCCCCTCAGGCTAGTTAGACCAGTGCTTTGCACGAGTCTGTAACGAAAGGAAATCATGATGAGATTCCCATTCGACCTGACCACTGCAGCGTACTCCGTCCGAATAATTATTATAATCTACCGTTCGGACCTGCGCTTGAGTCGGGGCCAGATCGAGCGGGCCAGACGACGGCGCGAAATCCACACGCCTCTCCCGCGAACCCCATCTCGAATTTGGAACTCCCCCCCCTTTCCTTCTCAATGCAGGATCTTGGACCTCAACTCTCTTCACTGGCTGTCGAATAGTTGTCGCCAGTACTGGTCCTACATTCTCCCTTCTCTCACCTGCTGATCAAGCGGTCTTCTTGCGCGCGGCTCCCGGTGCGCTTGTTATTGATATCCCCTGAATCCGCGGCATCACCAACCCCTACTCCTGAGACCCAGAAGGACGAACGAGCTTCCTCCCCTGCATTGTTCGCTATATCGATTCTGCCGCGCGCATCATATTCCTAGACGACTATATATCCTGCCGTTCCTCGTTATCCTTTCACAGTCGCTGGCTCGCAACAAAGTGACTACTTGCGTGGTGTCTAGACTGTCGGTATCCGCATTACTCCGCATGTTCTCGTAACGAACAGGTGGTCTTCGCAGGAAGAGGACCAATTGAACGGATTGACCTTGTTAAAGAGGCCCCTTGAGCGCATCAAAAGGCAGCACATCGACTTCCCGTACGAGAAACCGACTATATGACTACATAAAAGGCGAAAGTGCTAGCAGGAGAATTGGGCCTTGCGATTTCCCCATTACACCTGGGCATTTCGAGATATAGCTCATAATCGACAGAGAATGGTTGCGACATCCCGAACTCCGACGACCGTCCCTCGATTTGTATATCCAACTTCCAATCCGTGTTGAAGCGCGCCTCCCGCTATATAAACAGAAAGCCTTGGCGCAGACATTGTCGGGTGCTATAAAGTCCTTTTCTTCGCCCATCTGCCTTCGATATCATTTTTCGGGTACTTGACTGGCAACGGTGTGTTGTACAGTGATCTGTCGGTTGAGTTTAGCCGATCACCTAGGAATTGCCCTTCTTTCCCCTCCGCACCACACCGCTCATGCGACTTTTGAACGGACTTGAACAGGCACTTCATGTCGATATAAGCACCATCTCGGTCCATGCGCCATTTTCTGTGACTAGTCCCAACCAATTTCGTGACCATTGACGGCAATGCTATATTGCTCGACCTCACGCGGCAGTGAAAACACGACGTACACTCACGGACCATAACTATAGATTATCTACGTACATTATCGCCTTTCGGCAAGGGTATTGGACACATCCCGCATGGTCCTGAAGGATAGCCTCGATTGGCATATCAAAAAATCTCATCGCGTCCTTGCACAGGATAGTCTTCAGAGCTAGCGAGGGAAGCGAAAGCGAGTTCGAGAGCGAAAATGTTGTCAAAAGCGCTCCAGAAGGCCAACACAGCTGTCCTGCTGGATAATGCAGCAAATTTTGAAGGTGCTATTGAAGCCTACGATGATGCTTGCCAGCTACTGCAGCTGGTCATGCTCCGTTCTAACGGCAGCGTTGAGGAGAAGTTGAAGCTCCAGGAGATTGTAAGTAAACCATACATCGTTTGCAAGTCCTTTATTATAACCAGCCCTCCCAAACCCAAAGAAGCAACTCCCTTGCCAGTCATCCCTCCCTTCTTCTTTTTTTTTGCTCAAGAAAAGCAGAGTTTTAACGAATTGCGTAGCACAATACGTATACAGCTCGTATCAGCGAGTTACGGCGGCTAGGAGTCGAGAAAAGGGACGAAAAGGCTCTTCCCGAGACACCCTTGAGCGGCGAATCATTTTCTCGGGCGCTTTTCCGGCCAGTAAACTATGATGGCACGAATTCTGCAAGCATTGACACTACCATGGCTATGCGTGATGCTGATTACCCCGTCCCTGCACCTGAGTTTCATGATGCGACTTCGTCGCAGGTTCCTCAGCGCCAGTCATTGCTTCCATCGGCGTTTGACGATGACATTCAGTCTTCCCGTTCGTCACCGCAACGAAGTAGGTCGCGGGACCATTCTCGGTCTGATGGGTATAGGCATGAGACCCGCTCTGAGCTCTCTTTGAACGGGTCATCTTTCTCAGAAAATGGCTTCAGTGATAGTCACTCGCGAGCGCCGACTAGCCAATCTCAATATTCCCAAAATGGTGACCATGGCGGCCATATCAGCAATGAATCGACGTCGTGGTTAGATACTATCGATGAGTCGGGCGCCTCGTCACCCGCTTCGACGCGCTCTGGAATGTCATCTATTTACCTCCGTCAGAGACGGAGCCATCGTGACAGTCACGGAACCGAGGCCGAATTCGATGCCGCCCTAGACGCCGCCGTTGAGGCTGCTTATGACGAAGGTCTCGAACCCGCTGCAGATATTAATGATCGCTTTGTGGAAGACAGCGTAATATCCAACGCTCGCAGAAATGTGGAATTGGCGAAACAGAGAGTGAGAGAGGCTGAGAGAGAAGCTGCAGCGGCCACAGCAGGCCGACGTGAAAAGTTCCAAGACGATATTTTACCTCCGCACATGGACCGTTTTGAGGTCGATTTCATCGATGAGGAGGCTGAGGAAGAAGAACGACTACTGGAGGAGATGACAAAAGGCTACGTTATGGATGACTTTCGATTCGATCTACAGTCGAAGTCAGCACTTCCTCGCGAGTCGAATTCCAGCGGCTTTTCTGGCCGAACCTGGGGAAGCTCTGTTGCTTCTAATCCAACCACGGCTGGAACATCGCTCTCCACCCTTGCTGAGGGTGTCGTCTTGCCGTCTCTAGGCTCGAAGCTCTCGAAAAGTCTCCCACCGCCGCCGCCACTGCCCACTTCTTCTTCGGCTCCAGCTCTTCCCACTACTGGTCCTGATGTCCCATCCTCACCCAGCTTCAACTCGCCCTCCGGCACCAGCGTAAAAGCCCGACGGCGATTATCAGGACAGAACATGAAACAGTTGAAGATTGATACCAACGCGATTGGCCCGTCTGGGCCACAAGGCCCGAGGACGGAGCCTGCCCCGGTGCCTCTGATCACCCAGGCTCTTGATGTTTCGCGCGATGAACCTAAAACCAGCATGCCAGTTAATGCTCTCAACACGGAGACTCTGCCTGGCAGAATCCGCAGGGGGACATCGAATAGCCGGAGCGGTTCAATGGATTCTCTTGCCGGCGAGGGCGTCACTGCAGCGGCGCTTGCAAAAGTGTCGACTCACGAGAGTGATGAATGGGTCCGCTCGGGTGCGCCGTCGCCCTCCCGTTCATTCAGTAAACTGCCATCTTTGCCGGGTAAGTTGAGAAAGAACGATTCGTCGACGAGTTTAAGAGGTATGAGAATGAGGAATATGTCAGTCGCGACGCCCGATATCCCGACGGATTCCCCGGGGACTCCTTCAAGCAGCACTTTTCCGGCATTTGATTATCAAAAAAGCATCGCGAATGGCGTTCCGCTCACGCTACCCACACCAACAGGGGCACATTTCACCCTGAACGGTCTGCCAACAGGCGGTCTTTATCTTTTCGACAGTAACATTCACTCGCCAACCAGCCCGGGTTCTCCTAACCCAGCAGCCGACAACGCTCCGATCCCTCTCGAGCCCTGTCCTGAATCTTTTCTCTCAAGACCTTTTTGGCTTATGAGATGTCTTTATCAGACTATTGCACACCCTCGCGGTGGATACCTCTCAACAAAGTTGTTTATCCCAAGGGATGTGTGGCGCGTCAAGAACGTCAAAATCAAGGCGGTCGAAGAGAAAATCTCCAATTGCGATCTATTGACGGCGGCTCTACTAAAGCTTGCCCAGGTTGACGTTTACGACGCTGATGCAATCTTGGAGGAAATGCAGTCTTTGGAAAACGTTCTTGACCAAGTACAGGCTACTTTGGCAAAAAAGCTGGGCCACGAAGTTGGGGTTCAAGGATCCATGTCGCTTTTCAGGTCCACTTCCATGGACGATACAGGCCCGGCTGCAGATTCGACATCTTCTTCTAAGACGGCCAGCGGATCAAGCAGGTCATATCTGTCGTCCTGGCGGAAGCTGAGATCTAAGAATTCGAATATCAACTCCGCGACACCAGTTTCCAATGGAAAAGAGGGAGGCAAGGAAAACCTGACTATGCCGTCTCTACCGATGACTTCCACGCCGAGCGAGCGAAGGTCGAAAAGAGATCTAACGCAACTCGAATTCGCGGGACCCAATGCAAACTACATGGGGGCGCTGGCAAGGTTATTTGACGCCGCACAAGTGCTGGGTAAGTTGGTACAACTTTCGCAACTCCTTATAGCGATGACCTCTCCCGATATCTCGCAGGAGACAGTTGCTAACTCGTACAGATCAAATTGCCCACCAGGTCGAGGATCCAGGGCTGAAACATTCGTCACCAACCCACGTGGGCCTGGAGCTCAGCACTCGACACGCGGCGGAATTTTTTGGCTTCTATGTATGCCGGTTTGCCTTGAACGACGTGAGCATGATGCTGGATAAATTCATCAAACGAGGCAGTGAATGGGTTCTGATCTAAAAAGATGCGAGCCCTGAACAACCCGCTAAATATAAACGAGGTGACGTGCTCGGACGATACCCATGATATGTCATCTGAAAGATTTTGCTACTTCTGATGTTATTCTCAAGATACCACGGTTTGATCTCTATCCTTTCCCCCATGCTTGGTCGGGACGGGGTTGTAATCTTTTTATCTTTGCTTCTTCTTCTTCTTCTTCTTCTTCTTCTCTACTTCCCCTTCGATCATATCGGTAAATACCGTTTACTCCAGCGTCTTTTCTTTCAATGCAAATAATAAGCTGTTACCACTATTGTTGTCATTGGAATATTATAGTCCGAGTCTCCTGTCGGCAGAGGGTCTGGCTTCCCATTTGTCGGTAGCGATCTCTATATACCCTTACTGGTGCTACTTTTGTTGTCTTCTTTCTTTTTGGACAGATATTAACCGTTGATTTGTTCAATGACTGTGAGCCCAGGAAGTAGAGACTTTTTCGATGTAGAATCTAGAATCGTAAGAGTAGAGTAGCAGATACCAACTAGTACCGATTAGTCGATTTACTCTACCATTATTAGAGACACGTCGCCCCACCGCGGCGCGTGGTTTCTCCCCCAAACAACTCGACGCGACGCATACTCAATATATCGATTGCTATAGAGCCATCATCTAAACAGCAAATTGCCTACCTACCATATCCCTTTCACAGTTCTTTACCAGGAAAAGACTGCGCAGCACGAGATCGAACATTCACGATACTTGTCGGGCATCGTTAATCGCCTTCCACGAGCAACTACTTCTAGCCCGGCACACTCGAAAGTCTTACCGGCAATGCCACGGCCTCCAGCGAAGAGGAACCGATTGCCACCCTCTGTCGCACCGACGAAAGGCAGAGTAACTACAAGGAAGAATGCGTCACAGAAAAATACTATCGAGGATGGTGATGTGACAAGCATTCGCAACCAACGGGGCGCGACACGGCACGAGAGGCCCACGAGTGGTGGTCACAAAGAAGAAAGGGAAATCAGCAATGGACGGAAAGGCGACACAAGTGGAAGTCTTGAGGAAACGGCAGCGCCATCAGAAGATGTTTCAGAGACGCATACATCGCGACCGCCGGTACAGCAGACGCCTATCGCTAAGTCTCATGGACGAACTCTGGGATCATCGCCCGCAACAGAACGTCCACAGACAGGAAACAGACCCGCATCAAGACCGCGCGGATATTCTTCCACTCTGTCACTTGCGGGGAGGAAGGGAGATATCGGTTCCAAAGTTCCTGGCACACCTGCCTTCGAAAGCTCAATGTTGAGTAATTTCAGGAGGAGACCACGGCAACCCAGCATCCTGCAAATGATGCAGGCTGATGGGTCTTCGGATCTTGACGATGATGACTTCCTCGGCGATTTGAGTCCCCAAGATGAATCGACGCCGTTGGCACTCGCGAAAAGAGAGCTACCGCTCCCTCAGCCATCTCCCTCGCCCTCGGCGCTTTCTTTGAACCTTTCGTCAGGGAAAAGGAAACGCTCACTAATAGAAGATGAAGAGCCTGAATTACCTAGCGCTCGCTCCTCCGTGGCTCCTTCGATTGTGTCTAGCGACTCTGAAAACGAACGCGACGCATCGGACAGGCCGCTTCCTGCTTTCTCTGCACAGTTGGAGAGATTCAGCCAGACCATGGCACCGCCGATGAGCAGCAGTCCCGCACAGACTCAGCAAGAGACAGATACGGCGTCCAGTGTTCACCCTCGGTTGTCCAAAGAGCGAGTCCGGAAAGGAGACGATGCAGGCAGCGGTCAACGGCAGATGTCAACAGCGGCTCTCCAAGAGAACTTTCTTCCTCGTCGACGTCGGCCGCGCAGACGTGTCAAGAAAGGTGCAGACATCGACATATTGAGCGATAACAGCGAAGAAGAATCTGACCCCGACGATGACGAGTTGAATCGTTTGCCTTCAAAAAAGACGGCAAAGTCGCGACGAAAGCTATTGGCTGAATCAGAGAATGCAACAAACTCAGGAACGAAACAGAAGACTACAAATCAGCGTGGTCGGAAACGGCAGACTGCCACCAATGCCAGTCGAACTAAATCGTCAACCAGGGCATCATCGACCTCCAAGACGCAGCAACGTGATAGTCTCACATACTCACGTCGGCGCCGGGATGTGGAAAAAGAAAACGACGACGCGGATGTTTCCACCACATCTTCACGTCGCGGGTCTGTATCCGACCTCGACCAAGGCACTCCGAAGCCCGCAGGATCGAGTCGCAATCGAGAACTGGAAGAACAGGCGAAGAAATTTGCTGAGATAGATAAGTGGGAGATGGATTTTGAGGACGTAATTGAGTCTAGCAGTCAACAAACGTGATCTGCATTTATGATCGTTCTTATTTGGGTCCGTGATGGCGTTAAAAGGGAGGTTTGTTTCCCATCTTATGTTTGCGAGCTGCTTTTCAGTTGGATTCGTGCAGCGCATAATCTCTGAGCGTTGTCTGTACCGGTTAGCTTATTCCAGTATACCATATGTGATGTGTTGACGACATGAGAAACTCCTTTGTAGTACAAGTTAGGTATTTGAGCAGATCTTGTCTTAGTGTATGAAGAGAAGATGTGCCAGGAGCTATGGTACTTCCTGAGTGTTCCTGTTAAGATCACTACTGTTCTCAGATTTTCGCATTGCTCGGCTTGAAGTGGAGATTGAACAGACTAAGTAACCAACATCTTGAGTGATGCAGATCTTCAGGATTCTGATGATTGTGTAGCCATGTCCTTTTTGTTGAGACACCCACTTCTGCAGAGAAGTCAAGTAAATAAATCTATTATCGCGTCTTTAGCTCCACGATTGTTGCCGAGGCGCTCACGGTTTCTGGTGCCAACCCCTCTTCTCGGATCGATAAGCTCTTCTCCAAGCCCCTCAATTCCTCTGGCCAGCTTCTGCACCCAGGCGACTCTCTACAGATCATTCCTTTATCAGCCAGCCGGGAAAGACGCAATGGCGTCCACTGACACTATCCTTGCTGGGAAATATCCCGCTAAAGCTCACGCGCGCAAAGTCGCTGAATACCTCCGTCGCAATGGGTATACCAATGACGGCGTTATTTACTTAGAAGCGCAGAAGACACGCATGATCGAAGATAATGATGAGCCAGTTCCCTTCAGGTACATATATACATGAGCAGTCCTTCTGGGCATTTTCGCTTCTCTCTCTACCCCGAACTCGTCCGATTGACAGACCTCTAGGCAGCGTCGACCTTTCTTCTATCTCTCTGGCTGCGAGCTGCCCGATTCGTACCTGGCATACAACATTAAAACCGATGAACTGACCCTTTTCATACCTGGGATCGATCCTGATTCTGTAATCTGGTCCGGCCTTCCTCTCTCCCCCGACGAAGCTCTTCGAATCTACGATGCCGACATCGTCTCAACTACCGACAAAGTCAACTCGACCCTGGCTAGCATTGCATCCTCATCGGGTGACAAGGCCACCATCTTTGCGATCCCCGAGCAGGTATCAGAAGATATTTCATTCAAGCCTTTTGCCGAAACCAACTTTTCCATCCTCAAGAAGGCCATCGAGGACAGCCGCGTCGTGAAAGACGAGTACGAAATCGCACTACTACGAAAAGCAAATGATATCTCCGCAAAGGCACACATCGCCGCCATAAAAGCAGCAGGAAGTGCTAAGAACGAGCGCGAGATCGAAGGTGCATTTATCGCCACATGTATTGCCAACGGTTGTCGGGAGCAGTCATACCATCCTATTGTCGCCAGCGGCACGAGCAGTGCTACTCTGCATTACCAAAAGAATGACGAGAATCTGATCGACCCCGTCACTGGGGCGAAGAAGTCGATTCTACTCCTTGATGCCGGTGGTGAATACCGCACATACTGTGCGGACATTACTCGCACCTTCCCGTTATCAGGAAAGTTCACGCCGGAATCTCGTCAGATCTACGACATTGTACTTGATATGCAGAACAAGTCGTTCGAACAGCTGAAAGAGGGCGTCCAGTGGGAAGATGTGCATGCAGTCGCTCATCGTACTGCAATCAAGGGTCTGCTCAAGCTTGGCATTCTACGCGGTTCCGAGGAGGAGTTGTTTGAGAAGAGAGTCAGCGTGGCTTTCTTTCCTCATGGCCTCGGACACTATCTTGGAATGGACACACATGATACTGGCGGAAATGCAAACTACAACGACACCGACACCATGTTCAGATATCTTCGTGTGAGAGGCCGTCTTCCTGCCGGAAGTGTGATTACAGTCGAGCCCGGTGTAAGTTTCCATTTCTTTCGTTCCCGTCATTGATTATACCTACCCATTGGGATATTCCAGCATCTTGGCGTTTAGACCTCTGGGCCTAATTCCTCGAGGTGAATGCTAATGAGACTTTTTACAGGTTTACTTTTGCCGTTTCATCATCGACCCATTCCTCAAGGATGCAGAGCTCAGCAAATACATTGATGCCGATGTCCTCGAGCGGTATTGGGCCGTCGGAGGAGTCCGTATTGAGGATAACGTAGTTATTACTCGTGATGGCTATGAGAACCTCACCACCGCTCCGAAGGCTGCTATGGAGATGGAAAGCTTGGCTGCGGAGGGCTCTCACTAATGCATGACGTTAACTGACAACACTCGGTCATGTCACATGAAAGAGAGGATAGTATTGTCTGTAGAAAAGCGCCCATTCCGGGAAACCTATAGAAAGGAGATAGTTGCAGCCAAGAACATTAGAGGTCATCAGCTCCGCTTATAATGCTGTATCTGGAACACACAAGGATAATTTTGCGTAGGTGAAGCTGTGGCAGAAAGAGCACCTTTATTTACAATGAGGGTACTATCAATATATCATGCAATATATCACGCATGCTTAAAACAACTAAAATGACACAACCCGTTATCTCTTCGATTATTTGGTTCATATTGTTCTTCGTCCCAGGTTCTGTAGTGAAGGAAGAGTCCCAGCAATGAAACACCAGACCCCAGAGTGTCTGGCGTAAAGGTGGAAGTTTTGCTCGAAAAGTTCCTTACCGCATGCGGATGCGTAGCTTATTTTACTCATAGCTGGGTTCCCCGAAGACACAAAAGAGCACATTGCGGATAAAAGAGATGTTCATATTGATATTCATAGCCCAGATCTCGGTCTCTTCCTGGCGCTACCTTTTACCGTAGAATCTGCATCTGCTTTGTCCTGTGAACGCTTCTCTTTCTGATCGAGAACCAAGCTGAGGACGTCGAATCCGAACTGAGGGAATTCCAGACACATGGTCCTGAACTCCATCTCGGCTTCGTGACGCAGGACGTGACTCCTTGTAGCCCAGAAAGCTGCAATGGGCTTACGAATAACAACATCATCGGCAGACGTGTTGGCGTAGACGTAGCGGGCGTATGCGATCTCGCCACGGGCTGTGCTACTGATGCGATGGATCTTGGAATGCGCCAATGTTTTCAGAGCGGGCACACCCAGTTTCTCCGCTAAAGTGTAGACGCGGGCATGTTTGAGTAGTTGGTCTCCAGTATCGTCGACGTCAGGGGCCGTGGGATCATGTTCCAATCCGCCCCCAGGAGTCTGCAATCGTCGTGGGAAGTAGTCACCGGTATACTGGAACTGTAAGAAACACCCGACAGCATCGATGGATTCGTCTGGTAGATTTATTCTCCGCTGTGTGGTGACAACAGAAAGTCAATAAAAGTTAGCATAAGGCTACGAGAGATATGAATTCACTAGCGAAACAGAAAGAAAAAAAGACAGGGTGACCTTACAGCTTCACCATCTTTGAATGCAGCGACGGCCTCTGAAAAGAACGGTGATTCTTTCAAGAATCCTTCATGAGCAGTCAGGACAGTCTGGTCATCTCCTTGTCCTACCACGAGCTCTACAACTGGCGATTTCAAGTGACTGAAGCGCAATTGCAGTGAAAGTTGTTAGCAAGTCCGCGCCCTTGAATCCATCGAAGAATCCCTGTCCCAGAAAGAGTCCTAAGGAGCTTCACAGACGAAAAGAATGGATAGTCGTACTCGATAAACTTGAGCCCCTCGTTTTTCTCCTGTACTGCGACGCTATCATCCTGAGTGGTGACGACTGTGGCATCCTGGGTGCTCTCTGCGTCTTGCTGTTGCTCGACTGGCTCTCCGGTACCATCTTTTTGCTGCTCGACAGGTTCCCGCGTCTCCTCCATCTCCACATCTATATTTTCTGCGGGGGGAATCTGGACCTCCGGATTATCCATATCTGCTGGTCAATTGGGATGTTTCTTCCGAAAAGATCGACGATCGCGAGTTCGCAAAGAGGAGCTGTATGTCAACGGCGACAGCACCGAGCAATCGGGAGGAACGATAGTGAGCGGACTTCACTGGAATTTATTTCAATTCCAGATCAAAGACTGTGTCCGTGATAAGGACGCCTTCAATTCACAGGAAGGAAAAGATCAAAGGAACGACCAATGCTGGTAGGGGAGGAGTATCTTCAGGAACTCGGGAGTCGCAAGAGTAGCTACGCGCACGGGCCATTTCTGTAAAGTAGCCGCAAATCCCAAGGTAACAAACGACATCTAGCCTTGAAGCCATGATGGGTAGTTCAGAAATGAACACAGGCTGTCTGTATTTGCCTGGTTACTATTTTCTGTTAGGAATATCGGAGGGATTATTCGAATATAGCTTTCTAATCGACAATATCTGTGGAGCAAATGGCTTGTGCATACGTGGTAAACTCCTTTGCTTTCTACTGGGCAAATGGTAGGCATTTTGCCATTGCGTTATCATCATTGGACAGTTCACCAATACTCGATGAATCGGTTGGTTGGCTGGTTGATTCATTCCATTAATGCCAGTGCCATGGCAGAGTCAACGACCAACCTAAAAATCTCTGAAGATAATTGGATGCTTGGCTGAGCTATTATGTCTCCTAGCTCCTGATCTCGTTCGATGGACGACAGATGAATGGCACGTCCACCCAGGATTGGCGCAAAGATAGATCCAAGGCTATATAGGGTACGCAGATGGCATGAGCAATATAGAAGAACCTGTGCTATATCAACATCTCATCCGTTTGAGGTTGGATATACTGGCAAGAAGCCCAGAGATGTCCGCCCAGGAGGATCGGTTCTCACTTGCAGACAATAGAGCCAATTTATATAAAGTATTGATTTTAACGTTTCCATCTGTCATAAAATAAAACCACAAACATATATAGGTATCTAATCGTGTGTAATGACCAACTATTCTATTCACATTCGCTCATTCCGGTACCGTTCCCCCGTGGAAGGAGTTGGCTTCTCAAGCCTGAGTGCCCACAACAAAAGGTCTTCCAGCGGTAGCAATGCAATGAATATCTTATTACACAGAAACGCCAAAAATGCAACGAAGACTGCGACGACCGCATCAAGCCAGTAGTGGTTTGCGGTGGCAACGATTGTGATGAGGATGGACAGTGGGTATGCGACAGCGAGGAACAGATACCATATCTGCCAAGCTCGAGACATCCTGGTCTCGCCTTTCTCCAGAGTGCGGCGGAATATGCCTGAGTGATAGAGGAGAACACAGCCGATCACGAAGCTGTAGCCGAAGTGCATGCTGGGCATGGCAGCTAAAGAGTTCACGTAGTCGCCGCTCATCCATATGCTCTGAGCATTGTCGTGGCGCACAGTATCCAGGAATCCGTATTCCTTTGGGAGGAGTCGAGGTGGCATACAGGGATAGAATGTAAATGTGACGAAGGCAAAAAGATTCGTCAGAGTCAATGTTCGACGAGCCGTCGCGAAGGTATTATGAGAGGGGGCCACGTAGTAGTACCATGCGATGAACCTGGACAAAAAGTTAGCTCTTGACCCAGCTTGCATGACGTATCAGACCAATACTGACCCAACGGTGCCAGGGATATGAACGAGAGCATAGAATCGGTTGAGGACGGTCAGCAGGACTTGATGACCGTTCATGAACCAGGCCTGAACATTATGCTCTGTTAAAGGAAAGAAAATCCTCAACCAGCTCTCTTCTTCTATCTCCAGTAATCGCACGCCGTTCTCCATAGCTACATCCCAGATTCCGATCTTGGAGAAGATCTTGGTCGACACGATCTTGGTCAGGCGATAGAAAATGTAGGTAATGATCCAGTAGAACATCTCTATCAGAAAAGGGAATTTCATCAAGATGCGACTATGGATGTTACTGGCGAAACGCGACGTATTGGGAGTCCGAACGACCGTTCCGCAACAGCGCCTTCGCTTCGGGTAGTGCTTGGAGATTCCCAGCAGGCCCTCGTCGCTGTCCGCATCGTAGCATAGCAGCTCGTCTGACGAGTGAGGTGAAGTAGGTTCGTCGAGGAGAGAGTCATAAGACGTTTTTTTCTTGCCCAGAATCCGGAATCCTTTTCGCCGTGTAACAATCATAGACGCCACGAGGATGGAAAACACAATCTGTTGCAGGAAAAAAAGCATCATGTTAACTACATCGTCAGAGGAGAGAGAGAGAGAGAGAGAGATAATGCGACACTTACCAGCGGCTCGCCCCATGAAGGCAGCTGGAACATGGGCTCGCTGTTCCATTGCGGGGGATCTTGGACGGTATTTAGATCGTTGGAAGCCATGATCGTAATCAAAAGGGGATATTAAACGACACGCAGCAAACTCAGATAGACAGATGTAGATAGCTAGACCATGGGACAAATTTTCATTTCAACTATCTACCATCCAAGGTCGATAGGAGCTATGAGAGGATAACGCTGAGAAAGAGGACTTGCTGTGAATTCGAGAACTCGTCGTAAGCTCACGGAATGGCTGCCAACACCGCGCGTCAGAACGGTCTCAGTAGAAGAGACAGCCTTATTAGGTCTACCAGGAGAAGGATGCTCTTAGGGCCACGAGCATCCAGATGAAGGCAAGCTGGTGCTTTTTTTAGGGGCACCGAGACAACATCAACAGGTGCGGGCAGTAGTCGAGTGGAACAAGTGGACAGCACCGGTGCGAATCGTATAAGATAGGCGGGTTAAGGCTGTGCACTGGTGCAGTGTGTAGTAGTCTACATTCTTTCTTTTCCCTGGCATCAGCTCGGAGGCCGGAAGTCTCGTATCCGTTGGCCCAAATCGATCTCCAAGGGGGGGTTCGAGACTCGGTGGTGGGAATGGTCTGTTCCGTTGATTTGCCTCCGCGCCTTGTATTTGCCAAGGACGGTGACGAGTGCATGGGGCTCCTGGATCCTGATTCCGCCTTTAGGGGAGTTTAGCTGAGGCAGTAGTGGGCGATTCAAGATAGCCCTAGTCTCTAAGCAATTTAGATATGGTACAGAGTAGTCTAGTCCACTGCGCTACCGGCTCGTATCCGTACCGCATTGAACAGAAGCAATGATCAATTATCTGTGACTACAGTAAAACCTTTTTATAACGATACCGCATATAACGAATTCCTCTACACAACGAATTTGACACCGTGTCAAATTCAAATTCCCATACAAAATTCGTTATTCCTTCCTACTACGAAATTCGTTAATTTTTTCAGACCTTTCCCATACAATTCGTTATAGAAAAGTACAGATTTACCTTATTAGTCAGTGATTACCTAATCATTAATTACCAATTAAGGAAATTTATTCGAAAATCTCACTAAAAATCCGTATATTACTAATACAGACCCACTTTTTATACAACGAATCCTCTATACTACGAATTAGACTGCCTGGAAAAAATGATTCGTTATAGGCAGGTTTTACTGTATTAGCTCACCCACTCCTGCCGTCGTGGGTGAGCCCTCCCGTATTTGCACTTCCTACCGTATTTGCACTAAAATTCTTAGGTATCTTTTATATGGGAACACCATATAAAAGGTACATAAGGCCAAAAACAGAATATATCTAATTATCTCAACATTTTGTTAGAGGACACCTTTATTTTAATTGATAATAATAAAATAATATAATATAATAACCTATATCTTTAATTTAAAAGTAAAATCTTAATTATTAAAGTAAGCGTTTGCTTTTTTAATTTTCCCCATATAAAAAACTTTTAGTGAGAAATCTTTAAATACTAATATATCTCTTACTTTTAATTAGAGCTTCTTAAAAATTAGAATATAAGTTATTTAATAATAAGATTTTAATATTATCAAATAAAATAAAGGGGTTCCTTAATAAAATGTTGAGATAATTAGATATTTTCTGTTTTTAGCCTTATGTACCTTTTGTATGGTGTTCCAATACAAAAGGTACCTAAGGCTAAAAAGTGAAAATCGGTAGGAAGTGCAAATACGGGAGGGCTCACCCACGACAGCAGGAGTGGGTGAGCTAACAGTCACGGATAATGCTCAATTTAGTAGTAGTTACACTCCGGGAATATTAAATACATAGTCCGTACGGACCTTCTGAGATCGATCATCCGTCGCGATAAGAGATCCTCATCCACATACTCCATGCTGGACTCTGTATAGTATACTATACAGACAACCCTCCCGAGTTGACCGTCTTTCCTCTCTCTCTCTCTCTCTCTCTCTCTCTCTCTCTCTCTCTGGTTACTATGGTATACGTAGTTGGCAACTTGCCAAGCCTCCGTTGCTATTTTGAATCAACAATAATTGGTGCCCGGGCACGCGACACTCGGCGGGATCGTCATTGAAAAATTGCACTAGATAGCGGCTATGGCTGAACCCTGGCAATCGGAGGTCCGAACCCCGATCAATAATAGTATTATAATAATAATAATAATGGCTCGACAGGTTGGAGGTTCGAGAGTCGATAGAGTATTATTATCACATACCACATTTCGAAAGCAGTTTGGATGTGATCATCAACGTGGGAGGGTGAAGGATTATTCTAATTAACATTTGCTACCAAGGAACCCCGATGTCTGGCTGGAAGTCTGATGCTCCATAAACTAGGCTACCAGCAGACATCGGGCATTCGGGAGGAGCTCGCACCGATCCCGTCCTACTCTTGAGTTAATCTCTTAATGTACACGGTCTGCATTCCGAATCAATCGATCTGACTGTCGATCTATAACGAGCTTAACTTTGATTGTTCGATGCGCGCATACCATACATTATTATTCAAGGCGCTCTGTCAACGGATGAACCTCAGTATTGTCTTGGCAGGTGGTTCATCAAGAGCGTACGCGACTATCGATGGATAAAAGTCTTCGGTAATAACTCGTGTGTATTGACTTACAATGAACGAATTGACCCTTTACTATTTTCTAACATGATTGGGTCTTCCTCCAATAAAGAGCTAGTTACAATTAGGTGTTTATGTACATACCTGATAACCTCCTAGCATAGTATGGTGCGGCGTAACTGCACTAGTGGTCTCTACCGCTCACCGTAGGACAGGATACTTAGCTAGCCCCTCTACCGAGGATAGGTTCTTTTATCCTAATCTAGTAGGCTTCGCACTACTAAAACTATTACTTCGGGGGGTTCCCTATTAAAAGCCTTATAGAAATAACAATGAATAATCCATTAGTAAATTGTGCAAGTATACCTTTGAAGTCATCACAAGGGTACTTGCAGAGACCAAATAAATCGGCCACACCCTCTTCATGAAGGAGATTCCCGAAGGATTGGACAAACGAGAGATATTTGGAATTAGCAGGTACACCCGTATCTTCGTCAGCATCCCGCATGGAGTAATGGAATTCGAAAGGACGAAAAATGCCACTCTTTGCAAGAGCCCAGTTACTCGGTTGAATGTATGGCGAGGTTTTCCCGAGGGTCTCCTCCCAAGGAACAGAAGTGCCGCGGTATTCGACCAGTATCTCCTTTGAACTAAGATCGAAATGGCGATGAAGGAGAGAAAGGCCGAAGACCCGATCCACGTTGGAGGAAGAGCTCGCGGAACTTGTTATTAACAAGTTCTTCTCCTTTCTTCAGGTCAAACTTTCTTCCAGCATCATAGCAATTTCTAGCTCACGATACTTTCACTCTTTATTCTGATTCCGTCATTGCCTTAATGCCCCATTCAATGTCTTGACGCTAATCCAACCAGATCTTCATTCTTTATAAGTTGAGAGTACTATATTGGTCTCTGTTCCTGTAGGATTTCTCTATCAGAGTTGATGTATCCCATGGGATCCCATGGGATTTGGTGTAGTCATTATCGCCGCGAATCCAGTAGATCTTCACAACCTCATCACAAGCTGCGGGTCTATCATTGTCGCTGCTGTTCTCCAGTTTTGTTTCCTTGCTTCCTCCCTTGTCTTTTTAATTATTCATGTCACTTTCAAGCCTCGTCGCAGCGTCGCTCGGCTGTGCCTATAAGCTACCTACCAATCAATCCCTCCCCGCGAACCCCTGCGCCTTCGTAAGGAGCAACTCACCATAGCTTGTCAAGCAAGAGACTGCCGGTTTTTGTCGGACCGGGGTCCTAAAAGCGATCTGATTATGTCGACTCAAAGGAATAGCCCTATATGTCGCTCAAGTTGAGGGGCGAAATATTTGATAAGATGTCGGGGATTCTTAAAGAGAAGGATGGTCTTATGCGTAGCTGCTAATAAGATCATCCCTCGGAGCATTCACAGCTGGCAGGTCTCTTTTAGTTTGCTACCCTCAGCCTTGGTGTTTCGACTAGTTAATAATTCAGTGTCAGTCATTGGACATGAATATTACGGGAAAGCTCCTGCAGAAGCAATTTTGCTGGCCTAGGCAGTGAACATGGATATTTTCGTATCTAATCTAGCAGTTTGAGCAGACTTCACCTTAATTGATTGGCAGTCCCAGGAGGGACAGTGGGATCTAATGGTTTATGGCCATTTGGCTTGTTTTCTGCAAAAGGAAAGATGGACCTCATATCCATACATATTTTTTAAGCTGAAGTATCTATTGAATCGATTAACGCCTGAGCAATGTATGTAAACATATTTACCATTCATATAAAAACTAACATAGGGCCAAAAAAACAAAGTAATCTCAAGGAAAGATGTAGGTACAACCTCACAAAGAACACTGTACTAGAGACAAAGGAGTAGAACAAGAACTATAAACTGGCCCAATAATGGGCCCACATTTAGAGAGGTGCAGAGGTGTGAATTGATGGAGTCTTGTTTTAACCCTTCTCCCCAGGAACTTGCGATCAATCAAGGAACCAGTCTTGGTCTCTTGAAGCGAGCATCCCCAAATACCATAAGCCAAGTAGAACAGTCAACTGTGGCTCTTCGTCGGTACCTTTTGTCGTCCACAGTATGGATGGTGAAAGTTCCAAGTTTCCATTTCTATCAAGCCTTCGGATAGCAACAAGTTCAGTATCTGTGAGAATGAAGCTATAGCGCGCATGATGTTGTTTCATATAGAAATTAACTTGAGACAAGACCTGCTTAAATTCATTTTAAACACTAGGACGGGGCCCGTTTCTTTGAGCAAGTGACCACTTGTATAAGGGTTTAATATCGCCTGGGACGCGGTTCGGCCTAGTCATTAGAGGGAGAATTAGATCAAACATAGCAATATCAGGAATATAGTTTTTAGGGGTTGCGGCCATTGTCCCGACATCATAGTTCAAAACCGTACAACCAGCCAGCTGTTAGGTGGAATTCATATACACAAAGCCACAGCGAAATACACATGTTATCCAGTTAGTCAGATAAGCGTCGATACAGGATCGAACAGCAGTTTCCAAGTTGATTGGCCGAGGAGGAAAGGGATTTACTAATTCGTCTGCGATCCGTGCTTGCGCCAAAACCACACCAAACTGTTGGCGGATGGAAGCGAGATTGAATCCAGCCCAGTGGCCCACATTAATAATATCTGCAGCCCTATACTGATCGTTTCGTGTGTTCTGTGATAATTATCCTTGGTCAATGACTGGCAGCCGCAAGAAGCCATGCTATAAATACGCCATAAGGCTAACCTGATTTGCCATAATGACTGAGGGATGAGCTAACAATATATACTGGGGATAAGATAGGGATCAACGTAAACAAAAGGTTAATAGAATTATTCCAGTTGTGATTATCGGAGCGAAAGACAATTACAACCACGGCACCTTTTTCAGGCTTTATATGCTCCTTGATCTAGCGAAAACTAAGGCGCGAGAGTCATCGCATCGTTTGCCGCTCGTTCCAGAACAGCGCCGGGAGGATATTGTCGGCGCGTTGAATGTAGCAGGATTCAGCCATGTCTCAATGTCAATAGGAGAGAAAAAAAGAATTGGCTGACAATCCAGTTCAGCGAACAGATAGGAAGCGCCAGGGGTCAGCCACGTTTGGACAAGAATAGATGAGTCTAAAGCAATTGGTTGAGAATCAGCGGAGAAAGCGCCGGAAAGGTTGCGTTCCTTGTACGAGCCGAAACTATGATTTCTAAATTCGGATGTGGGCCTCTATGCCTCAGGCAACAATACATCATCCCAGGGGTGGCAAGGCTGGCATGATCTTATTATTCTTCAACTTCACCTGGCAACGCACTTTTTCTATACATATTGTCATACCTTCAAGGAGCTCGTCGCTACTGCAAGCATGGCTGACGAGCTTGACGAACTCAACCCTTCAGATGTGGTGTTCCTTGAGAAGCTGAAAGAGTCTAAGAATACTGCTATTTTTAAGGTGGCTGTCAATGGGACAATTTGTGTTATGAAAGTGGTAAGAGAACTCAACTAATCAACTAATAATTGAGATATTACTAAATTCTATAAGTATCATAGCAGAAGCCGATCTGATGCTAGTTCTCCAGACCTTGAAGTAGATCTCTTTACATGTGAGTCTACTGCTTACCGGCGGATGAAAGCAAAAGGGCTATGTACGCGAGGAGTTGTTCCCGATTTTTATGGCACAATCACAAACATACAACCAACCCTCTGGCCAAGCTTGCATATGTTTATTGGGGATAAACTACCTCCGAATGCCATTATTATCGAGTATATTGCAAATATGGAGCCAATTGGTCTATCAAATTTCTCAGAACATCGCCTGGCAGAGCTTTATCATATTCTTAAGGATATCCATCAGGTCAGGATTCTTCACGGTGATCCATACCCAAGGAATATGATGATAGCAGAAGGAGAGCAGGATAGAGTGCTTTGGATTGATTTTGATTCTGCCCAGACATTTTCAGAGGGCCCCCTTTCACCGAAACAAGAGAAATGGTTCAAGGAAGAGATTGAGATGATGGACTATTTTGTTAAAGATCTAGTAGGTCTCAACCAACTTGCGTACAGCTCTAACTGACTATTTGCAGACTGAAGATTATAAGGAGGGCAGGATCAATCACACACGCTCTTACTATTACGAGTGGTACGTGTAGAGAGAGGACATATGGGGGCAATGTCATCATTGGGTACGGACGGGAAGACGATCTGATTTTTTTTATGTGGTTTCTGTATCCAGACGCAGAATGTAACAACAATAGTGCCCCTACCATCTTTCGCGAAAGACGAACTGGTCGCTTTCTTAAACCCTAAACCCCAATCTTATCCTTTCCTCCACTAGGTCCTCCCGCGTTGTCCTTCTCCGAGACAGCTTTGGCTTTGGATCATAGTCGTGGAGAACCCATGCGACTGTCGGGGACACTTTAGTACCTCTCTGCTAAGACCTTTAGATCCTTCTGCGCTAGACAAAGGATTTCCTTCATTAAATGATATCTTAACGCGGCGGCTAGGAGGTGGGTGGCCAGGAAGTAGGGTGCCAATCTTACTCGACCTTTGAAGGCAGCATGGATTATCATCATCGTACTATTCTGAGGATATCCTTGAGTGAAAGTGGACGTCCATGGTCCTGGCTCGAACAAACTTGCACCGTGGATAGCCGCTCAAAGGAAAAAGAATAGCGTCACCGTCAGGTGCAACATCAACAATTCCCCGCTCCGACCCAAATTTTACCACCTCGACGGTCGCGACGCACAAAACGATACTATATGCTCGCCATTCCGCATCGACTTTGCCAAGTCAGCTTTTCCAGGGGTTTTACTTCTGTTCGTCGATCCGGGTTTCGCAACGACCAGGTCATCTGGGCCCTGCCAAGAGTCTATATACGTAGGATGGCGACCACGATCAACCCCCCGCGTGATCCTAACACGCTCAGCAATTATAACAATTGGCTCTCGACCCATATCACTGCCAATTTTGATATCCTGTTCGATCAAAAGAAAGTTGCGGGAAACGTTGTGCACCAGCTCAAGTCCAGGACCAATTCCGAGTCCAGAGAGATTATCTTTGACACCAGTTATCTGGAGATCGGCGACGTCAAGGTAGATGGGGAACCGGCAAAATGGGAACTGCTTCCCGCTTTAGGACCATATGGGAATGGTCTGAAGATCGAACTTGCCAAGGGTGTCGAGCTGAACAAGAGCGTCGAAGTTGGCGTGCGTGACTTTACTTCTAGCGAACTACGAGCTATAAACTAATGATATCTAGATTTCGGTCAAGACGACGGAAAAATGTACTGCGCTCCAGTGGTTGACACCGGCACAGACATCAAATGGACGCCATCCTTACATGTGTTAGTAACATGACTCGACCGATCATTTCTTAGGCTTATTGATATTAATCTCTGGACCAGTTTCCCAATGCCAGGCAATCCATGCCCGGTCCATCTTCCCGTGTCAGGATACGCCGGATGTCAAGGCTACGATTGAATTCAACATCACGTCGCCGTATCCCGTAATTGCTAGTGGCTTGCCGGTTGGACAACCTGTTCCTGCCGACAAGCCTGGTCACCAGAAGTACCAATTCAAACAGAACGTGCCGATTCCAAGCTATCTCTTTGCTTTGGCAAGTGGGTGAGTAGTGACCCGCCTTTGTATAGATACTTAGAGATTTGCGATCACTGACTGAAATTGAAGAGATATCGCTGAGGCTCGAATTGGGCCTAGAAGTGTGGTGGCAACCAGTCCGGACAAGTTGGACGAATGCAAATGGGAGCTGGAGGCAGACACGGAGAAATTCATCAATGCTATCGAGGTCGGGCTATGATTTCAGATTGGTACTACTATCACACTGACTAATTCTCCTTTAGAAAATCGTGTACCCATATGCTTGGGGAGAGTACAACGTGCTTGTACTACCGCCAAGCTTCCCGTATGGTGGCATGGAGAACCCGATTTTCACCTTCGCAACGCCCAGCATCATCTCTAAGGTATGTCATCTTAGTAGCCATGCGGCTTTACGACAGCGTGGATCTCCAACCGCTGACCTGGTATGCCTAAGGATCGGGAAAACATTGATGTCATCGCCCACGAACTCGCGCACAGTTGGAGTGGTAACCTGGTTACCAACGCTTCATGGGAACATTTCTGGCTGAACGAGGGATGGACAGTCTACCTTGAACGACGAGTATGTATTCCCATCCCTGTTATTATCACTATTTGGTGTTTTAACCGGCTGACGCGATTGCAGATTTTGGCTGCACTGTGAGCGCACTTTGCCGAGATACTCCATGATTCCGCTTACTGAAGTTCGCAGGCACGGTGAAAAATACCGACACTTTTCGTCCATTATCGGGTGGAAGGCACTGACGGACTCTGTCAATCACTTTGGCTCTGACCACGAATTTACCAAGCTCGTCGTCGATCTCAAGGGCAAGGATCCCGATGATGCATTCTCCAGCATCCCATACGAAAAGGGCTTCAACTTCCTGTTCCACCTCGAGAATCTGGTTGGAAAACCCAAGTTCGACAAGTTCATCCCCCATGTAAGTGCCTCATACGTAGCTGGCAGCGCTGGAATGAAGCTAAAAGCTGTATAGTACTTCACGCTTTTCAAGGAGAAATCTGTGGACTCCTATGAATTCAAAGCCACTATTCTAGAATTCTTTGCCAACGATGCTGAAGCATCCAAACTGCTGAATGATCTTGACTGGGACAGCTGGTTCTACTCACCCGGACTTCCGCCTAAGCCGGACTTCGACACAACCCTCGTCGATGTGGCATATAAACTGGCCGAGAAGTGGAAAGATGAATCCTTTGAGCCAAAAGAATCTGATGTTAAGGATCTCATGGCCAACCAGGTCGTCGTATTCCTTGACCAGATTCTGCAGTTTGAGAAACCCTTGTCGCCTAGCCAGTCCAAACGGATGGGCGAGGCCTACGGTTTCGCGAAGAGCGAGAACATCGAGGTCACGAACCTGTACTTCCAGGTGGGTCTCAAGGCAGGAGATGAGAGCGTCGTCGAACCGACAAGATCGCTCCTGGGAAGAATCGGACGAATGAAGTTTGTGCGACCACTGTACGTTACCCCACGTGAACCGATATTGATCTGCATGTTGTACACATGTGTTCCTGGAAATCTTTCAAGCTGACCAAATTTCAAGGTACCGAAACCTGGCGAAATTCAATCGTGACATTGCCATCCAGACTTTCGAGGGACTCAAGGATTTCTACCACCCTATCTGTCGCGGAATGGTGGAGAAAGACCTCTTCGGGCAAAAAGGTAACTAGAATGACTAGAATCATTAGAGGTTGTAGAAAGTAGAAATTGAAGAAATCCAAGCATATAATATGCCCCAGAACTTTTTTTTTTTTTTTGACGCGGACTGGCATCCTCTGTCATCATTGATCTCGACCATTCGTTTCTAAACTACACTCGCAAATAATACAATATCAATAGTACTACATCATAGGTGAGAATAACACACAACAGTATCCGGCATATGTTATCGGCCAAGAACACAACCAGATACCGATTCTTCGAAGGAAAATTAGAGATGTTTTACATTTTCTCCCGACAAGCAAAAATCCCATCCTTAGTTCGCCTTTGTGGCAGCAGGCGATCTTTTCCCTTCCACCAGCATCTTATCAAGTTCACTGTAGCCGAAAATTGGAGGCTTCCCGGCATGCTCCCGTCCCAGCACCAATACAAGATCAGCCTCGTCCACCTGAGCCAATTCGGTGAGGACGCGTCTCATATACGCAACTACACGAGCGACTTTCGCCCAGTCAATATCTTGCCCATTAGCATCAGTATGGCTTGCCTTCCACAGATTTCTCCACACCGCAGCACCCAGGACGGCATCGCCCTTGGCGAGGCCCTCATCGTACGCAGCGAGAATACCACGCCACTGGATGAATAGATCCTTGAGATACTTGTTGCGGATACCGCGGCTATATATGCCGTGTAGAACGTCCATGCGCTGCTCTGCGTTGTGCGAGAAATGATCAATGAGATGGCGCGAATAGGTGTTCAGACTCTGAGGAGAGGGTAATGCTCGTAGTCGCACGGTGAGGAGGTACATGTGAAGAAAGGTGACTTGTGACCAGGACGAAAATGTCGGGAGGAGACCGAGATCTATTTGAAATATCGTTCATACGAGTCAGATCGGCTTGGCTTGGTTGAAAAGAAGTAAGATAGCTAGCATTGCATAGCGGTGCATCGCATAGCCAAGGGGGAAGCTCTTCAAGCACTCACCTGTATACCACCATCCGTCCCCAACACCAAGATCTTCACCCTGTGCTGTCTTCGGAACCTCTACTCCCTTCTGCGATACTTGAGGGATCTTATAATCCGCCTGCGCGGAGCAGACTTCGAAAAGTTTCTGTGTCAAGCCGTACGCGACGTACGTTTCGACCGTCGTGCCGGCACGCGGCAGGAGACTCTTTGCTAATCCATGCTGTGGAGGACTTTGGTGAAATGTTCGCCTAGGGGTATGTGATGGCTGGCGAAAGTTGTTCTGATTCCGGTTCGGACTCCGGATGAATGGCAGAGCAGAAGATTCGATTTCGGAGTCTCTTGCGGAACGACCGGTTAATGAGATCGATTGAGAGCTGTACGAAGCTCGCGAGGCTGCATGCGTAGTTCGCGCATCTAGATACTATGGGAATCGGTCAGGTCAAGGTACTTAATTCTTCGATTTCGCTGAAGAGGATGTAACATGGTTAGCTGTACCTGGATGGTCTTCTGCGAATGCTCTCTCAGTCCTCGTAGACCGGAGGAATAGGGGGCTCTGCAGATCATCTCGGAAATGCTCGATGATCACGCAGATATTCGAATTCTGTCTTTCCCAAAGTTATGAGCAATTGGATGCGTCGTCGAGTCTACTTCATATGCGGCCTACGAACAATTATTACATGAACTAGGCTGTTCTTGATATTTGTGTTTGCATTGTTTGAAAGAACTTTAACACCGTTTCGCAGCCCGCGAATGACGGAGACCCGATTGTCCGCGGCATTAGTATCGACTAATACTAGGAACGCTGACGCTCGCTCTATCTGTTAGGTGATGTTGCCTTCGCCTCAGTCTCATGCTAGAGGATCTGCATCTTGGGATTCTGCGTCCTCGTCAGCTTCTGAAAGCGCCGTATCAACTGAGACGGCTGCCATAAGTCGACTGGCTTCTCCCTTCTTGAGCTTGGCTAATTGCGACTACATGTTACGTCGCAAGCTAATCCTGCCAAATCAGTCAAGAATAGATGTGAGATGTTGTTTGGCAGAGGAAACCACCAATGCGATGTTGTTTCAGATGGCTGTTTGGCCATAATCCCATCAAGCCCCGAGTGCGACCTTTTCTAGGCTCGCATCGACGAGCGGGATTATCTGAGAAAGCCTGTTCGGGTCTCGCATAACAGCAGGGACGTCCTCCCTTATACTTGCTAGAGACTTGAAGTTGTCAGCGCCAATTTACAATCATTTTATGGCTAGACCACTTATACACACCTTTCTAACCTTCTCATATTCACATTCTCTAAACTGGTGTTCCCTGGTGACCTCTTTTGTGTCGAAGTCAACATACACTCTTGTATCTCGTATCCTGAAGATCACGTTGTCGAGTCTCATGAAGAACCTTGCGAGCAATAAAAGCCTTGCAGGCATCACCCGAATCTTGCAGGAAAACATGGCAATGCCATTGTCCGCAAGTTCATCTTCGTATAGGACCACGTCGTCGAAGAACAGAATAGGGTCTGGGCGCTTCAGTAGCTCGATAGGAATTGGGTCTTGAGACTTCGTGAACGGCGGAGCCGTAGGACGCAGGGTACCCTGGTAATCTGTGCTGTAGGACCAGTCAAACGGTTTCACGATTTCCTTTATTCCCTCATGGGTAGTCTCTCTGGTAGTTGTCAGCCGAGAGTCAAGCAGCAGAAGCACGTTCACCTGGAACAAACTTACCTGCTTTTTTGCCACTCGTGTGAATATGCGACTTTCAACATTTTTTGACCTGTCTTATCGACACGGTCTAAAGCATCAAATGCGTTGAACTCAATCCCCCAGCCGCTAGGTTCATGTTCAATGGCAACAAAGTTATCACCAAAGATCATCTCAGGTACCGTAATCCCGAGCTTTTGGGTCATCTCCTCTATCGGCCCAGCTTTCAAAATGGGTGACTTCTGAGTCGTAATCTTGAATCCTTTAATGGAGAATGTGTTTGGTGATTGCGTGCCAGCAGAGAGAGCTGGAGCACCCGTGGGGTTACTCCCCCCAGGACGCACTGTTCTAGTTCCTCCTGTTGACATACTAGCAGTTAACTACAGCTAGCTATGAAGAATGATGTTGTAGCGACGGAAGATGTATGGTACGTATGCGCGTATACCTCCGTAGGAGAGAGGAGCCGGTTGTGTTGGATCTCAACTGACGGTATCTGGTTCAGCTAAAGAAATAATTTCAGCGAGAATGATAAAGCGCCTGTGAGAGATACCCAGGTCTGACAGGAACAGACTCCCCATTAAATGGTCTAGTCATTATAGAAGATCCGATGCGGCGACTATTCCTCCATCGCGGGGCATCTCTACGGGCCGAGACGCGGAGCAGTGGCTTCGGTGGTTCGGAACAACAGACAATCCGACATGTTGCCCTGGAAACGGAGAGCTCCTGGACACAGATAAACATGTCTGCTCTCTTCTCTAAAGCTATCGACTACTCTCTACAATCCAGCAAACTGAATTACCTCCTCCAGCCTCTTGGACGATGACCCAGATCTGAATAGAATATCTGCTTTCGATATATTCTGTGTTGATCGCTCCCATCACATCCTATTCCCACTGCTATCATGGCGACGAAGACTTTGGAGGCTCGCTTAGAGCATTTGTCCATCAATGATGAGAACGCCTCAACGAAGAACGCCAATACATACGGCAAGCAGAAGGCAAGTGCATCTTTATATTGCACTCGAAGGCGCCATGGCTAATTCTGTACTTAGGGATCGGTTTCAACGGCCGTTTCTATCTCAGGACTTGGGTCATCAGGGCAGCAGAGCTCTAGATCCAATCTGTTGAAGCTTGCATTGCAGAATACCAATGAAGCAAGAACTAATGCGAGAGATCCCGCTTCTCCCCGCAAGTCCAATGCGGAGGAGGATAGCCAGAACCCGTCAGCTCCTCTTTACCAGCAGCCGGCTGAGCCGAAAAAGCTGCACCTCGGCATGTTTGAGATTGGAAAGCCTCTCGGAAAGGGCAAATTTGGAAGAGTATATCTGGCCAAGGAGCGATCATCTGGATTTATCTGTGCGCTCAAGGTGCTCCACAAATCCGAGTTACAGCAAGGAGGAGTCCAGAAACAAGTCAGACGAGAGATTGAGATCCAGAGTAATCTACGGCACCCCAACGTCCTACGTCTCTTTGGTCATTTCCATGACAGCAAGCGCATATTCCTGATCCTCGAATTCGCCGGGAAAGGAGAGCTCTACAAACATCTGCGGAAGGAGAGTCGCTTTCCGGAGTGGAAAGCCGCTCAATACATTGCGCAGATGACGGCGGCTCTTAAGTACTTGCACAAGAAGCATGTCATGCACCGTGACATCAAGCCAGAGAATATCCTCGTTGGAATCCATGGAGAGATCAAGATCAGCGATTTCGGATGGAGTGTCCATGCACCGAACAACAGGAGGCAAACTATGTGTGGAACGCTCGACTACCTTCCTCCAGAGATGCTGCATTCTGGCTCTCAGCCTAACTACTACAGCGAAAAGGTGGACCTGTGGAGTTTGGGTGTGCTCACATACGAGTTCTTGGTCGGCGAGGCGCCCTTTGAAGACACTCCCGTTATGACCCAGAGAAGGATAAGGAGAGGTGAAATGACTATTCCATCCTTCGTGAGTCCTGAGGCTAGGGACCTAATAGAGAGGGTATGTACAGTCTACTATTTGTTATTTATATTCCTTTTCTGACTTGGTCTAGCTGCTGGTGCTCGATCCGGAAAAGAGGATTCCGCTGGACGAAATCCAACGACACCCGTGGATTTTGAAACATTGCATGAAGAGCGACAAGACCACAGAGAAAGCATCTAAAGATGGCAGAGTATAGACAGGTCAGAATCGCTCTGATCTTCTTGATTAATATATTTGCATGGAGTTTGGGTTCGGATCAGGATCACGGATGGCTGAGCGTTCATGGTGTTTGACATCTATGGCAGGAGTTTTTCTTTGCATTATTGGTGATAATCTACTATACAGACGGTTCGTACAAATAATGACGACCATTTGATCCCTAACTCCGCCAGCCACAAAGAACCCTATGTAACAATATCATAAACAACCCAGTCGAATTGGACGTCAAATATCACCGGTAGATTTCATCAAAAGGTCGCGTGTCTCTGAAGCAGCTGTCCCACACCTCATTCACTACCTGCTCGGCATGTGCCTCATCTCTGCAGGCAGGCCGAGCCCTGACAGAAAGGATAGCCCTCCGTCTTACGCATTCTTGATGTTGTTGCGTCAATTTCCACTGACCCCTTCGAAAGAATTCCCGAGCCCACCTGCACTCTCCACTGAGTGAGCTTGCTCGTATCTGCGTGAGTTGTTAGAATATATGACCATTGGCGGTAAGTAATTCTGTGCGAATACCTCTGTGCACGCTGCGTGCCTGAGATTGTCTGTCCAATTCAGCTTGAACCTCAAATGATCATATGCGTGGACCATCTCGTGTGCCATCGTATCCTCCAGATGACCTTGATCTCTCATTTCATTCGCGCAAATCTGGATACCATAATCAGGATCAAATCCACCTGCTTTCCGAGTCGTACAACGGCGACAGTAGATGTTGTGGCTCGAGATATCACCTCCGAGCTGGCGGATGTTGTCGCTAAGGAATCGAATGATCGGGCCTATCTCTCCTGTTAGTTCATGTGTTTGGAGCACTCCTCGTATTGTTGCAGGTAAACCACTCACTGTACTGTAGGAGGTAATCCCGCTGGTCCTCACACCGCTTACAATCGGCAGCCTCATTGCGTATATCCCGTGCTATACGGAACTGCTCTTTGCCTTCGTCGGTCATCTTTCCGGCCAAGATGGAAAAGATGTTTCGCCATTGCGTCCAGGCATCATCACCCGGGATATACCCTGTATCATTTTTCGTCTTGTCAGGAGAATCCATGGCTTCAGATGGATTCTTCCCCGATTTGTTGTTTTGTCCAACTTAAAAGAATAAAGCTGAGCTCGCGCCAACTAAGTGATCACTCGAACGCCGAAAGTTCCTCGTCGCACTTTAGGCGGTAAAGTATGGCAGAATATAAAATGTGTCTTTTGCTCCCCGCAGCTCCGAACCGGAGGAAGTAACAAGATCTCCGAACGGTCCCTTCGCTTCAGAATTCATGCGATGGACTAGTGATTCAATTAAAAGTTGAACCCTTTTTTTCTTTACGAATTGTCTTATATACTGCGCCGTGGGGATGGATGAAAATGCCACAAGAGACTCGGGAAGTCTCACAATCGTTATAAAATTGGGTGCGGAGTATTTGTCCCATCTGCAGTCTTTCTATGAGTCAGAGATCTAACATTTTGTATCATTGCAGGCACAAGCTCTATCGTCGACGAGAATAGCCATGAACCAATCCTTTCTATATTGACATTGATTGTCGAAACGGCCGTCAAATTACGTAGGGATGGACATAGGGTCATTCTGGTTTCATCGGGCGCCGTTGGCGTAGGATTGCGGCGGATGGATGTAGAGAAAAGACCGAAGCATCTTCCTCGAATACAGGTAAGGGCGCAATGAAATATCGGGCAGCCATATTAATCGTCAAATTCGTTCTCCGGCTAAATCGATTTCGTAGGCATTGGCGGCTGTTGGTCAATGTAGACTCATGAGCCTGTGGGATAGTCTATTTGCACATCTTAGACAGCCCGTGGCGCAAATTCTCTTAACACGAAATGACATTGCAGACGTGAGTGCCTTCTAGCTCTTAGAATGGACAGTTGCGCTTTGCGGTGACTAACAATGGGAACAGACAACTCAATATCTCAATGCCCAAAATACATTTTCGGAACTCTTGAACATGGGAGTAATCCCTATCGTGAACGAGAACGATACTTTGGCAGTTGCAGTACGGAGCGCCCCATATATATCGATGCAGTCGAGATGAATGCTAAAACTGCAGCTAGGAAATCAAATTCGGAGATAATGATACCCTCTCGGCAATTACTGCAGCCATGGTGAAAGCAGATTATCTTTTCCTCATGACAGACGTTGACTGTTTGTACACGGCAAACCCACGGACTAGTCCAGATGCAAAACCCATTGAAGTCGTCTCTGATATATCTGCTCTGCAAGCCGACGTCTCAACAGCCGGCTCTGCTCTGGGAACCGGTGGCATGAGTACGAAGATTGTCGCTGCCAAATTGGCAACCAGTGCTGGCGTGACAACGGTCATTACTCGAAGTTCAAAACCCGGCAATGTCCACGAAATTGTTAGATACCTTCAGCGACTCAAAGATACACTGATAAGCTCGCCCCAGCTTGACAGAGGTTCGGACGCCAAGCTTGAAGATGTGTCCGACATACCAAGAGCACCTCTTCACACTCGTTTCCTGCCCTCCGCCACACCAGTCCAGTCTCGTTCATTCTGGCTACTTCATGGCCTTAAGCCCCACGGAACAGTCTACATAGACCAAGGCGCATACAATGCGTTGCAAAACAAAGCAGGTCTTCTCCCGGCTGGTGTGGTAGGAGTCGAGGGTCACTTTGCTCAACAGGAAGCAGTCAAGCTAGCAGTTGTTGAGAAGCGCGCTTCATCTGCACTGGACGGTGATTTCATGCACCACGGAGAGGAGCCAAAAGAGGTGGGGAGAGCGCTGGTCAATTATGGAAGTGCGGAGATCCTTCGGATCAAGGGGGTGCGAAGCACGCAGATCCAGTCTATCTTGGGTTACGCCGATAGCGAATATGTTGCTCTTCGAGAAAACATATCCTTTTTCGAGGCACCAAGTCGTTCTGCCACCCCGTCATCATTCGAGAGACTAGCACACCGATAATCGATACCCGTGACGAGAGGCCAAGCATGGACGCTGCGCCAGATTTTTTGGAAGATCATCCGCCCTCCACGTAAGGACTGGCATGTACGACTCAGCAGGCCTGAGATTGAACATACCACCATTACGTAGTATAGTGTCGTGCAAGCATCTTAAGGAGGTCGGTATATGACTGCTCTCTAAGATGACATATAACGTAAATAAAAGTGGTAATGGAATTCGCTATCATATAGGCTATCTCTCCAAACAAGAAAACTGTCAATAAATTAGACCCGGCTGAGTGAATATCGTATGATCGTCAATGGCAGCAGAATTACTTCAAAAAATTAGGATATTGTCTCATGTGTCCATATAACGCCGTCAAGTAAAAGTCGTCCGGTAGATGCATGGTAAATGACCTCAAGGGGAGAACAGACTGTGCTGAAGGTCAGTTCTTTTTATTAATAAGTCCAAAAATAACGGAGTCCGCTTCAGAGACATCTATTCGTCTTGCCATCTCCTCAGGAAGCGCTTCAGGTCACTGTCGGGTTGCGGAGCAGGCGAAGCCTAGAAAAGGAGTATTGGTCAGCAGGTGCGTTGTAAGTCTTCGATGGGTAAGTCATGGGTTTCATACAGTGTTCTCAATGCTAGAAGTGGAGAAAGTAGCAGTGGCTGTCAAAGTCACTTCAACCGTGGGCTCTGGCAAGAAAGTGGTGGCCACGACGTAGGCACTGGTAGGAAATTGGCGCTTGGCGCTCTTCGCAGTTATCGTCGTACCAGGCTGCTTCGCTGCTGGCGCATATCTGGTTAAGCCGGTCAATTGATCCTGGTACGGTACTGTGTACTCGCCCTTCTCTTGTCTCTTCCGCAATTCTTCGCGCTCCAGTGTCGACTGTTCCTCATCAACCTTGGAGCCGGGGCCGCCCAGATCATCAGAGACAGAAGCAAGCCCATCACGCACGTTGGACGGAAAAGTGCCCGTCATTTGAGTGAGAGTGAAACGCTTGGAGTAATTGACGACTTCCGCATCGGGGCCCTTGGAGACCATCTTGAGGAAACTGGACATTGTAAGTGACATGTTGGGAAGAGACGGATAAAGGGGCGTACTATGCGTTCTCGTCACCGTCTCCAACCTCTGGATCAATCTTGAACGAAACCGAATTCCCTCGTGCAAATGTACCTTCCTCGATGAGATGAGACAGTTCCTCCTGCAACGCGAGTTACATCAGTACTGATAACTTGACAGAGGGCTGCAAAGGGGGGAAGATTAGCTCACATAAGAATCCGCCGTATCTCCGCCAGCACAGAGATATAAATCATATCGTGTGAGCTGTGACAGCTTCGGTTCCTTTCCAGAATCCCTCCATCGAACGGTTATTGTGTCTCCTCCTTTGGCAGTCGCTCCGGCGTCTGGTTCGAGGAATTCGACATCGGCCAACGCGGCAGAAGCGAGTGCCACGAGCAAGGACAAAGTGCGGATTAACTTCATGTTGGAAAAACGGTGGAAGACACCGAGCAGTTGCAGGGGGGGAGCACGAGAGGACCAGAACACCAGGCCAGAGGAGAAGAAGAGGGGAAAAGAGCAAGGAATCAACGGTTGAACGATAGCATGAGTTGTTAGTATGAAACACATGCACCACTCCAAATGGCCGCTAAACTGCTTTGGCACTTGCTCGCATCGTCCCGCTCGGATAAGGTAAGACCGTAGTTAGTCTACTCGTGCTCTACTCTTTGTTGTAATCTTTTCTCTCGGATTCGCTTCTCCTTTCTCAATTGTCTTTCTTCGTTTGTGTATACCTTTCTTCTTCTGATTTCATTTAGATTGCCGTGGGACACCGGTTAGCTTGGGTCGACCTGCATACGCTGCAGATAGATGATCCTACCTTGAGGATGACCACAGACGCCGACTGGACCTCATTGAGAGGCATTGCAACCAATTTGCTAGATGGCAGTCCGATAGCTATTTTAATAACAGCTGTCATCGCCTTTGGCTTTCCGATTCTGTTACACTATCTACTTTATCGAGGCGCAGCTTCTCCGCCGTCGACGTCTTTCCTGCTACTTGGCCCAAGTGGCTCTGGCAAGACAGCTCTTTTTTCATTAGTGCGTTTCCCTATAACTTCCTATCGGTGTCTCTCGGATAGGAATAAAAGAAGAACGGCCTGTTGCTAACAACGGAACAGCTTGAAGGAAAGTCTCAGCGCCTAGGACAGCCTGTACGATCCACCCATACTTCTCAAACCTCCACCTTCACGACTGTTACTCTTCCACCCACCGTTCCGACTGCTTCCAACCGCTATCGCTCCGTCAATGATCCCTCACTGTCCGATATTTCGAGAAACCCGATCAAATACCAGTTAAGAGACACTCCTGGACATGGCAAGCTCCGACAGACCGAAGGCATTGGTCGACTCGTGTCGATGACCAACGCCAAGAATCCGAAATCGAAAGCTCGAGGTGTCATCTTCGTTGTCGATTCTGCTGCTCTTTCGGATAACGAAACGTTGAGAGAGACGGCCGCCTACTTACACGACGTTCTTCTATATCTCCAGAAGCGGGCCCTGAACAAGGGCAAGTCTTCTTCTAAGGTTGCGACCGAGGTCCCGGTTCTTGTGGCGGCGAACAAGCAGGATCTGTTCACTGCTCTGCCTCCGAGCTCTGTGCGTAATAAGCTGGAAGCTGAGATCGAGAACATCAGAAAATCAAGAAGCAAGGGCCTCATGGATGCAAGCGCGGATTCGTCGACCGGTGAAGCGGATGACGAAATTCTCGGCGGTGATGATGGACAGGGAGTATTCAGTTTCCAGCTACTACAAGAAGAAGTCGGTTTGAAGGTAGAAGTTGTGGGTGGTGCAGTTCAGAATAGCAGCGAGACAGACGCAGAGTCTGGGGTGCGGAAATGGGAAGAATGGGTGGGAATGTGCCTGTAGTTCTGTTGATGAACGGGGTTCTACTGCTCTCTACGTCTGATGCACAATGATACCCTCTAATGTCGATGATCAGGCATTCGAATTATGGAATAGATATTACACTTAGGTATGTTTATGCGTTCGCGCCCAGCGTCTATCCTTATCGAGACAGTAGCGGAACGCTGAAAAGCAAGAGTTATTACACCTCCCCTCTGAAAAAAAGTATTTTTGTGTGTTTTTCTTTTTCTTTTTTTCTTTTCTTAGCTTGAGTAATCTCCTGATCCTTGCAATTCTCCCTTACAGCCAGTTAGGATATTAGCAAAGGTAAGCTGCCGCCTTCGACTCAAAAAAGGAGCTTCTGCCATTCGTCAAATCCCGCTGTAGGTCACGTCTCGAGCAGAGCATAGTACGTTTCAGGTTACGCTCCACTTGCGACGGTGCATTGTATATATTGGAGTCAATATAGGGAATTTCCATGCTCGGCCACTGCGCTCCTTGTGGCCTGAGGGAATATGATCTACCTCCTGCTCCGGATCAATTGAACAGTTAATACCGGTGGTGTGACATCCTTCTGGATACTGGACTAAGGAGAAACACTATAATAGTCTACTAATATGAGAATTAATTCAAGCAAGATTGTAGGATGCGAACAGAATCAAAATGCAATTATACTGGCTCTCTTTTTTTTCCCCACGCCAAGTGTTGAGACGGTAATCCTATGCCGGTCTAACATCACGCACATTCTATCAAGACGCCCACCGTTCTGTTCGAGTTGAATTCCCAGAACACATCAATCATGACTGATTACACAAATAATTGAGACTGTAAACGAAAAAGAATAAGAGTCAGAAACAAGAATCTTATTTAAGACCGATGCAACATCCAGGTGAGCAGGTCGACTTTGGTCGCTACGGCCACTGGCTTGACTGTCCCGTTCTCATCCTTTTCGGTGACCACGGCAGCGCTGTTCCATTCAAAGAATCGGTTCAGGACACTGAGAGGAGTGTCGAGAGTGATTTCAACGAACTTGCGGCGCTTGCCCTTGGGCTTGGAAGACTGCTTCGCGTCGATGTCACTAATATCTCTCGGATCCGTGACCACTTCGGTAAGCTTCGCGAAATCAAACATGACCTCTGAGACTGGGCTCTTTGGACTAGCTCGTCCATGTGTCAACCAGCTTAGGATATTGCCCAAGGTGACGAGACCCACGAGCTTCCTGCTGGAAGGTGCCAGCACTGGAAGCTGGTCGAAGCCCTTCTCACGCATTGTCTCGATGGCAGCCTCACATGACGAGTCGGCCGTGACTGTTGTCACTGGTTTCAGTCTGAGAGATCTAACCGTAGCTCCAGCCAAAGGATCCTTCTGCTGAGCCTGCGATTCAGGGACACCTTCTGCAGGTTCCACGGGCGGAGAGGGAAGAAGGCCATTTGCGGCAAGCCAGTCGTCATCCGCAAACTGAGCTTCGTTAGTAAAGTCAAACAGAGAGATGGAAAGACAAAACTGCAGAATGAGGGAGGGTGACTGGCTCAGTACCTTAGTGAGATAACTACGGATACTGTCTGGTAGAATGACAACCACAACATCGTCCTTTCCGAACTGGTTGTCCTCCGCGGCCTTTGCAAGTGCCGCCAGGGCACTTCCACTGCTGCCACCCACAAGCAGACCCTCTTCGGCGATCAAACGTCTGGCCAATTGGAAAGATTCCTTGTCGCCTGTCTTGTACCATTTGTCCACTATGTCCTGGTCCAACACTTTAGGTATGAAGTCGTATCCGATACCCTCGACTTTGTAGGGTTCGTTGGCATGCTCTTCATTCAGCGAGGCTGGGCACGCCAGAATTGATCCGAAGGGGTCCGCGGCGATAACCTTGACGTTGGGGTTATGCTTTCTCAACCCTTTCGCCAGACCGGTGATGGTGCCTCCGGTTCCAGCGCCTGCCACGATCGCTGTGATCTTTCCCTTCGTCTGTGTCCATATCTCCTCAGCGGTTCCAAGTTCATGTGCCAGAGGGTTGTTCTCATTGTTGTATTGATCCAAAATGTGCGCATTGGGCAGTTCTTTCTCGAGGCGTTTTGCGACACCGATGTGGGATTCAGGCGAGTCGTATGCCGCTTGTGTGGGAGTACGGATGATGGTGGCACCGAGCGCACGCAAGACGGATACCTTCTCTGCAGACATCTTCTCGGGAAGCGTGATTATTGTCTTGTAGCCTTGGGAAATTATCAGTATCTTCGCAATCAAGGGCTTTGAGCATGATTACCAACCTTTCACTGCCGCAACCAAGGCCAATCCGATACCCCTAGTTAAAGGATTAGAATGCATCCTCATTGAAGGGTCCCCAAAACAGAAAAGAGGATGTTCATAACACACGTGTTACCACTGGTGGGTTCAATCAAGGTATCCCCAGGCTTTATCCTTCCTGTCCGTTCCGCCTCCTCGATCATACGCAATGCGATCCTGTCCTTGACACTGCCGCCTGCATTGAAGAACTCCAGCTTTGCATACACGGTCGCTTCAATTCCCAGACTCTTTGGGACTTTGTTCAGCCGGACCAAAGGCGTATTGCCTATCTGCTGGATGGCCGAATCTATCACCACCGGTGGGTTGGCGGGGCTAGTGATTGATGACATCCTGATCAGAACTCCCTAATCGGAGGCGAGAGGGAAACCAGGCGACAGGAAGAAAATTGTAAATAGAAACAACGGGTCCAGCGCTAGAGGTAGGCGATAGGAAAGAAATGTCAGGCAAAATGAATCAAAAGAAGCCCTTTTCATGGCGTGATCGAGTGATGCAAAGGCATGGCGCGGTAAAATAATACTTAATAATTAATACTCCGATGGTAGCCGCTTCCGGACCATTCTAGGGCGGCAGATCCAGTAAGTAAGCTTATGCTAACCAAGTCCGTATGAAACCACACAAATATACTTCTGAATACGTTAGTTATTATTATTTTGATCAGTATTGCTCGTCAAGAACTATTGCAAATGGAATATATACATTCGCTTTGCTGCTTTTGTAAACAATGACGCAACTCTGCGCCTAAGTCGAACCGGTATGCCGAATTATATAACAGAAAGCTTTTTTCCTAACTATCATTATTGTTTGGCTATTGTTTATTTACGGCCATCAGAGCACGAACATATTCTGGCTAATCCAAGTTTCATCATTGCAAGCAGGAACACCCTCTCACAGCTATTGTTGTTGCAAAGCCACCAGACCGTATCACACGACTATGCATCCTTATGTTTACTGCTCAGCTGAGCCATGATGTGACCGCTCATCTCTTATAGCTGCGCTGAGCAGAAAATGTCAAACTACCCCTGACTCCATTGGCTTCTTGGCTCGTGTATTATTTGTGCTTCACCCGAGATTAATTACTTGAAACGATTCCAGGTGTCCTGTGCTTGCTTGTGGCTGTGTCGTTCGGCCCAGTAAGTGTTATTAGTTTGTCCTCCCAGATCCACCGTCCAGATACACTATCTAGCCTTGGACTCTTGGTATGCTTGGCCCCCAAGCCGATATTATTTCAACAACTAGACCATCGACTGCTTGAAGAGCCTTCCAGCATAGCTTTTGCCTCGGGTTCGGGATGGCTGTAGGCGGCTAAGATCGAATCGTGATTTCAGCGTATACTCTATTTGATCGTCAACCAAACTGGGAATCCATTTTATTAGCAGAGGTGCTCGAGTGGGAATAACTTCATCACGAGCACGGTCCCTTGCCAAGTCATCGCCTCTCCACGCCAGCGGTCTGGTTATTTTGGACTGTGTATCCAGTTTTCTACTGCTAATTACTCTTTTCTTGTTTCCTTGCGAAGCTTTCCTCCTCTGACTGCCCACCCATACTGATTTTTACGGTCTTTGTTTATATCTTTCCTGTTGGGTCCAAGTTCCCCGGTCGATCCTGGCGACGCTGACTGTATACTGGTCCTCAGACAGCGACTGCGCGATTGCGATCGAAGCATCTGCAATCTGAACTGTCTGCAGTTGTCGCCATTGGTCGAAATGGCACTTGTGAATCGCTCGTCCTCTCGGCAGTCTGCCATCGAGGCCGGCGAACCAGAGCTCGCAGTTTCTGGTCGCCAGGATGAGTCTCTTCCGACACACAAGGAAAAGAATCAGAAGGAGAAGCTACCCCCAATATTCCACGTAGACCCAGCTGGTGAAAGTGGGCGATCTGGAATTGACCCCAAATTTTTCCTCAAGATCTGTGTCAGGAGTACATGCACCTTATCCATGGTAGTCAATATACTATGGCCATTTGTACCCCCTGCAATTGTGATTCACTTCGCAAGGCCGGATCTCCATGTTTGGATCTTTGCCCTCAATTATATCGCTATGGTCCCAACGGCCAACCTGCTCGGTTTCGCTGGAGGAGAATTATCCAAGAAGCTGCCGAGAGTGCCCGGGATCCTGTTGGAGACGACCCTGAGCGCCGTCGTGGAAATCGTCCTTATGATGACACTCATCAGTAACAGTGATGCAAAGAACAACCTAGTGCCTGTTATTCAGGCCGCGATATTGGGCTCAATCCTTGCTAACCTGTTGTTCTGTCTGGGACTATGCTTCTTCGCCGGTGGTATGCGACGAGATGAACAAGTCTTCCACGCAGCAGTGAGCGAAGTTGGTTCGGGGTTACTATTGGTTGCTGGTTTTGGATTGTTGATTCCCAGTGCATTCTACTCTGCCCTCTCTGGAAGCGCAAACAGAAGTACCTTCACGCCAGAGGACTTGATTGCGAGCACTCGCACTATCAGCAGGGCGACTTCTGTCATTCTACTGGTAGCTTTCCTGACGTGAGTATAAGCGGTCTCGACCAAAAGCATCCATGATATACGTACTAATCGGGAATCAGATATCTCTGGTTTAACCTCCGAAAAAATCACAGCATTTTCGATGAAGTCCTCGAGCTCGATGAGTCCGCTGACAAGGATCGAACCAAGGAGCTGATAAGGTGTAAACTCACATTGACGGAGGCCCTTTTAGCAGTTGCAATCGCTATCACCTGCGTCTGTATGCACGCCGTGTTCCTGGTCCTCGAGATCCGCCATATTGTTGAGCTAGGCGTGCCGGATAACTTCATGGGATTAATATTAGTTCCTTTGGTAGAAAAGGCTGCGGAGCATCTTACAGCCATTGACGAAGCCTGGTAAGAACTACCACTGCCTCTTTTCTTCGCCTACTCCTAATAACTTCGAATAGGGATAACCAAATAAACTTTGCACTGTTCCACTGCCTAGGGCCATCGATCCAAACTGCCCTCTTTAACGCGCCCTTGGTTGTCATAGTCGGGTGGGGTCTCGGCAAGGATATGGACCTGAACTTTGAAATATTCATGATCGTCCTACTCGTCCTCGCAATTCTCGTGGTTGGGAACTTCCTTCGGGACGGGAAATCCAACTATCTCGAAGGGGCGCTTTGCGTCCTGGTATATATCATTATCGCAGTTACTACATGGTACTATCCCAACCCGGAAGAGGGGACCACCAACACCCAGGTCCCTATTAGCGAGGTTCAACGTCGAGTTGTCGGATATTAATCTTTCTTGTGGGCATCTTGAAAGTGTGCGTGTCATATAGCCAGCACTGTTAATTTCGGTCACGAATACCACTTCGAAATACAAGTCTTCTAGTCACCGCATTCAGAATACTTAAACGACAGGATTCATATCATTGTTCTGCAAGTAAAGTACTAAATTATATATCACGTTTGAGCTAGTTTCTTGACCACCTCAACTATTTCCGGTACGGAGCTGAGCCCGACCATCACCGCTCCAAAGAGACCCATCACCAAGCTCGACAAAGCTGCTGCACGAGGGTCCATCGTCAGCAGAGATGCCGTTGCTATTGCAGAGCTATTAGCCCCCAGTGTCACTCCTCGAGTCACGTAGTCATCGTCTCGTACACCAAGCCATTTCAGTAGAGGCTGACCAACAAGGATTCCGAGGATTCCGCTCATGATGCACAAGACTGCCACCAGTGAGCTATCGCCGCCGAAGTTCGTGCTTGTGGGAGTTGCAAGAGCTAGAGTCAAGGACCGTGCTGTGAAAGCCAGTGAATGGGAGGGCGAGAGCGAGATTGCTGCACAGACGGCTGGATAAGCGAACATAGACAAGGCAATTAGTGGAATGAGAGGTAAAACGATGATTAACAGCTGATGTATGTTAGTCTAAGGTTTTCCTATAAGGTCTTCCCTATCCGTCTAGATATGCACTCACATGGCGTTTTAGTTCTTTTCGATATTGGAACATAGGTAGTGCTAGCGCCACAATGCTCACATCCAGTAAAGTACTGAACATATCACCAGCACCGGGATATGGCAAGTTTTTATAACCATGCCATAGTTCTATGTAACGAGTCCCGGTCTTGAATGCGTGCAGGCCATCATCCAGGGACTCCCTCCTCGTCAGAGCCAGGATCCAGATGGCTAAGATGCTGACCGCAGAAGAGACTAAAACAGGATGAAGGAACCTCTTCCAGTGAGCGGGAAGAGATAGAGCAGCGAAGAAGGCGACCACAGTAAGGCATAGTTGCGCGGGCATGGCATACCCAGTAGCATAGTACACGGGTAGTCCGATAAAGACAAAAAGCAATGTATATATCATAATATCAAGGTTAGCCGTCAGGTAAGGAGCCCACTGCTGAGGACGGGTCAATGGATGCGGCTCCTGTGCGATTGGAGGAGTAACACTTGCTTCAACCACGTTCTGAGTCGGAGGACCCAGGGTGCCGCGGACCAGGAATGGATCCTGAGCTGGACGAGGCTTCTCGATGCTATCCATCACAGAGTCGAACTTGGAATCAGTAATTTCAGGATCCACCGAGGTAGAATGTAAAGTAATCTCGGAAGTGCTGCTCCGCGTCTCACGGGTCTTTTCCAATGGAATAGGCTGATCTTCGTCTTCAGTTATGGCCCGTTTGGATGTGCCAAGAAGCATCTGCAGCAATCTCACGCAGAAGGTCGTGAAGACGAAGACAGCAAAATATCCGATTACTATTTGTATGTGAGTTTGAATGACTTTATCAATGAGTGTATATGGAAAGCTTACAGAAGACTGCTATTATCTTACCAATTTCTATGCCACTGGTGGACTGACTCAGAGGCAGAAGTATGAATGATGGGGTGAAGAAGACATTGATATATCGCAAAGAAAATCCACACTGAGACCGCAAAGGTTAATACCAGAACAGACCATGCATAGGAAGGGTTAACATACTGGAATATCAATGTATCTCACTATCGTCCTCGTCCATTTGTCGCCCAGGAGCCACTGAGACAAGAGCAGTGCTAGAAATAGCACAATCATACAAGCGACCGATGCCGGGAATGGCACTCCACTGAGCCCCAGTAAAGAATCAACACCAAAGCAAGTCAAAAGGGCCAGCAAGAGTCCAACGGGAACTTGAATCCATGATCGCAATAATCTGCGCCACGACAGACGAACAACCTAGAATCCAGTATTAATTGCCGTCTAGAATCAGAGCTGATATGGTATGAGACCCACCAAGGTTATTGCAGAGACTGCGTCATATAAACCGCTCTCTATCTGGTTCTTCGGCGACATTGGAAAGTGAAAATTTCTTTATTCTTCATAGCAAGAGGGGCATTCCACCGTGGTGGCATACTACCATATTTAAAGTCTGGTGGTCATAGTCTATCTACTTGATAAGTTAGCGGATCCCGAGCCGAAAGTTGTCATTGGGCCCCAACCGCGTCTGGCTTTCCCGTTCTCTGTGCGCGTTCGGCCGATAGATTGTTGCCATCAAGTTCACCGCGCCATGGAATGTTCAAAAAGCCCGGCCGAGCAGGTCATCGCTGCCTTTCGAGAGCGCGATATTCCTTTTAGGAAGGAGATCATAGAGTCGGCGTTCGCTAATGAGCCCGATGGCCCTGCAAATTCGACATGGGTGTCCAACCATCTCCGTTCCGACACATTGTTGTCCAAGGAGGAGATCAATCTGTATACAGGCCAAATCCTGACCACCAATGTATGAGTCACTGACAGAAATCGTAGATATGCCAAGATAGAAAGTTCTGGTGCCCTTCAAGGCCTTCTTTCAACTGCGGACCTCACTGCAACGCGACCTTTGCTGGAGGATGATATTCGCACCGCCATTAGCTCCCTAAAAGAATCTACAGCATCTATCAAAAGACGCACTGAGGTGCTGACTGCTCAATGTGAATTGGCGAAGAAAAGGCTACGTGATGACAATGAGTATCATAAGAACCGTGGAAAGGCCTTGACAGACGTCCAGAGGAGACATCAATTAGAGAGACAGCATATTAGCGCCGCGGTACGTTCCTTCAAAAGCTAGTTGTTAAACAGAACTGTCACTAATATGATGTAGGCCGATGATCTTGCACAGACTCTTGAGGCGAGAATGAGAACTGGAACAGAGTCGACAGTCATCGAAAGCAGAAAACTATTTTCTCTAGTGACCGCCAGGCTAAAAGATGATGATCGGACTCTGCAGAAACTCGAAGGATTACTATCACGGCTTGGGTCTGATGATGAAGATAGGGCGGCAGGGAAGCGAGCAACAGAGCTTACAAGCAGGCTTTCTGGATATGTCTCCGAAGAAATACAGTGTCGCCTAGATCGATTATACATGGAAACGATAAATTCTACGTCGGAATCATCGGCTTTCAATGGGGCAGGAGGTGAAGACGAAGTCCTGCTTGCATTGCAGGAGGAGCTAGAGTCTCTATACCCCGAAATCACTGTGCTATCGGACATATCTGCGAAGCAGCAGTTCAGCGACCCCATACAGCGCGAGCTCGAAAATCATCACGGGAACATGTATTCTGCCTCAGAGAAAAAGTTGAGTCATGTAAGTGTACCCAGGTACAGTTAGAAATGGTCCTCTCTGACTGGATTGTATACAGATCCTCGACATTTTGAGCGAGATGACGATGTCCACACAAGATATCAGAGAGCGTTTGCGAGATAGACAGTCTTACCGTGAATGTCTGGAAGGTCTCATAGGTGTTTACAAAACGGAAATGGACGTTAAACTTTCTGAGCCGACATCCAGACGAGAATCACTGCTGAAAGACACCCTCAGAAGCTCACTGGGTTCACCGCGCCCGCGAGATTCCGAAAGAAGGAAATCTACTCTACCTATCCTCGAGTCACCGTCCCTCGAGTCCGTCTTACGCCGTCTTGGGACTTCAGTTGACACAGTACTTAGACCTTCTGAAGAGGGCGGTGGTCTCGATACCCTTCATGAAAAGAAGATTTCTATGCTAGAGCGCCTGCATAATCTCGTTGTCGCCGCTGATGTTCCATTACTTTCTCACCTCAATCAGGCAGACCAGGCAGGACAGTTACTTCACTCTTCCTTACATGCAGAATCGACTTGGTCGCCGTCACTTTTGGATGCTGTCCAAGAAAAGGATCTTGCTGAATTGGAAAGACAATTGGTTCGCGTTCAAAAGGGCGTTGAACGTGTAAACCTAGAAGATTTGCACCAGCGAAACAAACATCGGGACAGATTCATGGAAAGGTGGTCATAATTCTGAGTTCTATACATGACGAATTGATTCCCAGGTCTGGATACATACATTAATTCTTATCATTCTGAAGCAAGCATGCAGGAGTAGAAAGCGACCTCGTGTAGCGACCCTCGGAGGATGGCAGGGCAATTGTGAATTTACTACTGGTTCACCTAAAGCAAGCACATATGCTTTATGTAGAAAACCGAAAGAGGAATATCGATCGAAATAACAAGGCACAACTATTACTGAGCACCTGTTGACGTAGTCGAAAGGCGGTGGCCCATCTCGGTGTGCTTTCAAGGCAGAATCCAATTGCGGCGCGCGCCAAAAAAAGCTGATCGCAGTACCAACGCCGAGGATGCTCCCTCCTGAAGACGTACAGATCAAAGGATGCTGCCACGTCTCCTTCTTTGGAGCGGGGGAACTTTCGTCGATTCAACATTGCCCCTGGTCATACTCGAGAGCCTAGGCCTGACTGCAGCCGCTGGGACTACTTAGATCACCCTCATTTGGACATCTCAGGGGGGAAGGTTGGGCATTGGGCAACAATGTCAGTATTGGACATGCTCTTGGATTTATTCTCGCATCGATTCTCATGCACGTTCTTTTCTTTTTAAATAATAATTACTGATAAGTAGCGCTGCAGAATTGAGAATATCGGCCTGACGTCTTTTCTCGTACATAATCGTCGTCCTCGCTCCCCGGTTGGAGTAATAGCCCTTTCATACCTTCGTTTATCGGTCACGGATTGTTGTCTATCTAAGAGAATATAGGGTGGATAAAATCAGAATCCTCCTGGGGCTTGGTTCGACAATGCAATTTTTACCTCAAAAATCGTCCTACAGTTGTAGTGTTAGGCCTGCACTCTGCGTGTCCGGTTTCCGGTCTGGATAACCCATTGCGAGGTCTCGCGGATATAGCTGAGGTTTTCGCTCAGAGCAGTCTATCAGGATGAGCTCTCCTACAGTTGCCTCCCAGAAAGCGGATGCCGGGTCTGCAACGGCGACGTCCGCCCAGCCTTTGTCAGGGACGATAGGGGCAGCTGGAGACCGAGACGAACTGTTCAGCATATCACCCAACACCGCGCTTTCGATGTTCTGCGCGCATATCGGCGACATTGTGCGGTTGACTGGCGATGTTCCTCCGACTCCTTTAATGAAGGCTGCTTTTCACTCAAAGGCTGCAGACCCGGAAGACACCGAAGGTACGCCATTAAAAGTCACCGAGCTGCACTGCAGTCAGACAAGAGATCCTACAGTCGAAGGTGCTTTATTGGAGACAATCCAGCAGAGTGCGCTAGCCAAGAAATTCTTTTCCAAAAAAGCACCACCGATCTCATTGGAAGAGTACGTATCGCGCCTGCAGCGATATTGTCCAATGTCGACGGCGGTGTATCTTGCGGCCAGTCTATACATCACCAGGCTCGCAACTGTCGAGAAAATAATTTCTCTGACTCCGCGTAATGTGCACCGGCTGGCGTTGGCTAGTCTACGCGTCGCGATGAAGGCTCTTGAAGACTTGAGCTATCCCCACAGCCGCTTTGCGAAAGTCGGCGGAGTCAGCGAACGGGAGCTTTCCCGTCTGGAAATCAGTTTCTGCTTTCTAGCGGACTTTGAGCTGAAAGTTGACCCTCACATGCTAATGAACGAAGTAAGATCCATGCAGAAGGGCGGGGTTTTACTAGGAAGCGTACCTGGTAAGAGCACGGGGCCATCAGACCACAACAGAGACGAACCGTCAGTGCCAGCGGTGACTGCTCCGTCTTGAGTTGATGCTCGTTACAGAGCCAATTCAATAGTTTTGATTTGGAAACTGTTTTTGGATTGATTGGCAATGGGCATGGTCATGACTTTGTACAGTACTCGTAACAGATGATCCGTGATCATCTCTGCTGAACAGATTTCCAGCTTCGATTATACAGATGCGGCCTCGCTCCTCGAAGCTCGTTACAATTTCGTCATATTATTCACCATACATAATTATTTTGTTATCAGTTCGGTTCATTTCTGCCTAGCCACGTTTCTCCAAATCTCGGGGTTTTTTGGGGCCTCAACCGGAGTGTAGATGGTCGACTACAGGATATCCCTTAAAGTCCTAGCATGCTTAAAACAATATTCGATAGTAATGTGTTAAAACAAACGGTGGCTGTGCGCTTTTGTACATGCTACAATAATAGACATTTCTGCTCAGCCGCCCTGTGGTGACCACTCACGTTAGCATATCCATCGGCGGTCTCGAAGCTAACTCCGACTTCAACTGCGCGCCGCGGATTCTCCCCAGCTGCGGCTAAGTTCAATTCTCAACGTGTACGCAGAGTCCGTGGACTATTTCTCTTGTTGTTTCTCAGTCTTTCATTTAGCATCAGCTTTATTGTGCTGTTCGTTCGAAACCCTCTACCCATCATCTCCCTCGGACGCGGATATGAGTCTCCCTGCGGTTACGCTCCCCTAAATTGCCAACCAAACCGCCGTTGTTCTCGCCGTCCACCATCCGTGGCTCTTATAGAGAGTCTTCGTCCCAGAACAGATTTATTTCCTATCGCAGAATTGGCGCTCTATCGTTCCCGATATGTCCTCTTCGGAATCTCACAATAACAGCGCCGCTGGTCGGGGCTCCCTGTCAGCGCCTAATGGAAAGACAACCGCAGCGCCTCCAAGACTCACACAGCACGACGATGCCGTCGAGCTTAAGAATATGGAATCTGGCCCGGAAGCCGTCAAGTCTCCTTTACCGATCGAGCAGGATATTATGCAGCTGGCGCGCCTAGGAGAGATTGCAGCAGTACAGAAGCTATTTGAGAGCAAGCAGTTTGATGCCAAATACCGAGACGAGGAAGGGATTACACCTTTGCATGTACGTTCTTGTTCCCAACGCAGTTCCCAATTCATTTTAGTCGCTGTTAGGACTGTATAACTGACTATTGTGTGATCCACTACAGTGGGCTGCGATTAACAATCAATATGCCATGTGTAGGTTCCTTCTGGACTCTGGCGCGGACGTGAACGCGAAAGGCGGAGAGTCTGTTGCTACACCAGCCATGTGGGCTGCTCAGCGGTGCCATTACTATATTGTCAATCTCTTGCTTCAGCGCGGAGCCGATCCTCTTCTCACCGATGTGCAAGGATATAACATTCTCCACCTCGCTACAATCGACGGGAACGCTTTCTTGCTCATACTGCTCCTCCATCAGGAGATACCGGTGGATGTGACGGACGTTCAAGGGCACACGGGTCTTATGTGGGCGGCATACAAGGGGTTCCCTGCTTGTGTTGATCTGTTTTTGCGATGGGGTGCCAATGTGAACGCTGTGGATGAAGGTGGATTGACGCCTCTTCATTGGGCCCTAGTCAAAGGATCAGCACCTTGCATACAGAAAATCCTCGAGTATGGCGCAGACAGGTTCGCGAAGACGAGGGACGGGAAGTCGCCCTCGGTCGTGGCGCAAGAGATGAATACCACACGAGCATGGCATCGCGCGCTGGATGAGTGTGGTTACGACATTGACGGAAATACGAAGAATGCCGCTGGTTGGGCCTCACTGGCACAGAACAAAAGCACTGTATCGAAATTCTTCTTCCTTTGGCCGTTCTTGACTGTGTTCGTGGCTGTCTACATCCTCAGTCATATGCCAATATATGCGGCCGTGCCAATCATGCTAGTGGCAGTATTCTCGTTGCAGTGGGTAGCACAGCAGGTTGCCAATCAGGCCCCTTCAGAGTACAGGATTCTGCAGAGAACGGTACGTAAAGCGTCATCCCCTTCAGGTCGCGAATTAAGAAATATTCGATCTCCGTCCTTACTGACACGAACAAATACCAGCCCTACCTAGCGGGCATCTTTGCAGGATCTCTTTTTTGGGTGGGAGTACGATATGTGACACATATTCTACCAAGTAAGATGCCCCCCGTCTGATCGTATAGTCCAGAGGCTAACAATGGGTAGCAACTTATTCATCGCATCCGATTCTCAATATCTTGTTCGTGGTTTTCTACGGCTTGACGACTTATTTCTACATCTTCTCTATGACTTCAGACCCTGGTTACGTGCCAAAACTCAGCAGCAGGAATCAGCAGAGAGCAGTCATTACCGAATTGTTCGATATCTGGAAATTCGATGAGGAGAATTTCTGTGTGTTTTGCATGAGCAGGAAGCCCCTACGAAGCAAGCATTGCAGACGTTGTGCGCGCTGTGTCTCGAAGCATGATCAGTGAGTTCTACGTTACTATCTCGTTCCTTTTGCGAAATGCTAACGCAAGACAGCCATTGCCCCTGGATCGATAATTGCGTGGGAGCGAACAACCTACGCCATTTCGTTCTATACATTATCACTTTGGAAGTAGGAATCATCCTGTTCATACAGTTGACTATTGCCTGTATGTGCTTTCCGATACGTGGTATTATGCTCAAGACGATACTGATCATGCCTGTAGATATCGGACTGTTACCTAACCCTGAGGTTGTCGAGTGCAACGTCATCAAGGATAGCCTCTGTAATATCGCCCTGCGGGATACATACACTCTAGTTCTCAACTTTTGGATTGCGCTTCAATTGGTTTGGGTGACAATGCTTTGTGCTGTTCAGCTGGTCCAGATTTCTCGAAACCAGACGACGTATGAGAATATGCGAGGTCATTCTATCGACCATGCTCGCCCAAGCTCACAAGCTATTACGTCCGCCATTGCCGCAGGGACAACCTCACTCGACGCTGCTGGACTATCAGCTTCTGGTCATGGTCCTAACCCCTCACTTTCCGCTGGGGCTCCTCATCGTCACCGGCAAGGATGCTTCAAGCAGTGGAAGATGCTCCTTGGTCTTGACAGCTTTCTGGCAACGGCCCGAGGCGGTCTCAGAGAGCGCCGCGGTAATACTGCTCCCAGAAACCCTTTCTCTCGAGGAATCGTCAGCAATTGCCGAGACTTCTGGTGTGATTCTGAGCCCTACTTTGGGAAAAGAGAATCCGGAGCCGCAATGCTGGGCGGCGAGAAGGTCAACTATAACCAGATGTACGAGGTACCACTACGGATGCGCAGAGGAGGTGGAGGCGATAGATCGCAGGGCGCCTATGCGAGCCTTGCAGCCGAAGACCCAGAAAACGCGGTCTAACAGTATATATACGTTCCTTCTCATGACTAACGCATCCCCTTTCCTTTTGGCGGATGCTCTCTAGGGGAGTTGGCATCGACTCAGCATTATACCACTCTGTTGGCCTGGGGGTCATGGCCATTTCAAGTCATTTATTTGCTATCCCTGGCGGACAGCCGGACAGCTGATAGTTTCGTGTACGTTCATATGATGATCACCAAGGTGGGTATAGATGGAATAGACACTGCATGATTACTACAGTTGAATGGACGCTCCGTTGATTCCCGAGCACGAAAGGAGGTGCATTTCATTTTTACTTCTTTTTAAATGTGATTCTTCTCTTCACTTCTTTTTGTGTTATGTACAGTATATCTCCCTCGATGTACGGGCTTCTTTGCGATTTTTTGCTGGTTATCTTCAAAAACATATAGCAGCACTTCTTATATATAATAATGGATTGTAAACTACAAGATCAACGAAAAAGACACTACTTCTCGCGTAGTCTTCGACCTCCCTGTAGACAGCTTGATTTATACCTTTACCTTAAAACATAATCTCTTAGCAGCTCGATAGGCTAAAGCAGTTGCACGAAAATAACCACTCCTGCTATCTCTTTTCTATACGTCTATAAGCATACGAGTATTCAATATACTTATATCCCGGCGCACAAAGCCGCGTGCATGTAATCCGTCGTGCTATCCATTTGCACCCGCAATATAAGGATCGAAGGAGACACGCCAGAATCAGATAAGTAATTGCTTGAAATCAGTGGTGGGAGGCAGTGCAGTGCTCCAGCCAGCAGGTAATCAAGAGATGAAGTCCCCCATGGGCATAAATAGCTGATAGATTCCGGTATCCTCTAGTTCTCTAAGCAATCAAGAAATCATTCTCGTTTCATAATATTGCCTCTTCAGAGTCTTTGCTTCCGTGATCCTAGATCTTTACAGGTGGATTCTATCTATCTATATTACTGATTTCAGGTGTTGATGTTAGTTACGTGGAGGTAGTAGTTAGTATTTACATTTATATCTATCTATCGTTGATATAAGAGAAAAAGAGAATGTGTTCGTTGTTCTATTATTTAGTATCTTGGGACTTTTTTGTTTATCGTATACCATATTAATATATATCCTCAGCCGATCTAATAGTTTTGGGAGTAGACTATCATAGGATTATATCTATGTAGAGTCTATACGATAGTATTCTTTGACTCAATAATGATATATTACATCCTCTGCTCACTATCCATCCTTTTCCTAACACTAATGTTCATATACAAAATAGCAAGCCACAACCACATCTACACATAAGCAACACCCCAGATCCAAGCTCCAACCTTACCTTCCAGGCCGCAACAATTCGAAAACTTTACCCTCTCACCACCCACAAGAAGGGGAGCACACAGTCACCACTGTTCGAACCAGCTTTGCTTTCTTTTTCGTTCCTTGCAAATACCCCATCTCTGATTGCTCAACATGACATGCCGACCATTACTCCCGTGTCACAGCTAGCTGCATTATCATCATCATCATCATCCTCCCTATCCGCAACACTAGCGCTAGATCCAACAGTATGTTATCAATAATAGACGGCGATACTTGATCACCGGACATTATTCTGATTTTCGAGTCATGCCTGCTTATTATTTTTTCTCCACCGGCTCTCCTTGCGGAAATTAGTGCCCGAAGGAGGTGATATCTAGCTAGTTAGTTATCTTGCGTGAATATGGTGATGATGGTCTAATTCCCCCCTCCTCCCCACAGGAGATGAGGATTAGGAGGGGAGGGGAGGGGGGAGAAACAGCATTCTGAGCAATGAGAGCACTCCGATTTCAAAGACAAAAGAAAGAAAGACAAAAACGAAAAAAGAAAAGAGGGCCTACGAGGGGACCATGCATATCATACTTTCTACGTAGTTCCGAATGTGATGCGGGACTAGAGTTAGTAGTAGTTAACTTAGATAACTAGGTAGACATTCTGTTCCTTGCCAATCTCATGCAAGATCGCTGACGCGCAGAAGGGAGAAGAAAAAAAGAAAAAAAGGTCCTGGATTTGAAACCAGTGAATAATAACTGGTGGAACCATCTCATGCAGTCAAGGGGAAGACGCTAATCTCGCAGTTCCAACTGTATATCGTCGTAGATCAGGCTGTGTGATGTATCATCAGGAGCCCCGAGCGCGCGCGCACATGGCGCGGACTTTTATCCCTGGTGTGGACGCGAACGAACGCGGGGGTTGAAACTGCGTCGTATCTTCGTTGGGCAGCTCTTTTTCTTTTTTTTCTGATCTGTTAATGCAGGCTTCATCTCGTGCTAGGAGAGATTATTGCTTCAGAGAGAGAGAGAGTGGGGGGAGAGATAGAACGCGCGGGAAGAGTAACTTGTCTAGTGAGGGGAGCTTCGTTAGGGCGCGAGAAGTTCAACGAATGATAAGAGGAGAGTTAGAAAGACGCCCGCAATGATTGGAATTTCCCCTCTGTTGTTCTTCGTGCAGGATGATGACCATAGCACCAGGTACTCTAGAGTGGTATGGACTGTGTGATCAGCGCGGGTTGCAGATGCACGAGAAGAAACGCGGAAGATTCCAGTTGGATGCACACTAAAAGTACTTAGGCATTGCAATGGCCCGTACTGTAGAGTAGAGCTTCAGGCGGCCATGAGGGCTATTGCTGATGGACTCCAACACCCCACCTGCACCTCAACAGCTGCTTTAGGGAAACTTTGGCGATTCGTACGGCTGATAGAGACGTGATAGCAAGAGGGAATCAAGGTGGGCGTCATGATCACGATGGATGATTTCTGCCAAGGAAAAAGGAAGTAGTGAAATTATCTTAGATGAAGATCAAGTAGGGACAGGGAGAGAGGAAAGATAAGAAGCGCTGGTATAGTCTAGTATGGCTGCAGGGGGCGAAGACAAAAGTAAAAAGGAACAGGACGATCGATCGTGTCTGATCCGATCTGATCTTAGAGGATAGAAACGGCAAGTTTTGTTTTCATGACTTTCGGGTTGGAGATTTCCGTAAGCATTTATTCGTAATACCCACCACCACTTGGGACATGAGGGTTACTATGGCATTGATTATGAGCACAACTCCCCCAGAAGACAGTGTTGAGATATCTAGATGACGCTGGTTCAGCTGGAACGAGTGCTCTAATGACCGATGACAGGAACCAAGTTCAACGGAATCATGGACCTCACAGTTGGAATTTAACTGGTAGACTCTTAACTTAAGCTAGCAGTGTGATGTCGGAATGCTAAGTAAGCAATTAAGTAGTTCAGGGTCCGTATGGTATTATCATTTGCTGAAAATTCATCACATCTTCAGCGGGACCCCGAGACGTTGCAGAAGTTTCCATCGAACCGGAATGCGAGCACCGCCATCACTCAGCTTGGCGGTTGGCAATGACCTGGCAGACGGGCTAGAAACTCAATGTGTGAGATTATTGGGAAGTTGCTCGAACGGTTAGCAATAATAATTCCTCGAGTGTGGGCAGTATGGTCGAGTGTGTAAGAAAGAGTGAATTAACTAGTTATGACCAACTAACTAATACCTGTTGAGTTAGCAGACACTCTGTCGGACAAACTAGTGGCAACGCTACGCGGCGATGTATCATTATCTGATTTGATCATCAGTTCGATCAGTAACTAGTTAAATAACTTGAGACACAAGAATCATGGCGAAACATGCGGACGGTTCCATCGCCTATAAGCCGTTGAAGTCCAGTCCATGGGTCTTTGCGCCTCCTGGAAGCCAACCAGCCAGCCATGTCCAGATCCGAACCGAGCCTGAAGGCAGTTTTTGATCAGATAAAAATTTTTTCCTTTTATCTGATGGCACCATTCTCCAAGTGTCTCATCGACCCGCTTTTCCCGACCCGCTTCATCGTACCAGACTATTATGGAGTAAAACGCCTGCTTGGCAATGACGGTCCGAATACTACCACGATAATACCATGATAATACCATACGTGCCTAGAGGAGTCAGGATTTCACTCGCGTACTGGTCAATACAGCTCGTCCATACGTCGTCTGATCTTGCCCCACGAGCCCGAACAAGGGTTTCCCAAGGGCGGATAGTTCCGCTACGTGCGTTCCAGAGCTGTGGGAGCCCACGAGCGGTCGGATTGGAGAGGTGCCTGCAGCCGTCAGTTGAAGAAGCTAATACACGGAGTAGACGGTATCGAATGAGTCGAGCCGGAGCTGCGTGCTTTTTCCACAAAGCAAGACAACCCGGCAGACGCCCTTGCTCGATACTTCAAAAAAAAAGAACGGTCAAACTTTTTAATAATAATAAGAGACAAGCACATGGTGACCTATCGTTGTGTTGCGGAGAGTATTTCTAAATTACATGGTCCGTCTACCCTTTTGAGAGGAAAGCTGCCAACTAGTAGTGAATCCAAAAATGCTGGAAGACCAAACAGAAGAGAAAAAGAAAGGAAAATGCCATCAACCTAGGAGCAGTCGTCGGACACAGCTCGCTCGGATCAGCCAAGACCGGAGAACACCAGAATAAGGAATTAGAGCCGGGGGTCAGCAGCAACAATAATAATCATAACTTAATCCACGGCATCTACAGCATGGCACGGTACGCCGTGGACGACACCGACCGCGAGCTAAGCTTATCCCCGAAGATGGAACTGACCATCTCCCCACCTCGGCTTGCTAGCACCGAGAGTAAGCTGTCACTCAGGCCGTGGGTATTCTCGTTGCAGCCCTGCAGCCAAATGCCTGCCTGCCGGCTGACTTTGCTTCGATCCAGCTCCACACCGTAATTTCGTCCGACCTTCCACTCGTTTTGTCCGGCCGGTCTCAGCTGCTGGACCTTCTCCAGGAGGCCTTCATGGGCGTTCCTCAAGTATCCCGTGGCGACCATGAGCGCATCGACCTCGAGAATCTCCGTGTCCTCGGGGGAAGCGTTTTTCTTGGCAGACTCGACGTGGATTCGGATTCGACCCTGAGGGTTGGCGTTGTCAACCTTGGTGATCTGGCGCGAAGGCAGGATGCGGTGCTGCCACTCCTTTTCGTTCGGATTTTGCACTTTCTGCGTATACATGTCATGGTAGATTTGCTCAATCAGCTCGAGCCGCACCACACTGTAGTTGGTTGCTTTGTCGGTCGCGAGCGCCCGCTTGCGCTCATCGGCTGGCTGGCTGTAGAACGTATCGACCCGCTCCGGATCAAAGATCTCGTTGACACTATCACTGGTAAGCGGCCGTCGATACAAAAGACAATTGGGATGGGGTGCCTACAATGGAGAGTCGTCACTGGGCCGAAGAGCCGTGTCCCTCATGATCAAGGTAGTTCTGCAGTTCGGATATCGAACCTGCAGATCATGGAATATCTCAGCAGCACTCTGACCACTTCCGACCACGGCAACGTTGTAAGCCGCCCTGGGATCCGTCAAAAGCTTTGGTATCGTTGTGCAGTAGGCAGAGGAATGCAGCACCCGGTAGTCTTGCGGGAAAGGCGCCGGGATCTTTGGCCGCCCTCCAGCAGCAATGACAACGTTGCGCGCTCTCCGTGCGGACACAACCCCGGTTGCCGTGTTCTTGGAAAAGACCGCGAAGCTGTCAATGACCGGGCTCCTGGGATCAGCTTTCTCTGGAACGACGCCGATGACCTCCTCTCCGTATGCCACCAGGTCGGAGAAGTGGCTTGCGCACCACTTCATGTAGTCCTCAAACTCCAGTCTAGCAGGGAGGAATGTACCCAGGTTGGCAAAGCTGACGAGGCGTCCTTTTTGGTGGAGATAATTCAGGAAGGTAAAGTGACTTCGCGGGTTGCGGAAAGTCGCCAGGTCTTTCAGGAAGGAAATCTGCATCCTCGACCCGGGGAGTAGCATGCCCGGATGCCATGCGAATTGTCTCTGCTTCTCCAGGAAGCACACCTTGGGCTGCCATCCGGAAGCCGATTGGGCTGCTTTGGGATCGAGGGCATCGTGTAGAGCGATGGCTATCGAGAGTGACGCGGGGCCAAATCCCACGCAGAGGAGATCGTACAGCTCACCATCCGCTGCAGAATTCAGCTTCGGGACTTGGGGCGCCATTGTTGGCATCTGCGCAGCTGCCGCAGAGCTGTTATTCGGAACAGAGAATGGCTGGGGGGCTAACGGGTCCATCTGACTGCTACAGCGCAAACGAGCACACCTAAACCAGGAGACATCGGTCAGCAATGGCACACATGGACTAAAAGAAGCAATCAGAGCCTGGACTACTGACAGGAAGGATATGAATCAGTATTGCGATCTTGGAAGAAAGGGTACGGGAAAAAAAAAAGTACCACGCTGCCTCCCCGCTATCTACTATGTTACGGGGGATCGGACGCGGATGATCAATCGGACAATGAACCGCGGAGGAACAGCGGCCCTTTTTATAACATCAGAAGCAACTGACCAAAGCACACCAGTTTCTGCCAAGTTGTGTCCGGTGGAATTTAATTTATGCCGTTTACAGCGTTTCCGGAGAAAAGCAGCGCTGGTAGCCTGGTAGTAGTCTGGTACTGACAGGGTCGAAACGACTGTCTAGTTTCCACTCTACCTTGTGCGGGACGAAAAACGCAGAAAGTAAACCAGAACCTTTTCCCACTCCTGCAGGGCATCGCCATGACCATCGCATCAACCGCCCAATAACCCAGTAATGATGGAGAGAGCCACGAGTAGCGTGAATGGGCCAGATCCACTGATCAAGACTCGAAGAAGAAACGAGAGAGAGAGAGAGAGAGAAAGCCCCGCAGGCGCTTGGCGTCAATAATAATGTCACGGCGAGGTCTTAGAGTCTACGTAATTAACTAACAAGGGCTCGGGTGGGCCGAAGAAAAGATCAGATTAGATCCGCGCTGGCCCGATGTCGGATTTCCGCGCGTTGGCGTTGTTCACTAGCATTTTTTGTTTCTTCTGGTAAGGGTAATAATAGTTACAGTAATTTAATATTCCTATTCAGGACGGAGAAGAGAAGAGAAAAAAAAAAAAGGAAAAAAGGAAAAAGAAAATTACATTGGGACTTGGCATACGCGGACGGATTCAAGCAATAATTATCATAGGGGAAGACCCGGGCTATGTCCATCCATCATCATTTCCATCATTGTATGTTAGTTAGTTACATCTGTTACATTTGGTCGTAAATAATTGTTGTTTGATATAATTGGAAACAGAATGGCTTTATTATTTATGATTCTAAATGCGATCACAGGTCATCTGAGGACATCTACCATACACAAACTACCATCTCTCTTGTTATTTCTTTTTTCGGATCACTTGCTCATCCATCTCATGATCTCACTCACCATTGTCCCGTCCCGTCCCTCCCTCCAAGACCCTTGTCTGCATCTTTTTCCTGGCTGTAGTTAACCAGTTACTCTGCCGTAGTGGCTCATCTGCCCGCCTGCTGACTTGCCTTTTCTGCTTCTATTGATCGTAGCCTAGTCCTCTCCCTTGTGCTTTTTTTTTCTTCTTCTTCTTCCAACTATTTTCTTTTTCTCGGAGCTAACAGAAGAACCAACTGACCCTGACTGATACTAATCAGATGGCTCTTATTCAGTAGTTGCTTATTCGCGGGTCTCGTCATTGTTTCCCGTTCATACTCTAGGCACATCGCCCGGAGCAAAGGATGAACAACCAGAACCATCGCAGCGGAAGTTGAAGCCAGTACGAGGCTCAACGAGCGTCTAAGTACAGTACTACATATTATTACCCACTGACCTTTACCTAGAGGACTCGACTAACTTAGCACCAAGTAATAATAACAATAATAATAATTAATTAATTAGCCAGCAACCTAGGCTCCCATCTACGAGTAAAGCGCCGCTAAGTTGAAGTCTCGGGGATAACTCAGTCGGGCTTTCGAGGCTCCACCCAGCAAGTATCCGACCCCGCCGTCAAGCTGCATCGATCTCACACTCCAGGAGGGGCTGTGAGAGCTGGCCGCATAGCGCGCTTCAGGTGGCCAAACTCGCTGGGGACTGTTCGTGATGCCCGGACAAATGCGATTGCCTCGCACGGATCTTGTTTTCTTTTTGGATTGCCCTGATTGGCATTGCTTGCCTCTGCTTGACTTCCATCTCTCCTCCATGTACACCGAGATGCCCACTCACGATTGAAAAAGCAAACTTCTGTTTTTCTTCAATTTCCCTCTTGACCGATTGATATGTCGGCTTTACGCACAGTGCCTTTACACACTTATAGTTAACAAGGCCCCCCTTGCCTGGGAACTGCCATTCATCCAATCCTGACCAGAAGAGACTACTTCAAAGAACACAAAGAAACATAAATCTTCAACACGATGGATCGATACACTTCTTTCCCGCAGTTTTATCCCCGCGATGATGACCTCATCTCTTCAGGGTCGGTGGTGGAGTGGAAAATCCCCGGGAAGAGCATCTCCAAAGAAGTCCTCGCCTTGTCTTGGGCAACCCTGCTGCGCTCCTTCACTGGTGTAGAATCTCCGGTATTCAACTTGGACGGCAGACCGATCAGAGCAGATTTGTCTGCCAGGACCATCCATGAGATTGCGTCCGACCTGCTTCCTCAGCCAGACAGCACTTATTCAGCCATTCTCACTGAAGGAGTTGAGAACATCTCTCTCCAAGCGCAGGAACAGAGAGCTACATCGCTGGCGGGTGCTCTGCTGATTGCGGTAGACTTGGAGACCGGTGCGGGATATCTCTCTGCGGACGGCGTTAGCATCACGCCGTCGTTCCTCGATCAGATCGGCCGGCAGCTGAAGCAAGTGATCCAGAACCAGGCTCGAACTAGTGGGCTGCAGGTGGTTGTACCTGCAGCTGAACATCCGGAGCTGTCCATCGCGAACCCGCAACCGCATATTCTCCCTGGACCCCAGCTCCTCCATCAACTTGCATTAACTGGCAAATGCGGTTCAAATGGCGCCATTGATTTCCTCCATGCAGACGGGACAGTGCAAAGCTTATCCTATGACCTCCTGGACCGACTTTCTACGAGACTGGCTGCCCGCTTGGCAGAGACATTGGGTCCTGTCAAGCAAGGTGAGGCTCACGACGTGGTAATCCCGGTGCTATTACCACAGTCCGTGGATCTATACATCTCAGTTATCGCCATCCTCAAGGCAGGTGCTGCTTTTTGCCCTCTTAGCCTAGACTATCCCCCTGAACGGATCGACTTCATCGTAAATGATGTGGCTGCTGAGGTGGTTGTTACGCAAAGCCACCTTGCAACGAAACTATCCTCTCTCGATTCAGTACGAGTGGTTTTTACAGATGACCTGCAGTCAATTGAGACACCTTCTAGTTTACCCGAGAGGACTATCAGCCCAGAGAGATTAGCCTACGTGATGTACACGTCCGGTTCGACTGGACGTCCAAAGGGGGTTGGCATTTCACATCGTGCGGTGACGCAGTCACTACTCGCACACGACGAATTGATTCCAACGTTCAAGAGGTTCCTACAATTTGCATCACCGACTTTTGACGTTTCAGTCTTCGAAATGTTCTTCCCTCTATACAGAGGTGCAATTCTCGCTGCCGCAGACCGGGAAACCATGCTACGGGATATCTCGTCGGTGATGAGGAAGTTGGACGTTGACGCTGCAGAGCTCACTCCAACAGTTGCCGGAGAGTTGCTTCAGAGACGAGATAATGCCCCGTCCCTGAAGATACTCCTCACAATCGGCGAGATGCTTACACGGCATGTTGTGGACGAGTTTGGAGGATCGGAAAATCGAAAAGGCATTCTCCACGGAATGTATGGACCGACGGAAGCAGCAATACACTGTACGATCGCCTCTGATTTCCAGACAAGCGCGCGGGTCAACCTTATTGGGAAGCCCTTCAAGACCGTTTCTGCATATGTTGTCTCCACCGAGCAAAAAGGAGATATGCAGAACGGGGAACCAGAAATTCTCCCTATCGGCCAGATTGGTGAATTGGTTGTAGGTGGTCTGCAACTTGCGGAAGGCTATATCAATCGACCAGAGGAGAACTCAACGGCTTTCCTAATTAGCAAGCTACACGGTCGGTTATATCGAACCGGCGACAAAGCTCGGCTTCTTCCCAATGGTGAAATCGAATGTTTTGGGCGAATATCCAGTGGTCAAGTGAAGCTCAGAGGCCAAAGGATAGAACTGGGTGAAATTGAACAAGTTGCCTCCAAGACAGATGGTGTGCGGAGCACGGTGGCAGTTATTGTGGACGGAACGCTTGTTATTTTCGCACTTGTCAACGATGACAAAGTTACCGCAAATATTATCCGCGAGACATGCAAGCGGTGGTTGCCGAGATTCATGGTTCCCGGCGAATATATTCTCATGAACAGTTTCCCTCAACTCCCATCTGGAAAGGTTGATAGAAAAGCCCTCGAAAGGGAGTTCGTCCAACGACGGGAGGCCATGGTGTCGTCCGGCGAGCAGAGATTCCGGGACGCTCTTGAAGAAAAGATCGTCAGATGTGTCTCTGAGACTCTCGGAACCGTGCATTATGATCGACAGGAACTCACAGCAGCTGGTCTAGATTCTTTGACAGCAATTCGGTTGGCATCCCGACTTCGTACGGAGGGAGTAAATCTGGACGTCGGGAAGCTCCTCGAGGCTAACTCCATCACCGGAATCTGGCGTCTTGCGGGTGACCTACATGATAGAACGTCAGAAGAAGGCGAGAAAGGCCATATTCTGAGTGTAAAGCAGAACATTGTCAATGCTACCATCGAAAGGTTGCGTTCCATTGACGTTCTCTCAAAGATCCAGAATGTCGAGCCTTGCAGTCATATCCAGCTGGCTATGCTTGCTGAAACTGGTCGCAATCACCAAGCATACTGTAATTGGATCGAGCTCGAATTTTCCGAGGGTATTGAGACTTCTCTAATCAAACGGGCCTTTCAAAGTATCGCGCAAGAAAATGATATATTGCGATCTGGATTCATTGAGACTGGACTGGGAGACAGCTCCTACAGCATGTTCAGTTGGAAGGAATTAGACGCTGATATTTTCGAAGAAGTCCCGTCCTTCAGATACGACATTCGCTTGGACGATGCGAATGGCATTCTGTATCCGCTTAGAGTGCAGCTCAAGCAAGAGAGACAACACGTTCATGCTCTAATCCATTTGCACCATGCCCTTTATGATGGATGGTCGTGGGAGCTGATCCTAGAAGATCTCCGTGTGGCTCTCAGAGGAACGACTCCGACACGGAGACCGCCTTACAAGCGTGTTACTGATTTCTACCTGGAATTCAATGGTCTTCCATCTGCAGGCGATTCATCAGTCTATTGGCAAGACAATTTACACGACGTGACTCCTACAACATGGCCAAACCTGAATGACAAGAATGATATTCCTAGAGGAACAGGAGTAGCCCAACGAATATTGTCAATTCCCGCTTCAGAAATAGAAAAGGCATCAAGGGGGTTCGGAGTCAGCCGGCAAGCCATATTCCAAGCCGCCTACGGCTATTTGCTTTCCTCATATTTGGAAACATCAGATATTGTTTTTGGAACCGTATTCTCTGGTCGCACATTACCTATTGAGGAGATTGAGTCCATCATAGGACCATGCATCAGAGTCCTTCCGACGCGGATAAACATCGACAGCACACGAAATATAGCAGATCTGCTAGCGGCGATCAATAGTTCAAATCGAAAAGCTCTCCGATATGGGCACCTCTCTCTTCAGGACATCAAAAGGGCTTCTGGAATTGATCCAGGAGTCAGCTTGTTCGACAGTCTGATCATATGGCAAGAGACGCTGAGCAGAGAACAGCAATCGACTGATCTCTTCAAGGAAGTCGCAGCTACTGACTTCCTCGAGTTTACAATGACTCTGGAGCTGCAACCTCGAGGTAATGAAATCCAGGCCAGGGTCAATTTTCAGACGTCAGTCCTACCAGCTGCTCAGGTCGAAATATTCTTGGAGCAGTTAGAGGCCGTGGTATCCTTGTTTATACACTCTACCGACCTTCCAGTCGACAAAATCAGTGACTTCCTTCCCCCATCAGTTCTTTCAATAGAGAATGAGAACTTCGAGCCCCAGCTTGATCTCCCGCGACTGGCGTATTCTGTTGAAAAGCTGGCTTCTGAGGACCCGGATAGGATTGCAATTGAGTTCCTACATTCTTTAGATCTGGAGAGCGGTGCTGGGACGAAAGAAGAAGTCACCTACTGTCAATTGAATGCCAGGGCAAATCGCTTTGCCCATCATCTTATCGAGCTTGGAGCGACCGACAACGACCTTGTTGGCGTTATCCTAGAAAAGTCCGCCGACCTCTATATTTCCATCCTCGCAGTTGCCAAGATTGGGGCTGGATACGTCCCAATTACACCAAATACACCTCCTGATAGAGCAACGTTTATTCTGGCCGAGTCTAGGGCACGGTTTTGCATTACTGACTCTTTTATAGCGCAGAAATTGCATATTGCAGGTTCTTTGAAATTGATTACACTCGACAGGGAGAATTTCGACAGTTATCCTACTACTAATACCCCGTCTCGCAATGGAGCGGACAATCTTGCATACGTTGTTTTCACTTCTGGAAGTACAGGAAAGCCAAAGGGCGTTCTTATCACCCATCATAATCTACAGAGTAATCTGGCAACTCTTACGGAATTGTATCCAGTGGAAGAGGGATCAAAACTGCTCCAGGCGTGCTCTCAGGCTTTTGACGGTTGGTGCTTCCTTTTTTGCTTCTAACATGAGATAAAAAGGCTGATGATAGATGGTAGTTTCGGTATTCGAAATATTTTTCTCATGGCACAGAGGCATGACCCTTTGTTCAGCCACTAACGACATAATGTTCGGGGACATTGAACATGTCATCCGGGTCATGAATGTTACCCATCTCAGTCTTACACCTACAGTGGCTGCACTCATTCACCCAAGTAATGTGCCAAAAGTCCGATTTCTCGTTACAGCTGGTGAAGGCATGACGACAAAGGTTCACAGAGACTGGGGGGGAAAGGGGCTGTACCAGGGTATTTTCCATCCAGAGTCCGTAGCCCACGATGCAATCGTTGACTAAATCCACTAGGTTATGGCCCAAGCGAGACAACAAACATCTGTACAGTTCGGCCTAATGTTGGACCATCCGATCCGATTAGGAATATTGGTAGACCATTCAAGAACACTTCTGCGTTTGTTGTCTCTGGTGATAAGACTTTCTCGTTGGTTCCTCGGGGCGCAGTTGGCGAGTTTGTTTTTGGAGGTGACCAAGTGGTAAGTTGACGATCAATTCATCGTTTAACCATACTGACCCCCAGACAGGGTAGAGGTTATCTGAACATGCCAGACTTGACAAATGAGAAGTTTATCGAACATCCTCGCTATGGTAGACTCTACAGATCTGGAGACTTTGGGCGTTTACTCGCAAGTGGCGCTCTACTCTTCACGGGTCGCAGAGATGACCAGGTGAAGCTCCGTGGTCTTCGAATTGAACTCGGGGAGATCAACAGTATTCTTCTGCGGGATGGATCTGTCAAAGACTGTGCCACCATGATTGTTAGCAATAAGAACCAAACCCAGCAGCAACTGATCTCATTCTGGACACCAGCCACCCCAGTGATCGAGACGGATAATGAAGGCTACAAGAAGATAATCAACTATCTCTTTGAGGATCTCCGTTCGGCCTTGCCTGGTTACATGGTGCCGTCGTCACTCATACCAATTGACTGCATTCCTATGACGTCTCAGAAAAAGACTGATCATAGAAGACTACAGGAGATCTTCTGGGCAATGGAACCAGAGCAGCTGGAGAGCTTTTCTGCAGAAGTTGAGCCTGCCGGGGTTGATGACAATTTCTCTGATTTGGAACAGCGAGTTGCGGCCGTTCTTTCTGAGGTTACTCTCGTCCCACTACACAGCATCCATAGAAACACGTCATTCTACAGCCTCGGCTTAGATTCGGTGTCCGCTATATCTTTTTCGAGGGGACTGAGAGATGCCGGTATTGGGAAACTCGATGTCTCCGTTATACTCCGCCAAAACTCGGTGGCGAGACTAGCCAAGACATTATCAGAGAGAATTTTGGAAGTCAATGGAATACATAAACACACAACGTTGGATAAAGCCTTCAAAGAAGACTTCATAACCCAGGTGACGTCCGAATTTGAAAGAGCTGGAAAAGAAATCGCAGAAATTCTCCCGTGCACTCCGCTTCAGGAAGCAATGCTCTCCCAGACAGAGAGCAAGGATGCTCGGACCTACTTTAATCACCTTCTGTTCAGAGTGAATGGGGATTCTGACAAATTCAGAGAGGCTTGGTGGAACATGGTATTAAGACATGATATTTTACGAACATGCTTCGTTTCCACCGATGATGCGCGGTTCACTTACGCTCAGGTGGTCTTAAAAAATGCTGATCTACCATGGTCATCTCTAGTGACGACGGCTAATCTCCTGACATCCGCAATCGAAGAGCGGAAGATCAAGTCTGCGGACACATATCAGGACCCCTTGAAATTACCCTATTCTCTGACGCTCTTCAATGTCCAGGAAACTGGCGAAAAGGTCCTGTTATTCTCTCTTCACCATGCACTTCATGACGGTGAGGCTATGGCAGTCCTTTTGCAGGAAGTGGAGACAACGTATCATGGAGAATCACTACCTGATGCAGTACCATTTCGCAAATTCATCGAGTATACCGTCAATGCACCGCTCGATGCATCCAACGAGTTCTGGAGCCGCTATCTGTCTGACTTATCTCCAAGGCTGCTGTGTTCACCCTCAAACAATGGGCCCCAGCAAGGTGATCCTGGCTATCTGCAAACCCGATTGTCATTGGATATCCCCTTCGATGCATTCGAAAAGCAGTGCAAACAGGTCTTGGCGACACCCTTGAACGTTTTTCACACAGCCTGGGCTAGATTGCTCGCCTTCTACACTGGCTCTACAGATGTTTGTTTCGGTAATGTCTTTAGTTGTCGGACAATCCCACTAGAAGGTGTCGAGAGGATAGTCGGGCCATGTTTCAATACACTCCCTTTCCGCGTCAGAATACCCTCGACGGCGACAAATACTGACATCTTGAAGACCGTCCAAGAGAGCAACGTCGAGATCCTGGAACACCAGCTAAGCTCTCTGCGAAATATTCAGAAGAATGTCCTGCGTAACGGAGTGAGATTTTTTGATACTCTCCTTATTTTACAGAACAATGCTCGAGGGTTGAGTCGCGACTTGTGGCAACTGCTCGAAGAACAAGGAGATATGGACTTCCCGATTATATGCGAAGTTACGCCACACCTAGACGAGAATAAAGTCCATATATGCCTGCACAGAGAAACGTCGCGGCTCTCTCAATCTGATGCAGAGATCCTCCTCCAGAACTTTGTCACATTAGTCCAACACACTGTCAGATATCCTTCTGCTCGGGCTGCTGATCAAAGTATTCTGGATACTAGGGCAAATTTGCCTTTGCCAACGACTGGTCAGAACGGTCTCCTCGTTGCAAGCAATTCTCATTCAGAGCTTCCTAATTCCAAATCGACATCGTATTCCTGGACGGCAGAAGAGACAGAGATTCGGGACTTGTTGTCCAATCTTTCCGGGGTCCAGAGCGAGCTGATTAAGCTGGAGACAACAATATTCCAACTGGGACTCGATAGTATCAACGCTGTGCAGATCGCTGGCGCCCTGAGGAAACGTGGCTATGAAGTGTCTGTGATTGACATTCTTGAAGTAAATACCCCTATATGTGACCATATGTAGACATCTTTCTCATAAGATTCTGTTTTACTGACTGACTATGACACAGACCCCAGCCGTGAGTGAGATAGCATCGCTTCTTACTCGCCAGCAAGAGGATGCGTCTCACGAGCAAGAATTTGATTTCGCATCCTTCGAGACCAAATATCGTCCTCGCGTGTGTGAGCAGTTGGGCATCGACAGTACCCTTGTACAGTCAGTACGCCCCTGTACTCCTGTACAATCAGGAATGCTCTCTCTATTTTATAGCTCAGGGGGCGAGTTGTATTTCACCCGCGTGGTCCTGAGATCATATGCTCCTCTTGACGAAAAGCTTCTCAACGAAGCTTGGACGAGGACTGTTGCAAGACACGAGATGCTGCGCACAGGGTTTGTCCAGCTGCAAGATCAGCAATACCCCTTTGCCATGATTACATACCACAAGGATGCCATGCCACTACTTTGGTATGGAGAGCCTCTAGAGTCGGGGACTAGCAACGAGGCGCTTTCGAGAAGAAAGAATATTCACGCCAATCTCCACCGGCCTCCCTGGTACCTCGCAGTAAAGACCACAGCGTCCAGTACATTTCTCGAGTTCTCAGCTCTTCATGCGATTTATGATGCCCAGTCCTTAGAGTTGGTCTTTAGGGATGTTGCAGCAGCCTATACTGGCCAAAGCTTGGCTGATGTTATCCCAATTGGTCCTGTGTTGAGTCATATTCTCACATCCAGTGTGCTCGAGAGCGACGCTACGGAGAACTTCTGGAAAGACGTTCTCAAAGAATCACAAGTGGTTAGATTCCCTGACCTAAACCCATTGCATGCAGAAAAGGGAAAGTTGTCCGTGGTCTCAAAGAAAAGTTCTCGGTCATTGACTTTGTTGGACACTGGATGTCGAGACCTAGGCATTACGCTCCAAGCTGCTGGACAAGCTGCATGGGCCAGACTGCTGTCTGCATATACCGGTGAAACAAACATAGTCTTCGGGCTTGTGCTATCTGGTCGTGACCTATCTGAGATGGCGAAAGAGGCAGTGATGCCGTGTCTGATGACAGTGCCTTGCCCATGCCGCGTGCAGAATACTAATCGTGATCTCACCAGCCGCATCATGAAACTAAACGCTGGGCTCATGAAAAATGGCCGTACGCCATTGTCAAAAATCCAGCGATGGCTGAAGTCTGAACAGGGATTATTTGACACGCTGTTTGTGTACCAGAAAATGTCATCTGGGACAGAGGACTCTCGTCCTTGGGAGGTCGTGGAAGATGACGCTAAGATCGACGTGTGTACCCCTTCTTCACTAAATACCGGTGTGAAAGCTTACCATTTACAGTATCCTGTGTCGATTGAAATGATTCCCCGCTCTGGAGAGCTGGAGTTGCGGCTGACCTGCAAAAGCGATGTTGTCCCCCAAGAACAAGCATCCCTCATTCTAGAGCAGTTCGACAAGTTCATCATAGACTCCATCTTTTCGCCGGATTCAAGCTCTGATGACTGTTCCGGCGTCGGCCGCGACTTTCTATCTATTACACCTGCCAAAGAACAGAGAATACCTTCCCCAGTGCAGCTGCTGCACGAATTCGTCGAAGAAAGTGCGCGCAAAGTACCTCAGAAGATAGCATTTGAGTTCGCAACCAGCATCGAAAGAAACGGGGTCGAAAAGAGAGTCTGGACTTACGAGGAATTCGATTCTGATGGAAATAAGTTTGCCCATCTCTTACAAAGATTCGGAGCTCAACCAGGGCAGTTAATCGGTATATGTTTCGATAAATGTCCTGAAGCATCGTTGGGAATCCTTGCTGTCTTAAAAGCAGGCTGCGCATACGTGGCTCTGGACCCCAATGCACCGATCGCCAGAAAACAATTTATTATGGGCGATGCAGGTTCCAAGTTGCTGCTATGTACCCTCGACAAGAAGGCAGAGTTGGAGACCATTCCTGACATCAAAGTACTTGCGCTAGATGAACCGGGTATTTTGGACGATGTACCGTCAGGTGCAGTGGTCCTTGATCGACCGGTAACGCCACAGGACGTATGTTACTGCTTGTATACGTCTGGAACTACTGGGACACCAAAGGGATGCGAAATAACCCACGACAATGCTGTTCAGGCTATGCTAGCTTTCAGCAGGCTTTTTGATGGCCATTGGGACGACGAGTCTCGATGGCTCCAATTCGCTTCTTTCCATTTTGACGTTAGTGTCCTTGAGCAATACTGGAGTTGGAGTGTTGGCATTTGCGTCACTTCGTGCCCTCGCGATTTGCTATTTGAAGACCTCGCCGGTACGATTCGCGCACTGCAGATCACGCACATTGATCTTACTCCTAGTCTCGCGAGGCTGCTCAGTCCGGACGAGGTTCCTTCTCTGTGTCGCGGTGTATTTATCACGGGAGGAGAACAACTGAAACAAGAGATCCTTGATGCATGGGGAGAGCAGGGAGTCATCTACAATGGATATGGTCCAACAGAGGTCACAATAGGTTGCACCATGTTCCCCAGAGTCCCCGCTAACGGAAAACCGTCAAATATTGGGCCTCAATTTGATAATGTCGGATCATATGTCTTCCAGCCTGGGACGAAAACCCCCGTCTTGCGCGGCAGTGTGGGTGAGCTTTGTGTCTCGGGTCCTCTTGTCGGACGTGGCTACCTTAATCGTCCGGATTTGACAACGGAGAAGTTCCAGTTCTTGGAGGAGTTCAACGAACGCGCTTATCGAACAGGTGATCTCGTGCGGCTCTTATGGGACGGTACTTTCCAGTTCCTGGGCCGCATAGATGACCAGGTGAAACTGCGTGGACAGCGTCTTGAGATTGGGGAAATCAACGAGGTAATCAAAGGCGCAGCGCCAGATGTGGGAGAAGTTGCTACGTTAGTAGTCAAGCATCCAAAGCAGTCAAAGGAACAACTGATTTCCTTCGTCACTAAGGGCAGCCAGAAGCAGAAACGAAATTCCGTGGAGATCTGTATCAATGAGGATGATGGCAGCTTGTTATCAGCTGTTAAGAATGCCTGCCGGTCTCATCTTCCTGGCTACATGGTCCCAACGCATATCATTCCCATCACATCTTTCCCTCTGTCTGCTAATAACAAGGCGGACGCGAAGACTCTAAAGGCATTGTACCAGGCTATGTCGATCGAAGAATTGCAGTCATTGAACTCGCTGAGCAGAGACGCGGTGGATGTGGACGATGAGACATTGAAGAAAGTTATTTCTGTGCTTTCGGGATATCTTGGTAGTGCAGATAAAGAAATATCCCCTGAGTCCAGTATTTACGAACTGGGTTTGGACTCGATTTCAGTGATATCATTTGGCAGGGCTCTCAGGGAAGCCGGATTTTCGCAGGCACAGCCGTCAGTCATAATGAAGAGTGAGTATCTATCTAATGTGTGATTTCGAGACAGAGCTGACCCTTTTTAAGACCCCACTATTTCTGGAATAACGAAGGAGCTTCAAAGCTCAAGCATCAATTCCGCTTCGATGGAGAACATTTACAGAGAGGCACGACAAAACATCATGGCCTTTTCTCACAAATATCTCCATCTTGCTGCAGGTTACCTTCAAATCGCTTCTTCGACTATCGACGCTGTTGCTCCTTGCACTCCACTACAGGAAGGAATGATTTATCACTTCCTAGAAAGTGACAAGCCGCTATATTGCTCCTCTTTCGCTTTCGAGTTGGTACTTCCGATTGACTCCGAACGACTGAAAGGCTCATGGGAGCACTCGCAAAAGGCGGAGCAGCTACTTCGTACGAGGTTCGCGCCAACGCCAGACGGTTACGCTCAAGTCGTCCTCAAAGAGAGTGAGCTTCCGTGGTTCGAGATGACTACTGCAAATAGCGAGGATGTGGATAACTTGAGACGCCATAATTTCATGAAATGGTGCAAAAGAATGGGTGACTTCTGTGCTTCGCCCTGGCAGGTCGGTTTGATCACATCCCCAACGAGATCATTGATGTGTCTGGACATCTTCCATGCCCTATATGACGGCAACAGTTTACCGCTGCTGTTAGAGAAGATTGCTCACATATATCTTCAAAATGACTCTTCCTCCAGTGGACTTTCATTTTTGGATGTCTTGCCTCTGGGCCCCTTGTGCAAGATTCCTGGCGCAGAAAAGTTTTGGACTGAGCATCTGGCCGACGCTCCGGTGGGGACACTTTTCTCCAGTGCACGGCAAGATGATGACCAGTATAGCACAGCCAGTGCCAAACTCGATATCGACGACGTGGGTGGCTTGGAGGTCCTCAGACGATTGCTCAGTGTCACCGAGCAATCTATACTTCATGCCTGTTGGCTTCTCGTCCTATATCGTCAATTTGGAAGGGTCCCAACACTTGGTATGGTGGTTTCAGGGAGGGCGCTCGACGTCCCTGGAATAGAAGAATTGATAGGTCCATTGTTCAACACACTTCCAAGCAATGTGCGGTTCAGCCATCTCAGTACTTGGTCTGACCTAGTGCGGCGCTGTCACGATTACTATACTTCCACCATTCCTTTCCAACATACTCCTCTGCGAGATATAATGAAGTGGACACGCAGGTCTCCAGACCAGCCGCTCTTTGAGTCGCTGTTCGTATTCCAGAAAAGCAGCAGTATGCACACTTCCTCAGAGAAAAACCTATGGTTCCCACTGGACAGTGAAGCAGAGATGGGATATCCTTTGGCTTTCGAAGTACAACACAAGGACGACCAGTCGTTGACTGCGACAGTCGTTGCAAATACACAATCTATCTCCTCCGAAGACGCCCAGGATTTGCTTCGCCTCTTCCGGGACACTCTCTTGCAACTCATAGAGGACCCTTCAAGAGAGCTATCTTACAGCAATGGTGTCGCGACATCTCTGAACGGCCACGCCACCGCGACGACTCAGGGAACAGGAGAGTCCGACCGAGGACAAGGAAAAGCCACCCAATTTGAATGGAATGCCGAGTCCCAGATGATTCGAAATGTCATTGCTGAGCTGGCTGGAATTGATCCAAATGACATAAAAGAAACCACATCGATTTTCGAACTCGGTTTGGACAGCATAGATGCAATAAAGGTCTCTTCCAGACTGAAGATCCTCGACATAAGTCTGCCTGTCAGCACTATCATGCGCCAGCGCACTATCGAAAAAATGGCCGCGCAGCTAGTGCAACCGGTTAATGGCAGCTCATCTATCTCGAGGACATCCCTTTCCCGATACGAAAAGGATATAACCGAATGCCTGACCCGGGATGGAGAGATCTCCAAAGATACCATTCGAGTGTTGCCCGCAACCGCAATTCAAGAGGCCATGGTGGCGGAAATGGTGGCATCGGACTACACACATTATTACAACCATGATATCCTGGAGATCGAACCAGACGTGGACCTAGAAAGACTGAAAAGCGCTTGGGACCAAGTCTTCAAGACTCATCCAATCTTGCGGACGACCTTTGCGGAGATCTCAGACCCGCGTGTGCCATTTTCGTATGCCCAACTCGTGCATGATGTGGCTTTAGATATTCCTGTTGTTGAGTGGAAGGACCAACCAGTGAACAAGGTGCTCGAGGGCCAGATACCAGTCCGAGACAGAAACGCCAACAACACCGAGCCTCTTATGGCGCTGCGTGTTATATTGACCGAAAACAACAAGCGCTATCTGATTTTCTCAGTCGCTCATGCTCTCTATGACGGATGGTCACTCGGTTTGCTCCATGCCGACGTCGCAAAATGTTATGCCGGTGGATCTTGCGAGCGGCCTCCGTATGATGGTGTTCTGGAGCACTTGATTGAGTCTTCTGGACAGCAAGCTTCTGAGTATTGGAAAACTGCTCTTTCCAATTGCACTCCTACTAAATTCCCCGCAGGAGCAGACGCTGGCGGGCGGCAACAGGTTGTGCATCGCCAGGAGAAGACCCTTTTGGTGGCGGTCGAAGAAGTTAATAGCTTCTGCAAGAAAGTCGGGATTACTCTGCAAGCTCTCGCGTCTACGTGCTGGGCCCTTGTACTCGCGGAGTACGTCAAGAGGCTAGATGTCGTCTTCGGACTGGTACTTTCAGGTCGCGACATTGCCAATGCAGAGCAAGTGATGTTCCCTACTATGAACACAGTTGCCATGCGTTCTATTATCCATGGTACGCGGTCAGAAATGCTAAAATACACCCAAGGGGTTCTGGCTGATATGGCCTCTTATCAACATTTCCCTCTGAGAAAGGCAAAGCCCGACATGAGTTCTCGAGCACTCTTCGATTCTCTGTTCATCTACCAGAAAAGGCCAGAAGAAGCCGTCCATCCACAGAAGGCTTTATACAAATCTGTTGATGCGTCATCCAATCTAGAGTATCCTGTATGCGTTGAACTGGAGAATACGAGTGGATCGCTCATATGGAGAGTGGCATGCCATGATACTACTTTGGGAGCATCAGAGACTGCAGTGCTCTTGGAGCGTGTTTGTGATATGTTCGCTCTGATTCTCCAACAGCCAGATCGACCGGTTCTAGACTTTGTTGACAGTGGAGTCTCAATCTGTGAGGGCCGAGCGTTCCAGGAGCAGGCTGCGACAGCGCAGGCGACATCGAAAGACAATACAATCTCTCAGTCTCATGAAGAATGGTCTACACTTGAGACGAATATTCGTCAGGTTCTTGCGTCCGTGTCTGGAATTCCCGAGCAAGAGATTGGTAAGGATGCGACCCTGTTCCATCTCGGTCTGGATAGCATCAGTGCCATAAAAGTGTCGTCCTTGTTGAAGAAACAGTCTATCACGCTTCCAGTGAGTGACATGCTCAAGGCTGGTACCATCAGGGCGATGGCTAGGACCGTGAAGGTTGAGGGTATGGGATTCAAGTCTGGAGATGTGACACCGGTGCTGGATACCCTGCTGGCAAGGATCGATGTTCCTAGCTTGCTACAATCCTATGATATCCAGCGGCAGCATGTCGACCGGATCTCCCCTACGACTGCTGGCCAAACATACCTCCTGGCGATGAATGAGCTGAATCCATCCGTGTTCTACCCGAAATTCTGGTACAAAATCCATGACCTCAATGATCACAGCCGGTTAGATGATGCATGGAGGCTTTTGATACAACGTGAAGCCATGTTACGCACCGCCTTCATTCCGACGGCTGAGAGAGACATGCCTTATATCGCAGTGGTGCTGAATGATATCCGGAACCCTATCGTTTGGCACGCATCCAATGCTGCTGGGGAATCGAAGAAGAGAAACATCCATTCAGTGCCAGTGACACTCCACGCCTACGCGAGAACCGATGCTATCTACATAGCGCTTGAGATTCACCATGCACTTTACGATGCCGTGAGTCTTCCAATGCTTATCGATGCTCTTGGCAGTTTCTGCAATGGTGAGGTTTCCAAGAGTGAGTCGAGCCTTGATCTGGCGACACTCGTGGCGTTTCAAAGTACTAGATCGCCTGTGGAGAAGCGACGGGAGTTCTGGGAAGGCTATCTTGGGCAGAGAACGTACAAGAAATCAGAGACACTGGCATCATCATACACTGAGATCAAGAGCTTCTATCGACCGGGACTGCTCTCGGATATCTCGCGGGTCGAAATGGCGGCACGACAGCACGCGATAAGTATTCAAGCTCTGTTCCTAGCGGCCTACGCGCGCGTACAATCGCGGTTGACAAAGACCAATGATGGATCAGAAACGGGTCATGTCATCGTCGGATTGTATCTAGCAAACCGCGGCCACGATCTGGAAGGATTAGAAGAGCTCACAGCGCCCACGGTGAACATTGTCCCTCTGAAGATCGAAAATGCAGCAGCTAGCGGGGAGTCCATTTTCAGTGTGGCGCAAAGGATACAGAAGGATATACAGGAAATCGGGCGAATTGAGTATTCAGGCGTGTCGCTTGTGGAGATCGCAGACTGGACCGGCGTGCGAGTAGACACATGCGTCAACTTCCTCAGACTTCCTGAGTCTAGACCAGCGCAGGATCAGGATCACGGCGATAAACGACATGTGGGAGTGGAGCCAGCAGATCCCCAGGAAATCAAGGCCCTTCTGGCAGAGGACAATGGCAACGCCGAGGCGAAAGAGGATCACTGTTTGACCGTTAATCATGGCCAAGACAGCCAAAGCAGCTTTGACCCCGAGCGCTCTGGATTTTTAGAAGACATTTTCCTGGTATGTGACATCGCATATGGTTCCATGTGGCATCAAGAACTAACCGAGTCTGTCTTGCATAGCCGACGATTGATATCGAAGCTGCCGTCCGGGGGGACGCACTGGACGTGGGCGTCTTCGGGCCGAAGAATCTTGTCAACGAAGCGACAGCGGAAACCATACTCACCGATTTACGACGGGAGATCCTTTCTGTTATTACCCAGGATACGAATGGTTACTGATCCGTTGTGGCCAGCGGGAACGCTTTGGATCTGTCTCTTGTCGGAACAGATAACACGGTTTCGTCTTAAGCAAAGGTCAGCGGACATTCTCAAGGTCTAGGACGTGAGGAGATGGCAAGGAATGGGAAGGGGGGTTTTCTTGGAGCCCCTAGAAGATGATGATTGAGTTCCAGAGCCTTTGGTCGAAGGGAGTGTGGAGTGTGGAGATGACCACGAACTATCGACAGTTGGTCTGCAAGGGCGTCTTGTCTGTACAGCGGCGTTAATGGGGTCCAACACGTGGTTTCTGGTGGGGAGGTTTGACATCTTGAAGGGCTTTGTTGGTCGAGTATAGAGTGTGTTCAAACTTCACAGATGATGATGGATCTGGATCAGCATCATCATATTGTTTATTTTCGCGTTCCACAGCCCATATTATTATTGATACATAGATAGGACTTGGTAGACAGGGGATTGGTCTTGTATATAGACTGGATGGACAATAGCAATGTTCTTTTTCTACAGTGGTTTGGTTGTTTGTCTACTTAGTCTTAGAGACTCTTTCAGTTCAGATGCTTGGGTTGAATGTTGTGATCTCTTCAGGACTTCCGCTTAGTTAGCAAAGAGGGCACTCATGTGACTGGCACGCTGTGACGCGGTGGTCTGTGAGGGAGGGGCAGATGGCCCGTGATGCGACAAGTGGAGAGAGAGGTAAATGGGACCATTTGCCACTGATCTGGACTGCCTGGGATGTTAGGCTGCGTGTGAGAGTAGACGAACAACAGTTACTGTTGCTGAGAATTATCACTGTACTATAGTCTGCTTCTACCATTGGGAGGGAAAGCGGGAGTTGTAGAATCGAGAGACAACAGAGTGACCTGTCAGATACTTGGTGGTGTATGGCGTGCTGGGCAGGCTGTTGGGTACCCTGCGAGTACCAGCTGGGTCACTGTCAGTGTCTCTCGTCGCGGGCCGTCGCGGTGGCGCGTCGCCGCCCAAGGCACTAAACCCAATCAGGCGAACAAGTCAACAACAACGCGAGCGCGTGGGAAACTCTTGGGGAAAGAGCGACTGCGAGAGGCTTTTGGACCAAACCAAGAAGGCGCCCCGACTTCCTCGACATTCTCTCTTCTCTCTCTCTCTCTCTCTCCCTTTCCCGACATTCTCGTCCCTGGAAACTCTATCCCGCCTTTGTCCAACAATTAAAAAAATTAATTACAATAAAACACCAAAATATACGATCGCCAACCACTTCAAGGCACCCCTCGAACTACAACGTCCCGCAGTCCCTCACCGTTCATTGACGTCGTTGTTGCGATAACGCATCTTTTTTAGTGTTCCCCCCATCTGTCCGTGGCGGATTTTGTTGGATCTTCCGGAACCAACACGTCCCCTTGCGCGCGACCGTCAGCGCCTGGGTTTCCCGATCATCGAAGGGCCCCCCTCTTGTGAGATCTTTCTGGTTGTTGAATCAATCCCTTTCGGGGACGGGTCACTGGCGCTAAAAGAAGCGCACGCGAAAGGGAGAACAAGACAAGACGAACTCCCCCATCCCCATCGCACCTGCCGGACGTCGCGCGACGGTCGCCTGTCGAAACATTCCACGGCAAACGAGGCACCACTGCGCGCAGGACGAAGGGTTTCAGGGCGCGTGCCCGTGGAGTTGTTGTTGTTGTCGGGGTGTGGGGATAGGTGCACCAGGACGCATGGAGGCGTCAACATCATCGGATTCCGTTGACTCGCAATGATTGTGTGACGTCGAGTCTTGAACATCGGACATCCTTCGACATATTGATTCGCTTCCTGATCCTGATCCACATTCCAGTGCGGTTTCCGGTATCACCGATTGTTTCTAACACACAGCCTCTGTTCACGCGGCAATTGACACCCGCCCTCAGCTGGACGCCTTGTTGTCTTGTCGTGTCTCCATCCTCGAGAACAAAAAAAAGAAGAGCGTCTGTCTTCCTGCCGATCTTGCCAGAAGACAAGCGGCGGCGCCGAACAATACGACTCGACGTGAACCACAACCTGTTTTCCCAGATATCCCAGCAGTCTGGTGGTCATCGCGCGCCTTTTGGAAGATCTCCAGGACAAGAGAAAGATCAGCAAATCACCAAGTACCGGCCGGACAGCGTTTGTGACGGGCCTAAGACGAGAGAAGTATCCAGTGAAAAAGAAAAGAGAAGATTCAGTGTGGGATCGGTGCGCGTCACAACATTCCCAAACCATGGTCGCTACGTTTTCACCACACCGCGATGCAGGCGGTACCCTTCATCTACCATCTCCCACCGGGATGCACCATGTCGATGCGAGTTCCGCCATAAGACAACTTCGTCGGTCATTGTCGCGCTCCCCCTCGAAGAACTCGGATTTCCGCCTCCTGCCATCGCGGACCAAATCGCCATCGAACACCCCCTTCGTCTCCTCGCCACTGTCACCGTCCAGACGAATACACCACGGAAACCTCTTCTTTGTCCCTCAGTCTTCCAACGCGTCTCCGCTGGCGGTGCCGTATCCTCCCAGTGCAAAGATCACTCGACCGGTGATGCGCCGTACCGGCACTCTCCAACCAACCCGGACGCGCACCTCGCCTCGGAGTCCGGTCAAGCGCGCCCTGACAGACTCGACGGACCAGGGAAACGCGACTCCCGTTCAGCCATTGATCCTTCCGCCGGGTGACGAGAATATGACAGAGACCCCCAACGTCCCTGACGATGATAGCGAGACCAGCGAAGGCTCTTGTACGGGGGATGCGACTGGCGCAACCGAACCGAGTACCGTATTGAAATCCAGCAGTTTTCGCATTGAGAAGAGACGCAGCGGGACGTTTGGCGGCTTTCCACCGTCAGTCAGTCCTCTGAAGCGCAGCGACGGGATTATGGGACTGGACCAGGCAAGCCGGGGCAGTCCCTCAGCGAAACGGCGCAGCGTTCACAGCGCATCCTTTGGAAACGAATTCAACATCTTCGCGAATGACGACAGCGGACTAAATACGGCCGGTGACGCATCAGAGAGTTCTGCTGACGAGAACACGAACCCAACACCCTTCACTCAGCATACGCCGTTCAGTCCTCTGGCGACGATTCCCAAGCGCTCATCATCGCTGAGAAGATCCACGCTTCAACAACGGCAAAGCGATCGCTTTTTCCTTACCCGATCCCGGGGCTCGAGTGACGCGCCAGAGACGCCGACTGGCAGTCCGTCGATCCGTCCTCGCATGTCTCTTGATAGCAATCTTTTCCTCCCTCCTCCTGCGCCAAAAGAAAGTCTCTTCGGCTCGAGTGGCACATTTTCAAATCCGCCTGGTCGGTCCTTGTTCTCGTCCAATGGCGGAAACAATGCACGACATCCTCTTTCGAGGACCATCACTCAATCCTCCTCGAGTTCCAGTCTGGCAGACGAGTCACCTACGCATGAGCCGGTTCACAAGGTTGACCGACCAAAACCAATCTTCAATTTCTCCAAGTCTCTCCCGGTAGGAGCAACACGACCAGGAGCTGGACGTCAGCTCACCCGGGAAGACTCTACTTCTTCGTCGGATTCCTTTGCAACGCCGGATAATTACAAGCTCGTGAAACCTCTGCCAGCTGCCTTTATGTCGACGGGACTGATCTCAAAGAAGAATCGCAATGCCGAGGATCCTCACAGCTCGCTTGGATTCAGCAAGAACATGCCAGACACCCCCTGTAAACGACCCGTCAATTTGTTCTCAACGCACAAGGCATTGCCTGAGCGTCCAATCGAGAAACCAAAGCTCCTTCGTCAGTCATTCGCGGCCCCTGCCTCGCCGTTCAACCCGCCGGAGTCACGCCCGTCCCCTGGGCCTTTCTCTCGTGGGGTCGGCATCTTTGGCAGCACGTTCAATAAGCCAGAGACGTCGCGGCGTGGCAGTTGGGTCAGTCTGGATGGTGACGACCGTCTGTCGCAGTCACCTTCAGCCAGGCACGACAATGCCATGAATGACTTTGATTTGCCCCCGACTCCGACGAAGCAGTCTTTCTTCCCATCCAGAACGTATCCTCCTCCGAGTACGCAGCTCACCCCTCTGGAGAGACTCTCAGAGCCTAAAGGACCAAGCACGAGTCCTCTGAATGACAAGTTTCTACGGGCCTCTCCTCGTACTCCTCAGGACCAGTACTTTCCGCCTGACCCCAGCGGACTGTCCATCTCCGCTGCGAACGATCCCCCTCTTGCCCAGCCCGACTTCAGTCAGACGGTGCTTCCCGCAACTCCCACAGGGCCGCGGGACTCGTTCCCCCAGCCGGGCCACCGCCCTAGTCTGCCTTTGAACGTGTACAATGCGCCTGACGTCGACCCCAGTCTTACCGCACGCTTCGAACGTGTCGAATTGGTCGGGACTGGCGAGTTCTCTCAGGTGTATCGTGTCTCTCAGCCTCACGCATCCTCATATTCGTCAATCTTCTCCCTGCCTTCCAGCGGGACCACAACCCCGACGGCCCTTCCTGACCGCATCTGGGCAGTGAAGAAAGCGAAGCATCCGTATACGGGGCCCAAAGATCGCCAGCGCCGGATCCGCGAAGTCGACGTTCTGAAAGCGTTGGCTAACTCGGACCACATCATATCCTTTGTAGACAGCTGGGAGGACAAGGGCCACCTGTATATCCAGACTGAATACTGCGAAGAAGGTAGCCTGGATGTCTTCCTTGCCCAGGTCGGTCTGAAGGCCAGACTTGATGATTTCCGCATCTGGAAGATCTTGCTCGAACTATCTCTGGTAAGCCCCTTTCCCATATTCGTCGTAGGAGGTACATGACAGAGCTGACTTCGTTGGTCAGGGACTCAAGCATATTCATGACTCCGGCTTTATCCACCTTGATTTGAAGCCCGCCAACATCTTGATCACTTTTGAAGGCGTGCTGAAGATTGCGGATTTCGGAATGGCTGCACGTTGGCCTGCTGAAGCCGGGATTGAGGGCGAAGGTGATCGTGAATACATCGGCCCCGAAATCCTCATGGGTCGGTACGACAAGCCTGCGGATATCTTCGCGCTAGGCTTGATCATGTTCGAGATCGCTGGCAATGTCGAGCTTCCTGACAACGGTCTGTCGTGGCAGAAACTGCGCAACGGTGACATGAGCGACGTCCCCAGCTTGACATGGAGTTCCGAGACAAGCATCTTCCGAGATGCGTCAGGCAACCCTCTGTCCGAAGAGCCCTCGTTTGAGAAGCTGTGTGCATCTGAGTTCGGTGATGATGACTTTGGTGCAGACAGCTTCCTCCACACCCACCGATCTCGAGAACAAAAGGCCGTCCGTCTCGCACGCAGCGGTGAGCTGGTGGAGCCTCCCGAGTTCATGGTAGATGCGAACCACGAGCAGGCCTTGGACAAGATTGTCCGTTGGATGATCTCCCCAAATCCCGACGATCGTCCTACTGCGGACCAGATCCTTCAGACGTACGGAGTCCAGTTTGCTGAACGTCGGCGCCGCGCCGGGGCCACCGTGTTCGAAGGCAACTGGGGCCCAGCCGACGAAGTGCTTGCCGAAGATGCCGAAATGATTGATGTCTAATTGTTCCAACGAATATGCAATCGCCCATGCCGAATGACCTCAGCGTTTAATCGAGTTAATTGACGGATCGGAGGCGTTTTCGCATTTCTCAGCGCCATTTGATGTTTTCTGACGAACATTGCACTACATGCAATGGCAACGACTATCGATTTGCAGTCGACGTGCGAGGTTCGTTTGGGAAACCTTGTAAGAGTAGTCAGATATTTGGTGCAGGATTTTTTCTTTTTGTCTACTGTTCTTTGACGGTAGCGATAGATCCTCACGTGTACACCCTCTCACTTTGTTACGTCCATCATCTCCAAACTTTTTTCCTTTGTTCTATTGCCCAATATCTCACATAGCCACGTCGATTCTTTGTTTGATAATGATCTCCGGGACGATCCTTCTGTTTCCTTTTTCTCTTTTCTTTTTTTTCTTGCCTGTGTCTGTCTGGCATCTGCTGTATTTTCCATCTCGGCCTTCCCAAGGGTTATCATTATCATCTGCATTGGATTGCGAGGTTTGCGCTGTTTCAGACCGCTACTACCCATACCCCCTTCGCTCCAAACAACTGTGTTCGCCTTGAGCTTTCTAGGACTATGTCGGTCCGTCCGTGTGCGTCTTGTTGCCGGTCTTTCCTTTCCTTCTTGTTCTTTTCTTTTGAGAAAAGTGGTCCGATCGATCGATCCGATTGGGACCCCCCTGTATTCTAATGTCACCTTTCCTGCCTTGGGCTTGAATCCTGGCGCGATATTGGCAGTGGTGATGGCGGCATCTTTAGACCTGCTGTGTCTTGTTGTCTTTTATCGAATTGCTAGATACCTATGGCCTCAAAAGGGGTCTGGAGCCGAGTTTTGAGCGGCCTGTTTATAGTCTCACGCAATGAGAACACGAACTTTATGATATTCAATCTGGAGAGTGGTTCAATAGCTGTAGAGCAAATAGTCAGGGGTAGATCAAGTATTATCCCAGTAGTCCGAGTATTCAGCAGCTGCAACACGTTGGTAAATCTTAAAGCAGAAGCCGGGAGTAAGAATAAAAAGCGTTGAATGTTGTCATTTCTTTACTTTTTTTTGCCGCGCGGAGAGAAAGCTGGCGCCGGTCTTGGCGGCGGTGAACTTTCTCCTACTCCGACGACGATGAGTTCTGTGAGCTCGACGCCCCTCCTTCAGTCTATCGCCACTTTCGCCGCCGTGTTTTCCTTTTGATCGTGAACCGTGGATCGCGGTTAGAAAGGGGGCGAAGCTCTGTCAATCAATCGATCAATCAATCCCTTTCTTTTCCTCTTTCTCTCGTGTCTTCCCTGCGTCTCTTCGAGCAGGAGCAGGAGCAGCAGCCGCGCGAGAGAGAGAACAGACGGCAATGGATCACGAAGAGAATTGAAAAAAGAAACACAAGAAAAGAAGGAGCACCGTGGAACCCTGAAAGGGAAATCAAATGTATTGTACTATACAGATCTCACTTAATCGACGCTGAGCGCAGTGAGATTTGCATTATTACGAAACTAGCAACCGTTCAAAAACGAAAACGAAAAACGAATCCTCGAACCAGTCTACTACGTCTGAATTTCCTTTCTTAGCACCACCAACAACAATGGATGACCGAACCTTCGTCTCGGATTCTCTCCTCCGTCTGACAGGCGCGTCCGATCCTACCGTTATCGACTTCGTGCTGGCGACTGCCGCGTCCGCAAAATCGTCTAGCTCACTCGGTGATAAACTCGCGCCGTTTATTGAAGGGGGTAGTGAGAATGAGCTCGGTTCGTTTTGTCAGGAACTGTTCACACGGGTGCGTGGTGGCGGCGGTGGTGGTGGTGCCGGTGAAAGGGAGGAGAGAAAGCCTAAAGCGAAAAAGGATGATGGAGGAAGCAAACGATATCGACTAGTGGAGATGGAGGATGATATGGCGGGTTCTTTGGGACCTGCGAATGTTGAGCTGGAGAGGAATCGGGAACGACAGAGACGGAGGGATAAGGATAAAGATAAGGATCGGGGTAGGCCTGCAGATGGCGACGAGGGTGGGAGTCGTTGGGAGAAGCAGGATGCGCGGAAGAGAGAGCGTAGTCGTGAGGGCGATCGTCATCGGTCGAGGAAGCTACGCAAGCGAGACGTGGATGACTTTGAGGATCGATGGGGTGATGAAGATTACGCTGAGGAAGAGCTCGCTGCGGACGGAGAGGAGGATTTCCACGAGTCACCGTCTAAGCGGACGCGGTTGGAAGATGGTCCTGCGTCGTCGCACTCTGATGCAGAAGACGAAGACCTCGATCCGGAGACCAGGGCCGAGTTGGAGCGGCAACGCGATCTCAAGGAGAGAGATGAGTTCGCGAAACGTCTGGCGAATAAAGATAACACCAAGTCGAAGAAGATCGTTGAGGATCGAGCAGGGACAGGCGAGGGTGCTCGACGGCGGGCGTTGGCCGATGATGCTGCGGCTCGAAGCGCCGCCATGCCGGAGTTGAGAATGCGTTCTCGTCAGGAGTATCTGAAGAAACGCGAGGCAGAACGTCTTGCCCTGCTGCGACGACAGGTAGCGGAGGAGACGGCAGAACTGCGAGAGAACCCCAACTTGACCCGCAAGGAGAAGGAGGAGTTTGCGAGAAATCGCGAGGTGCTGCGGATCGCAGAGGAGAGACTACGGATCGACGACTACCGCGATGGCTATATGATGCCGGAAGACTACATTACGGAGAAAGGAAAGATTGATAGGAAGAAGAAGGAGGAGGCTCTCTACAAACGTTACGTTGACCGTGACGAACATGGTCAGGAGCGCTTCGTGACGGAGCAGGAGGAATGGGAGCAGGAACAGACGGCCAAGGCGAAGGCGCAGATTTCCCGAGCAGAGTATGTCGACGAGGGAGACTACGAATATGTCTTTGACGACGCACAGAAGATCAACTTCATCATGGACTCGAAGCTCGAGGGTGATCGCAAGCCCATGACAAAGGAGCAGCGTATGTTGGCGGAGCAGCTGGATGCAGCTGAGAAGAAGGCTGCCTCCATCGAAGAGACCAGGAAGAGTCTCCCCATCTATCAGTATCGGGAGCAGATCCTCCAGGCGGTGGCCGATCACCAGGTCCTGATTATTGTCGGAGAGACCGGGTCCGGAAAGACCACCCAGCTCCCGCAGTATCTCCACGAAGCAGGATATACGAAGAACGGTATGAAGATCGGCTGCACCCAGCCCCGACGAGTGGCTGCCATGAGTGTCGCCGCGCGTGTAGCGGAGGAGATGGGTGTGAAGCTAGGCCACGAAGTTGGCTATGCGATCCGGTTCGAGGACAATACCAGCGACAAGACCATCCTCAAGTACATGACGGATGGTATGTTACTGCGCGAGCTGCTGACGGAGCCCGATCTGGGCCAGTACTCTGCTTTGATGATCGACGAGGCCCACGAGCGGACGGTGCCGACGGATATTGCATGCGGGCTTCTGAAGGATATCGCCAAGGCACGTCCGGACCTGAAGCTTCTCATCTCGTCTGCGACGATTGATGCGCAGAAGTTCCAGAAGTATTTTGACGATGCCCCGATCTTCAACATCCCTGGACGACGATACCCGGTCGATATTCATTACACCTCGCAGCCGGAGGCTAACTACTTGGCGGCTGCTATCACGACCGTCTTCCAGATCCATATCACACAGGGTCGGGGAGATATCTTGGTGTTCCTGACAGGTCAAGAAGAGATCGAGGCTGCAGAGCAGAGTATACAGGAGACGGCTCGCAAATTAGGTGGGAAGATCCCAGAGCTCATCATAGCTCCGATTTACGCCAATCTCCCGTCAGAACTTCAGACCAAGATCTTCGAGCCGACGCCGCCCCGTGCGAGGAAGGTGGTCCTGGCAACCAATATCGCGGAGACGAGTTTGACCATTGATGGAATCGTCTACGTGATTGACCCTGGCTTCGTGAAGGAGAACGTGTTCAACCCACGGACCGGTATGGAGAGTCTGGTGGTGACGCCGTGCTCGCGTGCCTCTGCTGGACAGCGCGCTGGTCGTGCCGGTCGTGTCGGTCCGGGCAAATGCTTCCGGCTGTATACCAAGTGGGCGTATCTCAACGAACTGGAGGAAAACACGACCCCGGAGATCCAGCGGACGAACCTCAGCGCGGTCATCCTGATGCTGAAGTCGTTGGGAATCGACCAGCTGCTCGACTTTGACTTTATGGATCCGCCGCCGGCCGAAACGATTATCCGCGCGCTAGAGCAGTTGTACGCTCTCGGGGCGCTCAACGACCGCGGCGAGCTGACCAAGATCGGACGCCAGATGGCGGAGTTCCCGACGGACCCGATGCAGGCCAAGGCGATCCTGGCCGCAGACAAGTACGGATGCGTGGAGGAGGTGCTCTCGATCATTGCGATGGTTGGCGAGGCCAGCGCGCTGTTTTTCCGTCCCAAGGACAAGAAGATCCATGCGGATAGCGCCCGGGCGCGGTTCACCGTCAAGGACGGCGGTGACCATCTGACGCTGCTCAATGTATGGAACCAGTGGGTGGACTCGGACTTCAGCTACGTGTGGGCGCGGGAGAACTTCTTGCAGCAGCGCAGTCTGACGCGAGCACGCGATGTGCGAGATCAACTGGCGAAACTGTGTGACCGTGTCGAAGTGACTGTCAGCAGCGCCGGGTCGAATAACCTGATTCCCATCCAGAAAGCCATCACGGCGGGCTTCTTCCCGAACGCAGCGCGACTGCAGCGTGGCGGCGACAGCTACCGGACGGTGAAGAACGGGCAGACGGTGTACCTGCACCCGTCAAGCACGCTGTTCGAGGTGAACCCCAAGTGGGTGATCTACCACGAGCTGGTGCTGACGAGCAAGGAGTACATGCGCAGCAACATGCCGTTGCAGCCCGAGTGGCTGGTCGAGGTGGCGCCGCACTATCACAAGAAGAAGGATCTGGAGACGCTTGGTCTGGACAAGAAGGTGCCCAAGGGGGCTGGAGCGACGGGGGAGAAGAGTCGGATCTAGGATAAGCTCAGTGGTGTCTTGGAAAGCGCGGGGAGTTATGCTATTTGGGATTGCTGTTTATTATATACCATGGTCCGGTATACACTATACTAGTTACTGGGCTCAATGTATCATACCCTCTGGATGGATGATGTAGGCGCATATTAATCGCATCTTGGTATTATGTATTAATTACATTGTATCATTGACCTTATAGATGTACAGTACAGTAACATATACGTGCAATAGCATACATGTGCAAACGAGTCAAAAAGCATAGTGTTATATGTTATAGTAATATGTAATAACAATAAGAAAAACGCCATAACTCAATATGGTAGTAGTAAATAAGTTCGTTACTATTTTAAAATCCAACTACGGAGTACATACATATCTACCGGCCGAGAGAACGGAACCCCGCGGAGAACCAATGAGCAGAGCGGGGATTCATCTGACGCGCGAAACAAGGCCTCGGCTCATGGAATGATTGATGAACATTATAGAAAGCATCAACTAACTACAAGTTATCACATCCTCTTCATCATCCATCTATCTGACTTAAACCATCCGGGTGATTAATTAACTAGAGCGCATCGATCCATCTACCTTTCTAACATACCTACTCGCGTGCTCATCTCTCTCATCTCACCCTTACTTGATGATCCTTTGATCCATCCCTTCCGCGACAACGAAACCATACCGATCAACCATCATCAATCAATAATTCAATTCAATTCAAATCAAATCGCCATGTCCAAATCATTCACTCCCGCTGACGTCGCGTCTCACAACAGCCCCGACAAGGGCCTCTACATCATCGTCGACTCGAGCGTGTACGACGTGACGGAATTTATCAACGAGCATCCTGGCGGTGCTAAGATCCTGAAGCGCGTCGCGGGCAAGGATGCTTCGAAGCAGTTTCGGAAGGTTAGTATATCATTATTTCTTATTTTTTTTTTTTTTTGGACTTAGTTAGCTGTTCTGTTCGATTCCTTAGAAATCACGGAAAGCGGGTGAAGTTAAGTTAGATAACCGATAGTTACCGATACTGACTGATTTCAACAGTATCACAACGAGGGCGTGTTGAAGAAGTATGGGCCCAAATTGAAGATTGGAGAGGTGAAGGAGGCTGCGAAGTTGTAGAGAGTCAAATTCTATCTGTTTGTGGTCTGTCTGTAATAGAGGGGGGTTATGTTGATGTTGATTATAAGAAATAAAATAAAATTAACCATTGAGATAATGTATGTATCTTCGTATACTGCCTGTCTTGAATACGGAGGAGTCGTCACTGACCATTCGATTTTTATCTGGTTGATAAAATAGTCAATAGTATCTCAACCATGGCTCTGAGTCTTCTGGACCCTCTGCAATCTCGATGGAAGCTGTCACTGGCGAGATCTCCTTCTGCCCGCCATTTCTAGAGCAGGAGTAGTCTCTAGTAACTGGACGTCTCCAAAGGAATTAAGATATTTAGCTAGATATCGATGATTACTTGAATTAATCCAGGAATATGATTCGGTACGCATAGCATGAAACATTTATTCTATGAGACTGCGGGTCGAGTATCGGTTGCAAGTCGACTGATCCGGAGTGGGCTTTGATGAATGTGTGAGTCTTGAGACTCGTTTCTCTGACCAGCTATCTTGTCCCTGTTTTTCTATTTATTTATTTTCATTTTCTCTCGAACTGGACACTTCCGAAGAGCGCTATTTGGAGGTTATGTGTGTGAGCTGATGCTTCTTGATATGTGCCAAATTCGACTCGTGAAGAGGTTGATCTGGATCAGTTGAATCTTGTTCGCTGTGATGGTCGGACGGAACATCCTAGAGATGCGCAAGAGGAAGAAGGAACCAACTGGAAGTGTTCAAGTCATGGTTAAGGCATGCTCAAAGCGATTGAAGCAATAGACCCTGGCCAGGAGTGCGAACCGCCATAATGAAAACCTATCCAGGCGTCTGTCTACAAGGGAAACGAAACCTCACTCAGGGACAGTGTACCCTACGGAACAGACTCGGGATACTGATGATGGCCAGGGCTGAGTTGATACTTCAAGTGGGTAGATTCGTCATCTCCCAGAGGTAACTATAATATGGCCAGAAAGGTAGACGTCTCTTCTTGGTCGGCTATTAGGCCTGATATTTTCTTCTTTCTCTCAGGATATTATCATGATATTACTCGAAACCCACTCATCGCTCCCAGTCCAGCCCGACACGTTCCAGTGCGAGACTAACCTGTTAGCTTTCACTGACACCAACCGTTCTTGTCAACGTCGACGAGATCAGTGTATAGTAGTATGTCAACTGCTCGATCCCATCGATAGATAGTTCGTGAATAACTAGGTAATAAAATATCCAATAATCAGACCATGAGAGATGCTGACCTAGTATGTTCTCGTTGGCAATAAGAATCATAATCCCATAATAAGAAGAAGAAGAATAATTCTCTTCTCCCAAGGTCCTCACACGCGGTGGATCAGCCAAACTAATCAGAACCAGTCGTGTTTCCCCCTCGCCGTTCCTTGCCCGTCTCTTCTTCCTTTTTTCTTTTTCTCTTCGTTTCTTTTCCTTTTTTTTCCCTTTCTTTTGTGGTCCTGAAGGTCCCCCGAGACGCTACAACGTCGGCTTGTTCCGTCAGGATACGTATACAGCACAGCACCAACTAACTAAACCATCCAGCCCCATCTCCGTCCAGGATTGTTCGTGCATCGTGTGGCGTATTAAACGGTCCGAAAGATCATGCAGGTGTCGATTCGGGTTGATAATAATAAGAGAAGATGGCCCATCTGTCCATGTAACATAGAATATCTTCTTCGGAGTTGAGATCTTCGTCCTGATATGATCCTGAGCGTGGCGTAGACGAGACTCTTCCTGCAAATAACTAAGTTTTAATTCTCCTGGCCTTCTCGGTCTTATCCGAATCTCCTCTGGCCAGCTAACCCAGAAGGTAGCATCTCGTCGGCCAGGGTGGAGAGTCATCTGGAAGACTAGATTAGTCTGCTTTCCCACGCGAGTTTGACAGAGGCGAAAAGCCTTTGCGCCCCCATAGCCCCAAGGTACTCGGCGCAGGTAGCCCATCACACTAATATCTTATATATTCTTATATATATTCATATATCACTCATCCGGGGAGAGATCTCGTCTGTTGCTTTCTGTAAAGGATCGGATCGTCGTTCAAAATCCCCCTCAATTCTCCTCTCGATCCTTTCGTTCCCCCCGGGTCCTGTTCAATCATGTCTTCCTCATTTGATCCGACCAACGTTGATCTGGACACTGCGGACCCCGCCCAAGTCGTCTGCTATCTGAATCAAGGTGGAAATGACTACAATGGACACCTCGGGGCGCGTATATCCTCCATCTTCGTCATCCTCTTCGTTTCCACCTTCGTGACCGTCTTTCCCGTCGCTGCCAAACGGGTCCCCTCTCTGAAGATTCCTCTCTATGTCTACCTGTTCGCACGCTATTTCGGTACCGGCGTGATCATCGCCACGGCCTTTGTCCATCTGCTGGATCCGGCCTACGAGGAGATCGGTCCGGCCAGCTGTGTCGGCATGACGGGCAACTGGGCCGTCTATTCATGGCCCCCAGCCCTCGTTCTCGCCTCGATAACCGTCATCTTCCTCATGGACTTTGGCGCCGAATTGTACGTCGAGTCCAAATATGGCATTCAGAAAGAAGCCCCCGTGAACATCGTCACCGGCCATGTCCACCACCAGGAAGGATCCCAATCCTACCCACAGGACCACGAGCACCAACAGAATCCCGACAAGGCCACCGTCGCCTACAACAACTCCGAGGCCGACTCGCTCAGTGCCGAGATCTCGATGAAACAGCAGTTCGCCGCCTTCCTGATCCTCGAATTCGGCGTCATCTTCCATTCCGTCATCATCGGCCTGAACCTGGGCGTGGCCGGCGACGAGTTCGCGACGCTCTACCCCGTCCTGGTCTTCCACCAGTCATTCGAGGGCCTGGGTATTGGCGCGAGACTCTCTGCCATCGAATTCAAGCGCAGTCTCCGCTGGGTCCCTTGGGTGCTTTGCATCGCTTACGGCCTGACGACGCCGATTGCCATCGCCATCGGTCTCGGAGTGCGGACGACCTACAACCCCAATTCCAACACCGCCAACATCGTGTCGGGTGTATTGGACTCGATCTCAGCTGGTATCCTCATCTATACCGGCCTGGTGGAGCTGCTGGCTCGCGATTTCCTCTTCGACCCGTGCCGGACAAACAGCCGTAGGCAGCTCGGCTTCATGATCCTGTCGACGCTGCTGGGTGCTGGTATCATGGCTCTGTTGGGCAAGTGGGCGTGAGAAAGACAGAACATGCCTTGAATCTTTCATCCATTGCACAGAAACGAACTTGACCGGTCATTTTCTGGATGTAGAAAACCATCTCTCTTACCTGATTTTGAACAGACCATACCATACCCCTACCCAGTTTCATTCACATTACTCTATTCAATTCTGCATCTTGACCTCCAATTATCACCTTTCTCATCTCCCTTCCACTCAAACATACCAAAATCTTTCCCCATCTCGGTTTATGCATGTATGTATGTATGGAAGACAAAAGCATATTTCCAGAACATAATGGACTGTCCTTCTTCTTCTTCTTCTTCTAGTATTGAATACAAGATAGATTTGAAGAAACAATCAGATTCACTACTCTCTCTTCTCTTCCCGAAAACGTAATAATTAGAATCTCCCCGTGAGTCAAAATGAAGTAGATATATTGAATTTGACGTCGTGTTACAAATTTCTTGGCCCGTGGTACTAAGGCACTTACTTACCGCAGGCCAAGAAATTTAGTACCGAGTTAAGCATTTCGGTTCCGCGCGTTGGAGGTTTTTTTCTCCACTTGAAGTTATGTATGTAATTGTACATACTTCCGATACGTTGTGAAGCGAAGTTTATGTATACTTCGTATAGATATTTGAATTTGAAATTACCGTAAGGGATATAGGGATTCTCAATATGTATAGCCTTATGCTCTAAAGAGATTCAGCAGTATCAGAGTTGTCCAGGTATATTGGGAAGGTCTTGGTCTTGAACAGCCGTCGCAGTGGTCATATCTTCTGGCTTGTATGCGAATTCTTCAGACACATTGTTGACTCTCTGCTTCTTTTCGGAAGGGGCCCCTTGGCCCTTTGAGTCGCGATGTCGCTTCTGAGGACGATGCCCAAGCTCATCTCTTTGAATATTGGTCCAGCGTAGCATCAAATCTACCAGATTATCTGGTAATGAGTCGTCATTGGGACTGGTGGACTCGGGAGTCGAAGGACGGGCTGCTTTGGATTTGGCTTGGGCTTTGGGCTTACAAGGCTTATATCCACTGCCTGAGCGTCGACTCTTCGAAAGACGCCCATCCGCAACCGCTTGCTGCCCTTGTTCCCCAATATCCCGACCAACATTCCCCCATGAGCGCCAACAGGTTTCGTCAATCCCTTGCCTTAGCAAAGGAGGGGGATAAAAGAATTTAGAAGGATCCATTTCTGTGGAAGTGCTGTTCTCCCCACCATTGGTTGATAAATAGGGATGCCTTGTGAAAAGTGGGTACGGAGAGTACCCATTTGGCTGGGGGTTCCAAGTCATCTGCTCCCCTTCACTTTGATACCGCACCGAACTACCGTGTAGCTCAATCTTCTCCTTATTAGCATGGCTTTCCAGGGACCAAGAAGGGGAGGATTCTTTACAGAATGAGCTGGAGGATTTTCTCTAGTGGGCGGAACTGGTTTCGCACGGGTACGCAATTCATAGCGTTTATCGATCGCCGGTCTCTCTAGAGCGCCGTTGTCGGGATGCCTTTGTTGAGGCACTGTTGATGCAGGAGTATCCTTTGCGGAGGATTTCAAGTCCAGCGGTTTGGTACTCCGATCACTGCAGATATTAGTCTCTCTTGCCATTAAGTACAATGTGAGTTGAACGTACGCAAAGAGCGAATGATCGAAGTTCTGGAGAGCAGTGTGGCCGTATTCCAGCTGAAACCGCACTATTTCGCCAGAATGTATATTCAGGACGCCGTCTTTTATCCTCGAATGACGACTGCTTTCAAGCTTAGACTTGCACGAATCTATCTCGTGAAACATTCTCTGGATAAGGAAATTGTATTGTTTGAGCTCATCAGGTCCATCTATGGTATTAGGATCTCCGTCATTCTGCGCGTGGATTTTGCTGCTCGAGGATTCAGGACCTGTTACCTGAGACAGTCCAATGAATGCGAATTGGTCCGGTCCTCGCTCATTGCTTCTTTTCTCTTCCAAAAGACTTTCTAATAAAGCACGCTGCTCTTCGAGCAGAGTCGGAACATGTTTACTATTTTGAAATCAGAAAAAGACACTTTCAGAACATACTATTTTCCAGACTTACCTCCGTATCTGACCGGCGTACATGATTGCATTGAGCAAGAGGAGCATTGTCGATTTCAATCTCTCCAAGTTACTCTTCAGCGGATCCAATTTCGGCTCCAGCAAGACATTCCGGAACTTCTCAGTGGCCCGCTGCAAAGGTGTCTTTTGGGGATCATTCCTATAATCAATCATGTTCTGGATCTGCTCAAGGACCTCTTGACACTGGCCCAGAATGCTCTTTAGAGTGCGATGTGCCTCCTCTGAGCAGAGCTTGGATTGCTCGTCCTTCTCTATGCTTTCGCCCAATTCACGCAAAATAGCACAGGTGAGCGCAACATCATTGGAAAGATCCCTGAGGGACTGGTCGGCATCTTTGAACCGACGGTACAAGGAAAACAGCCGGACCGATACTTTGGTGCCCAGATCTGCGACCTGGATAATACTGGCCGCGACACCTATGGCCTCCAAGCCAGACATAATCACCGTAAATCCCCTTGAAGCAACTGTCCAAAAAAAAGGCAAATAGCATCGGGTTATATTAGAACTCAATTGAAAATTTAAGAAGCTCAAAATGCGCGACAGTTATTTATTGCGTCGGGCGCTGTGGCTTAGGTAGCCTTTCGAGAGGCATAAGATCAACACGTGATGGCACATCGATTCAGCCTTGCGCTTAGCCTTCCTCGGTTCTTCACATGGGATATTCTGTGTTTTAATATCTATTTGCTTTTTTCTATATGAAAGGACGATGTTATACGATGCAAGTTTCCTATCCGGTCTCAGGATTTACTTCGTAAAGCGAGGACCTGTGAATTCCCCCTTGCCGTTAATTTTCCCGTTTCTGGCATGGCCGCCCAATACACTGTATCGTTATCACCGCCCTGTGTTATCAAATGGTTACGAAATAACGGAATACACGGCAGGAGTACGCGACTCATGTGGCTGTATACAGAGTGGAGGCTGGTATGCTGGTAAGAGATATACAGATAGGATAGCTAGGAAGGATCCTGGTATAGTTATCTTGTGATAATTAATCGTTCAATTCAGTATCATACAGTGCGGATATGCTCCATAATCACACTATGTAGATAATTTCGGAGTTCTGATTATTAAAAAGCTTGGGTCAAGTAGTAGATATTTGTTCAAGAAACCCGAGCGCTGACGTGAACGTAATTGTTCCATTCTAAAGCAAGTGATCATAACAAAAACAAACTTCTCAAGGGACCTAAACTGACCCGATGCTCCTTTATTTGAAATTCGTCACGAGATGATAGCAAAATAGCGGGAAATGTTCTAAGTATAGAGTACGTTTCTAACGTCGTCTGGAACCCCACGTGGTATAAAGTGCAATGATACCAACGACGACTGAAAGGGCCAGAGTATGTCGCATTGAAATATTATATGTGGAAGGCGTATTCGAGAGTTGTGACTGAGGCTCTTTCTCCGGTGGTATTTTGCTAATGTCGTCCGAATATAGAGATTGGAACGTTATAGCATCCAATGCCTTTGCCACACCTTCCGCGTTTTTGAAAGAGCCTTCTGTCCAGCATTTATCGATGATTGGTCCGAGCCAAATATCTTTGACATTAGGAAGATTTTCTCTCCGAGGCCACATGGCTTCACTAATTGTCGATGGCTGATCTTTGAAAAGATCAAAATCACAACGTTTCCCGGTAACAACCTCATATATCACTGCTCCAAGCTGCCCAATGTCTGTCTGGATAGAATATCCATTATCATTGAAATTCTCCATGTCGGTGTCAGGATGAAGAATAGACGATTCTGTGAAGTCACAAAATTTGATGGAGAGATCATCGGAAAGAAGAAAATTCCGACTGGCAATGTCTGCTACAATGACCCGGCGATCATGTATTCGTGCGAGAGTGCGAGCCATATCACGAAACCACGAGAGTTGCAAGGACCTAGGTGGTCTATTTCGATTTAAATAGGCACGTAGGTCCCCATTTGCCATGAAGCTAAGCTGGATCGTTGTTTCGGAGAAACCGATACAAGGCACCACGCCTTCGCACTGTCCCAACCGCTGATAGACCTCTTTCTCGTGTTGCAAAACCTCTATATTGGTTTCCACATCGCTATCTCGACTGCTTCTGTACCGTAATGGCATTTTGACTGCTATATTTTCACGGAGGACAACCAGACCGGCCCTGCCATACCCGAGAACTTCGTCTCCATTTATAGGATTTCCGTCCAGATCCAGGAATGGGGAGGACATGTTCAGTGACACACACACACACACACACAGAGGAAAAATGAAAGAAAAGTTGACTGGAGCCAGTGTTCAAGGTGAAATAAAAGAACAAGCACTTGATATTGATAATGGTTAGAGCGAAGCTTTAAATACAGGGGCGAGTCAATCGACCACAAAGAGTCTATCTAGATAGTCTACACGTGACTACTGTAAGTACTTAAAGACTTGGCACAGAGCCCCTAATTCCACAATCCTGGACCTTAGGCAGCAGCCTTCACGATCGACTTTGTCGTCTTTCTTGGGAGGTTTTGCTATATCTCGATGTCGTGGGCAGTTCATTCTGCGCCTCGTGGAACTTGCCTCTGTCGTAGGAGCGGGATTCTTATATTAGCTCTTTCTCTCCATTGTTAGACTGCATCATTCGACGAAGTCTTCGACCGGATCAAAGTTAATGCAATTATTTTATGCCTTTCCTATATAATTAGGGAAGCGGGCGGGGGTTCTGTGCCTCTGCCAACACATTTTGTAATCTAGACTGATCAATACAAGTATAGCAAGTAACTAGGTAAGTAAGTATAAATATTCTACACCTGGATGTTATACAGACCTCTGGTGGCTTATCTTTGCGATAGCGTAATTTGGTAGACCCACGAGGCGAGAGAATCAAGGGGCTTCAAGAGAGATATATAGTAACATTTATTTGCTCCATAAAATCTTCCCAATCTATTCTGGAGGTCGGCCGTAAAAATAATGAAGAATCGCATAAAAAGAGATATCTACTTCGATATTCATTCACCTGGAGATCTTGCGCTCGGCCAGAAATAGATATGTTCGAGAAACTGTTGTTTTTATTAGCCTTACACCTGTAGCAACTTAAAAAGCGTACTTACTCGCTGCATTTGTTTATAAACTCGGCTATTTAGGCGACAGCGGGCAAATAGGGCGAAGTACTAATAAAGGCGTTGCTAATATTCGTTGTATAACTAAAGGAGTTTATTCCGCGAAGTCTTGCATATCCAGTCAAAAAATTTATATAGATCGCTTGATCTTCTAAAAGAAGATACTCGACATAGTCCTCGTTTAAATATATGCAATATCTATAAATTATTACTCTTTAACTATGCCAAAGTTATTTAAGAGAAAAAAAAAGGAGACTTCTTACTTTCGCTGATACCGCTCGATAACAGCAAGTTCTTCTAGCTTATAATTTGGGGGAAGCCATCTAAGGCTGCAGAAATATTTATGTCTAGCTTAAATCTCTTCACAAAAAATCAGATCGGCTAGCACTAGTGCTCACTAAGTTAAGCAGGTAATATAAGAGGTAGAGACATCAAATATGTCAAAGCAAAATAGTAAAGGGTAGGCTAATAGGTTCAAGCAGTAATTTAGGCTTTATAAAAATTCAGGACAGGAGAAAAATTTAAGGGGGCCTAATTCTAGCCGCAGAGGAGGCCACTGGAAGTTACGGGTGGAAATGAGGCCGTATATGGCCTCCGGAGTCGTCTTTTTCAGCTTCAATTCTACAGGTCCTCACATTCTATTTGTAATCTCATCTACCAGGCATCTTTGCCCATTATTTCGCTGGCCTTGCATAAGCTCTCGGGGTCACTGCTGCGGATCGCCAATACAGACCCCATACCATTAATAGCTGAAATACCGAAAAGCAGAAGATGGATTATTGACCTCTCCATACTTGATGTTACGATCGAGTGCCTGTTCAGTAATGATTCATAAAACATTTAATAAACAATCACCCCCTAAGTATTAAATAACCGACCCGTGAACAACACGAAGCACAAATCCTCGCATATATTATTCCTATCTATTTAAACCGATATGCTAAATCTCACATTCCTGCCCTCCCCCCACCCCCTTACCTCCGACTCAACGCCGCCTCGTGGAACATGACAGGATCGCTTAAGATCAACCGACTTGACAGCTGGGTCAGAATAAGGTTTAGTAAAAAACAAGGCCCCTGCTCTCTCTCCTTCTTCCTGTCGGGTGGGTGTATGAGACGAAAAAAAACTTCCATGCGCGCGGTTGAAATGTGAATAAGGTTTTGGTTTCTTCTTCTTCTGTGGCTGTCGATCATCTAATTATGATTATGAATTGAGTTATTGCGAACCAGGGGTTGAATACTCATGAAAGTAGGATATCCGCTAGATAAGTATGAAGAATCAAGTACGTCTACGAAAAGGTTTCTCAACGGAATAGAACTCGTGTTTCCATTTGATTGAAAGGCAAGATACCATGAATATTATCCACTAGGACAGGAAGAAGGAAGGAAAGGAAAGGAAGCGCGAAAAGTTCAAGAAAATATCATCTCCATGCTATTATTATGCTGCCAGAAACTATCTTTTTCTGACTGTCTGACTATCGAGAAATGTCGATTATGACCACCAATCATCGTCCATCCGTCTAGCAGCCGAGAGCGACGAGACCGCCCTGGAAAGATTCGGTGTTAGTAAACCAGCAATATCTAAATGTGTAATGGGTGAAATCTTACCAGAAGGTTGACCTCCGTGCAGCACCTGGGGCCAGTGGCGCAGCTGGTGGTGTAGGCTTGGCCTGGACAGATGAAATGTTAGTATATACTGTCCATTCAAGTGCATCTTAGGGTAAGAGTTCAATTTCTGTGATGTGTAGATCGTAGAGAATTGGCTATCTTCTGTCAATCACGTACCGTTAAGGCAGATAGAACCCTCGAGAGCGGTAGCATTGATACCGAGAGTCAACAGGATCGGATCAAGGGTAGGGTCCAGAGGAGTCTTGAGATCAGGGCAGCAGAGGAGAGGGTTCAAGCAGGACTGGCGTTCCTCCACAGCCGCAGGAGCAGCGGTGACGGCGACGGCGCCCAGGATGGTAGCAACAGAGATGATAGAGAAGCGCATTTTGGCTGTTTGGTTTTGTTGTTGGTTTTGCCGAAGCTAAGTGAACGAAGGTAGGAAGTAAAAAAAGAAAGTATTGATTAGAAAGATATAGATTGAAGGAGAGAGAGAGAGTTCTCGATGCTTTGAGATCTGGAGTGCTTGATGGGATGAAGAAAGAGATTTGACCTTGGAGGGGAATTAGAGGACTCTTTATATCTTTCGTTTTGGATGATCTCCCAGGCGAATTTCAAGGCAGGAAATACCACGTTGAGGATAGAAAGCAAATCGACCCGAAAGGCATATTCTCGCATGGAACATTTTGATATGGTTTCAGGCATATCGTTGGAGAATCCAGTGTCCCTCTCGGCATACCTAACCATTATTCCAGAAGGACCGGCACGCGGAGATGATAGTCGCAGCGGCCTCACTTCCGACATCAGAATGCAAGGTCTTCTCGAAAGGCGAACAACAACAACAGCAATAGAAACAAACGGTACCTTAAGACTTCTCATGCGCCGGAGTTGTCGAGGATCTGCAGTAAAAAGTAAGTATAGACATCGTAGCGGGCTCTGAAAAGGCTGTCTAGAACGTGCAGATCAGCAGTTGGATAAAAAGATGTACGAGATACCCAGGATTCGAATGAAACTAGGCTTGAAGTTTGAGCTTATGTGGAGAGAATACCCGAAAGGGATTGTTACTGCTTGTCTACACGTGCGGCCGGTACCTTGCGGAACGTGCTGAAGACGGGGATCTATGGACCGATCTAATGATAACCAACCCACTGAGCTTGGCGGAAAACAAAAGTCAAGTTTATGGATTATCTGTGGGGTAATAATATTACCCGGAACTAGAAATATGTGGGAATTCCGAGTAACAAAGAACGGACATAGTAATTGTGTACAGCGAGGAAACTGAAGGCGAGCACATCAAAGATATCGTTACGCAGCTTTGACAGATAACACTTGACGAGTCGATGACGATATTCAATAGGAAGAACCATTGACGATGAATTTCGAGACTTTTGAGAGCTGCAATTATGACGAGGTAGCAGAGAGACAGAGTGTGAAGAGGGAGAGGAATCAGTGTTGGCCAAAGAAATACAGCAATTAAAGGCAATCACTGCCGAAAGGAGGATGTATGCAGGTGCAGCTTCTGCAGGTTCACGATACTCCTTGATTGACAATTGACATCTCTAAAGAAGCTTCTACACATGCAAGGGGTTACTGTCATGGAAATTGAAGTATGTTCAACAGCCTGTGAGGCCTTTCTTTTGGTCATCTATCGTCCTCGAATTCCACCGGCTATTTTCGTAGACCAAATAGATAAATAATATCGCTCCTCTGCCCAATAATATATTGGAAATCACTAGCGAGAACCGCGAAAAAGAAGGACAGGGATAAACCGAAACGCGACAATAGACATGGTATCTCGAAAGAAGGGATATCGATGCTGAGTAGCGAAGAAACAGCCAGGGCAAGGTATAAGTCAGATAAGAAGATGAAGGTGTTCGTCAAACGGCGTTCAACTGAAACCGGGTCTGGAATAGGAGGAAAGGCCCAAACGATATACAGATCTCCAGAGAAACACTGAAGTTGGATATTTTCTCGCTGTCTTCTTTTGTCCAGCAAATTCTAGAAGATAAAACGGTGAAAGGGAGATTAAAACATTAAATGATGAGTCTCTAATATCATCACCTTCGTCTTCCGACATAAACGCGGCCGTGGAACTGCGGGGCGGCGACTCTCGAAACATCAATACTGAATTCAGAAGCCCCGGAAAAGGTCTTCATGGCGATAGCTCATCTCACTGCTGGCCTCGGATCTCGCAAACTCGAGCGACTGCTGGCCTGAACTCCATTGACTCGAATCCCTCTTCATGGTGTGTCGAGGAGCGTAAGCACTGCGCTGAGAACTCATCTGGTTGGTCCGATCAATAAAAGCTTCCATACGAACAGTACCGACGGCTTCGAAGAAGTTGCCCGTGTTAGTGGAAAACCCGCTAGCTACAGACGTCCGACGACTGAAACTGTTGCTTCCAGGAACCCCAGCTGAGTGTGAGCCGCTATAGAGGTCCATGGAATTGGGTGTCCGTGTCGTTGCACTATGTGTAGAAGTGGGTATGGTTGCATTGCTTGAGAAGCTTCTGAGTGAAAGCGGCCCCACGCGAGGTGCAGTGTTGCTGCGCTTCCGACAATGGTTCGAAAACCTAGGCACAGTTGGAGGGTCGGCTGCGTCCATGGTTGAATCGCGCATTTCCATCGTGTCCAGAGGAATCTCTGGAACGGGCGGATGGGCAGTGAATGACCGGTTTCCGCCAACAACAACAAGACGAGGTTTACTCTTGGTCACCTTGATAGTGTCACGGATAGGGTTCCGTCTCACTGGCGGTGGGCTCGCAGATTCTTCCTGGGGAGTCGGCGGTATAGATCTGAGCTCATTGGCGCTCACCGCAGAGTGGCTCAGAAAAGATAAAGCAGTAAGCCATATGAAGTGGCGCTCCGGGCTCATAGCTGTGAATTTCAACGCCCGCTGAGGCGTCAAGATCAATATAGATCTATTGAAATGACTCTCCGGTTGAGCACCCTTCGGTAAGGGGTTGTCGTCTTTGACATCGAGCACCGATTGAATGGTCACTGCTGCACATTAGTACACGTTTTCGTCCATTGATCCCATAGGTCACTTACGTTTACGACCACTCTTGCCCAAAAGAGCATTGCCATTTGTCGGCTGCTTGCTGCTCCACATAACAGCCCGCTCGTACGGAGCGAGCCAGACCCATCTCTTATGCCTCACACCATTGCTGGTGATATTCGCTGACGTCTCGTCTGGGTTCTTTCCCGCATCCCAGCCTTCTTTGGGATCGGGGACACCGAATGACTTCCTTCTGCGAACGTACTTGAACATCCACTCTCCGACCATGGTTTGGGCAATCGCGTCCACGACGCTGGTCTGCTGTACGGAGGACGCTGCTGTGGATTCTTCCCCTCCGTACGAAAACGTGCGAGAGGAAGTAGTGTACTGGGAGGATTGCTTTTTACCAACGCGTCTATGACGAGACGGGATGTCGTCAAGAGATATGGGTGAAGGTCCAGGGCTGTCAGAGACAAAAGTCGAAGCTGATACAGGTGGAGGCGAGCGGCTTCTGGGCCGTTCAGGCCGTTCAGATATCGATATTGCTGAGGCAGATCGTACTTTGCGCAGAGTGGGGGTCCTTGAAGGAGGCCGCTCAGCACGTTTAGAGCGATTTCTGGGCGTTGGACTCTGCGCGCCCTCACTAGCAGTGACCGGGACCTTTCTTGAACTCAGGCGGATAGGGACGGGGAATGGAGGGCGCGGAGCCGTGCTGGAACCGGAACCGCTATCGATGCTCGGAGCGCTGGGGCTTTGCGGCCACGACATTTGATGAGCTGCTGTTCCGCTTGAGATGAGCGCGGTCCGTCGAATATCCTGCGCTCTCGAGCCTGTCGAGATTTTCGATGGCCATTGCCCTCTCTGAGGGCGTCGTTCTCGGCCTGATCCTGTTGACCGACCATGCGCCCCATTACTGGTTGTCTTCTCATTCGTTTCAGTGTCAGAATTGAAATCAGGTTCGTCAAGCTCCGGCAACGGACTGTCCTCGAAACTAGGGCGCCCCTTTTTGGCGAGCTTCCCGCGCCTCAATGTGTAAGAAGCCATAGGCCGGTTGAAAAGTTCATCATCGCTGAAGATATCGGGTTCATTTTCTGGAGCTTCATCATCACTGAAGCCCGCAAACAGACTGCTAGACCGGAGTGGACGTCTGATATCGCTACGACGTTTCTCAGAAAGCGGACCGTTGTCGTTATTTCCTGGATAAGCATTAACTTTCTGAGGCTGTTTGCCTTTTGAGGCCTTGGTTGAAGACTCGACGACTGGGGGACTGCGAAGCGGTCTCTTCGCAGATCGCGGAGGAGGCGGGCGATATGGCTGGATAACGGTCTCATTGCCGTCTGTAGGGGGCTGATCTGGTATAGCTGATGGGAGAAGGCTAGCGGGAAGCTTAATAGGACGCTTATCAACTCTGATTTCCTCTGTCTGCATGCCGACAGATCGGCCTTCCACGAAATTTCTGAAGTTTGTTTGACACGCAACACTCTTCGTGTGCGGCGGCAAAACAACACTATTGCGAGTGGATGTCGGCTCAGATTCAGGGGGATGGATTGCAATCATCGGGACCGCCATGTGGGGTGATAACTGCTCCTCGGGGGAGAGAGCAGACACCTTCGCGTCCTTGACCTGAGCAGACAATTCTGTCTGCGTTGAGGTCGATATTGCCGCCCCTCGCTTGACATCTGGGGTGGTCTGCACGGCTGATTCGGAGACACTGGGGCTCCGAGGAGGCGTAGGAAGATTCCCAACCGTCTGGCAAGACGTGGACACTGTCTCAATTTTTGTTGTCACCATACTACTGTCTCTTGTTTGGTACGAATCAGCCGCAGAAGTTGCTGTCGCACGTTTCCTTCCTTCATTGGCAGCATGTTTCTCCTGACCAAAGGGCGTATGATCTTCAGGGCTGACCGCTAGTTGGGAATGGACAGGTCGTGGAAACTCAGGTGATGGAGGCGGAGAATATTGGATACCGGCATCTCGGTAATCTGCAGAACGCGCATGATCAGGCTTTCTACCTTCCTTAAGTGCACGTACTTGTTCCGACAATGGCGTTGGTTCTCGAGAATCATTGTCGTTGTATCGCTGGGCGCTGCTGTCCAGCGAAAGACCCAGGATCTTCCGAGCTTTCATTCCCACTATGTGGGACAAATGAGACTGGACGGAGGTAGGCCTCTCCTCTGGTAATGCTTCTGGGGAGTCTAGAACATCGTCATCGTCGGTTTCATCCATTTGGTCCTCTCCTCTTTCGGAGAAGGCCAACTCCTCAGCTAGATTCAAACCGTCCGTCCTTGGAACAAGGCCATTCGGGATACTCGATACGGATAGCCTGACATTATGACGCTCGCTGTCATGAGTGCTCAAGCTAGTTGTGCTCGCACGCCTCCTCCCGAACGCACTGTGGGATCGTACGCTCGTTGCATCACTGTGTTGTGCTGGGCTATCTTCAACCGACTGTGCCAGCTCCTCCCGGCGGTCTCTGCTGGATGGCCTGGTGGCTCGGACAGTAGCGATCTCGTTTAGGACCACTTTCAGGCGGCCTTCGACCACATGCACTTTGCGCTCAAGATTCCTTCGCTCCCCTTCCCATGCCTCCTTGTCCCGATCCCAAAGCATTTGTGTTCTCTCTACCTCGTCCCCTCGAGAACGAGCTTTCTTTTGTGCCTGCTCGAGTCTCTTGCGTACATCAGATATGTTCTCCAGGGCCTCATCTCTCTCCTTGGCTAATTCTGTGACAGCCGATGATGAGCCACCTTCCAGGAGCTGCAGCTGGCGCTTCAATGACGATGTCTCCCTGGAATTCTTTGACAAACTCTCATTGAGAGCCTCATTCTCCGTCCGCGAGTCATCCAAGCTCGCTTCCAAAGCGTCGATGACCTTGGTTTTGCTTTCAAGTTCCCGCCGCAGTGCAAGAATTTCTGAGACCAAAGAAGCATGTAATGTCGGGGTAAATCTGCGCGGATCTAGTGCTACCAATGGTCCGTCATTTGTAATTTCAACAACATTGGGTCGTCCGTCGGGCGAGAAGCTCTGAAGAGGGAAGTCTGGAGAGGAAGACATTCCGGGTGACGGTCCAGGCGATGAGTCTCTCCGGTGAGCAGAACGTCGCGATGAAGTCCTCGAAGGTGTCATGAAAGTGGTATCCGACGATGCAGGTATAGTTTGTGCATCAGTGCTAACTGTGTCCTCCTCATTTGCTGCCATCTTCTCTCAGCATGTACAACCCGACTATGTCCTTCGACCAGAGGCTTCGGATATCAGAATCCCAAAGGCCTCCTTCACACCGGTGCCGGTGGCACGCGCACTACCAATACTTGTTTTTCGGCGCAAACGTGGTATATATGACCAAGTCAGGACCCAACGTTGTCCACTTGCGGTTCACAAGTTTCTGAATATCGACGTCATGGGGTTCACGTAGAGGCTAACAGGAATTGATTGATCGGGTTTGCGGGGAGGGCCTTAAGTCCAGTAATAATGACACGACCCCGCGGTAGGAACGCAGACACTGTTGATCAAAATGTCCGGACAGGCCAGTGTAATATCTATCATGGGGTTTTTCAAGATCAGCAGGGGTATATAGAAGACCACGACAAGTCAGAGATTGAAGGAGCATGAAACATGGGCCCAGCATGTCCTATCTGGCTTTGCGCGACAAAAAGCCAGGAGAGTAATACATAGGCTGGACGAATAACTCGAAGTCGACAGAACTACTTGCAAGGGTATGCTGTGTATGCAAGCGTTGAGGAAAGGGGAGACTTACTCAGTTCGCTAAGATCGCTTGAAGAAACTCCACCCTGCAGGCTGCTCAACAGATGCATTACCAGCCAGACACCAGGAAAAGGAGCTGGGGCATCTCGACATGAAGTGCACCAGGATCGTGGGTTGAGGCTCGACAGTGCACCGCATCGATGCGGCAAGGAGATCGACCCGCTGATTCGAAAAGAATAATTCCAGCGGCGTCAAAGTTCTTGACTTGACGCATTTGAATTCTGTAGCATCTGGCACGGGTCACCCGCGGCCCGAGAGAATGGGAAGAGCTCAGGAAAAGGAGTAAAGCTCAACGATCGCAAGCGCCGTCTGAGTAGCTTCGCCATTCTGGACAAGCTCGACCTAGCAGCAACAATCACAGTGGGGTTCGAGAGCTGTTCTTCCTCCTGGGCCAATGGGGCGAGAATTGTGCAGCTGCGCCGTTGCTTTTTCGACAAGAAATATACGGAGTACTAAACTAGAGTCGTAACTTAGCCTTCAGCATCACGACAGGTCCCCACAGGGCTCTCTCCTTTTCACAGCCCGGGCGATCTGTGATCCCCGGACTATCCGTCAACGCCACGGTCAGTCTATGGAATCGGAGAGCACCCGGGATGGACTTCGTGCATACCTAGTGTGTTTGAGAATCAGCCCTCTCCTCAACATCTGGTCAATGGTTATTAACTAGTGGCCGAGAGAGAGAAAAAGGGTTCTGTCGTGCAGTGCGCCGTGTTCGCTCCTCCATTATCGGGTTTTGAGCCGCACCCAGTGAGTTGGTAAGAGATTATCAACCGCCTGAGCCCTGTGGATTTAGAGCGGTTCGACGATTCCCACAGCAGCTCCCAGAGTGCCAGACCATGTGGATATGACGGTAGATAGGTAAACGACCCTGATTGCGGCAAGAAACAGTCCGTTGCTGATCGGGGATCACCTGGATGATCAGGGTTGTGATAGCAGTTCTCGTCCTACCGAGAGTCTTTCAGTCTGCTCAATTAAAATGGCTGATTTTGGGTCCAACCCGGGGCTTGGCGGTCTGGCGCCCACTCTGCGCCGCAAGATGGAAGCCATAATAATAATAACAATGCATTGTTTCTGGTGATATCCAAACACGTTATTATCCTTGTTATATAATTATATTATTATAACTACTAACAATAGCCCCTGATCACTGCGGTTGAGGCATCAGCAGCATGATCAGGAAAAGGCTCTAGCCTCTGCCTACTATGAGCACCGAGAAAGTTCCGCAAGACACGAGCGTTATTCGGTCGTCCATGATTGATTGCCAGGCGCTCTCGCAATTATTAGATTACATCGCAATCTACTATGACTTATCTAGTGGTGGTACATAGTTAGTTAGCAGCTACGAAGCTGTGGAGCATCACTACTTAGCAGAGTTCGATGCCGTCTTTTTCTCGAACCCCGAAGCTCATGCCCCTAGGTTAGCTGCGAAGAAGTAGAAGTCGGTAGAAACCGATCCTGCTGACTCTTGCGTCCTCTTGCGTCTTCTTCATAGTTAACTAACTACGGAGTAGCAGTCAAGTTGTCCTGCTGGCCGCTCTGGTCACCATGCGCCATGTGGAAAAGGGTTTGAACCTGGAAGACATCAGCATTTACTGGAACGAGTAACGGTCGAAGGAGCGTCCACTTTTCCAGCTCCAAGAAGACCCTTTTTTTTTTCTGAATCCTGGTCCGAGCGGGCGGAATTTTAACGGAAAGATTTCAGGGGTTTCTTCTGAGTCCTGACGGAGCTCAGAATCCCTCTATAATAGATTCCTGCCAGAAAGTACGGTTATTATTATTAGTCGCCCTGGACTTTCCAGCTGGTCAGGACAGCCCGGAATAATAGTGTCACTTGATTAATCAACCAGAGCTGCGTCATCCCCGCATAGGAACGCAAGGTCTTATACATGGCTGGAGACCGAGAAGTACGTCCGCCACTTCTTGATGTCCTTCCGCCTCCTTGCTTGTTTACGAACACGCGTCGCAAACGGTGGCGCCGTCTGTGGTGTTTCCCTGGTTCGTGTCCCGATCTAAAGGACGGTCCGCCTGCCTCAAAAGTCAAAGCACCCGAGGAGACACTCGTGGAACGCCTCTCGGGATGATCCAGCGAGAGAAACAGGGGACCAAGTCCGGAGGCGTCAATAGGATACAGTATCTCACAGACGTACAGGCGGTCCAAGTCACGCCAGCGGTCTCATTAGCATTTACAACTTGACAGGGTCGGCAGTGCAACCTCCGAGGTCCGTGCAGTAAGTCAATCTTATTCTTGTGAACAGGCGGAATCGAATAGTTATATTTAGGAGGGTTTCTGATTAAGATCCGAAAGATGAAACGGCACGAGGTTGTCGCAGGACGTCTTATCACACCACATCCTGAACGTTGTGATTGGGGGCTATAAGGGGCCAACGAATGGGGAAAGACTGTATCGTGGAACCCCGGGTTAATATATCGCTATTAAGTTATTGCTATCCGCATGCTGCTAAGGGACTATCAGTAATATCGGCAAGATGCGTTTCCCAGGCACCCGAATCGTTCCTGAAAGGTGCTTACGGGATGGGCATGGATATACCAGAGACGCATGAAGACCAAAACCTCATCTCGCTTGCAAACCGGACAAGGATGGACTGCGATGCGATTATCGCCGCCCAATCTGCAGTAGAGGTCGAAGATCGTTCCATTCTTCCCCGGAGACAGGACGTCAGTCAGCACACTCTATTCGATGATTCAAAGCACACCATTTATGGCCGTGTGTAGAGTGTGCAGAGCATCTTTTCTGATGGTTGTCGCCTTCCCCGCGGAGTCTTGTCGGGAAATGCTCGCTCGATATCCATTATATACGCCATCTCCTTCATCTAGACCCGACTGTTCTTTCCTGTGGTCCCATGGATCGGAGGACGGCAAAGGCAAAGAAGGCCAGACTACCGGGTACAATAGTTCTGGATTGAGAATATCTCCACACATTGACCAAGTTAGCTGCCCTGGAACACTCAAAAGTCGCCATTCCAACAATTCGCTGTCACTGAGCTTTGACGTGATCACGGACCCGTCTGGGGAACACCCGTTCGAACGTGCTAACACCGACGGACGCCTGGGAGATCGTGGATCTGGCCCATGAGTCGCGGGGTCAGTTGTTCGCAACCTTGGAAATATTTCCCGATCGCAGAGCCAGAGAGAGAATATTATTATTATTACGCTGGGCTCAGGCCCCCGCCTTCGCGACAAAAACCGACGGGCTTGCCTGGATTTAATTTCCATTGCCCCTCGGGTCCCTCAATCAAGGCCGACGGCCTAGACTCGGCGCCTGTCCTCCAGCGGCAATTTTCTGGTTTTCTCGCTGACATTTCTACTTGAGGAATAGAATAAATGATCTATCTCTTTTCTCAAAAGCTTCACCCCTGAGTAAAGAAGGGACAGATGCTTTCCACTCGCGCCGGGGCCATCGTTGTGTCTGTTCGTGAGCTGTACTAAGCTCCGCCGCTTCTAGAGCTATCTGCCAGCACCAATCGCGATCGGCTATCCTTTGGATAGAGTACTGTCGGATATCACGATGTCCCCATCACCGCAGCGACCGCTCAGCCTTCCGAAGGTGATCTTCTTCGATACGTTCGGGACCATCTACAACTGGCGCACACCGGTCGTCAGGTCGTTGATGGATGCGACGAACGCTGCACTGAGCGATCCCAACAAGAACCTTTCTGAAGAATTACGAGAGGCAGCCTCCGCGCTCACGAACGACGACTGGCACGCTTTCGCGGAGGAGTGGCGGAAAAGCTACTACCGATTCACCCGGAATTTCCATTCGACAGGCACATTTGTCTCTATAGACCAACACCATTATGACTCTCTGGTAGAGTTGCTGAAGAAATGGCGCCTTGAGGGATTGTTTACCGACGATGAAATCCGGGAGCTGTCACTCTGCTGGCATCGGCTGGATCCGTGGCCTGACAGCGTCCAAGGTCTGGAGCAATTGAGCCAGAACTTCCGGACATGCACTCTCTCAAACGGCAACGTTGCCCTATTAGAAGATCTCTGTCATCGAAAGAGCCCTATACCCATCACCGATATTGTCAGCGCGGAGCAATTTGGCGCTTACAAGCCGTCGCCGGTGGTCTACAATGGCGCGGCCCGCAGATTCGGCGTGAAACCCCAGGAATGCGCTCTTGTGGCGGCGCATTTGAGCGACTTGAAGGCCGCCAAAGGATGCGGCTTCCAGACTGTGTACGTCGAGCGACCACAGGAAGAAGGTTTCACGACAGAGCAGATTGTCAAAACAAAGAAAGACGGCTCTGTGGATATGTGGGTAGATCTGGGGTCTGGCGGGTTTTTGGAGGTTGCATCACGGTTCGCAGAACTCAGCGCGAAAGGCCAATCTCGAACAGACTGACCTGTTCTCCTGTTCAGCTTTTCTCTACGATATATATGTACTCTACGACCGCTCACGATGAACCCGGATGGGAATTTGATAGAAATTGACATCATATCGTTCTGCGACCGAACTCCAACTAGTATACTCTAGGAACTACAGATACATTAACCACATGTAAATTAGTTTCTAGCTTTAAGGTTGTATGCGCTGCATTCCGCAGGCCCCATAAGATACAAGCCCAGCGCCATCCCATAAGTATCCACTCAAGCCTCCCTCGTACATAACACCATATCCCATGATCAAGTCGCCATGCGACCTGACGTATAATACTCTGCAGATCCAACAGGCCGGACAATGCACCTTTCCTGCATGTCTCGGATTAGCTTCTCTTCAAAGAACCCTTCGAACACCTCACGCGCTCATGCATAAGCGTGGTGAAGTTTCCTGATAAAGCTATCTGCAGCTACTAACTACTATTAAGTATATACATACTTACCCGCCACGGAAAACGCCGACGATCAGTACTTTCTGCAAGGAGGACATCTCGAAGAAGTCTAGACCTTATGCTTTTTTTTTTTTTTTTTTTTGAAAGACATGTGGCCCCGCTTTTCGTTGCTTTTCTTTTCCAGCCACTTTTTTTGCAGAAAAGGACTCTGCATATGAGGGGTATATGTCATTGATCGAGTGTGATTGATGGGGATATATGGTACATATTGTTGAGAAAGGGTTGTGGACCCAGGACTATGTTTCTTGTTTGACATCACGGTACATTTGACTGCTGTCGGTTCAGGTAGGTGTGACTAGGCGTGTGTTCTACAAGAGAGAATAATTTCACAGAAATTATTAGTCTGGATAGATTAGATATTCATTTCATGCATTGGGTTACGTGAAGGTTGTGGTTTAGTACCTTGGTCTCGAGCCGGCCTTCGGTCATTGCATCGACTCTGTTTATACTGTACATACGAAATGACAAAGAAGCTGCCTTTGTTTCCGGTAAACGAACTGATTAATCCTATCTTGCTTAATATATGCCGTTAGTATTTTCTAATCCTATCGAGACAAATTTCAACATATACATATTTCATAGTATCCGCACTAACGCCACCCTTATATATATAACAAAGACTCTATATCCATCTAATCCAATCGCATCAATCAATCAAATGACCTACCTAGTTATCTCGCATGCTTACTAACCCCCAATACCATCATCGCGGAACCTACCCGCTTCCCCTCATCTTATCCAACCTGTTTATCTTCAAGTTTCTTCCCCCATCTTACCAATCAACGACGGCCGACAATGTCCGACGCCGATGCCGAGCTTATGAATTCAACTCGGGATTGCTTATTATTTCTTCTTGTAGCCAGCAGCATCTATCTAATTCCCAAGACTGACCAGTAGTAATATTTATATATGTCTCAGCTAGATGCTGAAATGAGTAATTATTCTGAAAGATTGCATTGCTGATATCCGTTTGCGGGGTTCTGGTGTAGATAATTGATTGCATCATCGCGCTCGACTTAGTTATCCTCTGATTTCCCCGCATAAGTATATTACATGCGCCCGGTCTACAACCACAAAGACATGAAGCGGATTCTTCAAAAATAATCTCATCTATGATAAAAATGGCAGAAAAGGTCAGTATAATTCTAATTCCAATTCCAATCCATCCTTCACGGAATACACACACATCCACATCCAATACCCAAAAACCACCCGAACCAATAACTATCCCATTCCAGCTAATCCAAGGGACAACCAGGACGCCCAAGTCTACAAACACGCCGACACCGACGGGCACTTCCGCCGCAAAGACTCCTCATTCCGCTCATGGATCTCTCGCTCCCCCTCCGCCGAATTCCCACCGGAAAAGGACCGCTACGTCCTCTACATCAACTGGGGCTGTCCATGGGCTCATCGCGCCAACCTCGTCCGATCACTCAAGGGCCTCGAATCCATCATCCAAGTCGCCATTCTCGACTTCGACCTCGGACCCGACGGCTGGTTCTTCTCCGGCCGTCATGGCACAGATGAAAAAGACCCCTTATACGGATTCAAGTATCTGAAAGATCTCTACTTGAAAGCCAACCCTAATTACTCCGGTCGCTACACCGTTCCCATGCTATGGGACAAGAAGAAAGAAACGATCGTGAATAACGAAAGCAGCGAGATAATTCGGATGTTCTATACCGAATTCGACGATTTACTCCCTTCCGAGTATCAAGAACTCAACCATCCCGGAGGGGGTTTCTACCCCGAACATCTACGGGGGGAAATCGACGCGATGAACGAATGGGTGTATCATCGGATTAATAATGGCGTGTACAAGACGGGTTTTGCAACGACGCAAGAAGCGTATGATTCGAACGTCTACCCGCTCTTTGAAGCGCTGGATAAGATCGAAGCTCATCTGGGACAACCGGGTCATCAACCGTTTCTGTTCGGAGAACATATCACGGAAGCGGATATCAGGTTGTATCCCACTATTGCGAGGTTCGATGTGGCGTATTATGTGATTTTTAAGTGTAATTTGAAGATGATCAGGCATGATTATCCGAGGATTCATGAGTGGTATCGCAGGTTATATTGGGATGAGTCCGAGGAGACGAGGGGTGGGGTGTTTAAGAAGACGACGTATTTTGATCTGGTGAGTTTTTTTTTTTCTTCTTTCTTGGATTTCCATCCTGATGCTCTCGTGATGGATTTGCTAATTTTTTCCTTCTTTCATAGTATAAATTCGGCTATCTCAGGGCTATAGGCAGACGCGCGGGCACAGACGAGGTCGTTGTGCCGGCGGGACCGTATCCTGATATTCATCCGTTATAAGGGACGGTAAGATCCTCTGTAATAGCGGTACAATTCATAGGAAGTACTAGCTTTGGAAATAGATGACCAAATAACGTTATTGGGTCCTATTCGAGAAACGCCGTATAGTCGAGTCCCATTACATATATGTGTACATACAATCAAGGTTATCTTATCCGTCCCACTAAAAGTCAATTCTGATTTAATCAGACTGTCAAACTAAACGAGCACGTCTGGAATTACGACCATGCTGAAGAGATACGAAATGACCTGTATTCTATCTCATGCTCCTTTCTCTAATCTAAAGCTTGGCATTATCTTGCTTCTTTTCCTTGGCTTCAAAATACTCTTTAACTCTTGCCTTCGCAACCTTGACAACTTCCGGATCCTCTATAGTCGGAGGGAAGGTCACTGCGGCATCATAATCTCCCTTTGCTGCATTCTCGACCAACTCGCGTAGTACGCGACGGAGAGTCTTTCCACTCCGCGTTTTGGGAATCATGCCGCGACCCTGGATCATACCGCCTAGTGAGGCGATGGCGCCAATCTGATCTCGGACCAAGGTGTTGACCTCTTTGAAAAGCTGCGGGGAGGGAGTAGCAGGCAGGGAACCTGTACCCGTACGGGGTTGGATGAAAGCGAAGGGGAGATGTCCCTTGAGAGAGTCGGGAATGCCGACCACGCTTGCTTCACCGACTTCAGGATGGGAAAGGATCGCTTGCTCGATAGCACCTGAAGTAGGTGTATATGTTAGCTTGGGGAAAGGGGGAGGGGGAGATGCTCCATGTCCGAAATTACTTACCAGTACTGAAACGGTGTGCTGCAACATTGATGATATCGTCTGATCTGGACATTATATGAACGTAGCCAGACTCGTCTATCATGCCTGCGTCACCTGTGTCTATCCAGCGGCCGTTGAATCTCTTCAAATAACCCTTGTAGAATCGCTCGTCGTCATTGAATAATGTCGTGAAGCCAGTCGGGGCCAAAGGCATTGCGAGGACAATGTTGCCCATTGTCCCTCTCTTCACTTCGTTCCCTTCGTCATCGACTGCACGCACATCGAAGCCAGGCATTGGCTTTCCTGCTGATCCGGGCTTGACACCACAAGGCTTACTATTGGGTTCCGCAGCTCCCTGGGAAAGCAGACCAGCAGTGCTTCGCTGAGCCAGACCAGTGATTGGAGACCCTGACTCTGATGACCACCAGTTATCAACCACCATGGCATCGGGAGCTGCATGCTTGGTCAACAGGTCTTGAAACGCCCGAACGATACTGGGTTCACTCCTCTCGCCGGCGAGGAAGAGACCTCTCAATGACTTCAGGCCACCTCGTCTGCCGACTTCCTCGAAGAACTTATTGTCAGGATCATCCTTGCGGATGGCCCGCAGAGCTGTCGGAGCCGTCGACAAGACATTCACTTTGTTCTGCTCTATGATGCGCCAGAATGTCCCTGCATCTGGGGTACCAACCGGTTTGCCTTCGAAGAGGACTGTAGTTGCGCCTACCAGCAGCGGTCCATACAGGATATAGGAATGTCCGACGACCCATCCAATATCAGAGGTGCAGAACATCACGTCTCCTGGTCCGTTGATATCGAATAGGTACTTGATGGAAAGGTTCAATCCCACAGCATGGCCTCCTGCCTCACGGAGAATGCCTTTCGGAAGACCCGTGGTACCTAGGCTCTCAACGTCAGGCCTATCACCAATCGCTAACCATCAGGACGAATACGACGATACATACCGCTTGTGTAAATGATATATAGACCCTCGTTACTCTTGATAGGCACCGGACCAGCCCTGATACCTCGCATCTTGGCGCTCTTAACCAGCCGTTGCCAGTTCCTCTGACCACCACCCAACTTGTCTGGCCGATCCCATCTCAGTTCCTCTCGCTGCCAAATGATAACTTTCAATGGCTTGTGACTACTCTTCTCTATAGCTCCTTCCACGAGCGGACGGTACGCAACCGGGCCCTTTGCACCCTCAATTCCACATGACGCAGTCAGTATAGCTCGCGGCTTAGCAGCATCAATGCGTTGCGCGAGCGACGCTGCCGCGAAACCACCAAATACAGCGGAATGGATCGCACCCAGGCGCGCAATTGCCAGGGCCCCAATGAGGGCAGCGGGTATCATCGGCACTATTCACATGTTTCCCGTTACTACAATGTCATGGAACCGAGCAAACATAAAGTATACACGGAGAGAAGATAAGAACCATACTGTAAATGAGGACTACATCTCCCTTACGGACACCTTCCTCACGCAGAACACCCGCCAGGACCTCCACTTCTTCTAGAAGCTGGCTATATGTGATTGTCTGTTTGGACTTGGTCGCTGGAGACTCCCATATGATGGCGACATTGTCCCCGTTGCCGTTCTTCACATGTCGGTCCACGCAATTGTATGTCGTCGAGATCTCGCCATCGGGAAACCAAGACCAGTGCTGATGACTTGTGCCGCTGGGGAGGGTCTTCGTCGTCCGTGCGAGCGTCCGAGTCGGCCTTTTGTGCCAATGTAGCTGCTCCGCATGGTGAGCCCAGAACGTCTCCGGATCACGCAGGGAGTGTTCCAATACGGCGTCCTGCGGATGTGGCGCCATAGTGTGTGCAACTCCAGTGTACACTGTTCCAACAGGCGGGTGGGGGCGCTGTTTGGTATGGAAACAAGCGTTGTATGTGCGATACCAGCTCCAGGTAGAGAAAGGAAGGTGAAGTAGCCCGTGGAGGGGATGCTGGACCAAGATAAAGGAAGCGCTACGCCGCAGCCCCCTTCTCATATCATCATCATTCTTGGCCGGAATCTAAGGGAAGCTGTCTCCTATACCCGGGTTGCCGCAGCGGTTCGGTTATTGCTAGGTACTCCTTTGGCGTCCGTTCCAATCAACGTCGTGTTCACCTCGCTGCATTTACCGAGGAGAGAAGAGAGAGCTAGACAATAATGCGGCTCCCGAGCATAAGCGCAGCGTGTCTAGCCTAGGACGAGTCATATCGGAGCAGCCTACCATATGGCGAAGAAAGGGGCGGACAGCCAAAAGGCGCATCTAACTTTCAAGTGACGTTGGACTGAGGCATGAGCATTCGAGGAGTACCATACATAGTACTTGGGAGAGGAAGCATATCGCGCCCTGGAACCTGGGGAAGCTTCCCCGCACCGGAGCACATAGACTAGTTACTTACTGGGGAATGGGGCCGAGGTTCATTTCAAGCCCGCGCGAGTTCATCGGGGATGTCGGGATGCTTCAAGTGCCTAGACTGCAACTCAACTTCCCCAGAACGGTTGAATGCAGTGGACTATTGCAATTGGTACGGACGACCGGGCGGATTCTGGAAAAGAGATAAGAGACATCGCCCTCTATGCGGAGGAGGACATTGCGGTGGACTCCATCCGAAAGCGAAGGAGAGCAGTCTGATGCCGAGACTATACTTATGTACCGGACCAATAACGCTTAATATCAGCCATGATAAACTATCCGGGGAATCTCTGGATCTGATCTGTGGTTCGGAATAATAGATATCTTGTAACTTAGCTCGTGTGCCATCTCTCCATATGCTCATGAGTGTATGAGGCCCCAGCGGGTCACGGAAGGTTCTCAGATGCCTCAACTGCTTGGAAAAGGGATGAAGGACGTTGGGACCTGATGCCACAATCTCACTTCCGATCAGACGGAGATCCAGACATCCCCACACATAATAAGCTTTGTCTTAGCTGTGCTAGTAGTGAAACAGGGACAGAGCCAATCGGCCTCTAGATAGAAGTCTAGCCTCTCAGCATTGTCAGATATCGATTTACTGCTTACTAGAGTAGAACCCTACAACTAGACAGATCGAGATAGGCCTGAATGCAGATACAGACCCATTGGAGGAGAACAGCTAAAAAAAGAAATCATTCCAAGTCCATTGACTATCCTTGAAACTCTGCCGTAGGGTATCGTATCAGAAATAGGTGATGTTTACTAGTATAGACGGGATTCTCATAATCTCGGCATAGAGTCGCCTCGCGCAAGAAACGGGGTATGGAACGCTCCTTCTCAAGACTTCCTCTCCGGTATTCTTCTTCTCTCCTCTCTTCCGCCCTTCCATTATGACGAGTCAAGCGTCCGGTTCACTCCTTGCCCACCGCATTCCCTCCTGCTTGATTCTCTGCACTTCTATAATCGCTGGTTCGAACGGAGAGCAAGGCGACCCCCTGCTCCCCAGTCCTTCTTCACAAAGGACTTATTTCCCGAGCCTAAAACACCGATGCCGAGACAGAAATCAAAATGTCTCCAAACCCATATGCATATTCCGGACCAAGCATTCCGTACTCCAACCGTCTGTCTCTTGGGATTTGGCCCGCACTCCGTGAGGACTTTGCTGGTTGGTTGTATGACCGAGCATCGAGCAACCGCAAATGAAACGTCGACGGTCACAGAAATATGAATAAGAACTGAATTCATCGCACGTAGCCGGCGCGACCAAGGAGAGGACTCGCGTCTCCTCGTAAATTAAACAAGAATGTCAAAATGTCCACCAGAAAGAGAGCGCGCTTGCATGAGAGACGGGACAAAGGATCAGCACAGATGCAAAATGAGGTCGACGTTTACAAGATCGCACATTTTAGGCCACTGCGATGGGGCCTCGACCGATCCGGGCGGAAGGACTTGGGGTATTCAGGGCCGCCGTCACGATCTCGTTGTCCAGCGCCGAAGCCAGTACCCCGTCGATCTTGTCCTTTGCCGCCCTGTTGTTGCATGCGCTGTTGTCGCAGCAATCTAACGACGTCGTAAAATGCCTTCTCGACATTGATGCAGTTCTTTGCAGAGGCCTCGACGAAGTCGCAGCCCAGTTCTTTCGCGAGAGCAGATCCTTCTTGCGAAGAGACGGCACGTTCCATGGCCTTGTCGCTCTTGTTGCCGACCAGCATCACGGGAACGGGACCGGACGATCCAGACATCGGGGGGCTCATGGGGGAACTCAGGTAGTTGGCACCGGTTGGTGAGCCTGAACTAGCAGACTCTTTCACGAGTTGTATCTGGTTGTAGAACTTCTGTATCCGAGAGAAGGATGATCGAGATGTGATACTGTAGACGAGCACGAAGCCTTCACCGTCTCGGATCCACTGGTCACGCAATGCGGTATATTCTTCTTGTCCCGCTGTATCCAACACCTCCAGCATACATGACTGCTGGTCGATCACGACTTGCTTTCGGTAGGAGTCCTCGATCGTGGGATCGTAGGTCTCAACGAAATGATTCAGACACAGCTGCCACACCGTTAGTTGACCCTGCCACAGGAGTCGAGGGACCAGAGAGACACGAACCTGGATGGTAAGAGCCGTCTTTCCTACACCTCCATCGCCCAACACCACCAGTTTGTACAATGTCATCTTCCCCGACATGGCTGCGGAATCTCACCCGCGGTGAGGATGTGTAATAGCGACAACTTTTTTTGTTTGAAATATAGCAGAGTAAGAAGACAACGGGATGTCCGTGACACGAGGGTCACGAGTGGACAGCTGTAGCTAGACTAAAAGCTGCAAGGACAGGAACTGCTGCGGGCATGTCAGAAACGAGGCCACCTAGCTGCAGGGCAACGGAGCGGATCATACGTACTGAAGTAGTACGCAGATGAAAGTGAGACCTCTATGGGCCGTTTGCGCCAGCCAATGCAGCGGAACAGCCGTACACACGATGATGAACGACCGAAATAGTACCGGAGAGGGAGCAATCCTGAGATGCTTTAAGACGATTCGATTCGCAACGCTCAATAGGCAGAAGGAGCCTGCCAACGCCACCGGAGGAGATGAGAAGGCTTGCCAGAGCTCTCGAAAGGTCCACCGCAGCTGCACGTGAGACCAACGACGACAGCCTCGACGGAGAATGAAGGCTGGGGAAGATCAGATTGGACGGACGCGCTGACTGTCGTTCGGGAGGGGATAGGATAGGATCATCCAGGGAGGAAAGGTGTTTCGACCAGCAAGTTGTGATAAAAAAGAAGAGGACGGAGATACCCAGCGCGGATGGCACGGAGAGGATAATAGGAGGGGATCTCTATCGAAGAGGCCAAAAAAAGGTCCTGGTCCTGGAGAGAGGGAGAGAGGGGGAGGAGAGGCCACAGAAGCGGAGAGGAAAAGAGCGATTATTCTTCCTACTAACTAGCTAACTAACAGTGTGTTGAGAGATCGTTAGTTAGTTGGTTACTCCGTACTCCGTACTCCTACTTTACAGTACGGGCGACGTGCCGACCCGCGCGAGCAAGAAGGGTGATCTCTCGTCCGCCACCGCCTGCGCAGAGGAACAAGACGAACGAACAGACCAGGTCTCGATCCGACACTCGGGATGCAGGGCACTGAACAGTGAGAGGACCGTCTCCTGCGTGGCTTGTGCTCCTTTTTTTGACTTTGGCCAACTTGTGAGGTCCAGCCCCCGATCACTTTTTCCCACGGCTCCCGTTCACCCCCAAGACGAGACGATGTGGGTTGACAGGAAAGCTAATCATTCTTAGTGAATCCCCTCCACAGCGAGATACTTCAGGCGACGGATCCCCGGGACCGGACACGAGAGAGGAATCGAGCCAGGACAAAAAGCAAACAATAGCTCCAGGGTCTATAGCCAGCGGATGCATATCAGACCGGCCAGTATCAAAAGACTCTGGCCATAATAACTTAAATCATCGAAATGGACCCCTCATGGCCGTTGTGCCCGTTCTTCACCCGTTTCTCTCTTAGTCTGCTCTCCCACCACTAGGGTTTGACCGGACAATTTACAGGGGTGGCTGATACACAGTCTCTGGAACGGAGGATTCATTCATTATTATTACTTGACGATTCGAAGAACAACGGTCATTTCTCACGGGGTGGACATCGCCCAGAGGGGAGTTCAACAGAGGACTGTGATGATAGTTAACGTACAGTACATGTACTTGGCAAGACGGAGATAAGCCTATCCGGTTCCTATGTGCGCTTTTTCTCACAATTCATAAAATGGGACCAATCCTGGACAATAATAATACTCTATGGACCTACTACCTACTGAGGGCAAGACGGGCCACGGCCGAAAGCTTCAATATGGAGTTAACAGGGCAGCTTAGGCGAACTTCCTGAAGCCCACCTTGACACGCAGTGATCGTGCCTGTTGATAGACCGTGCACCCGTTCATCCACCCGCAGACGCCGCCAAAGCATGCTCGCAGCAATAACCGCCTGAAGCTCTCCCCACTGCCGACCGTTCCCAAAAGGCACATCGATCAACCCACTCCAGGGAAAAGGAATCATAGGAGAATTAGATTAACGCCCAATCACCTGCGAAGGCCCGATCTATTTGAGACCGCCACCAGACCAGGGAAGATTCGGCCTTTCTCTCTCTCTCTCTCTTTCTCTCTCGCTCTCTCTGAACCAAAAGTATCTCAAGTATCTCTCTCCAGTGTCCAGCTATGCTGAACAATGATTGAACATAAATAATTGACTTCTGCCCCCGTTAAACGACCCCGTCGCGATCCTAGATTGTCCCGTCAAAACTGGCCGCTCATAAGTTCGAGGCGTCACCCTAAAAGACCCACCATAACTATGAGTATGCCCGGCCGTCGGCGACATTTGGTCGGTTGTGGGCCAGCACAGACATCCAGCAACTGAGGAAAGGGGACCAGCAGATCCCCGGCACCATCGCGGCATCTTTCCGCCTGATGGGACTAACTGGCTATAGCAGTGATGCTACTTGAAACTAAAGCCGTCATGGTATAGATCCTGACGCTATGCCCTCTAGTGCTACCGGTACGGCGCTACGGGAACGCACCGCGGATTCCCACGAGTCAAGGCCCATGCAGCAAGTGGGGGGAGGTTATAGCTTCGGAGGACGACTGACGAGGGGGGATTTGCTCTAGAGATGACCACGGCTCTATAGGCTCGTCTTGCTCTCCGTCTCGCGGTTGAATCAGGAGTTGTTCTGTTGTGTCCTTGCCGGGCTCCTAACCGGCTCGTCCCGTCAACTCCGAACAGGCAAAAACACAATCTCCCTTCTTATAGAGTAAGTACTCCTTCGCAGTCGAGTACAAAAGTCCATTCATTAATTCCACCACGCTCCGTTTTCAGAAAGGATATACTCTCACCATAGCACCCTTTTATGAGCACCGGTGTGGGCCCTGCGCGAATCTCTCCCTTCCTTTCGTTCTGATCAGGATCACTTGGCGAATCCTCGGTCCCGGCACGAGGGAACCTCGGCGGCAGCGTCGAAAGAAAAGTGGTGAAATCAGCCTGACGGATTGGCGCCGGGTGCCGGGGGAGATCGTCATCCGGTTTCAGGAGAGCCAATATCCGTGAATATCGAAGTATATTCCGTGCGGTGATTTTCATTCGCGGAGTATCCCGTCTTTCACAGCTTCCATACGAGAGCCCGCATTGTCCTTTTGTATACATTTCCATGGTAACCTTTTCGACTTTCTCAGAGACTACCTTTCGATATATGTTCGCTTGATTAACTTGGCGAATTAAGCCATCTTTCAACTTGCCATAATATCTTTTTAGGAAGGGCGTCCAGAAAACTACGTAGCGAAATAAAGATCCATAAGCTGTTCATACACCCAAAAGTCTGCAGATCGGAAACCGAGTTCAGGAGAGAACCCGAATCTCAGATTCATGTCTACTTACAGAGCGCTAAAGGGTGTCGCTCATCGATAATGAATTAGTATATCTGTCACGGGACGGGAACGTTGTGCAACTATTGGAGAAGATCATAGGATTTGGAGAGAGATGACGGGCACGTTGGAAATAATAATACCGATTGATATGTTCGGGAACTTCCATTTTACCTTTTCGGCATCAGTAAGGATTAATTATAATTCAACGTCGCAATGTTCTGGACCCCGATTATTATACTTTGCATCAAACTCGGTGCCGTCCTCTGGCAGCGATCTGGCCGTGCCGCTTACAGGGGTCAATGATCTTTTGATCTTTGGTGGCTAGTACGTACTAAGTAGGTAGTAAGCTTCCTTCCGTTTGCTTCTTTATTAGTGACGGAAACATCAGTGATATATTTGTTTATTATCTATTGTAGTGCACCATATGCTCGACCCTTTTCTAGTATCTCACGACCTTAGAAGATCTTTCCTTTCCACGCGTTATTATAACTAGCATCCAAAACTGGCAAATCCTACCCTAGATTCGGAGATTACGTAGATCTACAACCCTTTCACGTAGCTGCGGATCTGTCAATGCTAGCTATCCCACCGCTGAGGCTGGTGGCCATCGAAGACAAAAGTCCATCGTCAGAACGAAGACGGAAGTTCCCCCCTTCCTCCTCCCCCCCAATACCCTAGCCAGAAACAGGCAATAGTAAAGTACATACGAGTGCCCCGAGCTTAAGGACACGCAACCCGCTCCTTTGGAAGCTCAATCAATACGAACGTTAGTTAGTTAAGAATGGGAAGGTGATCTTAGTTAACTACTTAGCTTAGGTAGATAGTTAGCGTTCCCGGTGTCTGGGAAGAGACAAAAAGTTCACTGTCACCTCGAGCGGATCCGACTGAGACGCCATACATAAGTGCGAGTATCTAAACTACCTATCTAGTTATTATTTGGTTAGTTTTTGGTTGAGCCGTCTTTTCTCCGTCCATCGCCGATAGACACTAGATGATCTATCTATCATTCTCGAAAGTCGATATTTGACCGTCCCCGGCGTGATTCCGAACCGAAGGAGAGCTAGTTAGTTTATGATAGATTCTAGAAAATAATAAGGGATCCGCCCTAACTTGGCAGCTAACTGCTTCGTAACTACGTACGGAGTATTATTATTATTAGTTACCCCTCTGGAGAAGGGGATAGTTAGATAGATCCCTTACACACACCGGGATTGATAAATAAGTACTATCAATGTGCTACGGGGACCATGTCACTTGACTAGGTATGTACTTCGCTATTATTATGTTTTGGGTTTCCCCTTCCCCCTTTCTATCAAGGCCGTTTGGAACAGACACTAATACCAGACGAGCGGGATTTCGGTGTTTTATGGTAACCCATTATCCTTGATCCGGGCTTCAGCTTCAGCCTCACTTATAAAGTACGATATCCACTGAAGGAGAAAAAAAAAGAAAAAGACGAAAAAAAGCTACAGCTCTCTAGTTGGTAGCGTGCTGCATGCCATAACTATAACAATAAGTACACAGTAAGTAGTTAAGCGCTGAAGTCTTCAACTAGTTAGTCAATTACCAAAACCAGAAACTCCTCCTACGAGTAAGATGAAACTACGTATAAGTTAAGCATAAGTAACGAACAAGGTATATCGATGATCATCAGCAAAAAGAGCAAAGTTTCACCATCGACCCCAGGTACCAAAAACCTGGGTTGCGCCGCATAGTTTAGTTTACTTTCTATTATTTAGGAGCTTGTTACTGTACTGCCAAACCCGCCAACAAGAAGCATGCTGATGCGAATTGCGGGTGAAATTCACAACCACTCTAGACTCCACCGCATGGCATCTCGGTGAGAAATTAGAATGAGAACCTGGAAGTGGGTCGTGCTAAAAAGCATCAGTTGCCCGACTCACGGTAAAAGTGAATCTTGGCGGGCGGGTTAGAGGAGGAGGGGAAGGGGGAGGTCGAGTAGGTAGTACGAGAGGTGAGAAAGTAGTCTAAAGAGAGTAGTGAGTCTATTCAGACTCTATCTCAACTTTCAAACAGCATGGTAACAGTTCTGACACATGCCAGAAAGGGGACAAGTTGGGGATGGAACTGTGGCGCGCTATTATCTATGCGTGGTTCAACTTATTATTTGAGTTAACGAATCATAAAAGGAAGTGATTTTGATAGGCAGACGGAAGAGGTAATAGGAAATACGAGATCAGGTCTGATTGGAGGGGAAAATGCTTTCTGATGTGGCGTTTTATGGCGATAGCATATTAACTTCATATAAGCTCGAAAATATGCTATGTATTTCTGATCCCGGCAGTTGGCAGCAACCTTTTTTGCCAAGTTTGCGACAGGAGTTCATGAAGACATAGGTACGTGGTCCCAATTCTACCTTGGGAGACTTAGACGCTTGTCAATTGTACTGTACATATACTCCGTAGAGTTAAATGAAGAAGCGCTTTGTAGTAGCGTCTTATTGTCACTCGAGCAGTAATTGAAAGACACCTTCAGTAAGACATCCCCAACATTCTATCGTCAAAGGCCATTCCAGACTTTTCAAGCCATGCAAATATTTCAGCCGGTAAGCATCCCAATGCATCGGAAGCTGGGCACATGAATCTTGCATACCAGCCACAACGTAAGTACCGGCTGGTGGCTGGTCGTGAAGGTGTTGGCTTTCAACGACCACGAATCACAACCCAATATCTGGGCCTTTGGAATATTTCATTTGTATTATTTTCTTTGTCTGGACTCGAAATTTGGATGTGGCTGCATGTCTTTGGCTTTTTTTCTCTTGCTTGGTTGACAGCCATCGGCTTATCTGCGCGAGCCTCGTGTCTGGTGGTGTTGACCGCCTAGCACGAATGGTATCGAATATGATTGCTACCCTCTCAGCATACACTGGTGACATCTTAACCCACAAGGGAAGGTAAATAACCATAACCGTGCTTATCTACTGCTGGTATATAAATTTCCAGACCTAAAATTCGTCTTTAAACGCATGACACGTTGGGTTGCGCCGCAACACGGGCACTCAGGCTATCCCTGCCGTGGTAGCATCAGTTGAACTCACAGTGCGCCTAGTGTCCATATAACGCCTGCCAAAGTCCACAGAAAGCTATGATATGGCCCCGTACTTTTGCTGATCAGAATGAGATCGTTTGCCCTCTGGCTTGGTGCGCTTGGGCTGACGGCGGCCTTCAACAACCCCCCGGGGGTCGATATCTGGTGCGGGAAGGCTTATCGCGCAACGTATGCGGCACAGCCCTTTCTTCGGTTCTTTTATCCCTCTTAAGAGCAAGATACCTAACCGAAGTCTAGTAATGCGTCCTTTGAACCCGGAGGTTGGCTAGTCCAGCCAGCCCCTTCGCTTGAGCCGCTCCTGGATCTGCGCGTTCGTCCTCGGATGAATCTCTATACACAGGACGAGCTGTGGGGTTCTTTCATCGTGGATGCAGCACTGTCGCATATCAATGGCTATCCGTTCTATTATGGTACCGATACCGGGGATGGTCATGGTCTGGCACATGAAAGTTTCAACGTCCTATATGTGGATATTTCCTTGGCTGATAACGAAACCGGTCTGGTTTCAAGTGCCGTTATACCGGTGAATACGACATCGAATGAAGTCTCTTTTTCTTTGTCTAGTCTCCAACCGCAATTTGATCCATATGATATCTTGCTTCGAGCGGTTTCGCCGGACGGAAACAGAAGCTATACGGCTCGGACACAGCTATATCGTCTGCCCAATCGAACTGACGGTGGCAGTATTACCAAACTTGATAGTCTTTATGGCGGACTACTATTCAAGAATGAGCAGACGGATTGGCAGCCGCTATTGCCTTATTCTTTCTACGTTAGCTGGGGAGGATGGCTGGAAAAGTCCCTTGATAACGTGCAGTATTTCAAGGACCAAGGATATAACATTGTGCACATTATCCCCAATGGCGGACAGCCTTTCAATTTCACCGAACTCAACATATTCCTTGACAGGTGTGATGAAATCGGTCTTTGGATCATGTATGACATGCGATGGACGTACCAGAATGCGACTTCCGTCGAAGAACAGGTCAACATGCTCAAAGCCCGAAAAAGTATGCTTCTTTGGTATACTGGTGACGAGCCAGACGGCAACAGTGACCCTGTCAACGCGCCCAAAATTGCCTATGACCAGATCAAGTCCCTCGACCCATGGCATCCTGTCTCTTTATGCTTGAACTGTTACAATTTCTATTACAAGGAGTACTCCTCCGGAGCAGACATTATCCTTTCGGATGTGTATCCCATCGCTGTCAACACGTCTTACTCGGAAGTCTATGGCACGGTATGCAATACCACGTATGGCTGTTGTGGTTGCGATGATTGCAAAGGGGATATGGAAGATATCTCTGATCGTCTGGATATCTTTGCGCAATATCAGGAGTGGATCGGCGGTCCGCCCAAGACTTTCTGGGGAGTCCCACAGGCGTTTGGAAACGAATCGTTCTGGAGACGATATCCGACTCCGGAAGAAGAGGTGACAATGAACATGCTCAGCATCAACCACAATGCCAAAGGCATTGTCATGTGGACCTATCCGACATCTTCGGGATTAAGTGAAGTGACCAGCAAGCTGAGCAAGGTCCTATTGAGAAAAGACGTGACTACCCATTTGCTGGGATCGCATACGACGGCGTTGGAAGCTGCTGGACACGGGAGAATTGATGCAGCTGGGTGGATAATTGGAGAACAGATGCTTGTCAGTATACTCTATTTAGAGTATACGGACTTACAATCAGAGATCACGGTGACACTACCTGCCAAGGCTGCTTCCGTGAGCGAAGTGCTATGGGGTCGTGGCGGCTGGAGTGTCTCTGGTGGAAAGTTGGTGAAGAATGGGCTGACTGGGCTTGAGACTACTCTCTTGATAGTGACACTTGAATAGCGGGCTTCTGTATGGATTGCGGAAGCTAGACACTGTACTAGAACCATATATATAGTTAGAAGAAGTATACTTGGGCTCTATCTGAGAGGCATATGGTAGATACGCATCGATCATACAAATACTCAAGGATGTCGAAAGCATTATGGCACAATGATATGCATGATTGGAGGGTGTTTTGCTGGCCTTGAATGCCGATAAATAAGCGCTGTCTCGGGGCGGAAATGATTATCGGGGTAAAGCGCTGATCATCACGGAACCCTTCGAAGGTGGATATCCTCATCGGTTTGCTTCAGACTTTGATCGATTTATGTCAGTCATTTCCTGTCCATTATTCTCACTCCAGTGATCCCTGACTGGCGCTATTGTAGAATATTAGCCAAACACTGTTGTCGCTGGAACAGTCAGTTGCCCCGTCCAACTGTTATCAAGCGGCAACGATGTTCGGATGACAGGCGGGGCAGACCAATTTAGCTGCCCGGTGCAGGGCTGATAGATAATAAGAGGCGTCCCGCAATTCGTTATCAAGCATGGGGATAATCGAGTCCATGTATTTCACCACCAAAAGTCACAGAGGAGTGACTGACACGTCTGTCGCGGCTGTTCAGTCATGTGCCGTGCGCATGAGTCGCCGTTCCGGATGATCCAGACAGCTCACTGTATCATGTTGACATAGTCTGCCTGTCACCAGCTCACTGTATTCTGCTCTCCTCCCCCCATCTTCATGGTTCATTGAACTTCCAGGCCTCGAGCACCAGCTGGAAGGCAGCAACACTTACTGCTCGCTTTTCTGGAGCTTTTCCTGATCTGGAACGTCTATCTTCTCTCTCCAGCTCCCCTTCCGACCGGATCAACAACCCCGCCGCGAAGGACCATCTGGCTGCCTACCGAGTCATCGGGCACCCGCGACGAAATCATCCCCCACCAAGGTTCATGGTGTCAATCTATTGTAGTTCTTTCAAACATCCTGGAGAATCACAGATAACGCTATACTGGTGAACATCTTCGCCTCTCCTCTCTTCTTCTATGTTCTAGTGCTCTCCGCCCCTAGTACTCGTACGGTGGAAAGCGCGCAGCTTCATCCCCGCTGCCCGCATCTTCCCCCTGCAGCTTCCATGATCTCACAGCGTCAAACTACACCGACATGTCTGACATAACTGACATTGCAGAGCATCCTCATAGAAGGTCAGCAAGACCTGCAGATCCTCCGCATCTCCGCTATCCCACTCTTCCTCCGCTCAGTGTTTCCGTCGAAGAGTGGCTGTCTCAGTCTCGACCGGCAAATATGACTTCGAGCTTACACGTGGAGCGTCCGGAAAGCTCCCTCAGCGAGAGCTGGGCAAACCTGAGTGTCTCTGATATTCATTCTGAAGATGGCACACATTCCGAACAGACCGATATTGGCTCCCTGATCGATCAGAACGGTCCTGATGACGTTACCAGTCTGGACGGACAAGAGACCAATAGCGAGATCGACGGAAACGATGATGAGCAGAGCAATATTTCGGAATCCCAGGAGCTTCCACCTCTCTTCGCCCGTGTGAAGGATGGTATAAATGACAGTAACATCACCACGAAAGCTGCCTTCCAGCCTACGGATTCGATCGAGTTCAGAGAACCAGAACAATGGCCTGGAGTTGAGAGAGTTGAATTGAAGCATACTGTGCGAGTCCTTGATGGACTGGAGGCCTCAGAGCTGAAGGAGCACCTTTCTCCTCAGCCTGAACATTCTAGCCTGTTGGTGACCGTCCAGCAGACGATGACAAAACAAGGTCTCGACTTGGACAAGCCGTTCCGTGTGCTATACGTAGGGAACCCAGATTTCAGACATATCATTCTAGACAAGATTGGAGACATTCTGGTGTCCAGCTCCAACAGTGACTTCGAATGCAGCTCGACCGAATCATCCAGATACCATGTCGTCCCTACGTCCTTTGGGGCTGGAGCTACTCCAAACTATGCAGAACTGCTTCCAATCCACGTGCAGCTGGTTGTTGACGAGTGCGTTGACGCGACACTGACACCGCAAATCGACTCACCAAGCAGAATCGATCTCCAGTTCAAGAACAGAGCACCGTGCACTTCATCATGGGCAGGATCTGAATACCAGATTTCATCCCCCGCTGAATGGACACTACCAGATCTAGCCATCTTTTTGATATCTGGCAAGGACGATGACCACGCAGTGATGACGCGGCAATTGGCACATACCTTTGTGAAGAGACACGCTATCCCGACGATGGCCATCTCGGATGAACCCTTCTGGAAAAAGCCCGCTGAAATAATACCCTTGGACTACCACAGTCTTCATATGTGCTTGGAGTCCCGCCATTCTTTGACAGGTGAGAGCGTTGTCCTAAGAAGATACCCGATCGATTTGAAGACCTTCGAGAGCATCACCCCTGGACAGCTCAACCGAAACCTAGCCTCCCTCTGTGGCCTTTATTCCACCAAGGCCTCCAATGATCCCGATCTGAGCCGAATGTCACATCCATACACGCGGTTCGTCGATAGTGAGAAGTACCCGAAACACATGATTTCTTCGCCCAGCGCTGGCCGTGTACATGAATTAATTCCACACTTACGTATCGTTACTCTCGCCATAGTGTCTGCTATTGCCATTTCTCTCGGACTTTCAGCTCTCAGGGCTACAAGTGTATTTTTCTTGCAGCAATTTGCTCGCTCTTCTGCACCTAGCATCTATTCTACCTCTTCCGCTATTGTTTCCACTACATGGCCGCCTCTATCAGAGAAATCGGGCGAGACGTCACTCGCAGTGATGACTTCTCCAATTGAAGTGCATGTTTCGAGTTACGGATACGAAGATGCCTCAGCGGCCGAAGATATCATGGGAGCCGCTCTAGCCGTCACAGATCAACCTGTGAGACCTGACAAGTTCCAGGTGCAGGCCATCGGAGACCGTCATGTCATTATCAAGCCCCCTCCGAGCGTCGCATCCGGCCGGAAGCAGCCAAAGTTCAATTTGAATGTTGCCAAGGGCGACCGATCCCTTCCGTACGAGCTTTCCAAGCTGTTCGAAGGCGTGTACACGCTAAAGCTAGATAGAGAAGATGCATACGGTCTGATCAACGTTACAACCACCGCCTCCAGGCCACATATTGAACAGGTCACCGAGGTCGACTTTGGCACACCATGGCTGAAAGTCGCAAATTGGAAGAAAGCAGCCCATGCTATTTCTTCCCAGCTAGCCAAGGACTTGAGCGCAGCTCAGACAGGGCTTTCTGAGGTCTATGGTCGTCTCAGCACGGATTTGCAAGTGTGGATTGGCGACGCTACCAAGAAGTCGCATCTTCTACGTCGGGAGGCGGAAACGCTGGGCCGCGGCTCCGTACAATGCTCCAAGGAGACTAGAGATGCGGTTCTGTCAAGGTCAAAGGAGTTGTCCGAGCTTGTAAGGCGCAACACCGTGCAGGGGCTCTCGACGGCCTCGTCAGCCTTACAGGGCCGGACACGGACCATCAACAAAGAGATCAAGGAATTGGCGAACGATATCTGGAAGAGGATGAGTCTCTCGACACAACAGTTTCAGCTAAACAGCCTCAACGAGCGGTTTCGGGATTTACGGCATTACAAGCCTTTGGCTAAGGCGCAGATGGGAGCGCGCAGTCTGATGAAGAAGGAATCGCACGGACATGTCAAGTCGGCAAAACCAAACCGCCACGATCGTAAAGGTGGCCATCGTAGATGACTCATTCTGTCGATGTGGTAAACAGACGGGCTACGGGAAACTGGGTTTTGGTCTCTTCTTTTCTCTTATTTCTTTCCTCTGCTTTTCTGTTTCTTTGCGGTAACTAGGCTGGGGTCAGGGAAATGGGGTCAACGAATAACTACGATATCCAACAAGGCAGGGCCGTTTCCAGATCGGCGCTGGTTGCTTACTAGCTGGGCATGTCGCTGCTCTCTCTCATTTGTTTCTGTACTTCATCGCGGGGCGATCAACCCATCAATCACCTATAATATTGACTCTGCCGTCCAAGTTTGTCAAGAGTGCAGTAAGAGTACTGTGTCGAGTAGCCTGCAGGTAGAGCGTGAGCATGTAAGCTCGTTTGTAAGGTTCCTTGTGCCTGAGCGAGCAAAGTGCCTTTTTTTTTGCCTATAGAAAACCAAAGAGTGACGAGGGGCGGCTGGCACTAGCAGGCTCAGCGTAGGGGGTGGAACGGCGGGATTTCGCCAACAAACCTAAGAAACCTACCCACCTTTTACCAGGACGCGATCCAAAACACTTTCCACCAGATCAGGCATCATCACTCACACTATCCATCCTGCTCTTTTTTCTCTCTTTTACCACCTCAGAGAGACCGCTTGAACTACACCTGGAAAACTCTTCGACCAGCATCATCATCTCACACAGTCACCATGTCTGACGTCGCCGAAACAAAGCCTGACCCCACCACCACCGCCCACGAGGAGACCAACACCACCGCGGAGGAAACGCCAAAGACTGCGGAGGGTGAGGAGAAGAAGTCGACCACAGAGACTATCGCCGACACGGCCGCTGCTGCCACGACCAAGGCTACTGACAGCGTCTTCTCCATGTTTGGTGGCGGTCCCAAGAAGGAGAAGAAGGAGGAAGAGGATGATACCAACGAGCCTTCGGGCTCTTCCAAGGCCCAGAAGGCAGAGGAAGAGGTGAGAACTTTTTTTTGCGATCCTGTTCATCTGCACTGAATCCTCTATATTTCTTTTTCTTCCCTGTGTGTTGAATACTAGCTTTTGCCGTTATTGCGCCCCTCACCCCGCACTTTTGCCCCCCTTTCTGCCTTAGGCGTGATAATATCGATAGTTATGTTCTGCTATAGAGGGTTCATACTATGTTTCTTTTCCTGCGTTACAACTTTTTGATGATGATGAGCGATAGACGCTGTTGGCTGACACGATTTACTCCACCAGGATGAAGCTCCCGAGTCCCCTGACGTCCATTTCGAGCCCGTCGTCCACCTGACCGAGAAGGTCGAGGTCAAGACCAACGAAGAGCTCGAGGAGCAAACGTTCAAGATGCGCGCAAAGTTGTTCAAGTTCGACCGTGAGAGCAAGGAGTGGAAGGAGCGTGGTACTGGTGACGTGAGACTGCTGAAGCACAAGGAGAACGGCAAGACTCGTCTGGTCATGCGGAGAGACAAGACCCTCAAGGTCTGCGCCAACCACTACAGTATGTCTCCGGTCCCTTATAACTAGGTAGACGATCATATACTGACTCGTTTCATAGTTGTCCCTGACATGAAGCTCTCTCCCAACGTCGGCAGTGACCGCAGCTGGGTCTGGAACGCTGCGGCCGATGTCAGTGAGGGTGAGCCTGAAGCGCAGACCCTGGCCATTCGTTTCGCCAACAGCGAGAGTAAGTTAGCCCTTTGTCTTTGTATATATGATTCAAGGCTATTCCAGAGTATAAATTTCCATGAATAGCGCTGACAAGATGCTCCAGATGCCAACCTCTTCAAGGATGCCTTCATCAAGGCCCAGCAGGACAACGAGAAGCTCTTTGCCAAGGAGGAGTAAATCTTCTCTGCCGGTGCTAGCCATGGAAAAAGAGTTGCATGATGGATACGGGTTCTGGCCATCTTATATTCGAATGTACCTGCGCCCCTTATCCGCACCCTGGACACTAGTCCGCACGCATCATCATCATCACCATCGCCATGTTCCCCTTTTCCCCACCCCCGACTTCCCCTCCCCTGCCAATACATGTACCCCTCCCATGCGTCGCGAGACAGCAGATATGTGTATGTTGATCTCACGATGCCCATGGTTAATGTGACGAGAAAGTCCCGTCCTCCCGCCGCTCATGTCGAATGTACATCCCTCCCCCCATGTCGATCCCAGTTTGCTTCTTCCAAATCGGGTTGAGCATTTGGCAGTAGATAGTTACAACATTCAAATAACCCTGATATAGCATTCCAAACAAAATACATGCATCAAATCAAAAGAACCAAAAATATATCTTTCCTTTACACGAACTTCTCATACCATCATATATATATATATACTACTATATCCGTTAGAATTAAGCCCCTTTCGATCTGATATACGAAGTCTAGTCTACTTACTTCGTTATACAATTAGATGGCCGAGGCCAAGTCTTGCCCGTAATCGGAAACCGGTCTCGAAATAATAATACGTAGATCCTATATTATCATGATTACTATTATTGTAGATCCTTAAAATATCCTTAGGTCGATCTTGTCCTTCTTTTCTTTAAATTGCGGTCTTTCTTTCTAAAAGCAGCTAGTATTAACTAGACGCCAGAGACTGGAGGGCAACTCGTACTATGCGGTGGTACGGAGCTCGGCTATGGTAATAAGTCTTCATATAGGAAAATATGAGTCGAGTATCGGCTGTGTACGAATGTATCAAGCATATATGCATGTAAGCACTGTGGTATAATTCTTTTTGTGTGTGCATTCTCACTCAGACTTCTCATTAATTCTTCCCATATTGCTCATGTTCGTTCATCTTGTTATCTCGGTCCATGAGGGCAGAGAGAATAAAGAAAAAGCAATGTATGCGTCAGAGATCTTCAAATGTCAAAGCCAGAGAAAAGAAAACATCAGGACAGTCAATCAATTTGAAAAGACAAGGGACATGCACCGCGCAGATGATCATAATCAAGGGAAAGTAAGACAGAGAGACAAAAACAGGGTACATCAGCAGACGCATTCGAATATGCAATGGGTGATCCAGCCACAAAAATCAAGAAAGCAACACAAGGGATATCTCAAAAAGTCATGCGGAGCAGTTCGATAAAAGAAAATCCTCAAGCCCAAGAACGTCAAATACTGCAATAACAGGACGGAAAATCATGACAGATGCGTATTGTACAGTGGTCGGGGCAGTTTCTAAAGAACTGTTCACCCCCTGTTGTGAAACAACCATACGCCCACGCGATGCTCTTGCAACAGGCGAGATTTCTTCAGCCAATCTAGAGAGAAGGAAGCATTAAGAGAGATGCAAAGTAGACTTCGAGCTGTCGCAATGGACATTACACAATGCGGTATCTATGTGACAGTTAGCGAGCGGTCGCGATGTACCAGGATAGAAGAAGTGCACATACAGCTTCAGCAAGTCTTCAAGGCTGGCAGGGCTCAAGTCTCTGCCGCTGGGCAGCTGAGAGATGATATCCATTATGCTCGCGAACACGTCTCCACGTTTGTAGGCTATCAAAGCGGGAGGTGTAACGTTCTCCATCTCCGCAATCTCATGATGCAGTTTGATAAAGCGAGTTGCCACGTTCTTGCGAGCAATAGTAACAAGCGAGTCTTCCACAATAGAGCTCAAGGTCGACTGTTGACATGTTAGAACTAGTCCTTGGCGACGATGTCAGACATAGAGCAGAAGACGTACCTCTGGATCATATATGCAGACGCAGACGACCGTCTCCGGTGAAGCTCCCTCGATGGCATCAAGGTATCCATTAGCATCGACCTTCTCCACCGTTCCATAGGTTCTCCGACTGGGACTGGTCTTGCTTCTACTGCGTTGTTGTAATTCTTGTAGTCGGGCTTCACGCCACATGCGCATGAACTCCTCATCTTCTTCACTTGGAGAACCTTCAGTAGAACGACGGTCCCTCAACGGTCTTGACTCCTGCTTCGACTTGTTGGAAAAATGATCCATTCCGGTCACACCCATCAGGGTGCGCCGGAAGGATCGCTTCTTTGCACGCTCATAGGATTGTGCATCTGCGATCACACCCTTGGGGCCTGTGTTTGCATCGTATGTTTGTGTGGGGATATGGTAATTCGAGGGTCTGGAGACCATGTTGTATGTATCGCTGTCTGAATCGGAGTTGACGTAGTCCGGGCCCTCGTCGTCGGCTTCAGAACTCGACTTGTCGTCGGGGTCGTCACGATCTTCCGGATGAGATGTATACCGTTCCTTCTGATTGAAGAGACGGTCGACTTCTTCTTGAGCTGCGGTAGACATGGCGGAGGAGTAGACGCGGGGACAACAGATGGTTTTATACAGATGAAGTCGTTGCGGAGAGGAAAGACAGGGAATAGCCCTGGGTGAAAGCGGTGATCGCGTGGGCTAGCGAGATAACAGAAACGTGGAACCAGACTGGAGAACGATGACCCTGTCCGCCACGCAGTGCGTTTCAGCCTTCTTGTTGACGGTGGGGTCGTCCCTAGTCGCTGATAGCTTCGAGAAGATTGAGCCAGATCAGAAGGGATTTGATTTTGGGGTGATGTATGTAGCTTTGAAACACTGTAATTACTACTGAGTAGCGCGTTAGCCCCAGCCATCGTGGACAATTGATGGTCTAAGCCTCGAAGAAGAGTCTCAATAGGTTTGGGTATACAATAATAATGATGATCAGCGTCACCCCGCGGGAAGCTCCAGCATGAGGACAGACGTGCAATGCGCTTGATAGACAGACTTACCCGGATTTCAACAGCCAATAGTGCTTCTCAGGATGCCGCAGTGCGTTGAAAGACGAGAAGAGATTTTCTCAGGGGGGTTGCTGGGAAAGAGGCGGTTGTTTTTTTGTCGCGGGCGGTGGACACAGCACGACGAGAGAAGCGGCTGATTCCTTCTCCCTTGGCGGAGCTCCTTTTCATCCTGACCACCAATCTACACGCGGAGAAATCCTTCACTGCAGCCATCTCTCAGCGCCAACGGGCAGCTTTACGCTTATAGGGCCTTACTCGCTTTCGTTTCGCATCGCCGTCGTTTCAAAAGTGATGATCGCCCCGCAAACGCTCAACAGTTATTCGTTAGCCCACAGCCCCTGAACCAGAAAGAGGCGTCGTTTTCTGCAAATGCCTTCTCAACAGCCATCTGGACGACGCTAAGACGGGCTGGGGGCCCCCTAGAAGGCTCGAAGAATATTCCGTCGGAGAATTGCGTCTGCGATCTGGACAGGACCCTTGCTACAGGAAAGGGACCGATATCTAGATAGCCATGATTAAACTTTGGATTCCGTGTGCCAATTTTGAGGCTTCTGGAAGCAATTATTATTCACGGATCTTTTACCTCGGAGGCATCCGACGTGGTCCGTGTCTGCTGACCTCGTGCAAATTGCAATAAAAGCAGATGGGAGACGAAGTCCGGCATCGTTAGCGGTAGGCTAATCTACACTTTAGAGCACGGAGCCAACGCAGAATACAGTGGACTGAGCGCTTATACAAGTGCTATACCGATATACAAAAGTACTGCAACATAACCGGCCGGCTCTGGGCCTCATTCACCGGGCACTGCATGCTCTTCCTGGTTCCCAATATCGTCTTGCTACTATAATTACGTCCTGCGTCTTGTTGGCTGCGACGCGTACTATAGCCGTGTTTCAGGTTCTTGCATGTTTCGGCCCCCAGGACGGTAGGTAGTTTCAAAGCCCGCAGAGACAAGACGAAACAACCTCGGCTTACAGAGTATTCTGTTGTGACGTGTGCTCGGTCCTATCTTGGCGGTGATCTAATAATGAGGAGGCGTAGGTCTAGCCATGATGATAACAACAAGTATGGGGTCGCAACATATTCGTCTGAGACAAGCTCATGATTATCACTCCATAGCAGAATATGTTGAGCGGGACATGTACTACGGAGCAGTCGGTGCCAGTATTTCCATTGCGATCTGCTCTCTCATGTCTGTGGAGGATCACTTGACAGAAAACCCATCGCTTGGAGAGACAGGAGAGTATGGCCTGGAAGAGCATCGCTAATCTTCACCGGATTCCGAATACGCTGAAAGGAGATGCTGTGATAGAAGTATAGCGCATAAAGAACAAAATAGCAAAAGCCTGTCTCATGGATAAGATTTTTAGAGAGGCTATCGCGGATCTCCAGGTTATTACTGCAGGGACAACACTAACCCAACACTATCTAACCGTTCTAACGGCTGTTGCGCAACTTGCACAAGGTCTGTGCATGGCGAACCTCAGTCCGAAATTAAATCTGCACTTACGCTATCTACAGCAGACTAAACTGGGTGTGGACTGTGGAGCAAAAAACTATATCAGAGCGGGAAAACAAACGGCAAATTCTATCAGAAGCCATTCCGTTTCTATTATGCAGGTATGGTCATTAATTGGACTACAAAGCTTGTATACGCGCCGTCAGTTGATCATACAGGCCCCCTGTCCTGCATGCTATGGAGTGATGACTCTACTAGGTAGTTACGGGGTAACTACGCCGCAGGCATCAAACAGGTTTAATCTTATGCTTAAATATTCCCAAAGAGACTTGCACATGTCGATCGAGGATCGTCTAATCTGCTACAGGGATTAACATCACAGAGTAGGTAGTAGCGAGTTAACTGAGCCAGTTATATCGGACCCCTATTAAGTCGACTAAGTTCCCTTTTCCCCCTTCTTTTGCGGTAACGGCCCAATCAATATTGCTATCCCATGCAGCATATAAACAAGCTCGGGGCTATCACAAAAGCCCTGTACGACTGTGCTTGTGTCCCGCATAATCTATCTCCCTAGCAACATTACATTGATGCGGGTGCGCACATGAAAATATCAAAGCTCAAATAGCGTCAGGGGTCAAATCCTCCACATTACTCATTACCTTGAACTAGTTAACTACCGAAGTCTGGCCAACCCTCATTCTCTACTCCAAGAACAGATATAAAGAAACAACCTACCACCCCACAAATGGCGTTTTCGCATTCGGATCATATTCTTTTCGTCCCTTTCCCTTGATTCATGTTGACGAGATCTGCTAATCGAGATTCCGAATAGTTTGCCGGCGTACAAAGCGAACGCCAGGTGATCTGTCAATCATCCGCTTGCGGCCGATTCTTTGAATTCCTGATTATAGGATGGAACCCACTAGATTACTAGGATCTAGATTCTTTGTATGCTAAAGATAAACATGGGATCAAATTCGCCCTAAATCTAACAGGCAATTCAAGTTGTTCAGGTCAGACCTTGCTTCCGTGCCAAAGGATTCGACATAGTTGAACAATTTCCCGTGGTGTATTAGGCGCTGGTACACGATCCGTAAATGCTATTTTTGTCAGTCAGGCCTGACTTCGAGCTACAGCTTCTTTATCGCGGTTGCTATAGAGACTTCTATAAGAGTTACATAAATTAAGCCTTACCTAATAGACCGCAATAAGCATTAGCTACTCCTCCTACTGACATGTTATCTTGCTGCCTAATTGCTATACCAGGGCAGGCAAATAATCTTTTGTGGAGGCATTCTCTTAGATCTGGCAGTGAACTGGCCGTCAAACAACTACATCAGGGGTTCAATCATCAGGACTCCTGACTGGAATCGACACCCTTCTATACCTACCGCCTCATGGCTTCTTCCACCTCCAGCGGTCCCATAACTCGTCAAACCGGACGAATCTCATATGAAACTAGCTCTATCATTCGCAAATCTGGCAGCATCTTCAAAATAAAACGTGAAATCGAAGCCATCGCTTTTATCCGCAGGCATACAACAATTCCTATCCCTGAAATTCTCGACTATCAAATAGACTCAAACAACAGTTCGTTTCTAATGAATCGTCTCCGCGGTACCACTCTTAGTTCAGCATGGCCGAATCTAAATGATCATGCTCGACAAAACACACTATCCCAACTGAAATCATATCTTCATCAGCTTCGAGACCTACACCCATCGATTCAAGGACAGATTGGATCCTGCTCAGGGGCATCCGCTTATGACCACCGATTAAACAACGGATTTCCTATCGGGCCATTCTATTCCGTGTCTGAGTTCCATGATTTTCTCGTGACACCAGTAAAACGATGTCCTCGTCCGGAGCTGTACTTGAAATACCGCCAGCAATTTTCCGATGACTTCATCGTGCATTTCGCGCATGGTGATTTCTCATATGATAATATCCTGGTCGATAAAAAGACTGGAGATGTTACGGGAATGATTGATTGGGAAATGGCTGGCTTTTGGCCTGAATGGTGGGAATATAGAAAAGCTCTGTTTGGGAGTCGATGTCAAAGATGGTGGGTTGATATTGTGGATGAAGTTATGCCGTCTTATAGAAAGGAATTTGAGATTGATAGTGAGGTAGAAATGTTTTGAAACTTGGTAGATTTCTTCGGCATCGACGAGCATCACTCATTTTTCTCCTTGAGCTATGCCGTTACCGTCTTGCGTGTGTACCCATTATAGATAAATCCGTCCGCCCTCGAGCCCAGTCTTGACAATTCCACCCGAAGCCGCAAAAATCCAGAGGACAGAACTTATATTTCCCATAAAATAGATATTCATTATCTTTAGCACTACCAACCTCTCAGCTGATTGGGAAAGAAAAAAGAAAATCATTAACCATAGTCGGCGCCTACAGGTAGATCTACTATGGGCGTGCTTCTAATTCACCCTCACCATGACTATATATCCGACAAGGAAGCCTTTTTCCCTCAACAGGGAGGCCAGGTAGCACAGTAGTTAGATCCAGATATGACTAGCCCCTAACATCCACGCTCGAGCCTTTTTTTTTTTTCTTCTTTTTTTCTCTTGTATTTATATTAACCCTCGCTCTTTCAGAGTATAACAAGACTGCCACACATAGTTAATACTAGTCATTAACACCAATTATATTCTCCAAATATCTCACAAGTCCATAGCCTTAAAACGCCAAGATCCAGTCTTTTCGTCTTGATTAACTAGTCAGCTAGTCAGAAGTCACGCATACATCACGGACGAAAACCTTCTTCGGTTCTTACCTAGATTTGGGATCTATGGAATTAATCTTCATAGTTATCTAGAGTCTAGAGGTAATAATATACAGTAACTACTCCGTACTATTTCGCAACTATATTACCTCGACTCGAGACTCTTTCGCTTATTTTCGAAGAGACTTAACTCTTTCGACGAACTAGTCAATTCTGACTTTCTGATGATAGAAGAATTTCATTATATGTATGTATGTATATACGTAGACGTACTCAGTTGCTGTACTGACTACGGGATACACTAAATAGAGCCGCACCTGCACGCCAATTCTCCGCCTCACGCACCACTACAGGATGCAGTGCAGTTGAATCGGGATCGCGAGTTGATCGGCCATGCCAAGGGTGGACACGAGTGGAGCAGAAGGCGCTAACTATACTCTATTCTGTTGTTGGACTCTCAACCACACTATAGAATCATAAGTTATGATCATTAAATGGGGCCTGGAAGTTACGGTGTGTAATCCAGTGATGTCCTCGAGATGCAACCAGAGCAAGCATTTAATAATGTTAACTTTTGGGATTTTCTCAATTATGTCTAAATTGAGAACAAACACACAAAGGAAACTTTGATCTAGAAGACCCGTTGACAGCTCATGGGCTGGTGCTTTGCAAGCGGGCACTTGATTCTCGCTGGAAAAACGATAAAGTAGATCCTGGCCAGCTTAACGAGTAAGAAAAGGGACATCGAGATCGAGACACAAAAGAGAAGACGCTTCCAAACTTCAGTGAGTGATAAATTTGCAGCACTCGCTGCTCCTAATAGGAGTGGTGGGAGTCTGGGAGGATAGATATGACAGGGGGCAGTCACCTAAACGGGATACCCCAAGTGACATTGGAGCAAGGGTCAACAACGACAACCAATTCCGCAAAATGGGAAAAGCCAGGGGAAGACACGGAGCTGAGGGTAATATGATTAAACAAAACAGTAGAGATTCAAACAGAAGAACATGACGACCTATCCGGAAATCGATTCCTCTTCCACAAACAAGAACACAAAAGGGTACATGCAAAAAGCGGTGTATAGGGGATACAGTAAAGACAAGAGACAAAAAAGGCTAGTAGAAGGGAAGAAAGGAAATAAGACAGGAAGTTAAAAGAAGAGAAGCTTCAAGCGGGAATGAGGACTTGAAGGCCCTGAGGGAATGGCGTGGAGGAACCAAACAAGAGACGACAGCATATCTGTGTACCCTCGAACCCGCCCACCCCTCTAAATGTTTAGAGTCGTGGCATCCGGGAAGCACCAGGTCTTTCATGTCTTCATGTGCATGTCGTTTTTGAAGCAGAACCACGTGGAAAACAGAGCTGGTCAACCGCCGACATTTTGCGATCAAACCTTTTATCGTTTTGTAGTATTCGAGTCCCCGCCACGCTCGAGAGGTAGACATTATGGGAGATCGCGCGGCGATGGTATCTCGAGAGGAATAAGAATTATCGTACAATGGCAGACGTTTAGCCCATCGGGCAGCAAGAAACGGATGTCGCGAGATAGCTGCGAGATAATAAAATGCAGATACTCGTTTACCAGGCCCAAATCTTGAGCTATAAGACGCAAATTTCATTAGTTAACCTCTCGTATTCGTGGTTTTCAATAAGCACTCACCAAGGAATCCCAAGAACCAGTGCAGAGACTGATTCCGTCATTGCTGACACCAAGACAGCTGACACGGTTCTCGTGGCCGCTCAAAGAGCCGACTTTCTCTCCACGCAGAACATCCCAAACCTATCGCAAATTGTGAGTTAAGCTGTTCAGATCAGACGTATAGTGAAAGCAATTGACATACCTTGCACTCGAAATCATCGTAACCAGCGAACAGCAATCGTCCAGATACGGAGAATGCGACGGAAGTGATTCCGCACAGGACTTGGTCGCTCTGTAATGGTGTTGTGTTAGTCAAAATGTACCGTGAATATGGTGACAGATAAAACGGCTCCTGGGACGTGGCAATTTGCCAGCGTAGACAGGGGAATAGGGGTACGTAATGGGAAAGACGGTGTCCCAAGCAGAGTCCTGAAGGAAAGAGACGTACCTGGTATGTGTTTAGCTCACGGTCTGCGCGGATGTCGAAGAGACGGCAAGAGGTGTCGTCCGAGCCGGTACCGAAGGCGTTTCCATCGGGGAAGAACTGGATCGCGTTGATATCGGACTCGTGTCCAGCAAAGGTCTGGACGGCCTTGCCGGTACGGATATCCCAGAGCTTAGCGAAAGCATCGCAAGCGCCGGAGACGAAGATGTTCTGGTTGGTGGGGTTGATGCTGATAGACATCACGTCACCTAGGTGGTCAGCGAACTCGGTGACCTTGGATCCCGACTCGATATCCCATAGCATGCAGGTCATGTCTCCGGAGGATGTGATTATTCGGCGATCGTTAATGAAACGGCAGCAAGAAAGGTAGCCGGAGTGTCCGGAGAGCTCTCGCGCGACGCGGGTCGGGCCCTCACGGGAGGAGAGGTTGTAGATGGAACAGATGTTATCCAGGCCACCGCAGGCCACGAAGTTTCCGCTGGGAGCGTAAGCACAGGTCATGACCCAGGATGACCGTAGCGGAATGGCGTGGACTTTGTTCGTCGTGTATGCGTCCCAGATGATCAGCTTGCCGTCCTGGGAGGCGGAGACCAGATGGCGTCGGTCTGTCGACCAGTGCATGGCGTAAATCTTTGCCAAATGACCCTTCAGATTCCTTCGCGGCTTCATTCCAATCCTCGGTAGCGCTTCAGTATGGCTTTGGGCGACTTGACGGACTGCATACGGAACAGGTCAGCAGCTACTCGAGAATAAAGGAGGCACCCTCGCCAGTGAAGACACGGCGATCGGAGCGTGAGGCAGTGAATCCCCATTGCCCGGATTCATCTCTCCAGACGTCTATCAGAAAGCGAAAATGGGAATCGTACGGGTCGTATCTGCCAGCTCATCCTTCCTGCGCTTGATCTTATCCTTCAGTCCTTCAGCCTCGCGCCTCGCGGCCGCGATCTTGGCCTGCATCTGCTCGCCGCTCATATCGGCCGCCATGTCGAACGAGTGTTACCCCTAGAGGAGAACTGGAAAGCAATTGAAAGGAAAGCGGTCGACAGGTCGAGGTGGAAGTCGAGATGCGATCCAGGGGAGAAGGGAGGGACGACGAGAGTGCTTGGTGTGGAGTTGGGCGAGCCTGCGGAAGCGACCGAGCGAAGGTTTCGACCGGGGGGGGGGGAAACGGGGTGAGAAACGCGGACGGCTTAGGAAGCAGGGGAAAAGAGGAACAATAATAATGGGAGCCAACACGGCCACACAGGAACACAGATAGATAGATAGATTGATACACTTGAATTAGGAGGACAGGAAAGGGATAAAGAAGAACGAGAGAAGAAAAAAAAAGAAAAGAGTGCACGTCTCTCTCTCTCTCCCTCTGGTTGTCTGTCTATCTGTCTGTGTTTCTGACAGGAAAGCTGGGAAGGAGATGAGGAGAGTAGTCTAGCCGCGACAGGAGCTTCTCGGTCTAGTGTCGTCTACAGGGCAAGACAAGACAAGCACAGAGACGAGGCTGCTGGTGGGAAGGGATAAGTTAGCAGTGGACGGGAGAGGTCCCGGTTGGCAAGATCGCTTGGTTGGCTTACGGGGCCAAGTGGAGGAGGAGGAGAACGAGTCGAAGGGGAAGGGGGAGAGAGAGGAAACGAGATGGGATGTTCAGGACGGCTTTTGGTTAGCGTCGATAGGGGGTGCTTCTGGTATTGTATTATTATTATTCTTTTGAACAGTGCGAAGAATAGTTAACCAAGAAGGAAAGTTAAGAAAGCCAAGGAACGCTGTCATTCTGCAATGGCCCCAGCGCCGCAATCATGATTCTAAACAGCTGGAGATAAGGAAATCTTAACGGTCAACGGCGGAATCTTCCATTAATTCGTTCAACAGGGTATGTATGCAAGAATAATATGGAAGTAGTAATGATGCTGCGCCAGCCGGATGTCCGCCCGTCATTGACCCCCAATTTCGGTGGAAATTATACTAACCATCCAGACTAGCCGGACTGACAGGATGCTATAATTTATTGGTACTGCGAGCACAACCAGCCTCTTTGTCTTTGCCCTCCTAGATGGAACTGCCTGCCATTCAGGAACAGAAACAGACGTCTGTCTGACTCTCCAGTATGACAGGGCCTCGTCCGTGCTTGTCAAGAACCATAAAGGTTGTTGTTCCTGGCTTCTCGAGTCCCCTATCTAGCGTCGAAAGCGCTCTCTCTCTCTCTCTCCCGAGAGCGACGATGGCTCTTAGGCGACTTGTCCACTCCGGCCCCAACTGGGTCAGTGGCTGTCTTCTTGACCCCTTCGTCCAATGATTCAGACTCCACAGACATGCTGATCGCGTCCGGACGTACCTGGCTGCTTGGCCACCTTAAACTTTTTCCGTATGGCTTCGCCAGTCAAGGAGAGTCCGGCTGGACCCATCCTGGAGCCGCCAGGAGGGTCGAACGGTCCCGTGGGAGCCATTTCAATTACAGTATTATTAACGAACGCGATCCAGCGCACGAGCATCCGCTGCTTGAAGAAAGAATAAATAATAAATCGAACGCCGTGTCACGTACGGCCCGCGAAAATTGAATTGAATATTCCAGCCATCCTGGGAGACACCAGAAGAGAATCATCTCACGGAGCACCTTTCTGTCGGGGTCCCCTAAGCGCCAGAATGGAATAAATAGCAACAGACCGCATATCTATGGTAGTACTTTCGAGGTGCGAAGGCAGCCAAGACACATTATTGGTATTGGAAGTCCCGGCTCTCGGTGGGCGACATCCCTGTGCGCGAAATAATAATAATAATATCAGCTTGATGACCGTGTTGCAAGATGAGGGCTAATAATAATACTGCTGGTCCCTGCTCAGACATATCAGGTAAATCAGATATGGAATCATAATAATAATAATAATAATAGATGGAGAATCCAGCCTCCTATTCACTTTTGCATCGTCATTTCCATCCCGTATGATGGCAACTGCGCTGTTTAATTTCTGATTCTGCAAGCGTTTGGTCGGTGCTTCACACTAGTGATCGGATAGGATCCCTGTCACTCTGCCGGCCGTTTAGCCATAGCATAGCAGCCCATGATCTTAGTATAATTCATCACCTGGCCACTATCCTCCGCAGTCATTAATCAAAAAGAACCAAGTCAGGGGAAAATTCCAACATGGCCTTTGTCTCGGTCCCGGGTCACGAGTTTGAGATCCCAACTCCATGGTAAGCGGCCCTTTTAGCCAGGCGCTTTGAAGCAGTATCGGGAGCCGCATCCACCCCGCGCCGGAAATTACTTGTGACGGTATCAGGATGATCGTGAAAGCGCCGGCCGTCAATAGATCGCAGCTGCTTCAATAATCACTAGCTATTATTATATTTAGCCAGTGGAGAGATTCGGGCCGTCCGGATTGCTCTAGAAATCGAACATTCGGCCGAACCTGCTCCTTGATGAAGGAACAAGCACAGAACAGTACTCCGTATACCCGGTTAGTAAATTAAGATATAACTATGTATAGGCTAGCTGGATTTGAGTTGCGTTTGCGTCTCCAGTCTGCGTACTCCGTATCTAGAGATAGCCATAGAAGTTCTGGAAAAGCCCTAGGTTTTGCTCTGCAGGTACTACGGATCCTTATAAGTTACGGCTTCTTCGGCTGTTGAATGATACCTCACGCTCAGTCGCGGGTCCTACAACGTCGTAAACTCAGCAAGTCGCGGCTCGCCCCCTCTCCTCGCTGCCCCTCGACGGAGGAATTCTTGAGATTCAGTTAAGCTTTCAACATCAACGGTTACTGTCGAACCCGTGTTTAGGAACCACAGGGGTCAGTGGAGACGGGCGTATGGACTTCGGGGTCCGCTTGTAACGTTAGAACCTGATCGGAAGGTAGAAACCATTCACGTTCTAGTTAACTATTTGACCAATGCTTAGACAGCACCGTAACGGTCCTTCTGTCAGAGACGTCCTTGTTATCTACATCGAGTAACTATATGCTGCTGCTTGATCCAGCCTCCTCCGTCCAATATACGATCGATCTAGTCTTTCCTTGATTCTTGCCCGTCCGTCTGAGCAATCTGTTCATATCTGCCCTGGTAACTGGAGGACACGATATTACCTTGGGTTAATAGTATTGCTGGGAACTTCCACTACAGAACACTGCAACATCGTATTATTGCTCTGATGCTTATCCCTGAGTGTTTGGGAGAAAGCGTAATGCTTCAGCCATGACGGCCATAACATTCGCAGGCAGGGAGCAAAGCTATCATGTGTGGCTTTGGCTGCTATTTCAATCCTAAATATTATAATTACTACTACTAACTAGATCTTGATATCAATCCTAGATCATGAAGCAGCAGCGGCGAAAGGCCCATAGCCATCTTCTAACCGCATCTGGCATCCATTGATCCATTGGGCAACTGTATGCTATGATTAGAAGCTAGCACCGCCTAGTCCAGCAGTGCATGTCTGTGTCTGAGCAGGAGACATCCACCCTGATCGACAACCCTTTTCGATTGCTGTCTTTATACCGCAATGTAGCTTCTCCGATAATCTGGTTGCTGTCCTTTGGTCTATTACGGCAACAGACCATGCAAGAGAGGGGTCGGACCGCAGCGGGCCACGCTCCGGCTTGAGGATCTCGTGCTCCACCCCCGGTCAGGCTGCTTCAGTATTGGAAGTAGAGAGATAACTACATATGTATATATACTCAAGACTACTTCAATGCATAGTCTAGTGGTACTGCCGCGTGGATATTAATCAGTTTTGCTTTTTAAGGGTTGAAGTCTAAGTACCGATGCTGCGTGGCGTAGTGAACGCGAAGTTGACTCAGTGTGCTAGCGCTGAGAACGGCGAATGCGACAAAGAAAGATCAAATAAAATCGGACCGTCAGAGATTCTTTGTAAGAAAGAAAAAAATATCAGATTCTTGTTAAATTTCTGGCCCGATAGTTAATTATTACTCCAGCCGAGCGGCGGACTCGGTGGTAGTAGTGAGTGAGTGGCTCAGTCAGCCCAAGCGGTCGAGTGGCGGACAAGAGACGAGAGCCCAAGAAGACCCTTCTCCGCTCTCGCCATCGCCCGAAGACTCACACCTCTTTTCCCTCGACCAACTCACCCAACTCCCCTTCTCCAACTCACACCATCCTTTTCCCTTCGTCTCCGTCCTTTGAAGACATCCTCGCGGAGCCAGTCCTTCGTTGTCCTTTGTTCCATTAGCGGATTCATTGTCGAGTCGCGGCTCTCAGGGTACTGGCGCTCCCGAAGCCTGGACGGATCCCCTTTTTGGTTTCGTTCGTTTCGATCATCTTCTCTCCTCACACCCGGTCTGCTCAGCGTTCCATCGTCGCTGGAGATCGATCACGAACCCCATTCATCTCCGTTGTTCTTGGACGGCTCTTGATGACTCGGATTCAGTGAGTCGGCCCAGCAGCTGATACGGCCCATTGCATTTTTCTGGTACTGGTACTGGGCTGCGGTGTGTTGTCTCAAACGTGGTGGGACCTTGGAGGACGACCTCCTCTTATTTGACCCCCTTCTCCCTCGACCATCGGACATCCATCCTTCATCCATCTTGTCACCAGATCTCAACGGACAGCCCGTTGAGATAGCCCTCCTGCCGCCATGAGGGAGGTCAATTTCAGTATACCCAACGTGAACAAGGCGTCCGTGAACATCACCACCACCCTCTATGATCGGCGGGCGCTCGACTGCACATCGACCCTACCTCTGGTCAACTCCCTCAATCACCTCGCATATCTCACGACGTCCTCTGCTCGGATCCGTGATATTCTCACTGTCGATGGAGGCATTGAGCGCCTGATATGCATCCTCAAGGAGGGGAGAAGCAGGGATCTCATGGAGATGTGGAAATGGAGCCTTGCCTTCCAATGTGTCGTCAACATTGGAGTACGAGGTTCGGAAAACGTGAGAACGAGGGTGGTGGAGGCAGATATGGTCCCCGTGATTGCTACGATCCTCGATAACTACATCAAAGTCATCGACAAAGTACGAGCACGTGCTGATGCCGAGTCCCAGCGTACCTCACGGCACGCCAAAGTCGTCTCACGCCCGCGTGAATCTGCCGCGCGATCTTCGTTCCTCGAGCGACCGTTCAATACTAATACTAATGATAATGAACAACGTCCGTCCCGTCGACAGGCTCCGCCTCCATCGATAGAGATCCCACAGCCCTTCTCCCAAGGGCAGACCCCTAACGATGCCAATGCAATGGACATTGCATCCTCGCCACAAGTTCCTATGACGTCTCCGCCTGAGCGAACAGTCTTTGGTCGTGAGGTTCATACTCATCGACTACATGATGGACGTCCTCAGCAGCAAGGCGCCCATCGTCTGCGGGTCACCCAGCCTCTGGCTACTGCCGTGCCTCCTATGGATGCTGCCGATGGATTTGGCTTGCGCCCAGTCAGGGACGCTGATCGACTGCCTAGCATGCTACCGGGAGTCCACGCTGGTTTCGCATCACAACCGGAATCTCCCACGACCCCGGGCGGACCACTCCAACAACCCCGGAGCGTGTCTAACGCGGTGACGCGGCGTGAACGACCTGTCATTCGACAGCAGCAGTCCTCTGGGTCAACGGATTTCGAAGATACCAATGGCGATGACTCTCCTATGGGTGATGACGATGTCTCCGGGGAAGCAGCAGAGCCTATCGTAGGACTCCAGAATCGGATGGAGATTGATGATGTCGGCGACAGGGAATCTATCTTGGATGATGTCTCCAACCCACATGGCCTGACGATGACGGATCCCACCCAGGGCCAAGATGCGGAAACATTCAACATCACTCACCATTCTGCTGTCGATGGTAGTATGAACACGACCAACGCGCAAGGCAACGCTGGATTTGGCCTCTCCCCTACTCAGGGTGCTAACAACACCAACTCTCCGACTATGCCCAACCCTTATCCGTTATACCTCCGTGACCGCTCATCTGCAGCCACCCAAGGGGTGCTAGCGGCGATGCCTCGGGACGAAGACGTTCTGATGTCGTTGCAACTCCTTGCTTACGTTTCCAAATACTGCAATCTCCGTTCCTATTTCCAGCACTCGCACCTAGTCCCCAAGCTCAAGATCGAGCGTGAACTTCAGATGTTGGATGAAGCCACGGGGTCCACCTCGCCCGTGGAGCCGGAGGAAGAGGAAGATGAATATCTCCTTCCGGATGACTTCAACATTTTCCCGTTGGTGGAAAAGTTCACCGTACGGCATCATTCCAAAGACATGCAGTACTGGGCCTGTGTGGTAATGAGGAACCTGTGTCGGAAAGACGAGTCACGGGGTGGTATCCGGCAGTGTGCGTATTACAAGTGCGGAAAATGGGAGGAGTTCCAACGGCAGTTTGCCAAGTGTCGCAGGTGTCGTCGCACGAAATACTGCAGCAAAGATTGCCAGAAGGCAGCCTGGGTGTACCACCGTCACTGGTGCCATAGTACCCCTTAGGTGAAGGGAAACTGAGGTGGAACAAATCATCACTGCATCTAAGTAGCATAGCGTCATTTGCGTCACGTGTCTTCCTACGCATCGTTGGTCGAGGCTTTTCTTTTCCCATTCTCCCTCATACATGGCATTTCTGTACTGGGGCAGGTTCCGTGTTTTCTCCCTGCTCAGTACCGGCGGCGTTTGTATTCGACACCAGAGATACCTTTTGTATGTCATTTGTTTTCTCTGCCAAGCTATTTATTCGCCGGGTTGGATAATCGGCGATTGAGACCCGGTCAATGTCTATCTGCTTTTGTTTTGAATTCTTTGCAATCATGGATGACTCTCATATTCGCTTCATCAGCATCTCATCGTCTTGTGATCACAGGGCATCTCGAATGGACCATGCATTTACCTTCGGATTGCCTCACATGGAGTTTGCATATCTTCGTTGATCTGTAGTTGCTTTGAAAATAATTGACAGCCATCAGTAAATTTCATGGCTTCTTCATTTCCATTTTGCGCTACTTTCTCTCTCTGAGCTTCTTCTTCATATACCACTATGATCTACTGCTCTTTATATTTTCCCTTTCTCGAGTCTCCCTGTTCTCTTCCTGCGTTTGCATCTCTGGATACATTGCGGAAGAGCAGACATGATGTAAATGAAATCTACATACGGATATCTTACTATCTTTGGATGCCTAGGACTCAGAAGTAGTGCAGCAGACCAAGTAGTAGCCTTGAAACAGTAGATACATATAAGGACCCGCGGGAATAGAGTAGTTAAATCACGCGGAATATTCTTCCTTCTTAAACCCATACGTCGCCGCCAATCTTGAAGCCAAGTGTTCCACCGCCGTCAAGGCCCTCTTGCCCGGTTCCAGATCTCCCGCTCCACCACCGAACCCGACTTTCTGGCTCCCGCCCTGACTCTGACTCTCCTTCACTCTCTCCCTATGAGCAGCCACGATCTCACTCGGCACAGGAACCAACTCCGTCTCATTCACAGGATGGCAGAAAAACGCCATACTGTATCGGTCCTGAGGATTCGGGGCCCGTTGCTCCGCCAAAGGAAACACGACTCTATGCACAGTGGACCTAAGGAGGCCATCGGTCCAGTAACTGAGGAGATCGCCGATATTAATCAATATCGGAGGCACAGTCGATGTAGATGACGAACTTGCAGCTGTGAGCGTAGCTTCACCAGGCTGAACAGGCACAGGAGCCCAAGTTCCTTCCGGAGTGAGGATCTCCAAACCCGGCTGGCCGGGTCTCTGGAACAAGAGGGTGATACTACCATAATCGGAATGCGCCCCTGCGCGAACGTCCACGTCATGCTTATAGGTTGAAGACGCAGGGGAGAAAATGGAAGGGTAGTAGAGCAGACGGAGGATAGAGCCAGTTGGACCCTTAGAGGGGTCATGGCGGGAAGTGAAGAAGTCTGATGGGATCTGTGATCATTTATATAGAGTAAATGTTTTCTGTTAGTCATTGTGTACTTTGTTCGAAATTGCTATGTATGTACGGATAGAAGGAATTGGAATTCGGGGAAAACCAAGGAGGGGAGAGAGAAGACTCACCTCTAGTCCTAGAGCCATTAGCTTCAATATGCGAGAGCATGTCTTATTGCATAATTCGGCGAAGTGACAGAGCTCTGTCTCATGCGGGACAAGGGAGGAAGGGATTGGTTGTTGGGCTTTTCCATCTTTGAACTCTCCGAAGTTCATTGCCCTGATGGATGGATGATGCGCAGTAAGTATCAGCTTGTACTGTTTTTGTAATCCTAATCAAATGAGAAGATAAAAAAAAAAGGCATACTCTTTGAAATCGCCAGTCTGGATGAAAATGTTAGTTATGGCATATGGAAATAAAGGAAGGATGGAAGATTACATACTCGTTGATGTTCGGGGTCCAGGGTCTCAGTATGCATTCCGGACCAGCCGCGGTTCTAGACATTTGATATCTGGTTAATTAACTGATACTTTTGCATAGGTCGATTCATACAGACACAAGAGGAAAAGAGAAGGGGTGTGAGGGGTTCTATTTTTCTATATAACTCCAGTGATAGAACCTACATTCGGAGTGATCTTGACTGCCTCTTTCTCCTCCGGCGGAGAGGCGAAGAATTTCTTGGACTATGATAGGGTCAGATATCGATTAACGACAAGTCAAAAAAAAAAAAAAAAAAAAAAAAAAAAAAAAAAAAATTTCGAACCAGTTTTTTAGGGATTAGATTGACGTACCAATTCAAACATATGCTCAATATCCGCCGGTGAAAAATCACTGCCCTTGGTGTCGACGTAGAAGAAACCATATTTGGCAGCTGCGCTAATCATTGCCTTTCCCACGGCGTGATCATCGGGATTGGCGATATTGATAATAGGCAGCTGGATGGGAGCTGTCACTGCGGCTGTTTCTGCCATGGTGCCCTAGCTGATAACTAAGAATCCAACTCGTAGATGACGGGCTGAGAGAGACGATGGAATGCGGGGGATGGTGAAATATGAAATAAGTATACTATCCGATCTAAGTAGTGGTGGTTGCGGGGTGTGGTTCTGTTTATCAGATTTCCTAGAGCGAGCTTATCCTCGACCAGCGCTGCACGTTATCGAATGAGACTTTTCTTGACTTTAGTATAAATGTTAGTCAATAGATAAGTTAGTTAACAGTCAACTACTAACTAATAGCCAAGGTTTGCAAGCGGGCCGCCGCGGTTCTCGCCCATCGCTCATCGTCGGAGTGGAGCGACCCGATTTCTATTCGGAGGGATCTCAGTTGCAAGACAGCGCGGAAGTCCGGTTATTATTTTTATCACTGGTCCCTGATTATTTATTACCATCCAGGGGACATTTTCTTTTTTAGGTTATCCTGAACTAATTTGTCCGTACCGCGATGAGGCTCTATGTCCCCACATACTATGGAGTGTATTCTTGTTCCAGGGTGACGATCGATGTCGTTAAGATTCGGAAAACAGCCCATTGGAGGAAGCTGGGGATCTCGGATAGCTCTTCGCCATGTCTCAGAAGATAGCCTTTTATCCTGCGATATGGCTTGCTTTGATGTTAGAAATTGTCAATTAAACATATATGGTATCCCACATCCCTAGACTCGGACATGGACATGGACATGGACACTTAATTCAGTCACTAAGGCCAGGAGCAGATATCTATAACTAAACATAAAGATAAAAATATTCTTGCGTGGTAATCTTAGGTTGTACATCCAGAAGCAGTCACCGCTTATATGAAAAGGGCCGTTTTCCAGAAGGGTGCCTTGAGGTACACAGTATATATAGATGGGTTGAGCTATGGCATCTCCAACCCACACACACACAAAATTAGAGCTCCCTCTCATCCCTTGTGGAGGGATAAACGACAGATCAACGCCACATGATGTGAGAAAGAGAGAGAGAGATCCGGACCAGTCTTCAGTGAGTCCCTTTCATCAACACGACCTGAAAGCGGAGCATAGCTCCATGTGACAATGTAAACAAGTTGCAGCCCTCACTTGCAGTTCTCACACTATTGCACCTGTCACAACAACATCTCTAGACTGTCTAAGCCTGTCTACCCAATTCTGCATGAACAGTTATGGTGGACAAGAATACCTCTAGCCCGTTGGTGGTGGGGGGATTCAGCGATGCTAGAGAGCCGGTGAGTGGGCGCCTTCTCTCCTCAGGCCCAGAACTCTCCGCCTTCCGCCTTAGGCCTGGGACGTTGTTCTGTCCGCTCCGGTATATCACATTATTTAACAAACTCGTGCTCACAAACATCACCCATTTGGGTGAAATAGGCCATCTCTCCAGGTACCTCCCTCAATTCTGGCCTGGCCGTTTCTATCCAGTCCCTCCATGCCTGGCACCGCCAACCGAACCTCTTTCCCGTGTCCTTGAGACGAGCTCTAGCTTTGAAGATGCCCAGTAAGTGGCCCGGTGTTGTCGCGGAGCGCTCGAAGCTTTTGGCTGGACCTCTACTGACGCTGTGTGCTTGAAATGTAGTCCGCGCGTTGGATGAATGGGCTGCTGGCCGTACGCAGTCGCTTCCCCTCTCTGCACTCAAGGGTGCTGTCATCGGTATTGATGCGTCGCATTACATCCACCTGCACCTGCACCACCACACTACCCGCGAACCTCTCTTGATCGCACTTGGTGGCTTCCCATTTGCCCTGAAAGGAAATATCGAGAGAGAGTTACAGATATTCAAGAACTTAGGGATCGCGTTGGTCTTCGTCTTCAATGGCCTCGATTGGGGAAAGCGGGACCAGCGTCCTCAGGTCCAGGCTGAGTCGGCTCGCGCGTTCGATCAAGCTTGGGAGCTTTACGACCAACAACAGGCGGACCAGGTGGTAGATGCTTTCAGCAGTGCCGGTATGTTCCCTGCTCGGAGTTATTGGCGGGGAGCTGACGTTGGGACAAGGCACCTTGAAGCCGGAAGCACTGTACAGATTCCTGCAGAGGATCCTTCACCAGAACGGGGTTGATTTCTTAGTCGCTCCCTACAGTGCGGCAGCTCAGGTGAGTGCGGAGAGATGGGTGGCCACCGATACTCTTATACTAACTATGGAGATGGAAAGCTGTCATACCTAGCCAAGGGCCCTCACCAGCTGATCGATGCTATCTTCGGTTCTTCTGAGGTCCTCCTCTACGATGTTGATAAGCTCATCACACGAATCGACATGGAACCGTCGCAGTTTTACTGGATCACAAAGCAGGCTTGCCAGGACGAGCTGGGCCGATTGACGAATGACCAGTTTGTCGATTTTGCTCTGCTCTTGGGTTCTCAGTACCTGCGGACATTTCCCCTCTTCGACAATCCCACATACCCAGGAAAGACAATGAACATTCGCGATGCACTTGCCATGTTCACTGCTGCTGGTAGAAATGCGGTTGCGCTCTGCTCTCAGTTCGAGGAAGACCGTCGGGTGCAGGATCTCCAATACCTGGACCGCTTCAAGCGGGCTTCCATGACTGTGAGACACCATGTATTCACCGACATTGATGGCAAAGTTGGCCCTATGGACCCGGACTATGCTCCTTCAGACATGCACGAATTGATCGGTCAACGACTGCCAGAGGAGCTCTACTTCTATCTATCCAAGGGCATCCTTGGATCCCACGTCCCGAACTATCTGACTTCCGGAGAGGTTTTGGTCTCCCTGCCTCTTGGAGCCGAGGACTCCGAAATCTACCGCCACCTTGTGGGAGATCTTCTCACTCCTATCCGAACGCAAGCTATCTGTCTCCTTTCAAACTCTCTTCACCGCTTCTATCAGACGAAGGTGATCAACGTGCGCACCTGGTTTGATGAGAAGTCTGATCGTTCAGTCAACCTGAAAACCCTTCCCTCCATTAAGGAAACCATACAGTCATGGAGGATCAACAGCGAGCAGTTCCCGGAGAGCGTTAAGAAACTCCAGGTTCGTTACTCTTGTCTCCTATATCCTATGAATAACTCTAACATATGGCAGGCTCCTCAGGGATCATTCAAGTTTGCTGTGCAGTCACTGAAAGACCAATCTTTCGTCTCCAAGTCCTTCGCTGGCAAAGATACTCCTGTAAGCAAATTCCTCAAGCCCTATACGAAACACCTTACTGATATCCATAAGCCCCTTTCATCGCAGGGTGATATATTAGCCAATGTCTTTTGGCGGTTCTTGCAACTCCGAGGCTATATTGACGAGAAACATCAGCTCACGGCTTGGGGAACATGCCTTGAGCAAGCTCTCTCGGTTCTGGACCCGGAGGATAATCTCGAAGAGTCCACCTTCATAGCCATCGAGTTGCTCCGCATGGGAATACTGAGCTCCAAAGATTGGTTCTCTCATGTGTCGGGCGGTCCTATGAGAGGCTCAGGTAAGCATATTGACTCCACAATTCGTTGGAGGTGTGAGACGATGCTGACTATGTTACAGACGAGGACAAGCAATTCAACACATTGGTTTCTCGTGTTGCTTGCATTGGAAAGCTCCGTCACAAGAGCATTGGATATTCCGGCCCTCTGAGCCGGCAACTCCTGTACTATCGCTCGCTGATCTCTGCGGTCCGCGAGACTCTGAGAGATCTGATCGAGGTTGTTCTGGCCGGATTGCTCCTTAGTGGAGATGCTGATAGAGACCGCAAGGATTGGACGGAAATGAGCGTGAAGTATGTATCCTTGGTTTAGAGTGATGAGTGGGAACTGACCTGCTACTCAGATTGCCCTTCATTGACGACAACGACTGTGGTCTTGGTATTGCCGTTCGGACCTATCTTGATGACCTTCCCCACCATCCAGAGCCGACTTCGCCAGAGGCCCGAGCAGAAGTTAAGGCCAAGGGCAAGGAATGGTTCCAGCACAGCGACAGTTTCACGGGCAACCTTGACGCCGCGTTCAAGCTTTTCAGTGCGGTAAGTGGAGTGGCCTTTTTGTTTGCTACTCTCCGGATTTGAATACATGCTAATTGACCATTCTAATCTAGGTTTACAAGGGCACTCAGAACGCAGGCAAGGAGTTTAAGGAGAAGAAATTCTGGGAAGACGCCAACAAGTGGTTGGCCGAGAGAGTCTGATTGATTGTCGGCTTTTCATGTACTTGGCAAAGATATGCGTCAGACTTCTACGAAGTACCATTGGCGACACACACACGAACTTTTAGCTATGAGCTCCTGGGAGAAAGATAAAAAAAAGAAGGCCAACACTAGGCATAGTGCTGCTGGTTTGCTTCTTCGGTCATGCCCTGTATGTATGACTAGATACTTTCAGCATTCAGGCCCTCCCCAAGTGTGTTCCCTTCTTCGTAACAGGAAGATCCATAAGTAAGCAAAGATTACTATCGAATACCGACCATTAGCCGGAAAAAACTGCCCGGGCCTGATACCCAAGACTCTTCATTTTGTCCACTAAAATATCGCGGCAACGGATCACTTCCTCATCCCTCGTGATTTGGCTGCCATGTAACTCCGAAATAGCTTCTGCTTGTCTGCGTTTATAACCCTCTGCAATTGCGACTCTTTGCTGGATTTCATTGTAGTCTAGCCCAGACGTGACTAAACAAGCAGAGAGGAAACGGACAGGCTTGGGCCAAAAAAGACCCCTCACCGGTTTGTCTACTATCCTTTTCTCAATCAGCAACCGCCAGGCGAGTGCATCAAGCTTGTCTTCCTCTTCCGAGATTTTCCAATGCTCCTAATTAAATGAATACGCGTCAAAGGCTTCATTAGCGACACCCATAACCGTAGCAAGTTCCTCAGCTTGGGCGAGAGCATCGAGTCGGTACCTCAGTGCTTCATAAATCTCATCCAGCTCCTCGTCGTCGAGTTTCTCCTTGCCATCAAGCAAGCGCATCAGCTGGCCATGGAGTGTAATATTTGACGCATAGTTGTGTAGACCAGGGTTCGCCTTGTCAAAATAGAATCGGGCGGCATATTTCACTTTGCTACGTTTTCTGACTGTTTCGAGAAGTCTAGTGCCCGTACCAAGCCCGTCTGAACCTCCAGATCTATAATCCCCTACTGGCACGGAGCGCAGTGACTCCCAGCGTGACTTCAATTGTGATAGCGGTATACCACTACGACATTTGAAGTGAAGTCCCCACTGATCGTCTTGAGCAGAGAAATGGATTGCCTTTTCGTCAGCGAAATGATCAAGTCTCTTATACGAATCGTATACAGCTTGCGCAAATGAGAAGTACGTGGGGTCGTGGCGAATTTCAGCTGTCTCCTGTGAGTTCTCGATCGCGATACTGGTTTGTAGAATTGCACTCGTGATCATACTTCCGCACGCTCGACTGATACTGGGACTGACTGGCCAAGATTGGCTCTCTGCGCGAGTGATAGGTTTGGATGTCATTGCGTTCGGCTTTACAATCCAGCCCCCAGAGAAACACGATGTCATGAACAGTGTGACAGGTGTGCCAGGCTGCAGAGCGTGCTGGACGTCTTCAATTTTGAGGTTTGGTTTGACTCCGCCGAGAGCCAAGCCAAATGTTTCCAGATCCCCATGACCAAAAACCAAGACGACCAAGTGCTGATTTTCATTCTTAGCCAAGAGCGATTGTTCGCGTAGACTGGACAAGAAACGTTCTAGAAGATCCTTCCTCGAGACAACGCATAAGCTGCCACTTTGTTCGATCCCTGGAATCATATTCTGGTCCAGTACGACTCTTCGCTCTTCTTTTGCATCTTCATGTATGTATTCTGTGTACTTCTGCACGAGGTCTTCGGGCTTTTCACTAGTCATCCAGACATGAGATGGTGTTGGCCCATGGGGATCAGAAAAGAGGTAATGGAACAGATAAAAGTCCGAGAAGAACCAGCCGTCCTTCGTTGGACTAGCTTGGTCGTGGTCGTCGGTGATGCCACAAACTGCGATCAGGCGGGTCCTTGGGCCAATATCGGGTGGGCAGTCTGTTGCGAATGAGAGACCGTTCATGTCTTCTGTAGTCCCGGGAGTTCGCCCAATGGCATGAAAGCCTGGTATCGACTCTGGCATCATGGTAGACATGATAAGAGGAAAGAGGGGGAAAGAGATGAAGGAGCAAATAAGACGGTACTTAGGGAGGGTGGTTGCCTAGCAGGTGACAACGCTCAGGGAGTGAATGATGTTATCATATTGGCCTGCTCTTGAAGATTTTTTTCAATGTTTATATTGCCTGTTTGCCCTTTTAGTACGTCATAGAATATTATCCCCAATGTAAGTTCTGTCTTGTGGCACATCTATATGAAGGGATTGACTTCAAAGACTCTTGAGCAATAATATATGCGCTTTTAGCATAAGTAAGTCTGAAAGGGGAGGATTTTTCCTTAACTATATGTATCTATTACTTATAGACTGTTATCAATATCGTTAAAGAAATGACTTAGTGCAATCAGGGAAACTGCGCCTAATAATGATATCAGCTACGCAGTACCTAGGTAGGTAGTCGTTGTATAAAAGCAGTAGATGGCCGGGGCCCTGCCATGGATCCCCAAATAAGTAGACAACTAGTACTTTCCCTAATACAGCTAACACTAAACCTAATGCAGTCAGCGCCAGACAGGAAATAGAAAATGGCCTTTATTTCCAATCACTGAGACAAAGATTATTTATTACTTCTGATATTGCCTATTAGCTAAATCGCTGCTCCGTCTAGCTAGTATTATTCTCTGCTGGAATCTCTAGGGGGTTTGACTATCCTCTTTTATCCTCTGCAGGATCAGTAGAGTTACCTGGATCTGACAAGCTATTCCCATCATCTAGATCTAGGCTATCGTCAATGTAGTCATTGCTATATCACGACTAGATCTAGGACTATGTAGTGCCTGTCTAGGCCGAGCATTTAACATTATAGTTCCGTATCGTGATATCTAACCTAATCTGCCTATCTGATCCTGTGATATTGCCAAGTCGTGGGTTCACAGGCAGTCAGAAACGAATAGAATTAGGTCGTTGATACTCAGGCTAGCTGCAGGATCTTTATCTATCAGGTCCAGGCTGCAAAACGAGCTATTGCAGGCAAACTCAATGGACAAGACGTAGCTCGAAGACCTTAAACCAGGATCGAGCTGTGCGATGAAGATATCCACGAGGTCATACCATTCAACCATTCACGTGACCGAATATCTGAAGACCTAGGACTGTCTTGAAGTAGACAAGTCTACTCTCTAGCTAGTTATTATCGAGCTGATAGCTTAATATTGGAACTTTCTATGCTGGCACTGTGACAGATATAATACTTCAGCCTTTATGCTCCGACCATTTAGCTTATTTACTAGAAATGAATATTATATCATATCGTATTAAACGCAGCAGTAAATTTTTAAATCTTATCTCTATATTGCTAACTATGGTAGAAAGGCAATGTAGAATAGCCCGACCAATACACGATTGGATCTTCCAATACCTTGATCGTGGCGTGCACCATGTGGTGGCAACAAGTGTCCTCTTCCTTGCTGATAAATAAATGGTCAGCTCCGCGGCAAAACGCGCGGGAGCTTCTCGCTTTTTAGCGTTGCTCGGCCCTCCGCAGTATCAGCCTTCCATCTCCCGCAGACCTGTAACGAGCGCCTTGCTCACTCAACACCACCACGTCGTTTTTTCTTTTTCGTCATTATCTGACGAATCCATCTCTGGTGCTGTGCACATTGGGACTTTCTTCCTTTTTCCATTCCCTGCCTCCCTCGGGTTTTTACGTACTGTGTACGGTTAGAGCCACCTATACAACAATATGGCTCGCCTGAGCTTCTTGTTCGTGAGCTGCTTGGCTCTGCTCACGAACCTGGTCAGCGCTGAGTCTGCTGTTCTCGACCTGATCCCAAGCAACTTTGACAAGGTCGTCTTGAAGTCTGGCAAGCCTGCGCTGGTCGAATTCTTTGCCCCTTGGTGTGGTCACTGCCGTAACCTTGCCCCGGTTTACGAGGAGCTCGCGCAGGCATTCCAGTACGCGGAGGACAAGCTTGTCATTGGTAAGGTTGACGCAGATGAGCACAAGTCTCTCGGCAAGAAGTATGGCATCCAGGGATTCCCCACGATCAAGTTCTTCGATGGAAAGAGCGACAAGCCCCAGGAATACAATGGTGGACGTGACCTGGAGAGCCTGTCGGCCTTCATCACGGAGAAGACTGGCATCAAGCCCCGTCTGCCTAAGAAGGAGCCCAGCAAGGTCGAGATGCTGACGGACTCTTCGTTCAAGTCTGAGATTGGAGGAGACAAGAACTTCCTCGTCGCGTTTACTGCCCCTTGGTGTGGACGTAAGTGAACACCCTCTCTCTTATCATCGAGATAGGCACGCGTTTCCGATTTGAACGTAGGACTAACCATTTACCGTAGACTGCAAGAACCTCGCCCCCATCTGGGAGAAGGTCGCCAATGACTTTGCCCTCGAGCCGGAAGTTGTGATCGCCAAGGTTGACGCCGAAGCCGAGAACGCGAAGGCTACGGCCAAGGAGCAGGGTGTCACGGGTTATCCCACAATCAAGTTCTTCCCCAAGGGCTCCAAGGAGCCTATCATCTACGAGGGTGCTCGCTCTGAGGAGGCTTTCGTTGAATGGCTCAACGAGAAGACCGGCACCCACCGCACCGTCGGTGGTGGCCTCGATGACAAGGCTGGCACCATCCCCGCTCTCGACAGCGTCGTTTCGCAGTATGCTCCCGCTCACAACTTCAACAAGCTGGTTGATGAGATCAAGAAGGCCTCCAAGAGCGTTCAGGAGAAGTACGCTCAGTACTACATCCGAGTTACTGAGAAGCTCAGCGAGAGCGATGTCTACGCTACCAAGGAGTACAACCGTCTGAAGAAGATCCTGCAGAAGGGTGGCCTTGCTCCCGAAAAGGTCGATGACATTGTCGCCAGAAGCAACATTCTCCGCCAGTTCCTCAGCATCGACAAGCAGGAGAAGGACGAGTTGTAGATTTGGAGAATGATATGCTACTTTTGGATCAAGTATATACCCGGCGGGTACTTGATTGATTTGGTCTTAGACTTTTAATGTATGAAAGCTTGTCGGTAGTCGACAAGTCATGTGAGATTAGCTAAATATAGAGGGCATACCGGCAACCATATCTCGGGGGCCAATGGCCCCAGGGAGGCATTGATCTGGCATATTATTTCTCCGAATCAACCATTGTCTCATGATCAATCCGAAGGGCAAAAAATCAAATTCCCCAGACAGGTATAAGAAACTCTTGCCATAAGCATAGTGTAATCGGCAGTATGCGAATGCGAACGACGTAATGCAGCAATAACATCAAATAGTGGTATCCAACCCAACGCAGCTTATCGACCAAAAACACCATTGAACGCCACTAGATCCTCACAAAGAGCGCAAAGCCTCTCGAGACTTCCATAATTATATTCCGCCATGATGGCACCGCTACCCCTCACTTCGCTGTTGTTGTATCGCTCGCAACCGTCAAGGAAGCTTCCAGCTCGTCAAGTCGTCGCGCCATATCGTCAACTATAATCGAGACAAAACGTAGACACCATTAGTCTTCCGTCCTTCTTCTGGATCAAATCCTCCTAAAGGAGAGGCAACACAGCCCAACTCACGTTTTCCAAAGATCTCACTCGACACATTATCGAATTTATGCTGTAGCTGATCTAAGAGGTCATCGACGGCGGCAGCGAGCTCCTGAGAACCGGAGGCATCTGTAGCCTATATATAACAACAGGGTGGACAATTAGCTACTTCTCTTTCTTAAGTGATTCTTCTTCCTCTTCTTCTCCTCTTCGCGAATGCTACGCAACTCACTGCCCGAGAGAGAGGGAGAGAAAGGGATGGTTCAAAATAACTCACACTTGTTGGCGGAACAGGACTCCCGGGTGGTTTGGACGCTGGTGTTGATACAGTCTGTTCGGACATTGTTTAGGGTTCTCCGCGGGTTTCCAATCGTTGCTCTCTTTTGAGACAGGCAAAAATCAAATGACAAAAGGAAGAATGTAAAGGCAATTATGAAACCGACGCGCAACACCTCTAAGAAATTACTCGAAGTAACTCCTCTGTATATCTAATGCAGACCATAATCACAAACCCGCATCCCGCAGCGCAGCGCGCAACTGTTGATTCGGCGACGCGGGGCTTACTAATCACTACTCTGCCAAGAAACTGCCCCCTCGATCTGGAAGATATCGAACTATTCCGTTTTAGTCGTAGTTCGTTATCGATTAGACGGTAAAATAGACTAATCCTGATATGGACTAGCTGTAATCCAAAAAATTCCCAGAGAGTTTCCCGTTCTGGGCTTGAGAAAGAAAGTTCCGCGACTCGGGCATCATCTCTCTCTCTCTCTCTCTCTTCGTCTTTTGCTCTTTTTTTTAGAGCAGATATTTCTTTCTTTGCTTTATTTTTTTTCTGATCTGTTCAGGTTTCAGAGGAGAGAGGGCAATTATCCAAAATGGTCAAGAAGAGCAAGCTCCTCCTGGCGCTTGATGCGCACAAGGGCCGAGACTACGAAGCAGAGCGTCAGAAGAAGCTAGTCAAGGCGGCAGAGAAGAGGAAGGCCAAGAAGGCGAAGAAAGAGGAAGATGGAGAGGAGACGGATGAAAAGGTATGTGCTCTCTTTACTTTACTTTTAATTGGGTTTCTGTTATCGTGCTGTTTTCTTTGCGGTAATTGTATTTTGTATCAGAAAAGCTAACGGTTGATCTTTTTGATATAGAAGACGGAAGTAAAGGCAGTTAATGGAAAGAAGGAGGAGGAGGAAAAAGCACAGACAAATGGATCCGAGGAAAATGACGAACAACGGGCCGATGAGGAATCTGAGGACAAGTCGGGCGCTGAGGAGGAAGATGAAGAAGAGGATGAAGAGGAGGAGGAGGAAGAAGAAGAAGAAGAAGAAGATATCCCTCTTTCAGATCTCTCGGGCGATGAGCGCGCCGATGTGATCCCCCATCAGCGTCTCACTATCAACAACTCTGCCGCCATTACCGCCTCCATCAAGCGCATCTCCTTCATCACCCCGCAGACTCCTTTCTCCGAACACAACTCCCTCGTCTCGAAAGAGCCCATTGAAGTGCCCGACCCCGATGACGACCTGAACCGCGAGCTGGCCTTCTACAAGGTCTGCCAGTCCGCCGCTGCCCAGGCGCGCGGCTTGCTGAAGAAAGAGGGCATCCCCTTCACGCGGCCCGGTGACTACTTTGCCGAAATGGTCAAGAACGACGAGCACATGGGCAAGATCAAGAAGAAGCTGTATGACGAGGCCGCTGCAAAGAAGGCTGCCGCGGATGCCCGTCGCCAGCGTGACCTGAAGAAATTCGGTAAGCAGGTTCAGATCGCCAAGCTGCAACAGAGACAGAAGGAGAAGCGAGAGACTCTGGAGAAGATCAACAGTCTGAAGAGAAGTGAGTGCCTACCTTCCTTTCAACCCCTGATGCTATATTAGCAATTACCAACCCCAGTCCCACTTTAGAGCGCGGCAACGAAGGAACTACCGGCCCAGCCAACGACGAGGATCTCTTCGACATCGCTCTTGAAGAACCCACCAAGGACAGGAAGCACTCTGCCGGCGGTCCCAACCTCAAGCGTCAGAAGAAGAACGAGAAGTTCGGCTTTGGCGGCAAGAAGCGACACAATAAGAGCGGCGACGCCATCTCCAGCGGTGACCTGAGCAATTTCTCAGCGAAGAGGATGAAAGCCGGCGGCAAAAAGGCTGGCGGCAGTAAGAGATTGGGCAAGAGCAGAAGAAAAGCCGGTAGAGCTTGATCGATTGATTGATTCTTTCCATTTTGTCTGAGGGAACTAAAAAAAATTGGGTCTGGTCATATTGTATACATCCTGTCTTGTCCTCTCTGGGACATTATTTCTTCTGTCTAGTTTCATTTTTCTTTCCACATACATACCGGTCGGTGTCAACAGTGAATGAATGGTTTCTTTCTTTCTTTCTTTCCTTCCTCTGGTCCTGTGTCATTTATGCCTAGTTCGGCATATACCCCATTATTTTCGTACGGCTGGGAGAGAAAAAAAAGATACGTACATACATGGAATAGGCCAAACGGATGATTTGCATTCTTTGCTTCTATTCATGCCAAATAGAACTATTGATGAACATGGAGATTACATTTTAAGGAACTGATCAATAGTTTGATATCAATCGATAATTACAATGCTCTCTGCGGGCAAACAAGATAAGCGTAGTGTTGATATACATCGATTCATATATAATTACATCGTAACTAGCTCACTGTAAACTCTTTTATTCTATTTATATCCCTGCATATTTGATAGTCGTGTTCAGATCGTATCATCACTCAAAGATTTGGTATCATTCACCAAGCGAACATCATATCATGATATTCCATCCATTTATTAATATTTCGTTATGAGTAATTTCATAGATGAGTATGAATTCGACATGCTCCCCTCGATGAATTTTCATCGGGGACATTGGAACATAACAGTACCGACTGTGTGCGCCTTGCTGTATGTATGCAATGGTCTTACAACTCGTTGAAGTTGTGCCCAGTAGCCGGCGCTTTTTCATACGCATGCATAATGAGTATTTTCTTATCAGTTTCAGACTCATAGGGGCTCCACGGAGCCGAACCCTCGAATCCGGCTGATCAGATTGTCAACAGAGAGATTGATGTTGAGGCGCTGTTCGGCAAGCACCAGTTCAAGTTTCGATTGGGTATCTTCTGCATGTCCAAGAGAGTGGTCTTGGATCATCTGTTTCGACCGTTTGGTACCAGCTTTGTGTATGACCTTATCACAACCCTGGACAGGGCATACCCATGTCTCTGGCTCTGGGTTATCTGGATCAGCGGAGATTTGCGACTCATCTGCAGCATGCGAAAGAGCATCTGGCTGAGTGCTCTCTTGTTTCACAGTTCTATCGACCGATGGAGAGTCCGTGTCTGAAAGGATCGATCGAGTCCTTCTTTTAGCTCGTGTAGATAGCGGGTCGCGAACAAGCTCATGACCGCGAACTTTGCTTGGGGTCTGGACATCATCTGCAGGATTGTCGCTATCATCGGACATTTCAAGCTCCTGCGCAGCAGCGGCGCGTGTGCGTTTCCCGACTTGCTTCGAGGACACCGAAGCGATTTTCGGTCGTAGGACCGACTTCCGAACTCGACGCCTACGGCCTCTTGCGTTATCTTCAGGTTCGCTTTCGCTGTCAGACGATTCATCTTCGATCGGTGCTCTTGGCCGTAACGGAGTTATGGCTACATGTTGCGCATCACTGTTTTCCACTGCACTCTTAAGCTCCCGGTAGATAGCCTTGCGAGACCAGTCGAAGCTTGTTGTCCTTGCCTCGTCCATCATCTCAATCAGAGCTGTTGCCCGCGCAGTGATAAGGTCATGTGCGTATTCGACAGTGTCTATCTCGAAACGATCCTTCAGGGTACTGGCAACGAGGTCGAGGTTCAATTGGCGCTTCGCAAGCGCTCCCGCCTCCTTCAAGTCCAGGATTATCTTGAATATTGCATCGGCTTGGTTTCTCGCAAGAGTCTCCGCATCATGAACATGAGGAGCGGTCTCGACTTGCCCATCTTGCTCTTCTTCCTCGTTGTTGGTCTTGGTTTCGCTTTTCGACTTTATCCGTTCGTATTCTTCCTACACAATAATTAGACCGCGTAAACAGCGTAGAAATGTGGAAGTTAAACCTTACGGGGAATTTCTCACAAAGATGCTCGAAGATATTCGTCTCCGCCCAATTGACCCCTTCTTTCGGATTGAGCATCTGGCTGATGAGAAAGCTATGATGCTTGTAAAACACTTCCGCAGAGTCGTCTCCATCTTCACAGATTCCATGCGTGTGATTGACATACTACCAGTTCAGATAAAAAATCCAAGTCAGCAGAGAATTCGACGCAATGGGGAAGGCACCAACCTCGTCACAGAGGTATTCCACGGTAGGATTCCAATTCTTCCGCTTCCCGCGCCTCCTCTGATGTCTATCCGCTAGGAAATATAACAGGTCAATAGCCTCTACCATCTCATTGAAGACAGGCCGATAGCCCCTCGCGGGGGTGATAGAATACCATCCTGCTTGGCCAGCGACCCAGATGCCGACCTCTCCATCATCATGTTGGCCGTAAGCGTAGTGCGTCACATTATCGATGACGATTCGTTTAGAAAGGTAATCTTCATCAAGAACTATACATAGAGCACATCACTGGCATTAGCGATCTCTAATTTAAATAGAAAGCGTGATGGGAAAAGCCATCGCCTCCACGGCGATGAGGATGGGCAATGAACGAGTAAAACACTAACTACATACCTAGAGACTCTTGTTCCTCTTCGACCTCATCCAGACTCCCAGTGACGCGGACTGGGTTATCTGCAGAGGCAGTGAGTAGGTTCGCATAACGAGATTTGCCGGGTATGAGGACCTTTACATCGGTCAGGCTGAACTCCTGCCAGTCATTCTCGTCATCGATGGACGGGTCTCTGGCGGCCAGGACATTCTCTTCTCGCGACGTCATGTCTCCGGAGGCACCATGTTGGCATTGAAGATGAGAAAGGAAGATTGAGAGGTGAATCCGGAGGTAGGATGACTGAGACGGGCAATGAGTGCTTGCTGAGATTCCTGAGCGCGCGTTCGTGTTGGCTAACTATGTCGATTGCTCTCCGATGGTTTCGGTATCGTATTTACCAAAACTTTACCAGACGTGATACCAAAATTACGCCCGCATTTCATTAATTGCAATTGCTTCTCGACCAGATAATAATTATTAGTATTATCGATTGAACTGCCGCAAACCCAATCTTCGTTTCTTTGGGCAAGCTATTTACGATCTGGAGCAGCATTTCACAGATCGCATAGCCACTAGCTGCTGCGATCTTCTGCAACTGGTACCGGATCTCGTTCTTTGATCTCATCCGTCAAACTTGCTCCGCATCATCATCATCCAAGCTTGACGGTCTTGATGGGCTTCCGCCCCGGATTCAAACACTTTAAAAAAGTCATGTCCGGAGAAAAGATCTACGAGGGTGTCTTCGGTGTGTTTCTTTCCACTATTCAAAGCCCTCCCCATCGATCAAGCCCTTCCTGATTATGCGCTTCACCGTGAAGAATAAAAAAAAGTCCATTTGAAACATCAAAACTAACAGACGGCGAAAAAATGCCACAGCCGTTCATAAACCCCAAGGCGTCACCTCCGCCGATGTGATCCGCAAGCTCCAGCAGCATTTCAATCCCTCCGAGACATTCAGGCCGTGGATTGAAAACGAGCGCGACCGGCGCAAGCGCGAAAATGATTTCCAGCGCCGTCGTCGCAGAAACCAGCGCGTGGACGTGAAGATTGGACATGGAGGCACGCTGGATCCGCTCGCTACGGGTGTGTTGATTACGGGAATTGGAAAGGGTACAAAGCAATTGCAGGGTTTCCTGGGCTGTACGAAGACATACGAGACGGTCGTCCTGTTCGGAGCGGAGACGGATACGTATGATTCGATGGGGAAGGTTGTGCGTCGGTGTCCCTACGAGCATATAACGAGAGAGATAGTTGAGAAGGCCCTGGAGCAATTTAGAGGCCCTATCATGCAGCGGCCGCCTATCTTTTCTGCGTTGAAGGTCCAGGGCAAGAAGCTCTATGAGTATGCGAGGGAAGGCAGGGAGCCGCCAATTGAGATCAAGGCTAGACCTGTGGAGGTGTCGAATCTGGAGATCCTTGAGTGGTACGCGCCTGGTACCCACGAGTGGAAAATTCCAGAGGAAGAGATGACGGGCGAGGAAAAGGCCGTTGCGCAGAAGATGCTGGAGAAGGACGCGGAGGTCCCAGTCGCATCAGCTCAAGAAGCTGAAGAAGCGAAGCACAGCGAAGAGGCGTCTTCATCGAAGCGAAAATCCCCTCCAGCAGTGACACCTGGCGGAGACAGTGCGGAAACGCAAAATCCCGCTGAGACGGGGCCATCATCCAAGAAGCAGAAGATATCTACTGAAGGAGAATCAGCTACAGTCGAAAACCAGCAACCAGATGATGCAGAGAATGCCGCACAAGAAGAAACTACTGCCGCCTCCGCTCCTGCTCCTCCTTCAGAATCCTCCAAGTCATCTACCGGTCCTGCCGCCGTGAAGATCACCATGACTGTATCATCCGGATTCTACGTGCGCTCCTTGGCACACGATCTAGGAAAAGCCGTCGGCAGTTGCGCCCTGATGACTTCGCTCGTCCGGACCAGACAAGGTGATTTCACGCTCGAGTCCGACAATATCGTCGAGTATAAGGATCTAGACGCCGGCGAGGACGTCTGGGGTCCGAAAGTCAAGCGGCTGCTAGATGACTGGGAGCAGAAGAAGCAGGACTAGGAAAAATCGAAGTACTTTATACATTAGAAAAGCAACGGTATCGCATACTTGATAGGTTTATACGACATAGACTCTAGCTGGAGAGAACCGATCTACAATCTTCCGGTAACACAGCGCGACATAAATTGCAGAACCAAAAACTTCCATTCAATTTCTAGAAACTCCGAAGGATGAATTTTAATATCCCACCCTCTTCCGAACGACCTGGACCTCCTTTGGTCAAAAGATATGATGTAGTTACTAAAAAGTTATAGACTCGCCAACATGCATTAAGAAAGGAAAGAAGCGTTTTTGAACGAGTGATAGAGGACTGGCAATACGTCTCGCAATCTCCCTGGACTGTGAATAGGAAAAGAAGAAAGGAATGATGGGCCGCGAAGGGCGCTGTCGGATGCAGAATTCACTGCCAAAAAAATGAAGAAATACAGGTGTGGTAGAATCAAAAAGATGCGAGAAAAGGGAAGTTTGGTATGGGTTGAGAAGACTCGAAGAAAGTCAAAAATTCGCCCCGAACGAACCAAGGGTGCCTCAGTGCAGATGTGAAACTGCGGTCAAAACATCTCGCTTCTAAGCCCATTCAAAAGGGGCCCTGGCCCGAATATCGAGACAGAAGGCAAAGTTGACGTTGTTCGTCAGAACACTGAGTCGTGCCGAGAAATAAGGGAAACGGAAATACGACAGATAAACAGCTACTAAGATACAAAGGAAACAGTTTTGCCGGGGTATACCGCTGAAAATGCACGAACAAGGCCGGAAGGTGACAGCAATGTCGACACAAAAACCTAGACAGATGAGATATATAATGAGAATGAAATCCAAATGAGGGGAGAAAATGCTAAGAGTCTAATGCGAATAATTCAAGCGGAAGAGTTCTGATAAGCACTGTGAGCATCGGCCAGAGCTATTGTACGTTAGCTTGTGACCGGTTCGTAGCCAAGGGGGAGACACTTACTCTGAAGCACGGCAACCTGTCCTTGTCGAGACTCACAAGCGCACTGAAGACTACTTCCATTCCGGAAATCCAGCACAATACTGTTTGGGAGCTCTTGTATGTCCTGGTCTGGAAGGTACGGTTTGTTGAACTCCGACAGGTGATAGCGCTTGATGATATTTCGCGTGCTGGAATCAACGTTTCCCGGGGTCAGAACGAGATATCCCTGCTCGTCGATACGCATAAACCTTCGTTTCCAGAGAAGAGTGTCCGGGAACTGGACATTCACTTCACCGATGTCTACTACCTGAGGTGGTACCGGAGGTAGATCGTCGTCTTTCTTTGGTGGCCCTTGAGCCTCTTCCTTCAGCGGTGGGCTCAGCGCATTCATAACACTCTTTCGAGAATTCGAGGTCATCGAAGACATACGACGCATCAGACGGGAAGTGCGGGACTCCTTCTTGGAATCAGGGCTAGAGCCTGTATCGGGGGTCACGCGTGAAGATGCAGAAGCCACACTCGCTGACCTCGTAGCTGCAACTGCATTGGAGTCACCTCGTGAGCTCACGGACGACACGGACATGCGACGTTCCTCCGACTTGCCATCCGCAGCTGGGACTTGAAGAGGGCTTGAAGGGCGGGTTGAATCCGTTGCTTCACTTTCCACAATCAGCGGGCTACGCTGAAGATTCAAAGCACTTGGCTCTGACGGATCAGCTGCAGGATCGGCAGGCGGAACACTTGGATCGCGGACGATTCGAGCTGTAACTGACACGGAGGGAGGCTTTCCTCGACTTGCATTCGGCGGGGAGCTCTGGCTTAGCGTGTGTGCTTTAGTGGGTTCTGGAGACGGAGAAGGAGTGAGGTATGCAGGAGACTTCGTATGGGGGGTGGAAGTAGTCGTCGAGGCGGGACTATGGCCAGCCACGGAGAAAGACGCACGCTTCCTAAACTTCTCGAAGGCAGAAGTGCTATGTGCGGGGCCAACCGGCTGTACCGTTGTCGGGCCACCGCTGTTCGAGAACTTCTCGAGCGCTTTGATGCGTTTGGAAATGCCGGAGGACACGTTGACTTTCTTCGCCACAAGTACTTGGGGCGGAGGCTGGTTGTTTTCAAAGTAGGAGCTGGAGATAGATCTGCCTACTGGAAGTGCTTGAATGTCAGAGCTGGTCTGACCCAATGCACTGGGATTGGAAACTGCGCGTGGTGCATCCAAGGCAAGTCTATTAGGTGAAACCATCGGAGCTGCTGGAGAAGACTTCCCCACTGATATAGGTTGCGCCTCCTGTACCGTAGCGCTCTTCAGCTCCTCCATGAACGAATCGTCGGAAAGCAGGTTATCATCATCAGAGAATTCTTGAGCCGAAACAACATGTATGGGGTGAAGCAGATCTTTCTTCTTGATTTTAGGCCCCGGGACCTCACTATCGGTGGTCTGCGATGCATCGTCATCAACAGAAGATGCTGCCTGAGATGGAGGAATGGCATCAGGCGTGGGCGTAGAAGACTGATCTCCTCCTGTAGAACTTTCCGATACTTCTGTTTTGGGGGTTTCGGATCCATTTACTCCACCAGAGATATGGTCATCAGTCACTAAAAGTCCTAGTCCCGTAGCTGTCGGCTTTGGCGTCTCCTCTGTCGTGTCAACATCCTTTGTGGCCTGTGGAGTTGCAAGATGTGATTCATCTGCGACTAGGGAAGAGGTCGCAGGTGGCACTGGAGTCGTTGGATTTGAAGGTTGGCCATCTTCAGCACGTCCAACCACAATATCGACTGCTGAATCAGGATTGGAAGTGCTTGGAGAAGCTGGTTTCGTGACAGTCTGCGGCTCCTTTTCGGACAAGGAAGTCACATGACCCGACTCGGAAAGTGGCTCTTTACGCGGTAAAGAGTCGGATTCAGCAGGTTGCTTCTCATGACTCTGCAATTCTTTCACTTGCATGGTATCGATGTTCTCTTTGTCTTCGGTGGCGTCGAACACACTGTTTATCTTAGGATCTTGCGGCTTTTCTTTCTTTTTGTCTTGGGCACGCTTTTCCATCTGCTTCTTTCGCAATTCGAGTGCTTTCATCAGTCGTTCCTTTTCTGGCGCGATTCCCGACGATGTTGATCCCGTTAGCGACCTTGCGCCAGGAGACAATTGGGGTCTCGCGATATTTAACGACGGCGGTGGAACCAGTAGTGGAGGCACCGCGGGCACACCGCCATGGGCCGAAGTGGAGAGCATGCTAGTAGATCCAGGTTGGGACTTGGGTCGAGGCGCATTTGTTCTCCGCACGCTCGATGGCCGGACTCCTGCAGGTAACGCTGCAACTGGTCGTGTGTCACGTTCACGCGAAAGAGTCCCGGCCGTACGGGGGCGCCCATTGACATCCATTGAAGGTCGAGGACCGAGCTTCACTTTCGGACGGTAGAGACCCGAATCCAAGTCTTGGAATGACGGCCTTGTCGACTGAGACGACTGGCGTGGCTCGTAATTATGTTCAGAGAGTTGCTCCAAAAGATGTCTCTGAGGGAGAGAACGCTCTGAGTGGTGTTCCGATGCGACTGATGGTCGTCTGTGTCCCTCGTCTGCCTTCGAGCCGGGAGATGTATGATCAGCTTGTGGGCTTCCATCCGCTATTCGTGGAGGCACCGCAGTGGCCTCTGACTGCTGGCTGTATAGACTCCTCTTCTCCGCCGCGGTGTCGTCAGACTGTGTCGACGCTTCCTCTTTGTTTATCCCATTTTCTTCTGCATCCTCTGTGATCTCCATGAGCCTGCGATGGCGCAGGGAGCTTGTGGAAGAAGGCATGGATCCCGAGGCGGCATGTAGCAAGCAGGCTGAAGACAATGCACTTTCCGTCAATTCCGACGCGGCTGCCAGAGCGAAGACTGTATCGTGAGGCGAGAATTTGTCCAGAAATGACTGGAACTGGACCGTAGTGCGAGCTACAGAAATCAGTGATTAGATGATTAGCATATACGTAAGAAGTGTAGGGCAGAAGAAAACAAGAAAGAAGAATGCCCATATGATCTTGCATTCATTCAATGAGGGGCTCCCCAGTACCTTGTAGCAACCTTGACATCCCCTCGGGCATATATCGAAGGATGACTTTTCTCCGTCTGTACTGCAGAAAGCCATATAAAGGGGAATTCTCCTCATAACCCTCCATAATCCCCCGAATCTCGGTCACTCCGCCGCTACCGCGGCCCAAGAGAGATATCTCATCCCTACCTACATATTTCAGAAGCAACCTGAGAAAGAACAATGGCGAATCCGCGTCAGTTTTGCACAGCCAGACATTGCGACATGAATCACACAAGACGGAGGAATGCGATAGGATGTGCCGGAGAATCAAGGGGAGCAGGCGGGCGGGCTTGGTACTTACCATCCTCCCGCTTCAGTGAGGGCGGTCTGGTAGGCCTCGATGACGGCGGGATCATCTAACCCATTGAGAGACATGGTGGTTCCTCATTGGAGAGGCGCGAACGACTCCCTGACAGCAATGAGAAGCGCAAGGATCTGGTGAGGAATGGGAGAGACAACTGTCGAGTTATGGAGAATTGGTCGAGTGGTGCAGTTGACGGACTCAAGTGTGCCTCGAAAGACCAGGACAAACCAAACCCCCCTGTGGCCCGAGCCCACGACGCGGACGCTATCAACCGCTGGCCGGAGGGGAACGGTTTCAACTCCTTGGGGCCTAACTTAACTCTCGACTTCGTTCTAACTTCAGGGGTCCTGGGAATCGTGCCTGATGCTCTCTCTCTCTCCCTTCCACGTTCCTTGGGGGTAGCGCCCAGGGTGGACCGAGCGAACAATCAACCAGCGATTGCGATTCGCGTGGACGAGCAGAATGGGCGCGGGACGCTGACCGAAATGTCTAACCGCAAGATATTGAGATCACGAATCGGAGACGCGGTTTGAAGCTTAAAAACCCTAAAAATGGAGACCAATGCCGGTTGGATATATCCGTCCCTTTCATTACTGAGTCCTGACAGTGTCCGTGTTCAGTCTGTGAGACGGTGGAAGGACAATGAAGGGAGGTGAGGGAGCACATCTTTGCACTGGTCATGATTTCTTTGTCTGGCAGTCTTGCTGGTCCGGAATCAAATTGGACATTATTGCAGTGTGTTTTGCGGCATTGGCTGCCCCTCCGATCTCTTCCAGAACTTCTCCAGATCCTTAGACTGGTTCGGCTAAGTTAACGATACTTACTAGGGATGAGAAAAGCAGCGTGGACTGCTCCACCTTGAGACTGCCGCCAATCGACCTCCTTGCTTCTCACCACAATCGAGCATACAGAAAGAATCAAGATTCAAGATACAGAAAAGCTACACAATGCGAACCATGGCATGCCCGGGTCGCGAACCTCACACTTGGCGTCCCCAATCCAGGGGAGAACCACGCGCGCACATTTCCTATCAGATCCATCCGGAACATTGGACGAACTTCGAAGGACCCTGATCGATTCACCCAGGAATCGGTTAGCGGCCGCTAGCAAATTCCTTACCCCGATGAATTAAATTAATTAATGCCTGTCATTGACAGCAGCCTTGACTCGCGCAGTTCTTACCTAGTGAGTATTAATAATGTATATGATGGTTGGAACATACGGATATCCTGAGCCTTTTAAAGCTAATCGCACAACTCACTCCCTGCAAACCCTATCATAGACTTTTGGCCCCCTCGCGGATTGAACGTATCAAGTTTCTGGAGATGCCTGAAGGCGCTTTCGAAGAAGCACTCTTTGCAGATCGATGTTCGATAACAGCCTAGATGATTCCAGGGACCAGGGATTGTTGCACATCGTCAAACGGGGCTAATAATAAGTAATAATACGCCCCGATTCCATTCGAGTAGCCGCTTTCCTGTCTAGGAAACATTCTGTTTGCAAGGATGAATACTATATATCGCTGACGCGCGTTTACCTATCTATCTTATAAGCTTCCGGTCAAACACAGAACAATCAAAATAATTAAGTCTTTCCGTGGTTTTTTTTTTTACTGGATGCACAGTCCCCGTTTGCATGCACATTCCCGCTGTGGGAAATTGGAAACAACACAACTCTCTCCTCTCCGGACAAACAACTATCAAACTCGCGCTCTAGTTGAGTAGCGTCCCCGTCGAAAACCAAACGAAAGCAGAATTACAGATTTGACAGTCCATAGAATTGAAATCCCAACTATCAGTAGCTACTGATATTCGAGCTCGGTGACCTCCACCTACGGAGCTCGTGGTTGGACGCGGGAGCTCTCCGCACGCAGCTCGGGGAACCCCGATGGTGGGACGTGACACTGGAAAGTCAGTCGTATCTTCTCTACCTAGAGATAATAATTCACACCTTGTGTTCTTAGTTTATTACATCCTTCTTCTTCAATAATCAGCTCTCCAAGAAATCATTCCCAGACAAAAAAAAAGAATCATCTCTCTTTCCTACCTACCTACTATTATCAACACCCCACCATCCCACTCTATATACTGTACATACAACCACAACCATGTCTCCCACCCTCCCTCCCATCTCCTCCATCCAATCCCTCCCTCAAGAATCCCAATTCCACATCCTAGATACCCTCTTCGAACCCTCTCCTCAGCTCCACACCCTCATGGCCCCCGTTCTCTCCCACCAGTCCTTTTCCAGCTACGACTCCCTCATCGACGCCGTCGGCGGCCGCATGACCGCCCTCTCCGCCGCAAACTCCCCGCAAGATAAAGAGATCCTCGAAGGGATCCTCGGTTCGCATCCGCGTCTGGGCGAGTCCTCGCCTGCTGCGAAAGAGCACATGAGCGAGCTGAGTCGGAAGGAGCAGGCGAATTTGAATAAGAGTGAGGGAGAAGGAGAGGCGGAGAAATTGAGGATGTTGAATAGGGAGTATGAGGAGAAGTTTCCGGGGTTGAGATACGTGTATGTGTTGTTGTTGGATTTGGATTCGTCTTACATGCTCCTTTTTTGCTTGTTGTATAACCATTGAGGTTTTAATGAGATGCTGGAAGTGGAGTGGCTAATGATGTGGATTTGTCATTATAGAGTCTTTGTGAACGGTCGTGGAAGAGATGTCATTATGGAAGATATGCGTCGGAGGATCGACCGTGGTGATATTGAGCGCGAGAAGGAGGAGACTATACAGGTATGTTTCCTTTTTATCATGTTCAATATATATATATATATAGCATCTATGATATTCAGGATCTGACGGGCCTTGGTCCTTTAGGCAATGTGCGATATCGCCAAGGACCGCGCGAGGAAGTTGCAGAAGTCGGAATAATCGAGATCGATCGGTTCCTTTGCACACGGATATTTTTTTCATATGATCATAGCGTCAGCCAGGAGGGATGGCCTCTATAGTTATGCGGCGCCATTGCCCAGATAAGGAAGATATAAGATTTATAAGGAAATGGAATGCAGACAAGGCCAAGAGAAAAGCATTGGTCCATGAAAGATGACAATCTTAACTGCTCAAGAAAAAGAAGCAGAGTGATCAGTCTTTTTCTTATTGACCAACCTGACGCCAGACTACCCATGTACAGTACAATTATCGCATAACCCAACAGCAAGAAGCTAAAGACCAGTCGCTTGACATATATAGTGACATCCAAAACATTTCCTAATCGTATCAATGAGTCTCACTCCGTACGGAACAAGCGTACATTCCTTTCCAGTCACGATAGACCAGAACATCGCCGAGCCATCAGATCCCTCCCTTAGCCGTGGTCAAAGATAGAGGGACAATTCTGCAGATAAACCAACAGCAGAGACGATGTAACTCATTTCTTCCCACCCTCCTGGATGCGCAGGATGAAATTCACCACCACGGCAGCCAACAACGAGGCCGCCAGGACCGAGGGTCCGAAGCGATCGTCGAACCCGCTCTGGCCGCGCTTCCGGATACTCTTGGCGCGCCAATGGAACGTGATGAGGGCATAGATCATGGCCGCCATAGCGATGAAGGTGAATAGGGCGGCAGAGATGCGACCAACACGGTCACCAAAGTTGAGCAGACCGATGGCCAGACCGCCCAGGATGACGGTGAAGTTGAGCCATGAGAGGAATGTTCGCTCGTTCGCGAAGAAGACTTTGGGCTCAACACGAGTGGGAAGAGCAATGCGCTTGCCTGGGGTTGAAGGATTGGGATGTTAGCTTTGCGGGACGAGGGAGACAGGAAGAAATGAACGTTCCGGGCTGGTAGGGAACGAACCTGGCGCAGTCTGGAGAAGAGGTTGGCTAGACATGGCGAAAAGCGTCAATCTGTAGGGATTGGCAAGGAGCAGGATGTCGAGGAGCTCGATGAGTGAGCAGACAGAAGAGAAATGGGATTGATGCTCGTGGAGTTGAACTCTCTTTTATCTATGGTATTATGGGTTTTCGACTGCGCCCGGAAAAGTGGCTGGTGCTGTATGACGTTCAATTGGGAGCTCCCTGTGGATTGTCACGTTCCCTCGTGGACTGTGTCCTGACCACACAATGGCAGAGACCTAAGATGTATCTTCTGAGCGATAACCAAAAAAGAGACACCAGCAGATATGAGGGGAAAATGAGACCTGGAGGGGGAAGAGAGAAAGGGACGAGATCGATCGGACGAGATGGTCGAGATAGCACTGGGACTAAGTTCGGGAACGGCCCCGCGAGAAAAGGCGTCGCGGCCAGCCCAGGTACTGCCTCCCCCCACCGCCCAGCTTTTCACGTGCCCATTCGATCCTCCTCGATAGGCGTCTTGGCAGCAGCTGACTATGCACTATTCCTGAAGAAACCTAGCGTATACAAATATAGCCAACCAGAGAGCTCGGCCAGCGGGACGATACCAACCTTGGAAGCGAGACATTTCCATGGATCTCGCCCAGCTCCACCCGGGGCGGTCGATGATGGCAGAGTCCAAACATCCTCAGATCAGAATAATACCACACCTTACATCTGCAGACTGCTCTGTCGCCCCGCCCAATCCGTCTCGTCGACCTACCATAGAATACGCACCCGCATAATCACAACAGCCTCCAATTGTCTTTTTTATCTTGAGAGCCTCAATCCCTTCGCTGAGAGCTCCACATCCCGCATTCCGTTGCCAATTCGCGACTCCTGTGAGTACGGAGTTGATAGGTACCTCCCTCCAGGAAACCATTGCTTGTCTTCCCCGCATTGCCAACAATAGTGCACCAGCTACGATACCTCCAACAAGATTTCCATATTTAACTAACGCTAGAAAACTTCGCAATTGAATTGCCTAGTCAATCGATCCCTTCCCACACGTTGTGACTCAGGTCTTGAAGGCACATAACACAATGGCCGTTGACACGTCGCCAGCGAATTCGGTGCGCCCTATTCCCCGCTATCAATCCAATCAATCCCTCTTCCACTCAATATAAACATTATTATCATTACTATATACACTATGGCTGCACAAGTAGATAAATCGAGATTTACTAACAGTCATGTCTTCCTATTCAGCCCGTGCCCACCACGGAGCTCACCAAGCTCGCAACCGAGGTACGCCATCATCATCATCCTCGATATATCTATCTACCTGTCCCAGGAACCCAACCCACGAACACGCAACTTACCTGCACAATGTATAGGCATGCGACATGGCCCTGAAGAGCGTCGAGGAATACGACCACTCGAAAGTCGGCTCATGGAACTCGGAGATCATCGTATGTTTCACACTTCACCCCTTTATCCCCCCTTCTTTAGTCCCCACCCTCTATGTATGTATGTATATGTACATATGTATGTATGTACATCTATGAACCGTCCAACTAACCAACACAACCATCCCCTTCGCAGAACCACATCCTCCAATCTCTTATCAAAGCCACCGCTCCATCTACACCAAACACTCCGCCTCCATTCCGCTTCACCGTCAACAGTACCATCGTCCAGCAAGGTCTCGTAGACAAGTCGACAACGTCCGGCGACGCCGGTAAGCGCGGTATGCACTCTGCCTCGGGGGCTTTCTGGGATGTCAACCGCGATGGCATGTGGACGTTCAAGTATCCCGGTGGTGAGCAGCGGGGGCTGGACGTGGTCGTGAGCGTGACATGGTTCGCGATGGCGTAAAGATGGGGGTTGTATCTTTCTCTGGTGAAATGAATTTGGAATAGGATTGGGGTGATATCTACAGTGGAGGGATTCACAGTGGCTTCCCATATATCTACTCTTTTCGATTTGTATGTATTTATATTGATCTCCAGGCAGAAATGGAGTAAAAAGGCGAGAAGAGCTGGAAGTGGAGTTCTCCCGGATCGGGCGTAGATTGGGTATCCTGCTATCTCGTCATATCATCGTCCACATATGCTATATATATATATATATATATATAACTACATAATTTGCAGCGTAGCTACCTACAGCCAGATACGATTATTTCGTCAGTGCTAGGGGCCCTAGAGGAGAAAGGAAAGAAGGTACGGGTTTGAAGTGGTCCAAGATTTCATTGTCCGTTCGAGACATCCTCCCGGAGGATGGCCCATGCAAATGCAGAAAGGGGAAAAAAAGAAGAAATCAAAAACGCCCTGACTCCGTCCCAGAAAACCGCCCAGCGCCCCCCTTCACCCATGCGCCATGCTCGTAGTCGAAGAGAGAAAAACCAACCCCGCCAGACAACGGATCCCACCATACGCTCGTGGGAGCCCAACCAATGGCCGAACCATCGCGCCCACTGCAGAAACCTCTTTAACGAGGCTCCGAGTAGTCGTTCAGCGCGACACACACCGCACCGCGGTGGTGTCCGCTGTACTGACGGATGATCTGGCCCGAGGCCAGCTCCCAGAGGCGCGCGTAGTGGTCACTGCAGACTGTGACCAGGTAGGCCGAGTCGGCCGAAAACGCGCAGTCCCACACCCAGCGCTGGTGGTTAGCCAGCGTGGTCTCGAGGTATAGCGTACCGGTAGCGGGGTCCATTGGAGGACCGTCCGGTTGAACAGGGAAACTTGGCATGGGCTGTTCGCCGGCAGTGCTGGGCGTACCGAACGCAGACGCAAACATGCTGAAGTCGCTCGCATTGTTCGCTTCGTGGGAGCTTGCAGTGGCGTCTCCGTCTTCCGTCGACTCCGGCTTCTCTTTTGTTGGAGTCGTGTCACCGTTGCCATTTGCTTGGACTCCGTTGGCAGTATTGGCCTTGGAATTGGCAGCAGCCGCAGCCGCAGCTCTCGCGGGAGGGTAATCAGGGTCCAAGTTCCAGACCTTGGCGGTGTGGTCGGCAGAGCAGGTTGCCAGGTGCTTGACATCAGGAGATAGCAGAAGACGAGTCAGGTAATCTTTGTGAGCTTGGAACATGGCAATTGGCATGATGCGGGTGACTTCGGTATCCTGGATCATACGCCAGATGTAGACATTGCCCTGTTGCTCCAGGTTAGATACGTCGAGAACACTATCCGCAGTTCACTCTACCTTTTTGTTGCCTGCACAGAGCAGAGAACCATCGCTTGCAACACTCACACTCTGAATAGCAACGTCATCCTCGGGGATCAGTTGATGGGTGCAAACGCTCTCCCCAAGATCCCAGACGCGGACCGTACCAGAGCGGTCGCAGCTGATGAGTTCTCCCTGGTTCGGATGGATGACGACGTCGTTGACAGCAGCTTTGTGAACGTAGTTGCGTTGAAGACTGCCAGTGCGAGTGTCCCAGACCTTGACCGTACCATCTTCAGAGCTAGTGACCATCCACTTGCCCTCGCAGTGAAACGCGACGCCAGTGATGTTGTTGGTGTGTCCATCGAAGGTCATGACCGGATTCGGATTGGTGGATTTGATGTCGTAGAGTTTGACATTGTTATGACCAGCAGCCGCTAGGAAGCGCTTGTCGGGAGTGATACAGAGACGGTTCACTTGAGAGTCGGGATGTTGGATGGTACGAGAGCAGATTCCAGATAGAGCCTCCCAGAAGCTTCGAACACCAATTCGTCAGTTACAGACTCCCATGAAATATTTGGAGCTCTATATGGCCGGGCTTACCGTATGGTATGATCATACCCCGCTGTTGTGAAAGCAACACCGTCAGCGCTGGTGGTCCTCGAGCAATGCTATAAGCGACACTCTCGCAGGAGACACTTACCAGTACAGAGAATGACACTCATAATGGGGTCGTGCTTGAAGCCAAGTGGAGGATAGACCACCCGTTGTCAGTAACAATCCAAGAATTTCTGTGTTAAGTGACTGTGAAGTGTTGGAGAGTAAGCGTCCTAAGAGTGAAGCTGGTGAAGCTGGAGCAGCAATGAACCTTCTCTTGTGCCGCGGCGGGCAAAGAACTCCTTTATGCCAGACGTGGCTTAGCGTCCGTTGATAGTTGGTGATAAGGGAAAGGGGTCACGTGTGCGGTGAGATAGGCGGTGAGGCGGAGGTTGGAGAAGGTTAAGTCCGAGGAGGAATTCTGCTGAACGAGAAAAACATTGTTTGCCTCAATAATCTTCACAATTTGTCCATCCACTGGACTTTGACTGCACTGCGTTCTTTTCTTTCGGGGTCTGGTCATATTTCGTCTCCAATTACAGATCATGCTCTATTCCCCTTTGGGAGATGAATCACCAACTGTCTATCTGAGAGTGGCATGGCTGGATATTGTCTAGTTCATTTTGCGGCCGCGAGTCCCCTACCCCAGGGCGATTCTCCTGGTCTTTGCTGTATACCAACACTCCAGCCTTGACCTGACCTCGGTTGCAGGACTGATACCGGTCCTTTCTATTCCGGAGACTCCAAGGAGCGACTGCAAATACTTGATCTGGAAGTCGTCTTTCGAAGCTGTTGGAGGACTCCATACCTCGAGAAGCACCACCGGAGGATACTCTACAGTGTCGCATATACATCTCTACTGAACGCTTGCTTCCGGCCTCGTTATCCCGAGAACTTCCTACTGTTGACCGCAACTTTCGCCTGGACGGTTCTTCAGTTGACATCATACTCTCTTTCAACCTTGTTGGGTACCTGAACGGCCTATTTCACCATATCCGCAAGGCTGCTCTGTTATATCTCGAACCATTCGAGTCTATCTCATATGCCTCAACTCTCGAGCAACTACTCTGCAAATTTCCAGACCTTGTCCTAAAGTGATAAACATCGTGTTGAGTGAAGAGATCATTGAGTGTCAACTTTCGAGGCTTATTGGACAGCCTCTTTTTCCTTGTCAGCGTTTCAAGATGGACGGAAGTGCGGCTGAAGGTAATTCCACCTTTCATTTGACCTGTCCTTCTACGCAACCAGAGGATCCCGGAGTATATGGCTCTGGCGGTATCTCAGATCCCCATTGTTCCTCTGATCAGCATGTCAATGATCTGGGGCTTACACTTTCCCCCGGATCGCAGCAGCTGCAGCACCCAGAACTCCAGAACGACCCTTTCCTGGAAGCTGTCCTTGATGGGCTTTCCAACAATCCCAGCCTCTGGGAAGACATCGACCTTCCCGAGCCTCCTGACTACGGTTTTCAAACATCATTTGACAGAGGAGAGAGCCATACGCATCGCAAGAGATCGATTGATGAAGCATTCGATGGTGAGCATGATGTCTCTGTTCCTTGCCAGAAGAAACATCTCGCAGGCTCGCAGATAAATCCAGACATCGGGCCTCAAGAATCCGTGCCGCTGGCAAACTACGAAGACATCGAACGCCCAGCACCCGCGGCTTCTGCCAACACCGAGAGGGAAGCGACCCCTGACTCTCTCTTTGATGAGCACACTCCTTTTGCTTCTAGCACGGATGAAGATTCCGGAGGTAGCCTGCTGGAAGACGCTACCAATGAGACTATCAGAACGGAATTAGCGGAAACGCCTTCAGTTAGCGAAGACACGAAGCGCCGCTTCGGTCTCCGTACGGATGACTTGGAAGCTGCAAAAACCCGAGATTTCTTCCAGGGCTTCAGGCAGCCACCTGCGTATCTGTCTCCTTATCCTCGTTACGGTGGACCTCTCGGATATCTACCATCTACCCCCAACATACATCTCAAATGTATCCAAGTCACCAGCGAAAGGGTCCACGACCAGATGCTAAACTACCGCCGCAAAATCCAGGCGCTCACAAATGACCGCAACCGGTACTTGAATCTCTGGGAGAGATGGAACACCCTCGACCCGGCTACTGGAAAGTCTCGGGAGCAGCTTATCAAGGAGGAAAATAGGCAGCTCAAGCGGGAATCCGACCGCCAAGCCAGCCAAATTGCGGAGCTGAGAGAGGAAACGGAGAGATGGAGAGCCTGCTACAGCAGTCTCTCGACGACATACAATAACCTTCTCTACGATATCTATATGCGCAATCAAGCAGGGGCCCGGGAGAACCTACCGACCGTGGCCCCTCCACCGCAAGGTCTCCAACTGCAGCATCCAGCAGCCCTGCCCCAAGGTTCATTGCCCGTCCTAGGCCCTCAGATGGCGGAAAAGCAGGGCCAACAACAGATGCAAGGAGGCGCAGCTGTGGCCGATTGCTCGAGGCCCAACCCTCGCGCGCCTCCCAGCCCCTCTGTCACTCCCGTTTCGATTCCGACGCCTGTGACCATCGACCTCACTTTCGATGAGTCGGACGCTGCGCCTCAGTCACGGAACACGTCTCCCCATTCCCAACCGGCCGGAGAGCCTGGCGGCCAACTGCGCCAGTCTTTCCGGAGTAAGACCTACAACTGGCTCGGTGATCGAAACCATATGAGGGGCGGATTCCGGCCACCGCCTGGATATACGCCTGACTGGAACCCAGACAGCCGGCGCTCGTCTAACAGCAGCCAGCCCAGTCCCACGACTGCGACCAATTACTCGCGACCGAGCACTGCCGACCCTGCGAACGTTCAAGGTGCCGTCTATGTTGAAGAACAAGCCGATGACGAAGCCGGTTTGGACGACGACGAGTTGGCGCGGTTGCTGGAGCAGGAACTCGCAGGGCAGTAGTTAGATCGGGATATTATCAAGAGGTGGCACCTTGGGAATTCCGATATAGACTGGCAAGTCTAACGTTTACTACTACCTGTGGTCCGGTTGAACTGTAGTGTTTGTTGGGCGTTTGTCGGAGGCTTTGTTTTCTTTTCTTTTTTTTTTTTTTTTTTCGAAATCGTATGAGATACCCCATGTACTTTTCTTTTCGGTTCACCTTACCCTTACAATCGGGATACGAGAACCTACTGTTTTCGCTAGACGGACGGACAAAATTAATTATACTTATCGTTATCTATATCATATCAAGTATAAGTCATTAGCTAGAAGAAGACCCGTCAGGACAAAAAAAAAGGAAAGAAAGATTACCATCCATCCATCCATTTACAAAGCAGTTACCGTTCAATTTGAGCTTCGAAGTATATACTTTATACTAGATAAACTCGGCGGACTACATCCCGAACGAACCTTATTATTTACTTGCCTCTTTCTTTCTTTACAGAGCCAATATTCTGCTTTAAATTTGTCCATGAGCAAAGACAAAAAAAGAAAGAAAACAGCCATTGACCATCGCCCAGGGTAACAATTTTCCATTATGCTATTCTACGCTCTACCAGAGAAGAGAACAATCCACTAGTGTGCTATTGGAGGAAGGAATAAGAATTGGACTTAACTTTCTGCCAATATATAATAATATGACTTTCTTTTCTTTTCTTTTCTTTTCTTTTCCTTTCTATAATAATAACAACGGCCGAAGACTGAATCTATAGGATATTCCAGTCCCCAGGAATATGTGTATGTACAATTGGGACAGGACAAGGTCAGGTCAAGGTAGGATAAGGTTAGTGTAGAGACGTAGGGATATAAATCCGATCATGACTCGTATCGATAATAGCACAGGTCGAGGTCCACGCGATTTACCTCTCTTTTGACCAAAAAAAGGAAATGCTGATAATTCAGGAAACCAATTGACGATATGATCGAGAGGTGAGCATCGTCGGAACTCAAGTGTACAAGAGAAAACGCCGGCTTTCTACACAAACTGCAACTCATCAGACAGGTCTCACCGGCTGTGATGAGGATAGGGTAACCAAGCGATGAGAATCCAAAAAAAAAGAAAGAAGAAAGAAAAAGCAAAACTCCGTCTTCCAAGCCAATTCTATCGAGTAGTCCGTGCGATTCTATAGTTGCCCTTGTGTTGAGTGCGATGCAAAACTGGATATAGGAGAAGTCGATGTATGTATGTGTATAACCCCCGAGTCTATGGACAATTTGCGTGTGTATAGGTAGAGGACGGCCCCGCGGAGAACAGGACGGTCTCTCCCGACCGGAGCGGGCGATAAAAATAGGTAGTCGAGTTCATTTTATACATCCATCTTCCTGCGGCGTCCGAAGCGCTTCTTCGGGCCGGTATCCGACGAGGCGGGAGACCTGCGTTCTTTCTCGGTCGGTTCGATACTGGTGCCGTTGATGGTACCGGTCTTCAGCTGGCGTCGCACCTTGCGGCCACCGCAGCAGGCGCAGCAGCAGGAGCAGAGTTGCGCGATGAAGCCGATCAAGGTCAATGCGGACGCAATCCACATGAATGCCAACATGCGCGTGCCCAGGTTGGCCTTGATGTTGAGGTTGACCGCGTTGTTCATGAAGACGTTCTTGAAGATGCTCCACATGACGGTCGAGATGACCGACGCGACGATGGTGAACAGCGCAGTGAGGAAGGTGAAGATCAGCATGGGCAGGGCGCGGAGGAAGATGAAGCTGGGCCGGTGGTGAATATGGGCCTCATCGTTCTTGTGAGGATCCGCAGATAACGACTGCGGTGGACGGGATGAGACGGCCAAGGGCGCAATGAAAATGCCGACAAACGAGAGGACGGTTCCAGTGATGAAAAGGCCAAACATCCAGTGTGAGGCCGTGGAGGCAATCTTGAGCGCCGAGGTGATATCCGCAGGCAAGGCGACTGTGCAACGCTCCAGTTAGCCAGTTGACTCGTCATGAGTTTTGTCTTTTCTGTTTTTCCTTTGTAGAGCGTGTGATGTAATACGTACTGGTGGCACCGGCTAGCAGCTCACTGAGCAAGATCTTCACCGGATTGAAGGCGTAGAGGCTCTTGGGCTTGGAGCAGTCGGTAATGCCGGTGTCATCGTAGCCCTCGCAGAAGTTCCACAATCCCACCTGGTAGAAATCATGGAGGCCAATGGACCGGGCAATACTGTTGATGAGGACAGCATTGGGCACGGAAAGGGGGATGATGTTGGAGAGGTCGAGTTTGAGGAAATAGGTTTCGCGCAGGACGGGCTTGTTGGAGAGGTTGCCGATACAGACGAGCAGCAGGAAGATCCAGGCGACGAGATAGAGAAACGAGCGGAAGAGGCGGTGCCAAACCACGGTGGAATGCGTCCGGCCGGCTAGCTGCCGTTGTTGGGGCGCCTTCCGGAAGGTCGGGAGAAGCGCCATGGCGCGGACGAGATAGAGGATCGGACCGGATAGGATGGAGGAGAGGTTCGCGGAAGGGGGTTAGGAATAATAAGAATAAAACTGACAAAAGGAAAAAAAGGATAGAAAGCAAAGGAGGGGAATATCGATAATGAAAGCAATCAATAATGACGGGGCGGGCAGGCCGACATGCTTCAACGGGCCGACTGACGTTGCGAGACCAGCAGAGCAGCGGCAGACGACAACATGGGCGAGACGCTGACGAGGATACTTTTTCTCCAGATGCGATGATTATTTGATAATCCTGTATGGTCGTATTCGTAACCTGGAGAGAACCAGCTGGGGCTGGGCTGACCCGGTGGACCGACCGGCGATCGTGGGTCTGTTGGGCCGTGTCTGGACAGTAGTGTCGTCTCGGTCGGCGAGGGAGAAAGGTTGGAAACCAGATCTGGAGATCAAGAAAGAGAGAAAGAAAGAAAGAAAGAGATCTGGGTGGTGTTGTCTAGGAGAGAAAGGATCGACTGCGCCGTGAGATGACGACGCCCTTACAGCAAGACGGCGGATGTTGGTGGATGGAGATGTCAATGAGAGTCAATGAGAGTCGATGAGACACACAGGACGCCGTTCTGGTTGCTGTGGAGTCTGGAGAGAGAGAGAGCACGAAATACTATGATCCCAAGAGTTGATGATTCTTCCAATTCCATCTGGACGGGAAACGGGCGAGAGACAGCAAGAGAGAGCGAGCAGCCACGGCGGCTTTGACAGGCCGACTAGAGTAGCATAATATCTGCAGGCTGCAGCCTGTAGTCTATTAATATTATTTCTTCATCGATAGCGTGTCTCATTTGTCCCAGTCTTCCTCTCCAGTGAAGATCCAATGTGATAGACTGATAGTTAGTTTCCCCAGCCGGGCGCCACCGCCGTCATGGGCCGGAGGATTCGCATGTGGATAAAGATGGAAGATGGAGATGAATTTAGAGTATCACTGGTATTTTATTATTAGTATTATTAGTGGTAGACGTTGGGCGTTTTCACGTCAAGTTCCGTAGGTGCCCGCGAGAGAGAGAGAGAGAGAGAGAGTCATACCATACCATATCTACTCAAGAGACTGTCTCAAACCCATCGTCTCCTTCGGCCTGTTTCCTGTCTGTGATTAATTAATTAAATCCTCGACCTCGACTGCTAAACGAGAGTAGTCGCTCGCTAACGAAGTAATTAACGAAACGATCGTCGCGGGAAGTCGGGACCAACTTGAAGCAGCTCATCCATCTCAAAAAGGCTGCGCTGCCCCGGCGATCTCAAAAGTTTGTTAACATCCCGAAGCACAGATCGTCGACACGGGAGACGATAGAATTAGATTAACTGATTCTGTCGGTCGCTGAATCAACTACTCCGGAGGTTCGTCCTGTTTTTCTCTTCTGACCGCATTGACACGGGAACTGGCAATCAATATACTGGGTGTTTCTGCGTCTATCGAGATGCATCTGGCTGATTTGGTCGCAGGTTGACGACAGCACCAAAACCATCATCGTCTCCTCGTATATCGAGAACAATCAACTTAATTAACTACTTCTTTCTTTCGTCCATCGCTGCCCTGCCCTGTTGCTCTGCCCTGCTCCAGGCTCCGCGATGCGACTGTTCTCGGCTCCCCTCATCCTTCTGCTGGGCGTTGCCTCCAGCTGGGCGGCCGACGATGGCAAGACGACCAGCAGCAGCAGCGACACCACGACGGGCGATGCCACTCTCAAGATCATCTCTGCCACGGGCGCTGATGTGCCAACGGGTCCTTATCAGACCTACTCGAGCACCATCGTCCTCTCCACGACGGCCAAGGACGGCGAGGCAACCTCGACTACCAGCACCGCCAGTGGTTCAGGATCCGACACAGCATCAGCCTCAGGGACTGCCACGGGCAATTCCACCGATGCCAGCGCTCATACTACCACTTCAGCCTCGCTCACCATGCTGGTCGGCGGCCAGGGCGCGGGCACCACCACGCTATCAGGCAATGCGACCGCGACCGGTAATTCTTCCATGACTTCTTCGTCCACCTCGCAGACGCCGCTACCCACCAACACTCAGCCATGCAATGGCTATCCCGAGTTCTGTGCCCGCAATTACTCCAACATCACCATGGTCGCCGCACACAACAGTCCCTTTGTGCGACCAGGCAATTGGGCCTCCAACCAGGCCCTGCCGGTGACCACTCAGCTCAACGACGGCATCCGCATGTGTAAGTAGAACCCACGAAGAAAGAGAAAAAGAGAACCCCGGCTAACGGACGAGAAGTGCAATTCCAAACCCACTGGGAGAATAACACCATCTGGCTGTGTCACACCTCGTGTGATATACTCAATGCGGGCACGCTCGAGAGCTATCTCGTCACCGTCACCCAGTGGCTGCGACAGAACCCGTACGACGTGCTCACCATTCTGATGGGCAATTCAGACTTCATCGGGGTGGGCAACTACTCATCGCCGATCGAAAGCTCGGGACTGATTGACTATGTCTACACGCCTCCCAGGATCCCCATGGGGGTCAACGACTGGCCTACCCTGTCGAGCATGATCCTGTCGGGCAAGCGTGTCGTTGTGTTCCTGGATTATCAAGCCAACCAGACCGAGGTTCCCTACGTGATCGACGAGTTCGGCAATATGTTTGAAACTCCCTTCTCCCCCACGGACCGGAATTTCCCTTGCACTGTCCAGCGGCCTCCGAATCTGCCCGCCGACCAGGCAGAGGATCGCTTGTATATGGCCAACCACAATCTGAACCTGGAGGTCTCTTTTGCTGGCATCAATCTGCTGATCCCGAACTCGGCCCTGCTGGACGAGACCAACGGCGTCAGCGGCTATGGAAGTCTGGGCTGGATGGCAGAGAATTGTACTAGTAAGTTGCCCTCTTTTTCATTTTCCTTTTTTTCCCGACGACCTTCGCCCCTTTACCTTGGAGGAAAAGAACTAGACTAACGATGTTTAAACAGGGGACTGGAACCGGCCCCCCAACTTCCTGCTGGTCGATTACTACAACTACGGCACTCCCAACGGCTCTGTCTTCGAAGTCGCCGCGGATATGAACAATGTTACGTGGAACGGCAAGTGCTGCGGTACCGGAACTTCTGGAGCTTCTGCTCTCTTGGGAGGAAGCAAGAACATCTGGCTCGCAAGCTTGATGAGTCTGGTTGTCAGTCTGCTTCTGTGATTTGACTTCCGTGATAGCAAGAGAGCTTCAGCACTTGGGTAGGCGTTCTGGGTATATATATGTTTTCTTGTATATGATTTGTGCTCCATTTTCCCTTCCCTTTCCTCTCTGCTAGGATCAGGGTCGGGCATATGAGAGGTTACTCTATATCCTGCTTGGGTTTTTTGTTCCCGTCTTCTTTTTTGCATAGCCTGAGCGTGGCCCCTACACAGTGCCCGTATATACCCATACGCCTGCATTGATTAGGTAGCCATAGAAGAGAATGATAGAATAGACTAGTGTATCATATTGTAATGACAGTTTCACGGCGCTTGTTATAGAGCTCCAACTTGGCTTCAATCATAAAATAACGGGCGTCATTCGAGGGTAGTTAATAGTTATACGAGGTCAATTAGTAACGAAGCCCTAGAAATATAGCCATAGGTGGTGCGTCTTGCGTAGGGCACGTACTCCATATATCACAATGAGACATTTCTCTATAAAAAGATAACCGCTTACTACGCTAATTGATAGTACAACAATAACTACAGAGTAAACAGGAGTACAGTATAGAATATTAATATTATATATAGCACTCGATGTATTCCATCTCAAGAGCTCGCCAAAACAGGTTTAGCGTCCCCCGCTCACACTTCCCAACTCTCCGCCGCCGCGAGATCGCCCAGCGCAAACGCCTCTTCTCCCTCTCTCTCTGTGATCAGTCAAGTTGTGATCTCAGGAACAGAGATCAATTCAATTGTCCAGCCCCTTATCTTCCTCAATTGGACTCATTCTCTCTATCTATCTCCCGTGCGCAGCGGGGAAAGCCCTCATTATCTATCGAGAGAGCAAACAATCCGCACTCCCAATATAAGAAGAGACGAGCAAGACCAGATCGGCATTCCCCTAGACAAGACGATAGGATACACAACACAACACAACCCTCGAAGTTCAAAAGAAACAAAAAAGAACCAACATCCAAAATGGTCGACATCCTCCCCCTCTCCTCTTACCCATCATACATCAACCTCCTCCCTTCCATCCAGACCTGCAACATCACCAATCTTCCCGAGAACTACTTTCTGAAATACTACCTCTACCACGCCCTCACCTGGCCACAACTCAGTTTCGTCGCGGTGGTCCGGCCCAAGAACGGATACAAGAAGAGAGGATATGGACTGAATGGAACGGGACCCGGAGATGATTACCCGAAAGTAGTGGGATATGTCCTTGCGAAGATGGAAGAGGAGCCAACGGATGGGGTTGCTCATGGACATATTACGAGTTTGAGTGTTATGCGTACGCATAGAAGATTGGGTATTGCGGAGAGGTTGATGAGGATGAGTCGTATGTTTCCTTTTTTTCTTTTTCTTCCCGGAGAGGATCTCCGGGAGGTTTACGATATGGTTGCTAATGGATACTACAGAGCGCGCTATGGCCGAAGCTCATCGCGCACACTACGTCTCTTTGCACGTGCGTGTTTCCAACCAGGCCGCGCTGCATCTATACCGCGACACACTCGGTTTCGAAGTCGAGAAGGTCGAAAGCAAGTACTACGCTGATGGCGAGGATGCCTATGCCATGCGCATGGATCTCACGCCCATGTGGATCGACTGGACCGAAGACGAAGAGAAGAAGCAGAAGAAGGAGCGCACTGGCAATGAAGGCGGTGATGAAGAGCATGCCGATGAGGGAGACGATGTTGGCGAGCTGGGCAAGAAGGATGGCGAGAAGATGATTCGCGTCAAGGTCGGACGGGGTCTGGGTGTTGGTGATCTGGTCGAGCGGAATGAGAGTGTGAAGGCGGAGTCGTGATCGTACATACATACTTACATACATACCAGCGATGAATCCGTCTGAAGAGAAGAAAAAAAGAGAACCTGACTCCCGGTGAGTCGAGGACTTCAATGAAAATCAACCAACCAATTTCTTATTCGATTTATTTTGTTTTCCATGGGAAAATACATAACTAGATCCTCCTCCTCCTCTACACCAGTGGGAGAAAATAGATATGAAGATAACATTAGAAAAAATAACAAGAAAGAAAGAAAAAAACTATAAGCAACGAGAACTCACTAACTAAGCCACGAGATAACCTATGAACGATAACTATGTGCCTACGTTCGGAATAGAAGAAGCCATATATAAGTGAGAGTGAGAGTAGACAATTCATTTGTCAAATTCATTCATTAAAATCCATAATATAATTTATACCGTTCCGCTATAAACCAATAAATAATCCTTTTGGCTGACTCCATGGAATGAGAGGAGAAAAAAAGTGAAACGCATATAGACGGGGACAAAGTACAGTACAAAGTACCTAGCGGTTATTATTTAGTCCCATGGCACTTTGCATTGCTATCTTCTTGTCACAGGCTCGTTTTGTCCCAAGGGACGACCGACGGGAATGTTGGATGAAGACTTTCCTTTCCGCTGTCGTTTCCGCTCCGCTCGAGGCCATGGCTGTCTCGAGGTCTTTTGATCTTGATCTAAGCCCGGTCGTTGTTCCGGATTAGTTTGCTGCTGATCTTGTTGCCTTTTTGAATTCTGGATATTGTACTCTTATGTCCTAGAGCGGCTTTCTGCATCAGAGAGAGTAAGGGAGGATAAAGCCCGAGTAGCGAACGAGATAGAAGAGTCGGGAGAGGTGATATTCGTAGCATTAGATGCTGGGTAAGGTTGGACAGTTGGCTGCTGTCTATGACCCCGTCGTCTTTCACGTCGTCCTCCACTGCGCCGATTTCGTCGTGTCTCTCTTGCTTCGTCTCTTGCACGACGGACTATATCCCGGAATGCTTTCTCAACGGCTTTCTTTTCCTCCTTGAGGGCTCGACGTTGCGCTGGACTATCCTGCAGCTCGATGGGGGCCTCCCATGGAGCGCGTCTGAGGCCGTGGTGTTGGGTGCCGAAAGGCCGTCCTCGACCTCTAAAGCCGCGTGAATTTCCCCAATGTCCTCCCCAGCAGGCGTTCATGCCAAATCCTCCTCCTCGGCTTCCGTTGAAGCGAGCATGACGGCGTAATTGCTGGAGAGCTTGGAGGTGATGTCTTAGTCGGAGAGCAGCAGCATAAGAATCACGGTGATGATGGCCGTTCAGGGAGGAGAGTTGCGCGCGGACTGAGGAGAGATCAGTCACTTCCAAGTCCGAAGTAGTGGAGATGGTGTCGATCGAGGAGAATGATGAAGCTGAAGACGAAGAATCGGTCGAGGAACTGCGTCCACGACGCCTATTCCTCCGCCCGCGGCCTCTATCCTCCCCCCACTGACCCCTCTGGCCCCATGAGAGACTGCAAGGCCCATGACCCCATTCACACGGAGCTGATGCTCGACTACCAATGCCAGCAAATGACTGGCCCATCTCCTCGATTTGTCTGCCACGGCTTCTAGCCTGCTCCTCGAGCCATCGTCCGTGAGCCATGGCCTGCTCTTCGATACGCCTTCCACACTCCTCAGCCTGTATGCTGACGTGCTCTGCAAATCTGGTGGCATTCATACTAATGTCGGCTATCCAGCCCAAAGGCCCGGCGACGCCCCGGTGTTGGCTGGGACCGGTCTGAGGACCGACAGGCCATGCTGGAGAAGGCCATCGATACTGGTCGGCAGGTGTTGCCCTGGACCAGCCAGAAGCTGAAGCTCCAGGAAACAGGCCCCATGGGGCAAGGGATTTGATTGCAGAAGAAATGCAGGGTGGAGTCTGAAACTCGACTCTGTTGTTTGTTGCAATATCACTTGCTTCCATAGGAGTCTGGCTAGGATCTAACTGCGAAGGACCCTCTATCTGCGACGGCGGTACCAGCGTCTCCACGGACCTCGAGCGAGCAGTTCTGCGATTCTGCGACGCCGAAGTCGCAGCTGGATAGCATCTCGGACACAACGGAGAAGAAGGAGCCGATTCGAGATCTGCCACATATATCCACGAGATCTGAGTACCACGCGGTAAGAAGAAGCGCTGATTCCACTCCGAAATCACGGCCGCAATGCGTAACTTGCGCTCATCATCTGTCTCCTGGGGACGGTCCTTTCGATCCCGCTGGATCTCCGCTCGGAGTCTGGGAGAAAGAAGATCAGACGTTGCTGCAGGTGCTAGATGTGGAGGAAACAGGAAGTTCAGGAACGTATCCCAATCCTGCTGAGAGATCTCATCTGCTACTGCGTTCCAGCAGCGCGGTCGGCGAGGAAAGTCCTTGGCCTGCGTCTTGGGATAGATGGTCAAATGGTGCTGCAGGACATCGCGCTCTTGGAACGCTGGAGGCGGGCGTTCTTCGACGGCGCCAACTGCTGAAAGATAATTGACTGGCGATACAGATGATAACGACGAATGGCCTGCTGAGAATGTGCTTGAGACGTCGGAATAAGCGTATGGAATCGGAGCTTCACCACCGCGCAATTGCATAGACGGCTGCTGAGAGTTGATGGGTGAAATGGCATTGCTGTTGGCATTGGCTGACAACAGCGGGTCAACGGGGGCATAAGGTGGAGGAGCCTCATCGGGATCCATGATGATTAGATAAAAATCCAAATGATATTACTCCACGAGGTTTAGGATTAGCTGAGAGGAGATGGATAAGGCCAGAGACCCGAGAAGTTGAGATAATACAAGTTGCGCGTGGGTAGAAGAGAGCCTAGAAGGCAGCCTTGTCCCGATTCATCAAGAGAGGACACAGCACGACCTGCACATACAAGACAGATAAAGCTTCGCCAACAATAAGCACCAAGATAGATGCTGTCGGGGAAGTTGACAGCTGAAAGAAGATCGATCGGAGTGTCGCTATCAGACTTGTCCGAGCCATGCAGCCGCAGCTAACTCGATTTAGCCCGATGACATGGGGGCCAAACCCCATGTTAAGATGTAATTCATTAACTGTGTAGGCGAAACCTGGAGAATGAACATTCAAGATGGAGCCAGTGGGTGCCATTCGCAGTAGACTTCGATAGACATTGTTACCAAGCGGGAATAGATCTATACTATTATGGTATTATATTCGGGACCAACATAAATGTCACCAAACTCACGCCAAACAGAACAATCGCGCCAAACTCCACGCTCGATGCCGATAAAGAAGCTATATGCAAAGACCCAGTACGGAATCCAAGCTGAAGACCAGATCTAGTATAAAGAAATCCATCCATGATGATCTACCGCACCAGAAGTTCTCTAGTCCCACGCTCCCCAGTCGTCATCCTCGGCTTCGTCCTTGGGCTTCGTATCGATCTTCTTGGGCGCTGCTACGGGTTTCGTCTTTATGGCATTGGTACTCGCGGTCCGCGATGTAGTTGCTGGCCGTGAAGGGATTTCCTTGGTCGATGACGATTTGCTTAGGCCCTTGGGCAATGGCTTCTTCGCCTTGGCTTTCGACTGCGCTGCCAGCCAGCCAGCAAAATCAGGTTCGCCGCCATCATCAAAAGCTGCAGTGGTTGGCCTCGTTGAAGCAGGGCTCAGAGTATCCTTGGGGGTTGCTGTTGCATCGAGGAGGTTATCGCCTGTCTGCTCTGCTCCGTCATCGTCATCATCCATAGCACCCCACGCGTCGTACACATCGTCCGCCTCTTCCTCTTCTCGAGGTGCTGTCACTGGTTGATCCGATAAAGAGCGTCCAAGGGACGGGGTTGTAGGTTGCTGGGGCTGAACCAACGGTACTTCCAATGTGGTCTTTGCCGGGCGAGGCACGGATGCCGGGCGGACAGGTTCTGCTACGGCAGCCTTATCACCATTGGTAGTCTGGATTTCGCCCTTGGTCGCAGTGACCTTGTTCGTGAAGGAGGAGATCGCCCAGCCAGCCCAAGAGGTGTCGTTAGATGTCCCTATGCGAGCTGCGTTGTTGACATGTTCCGTAGCTCCGGGTGGTGGAAGTGTCGTGTCAGGCATCTTGTTCGCTTCCTTTCGAATATGCTGTAGATACAAGTCGACAGTCTTGTTCGCCTGGTCTCGGATAAGCCTGTTCGATTTAAGTAAGTGATATCTAATAACAGGCGATCGAATCTTACTTTTCCTTGTCGAGCAGCGCTGGGCAAACAGCGGGCAGGATCTTGCCTGCAGCGTCCTCTGGGGTGAAGTACTCCAGAGTCGCACCGAGAGCGAGCAGGCCGGCATTGCGTGCGTGCACGAAAGGGTCTCTGAGCGAGCGCGAGAAAGCGGCAATAAGAACTTTCGAACGTGTCTACGGCCGTGGTCAGTATTGACAAGACTTACACAATCAGGGAAACGTACACTCTGGCCCAAGTTTTTGGCTATCTTTCCTAGACAAATGGTCGTATTTGTTCGAATGCCAGGTTGTTCATCATTCGCCGTACGCGCCAGGAACTTCAGCAAGTCGCCATTGATCGTGCGGTCTGAGAGCTTCCCAATGACTGCCAATACAGCCTTGACAGTCTGTTCTCGAACGGCGGGTGCAACATCCGTGAATCCAGACGTCTATAGGCGTCAGTACAACCTCCCGATATCAACCCCGATAAACTTACCATTTGCGGGAAGATTTTGTCATTGACAATCCTCTGCGGTATGTTATCAATCATCAACGGTAGATTATCCAGTAGACAGACTCGGATCGCTCGATCGGGATTTGCAAATAAGCGAACAATTACAGGCGTGAGTTTCGTCGAGTACTCGTCAGCTGTAAGCTTCGTACCGATCTTGATGATAGCCCCAAGAACTTTGGGGCCGCCACCGCCAAACTCGACGGACTTGAGGAGTTCCGGAAGGACCTTCATCTTGAAGAACTCCTCTGGGAAGTCATCAGATAACTCATCGAGTTCACTGAACTAGTCAGTCATATTCCATAAAGATCTGGACCATGACTGATACATACTTGATAAACTCCTCGCGTTCGGCATCATTTTTCAATCCCAAGCTTTCGATATCTTCTGTCAAGCGAATCAGTGGCGTCTCAAAGAATCCGCCACTCCTCTTTCCTTGCTCAACAAAGTTCCCTGGGCTCAGCCGTATTTTGGGGTTCGCAGTACATAATCTTCTGTAGCTTTGGTGCATGCTCGGTGGTATATTCGTCGTCTTGCCCACCTGGTCTGCGCCCGTAAAGCTACCGTTGAGTACTTCGAATACCAGGATACCGAGGCCGTAAGCATCAACAGCCGCAAGAGGGTTACTCTTGATAGCCTCCCAACCTCCCTTATTGACTTCTGGCGGCGTGTATCTTGCTGCATCGGGGACGAGGCTACCATACGTCTGTTGTTTGTGTAAGCTAGCGAACTTGACGTAAAAAAGACCTCTGTCCGATATTGGAATTGGACTAACATATATCACCGCACCGTCCTCCTTCATAGAACTCAACACATCGAACCCCCCGAGCTTCCATTCTCCGCTCTCGCTTGTGAATACCGAAGACACGCGCACGCTACCGTGGACTGAAGCTGCATCATCGTTGATAAATTTAAGCGTGGACTATAGCGGCCTGTCAGTCGCAACCCAGTAGCGCACAGAGGATTCCCTTCAACTCACCGCAACCGTATATAACCCCCACTTGGCCGTCTCTTCGCTCAGACTCCTCCGTTTGACAGGCCAGGACAATGGCGCAACTCGTTCCGTGATGATGTAGATATTGGCATCCGTCTATTACCCTTCTTAGTACTCTTCCAAAACTTCAAAGACCAAACCGTTGCCAGTCCGCGTGATCTTCGCAGCCTACCTCAATCGTATCCAACACCTTTATCACGCCCGGATGCCTCAATGTCCGCAATTTCCGTGCTGCGTTTTTCGCCAGCGGAAGTCGAGATTTATTTGCCGCAATATCGAATGTAAATACGCTGCATGAGGAGCCGTCATCCTATAAATTATTAATGAAAAGTCAGTCCGTTATTCCGCATTCAAACAGGCAGGGGGTGCAACTGCGCGTTGTATAGATAGAAAAGAACATACCCGTTTCGTGGCGTTATGCAGTGTCCAAATGGACTCTCCATTATCTACCCGGTCTCCAAGAGAATAAGGGAACGAGCTCCCCTTAGCGATTGCCGATGCGACGGCGGATTTCAAAAAATCCATTATTTATTGGCGACCTGGGAAACTCGCCCGTTGTCGGAAATAATAAGTATTGTCAATCTGGCGTTCCGCGCCGCCCTCAAGTTATCGGGGAGATCAACAACGGAAGAGTGCGCACGTGAGGATTAGGAAGACTGGAGCGCTGGCGGGAGAAGGTCCCTTGGTAGATTAGAGGGTTTTTAGAAAATAGATACAAGCTCCTCACCAGCCTTGAAAGTAAGACGGTGGAATCCCAGCAACCCGAGTCGCGCGGCCAGCTCCATGAACATTTCCCCTTTCCCGCGACCCCTCGATCGCAGCCTGAGGCCGCAAGAAGTGTATCTATGTGGTTTAGTGTGAACTGGCCCCAGAATCCACTAACTAATAGACATCGCCGCCATCCAGAGAGCTCTTCTTCCACTTTCACTCTATTCCGAGAACACAACATGGCCAAGGTCCCGGCCATATTCGCTAACTCCTAATGATGATTTGGGATATATACAGCAAGATATTTCTCAACAGATGATATTTGGACATCACATCACGCCAACCCACGCGATAACTATCATTCTTCCTCAGGTAGGTTCTTACATCTCCTAACTAGCCTTCGATTTACTCTGCTCAACATGACCTTCTTTCCTTTCCTTATCACACCCCTCCTACAAATCTCCAATGATGTCACACTGGTAAAAGGTCAGATTACAAGCTCAAGCAAGGTGTGGGATTCGAAGGTGCCACCCATACCCCAGAAGCGGAAAAGAGAACAGTTTGACAGCGCTCCGGGTTTCAAGAAAGAGAAGAAACAGAGGTTAAGGACGCATCTGCCTGGCTCTCAGGAAACACCGCAAACTGTTCTTTACCATTTGTTTCACGTCTCATGTTCTTTTCAGCCTTGAGAGAAAAGGAAATGCTGAACTGAGAGTATGAAATCCCTCCCCGTTTCTGCGAAGCAATCCCAAAGGCAAACACATGATCAGTAAAAGGCACAAGATCTATTCCGAAAGATCCACGGAGTCGAGCCCCTCTCTCTCTCTCTCGTTTATCTTTCAAAAAGATACGGGGAAATCGGGGACAAGGTCTTGGAGATACATGTGTACAGCAAAAAAAAACCAAAAAAAGTGGCCGCTTACTGGGGTTTCTGATCCACTTTGCTTCCATGAGGAATCGAGAAACTAATGGCTGTGGCCGACATGTCCCCCAATGATGAGGGATTCCCTTATGCAAATTGCTTTTCCCCTTTCCGGAAATGGGATCTGTGGAATTCAACTCTCGATTTCAAAAGTTCGGTATCTTTTTTTTTGTCTCTGTTGGAGAGAATGAGCGTGAACATGTGATACAAAAATGGCTTATCGGTCCGAGAATCCCTCTGGCACTTGAAGAGGCCTCTTTTCCAACCTCCTCTTGCTTCCAGGTTGCGTGCGCGTGGACTCTGGTCCCATCACTGTTCTCTTGCCCTCTTTCGGGTGTGGAGTACCGCGGTTTCACTTTCTACCTTGCTTTGGGCGAAAATGATGTTCCAAATATAAACTGAAAAGACCTGAGGAGATTATTCAACACTTCCCCCCTGTTACATATACATATATCAGCTACCGCCTCGAGATTGATTATTCGCTGACTATGACACAGGAGATGTTTTGGCGTGCTGCACTTGCAGTTTTGAGGTTATGATGGACTGGATCGATAGCTCAGATAGCTTGTTTGAGGTCATTAGCATGGCTCATTTAACAGACCCTTGGTTCAACTACGTTTTCCTGTGACTTGCCTACCAGATTACGATACTAGTAGACGCCATGAATAGGTGCATCTTAGCAATCACTGCATTGGCTAGCATGCTCTCCTTTCCTACTTCCGCCACACCAGACTTCCCTTCCTGAAAGCCACCACAAGACTTGCATCTCGCTGCAAAGAGAGCCACATTCTTTCGCACCAACCTCGTTCATCATAGAACCGCTGCATTCTCTTTCCACCCTCACCTCCACATCTCACCGCCTGCTCATTCCCCGACTACCTAATAGATATTTGGCAGAGGAAGAATAACTACGGGGTCCAGTAGCCTGTTCCCCCTTCGTTGATCAGCCTCGTAATCTAGACCAAGCAGCACTAGTCAAAGCTTAACGATACCGTACTAGTGGCTCAAGTCGCAAGATATTGATAGGATACGAGACTGCTCGCAACGTTTCCAAGATCAAGAGACCACTCAACGGCACTGCCCGCGTCTCGTCGCTAGTCCTGGGCCGATTTTCCTCACTAGTGCCACCAGACACTGTGATATTCATTCCAATCGCCTCAATGATCTGACCGACGGTGCTGGATCCATTGAATGGATTCTGAACCCATGGAGTTATCTGCTCATCCAACTCTAACCCTATGGAGAGAGAAAGTATATCAGTTCTACCGCATCTTTTCTTCAGTCTTTCAAAGCCGACACCGGATGAACTCACCAGCTAGGGCCCTCGGCGGAGTGTACGAAAGGCTGATATACTCTCAAGGTCACCCGACCAGTGAAAGAAGAGTTAAGAGGAAACAAAACATTCGAAATAATGGCTGGAATCACAACACGCTAAATGCAGACTATCAATAACGACAGGAGAAATGGTCAGGTATGCATATCAGACGCCCGTTGCCACTGGGTCATAAGAGTTGCCATACAGAACGTCACGCTTCCAGAAAGAAATGGATCAACGTGATCTGGTTCATTTCACTTCGTCTGCAGCTTCAGGCGGATGAGGTGCGGATGCAGGATTGGGAGGAGGCTGAGAAGGCATATGGGGAGGCATCTGATTGAAGCCATTGCTGGGAGCACGATGCTGGTGAGGCATGTAAGGCTGCATCTGATGAGGGCTCGACGAGAAGTAAGGTTGCTGCTGTGGGTAGGCTGTCCGCACGGGCGGCACTAGATAGAATCAGCAACCTTGCGTTCCGTACGACGAGCGAGTTCAGCGAAGCTTACTGTGACCAGGCTGCTGAGACGCATAGACGGGTTGGCCATGCTGTCCAGGCGCCATGAACATCACGGGCTGCGGCGGTTGACCGGGCTGAGAGCCCTGGTGCATCATCATCGGGGCCCCTCGGCTGGGACTGGGATATCCACTGTGCGGCTGGGGAGGCGGCGCAGCATGCTGCGGGTAGGCATGGGCAGGGCTAGGAGAGTACATCTGCATCTGAGGCGTATAAGGGGTCATTGCTTGGGGCATTCCCATGTACGGACCACTCGAGGGCTGCTGGACCATCATTGGAGCTCCCATGGCCTGCGGATTCACAAACTGCGGTGCGCCAGGATAGTGCCGCATGTGGGCAGGCTGCGGGGCCCCTTGGTTCATGTAAAATTGAGGCATCGGCTGGCCGAATGCCAGCTGTGCATGCGGAGCCATGGGAGATGGATAGGCAACATGGCTATGCTGGAGACGAGGTGACGGAAACATCTGCGATGTAGAGGCAGACATCTGCATGCGATGGTGATCATCGAAATGAGGAGGCCCAGAAGCATGGTGCTGGGGATGGAGATGGTGAGGGCCGTGCGGTGGGCCGGAAGTAGGGGGCATGGCATGATTTCCTTGAAGGTGGAAAGGAAGCTGATGCTGATGAGGCAGCTGGGGGTTAGAAGAAGCGCGGCCCTGAGGCGATATGGATGGCAGGGCGACAGGGCTCTTGAACATATCAGCATATGTCTTCTCCTCATTGCCAGGAGCGACATCCCAAGTAGGCGGGGTCTTGTACGCCGGAGGGATGCCACCGTTAAACGCATAGTGGTCCTTATCCGCCTGATCCGCGTTCTCCTTCTTCATGCGCTTGATGGGGTTGAAGTTGTCGCTGATAGAAGGGCGTTCTGCAGCAGGCAGTGGCTTTTTCGCACCGAAAAAGACAGATGGACTGGTTGCTCGAGATATTGAACGTCCTCGGAGACCAACCTGGGGGCTCGAAACGTTCGAGCCAGGAGTAAAAGTACTCGCTGCTGGGTTGGGCTTGAATTCCATTGCCCTCACATTGAACTTGGTCGAGACGGCAGATGTAGGCGTCTGGACCTTGCCAGGGCTCGACACGCCGGACTGGTCCCCAGTGGCGGTGGGCTGCGCTTTGGCATCTTGAAGAGGCAATGCAGCAGGTACGTTACCAATCGCTGCGCCCTTTCGCTGCTGCAAGTTATCAGCTAGGCGGTGACTGAGTAGGCCGGATCCAGCGCGTCCAGGATGCATCGTTTGATGCTGCATACGCCCGGCTGGGCCCATCTGTGGGCCAGTGGGCGGGAATCCTTGACGGCCGCGATTGAAGTTCTGACGGTCAGACGGGGCCGATGGAGGAACAGTGCCAGCATCGTAGCGGCCAGGTACTGCAGGGCGGGCAGCTGGCTTCTGTTCGGTGGCAGGTGGTGTGGTCTTAGTTGGTCCCTTTTCCTCTGCCTGTTGCTGAGCTCTGTGGATGATCTCCTCCTGCTTGCTTGGGTCCTTAGCTAAGATGGGAACCAGGTCTTTCGGAACCGGAGTGGAAAGCTTGAAGTTCTTGGAGAACTTCATCAGCTCGTTCAGCTTAAGGGTACGGTCATAGGAAGCCTGGTTGCGGCGACGTTCTTGCATCTTGAGCTTCTCACTGTTAGCAAACTGTCGGAAATGGTCCAAGACTTCCGCCTCAACATTTGCCGTCGCATTCTCAACGCCAGGACGCTTCTGCGTCGCCGTAGTTGTCGCTGCGGGCTTGGTCGGTAGAGTCTTTGGCTCCGCCTCGGTGGCTGGTTTAGGAGGAACAGATTTCGCCGGCTGGGGCTGCTGCGTCGACTGCGCACTATCCGAGGGACCACTCGGCTTTGACTGAGCAGGCTTCGGAACAGAGTCTGGTCGCGCGAGCTGTGCTGAGACGATGGCAGGGTCGAAAGGCGCCCCGGACACGGTCGGTTGTCCAGTAGGGGCCCGGCGTGCCGGCGGGGTGTATTTGTTTGGTTGTCCAGACTGGAGCGGAGGGAATTCATCACGGCGGACACCGCTGTATTTCTCTTCCTCGTCAAGACCGTCATTTTCTGGCACATGGCCTCGTTCCTCTCGCAGATGCGGGTTGTCCGTTTGACCGCTCTCGATCTCCCGAGCGATCCGTGCTGCCTCTGCCTCTTTCAGCTTATACGCGGGATCCGAACGGTTGATACGGGTAGTATATATGTTCTCGTCGTAGTTGCTTGTGGCACCAAAGAGTCTCTCATTCGTTTCGAATTGGTCCCAACCCTGCGTGTTCGTCCTCTCCAATGATAGATCGACGTCCGTATCCGGGCCAGGCTCCCAACGTTGGAGGTTGCGTTCGCGAATAGCAAGGTTGCCAGCGATATCGGCATCAGTTCGGAAACCAGCAGCACCACCACCTAGTGCAGTTAGAAAAAATTCACCCGATACCTGGCGCTCGAGACGTATACACACCATTTTGCTCCTTCTGGGTCACATTCGCCGTTGACACTTCTGCCACAGACAAATCTGCGATTTCTTTGATGTCGAACGACATGCTGTGATCTGGCGCAGAACCAAGGTAGGGGCTTGCAACGTCACTCAGCCCATTGGCCCGAGTTTGGTCAGACTGCGCCGAAGGACGGTGTACCATCTTCAGTGTGAATGTGGAGTCGTTAGGTTCTAGGGACGAGGAAGAAAAGATTCCAGTGAATTTATCACCATTTTTGGTGGTGACTGTAGCGGAGAGACCCTAGGAATCATTAGCTCGTTCCCTCTGCGTAAACAGTGGGACGGTGAGCGCTCACGATGAAGCTAGTGATAAGGAAGATGAGTCGATCGTGAGCATGGCTATCGGGAGTGTTGGTTTCTTTCTGAGACATGGCTTTGGAGGATGCAGTCGATTTCTGCCGCGACGCATTCCCGTTCTGGTGCTGGTATGAGGGTTTCTGCGTGATGGGGTTTGTCCCTTGGGTCCACGCCTTCGGAGGGTTGTTTCGTCTGGAAGCGGCGATCGGTCAGTTAGTGAATCGGATGAAGAGGAATCACAGTAGGTAAATGAAGGCAGATGCGCCAGTCGACGGTACTGTCCAGCTTCGCCCATGCCACTGGGAAGGTTTCTCTGGTTATGGCCCGACGAAGCTTGGGCCAGGCAAGTTGCTGTGGGCACGTGCAAGGCAGCTGTGTACACAAAAGATATAGGACGATGGTAGAAAAGTAATGCGGATAGCAACGCGATCCGTATACTAGTAACTGCCGTGCTCCGGCGCAACGGTCCCATGAAGACGAGATTCTTGAAGGGAACAAGAAATATTTCCAGTGTCATGTCACGTACCTCTGCGCCCCATCTACAGGGCTCCCCGACTGTCGACGGCCACCATCGGGCCCTTTCAAGCTGCTCGTCGTCCGTAGAGAAGGTCTCGAGTTGTTGGGATTCTGGGATGCGGGGTTGATGCCATTGCCAGATGCGCTGCTGGCTGCTGGCAAGGAGTTGATGGTGGAAGCCATCGAGATGGGTCGTCAGATCAAGCTCCCGTCGTGGGACTTCGCACGACGCAAAGTCGGAGCGCGGAAAGGTTGGAGAAGCCACAGGACACCGCCTGAGGCACGGGAGCAGGACGGCCCTGAAAATAAATACAAGATCGAAGAGGAGAAGAAGAAGCCAGGAAGGCTTCAATGGAAGGAAGAGAGAGACGAGGAGGACAGAGAAAAAGAAAGAATGCGGAAGGGGAGGAAGAGAGGGGTGGAGAGGGAGTCCGGAGAGAGGACAACAAGCGTTGGTTGTGGTTTTGGATCTGAGGGGAGCGAGAGAGAGAGAGAGAGAGAGAGGAAGGGAAGAGGTAGTTAGTTAGGTAGTTAGTTAGTAGTAGTACTCTACTTAGCTAGCCTGAGACTTTGGGCTCGGTGGAGAACGGGGCAGCGAGAGAAGAAGAGCTGGAATGAACGAATAATGCCAACAACGATCACCCATCTGGGATGACAGCTGATGCTCTTGTAGACAGGTCTTCGTTTTCTTCTTTTTTTTGTCAATCTGGATGTTTGTCCGTTTGCCTGTCCTATTATTCCTCCGGCTGTTTTCTTCCCTCTAAGATGCGTGCTGGGGAGAAAAGAAGTCAAGCAGTTTCCGTGGAGCCGCGACCCGCCCCAGACCCTACGCTTTAACGGTGCGCTTGCCTGTCAGCTTCACCCCAGGAGTAATAATGCCATTATTGGCTTGTCATGGCCATGTCTCCTACAATCCCGCAACCAGTACTCTCAGATCCTTTCAACCCCGTTTTTTCATTGATTGCATCTTGTCCACGCATGAAACTTCTGGGCGCTGCTGCTGCTGCAGGGCAATGCACTATAGAACCAGCCATCACAGCTGCCCGCTCGCCTTCAAATCCATTATTGGATAATGTGCATCCCATCCTCAGATCAGGATAGACTGGCTAATTACTGGCTGCCCTCGACTGTCTGCTGTGGCAGGCTGAATCACAGGATGGCTTTTCTCCTCAGCCCTGATCCTCCTTTGGAACCCATACTACCTTATGCTATGTAATACATCCAAGAGAGAAAGAGAAAAGTTGCCTCACTTTGCAATAATAGGACCAGAGTCCATACTTAAGCGAAAAGAAAAAGAAAAATTCATTAAATAAGAAGGATCCGATTTTTTTTCCCAACCACCTGCCGTTTGAAGGAAAATCCCTTACGCTGCGGCACAGCCATTTTCTCTCTACTACTGGAGAATAGTGCGTTTGATCGCCCGGATGATGCGCGGTTGCGTATCGAGTCCACATTCCCATTATTCTTATCCACATCCCATCCCAAAAGTTCCAAACCCTCTCCACGCGCTAGGCTGTCTTAGCGGAGCCTCAAGGTCTGTCATTTATTTAGTCTTGGACAGCATGCCTAATTGGCCACGATTGCTTTTTTGACATCCTGACAGAACAATGCCCATTCATTCTTCACGGGGCCTCTTTCCGCTGCTACGAGGTCATGAGATCATTGGCTGATGCTTGGATAACATGCTCGTATATGCTTACTTTTCCATCTACTATGCGGTTATAAGCGTTTAAACACCATAGATAGTGCCTGACTGATACCTTCATTTTCCTTTATCAATTATAGCGGAACTGTCGTCCAACTATATATAGTCAAAAATAGAATCATCCTCTTCCTCAACGAAGACAAGGCTGAAGGAGGGGGAAAAACGTCCGTTCCGCCCGTCAGTTTGGGACTGTCAACTTCGTATGGCAGGTCATGCTATCGATAAGTATTATTATTATTACAAGCCTGACTTAACTTTCGGACCCTGGCCTAAGTTAGCGCCGTCAACGGATCTGGCCCGGATGCTGCCAGCAAGTAGTGATGAAATCAGCACGATCGTTTTGCAAATTAAGCTCAGACTATTGACGGCCGTGCTAGATGCCTACTCTCTTAGGTAGAGGGGCAAGTTAGTTAAGGGATCTTAACTTATCCGGGATGGCTATTCGAAACGAAAACAACTAGATGCCATCCCTCGCGTCTGGTCTTATCTGTTCTGCTCGTATTATTACTCCTTCTAGGGAGGCATTAGGAAAGGGAAGGGTTGGTAACTAGAGTATCTCGCAAATCGATTAGGTCTACATTCTGCCTACCTTGGCTATTTACCAGATTCGATATCTTTCATATAGAGATTCTGCTTATGGTTCCAATCGATCTATCCACGATCTATTCTACATGTAATTGCTCTTATCTGCAGATAGTAGTTTGACGAAAAACCACCGGAGAGGATATACTATCATCTATAGTAAGAAAAGAAATTGTAAACTGCAAGCAGTAGCTTAACCTGCTTGCTAGTCATTCAATGACCTGTAAGATCGAATAAACCGAGTTAGGTAACCTTGTCGTTGAGCGCTAGCGAAACGATACATTATTCGCCATGACGCAAATCAAGATCGGTGCTGAATACTCATCGAGAAGCCATATAGATATGGCAATAATCTCAGCAGTCAAGGGACTAGATACCGGCTTGGGAGATATGAGGTAGCTCGGTAAGAATTGCATAAGATGATCGGCTAGAGACGAGTAGTTAATGACCTTATCTAGGAGGAAATAAATAATGGGATGCAGCCTCTCCAACAGGATGTTTCTGCCGATCCAGGGAGTATTACCACCACCATCAATCACACTGGCCTCCCCAGCATACTGTGCCTGTGTCACTGTTCAGGGAGACATAGCCAAGTGAAGACCAAAAACATCCAATGCACTAGATAATAGCTATCCAACTGTAGTGCCATTGAGAATCGGATTATTTCCTCCGCAAGGCGCAGTAATAATAACAATACGCAGCGACCGCAAGCCGTAGCCCGGAGCCCGTGACCCGCCGCCATGCCTAAAGAGTGCAAGTCACACACGAACCTCCCCGATCTCAAAGGGCCTCCAACCTTAAAGTGTGCGAGCTTCAGAGCCGTCGCACCCCGTTACGGTACCCTAACCTCCTCCTCCCTTATCCATCATCATCCTTTGTCGCGGGGACTCTACTGCTCTGTGCTCAGTCTTTCGACTGTTAATTACTGTGAACTTGCAGTTTATCGCCCAACCGAACCTCATTGACCTTATCCTGGTGGAGATCCTGGACAGCAAACCCCATTCCAACACATGTCGCCCGCCCCGGGGAGCGGCATTGGAGGCACGATGGCTTCCCAAACATCTGGTCCGCGCAGTTCATCAGCATCGGCCAAATCACAACCATCCCGAACTGCAGTGGTAGGTTTTCATTGATCTTGCTCCCTTTGTCCCTCATTTCCCTGTCCTGCGCGTTCGCCCCAACCATGGCACCGTTCTGGGGGAAGAAGTCCGCTAACTTGTTGGATGTCCTCTGCTGTCGACAGCCTGACAAACAACTCTCCCAGATCGAAAAGAGCGTAACCCACCTGTTGGTGGCTACAAAGCAGCTCTTGGAGACGTTGACACAATGGTCTCGAAAACAGGCCTCCGAGAACGAGGTGTCTGATGTCTATGTCCGCTTGGGTTATGAATTCAACCTGGCCTGTCGAGCCTTTGGAGCGATTGGGGTGGACACGGCGGATTTGGGGCCCGTGCCGGACCTATTACGAACCATTCTCGAAGACACCCTCAGTCAGGATGCTTCCCCCCAAAGCCTGGATCGATTCCTGCCCCGCATTCGAGATATCATCATAAACCTGCTCCATGGGTTGAAGAAAAAGCAGGCAAGGTTGCGATCACGGCAGACAAGAGACGATGGCAGGGCATCATCCGGACGGCAGGCAAGTGCCGGAAGCGTCACCAGCTCACAGTCTCAATTGTACGATGAGATGACCGCCCCGACTTCTCCAAGGAGACAGCCGGGTCGACGATTTGGAAGCAATGGATCCGTTGCAGATGAGCCGCCGGTGCCGCCTCGAACATCATCTGCACAGTCGAACCCTTATTCAGAGAGAGAGGCGTCGAGGCGTGAAGCGCAGAAGATGCTCACCGCATCGGAGTCATCTTCCTCTATGTCCAGTGCAGCCATGCAGAATCTTCCTGTCCAGACCCCGTATTCAGAAAATGAGTCGCGAGCCCCTTCATCTCAGGGTTATACGCCTCCCTACCCTGCGCCCCCGCCACCGCCCCCTCCAAAGCAGGACGATGCATTAGGTGCTTTACAGCGGAGTGGTGAGCTCGAGAGACGAGCATCGAGGAGATTCTCCGCGTACCAAATCCAAAAGCACCTTGGTACGTCGCCCAGCGGAGTGCCAATGCTTCCAAGCCAGAACTCGCCGTTGCCAAATAGAGGGAAGGACGTCCGGGAATCATTAAACGCTGTCCGTCTGCGTGGTTCCTACGCCCACGGAAAATCTCGATCAACGAGTCGTCTCAACGAACCGTCACCCAGCAGGAGTAGTCAGGGTCAGCCGCCCCCAAGCATCGCGGAAGAAGGCGACGAGGGTCGACTTCGACCTGAGCCTTCGGGTGCTAGCGACAGCTCGACTGCAAAGACCTCTGAAGACGCAGCCCGCTCAACGGCTGGACTGGATAGCCGAGACCCCTCAGTTGTCGGCGGTCCCTTACCAAACTTGCCTCGTCCCCCTGAAGGAAGCTCTTTGGCTGAAGCGTTTGAGCCGAGCAAGAGTACTGGCAGTGACCCGAGTGTCAGGCTAGGGACACCGACTGCTCCGAAGGAACCACCCTCCGCAGTTTCGACGCCCCCTCATTCTCAGCAATTCACGCCGGAGCAATCGCCTTCCCCTGGAAAGGAGCTGACTCTCTTTCTGCAGTACAAGAGCAAGATCAAGAAGTATGTTCTTCCAGAAGGCCCTGCTGGCTTGACAATCGGCAGGCTACAGCTAGCTTTCATCGAGAAGTTCGCGTGGAATACGCACAACAATGGCGCAGATCTTCCCGAGATCTACATACAAGATCCAGTATCCGGCGTACGCCATGAACTGGAGGACCTAAACGACGTGAAGGACCGATCTGTTCTAGTATTGAACGTCGAGGCTCTCGATGAAGTCAAGAAGCATTTCGATGATGGTCTTGGCAACATTCGCCGCCTGATCGAGGGCGTCAAGGGTGCTCTTGACGGCCAAGAGAGTATGATGCAGCGCGTCTCCGACCGTCAGCTAGAAGCAGCCAAAGAAATGGCCCGTCTCTCTGCTGCCTCAGTGTCTGTATCTGCCGGGGCTCCCAAGGCTGCAGCAGGACGCTCTGGCTCGGTCCCAGGTAGCAATAGTCAACTCGCTGAGCTTCAAAGCCTGCGACGTGATTTGGCGGTACTACGCCAGACGTACTCCAATTTCTCCTCGGACATCGCTGCCTCAATGAATACGATTCGATCAAAGGCCAGCAGCGTGAAGGCCACCGCTTCTGATATGACTGTTCCCTCCTATGAGGGCGATTCAGGACGACGTCGCGTCAACTCTGGAAAGAAAGAGCTGGCAGACGAATCTGAGAGGCTTGTCGCACGTGTCGACGATCTTCAGGACCTCGTCGAGGATCTTCGTAAGGACGTAGTCTCCCGAGGAGTCCGACCGTTGCCGAGACAGCTTGAAGGAGTGGGCAAGGACATCAGTGCTGTGACAAAGGAATTGAAGAAGATGCAGGACTTCTTGAAGCGCGAGAAGCCCATCTGGACCAAGATCTGGGAGAAGGAACTGCAGCTTGTCTGCGAAGAACGTGACCAACTCACCATGCAGGAAGACTTGGCGGCAGACTTGCAGGATGATCTCGAGAAAGCCGCACAGACGTTCGCGCTCGTCGAACAAGCTACGAAGGAGCAGAGCATGCAGCCCGCCAACGGCGGTGTCGTCCTCCGCAGTACCTCACGCAACCTCGCTTTCGATCATCCAACAGTCGACCCGGTTAAAGCCAAGGATAATATGCTGGGAGAGGTCCGTGCACTCCAGCCGAACCACGAATCCCGGCTAGAAGCTATTGAGCGAGCTGAAAAGGCTCGTCAGAAGGAGTTGGAGGATCGCCGAATTGGACTGTTCCAGAAGGAGCTCGGCAACTTTGTTGCGGAGGGGAAGTTGAAGAAGAGTGGCGGAGTAGAGGAAGCTGAGAGGCTACGCAAAGCCAAAGATGAACGCATCAGAAAGGAGGTGTGGGAGAGACAACAGGCTCGGGCTGCCGAAATGGAAAAGATGGAACAGGAAGCCACCCAAGCGGCTGGAGAAACAAAGGAAACGACCGAACCCGATTCGGAACAGAAGGCGGACGAACCTGAATCTACTGAAGCCTCCGAGGCGGCTGACGATAACAGCAAATACGAAGAAGAAGCCACTGAAACCATCGCCACCGAAGAGTCTCACGTCGAGGAAGAGCCTGCGAAGGAGGACAAACCTGCAGACTCTGCGGGTGAGTAATTTCATTTATTGCTTACCGGCATCGTGCACTGTAACCCCTGACACTAGTCGAATCAGTGTCTCCCCGCAGTCGCAGCAAGCGATCTTCTTGGTTCCAAACGATCTTCTCTGGCTAAATCCCCGATTGCTTCACCGTGCAAGCTACAGTTTGCAGTCTATATCTATGGCCTTTGTTTATACACCTCCTTGCTTCATTTTCCTATTTGTGAGCACCAATCTTGCCTCCTATTTGCCTTGGACCCCCTTCCTGCACTGATTTGCCTGATTTATCTTTTTATCAACAAGTCCACTAGGACACAATTATGTTTCTTTTCTGTTCCCCCATAGCAAGCGTTGGCGTCTGTACCCTTTGTGCACATATGTCATGTTCCGCCTGCACTTTCCCCCTCCGCCTGTCACGACTGATTCTAGTTAACGACGATACCCCCGTCATTGTTTGGATTCCACATAGATACTTGCCAACTTGAGAATTGCCATCTTCTTATTTGATATCAGTGCGTCAGCTGTTATGGCCGTCAATTCTGTAGATATTGGCCCTATACCGAAGCGTATTCTTTCTATGTTTCCCCGTCGACTTGATTCTGCTATTATATGTAAATAGATTACTAGGGAACAGCAAGAGTGTTGTAACAGACTTCTATTCTTATCGCAGATCCACTGCTCTTTACTTAATCTATCATAGCCTACAGATTATACCACAAATTGAAGTAGTTAGTGAAGGCGGTGATGCAGATCGGGCAGAGCCAGACTTGTCGATAAGCGGGAGCTAACAATATCCCCGGCAACTCTAGTGTGCAGCCCCAGCCATCGGGATAACAACCATGAGATTGTCTGAGCTCTGGCAGCCACGCTATTTTCTTTTTCAGCCACTGTGTTTTTCGACTTTCTTTCCCTTGTCATAATTGTATTGGCGTTCGTTTATCTTACTGATATCTATTTCCTTCGAATAATTTATGATCTACGCAATAGCTTTAACTGTCTTTGTTTGGTAGGTTCTCCGCCGGTCGACTTGACAGCTCTGTGCAATCAGCTCTTGATCGGGGGCTACTTTTGCTAACAATGATCGTAATATGCAGATTTCAACGGCATAGATGCGGCTCTTATTACCTCCATTGTCCTTTCTGTCATTTTCGACATTACTACCACACTCCGCTTTAGTTGCTGCTGGTGGTCATGGCCCCGCATCAACGGACAATGCTGTCCGAGATGGGTACGATGGGAATAGAACCTCTTATACCCTCCACGAATATGCCGTTGCTCGCAAGTTGGCGTCGAAACCGGTAATCGGGGTTAAGAAAATGAGCGACGACGAAGGTGAAAAGTTCTGGCCGGAATATTGGTACTTTGGCGACGAAGTTGAAAATATTGGACTGAATGATACGACGGGAGAACAAGACCGCTACGAAGAAGGGAATTCGGAGTCATATACATGGGCAAATAATTCAGAGCCCCTCCCATACTTTCTTCCCTCTTTTCCACTCCATTCGGACGAGCAAATCGGTGGTGCGCCTTATCTTATCGGGCGTTATGTACCAGCTCCGAGAGATCTGCTGTCCCCATTGGCGAAGCGCGCATTCCAGTGTCCTGCCGGCAGTCATAGCTGCACTTCCATCAATCGGCCCAGTAGCTGCTGTGGCACTGGTGAAGTTTGCCAATTAATACAGGACACCGGTCTTGGAGATGTTGGCTGCTGCCCCCAGGGACAGAGCTGTTCTGGGTCGATTACAACGTGCGGCGCGGGTTACAGCAGCTGTCCGAGCAACCCCGGAGGAGGATGCTGTATTCCAGGCTATGAGTGCGTCAACAGTGGCTGTAAGTTTTGCTTTCTGTATGGCCCAGGCATAGCAACAGTTACTAATCCAATGCAGGTGCTTATATAGCCACCGTGACGGTGACAATCCACCCGACTGTTACGAGGCCTTATTCGACCTCCACTCCGTCACCTGTTCAAACCACGAGTTCTACGAGTCCCGCTTCTTCAGGAACGACAGGAGGACTCATTCCTCCAGCTCGTCCCACGAGCGTGTCTACCTTCACCACGGAAGAATCCAGCAGTACTACTACTAGCATCACCAGCGGCTCCGTCTGCCCCACAGGGTTCTATGCTTGCTCTGCTGTTTATCATGGTGGATGCTGTCGTACCGGCCGGAACTGCGACACCACTTCTTGTCCGATCACATCCAGCTCGACTTTTACATCAGACGGCCGTACCATTGTTGTCCCTGCGGGCAGCACTACCGGCACTGCAGCATCGAGCGGCGGCACTGGGGTAGCTCGCTGTGCAAGCGGCTGGTTCAGCTGCGCAGATACTGCAGGCGGCGGATGTTGCCCGACGGGCTTCGCCTGTGGAACAAGCTGTATGGCGACGGCAGGATCATCTGCCACGGGCGCTGTTCCAAAGGCAGAGCCGCAGCAGCCAGTCGCTCCTAATAGTGGAAGTCTCATGGGCATCGAATCGATATATCTGAAGCTCTTCTTGCTAGCTGTGTTATGTCTTGGCATGCTCCTCTGAGAGCGATTCTCTTTTTGTTTATTTATTTCCATTATGAATATAGCATCTGCATGGGTCATGAGCATATAGATTAGAAAACGAATTCAGGAATGGACAATGTCATCTACCTCCTTTCGAGCAGATAGCACATTAGAACTCAACTCAAGTCCCACACAGGATGCTTGGCGGAGATCCGAATGTATACACCGGAGTTAAGACGATGGCTTTTTCCCCGCAGCCGGACTTGCGTTTATCCTGTTAGAATATCCACAATGGAGTAAGGTCAGTAACGTTCTGAGAAAACCTAAGACAGCAGGTTCGTATATCCTATTATCAGACTCTGAAACAAAAAAAGAAAGAAAATTAAGGATAATTCCCACCTAGACTTATCCTCCAATGGCAGAGACTGTAATAATAAACAACGACAGGTTGAAAAATACACCCGTTTCACCCCGTGGGGGCTTGGAGTAAGCGTATGTGACAAACCCGCGGACGGTAAGTTTACCGCGCAGAAAGGGCAAAATTACCATACCGCCTTTCGTTCCGGTTCGTCTGAGACCTCCGCACTTCGGTTCATCGTTCAACCCACTCTCCCTCCTCTCTCTCTCTCTCTATCTCTCTCTCCCTGTCTGTCTCGCGTGCTCTAGCTCCAGCTCCAGCTCCAACTCTCACTCTCCGCTCTTGCTGGGTTCTCGTGCGTGTCTCTTGTTTTCAGGTTGACTGGGACGAGCTTTGGTCTTCGTTTGAATATCCGTCGTTCCGTACCGAGGTAGATACCGTGACTCAATAATACAATCAAGATGTCTGCGGCCAAGGACCAGAAGCCATTGCCCTTCCAATACCAGTTCGCCGCTGGTGCGGTGGCTGGTGTGTCTGAGGTGAGTGAGTTGCAGTGCCATTGCGTCGCTGCTACGCCCGGTAATGGTGCGACTGAGCTGATTGATTGATTGACTGATGATGTGATGACAGATCTTGGTGATGTACGTGCCCTGCTCCAGATAGAGCCTCAACGAGGGCGCGTGAGTTCCAAGAGTATTAGGGATGATTAACAATTGAGTGGTATCCAGGTACCCATTGGATGTTGTCAAGACGAGAGTGTAAGGCTTTCTCTCTCTCTGGTTGCGTTGGGATTCGACCCATTGTGCGGATCCTCCGCGGGTGGACATGGCAAGCTAATGGAGCTACGAGGATAGTCAGCTGCAGAAGGGCGTCGCCGTCGCTGGTGAGGATAGCTACAATGGCATGTTCGACTGCTTCCGGAAGATCATCAAGAACGAAGGGTGCGTGATTCCCGTTTACAATCGCAGCTTGACATCGGCCCCATACTGAACGCCAAGTGAAGTTTCTCCCGTCTGTACCGTGGTATCAGCGCCCCTATCCTGATGGAGGCACCCAAGCGTGCGACCAAGTTCGCTGCCAACGACAGCTGGGGTTCTTTCTACCGTAACTTGTTCGGCGTCCAGAAGCAGAACCAGGCGCTCTCCGTTCTGACCGGTGCCACTGCCGGTGCTACGGAGGCCTTTGTCGTCGTTCCTTTCGAGCTGGTCAAGATTCGTCTGCAGGACAGGGCTTCTGCTGGCAAGTACAACGGCATGCTGGACGTGGTGAAGAAGATCGTCCAGGCTGAGGGTCCTCTGGCGCTGTACAATGGTCTGGAGTCCACTCTGTGGCGCCACATCCTGTGGAACGGAGGTTACTTCGGTTGTATCTTCCAGGTCCGCGCTCAGCTTCCTCCGGCCGAGCCCGGCAACAAGTCACAGCAGACTCGTAATGACCTGCTTGCCGGTACCATCGGTGGTATCGCCGGTACCGTTGTCAACACCCCCATGGACGTTGTCAAGTCGCGTATCCAGAACTCTCCCAAGGTCGCTGGCGTCGTTCCCAAGTACAACTGGGCCTGGCCTGCCGTTGCAACCGTCATGAAGGAGGAGGGATTCGGTGCCCTTTACAAGGGATTCATCCCCAAGGTTCTCCGACTGGGTCCTGGTGGTGGTATCCTCCTGGTGGTCTTCACCGGTGTCATGGACTTCTTCAGAAAGATTCGAAACGAATAAGTTGCTGGAAACTACTAACACAGGCATGGATGAAACAGTGATAGACATCTTGCTTTTGAAGAGGTCTAGAAGTGGGTATAGACACGAGCTCAATTGATACCCCCCAGTTCACGATATTCAGAAGTATAGGGGCGGCAGAGGAACCTTTTTTTAGACACAGCAGCCAAAATGATCCTTTGTATTTCTATTATGTAGCATTGTTTTTGGTTGTCTTGACAGGGTATGAATGGATTAAGCATTGAATGTATGCTGGGTCTGCACTGCGAGAAGGCAATTAAGGTGGTATGGAATCAATTGAGAAGGACCCAAAAATTACACCAAATGGATTATTATCACATTACTGGTCTGGTCTCCAAGCTTTATAGATGAATTGAATCGTGCCAAGATCCAGCATGGATCGAGGATAGTTAGGTCGCGCTCTTACATATCATTGTCGTCCTAAATAGGCGGTAGGCTGACCGTCACGACGACAAGGGCATCTGTACATAACATCCGTCCAACATCACAATTACTCGCTGCCTAGCTAACAAAAACTAGACATGGTTATCTCTGTACATGTATTTCGCCACGTGCAATCATCGGTCTCTCCATTCTACCAAAGGTAGTTGATATATCTTGCACTGACTTGACAGAGACAATCTTTCCACGTGCCCTAAACCAATCTATAAGATAAGAATTAACAACAAAAGAAAAACCCCTTCAATCATATTACCGAATAATCCAGTCCATTATTATTATTATCATTATAAAACCACAAATCTATGTACATACATACATTCCATTCATCAAATTTTGACCTGCCTGATGTCATCACTATGAGGTATGCGTGCTGTTCTATTCCTTTAATCTCGCCCGTACCTTTAAAATCACATTTGACATTGAAATGAGATCATAACGAACCCAAGATAAATATCTACGTTATTTATCTCGTCGGTAGATTATTTTAGGAATTTGTTCCCCTTTATCAATTCGAGAACGGTAACTTGGGTTCTATTCGATTTTTATACCTTGTCACTACTTATACATATATCGTCCGCAATAGTTAAAAACGCAAGTGTATAATATAATAAATCTTATCTGCTCACGATGTTCCCCCGGACGATTCTCCAACCATCACGAACTGGCTTCTCGAGAGTCCTGCTCGCTCAACGAGCACAGGGTACGTGCATACAAGGTACCTATAAAAATAATACTATCCTGATCCATACATGGATCCCTCCCTAATCCTCGCACTACCATCATACAAAACAAGAGAACTGTGCTAATGTAATGACATTCAAACCCTGCTAGCAACACGCAACAAATCCCACACCACCAACTTCGACCCCGAAGCCATCACCCCCGGCACATCCTCCAACGTCCGCAACCCACAATCCAGCTCTCCCGAAGCGCAACGCATCAACATTTCTCGCGGCGAAAAGGGCCGGTCGTCAGACACGGCAGATACGCGCTCCGTGCAGTCTCCAGTCAGCGGGAGGAATCAAGACCAAGCGAGCGAGACACGTGCGGAGGAAGAGCCGTCGACGACGGAGGCGGCGGTTAAGAATGATCCGAACTTGTCGGAGGAGGAGAAGAAGAGGAATGTGGAAGGGGCGGGGAGGAAGCCTATGGGGGTGGAGGATGTGAGGAGGTCGTAGATGGGTATTTTTTTTGGGTGGGAGAGTTTGAAAGATGTGCTTTTCTAGGATGGATGGATGGGTAGTGCGTATAAGAATGTGCTTTATTGTATTGTATGTATTATTCGATGCTGATAGGGCTTATAATAGATGGAAGCTTCCTGATAGTAAGAGGTTGGTGTACAGTATAGAAAAATCAGAATACTCCGCGAATTCGCAATAACTTATAATAATAATAATCATGGGCTATATACGAAGACATAGATGTACGAAAAGAGGGGGGGGGGAGAATAATTCAATGGCTAGGTTAATCAGTAATCTTAAATGTGGCCATTGCGGAAGAAATCAAATTAGAAGGGTAAAGTCACCGTATCGTTTTGCATATGCTTACTCCCAATCATTCTATATAAACCCTCAAATGTCCTTTCGCTTGGTTGAGTGGTTAGTAGCAGAGTGAAGGGCCACTGGTAGATACCGTCCATTTAGATGTGAATATGAAATTCATACACAAACATACCACCAGCCTGTCTGATTATTGCTGACAGTACCTCACCAAGTTAACGTATTCACCCAAGAATCAATCACCTCCTTAACCTCCCGAGCTCTATACCTCGGCCCATCTCCAAAACACGACGCATTCCACGCAATATCCTCAATTAACCTCGTCACCAATCCTCCCCCTTGTCCCGCTGCTCGTCCAATTCCATCGATCCCGACTCCATCCACCGAGGCCGTTCCCAACGCATCTAGCTGCGCAAAACTCGACATCCCGCACCGACTACTGATATAGTCAACTATATCCGGAATCCGAAGCCAATCGCTCATTTTCTCCCCTCTGCGCTGGGCATCCTCTTCGATAAGGACGCGGAGCTGGATCGAGCTATTCGCGTCCCAGAGGGGACTGTCTGTGTCGAGAGTGCCGGTTCTGAGGAACTCGAGCCGAGCGCCGATGCGACGCAGCGCGGCTTCTTTCCCGATAACTGCGGAGCTGTGACTGAGCATCTTGCTGGCGTGTGCGGTCTTTTCGTCTTCTGCGTTCGGTGTGCGTCTTACTGTGTGTTGATTTGACTGTAGAGGAGGGGGGACTAAGGAGGCGGTGCCGTATTGGAATGCGAGAGAGAGGGATTTCCAGAATACGCGGCCGGCGAATGTGTCTGCGTCGCGGTCCATGTAGGGGAGCATGTGGAAGGGGAGGGTTTTCGGCTTTAGATATTTGGGTATGGGGAGAGAGTTGGATGAGGGAAGTAAAGGGTCGAAATTGTAGGTTGTCAATCCGGTGTCTAGGCTTGAGGGGTAGTGCAACTCTTGAGGAGGTATGGTTGTAGCTATGTCGTTGCGTATAGGGTCTGCGAGGTAATCAAGATCCTCTGGTTGAGGTGGTATGTTTGCTGACGATGACGATGTATCAGTGAGTAACCAGCCTTCGGTCCCGATTGGTATATCACTTGCGGGAACTTGGTTATCAACGGAGTCTGAAACTTGTTCAGAGGAGAGATTCTGATTTGAACAGGACTCATGACCACTTTCCATAGAGACTGATTCATCAACACCGGCTATTTGTCCTGCATAGCGAATTGCTTTTAGGAGCTCTGACTCCGCCGTCTGCTGAGAATCTTGCAGCGGCAGGGAAGATAGAAAAAGTGACTTCTGATTCACAGACGAAAGCTCATTTGTGGCAGCTTGACAGATCTTTCGAATCGAGTCTCGTAGAAGAGAAACCTCTTCCTCGAGCTTGTTGATTGTATCGATCTGTCTTTGGCGGAAGGCCCGTTGGGCCATGCGGCCTTTTTCTCTCCGGTACTGATGATAATGATTAGAAAGAAAAGACAAATATGACTGACGCAGCCAAGAAAAAAATATATATACCTTCTTATATTCCTCTGGATTGCTCTTCTTCCTCATATTGGCTGTTGCCTCCTCCCTACGATTAAGATATTAATATCCACGATGTTGTGAGATTGACGCACGAAACGAAACGATTATAAGTAAGACCCTCTTCAGACCCGGCTAGTTCCACTTATCGAATTGACAACATTTAATCATCGAGTATGTAAACGACCAGGGTGGGACATAAAGTACAAACCAGATTAGGAGCACGTAGGCGATCTTATCAACCGTTCTGAAGTGGGCCGAGATCCGAGGGATATACAAAGCGGCATCTGATCTAGCGTTTTATGGTGTAGTTTGTGACTGATCTGTCGAATACTACGCTGAGAAATGCGACTAGACCAGCCCGCACTGACAGCTTGATGACAAACTTTCCGGGGGTCGAGCTATAGCGGCGGGAATAATCTATCTGGGGTACCTAGTTAAGGAGACATCTAGATAGCTAGGTACGATGAAAGTTACGACAGTTAAAATAAGAGCCTAGCTAGAAAAAAACCATTTTACTCTAAATAGAATACTAACACTTGCTATAAAAAGCATTAAGATACAGCTTATAATTCCAGACCCGGCTATCACTATGAACTATGCAACTGTAACTGGAAATACAAATATCCTAGGTACCTATTGAATGGAAAAAGACGCCATTTTCTGTCCCACTATGGTAAACTTCTATCAGTATCCAAGTTGTCCAACCACTTCGTTCAGCAAGCTGCTGCCTGCCGAATTAAAACACGTGAAAGTTCATCTGACAGAGACAAGCTGTTGATGCCGCTTCCTCAATCTCCAGTTGCATCGAACAATAAAAAATATTCCCCAAACTCGCTCATGTCGGCATCGAATGGTCGCAGCACGATCCGGGAGTTCCGATATATACGCCTCCAAGACTTGGTCAAAGTCTTTTGCGCTTAAAGTGGCTTTCATCTCTGTCATTGTTGCGAGCAGGTCCTTCCAAAGGAAATCGCCGAATAGTGAGTAACCTTTGTCACCCGGAAGGGTCTTGCCTTCTGATTCTGTGTAGTCACGGTTCCAGTTAACTATCAACTGCAGCGTTGTCAGCGGTCTGCTCCCAATGAACACTGAAGACTTGCACGCCGTGCAAGGAGTCGTCCAGTCAGGGGAACGTGATCCGGTATCACAGCGGCAACCGGATCAGGCTGCGTCACAGCGGCAGCAGCCGTATCCTCCGCAGGAGAGGCGGGAGGAGGAGATAATTCCCCGGACGGGGAAGTGGCATCCTCAGGCTGTCGATACCACCGAAATCAGCATATGTTATATGAATCCCGAATCAGAACAATTACCTGAGGAGTCTCGTTGCGCCGATGCAACACGAAACGAACTCTAGGACCCATGGTCTAATCGAATGAGCTGATGTCAACATGGCTGATCAAGACAACTTACCCCTGGAGCAGGAGGCTCTAAAAACGAACAAAAAACAACCGATTTCTCAAAGTTTTTTTCAAGCTGTTACACTGTTACGCTTTCAGAAACACGTCCAGATCTTCATTTGAACGTGTTTCCTATTTGACTTCTGACCGTTCTTCCTCGGTCAGACCCTTCAGGAATTCTTCGACTTTCCCCTTCCCGTCTTTCCAGATCCATTGTTGGTTTTTTCTTGACATAGCTTCATGAACGGCGGCAACTATTCCGTCAGGCCTGCACTCTCTATCATGGAGCAGAACTCGTGAGAGTCCATCTGCGACTTTGTTTCTTGGTCCCGGAATGTAGACGTCGGACAGTGGAACTTTAGGAATATCTTCAGAAGCAACCAAACCAGAGGCCAAGAAGCTATGTGGGAATGGAGTTCTCCTGTCTAAATATGACATGTCTTTGGAAAGCAAGACCCACAGGTAGATATGATGCCACACCAACTTCTTGTTGACTGTTTTGACGCATGCTAGGTGCCATTGTGGAAAAAGAATCGGACCTGATCCCATTTCCCCTAACATCAGTGAACAATGCCATTCCATTATATCCCACCTGCCGTGCCGAACTTTGACCAATCCGATGACCCTGGCTTAATCTTCATGCCAATGGATTCACAGTTCCTTTATTGACTTCGAACACTGAAGGATCGGGAGCGCCGAAAAAGATGCCTTGAAACACGGAATAATTGCCAGTCGAGAAGTTCCAACACCTGCCATGTATAAAGAGCATCAAGTGAGATCTGGAATCATCCAAGAGGATGTTATCGGTGTTTTGTATGTTCTGACCTTCCATCAAGAAATATCTCAATCCTGGGCTAGAGGTGGATGACAACCAAAAGAATGGCACGGCGCTCCAATTGCTGCCCTTAGAAGGGCGATACCAATACTGGGAATAATAATTAGCGCGCAGGCAGAAGAAGCTCCAGCAAGCCCCGAACGGCCGCTTCAGAGAGAGCGCAGATTTTGCTTCTGTGATGAGGACTGGCATTATTTCGAGGCGACCCCGACGGCGTGGTATCGGGGGGTACGGTGTGAGCGCGGAGTACGAGACGATCTGTTCGAGCGTGGAGTGACAGTATCCTGTCGGTTTCCCGCTACGGGAGGATCAGTACGAGGTCATCAGGAGAGCAGGATAACCTTACCGGGCGAAATGACAGCCATGTAGGGGTTACGGTCCCGGACAGGAGGCATGACGACGAAGACCCGATCAGAGCGAGCGATAGGACAAGACGTGGACAAGACGAACCCGATCAGGATGAGTGATCGGACAAGATGTGGACAAGGCGAAGACCCGATCAGAGCGAGCGATAGGACAAGGCGTGGACGAGACGTGGACGAAACGAAGAAGAAAAGAAATCTCTCATATGTGATCATAAAACATGAATTTAGGACTGGATGTTTCAGTAGGACCTGTAGAATAACTAATATCACGCGACTCGATGCATTATGCATATCAAGAAATGAATAAAGTAATTCATCAAAGATGCGAACAGATAGACATAGAATTAATAATAATTTTTATTTATTTTATTCATTTACTCATTATATCTTCATGCAGATTTAAAAAAAAAATGGTAATTCCGAACGCTCACCAGGAGCAGCGAGAGATTTTGAGCTCAAATACCTATAGAACGTCTCAAAGTCTAAAATAAATATAAAAAAAAGGTTCATCCAGAAGAGCTTTTCTCGACAAAGATATAAAGCTCACATTACTATAGTAAACAGGACGAACCAGAACCCTTTTCAAGAGCACGCGATGCTATCTAATAAAATAAAAAAGAGAAGGAAAAGATTTTCTAGGCCTGGAGGACTTCTTGTACCTATTGTATCCTTTGCTGTATTCACATATATTTGAGGTGGTCTCCGGAGGGGAATTCCAATGTAACCCACTTCACCTAATAGGAGGAATTAACATCCCATCAGCCCTACAGGTATTCACTCATTCCGGAGATAAAATAATGAATGTGAATGCGGAAAGGGGGGGGGGGACTGTTATTGATGCTTTTTTTCTTTTTGCCATGCTGCAAGCCGATCTATCTGTAGCTCCAAACTAGGCACTCGAAACAACAGGTATGCAATTACACCGGCAGGCAGCAAATGATTCGTACCGTGGTTTCCACAAATACCTTACTATTGGCTAACCGGCGAGCGCTGTGGAAAAGGAGAAAGTATGTTATATCGTCAGTCGACAGACAGAGACGGAGTATAAACAGCACATGTAGTATAATAGTAGTTGATGCCAGCCAAAGCTTTCCCTCTCCCTTGTTGGATATCCGTTAAATGTCTGCGAGTAAAGTAAATATTTCTAGCGTGTGAATCTGATCAATCGGCACTACCGACGAATGATTGGTAGGGAGTTCTAACTATGTCGTAACTAGAGGGATGGCTTGCTTACACCTCGTGTACTAAATGTCCAATGTCAGAGTAGTACAGTACACAGATAGTTACATGATGACATAAGAAAATCATGTTGTGTACGAGTTAGGGAAAATAATAGTCTACACCGGTTCGGAACTCTAGGAGAGGGGGGATGTGCTGACGAGATACAGACGGGCCCAGAATAGAATAGATCCGTAGAATGTAGTAGATTAACTAGAGCGCGCGTATCATATCATTGTTGCCCCGACCGTGTTCGAAAAAAGAATTAGACTCCCATCCTGTAGTAATGATAATTGACGTCGTATACCATATGCAGTACTGAAATGGAGAAAATAGCTAGAAAAAAGCACACTGCCAAGTATATTCTGACGCATCCATTGTAAGAACGGTATGAAAAGGGGTATCGATTTCAAGAAAAATTAGAAATGAATCCGCCAGGCCGCCTAGCATAAGCTACAGCTTAATAAGCCCACGTAAGCATCTAAGCACGACCGTGTGCCAGACTGCAAGCCAGGAGAGGGGAGTGGCTCGGAGACATGACTGTAGCGAGGAAGAGAATCAAGAAATATCAGAAGGGGAAAAAAAGGAAGAAGCAACTGCCAATGACTACTCCATGTGCCCTAATCACCTCACGTGTATGCTTTCGTCCCAGAGGCAACGATGGAAAATAAATCCGGACCCCGGCACAAAATACCTAGAGGGGAAAAAAATAGAACTATATGAAAACCGCATCCACAGAACTCAAGTCGAAATAGAATGAAACTCACAGAATGACGCACAAAGTACACCTAGAAAATGTTAATAAACTGGAAACGGAGTCCGGAAAAGAGATATCAAGCCCGTAATACGCCTTCAAATAGATTCACCATTAGTTTGACGCCGTGTATGCAACATGCCGTGACATGGTTCAGTACGGATCGTAGCAAGGACAAGCGGCCGTGTTCAGTTCATCTCCATTGAGTATTCATCTTCTTCTTTGAAGCTCATGCCGGCGTGGCCGGAACTGCTCCAGAACTGAGGCTGGCCCTGTCCGCCACTGTTGCTACCGCTTCCACCACTATTGAACGCGGGGCTCAGACTCTGAGGACTGATGGTACCATTGTTTTGCGTAGCTTCACCGGCCAAGTTGGTATGCTTGGGAACTCTAAGACCGCTGCCCGGAGCGCGACTGTAGTGGAACGTACTCGGGTCATTCTTCTCCATCGCATCGAGGAGTTCAGTACGCATTCGCTTCTCTTCCTCCGTCTGCTCGAATGGCCAGGTACCACCCAGGCTGGTGATATATTCAGCCAGCTCGGACTCCTGCTGCAGTTTAACATGCAGAGCCCACATCAAATCTCTGGTCCATCCGACGGCACCGTTCAGGATATCCCCCTTGTTGGGACCTTTCTCCTTCTCCTCAATAGGTAAACCCATTGTGATGTTACCGGCCGTGGCCCGGCGGCCGCTGCCACCAGCTAGTAGGGATGTCGCGGTAGGTGGACTCATAGCGGTAGCACCCATACTGGGCGACAAAGCAGAATTGTTGACAAGCTGTTTGCGTACCTTATCGTCCTCCAAACGGTGCTGGGGCACCAGATGCGACAAATCCTGGATACGCTCGTTGATATTATCGCGCCGCCTCCGCTCCACCATGTTGTGAGAGGCCCTCCGACGCCTGCGTTTGGCTTCCTGCGACTCAAGCGCCTGGGCGGTAGTCATGTTGTCAACCTTGGCCGGCAGTGAAGCATGCTTGCCGGACTTGAGGATCTCGGAGATTCCCGCGTGGTGGGAAGGGTGGCCCGGGGAAGATATGGGTGATTCGACGAAAGAGTGAGCGCTGCCTGGAGTGCCATCCCACTGATTCGATAGGGTCTTCTGGTGACGGTGCTGCAAACCGGTACGGATCGGCTGGGACGGGAAGCTGCCAGACTCAGGAGTCCCAAGATTCAGAGCCCCCAGAGCAGGCGTCTTCGGGGTCATGGGACTCCGAGCATCAGAAGAAGCGCGGTCGACGGCTTGCAAATTTGGACGCGTCTTGCTATTCATGTAGTTCTGTTCGAAGGCACCAACATTATGCATACTCTGAGACTGATTCATCGACCGGAATTGATCATAGTTGAAATTTCCATGGATGAACGGGCTCTGGATCGGAGCGCCATCTGGGGTGTTCGAGTACATCTGAGACATCTGGCCGGGGTGGCTCATCGACAGGCCAGGCTGCTGGTGCTGGTCATGGAGGAAGTTCATTCCATTGTTTTGCATTCCATTCTGGCCGTTGATCTCCAGATCAAGCAACTCATCCGTATCAATTCCGGAGTTTCCCAAGTTGAAGCCGGAGTTCAGGTTCTGCTGAGAGCCGAAGGAGTAGGGCATAAAGTTGGAGTTCTGCATGGTAAGCTCGGAGGGGTCGACTCCATCGCCATTGGAGTTTCCGAAGTGATTTCCGAATTGCGGGTTAGACATGGTGTAGGACTGGGACATCATGAAATTGTTGTGGTCGTCTGGTTCATGCTTTATGAAGGTTGGAGCGGCAATCGTCTCTGCCATGTCCCGGCTCCGATGGCAGGAATTTGGTCACCAGTCGAGGAGACGACAAAACAACGTATCCGTGACCAAAGGGTTCTGTACAATCACGAAATCGTAAAGAACAACGATCGTTCGATGAATGATGGTGTGACTGGGGAAAACAAAGGTAAGCTAGAGTCCAGTTTCCCAGAGGGAAGCGGAATGGTCAAGTAATATCTCCCAGGGCGCGTAATCCGAAAGCAGGTAAAACACCAAACCGTTCAGACAGAGACATAGACACCCAGTGGCCGCTAAGAACACATACCCGCTTGGCATCCACACACCACCGAAACTAAATGTTCTAGACCGGAGTCCTGTGTCTGAAGATGGGCTCTGATGTAGATAATGAGCTTCAATAGCGCATAGGACAATGTCTGTCGAAGCAAACAGTGTAGCTTGTGAGCAGACTGCGCTGGCGTATCTGCTTGCGGATCAGGGTTGCTTTCGTTTCCGAAGAAACTACAGACAATCAATGAATATCAGTATGATGACTCGACTGCGATCACAACGCAACACCATTGATAAGCATTAGAAATACGAGACGTTGGAAAACAGGTAGTGGGTCCCGGATTGAGAAATATACAGGACTCTCCAGCGCGACTGTTACCGCCTACTTCCACCAGAGTGACAAAGCGGATGGCGGGGCAGACAATGTGTCTGGGTATCAATGAAGCACGCACAGAAACTCCCGCGATAGGTGTAGAAAAGGTCTGATCAATGTACCTTGCAGGAGACGCTGCACTGTCAAAAGAGACTGGCTCTTGAAGGTCGAGTCGACGACGACAAGTGTGAGGTCTCTTTGGTGGCGCGCTGGATTGCGGGAGGCAGCAGCGCAACAAGACGGATGGTTGGGCGACGAATGAACTAGTGCGATCGGGCGTTGAAGAGAACCGTATGCGCTGCGCAGCGTAGCGATATCAACGTTGTACCACAATTGCACACAAATCGATTGAGTCCTGAAAGAAGATCACACTGGAGATGGTGGGAGAATGGTCAGACCGACTTTCCCAAGAGGCAAGAATGAGTAATAACAAGGGTGGGGAAGCGAGTCAAGGGAAGCGAGCACGACAAACGACGGCCGACGCAAAGGCCGGTCCGAGACACGCAGGAAGACAGGAGAAAAGACGGGTTGACTGTCCAAAGACAGGCAGAGAGGATACAGCGGAGATACAGATGGAAAAGCACCACTCTTGAGGAGAAACCCCGACGAGGGAAGGATAGAAAAGAAGATGGGCGAGCTGCAGTGGCGGGGACGGTGGGAACCGAGAGAGGCGGCGGTGGGATCGTCTTCGTTCTGGGGAAAAGGCGAAGAGGTGGAGCGACTGAAAGAGGCGGGCGGTGAGACCGTTGCGGTCAGATCCTCTAGCGCTGTGAGGGCGCGCCAAACGCGTCGACGCGAGCCCCTTAGCTCGCCCTTCGGCCCCAGCCCAGGAAGCTCGAGCGTAATAATGTAATATTATTGTTACTCTCTCGACCCCTCAGGCAAAGGCCAGCCTCGATCTCGTAATCTGAGGCACGGAGATATGCGATACCCGTCGCGGCGGGAGACTGGTTCACCTCTAACCCAGCCCGTCGTAGGACGTCCAACGTCATGGCACAAGTGCTCACAGAGGATGTGATAGATAGAATCAAGACCAACGAGAGCCAGATCGAGTTGACTTCCCCACCGCTGCAGCCCAAGGTTCGGAGAACAAACAAGAAGGACACACGGGAAATTGAACTTGCAGACAAATCAACTTACCAGACGGTGATTGAGCGAGTGAGAGTGAGAGTGAGAGTAAGAGCAAGAGTAAGAGGAAGAGTAAGAAGAGTACGAGTGAGAGCGTAAGTGAGAGTAAATGGAGGATGATGGTGAACAGATGTTATCTATCTATCTGCTGTTCAGTGGAGGCCTAGAGTCACTGGTCTCCAATGATATCACAACGAATGGCTGCAGCGACAGGTCTCGTTAGCAGATCGTACAGAAACTCTTCAAAACGTCCGTCCGTGTAATTAGTTCAAAGAGCTACAGGGCAGAAATCCGAACTCCACCCACACGTGGCGGGGTACTTGTCCGAGTTATAATGGGGCCGGGGGTGGAAAGGAAAAGAAAGAAAGCATCATCAAAGAAGAAAAAAAAAATCAAAAAAACAAATCCACGCCTGCAGCTTGCGCAAGAGGCTAGATAAATGCGGAGTGATAGGAGATAGAGGAGTTCTCTGCGTGGAGAGGTGCACGATGATGCAGGCGGCGGCGAGGGACTAACTTACTGTAAGACAGATGCGGGTGAGTGATGGATGCGCTTGAGGCGGGGATTTGCTCTCGAGCAAATGTTCGTCGATAGATCGAAGGGCTCGAGCTTTCTGCAACGACCTCGACGGGTGTTTTTTGCCGCACTCACGAATCAAGACAGTATCAGACAAGATGCGACGGGCAGCTGCAGAGGACAAAACGAGGGGATGGTCTCTTTATGGGCAGCGAGGCGTCCTCCTGCATCTCTCATTTGGTATATGACGGAGCTGGTCATGCAGGGCGTCGATCGTTCGACCGACAAGGCTTAAAGGGTCTACGACTGATTACGTCCGTCGATTGCGACGGCTTTGCCTGGCTGTGTTCTACTCCAGGAAAATATGGAGGGGTGGAGAGCGTGTAGCAGTGGTGTAGATTAACAGGAATCGAACCGAACGGACCGAGTCCCTGGAGGGCAAAATGGAAGGTGGTGGGCTCGAAGGTGGTACAGGCATCGAGGATGTGCAAGAATCATGTCCCTATCTCATGAATAGATCTCATCCTTGTCACCTGGATGCTCGTTGGAGGGCATGACTCACACGCTGCGCTGCTGGGGAGGGTCGAAGCCGCGTAGAATGTATCAGATGCCCTGCAGGCACCTAGAAACAGAGATCGGAGTGACCAGGCAGCGTGAGAATCTTCCCGGCCAAAAGGGGGGTGTGCTGCTGGTTCAGAAAGGGAAACAAGATGGACAAGCTACCTTGACAAGCAGGAATTCAGTCAATTAATTAGTCCAGTTGCATGTATGTATGTACAGTATGGTACTATGGTAGGTCCGTAATCAGTCTCTACACCATGTGGAAGCGGAAGCGAGATCGACTACTGGGGGGAAAGAGGGGGTTTGCTCACGAAGATCTCTTTAGATTGGAAATGGATTCCGAGAGATGAGGATACGACCGTCCGTCCGATCAATACGGGGTCGGCTTGTCCTACCAGAGTGACTCTCCCAGCATCGAAGGAAGCTTGGACACTCTGACATCCCCAGATAACGGGAGATCACTGGGCGAACGATGGATAAGCCACCCGATGGCCTTCGTCTGAGCGTCCCTTCTGCAGGCCAGCGGTCCGTGGCACTAGTCAGTTAGTTAGCAGTCCCGTCGGTGTCTGTCAAATCCCGCTTCCAGATCTATTTCTGTCCAGGGCTGAGAAAAACCGGATTCTGATTTGATAGGTGGGAGTACTTGGAACAGTCGTCTCCCATCTATAACTCCCAAGTACCTAGGTATGTATGTAGTAGTACATACTATGTACATACTTCACCATCTTCAGCCACTGATGCTTCCACCCTCCAGACTCGCGGGAAGGCGGCGCGAGGAATGTACAGAACCACACATCGGATGAGCAGCCACAACGTGCTCCTCGTGCTGGTGCCTCGATCTAGTCTGCCACACTCACAGGCACCGGAGAGACATACGAGCCACGAAGGTATGTCGCCTGGATCGACGAGATGATGGCTGATACCGATCCACAGTTGGTCTGCTCGTGGATGTGCCAGCCGCAACCAATCAAGGAGCAGATCATGATCGACACTAGCTCTCCAGACATTCCAAAAATCAAGAAAGCAGCCCTGATTCTTTGCGAGGCTATCGCGGTGCCGTCCCGTCGCCGCGAAGGTTCGGAGGGCAGGGGGAATCATCCACGGGTGCGCTGGAGGACATCCAGTGGGTCGGACAAGGCAAGATGGTGTCAGAAAGAAGGATAGGGACTACTGACTACGATTTATAGGTGAAACTCTAACGGCAAATTGTAAGACTTCTATTTGGAGGGAAGTTTTTCTCGTTTCTACTGAAAGTGAAACCCTCACCAGGGGTCCCCTGATAGCAACAGAAAGAAGCTTAGGCCAACATTGAGACGTCCTACTAGATCAAGAAAACAAAACAAGAAAGGTTAGCTAATAATTATTACTCTAGTTACCGGCACTTACCAGAAGGGACAAGACTGTGGCAGATGATAGATGCATCATGATCATCATGTGGTTACGGAATCACTGCTTCTGGGGTCTAGTACTTCCCCGATTTGCAAACCTCCCGAAAACTTGACGCGCTTTCTGCGGATCGAGGACGCGTTGCGGGGACTTTCTTTCAATATCAGAGCTTGGATATGACATCCCGATGGAGTCTCGATCGTTTGGAGGACCGAGAGTTGTCCGCACCACCACTGGTCTCCGCACAGTAGTCCGAGAGGATCATTTCCTTCTTCCGGCGTCTTCTTGCCACACAGGTAGGAGATGGTGTTCCTGTCTGCGCTATCGATCTGTTTACAAGAGAATGAAATCTGCAATGTTCATTGGATCTGCCTCTGGATCATACTCTTACCCCCTCCTTTTGCTGGAGGGGTCGGGTATATTTGCTCCGAGTGTTCTAGAGTAAACATGTAGTACTGTCATAGATACTTGGGCAGGGCAACAACCATTTTCCTTATCGCACCATGTATTCTTAAGTCGATAGTTGATAAGAGACCCATCTTCTCCAGGGATGCTGATTGGAAGATGGGGAGAGTTCGATGTAGGCTTCACGACAATACGAACTAGACTAACTAGTTATCAACTATCTTCTTCTACAGCACAGGGAGAGCACTGAGTATCAGGCCACGATCTACTCGACTAAAAGAGATCGACCCTCATGCCAGATGCCTCCCGAACCATAGAGAGCAAGGTTGCCCGTCCGGATCGTCAACGGGTGCACGGCTCAAGTGAGGATCTACCGGCGCGTGGAGTGGCGTGGAGTGGAAGGTTAGAACCTAGTTACTATTACCTAGCAGTTGCTGTTAGACTGTAGAGTACGGAGTACAGAGTAGCATAATGCATTAGGATCTTATGTATGTACGGCGGATGTATGTATGTTTAGTTAGTTACCTAGTTTTGCCATGCCGCAAGTGCAGTCTAACGATGATCTGTCGACCTACGAGAGACGGGATGCACCAAGACGCAGACTGGGGTGCAGGAGAAGGGGAGCATTTTGTGTCTGTGCTGTTTGGCATGATTCTTTAATTCTTGAATCCTGTTGGCAAGCGAGAGCGGAAGAGATGCATTAACGCCCTATCCTGCATCGAGCTTACAGCCTGCCCTGTCCATCATCACATCCAGCACGGACTGGCCCACCGATTGCCGCCCCCAAGTTGGCCCCGGCCAAAACCCCCAACTGTCGGCCACACCCTCTCACTCCTCTCTCTCTCCGCGACTTTGCCCAAATGGTACTGTACTGTACATTTCTCGATCCCTCTTGTTTTCTTTGAGGATCCAAGTGTGAGAATCCAGCTGGGGTCTACTCTATTGCTAGCCCTTAGCCCTTAGCCCTTATTTCCCCTCTTCTCTTGTCTACCCTAGGTAGCTAACTTAACTAGTTACCGGCCAAGTCATCTGATACATCACCGCCAGCAGAACAACCCGGCTGTATCGGGCTCATCGGCCTCAGGAATCACCATTCCGAGAGCTCTCTCTCCCCTCGTTTCGTCTCCCCATCACGGCGCCGTATACCTCTTCCCCACCTCCCTCCGGCATTCGACTTGGCCGGCTAGCTCCAGCAGTGAAGACCACACCCTCTCCTACGCGAAAGAGAGCTGCCTGTGACGTCGTCAGAGACAAGAGTCAAACCATCAACCTCGTCCGGGCCGACTGCTCCGTATCGCGATATTCATTCCACGCTCCCGTCCAGAGCTGCTCTCGGGCCCGCGGACCCCCTTCTCCAATTCAGAAAAAAGAGAGTTCCGAGCGCTGTCACAAGCTTAATACTATCTATCAAACACAGAGTCACTGAACCACTAGCTGCGACGGGCGATCCAGCTCGTGGTTGGTCTGATTCGGTTTTACGAGCAAGTCATCTGGTCGGGCTTAGCCGTACTCTAGCACCGCCGTCTTGCACACCCACCGTTGCTGCAGATCATCTGCACCCAGGCATCTGGCTTCCGTCGTGCATTCACAGAGCATACATTTCCATTTGGAGTCGTCCCTCGCTCTGATCGTTGCTGGGGTGGGAGAGGGTCTGAACGTCACGTCCGGGGACGGTCCCGTCGCATCTATCCAAGAGACGACTATACATTTCGGGAAATCGCGGACCCCGTTTGGGTCAGCTCCGTGCAGACAATGGCTTCCAGCTCGTTTCGCGACTCGATGAGCTCGCTGGGTTGGACGCGCAGGGACGCTGATGTCCCGGTGCGTACCGGCGCTTCGACCCCGTTTCTCTCCAAGCTGCAGTCCTACAATCCATTTGGACGAGGTGGCTACGTCCAGCTCCCTACGCATGAAGCTCCCGGGGCTCCGCTGCCGGCTCCCAGCAGAAGGGAAGAGGAGGAGAGTTTCTTTGCTTGTGAGTCCACGGATCTGATATATTTTGTTTTGAATCCTACAGACTTCTTCTAAGAGCCATCGCTCTGCGCGCCGCGCCGGATGTGATTGCATACCAGTTCCTGCGTCCTGGGGATGGTGGCGCATGCATTAGAATGGCATTATCATTCTGGCGCGAGGAGGGCGGTTCTCATGGCGATGCCGATCAGCTCTGAATGCAGAAAGGAGAGGCTAATCATCTACAGTGAGCAGATGGGATCGTATGCTCATCTTCGCAGGATGTAACCTTGGGGCAGCAGTCTGCTTCATGCTATGCTTCTTCCTGTTTCCCGTCCTGTCGCTGAAGCCGCGCAAATTCGCCATTCTGTAAGTGCTATGTCGCTCTCGCTTCCAGACGGCACCCCCCATTATCAACACTTGCCTTTACTTTCCTGCATGGAGCATGATCTGATAGCATCTTGTCCTCGTTTGGGAAAGCAAGCCACCACATTTTGTCCGCTTGATGTGGCTTAGGACATGTGCCTCACATGCTTTGCCACCTCTGAAGCACGCTTCCCCATCATTTCAAACTACAGACCACTAGCTCAGCTGCTGCTGAAACTAGACAGAGGACAGAGATACTGACATGTCGGATTTCCTTGGAATAGTTGGTCAGTCGGTTCACTCCTGTTTCTCGTATCCTGGGCGGTCCTCATGGGACCCTTCACCTACGCCCGACATCTGGTCTCGGGAGCCCGGCTTCCGTTTACTGCCGCTTATTTTGGATCGATTGCGTTGACGCTGTATTTTGCGGTTGGAGTAAGTTGCGTCTCTTGTATATTGATCTGCCTCTTCTGCTTCATCATTGGCTGCCATTCGGACCGCACCGCTGCCCTCCTAAGGCTCCTAACCTACTATGACCCACACGCTCCGGGAGGTTGGTCCACCGCGAAGTACCATACTTTCTCGAGCAAAACCGCATCGCCATCTCATGGGCATTTGTATCTTTTCGCGTCCTTGGTTTTTCCTTGCGCGATTATACGCTATTCTATGCACGCTCAGTCAGCAAGCTCTCCCCAACATGACATCATCGGAGCTCAGCCGATCATTCCAGCTCTTCGGGTCTGGCGGCGGGGAGCTCACCTCGGTCGGCTTTCTGCCGCCATTACAATATTACCCTTCTCGGAGCGGAGATAAGACAACTAGAGTTGGCCCTTATCGCCTCACCCGCAATACCCTCTTGCCCCCTAAACATTGCCCTCATCGACGCCCTCGCTTCTCAATCCCTTTTTCAGCTCCTTCTCCGTCGTGGCGGATGCCTCGTATTCCTTGTGTGCACAAACATCTCCCCTTCTCGTTGGTTTTCAAAAAGGAAAAATGAATTCTACACGCGCTGACCACCGAACGAACAGCTCCACTCGACCCTCCTCACTCTCATCTCGTCCATTTTCCAGCTCGCCGCACTCATCTGGTATCTCGTCAGCTACTTCCCTATGGGCAGTAGCGGCCTGCAGTTCGTCGGGCGTTTTGGCGCCCAGAGAGTCGCGACGTGGGTGACGGGCTGAAGGAGTAAATTCTGCTGTCTTCCCGCTACAAGAATGAGCATCTGTAGATATCCAGAGAGCTCTATTGCATTAGTCTCGAGAGAGATGGCGGAGCGATATGGGCATCATTTTTGCATGAGCATGGTAGGTAAACAACAACTGATTGCAGAGTTGACTCGCGCATTCATGTGTAGAAATACAGTACTTGGCTTAAGCATAGCTTAGTTTCTATTATATACCCTCTTCTGAGAGTGCTGTCTGTTTCAATGGTTGATGGAGATGTTATTATAAGGATGATATGTCTAATCATATAGATTAACGTTCTTCAGTGTCCTGTTTTTCTTCTTCAAGTAGAATACATATTTCACCACTTTCCCCGACTCATGACGACTTCCACAGTCCCATCCAGGACCACCACACCAGGAACTTCCTCTTCCCAGATGCCCTTATCTGCCCCAGACCCGACTTCCAGCCAACGTTTCAGCAGGTCGTTACTCTCCTTTGGCTTGACGTCCGGAGAGGCGGTGCCCACAGTGATGTGCGCGACGTCGTTTGCGCACAGCCAGTCCGGCTGCTCCTTGTCCTCTGGCGGAAGGATACGGGCGACAAAGGCCATGATGCGATCGTCCCAGACAAGGCGCTCAATACGAACGCGGGCAGGCGCCAGAGTCGGGGTGATGTTGGTGTCAGTCTCGGGTTTTTCGTACATCTTGGTGAGGTATAGGTCGGTGTAGCGTTTCCAGGTGTCCTGACGATCCTTGGCTGAGGCGCGGTGGATGAGAGTGACGTGGAAGGAAGGCTGGATGCGTCGCGTGTTGGCTAGTTGTTTGTAGAGCTTGGCCTTTTCAGGGGGTGTGGATGGTGGGAAGAGGGAGGAGAGGATGTTGTTGATGCGTGGGGCGGGGAGGGAGATGCAGAAGTATTCGATTTTCTTCATGCAAGATTCCGGGTCCAGCTTCTGCGGTTGTTCCGCATTCGCGTTCGCATTCTTCTGGCCCTTTTGCTGCTTGCTCGGTTTGAAATTCGAACTCAGATCCTTCTCGACGTGGTAATCTGTCATGGCAGCTTCGATCGCACTGTCCAGTTCCTGCGGTGTGGGAACTTTCGGGACAATCTTTGGGTAGTACGAGTGCAGAGAGGTCACTACCTTTTCCAGGTTCTCTCTGGATGATGCGGAGACGTCTAAGTCGATGACCTCGTCGAAGTTGTCATCCGGATCACGGTCAGTGTCCACTGCTTCGAAGCGATTTAGGAATCCTTCCATAATCCCAATCACTTCATCGGGGTTTTTGCTGCCGGCTCGGATGGTCTGATGGTTGTCTCCTCTTTCCAGAACCCTCTTCCTGGTCACCTCTCTGATATCGTCGAGCAACAGACCCTTCGGCTCATGCACGTACTGGAGGGCAACGAATCGAGCATCAGTGAGGACCGGGGTAATATCTTCCATGAGCTGTTTCCTTTCCCGTCTCTGATGGTTGTTGCGGTCTGCTATGACAACGGGATGGTTCGCAAGTTCGTTCGTCACCTCAAAGGCAAACCTCTTCGGGCGATTCTTCTGTTTGGGGATGTTATCATTCTGGATGTGACCCCATCCGAATAGCTTGGCCAGGGCCAGTGACAGGGTCGTCTTTCCGCAGCCGATAGATGCAATTGGAACCAGGATGACGTTTTTGCTGACTCCTTCAGCACGCCCTTCGTTTTCCATTTGGATGATATCTGATCCTTTCAAGCCACGTTCACGCAGGAATCCCTCTCTCATTGAAATGATTCCGTGATTCTGGTTGTAAAGTTTTCCAATGGCTGGATCCTTCACGAGCTGTCTGCGAGCATATTGTAGATATTCCTCGGTGATCTTCTGATGCTTCTTGATCTTCGGAAGTTTTCCGGCAATGACTGCCTTGGTGCATTCACGCCACTGTCTGTACATAAGATATGGCTCCTCAAACTTGTATTTGAAGAACCAGTCCCGATATGGCCCATCTTCTCCTTCGCGTTGCTTGCATCTGATAACGAATCCTTCTGTATCTCTTCCATTCCATGAGCCTGTTTCGGCGCAGTTGTCCAAGAATTGTTTCACAGCCCTGATATCGTCCATGACAAGAAACTGTGCCTTCTTGAATCCCCACTCGTCAGCGAATTTGTGCACCTCAGAGCTGGGCATAGTCGCAAATTCTGGAACGTTATAGTTTATGCCGTGAAGGTAGATACCAGCAGCATTTTCATCATACGCCAGGACATGCTCTTCGAAGCTGTCATCGCAGAGCTCACCAACTGCGGTAACGTTCATCTTCCGCAGTTGCATCGCAAGTTCTTTTACTGTCTTTCCGACAGAAGTAACGTGTTGTTCAACCCATTTCTCGCCGGCTTGGGCATGGCTCAGGTTGGTATCATTTCGAACTCCCGTAGAGTGCTTGCTGCATACTAACAGAGAGCCATCTTCGAGACCAGAAATGAAGATGATGCATCCATTCTCTTTGACACTAAGCTCATACGGACCACGCGTGTATTTCTCGATCTGGTCCCATTTCGTGTTGCCCGCTTCATCCACGTTGAAAAACTTGTCGTAACCGCGGACAGCAATCTCTGGACGACCAGACTTGGTTCGTGTAGTGAATAGTCCACGGGCGTAAGTCGGAAGGTCACGACGCTTGTAGTCCCAATCGTTAAACCTCCAGGAATCGACGAAGATATTATCTGACCCCGCTACTGCAAAGGTGGACTTTTTGCAGACAAAGCTCTTTTTGCCTTGTGTCTTCCCTCGTTTGCTGGCCTCTTCGAGGCTGTCAACCAGCCGTGCGACCTCCTGAACGTCTTGTTGCACCATAGTGATGATCACTGAGTCGAAAACTGACTTATTACTTCAGCTGGCAGTGAAAATGTCTTGAGAGAAAGAAGAGCACAGGAGCCGCTGGCTCTGGCGTCTTCTCCCTTAAGTTAAGTCTTCTATCCCTTACAAAGAAATTGCGGTTTCTGGTAGAGATGACTGAAGGAAACTTTCCATCAATGACTCTTTCTGAGTCACAGCAAGCAAGCTGATTTGTGACAGTGCCAAATAATATCAATCGCTACGTCAAAAAATCGCGGGGCAAGCTGATCTACGGACTCTTCACCGCCCGCGCCCCCGCGCGCGGCGTCAAGGGAAGTTTGCGCACCGCCTACTTAAAACTATTTTTTTCCTTTGCGACTTGCGACTACCTATCGATCATCCTTTGCTGCCTACGATAGCCATGAGTCAACCAAATCCCTACATCCTCGCGGCTGATAATCCTACAGCGCTATTGAATTTGCTCCGCTCCAACCCCTCTCTGGCGTCGGGTCAGGACGAACATGGGTACTCTCTTCTCCATGCTGCTTCTTCGTACGGCCATATCGATCTGCTTCGCGCATTAGTACGCGAGTTCAATGTCAATATCAACTTGACCGACGAAGATGCTGAGACATGCCTTTTCGTCGCCGAAAATGTCGACATCGCAAAGTGTCTAGTTGAAGAGCTTGGTGTGGACTACAATCACAAGAATGACGAGGGGTTAACGGCGCAAGAGACGATCGAGAACGACGGTTCTTTCCCAGATGTTGCAGCCTATCTTAGGGAAGTCTCAGGCTCTGGTTCCAGCGCTGCAGCCCAACCCACCGATGCCTTACATCCTGCGCCGCCGTTGCCTCCAAATGTCAAAGTGAATGTTGGAACAATGTCAGAAGCGGAAGCAGAGGCAGACATCATGGATCCTGAATTCAAGAGACGGATCGATGAGCTAGCTGCCAGGGAAGATTTCCACAGTGAGTCTGGACAAAGCCAGCTGCGAGAGCTGGTCGCAGATGCACTTCGCGGAGTCAACATTGAGACACGGGAAAGAGATCAGCGGCGGCGATTGGAATGATAAACGGCGGTTTGAATTCAGTACAAGAGATTTTATGGATAATGTCAGCATGTTTGAGTCAATGGTGACTCACACCTAGACCGCTCCATCCAGGGTCGGTTAAGAAGGCATTTTCGGGAGACGTGATAAAGTAATGGGCAGTGGATGTCTCCAAGACGACGGCCTCCTGGAGCTAGTATGGGCACTTGTGGTTCTGCAGTGTAACAATAGTCGCTGCGAGCTAACGCCCATGATGGCCTTTCTCTATAGCTTAGAGAGATGAGCCGAGAGCAGCCTAGAGTCTGACTCTCTGTTTCTGGAGACATTATGTGTATCTTTAGATACACTAAACTTCAATAGGTTGCACACAGAGTGTAAGCATCGTGTAGGTCACTGACCTGCATTCGTGATACGCGAGGTCTCCAGAAGATGATAGGACCAATAAATCTCATTTAACTAGCTATATATATTCTCAATTACATAAATTCGACTTACTGATTCTGATTTGTCGTTCCTATTGTCTGCTTAAGTTGTATCTGTTTCCTTGCTTAATTGCTGTTCCATCCTTAATCGTTGTCTCCTTTTCCGTTCTGCTTCCTTCCTTCGCCTCTCTGTTAAGCTGTCTGCATCTAGCTTTGATCTCTCCGTTGGTGTATTTTCCATAATTTCCTCATCTTCCTTTATTAGTGCTATCCGTGTTCGTTCGATTTCATCCGATTATCCCCTCTCTACTGCGTTCTCGAATCGTTGCTTTCGTTTTCTTAAGCGTTGGCTTTCTCTTGGGGATATCTGTTTATTTTCCCCGTTAGTTGTTGGTTTTATATACCTATAAATCTGCATGCTAAACTGCTGATGGGAATGTGCCCAGAACTACGGTACTTTTCCACGGTTTCCAATATTTATCTGTCCTTCCCGGAGTATATCTTTGACAAATTACCACCGCCATAAAAACCAATACGGTTCCCTTGTGGACGATCCAGTGAACTGATTGATCTGTACTGAGCAGATAAAATACCGACAAATAATTAGTACCGTATATTAGAAGGGAACGAATTATCGATGCCCTGGGAGCTAGAATACACGCTTCTCTGTGTTAGTTATACCTTGTTACGTACCATAGTTAGTAGTCTGCTAGTTAGTCTGACTATATTATAGGTCCCCGCATTGTTACTGTTCTATAGATGCGGGGTTCTCTGACTCCCTACGATCTCATGTAGAGAACCACTATGCTTATTCTGACAGAAGTCCGAGTCCCTCGGATATACTCAATTTGTCCATCTATCAATGGGACTTTAACAGATTTGAAACTAATAAGAGAAATGGATATCATCAAAATTACAACTTCGTAGTATCGCCAAAACTTCCATGCCTTCCATGACCCTCCTTGAATCTAGTAGCACCCTTAATGCTCTCTGAAGTTATAACCCCGACACCACGTCTAAACTCTTCCCGCAAAGCATCCTCGAATGAGGTGGCATTGTAAGCGCTATAATAGCATGACTGCCTGTCAACGTTCATACATTCCTGTGGGAATGAAAGCAGTTGATTTGCAATATCCATAGCTTCTTCGAGAGCCTTTCCTTTGGGAACCACTCTGTTTACCAGGCCCATTGTCAAGGCTTCCTGGGCATTGACAGGCCGTCCTGTCAAGATCATATCCAGGGCCCTACCGAGACCAATGATTGCTTGCAAGCGGACAGTACCTCCATCAATCAATGGCACGCCCCATCTTCTGCAGAACACGCCAAACACAGCATCATCTTCTGCCACGCGAATGTCTCCTATAAGACTTAATTCCAGACCACCAGCTACGGCATACCCAGATACGGCGCTGATGACGGGCTTTTTCACTTGAAGTCGACTGGGGCCCATTGGGCCCAGATTGCCATTCGACACAGGTTGCAGGTTTTCCGGTACGTTCGTCGATCGCTCCATTCTAGCTACTTCATGCAGGTCCGCTCCGGCACAAAAAGTACCGTTCAATCCAGCTAGAATGCATACTTTCTGCGAGGGGTTATTTTCGAATTCCAGGATCTTTTCATATAATCTTTTGGCAGTCGCTGGATTGACTGCGTTGCGGCGATGAGGTCGGTTCAGGAAAATGGTAGTGATACCACTTGTGGTAGTTGTGCTGGTAACGGCGTTCGATTCCGGATCCATAGTTATGGATTATAGCCACGATAGCCCAGCAGACATGTAATTGCTCGAATATTGAGAATCGCACCTTAATAGACCGTTAGTTAATGCATTATATTTGAAATATACTTATAGTTTAGCGTTGTCTGGCCATAGTAATTTACCTCGGTTATAGAAGTCGTACCTCGAGGGGTAAAGCCGATTAGGAAACACACGTCAGCACAGGGGTCATACATAGGTGTATCTCTTGTGTAACCCCAGCCTCTTTAGCATAGTATCATTGTTAAAGAGCTGAGGTGTCCCCCATCCAAACGGTACTTCGTTACATCAACCAGACATCAACTGTTTCCTAGACAGTTGTAAACATTCACATCTCCTCTAGTCGTCATAATGCCTCGAAAGTCCCCCTATCCAGACATTGATATTCCTCACTGCAATCTCCTTTCCTATTTGTTTCCAGGTGGTGAAAAGCTCTCGAGTACTCCGCTGTGGCTAGACGCACTGGATCCATCTAAAAGCTTATCTCCTGCTGAAGCCCTAATATGGATCCGGCGGCTTGCAGTGGGCTTTAGCAACTTGGGCATCCCAGAAGAAAGCACAATTATGTTGATGACGCCGAACCACATATACGTGCCAGTAGTTTATCTTGCTACTGTGGGATCCAAAAGACGGTTTACCGGCGTCAATCCAGTCTTTACGCCTAAAGAAGTCGCGTACCAACTAAAGGCGTCCAAAGCGGCGGTCTTTCTGGTTCATCCAAGTTCTCTGGAGAAGGGATTGGAGGCAGCTCGCCGTGTTAACTTTCCATATGATCGAATCTACCAGTTTTCGGACAATGCACTCACAACGAACAGTGCTGTTCACGATTGGAAGGATATCTTGGCCTCTCAAGGAGAGTCTAGTCAGTGGTCATGGGATCCTCTTCTTGGTGACGCATCTTCGACAACTGTGGCAGTGATCAATTTCTCCAGCGGCACAACAGGGCTTCCTAAAGGCACTTGCATATCCCACCGCAACATCGTGGCAAACGCCGCCCAAAGCATCTTTACCAGATTCTACACACCAGAGGCTGACAGCGCGAACAACCCAATAACTCGGGAGAGAGGGCTTAGCTTCCTACCTATGTACCATGCTTATTCTCAGCTGTGGACGGTCACTATTCCATGCAAACTGGGCATTCCTACTTACGTGATGCCGCGCTTTGAGTTTGAGGAATTCCTGCGCTTGATCGAAGCATACAGGATAACCAGTGTTCAATTAGTCCCCCCGGTGCTTATCATGCTCAGTAAGCGAGAAGAGTCGTCGAAGTATAACTTGCAAAGTCTCAAACATATCATGTGCGGAGCAGCTCCACTGTCGCGCGAACTTCAAAATGAGATAAGCAGTCGTTTTGATGTGACGATTGCACAGGGCTGGGGAATGACTGAAGTTACCTGTGCGGGCACTATGGTACCCGGGTTTCTTCACGACAATACTGGCAGCGTTGGAACTCTGGCTCCTAATTCTGAAGCTATTCTTGTTGGCGAGAACGGGAATGAGATTCTCGACGAAGGCGAACCAGGGGAGATTTGGTTCCGAGGCCCGCAGGTCATGCTGGGATATTTTGATAATGAGGAAGCTACAAGGGCCTGCAAAACGACCGATGGATGGCTCAAAACCGGTGATATCGCTACTTTCGCCAAAGGCGTGTTTACCATTGTGGATCGAAACAAAGAACTCATCAAAGTGAACGGGCTTCAAGTGGCACCTGCTGAGTTAGAGGCTCTTTTGCTGCAATGTGACGGAGTGTCGGACGCCGCTGTTGTGGGGATTAGCCTCAATGACGAAGAAAGGCCTCGAGCATATGTGTCCTTGCAGCCTCGAGCTAAGGGAAAGATATCTGAGGATGATATCGTGAAATTTGTAGGAGAGCGGGTTGCGAAACATAAGCGATTGACGGGTGGTGTGTCCTTTGTCGACGAAGTACCAAGGCTTGCGAGCGGTAAGATTTTGAGAAAGGTTGTCAAAGAGTGGGCGAAAAGGGATACTGAAAGACTCCAAGGGAATGTCAAAGCCAAGTTGTAACCTCTGTGGAAACAGATTGTTCTGCGGCATCTGGCTAGTATTCCTATACACCTTGAGCGAGGCATTATTTTGGTATATTCAATTGCCTGGTGCTGAGATGAAATGTGGTATATTTCGCAATCAGCAATAACAAAACCAGTTATCTTGGTTCCTGTCAGTATACATAGAGGAGACAATGGAGCTGGAATTAAGGAGAAGCTCAAAAGAAATGTAAGATTGTATGTGAAAATAGAAGCTGTAGTCTTTTGTTGTAATGGAACTATACTTCCTGCCTCCTCCACAGGGAGTCATCATGAGTATATGAACAAAATCAGTGTTCCAGAACCGGGTGTTATCTTAGGTGAATACTAATATAAAAAGTTTAATTATCTCACAAGTGACGCTTTTCTGCTCGAAAATATATTCGTAAATGTTATTTGCAATTGACATCTGAGTAGAGAATGAACCACTGAAGATAACACATATCATCTACAATTCTTCAATAATGGAAAATTAGCTTTCCTAATATATTCTCAATATTAGTAAATCTCACCTTTTCAAACCACATCTTGAGAGTTCCTTAAGCTACTGTTCAGCCAATTCCATAGCATCATGAGGCGGTATAAATCGGCAGAATATGTACTTATCATCCCCGCAATCTCCATGTCTCACGATGACCAGCTGCTCCACGTCTTCAATGAAAGCGTTCAGAAATTCCTCCTTCCACTAATAATGTCTCAGTCTCCGCATACATACTCTCCTCAACCTTTTGTGTACTCGAACACGGGGACCGTACGGAGTCCGGCCATTGATCCGGACACACCGCCGCCGCCTCCACCAAAGCCTAGTAGTCACGAAGCAAGTCGACGGGGTACACCGCAGACAGGACCCCCTTTGCCTCGTCCTCCACAGTCTGTATCCCATGCTGGAGCTCAAGGACAGACAAATTCAGAAGGACAGCCTACAGCGGCATACGTACCTTCTACCATTGAGGATGTTTACGACCCGAACACGGAAGCGTCACAGCCGCAACCCCCGAGTATCGAAGAGTGCTGGCTGCCAGATATCGTAAAGGATAAATCGTAAGTCGAAATCCACTTTCCCAGCCTAAATTTCCGTTTGTAGAAGACTAACATAGGCGCGAGTTCAGAAACGCTGACCTGCAAACTATCCTATCGAACCCGAATCTCATATCCGCCCTCTCTACCCAGCATCCATCTTACGCTGCCTCTCAAAAGCCGCTCTATTCTCTCCTCGAGTCCAATAAAGCTCTGGCGAACCATCTACTCGAGTTAGAATCCCACATTGCCAATCTCCGCGCCTCGACAGAGTCCCTTCTTCTTACACACCAGTCCCTCGAAGTTTCATGGAGGAAGAAGCAGGCCGAGATGGATGCTGCATTGGCACCATGGTCACCAAAGGCTCTCTACCAACGACTTGCGGCAGCGGTTGCTGAGCAGGAAGCTGTCTGTCAAGCTGTGGAAGAAAGTTTCCTAGAAGGAGACCACCATGGGCGAGCCAGTGAGAAGGAAGTCGTGGATTGGGTACGGAGAGTGAGGGCTGAGGCAGCAAAGTTGGAAGCTAGGAGAGAAGCAAGGGCGAGATGGGATGAAGGAAGAGTTGGTGGTTGGAGATGATACCCCATATTATTGCATGACGTGGGGCTTTGTTTTACGGACTGTTCTGCATTAGGTTCTTAACGTGGGCGTGTAAACATGGGTTTAGAAGCGCGGAGTCCGGGGTATCTGTTTATACATATATGCATGAAGTCTCGTTCGGGCTATATTATCAAATCCTAGCCATGGTCGAAGTACATTTTCCGCATCACGATTGTTTTTTTTGCGGCCTTAACGCACTCCATGAACATCGTTTATTCATGATTTGGGTAACCTGTGTGTGAAGGCAGGTTCGTTAGGTCCTTGCTTTATACTCATACTTCGTTGGAAGAACTACTTGAAGATCCGTTCACGTCCGGGGTCGAAGAGATGACTCTACTCCACCTCTCGTGTCTGAAATGTTCGTTTTGCAGCAAGCCCTCATCTTTGGCCTCCATCGCCGTTGAGCTAGTCCATCCATCAGCTGCTATCTGGTTTGGATACCCGATGCCCTTCCAGAATGCATGTTCGGGGCTTCTCGGTCCCCATGACCAGCCTGCTCCGCGTCTGATCGGCAGATGATATAGGTAAAATCCAAGAAATGCGAAAAGGATCCCCATGATAGATCCGAATATGATGTCAAATCCGTAGTGTCGGTGGTCAAACCAACGGGATGAAGAAATGAAAGCCGCAACCCCCAAGGGTATCAAGGCAACAATGAGTAGATAGACCGGAGGTGGTGCCCCCCGGTTCCGAATGGAGAGGCTAAATTGAGAGGGTAAGGGCTTCCCTGTGACAGTTTCATGGAAAATGTGAAGAAGATGATGATGGCGATGATGATGCGTGGTGTCATTGGCATTCGAATCGTCTTGCGGACCCGTTGGCGGAATGCCATTGTCTAAAGGCTGTTGAGAGAGATACGGAATAGTGATGGAAAACTTGGAACATAGCCAGAGCGTAAGATAAGTCATGCCTGCCCAAGAAACTTTTGCATTGTTAGTTTAAGATTGCTTTATCTTAAGCTCATGATGCACTCACAGGATGAATGCCCGCTTGGGAAGCTCGCAAAACCAGCCTTTCTAAGCATATATGACTTGTTCTGGCAGATCTCCCATGTCACTAGAACTGGGGCATGTTCGAGTTGAAGTCCTAGCCCACTGACTGCATATGCTGCAATATTCGACAAATCGGGTCTGCATCTGCCGAGTAGATCGGGTCTGGGTTTTCCGTACAAGTCCTTCAAGGCCTCTGTACACATGTAGACTCCAGCCAGAGAAACTCCCAGACCCATCCATCCAGCATTCAACTCCCACAGCTTGCGTTTCAGTATTACAAAACTGGGTGCATTCTTGTCCACTAACGGGCCCGGAACAAAGACGAGCGTTAAGAGTAGGATTATCATAGCTGGTGCCAAAAGCGAGACCAAGACCATGACCGTGGTCGACACAGTCTCATGAACCTTATATGGATATGAGATGCTCAGGTCTGTAAGAGAGAACGGACTGCGATTAGGTTCGATTCTGGTAAAAGCATATCCCACTAAGCCGGTGCCTCTATAGAAGCAATTAGAATCGATATAATTCCAAAGTTAGACATGACGAGAGCGGGCTGAAAGCTTGTGTATCCGTGCTTGACTCATTATGGGACCATATTCGCGGGCCTACGTACATAATAAGAACCCAGTCGATAGTATAGGCCAATATTAACTTTTTGCTGGTAAATATGGTGCCGCCACATAATCTGTCAAATACAGCTTCAATTGCCATCGCGCGCAGCCGGTTGGCGATGCCTCGAAATACCATTGTTTCCACAGGGTAGACCTCTGCCGACTGAGACAAAGGACTTCAATTGTGATGATTTTGAATCCGATAACTTGTCAATCGACGCGCATGGCCAGAGCACCGAAGATGTGAAAATTGAGATCAGAGAAAGGACGAGGGACAATTGCTGTCCGCCGGAATCGAAACAAACAATAAGCCTGACGCCCAACTGACTTTTTGTATCAAGAATCTAGTATTGCAAGAGAGAAAAAAATCGATAATCACATTGACTATCCCAGCAGAAATCGAATCCAATGCTCAGTCGGGGCGGTGGGCGCCAAGATGTTGATAATACTAGCTACTCAACTACTTCACCAATGGGAGAAGGTACGCTGGTATGATCGGCGGAAGAAGCACGGACACAAGTAAAGAGTACACTAAGAAATAAGACCACTAAGTGACCGCTATTCCGTATCATGTATTCACGCCTAATGCCCTGGCAGGACTGGCGTCAGTGTTTGGTAGATTGCTGCTGATAAGAGGATATGAGAGCTCAAAAGACGATTTTTGATGGGCGGTGACTAGGTATCTACCTCGACCGAAGAACTTCTGGGTTTCTTGGGTTGTAGCTATTCCCTTGGTGGCAATCATGTCGGTCACGCTTATGATAGAAGTTGAAAAAGGAAAATCCTGCTGTGGTGGAACTGGAACAGTAACAGCAACAGAATGGTTATGTATCTAGACATGAAGGCGATCTTTCAAAGCCATACTATGGTTTCTCTGGTTTTTTCCATCCGCTTTCATAAAGTCCAACCGTCGTAGAATCCAAACAATTATTAAGTGACCATTTTATCTATAATGGCTAAGCCATATCGTACCACGTGAACTATAGGTGTTACATTTCCCACCCGGACAAGTCTGTGGGAGCATCGAGATGCATAGCTTAATCTGAAGTCCCAGTCCTCTCAGTATTTGTTGCATTCTTGCCTTCCAGGTCTGCGAACAGTTCGTAGCCAAAGTCCTTGCTACTGTCATTGAACCGTAGTTTCTTATCGATTGTCTGAATCCTGTCGATATCCTCCTGACTGAGAATGAAATCGCCCTCCAGGTTTTGCCTGATCCTTGATGGGGTCTTCGACTTGGGAAGAACAGAGTGACCCTGGGAGATACCCCACGCTGAAGGAAGTAGTATGTCAAAATGGCGATTCGTTTATGCTAGACAGGCAACAAATTAGGCATGGACAGACTTACCGAGTGCGACTTGTGCTCCAGTTTTACCGTACTTCTTGCCAATCTCGTTCAAGATGGGGTCCTCAATCATCTTGCCAATCTTCGTAAGACCGGAGTAGGTCTCGTTCTGATTACCGAAGGGCGAATATTGGGTGACATGAATTCCTCTTTGCTTGTGCCAGTTGGCAAAGGTTTTTTGTTGCAGCCATGGATGGAATTCCATTTGGTGGACAGCCGGGACGACGGAAACGCTCTTAAGTAAGTGCTCCATCTCTGCTTGCGAGAAGTTCGAAATTCCAATGGCCCTGACCTTGCCGGTCTTCAACAGTTTTTCCATGGCTTTGTATGTCTGTAGCGACATGTTGTTAGGCACATTACTCACATGGTAGAAGGACAAGATCATACATCGGCATAGTCAATGTCTACCACAGCCGGTTTCCCATTCTCTTTCGGGAACGGGTCACTTCCACGCTTCCAGGCGATAGGGTAGTGCATTAGGTAGAGGTCAACATAGTCGAGACCAAGATCTTTGAGCGAGTCATCAAGTGCATCAGCAACATCATCCGGATGGTGCTTGTTGTTCCAAAGCTTGGTTGTTACGAAAAGCTGGTCCCGAGGCACGCCGCACTCTCTGATAGCTTTCCCAACAGCTTTCTCCGTACCATATCTAATGCAGCCGATTAGTGTCATATTTGTGTTAGGCAAGATATATATTGTAACGCACACTCTTGCAGTATCAATATGACGGTATCCCGTCTTGATCGCTTCACGCACGGCGGCCTCCTGAGACTCTGGATCCTGCCAGGTGCCGAATCCGAGTGCTGGGATCTCAGCACCGGTGTTGAGCTTGAACTTTGTAGATCCAGCTTTGGTAGTTCCAACAGACATATTGGATTATATCGGACGAAATGGGGTAATATTGGATAATATATGATTCATTGGTGGGCTAAATTATGCTATTGCAACAATACCGGTCAGTTTTGATTTGAGCGATAAAGGAGACAGCTTGAGATATTTAACATCCCAGGCCGCGTATGGATTATGCAATCAGGGGGACCTGCGACACTGTAAAGCGACGTCAAATTGACGCAGAAAAGCCCTTAGAGTGTGTGTCGTAAAAGTCAGCCCGGGAAACCATGACGTCTATATGAGGGACGCGAGCTTCGCCAGTATAAAAGCAGGAAGTAACGAAGGCAGCTCGTCTATGGTCATTAGTTAGCTGCAGTAAAAGGATGAGAAAGCAACGAGCACCCCGTACAAGTGAAGTGTATTCGAGCGAAGCAGAGTGTCAATTCCTCAAGGTACATACATAGTTACCGGCGGGACTTTTGACTTACAGGTCATTATGCACTTGTGAATCCGAGTACTCATATGTCCAACCCATTCAGTGCGCGAATCTTCAGGATGGCGCTAGGCTTAATCATTCCCTTGAAATTGAACTTTGTATACGGAATTTCTTGCAAATATCTCTAACGTGATGGGGACGTTTTGAGACACTCTCATCTAGCGCTCCTGTGAGTCTGCTTCTAATAATAACTTCCCCAACGACTTCAGGATTCAAGAAGTATATTAGGCGTATGACCGACTACCCATCCTGAAAGAATACAATTTGATAGAAGTACTTCCTAGAGATAGTAATATCCATGCGATCATCGTCCGCTGGCTGATTCTTTCCAGTGGTGCGTGATAAATGGATCCTTTCCGGACACTCATACTACGAAATTCTTCATTTAAGTTTGAGGGAGCCTCTCCTTAGAGTAGATATATGTAGTATTTGGAGGTGGAGGAAATCAACACAGATGAACCAGCAGTTGTTCAATTCATGAACCTGGAGATCCTCGTTCGCATTGGTCAATGCATCGGACCTACCTAAGTGGGGCTCAACTTTCGCTTAAGGTAACAAGCGCGCTCCGTAGCGCTGCCTACGCGTCTATAAATTTTTGTTCCCATCCCACACTAATTCTTCTCAGCAAAATATCTGCCGCAGGCACGGCAGGGCTGATGTCGCCCTTCCTGGAAGGCGTCATGACCTTTTATATTTGATATTCTCACCTACTAGCTGCATAGCTGTGACACTACCTGTTATTCATTAATGGTAAGTCCATACGTTCTATTTTATATACTCTTCTCAAGTGATGAAAAATTTTTTATCCACAAAATCCTATGACCATGAAGGACTTCAAAAAAAAACTCTAGAATTACTCTGATGCCTTCCGTCATACAATTGTGGTTGCGTCGTTATCTGGTATGACAGCTGCTAATACCTCGAAACTAGGCTTAGAATAATATTCCTATCGCGTACTCCATCTTGCTCATCATACAATTTGTAAAAGGTACGTTTACTTTTCCTCGCTGTTCATTCTCACCGCCCCCCTTTTGTGATGACTCATATGACATGCGAAAGGCATTCCTCAATCTTAAGATCCATGTGGAACCTGTCAATAAATCAAGTTTCAGCCTTGTCTGATCCAATCTCTACAACGATATCATTTGTCCCATGCCATTGATTTCGCAGTAACTAACAGTCGACGCTAATAGGTACTTTTATTCTCTATCTATCAACATTCCCACACCTCACCACGCGACCCCTTCATGAAGAAGCCATGAACGAACGGGCGGACAGAACGGATTCATCTGCCCTCATCCATGAAAAGCAAAGCGTACAAACTTTGCGGGTGCTGGGGAGGCGAAATGCTTGTTGAGAACTCGTCACCTGATTGATTATCAACATGACTCGCATTTTTGATATCATTGTATGATTCGAACTCGAACTGACCTTAATGTCACTAGGTACTGTCTCATATGCACAAGGAGCCCTGATTCCCCGAAGTATATGGCTATCATCTTTCAAATGATGAACACTATTCACACTGTTTGAACCGGATACACCAACAGTGTTCCGGGTATGAACGTATACACTGAAAATTCTGATTTAATGAGGTATGTCGTATTCCAGTACTGAACAGAAGGAAGTGCGCATGCTAACAGATGGGCGCAAAGCCTGAGATAGATGATATGCCTTTATATCTTTCATCATCCTGCAGAGGATCGCTTATTCAGTCATGTCGCTGACATTTTCGGTCTCGCTAGGAACTTACCTTGCAATAGCGGACGTTTTCCTCCTAGATTGTAAGTTTTGTTCCATTCTCGTTGCATATTCTTTCGTGATGAACTCTTTATTCGCTGTGTTCTTACTGAGTTACACGTTGAAGAATCTTATTCATCTTGGAGAACTGATTCGAATTTGTTTCCACTTTGCTGTACTACTCATCTTGAGTTTGAATCCTTGACTAACAATTGGAAGATCATAAGATACCCCACATCTCGTCGACGAGATAAACTGCAGCACCTATCAGGTGGTCCATAATTCTCGCTAGCTAGATCAATGAATACATTGTCATACCATTCTCATGCCAGTTTTCCCTTTGTCGTAAACCTACCGAATGTAAAGGCCATGTTTCTTATGCCATCCTTCAATGCTATCCTCGCCATACAATTCGTGGACGCTCTTCTTGCCCTCCGGCCACCTCACGTAGTTCGGCTTGGAACCTGCCATGACGCAGACCATCTCATCTGGAGCAGGCAACTCAGTGTCTATGGCGGACGAAAACGGATGAATCAGTTCTGGCCAATGACGGTCCCATAACCAGAGCATCGTGCTGCAATTAGAGCAGAAATTACGTTCCGACGAGCAGATCTGCTGGTTTGGCTTGCCGCGATCTTTGATAGCAGTGTATTTCCTGCCAAAGAGCACAATCAGTCCCGAACGCTACCAATCCATCATACGCAATGAACTGAGCGCCTGCACAGGAAATAGATATATAACTTACTTAAGGAGATCTTTCCCTTTCTTGATTACCAGTGTCTTTGCGACGCCTCCGAGATTCACGCAGCCGTTGTAGCCGCCAACTTTCCGACAGATACTGCATGCGCAGAGCTGGTATGGGACCGGAGTATGCGATTCAAGGGAAAATTCAACGCCACCGCATTGGCAGCTGCCCAGGAGTAGCCTGCATATTTACCAGCAATGTTAGTAACCCCGTGGATAAAGATATTGGACGCGACTGGCTGTCACCCGTCAAAATAGGAAGACGACTAACATCGGCATCGTGAATCGGCGGTAGTAGAGATGGTTGGAAGAAACCGTATGTCGATCGAATAACAATACCAGATAATAGGTCTGATCCTGCGCGAAAGAGAAATTTGAAATGAAAGATCCTGTAGATGGGACTACGTATTAAGAAATAAGTTGATAAAGAGGGGCTGGGACGTCATACATACAACTGAGGGGGTCCGTCCAAATCGGCAGGTCTCACGGCTTGATACCAGATTTCAGGAGCGGAATTACTCCGCAGGTTTCCCTTATCAAGACAGTACTTGTTCTGAAGAAGACGGTACAAAAGGTATCAGAGCCTATTCTGATTTCCTACAATTTTCACAGGCTATGTACGAATAGTAGACGTCTGTATATACACGCCTCGATAAGATTGGCACAGCATTGAAGGCCTGGCTCTACAGATACGAAATGCCCGCATCGTGGATGAGCTTACCAATAGACGAGTCAATTTATTCTATCTCAATCGATGGGAGTAGCATGACTCGTTCATGTGGATCTCGTTGGCAGCAAGTAAGAGATGATTCGGGATAAGCGGACGGAGTCTGGATGGAGCTAGTGGTGTTTGTACCTTTTGTCTTGTTTGAAGTCTTTCCGAGGTCCCGATTCAAAGCGGCGCAGCGAGAGAAAGGAAGAAGAGGATTTGCTTTGCAGAACGTCGTCCGGCGAAAATCTATACTATTTTCGTCTCAAGCCATTGAGTACTTTTCTTGAAGCAGGGATAGCTAGAAAACATGAGTTTTGGAAGCCCAGGTGGCGGTGCCGTCAACTTCAAGCCCACGCCGTGAGTTATTGAATACCCCTCGTGGTCTTCAATCGCATCAGCCAGCTCGTTCAAGAGCAGTTCGAATCTTCTATTGGACTTATGAGACTAATACTTCTCTAAACAGACCTGAGCGTGGTAGCTTTCCTCTTGATCATGACGGTACTGGAGCACCTTTCCCGTTCGAGCGCGTTCTTTCAGTGGTCAATCTTCGGGTTTTGGATTAGAGAATAATATCTCTGGACTGTCTATATCCCGTTGAAAATACATTAATACGACGTTGCTAATACGTATTGTCCTCCCTGCAGGAGAATGCAAGCACCTGATCTCTGAATACATCAAGTGTCTCAAGTCGCAGAAAGGCGTCAATGATGAGCGGTGTCGCAAACTCGCGAAAGGATACTTGGGTTGTCGCATGGACAAGTAAGTGAATTCTGTCGTTGACATCAATGTCGTTCTCCAATAACCCGGTTGCTTGGGGTTTCTAGAGAGAGACTGGATTGCGCTCTCGCGACGATCCTGCTATCGCACCCCTTGCTGTTGATACGTAGGAAAGCACATGAACTTTTGAGGGATGCTAATTGTATTTGTCTGCGAATAGGAATCTTATGGCTCCAGACGATTTCAAGAACTTAGGGCTCGTCTTCGAAGGGGACAACAAAGGCCAGGACCAGGGAACAACCGGCGCATCAGTAACGAAACCTGAAGGAGGAAGTTAATAACTCAATTCACATAACTGGGACGTTCTCAGAAATCAATGAATTCCGCAGAGGAATCAATAGGGTTCTTAAATAGCATGGATACGGCGTTGGATGGGTATTCCTACGTGTGTCAATATGTGACATCTTTTCTTGCCAGAACAGGCAGATGGTTCAGACAACTATATGTACATTAGCATGACGATATACAAAATGAAATAGAATCTCCCTACCTCTTCGAATGATTGGAATCGCGTTGTTTGCTCCACTTTCCTGGTGCAGTCGCTGCTCCAGTCGGTCGATCCTCTGCAAGCTCGATGCGGGGAAGCTATCTATCCGCCTTCCAGAAATTCAGCAGCTCTTAAGGTCCCCAACTTTAATCCCACAACGTTCGTCCTAGGAAGCTGCTAGGAACACTTGTGACCATCAATGTCATCTATAGCGCGCCCTCCAGACCCCTGCCTTGTTGCGATCATCCTTATCGTCCGCTCCCGCGCCGGTCCGCGATTTGTTTTCCATTACCCTCCGAACCCTCTCAGTGACAATGGCCTAAGAAATCCGACCAAGAGACGTTCGATCTCTCGCAAGAACACGCAAGGAACCAAAAATAACGAATCAGCCTCCAGCGACGAGACTAGCAGCACTTCAGACGAAGAAGATGAAGCAAGTTATCTAGGAAACAGTGGTTCTTTCGGCAGGCCCCAGAGCAACCATGGTATTGACGAGAATGTTGTATCCGCTTCGACAGTCGCAGCAGAGTCTCAACGGCCACCATCTTTGGTCTCTAGCCGTGCCTCTGTGAGAAAGAGAGGAGCAAATTCGGACATAGAGGATGATCAGGGCACCTCATCCGATGCGCGACGCAACGGCAGCGGAGAGAACACTCGACCACCATGGGAAACGCTCTTGGGCCTCACGACAGATGTGTGGGAGAAACTGCTGGCTCCGTCGGAAACCTGGCATAAACGGCGGTTTGAGGTTGGGATCAATGACCTAGCATTTGTCGGCTGGCCTGTATTTGTCCGCGATGATGGCACATGGCGCAAACAGAAACGAAAGAAGAAGAAACCTAGACCGGAATGGGAGGGAGGTGATCTTGGTCACGAAGATCAACTTGATAAAAGTCGGTTGGAGGAAGAAGGCACAGCACCTGAGTCGGCCACTCCGGCAGGAACTAAGTCAAGCACAGCTAGTGATGGGAAAGCTCCTACGGACACTAAAAGCAAGACATCAAAAAGCGATGAATCGCCAGACAACGATAAGGACTCGATGACAATGTTCAACGTCGTCTTCGTACTGGACCCTCCACAGCTGGAATACTCGATCCGTATCAAGGAAAACTATGAAAACGTGATCAAGAAGTTCGGAAAGGCTCTGAAATGGGAACAAGCCCGTGCGGACTACGTATGGACAGAGGCGCAGACGATTCTACATATCAAGGAAAAGGCGAAAGAGCAGAGTAAGTCATGTCCGTGGTTTGGCATCTGGATCATCCTGACTGATCATGACCTGCAGAGACATCAGTAAATAGTCTCTATTCCGAGCTTGTTTCTCGCTCGTCTCTGGCGAGAGCGATCTGTACACTCTATTCAAGCATATCAGCTTCGAAGATTGCCTCCGTCACTCTAAGCCCAGATGTTTCGATATCGCTACAGATCCCACCTTTAACATCGACACCATATCTTCCCACTCCAATGGACACTGCATACCCAGGCCTATGGCTCACTACTGCGGATAGTCTAAGCCCAGCTGATGATACCTTCGCTGCTGACACTGCTCCACCGCACCAGATACTGGCCAAACACTTTGCACTTTTGTTGCTGGATAATGAAGCAACTATATTAAAAGACGTTGAAGCATCTGGTGGTGCGCTTGGTCCAGCATTAGCACACTATATTCGTTGTTCTAAGCCAACGAAGTCATTTGCTCAGGTTTCAGCTGCTTCGGGAATCCCACTCTCCAATATCCAGCTGCTGGCCAGCCACCTTGTGTACTGGAGACGCGCAAGGGCTATCCCTCCTCTCCACCAACGGGATACATACATTGTATCTCCCAATTGCGATCTGAGCAAGCTTGAAGCTGCCACCGCTGCTTATGCAGCGGCCTTCCCAACTCTTCCTAGCCTGCCAAAGATGCTGTCTGCGCTCAGCCGTACGCCACGCCCATACGGGAGCTTCATACCTAGCAATGATCACAAGGAAGCCTACTTCGCTATTCTGGCATGGTTGTTGCGAGGAGGTTGGGTCACTCAGCTCAGGGCTTTCGCGAGGGTCAAGGTCACTCCTGAGATTAAAATGGCGGTGGAGATGGCCATGCGAAGGGAGGAGATGGACAAGCTCCTTTCCCAGCATAGGATATCTTCCAGTCCGCTGGAGGATGGAGACGGGTCTGGCAATGAAGATGACAACGGCTCCTCCTCTTCCTCGTCCCTGGAGAGCCAAGCAAGTGGGCAGCAGACCCCAATACCTGGCCGTTACGGGTCCGAACGATCAATGCATCTTTCACAGTCGCTCATCAATCGGGATATGCACATGACCACGTCATCCCTTATCCCTTTCCCTCATCGTGCATCTCCTCTGGAGTCTCGATGGCTTGATGAGATCATGGCACGCTTCCCAGACCGAACTGGGTCCGACACCACGCGAGGATTGGTAAATGGCGGTACTGTGGGTGCTGATGTGGACGACAACGGGTTTAACGAGTCCCTGAAGAAGTACTGGCCTTTATTTACTAAGTATTTCAATGGGCATGACGCCCTAGAGAAGATCCCTGTGCGAGAGGGACTGAAGCGAAAGGTCGTTTGGCATATGCTTATGCGCATGGGGCTGAATACCGGACAACCAGGCTTCGACCCTGACCCACGAGAGAAAGTGCTGGTCAGTGTGAGACATTGGTAAAAGCAGGGGCATATTCTGTCTGGCTTCTCTATAGAATGACTGTTTTTGCTTCAAATTTCTGCTGTGTTTTTGAAATTGCCGGATTGGCATACGTTTTGGTCCTTTCCTTTTTTTTAATCCTCTGGGGTCATGTCCCGGAGCTCTATTGTGATATTATACCCATAACTACTGTATACTTCTTGATCTTTTGGCGCTGAAATTGCACGGTGACTCTTGGGATTTGACACTCAGCTCTCAATTGAATTTCCAACTTCTCACGTCGAATCCGGGTGCACAAAGCGGTTGCATATGGAATTGTTCACTGCAAGACCTACGGAATACAGTTTACATTGTTTGGCGGCCATGCTGGTGGTAATTCGGCAAAACTATTATCAGGTATTAGATAACTCCCGGGAAAATGGAGGCCGGACAGCTGGAAACATGGGATTTCCCGGGAAAGCACCATCGCGGCCATAAAAATTGTTGGGGGAGATGGCTTGCCACATATCGAACGGACAGAGGGCAGTGTACGTCGTTCAATGCAGAAACTCGGTATAGATCTCTTCACTCAATCTCCTGGTGACGCACAGTATCGTATGACAGCCGAGTTTGAGTTTGTCTTGCACGCAAACAGATAATCAGAACGCCATCATCACATCGCGCACGGTAGCCCCGCAACTGGGGCTTGAGCCCTGAAGGAGATCCGACCTTTGTGCTCTGAGCAGTGAGCTCCCCGGGAAGCGAGCTGACGTCTAAGTTACTACAGTAAGTCTTACCTGGCAACGCCCGCGACAGCCCGCGAACCTATGCCCTGGATAGGGGCGCTTCCCCGGGGAGAGACCGATACAGTTTCAAAAGGCTCGCACGTACCTGATCATCGCGCATCACTCTTACTGTTCGGAGAAAAGACAGACAAGCCTTCTTGCGGAGTCTGTCCCGACCAGATCAGGAAAAACCCCATGACTGTCACGGTGATGGCTGGAAGCCTGGAACAGTGTGGCAATAATAATGACCCAAGGCGTTTAGACGCCATAAAAAGAAAACGTGGAGAAGTCAAGGTCTGCATCTGCCATCTACGGAGTACTGTACTCTGCATGATGTGGTAGAACTACTACCTACCTACCATACTAACAATCTTTCATCTTCCGGGTCTAGAGGAATTAGCGCCGGAAAAACCAGCGACACGTGAGTATTTACATACATGTACGCCGTTAACTATTATTGTGATTATTATTATTATTATTACTACTGCGAGGACCCTGGCAGGGATGAACGTATCGATACTCGTCCATTCCAGCAATATGACAAAACCTGTGCAAGGACCATGCTCACGGGTTTACACCGAGGGCTCTGAAATTGGAAGAAAAGACTAGCCATGCCCCCGGCAATATATAGATGAGGGATAAGAACCGCGTCCCGCGCCTAAGGTGGGAGGAGATATTAATCATGGCTTGCTCAGCTGTTCTGCTCCTCCTGTGGTGGGACCCCGCGCGATGAAATGCCGGAGCTTTCCCTAAGGACCCTGAAGAAAAGGCGCATTCCGTAATAATTATTTCTTTGGGCACGACCTTCTTGAATTTTTTCCCTGAGACAGATAATGATACGACCCTACAGGGATGTAGCAGGACTTGCAGGAAAACGCCCTCTCCTGATTTCCACCGCGCGGGGGTTGAGTGAGGGGCCAAATGCAGCGACCTACTAATACTTTTTACAACGATTATTATTACTCCATAGTTACTGTATGGAATTTCCTTCAATGAATCTCTTGTTAAGCGGGCTATCCATTGTCGCAGCCCTCGTTACTTGCTAATGATATCAATCAATGGCTGAGATGGACGCCTGGGTAAGCAGCACATTGAGTATGGTGCAACAGGGCAGGTATTGCAGAAGATACCTTTCGCGTCTCGACAATTGATGACGGGCCTGGCGAAAATAAAACGGTCGCTTGTGATGGGACGATAGTGCACGCGAGAAAGTGTTGCTTACTCTCTCTCTCTCTCTCTCTCTCTCTCTTTCTCTCTTTCTCCAAAATAATGCACTGCAGTCCAGCATAGCAACCACCGCCACGCGCTGGCGTTTTCTTATCTACATTGAATTGGTCGATGCATCTGCTACGCCTATTAGTTGGCCTCGTTATTTCGAGAGAAGTGCCTGATCAGTAGTGGTATTATGATTATTATTATTATCCCGAATTATCAGGTCACAAAGAGCTGTTAATGAGCAAAAATAAGCCCCTCTCTGTCTGCCAGCGGCCCGACAACGGTAAATAGGTAAGATTGGTATGAGTGTGTATAAAGACGTATTGGATACTGTATGGAACGAGGGGTTCTGGTACGGGATTTGGTACGACCGGGCGTATTGGCCATACCGAGACCGCCGGGTACCTGGGAGATACGCAGAGATCAGGCCAGGACAGGCCAAGTCGTGCGGTATTGCCTGAGTATTGCTCGGTACCAGCAGCGATGGTTCCGCCAGCGCCCGCGCGAGGCTGCGTAACTGCGTACTGTCCAGTGACCAGCTCGTTACCCACAGAGAAAGAGAAGGCCGTCTCTTAGTCCATTTTGGTGCACCGCGGGCGTTCGGCAACCCAAGAGAACATAATTTCCTAGCTTAACGGGAGGCAGAAGACTTTTTTTTTTTTACTTTGCGGATTCCACAATAATACCTCGTCCCCGAACCTCTTCCTCGTCCCTTTCTTCTCTCCAACAACCCCTCGTCGTACTTTGCCCTTTTGTTCACGGCCCTTGTACGTCTTTTGTCGACGTCCCCGTCGGCTGCTGTTGGCGTCCGTGCTGCTGAGGTTAGATTCCTTTTCCGTGTGCCCTCATCCGTCTCGGTCTCTCGATCTTCCTTCACACCAACATCTTTGCTGGTGTGGGACTGGACTGATTACGAGGGTTTCGTTCCTCAGCACTCAAGTGTCTCGCGAGTTTGCTTCGACTGCACGTTCGACCGTCGTCTCTGCACTACTAAACAATACTTTGTGGTAGTGTCGACTGTGCCGTCCGTCACCGTCACCACGTGCAACTCGCGCTCTCACTCTTGCTTTACAGGGGGACAGCGCTCCGAACGTTCCATCAGCAGCTTGCGTGCCTTTTCTGGTGTCGTTAAAACTGCTTTGTCTGTTCAACAATCACACGTTGCGTTGTCTCACTCCGCATCCCAGTGACCGGCCACTTTTTTTTTCTCGACGGGCAGATTCGCGTGTCGGATTTTTGTGGACAGAGTTCAACGGGTTTCGACGAAGGTCCTCGACTCTCTCTTTCTCTCAGGTGTTGAATCAGACAGTGTCTCCCATCATCTGTGCAAAGGATCACCATCTGGCCGAGAAGGATCATATACCCTTACAGTGCCAGTCGGACAGAATCTAGGAGGGTTTGATAGCAACCATATCCATGCAACCCGGATATTAATTCGCTTTTTGTGAAAGACCAACGTTCCGCAACGCCTTCGCCACAGACGAAGTATACCGATTCCTTTGCTCGACACCTCTACGGCTATTCGTGTCTATCAACCATATAACCGAGTGGGAGTTTCCTAGTTGGACAACAATAAACGGGGTTCGCAGATTGGTGGGGTTGCCTGAGGGCGGAAATAGGTGTCACTGATTCCGCCGGTGCGAAGCAATCTCGACTATAGTCGGTGCGCAGAAATCCTTCCGGTGGCTGCTATACGAAAAATCCCTTCGGTCTTGGTGCGCAGCGTCGGACCATTCTTGGACATTACAGTTTTTCCGTCGCTATGGCAGCAATGGCGAGCAAACCAGAAATGCCTACTTTCTCATACGCCCAGGCAGCTAAGGGCATTGTGTCAACACCTACGACGCAACAGACAGCCAAATCCAGTGCTAATCAGAGCAAACAAGCTTCTAATGACGACTCGAACGATAGCTCAGTTCCTGCGACCAGGTCAGAGGTAAAGGCGGACACGGAGAATACAGAGTCCAAGGTCGAACGAGAGACTGAATCTGCCGGCCAGCAGCAAGCTTCAGCAGGTTCATCAAAGAATATCGTTTCTGGAACTTCTTCTCCTAGCCTCGGTACTGCCTCTACTTCGACGCTCACAAAGGACGATGACGCTTCCGTCACTCCTAACGGATCCTCCGACTCAACGTGGGATAAGCAGTCGCAGGCTTCTGTGCCTGTTGAGAAGGCCAACCAGACAGCTGAGGGAACCCAGGAGAAATCCAACGGCGCTTCTGAAAAGGCGCCCTCCCCACCTAAGGAATTGAAGGCCGCACCCATCCCTGCGGTTAATGTCTGGCAACAGAGGAAAGAGGCACAGGAAGCAAAGGCCAAGGCCACTGGTACCTTGAAGCCTACAGCTTCGGCCGCCGCCAAGGGTGGCGCCGTGAAATCTGGTGCAGACCAAGATCCGTCGAGATCCGGCCCCAAGAAGAAGGCCGATGGCGCTCCTGAGGGAGCTGGCTCTCAAGTAAGGGATCGCAAGAAGACCGATGGAAGAGGACGTGATGAGGGTAAGTTGCCATCTTGTAGCCAAAATCTATATGGTCCCTAGCTAATCAAGAATTGAAGGTGCGAGAAAATCCGGATTCCGTTATGGCGGCGCCGTCTCAGCTGAAGGAGCACTTCCACCGGTTGGTGATGCTGCCTTGTGGCCGACCCCGCAGACTGCCCAGGGAGAGGAGAAGAGGAAAGCTCAGGAGAAGAGCGAGAAGTCTGAAAAGACTGAGAAGAGTCCCGGAGTCAGAACTCATGGCAAGGAGAAGTGGACACCTGTGCCATATGTCCCAACCGCTGTTTTCAATACGCCCTTGCCCTCTGGATCACGCAGAGGTGGAAGAGCGTCTCGAGGTGGAAGAGACGGTGGCCGTGGAGGAGCTCACGGTGCCGGCGCTGCTGCTGGAGCAGACAAGGCCGCTCCAGGCCAAACGGTGCAGGGAAGCGCCTCTAAGGTGGCCGCTGCTGGAGACAGAGGCCGAAACGAGCCTAATGGTACTAGGGCAAACTCCCTGCCAGCTCAGACCCGGAGGTCGGACAGTACGGATGCTGCGACTGCAACGGAGCAGCGTAGATCTTCTCAGGCACCAGAGCGAGCCCGTGGTGAACCCCGGGCAAAGGGCTCTGAGGATACGCATGGAGCCAACGAGGGTGCACAGACCAATGGCACGGAGGGTTTCCCACGAAAGTCCTTTGGCAAAACTCATGAGCCTTCTCACAAGGGTGCTGATTACCACTCGCGGAGCATCCACGTTCCCGGAGACTCCCATAATGGTCGTTTCAGCTCCAGCCACGAGCGTCGCTTTGATAACGGTCCGAAGTCTGCGGACGTTGCATCATTCCCTCGCGAATTCCACAGTCACCGTGATCACCCCAGGGAGCGAGGCGACTCGCGCCCAGAGCGCGGCCGGGGTGCATACAGGGGACGAGGTGGCCACGGCTCCTATGGAAGCTCCCAGAGCTCTCAGTTCCCTAACCCTCACATTTCGCACCACTCATTCATCCCGAACAAGTCGTTCAACTTCGACCGCCAACGTTCGCAGCAAGGGCTCCAGAACGGACAGTCTCACAACCGGATGTCCATTCGCTCCCCCTCGCTACCCAACACGGCCGCTATGTACGGCGCCTATCCGGTTCCTGCTGACATTAACACTGTGTATGCTTATCCCCCGGTGCATCCTGGTCCTATGACTGCGATCCCGTACCAGCCATACATGGAACCGTTTTCTCTTATGGGCATGATCTCTATGCAGCTTGAGTACTACTTCTCCGTGGACAACCTTTGCAAGGATATCTTCCTCCGGAAACACATGGACTCTCAGGGTTTCGTTCTCCTGAGCTTTATTGCTGGCTTCAAGAGGGTCAAGACTCTGACGGAGGATTTCGAGCTTCTCCGCCATGTCGCCCGTCAACTTCGCAATGTGGAGTACCAGATCAGCGAGGACGGCGTTGACAGAGTTCGTCCTAGAGAGAGATGGGAACAGTGGGTTCTCACCATTGATCAGCGTGACCCCTCCGCGCAGAATGAAGGCCCTCCACCTGCCAAGTCTTATCCGCCGGTGGACGAGAATGCATCCCACTTTGAATATGCCGCCGCTCCCTATGTCAACGGTTCTGCCTCAGATGGTTCGCATCACGCCTTGACGAATGGTACGAAGAGCAAATTGCTCTCCTCAACAGCGCCGGAATTCTCCCCGTCTGGGAATTTGACGCCTGTGACTGCTCAAGATGAGAATGCGACTGTAAGATCCCCCGCTATCCTCATAAATTCCCCTCTGGAAACCGGTCGGGGATATGGTACTTGTGATGTCGGCTTGCTCTGAGTATCTTATACCGCTATCTCCAGTCGTCGCCTGTTTTACGTTCGAGCTAACGTATGATTATTAGAAGTCGGAACAGTGATCCATAGAGATTGCATTCTTTCTTTGGCTGATATGGCCTATTGATTTAGGTACATCCCATTTCGAAAATTGTGACAAGGTAAAAATCTAATTTCGAACAGTTCAGCGAAATGTGGATATGCCGATACGTTAGCGGATCGGCTCCGATGTGTTTATGTTTGCAACGATCTGTGATCAGACTTAAGACTACGGCTACAAAGAAAGATGCAGTGATTGCACCGCTTTCTTTCAAACCCTTATTCTGCAACACTTTTTTTTCGGATGAGGCCTTGAGAAAATGAAATTCAAGGGCAACCTGCGACGGCGACCATTATACGCCCGTTTTATACGAATTCTGGTCGTATTTCTTGATTGAAAATTTGAATGCAAAAATGTACAATGAATCTAGGGGTCTTAACCTTCGATGATATTTCTCAGGGGAGGCGCTTCGCGGACCCGGCAGTTCTATTCGATTTCACCTTACTTTAACTGCAAGCAGTCGATAATGCCGGTGACATTGCAGAGGACCTGGATTACTTGAGTTCAGCCATGTGTTTGGCCGGTTCATGTCTGGTGCAAAAGAAGAGATCGACTCGAGGCATCACAGGCCGTCTGAGCTTTTCTCGATGCAACTTTGAAAGCCAACCTGAAGGGATGATTTCGATATATCTTTTTTTTAACTTGTTTGTTATGACCTGCATCCTTCTAGTTTTGCATTTTATTTGTGCGAGGCGACGGAATGGCATCGCACAACGCAAAGAAGTGCAACATGCGCATATCCGCAACCTCGATCTGTTCTTCGTCTTTATTTCTTCTTTCAGTCATGGGTGGTTCAAGTATTCGTGGCGTCCTGGTATGATTCACTGGGGCAGATAGCATCTCCCACCTTCCTGGTCGCTTCTGCGCCGGGCCAAAAATTTCTGCTTTTTCCCCATGACCATAGAGACATTTCTTACTATCCACTTCGCTAATCTGTTTATTATGTCGCTGCTGTTGTGTTCCGGAATTAGCGAGCATAAGCATGAAAAGAAAAAAGAACAAAAGCTCAAGCGGGGATCCGATCTGCTTTCAGAAAAAAGAAGAAAACCCACTCTGTCACAATATGAAATTCAACAAAGAAACGAGAAAGGCTAGTTTGCTATTTCTTCCAGCCCTTTCGTGGCTCCCTTCGTCCAATGCGGAGAACTTCCACGGGGTACCCTGCTGCCTTCTTCTGTCAGGGTGACTTATGTGAGGCGTTAAGTCGAATGTTTTGCATAGCAGGAGTCGATGTATCTACAAGCGTCTCTTTCGTCGAGCTTGATGGAGACCTTGAACATCTGTATGTGATGGCGAATTGATCGCGTATTGGGCCCGAGTCACGGGTGCTGTCTCTCGTTCTTAGTTTACGAACGGTCTATCTCTCTCCTCAGTCCCTCATCGTCTCTGGCTCGGTCTTTGTCTCTGTCTTGTGTGTAGTGTCTGGGAATTTCTAAAGGCAAACCGGCAGGCCTGCTGCCGTCTTTCCCCAGCTGGGCTCTATTATATGGTGACCGCGTTGTCCCTTGGGCGGGGGAGTTTATACCGCCTTGGTCGTATCTGAATACAAAAAGCAAAGATAATCGAAGATACAATAATAATTTGCGAATATATTGAGCTATTCCGACTCTTTAAATTAATTATACTACGAAGCATCACAAAAGTACTGAGCTTAGCCGGACATATTGTTATTCCGCGCCCGCGCAATGCCGCGGCGAACGACGAACGACTGGAAACTCCCCAGGCAGCTCTGCTTAGTCCTCCAAACGGCCGAGCTTGTCCAGCCTCCGCATCTCGGTGTCTCCTCACCAACCGTGACTTCACCCTCGTTTCTGGACCGCAGGTTCTACCTCTATTCATGATGGAGGCGGCCGCTCGGTCATTGACGCTACTTCGGTCGCCCGACAATTGCTCCAAAGCCCTGCAGCAAACCGCCAGGAATAGCCGTCTCTTGCTTGCAGGCACAAGACCGACATCGACATATGGGCTCACCAATGTCCGACGAAGAAACCTGACCTCATCCTCTCAATCCCAAGCACCCGACTCTTCTCTCCTCAGCTTTGCCTCCGGCAGCTCTTCCTCTTCCTCCGGGGGTGTCCCGACCACATACTTCTCGCATCGCTCATCCCTCCCTGCAAACACCATCATCCGCTTCGTTCCCCAGCAGACGGCATGGATTGTCGAACGGATGGGAAAGTTCAACCGGATCCTTGAACCGGGTTTGGCTATTTTGATCCCGTTCATAGACCGAATTGCCTATGTGAAGAGCTTGAAGGAGTCGGCGATTGAAATCCCGAGTCAGAATGCCATTACGGCGGATAATGTGACGTTGGAGCTGGATGGAGTGCTCTATACGAGAGTTTTTGATGCGTATAAGGCTAGGTAAGATTGTTTTCTTGAATGTCGATTGCGGAACTGTCCGTTCGGACTGTCGACTCGCTGTGATGCGGTTTCATGTTGCATAGTGAAAGCACGAGTGTCCTATATAAAGCCATAGCTAACTTATTTTAAATTCAATAGCTACGGAGTTGAGGACGCTGAATACGCCATCTCCCAACTTGCGCAGACGACGATGCGTTCCGAGATCGGTCAGCTTACGCTCGACCACGTTCTGAAGGAACGTGCGACATTGAACACCAACATCACCCAGGCTATCAATGAAGCGGCGCAGGACTGGGGTGTTGTTTGCTTGAGATATGAGATCAGAGATATCCATGCCCCTGAGGGAGTCGTGGCCGCGATGCACCGTCAGGTGACAGCTGAGCGTTCCAAGCGGGCTGAGATTCTTGAGTCCGAGGGTCAGAGACAGAGCGCGATCAACATCGCAGAGGGTCGCAAGCAGTCGGTTATTCTGGCTTCAGAAGCTATGCGCGCGGAGCAGATCAACCGAGCTTCCGGTGAAGCTGAAGCTATCCTTCTGAAGTCCCAGGCTACCGCAAGGGGAATTGAAGCTGTTGCGAAGGCCATCCGCGAGGGTGAGCAGAGTGCACAGAGTGCAGTTAGCCTCAGCGTCGCTGAGAAGTATGTTGATGCCTTTGGTAACCTTGCGCGCGAGGGCACTGCCGTCGTGGTGCCAGGAAACGTTGGTGACATTGGCGGCATGATCGCAAGTGCTATGGCTGTCTACGGCAAGGTCAGTGAGAGCCAGGCAAAGGCTTTGGCAGCTAAGGCAATTGGTGTCCAGACGCCTGCTGAGGAGCCTGCTCCTCAGCCTAAGCAGGACCAGCACACCGAAAGTGAGTTTGGAACTACGGAGGAGGCATCTGATGTCGGATCTGGAGTCGGACAAAGCGACGTCGCGAAGAGCGTTCTTGATGGCTTCGACGAGGCCAACCAACAAAGGAGATAGACGGCACAGATGGTCCATCTCCTCAAGCGTTCAGGAAAGCCACGCATTTGTATGACCTTTTCCCTTCTGCATCACTGTGTTGTAACAGAGTTAGTTTCCTTATTTCCATTTGGCCGCCACCCCATCCTTTATCTCTTAGCATCCTCTCTGGGAGTCCGTGTATGAGCAGTACTTCAGCGACGACATGAACGTCGAGCGTGCATACTGGTCAAACGGTCTTCTGGTACCTTTGTATATAGCACCCCCTGATCAGAGATCTAAAAGGAGTATAAGCGGAATATGTACGTATAACATGTTTTCAAGTCGTGTCTCAGTCCAGAAGTAGACGGACATCTAGTTCCATTTTATTCCACATTCACTCCAGGATAACTATCATCGCCCTCTGCTGTCACCGTTAATTAAGCGCCCTTGCGTAACCAGATATCTCTGAACCATTCCGATTGCCTGCCTGCAGCCGCTGGCGCGGTGGAGCTCGGGCCAACCACTCCCGCGCGAGGAAAGCTGGGGGGGATCGCGACTTTTTGAGAGCAAGCAAAGCCGCCTTTCATTTAATACCAGAATCATTCCTGCCTTCCATCTATCAACCGCAGGCCTTGCGTCCAGGAGCGGGCATCAAGCATCCTCAAGCCGCATCTCTTCAATCCAATATAACTACACGCCCAGCACGAAAGAAACCAACGGGAACGTGCGATCGATCGGTTTGGTTTTGCGATGCTCCAACTAAGCTCCTCGTCCTCCACGTCAACTATTCAGTGATCGTCTCGATACCTACCGGAATCCCCGAGATCCGCGCGCGCGCAGAAACGATAATAGATAATAATCAGTAAAGCGCCACCAGCCAGTTGTCACGATGCATATCATTAAGCCCGTGTGGCTTACACATGGAGGTATTTATTGGGACTTTTCTATAGCGGGAGGAAGCTTTGGGGAGAGAGAGGGGGGGTCGTTTGGTTAGACTGCGTCGAACGATTTTTTGCTAACGTGTGCCTTTTTTTGCTCTTGGATAATAGGCGAACGGAAGGATTTCGAGGTCTATAGTTGTGATGTGTCTCCGGATGGTAGTCGATTGGTTACGGCAGCTGGAGGTGAGATGATATGATTCTATGCGGACGCCCTTTTTTTTTCGTGATTTTGTCTCGTGCGCGAGGGGATCCCGTTTCGCGATATGGGAATTTGTTCTCCGCGCGCCCTTCGTGTACATGGATGAGATCAATGTTCTGACGAGTTGCTTTCTGGTATAGATGGATACGTTCGGATATGGTCTACGGAGGCCATTTACAACGCTGCCGACCCTGCCTACGCCAGCAAGCCAAAGCAGCTGGCTTCCATGAGCAACCATTCGGGGACAATCCACACGGTTCGGTTTTCGCCAAATGGGAGGTACCTTGCGTCGGGAGCGGATGATAAGATTGTTTGCGTATATACATTGGATTCAAACCCGCCCTCGCATGCGTCGACGTTTGGTAGGGACCTATGACCTTCTCTGTCGCAAGAGGCCCCCTGGCTGACATTGTGTTTCTGTGCGGGTTTAGGGACGAATGAAGCGCCTCCGGTTGAGAATTGGCGTACGATACGAAGGTTAATAGGGCACGACAATGATGTGCAAGATCTCGGCTGGTCGTACGATTCCTCGATCCTCGTCTCCGTCGGTCTAGATTCCAAAGTCGTTGTCTGGTCTGGGCATACATTTGAGAAGTTGAAGACTCTGTCGAATCACCAGAGTCATGTTAAGGGAATCACATTTGATCCGGCAAACAAGTATTTTGCTACCGCAAGTGATGATCGGACCGTGCGAATCTTTCGATTTACTTCTCCCGCCCCCAACTCTACCGCCCATGATCAGATGAACAACTTCGTTCTCGAACACACAATAATCGCCCCATTTGCTAATTCGCCATTGACTGCGTACTTCCGTCGATGCTCGTGGTCGCCGGATGGCATGCACATAGCTGCTGCCAACGCGGTCAACGGACCTGTTAGCTCAGTCGCCATTATCAACCGTGGTTCTTGGGATGGGGACATCCATCTGATCGGGCATGAAGCGCCGGTGGAGGTTTGCGCCTTTTCTCCGAGACTGTATTCCAGCCAACCGATCGATAAGCCGACGGTCGACAGTCAAGGTCATGCCATGCACAATCTGGTCACTGTTATCGCATGCGCTGGAGGAGATAAGTCATTGAGTGTTTGGATCACCAGCAACCCTCGACCCATTGTCATCACACAAGATATTGCATCAAAGTCGATCTGTGACCTTGCCTGGTCTCCTGACGGCAAATGTCTTTTTGCTTGTGCTCTTGACGGAACAATTGTCGCCGTCAGATTTGAGGATGCGGAGCTAGGATTTCCAATGGCTATGGAGGAAAATGAGAAATCGCTTACCAAGTTTGGAACAAACAGAAGGGGAGCGGGCATTCCCGAGACGACTGATGGCTTGCTGCTCGAGGAAAAGAGCAAGGCCGGCGAGATCAAGGATGTCGAGGGCAGGATGGGTGCCTTGATGGGAGATCATCATCCTTCAAATGAACCTACCAATGGAACTCCAGCGCTACCTACGACCAACGGTACAACTCCTGCTGGCGGTCCGTCTCCGTCCGCAGAGCCAGCAAAGGCCCAGACCAATGGCACAGCTGCACCGTCAGCTACTGAACCAGAGAAACCTGATCCATACCAGGCCAAGCTGGAGAGGTTGAAGCAGCGTCCTACATACACGAAAGAAGGCAAAAAGCGTATACAACCACTGCTAGTCTCAGGAGCCGGCGCGGCGCAGTCTTCTCTTCCCCAAGCCCGACTTATGGCTGCTACTGTGAGCAACCAAGCCAAAGCCGATGCACCGCAGTCCATCGTCGATCTCTCTAAGCCGTTCGATGCACTGCCAAAAGGCGGTCTGGCGGCGCTGCTGTTTGGAAACAAGCGCAAATTGGCACAGATCGAAGGCGATGAAGAGGGCCAGGTAGAAAAGCGCATAGCATTGGCAAGTCAGAACGGTGCGACGGCCATCCTTTCGAACACGGTAGATGGCCTTCTTCCGGCGCAATCGCAACCCCCCGTGACAGGGCAACAGGCTACACCGGAATTTATACGCCCTGCAGTGACCAACCCTTGCATGACTATCAGTCAGCTTCGACTAGCTGTTCCAAAGGTGCGCAATCAAATCGTGCGTGCCTTGGATGCCAATGGCGATCCTACGGAGCCGCCAAGCGCTTCAAATGATTCGAGCAAGTCTCGAGCGGACCTCGTTTTCGAGGCCCGGAACCCTCCGCCAGCAACGTTGACTGGCAGAGCGGCGGATCGAGAACCAGTCCGCATCACCTTGACTAAAGGTGACCAGCCCTTATGGCAGGATTTCCTGCCAAGAACCGTGCTTCTGGTGACTGGAAATGAGGGCATGTGGGCTGCTGCGTGCGAAGACGGTTCGATATATATCTGGACCCCTGCAGGTCGTCGACTTGTCAGTGCCTTGGTGCTTGAGGCTCAGCCGGTCATCCTCGAGTCCCACGGTCCTTGGATTCTCGCTATATCTGCGGTTGGCATGTGCTATGTCTGGAACGTAAAGACGCTTTCGTCACCGCATCCCCCAGTATCTCTCCAGCCTGTTCTGGACGCCGCTATACATACCATGACTGCACATCCGACGCCGGCACCCGCGATCACCAACGCGCGGATCAATTCTGAAGGACGTATCGTTGTTGCACTCTCGAATGGCGAAGGCTATACATACTCTCAGGCAATGTATACATGGCAGCGAATCTCGGAAGCCTGGTGGGCCGTCGGAAGTCAATACTGGAACACAACAGACGTCTCAGTCGGCAACATCCGGACCTCCGGTGCTGAGCAGGACAGCGAAACGAAGAGAACCGTCTCTGCAGGCATTATTCCGTTCTTGGAGCGGAATACGACGAGTGAAACACTGCTCCGTGGTCGGGCATACTTCCTACAGCGTCTCATCAAAGTTCTTCTCTCCCGGGAGGGTTACGAGAGTTTCGAGTCGAGTGTCTCCATTGCTCACCTCGAGAATCGTGTGGCAGCAGCGTTGTCTCTGGGAGCCAAGGAGGAATTCCGCCTCTACCTCTCGATGTATGCCAAGCGCATTGGGGCTGAAGGGCTTAAGCTGAAGGTCGAGGAGTTACTGAAGGCTCTGGTCGGCGGTATCTTCGAAGAGGAAGACGAGACGGATACTGTGCGGAAACTGCAGGCAAACGAAAAAGAGGGCAGGAACTGGCAGGATGGCTCTGACACTCTCTGTGGCTGGCCACGAGACGTCTTATTGAAGGAGGTGCTTCTAGCCATAGGTGAGTATTCTCTTTATTATCAAAGACCATTTACTACCGTGTCCGATTACTGACAACTCTATAGGTAAGCATCGGGATCTTCAACGGGTTACGGTGCCCTATGCAAAACTACTGGGGGTTCTGCACGAGGAGTCCGGTCAAGGAGATGCTATGGAGACCTAACAGGCGGTATTGTGTGGTTCATTTTTCTCTGGCGTTCATAAAGGCATTTACGGGAGAGCGAGGAAATGGGGTCTCTTTCAGTACGGGACAGGGCCAAGTCCTATTATTCTGCTACAGTAGGTTTTGGATGGTTTTTTCTGTTCTTCTTGTAGTTTGTAACATACCAATTGCTCCTCTACTTTCTTATATCGCGTGCGCATGTGTTTATGACTGGTGGCTACTTTTCTTCATCTGTTCCTTGAGCCTTTTAGTTCTGCTGTTTATCCAAGCTATTCTAGTTTTATTGACGCTTTGTCTTTCTTCCCTTTTCACAGGCAATGTACCCCAGTATAGTGCCTGGTGAGAATAACGGAATTGCCTCTTTCCAGCTTCCTGATGCTTGCAAGGCGGTGTGATCCAGCCATGCCTATCCAACATGTTATCCTGCTTCACTGTCTGTATCGACATCTTCCGCTCATGTTCACGTCACTTTACTGCAAGCAGTCGAACTGTGAACTGCGAGAACTCCTTTCATCTTCTCCATCTTGAACATACCCACTATCATAGCCCAATATGCTTATGTCTGTGAAGCATATAGTCCAGCGCTGGCTCAGCGACCGGCTGGCTATGCTTGGTGTCTCGACCTCCTATCTGGACTTCCCCTGGCCCACGCTGAGTGACGGCACTATGTTCCCTCGCGAATGGCTTGCCTTCTCTCCTGACACTTACCTGGGAATGTACGAACCTCGTATTGATCCTGCGGCAGAAGCTGGTATACGTGCCACTTCTCTGAGTCACTGGATCCTTCTGAAGATGCTGCTGTTGCTGGACCTCATTGAATACATTGCGAAGAAGATACGCGCTGTGATCTCATTCTGTCGTCTCCGTGCTACGAAGAGAAAGCTCCTTATGATGGCGATTCTTATGCTGGGTTTCTGTGCCTGGTTTACCTTCACTCAACGCGGTTCGGTCGTTGATGCTGAGAATAAGATGCTTGAACATAGCAAAGCTGGGTGAGTTTATCTATAGGTAATTATTGTAGATGAGAAGGAATGAAGCTAATATAATATAATGTTAGCTGAACGCAACTTCGACGTGGAAATATGGGACGAGAATAAGTCCAGTCTACTGTTTCAGTGGACATTGTGGAGGCCATGGAGGACCACTATGGAGTTCTTCTCTCTGATAATACATCAGATATGGTCAAATGGAAAGGACCTGGATGGGATGAAATGGACGGTTGGGAAAAGGCGTTTGGTGCTTATAACTGTGAATTCTTCTATTTGTTCTTTACGATACGCTATTGAGGGGGGCTCTCAGCATATTTCTATCTTGAAACAAGATTGAACAGGAAGGTCTTCCAGCATCTTTGTGGCTTAAATTAACATGCAACTAGTGTGCTTGCAAAATGCATATCATGGTCTTTTCAAACATAGGATCTAGTTATCTCCTCTACTCTGATAGTAACTAGTAAAGATGCCTAGGGCAGACTGGAATCACATGACTACCTATCAACCGCCAACCAACGATCTTCTTCCCACGGAACTTTTTCGTTGCCAGCAAAAGAGAACGCGCCTTTTCTTCTGATTTCCCCTCACTTGCAGACTCTAACTAGAACTAATAATCAAGGCAACTTTAACGAATTATTGCCCATCACACCTTACTCTTTACCCCGCCACTCTTCTACTTAGCTTTGGTGCAGCCTGTCTCTGCGGGTTGCCCCTCCTCTGGTTCACCACGTCTTCCCTCCAGTCTTCCCTCTTCTTCCTTTCTCTCCCCCTCCGGTTGGCACGGTCTGCAGCTGGTCCTGCTCTTGCATCCCATCTCAAGCATTGTGCCCGGCCGACCCCTCCCTCCGCCTTCCCGCCTTTCCTCTCCTCCTCCTCCTCCACCTCCACCACCTCTTTAGCCTCCCACCTTTTTATCTGTCGCCGTCCCTATTCCAGTAAGAAAAAGGGAAAGAAGATGGGTCCCAAGAAGGCCGTGAAGGAAGAAAAGGTGCTTCTCGGTCGTCCGGGGAACAACCTGAAGAGCGGTATCGTATGTGAGACTTGCCGAACTAAATTTTTTTCTCTCTAGCCTCTCTCTCCCCTTTACTTATTTATTCCCACCGCTCCCACGCACACACAATTTCTTCTCTTTTTTTTTTTTTCTTCTTTATCTTTTCTTGTCTTTTCTTTCTTCCTTCACGACACTTCCACAATGTGAATTCGTCGCGCAGCACTGAAACTAATAATAATGTTCTCGACTCCAGGTCGGTCTCGCCAACGTTGGCAAGTCGACGCTCTTCCAGGCGATCACCAAGTGTTCGCTGGGTAACCCGGCTAACTTCCCGTATGCCACCATCGACCCAGAAGAAGCGCGTGTCATTGTCCCTGATTCCCGCTTCGACTGGCTGTGCGAGCACTATAAGCCCAAGTCGCAGGTGCCTGCCAACCTGACAGTCTACGATATCGCCGGTCTGACGCGTGGTGCTTCGACCGGTGCTGGTCTGGGAAACGCTTTCCTGTCGCACATCCGTGCCGTCGATGCCATCTTCCAGGTGGTGCGATGTTTCGATGATGCAGAGATCATCCACGTCGAGGGTGACGTCGATCCCATCCGTGATCTGACCATCATCAGCGAGGAGCTGCGCATCAAGGATATCGAGTTCGTCGAGAAGGCCCTCGAGTCCCTGCAGAAGCAGACGAAGCGTGGTGGTCAGAGTTTGGAAATGAAGAAGCTGAAGGAAGAGGAGGCCACCGTGGCTAAGGTCCTCCAGTGGCTCAAGGACGGCAAGGATGTCCGCAAGGGTGACTGGACGCCCAAGGAGGTATGTGGTTAATACCTTTTTTTTGGTCTATTTTTTTTGCTGCGCTTTATTATGATGAATAAGAGCTTTAGCTCGATAATATAACCCAGCTCGTCGAGTGGCCTCGTTTCATCTCACGTTGAGGTCACATTGAGAAGAAACCCTACCTGATATGTGCAAGCACAAATGGATCATTATATTTTGTTGCCAATTTGCATTTCGCGCAGCATGTGCTGACCATGACGCGATTAGGTCGAGGTGATCAACCCTCTGTTCCTCCTCACGGCTAAGCCCGTCGTCTACCTGGTCAACCTCAGCGAGAGGGACTACATCCGCCAGAAGAACAAGTATCTTCCCAAGGTCGCGGAGTGGATCAAGGAGCACTCTGCCGGTGACCCAGTCATTCCGCTGTCCGTCTCTTTCGAGGAGCGATTGACCCGCTTTGAGAACGATGCTGAGGCCGAGGAGGAGTGCAAGAAGCTGGGCACCAAATCGGCCCTGCCCAAGGTCATTGTGACCATGCGCCAGGTTCTGAACCTGGGCAGCTTCTTCACCTGCGGTGCGGACGAAGTCCGACAGTGGACTATCCGCAAGGGCACCAAGGCTCCTCAGGCCGCTGGTGTTATCCACACTGGTAAGCACATCCATCATAAGTTGTGATTAATCGTAGATACTGATGCTCTGTTCTGCAGATTTCGAGAAGACTTTCATCCAGGCTATTGTCTTCAACTTTGAGACTCTGAAGGAGTACGGTGACGAAGCCGCGGTCAAGGCCGCTGGTAAGGTCATGACCAAGGGCAAGGACTACGTAGTGGAGGATGGCGATATCCTGCTCATCAAGGCGGGTGCTGCCAAGGGTTAAATAGACATCACATCAGATACCATCTCAGCTCGGCTGAAGAAATCAATATTGACGTAACTAATGTCATCGGAAAAGAAGCAATATGACCATAACAGCCTGTAAATTACAACTTATAGAGTACATCAGCACAGGAGTCGTTATTCAATCTCTGTCTCTTTATCCATTCCAAACTGGAAATAGCATCATGGAGCGGAATATTATTTTATTTCTAGATTTCGTACATACTGTACCTTACCCAGTTTTGCTCTCTGCAAGTCCACGTGAGAACCCTAGCCCTTTTCCCCGCGTTGGCCGTGTCATGCCAGACGCGCAAGACCGGCAAAGGCAGGCAGTTCTCCGCCGCCGCAGCTCTTGCTGATAGTAACATTACCATTAAGATACCCCCCTCATTACCATTCTTCTTGTCGTTTGCATATTAAATTGAATATCGAAAATGTTCAAAAAAGAGTGAGTTCCATCCGCAAGAAAACCCACAGTTCATCGAAGCGCTGTTGTCTTTTTTCTTCTTGATTTTACCCCTCTTCCGATCTACAACTCCTTCCCCGATGAGAATTGGGATTGGGATTCATTTCCCTTCTTTTAACCCTTCTACTTTTCATATACTATACCCCCTGAACAAACCACAGTTGTACGAAGATGAAGAGAGAAAAGAACAAAAGGCTAATATCAATTTTTGATTAATGAAGTATATCCCCCGGCGCCAAATCCAAGGTGAAATCATCCGTTCAGCGCGGTCTACGCCAAAAGTTCCTCGAGACGTATCCTGGTTTCGAGCCTTATATCGATGAAGTCATTCCCAAGAAGGCGCAGTTGGATGCTATTAAGCTGTGCGTTTCCCCCTCCCTCCTAAGATTTATATACATATACATGTTGGGAGACTGGAAACAAAAACAAACTAACACCAACCAGTCCCGATCGCGCAACCCTCTACGCAATCGACAACACCCCTCTCTTCTTCCAACGTTTCGACGACCCTCCCATCCCCCACCTCCGTCTCCTCCACGCATACCCAGATACCATCCCCACGGTCCAAATCGACCGCGGCGCAATCCGCTTCGTCCTCTCTGGCGCGGCGCTCATGGCGCCCGGTCTAACGTCCGCGGGGGGACGTCTTCCTGAGAAAGAGCACGCGTTGCAAAAGGGGGACGTCGTGGCTGTGAAGGCGGAGGGGAAGGAGGAGATTTGTCTTGTGGGTCCGTTGACGATGGGGACGGAGGAGATGAAGGAGAAGGGGAAGGGGGTTGCGATGGAGCAGGGTCATTATTTGGGTGATGGGTTGTGGAATATGCATTTGTCGTGAGGAGGATGCGGGTTTGAAAGGGATGGAGTTGGTAAATGTGGCTCGAGAAAGAAAAAGGGGGAAAAAAAAAGAGATGCATCGTGGAGGCGTTGGGGTGGGTTTTGTTGGAAATGACCTACTTCTTTTCTTTTTTTTTTTTTCTTCTCTTTCAGAGAGGAACTTGGAATGATGGGAGATTTTCGGCTGCTGGTGATCGATTCATGGGGGTTTCGCTCGACCAGAAAATTATCTACCCCTCGAGGAAGAGTTCTACGGGGAAACGATTCTACTCACCAGGAGACAGAAGTGATCCAGTCCAACTAGCCATGGTCCGATGAGATTGTGGGACCATGTCAGGAGATATCCCAGCAATGGGAGCCTAGAAACTTGTCCTGCGTATTTGGAAGACAGGACGATATCTACTCAGAAACGTGATGAATTCATGAGCGCAGTTCTTTGCATCTGTTAATATTTAGAGAGAGAGAGAGAGAGAAATATGCCAGACCAAAATGAAAATACAAAAACGCCAACTTGCTTTAGTTACCAGACTGAATTATCTAACAGTGACTCTCAACATCGTCAGGAACGCCTCCTATACAGGCCACGAACATATCTATATATTTGGGGTCAGTGACAAAAGGAAGTGAAACATCAAAATCCCAAGTAAACTATCCCTTGTGGGACCTTTGTTTCTGCCAGTCTGCAGCTGAACATGCGAATCAAGTGCCAGGCGAGAAGCTACCTGAAATTAGGTCATCAACTGCACTGCTTCCCTGGCTTCGCAGATCTTCGTCACTTCTTCCCCGCGAAGGTGTGGCCATGGTGCCAGCACTAGTAGCGTCGCTTCCTCTCCTTCGCCGGTCGTATGCCGCGCTTGGGGATAGCGATGCCGTGGACACCGACGATGTGGCCGACAGTGGGATTCCCAGAGAAAGACCTAGCCCCTTCGGGCTGTTTCCCAAGCCATTCGTATCGCCGTTTTTAAAGCCCACGCGGGCAATCGCGCGCCGTAGCATGTCTCCGGATGCATCCAGAGCAATCAGGAATCTAGCCAGTTCTGCACAGAGATCCCATATGCCCTTTGCAGAAGCTAAGCTGAGCAGGCGGACAACATAGTCTTCGATTCGACCATCGCTTCCCTCTTCTTCGTCCTCGAACGCCTGAAGAACCAAAAGATATCCAACTGCCGTCTTCAAGGAGTTCAGTCTCAGCGCCTGCTCAAAGAGATCTCTGGGAGGCGGAAGATGGGCGAATAAGGTGCGCCACGATCGCAGTTCCGTCTTTCGCGTGCACTGGACAATAATATCAAGATAGACCCTCGCTGGTAACGAGGCCTGCAGGAAACCAATGACCATAGGTAGAAGTGGCTGAGATTTGTCGGACAAAGCCGCATCTCCGCTCTGCTTGTCCACATCCTCGTCCAAGACATGATGGAGAAGGACTTCAAGGGCGTGAGGGAAATAGGAGAGATGATTGAAATGGTAGGAAAGTGAGAGTGCCGAAGGCATATCACCACTGGCCAGATACTGCTGCAAAAAGTATGGGAGAAATAGATGTGTCTGGTGTGGGTTTACATCTGTCAGCGAACAACTTCGGGACAAGGCGAATAATGAACCAACATACCCGAATGGCGAACTTGAGCATCGTAAATGTCACATCGCGTCTTTGGATCAGTTCTGGCTCAACACCAAGAACGATGCCTTTGTTAAGAAGGACCGAAAGCGGATAGAAGTCAACCGGAACAGGGAGAGGCTTCGGTATATCTCCTCCCCGAAGAACATCTTGCACGTCACCCCATGCGAGGAGATCCTTTCCACAGAACATCCACAGCGAATCTCTTAACGATTGATTGCCGTGGTACCCGCCCAATGCTACCCCAACCGACGGGCTAGGTGGAAGAGATTCATCTGATGGCGGGGCGAAATTGAAGGACAACTGGTCACGCATCAGGATATAGTATTCCACATCCTGGGCTATAATGCGCATTTCGTATTTCAATTCACCAGTGTCAGATACTGAGGGCTGCAGCAAAACTAGATTCCCGTCTACCAACAGTAGAACTGATGCCACCTTGACATCCTGAGACGGGTCGCCATTCCCTTCACGTTGTCAGTCCAGTCATGCTACTATTAGAAGGCAATTTCACTCACGCAGTTGATCCTCTGGCAGAACCCAGCTGATCGATCGGACTCTAGTAGGTGCTCGCACGATACCGTTGAAAGCGATCTGACCCACAGGAACGAGCGTAACCCTCCCTTGCATAGAGCTAATGACATAGTGATACAAGATATTGTCGTAAGTGTAAACAAGAAGTGAATCCTCGCCAGACGGCCCAACGAAGACCGCAGGGGAAGGAAGGTATTCAATGTGAAGGATCGAGTTATTATTCAGCGTTCGCTCTCGTGAGTACAAGCGCAGCTATAGAAGTCAGTTTCATGGACACTCTGCAAAAAGTTGGGCAAGACTGGCATACTTCATATGAACCCTCATTGTCGACAGCGGCGATCAAAATATGTCCGTACCAGCACATCCCGCCTCGTACAGAAAAAGCGTTCTCCTGCTTCGGATCATCAAAAGTCTTCCAGCGTCCACTGCTGACACTATAATGTGCTAATCCGCGTCTGCCTGCGATAGCTATGTATCTTCCATCCTGGGAGACAACAGAGGACCGTATCGGCCACTGTGAATGTAGATATCCCGGCGGATACTGTGCATGATGCCATAACGAGTCCTTGCCAGATATAGTCATCAAATCGGGCAAGTCATGTCCACGGTAGAGAATGACCTCTGATCCAGTCTGCAGGAGAGCCCTGGCAAGATTAGCAGATGAAAAGCAGCCCGACAAAGCACTGCGTGCTGTTTCAAGGACCCAGATGCGACGATCATTCCGCCGCGAAAGAATCAGATCAGAGCCTCCACCAATCCAGCAACCCATAGAGACCCCAGTTAGCCAGTCTTCGGTGTTTGCGGCCGCCAGAGACCGATCTATTGAAAAGCTATTGCCACCAGGTTTGCCGAAAACACTCCAGCTTGTCCATCCGTGCTCGTACCCAGCGAAAAGGGAATATCCGTCAGGCGAGTAGCTCAAGAACATTAGTTCTCCCGTCGTAGAAGGCGAAGCAGGCAGTTGGAGTTTGAAGGAAAGAGGAACATTTCCTAGGTAATCCTTGGCTGTATACACCAAGATCTCACCATTGGCACAGCTCACGGCGAGTAGAGAAAACCGCGCATTTACTGCAACCTTGACCGCCCTCTGATCCTCCGTTTCCGGATTGTGAAAGCAATGGCCTCTGAACATCTTCTTTGGTTCTTCTGGGTCCTGCGAGCTCTCCGTAACTCGTTGCACCGCATAAGCCTGCCCGTCGCTCGTAACCCACAGCAGAAGACTCATAGCCCGATCATAGATCATCTCCATAATTGTAGTCGACTTTGGAACTTTCAATATACGGCTCAGCACCTCTGATGTCGTCTGAGTCCCACTCCTATCAGGAGTCCAGCGGATGCATTGAATGGCGGCCGGTTTAACAGTAGCAACAACTAATTCCTTGTCAAGAGCCAACGCTTTCGAGATACCGGCGTCAACCTTTATAGCCATTCTAAAACGGATACTAACATCGCAGATGCCGTTGGCGTCTTCGCGCCCAAAGTGACGGGGCAGCTGCTGTCGCCGAGGTTGAGTGGAGTGATTGAAGTGCTGCTGATAGACCTCCGTATTGGGGTCTGAAGCAATTGTGTATGTCAGGAGATACCCGAGCAATGTCTGAACGACCAGGATTGTCGAGTCTGGATGGAGCATAAGCGCCACGTTCGGACCGTATGTCTTCAGGGACAGCGGGGAGCGTGCAACGGCAGCAACAACAGCTGTCGGCTGACAATGAGTCAATACTGGAAACCACCTAATGGGAGATGACCTACTCTCGTCTGCCAAACTGCAATGGACGTCTCAGTCATTGTCGCGAACAGATGGCCACTCCGCGAGACGCAGAGACCACCGATCGGTTCGTCTGCCCACGCGGAAGCATTGATCTTGGACGGTCGTCTCCTCTCATGCTGGGCTATCAAATCTGCATTCTCTTGCGCATTATCGCCCCGAAGCTCTTCGTCCTCGCCGGATGGACTGGGCACAATCCCGGGGCCATTGACCGCATAGACCCGGGGTACTCCATTGGGCCAGTACATGGCTCAACACAGCTGAGTTAGTCACAAGGAGCTGGCAACGACGCTCACATCGGGTCATCTTCGTACGACGAGACCCTTATTCTGCCAGGTACAGGACAGCAGAGATCAAGATACTGCCCGCCATACCCAACTGGTATCGAAAAGCCGGAAGCAGAAGCAAGAGTCGTTGCAAGCTCAGCAATTGCCGCGCAGGGGGCAGCTGTCACGTGTTGATACGGTCATGTCGAAGCGTCTAGACGGCTTTGGGACTTTGTCACTTTGGGAGCAATAATATTTATTAATTCCAATCCCCCCCAACGAGCTTTTCTTCCCTCTCCAGCATATACAGTCGCGAGTGAAGCCACGAGAAATCCAAGGGTCGCCATGGTAAGATGCCTCAAAAGTCTGGTTCAGTCAATCGTCAAAAAATCAAGACTCCACCTTCGGCTTCACCCCGCAGACGCTGGTCAGCGCTGATAGTGTTTCTTTGTTTAGGCCCCGACAGAATCCAAGAAGCGCCTGGCGCTTGCCATTATCGACTTCCTCGGCGCGAGTCTGAAAGATGGCACTCTGACTGCTGATGACGCTGAGTCTATTGAAATTGCGCAGTCCTGTATCGCGGACACCTTCAAGGTTGACCCCAATGACGAGGCTGCCGTGAAGGACGCCCTTGGCGGCCAATCTCTCGCCAGCATCTACAGTGTCTACGAGAAGCTGAAGGGAAAGACTCCTGCTGCCTCCGCTACTGCAACTGAGGCTCCAAAGGCAGGTGAAGAGTCGAAGCCAAAGGCTGGCGCTCCCACTCCGGAATCCGATAAGCTGAAGTCCGAAGGTAACGCCGCTATGGCCCGCAAGGAATACAGCGTCGCTATCGACTTCTACACGAAGGCCTTGGAAATTGCTCCTGCAAACCCGATCTATCTGTCTAACCGAGCAGCTGCCTACTCTGCTTCCGGACAACATGCAAAGGCTGTCGAGGATGCGGAGCTTGCCGTCGCTGTGGACCCCAAGTACTCCAAGGCCTGGAGCCGACTTGGTCTCGCTCGATATGACCTGGGCGACGCCAAGGGGGCTGCTGAGGCTTACGAGAAGGGAATCGAGGCTGAAGGAAATGGTGGCAGTGAGGCTATGAAGAGGGGTCTGGAGACGTCCAGGAAGAGGATCGCGGAGATGGGCAGGGCTAGCAACGAGCCTCCAGCGGACGCTGTTGATAACGCCCCTGGAGCCTCTCGAGGAGCTGGCGGTATGCCAGATCTCTCTTCTCTCGCCAGCATGCTTGGCGGCGGAGGTGGTGCTGGTGGTGGCATGCCCGACCTGAGCTCAATCATGAACAACCCCATGTTCGCCAGCATGGCCCAGAACCTTATGAGCAACCCCGACATGCTAAACAACCTCATGAGCAACCCCCGCTTGAGGCAGATGGCAGAAAGCTTTGGCGGCCGCGGCGGTGGTGGTGGCATGCCCGATATGTCAGGCTTGATGAACGATCCTAGTATTGCAGAGATGTAAGCTTCTACTTGTCCTAACGAATACAGATTTGTCAACTAACAGCACCAACACAGGGCCCGAAACTTGATGGGAGGCCAGGGACGCGGAGGCCAGGGCCAATAATATAATCGCATATTTTAAGGGTTGGCAGTGGTCGGCTTTTGCTTGGAAGACCTCACGACATTTTCTTGTTCTCTTTCCTTCGGATGTTTATAATATATCATCAACTTCTAGACGCCTTACGATCCGGATGTCATCCCAGTTCAGGATGTCTGGCAGTGTCGCAAAAACAAAATGATATTAAAAGCAAAGATATAGTAACGATCAAATCTATCTGTCTCTTCAGTTATCTGCCCATAACTGCCGCTGATCCAACTATGGCGTAGTTTCAATGAAGCCAACACTGCATGCAGCCTGACTTGGATATTATCAGCGCTCAACGGCTTTAGTGGAGGCTACTACCCTATATAAAGGATACAGAACAAACAACATGAAGCCACTCACTTCCACCAATATAGAATCACAAGCAGAGACACCGGAAGTAGGAAATGCTCAGGAATAGTGGCGGGCAGCAATTAATTCAGATGAAGTCCGTGGGCATAAATAATCGATAGATTTCGATACCCTCTAACTCTTCAAGCAATTACGCTCTTATCCCCGTGTCTAATGCTATTCCAATCTCCTTGCTTCCGTGGTCTTGGATCTTAACAGTTATAAAAACCGAATTATCAGGATGTACGAGCATACGTTCCCACATTCCTCCAATACTATGTCTAACGTAGAGTACGTATTGCATTGTAATGTTTCTTTGCATTTTGTTTTCATTGATACATGATGAGCATCGATGGCAATCCAACACAGCTTCCAGAGACGACAAGGGTGGTAAGAACGCACTAGATAACAAAGATTAAGAAACGTCCCGAGATATTCGGGACGGGGAGGGGGAGAGGAGAGTTGGTGATCATGTGCTCTGAGGCAGGAGAAAATATAACATCCAAATACGCCACGATACGCCCAGAAAGAGAGGTCATGTTAGAGCTCTGCTGGCATGCTGTGCACCGTACCTCCACGAGTCTCGACAGATCATCCGGTCCTTTCTCTTCGCCATTGAACGAGGTAAGGTTGGGCGTTAAAGATACATGATTATGAGAAGAGTAGAATCCGATTAGCCAGTGAGGAAAATGTCGGTAAACTATAACAGATATGAAGGATATTTGCCCTGTTTTCCCTCCCGTAGGTCTAGAATATGGACACCGGATATTGTACAGTCGTAGATAAAACAATCACGAAACAAACGACGCCAGAAGCCTAGAATCGCTGAGATGAAAAGCTCTATGCAATGTCGTTTAGAATGTTGTGCGAGTTCGGAGATGAGACGAGCTGCGTACGCTTAGATGTAGTCTCTTCCAGCCTTCTGCAGCTCGATCAATCTCCATCCTCTCGTCTCTGGGTTGTTCACATCTTCAGGTATCCTCGTCATACCGATGGCATAGGTAACAAGTTGCACCTTGTCCTCCATGCCAGCAGCAAGCTCGTTGGTTTTGGCGTTGCGGTAAACATGGACTTCTTGAGAACGGCATGTGACGACGAAAACGGGGATATCACCAGGCTCCAACATACGGGCGTGAGTGACGTCGACGTTTCGGATATCGAGGATACGACCATCGGACTTGAGACCTGCAGTGGTATACTGCTGAGCCAAAGCAGCATAAACGTGAAACTGGGCATCAGAGAGCCAGAGTTTGAGTGTCTCGACGTCTCCCTTGACATAAGCATCCAGGACCTCCGGAAGGATGTACTCTCGCAGGTCCCTCAGGAAAGGCTCGAGTTGGAAACTGGGGTCCATTTCACGGAACTTCTTGATCACGCGAGCTGTCTCGTTCTCTGCAAAGAATCCGGTGACACGGTCGGAGATGCTGCGAGCCGTGCTGATCAAGGGATTCTCAGATTCGTTGTAGGTCTCCTTCAAGGAGAAAAGCCTCTGCATCACAGGGCTAGTGTCCCGGAACTGCCGCCATGACTCCTTCCAGGCGGCATCTTTGTGAACCGTGAGACTCGTACCAGCGCTTGAGAAACGTGTCAGCAACATAAGAATCGATGGACCTTAGGGACGAGGGGCTTATCTTACTTTGGATCTTCCTCCATCTTTTCGACTTTCCGGCGTCCCGACTTGGCCTCTGCCTCTTCGCGGAGCTGTCTTTGTCTGCGGCGCTCCTCCTTCTCAATCCATCCACCATAGCGAGAACTGCTACCGTCGTCGATGGCTTCTTTCACTCCACCGACAGCCGTCTTGTAAGCCTTTGTTTCTCTCACAGGCCGCGTGGCCTTGTCAAGTCCCTTTCCGGTAACAGCGACTCCCTTCCGGATTCCCTTGACGAGAGTGGTATCCCAAGTCCACGCGGCACCTTGTCCCAGAGCCTTTCCGGTGGTCTTCAATGCGGAAGCTGTCTTGGAGGTAGCGGCTCCGGATGCTGCCTCATAAGCTGCACGAGCCCTCTTAACCGACTCGCTCTCAGTAAACTGATGAGCAGAAGAGGCCAGAGCCTTGGTAGACTCGTTCCATTCCTTGGACTTCTTGAATTCAGAACGCAGAGTATCCGTGAATACTTGCCACGGCGTCTTGTCTCCGTGAGGCGGAGGAGGCGGAGCTTCGTCCTGCTTGCTGTCCTCAGACTTGCCGTCCTCAGACTTGCCCTCCTTGCCTTCCTTGCTCTCCTTACTTTGCGATCCCGATTCCGCTTCTTTCTTCTGCTCCCAGCGAGTTGCAGCTGCGTGGAATGGGCGTCTTGCAGGCAGAGTAGCCCATAACGACGTTAGCTGAGAGGCGGGAGGTTGGAGGAAGGTGGCAGAGCTGGCACTCTTTTGTCGGGAATCAGCAAAGAGCCGAGGAGCGGCTGTAGAGTATAGTTGAGCCTTGGTCAACAGGCCCCGGTATGCAATAGCGCCGCCATTTGCACTTCTGGGCGAAAGGAGCTGGTTTCGCATGAGAGCGGTCCTCGCTGCCGCAGAGGGACCGGCCTTGGTTGCGGATATCATGCTCTGCGGATGGGAATAGAAAAAAAAAAGGAAAAAAGGACTATTAAAAGAAGATGAAAGAGATAGCCCAGCCCACTGGAGGTTGACAAGGAAATAGCAAGTCTGGGCGCGTGCTGTATTGCTGTCGGCCGGAAAGCAGCTTTTGATGGCGGAAGAGAAAATGTTCAACTGCGAGATCGCAAGCGCGCCAAGACCCCAAACCGGTAATCCTTTCTTTACGAGTCTACCGAGTACTATGTATCCTAATATGATATATCCTAATAGCTCTGCTGAAGCTGAACACGGTGATCGAGTCATTTTCGCATCTAGTTCGATCTTCACTTCGGATCTGGTGGAATATTTTCCTGTCACGCTGGCTTAGAACTATCATTGAAGCTCATGTAGTACTTATTACTTCCTAGAGGTCTTTCGATAAATATATAGACGACCAACCTCAGACGAAAACGACTTATGCCTTCAATTATGTCATAAAAAGGCATCCCTAGCAGTGTATACAGAGGTTTACAAGAAATTCAAAATACATAATTCATCTTAGTTTTGAGCAAGGCGATCTCTTCGGGTGTGTGGTGTCTAATATTGTGCCTTAGAACACGTGAGGAACCTATCAATAGCATTGGCCCAGATAGTATCGACCATATAGATTAGACTGACACAGGATAATGTACGATTCAATCAGTCTTCCTCTTCTTGTGTTCACGATCTGGATGGGAGAATCCTGTGGTGATGTTAGATATAGTGCCTCAGGCATTCACACCGACGCCAAGACCCAAAAACTTTAGGCGCGATTTCTACAAGTCCAGAGCGAGTGTTGCTACAATCAGCCCCGAATGTGCTTTACTGTCAAGCCTCACACATTCTAGGTTCAAATCCTTTCTTTGTCAGGCAAGGCCGCGAGCCTGTGGACTACATATCCTTCTTTTGCCATCCATCTCAGATATCTTGTTGACCTCCGTCGCCTTTCGGACATTCGATACGTCCGACATCTTTCACGATGAACTTCCAAATCATGAACAGGCTGTCGGCAGCGCTGCCTTCAGTCTGCCAGAGATGTCAGATCCGCCTGACACCTTCGCAGCTACTGCGTCCATTTTCCTCCTCGCGACATATCAATGCTCAGCCTAACACAACATCGAGAGACAAGGGACAGGCGTTGGAGAAGCAGATTCTAGATACCGGAAACAGTCAGCCGTCGGAAGCCAACTCGCCACTGTCGAAGATTACACAATTGATGCAAGGAGAGAAGAGCGGCACGAGTCAGCCCGTGAGCCGTGATTACTTCCGCATGGCAGAGAGTTTGGAGGCAGAGATGATCAAGCATCCTTATGCCGACAGAGCTCCGCCGCACCACCTCCATATCTACGCCCACAAGCACAACACGATTCTGACTCTCACGAGACCGAATGGAAACCCGCTGCTGTCGCTTGGTTGCGGTAACCTCGGGTTCCGCAAAGCCGGTCGATCGGGTTACGACCCGGCATACCAGCTGGCATCACACGTCTTCGGACAAATCCAGGAGCGAGGTCTGCTTCTCGACATCAAGCGCCTAGAACTCGTCTATCGTGGGTTCGGCCCTGGACGTGAAGCCTTTACCAAGGTCCTGCTCGGTAATGAGGGCAGATACATTCGAGGCTTGGTTAGCCGCGTTACGGATTCCACCAGAATCAAGTTTGGTGGTACCAGGAGCAGGAAAGTTCGCAGACTGGGTTAATCTAGATGTCTATTCATTGTCGTCATGGACAAGACGAGCCATATCGATGGCGGTGGGCGACTCGGTTCTATCATCACTTTGTCATGCGGGTTATAGATGCCTTACCAACACGGAAGAAAACGGTGGAGTTATGTGCAACGTTCTTCTGGAGTAATTGTCCGCCTCTCTGGGCAGGGAACCGCGAGAGAACGGGATTTGATTTAGCATGTTCCTTTTCTTTTCTTGATCTGTACAGTATGCATGTAGTATAAAAGACCGGCTTGCGGACGGTGGAATGCCAGCTCTATCCCAACTACAAAATCCCCATTTCATTTTTACTAGATCCAAATGCTGAAGAATGTAATATTTTATTTGAATCAACTCCTGTAGCACTCTTCGTGGGCTATAGCAATAGGTCTTCATCATCGTCGACATCAGACAAGAATCCCCCGTCCCAAAGCGGACTAGCGGCTCCGGGGAGCTCTGGAGTTGCCATCGAAAGGTCCAGGTCGATGTGCTTCAAGTCGCGCCTTTCACCTTACGATCGTCCATCATCGCGGCCGTGCGATATTACAGATATACTAGCTGACATTTCATGTCTTGAGACACTCTGTCTCTTTTGCCCCTCGAATAATCCCGTGGTTTCGTTGCCGCCTGAACCGCTCCAACCAATATCAGCCGTTACCTGCCAAGGGCGAATGCGCTCCTCTAAATTTGCGACATCTTGAACAGCGGAGACAACACTCGACGCTGGCTATAAACGGATTGATGAGCGCTGGAATTTCTTCTCCGGGCCGTCCAACGTCGTTTGGATGCACCCACTAAACCCATTCCTGCGTGCCTTCTTCCGAAGCACTGTGCCGGGGCAGTGTATACCGACCCAGAATCACGTACGTGCGAAGAGCAATCCCGGTCTCTTTCAACTCACGACTTAGTGCTCACATCACTTTGCGAATAGGTCTTACTGGTCCCTACGACGGAGTCTCTGATCGGATCGCGCGATCGAGAAACGAATAACTTATATTCCGACCTTGTCACGTCGGAGGAGTTCTTAGGGAGTCATGTACTTCGAATCCCGGTTCCCACCGGCTCTTCCAATGGGAAAGATGGCCCCAACGTGCGGGATAGTCGGGGGAAGGCAAAGCAGGTAACTACGGTTAATGGACGCACAGTCATTATCAAGGAAAACTCCGTTTACAGCAACAAAGGTGAGGTTGGAGTAGCAATACCCTGTCTTACATGCGCTGACACGGGCTTTAGGTTTCAAAACCTTGGGACAGGCTCAACTTCTGACGGATGTCCTGTACTATACTCCCAGCAATGAATCCCAGCCATGGCTCATATACTATATTTCCCGGCCGCTCGTCGGATCTTTCGAACCTGGCAAGATCATCGCGGCAGCCCCGCCTGGAAAGATCCCAAAGAGAAATGGGAGCAACTCTCAAAATCAAGGCAGCGTCACAAATATAGCTACGCTCCCGAAGAAAGAAATAAAGACCTTTGGTGAACTATTAGCGAACTTTCCCATGATAGCGAGACAGATGCAACCTGGCTTGGAGAGACTGTTTCGCGAATTCGGAAAGGAGCTTGGAAAACCGTTGCCGCCTCCCCCCTCTCCGTCACCGTCCCCATTATCGAATGGGGAAAGCAAAAGACGTGATAATGAAGGCCCTTCCCTTCGTGTCCCATCCCCGGATCGGGGGCGTCTCCCATTCAATTCAGAAGAATACTTCGAAGATGATGAAGACCTCATGAGGCGCAGCTTGGAGACAGCTGTCACTGCTGCAATAGATCTCTTTCGCTTGGTGGATAAGCAGCAGCTTTCATTACTCGGTGCCACAACGGATCTGACGGGCCCACTTGTCGAACGACTTATTGAACGCTACGTCGCAGAACAAGTTCACGAGTCACTACTCTTCCCTCGACTATGCAGTTTCCGGCAGCCGGAAGACACAGAGCTCGATGTACGGATACGACAGATCGAGAACATTGATGTCTCTCAGGTTGGGATCTCCATCGAAGGAGGTCGAGAACGAAAGCAGGAACTGATCCGCAGACTTGGTAGAGGCGTGGAAGAGTTTCGAAAAATGACGGAAGCCAAGTGTCCGCAAGATATGCTTGAAGTGCTTCTCGCCACTATCAAAGTTATAAGTGTCCCCGAGAGCTACGACGCAGAGAACTCGTCGACATCTGAAAAGCAGGCACCAGTGACCGTTAATGCAGATCTTTTGGTGTCAATGCTGCTCATCGTTGTCATCAGAGCTCAAATACGTCATTTACAAGCCAGGCTACTGTATATGCAGCATTTTATCTATATCGACGATGTTGAAAGCGGGGAGATGGGCTATGCTCTGAGTACTCTTGAGGCTGTTTTGACTTATCTGGTCACGGACTCTGGGGGTCTTAGGCGGGCCAGTTCGCGGAATAAGCGTCTTTGGAATGCTACGAAGACGGGGAAGATCTCAGAGATGAAGGCGATACTGGAACCGGACGGTGACCATGACTCGATAGATGATGCGCCAAATGAGCCAGAAGGGAAATCAGTGATGTTCCTAACCGATGAAGATAAGGACGATGTTGACGGGCTATCATCGCGACTCTCCGGGTTTGGTGTATCATCTGACGTAGGCAATAGCGTGACGGATGTCGAAGAGGCGGAAGACAGACCTTCTTTGGCTCACGTATTCCCTTTCCAAACATGGTCGGATACGGTGCCGAAAGAACGACCACGCCCTGTCAAAAAGGTGTCAATGGACGTCCACAGTCTGTCTGGGTCATCCGTGATATCACACGTCTCGCGTACGACCATCGGGTCGACAATGAGCTGTATTGAAGGAGATAGCTCCATTGAGACTCTCACGAAAACGCAGGATCCATCTGGCGATTCTGTTCTCATGATGGCAGTAGAGTCGCGCCAGCCCGAGGCTTTGAGATACCTTCTGAGTCTCGAAGAGTACTATCCACTGGAGTATGTTCTCGAGGACACTAATAGTGATGGTACGACACTGTTGAGTGCTGCTGTCCAATTAGGTCATACCGAACTTGTTGATATCATTCTTGACCTCCTCTTCCGAAATTCAAATGAGGACACGGTGGTTTCCTATCTATCTAAATCTGATATCCGTGGGCGGACGGTTGCTCACTATCTCTTCAGTGCGCCAAGTCTGATGTCCAGGCTCGGGCGACTTCTCCCATGGCGTCAACAGGATAAACATGGACAGACGCCGCTATTTGCGCTCTGCAGATCATACGACCACCCTGACTATAAAAGCATGGTGAACGAAGCTCTGACGACCGTTCGGGAAGCTCAGGGGGGTGGAAGACCTCTTCGGTTGGATGAACACGTCGATGCAAAGGGCAACACCCTGTTACATATCGTCAGTGATCCCGAAATCACACTACGAATCCTGCACGAATGTGACTCAGATCCGAATGCTACGAATGACAAGAAGTTCACGCCTCTAATGATGGCCAGCAAATATGGGCGTATCGATCTTGTTAGGACGTTCTTCTCTGATTCGAGAGTCGATGTCTCTATCAAGGAGGCACGTGGTTTGACCGCAGTTGAGCTTGCAAAGGATGATGAAGTGCGAAATAGGATTGACGACCTTATCCTTTTCTCTAATCCTCCATCGTCTCCCTCGGACCCCTCCGGGCGCATCACGACAGTTGTTCGTTCATTCTTTGTTGAGGATGCCACGGTTCGCTTCATACTCAAATCCGGTGCGCCAACTCCGCCATCAGATACTCCCGATGAACTATCTCGTCCAGGCTCGACGACTTACACGGTCACTACCTGTCGGCGAACTTTGGCTGACTTTGAGAATTTGGCCAAGTGGCTCTCTGTTGAGCACCCGGCCTCCTACATACCTAAAATCAACGACTTTCGCACCCCCTTTCAGATCCATTCCAAACCCTCTAGAGCCGTGCTCCATGACATGCAGGAAAAGCTTGATAGATTTTTGAAGATCCTGCTCGCGCATCCTACATTTGCTACGCATGAAATGCTTTGGGAATTTTTCCTTGTGCCTGAAATGCAGCCTGAAATGATGGCGGACAGGTCCCGCCGCAAAGCTGCAGTTCTTTCCGAATCTATACAGGAAGACTATGCTCCTGTCACGGTTGAAGGGATCAGGGATACGGAACAATTCGTCTCTCATGCTCAGGATATGGTCCGTGCCGTTCATGCTAACACGCGGAGCTTGATTCGACGTGGCCATGCTTTGCAACATGCAGTATCAGATTTCGCAGATGCTGCCATGCTATTATCTACTGCATTGTCGACTCTCGGGGAACCCACGAATGCTCTTCCAAGCTCTCACATCGAGGCGTTTTCCCGATATGCGAGTTATGTCTCCACCTCCTCTTCGGATTCATCACCTCTTATTCAGTACCTCACTGCCATCACCTCGACACATAGTACCACATCTGCCATTCTAGCTTCCTTGTCTCGTCCTCTATCGCTGATTTCCGAGCTGGCATCCACCAACCGCAGCCTTGCGCGATCACGTTCCTCACTGGTCTCGTCCTCTCTTCCCCGGAAATTCAACATCAACCTTCCTGGGCTTGAAGAATCGAGGCAGAAATCAGTCCGTGACCTGGAGCAGAAGATCCGGGATTCTGAAGCGCAGACCGCACGGCTTTCACGAGAGATTACATGGAATAAGGATGTGGTAGTCGGCGAACTGGCCGGATGGACAACCTGGCGGGAGAAAGTTGGAAGGGAAGCTATCCGCTCTTTCGTCAGGTCAACTTTAGTGAGGGAAAAGGAGCGTGGGAAACGATTAGAACGTTGTCTCCGAAGTGTGAAGGAAATGAACTCATCATAGAATCTAGATACGACTTTTGATCATGAGACCTGGATTATTTCATCTGTTCCTTTATGGCGATTCACGATAAAGATTTCCCCCCACGTTACACAATTGTATGTTTTACGTCTCACGTCATCTCTCTCATGTCATATCAAATTAAATCAAATCAAACAACCCCCTATTTCACTTCTTCATTGTGTTTCTTCTGATACTTTCTCATTCAATGGTAATGAATATCTGTCTATCTACTCTGAAGCCTTGATTGGCCCTTACAGACGCAATAAGCCCTCTTCAACGGTACGTAGAATAAACAACAGACCGCAACTCTTATTGCTGACATGGCATTCTTTGATATTGTAATTATAGGATAGAACTAGGATCTAGATCCTTTGTATGCTATAACAGATAAATATGGGTTGAGATCCCCGTCCCTTAGAATTATATTCAAGCAATCTAGCAAATCAACTAGGTGGTTCTGTTCAGACTATGCTCCCATCCATTTAGGATTCTACAGATTCATTGATATATTCGAGGGGTGCATCACATGCACTAGATACATATGCTGATAACGGGGTAGTATATATAATACCATTAAGGAGGCCACCAGTATCGTACCCTACTTGTCTACAGTCAAGGAAGATCCACTATTTATTCGCTGAATTTTCTTTATTCTGCTAGCCAGGAAACGTATCGACTTTTTTTTTTGTAGTTACAAATTTCAAAAGGAGCAGACCGTAGCCTTTCGCCGGGCGCCAAGGAAGAAAACCATTACTCCAACCAAACAGTAGGGGGTATTACAACTGACACAAATGATGACGAGAACGACATAGCAGAAATTTGAGGAAAGTATGGCGCGAAGATAGGATCCTTTTGGATTCCGTATGAACACGTGCCTAGGGCCGAGAGATAATCTCAGGCGCGAACACAGCGCTGTGCCAGTGAATCTAATGTCCCATGTGATCAGAGACATTGATAATCGGAGAGGCTGACCACCTCGGAATAAAGGGGAGCCATGACGGATGAGTCGAACCATCGTGAGTGCGAAGGGTCGGTTCCGAGTGGCGGCTCTGGTGTCGAGGAGTCATTGGGGTGCGGTCACGATTGTCACCGGAGCCCATTTCAGCAGACGGGAGGGGAGTATTGTTACTTGGCATCTCGAGAACCGGACTAGGCGTGGGAGGGACCACGATAACTGAAGGGATGAGCCCGGTAACGACTCGGATTTGTGAGTCTGTGCTGTTGGAAGAAGACCCCTGAGAGTCGGTGGGTGTTCTACCAACAGGAGTGTTGCTTCCGCTATTCGTCGAGATGGGAGTCATTTCATGGGTCGAATGTTGCTGTCCAACGGCGACGGTAACAGAAGACTCTGAAGGTTGAATGGGAGCCCACATCGGAGACTGGTGATCTCGCATTCGTGAGGGATAGCCCTGCGCCGTACCGGATCTGGAGGTCCTACCATCTTCAACCAGAGGGAGAACAGAATCACCCAACCGGCCCTGCTGTCGACGCTTCCAGGCCCTGATCCACTTCCTGACATACATCACAAAGACACATACAACTGCTAGGGAGGCGAGAAAGCCGAAGATCACACCGGCAGCAATGGAACTCCGATGGTAACTGGCCATATCGAACTTCCGATAGCTCGTCTGTTGAGCCTGAGCAATGGTAGTGCGGGCTCTTGATGGATGCGAGGTAGTAGCAAATGCTTTAGATGTGCTGGTGACCACCGAAGTGCGACTTTCAGTCGTAGAGATTGTCTTTGTGTCAGAAGTTTTAGATGCCTCTGTTTTAGACATATTCTCGGTCGAAGATTGTGTCGTCTCATGAGAAGACACCAAGGATGCCACTGTCGCTGTAGATTCGCCCTTTGTACTCGTATGATTCTCTTCGGACGTCGTCTCAGTTGGCTGACTAGCTTTTGCGGTCGTCTTAGCAGCTTCTGTCTGATAGCCATCGTGTCCGTTGCCTTCACTATTTTCCTCGGCATCGCTTTCTAAGTGGTCATCAGAGCGTCTGTAGACCACTTTGGCATGCGCAGGATGTTTAGATGAGTTCTGGTACTCCTTGGAAGCGCCGATCTTCCCAGTCCTCCAGAGATCCTTTCCCTTTTCAATCATTGCAGAGCACTCATCATCGCCTGTACCAAGAGGCTGAGGACCAAGGTAATGACAGACTGCGTGTTCAGCTTCAGTCCCTTCATGCACGCGCCAGCAAAGGTTGACAACAAGCACATGCGTGAGAGTAGGATAAGCCAGTTCCGCCGAAGTAGACAGCAGTGGTATAGCCCAAGCAGAGATGGCCCATAAAAGGGCAAAGAGGTAGAGGGCTTTCATCATGCAGCAGTAGGTGCGGGATGGTGATGAAGCTGGGACACATGGAGATGCGGGTTGAAGAAAGGATTTGATATCAGGAGCAATTTGAAAAAATAAACCAAAAAGCGTGCAACGTGTGACCCGCCGAGAACACATCTAGGCAACGCTGAACAATCACGGTGATATCGCTGCGGCGACGATATGTGTAAACGGTGATCAGAAGTCCCAAGTAGATCTGCAGCAAAGCCGGCCTGCACCGCAGCTTCCCGCCATATAAGTGAAGTAGAACAACAGCGCGTCACCACATAGAAAGAACATCCGACATCAGAGGGGGCCATTTATGTTACAGGATCAAAATCTATAAGTAAGCACCCATAGGTTAGTATGAAAAGGCACAGCCTCTTTTGGAAATCCATGATAACATAGTCTGCTTTCCTGCTAAGGACCCAGGTGTGCAGCCCGCAAGCAGCCTCAAGCCAATAACTGATGAAGTACCAAGCGACGTTGGAACCAGGGATCAAGAATATGCATTCGCGACCTCCACAAATCTGCGATGGAGGAGGCTCTGCCAGGACTCATGGGCAGAACGGTCGATATCCCCGTTAGGACTTGGAAGCTACCTCACAGCCGTCGGAGGAATATTGGGGGCCAAAGCATCCACCAACGACTCAAGAAACGACAGTATGCGCTCTGAATTTCCCTCCATAATGCCAAAGGATCGAACCACTGAACTGCTTATAGGATTAGTATCATGAACAAGGCTCCAACATCCTCAGTGTTTTGCTAATACTACCTCTCCGGGTACCTTGAGGAACGATACCAGGTTTTGATTGCTGCTTAACGGATTTATTCATCAATACGATGTCCTCACAAGTCCCCTGCTAGATAATGAACGCGGTAACCTTCAAGCCATCGCTCGGAGCAATGTGGCTGTGGTTGCGTTGGCGTCTTGCGGATAGGCGACCTTTCCGCTGGCGCGACATAGCGAAAGGCTGTGAGTCCTAACAATAGATCAGAAATATCTTAGCTTGCGGCACAGGGACCGATGGATGAGATGCAATTTAAGCATATCTCATGGGTCAGATTCCTACCAGATATTGCAGCAGTGCTGTATCTTTGATGTTGCTCCGCAGCATCACCGCATACAGTAGATAGCCCTAAACCCTAGTTTCCCGTTTCAGTCTATATAGTCACAGGGTCCCATCCTGAAATGCCAGGCTACGTCATGATCTTGGCTGTAGATTGAATGATGCTGCCTGCTTATCGCTGAAAGTTATATAAACGAGATCTCAGATCCAAGGAAGTTTAGGTTCCATCACTTTTTGAAATCTAGACAAGAAACCCGTGCCTCTCGTCATTTCACAGCAATACATAAGTATACATAATTAAAGCTACCACTCATTCATAATGCCTCTCGTCGTTCCAGGGATCAACTCCTCTTTCGGAGATAAGTCGGAATGGGTGAACAAATTGATGGGCAAGAAACTCACCGACTCTACGACTGATGCTACTGTATGTGTCTCGATTTCGAGTCGTCAGCTTGGTTTTGTTCTGGATTTACTAACTCCATTTGTCTTGTATATAGTCCTTTGCAAAGAAGGATCTCCCCCAGACTCACAGGGTGGTTAAACAGGGAGATATGACAACCATGGACCATAACCCGGATAGGTTAGTCTCACTAGTTGGCAGCGATGACATATACCTGCATCTGCAATTGTCGTCTCATTGGGAGATTTGCTAATACTTAGACAACTTCTACCAGATTGAACATCCATGTGGATGACGATGGAACCGTTCGTGATGTTAGGTACGGCTAAAGCTTGAGGAGGAGGGTGATCTCTTTTATTTCAGCCACCTTGGAGATTTTGGCCCAGTGCCTCTATCTCTACGTATAATGACGATTTCTGGGAGATTATCCCAAGACGCTGTATTGTGACTAATATTGAGCTATGATGATTTATGGGAGTTCTTTACCTATGTGTAACGACTGAAGATGGCGCAGAATGACACAATATAAAGCGACTTGTTTTTTAAGCTTGTAATTGATACCGATATTAAAGGCAAAAGCAACTCGTAGTTTCAACCATGTAGCAGGCTGGTGACTGAACAGCTCTTCGAGTGGGACTGAAATTATATGGTCCGTCTTATCAAGACAGTCACGTCAATCTTCATGGCACCGGGCTACCGATGTATGTTACCAGTAACATCGTTTGAGTCTGTTCAGATGCAACCAGTATAAATAAATATCTGGCAATGATCCTCTCAAGACGCATTATGTAAGAAGTGTCAGTCAGAGGATGCTACAAATACATATTGCTGCGGACGGACATGTCCCTTCGCGGATTATGACGAATCTTCGTCGGAACTATAGGCTATTAACCCTGATAATGGTGCAGCAGCTTTGGCCACAGGAGGACTGGGCTGCGAAGGTGTTTGAGCTTTTTCTGGGAGCCCTTGTGCCGTTACAGTGGCTGCTGCCGGCCGTGACTGGTTCGTCGATGGTGATATCGATGACTTTGACCCCTCTTTATTCTTCTCGGTATCTTCCTTGGCGGACGCAGAGCTGGCTTTCCGCTCCGTAGAGCCAGAAGCCTCCGCCTCTTCTGCCGCTGATGACTTGCGTCTTTTCCCTGGGATCAATGATTCCTTCTTCTTATCACGCCTCCTTTTCCGTCCGGAGATCGCCCATTGCTCCTCTTCGCCCGGGGATCCTGCCCCAGGATTGGCTGTCTCTCCAGATGCTGTTTCGAGTAGGGCTTTATCGGCTTCTTGGCGCTGACGGTGGAATGCTTCCAGCTGCTCAGCGGTCTCTTGCTTGACCGCAGCCTCTTTGGCTCGCGTCGACTCGAGGAGCGAATCTAGAAACTCGACCTCATCCTCATCCAGAGATCGAAATTGGTTCTTCAGTCGAATCGACTCTTCAAAGGCCTCTTGCTTGGCCACTGTATGACGGCAAGGGTTTCACCCTGATATGTTAGCCGGAGGTCATGGAGAAGTGCGGTTTTTCCTTCCATGGCCGTGTCATTTATTCATCATCATCGAAGAAAAAGAAAAGGAAAGAAAGGATGGATAACATCACGTCGAATTGTTATTGTTGACTACAATGATTCATAGTAGTGGAGGCGAAGAAACAATGCTATTGAGCACAACTCACTCTTGTTCTGCTGCAGCACTTCATAGAGACTCTTCCCATCGTTCTGTTTTCCTATCTCCGCCTTCCGTCTCCGCTCTTCCTCCAATTCCTGCTGTGCCCGGAGCCATTCGTCATCGCGAGTCACAGGCTCTTCGTTGGTCCCTGCGGATACAAAGCCGGAAGACATCTTCGCAGGCTGATTTTACCCGTAGGGGCAGATCGGTTCTGACCTGGTGGGATGGGTTCTAGTGCGGTTGCGACAGGTGGGTGCGCCGTCACCAAGTGCATATAACTCGGGCCAGGATAATTTCTAAGCAGTGCCTCGTCCCTGGCAGCGGCGTATCTAACTAAGACAGAGACGAATTGCGCCTGAACTTCACGGAGAAAGTAGACGGTCTTAGCGGATTCGTGTGTGGCTTGCCGCGGCAGAATTAGCCAGGCGGTGACGTGACGTCAAACTGGACGTATCTGCAAAATCACCGAAGGCAGCTCAACCCGCCGGTAAGGTTCTTTCTGCCACTAGAGTAGATAGATAGATAGATAGAATAATACACGCTGGTGTCTGTGTATTCCCTTTTAACCGGTGAGACACTAATGAAACCGGTATCCCCAATGGCCCCTGGTAGACATGCGGTGCCTGATTGAGCAATCAGATAGCATAGCATTTTCTACTGGGTCTGATCGGCCAATTCCCCTGTCGAAAGCTTGGGTGAACAGCTATGCCCTTTTTACCCGATATTGGGCCCATTCGGCTTGAATATTAACCAGCAAACGGTTGATCCTCCGACTAGAAATGGGACGGCCTTCCCCCACCTTCTGGAGCCACCAGGAGGGGCGTTGGAAAGCGATTACCTGCAGTGACTGGCGCGTTGCCCTCTCTGGATTGCCCCTCATTGACGATTGCGATACGGGCGCTCGCGTTGTTGCTGTGCTGCTCGTTCCCCGCCAATGCGGACTCTCGCTCGTGTTGGCTTCCCCTCCCTTATAGAGGGGGGAAGCTCCCTTCTGGCGCAGTCTTGCTCGACTTTCTTTCCAGCATCTCTCCGTATCACTCGATTCTCTTCGTGTTACAAACATAGGTTCTTCGAACATAGATTTTTCTCTCTCCAAACACGCAAGATGTCGACCCTCGATCACACCAAGTAAGCACCTCTGCACATAATCAACAAAGCGCCAGAAACTTATCGAGATCTTGTACAGGTTGACTTTCACCCTCAACACCGGCGCCAAGATCCCCGCCGTTGGTCTGGGTACCTGGCAGTCCAAGCCCAACGAGGTCAAGGAGGCCGTGAAGACTGCGCTGGCCAAGGGATACCGTCACATTGACACGTAAGTAATATTCTCTGATCCGGACACTCGAGCGTCCCGTGAAAGAAGCTGACAAGCGGGTGTGCAGCGCTCTTGCCTATGGCAACGAAGCAGAGGTTGGCGAGGGTATCAAGGAGTCGGGTGTTCCCCGCGAAGAGATCTGGGTGACCACCAAGCTGGACAACACCTGGCACCACCGTGTCCAGGAGGGTATTGACTCCTCCCTCAAGAGCCTTGGTCTTGATTATGTCGATCTCTACCTGGTGCACTGGCCCAGCTCCACGGACCCGAATGACAAGAAGAAGCACCTGCCTGACTGGGACTTCATCAAGACCTGGTACGTCCCAATTGTTATTTCCCGTGGAGATTTTCATGGCATTAACACTAGAACAGGCAAGAGATGCAGAAGCTCCCTGCTACCGGCAAGGTCAAGAACATCGGTGTCTCCAACTTCGGAATCAAGAACCTGGAGAAGCTCCTGAACGACCCGAGCACCAAGATCGTTCCTGCGGTCAACCAGATTGAGCTGCACCCCAATAACCCATCGCCCAAGCTGGTCGCCTATAACAAGGAGAAGGGCATCCACTGCACAGGTTACTCTTGCTTGGGATCGACCAACTCGCCTTTGTACAAGGACCAGACCCTCCTGACGTTGGCGGAGAAGAAGGGCAAGACTCCCCAGCAGGTTCTGCTTCTGTGGGGTCTGCAGAAGGGCTGGAGTGTCATCCCCAAGTCCGTCAACAAGGAGCGCATTGAGAAGAACTTCGAGCTGGACGGCTGGGAGCTCTCTGAGGACGAGATCAAGGCGCTGGACAACCTGCCCGACCGTTTCAAGGTCTGCGGTGACGACTGGCTTCCTGTCAAGGTCTTCTTTGGTGATGACGAGTAAAGGCCTAGTACCTGGCACGCGCATAGAAACATATACCCGAATTGTCTTAAATTAGGTACCTACAGACCCAGAGTGGTCATACGAGCGGCTTATGTTATGTTCCATCATAGACTTGATGACAATGAATAGACTTCTTTCATCACCTCCGCATGACAATAGCTCTTTCTTGCAGTACATTAGCATATTGGATAAAAATAATTATGATCGTGGTTTTTTAGGGAGATATCAGAGACTAGAGGGAATAAGCCTCCCGTTTCAGTTTCAGTAAGTACCATACTGAGTACTTAAACCAACCGGCGGGTGGCAACGGCTGACTCGGAGTCGGGGGTGCACCGCCACATCAGCTGCGCGGAGACCACCCCTCAAGAACCAGGCATCGTCCATCTTGTCTTTCCATCTTCCATCTAACGCTTCTGTCGAGAAACCCATCTCGATATCAACAGCATGGCGCCATCAAGTGGGCACCTGTTGCTCCCCAAGGTTTGGCGGGCAGCCAGGTCAGTATCCCTCTTGCGTCTTTCGGCCATTGACCATAGTTACTGACTCATAGTTCCCGCAGGTTTGCCTACGAGAAGGCGTATAGAGCCCTCAAATCGAAATTCCCTGAGCAGATCCAGCAGGCTCAGCTGCGATTGCAGCCAGCCTATGCTCGAATTACCCCCAAGCAACCCATCAGCCGTGCCGCTGCTATCCGCCAGGCCCGTGGCCGATACTTCTCTACACACGCAGCTGGCAAGCTTGTCAATGCCGCTGCCGCCCGTGGAAGCGCCCCTTCTTACCAGAGCACTCGTGTCGGTTCTGCCGTCAGTCGCCTTACTGCGCAAGCGCCCTTCGCGACGACTCTTCGTCCTAACCTGACGGGTGGTACTCTGGGTCGGACAGCGGGAGGCTATGCTATCGGTGCCGGGCGTGTTGGAGGAGCCCGGTACTTCTCGCATGGGCCGGCGAACCCCGCGCAGGTCATCAACAATGTCTCGCAAGGAGTACGTGCTTTCTTCTTGTCCGGTCAGAGGGTCAGATTCGATGGAATTGATCCTCGTACGGGCGAGAAGCGTTACAAGGCTGTGACTGCTCTCCAGGATCAGACTGAACGCCGCATGGCAGATATCCCACGCGCGAGTCCCGGCTCATACATTGACTTTGAAGTTTCTCCTACCATCACCGCTTTCGGTGTCATGGGGGAACTGCAAAAGAAGCAGGTGTCGGCTGAGGATTTTGAGCAAAACACTCTTAGCTCCGAGGGCCTTCTAGAGCTGCTGTCCGTCGACTTCGCACGTGCTTTAAAGGATTTTGCTGCTGTGCTGAACGATCTGAAGCGTCTCTCGGCACTAGGAGACTTGCCTATCTCTCTTCAAGGGAAATCCACAATCCGAGTGGGATTCCCGGGTTGCGATGCGGACACAGTGGAGCGACTATGTGATGAAGTGGGAGTTGAGAGGGGCCGAATCATCCAAGATGAGGACTTCGAGGTCCGCAACGCAGCTGATCTCGCTCTTCTCTTCCCATTTGCCCCCAGCGTTGCACCTTCATCCGCGGCTGGTTACTTCAATCTGAGAGACCCGCCCGGACAGCAGACTCCACATGAAGTCGACTGGCGCGACATGATGTCTTCAGAACGCAAGACACATCCTTCGTGGATCTACTCACCGCACACTGGAACGGGTCTGGACTACGAGGACGTTGAGATGTTCGGGCCAAACCCTTGGACAACCTCGCCGTCTGGCTATTCTAGCGTCGACATCAGTGAACTGGGTGATAGGGGATTCTTTCCTGAGTTGTCCGTCACAGGAGGTTCTCGATCCGCAGATCATGAAGGTCTCGGGGGGATATATAGATTCATTTCTGAATGCGACCAAGCTGCAGCGGGTCGTTAACTTTTGTTCTCTTGACACAGGCTTCGACAGCCATCTCCTTTTGTTGATTTCATTTTTGATATGGCGTTTTCTGGAATACCTTATTTGTTTTACTATCAGATTAGGTGTGAGCCGTGATAGCGTTGAGAAGAGACCATCATGGCTCCGCTGGATCCGTCCGATAAGGATGTTGATCCGATAGACTGTCGTTGACACTCTCCACTAATACTACTGTCTACTTGATGTATTGCCGAAGCTGTATCAGGGTTTTACGGTCCATAACAGAACAGATTGAAGTTACATACTATGGCTTGCACGTACAATGTAGTCGACGGGCCAAGAATATCTTCGATAATGAGAAAATACTTGAAACAGAATACCCAAGTTAACGGCTCTCATAATACTTAGATGCGCGGGGCCTTTATCGTATTCTTTGTCGATCACTAATTGTACTTTTCCATGATGAGGGTGGAGGGTACCGAGAGTCTCAAGATACTCGTGGTCATAGATTCGGACTCAACCGCATGTTTCGTTTCTCGTTCTGGATGACATCGGTCTTCTCCTGGGTATGTTTTATCTGGTTGGGCTGGTAGATCGATGTTAATAATAGAGAAACAAGGAAGGCCTTTTCTTTTTGTTTTCTATTGTTTTGTTTTCTTGTCTTTATTCTTGTGACATAATGGCCCATTATGATGTCTAGTTAATGGTCAGAATCTATAAGACAGCTGCAATGTATTACTTATTGTCCCAGATAACTAGTTCTTCCCTCTATGGTCCGGTCTTTCATCTCAGCTTTAGAACTCCGGACGGGTACTAGCGACGAGAACAAGTCTCCTCTCCATTCTCTGCAGGATCTGAAACTAGTGAGGTCTTCCCTCCTGTGACATGTATGTGTACGACTACGGGTAGTTCCATTGTTGGATTGGAGGCTGGGTGTGGGTTGATAAGCATGGTAGTTAGCGTTACATTGGGAAACTGAACATGGCCAATGAGAGGTATTATCTATCTACGTTATACGAGTATGTATTTTTGCGACACGTTGTGTTGCTTGCGTTGTTCTCTTTTCCAATAAGAGGAAATGGGCATTGATAATCGTTGAGAATCGTGTTGGGGCCGTTATTGGGAAGCATACTGTCTGTTGGACAGTTGGAGACATTTTCTCGTGGATGATAAGAGGCAGTGGGTAATGGTTTATCGCGTCGCCTCGGGATGAGGGTGGTTTAAACGGGGACGTCTGTAGAACTCATCAATATAGTTGATTGTGGGCATTGGATACTAATACTTAGGAATGATAATGCTCAAGGATAAAATCCAATGCTTCATGGGAAATGCGTATCTGTATAACTAACTACTCATAATTTGCCCATATCGCGTTTTAGCCAGGGTCGGGACAAACATGCGCCCTAATAGGCGGATTAGGGAGGCCGGAACTGTCTGTGTGCGCCACGTTGAAGCTAAGCATCGTTGCTTGGTATTCTTGGTATTCTTGGTACTCTTGGCTCGTCTAGTTATTGTTAAGCGCGATACTGATAGGCCCAACGGCGTAGCTTAAGCAATCAAATGCGAAAAGCACGGGCGCAGTTCCCACAGAGGCACCGGGGGACCAACGCGAAATCATGTAAGTCGTGTTGATCCCCGATAAGGGTCGATCGATGTGCCTTGCGAAAGGTTTTCGCGCTCGGGTATTCGAGTCAGTTAGAGCAAGCCACCAGCCCAGCGACCCTTTCCCTTCACAGACGTCGCTGCCCAGTGCCGATAGACCATGGTTGCCCTCAGCCCACCGGGGTAGCCGCAGAATTATAGATAGTGCCGACGTTGGATCTGTTGCGAGCGCATTCTGAGAAAATTTGCATCCGATATCCTTTCTCTCTCCCGGCATGCTTATATCTGTGGAGCTCCCATAGTTCTTCTCTTGGCTAGTTCGCGTCTTGCCCCTGGATAGCTCATGTTGCCTTCATCAAGATGCACCTGCACCCAACGATGTGGCGCTCGTCTTTCTCATGCGGCTCACTGACACGATCTCAAATCAACTTCCTGGTCTCATATTTCATCGTCTTCCTCTTCGCGGTCTTGTATTGCCGGCGCAACTTCTATCGAGATCCTGGATCTATCTTTTTCGACCCGGTGGAGGGGTATCGACCGATATACAGCCTAGAGAGGGTCCAACGGGCGAAGGCTTTCATCAAGCAGATATCTACTGAGCAGACATCCCCGCTCAGAACAAATACTCAACATGAGAAGAGCATGTGCATTGGCATCGCGACGGTGAAGCGGCCCGGTGATCAGCCTATCGACATGACATTGGGTTCTCTTCTAGCGGATCTGACACTCGCGGAGAGAGAGGAGATATACTTGACATTGCTCTTTGCTCACGAGCCAGTGACAAACCATCCGTTCTTCAACGTACCATGGGTTCACGCCGTAACGGATAAGGTTATGACATACGAAGAACTACACCACAAACCACCGTCTCTGGCTGGAGTGAACAAAGAACATCGAATCGCGAAAAAGACGCTCCAAGACTACGCTCTTTTGCTGCGTTCTTGCCTCAATCAGACTGATGCCCCGTGGATCACTATACTAGAGGATGATGTTTTAGCGCAGGAAGGATGGTATCCAAGGACCATGCGCAACCTCCACTCGCTGCAGCATAAGCAGAAGGAAATGGGAGGCAAGAAGTGGCTCTACCTCCGTTTGTTCTATACGGAGAAGTTCATGGGGTGGAACTCAGAGAATTGGCCTCGATATCTATGTTGGAGTCTTATCCTGGTGTCTCTGCCAGCTGTATGTGGTTTTCACATACGACGCCGCTTCCCTTCCGCTCGCAATAGCGTGTCTCTCGAGTTCATCTGCATCCTCAGCTTCTTGTGTGTACCGATGGCGATCGCACTGTTCTTTCTCTCCGGACGTGTCAGTATGCAACCGCTGCGCCCAGGCCTCTGCCGAATGAACGAATTTGGCTGCTGTTCTCAGGCCTTAGTTTTCCCTCGTGAAAATGTCCCCGCGTTGATTGACCATCTGGACGAAAAGCATACATCGCCGGGCCCTGTCGACAGTGTGATCGAGGAGTGGGCTGATGAGAAAGGCCTGGACCGCTGGGCGTTGGTGCCAAGCGCAATGCAGCATATAGGAAAGAAGACACACAAAAAGAATGAAGACAGCCAACCTCGGGATAAATTTGAGGTTTCAGGCGCAAGGGGTCTGTGGAGTTTCGGATTCGAATTGCACGGTAATCGGCGTGGGCATTGGTAGGATAATGACTTCGACTTAATAGTAACCGGGTAGAACCGTTATGACTTGCTAGAACTATTCGATAATGATACATAATGAAATGAGTAATATTTTCTAATGGAGAATTCCCCTTTTACTACTCAACCACAGGCCCTTGACAGCTAGTCATTACCAGCATCAGTCATGTAAAGCAGGCTCTCCCTCCTCATAACCTGAATTTAGTGGAAGAGCTTCCTTAAGTTGAAAACAATGTAGCCTTTAAACCGTGGGTCGAAATACACAATTGCAACCAGGGAATCCCCATATTTCATACATAGCAAAGAAGCTTTTGCCCCAAGGAATAACCCATTGAATTATCTTAGAATCCAGGTACATAAACTGGGGAAACATGGATCGCCCTTTTCGGCGTGACTGTCTATTGCCATTATCCACCGCCTACCATTCCAGGCATACTATGGGGAGTTTCTTCACCGCCTACCCCGCGCTAACCAGAAAACAGACATGGATCTTCGTGATATCAGAATGCCGCGCTTGGCCAGACTCGTGCTGTTTCTTTTCACTGTGCTGCACGTACCTCATCGGAGCAGTTGCCCAGAGGCCTTGGTGTGACCAGTGCAGCTCAAGAAGTGTGGGATATTTTACGATAATTGACTGTTTGACTTTGTATCTTTGTCGCACCTATCTCTCCCCCGCCGGGACTCCTTTTTGGGAGTGGCCTGGGCATTTACGAAATCAAAACCTCATCCAGAGACGAGAAACCGCTAAGAGGCACTTTGCGTCGCAATGGAGGACTTTAACAGTGAGACTGATAGTGACTACACTAGTTACTGGCGAGACTGGGTGAGTTTCTGTCTTGTTTTGCATTTGGTCATTGTGGTTTGAGGCAGTGCGGCTTTGATTGTTGTGACTTGTGTGATTGTGTGAGCGCCGAGGACGCTGGGGAATTGGGATGAATGCAGCTGGACAGCTGGTGATATTCCTCACAAGTGATCTCTTGTCCTTTGATATCTTAGCATCTCGGCTTTTTTCAGGGTTATATCAAGAACACTTGCTGCGCTACCTTTCAACTTCTCAAGCATCATGAGCGGCCCGCCTGTTGTTCCTCCCGGGAACTCAAGTGCTCTCGTTACTAGTGCTGTCGAGTACCTGAGACTGACTTCGTTCAAATTCCAGTTTATCTCGTCCCGCGGCAACGAATACTTCTGCGAAATCGACGAGGAATACCTGACCGATCGCTTCAACTTGACTGGACTCAACACGGAGGTGCAGTACTACCAGTATGCCCTCGATCTGATCACAGACGTCTTCGACCTTGATGCGGACGATGAGCTCCGTGAGCAGATCGAGAAGTCTGCGCGTCACCTCTACGGTTTGGTGCACGCGAGATACATTGTGACTACGAGAGGTCTGGCTAAGATGGTAAGATATATCGACACTGTGTGTTCTTCAGGGCCTCACGCATAGAATCTAACGTATGTTTTCCTGCTGTACAGCTTGACAAGTATAAGAAAGGCGACTTTGGAAAGTGCCCGCGTGTCGCGTGCGAACAACACCCTCTCCTCCCCATGGGACTTTCCGACCTTCCCAACGTCAAGACCGTCAAGCTCTATTGCGCCAAGTGCGAGGATATCTATAACCCCAAGTCATCTCGTCATGCCTCGATCGACGGCGCGTATTTCGGCACTTCTTTCCACAACATCCTGTTCCAGGTCTATCCGTCTCTGATCCCTGAGAAGAGCATTCGTCGTTACGAGCCGCGTGTCTTTGGCTTCCGCGTCCATGCCGCTGCAGCTCTCGCTCGCTGGCAGGACCGTCAACGCAGTGAGATGAAAGCTCGTCTCCGCGCAGCTGGCGTTGAACCCGGATTCGCTGAGGAAAGCGACGAGGAAGATGAGGAGCTGGAAGACGACGAGGACAAGCCCAGCAGCAAGGACAGCAAGGTTCTGGGCGACACCGCTTCTGGCCGCATGGATCTCGGTAATTGAGCTCGCTGGGAGGACTCCTCTTACTGTGTCCATTGCCCGCTGTGCGGAATCACAAATACCCGCTTCATTTCACTCGTCACAGCAACTCGGCGCATGGTCTTTTCTTAGAGTTCAGAAATGTGCATTAATCATCATGATGGCTCAATGGGGCGTTAACGAGCGGTAACAAATGGCTGATAATTCGTGGGATCCTTTCTTTTCACATTGAGAAATGTAATTATTCGAATATTGCGGTTTAGCACGTATCATTTCAGCGTTCCTTCACAATTAAGTGAAGGGACCAGGAGGAATATGATGTCGGAATTCGAACTGCATTGCTCTTCCTCCTTCCTCGGTACCGTAAGCAACGATATACTTCTCCATAGAATAAACAGAGCCCCCCCACATCATCAAAAGCAACGATCTTCTAAGCATCTAGAACTCCCCTCCAGAACTGGAGTGGTAAATCCGATGGCCGGTCCAGAACTTCATAGGAAGCCCCTGAACCCCCTGCACTAGAGTCGATAGCTCCGCCCCACAACCCCGATCGAAACTTCGTGCGACAAGAGATTCGAGATCCACAGATCTAATGATGACGGGCTCTTTACTAGGGACATTCGAGAATGGGACTAATAATGCTTGTTCTGGCGTCGTAGAAAGGGGTGCTGGTTGTCAGATTGGTGAGAAGAGAAGAATGAAGAGAAAGATATCAGGTTCTGATGGGATTGATGTGGCCCTCTGTCTTTTTCTAATGCATGTATGTACTATACATATATTGCTACGGATCTACTAGACTATGTACAGTTAGTATACAAATGCGTGGATTTGTGTCGAATATGTAATATTGAATAGATAGATAGCACGGGAGGATACCATGGACTAAGTAGTCTGATTTAAAACACTTTAAATTACTTGCTTGAATTTTGTACCATAGTTCTAGGTGGGGGATTTGGATCTATATTTACATATCTCCTGGACTAGATACTATAGCATACATAGAATCTATAGATCCTGGTAGGTTCCATTCTATAATTAGGATATCAAGGATCCTGCTGTAAAATCAAACGGACGGTTGACAGATTACCTGGATGTATGATATACTTTGTGCGCCGACAATATGTCGTTTTGTTAGATATGGTTTTTGCTCCAACTCTAATTTATAAAGTGGTTTTATGCATTCAAGCAGCAGTTTGTCGAGTATTCGACCCATCTTTCTCCTCTAGGTTCCATAGCGCCCATAACTTCAAGTGTCTAGGGTAGGATACCGATAAATAAACATATGCGTTCCATATTTGGTGCTGGGTAATAATATTCCGCGAAGCGATTTCAAGATGGTAGACGATAAGATTATATCTTTGGCGTGACAACTTCCCTTGGTTTGGAAGAAGCATACCGTACTGTTAAGCTAGGTTTTGTGAATGTTGTTCGAAGACTAAGTCTGTTGCCCCTTTAGTGGACTGAAGTGATTATGGATATTACCTTTTAATTTATCTGGTGGATTTATTACAACGCAATCTATCAGAATAGAATATAGCCGCGTCCTATTGCATTCATAAGATACCGATGGACTTTTGGTTATCCGGACAATATTGTGATTAACAAGCTTATAAGATTCCTGCCTGGTCAGGTCAACAGTCTTGTCTCGTAAGACAGCCATAGTAAATTTAATCGCAAGGTTATCGGAGATTTGAACAACCAGATTACCATAGTTGCATCCCCCAATAATTTGACATTGCTCCAATAAATAGTATGTAATTAGATCATCATCAGACGCCCTGTGGAAAAGTACAGTACCCATGGCACTGGGTCTGCAACTATGTGTATTGGTCTTGAGTTTAGGACAGATATAGACAGGGAACTAGCTACACTGTCTGGCAGAAGAAATCTACAACTTGAGCGCGCAAGTCGCAAAGTTCTAGCAGAGACTAGACAGATGGAACTAAATGATAGTGACTGTAAGCGGATAACGCTTGGTCTTGTTCAATCTCAAGATTTCGAGTATGATAGTTCGACGCTCGAGTCGAGCATCAGAATTAGACAGACCACGTGGATCTTCTCAACCGATACTCAATCCAAAAGGTCCAAAGGTCTCCTTCTACATCACCGTCTATCACCGTAACCAAATGATACAAAAAGTCTTCGGAGTTTTTAACCTTTTGTTCCTTGGAGTCGGAATGGTTCCAGTTAGTTGGCTGGATATACTCATCAGAGACGCCGCCATATATCATAATTAACCTGCGGAATATCCCAAACACATCTATCAGAGCTGGATATGCATAATGGATGATGCCGTGATTGTGTAAGGAGATCCACGAATTCAAACCATCATGCATCTCCCGGGGTTATGGTTAACTTCAAGGAAATGACAACTATGATAGTTATGAAAACGTCAGAGGACAGGGAGAAGTATTGCTGTAGCAAACCGAGAATAACAATTGTGACCATGAACCATAGTTGCTACACACTTATTGACTGACTAGTGTTCTATTATTAATAATACTCCCATGGGTTTCATGAACTGTCGGGCCTCAGTCCGACCAGTCCGTGGGTTTCATGATCCCAAACCAAACATCCGGTACATATGGTACGTCCTCTATATTGGTGGATTGAAAAGAAGACCCTTCCCCTTGGGGAGACGGGGAGCCGCTGGCGCGCGGCCTCTCCGGACTTGGAAATAGAGTAGGGGGATCAGCATTCCGTATGGTACAACCGTTGATTATATTCTGGATATAACTCATCGCTGACTGACAAGCTCTCATTGAGAGCGCGGGTGCCAAAGAAGGGCGAGGGACTGTTGCCACTGCCTTGGATTGCCGTGTCGGTTCCACTGTCATTTCATGTGGTCCCTTTCTCCAATAATGGCTGTGCCGGGTGAGGAGAGTAGAGGATTATTACCGTGCCGTCCTGCTGGGTCATTATTTCTGTTTCCTCTTTTGACCGTTCATGACTTCGACAACCTACCTAGGATATCCATCAAGAACAACACACATCAATAATAATAACAAGATTGACAACAGATCCGCAGCACAGCAACCCAACCATTCCATTCCAGCTACCATACATAGCATTACTGCGAACCATTGAATGAGACTGATTCGACAAACCCGAATTAGCCAATATTAATGCCCCTGTCTCAGCACGGAACGCCACCACAACGCCCGCTGGGGACAAACGAAGTCTAGAATCCGCTCTCCATTTCTATCATCTTACCTGTCCGAAGTTCCCGGCCTGTTTAATGGCGCCAGCGTGCCTGACGCGTCATCCTAAGGATGGTTTGGGAATAAGTCGCACGGATGGCAAAAGCTCGACGGGCCAATTCGCGTGGATTGCGAGTGCTCAGAGCCATTCGTGGCCCGGGATTCAGTCCACAGTTCCATATATAAACATGGAACTAAACAGACACCGGCAATCCGCTAAACCCAACTTTAGCTAAGGCTGACCAAACGGTTTACATGGAAATTCAGATTTTTTGTCCCGGTACCTGGAATAGACCCTCCGGACAGCGGGCCCGGGCATGACGATGCAATACCATCTAGACTTCCCTTCTACTCCAGATGGACCAGTGTTTCTCTCCTTCTTCCTTTCTCTCCATTATTAACTGACTGTCTTGCCTCTCGTTCGAGTGGTTCCTCTCGTTTTCGCTCCTCGATCAATCACCTCGATACTTTTTTTTATTTCTTTTTTCTATACTGTCCTTACACCAACTTTTTTATAAGAAACCTTTTTTTTTTCCTCTTGTCCTTTTTTTAGACTATTTTTGATCGTCGACACTCGCTTCGAAGTATATCCAACATGCACTACTCACAGCTTCTCGCGTTCGCGCTGTCTCTCGCTACCACCAACGCTGCCTACCAGGGCTTCAACTACGGTGCCACCAACCCCGATGGCTCCTACAGGCAGCAGTCCGATTTCCAGCAGCAGTTTGAAACTGCGAAGAACCTCGTCGGTACGTCTGGCTTCACCAGTGCCAGACTGTACACCACTATCCAGGGCGGTACCACCAGCGATGTGACCTCCGCCATCCCCGCTGCCATCCAGGAGAACACCAGCCTGCTGCTCGGTCTCTGGGCCTCCGCTGGCCAAGATATCTTTAACAACGAGGTCACTGCGCTCAAGAACGCCATCAACACCTACGGAGACTCCTTCACCAAGCTGGTTGTCGGTATCTCCGTGGGCAGTGAGGATCTCTACCGTAACTCCCCCACTGGCATTCAGGCCAAGGCTGGCATTGGTGCCAACCCCGACACCATTGTGTCCTACATCAAGCAGGTCCGCGAGGCCATTGCTGGCACTGCTCTGAGCAGCGCTAAGATCGGCCACGTCGACACCTGGACCGCCTGGGCCAACACCTCCAACGTCGCTGTCTCTGAGGCTGCCGACTGGATTGGTGTTGACGCCTACCCCTACTTCCAGAACACCGAGGCCAACTCCATCAACGACGCCAACGGTCTGTTCAACGATGCCATTGCCCAGGTCGAGAACGGTGCCTCTGGCAAGGAGATCTGGATCACTGAGACCGGCTGGCCCGTCAGCGGTCCTACCGAGAACGAGGCTGTTGCTAACACCGCCAACGCGAAGACCTACTGGGACCAGGTTGGATGCCCTCGTTTCGGCAAGACCAACATCTGGTGGTACACTCTTCAGGATGCCCCTACCTCTCCCAGCTTCGGTATCGTTGGCCAGCAGCTGAGCACCACTCCTCTGTTCGACCTGTCTTGCGGTAACACCACTTCCACCTCCACCAAGAACGCCTCCGCTGCCTCGTCTTCCGCTGTTGCCACTGCTACCGGTGTTTCTCACAATGCCTCTGCCACTGGTGCTGCTGCTGGTGCTGCTGCTTCGTCTGCTGCCGCTGCTATCCCCGCCGCTGCTGCTGGTGCCTCTTCCGCTGCTGCTCCCGCCGCTGAGCCCTGCGAAACTGAGGGTGCTGGTTCCGGCGCTTCCCCTGCTGCCGGCGCTGCTGGTGCTGCCGCTGGTGCTGCTGCTGGATCCAACAGCACTGGTGCCTACATCGCTTCCCCCAGCGGTGTCCGCCCTGCTGCTGGTGCTGGCCAGGGTAGCAACGGTACCTACACCATCGTTGCTAAGCCCACCCTGTCCTCCTCCTCCACCGCCGGCGCCGCCGCTGCTCAATTCACCAACGGTGCTGCCGCCAACTCCGGCTCTATGATCGCCGCCATCGGTGCTATCTTCGCCGTTGTCCAGGCTCTGTAAACCGTTTCCTTTTCTCTTCTTGTGAACTTGATTGTACGCCCTTTGAGATCATGTGGGTGATATATGACGCTCTACGTCTTTATTTCGAGAGGTTTCTTCCGTGACAAATTGGAATTTTATCTTCTGAATATATATTAACTATAACACCAATTGTATTCCGAAAAGTAAATCTATAAATCTTCTCTAGTCATTGCTCTTATGTGTATGTTTCGTCGTGAGATATATATACACGGTATCCTATTCCATGATACTTAAGGGTATGGTCAATCTCCTCACAGCCCTACAAGACTGAATATGCGTATCGACTACTTAGGGGAAGTCATTCCATCTGGTATCATGAGGGGGGAAGTAGCAAAAAGAATATACACACTCAAGAACGTTCATCTAACCTGACCAGCTCCTCCACCGCAACAGAAATAACCCTCGCCAACTCCTCACCTGCACTCCAAACCTCATTATGCAGCCCATGCAAATCTCGCAGAGTAACAACACGTCTCTCATTCCCTTCCCCTCCCCACGCCTTCAACCCATCATACATCGCATCAACCTGCGCAAAATCCACAAGTTCATCATCCACCGAATGCGCTAAAACAACAAGTTTCCCCTCCGCCCAACTACGCTGGATCCCAGAAGAAGAAGAAGAAGACGACGCTCTAGCAGGCGATACGACATCCCAGAGATCCTCATCAGGACCAAACGCACCGGTCAGGAATTCCTGATATGCATCATACCGCTTGTAATTATCACGGAGTAATCTCAAATCATAAATACCCTCGACTCCAACTATGGCTTTTGGCTTGATGAGTCGCATTGCATCGCTGTCCGGATTCACACCAGGTAGATTGTCCATGACGGTCTGGAACGCCAATGTCGCTCCACAGCTGTGTCCGATCAGGATATATCGATCTCCGAACCCATACTCCGTCTGGAGGAATGTGATCGCGGCGCGAACATCATGGATATGATCTGGGTGTTGGGCGCGACGCAGTTCTCTGGTCGGAGTGGTGTGAGGGTCCTGAGGGAAGTTCGGGTGAGGGCTTAGACGGTATTCGATCGATGCGAAGGCTGAGATCTTCTTCTTCTCTTGGACGGTGGTGGATTTGAGGAGGATGGATTGTGTGAGGTCGAAGGAGGAGAGGGTTACGGTGGGGTCGCGCCAGGCGCCGCCGTGGATGTAGCTGTGAGTAGTAATAAGGAGGATTGTCAGTATCTCGTTTCTTGGGAACAGTATATATGAGGGTTAAGTGTGATCTGGGATGAGAGGAGGTCGTTACATTACCCAGTAACCTGTATCTTCCTCCGCGGGGTTATTTCGTTGGATGACGGATACGGAAACTTTCTGGAGAGCATGATCTTGCGCATAGTAATGAGTGAACTCTTCAGTGGGGGATGATGTTGAAGAAGAAGACATCTTGTATCTTCATCCTTTCTCTCCTGTGAGAGATGGAAATTCGGAGTGTGAGGTAATTGATGGGGTCGGTCTATGAGCTCTTTCCCGTCTAGATATATTTTTCTGTCAGTTGTTAGGTATCCGAGACGGGTGCTGAAGCGGATATGATTCTACACTGTGAGTCTGGTTTTCTACCAAGTGATCATATTTGGAAACACCCGTCCATCGAGAGTTACTGGTTGATTTCTACAGGGCTCTCTATTCTTGTTGATAGATGGGGTTTATCGTTCTTTGGAGGGGATACTCGAATTTTGCGGGGTAGTTGCCTCCGTGGGGTGAAGGGGCATGGTGCAACTTGGAGGATAATCTTGTAACAGATGATGTCCATGAGGGAAGTAATTATGGAAGGACAATCATGAGGACTCCTGTGACCACATGGTGGTAATAATTATATGGGATTCTGGTGTACTCACACCCAAAATTCACATCCGAATATTGCAGAGCCCATATTTGCTAGTTATGGGTGTTGGAGAACATCCACTTGCGAAATGCTTAACTCTAAGACGCAGCGGACACCAAGCATCTAATGACAGTTATAGCTAATACATTTACAGGCATTATAAACAGTTTCAAATCATTAACTGAAATACATATACAATCTTCTTGTCCGTCAACTGTCAGCCGCTGGGATTTTTATTCTCCTTGGCGCGCTAAACCCAACACAGAACTAGCGCCAGTGAAATTGTGCAGAATGCCCACACAAACCAGTAGTGACAGCGACAAGAGCGACAAAGACAGAGCACCTCGTCCACCTCGTCCTCAAGCCGTATCGGGACTATTATATCCATCATGGCTGAGTAAGTGATGTCCCTTGTTCAAGATCTGGAATCATGCTAACAGTTTCCAGGAAAGAAGTCCCCCTCACCGCCGTCCAGGTGGACGCGCTGGTATGGCCCTCGAAATATATCCCCTCCGATCCGCAAAGAGATACTGATACCCCACGTATAGGTGGTCATGAAAATCATCAAGCACTCCTCTCAGACTTTCCCGACAGCGGCGACCGGTTCGATCGTTGGTATGGATGTTGACGGCATCCTGGAGGTCACCAACTCTTTCCCTTTCCCCGTCGTCGAGGTGCCACCGGAATCGCACTTTGACAACACCACGCCCAACCCTGCAGCGGCCGCTCCGCGAGCAAAGGCCAATGTCGCCTACCAGAATGAGATGATCCGGATGTTGCGGGAGGTGAACATCGATGCGAACAACGTCGGATGGTACACGAGCGCCAACATGGGCAACTTCGTCAACATGAACGTTATCGAGAACCAGTACTTCTACCAGAAGGAACTGAACGAGAGGACAGTTGCGCTCGTCCATGATGTCAGCCGTAGCTCTCAGGGCGCCCTGAGCCTGCGGGCGTTCCGTCTGTCGCCGCAGTTTATGACTGCGTTCAAGGAGAACAAGTTCACCGCTGAGCAGTATGGCTTCCTATTTTCTCTTTTCTTTCTTTCTATATCTGCGGGACAAAATGCTTACAATCTATGGCTTTATAGGCTCCAGAAGTCGAACTTGACCTACCAGCAAATCTTCGTTGAACTCCCCGTGACCATCCACAACTCTCACCTCCTCACCTCCTTCCTCCACCAGCTGCCTTCGCCTCCGCCCTCGCAGCCTCTGGACTTCCCGCCATCGCTCGCTGCTCTGAAGACTGGACCGCTGGCGTCTTCCACTCCTCTGAGCCCCAACTTCGACAACCTGACTCTGAGCATCGACCCGTTCTTGGAGAAGAACTGCGACCTGCTCCTGGACAGCATCGAGACCCACCACACCGAGAACAACAACTTCCAGTACTACCAGCGCTCGCTGGCCCGTGAGCAGCAGAAGATCGCTCAGTGGCAGGCGAAGCGCAAGCAGGAGAACGCCAGCCGTGCGGCGCTCAAGCAGCCCCTGCTTCCCGAGGACGAGTGGCAGCGACTGTTCAAGCTGCCTCAGGAGCCTAGCCGGCTGGAGAGCATGCTGAACACCCGACAGGTGGAGCAGTACTCGCGCCAGATCGATGGCTTCGTGTCGTCGACGACCGGTAAGATGTTTGCCGTCAAGGGCAACCTGCTTCCTGGCGAGACGGCCAACTGATTGGCGTTTCTCGCGGTCTTTTTTTGTTTTATCTCGACCTGGTGATTTTGTGGGCCTTGCATGACCATATCGGCGTAGGGAGGGAAAATGTGTATCTGGCTATTTAATATAGAGATGGCCATTTCTCCTGTTTGCTTATTCCAGTGACGAACCACCTCACGGGATACGATTCAAGAGCATCATACATCTTCTTTTTCAAAAATTTTCTAGTTTCGTCATACACCGTAGCTCTTCCTCAATTCCTGTATTCCACTCACCCAAAGGTGGCAAGCAACAGTCAGCATAAAGTATGGTATTATGTAGTTACTGTACATCGAACTGCCTCGAACATCGCGCGGCATAAACTCGGCCGTTTCCAACGATCTGATACGACGAAAACCCTAAGCCCTAAACCACGTGACCATACGTAGGTTCCGAAAATCGGCGCGAAACAAGTCAGTGACGTCCACAGTTCGGCGGTTTTTATCAGATCATCAGATAAGATAGATTCCCGCTCTTCTCTCACAGCGTCATCGTCATTTCCTCCCAACTTCTCTGCTAGACGGATTTACCTCGAACACAAAGGGCGATTTTATCTCTTCTCGAGCTCCAATTACTTCCTCGCTAGCTCAGATGTATAACACCAATACCGATATCTGGGTTGTACGTCGCTCCCCTCCACCGCTTTTATCCATCGTAACACGCAAGTTTTTTCTCGCGTGCCGAACATGATAGCTAGCTAGTTGAAGAACAGAACAGAACAGACATGCTGATGACTTTTGTTTTTTTTTGAAATATAGGCTGGAGCCTTTGCAGCATTTACGGTCGATCTCCTCGTTTATCCGCTTGATACCCTCAAGACTCGAATTCAGTCGCCTCATTATGAGCGCCTTTACAAGAACACCGCTACGGGGGCGATAAACCGAGCCGTGCTCTTCCGTGGGTTGTATCAGGGGATATGGAGCGTTGTGCTCGCGACAATACCGTCTTGTAAGTTGCGTGTTTTCTGAATAGAGAGGAAATTTGTTGTGAGAGCGTTGTTTGAGAATTGCCACTTGCGCAATTGAGGCCTGTTCTAGGGCTGTTTCGTTTCGTCTCCGGGTCCATTGAGCAATGATTATGTTGTGTTGTCACTAGAAGAAAAGAAAAGCAGAAAACTGCAGCTACGTTTTCGACCAAATGGGACATATACGCTAACGATTTCTACCTTCAAAAAACAGCCGGCGCATTCTTCACCACCTACGAAGGAATCAAATACGCATTAAACGCATCCTCCAAATCCAACCCCGACTCCTCCAAAACTAACATCCTACCCTTCACCCACTCCCTTCCTACACCCGTCGTCCACGCTATCGCATCTTCCTCTGCGGAGCTCGTCTCCTGCTTCATCCTCACACCCGCCGAGGTGCTGAAGCAGAATGCGCAGATGGTCGGGGCCCGTGGTCCGTCAAGTTGGAGCCAGAGCACCACGCTCCAAGTCCTGTCCAAGTTCCGACGAAATCCCTTCCGGTTGTGGAGTGGATACACGGCGCTGATTGCGCGTAATCTGCCTTTTACGGGTCTGCAGTTCCCTATGTTCGAGTACTTGCGCACGCACATGATTGAATGGAGACGGGAGCGGAAAGGTCAAAGTGCCACGTCCAGCGCGAATGATCTGCTGATTGAACGCGCGGGCATCACGTCCGTTGCGGCTGGGTTGGCAGGAAGTGTAGCGGCGGTGGTCACGACGCCAATTGATGTGATCAAGACTCGAATCATGCTCTCAGCCGGTGATAGTGAGGAACAGCGACGTGCAGCCGTTCGACAGAATCGAAGCCGTGGCGCCTGGGCTGTTGGACGAGAAATCTGGCTCGAGGAAGGCATCAAGGGTCTTTTTAAGGGTGGTGCTATTCGCGCATGCTGGACGGCCGTCGGCCTTGGTCTTTACCTGGGCGCCTATGAGGGCGGTCGATTCTATCTCGAAAACCGCCGAAAGGAAAAGGATACCGCGAGAGGCAAGCTGGGCTTGAAGAGTGAGGAAGGAGAAGCTGTGATCTGATCCTTTTTTATACTACCTTTTTTTTGACAGACTGCCGCTGGCAGAAAAGAAGATTCCTTTTAATGACGGAGTTGTGACTTGATTTTGCTTTCCGTCATGTTTCCAAGTCTCATGATATCTTTTCTATAACTATGAGGACTTGTCGAAGATTGTATGATTTCTCATGGGAGCTGGGTATTTTCCCTTTTTTCGGTCTTTTCTGGGTGGCCATCTGCTAGAGCAATATTTCTGATACATCTATTTTTAACTTTCTGTGAAATCTGCGCGACAGGCGAATATGTTGGATAGCTAAGTTCTTCTGTTTCTGAGAATTCCTGACGATGTTCACTAGGTACGGGAGACCGGGTTAAAGAAGAAAAAGTTACGGTCTGCACTGCATAGTGTCTGGACAGGGTTATGCTTGTTCGAATGTATATCTTCCGATAGGAATATAGATTGATTATTTTTTCATCTGGTGGTGAACTTGAGACTAAACGTACAAAGCCCTGAAACTGTTTCTGAATTCCAAAATGTACAATGTTCCAGGGATTTATACTCCCACAATCTTAAACTCTCCCGCTGCCCCGTATGGGATACAAGATCTTTCTGAGCGGTGCCTTGGGATAATTGCTGAATGGAACAAACCGAATTTAGCTAAAACAAAACAAGAAGCTATAACAATACCGTGCGAGTCAATACGGCTTGGAAGCCGAATTTATCGCTTATTCCTTTTTTTTTTTGGCGTGTGACGTAACGCCAGGATGCATATAGTTGCCAGCAGCAGGACATGACGCAGACGCAAAAACCACATAAATAGGGGCATAAACATCGTGACAATCATTTAGACGTTAGGCATTCGAATGTTTTCATTTCATCATATCAATCGTAACATGAGCGGTCCATAGCGCAGCTACCATGGGGGGTTGGTTGGAAGAAAGGACTGAACAGAAACCCGCTTCAAGATACTTTCGGTATCTCACTATGCAACTTCACAGCGTAGTGAGTCGCTTCAGCCAGCTTGTTCTTTTCGTTCCACTGGCGGGAGGTGCATGCCGGCTGTCGTATGCTCTGCTCCAACGCTCGCGTTCGTAGTCGCCGCTTCCTGAGCTGCTCTTGATACCGTCGCGGTCGCCCCTGCGTGCTTCTCGACGTCGAGCACGTCGTTCTGCAATCTCATCATCGGTGAGTCCCGGATATTTGGCGCGTCGACGAGCCAAACGACGCATTTCCCGACGAGCCTCCTCATCCGAAGACAGAGAGTGGCCGTTTTGAGCATCAGGGCCTGTCGGTACATCAATCACAGTGGCTACAAGTGGAGGTGGCTCGGGAGGATCTGTGGCTTGCGAATGGACCCAAGACGACGTTTTATCTTTACCGCCAGACATAACAGGGTGGAACTCTGCCGGGTCTGGTGCAGTTGGTCTTCGACGTCTCGATCGGCCAGGTTGATGGTGTCGTTCACCAGCATAGTCCTCCTCCGGCGCGTGAGAGCGTCGTCGACCAGATTTGGACCGGTGTCTGGAGCCCCCGTTCATTTCTTCTACCTCTCTTGTGCGTCGTCGTTCGCGTCGTTCTGTCGCTCTGGCTTCAGCGCGGGCTTCTGTTTCTCTAGCTTCCTGCTCCTCCCGGGCCCGGCGTTCCTCCCGAGCAGCTCTACGGGCTCTTTTTTCTTCACGTCTCCTTTCTTCTTCCCTTTCCTCTTCCTCGCGGGCACGCTTCTCACGGGCCTCTTTTTCCTCTCGCCTCCTAATCCGGCGCTCTTCAGCTTCTCTGAGTTCAGCAGCGTGCCGTGAAGAGCGTTTTGCTCTGCGTTCGGCTCTCCGCGCCTCTGTATCTTCAGGTTCGGTATCTGCACCACCGGGCGGAGCTGCATCGGTCATAAAGCCTTCCACATCAGTCTCTGGTCTCGTTGATCGTCTCCTTTTCCTATCCTCTCGTCTAATACGTCGGGCTTCTTCCCTCTCAACATCCGTCATGTGTTTGGCATCATCGTCACGATACGACCGGGACCTGCGACGTTCTGGAGGATCCGGTCTCGAAGGCTTCCGCAGCGATCCAAGAAGCGCCATGAATCCACCGCCTTCTGGCTTCTTAGGTGCATTGCTAGACCGTCTATGGTGTCGCTCCTTTGGCGGAGCTTCGACAAAGGCAAGATCATCAGGCCCAGAGAATACTTCTGGCCCCTGAGGCGCGTCAACCATGACGATATCATCTTGAACATCCGCATCCCTTGTTTTCGCCTGCAAAGTTCCGAAGTTAGACCAGCTCCTAGAAAGAAAGCTCTCGTAACAGATAGTTGATTTCAGTAGAACTGGCTCACTTACCTCTCTTTTGGACCTACTTCTCCTTTTGGCTCTTGAGGCCTCCTTCGAGGATATATCATATTCATCTCCGTTGACCATTACAATATCATCCTCGTCTAAGGTATAAGGATCGGGCGCTAGAAGGAAAGCGTGAGAAGGGCATTCGGGAGATATCATTGCAGAATCCTTACCTGATTTTCTTTTTTCTGACCGTCTACCTTCTCTGTTGCGCTTAGATGAACTAATCCCCATCATTTTCGCTGCTTTATCAGGCATTTCTCGTCTTTCATCAGGAGGCGGTGATAGGAGTCCAGAGTCCTCAACGTCGACAGATGGACGCCTTGAAGTCGGTCTCGAGGCAGAACCGCCAGCCCGTCGACCAGACTTGGTTCTGGAAGGAGGAGGAGGCGCGTTGCCAAGGAGAAAATTGGAGAGTCCCATACCGCGATTCTGGCGGGAAGACTTCGCCTCTGCTTTCCTCTCTCTGTCAGAAGTGGACGATCTCTCGCCTTCGTTTTCCGATACACGGTGTCGATGACGCCTGGTCGCATCGGACTTAGACCTAGCCAGAGCAGGTGGAGATCGCTCCTTTGTCCGTGGGATGTCGATTTCTTCTTTCGGTCTACTGTCTCTCTTAGATGGCTTCTTTGGTGGAGCAGCAGCCCAGAAGCCCCACGAGGAAGCACCTGCCGTACGTTCTACTTTCGTGCGTTCCCTTCTAGGATGCTTCGCATGAGCAGATTCAGGAGGCGGAGTTGGGGGTGCACCAGGTTCCTCTTCCGGGGCTGGTGCTGGTGGTGCCTCAACGGGTGTAGGCTCGTCTATCACAGGTGATGGCTCTTTCTTGGGCTCAGAGCTCTTCTTGGTTTTCTTGGATACTTGCTCTGGAGCAGGTTCTGGAGCAGGTTCTGGAGCAGGTTCTGGAGCAGGTTCTGGAGCAGCTGGCGGCTCCGGGGCTTCGTCGTCCGGGCCGTCCGGGAAACTGCCTGGAATAGAGTCGTGCGATTTTTCCTTCCTCTCAACAGGCTCGGGAGCAGGAGGAGGTATTGCTGTTTCTTTTTTGGATGAAGAAGTCTTGGTCGACTTTGACTTGGATAAAGTAGTTGCCTTTTTAGGTGGAGGCTCCACCGTAGGCTCAACAGCCTCTTTCGCCTTCTCTTCTTGCTTCTCTTTTTCCTTCTCTTCTTCCCTCTCCTTCTCCTTATCCTTCTTGGCCGGCTCAAGGGCCTTGATGCGTTCGGCGACTGAGAGCTTGCCAGTTGTCTTGGTCTTCGATGCGGACGCAGTCTTCGCTGGCGGCGCGGCTGTCGCGGCTGCATCATCCGCAGCCGCGGTAGGCGCCTCTCCACCCCCTACATCAATCAGGAGATCATCGATACCGTGAGACTTCTTGCCGGCATCACCAGCTTTGATCTCGGACTTGCTACTTTTCTTGGGTGACTCTTCCGTAAGGTCCAGTAGATCGGCTTTAGGTTCGGGTTCAGGGTCCTTGGGTTTCTCTTCTTTCGACTTGCTCAATTTTGACTTAGTCGTTGTGCTTGTGCCTAGACTTCCCCAGAAACTCCTGACCGCTTTAGCTGGAGTATCTGCCACAGCCGGCTCTGGTTTAGACTCTTCGACTGGCTCCTTCTCTTTGCTCTTAGTCTTTAGCAGCTTGCTATCATCGACCTTCGTCTTAGTTAGTGTACCCTTCTTAGTGCCCTTCGTTTTTGTACTGAACCCTGCCCACGGGTCATCATCAGCGATAGCATCTAGAGCAGAAGCTGGGTCTGGCTCGGGGGTGAGGCCTTGAGCAGGAGGAGTAGGTGCCGGAGGTGGAGGCTCTTCTATAGCTTTGCTCTTTTTGCTCTTCTTCTTTTCCTTTGCGGTTCCCCAGATTCCCCAATCCTCTTCGGGAGGTTGTTCCACAATAGGTTCAGGGGCGGGTTCAACGACAGGTTCAGGTTCCGCTACAGACTCAGTTAGAACGGGAATGTCCTTCCCTGGTATAGGAAGGCCTTTTGCTTTGAGCTGCTTCTCTCTTTTCTTCTGCTCTTTGCCTGATAAAGTAGCCCAATTCTCGTAGAGCGGATCCTGCAGTTGAGCCTCTGGCTTAGGCTCAGGTTCGCGCTCAGGTTCTGGCTCTAGTTCTAGCTGAGGTTCTGGCTCAGGGTCAGGCTCAGTTAGAATAGGAATGTCCTTCCCTGGTATAGGAAGGCCTTTTGCTTTGAGCTGCTTCTCTCTTTTCTTCTGCTCTTTACCTGATAAAGTAGCCCAATTCTCGTAAAGCGGATCCTGCGGGTGAGCCTCTAGCTTGGGCTCAGGTTCCGGCTCAGGCTCAGGTTCTGGTTCCGGTTCGCGTGCTGGCTCTGGCTCTGGCTCTGGCTCCGGCTCCGGCTCTGGCTTAGTTGGAACAGGAATACCCTTCCCTGGTACAAGAAGGCCCTTTGCTTTGAGCTGCTTTTCTCTTCTCTTTTGCTCTTTACTAGATAGAGTGGCCCAATTCTCGTAAAGCGGATCCCAAGGCGCCGCAGGTTTAGCCTCTAGTTGTGGTTCTGGCTCAGGCTCAGGCTCAGGTTCTGGTTCTGGTTCGCGTGCTGGCTCTGGCTCAGGCTCAGACCTAGGTTCAGGTTCAGGCTCAGGCTCAGGCTCCGGCTCTGGCTTAGTTGGAACAGGAATACCCTTCCCTGGTACAAGAAGGCCCTTTGCTTTGAGCTGCTTTTCTCTTCTCTTTTGCTCTTTACCTGATAAAGTAGCCCAATTCTCATAGAGCGGATCCCAAGGCGCTGCAGGTTCCGGCTTCGACTCCGGCTCTGGTTCAGGTTCCAATTCAGGTGCTGGCTCTGGCTCTGGCTCTAGCTCTGGCTCTGGCTCTGGCTTAGTTGGAATAGAAAGAATATCCTTCCCTGGTATAGGAAGACCCTTTTCTTTAAGCTGTTTTTCTCTTCTCTTTTGCTCTTTGCCTGATAGAGTGGCCCAATTCTCATAGAGTGGATCCCAAGGCGCTGCAGGTTCCGGCTTCGGCTCCGGCTCTGGTTCAGGTTCTAATTCAGGTGCTGGCTCTGGCTCTGGCTCTGGCTCAGGCTTAGTTGGAATAGAAAGAATATCCTTCCCTGGTATAGGAAGACCCTTTTCCTTGAGCTGTTTTTCTCTTCTCTTTTGCTCTTTGCCGGATAAAGTAGCCCAATTCTCATAGAGTGGATCCCAAGTTACTGCAGGTTCCAGCTCAGGCTCAGGCTCCGGCTCAGGTTCAGGTTTAAGTTCTGATTCGGGCGCTGGCTCAGGCTCAGGTTCAGGTTTTGTCGGAATAGGAATATCCTTCTCCGGTATAGGAAGACCCTTTGCTTTGAGTTGCTTTTCTCTCTTCTTCTGCTCCTTTCCTGATAAAGTGGCCCAATTCTCATAGAGCGGATCCCAAGTTACTGTAGGACTTGGCTCAGGCTCGGGTTCAGGTTGAGGTTCAGGTTCGGGTGCTGGCTCTGGTTCCACAACTTTGTCTTTCTTACCCTTTTTACTGCTCTTTGCAGTACCCCAGATACTCCAGTCATCTGCTGCTGCAGGCTCCGGAGCCGGCGGTGCGGGTGGTGGCTCTGCTACCGCTCCCTTCTTCTTCTTGTCCTTCTTTGTTGAAATTCCCCAACCTCCCCAGCCATCTTCTGCATCCTTATTTTCAGCCACTGCTGGCGGAGGCTCAGGCGCTGGGACCGGGTCTTCAAAAGAATTCTTGTCGTCTTTCTTCTTGGCTAACGTGGCCCTGCTCCATGCATTATCATCAGCAGTCTCTGTCTTGTTCTTGGACGTCCCCAAAGCCGACCAGATATTGTCATTTGATGCTTCCTTAAGCTTGGACTCCGGCACTGGGTCTTCCTTCAAGAGGCCTTTCTTTTTCTTGTCCTTCTTACTGATTGAGGTTCCCCAGGCATCCGGGATCGGCTCAGGTTCTGGCGGAGCAGGAGGGTCTGGCTCCTTTGGCGGTTCTTCGGCAGCCTTTCCCTTCTTTTTATCTTTCTTTCCCCATACTGCCCAAATGTCGTCGGCTGCAGGTTCAGGCTCTGCCGGCGGGGGATCTGGCTTTTTTGCAGGCTCCTCGGTAGCATCTTTGCCTTTCTTCTTGTCCTTTTTCGTGCCCCAGATATTCCAGTCGTCAGCAGGCTCTGGTTCCTGGACGGATGCGGGTTCAGGCTCCTGCGTAGCGCCATTTTTCTTCTTCTTGTCTTTCTTGCTGACAGTAGCAAATCCCCAATCATCCTGCTCCTCGTTCTTTGTCACAGAAGCAGTATTGTCCTTTCCGAGATTGCCGAAGTCGAACCCCTTCTTGTCTTTTCCGCCTGAACCCAATGACCAGGGATTATCACTCTTTTTTTCGCCGCCCCCATTTCCCTTGGATCCATTGTTGGCGTTATCGAAGCCCCATTTGTTTCCAGTGTTCCAGTCTGTACCCCAGCCGCCAAAACCGAACCCAGCCCCTGAGGTCTTCCCACCTGGTGCGTCAAAACTCAGATCCAGCTGAGGCGTAGTGTCATCGAGACTGACATCCTGAAATGAATTCGTAGGCGGGTCTGCTGCCGGAGCAGGCGCCAGTCCAGCCTATGGTAGAGATTCAGTATAGCTCCGTATCAGCCATGTCTGACGGTGTCTTACAGTTCCTTTCTTATCCTTCTTTTTCTTGCCGGCGGTAGTGAAACCGGCCCATATATCATCGGCATTTGCCTCGGTCTCGTCGGCCCAGCTAAGATTATTGGCTGCAGAGGTAGCGGCTGCGGCCTCGGCTGCTTTCTTCTCTTCTTCTTCCTTCGCTCTTTGTTCCTCCTCTTCGGCCTTCTTCTTCTTGTTTTTCTTCTTACTACCCCCCGTAGCCCAATCGGTCCAGTCATCACCGGGGTCATCGCCGCCGTCGCCACCATCATCACCACCACCGCCATTATTGCCATCTCCGGCTGACCCGCCGCCAGAACCAGCATCTCCGCCATCCTGGCCTTCATTATTTGCATTAGTTTCACCTTCGTTATCCGATCCTGCGGATTTATTCGTCTGTGTCTTCTTGGCGGTAGAACCCTTCTTCTTTTTGTGTTCCCGGGCACCATACGGCTCTCCGAAATCTATTGATGCACTGGGAGCGCACTGCCCAGGAGCCTGCCGCTTATGATCTCGAATTCTATGCGGGGGTGCTGGCTCAGGTGTGGACACTTTTGCGCGGGCTAGAACCGGGATAGTAGAATATTCTGGAGGTAGATCGCTGATAGCTTCTTCATAAGACGGAGGTGACTGGCCATCATGCGTAGGTTCGGGTCCTGTTAATATGATCTCTGATAGCAAAGCAGCGGTCTTGAGCGAGTCAAGACCTGAGTAGGGATTTGCGATGAACCCCTAATTCAGTCAGTATCGTATGGTTCGGGGAGAAGTAGAGCGTCGACGGCCAGGCCTGCGTAACCAAGCAAGACCAGCCATGGCCGCTAAGAAGTAGAGAAGCATTAGCACGTACCATGCCGGCGGTGGGTATATTGGTGGACCACGATCCTTCCATATCACGTACTTCGCAACGCGACCAGACATGACGCAGCGTATTTCCAAATTTCTTCTTTTCCTCCGTCGCTCCCCATGATTTCGACGAAACGCTGCGCTCTTTATTCGCTCGGATGGCGACAGTACAGGGTTGCGATGGCGCATACAGTCTTGACGCAGTACAATGGTTTAAGCTCTGCAGTCGCGCTGCGGACTCGGGTTCCATACTGCTGGGAGATATCGGGACTCGAGCGCTGGCGTCCAGTTGACAATGACACTCATCGATGGCGGTGGTTCAATGCAAATGATACGTCTAAGAAGAGCGGTTCTGGAAACAAAAGTGCCGTTATACTCCGTATAAATCCGGACGACAGCAAAAAAAAAGTAATCCTCTGCAAGTCTCGCGCCTGATGGCGTCGTGAGTCAGCTAGCTCAAATGGTTTGAAGCACAGCGAGTATTGCTGAAGAAAAACTATTGATTCAAGGGATGCACAATGTGCGCATACAAATGCGATCGATGGGACAACCACGAAGGCAGGACAGGGACAGGGCAAGGGTATACGAGGCCAGTGAGTATGAAGAATCCAATGGCGGACGAAATTTGCAAGGAGGATTTACCAGAACGTTAGTGAGATCGATCGTCTCCAATATAATGCCAATAAAACAATAATAATAATGGCAATCTCTGCTTGACCACCTGCACTGGAATGTGTGCTCAGTCGCACGATTCCAAGAATGACAAGGGCTTTGAAGCTCTTTGTTCTGATCTCCAACACCCTCTTACCTGACAGGTCCGCGAGCTAGCGGTATCCAAACCAGCGCCAGTAAGGGGTGGCTGGGAGATTCGGGGCCAAAAGGCGTGAACGCCGATAGTGTGGGTGGGACGCAAACTGCGATTGGGAATCACGCAGGGACAAGCCACTCACACTTCAAGCTCTTATGCTGTTTGGGGATCAAGTCCGTCTCTGGGCGTAACTTTTTTGGTGTTCTTCCTCGTGTATCACGTTTATCAGAAGGGGGGTCGGGAGGCGTATCGATAGGGATCAACTGGGTTCCCGCACCCGCAAACCTCCACCAAGCCGGGGTGTCAGAATCGTCGTCTTGTTTACCTAGACGGTTGTGACCTTGTGAGCCCCCCAGGTCAGATTAATTGCTGGTAAGCATTCCGTTCCGCGCACCAGGTGGGGGTGGTGCTCTTCGAGAAGCTAGCCGGCCTTCGGGAAGGGCAGGAGAGAGCTAACCTGGGCTTTTCCTTTCCGCCGTGTCTGTTCAAAAGAGGGGTGATATCAAATTAGCAGCAGCTGGAGAGGAGATGGCTCAAAGAGGCAGAAGTGACGGCTCGAACAGCCCGTAAGAAGCAAAGGAGTCACAGGGTAGGATACGCGTGAAGCGCGACTGTCGACAGGCGGGTATATGAGGTTTTTCTTGATGGCTTTGCTCAGATCTTGTCTCCTGGGGTAAGAGTCACGAGTGAAAGATACTCAATCCGTTTTCCGTCTATACTTTCGGGCGATTCTGTAGATTAGCTGGATGTCCCTTCCCTGTCCTCACCGCATCGACGACGGCGAAGATCCCGACGCGTCTATAGAATGACCGTTCGTCGAGTCTAACGGCGACTCGGCCATCCTGTTGGAGAAAACAGCCCTGCCAGCATCCCACTGGTTGGCCTGCCTTACCATAACCCTGCATTCCCAAGTTGACCAGCAGGGCGTTCTCACTGGATATGCGAGCAATCGTGTGGCACTGAGGGAGGGTCCAGCAGGTCAGTCGGGCGCCAGTCGTGGAGCACACACTTCGTTCCGTCTGGACTCCATCTTGGCTGGCTGCGGATCGAAAAGACAATGCTGTTGTAGTTCTTATCCTTTTGACCCGCTGTTCGCTGCGCCATCACGAGACGTATTATTACAATTCCGGGCGCAATTATTGTTGAGATTGTACTTAGGCAGTTAGCAACTTTCCAAACAGAGTGGATCAACAGATCGATCTGACCATGTCTGAGTCTTAATGGACTTTTTAGAGTCTAGACGGGGCTGTCTGGAGGACGTGTCGGGAACAACACCATTAAGAGGGAAAACTCAGAAGCTCCAGCTCCTGATATCTGTGGAAGGTATATACAATATTAACATGCGTGCTGAATGCATGCCCCGGAACATGGAGATGACAATTCCTGAGGTGCGATGAGGATGAGTCGATTGCCGATTCAATAATGTGGCGCCTTCCTCTTTCACGCTTTGACGCTACACATTTGCAGCATCTGCAATTCCTTCGAGTCATCTCTGTCAAGTTGGAACTGGTAATCTCTTCGTTATGTGATGATGAATATTAGGATATTAGGAAAGACTCTGATGTCTATGTTCGCTCAATTGGACGGACTACGTTCTGCTCCCGGCGGAAAGTACTCACCCCGCAATGAGCTACACATGGATACACACTTCTTCTACACTACTACATATCCTTCTTTTCGACCAGCAAGTGATTTCAAAATGGCTATGCAGTGAGTACATGGCTCCTACTCTTACTCAGACAAGGACCCCATTTTAACCTACCTACCTAAGTAGGTACATATGCCGCCCGTACTAAATGGCTCACTTAACGCCTGCCTTTGGGCACATTATTTGAATCACCGGCCACGAGGCTTCCTGCTTGCCAGCTGGCGTGCCTCAATCATACTATTTCCGTCGCAGAAGTGGAGTTGACTACTGCGTAAAACATCTAAAACGCCTAGCTTATTCCTGTTTCTGATTTCTGCCCCTCTTCGAGAAACTACGACGACGAACAACTCATCAAGAAGCAGAAAAGGAAAAGATACATACATATTATTCAGATATAGTACGGTCTAGATGGGACTATGGACTGGAGAGATCGCAATTACTTTTCCCAAGGGAGAATCGTCGCCTCCGTGTGTGGATTCGTGGCAGCTCTTGCCAAGAAGGAATGGAATTATATCAACTGCCCCTCTCCAAGAAAAAAAAGAGAAAAAAAAGAGAAAAAAAAGAGAAAAAAAAGAGAAAAAAAAGAGAAAAAAAAAAGAGAAAAAAAAAGAGAAAAAAAAAGAGAAAAAAAAAAAGAGAAAAGAAAAAGAAAAAAGAAAAAGCAAAAAGGAAAAAAAAGATGAGTCAAGGAGAAATGACCCCGCTGCCTCCACAAGAAGGAAGAAAGAGAATTTCATCTCTTCGATAATCATTATGTGCAGACACCGATGCATATACACCCCTCGTGCGGCGGGACGCAAATGACATCTGTATGTTGCCGCAAGCGGGTCCGGTTTTTCTTCACCGCTACATCGGGGATGTCGAGATCCTAAGTAGGATCGCGGGTTTATCCGTTCGCTTATGCGGAAGAATATGAGGAGCCTAGGAGGAGAGGAAAGTTTTTGACTTTGAATTCATTGCGCGTCGATCTTCTGTTAAGGTCACCAGGTTTCCCTGACTGCTATCTAATTAACTAAGATCCGGTATCTCAGTTCGGACAGGTCAAGACCCTCTTGTTACAAGATCGGACGACAGTTAGGTCACAGAGAGACCTGGCCTGACCACCGATCTATGTTCGATGGAAATCGTCGAGCCAAGCTTGCTATCAATGAGATCACGACTTCAATAATCGCACCCATCTACAGAGTGAATACTGCCATGCTTGCGTTAGTTAATCGGCCAACAAGGGACTTCCCTACAGACGTCCCCTTCGCCAACTCGCGGCCACAGTAAGACAATATGATTGCTTTAACATAGTTATTGATTCTGAGAAAGGACCGGAGCGCACGAAATTCAAGCATAACACGACCGATAGAATACGCTTGATATGAATTATGTATGGTGGTCGAAAAAAGGAGTAATCACGGGTTGCAGTCATAATTGCTATCATTGAGACTCACGCATACATTATGGTATCGCCGCAGAGAGAGAATCATCTCAGGTCGTTTGACGAAAAGAAAAATAAAGAAGGGTGGAGATCGAAAATCCGTCCAGCAACATGCCACCTACAGATTCGAAGTAAATAATGAGACGGTAAAGAGACCAGACATAAGATACAATAATCGTACATAGGAAACAGGTCCTCCAGCAGGCACTTTTGTTTTTCGCCTGTTCCAGTAATCACCTTGCCCCAACACCGACATCCAAACACTTCGTATCATTGAGGATTGAGAAGGGGTTCATCTCTCACTTAAGAAGATTCCTCCGATCCACGGCTCTTCTTGTTATGGGAAGGCGGGTCTTCACCATAGATCTCTCTGTGTTCGCGCGAGTATCTCTCATAGTCCTCCTTATAGAGTTCATTAAATTTCTAGAGTTACAATTGTCAGTATGGGTGATTTAGAACCGTGCAATACCTTCGGGAGAATTTTCTTTCACATACCTGCTTCTCAGACTCGGTGAGACCTTTCCACTCCTCTCCAGCGCGGGCAGCAGCCTCCTGCACGGACATGTGCTTGAAATCGCCACTCTCATAACGTTCCTTGAGGAAGAGAGCATAGGAACTGGCAGCTTTCTTGACCAATCGGTCGTCGCTGAGCTGATGGTACTTGCCTGACTTCGCATCTCCTAGCAGCTGCCTGAGCCTTCTCCGAGCAGCATTGGCGTCCTTGATCTGAAGAGGTGTGTGCGACTTGATCCACGCATCATAGGCAGCTGAATTCTCTGCCTTGTTGGACTCTGCAATTTGGGCGTAGCGCTAGAAGAATAATGTCAACTATTAGCAATGACTTTTACAAACCATAGATAGATGCCAAGAACAATTTACTCACCTCGAGCTCGTAGGACGGCAGCTCTTTGACCGCATTAGCCACTTCCTTGAAATGTTGAGCTGGGGGTTTGCCCTCTTCTTTCGGGCCAGAGACCATCTTCTCCTGGAAAGCTACAGTGTATGCTGACTGGGGCAGTTTCTTCGGTGGCTCCAGTGCGGTGATCTTGAGCTGCTTGATCTCCTCCTTCAGGGCTTTTGCTTTCTGCGCCTCCTTCTTTGCCTCCTTCTCTTCGGGGGTCAACTCCTTCTTTTTCGAGCTGGTGCTCTTCTTCCCGGTTTTCTTGCTTCCGCTGGATCCTGTAGACGCCTTGGCCCGCCCTGTATGCGCTTTAGGCCGGCCGGCAGTCGCATACGAGTTGGCTTGAATTTGGGATAGAATGCTTCGAACGGGACCCGTGGGAGTTTCTCGCTTCAAGGAAAGGCCATTGACAGCCAGGCTGACGCGCCTGACGTGACGAGGGACGAGGGACACGCGAGTAGACAACGGCAGTGTTTCCCTCAGACCGAATTGACGGACAATGCACCGCCCGCGGCGGGCGAGCATGAAAGGCATCGCGGAGAGTCGTTGCCGTTCTTACTAGATGGGTTGACGAAGGAAGCGGGGGAAGGACGGAGGACAATGCGCGGCGGAGGCTGGTCGAGGTTATCTACGTATCCGGCCCAGCTCCATAACGAAACAAGGAGGTTGAACCCGTCTCGTTTGGCTTGTGCCGAAAAGGGAAATTAACTATCACGTGACAATAAGCTGGGGATATAGTCACGTGCGTCCCCGAGCGGGTCTTTGCAAGTTGCTCGTCTATCGCCGCCGTCGGTAACGCCTTCAACGCCCGCCAGTCAAAAGACTAATCAAGCATCGTCGTGAGAGAAACAAGAGACGAGGTTGCCCCTGTTGGCACATCAATGGACGTGGACTGACTCGCTTCGCTGTTTGATCTGCGTCACTACTGTCCCTGAGTTTTATCAGTAACACTCACTCATCGTTGGCCTGCAACAATGGCTCGCCACGGGGACACTCGCTCACCATCACCTGTAGGCAGCACATACTCTTCATCCAGGCGGAGCCGCAGAGAGGATGATCGATACGACAGAAGTCGACGAGATGACGGCAGGAGCTACCGCCGCTCACGCAGCCCTGAGGTACGGCATCGCATATCGGATCTGACTCGAAATGTCCGGTTCACTGACAGTAACTTGCTACAGAGGCGATATCGGGACCGTGATTTATACCGCAGGCGAGATCGCTCCTTAGATCGGCGCGATGATCATCGTGATGAAGATTCCTACAGACCGAGCAGAAGAGAACGTTCGAGAGATCGACGCCGTTCGAGAGACCGAGACGATGATCGGGATTACCGTCGGAGGAGTCGCGATAGGGATTATCGAAGCAGGCGAGATGACTCCCGCGATCGGGCTCGGAGGCGGAGAGACGATTCTACTGACTCGAAGCGCAAGTCTAGACGGGATGATAGCAGGGAACGTGCTTCGCCCAGAGATCCAGGCGCAAGGTCTCGCGAGGTCAGTAATTCCCTGATGGGGCTTTCAGGCAGAGCTTCTACTAACGGTGGAGTACAGGCCTCTAAGCCGTCCACGCCAGCTCCCGCCGCTCAGACAGACGAAGAGAAAAAGGCCGAACGGTTAGCCAGACTCGAAGCCTGGAAACAGAAACAGGCAGCGGAAAAGGAGCGGAAGCAGCGAGAACTAGCTGCATCTGGTGGTGCGCGGAGCATCTTGGAAGAAATTGACAAGAAATCCGGGTTATCACCCTCTGTTAGCTCTCCTCAGTCGCCGGCTACGCCAGGTAGTGACACTGCCCCGGCTTCTTATGCTGGTAAATTTGATCCGAAAGCGATCGTAAAGAAAGCTACAATTACTTCTACTGGCCCATCACCACTTGGGACCGACGTTGCTGTCCCCGAGACTGCCAAAGCCTCAATAACCACCGCGAATGGCAAGATCAAGGCTAACCAGCCCTCAAGCGATGCAAGCAAATCTTGTAAGTCACATCCCGCTCATTGTGTGCGTATGGCAGCTAATTATTGCTCCCCAGCTGTTCTATTGAAGGCAAAGGGCAACGTGAGTGGTTTCGGATTAGGGGCTAAGCCCGTCGCGGACGCTGAGAAGCCATCCACGACGCGAACACTAGGCTTTGGCGAAGAGGAGTCTACCCGAAAGAAATTGGAAAAGCTTCCGACGCCGCCGCTCGAGGACTCCACTAATGCTGTGGCAGAAGTTGCCGCTGAGGATGAGGACGACGACGTTGATATGCAAGACGGCGGCACGGAAGAGGAGAACGCGGCTGCTGCCCGCGCAGCTGCAGAGAAGCGAGAGGAGCGACTACAAGCCCAAAACTTGGCTTACCAGTCTCAGACGGCTGCTCAGACGAATGGCGACGTGGAAATGACCGATGCCTCGAACCAAGCTGCCAAGGCTGACGAGGAAGAGATTGATCCGCTGGATGCTTTCATGTCGGGTCTGACTGAATCTGGCCCTAAGAAACCGACAGTCAGATTCTCGAAAAAGAAGCAGGAACCAGAGGCCATATTTGGTGACGAAGATGATATCGACATCAGTGCTGTTGGCGATGGTGATGCGGAAGACTTCCTCGCCATTGCAAACAAGTCTCGAAAAAAGAAGGATATCCCTGCCGTGGATCACGCAAAGGCAAACTACGAGCCGTTCCGAAAGAGCTTCTACCATGAGCCGGTTGATCTGGCAGAGATGACGGAGGAGGAGGTCGCGAGTCTGAGACTGGAACTTGATGGCATCAAGGTCCGTGGCGTCAACGTGCCGAAGCCTGTCCAGAAATGGTCGCAGTGCGGACTGGGTGTGCAGACGCTTGATGTGATTCGTAAACTTGGCTACGAGAGCCCTACATCCATCCAGTCGCAGGCTATCCCGGCTATCATGTCAGGACGCGATGTCATTGGTGTAGCGAAGACTGGGTCTGGAAAGACGGTTGCCTTTTTGATCCCAATGTTCCGCCATATCAAAGACCAGAGACCTCTTGAGAATATGGAGGGCCCCATTAGTCTGATCATGACTCCGACTCGCGAGCTGGCGACGCAGATCCACAAGGACTGCAAGCCGTTCTTGAAAGCTCTTAACCTTCGGGCTGTCTGCGCCTATGGTGGTGCTCCAATCAAAGATCAGATTGCGGAGTTGAAGCGTGGTGCCGAGATCATTGTTGGTACCCCCGGACGGATAATCGATCTTCTTGCTGCAAATGCAGGACGCGTCACAAATCTGCGCCGTGTCACATACGTTGTGCTTGATGAAGCCGACCGGATGTTCGATATGGGCTTTGAACCTCAAGTGATGAAAATCATGGCTAACATCCGGCCAGACCGACAAACGGTTCTCTTTTCAGCTACCTTCCCGCGTAACATGGAGGCTCTAGCTCGGAAAACACTCACTAAGCCAGTTGAGATCGTTGTCGGGGGCAGAAGTGTCGTTGCGCCGGAGATTACGCAGATTGTAGAGGTACGGAGTGAAGAGACCAAGTTTGTGCGCTTGCTCGAGCTCTTGGGTAATCTCTATGATGACCCGGCCAACGAGGATGCCAGAGCCTTGATCTTCGTTGACCGCCAGGAAGCCGCTGATAGTCTGCTGAGGGATCTGATGCGCAAAGGATATCCCTGCATGTCAATCCATGGTGGAAAGGACCAGATCGATCGTGACTCGACCATTTCCGATTTCAAGGCTGGAATCTTCCCGGTCCTGATCGCAACTTCAGTGGCTGCTCGTGGGTTAGACGTTAAACAGCTTAAGCTCGTTGTCAACTACGATGCGCCCAACCATCTCGAAGATTATGTTCACCGAGCAGGCCGCACTGGACGTGCGGGTAACACCGGTACTGCTGTTACGTTTTTGACCGAAGAACAAGAGCGTTACTCGGTTGATATTGCTAAAGCTCTGAAACAAAGTGGCCAGGCGGTGCCGGAGCCGGTACAGAAGATGGTGGATTCTTTCATGGAGAAGGTCAAAGCGGGCAAGGAGAAGGCTAGTGGATCTGGTTTCGGAGGTAAGGGTCTTGAACGACTGGACCAGGAACGAGATGCCGCGCGTAATCGCGAAAGGAAGACGTACAAGACCGGCGATGAAGGCGAAGAGGACGAGAAGGAAGAGAAGGCCGACAAGGGCGAGGATATCTTCGCCAAGGCCGCATCGGGTATTCAGTCCGCTGCCGCTCCGCTAGCAGGCGTTCCCAAGGGCATCGACTTGGACGGCAAGATTACGGTGCACAGGACCGAAAAGCCAGCTCCTGGCACGTCAACGAACCCACTGGACAAGGTCGGTTCCGCCGTGGCCGATATCCACGCGCGTCTAAACCGCGCTGGTGTGATGAGGTCTGGAGTCCCTATCGACAACAAGGGCCCCGATGCTGGCGCCTTCCATGCCACGCTTGAGATCAATGACTTTCCTCGTAAGTATTCCCTAGAGATGCTACCCCTGACATTTTCTGCCGTTTCTACGATTTTCTGATCATTAGAGAAATATTTACTAACAACTGATGCTTCGAACAGAGAAAGCTCGTTGGGCCGTCACCAATCGCACCAATGTCGCCAAGATCCTGGAAGCCACTGGTACCTCCATCACCACCAAGGGAAGTTTCTATCCACCTGGCAAGGAGCCTGGCCCTACCGACAACCCCAAGTTGTACATCCTTGTTGAAGGAGACACCGAATTGGTCGTCACGAACGCCATGCGGGAGCTTATGCGTCTGCTGAAGGAAGGAACTCTTGCAGCGGCAGATAGTGAAGCTCGCGCGCCAGCCAGTGGCCGGTACAACGTTGTCTAGTCTGCTAGCCAGGTTCAAAGGATGGGGAATTGTGGTTTGTTCTTCGACTGAAAGATATCCTACATGGGTCTGTGTGCCTTCTTTCCGACGTATCTATATGGTCAGCCTGGTCTGTTACCTTCCGTCCGCTTTGTCAGATGCATCCGATATGATGGCGTGCGGCGTTTCCATTTGGTAATGACATGTAATTAATGTCGCAAGTATTTATAGACGAAATTCCGATGAGTACTTCTTAATCTTCGATTATACTGTTGGTATATCCATGTCGTAGAACTAAAGAGACCGACTGCCTCTCGTCTGATATCAGACGACTCGAACATTTGATCTACGTTGGGATAGGAAAATGTGTAAGTTGATATTCCTGCTGAGTTAAAAAAAAAAAGACAGAAGTGCTATATTATCCTATGCTCTCTCGAATCTAAACACGTCAACAATATCCCAATGCAATGTTCATCATCGCACCATGTAAGTCAGATCTGCCTCACGGAATCCCAACGCGCAAACCGCAAGGATGACACCGTCACCAGGAACGAATAACAAAGAAGACGCGAAACGCCCATCTGATGGTCTATGTAATGTAAAGAAGTCATCTGGCTCGAAGTCTGCTGAGCGCCCACCTCCCAAACAACGCCAGCTAGGAATTTCTAAAAGAAAAAAAAAAAAAATCAAAAGTACTGTACATACATACATGATCAGATGGGACCTGTCTGATTGATTGGAGACAGGACATGGGGGGGTATTCTTTTTTACCTGGAAAACAAAATAAAACGGAACGATATGAAAAAAAAAGCAATACATGGATAATCATCATCATCAAGGGAGAGAAGACTAACTACTCCCACCTCTGAGCCTGGGCGACATTATCTGCATCCCGCGCAGCTCTTTCTGTCCGACTAGCTTCGACCAGAGTCTGAGAATGCGTCTGGGCCTTCTGCGCCGCTAGCTGAGATCCCAATTTCCCTTTGTTTGCAGCATTAGCTTGTGCTTCGGCTCGTTTCTGGTAACACACAGCAGTCACGTCAGCGTTGATGCTCTCATTCTCGCGATATGGCAGGCAAAGAGGAGGGGGTAAAAAAAGCAGAATAAGGTAGGGTTAGGTATTGGGTATTATTATTATTAGTACTCACCTGCGCCGCCAGAGCAGCTTTGCTCCGGGGATCTTCCGCCTCAGTTGACGATCCGCCGTTCGTCCCTCCCAGTGTCCGGCCAGGTCCCATTGAGCTCACCTTTGGCGGGAGCGGGGCGCGGGGAGTGCTGGCAGCGGGCGGCGCGGTCCCTAGGACACGGCCGGGCTGGGAGAAAGGGTCGGATTTGTTGGCGGAGCGGGAGCAGATGTTGCCCATTGTGTGTGGAGAGTGGGAGAGATAAGAGTTAAGGTGAAGGTGGTGAAGATGAGGGGGGATTATTGACTGGATCTTCTAAGTAGCTGGCTGCAAGAAGAGAGCAGCGCAGTCGAGCGCGATTTAAAGGGTTGTTTCTCTTCGAGGTATCCGCCAAGCCCGACTGGCGGATGCGATCGCAACTGGAACTGGCGGGTTTGCTGGTTCTTTTAAAACCTGAGGGCAAAAATTGAGACTGGCGCTGAGTGTATAGTAAGTAGGTCTGATTGTTATCCACTGAGGTATATTAATAGGGATCGTTATTAGACGAGAAGTATTATTGATATAGGATAAGATGACGACGATCCGGTGGCTTTGGAGTAGAAGATTAAGGCGGTGCAGCACGTGGCGTGTTCCTGCACCCCGCATACTTATTATTCCTTACGACTGGATGTTTGCTGTATGGTCTAATACTACATACATAGACTTCCTCGGTTTGCTGGAGTCAGATGTGACATTTTGTGTTATGGCCAAGCTGACTGATGTGTTGACTGGCAGATGCGCAAGGCAAGTGTTGCGGACATAGAATGGTCTGCTGGTGGGGTACCAATGCCTCCAATTCCTCTCGAGGAGATCAAACGGTCTTCCATCTGGAGATAAAAGAGCAGATCATAGAAGATTTGGCAGATTATTTGGATGTATATGGAAACTTATACTTACTGCTGGATTGTATCGAAGGTAAGTTACTCTTACTGGCTAATGGGTCCACCTCGAACCTCTTTCTTGTTCCTGATCGCCGTGTGCGTTTCCGCGGGACAGACGAGGGACAGACCTGGATAAGGCATGCTTTTAGAAGTCCTCCTTCCTTCGATCTCTTGCTGCTGGAGTCGAGACCGGACGATGCTGCAGCGTGGGCATTATTACTATCAGGGCGATATCATTCGCGGAGACGGGCGGACAAATTGACGGGAAGTAATATCGAAAGTGCGTGTTCTACTGACTACTGTACTACTACTAACTTAACTGACTACTACTTATTCTAACCACCAAGGTCCTCACTTGCTCTCCGCGCCCGCAGCGCTGCGACTGCAGCCCCCAGGGTCCTCACGAGGTTCCCTCTGGCTGCGAGTTCGTCTCGCGTGCTGCTTTTGTCTCTACGATCGCCTTCTTCTTCCCCTCCCCCTCTTCCAAGCTCCAAGGGTCCTCTCCATTATCGCATGCTCAAGCACCGCGGTCAACATCCTCTGGCACGCCTGGCCTTTTCTCCGCCTTTATATCTTTGGTCCACCGAAAAATCGCCGTCAGACCGAGTGAGGAATTGAACAGGTGCGTCGTCGAAGATTGGACTGTGCGCACATGGTTGGTGAAGAGCTGCTGACACGAGAAATTCTCGAGCAGGTTCTCAAAGCTGCAGACGACCTCCAAATCTGTGCCTGAGCATCCCTACGGTCCCTCAGACGAGTTACGGCGACGAGCACACGCAGAGACGACCCCGAAGTCCTTTGCTTTTTCACTGGGGACCAACGGTCGAGTACAACGGCGGCCTGGTTCAGGAGGAGAAACTACGGGCATACAACCCCCCGTCAAGGAGGGGAGCAATTATTTTCAAATGTCGCTGGAGCTGAACGACAGCGACTTCTGCCTGGAGTGTCACTGGGAGGCATTTCAGATGGCTGGAAAAAATCCAATGCTGTCAGGCGGCCATGACTCTCAATCACAGTGGTGCTGCCCACCGGACGAAACGCATGACTCTCACGCTTGCACAATTGACGAGGCCTGCTGCGATGTGGACCATTGCTCCGTCGCCTGTGGTTCCGTATGCGATGGCTTCGTCGACTGCGATAATTCCACCGTTTGCTCCGAGTCCCATTGTGAGGACCAGAATTGCGAGAGCACCGGCCCTGTGTGCTTCGACAAACACTGTTTTGAGGACTCCCACGAGGGCCAGAGTTTAGAAGCCCTGCTCGGAGAGGACATCCAGCTCAATTGGGATACCCCAGGCTTCTTGCCCTCGACGTCAGCGCCCGGGAATGAGAGCTCCCAGGCACAGAAGCCAGAAGATCCATTTCATCACCATACTGTCGATTTCCGTGCCACTGACGAACTCTTCGCTTCTCTGTCGACCCCTGCCCACAATGCGCAGCACCATGATTCCTGTCATAGTGTGTCTTGCCAGGCTCCATCCAAAGAGTCCAGTGTAGGTCTATCGAGTCCCTCGTACTCGAGTCAGAGCGATCTGGCAAGCTTGGGGACATGTGATGTGTTAGGAGTCGGCCACGGCTATCTCAGCTGTGGTCACCATATCCATGGAGTGCATCCTCTTCTCCCGGATAGTAATATGGAGAGGTTCTTTGGCCTTCCTCCTTCGGTTGCTGCCCCCTGTTCCAACGCAGCTCACCAGCATGTGGGAAATCGCCTGAGGACTCCCGCAGCTACTGGTGTACATGGCTTTCATGGAGTATGTCGATCACATGCTCATGGCCATACCCACTGCCATTCACACCCATATATGCCGTACGCGCGCCATCACAGATCAAGTGTGAGTTCTCACTTGATGTCCAGTCCCGCCGACACACCACCGCCATTGGAAGGAGGCATATCATCAGGGCTGACAAGCCCTACTTTTCCTACTGATGACCACGAACCCCATATTTGCAAATGGACCTTCAATCACGATGGGATGAAAATCGCGTGTGGTGCCAGCTTCGCGGATGCTGGTGCGTTGCAAGAGCATTTGGTCTCGAAGCATATGGGCACGATGGACGGCAGGAAAGGTCACGGTTACTATTGCTGCTGGGAGGGATGTCATCGACCCGATGAACCCTTTTCGCAGAAGTCGAAATTGCAGGGCCACTTTCTCACTCATAGTAACTGTATGGCCGCGAATCACCCATTCCACTCGTGCGTCTGGCTAACCTACTTTGTCTAACAGTTAAAAGTTTCAAATGCTCGGTCTGCAGCAAGCCGTTTGCAAGGCAGGCAACTCTAGAACGCCATGAGCGGAGCCATCGGGGCGAGAAGCCTTATAAATGCCGAGAATGCGGGAAGGCATTTACTGATAGCAGCGAGCTCAGTATGTCAAATATGAAGTTCAGCGATGACCCCGGACTAACAATACGCCAGAAACACATTCACGCACTCACTCTGGCGAGAAGCCTTTTAAATGCAACTACCCAGGCTGTAATTTTCAGACAGGCGATGTATGTGTCTTGCCATTAGCCTTGTAGGAGATTTGAAGACGTGATTGCTGACAATCGCCTGTAGTCCTCAAACATGTCCAGCCACAAACTAAGTATGTTCCTTATTCACTGGTTGCGCGGATGGTGCTAACATGTTTTTAGCTCACGGAGAGCGTCGACACAAATGTCAATATCCGGGTTGCACGAAGAGCTTCACTCGTCCTGGTATGATTTCAGTCATGTTGCCATGGTATATTTCGATGTGCTAATCCACCTCAGATCAACTGAAACGTCACCTCAGAACGACCCATAAAGATGAACGTGGCTCGACTCTCACATCCCCAATGGCGGAACAATTTATGACCGCAGCTTTCGATAGTCTTGCATGATTCTGCAGCTCTGCTACGGCAGACCGGTGCTGCATACGACCTTTTGCATGCATACTAATGATCAAACCAGATGGCGGATCCGTTTTTGGATAGGACCGCTTATCCCGGTTAACCGGCGTTTTAAGGATAATAATGACCGACGAGTCGCCCACGAGCCGACTCACTAGGCGTTTTACATGGAATTTGACTGAATCCAATTTGGGATCAAAACACAAATCAAAAAAGGGTTGCAGGCGGATAGTTTCTTTCTTATGTCCCTATTATTCTTATCTACATGCTGTCTTCTCTGCCTCGGCGCCGCTCTTGGGAGGTTCGGGGTGATAACTCGCCTTGTCTTGCTCCTCCCGATACATAATTACCCCTGCTCTTCTTCATCTTGTTAGTATTTCTCTGTTCGGATTTACGGCACTTTAAGGGAACTTGAATGATCTATCCACGTATCTAGATACCATTGTACATACGAATCCAAACCAGCCTGTTATTACTTCTGCCAGAATGCAATCAAGCAGTAACTGCATCGCATACTCATGCATACAGATCAAACTGATTATCCTTTAACTAGTCTCTCTCCACATAAATCTCCCATCATCATGATCATTGTCTCTTACTCTCCATCACCTCGAACTCTACATATCACCCTCCAACCACACCAAAAACCAAACAGGAAGAAAGAAATAACAATCACTGCGCCTGCGCCCTCTCCTCCAACGCATCCACCGCACTTTGCAACTCCCTAATCCTCTGCCCCACCCTCCTCTTCACCTCCTCCCTCACCTCCTGGGGGATATCCTCCGGATCATAATTCGGCGCGACATCCCCGCCCAACGTCTCCTCTTTCACATCACTCTGGGTGTTATGATCCGTATGCACTCCGGGGTCATGCGAGACTCCCATTTCGGTATATAGCGTATAGATCCGCGTGAGGTGAGTAAGTGCATCGCGCGCTGCGGCGCGGTCGGATGGAGCGTATATAGTACCGGATTCGACGCTGTCGGTTGCGATTTCGAATTCGTCTTTTGCGGCTTCGTAGCTGGGAGGGGGTTTGGGGGTTAGTGTGTTATTGTATTAGATGTGGAGTGTGGGAGAGTCGAATCGGATTGGATTGAATTGAATTGAATGGTTGGGGGGAAGGGGGGTAAGATCGTACAGTTCTTCCAATTCTCCCACGAGGAGATCGGCCTCGCTTCGTCCAGACGAGGAGTTTAGTTCAGCGAATCCTCTAGCGTTAGGTACGGATACGGATACGGATACTGGTTTCCATGCGGGGATAGTAGACGTTGTGGATTGTTGAGGTTGAAGTCGAAGTCCATTTGGTCTGGGTGGCTCGATCTTGTGATATGTCCGAGCTGCGGCAATTGAGGTACGGGCTGAATTCGCAGTGTTGGTCTTAGAAGCTCTGCGAAGAACTGTCTTGATAATGGGAAGAGCTCGAGTGGGAATGTTCGATGGTGCCATTGTTGATTGAGAGAATCCGCGAATCGTTTGGTCGGAAAGGATGGAATAGAGATCGGTGAGAAGTGGTAGGTTTGATTTGGATCTCGTGGCGGAAACGGATGATTCGAATGACAGGAATTACTTCTGGTTGAGCATTTGTATGCTGTCCCCTTGGAGTGTCAGGTTGATTGCGGATAAGGAACTGTCGGGATGACGTTGGTAGGGGTCCTCTTATCTAATCTTCACGTGAGGTTCGCGTGATATTCTTATTCGGGGGGGAAGTCGCATTTAACCGGGACATTTATTTTAGGACTCTTCAATATCAGCAATGTAAACAGAAACTTGTTAATTTTGCCAGACCAGTCCTGGAATGGCTCCTGCACGTTGCATTTGCCATTGTATTCTATTTCCCAAATAGGAAAAATACAGACGGAACCAGTGTTTCAAAACACTAGCCATGCCAAGTTCAAGTACCGTTGACAACTCTCATGCGCGACAACAAATCCGCAGCCAATAATTCATGAACATTCGATGTCGGATGGTAGTCGTTGAACCATAAACATCCTGTTCCCTGACATTCCGCATCTTCGAACCCGTAGAAAGGGGCGTTGTCAAGCATTTCTGTCATGAAAGTCCAAGTATCATGTTCTAGCACCGAGGTCTATAAATATACTTAGTACTGGCTTGGCCCATGTCCTTGTACATACTTCCGGACATACATCTGGATGGTTTTGGCTAAACGCGTGAATTTTATCCTTCAATGCCTGATTGTATCGTTGCACAAACTCTGCGTGCACGGCCGTGTGATTCTCTCCCTTGATCCGAGGTGATCGAGTCGTCGGTGGGATATTGAGAAATATAAATCGCCGCGCATTCGCCTCATAGAGATCTTTAACAAGGTTAAAGTAACACTCAAGCAGAACTGGAAGCGTGGAATCGACATCTGCATCCATATACGAGTCTCCGATGCTTTGGAGGATAGAATAGTCAGACGACCTCTTTACATCGAGACGGAACAACAAAACAAATATTGACGTACTCATTGATACCGATCCAGATAGCAAATGCAGAATTTTCTGATCTCCAAGGAGCCCAGGCGGGCTGCGATGCATAATGAATTGCGAACGACTTGACCTGCGATACCAGGTCTCCAGGTACGCCGCGGATGACTGAATTGTTAATGCATGCGCCGCTGATAGCGAGATTATAGTTTAACATGAGACTCGTGTTGAGCACTGCTGTTAGATATCCCACCCAGTTGATGCCTCCCGCTGATGTGCCTTCGCCTATTGGTGAATTAGTTCTCGAGATGCCGCGGAAGGGAGAAACGAGAACTTACCTAGGGATGGGTTTCCCATAGGATTCTCAGCAGAAGGATACGTCCCATGCGGATTGAATCCAGTGGATGTATATGAGTCTCCGCTTTTGATCGGTTAGGGGTCATTCATCCCACAAGAAGAGATTGTGAGATGCATACAATGTGAAGAAATAAGTGGTTTCATTCATTTCTGCAGAGCTAATAGTGGCTATTATAGCACAGCTGACGGTTATCAGGTATTGGAGTACCTTGAATTTTTTTAAAAAAAAAAATACATTCTAGTTCACAACTAGATTTTCATGGTGTACGTTGTATAGACAAGCACTTTCCAGTCAACAATCATGTTACAGGTAGTGGAGATTAGTCTGTGTGTAAATTCATGGAGGGAAAGAAGTGACAACATGATATGAGTGCTTTCCATTCCCATAGCGGGAAGTAGTGTTTATTGTCAATCCTGGAAGATACGCGAGACGGAAAAGGACCATTGAATTCAAGGTCGCAAGAAATGCAAGTGAGCTGTTTTGATATTCCGCTAATGGTGAAGAGACGAAGAAGCCAAATATTTTCAAAAACTCATCCTCATTCCGCCGTTCGCACACACCACACTGCCAGTACACCAGGCCGCATCGGGTGTACAAAGCATTCCCACGATCCCAGCAACCTCACTGGGGAAACCCGGTCTGCATCCGCCCATCTTCTCCTTGACCATCTTGGCTTGTTCCTCCGTTAGACCTGCCAGTTCCTTCTCGTAGTCTACCACCCGGGAAAGAGGCGTATGATCCTGCCATCCCTGCATTTGCTTGAAGAACTCGTCTCCCACCTGGAAATACATATCACTGCAGACGGGACCTGGATTGATAGCATTAACAGTGGCTCGGTCTGCCAGTTCCCGCGCCCATGTTCGCGTCATCGCCTCCACTGCTGCCTTCGTACCGCCGTAGACGGCTTGGCCCTTGAATCCAATGGTCGAGGAGACGCTGGATGTACTGACGACGCGACCTGACTTGTCCGTGGGCAAGTATGGCGCGCATGCTTGTGTCAGGAGTAGAGGGGCTAGCACATTGATCACATAGTGCCAGTTGAAGTAGTCGCGATCCATGGGACCTTTTGCAGGGTCATTTAGAAATCGATCTTTGGATACTCCAGCATTATTTATCAAGATATCAATTTGGAACTTCCCATCCGGTCTGGTAAAGTTCCGTTTGGCTGCCGCTACAATCTTTTCCACTGCATCTTCTGTCTTCAGGAGATCTGCTTCGACGTTCACACAACGAATCGAGTGCTCTTTTGAGAGATAGTTGCACAGTCTCTCCGTCTTTTCCCGTGAAGGTTCAGATTCATAGGGGATGAGCAGGGAACAACCCTTCGCAGCGAGGTTGCGCGCTATGGCCTCACCGATTCCTGCATCAGGAGCCAGTATACTTAGCGTCCGATTTCAATTTTGTACTCAATGTTTCTTGAACTGGTGAATACTGATTTGGAGTACATGCATACCTTGAGCTCCACCGGTGACGATACCAAATTTCCCGTCTAGAGGCAGGGCAGCTGTCTGTGTGGGCGACATTATAGAAGTAAAACGTTAAAGAGTATACTGAAGACTTTCAAATGGCCAGGATACGAATCAATTGAAAACAGAAAGGGACCATAGCGACCATGCTTCGAGTCGGTGATGGCAACATTTTAATACAGCATACTGAAGACCCATTGATAGGAATGGATTGCATTCAGGCTGTTTAGCAAATATCATCAGATTTCACTCCATAAATAAGTAGGTGTCTGATGCTTTGTCTACTTGGATATAGTATAACGGTTAGCAAGGGTCTCGTGCTCACACGGGGAAATTATCCGACTGGGCAAATAGATACATTTTGCCGGCGGGTTAATTGAAAAGAGTATTCAGGTGGTTCTCCCGTGACATGAAAGGGCAAATATTGATGGTATGAGATATTTTTATCTTTGAGCTCGGTGATTAACTAGTCGTTGCCCAGCACATGACTGCAATTGATAACTAGACGAAAGACTGTCCATGACTACACGGTAGAGAAGTAAACAATCATATTGAACTATATAACAGAAGAAATGCAAGAGAACGGGTACCTGACTTCCTTCTTAACCCATACCCAATCAGAGAAGAACAGAACATCACCAAGTCCTTTCTCGCGTTGTATTTGTAAAGCCGCAGACTCTGTCACCTAGAATAACTGGACTTCCCACTCCAGCTAGCGGTAGTATGCAGATACCTCTGTAATAGGATTGAGAATGAATGTAGAGACATAAAAAATAAAAACGCTTTTGTCCATTGTATGGCGGGGTAGAGCCAGATGACTTGTCTCGAGGCTATTCGCACCCAATTATTTGGCCTAGCTTGGCATAAATAGTCGCCTCGCGCGGATGTGGGTGGATATATCAACACCTCCTCGACTTGCCATATCTCGAGAACTCGGCGACAGCCTAGCCTCTGTATCGCTTGAGTCTGTCGACTCTTGAGATATCTGGTGTTGTGGAGACTCTTGGCTGTGGCGGAGCCTCGCGAATACGAGAATGAAGTATTCCTACAATGGCTAGATCCGTTATACTGATGCAGCGGTCTCGCAAGATGAAGATAGTCTTGACTAGCAGTCGATGTTTTTTCCCATCATGATTGGAAGATAACATAGCTTCTCGAGCACATGGGCACGCAGTACCGGAGTCAAGTCGATCGACGGTCGAGTCTGCCTTACCAGAAGCTTGTGCGCCATGTTCGCATAGTGTGCATGATAATGACCACCAGCCTTGTGAGCTGGCTCTCGTATAAATCCAAGGAGGCAGGTCTCCGCCTGAAAATATAACCAGAGTCGAGTCCCACTTTTGTGCCAGAGATATCTATCTCTCTTTTCGTGTGGTTGCAAAGTTTAGGTAGCTATCCATATTTTATTGCCCTTCATGCTCGCCCTCCATATCGCCCTCTACGCGCTTCTAGGCGCATCTCTCGCGTTTGCAATTATAGAGCTAGGCTTGAGCGCACATGTTGTCTCTCTGTATCATCACATTCCGGTGCCAGAGTATGATTATTACAATGGTTACTCCTTCGAAGTGGTGGACATCAAGCCGCCTCCTATTCTCGATTTCATCATTTTCTCCTCCGCGTGGAGCGTGTTAATCACAGGAGTCGCCTTCTTCCTGCCTTTTTTCTACAGACAAAAGGAGAATACACTTACCACAAACAAGTTGATTTCCATTGGCCTCGTCGCGATGTACTTCGTCACTTGGGTCTTCTGGTTGGCGTCTTTCGCAAATATTGAATGGCTTCTGGGAGGATACTCGAGCGGGTCGTCCTATTTGGATGCTATGATTGCATTCGCAATACTACTTTGGTGAGTCTACCTTTGATACTTGAGCTGTTGCGTGAGACAATATAATTGACCATGAGAATTCCACCAGGCTTTCCTTCCTGGCTCTATTCATCCTGACTATCATCGCTATATGCGGTGTCTTGAAGTCAGACTTGCCCGGATATATGCCTTTCAAAATTGCAAATGTGGATGCTGCTCACAGCGCAGATCCTGCAGAGCTGGAAGCCCCAGAGATGGAAAGAGCTGAGGTTGCAGCGTAAATACGAGTTGTTTTTCACCTTGGCGCCAGGAGTTGGATGACTTGTTGTGATCCATAAATCGATGTTTTGGGAAGAAGGATGACTGAAAGTCTGAATATGTCATCTACGATGTAACATTTCCATTGATACCCATAAACTAATATGGAAAATTTAATTACGTGAGATATATTCTCTCTCCATATATGAAGATGTCCTGATGATAAGTTGTGCTGCTAGCCCCATGGGGATTCCTGGAAACAACAATAACATCAGCTATGATCGGAATAACATTGAATACAATATGTCGACCACCAAAACTATTCAATGCATCAACATGACTATAAACACAGCTATAACCCCTCACAATCGCGGACGCAGAAAGCGCGACTTATTCCGCCTATCCTCCTCCCACTCAACATCATGAGCGAAAATGATCTCTACACCCTTCCGCTCTAACTCCCGGATCCTACCAATAGTCTCCTCTGCTACCTTCTTGTCCGCATGCATACAACACAGATGCCCTTCTAGGTCGTGCCATTCCCCAATATCCTTCTGCCTACGCATGATCCTTCTATCATGGCAAGCATCGCCGGCTAGGTATACATATCTCCCAGGGGCTGTTTTTGCCAGAAGGTTGATATGCCCAGGTAAATGGCCCGGGGCGTCGACGATATAGAGACTTCCATCTTTGAATAAGTCGATGACAGAACCTAGGTCAGGGTGAGTTGTCCATGGTTGGCGAAAGTCTGGTTCGCCGATTGGGATATCCTGGTTTGGAGTTTGCGTAGAAGTAATGTTGGGATCGCTTAGTTCAATCGTCCTGTCTTGGGGAAGAAGATCTCGTTCGAAGAAAGAATGGCTGCCATGGAGTGTATCGGGCTTCCCATGGAGGAGACTCATTGTTTTATTACCAACGATGAAGATACTTCTTGGAAAGTCACGAGGTTCTCCGATATGATCCCAGTGAACCTGTCATATGGAATCAGCGTTCTAGTGTATAAATCACTATAGAAAGGGACAGTATATCCACGTACGTGAGAATAAATAACATAATCTATATCATTCGGCGTTACACCAGCTGCTGCAAGACTTTTAACAACATCAGGGTCTGTAGTAAGAGGTTGTCTCGTTGCTATATGTCGCCTAATCGGGTCTGGATAACGGTCTGTATTTCGTCGCAGTCCCAGGTCAAAGACAATACGGGTCAACTTCTTCGACACTGGATGTTGATGCTGGATGAGAAACGATAAAGAGGGCACAGTTCGTCTAGCTGTATCTGATGCGGGATGGACGAAATACTTTTCTGGTAAAGTAAGATGGCCAGCTAAGAGGACATGGACGTCGACAGTAGCTTCGCTGGAAGAATCGGATTTTGTCTGCCTTTCCAGTACGAAAGGGGCCATCGTATGTAAGGTCTTATCATTTCTTTGAGTCATTGTATTGATAACATACTATCTCAATTATCTTGAGAGTAAGTGGTTGTATGTTCCTTCTGGAAGTTAAATAGATATGGAGGATCGTAGCTACTACTGCTTTTTACCAACGACCAGGACTGCGCTGCCTCCGCACGAAAGACGGATAGTTGAATTCCATGACAATGATTTGCTCAACTATCGCGCTTAACCCTCTTCTCATGAACTCTTACTGCTGTCAGCAATGAGGAGAAGTGGCGGATAATCCCCGACATGTCTTCCTCCTCGGTTATACCGTTCCTACGCATTCGAACTTCGAAACAAACTATAACTCTCAGGATCTTCCAATATTCCCATGCAAAGACCTGGTGGCTTGCTTGTAGATTATTTCTGTCTGTAACATATTGACTATATTCTTGGCATTCATATTCAGATTTGGTCTTCCTCTTGTCCTGCCTCTGCGGCCGATACCACAGCAAAATGACATCCCCCGAGTACAACAATGTGGGGTTCATCGGTCTCGGTGCCATGGGAACTCCCATGGTAGGTCAACTCGCTGAAAAGCTTCCCAAGGAAGCGCGGATACATGTTTTTGACGTGGTCGAAAGCGCCGTGGATGAGATCTGCTCTCGGTATCCGAACCGAGTCTTCAAAGGCGTCAATGCTAAAGATGTAGCAGAAAAGTCGGTATGTACATATATGCACAATGGAATTTACATGCACTCCAATGGCCGCCGAAAAGAGAATCATTCGATTGCTCATGCTCATAGGAAATCATCTTGACCATGGTCCCGGAAGACGCACACGTCAAATCAGTCTACGTAGACGGAGAAACCAGCATATGCAGCACAGACATATCCAACAAATTGCTTATTGACTGCTCTACAATCGACACGGCGACCAGTCTCTTGGTCAAAGACTACATCAATAAGAACTTCCCATCCGCTTCCTTCTATGATGCTCCCGTCAGCGGCGGTGTAATCGGCGCACAGAAAGGCACAATTGCATTCTTCTTAGGCTGTTCTGATGAAGATCCAAACCTTCTTCGCATCACACGCCTGCTCAGCATGATGGGAAAGGAAGTGATACCTTGTGGTGGACCATCTCTTGGTTTAGCAGCGAAACTCTCTAACAACTATCTATCGGGCATTATCGCGATCGCATGCTCAGAAGCTATGGATATGGGGATGCGTTCTGGCCTAAGTCCAAAAGTCCTGACGAAGGTTTATGCAGCAGGCACTGCGCAGAATACAATTTGCGACAGATTTAACCCGGTGCCTGGGGTGTATCCGGATGCGCCGTCAAGCAATGGTTATAAAAACGGATTTAAAGTGCAACTGATGCGCAAGGATTTCGCCTTGGCCGTCGACATGGCCCATAGAGTTGGTGCTCGACTTGTCTTGGGCGATGCTGGGTTAGAAACCTACGAGGGTGCAAGTCAAGATCCTAGATGCAGGGACTTGGATTCTCGAGTTGTCTTTCGATACTTGGGTGGAAACGAGAATTGGCAGGAGAAAGAGAAACCATAGAGTCTAACTCAGTAAAAGCTGTACATATTCGAATCGATGCCCAGGTTCGAGTGAGTTAATCGCGTATGGTATTCATCGTACTAAATGCCCCGCATTCGGGGAGATGTCCGGGGTGAGAATGCGGGGGAAGCTATTCGTCCAGATCAAACATCAACTATCATTACATCCGGCCTCTATACCCGGGGGAAATATCGTTTGAAAACATTTGTCTGCACTCTAAATCAATAGCAGAACATTAACATAGAGTGTCTGTCAACTTACATCAGTGTGAGATGGTCGTCTGAGAAGAGATCTCTAAAACTGTTCTTCTAAAGCATACTACTCCTCGACCCATCATCCTCCCAAAAATTCCACCCACCACTTCACCGGCTCATCATTCTATAACGTTATAATAACGGACAACAAATCGGAGCAAAAACAAAATGTCTACAGACCCTAAATACGACGACCTACATAAACAACTCTTCGAGGAGGGCCTCAAAGTCCGCCGCAGCGTCGTCGGCAGCGAATACGTCGACCGCGCCCTCGCCAACGGCTCGACAGAGTTCTCTCGCCCCGGACAAGAACTGGTCACAGAGTGGTGCTGGGGAAACATCTGGACGCGGCCGGGCCTTGATCGCAAACAGAGAAGTCTGTTAAATATCGGCATGCTGATGGCGTTGAACCGTTCTCCGGAGCTTGGCATACACATTCGCGGAGCTATCAATAACGGGCTGACAGAAGTCGAGATTCGAGAAGCGATTCTGCATGCGACTGTGTACTGCGGAGCGCCAGCTGGTGTGGATGCGATGAAGGTGGCCGAGAAAGTTCTAAACGAGATGGAGGAGAAGGGAGAGTATAAGAGGGTGCTTGGAAATAAGGTTGCTTGATTGTGTGACTGGATGTCGAGAAGGGCTGTATCTGACTGGTCGGGACATTTTACAATCATATTAGAGATGTATGAGGCAGTTATGATTGGACTAAATGCACGATGATTACCATTGATATCTGTTTCATCCAATGTATAGGTGAAGTGGAAGACACTGGGATTCGCCGTTGGTAGACTCTAGACTAGTCTCAACGGCAAGGCCTCAGAAAAGTGCTTCATACGCTCTATCTAGACCATCGTTTATATCAATTCCGAGCTTGTATTTGGCTTTGAAGATACATCTGGAATATCTACGAGTACCTTGGTGGAAATGAAATTGATATCCCACTACGCACCAAGCTCATCAAACTAGCTGAAATTATTACCTCGAGATTGGCTCTACATGAGACTTCCCTTTTCTAGCACATTGCGCGACTGGAATTAATATGATATTTCAAGTCAATGAAGGAAGCATGCTGCAACTTCACAGGTGATATCTTAAGTACTGGGATGAAGCAAACGGAATAGGCAGGGAATATATTTAATCTTCCTAATAATTATCCAAAAGTAGGTTACCAAGACAAGGAAAAGTGAACTGACTGCAAGTATCATAGAAGATAATCTAATACTATCACATAGCTTAACTCGCTCACTCCTCCAGAGACATATCCACAATCAATTTCCCGCCAATTCCACGACTATAATCACCAACGAGCTCATTCAATTTCGACAGAGGATATCGCTTAATGATCGGTCTGATGCTATGTCTGGCTGAGAATTCCAACATCTCCTTCAACGTCTTCCGACCACCTACCAAACTCCCTACTATCGATATGTCTCGGAAGACAATATCTCGGGATGAAATATGGAACCCTTCCTTAGGAAACGAGACCAGGACCAATTTCCCATGATTCTTCAGCAACTTCATCCCGTAATCGAAACCGTTCTGACTTTCCGCCAGGATGATCACGGCGTCGAGACCCATCTCTCCTGGATATTTCTTGCTGTCTGCGAGGCCGATCTGACGAGCAATCTCTGCAGCGTTTTCCACTCTCGAATCCACAATTCGCGCGCCGGTATTCAAACCACGCGCCAGTTTTAATGATGTATCTGAATTGTCGATACCGAAGACTTCCAAGCCCATCTTGACTCCAAACTGCAGTCCTAGATGTCCAAGACCGCCACCGCATCCGATTATCCCCACTCGCTGTCCGCGCGCGAGCCCGCATCTCTTCAAAGCAGCATAGATAGTGACGCCTGCGCACATCATAGGAGCTGTCTCTGCTGCGCTCAGTTCAGATGGTATCGGCACTATCTGCCTTGCATCCACTACCGCGTACTCCCTGAAACCCCCATCGACAGAGACCCCATTACCCTCTGACGCGGGGCAAAATACAGAGTATCTAGCCAAATCGTTCTCGGGACGTTTCTCATCCTGACATTCATCACATACACCACATGCATGTAGTGCGCGGCCAGGAACACCAACACGGTCGCCTGGTTTGAAATCTACCGTCCCATTCGGCGGTATTGCGACCACTGTCCCTGCGAACTCATGAGAACCAACATGTGGAAATGAGCGGGGATTTGGTGGCATGTCACCCGCTGCAAGGACCGCATCTGTATGACAGTATGAAGCAGCATCGACTTTGATCAGGATGTCATGTGGAGAAGAGATTTTGGGAAGAGGAACTTCTCGAAGCACATAAGGTGACTTGAATGCTTCGAGAACTTGAGCTTTCATAGTTTTGGGTAGATTAGATGTGGTCATTGTTAATATTCCGGAGATATTTCCCGTGGGACTTAAGTCAAAAGAAAAGCACGACTATTGATAAGATAGAAGAACCAAAAAGCAGGCCGAGTTGGTAGTGAAGATTCAATCTCCGCAAATTATACCTAGAATAACGAAATAACCTTGATGGAAAATTGACGTCTGATAACCACGTTTTTCGTCGTAGAAGCAGTGATTAAATGAGACGAAATCTACTATTACCGGACGGGATGCGGAGAAATCATCATCTCCACATCCGCTGAGATAAAAGGGAACGACGTCGATCACCAGTCTTCTTCAGATTTATATGAACTTATATTTACGTAGGATGGTTGTGTAAAATTTTAATAAGAGCTCTGCATTTACTTTTTATTTTCTAACTGTATGTAATTTTTTCATCGACCTCCAATAGTTTTCCAGCCCAGTGCAGCAATATCCTCTTTACGCTTCCGTCCCTAGTCCTTTTGCGGCCCGTAAGTATCTTAATCAAAGCTATGGTATTAAATTAGACAGTTCAACTCATAAGTATATTAACTAGCAGGGGCGTAATATTAACAATATAATGCACAGCAGCTACATAGCCAGTCAATCAGGCAAAACCCCCTTCATTTATAAATAATTCGACAGAAATAAATCATCACGCCAAGTATACAAGTAACTATACACATACCTCCTATTTGCATGACCAAATCCGACTCCAACCCCTAGACCCTTTTTTTACTTCTGCAAGTAAACGTCTACATCTCTTTCCACCCCTAAGCCCTGAAAAAAACATGAAACAAGTTCTAATTTATCTGTGCCCCCTTGATACTGTAATGATGACACCCGAAAATTGCTCATACATATGATCTCTCACAGAACCTCGCCCCTAAAATGAATACGAAGTTTGTGGCGCTCGGACGTCTCGCTGGATTGAACTGCCCTGACCCTGATTGAACATGTCAGATGCATGATATTTTAGTTTTGGCTTTCCGCGGTATCCATGTTGTTTTGTTGCTTAAGTGTCGGTATCTAACTGTGTACTAGTCCGTCCGGTATGGGACTGTTGGTGGCGCTGGGATTTGGCCCACTGTTTCTGGATCCAGCGGGGGCGACGGGCCGTTCCAGGGTACTTATGTTTCCGGATAATGTCGAAGAAACTGATTTCTGCTAGGTCGAGATCCGTTTGGAATAGAATGGTCTCGTGCAGTTTAAACTGTGGCAGTATCCAAAAGTGGAAATCAGCAAACTATTTACTCAGACATTGATCATCGATAATCTATACAACAAATACCATTGAGATATGCAACAGTCATTCCATCTCGAAATTTTGCATCAATGTCGTATCTCATTCTGTATCATAACATTGCTCGTGAAGATATCAAGGTCATTAAACATGGTCGTCACAACTCATTACAACATAAAACAGAAGGGAATCTCTGTATCAAGGAAACATGACGATAACGGAGATGAGTGGGCAAAACATAAAATCCAATAAGATAGGCTCTCCAGTACTAGCCGTAGCTCATCAGTATCCGTCGTCTGACCATGCTCTTGACGAGTACGGATTGGCATCTGAGTACTCAGACCCATGGCGTCGCGAAGGATAACTCGCACTGTGGCTCCTCGTACGGCGCGCCTCCCTCTTGCGTCGGCGCTCTTCACATTCATGCATGAATTTATGCGCTTCCTCACGCTTCTCCTTGGCCTCCTTCCATTCGGAAATTGCACCCTTAATACCTAGTGCTGCCAACCCTATACTCGCTGCGTCTCCCAACAACGCCTTCTGCTTTCGCTTGCGTGCCTCTTCAGGCGTAATCTTCCCTTCCTTCAATTGCTCCTGTCTCTTCTTCCGCTTTTCGATACTCTTCACCACGTTGTGTGCAGCATGGATCGTGGCCACTGTCGCCAAACCTGCAGTTAGAAATTCATTGCGGCGCATCTTTTTACGCATGCGCTTTTCGTCGGAACTGGAGCCGAGGTCAGAATCACAGTCGGAGCTAGAATTACTACCGCCGCCACCACCACCGTTTGAGCCATGGCCTTCCCTGCCAGGGCCTCCAGTCCTGGTGGAGAGGCTGGTGCTGTCGGTTGGGGCACGGAGTCGACCTACTTCTCGATTCCTATCTCCATCACGTCGCGAGCGGTAATCGTCCTCGGATGAATAGTCGTCGTAGGAGTCTTCATCCGAGTACCGTTCCAATGACCGCCCGCGACGACTCTTCCTGTCCGAAGTATGTCCGCCGTCATCCAGCCCAAGCGCCCCAAGTCCTTTGCTAATATAGTCGGTCACGCTCCGGCTGCGCTTCCTTGAACGGCGATCTCGGGGAGGGCTTTCATCACCGCTGTCATAACCGTCGCGCGAGCTCGACCGATGACGTCCCCGAGACTTGGAACGTACGCGGTCATAGATCTCTTTACCCGCTGCAGCCAAGACACCAGCAGATGCTATGTCTTTAATGCCGCCACGGCTTTGAGACCGTCCCCGGGAGCCACCGCGCTTCCGTGACTGAGATCTGGAAGCCGGGCCATTCAGGAGGTGGTTGGCAGCCAAACCAGCAAGAGTAGCTTCAATGATGTGACGTTTAGTGTGCTTTTTTGGGTCACGGTCAATGAGACCATCGACACCGCTCGCGGCGATAGCGGCCGTCAGAACTCGTCTCCCCTTCTCTCCATTCCATGGGCCAGGCTCCTTGCGAAGACGGAATGCTTCAGCCGCGCCAGCAGTAATTGCTGTCTTGACCGCCTGAGCAATCCGCCCTTCACTCTTGTCGCGGTGCCTGCTTCGACTACGGGACGGAGAGGAAGAGTATGAGTACGAGCGACGATGACGACGACGCTCTCGACGCGGGCGGCCACGATCATCATCACGATTCTTGCCAGCAGCGGCTCCAAGAACACCCCCTAGACCCAGCGCACCGAGAGCCTGTTCACTAAAGGACTTGCGACGTCTTGGGCGTGGTGATGGACTGCGAGATGAAGACGAATACTTCGAGCGGCGGTCTCCTGCGACAGCATTAGACTACTGAACAGACACTTTCAAATATCTCGCGCCTGATAGTAGTCGGAAAGGGGAACTTACGTCTGTCGTCATAGCCCCTCGGTCGCCGATGGCCACCCCGTCGATAGTATCCCCCACCATAATAAGGATCCTGGCCGCCCACGGAACGTGCTCGACGAACACCTTCCCGGACGGTCGTGGTCTTACTACGTCTTGGTATACCATAGCTGTACTCCCCGGGAGGAAAGTCTCGCTGGACCTCTTCAATGACTTCATCGTCGCTGTCGTCGTAACGACGGACAAGCTCCATGCGGCCATTGTCCCCGCCGCGGGAGTCAACATAGGTTTCCTCGACGTAGCCGGTGGGACGATATCTATCGCGGTTGGAGCGATAACGGCGATCGTCGTAGTAGTACGACATCGTCAGGGCAGGAGACACACAAAAGCAAAGACAATAATAATTTCCTCTTCCAAAAACACAAAGCTAGAATCTTGGAAAAGGAATGGTAAGGAAGATGGAGAATCGCGCCGGGTGGAATGGATAAAGACCCTCGACGGGAGCCGTGCGAACCGTCAGCCCGATGCGCGGGGCGAGAAGGAGGATGGCGTAGTGTGACGTCTAGAGGTGGGCAGATCTTCACCAGCCTCTCTGATCGGCGCCTTTGCGTGGTAGATGGTAGCTGGACCGTTTGTGGACCCTAGCCAGAGATTCAGGCTTCCAGAAGATAAACTCGACAGTTAATATTCGAAAGGCGACGATGTGCCAGAGACGAGGAGTAGATTCTCAATCTGAATTCGACCGTTGGGAGATTAAAATCAATGATCTTCGGGCAGCCAGATAACAACGAATCGGTATCCCTGGAACTTTCGGGCATGTACTGGCGTGGTTTTCCTGGTATAGATGCTTAATTGGTAGTAGATAGCAGCACGTTGACGCCCGTTCAACGGTCCGCCCGTCTCGTTATCCAGCCCAGCGCCCTGGTGGAAGTGGTGAGGCGACTGGAATTAATCTGATAATTCAGTCCTGTTGTGAGAGCCCTATAGGGACACGCTATAGTACCACCTGCGCCCGGCTGAAGATCTCAATCCCAGGGCTCGATCGGGCGTCCAGAATCCTCTTGGTGGACCGCAGAGGCAACGCTGAGGGGCCGTGACGGCCTAGAGAGTACGACGGCGCACTGAATTAGGACTGGCCGGAGAATTCGTCGCTTGGCGTGGGCCGGGGATGCTGACGTTGTGGCTGAGTCGTTGCTCTAGAGTCTCTCTCTAGTAGAGACTAGAGACGAGGAGCCACGATTCGTCGAGATCGATTGTCTGGTCAGATGAGGAGTGGCTCGGGAAGATGGAGATGGAGGAAGATCGAGAAAGGCCATATGGGAAAGCTAAAAGAGAAGATGGGAAAATCGCGGTTGATGCCCGTCCTTAAATGAAGCAGTGAGGTGTCGAGTAATACCACTAATAAACTGATGGCTGATAAGTTCAAGAAGCGAAAGGAATGAGAAATCCAACTATCCAAGCGGTTACCGCGATGACGCAACAGGCGTTCTCGCGCAAACAGAAACAAGGCGACAATACTGCGAACACCCAACAGTATTGCTTGCTGCTCTACTCTCTTAGTTCGAATCAAAGCCATCCAGAGTCTGAACTGACGCTCCTCGTGCGACTCGACTCGCCAGAGAAACCGTCTCTTCCAATGGTCGGCTGCTCGTTCCGGCTTCATACCATAACTAATACCTTGTAGCGTGGCAGTTGAACACCGCCAGATCCCCGCGCTGACTATCGGATGTGTCTGGACTCTGCACAATGATCGCACCAGTCGAAACAAGCATCTTGTTGTACCATAGAGTATGGTATGTCGTTAGGTCTCTGCTCTGCACCACGGTTCCACCGGCTCTGGCCGACTGGAACCGTCAATGTTCCGTGGTTCGAGCATTGGAGACGAGCCATGGTCTGCTCATCGTCATACCCCTGGGTCGGTGGAGAAGAATGATCGAGTAGATCTGATACAAGAGAAGTAGAGTGGCCTAGAAGTCCTCGAAGAGCACACGGACAACGCAGCAATGGCGAAAGACTCCACAGACGCGTCGCAACTCGGCCAGTCTTTGATACATCCATCCTACAAATAAGCAAAAAAAAAAAAAAAAAAAAAAAAAGAAAAGAGAAGAAAAAAAGTCTATAATGCACAGTCTTCGGGTGCAGAACACTTAAATTCAAGTGACTATTAAGTCCCCAACAGACTCTAATCTCCAACTGGCTCGCACCCCACCGCAGTCGGAGACCTGAAAGTTGCCCAAATAACCTCCCAACTTTGCCAAAACATACACGGCCATAACCATGTCTCTTAGTAGTACATCCCTCACATTCCATCCGAATCCTGACGGCCATACGTTCATAGCCTTGGGGTCCCAGTTCCCGTCAACGGTCCGCGCATCCCGTAGAGCACGCAGCCCCGTCACGATAACTGCACCCCCGGCCCTTGTATAACCGACACTTTGCAAGAAAAAGATAAGGAAAAGAGTCTTAACGAACGCAATAGCGGGCTTTCGCAGAAAAGTAAAGAAGAAAAAAAAAAAAAAAAAGAATACAACCAATGAATGGAAACTTGGAGTCAACCACAGCTTTTCAAGAAACACCCTGCGCCTCCGCAGATAAACCCTGCTCAAACAAAAAAAAGAAAGAAATCTTCAAAGGAACGAATAGTAGCTGAGGTGAAAGGGCCTCTCCTGGAACTCCTACTCCCACAGTTCGAAGTATTGTACAGTACATCGCCTACACAGTAGGTCGAGGCGACCGGCAGTATAACCCGGTCAAGAGAAATAACGTGGATAGAAACAATCCAGCCCAGTAATTTGATGCAGAGACGGTGCTAGAACCCGCTGCACGACCTCATCCCTCACTGGGACTGGGAAAACTAAGAAATCTGACTATGCAAGCGCTCAGCGCCGCAAGTGCCTCGCACGGCAGACCGTGTCCCTTCTTAGCATGGCCAGCTCATTGCTGATAAGAATTCAAGTTGCCTCTGGAGGCTGCTATCACCAGAGCGTCGAGGCTACCAGTGATGCTTCCCGATCGTGATGCCGGTTGGCTCCGACCAAAGTCAGGTTTGCTATACCTCATAGACAGATCATCATATGCGGATGGTGGTAACGGCTTTCCGGGACGCAGTTCCAAAGCGCTATAGGGCTTCTCTTCAGTGGGTGAATTGAGTCCACTGGGTCCGGAATACTCGTCTGCATCCGAGAGTGATTGGCTCGCTGATCGGTTGTGACTGTACAGTTGGTCACTGCTCTTGGTCCACAGTCGTCGCTCCCGGTCTCTGTCCAGTCTCGAAGTCATATCCTCCGAGTACGTTCGATGTGTCCGCCGATGCTGCTTCATGTTGTCCTTTCGTGTAAAGGCTTTGTTACATATGGGACAGTGAACACTCTTCTCTCCCGTATGCTTCTTTCCATGCCGTGCAGCATGCCCCGAAGTTGTGAAAGTTGCCGAACATCCATGAGATGCCGCGTAGGGACATGGGTACTTGTTCTTTCGGTTCACTCTCGACGCGGCCAGTTCTGTAGGGCCGCCCAGGGGCGTCCGTGGTGAAAGAGGCTCGCTTGGGGAAGTCACTGTAGGCAGGATCCTGTTGGGAGAGGTTGCATGCGTATATAGGGACAAGTCTCTTCCGTAACCAGAATACAAATCCCGGCTGGCTGCCGTGGAATTGTAGGAATATTCCACTGGTCCAGCTGACACCGGATGTGGAGCTGAGTGCGACGAGAACGGGTCCAAAGGCGGTTGGGTATATCTTGGCGACACCAGAGAGTCGCAATAAGGGCCGAAGCGGTAGTCAGGCACCGATATCCGGTGGTGGTGAGTAGAGGGATATGTACACGATGGTGTAGAGTTTTGTTTGGTCAACCGAGGAGTTGGCCGGACTGCAAACGACGGGTTATCGTCGTTGTTCAAAATTGACACCATGCTGGTCTGACTCCTTGACATAATTGATAGACAAAAAGCTAGCTTTGTATCGTCAACCTGGGGACTATTAGAAACTATAGCTCGGCTTGGGAGACACAGTGGTCCAAGTAATGTTCTTACCACTTGCCAGCAAAGTCTGTTTCGGTGCGGAAAGTCGATTGAATAACTCGAGGACTGATCTCCAGGAGCTTCCTCGGTGGCTCAATGTCGACGGTGGCAAAGGTGGAAGGAAGACGGGGCAATGTGACTGCTGGTATGATTGACTGGGTCCAGCAACAACTATATTGCCAAGCGTTCCGTGTTGACAGCAGGTCGTTTGTCTTTCAATGACAACAACAACAACAATGGTAAATCTGATCCAGTATAGTTTACGGAACCTTACTGGAAGGGAATAAAAGGGAAACTGGCCAAGCAACGACTCTAACAACAATCTCACGGAGAAGTGTAGAGCTGGAAGGGAAGTAGTAATTGTCGAATGACGGGCAGCGGCAAGGCGCGCAACTTATGAAAAGAGAGATTGGCAACCAGGGGATTGACCGACAGTGATGCGATAAAAGAAGGAAACAGAAAAAGGATAACTGCCAGGAAGCTTCTGCAGAGTCAAGAAAGATGAATGGACGAGGGACACAGAACCAGTTAAGGGTCCTGAGAGGAGCTCTGGGTCTGTCCGCCGCCAAACAGATCGTCTGTAAGCAGGCAATTCATCGACTCGTCTGGATTCCAATCAGGCTAGCCGTTGGAGGGAAAGACAATTGGGCGATGAACCTAAATGACCTTGCACTTAGGGTTCCTTTCTTTGGCTCTTTTCCTTTCCTGTTCTGGCGAACGATGATATCCACCGTGCTGGAGTTGGTTTGGAGATGGTCGATACCACAAGCCCGTGCACGACGTTCTCTAACAAGGCTGCTGCGGCACTGGGACCAGCCCCAAGCCAGCACAAGCTCCGGTTGGATTGTTGGAAGCACAACGCTTTTCTCTGGGGTCTCAAGTGCCTCCTGGAACGGTTTCCGTGAGGCTTGCGGGCGCCGTTCCACACGGTGGATTGGCAGTTGACCCTAGGGAGACGAGGCGGGCCAGAGAGCGCTTTTGCCCCGCAGCATTCATCCTGGTCGAGAGAGTCCATCCTGGTTCGTGTTTCTCGCGATACAGGAAAAAAAGGAGGTAACTAAATTCATGCTGGCTTGTCTCTGTCTCTGTCGTCCAGCAGGTTAGTCGTTAGGCTAAGTTAAGTTAAGTTAGGGGATCAGAAAAAAAAAAAGAAGAGCGAACGCGCAGCCGGTCCGTCCGACCCACCATTCGGCAAGCCCTGCCCAGGGGATCATCTGGCGGTTGAACTCTCAATCTCATAGTCTCATAGTACAGGGCATCTGTCTCCATGGTTGAACTAGCTAACTATGCGCTCAAACGGCGGCAGATCGTGTGGGCGTCACCCGGGATATGCGAGCCAAGGTCCGATTTTGGTCTCTTGGCTGGTTCAGCTGCGTGGTTGCTGGCATCCCATGCCTCGTGTGTTCCAACGTCCGGCATGCTGCAGAAAACGGAGATGTTGACTGCGTCCTAGCCTATCTCCCCGAGTATCTAGCCGACATTGCGGAGAAATGGAGATGCGCCGTTATGTGTCGTTTAAGGTTAATCTCGCAGTTACATTCTGCTACAGACGGGTCTCGAAGGGAACAACAATGATGATTATCTGCGAGTTCGATACGAAAAGGAAGCCCCTCTGTCATTCAGTACTTTTCTGAAACGCTTCGCGATGACGAGAGTCGCCTTGCATTACGGTTTTCCCTCGATCCGTTCCTGCTGCTTCGAGCCATGTCCTAGATCTTGGAGCGTTGATCACTCTGCGGCTGTCAACCCAGGGCATCTCGCTGGCCACCGTTCCCTCCTGCTTGTTGGAGGTAACTCGGCCGTAAGTCTGCTACTACTACTACGTACGGCCAGGACTGGTGGGATCCCTGTGCAGGTTTACAAGGCCTAGTGGTGTATAGCTTGCTCGAAGTGTGGAGCATTCCGATGAAGCTTTCTGCCATTGCCATCATCTCGCTCCGCTGATGTCAACTGCATGGCACGCAGTAACTAACTAGCGATTGGGCGTCTCTATTACTATCCATGTGCTATATGATCTGCAACGCAGTATTAACCGCCCAGTGGTGAGACACAAGACACATGGAGAGTCAACTATATGACCCTTGAGATCTTGATCACACGATCCCAGCTCAGCACAATATCAATCAGTGCATGTTGTATAAGAGACGTGTTTACTTCTCTCTCAATGGGGAAACTTCCCTGGCGGAAATGCGCGCATTGTGCAGACGTGGCGTCGCATAGCCGACTCCAGGAGACCGCTATACTTGCGCAGAACCGTCGAAAGAACGAACGCCCAAATAAAGTATCATATCGGCTATACCCTGCCCCATAGCGTTAGCCTGGATGGCGGCAGGAGATCGATGATCGCAGATTAGTTTCATTGTGCAATTGTATAGCGACAGCATAGATCGGGGAGTCTTCCTCGAAACAGCCTGGTGGTCAATCGGGCCTGAGAAAACATGGCTAGGCATATCTATGATGAGCGATGCTGGACGAGACTGTCACAAAACGCGGTGGAGTAGCTATATCGTCCGCGGAGGCTCTGCTGAGATCAATTGACCCATTTTTATTGGAAGGCCAGATCAGGACGACGCTAATCAGCCACGTCTCTTCATCATCAGTATAAGACTACGGTGATCAGTTCTGGTCCCCGACATGTTCATATTTCGATCCGCGAATGTATCCTCACCTGCCGTCCGCGGAGAGATTCAGAAACATATTATTATTCATAACTCCGTCGCCCACCTCGAGGATCTCGCTCATCGCGGGACGATCGTTCGGACCTCCGACGGTAGATTATCATCATTATTTCTATTATTTACGGTCGAGCTGAGCGCCTTCAAACTGGGCTGGAATTTTTTCCCCACACAAGCTATTTTACTCTACGGATGAACAGGGGTCGCATGCAGGTTAACATATTTAGATTAAATACACGGATAGACTAAATAATGAATCCGAGCAGGGGAAGGGTCCGACTCCAAAGGGGCTCCTGATCCTTCGTTGTCCCACTACTATTCGGGATCGGCTGAGCATTCAATCGGCCCCAATTACGAGTACGTGATCAGGTAAAAGTCCGACACTATCTGACCATCATTATTGACTTCTATTGAAGCGACGCTGTTGAGATCGCATGTGTCGCATATCGCAGCCCTTCATTATCGATACAAAAGGACACAGGCGTTCATGTGGCACTTCCGTCTACCTAGTGACTGTTTCTCCGTCCGAAGAAATACCCTCAACTGGACGAACAATCCAGGCAACTACGAGACAGCTGAGACCTCAGCCACGGTGAATTTTCATCCTGTCCACATCCGAAGCCCTATGGCGGCCTTTCCTAGACATGGCTAGAGCCTGCATCCCAGCATGGATTTTAAGATTCGACGGCGTCACCCGTCACGTTTTAGAATGCTGGGCAACTAAATAGCCTGAACCACTCATGAGTGGCACAAGTCGTTTTAGATCCGCGAGACTAACCTCAACCTGGCAGGTTTTCAACGTACCTGCGCCAGCGGCTCCGTGTGCAAGCCACGCTATGCCGATGCCCTGCAGATCACCATGAACCGGGTCAACTGGTGAACATCCGGCAGACTGTTTGACCTGTGCCCTAGCGTAAGTATCCAGATCTGTCGAGACCGCTGGCCGTGGACCCTTCTGACCCTGAGTCATTTATGGAGCCGGGTGAACGAGCATCATCGGTGATATACCTGAGAGCCGACTAGATACTGGCGATGCTCTTCGGAGCAAGGATACCTTCAGTTCATCGACTATTAGCTGCTCCTGGTTGATATTCAACGACCAAAAAATTGGATAGATAGTCGCTGCGCCTTGTTGGACGGAGCATATGTCCTCTCTCAGTAATGCAACGCCGTGACTATTGACTTCTGCGTCGTGGACCATCGCAGAGCGCATCATTATTATCATCATTTATTCCGGGGATTAAAACGCAGGATCCCTAGAAGCGACGTACATCCCCGTGGCGTATTTCGTCCTGTTCCCTTCGCTACCGGTCTACGTGGACTCCACCTTGATGCATATGTTTCCAGGGGATTACTTGGTAGCTCTTGGAAAGTTCCGTACAGCCGCGACTAAACCAAACTATCCTTCTGCCTGCACGCACAGATGCTGAAATCTTGTCTTGACACAGCCTTCCTGCAGCCACATCGCTAAGGATGATGTTGTTTGCGTCGTTATCCCCGGAATAATATATCTCTGTGGTAACGATCTTCGCACAGGTTGGCAGACTGATGAGAATGCTCTACTCCGTAGTTCTATTCAGCTACGTTCAGGCGAGATCGGTGCGATCATCTAAATAAGCCAAAAATAGCAATCCCTGGGGAACTATCAACGCGCTGCTAAAACCGTCTCGTCTACGGAGTACGTACTGTGGATAAAGGAGCAACAGCCCTCCACTACCGTTGGGGTTGGGGTTAATCACGCTACGGGATTATTATTATGCCCCATGGCACAAGACATAATAGTCAAGCAGAAAGCTTTTTATTCGCCATTCTACCATGATGCAGCAACCGCAGATGAAAAACTTATGAAGGGCATTATTATCCTTCTCAGCCCCATAACTCACATCAAACCATCTAAGATTGCGCGTCTGTCTCAGAGAAATCGTATGAGCAGAACTCTCAAGGGATCTGCTGTGCATTGTGTTAGTCCGGAAGGGAAAACAAAATTAATGGAGTCGGACCCTTCTGCGCTAGCTACTCAATTTCGATCTGTGGATAAGCCATCTACTACTACTACTATTATTATTATTATTATTGCATCCAGAGATTTCGAACAGCGTTTTTTCTCTCGCGCGAGAGCAGTGGTTGCCGGGGGACAATACCATAAGGATCCACAGAAAGTGATCTGCTCGCGAAGCTAGCAGGCAGTCATTCTATCTAGTCTCCGAATCCATTTGAAACCGGGGTCTCTAGCCGGCTAGATAGATCTGTTTTGGATCGCTTAAGGGGTGCCGTATGGATCCCGAACTAACTCGTTCATTGTGAGTTGAGCTTTTCTCCACCGCTGGCGTTAATTAAGTTAAATAGCCTCGGGGATGGAAAAGGGGGGTCCCGGTTCCCGGCAGCCGCATCCCGTCACGTGAGCATCTCGACAACGAGCAGTCCGACCTGAAACACGGCCTCAAAGACTCCAAAGCCAGATATGTATGTATCTATATGAGACGACTGTCGAACCTTGTGCAAGGTCGATCGCCTTCAAGGACCCTTGCTTATGTCATGAGTCCTGGGCCTCCTCCACAATCCGAAAGAGTCGATCACTTTCGCGCTCCATCGATCAGTTATGCGCCGAGGACTGTACAGGCAAATGATATGTAATCACGACGCTTCTAGAACAGCATCGTGTCAGACACCAGCGCGCGGAAAGAGAGTCTCTTGCAGCGTTCTGTGGGCTGTTTCGAACACTTGATGTTTCAAAAGCCTATGAAGAATGCATCATGCAAGGGACTCTTTCCGTGGCGTGGACGGGTCAACCACCTTATCTGCGAGGGACCCTTCTTGCTTTTCCGTGAGAGATACGGGGTTGGCAGGCAAATTTGAAACGTGTGCTGCCTCAGCTTTTGGCACGTTGTTGTCACCTCGCAACGCCTCTCTCTCTCCCTTCCCGCCTCGTGCACCGCTTGCCATGAAGAGGGGGGGTGTCGACATTGTCCTCAATGCATATGCAGCTGCAAACTAAGCCGAAACCAGTCACTTTTGAAGGGTGAACCAATCTACCAGAACGGGCTATTATTCGAACGTAAGCTTTCAGAGTGTGATGATTGGGTTTTTCAACGCTCACTAGGCGCAGCCGGATGCTGTAGTCGAATCTTCCTATAGGGTTATTCATGAGACGAATCCCTGCTTCCTTGATTCCAATCCTGTAAATCATACCAGAAAAGGCAGGTTCTTCTTGGGATCTTTTTGCTCAGATATACCATACTCCACACAAGTGGCACATGCATTTTTGAGTCTTTTTATGCAGTCGACTAACTATAGGAAGTGTGAAAAAACATAGAGATACTTACAGAAACCATGCACCAGGATGTGATGTAAAGCAGTCACCCAACATTGCATCATTGAGCAAGGAAACGAAAAGTGTAACTATTCTCCATTCATTCGTCCTATCAATAATAACTATCTACAAAACAAAGTTCCCCAGTGCGTAACTTCAAACACGCTATTGATATACTAAACACTTTTCTTTCCAACTATCTTTTTTGACTCGAACTTTCGCCAACAGAAAATCACAACCCGATCAGGTTAAGTAGAGAATCAAACCCAGCAGGTAATATCGATAACCCAACCTAAAACGGGGGTAAGTATACATTATTAGCAAGCAATATAATAATAACCTTATAACAATAACAAATAACAATAATAATAATATCACAAAAGTAACACTTTGAATTTTCCTTATGAAACACTCGAACCTACTCTAGTCGCAATGAAGAAACAAACATAATACCAATTGGTACGCGTGGCCAGTTAAATCCGACCTTCGTCCGCGTAATTAGTATTCGCACTAGCTTAACGGTCTTGGTTTATGCCGCGCAATAGAAATACTTTGCACCGTAAAAACTAAACAAAAAACTATTATACATATCTCGTTAACAAAGCAAGATCTGTCTTGTTTTTAGGCTAGATACCTGATAGAGACCTCAAGAACCAGTACAAAAGAAAAGGGAAATAGCGCTAAAGCTGAATCTTACGCTTATCTGCTTGATTGAGGCTTAGAAGGCTTGCGTATATTAGTTACAGCCTTTTGGTCTAATCTAATTTAGACAGACAACCTCGTCTGTTCTTCTTCGCTTCTTGTTTCCTTTTGTTCCGGTGGGATTTTAAGATGAGGCTATGTTTGGACTTCAGCTGGGAATAACGTGGACAGCTTACGCAGGTAGTGATTTGTCTCAGCGAAGGGGGAGATACGGACAGGAGATGAGTGGTCTGCGTTTACTCGAATACGGTGTGCTAGAATGTTAGTTGGGAGATTTAGATTGTTAAGGAATAGAGGGAAGATGATATTATGCCGGTTTTATGAACTTCAGGTCAAGACTAAGGAATAATTCAGATATAGGTCGAAGTTCAAGCTCGTAATAATCTTAAGTCGGGTATCTAGGACAGGAAATGGACTGGTATTTGCTGTGTGTGCAAGTTATAAAATTTAATTATATCCTCTTCCTGAGGGAAGATTACTCTGTTTGTACTGTTTGTAGTTCTCTCAAACTCGGTAGATTGATTTAATATCTCTTTCTTATAACTTAAGTTGAACGACAATAGTTATAGTTGACGTGATATCAAAATCAGGGCTGTATGTTAATGGACATGAACTATTGTTATATATGCGGCGAGGTTTCCAGTAGGTAGAGAGCGACACAGTTTGGTTATAGATCTGGTCCTAGTGAAAGCATGACTTTTAGACCAGAGATTTCCGGCTTTAATATCATTCCGAGGATCAGACTACTGTTATCGATGTAGGATTTCCTCCTCTTAAAATCAACTAATGCGATCTAAATCGTGGACAACCTTTACATTTACAATATGATTCGGTCCATAGTGAGTTAAGTTATGATATTATGCTTGCTACTTAACTACAGCTATCGGGGTTTCAATAAGAGTTATGATTCACAATCAGGTGGGAGTACAGATAGACTTTTCCAATTCCTTGAGAGTCGATAGCCCTAGCGCAAGAACTATTCAACTACATCCTCAAGCTTTGGAGCTGATAGATGGTCGAGTGTGTGGTGCTGAAAGTATGCGATAACTATAAATAATGATAACGGTGTGTATGGTGTCGATTACGATGACCTATGTATGTACATCTAGAGGAAGACTAACCTAATTGTGCAGTACTATCAGCTAACTGAGCTACCTTGAGTCAGTCCGCGGGATGTTATGCTATTGCTACCAGTGGGAGACTTGCGACTTCTCGTTTTGTCTTCCTTTAGGATGAAACGTCGTTGTCCGATTCCACCTTGTCTTTCTTCAATTCGTTGCACGAGACCCGTCAATCTTGACGGCATATTTTTCATCTTGCTACTCGCAAGCTCAGCTGGCTAAGATACTTGCAGTCATGACTTCCGAAATTCGAGAAGATATCCCTCCGTGTCAAAAACGGCGGAGTTGATATCTCATCGTTGTCAAACCGCACGCTTTGATGAAGTCCATTGCATGACGACGGAATCTCTTAGCGTCCATTACTCGTTTTTGATTCACACATCTATGTTGTCGTTATTTCGAGGGGCATTTTCGCTAATTGATACGGATAGGATCCTGCTTCCTGCCTAATAGACATATCTCTGTTGATATCATTCCATCTTGTTCAGGACACGCGAAGGGGTGCAATGGCTGATTGCTAGCCGTGATGCATGCGCAGACTGGTTGAGTCATGGCCATCCTGCAAATATGTCTTGAGAGATTCCCATTCTGTTCCTGTTCGTACGGATATGATATTTCTGAAAGCTTGGAAGGCGATTCGACCTACTCAGCGTAGTCGGTGGGGCGTGTCATTACCCCACAGATCTTTGACTAACTCGATAGTTATAACTTATAACTAACTTATGACATCCATCTGCTCCACCGTGCGATCCATCATCTCAAGGTAGTCTACTTCTTAAGTTCTCAACAATTGACCGTTTCGATTGCGGTACAAGCTATGGTATGCATTCATGACATCCCTTCCAATGACTGTGCAGGATCTCTCGCTAGAGGTTCTCTAGCACTGCAAAACAAACTGCGGGAGTGATCGTTGACATGCCCATGTCACAGAATACTTGGACCTTCTTATTTATCCTGCCCCGCCTCTGATATCGCTCATGCCGCTCTGATCCAGTCATTCTTCTCCAGCAGACGCGAAGATCGCCCGATTGATCGCACGTGCATCATGTGGCTCGCGTCTCGGCGATAAGTCGGAGAAGACACGGCCATCGCATAGCACGTACTCGAGGAAGCTTGAGCGTGTCTTATCATGTTTAATGGCTGTTGGGAAGGCATCTCTTGCTAAGATGCTCTTTGCGTTGCCAGACCTTACCGTCCAGGGATAGTGTGGCCTTCAGATGGCGCGCCGCCACCCCCAGCATCATGGGGCTAGCAAGACGGGATCATGAGCTTCAACCAAACGCATGCTCGATCATCCAATGTGTGGAACTATTAACTCAACTGGGGACTCTCAAGCGCGTGGTCCGGAGCGAAGCACTAATTGACGATTATTATTTGCACTGCGGAAATTCTGCGCTGTCCCTGTGCCGCACGACGTCATGGTTGACGCATTCGGTAGGATGATGGACATTGTGTTTTGCCCGCATCTCGCACTCTCTTGCCCTTGATTTATCCGGAAGCGATTGGGTATTCCCCCGCGTGGAGATTCGAAAAAAAAAGGGGAACGGATTTGCGTTCGTGGAGTCATACATAAAGCTGTGTTCCCACGCTCTTTTTCTTTCTTAAATGTCGACATAGCGCGTTTGAGGTCCTACCACCGCCCGAAATTCCAACACATCACAACATATACAGATACCACCGCAATGCCGACTCAACTGCAACTGCCAACCAGAAAGCTGGGCCGGTATGGACCCGATGTCAGCGCTCTGGGGTATGGAACAATGGGTCTGTCCGTCTTCTACGGTCCTCCGCCCCCCGACGAACGACGGTTCGAGATGCTGGACTATGTCTACCAGACTGGCTGCACCTTCTGGGACAGCTCCGATCTATACGGCGACAGTGAAGAGCTGCTAGGGAAGTGGTTCGCCCGAACCGGTGTGAGGAACGAGATCTTTCTGGCTACCAAGTTTGCGAGAACGGACGAATTCGCCCAAGACGATGACGGGCAGTGTATCAAGGACGCCTGCAACCGAAGCCTGCAGAGACTGGGAGTCAGAACGATCGATCTCTATTACCTCCACCGCATTGAACGGTACATGCCTATTGAAAAGGCAGTAGCTGCTTTGGCCGACTTGCAACGGGAGGGGAAGATCCGATATCTTGGACTCTCCGACTGTAGCGCCGAGACGCTCCGTGCAGCGTAAGTATATATACCTATAACCAAATCCATACGTAAGTTCTAATGCAAGTTTGCCACAGATGCAAGGTCCACCACATCGCAGCAGCCGAGGTAGAATACAGCCCTTACAAACTAGACATTGAGCGAAACGGCTTTCTACAAACAGCGCGTGAACTTGGAGTCGCCATCGTGGCCTACTCCCCTCTCGGACGTGGTCTTCTCGGTGGTCAAATCAAGTCGCGCGAAGATCTCTCCACCGACGACCTTCGCAGAACGCTGACAAGATTCGGACCGACGAAATTCCACCGGAATCTCAAGCTCTACGAGGTCCTCAGTGCCCTTGGAGAACAGAAAGGATGTCACGCTAGTACCCTCGTCCTCGCCTGGCTCATGGCCCAGGGCAGCGATATTATCCCTATTCCCGGAACTACCAAGACGAGAAACGTCCAATTGAACGAACAGGCTGTGATGCTCCAGTTGGATCCTGAAGAGGTCAAGAAGATTCGATATGAAATTGAAAATGCAGAAGCCGTTGGAAGGCCCTTACCGGATGGGTAAGTCTTGATTTCCATCATGCTCGTCGCTTTTACGTCCGAAAGAAATCTTGAAAAACAAACTGACTCTCATGGGAACATCTACAGGGGTATGGCCAGTAGCTTTGCGGACACGCCGGTTATATAATAATGGGAGCGCGAGCAGCAGGTTGTTTATTATATTATGAACCTTGAAGCCCCCTTCATCTTCTCTCTCACTCTGGCCGATGAATTATTTGCTGCTAAGATCCCTATGATTTTTATGATTTTGAGAAGACATCACTTGCACTATACTCAGACTTTGATATTTTCTTCTATTCTATTCGATGAATATCTATTATCATACCCAAGAATCAAGCATTCACAATATTTCCCTACTGTAGAATAACACTGGTAGCCATAAATTCTAAGCTACAACAGATACCTAGATTATACAGATCGGACTATACTCGTAACAGTCCCATCGCCCGAGATCCCAGCTGGGAAGGTCGACCAAGCTATTTGTTATTTCTCCGATTTCTGACAAGAGATGAGGACATGTCTGTATTGGCTTATTGACAATATTTTATTTATATCTTGTGAATAGGTCGGATCAGAACCAAGAGAAATAATTCAGCGCTTCAGGCGCGAAAATAGAGAAAGATGATACACCGTCAAAAGAGAAGGGTTATGTTCCAACGAGATGGGATATCAGACAGGATGCGAAAAAAAAAAGGCAGCATAGCACACAAAGAAACGACAGACATCAGTTGTAATAACGATGAGGTACACACTATACATTCGACAGCCAGGTCGGAGATCAAAAAAGGTTTTTGGGCGGGCGACGCAAAGCTCCGAGCATGCGCTCGATCGATGAAATTAGGTTTAGACACGAAGAGTAAATGCAAGGAATGATGGATACAGGACCGGCTCCAGAATCGAGGCGCTTTCAAGCAGAAGGGAAAGAAAGGACACACAACAACAATACATGGCTGCTGAACATACTTCGAACGGAGGCACTTGCAACTGCATAACGGCAAAGAACACCAAATGGGAAGTTCAAGAGGCTCAGGAGTTGAACAGCCATCTCAGAGCGGACGCCCTCGAAGAGAAAGATCAGATCAGAATTAGACGGAATATACATAAGATCGCTCGATGGGGACGTGGAAGCCATTGACAGACAGGATAAGACAGACAGTCATTTACAACGTTACGTGAAAGTGTAATACCGACAATAGAGGGTAGAGTCATATTTGCAGTGCTTCATGCCAATCAACCGACAAGGACTCGCTTTAGAATATCGCTCACTTGAGGTTGAGATTCAACCAACTCATATCGGAGTTGACATTGCTGCGAGTCTGTAGGTCGTCGTCGTAGTGCTCTGGTATGACTGTACTTGAACCACGGTGATGGGTGCGATTGGTGTCGATTCTCTGAGAATGGCTTGCAGATCGCGAAGGGATCATCAAGGTATCTCCTCCTACGTTTGTGGGTGCGTAGACGCTGTTGGTGTAGTTGCTACTTGCTGGTCGTGGCCACCCTCGTTCGTCAACGATGCTGGCTGGCACACCGGACGAGTAAGCATCTGGGCCATAGTCACCATCATCGGAGGCTAAGCTGACTGAATCGGCACTTGATATCCTCGCGGATTGGCCTTCCTGGAAGAATAGACTCTTGCTAGGATGCTCGGTACTAGGACTGCCGGTAGGAACACGGCCTAATGGTCTCCGATCATCGAGGACCCCTAGATTCAATGGAGCGAGCCCGGAAGTCATGGTTGGCCATCCACTGCCTCTGTAGTCAGATCTGGTCTGATCGGATGAGACTGTTGATCGGGGTGACTTGGCGTCGATAAAACTGGTCGCGTTATTGTCCTCGAAGTATTTACTCCATCCCTCATCCGTGGTCCTATCTCCGCGAGGACGCTCATCTGGCGACGAACGGTCTGTGGCTGTCAGCGGGCTCGGGGTGGCCTCTTGTCGACTGGACATGATAGTGGTCAAGGGGCTTCGGTTTTTCTCTGCGAATACTCCGTGCTGACTCATTGGTGAAGCCAAAGAGTTGGAACCATTGTATTTGCCCGACATGATAGCGAGTGAGTCGGCTGACACTGACGGGACAGAACCTCTTCCCATTGGGGTTGCAGATAGAGCAAGAGGCTCGAGACCCCGGTCCTGGAAACTGAGGCGGTCCTTGTCCTCCACCTGGCCATTCGCTCCGGGCCTTTCCTTCTTCTGCCTCAGCCACCTGAGAATAAGGAGGACGATGACCAAGAATAAGGCAAATCCCAGTACACCACCCAGAGTGGCGCCAATGATTGTCCCTGTTCGACTGCTAGATTTACCACCAGCACCACTAGCGGTACTCGTAGCTGCCGCAGGCGGGCTAGAGATGGCACTGGTGGTAGCTGCAGCGGTTGCAGACGTCGTACTGGAACTTGTAGTCGATGAAACGGATTGAGTCACAAGAGGTTTCTGCACTTCGTCGCCGTGGAAGAGTTTGGTAGCGTTCAACCACCGATTGCTTGATGAGTCGAATATGCATAAGGGATCAGTCGTGCTACCGCCGGAAATAACCACAAACCCGTTGCCGTCCTGCGCCAGGGAGAAACCGGTTCGAGTTACGTTTGGCGCAAACGTTCCGTTGTAGGCGGGATAGTTGGCCAAGGTGAGATCTCTTTTCGTTTTCGTTGCGGAGGTTGACGATGCGCTAGAGGTACCGACGACTTGGCCGGCTGGTGCTGGAACACCGCCGGCGTCGAGCAGAGCGACTCTCGAGACAGTATTGGGCGAGGTGCTCATGTCGAAAGTCTCCAATATCTTCGAACCGTCCGAGGCGCTGACCAAAGCACACTGGACCTGCTCAGGAAGTGCCTGGGCCAGCGAGGCGCCGGAGTTCTGCCATCCGCCGGTCGAGTTAAAGACGAAGATCGATGTCGTACTCGCATCACCGCCCACTAAAGCTGCTGAACCTTCATCCCAGGGTAACAACATGGGTGCTACCGCAGGATAGGCACCTTGCGAATTGAAAGAATCCATGCCGAACGGCGGCACGGTCGAAACAAGAAACGTTGATGTCGTCGGAGCCTCGCTACCATCCTGAGAGCCTGCGTAGATCAGTAAAGAAGCTGTCGAATTGATATAGGCAGCGCCATGGTTTGTCCGGTTCTGAAGAGAGGTTCCCGGCGTATCGATGGTCTGCCATTGTTTATCTTCAAAGGAATATCTCTGAAGGCCAGAATAATCGGGAGAGTTTGCGGTTCCACCGACAACGTAGAGTGACTCTCGATTGTTATCGCCTTCAGTTCCTCCTTTCACACAGATCGCACCAGTTACCGCCTGACCCATCTGCAGCTTTTGCCATTTCCCATCCAGTTCCAGCGGTAACGAAAGGAATGCATCGGGCGTATAAACATAGAGCGTATTGTTGTGAATGGCGGAGCAATGACCCTCCAACGTCACTGGCGGGATGGGGATCGACATGTTTAACGAATGTGTCCTCGAGAACGCCAGCCGAAGACGAAAGTTAGGTTGATGACCAGTCAACAGCTATCTGAGCGCAGACAGTATGGGCAAGGTACAAGATATAAAAGAGTGAACGGGGTGAGACTGCCAGAGTACTATCTCATGATTGAATGGAACGATTGGCGGCGGCGAGTTTTCCCAACGTCGATAGCAATGGCTACACGGTAGCCCAGATAGATAGAGGAGCAATGCGACGCTGCCAGCTCCGCCAGATACCTATCTGTGGCTGTTTACCGTACGGGGGTATTCCAGATCTCCGTGCTTAACACTTGAACGTGGGCCCAGAGCTGAATTCCCGGATATTACCACCAAGAATACGGCGTGGATCCCGCGCAAGACAGTTTCCCGAAGGATTGAGGGAAGATCGGAGCCTTCAATGTGCTGTGAGGCGGGTTAAAGACGAAGAAAAGAGCGGAAGATGTAGTGAAGTTCTCGATCGTGTCGGCGGGTGAGGTCCAGCTATGGTCAGGGGAAGCGGTATCCAAGCGCTCGAGGTTCAACACATAGAGATACCGACACGACACGGAGAGCGAGAGAGAAATAATAACGAGAGAATGGTGTAGATCAAATGAGTGCCAGGCGTCCCCCGAGAGGTAAAAACCCGCTGACAGGAGAGAGAAGAGTGAACGGGCCCAGGGAGAAGACGTCGGTAGACCGAAGAGGGTGAAACAACGGAGGCACAGCTTTGACCACGAGTACTTTATCAGGTTTCTTTCTAGAAGCAAAGAGCGAGAGGTCGTATCGCGTGGGAATAGAAGGATAGAAGGAGCAAATCGTGAGAGAACTGGATGCGCAACAGTGCACTGCACTTGACAGGACGACCCAAGCAGACGGTGGACGAGCAGAAGAAGAGGATGAGAAAGAGACAGGCAAAGATTCTCTTTGATCGTCCAACCGTCACAGTTCTCAAGGGCGAGTGACAGGGGAAGCGGGGAAAGCGAGAAGGTTAGAAGGCTCCTGATGGCGATCCAGGAACTAACAGCCGCCGGCGTTCCCTCGTTCTCGCTTGTCACCGCGATGCGCAGTGATTCGGCTACAGCAACACACACTATGTTCTTGGGGGCTGGTGCTGGTTAATATCATCATTATCCCTTGCCGTACTGTGTACAACCTCGATAAGAAGGATGATGCCCGCATGAGAGGCGTCATAATCGATGGTGGAGGGAGGAGGAGGATAGGCTCGAGTCTGGCCATCCTCGGTATGGATGTCTCTCTCTCCACGAAGTTTTGTGAAACAGACGAAAAGCCTGGAGACTCCACATGAAACTTTGAACTGTCTAAGACTCTACACAGCTGGTCCAATTGATCCCAAAGGAGTAATAATAATAATAATAACTCGTCGACTGTTTGCTCGAACACCGACTACCACGCTTTGTGACAGTTGACGCTTATTATGAGATGAGACGAAGCGCCATAAGCTACTACTTGCTTAACGATGGAGCATCTGCGATGCGATGCAAGGACAGCCGCGATCGATGGTCTCTGCCTCCTAGACCGCTATAATGCGAGGAGCACCCGATGGATACGACTATGGTATATCTGGCAATGGATGTTGTCGCCATCGTCGGTTGGATCAATCATCAGTGTAACATACTCCGTATACCGCGGCCATTGTTATTCCCAGGATCCAGGTTTGGTTCACGGCCCCAAGGAGATTTCCATCGCATCCCACAGTTCGTTCAATCAGTTCCAGCTTTGCTCCTAATTCCACGGTCCGCTCGTGGGTCTTTGTGGCGTGATAGACAACCGAATAATGGGCCGATCTCCGCCCAAGGGGCAGATAACTCATTATTACAACCGCTATGTTGATGACCGCATTGAAATCTGGTCAAGCCAATTGTCCCTGAACTGTCTCCAGGCGGCAGCTGGCTAGTTATGATTAGAGCGCAGAGTATTACATCTCAGGCATTCTGGATCCCCCATGCTCACGAATCGCGAGAGACAGCCTGCTCTTAGATTTTCAGAGGCTTTTTGATCAGACTATCACCACTCCACGAGTCACGACAAGCCAGTTAATTGTCGCAAGGGACCCCGAACGCGTTCTGCAACGGCGCCAGAGAGCACGTCGAAAGTGGCTATTCGTCGGGCGTCACGCTTGGCCAGGAACGCGACCGTCCAACTAGGGCTCGCGGAGCAACTAAATTATTAGATGCTTTATCTAACTATCTAGCGGCCAGGGACAAGGTTACCTTGGAATCTGGATGGAGCCTGCTGACGTCCCTTGAGCTCCCTTCGGCCCTTCGGGTCTCATCATTGAGCGCTAGCGAAATGTTTCAATATACTAGGTACAAAAGTTTTTTGTTTTTTCTCCACTTTTTCCGCCTCTCTCTGATTAGTCTGTTCTGAGTTACAGTCACATGACCACTGATTTAATTGGTCTATTCTGAGTTACAGTCACATGACCATTGATTTATCATATGGTTTAAACTGCTAGGTATTACCGCCTTCTAATTTAAGAAATTAAAACAACTCTTCCTAACCTCCTATACAGGTTCGCGTTTATATTAATTAATTTACACCCTTCGCAGTCCTTACCCCCTGCTTTCTTTTGCCTATTAAAGCTCGCTTTTAAAGCATTTTCTTCTATCTAAATACTAGCTTCTTATTGGTCTGTCTAAAATATCGACTATATCAGCTAAATCCCTCCTACCTATCCCCCTTCTGCCTACCTATCTTATATAGACTTCGGCTTCTTATATTATCTAGCAATTACTAGCTAGCTTCATCCATTAGATAGTTCTTTACAATATTTATCATCATCTACAGTTACTACACTAAAAGAGCCTGACAAATTACCTGATTTAGGTAAGCAATCAACCTATCTGCCAGGCTTTGCCAGCGCGCCAGCGCGTCAGCGCCAGCAGCCAGCTTAGTCAGAGCAGCCAGCTTGGTCACTACGCTCAATGATTATTTGCTACGGCCCCTCCTAGCCGTAGCGCACCTAGTATCGAGTCGGTCTGCTCCTCCGACCAGAGACAGTCGCACTTGCAGCCTCAGGCATTTACGGTATCCTCGGTGGTATTATTGTTTGTTGATTCTCGCCAGGAGGTCAAGGACCATACCTATAGGACATAGCATGTTACACGGAGAAATAGCCTGGAAGTCTCTACCCGCAGGATCCGACCTCCCGACGTCGACAACCGATCATTGCTCGATTTATTATGGTAAAATATCACTATTATTATTCTATCTAATATTATTATTGTAGAGAAAGTACCCAAGGCTTGCCCCAAGTGGGCCCACGATCATGAGGCTTTTCCTTGGAGTCCGTTCGATCCACCAGCGGTTGGGCCCATCGGGACGTCATGGCCATTATTGTTCAATAATGTTCAATGATGCTTTTGACAAGCTAACGAGGACTAATCCCACGCCTCAATGCTTAGCCGTTAAACTGTTAGCGACCCGACAAGCAAGACCATAGTTAGTTATCTACTCCGTACACTGATTACATAGCATCATTTGAGATCTGAACAATTTTAGATCGACTGCGTAGAGTACAGTAGTAGATAGTTACTCTAGTTAACTATTATTATTTCGTACTCTGTACAGCAGCACAGCTAGTACGGAGTACGCAGACTATCAATAATAATAATCTCTGGTTATATTGAAGGGAAGTTCATATGCCAAAATAGGACATGATTGGCGCTCTAAGGGAAAATCGCTAATTTTATGCGAGTTAGTGCTTTTCGGCTGTTTCCAGTCCATGGGTGGACCCCGACTATGCAGAGTAGCTATGATGGAGGAAAGAAAAAAGGAATTATTAATTTACAGGACAAGCACGCGGAATTGCTGAATAATGACATGCATTTCCCGCAACAAGGAGCCCTCTCATCGTGATGTTCATATGACCATAGATCGAATTGTCCTTCAAGGTTGGGTGGTACCAAACATAGGTGACTTGATGTGACATCCGAGATATCACGGCGCTTAGAGATGCCCAATGGACCATTAGGCTTCGAGTCTTTGTGCCGATCTCTATGACTGTCCGCTTTGCTGGGCTTGTTGCTGCTTCCACTGGTGGGCTCTCTGGAGCAGCTTCGACAGGTTCGCTGCGGATTCGTCGTCCGCGGGGAAGACATAGTCCATGTACTCTTCGTACCGGTCGTCGTCCAGCTTGCGTCTCTTCTTGACCCTCCGCGGCATCTGCTTCTCGATCTTGGCGATGTCTTCGGGAGAACCGTGCGTGTTTTCGAATGCCTTCCATGCATTCAACAGGTCCACTCTCTGCGAGATTGTCAGCCATGTGCCGGGAAGGCGGGGTGAGGGTCGGTAAATGTATTCGTGGCTTACCTCTTCCTTCATATCCTTCTCCTTCATCCGCTGGTACGCACGTTCGAAGATCTTGCGAGCGCGGCGCTTCGCTTCTTCGCTGACCGGCCGTTCCTCTTCCTCCTCCTCCTCTTCCTCTTCGCCTTCCGGAACGTTGATCTCGAACCGGGCGTAGTTGATCCACACCTTGACGTGATCTGTCCTCTCCAGAAGACGTTCGTAGAGAGCCCGCACGCGATCGTACTCTCCCTCGTACTCCTCGAAGTCGATATACGCTTTCCACACGAGCTCGGGCATATCCAATGTCTGCTGCTCAATGCCAAGCTCAAAGATAGCCCTCGCTCGATCGAGATCTTCCAGTCCACGTTCCAATTCTGCATATTTGATCCATGCCTGGCTGTTTGAGTGGTTCCACTCAATTTGCTTTTCATACAGAGTTCGACATCGAACGAACTCGAACAGCTGACGCTCTAGGTCTATGTAGCCGCGGAAGAGCTTGTCCTTGGGACACATTCCAATTGCCTGGCCGAGAGTCTTCCGTGCTGCCTGCAGATCCATCTGTCGGATCTCGAATTGGGCTTTCAGGAGCCAGATCTTGGCGAAGGTGAACTTTCGGTGCGGAATGAGCTTCAGGCATTCGTTGTATATTTGCCTGGCACGCTCGATGTCGTTATTCTCCATCTCCTCCCATAGTGCGTAGAAGATCCACAAGAAGATGTATCGTCTCCAATGCCGCTTCTCCTGCGACGGAGGGATCTGTGCGATTGCTCGCTCATATACATCACGAACCCGGTCGACATCACCAGAGCTTTCTTCCAGTCTGGCGAAGTCGAACCAGATATCGTAGTTCCTCGGGTTCTCCTTGAGCTGCTCCTCATACTGCACTCTCCGTTTAGCAAGGATGACGTCTTCGACACCATCCCGGTCACCGAATTGTTTCTCGAAGGTAGTGTATGCCTTGTGCAATGCCATCGACTTCGATCGAGGCAGACGATCCAAAGCATATTTGTAGATAGCCCTCGCACGCTCGTACTCCTTGAGCTTAGTCTCAAACTTGGCATAGGCGATGAAGAGCTTCTCATCCATGAAATCTTCACCCAGCGTCTCGATAGCCAAGCCATACACTTCTCGGACCATATCGCTCGTCCCATACTCCTCCTCAAACCGAGCCCACTTGATCCAATTCCTAGGTTCCGGGTGTACCACCGTAAAGCGCTCGAAGATAGCCCGTGCTCTTTCAAATTCATTATATCTCTTCTCGAGCTTGATGTATGCACCCCACGCGCCCTCATCTGGCTCCCAGGACATCCACCGCTCAAACACCTGCCGGGTTCCGGGGATGTTCCCCAACATCTCCTCCATGTAGACATACTTATACCAAAGCTTGTCCACTCGCGGCAGAATCGTCACGGCGCGATCAAGCAGATTCCGAGCATGATTGATATTGCGATTCTTCATCTCCGACTCGATATACCGAATCCACAGCACCACCGAAGTCGAATCAACATCCAGCGCACGCTCGAAGATAGATCGCGCCCGGCGGAATTCCTTCTGCTCGAGCTCCCATTGCGCATAGCGCATCCAGTTGTTCATGTTAATCCTATTGCGCCGCACATAGTCCTCGAACTCCTTCCGTTTTCGACCCTGGTACTCATGGAGCTCTTCGAGATCGGCGAACCGTTGCGTCGGGGCTTGGAGGCCGGGTTCTTGTCTGTCAACCGCCTCGCGCAGCAGCTGCTCAGCGGAGATTTGCTGCGGCGCGGGGGCCTTGTTCTTGACCCGAGGGGGTCCGCGTGAGGACTCCATGGTGAGTGCTGGCGTGTATGGCGTGTATATCTATTCCACAGGAGTTCGCAGTATCGAGGTTGACGGAACTGACGGTGTGGATTGTCCTGAGCAAACCCGCCAGTTGCTTAGCCAGCGCGGATAGAACAGCTGAAGGAGCTGACCGCGATTGAGAAATCGCCCCCAAAAGTCGGCCACGAATCTCAGACGAAACCGTGTGGTTGTCTGTTGCAGACCGATCAATAATTATCTTCAAGACAGCGTCCGTCGCGATGCAGAAACATGATAACTAAATGCACAGGTTGTCTCTACCGCCACCCGCATATGATATGGTCTAGTGACGGCGAAGCTCATCTTACATAATCCGTAGCTAACTTCATCTTAAGCGGGCTGGCCGTGGCGAAGACCTTCAACCAGTTCGAATTTATCCTGTTCATCAACATCTCTGGGGTGATTCTTTCACAGCTGCTGTCACAATGTCGACCGCAGAAGAGCTATTGAGGGATTTCGAGGAGGATGAGGAGGGCTTCGAGGGCCTGGAGGAGCAGGAGGAGCCCGAGGAGATGGAGCAGGAAGAAGAGCCCCAAGAGAAACCGGCGAATGACTTCGAGACTGCCATGTCCACGGCGGACGAGCTTACACGTCTTCATAAAGTCCTTCGTGACCATTATTCCATTCGATTTCCGGAGTTAGAGACGCTCGTTACAAACCCTATCGACTACGCAAAGACCGTTGCGATCTTGAAGAATGGCCCGCTTAACGACATCAAGGCGATTTCGTCCTCAGCTGACAATATGGTTGGCGCATCGCTGGAATCGGTGCTGGATGGACCTACGTTGATGGTTGTTGCTGTCGAAGGGACAACTACAAGAGGGCGCGAGATGACTGAGTCGGAACTGAAGATTGTCCTGGATACCTGCGAGAGAATTCTGAAGTTGGACCGCGAGAGGACTGCCCTGGCGGAAAGTGTGGTGTCGCGTATGAACGAGATGGCGCCCAATTTGACCGCGCTCATCGGACCGCAGACAGCAGCTCAATTCCTGAACCAGGTCGGAGGTCTTCATGAGCTGGCCAAGGTCCCCGCGTGCAATTTGGCCGCTCAGGGTTCGAAGAAGCAGTCCGGACTGGGCTTTGCTACAAATGTTGGAATCAGACAGCAGGGATTTCTCTACAATTCGCCCGTCATCCAGGGCATTCCTAACGACCTCAAGCGTCAGGCGATGCGCATTGTGTCTGCTAAAATGGTTCTTGCCGCCAGAGCAGATGTGGCGGGGTCTAGTCGCGATGGATCTATGGGAGAGGAGCTGAAGCAACAGTGTTTCCAACGTCTCGAGAAACTAACTGAACCTCCGCCTAACAAGGGACCTCGTGCTCTTCCGGCACCGGACGACAAACCATCGAGGAAGCGAGGAGGTCGCAGGGCTCGTAAAGCCAAGGAGGCCATCGCTATGACGGAGATCCGTAAAGCGCAGAACCGCGTTGCTTTCGGTAAGGAAGAAGCAGAAATCGGTTACGGAACCGGTGAAGGGACAAAGGGACTGGGAATGCTGGGCCAGCAGGACCTTGGCCGTATTCGCGCGACTCAAATCGATCAGAGGACGAGGGCCAAGCTCAGCAAGAACAACAAGGGCTGGGGCGCAGCGACTCCTGTTGCTGGAACGGCTTCCTCCCTTCGTGGTTTTGGACAGGGCTCTGGCAGTGCCTCTGTCCTGCAGGCGAAGGGCCTTCGTACAACCGGAGTCGGACCCTCTTTGGGAGGAGTTGCGGGTACAGCTAGTTCTATCGCGTTCACACCTGTCCAGGGACTTGAGCTTGTCGACCCCAAGGTCCAAGCCGAGCTCAACAGGAAGCGGAAAGCGGAGGAAGACAGATGGTTCAAGAGTGGAACGTTCACTCAGGTCGGGAGTCAGAACAGTAATAACTCGCAGCAGCAGCAGCAGCAGAATGGTGGATTCAAAGTCCCGGACATCCCTGCGAGGAAGAAGGTCGACACAGGTGATGGCAAGATGGCTCCTCCGCCTCTTCCGGTGAAGAAATAGATTAGTCCATCCTATCCTTCGAAGGAAAGGATTGTGCCGTGTATGCATTTGGGGCGTTCTGGCGGGGTTATTTTATACGATTGCTTGCATGATACCATGTCTCTATTGTTTCAAGATCATGGGGTTGGCGGAAAAGCCCATAGGATGAATAGAATTCAAACTTTCTAGAAACAGTAACTGAACAGCAAGTGTGCGATTCGTTAGTTGTGATAATATATTATCACTCCGTTCCTACCTCGTATTCAAAACTGAGACATCAATGCGCTCTTCTGATAGAGATTCCCTAACGACTTAGCCAGCACATTAAATATCTGCTATTATGTATCTAATGAATTCCGCACAGTCTCTAGCCATATAAAGCCGTACCAACACATGCAGTGCATTTTTATCTATTCAAGATGGGACGATTAGCATGTCTAGCATCGGATGGCGCGGAAGCTTTAACTCGAGTTTCAACCCCACGAAGCGCCGTTTCAACGATCTTCTACCGCACCTGTATGGTCGATCTTGGCTCCAAGTACTATCTATGTACTAGTTAGGCCTTGTTCCATTTAAGGATTTATGGACCTTTCATTTAGCAAGCTATGCTCTCTAGTCCCTGACATGAATCAATATGAGCAGTCTGATTGGAGTGTGATAAATCTCCTACTAACATCTCATCATCCATCAACCAGCAATCTGACCGCCAGAGACAAACGACAGACTGACACCGTCGACGATACGGGAAGTCAAAATTTTCTCCCAATAATAGGGAATGATTTTTTTTTCTTTGGATCTGGACCTTGAGGTTAACTACTGTCCCATGGATCGACTCCCGATCCCGAAAGGGGGCTGCAATTTTATCTTATTGCGTGCTTTTGCCGCTGGGATTGCTCACCGATTTTGTAGATTGAAACGCCCCTCAATTTAGGCGGTAAAGGGTGATTGTTCGCCTCTTTTTAAAAGAATGGATGAGTTTCTTTCCTTTCCTTTTCTTTTTTATTCTCGTTCTGTCTTGTTAGAATTATTGCTCCGGTTTTTTTCTCGAAGCGGTGTCTAGAGTGGTACCGGCCTCTGGTCTATCACTTTCTGCGTCCTCTCTTCTTTGTTTCCTAAGGCGGCAGTCTGAGGTATAGACTGAAGTACTTTCTTCCCGTCTCTTTCTCAAAATCATCTCTGCTATTCCTGGAATTCCATACTGCGAATCGGGTGCTCTGGCGAAATCCAAACATGGCTCCCGGTATAGGAAGCACTTTACCAACGGAGAGTGTCTCTATCCTAGAAGAAAAGCCTTCCAATACAAGATCGACATCTCTCTTCCACCATAGTCTGGTGACTTCCGACTTTGACGCGCTCAAATTCCACGCCGCAGCGTCGTTGCAGCTTCAATCTGGCCAGAAGCATGAATCCGCAGCATGGACAGACCACAGACTCATTTCATCTCCGTATAACGAACCCGCACACCTCTTAGATCTCAAGAGACTAGACACACCGAATCGACTATTTGCCAAAGCCTTGACGATTCTCAAGCCCATTCAGTACGACTACGCAACTGCAGAGTATACGCAGTCATTCAACTGGGTCGCTGTCTTTGAACTCCTGCGTGCCCTGTCTGATGCAGAGGGCTACGAGTGGAAGAAGCGGGAATTTTACGTTGTTGTATTCCGGTCCGTTCTGCGTGCAGATGCGGATCTGGAGTATTTGCATCAGCTGGATGCTCATTCTCATGCTGAAGCGACGACTAGTGGTGGTCTGTTGAAGTATTGGTTCGGTACGAAGAATGAAAATCGGAGGAATTTGGCAACTTGTGCGTTTCTTCTTTGGTACCTTCATGTTTGATTCATTTTTGGCATCGTTCGACTAACATATCACAGGCCTATGGCGGAATAGAGAAGACGCTCGACTCGGAGGGCTAGGTCCATGGCATAAAAAAGCCAGGGCTGCAGCCCGAGACATGTATGAGCAGATTGTCTTCACGACGCTGAAATTAACTATCGACGATGACGTCTCGTCGTGGAATTTCAGCGACTGGACAGAGGAGTAAGCTGTTCTGTTGTGTTGGCAGCTGATGAGATTGAAATTAACCCGTACTTTTGTTCTTTTTGTTGTGGTTTTATGATTTCTATTTATCATTACTGGGAGTTTTCAAGCTTACTATAGAGATACCTTGTTAGCATCGATTATCATTGCGTTTAGCGGTGCAAGTTCCGGTGTTTAATTTGATTTTAGATCTATATCTTGGGGTTGCGGTGCGCTTGTTCCAGATGTTGAGTATATACTTAACCAAAAGACATGTAGTAGAATAGGACAGAATAGAAATACATATGCATTGAGTAGAATTTACGGGTTTCAGGCCCTGGTTATATCATAAAGTATTATCGGACTTCAATGTCGCGCTGCATCTCTTGGTGACAATTCTGCTCACAACATGAGTGAAAAAGACTAAGAATGTTGTCTGAATCCTCAAAAAATCACCGATATCATCTGAGCATAACCAGAATATCACCACCAATCTAAACCGCAATCCTCGATACCATCTCACACGATCGAATCAAACACTATAACTAGCCAGCTGATCTTTTAGAATATTCTACCCCGCCAACCCATCTCATCTCCCCATCATCCCAGTAGTACTACGTACCCCGCCAATAGCAAATTCCCAATTTACATCAAACTTCCCTATTCTCCATCCCCTCTCTCCACATCACCCAAGAAGGAATATCTCCCCTACCAACCAACGTATCGCAGACACGTTAGTTCGTAATGACTCTGAATCCCACATCGGTGGTTTTTACTCGATGTAGAGAATAGAGTATGAATGCTAATCGGGCCTACTTATGTGCCAGGTTTGTTGTCTTTGAACTTTGTACGACATGGAACTACCTACCTATGAAGTGAGTGGCTCTGCATGTGGCGGTTAGAAAAGAGTAATTTTGCCCGCTTGTATGGAGATCCGAGTTTATATATACCTAGTCAGTCGATGAATACATGCTTACAGGGAGCTTGGATTTTTTCTTACTTACCAGCAAGAAGGAATCTAATCTAATCTTTTTTTAGTTTGGATTGTTACGAGGTTCTTGAATAATCGATTCTCTTGTGCTCCCCGAAAGAATAACATAGTTAAGACAACAATGGTCGGAGTAGTCACAGTTGACAAACTCGCCGTGAGCGATGGCCCTCTTCAACCCGAGGACATCGCATATCTCAGACCTTCTGACCCCAACATCACGCCCATCGACGAGCTCCGCAACCGATACAACGAAGACGGCTACCTCTTCCTAAAACAACTCCTCCCTCGTGAAGACGTGCTCAAAGCCCGCGAGAGGTACTTCAATCTCGTCGCTCCGACTGGCGTGCTTGAAGAAGGCACGAAGCCCGTCGAAGGCATCTTCAACTCGAAGCGCTCCATCCATGACTTTCCAGGAATCGGCGCGGGCGCTGTAGGGGGGAATGGCCGTCCGGGAGGAGATAGCGCGAAGCAATTCGTCGATTTAGCTCTCGAAGCGCACTATAAAGATTGGTATGCGGAGGAACTGTGTAGACATCCGGCGCTGGAGAACTTCGTGGCTGAATTTACTGGTTGGGGTAAGAATACTCTGCCTGTGAGGAGGACGTTGTTGAGGAATAATATACCGACTTCGAAGCCGATTGGTGTGCACTATGATCAGATCTTTTTGAGATATGGAGAGCCCACGGCTGTGACGGCGTGGGTGCCTATTGGGGATGTGAAGGTTAATGGTGGTGGTTTGATTTATCTTGAAGATGGTGGGATTCCAGTCTCTTATGTTCCGCAATGCATATGCAAAACAGTACGGATTGTTGACGACTGTGTTATTATTATTATATAGGCGACTCTCTCGGCCGCGAGATCGAAGATGAATTCACCCGGAAAGCCAAAGAAAGTGGACTCACCGACGAGGAGGCCCGCTCGGGATTCAACCAGAATATGATGTCGACAGGCATGCTGTCTGAATATCCCAAGGAGTTCGCGAGGGAACATAATCGCCGCTGGTTAGTATCCGCGTACGAAGCAGGCGATGTTGTTCTTCATAAGGCTCATGCGGTAAGAAAGATGTTTCGTTTTCAATCATTCTATCCCATCAATACAGTGTGCTGATGATTGGTCTTTGGTGGATAGATCCACGCTTCGACCGTTAACCATGACCCTGACAATGTGATTCGACTGGCAACCGATCTCCGATTCTGTGATTCTTCAAGACCATACGATAAGGTGTGTAAAAGTTCCCTGCCCTTGTCGTTTGATTATCTAACTTTTGACCTGTATAGCGGTGGATGAACTTCTACGCGTTTGGAGACGGTGTCTAGCTGTCGGGACATTTTATTGATATGATGCATTGCATGGCCGTTATGGCTAATGACTTGAGGATCTTTACAATTGTAAACGATGGAACTGGTTTCAAGAATGCCTAGAGCGCCTTATTCAATCTCCTAGGCTTCTACTCGGAGCACCCTTTGCTATGGAGGGTTGACGAAATATGCTGTTTACTAGTGGCGTTATACAATATACTGATTTGATCCACATGGACATATCCGTAAAAAGAGTCTTCCGCGCTTCTAACGCAATATATTTAGTTATGGTATCTTAGTATCTTTCGTCTGTCTACTGACGAAAGCAGCGCTTTGTTGAATCTTCGGCCATAGGCCTCTATCGAATGCACCTTCCCCGTGTCTCGCAGAGGGTATAGGTACACGGAGCACATCCAGCGTGGACAATTGTTGAATGCGGAAAGAGTAAAATAGTAATGCACCTGCGCCCAAATTCCTGATGATGGACAACCAAATGTAAAACCCCTAGATATCACTTTTTTCTTTTGCCGTTGAAGGACAAATCTTTTTGGTTCTGTGTAGTTGATACAGAACCCAATTAATGTTAGTCATAACATCGTAGTCTCATGTTGAAAAGTCTATATGTCATGCGACGCCCACAGGACGCGAAAGAAATCTCTTTTCCTCCGAAATAGCTTAGTAGCGGTAGCTAGAAGAGAGTCAGTAAAGAGGGTGAAGTAAAACAATGGGAATAAATCAATCACATACATCTCGGCCTTGAAAGGACCCTCAGCAGGAATACCGAGGTACTCGGCCTGGACGGGGGTAAGCTTGGAGAGCTTGGCGTTGACGTGCGCCAAGTGCAGGAAGGCAACCTGCTCGTCGAGGATCTTGGGCAGGACGTAGACACCGACGGGCTTCTTGCCGCTGGCACCGAACTCGATGTACTTCTTACCAAAGGCAGCATCCTCGGCCTTGAAGAGAGCGATCTGAGCCAGGACCTGGTTGGAGAAGGAGCAGGACATGACGAAGGAAGAGTGGCCAGTGGCACAGCCAAGGTTGACCAGACGACCCTCAGCCAGGAGGATGATGTGACGGCCATTGGGCATGAGGAAACGGTCGACCTGGGGCTTGATGTTCTGGACGGACTTGGCGTTGGCCTTCAACCAAGCAACGTCGATCTCAATGTCGAAGTGACCAATGTCTATAGGTGGTCAGCAAAGAATAGCTCCTTCTGGTGATGAACGCTGGTCAACTTACTGCAAACGATAGCGTCGTTCTTCATGACCTCGAAGTGCTTGGCAACGAGGATGTCACGGCAACCAGTGGTGGTGACGAAGATCTGACCAAGAGGAGCAGCCTCCTCCATGGTGGTGACCTGGAAGCCGGAGACGGCAGCCTGAAGAGCGTTGATGGGGTCGATCTCGGTGACAATGACGCGAGCACCCATGCTGTGCAGAGCCTGGGCGCAGCCCTTGCCGACATCACCGTAACCAGCGACGACAGCGACCTTACCGGCGATCATGACATCGGTGGCACGCTTGATACCGTCGATGAGAGACTCACGGCATCCGTACAAGTTGTCGAACTTGGACTTGGTGACAGAGTCGTTGACGTTGATGGCAGGGACCAGGAGCTTGCCCTCCTTGAGCATACGGTAGAGGTGGTGGACACCAGTGGTGGTCTCCTCGGAGACACCGTAGCAGTCCTTCAGCATCTCGGGGTACTTGTTGTGGACGAGGGAGGTCAGGTCACCACCGTCATCCAGGATGAGGTTGAGCTTCTTTCCATCCTTGAAGGCGTGGAGCTGCTGCTCCAGACACCAGTTGTACTCCTCCTCGGTCTCACCCTTCCAGGCGAAGACAGGGACACCAGCAGCAGCAATGGCAGCCGCGGCGTGGTCCTGGGTGGAGAAGATGTTGCAGCTGGACCAGGTGACCTCAGCACCAAGGGCAACCAGGGTCTCAATCAGGACAGCAGTCTGGATGGCTGTTTGGATCTCGTCAGAACGCAGCTCAGCATTGTGACAGCGGATTGGACATACTCATGTGCAGACAACCAGCGATACGGGCACCCTTCAGGGGCTGGTCGGCGGCGTATCGCTCACGGATCGACATGAGACCGGGCATCTCAATCTCGGAGAGCTCGATCTCGCGGCGGCCAAAGGCAGCCAGCGACTGTGCATCATAATCAGTCTGTTGTTCAGTTTCCAAATTGAGGCAATGTCAGTATCACATACAATATCGGCGACCTTGAACTTGTGGGCGGGAGCGGCCATTTTGACTGCTTGAATTGACTGATGAGGGGAACTGGGGAAAGTCAGTACGGCACGCCAGATAAGCACATCCAGATGGACAGTTTCCAGATAGTATGCGGGAAGACTCACAAGAAAAAGAAAGAAAGGATAGGTGTTACAGAAGGATGAAGGAAGGGTGTCAAGAGGGAAAAAGAGGTCAGGAGAAGAGGAGGGGAAGGAAGCCTAGAAGAAATGGACGTCGATTACCGTCCGGGTCCAAATCTCTCCGCTGCCCGTTAGTTCAGCCAGCATCGGCAAACCCCACGTCGTCCACCTGCCGATCTGCTAGGGTTGCGCCCTAATTTCCTTTTTGGGCGATAAATATAATCATCTTCATCAGCCAAGGCGAGATGGGATCACACCCACGTGTCATCCTAGTACGGGGCATTGCTGTTGTTTGGGTTATTATGAGATAAATTATTCCTGCAGACTTTTTGTTCGATGAGGCGGTCATTATTCTTATTCCCTAGCAGACAGCCCGTCGTACAGTACATTGTTATTATTGTTGTCGATCTTGGGCGCTGTCAGACTGCCCCTCCATAAGCCCCCAGGGTCCTTCAACCTCAACTTACGAAGGAAGGGATCTTGTTTGTGCACTATATTGGGGTTTTTTTACTTTATTTTATCTTATTTTTTGAATGCGGGAAAATACCCTTCCTGGTGGTGAGTCAAGGTCTATAGACTAACCCAGGAGTAGGTAAGTAACTACGATACTGCATACATAGGAATCCTTATCATAACTGTACAAAGAAACATGGAATATATACGGCTCCATTAGATAATATCCTCTGCTGTTATATTCTCAGTCTCAATTTTTCGAACCTCTTTGGACCAACTCTACCAATAACTCTGCAACGAGCACCGCAAATTCCGGATCATTAATGTCCAAAGACACTCCATCCACCTTGATCTCAGTCTCTGAGAGTCCCTGCTTCAATGTGGAAAACAAACTAGAATCAGCCTCGCTATCATGGAAAGACTGACCTTCCGTCGATATCATACTGATACCTCTTTCTGGTAATACCACGCGTACGACCTCTGGATTCGTGCTATGGGTACGCAATTTCTGCGCGATATCCTGCCCGATCATCTGGCACTCCTCTGGACTGGTCCTCATGAGCGTCACCGCCGGGTTATGCTCATATAGTAGGCGGCCTGTAAACTTTTCTGGGACGGTATCCTTCGGACCGAAATTGACCATGTCGCAGGCTCCAACGCTGATAATTTGAGGGATTCCAGCCCTTGCTGCAGCTTCGAGGCGATTCGGACCTGCAGTTAGGACGCCACCAACTAGCTCGTCTGCTATCTCGGTTGTGGTCAGGTCAATGACTGCGTCGAGTTGTCCTTCATAGATCAATCGCTCCATAGCCTTGCCTCCAGAACCGGTTGCGTGAAATACGTAAACCTCGTATCCGTGATTCTGTTCCAGGTGCTCGCGGATCTTGTCGACACAAGGCGTAGTGACGCCAAACATGGTCACGGCCACGCGTTTCTTGGCCGGTTGAATTGACTCCCATCTGAGATGCTCTGCATGGGAACAGGTCATACCCACGATTGCAGCGGCTGCATTTGATAAGATGCGGTTCAAGATTGTGTTTGTTCCCGCAATGTCAACGACGCTGTACATTAGAGTGATATCTGTCTCTTCAATGAAAGGCTTCACGTTTCCGCTGGCCATGGTTGACACCATCAACTTGGGAAATCCTATTGGGACTGCCTCGCGCATTACTGCTGCAGCTATGGCAGTCCCACTAGACCCGCCGATGCCGATAATTCCTTGGATCTTGGTGGATTGGACCAGATCCGTGGTAGTGGTGATCGCAAATGCAGTTAGAGTTTGTATATAATCTCCCTTTGCGAGTGTTGCGAAGTAGGTATTTGGATCTTGAGACGTTGGAAGGGATGCATGTTCTAGAAGACTTGCGTGGCCGATATCCACTGCTGGATGAGTACTCGAAACCCTACCCAGATCCATAAGAAGTACAGAACAAGCTTTGGTGCGCTCAATTTCCTTTTTCACGAAAAGGAGTTCTTCTAGTTTTGTATCGCACGTCCCTAGAAGGAGCACCGTAGGCTTGGAGATCTTCGCTGACATATTTATTTGAGGGCCGTCTGGTTCTTGTGAAGCTCTAGATTGAATAAGCACATGGAAGAGTTATGTGTTGAGTCAGGATAGACAGGATCAGCAGTTAACCAAAAAATTGCATTGATTTGATAGAATAGGTAATCAGTATGAACTATCATCAATCACAGTTTATTACATGGATCTGTCAATATTGCAGAGGAAAAGAGCGTCAAGTACATGTATGCACATTTACTCCGGACCCCCGCATTTGTTTCGTACATAGAGGTATGCGGAGATTTCCCGACGTCGAATGATATCACATCCACATGATTTCCTCACGCAACGCGGGGTTCTCGACTGAAACCAAAGCTTTGAGCTCCGAAAGTTCGCCATTGGAAAAGACGCTGAGGAACGTACAGTACAATCGAGCAATCCATAGATTTCCTAGATGCCTCGCCCAACCACTCGGAAAGAAGTGCTTGGTCGACTGAAAGACGTCGTCGCAAATGGAGGTACCATCGTAGGAGCAGGGGCGGGTAAGTAAGCGCATCGTCCAGCATCATTGTATTGGCTTTATTTGTATGTACATGGAAAATCAAGTAACAGCTCCATTCTAGGCATCGGACTATCAGCAAAAAGCGTCGAAAAGGGCGGTTGTGATCTCATTATCATCTACAACTCGGGTCGTTTTCGAATGGCGGGTCGCGGTTCGTTGGCTGGATTGATGCCGTATGGAGATGCTAACCAGGTGGTTGTGGAAATGGTAAGTCTCAGATACATCGAATATTGGTGATAATCACCGAGTTAGAAAGTCCTCAAGTTCAGCACTTCGATCGTTCGGGGTATAATAACATTCAGTAGGCAAGCGAGATCCTCCCTATCGTGGAGAATACTGGTGTCCTAGCGGGTGTTTGTGGTACAGACCCATTTCGCTCGATGCCGAACTTCCTACAGCAGCTCAAAGGGCTAGGTTTTTGCGGAGTGCAAAACTTCCCGACAGTAGGACTGATAGATGGAAAATTCCGGCAGAACCTCGAAGAAACAGGCATGGGATACGACAAGGAAGTCGAGATGATCCGAGCAGCGCGTGAGATCGATCTGCTTACATGTCCGTATGTCTTCAATGTTGACGAAGGCGAACGGATGGCTCGTGCTGGTGCAGATGTGCTGGTCTGCCACGTTGGGCTTACGACATCTGGATCCATTGGGGCCGAAACGGCACTGAGCCTTGACGACTGTGTCACTATCATCCAAGATATCCGGGACGCGGCCGTAAAGATCAATCCGGAGATTATCGTGTTATGTCATGGAGGTCCGATTGCGGAACCTAAAGACGCCGAATACGTCTTGAACCGCACGAAGGGTGTCCATGGCTTCTTCGGGGCGAGCAGCATGGAGAGGCTTCCAGTGGAGATCGCTATTAAGGAGAATGCGCAGGCATTCAAGCGCCTCAAAATAAAGAAATAGGTTGACCGTGATCGACAGAGTCTCCTCTAACTCAAGGCAAGACTTGTGATATATGTTTCCTTTCTTCCCGATTAGCATACCATAGTCCTAGAGCAATCACATGGGAAAAATTCCAGGCTACTTGTTTATCACTTACAAATGTTCCACCCTTCTGGAAATCCTTGCCAGAAGCTGTCATAAATGCCGAGGAAACCCTCGCTCATATCAAAGTCATAATAGCCAGCAGGAACGCTACTAGATGATATATTGTGTCCCAACGATCCAACTGTTTCCTGTTCGGAAGCTATCGCTCGCAGATACCCCTCCTTGACCATTCGCAGCTTCGAAATGCTGACGAGTAGCAAGTCCCTATGCTCTCCAAGTTCGGGCTGAAGCATAGAAGATCTGGCCAGCTCCGATTTCTGAATCATCCTGTCCAGGATTGTTGGCAGGTTGACTCTGCTTCGAACGTAATTTAGATCCCACTCGCTGTTTTCGAGGAAACACAGTCGTCGAGTGAATATGATAGCGCGGGCTATATGGAGCCATATCACAATTGGCACGTAGACATAGATTGCGGGTGGGATCGAGAGGAACTGTTCTATCAACGCGAGTGACGATTCAAGACAGGCGTAAAGTGTATTCAATCGCTCAAACGAGTAGGATCCGTAGGAAGTCTGAGGAGGGATGTCATAAAATACTATCTCGTACAAAGACATTTCTGTATCGTGGTAGTGTATGTTTAATATACCTGAATCGTTACTAAAGCCCTCTCGTCGAGAATGCGAAATGTGTGTACAGCAATGTGGTGGCTCACAGTTCCCTTTGACAAGCTTGTTCCAGCTCTCGCGCAGAACATGCAGATCCTTTTCTATAGCTTTCATGTGCATCCCGACCGGAGCCCTCATTTTGCCCGGCTCGATATCGTCTATGGGGATACTTCGTTTGATAGTGTTCGCAATCTTCTGGAGGCGCACGAGTTCGACCAAGTAGGTATCCGTAGGGTATCTTTTGCTAGAAAGCAGTATTTGGCAGCATTCTTCTACATAAGGCGTATATCGAAGTGGATCCATCCGCCTGAACACTGATGAGACTCTGTTTCGAGGTCAGTATGGCTTTCTTTTTCGTGACACTATTCTTAAGCGGCTTACACAGCGGTTAGGTAGAAGCAACCCAAAAAAGCTCTTCTCTCTTCAAGAGTGCCAGATCCTCCGCTAGATCCAAGCCCAGAGACATCCCCCATGGCATCTGAAACTTTCTGGAACCGGCACTGAACATTAGGTTTTGATTGCCCTTTGTTCAAGCCAAGGTCCACCACGAGGGCTACTGCAAGTTGTAGCAGATTCGTTATTTGTCGTATGGAAGAAAACAGATACTGGAACCTGTTCAGGGGTGTTAGGGCTATCCAGTGTATTGTTACACGAACGTTACAAAGAGACTTACCACCCCATATAGACAAGAAGTCCTTGTAGAAGGTCTAGAGACTTTTCACCTTCGACTAGCATGCGCTGGCTCAACTCTTGTACGAACTCTTTCCCCAAGTTCATTTGCCTCTCCATTTGACTGAAGGATGCTGTGACAACGATTGCTTTGAGCAGAAAGGGCTTGTCCCGACGTAGTTCATGTACAGACACCTTACTATCGATCATAACGAACGGAAAATGTTCTGCCATACGCATCCTGAAAAGGTTGAGGCACGTCTCTTCATTCAACTCAACGGGTGGGGGTGGTAACGGCGCGGATCCATAGAACTGGTGGGGTGGTCCTGGATCTGGGGACCTAGAAAGAGAAGCAGGCTGCAAGCATGCTGCGGTAGCATCCGGTATGGATGATGTGGAGCCAGATTGAGTGTTTGATGAAGCGGCTGCAGGTATACCTGTGTATGAGGGATCGGCCCGGTCCTGCACTTGTTCTTCATCTGCCGGGGTAGTCCTGTTCGATGTGAGAAGAGTGACTATGTTATCTAACTTTTGCTCCAATTGAGCAACCCTCCTATTGAACATGTTATCATCTGGACTCGATGGATCTCTAGCTGATACATGTATCAACTCACGTTCTTGGTGCCTTCCGTCTGCGAGTTGCGGACGGAGTCTGCATAACGCATTCTTTTTTTAGACGATGACATCTGCAATCGAGTCAACCCAATTCTGGCCCGTCTATTGATACTATCAATTGAATTACCTTTCACACTTTGTCCCATCTACTGCCGACGGGACACACCTAGCTTTAGCAACGGCGCATATGCGGCAAGCCCGTGGTCCGCGAGGTCCCGAACCATGCGAGCTGCTGCTAAGAGGCTTAGATTTCAACGCATCCATCACCATCCACACAGTGAGCAACCTCACTGAAAGACGGACTCCGTTTCAAGACGCGGGCACGGAACTCATAAAGACTGCCGTTTCCAATGATGGAAAAAAAGAAAAGTGTTCTGCTCTCTGATTTAAGATATCGTCAAGTGGGGCGGGACCGGAGTTTAAAGTTGTCTCCGTCTCCGGTTACATTCGTATTGTCCTTCAAGGCAGCATAATTTGATACTCCACTTGATGCTCCTAGATGCTATAAAGTTAACCATAGCTAAACGAATCCCCATCATGTATATCTACTTTACGAGTGTCCATATTTCATGCGAGCATTGAAACATGCGCTGGTAGAGACCTTCATTGAGTCCCAAACTACCTACCCTCTCTGGGTCTCATAGAGCATAGCATGGATTCAAAACATCTTAACTGACCAATAGAAAGTATTCTCTAATATGAGTTTCGAGGTGAATACCTGGAGTTAAGTCCACGCTGCAGAAATTCTGCAAGACTACGTCCTTTGGCACATCTTTCGCATACACTTTTTGAACTCATCGATATGCTTACAGCACGGCTTTTCCTCGAATATATCGAGGCAAACGAATCTCACTCTATTATACATACCAGAGATGTTTCTAGTATTCATATACAAGGATGCCTGTGGACATAGAAGTTCTCACTGCAGTCTTGGAAGGAGCCATATCGGAGTCTGAAGGATCTATGAAACCCTGAGTATTTAACCCTACAACAGACGGTCCGAATACAATGCCTTTAGTTGCGATATTGAAGTTACATTTCAATTCTAGATTATATCAAAGCGTTATTGGATGATACTCTCTTCCCGGATTTGATAACCATTATCATCTTGAGGTCTATATAGCGGAGGTCGGAAGAGAGATCATTTCCGTTTTTGGAAGCCATTAGAATATCGGCCTTCCTCCCCTTCATGCCATTATTTTCTCCAGAGCGGAGACACAGATTATCTCAACTAAAGGATTCGAGACATCTTAAAACGAAGGATCGAGGTGAAAGTACGGCAAAACCCGACAATGCACCTCGCATGTAGGGCAACTTTCGCTAATATAAAGATCTCACTGCCTTATCAGAGAGATAGAATAACTTGTTGCACAACACATACTGCGCATACTTATTACCGTCTAACTACAAGTTGGAAGCTGATCGAAAGCTGATCGAAAGCTGGCTGGGGCTCAATATGAATGTAAAGATGGTCCATACTCAGGAAGGACGGCTGAAACATCTCCAAATCAGTGATCATAGAGCACAGCGCCACAACAGTCTCATCTTTGCACTGTTTGCTAATTTGTTAACCACAAAGAGCAAGGGATAGCCTGCATTGCGGTAATCAAAAACTTACTGGGGGCTGTCAAGTCTATCAGAAATGGGGTTGGTGACGGCCACCCGCCGGCGCGTTATCCTAACATTCCACAAGGAGGCAAATGACAGCGGTCTCGCATAGACCTCACTACAAATATATGAACTTCATTTGGATCCACGGAAAGCGTTCTCTCCACAGTTGAGTAGATGTCTCAAGCTTTAGAAGTGTCAATCCAAGAATTCATCTCTGTTCTGAGCTCGCCCAGTCCAAGAACCTCCAATCTATCTCTCTAACCCCTCATCCCACGTCCATCTGAGGCCCTCGCAAAAGGAATATCACTACAATACACAATGGCATCTACACTGTCTTCGTCACTTGCCATCATATACTTCGTTTTCGGCCTCATCGTCTTTGTTTGTACAGTAGAGGCACTGCCGATTTCCCCTGCAGGCGATGGAGCGACTGTCTTGAGAACCAGATCCCCTAAACCGGTAAGTATTCATACAGATCCGCCTCTCTTAGTCCCAACAGGGATAGCTGACGGTCTGAATAACAGAGAATCATTCCAGACCCCAATGCCAGTCTATCAGATATCCTTTCCGACCTTGGCCTCCACGTCAATGTCAACGCTCTCAAGAATGCCGTGAAGAACGATATCGCAGACAAGCTCGGCGAGCCAAAGAACAGGTATGGCTCTAGCAATGGCACGGGAGCCAGCCAGAGCACCGCTACACCGACTGCAAGCAACAGCACCGCTTCAGCAACTCCTACCGCAGCCAACACGCCGGATCTTGTTCAGGATTTGATGAACACTCTGACATCGGCGTTGACAAGCGTTTTGTATGACAGTGACGAGCATGGTCTCTCATGAGCAACGGTATACGAAGTGTTATAAAAACAAAAATGAAACAATGATATTCAAGATGTGTATAAGTACAGAGGCGTTTGGCATAGAGGGCCAATAATGGTTATGGTTCCATGTTATCCACGACTAGATGTCTTGATCATGATATGATTTCAGCTGCCTGTTTCTGCTTAGTAAATTATTGTCAGTCTTCCAAGCATGAAGCTGAACAGACAAAAGACAAGGCCCACTAATAATGTAATTTGGAGACAGAAATCAAAGTGCTTCCAGCCGGCAGATCTTCTAAGGTCCGCTAAGTAATTATGCCGAAGCTCTTCTAAAGTGCTCGGAGTTTAGCGGCGGGTTTGCGTGTCTTATCTCCTGTCGGTGTTCTCTATCAACGACCGGTCCGGAAGTTAATAATCGGACGAGAACACGCCCGCAAAGACAGGAAAGGAGCAGTGGATGGTTCGAGAATATCCAGGGTTCGGAGATGAGCTTACGAGGTTAACTCAGACCGTGGTCTTAGTAGTATATGCGGACATAGTCATCGGTATTACTGGACGAATCTGTAGAGTAGACAGTACAACGCTGCGGGGATAATAAACCTAGATCCATGATGCAATAATAGGAATTCTGGGGCTCGGGAGGATATAAAGACCCCTCATAGCTGCCCCGCCGAAGATAGACATCAACGCCTTGTATTTCCCAGACATCTACAGACACCTTCAGTTACACATCACAGATACGAATCGCCTCTGTCAACATGCCTATCCTCGTCGGAAGAGAGGTTGGTCCTACGGGCTATGGAATGATGAGTATGTTTTCTCTGTTTCCCAGACTCTAATGCGAATGCAATCTTGTGAATCCGTGCAGAAAAAAAAAGAACACAAAAGAAAAGACAGGTCGAACAGTACTGACAGAATCACCATCACAATTGCAGGATTGACCTGGAATCCTACACCCCCGAGTGATGAAGTAGCCTTTGAAACCTTGAACACGGCGTTGAAGCTCGGTGCCAACTTCTGGAACGGTGGAGAGCTGTACGGTACTCCCGAGAGCAACTCGCTGCATCTTCTCAACAGATACTTCACCAAGTACCCCGAAAACGCAGACAAAGTGGTTCTGAGCATCAAGGGTGGTCTGAAGCGCGGTGCCCTGGTACCAGATGGCTCTGAGGAGAACATCCGACGAAGCGTAGACGAGTGTCTGCGAGTCCTGGACGGAAAGAAGAGCGTCGATATCTTCGAATGCGCCAGACAGGACCCGAACACTACGGTCGAACAGACCGTGAGCATCCTAGCTCAGCTCGTGAAGGAGGGAAAGATTAAGGGCATCGGACTCAGTGAGGTCGACGCTGAGACGGTGAGACGAGCGTACGTATTCTGCACCGCAAAGCATCCCGGCCACACCGAACTAGGATACTGACATGACTTCAGAGCCAAGATTCACCCCATCGCGGGAGTCGAGGTTGAACTGTCCCTGTGGGATACGCACGTCCTTGAAGATGGCACCGCGGCAGCCTGCGCGGAACTTGGAATCCCTCTGATTGCCTACTCTCCGCTTGGCCGGGGAGTTCTGACAGGCTCCATCACCAAACTCACTGATATCCCCGAGGGCGACTTCCGGAGACTGCTGCCTAAGTACCAAGATGAGACTCTGAAGAACAATCTGCAGCTGGTCAACGAAGTGAAGAAGATCGCCGAGCGAAAGAGTCTGACCCCTGGTCAGATCGCTCTGTCCTGGCTGAAGACCTTGAGCGCAAAGCCTGGCATGCCTACGATTATTCCCATCCCTGGTGGTACGACTAGCGACAAGGTTACTCAGAATACGAAGGACATCCCTGAACTTGACGATGCGGATATGAAGGATCTCGAAAAGATCTTGCAGGAGCACAAGGTGGTTGGAGAAAGATATCCTTCGCACTAAACCAGTATTTACCAGCCTCCGTCGATAGACTACTTCCATCCCGGTCAGAGCAACGATTATTGCTACGCAGCGAAGCTATACGGGGGAAAAAAAATCAGGCGATAAACTCTGCATATAGCGGACTCTACTTGGCATTTCCTGTTCTGAAATGAAGGTCAGCTAAACCCTTTTGACGTCTTCTGAAAACAAATGCTTCGAGTGGTTCGACGATCAGATCAAGTGTAGATTTGGTGTCAACACACGGTTTCACTGCAGAACAGGAAACTGTCTGTATTGCAGAATTCACTTTTTACTCATCATGGAAAAGGGGAGGTTGGAATAAGCAGGGGCTGTGGTTAATTGACTTACCCTTCACTGGTTTATGATGGTTTAGTGGTAGAAATCATCAACATGCACATGAATTATGAACATAATATCAATAACGGATAATATGATCTGATGCTATTCCAATTATCATTGTAGAGGAGTAGTCTTGGTCTCAGTGTTGTGCGCACACATGCAGAAATGATAAATGTGTAGAGAGGAAAGCAGAGGGAAAAAAACTCACATCGCCGACGGAGATAAATAGTCCGGTCACGTGCTGGGGCCATCGCGGTATAGCTGCTTTAGACATTCAATGCAGCCGGGAACAATGTCTTTGATTGTAGGCATCCAACCCTGCTATTGACCCTTTTTGCAAACCATTCGCATCACAGCCGTGTGCTTTTCACCATGGCCGAGTCTCCAGGATCCCCTCTCTCCTCCATCGCTTCAGATGACCTTACTGAGGACATGAAGCTCGATAACCAGGGACAATCACCCTCCGCATCGAACATGCCGCCCTCAAAGCGCCGTCGCACTGGCATCGCGTCCTGGGACCGCCAGACGCCCATGTCCTCAGTTCACGAAGATATTCCTCCGACATCTCCTTCGACCTCGATATCGTCCGATACCTCCGGTGATATCCCGAACTCACCCAACACAGCCGCGCTCATCGGAGCCGGCCAGGATGACGACTATAGCGGCCAGGGCAGTGACCAAGTGACCGTCTGCAGATGGGAGGGATGCGAAGCTGGAGATCTGGGAAATATGGATGACCTCGTCCAGCATATCCATAATGAACATATTGGGATCCGGCAGAAGAAGTACTCCTGCGAATGGGTCGATTGTAGCCGGAAGGGTCAGACGCATGCAAGCGGATACGCGCTGCGCGCGCATATGAGAAGCCATACCAGAGAGAAACCTTTCTACTGCGCACTTCCAGGTATGTGTTCGGGTGTCTTAATCTCATCTGAGACTCTGATTTGTGAGCATTCCTGACTGACATGGCCTGTTTCACTACGTACAGAATGCGATCGCAGCTTCACCCGTTCAGACGCTCTCGCGAAGCACATGAGGACAGTCCACGAAACAGAAGCCCTGAGACCTTCAGACCCCGTCCCAAAGCATCATACTGCTCTCGGGTCAATAGCTACGCCAACCAGCAAGCTACAGCGTATCAAGCTAAAGCTGTCCTACCCCCCTAGAGAAGACATGGAACAATTAAGCGACACCAACATCGAAGAGCCTGCAGACATTGATGAACTTGACTCAATATCTATTCCCGACTATGGCCCTGAACTAGGCTTCGATGAAGAGGAGCTTTCCCTTCGTCCATACGACCTCTACCGCCTGCTCCGTCGCCAGATCCACTGGGCAGAAAAGGAAAGCGCCCAGCTTCGCCAGGACTGGGAGAAAATCGAACCACGGAGAAAACAAGCCTTCAGGGAGAAAGAATCCATCTTTGACAACGTAGCCGAGGCCGAGCTGGAATTAATCAAAACCATCTGGGGCACAGAGGGAGTACTACCACAAGCTCTGACTCTCGCTAATGGCCTCGGACAATTGCAGCAGAAGAACGACGTGCCGCAATCAGAAGACCCAGCTGAAACAGCTTCAGCCCCTACTGCCGAGCCCGTCGCAGGTTGAGGCAATATGCCTACAATCTACAACCTAATGCATCAACTCCTTCCTCCGAAACCTTGTATTTCAATCAGGCGTACAGTGTTCCTTTCCTCGCAGCGGTGCTGTGATCACATGGCTAATTTATCCGGATTGGCTCTGCCTTTTCTCCTTTTTTTCCCTTTTTCTTCCCCTTTTCCTTTTTTCGCCCCTTTCTCTCTTCAATGTACGGGTACATGGCTATTTATGCTCGGTGCGGGGTTGGAATCCATATATGTATCTTTTTTTTTTTTTTATACTTTTTTTTTACCCATCTTGTCTGAAAAAATGGTGCAGTTTCTTCATCTTCATCCTATCTGCATACCTTAGTCGGAGATATCTGAAATGACAAACATAGCATTTCAATTAGAAACTCGCCAGATTGACTGTCCTTGATACCTAGGCAGCTCACTCTATTTCCTTTACAAGTACCAGGAAAATAACTAATAACCAATAGATGAAGCTAAGGTCCAGCTTCAGATCACTTTGGAAGACAACAGGAGCGCTTGACGTTTCGAGGATCTAGAGACCTTTTCAGTAGATACAGAGGAAAATGGGCCTTGCGGAACAAAACGTACATCTATCTCGAGGTCTTACGGCACTGTTCGTCCTAGGAGACAAGGTGGAATCAGTAATAACAATGACCACAGTGACAGGCAAAAGCCTACTAGTAATTTACTTCTACGTAGATGATCTGAGAAAGGATCTTAGAATTTTGTTTCGTACTTGGTATCTCTCGCAGCAAAGACCAGATAGGCATTAAATGTCCACTTTTGCGTATGCTTCAGAACAAGGCATCCCAGCCAGGCATATGACACGGCGTGTGCAACTCCTTTTTTTTCGAGAAAATAACAAATTCCATGACACATTTTAAACCCTCCTTGTCCCCGAATTGCTCCCAATGGGTATGCTAAGGGAACAAAGAAGCTAAACAAAACTAGGATAAGACGCCGTAGGAGTGTGCCCTGCCAAGATGTTGCCATTCACGCTCCATGAGTTGGAGACACCACCAGAGAGCTGTCTAAACGACAGAAGTAGAGAAGACCGGGAAAAAGAACAACGGGGACCCTTGCCCATGAAAGGGCGGGTCCACCCGTACACAAAATAAACCGAAGACCCGACTTCGGCGAAGGGGTCAAGGGCAAGACGAAAAGAAACAAAACCATGCAAGATGGGTCATCCACACACATCATGCCCACTGGTGATAGCCGCCAGATGTTCTGTACCCAACAACCTTGCGCCGCCGCCATGCAATCATACAAGGATATGTGCCGCCTCGAAACTCCAAGTAAAATTCAAATCAATGAGAAAATATGCCGATACCCTCCAGAGGGGACATGGCTCCACAAATGCTTACAATTGAAAGGAAGGACAAAGCATATATCACAAAATTATTTCTTGGCCACTGCAGGAAGACCGCCATCACGAGACGGGGCTCTAGGCCCCGTTCGCGGGGGCCTTCTCAGCAGCGGCCACCTTTCGGTACATATCCCGAATTTTGTCGGTCCCAACTTCCTTGTTGGGCCAGTATTTCTCGGCGACGTAACCCCTATCACTGACAGTTAGATATACATGTCCTCGTGGGATTCAAAACAAGAAAGTAATTCACATACCAGAGACGGTCCTCGAGAGAAGCCATGGATTCCCCTTCCAGCGTTTTGGCGATGAAATCGCCAACTGAGCGCAGCAGGTTCTTGAGCTGCAAGGCACGTTCAGCCTTGCTGGGATAGTTTTCCTTTGTAACACCTGCCATCCGCTTCAACTTGTCTCGGATGGGCTTGAAGAGCATGCGAAACATATCATCCTGGCTGGAAGAGCCATTGTCGTCACTCTTGCGATGACGCATTTCTTCAGCCGACCCATTTGTGGCTCTCTTACGAACCCGCTCTGCATCAGATCCAGATCTGGGGCGGGCATCGCTCCTGGGAGTGTTCGGTCGTTCCATACTATCTCGAATTCCGTGGGTTTGAGAACGGTGTCGCGATTTCTCATGTTCTCTAGCGCCCTTTCGACCACTAGGAGGTGCAGGCGACGCCGACATACTACCACTATGTTGGTGACGCATCCCATTCTTCTTGTTGTTGCGGTGATGGTTCTCGACAGCCCGCTTAGCTGCTAGGCTAGTGCCATTGCTCAACTTGTCCTTGAGCACGGAGAGGAGATAGTCAGCCCGACGTACAAGATGGACCGCACCGGGAGACTTGGTAGTCTTCTCGCCATTCTGGCGTTCGCTCTTCTTGTCCACGCGGTGCTCTTCTAAAAAGAACTTGTCGGAGAGCGCCAGATCTGGGTCGTCACGGATTTGTGCCCAAGCACCATAGCCATGGCGGGCGATGCCAACACACAGCATGCCGTCTTCGCGTGCGCCCCATTCGCAGGTGTAGTCTGCGCCTTTTGTTGCCTCGGGTATACGGAAATTCTTAGGATCAGGAAGAGCAGACGTAAGTTGTCGTAGCATGCGCATCTCACCAGGGCGCTCGACAATGGTCCACGCATTCAGGCGCTTAACACCGTGAAGATCAAAGAGGACGGCTTTCTTCTCCTTCTTTGTCGGAATCTTTCCTTCTTGCTCCAAGGCCTCCAGCTTTTCGGTGTCTTCCCTCACCAATGCCGCAGCCTTGCCAGTGATCTCACGAAGAGCAGCCTTCACAGTATCCCTATCACGGCCTATAAGTCTGGCTTCGCGGATGACTTCTTCCTCACGGTCCTCAATCGCACCATATCTCAAGAAGGCGCGAAGGAGATGACGGTATTCCTTTTCGACAAGAGGACGTTTAGGATCAAGAGAGTTATTAGTATCGGACATATCAGCGGCATCGACATTGACCTGTGCTCGCGCCCGGCGCTTCGCTGTACGTTCTTCACGACTATCTGGTGCCTCCTCGGTAGGGGCATTACGCTTGCGCGGCCGGTTCTGTTCGATGACTTCAGCAAGATAGCGCTCATCAGCCTTGCGCTTCTCTTCTGCTTTGATTTCCTCGAGTTGTTCCTTCGGGATAATGTCATCCCAGCTCAGGTCGTCAACTTTGATATCTACAAAATTGAACGCCTTCAGGAACTCTTCGCCACCATCTGCCTGAATACCTTCCGCTTGCTCCGTCTGGTGCAATTCAGCATTGGCCAGAACGGAATCAATATCAAGCTGCTCCAACTTCTTCTGGTTATCCGTCTGCTCGAACATCTTCTGGCCACGACGCTTGAGTATCCGGGAAATATCGTCAGTTGCAACCGGTTCTCCAACAGAGATACCGCCGCGAGCCATCTTGCTCTGAATCTCCGACGCTTCCTTATCCGTGACACCCCTCTGGATGGTGATAAATTCAAGAAGGAGCTTATTCCGCGCTCGTTCCAAGACTTCTTCCTCCACCGTGTCCTTCGACACAAGTCGGTAAACGCTGACAGGCTTGGTCTGACCGATACGGTGGGCTCGAGCCATTGCTTGCAAGTCAGCTTGAGGATTCCAGTCAGAGTCGAACAGAACTACAGTATCCGCAGTCATCAGGTTGATTCCGAGTCCACCAGCTCTAGTTGAAAGAATGAAGGCGAAGTCGTTGCTGTCAGGAGCGTTGAAATGCTCGATAGCGAGACGTCGAGGCCCCGCAGCGATGGTTCCATCCAGACGCTGGTAGGAATAGCCCCTGTACTCCATGTAATCCCCAAGGATATCAAGCATTTTGACCATTTGACTGAAAATCAAGACTCGGTGCCCGTCGCGCTTCAACTTGGCCAAGAGTTGGTCGAGAAGCATCATCTTTCCGCTGCTCGTAATCATAGCCCTTAGCACATCCTCACGGCGAGTGCTGCCTTCAAGAATCCTAGCTTCGGCATTAGGAAACATGAAAGGATGATTGCTCGCCTTCTTAAGCTCCATCATAATGTTCAGCAACGACTGCTTTTGGCCCTTGGACCCTTCGTTCAGCGCTGCATAATTCTTTGTGAGGATGTTCTTGTAGTATTCCAACTGGACGTCGGACAGCTCGACACGGATGATTTTCTCTGTCTTGGGAGGAAGATCAGTTTCAACCTTGGATTTCGTACGGCGTAGCATATAAGGTTGGATAGCTTTCGTGAGCTGCGCGATCTTGTGAGAAGCAGCCTCAGAGTTGAGGTCCATATCGGCATCGATTTCCACCAAGCCGGGATTCAGGAAATCCATCAAAGCCGACAACTCAGCGAGATTGTTCTGGATGGGTGTACCGGTAATGAGCAATCTAGCGGGAGACCTAAATTCCAACAGCTTGGCATAAAGCTGCGAGTCGCGGTTCTTCAGGCGGTGTGCCTCATCGACAGCGAGGAACTGCCACTTGAGCTGGCTCAGGAATGAAGAGTCCAACAGGACGTACTCGTACGTTGTTAGGAGGACATTGAACTTAGGGCGCTTAGGGTTTCCGTCAATCAGGAGCTCATATTCTTTGATAACGTTGCGAGCCGCTTCGTTGCCGTTGTATACCACATAGTTAAGATCAGGAGACCAGTTGTCGAAGGTCTCGGCCCAGGAGGGCATTGTGGACAGTGGCACTACGACGACGAAAGGTCCCTGCTGGTGCCGCACATGACGCAACCAGTTGATGAAGGCCACTGTCTGAACAGTTTTACCAAGACCCATCTCGTCTGCGAGGACGACGTTCCGATTCCGGACCCAGTTGAAAGCCATGAAATTGAGACCCTTGATCTGGAACTCCTTCAGTTCACCATTGTGCAAGAAACTTGGCGTCGACTTGATGGTCTCGAAAGGTTTCCGGGTGGCGGGGTTGGATTCTGTCTTGCTGGATATGGGAGGGTGGGATGAACGGTCCAGATACCGATCGATTTCACGCTGAGCAATCTTGCTCACAAGTTCTTCGCTCTCCCAAGTACATGAATCGTAGAAGAGACGCTTCCATTTGACGAAATACTCTGTTCCGCCGTCTTCACCTTTCCGCATTCCGATGACCCTTTCGACCTTCTTGTAGTCCTCAATCGCTTCAGCATCCCGCTCGCGGTCGAGGTTCCATTTCTCTTTATCCTCGGGAGCGATATCCTCATAATTGATAAGTCTCAATTCTTCCTCGACGACTTTGCGAATGTAGTTGTCAACACGACGTGTGCTTCGACAGTTGGCTAGACTGTCGATTGTCTCCCACGTTGCGTGGTAATGGGACTTCCCCTGCCACTTTATGTAAAACTCACAGTCGTGACGGCTGACTTTCGATTCTCTAGGGTTGACGCCTTCCTTAAAACGATGGTTGAGTACCAAATCAACGGCAGGACGATCGTCCTCTTCCGCATTGACCCAGTAGTTTTGTGTCATATCTTCCGGATCATCTTCCAATAAGTCGTCATCGTCATCGTCTTCATTATAATTGGAGACGCGAGAAGCGTTTCTTGTAGAGAAACGGACTTCCGCATGTGTTGGTTCACGGCTGGAGGCAGTCTGCGTCAAACGACGCCGTCTAGTTCGGTTTGCACGAGCACGAGGTCCGCCATACTCATCGCTATCTGACTCGGAAAAGGACGATTGGGTAGCAGAACGGGAAGGGATCTTCGACGACTGCTCCGACACGACACGACGACGCCGCTTGGTACGCGGTGCCACATCGTCTGAGTCTGAATCAGACACTGAATGAGCAACCTGACGCGTTGTACGAGCTCGTCCGCTCCGACGCAGACCATAGAGGTCCGGATTCTGCCGCATGAACTCCGTTTCATCGACTGCCGATGACTTCCGCTTTCTACCGTGGCCGGATGTTGAAGACGCAGAGTTTTCAGGGCTTGAATGCTCTTGGGGCTCGTCTCCATCCTGGATTGGCGAATCGCCGTCACTGTCAACCGGATCAGGACTTCGAGCATCGTAAGTCTCGTCTGCGACGTCGTCCTCCTCTGCAGACTCCGAGGAGGCGCGGTCGTCGGAAGTATCTGACAATTCGCTGTCACTCGCGACCATTGTGGGATCCCTGTCCTGTGCACCATTCATCGTTGATGACAGGGAGTGACCATTAGGAACGGCAGTCATCGAGGAGGGTCTGGAGGCCGAGGGGAGCACCATGCTAGTGGCTATCGACGGGAACGGTCAGCATTGAAGGCTAAGGAGGGCTGAGAACGCGGTGTAAAGCAGTGGACGAGGTAGAGGATAGATATGCGACCCAGAAAATACCCTATAGAGGCGGAATGGAACATAGGAGGCAGCAGGAGAGGTTCATGAGATGAATCGAGATGTTTTTTGATGATGCTCTGATGGACGAGATGGATAATGATGATGGAAGGATGAGGGCCACCGCGAGAGAAAATTCTGCCGCCAGAGCAGATGCGAGAGAAACAGCGCAATCCAAAGGTCACATTAACGACCTAGAGAGAGCTCGCAGACCGAGAAGCAACAGGAAGGTCCTGTGTCCCGGTGGGTCGAGAAGCGTGGAGAAGTACCCCGGCCGGACACACAGGCACGCGTCTAGGATAGCTACAGAGCGAACACAAGACACTTACAGTCCATAGCTTGGTGGCCCCGAGACGGCCAATACTAAAGGGACGCAATGGTGGCTGAATCAAAGAGGATAAGGGTGGTGGTGTTGGTGGTGGAGTTGGGAGGTATGAGGATAGACGACCTGAGAAAGATGAGGGAGTAAGAGCGAGAAGAGAGTTGTCAGTGGTGGTGGTGGTCGGAGAGCGAGTCGCAGTGAAGAACCGGGGCGCTGGCTGTCACTGCCTGAGCAATGAGGCATCTAAGGCGCCCACACGGTGTTACCCATCGGGTTTAGCGGTCAGCAACATCACCTGACCCGAAGGAACCCTTGATGCCTGAGGAGTCAAGGACAGTCCGGCCCGACAGAAGTTCCGGCACATCAGCCATCCGCCAATCAGGACACACCCAATCCTGCTTGCTATTCCTGCCTCAGGCCCTTGTTCGTTCAGAGCCCTACAGCGCGCAATTGCGGCCTGGGGCCTGCCGCATCCCACAATTCCCTCGCCGGCTTTTCTTTGGCGCCCCTCCCCCTCTAGACGTCCAGTTCGTTCCTGCAAACAGCTTCGTTAGCAGGTCTCAACGGTGCTCTGCACAGATACCCACTGTGCCATATTGCCTGCTGAGCGACTACCGCGATCCCAGAGTCAGAGGCTTTCAGACGTCCCTTGACGTACTTTTTAAGGCGCACTGGGCTGCAAAACTATAACCATACCCGTTTTTTGCCTCGCTTTTCCAACACTGTTGTAATTCAACATGTCGGACAAGCTCACAAGGTATGCACTCCTAATAAGAGTTATAGAAATAGTGCCTCAATTAACGTGTTTTACCAGAGTTGCTATTGTCAACAGTGACAAGGTGTGTTTACTGCCCGCTCGAACCCCGCAGGCACGGTTCTCCGCCATACAGTGCTAACTCGACCCTTTTTCGCCGTATACAGTGCAAACCGAAGGTACGTCTTAGGATATTGAGTCAAGTGGAACCTTGTTCGCTGACGGTCATAGAAATGTCGGCAAGAGTGCAAGAAGTCTTGTCCTGTGGTCCGTACAGGCAAGCTCTGTATCGAAGTCACCCCTGAGTCCAAGATCGCTTTCATTTCGGAACGGCTGTGTATCGGATGCGGTATCTGCCCGAAGAAATGTCCCTTTGGCGCTATTCACATCATCAACCTGCCCACCAACCTTGAAACCCAGGTGACGCACCGCTACTCGGCCAACAGTTTCAAGCTTCATCGGTTGCCCATGCCCCGTCCGGGTCAGGTCCTGGGTCTGGTGGGAACCAACGGTATTGGCAAGAGTACTGCTCTTAAGATTCTTAGTGGAAAGCTCAAGCCAAACCTTGGACGATATGATAACCCCCCGGATTGGGAGGAGATCCTCAAGTATTTCCGTGGTTCTGAGCTGCAGAGTAGGTCTCCTTAGGATCGATTTCGGCTCTAATGCGGACACTAATATTCTGTAGACTACTTCACCAAGGTCTTGGAGGATAACCTGAAGGCTGTGGTCAAGCCTCAGTACGTCGACCAGATTCCCAGAGCTGTGAAGGGACCTGTCAACACCGTGGGCCCTCTCATCAAGGCCCGTTCCCAGATGGACAACATGGAGCACATCATGAAAGTTCTTGGTATGCATAGATCCCATCTTTCTCATAAATGGCTCGGTACTGATAATTTGCGCAGAGCTCGAGCAGGTCGAGGACCGTGAGATTGCTTTGCTTTCCGGAGGAGAACTCCAGCGCTTTGCTATTGGTCTGGTTTGCGTCCAGAAGGCCGATGTGTAAGTATATAACAACCGGTCCACCACTGTTGTGTGCTCGTCTTCTAATGTCTACCAGGTATATGTTTGACGAGCCATCTTCTTATCTGGATGTTAAGCAGCGTTTGAGTGCGGCCCGTACTATCCGTGAACTGCTGCGACCTGACGACTATGTCATCGTCGTCGAACACGACTTGTCTGTTCTGGACTATCTGTCCGACTTTGTCTGCGTTCTCTACGGTAGACCCGCAGTGTATGGTGTCGTGACCCTCCCTGCATCCGTCCGTGAAGGTATCAACATCTTCTTGGACGGCCATATTCCTACCGAGAACTTGCGATTCCGAGAGGAATCTCTCACCTTCCGTATCGCCGAGGCGGGAGATGACTTCATGGCTGACAAGGCCCGTGCTTTCGCCTACCCTGCTATGGAGAAGACTTTGGGCAACTTCCATCTCAAGGTCGAGCCTGGAAGGTTCACTGACTCCGAGATCATTGTCATGATGGGTGAGAATGGAACTGGAAAGACCACTTTCTGTAAGATGCTGGCTGGTGCTGAGAAGCCGGACGGCAACATGTCTGTGCCTCGTATGAACATCAGCATGAAGCCCCAGAAGATCACTCCCAAGTTCCAAGGAACCGTGCGCCAGCTGTTCTTCAAGCGTATCAAGGCTGCCTTCCTCTCCCCACAATTCCAGACTGACGTCTACAAGCCTCTCAAGATTGACGACTTCATTGACCAGGAGGTTCAGAACCTGTCTGGTGGTGAATTGCAGCGTGTGGCTATTGTCTTGGCTCTCGGTATCCCTGCTGATATCTACGTTATTGACGAGCCCAGTGCCTATCTCGACTCTGAGCAACGTATTATCGCTGCTCGTGTCATCAAGCGCTTCATCATGCACACCAAGAAGACTGCATTCATTGTCGAACACGACTTCATCATGGCCACTTACCTTGCCGATCGTGTCATTGTCTTCGACGGTCAACCATCTAGGGATGCCTGTGCGAACCCCCCGGAATCTCTCTTGACTGGTTGCAACCGTTTCCTCAAGAACCTGGATGTCACCTTCCGTCGTGATCCGAACAGTTACCGTCCTCGTATCAACAAGTACCAGTCTCAGCTGGACCAGGAGCAGAAGTTGAGTGGAAGCTACGTAAGTTCATCAACATAAAAACGGATAGCTCGGCCCCATTAATCTAGACTATATACTAACATCGGTTCCATAGTTCTTCCTGGAGGAGGAGAGTTGAAAAGGGCGTCCATGGCAGGCACCATCGCGACCGCTACAGGCGTGACGATCGCGATTCTCACAAGCGACGACGACGATACCGCGGCACGAAAAAAGGCGTTTGGTTGGTAGCATTTTCTGGCGTTGGTAAAGGCGTTGTTGCTCGAGGCAGGGGACACCGTTGCATGGGTCTCTCCGAAGATGAGTGCTGTGACGGTGAAGACGACGATGAGGAGGACCTTTGGCGTTGGCAGTGGTCGACCTCCTGTCACCATTCGATTTAGCTGACGTTAAGTTGTCCGTTCTTTGCCGTCGATGATGTGCATTCCTTGCTGTGCCGCCTCCACGTTCTCTGATTCGACTATCGCTCATGTCTCCAACTACGGCATCAGTCTCATGTCTCATGCCACGGCAGTGTCTAGTGTGGAGGCCCACCTTCATGCATATGACATACCGGGAATCAGTGGACTTGTCGTTATCGAGTGAAGGTACGACACAAGCTGAGCGTCAAATCATCCATGAGGACGCCGCAGCTATAGAGATGGGACGGGTCAAGTTAGGTGGCCACTGCCGTGCAGCATTCCCAGGAATCGATTGAAATGGCGGGCAGAGACTTGCAATCTTCTACATGGATTCTGTGCGCCCTTGCCTCATAGTCGTTCTTTCTGTTGATTTTGTGTGTTTCTTGATCGGGTCTTCCATGAGCTTGAAGTTTCCTGGGATATGCGTGCCAGTCACGGTGAGAAATCGTGTCAAAAATATTATACACATTATCGAAATATAGAAATCGTCAAAATAGAGTCTCTAGCCCAAAAGTTTCATGTTATATCTCTCCATTAGTAAATCTGGTACCCACTTACTTACATGATCCCACATGAACGTGCTGCACTTACCGTCTTGCGCGACTCCCAGTCCGCCAGATGTGCTGCCAAGTGGCAGTACCCTTAAGTACCGCCATCACTCAGCTTACTGCATCTCGACGCCCAGAAACGCGCAAGTGGCAACGAGATAATTACTTGGAGTTCTTGAAACCATCAAATGAATAAAGTAGAATTTGTCTTCAACTGATACACGGGAGTGCACGATAATCAAATAATGGTTCAATGACCTGCTCCGAGTTGAGTTTATGTGTAATACTTTCGCTGAAATGGGCTGGGTTCGTAGCAAGAATCACTGATTTCTGACTTAATAATGGCAGAGTAGACCATGCACTGCTATTAGTAACCAGAGGAGGGGCAGAGTGTGATGGTATTGAGATTTGTCGTGTTGTCTATATTCAGCACATGTGGATAGATGAGGATATGAAGGGAGAGAGGGTGGGAGTGGCGCTTATATATATATATTCCTGACGGGGAAGTCAAAGAAGACTCAAGAACAGAGGGTAGAGTCATAGAAAGTATAGCATAATAAGGTTTGCTATTGTCATAAATCACTCTTAGAGTAGAATCACTAATACGATACGGAATTACTTGCCATGGCATTTAGTAGTATGGTGAAGGATGATGGTATGGGAAAATCTACATTTATCATTATATGTAAGATCAGAAGAAGTTTACACTTACGAGGGACTTTATCAGCCATCCTCCGACCGGGCCCTGCTGGCTGGTCATTCCTTCTTCGCTATTCGTACAGCTTTTGCCCACGACTTTTAGTCTTCCTCGATCTCTCCCTCCTCGCTTCCAGAATGCACTGCTTTCTCTTCCTTCTTGGCCTCCGCCTCTGCAGACGCCCGGTCGCGAGCACGATCGCGGTCTTTCCTGGCGCCTCTGCTGCGATCTCTTTCCCGACTGTCACGCCTGTACCGTTTGGCACCGCGACTTGTGGCGCTTTCGGCGTCACTGTCACGACGGCGACGGCGGTCATTATTACTTACCGTGCTGCGAGAGTCACCGTAATCTAACTCGTCCCGGCTGCCACGAGGATCTCCGCGCGTGCGGTATAGCCTCTCCCGCTCCTCTTCGCGGTCGCGGCGTTCTCGTTCGTAGTGGCTAAGGGGTCGTCTGTCTCGGTCGCGCTCACGCTCACGGTAGCGGTCCCTGTCCCTTTCGCGGTCACGATCACGATCTTCGCGCCTGTCACGGATGGGAGAAAGCCCACTGGTCTTCCGGTAGGATTTCTCCCGATCCGCCTGGGCTTTCCGACGGTCAGCTTCGTACGCGTCAGGCTCAGGGGTACGGCTGAGACGGCTAGAAGCCGCTCTTCTTTCCCTTCTATATGATTGACCGTTGCGGTGGTCACGATCGTAATGATCGTGCCGTCCGCCACGGTCTCGATCACGCAGGTCTCGTTCCTTATCCACGTCTTCTTCCTTTTCCTTAAGACGGCGAATGACTTTGTCGAATGCAGTCTGACGAAGTTCGTCTGATTCAATGGCCTTGTATTCCTCTGTCTTTTCAACTCTTGGCCGAACTTGTTCCCAAGTATCGGTGAGTCGAACAGGTGGTTCGAGATGTTTGATGCGAGAACGCAAGGCATCGACGGCACGCCGCTGGTGACGGTCTGCTGCATGCTTCTCATCCTCGCTACGTCGGATGACCTTCTCTTGGATGCGCTGGAAAATAAGCTGAAGGATATCTCGATCGATGTTTGCTGTACGCCGATCAGTGCTCATCATGGAATTGAACTCTTCGAATGTAGTCTTCGGAGTGACCTCATAGCGTTTGTCCTGCGGCAAGTGTCAGTAATAGGCTTGGCTTTGACTTTTCAGATACGAAGAAAACTCACATCGAGAACATCCAGCACATCATTACGCGGTCCTCGTAGAGACCGTTCCTCTTCCTCCACCATATCCCAGAAAAGATCAAGTGGACTAGATCCGGACTGGCCCAGCATTGCTACATACCGAGGGTCGTCCTGAATCAAAGGGTGAATGTTCATCCACTTACTACCAGCCTTAATCTTGCCCTGAGATCTAAGCTCTTGCAGGAGTTCGATGAATCTTTCACGGTTATGGCGCTCTCTTCGTGCCTTGGCCGCTTTTTGCTGCTGACGCGCGTCATTGAATGCGCGTTCAAGGGCCTTGATATGGTTCTCGAAAGCTGTCAGAATGTCTGATTTGCTCAGGGTCTTGAACTTATCATCGTTTTGGATCCTTTCATTTGACTGAATCATCTCTTGCGCTTCAGCCCACCTGGTATAAGGTTCCAGGTTCAGAGCTTTCAGGATGGCGACTAATTCGTCCATTGCGGCCTTACGAGTCACTGCCTCTTGCTCCATATGGGCTTTCCTGAGCTCGACAATGTACTCTTCAAAGAGCTGGCGTCTCTCGTTTTCATCGTTAGTCGACCGGAAGATGGTCTCACCTTCGATGATGGGCCGGATGGTCTTCCATCGCGAATAGTGCTTGATCTCCGGGTGACTCTTCAGCATCGTATTGAAGTCCGCTCGGAGCTTAGCAAACCTCTCTTTCGCTCTATCCTTTTCCTGAGCGCGAACCTCGACCACATATTTCTCGAATGCAGCCTTGCGGTCCCTGGGATCTTTCAGCGCCCGGTACTGTGGGTCTTTGATCGTTGCGCGCATCGCCTGCTCCCAGGTCCAATCGGGCTGCACGTTGTTACGTCGCAGTAACTTCATGAAGGCGCTTTCGGCTTCTTCAAACGAACCGTACTCCGGATCTGTCTGTTGAGTTCCTACCGCAGTGGCAGCAGCAGCCATTCCGTTTGTGTCTACCATACCATAAGTACCGCGTCGGTCAGCAGGACCCCTGTCGTAGTCATCGCGGTCGCGTTGTTGAGGGTAGGGATAGGTGCTGGCACCACCGGCGACGAAGGTCGGGGCGCTGCAGAAAAGTTAGAAGACGAATGCCAACAGATTATAGATAGGAACTTACGCTACAGGTGGCGCTGCAGGAGTCTGAACCTGTGCAAGAGCAGTCTTGTAAACTTCAGGCATCTCCCATGTGCTCTGCCTGGTCTCTGTGTTGTACCAGTATTTGCGCCCACCCTCCGCAGTGTATTCTTTCCATGGCTGGTTCGCTAACGCGCGCTGTAAAAGAAAAAATTAGATGTTAGCCATCATAGATACTGACAAAAGCAATGCGACGGACGAACCTCGACAGGCGTCATCAACTCGAGCGGCTTGGCCCATTGTGTCGCTTTCGTTTGGACATTGTAGTAATAAACCCTTCCGTCAGCGTTACGAGCCTCCTGCCAGAGCGACGGGGCTCCGGGCATTCCATTCATCGCGCTAATTCGTATTATGGACGAATTCAACTGAACAGAACGTACGTGTTGGGTATCACTGATGTTCGAGGGTCGCGATGCTCCGCAAAAAAGTTGTTGCTACTTCCCCTGGTAGGGTCTGCCTCGGGGAGCTCTACTTAAGCGCGCGGTTAGCTTACCGTAAGTGGAGCTGTTTGCCATTGTTTGCATCGGCTTCTCCAGCATCCGCAGTGCGTATATCCCCAGATCATATACAGGCAGTGTCTTGCTTGATGCGGATTCAAGGCTCATCTGTCTTGGTGATGTTTGGATTGATATTACCGGTGAGAGTCTGATGAGCCTACGACTTCGGCCCTCGCAATGCCTGGTATCGAGTCTCATGGCGAGTTTCTAAGGCACGCTGTTCTAGAAACTGTCGTCCCTCACGCCACTGATATAGATATTGAGGGCGCGTTGAGTTCTGCGTTAGAAGGAGGCGCTGAGGACCTATCGGAGGTTTTATCTTCCATACATCAGCGCTCACTTTTATTTTTTGGTACGTTGCAGTCTGTATGCGCCTCGTGTTCAGCCTCTTACTCATTAACAGTGGTCCAGATGAGTTTGTCAACGCCCGCATCGTCCTTAGATTATCGAATTGCTCGGAACATGCCTTGAAGACACTTCTGCCACGACTGGACGTCAGACTAGATGCATTTGTTGTCAACCCAGTGGATCCAAACAGCGAAGGGACCACGCCTACGAGGGATCTGATTTTTTCAGGGGTTGTTAGTGAAAACGAGGATCCCCTGATAGTTGTCAACGCTTTTGAGGGAGATGAAGAGAAGGGAAATCATGTCTACGTTATATGGAAGATCGAGGCCTTTCTGAGTAAGTCTGGCTAGCTGCTATGGCTTGTTATCTCGCGTTGTTAATTCTGCAAAGATCGACCGCGCGTCCGCATTCAGTATCCATCGGTCATCTTCACGGCGTCCGCAACTTTGAATCCACCAAAAGTCTCAGAGCACAACAACCGCGACGATAGGTATCTTCAAAGCCTTGTTCCTGCGTCCAGCAATGTCTTTGAGCCATTAGCCGCGGACCCTACTTTGGGCACAGAGAGTCCTTTCCTCCCAGCTTCTAGGCTTCTACGGGTGGTACCGGCGCAACACACTGAGGAACCAATCTACAATATCCAGCAACAAACAGAGCATCCGACGCGGATTGTCCCTGCTGCCAGCGCAAGGATCCGCTACTCGCGGCTCAATAGTTATTCAAGCAGACCCACGACAATCGCAAGTCTCGACTTTGAAGTCACTCCGTTCTTGACTTGTGAAGTTGTCCTGGAACAGGCGAAGCTGGATTTGTCCGATGGTAATGTTGAGACAATATCAGATATCCCAGGCTTGGCCCTGCCCATTACTTGTCGTCCGCGAGATGACGTTACCTTGGTCTACAAGCTGACACCCGAGTATGGACCGGAAACTAATCCTTCAACCACTGCGATGGTCAGCACCCTGGACATTGCTCTTGCAGGTGTTATCAATCTGTCGGATGATTGTAGGCCAAAGATATCCATGCAGTGGCGGACGAACGTCGACTTCTCACTTCCTCTCAACCCGACCTTTGGAGCACCAAGCCAGGTTTTGCAGAGAAATAAACGTCCTGCAAGTCTGCCGATGCTTCCAGGCCAGGCGGGTCTCCCTCCCTCCCTTCCCCCTTCCAACCGCAGTTCTCTTCGTGAGCGTGCTTATTCCACCACTGATCTGGGAGTTACGATATCATTTTCCGGGCCCGTCAGTGTCGAGGTGAGCAAGCCGTTCTACTGGGACGTCTTCATTGTGAACCGGTCGGGGATCCCTCGCAAGTTTACAATGACCGCAATCCCGCGCAGGAAGCGGCCGGATCCACGGAAACATGTCGCCCGACCATCGTCCGCATCTGCTACTAGCCGTAAGGAAGACCAAGTGGCAGAAGCGGTCACAGATGACAACATTATCCACGCTATGCAAAAGACAGCCGCTGGTCAGGATGCGGAGTTGATCTGTTTGAGTACCGATATCAGAGTGGGGTGAGTCTTCCAGCATTGTTGCCTGAGCATGAATTTTCTCTCATAGACCGCCCGCTAATGGCCCGAGAAGACCACTGCTCCCAGGGACCTGCCATTCGACTGAGGTGAAACTGCTTCCTTTAGCAGCAGGCTCACTGCATCTGGAAGCGGTCCGTCTTGTGGATGTAAACACGAACGAAACGACCGATATCAGGGATCTTCCGGACATATTAGCGTTTGAACGGAAGCATGTATGATGAAGTTAATGTGTATATAATAAACGTTTCAACTGTGACCCCGTGGGGTTCCAGTTGATCCTTACTCTAGATCCTTGTCAGCATAGACGATTTGTGCGGCGTCAGCAGAATTCAGATTACGAGTCACATTACTCCTCTAGGTTCCTTATTCATGTGGTAAACCGTTAAAGAGTCCGTCTATTGTCACCAATCTAGGGTAAAAATCCGCCTGTGGAAGATTCATAGTGATGATACCATCTCTCAAAGAGTGCGGGAGGCGTAAAAGCGGCGCCAAGGTCGCAACGGTCGAGGCTCACAGGCTCCATCCAAGCCTGCCGCGTCCGCCCCCTTCGTCGGCTGTTAATACCTCATCAACCAGAGTACCTATCACTCTGCTATCGAAAACACCTTTCTATATAATCCCCCAGATTCAAACTTCATCAATCCTGACCCCTGACTGCATGCTGGACCACTGCCGTCCTCCCTCTGATCTCATCTGCTAGCAGCCCTACTGTGGTCCCCCCGTGCCAAGTCTTGCGCGCTTTGCGTCATACTGTCGCTCCCGCTCCGGGCTCCAATCCGCCGGTCCATTCTGCGTCTTCGATCCAGTTCTATCTTATATAGGTCTCGCGCTTTTTTTTTTTTACAACATGTTTAACACGACACGAAGAAAAGTGCTGGACGGGCTGAACAAAAGATACATCTACGGTCGTCTGGTATGTGAATAACGCAGGAATTTCACGCTTCTTTTGCCGTCCTCCCAGATCTATATCGCGACAATGACGATTACACTCCATTGCCGGTAGAGTTGACGCTGACTCTATCTCCATTCCATCCATCACAGCCTCTGCTACACACTATTATATTCCTGATCGAGATGGCTGTCACAGCGCGACTCGCTGCCAAATTCAACTCCTACTATGCGGAAAAGCCAGGTAGGTTGCCCTTTCTGTAGCTCTGCCCGCCCTTGAATCGTCACCGGACTGACATCGACGTCATCAAAACAGTGCTGACCACCATGGTCACCAATGCTGTAAGTTGCAGAACCACCCTCATTGGGACCCTCCTGTGCTGCCTGTATCGAACTATGACTGACGAGGGACTCCGTTGTAGGTCCTTAATGGCATCGCTGATACCGTCGCTCAAACAATCACTGCCCTGAGGTCACGTATCGAGCGCAGGCCAGGAGATGATTTGGTTTCGATCGAGCTTCATGAGCTTGACAAGCAGCGGCCTCCCGCCCTGGGGGAGCTGGGTACAGGGAAAGGTCGACCGCCGGCGTTCGACTTTGAGCGACTCACACGCTTCATGGCGTTCGGTTTCTTCATGGCGCCACTTCAGTTCCAGTGGTTCAAGTTCTTGTCCAGAGCGTTTCCTCTCACGAAGGAGTCGGCAACGGCTCCGGCTTTGAAGAGAGTGGCTGCCGACCAGCTGATGTTCGCGCCATTTGGTAAGTCATCTTCATCTGTTCTCTCTGGTCATGCAGCTTTGTTAATGAAGCTTTAGGTCTCGTTGCTTTCTTCACTTTCATGACCTTCGCTGAAGGAGGTGGAAGGCGGGATTTGGTTCGCAAGTTCCGGGACGTGTACATCCCAACCCTTAAGGCCAACTTTGTTCTATGGCCAGCTGTCCAGATCCTGAACTTTAGAGTCGTCCCCATCCAGTTTCAGATCGTAAGTTTCTTTTTTTTTCCTTCTCCAATAGAAAAGTAGCTCTGGCTGACCATTCTCGCAGCCCTTTGTTTCAAGCGTCGGTATCGCCTGGACGGCGTACCTGTCTCTAACCAACTCATCGGAGGAGAAGCACTAAAAGAATCTTTGGCATTAGCATTGTTTATAGGGAGGGGCCCAAGATTTATACCTTCCACCCCGATTAAAAATTTCTGTTATCCAGGCGTCTTCTATTCCCAGATATGTCATTTGTGATTCAAAGAGGATCTTGTTCAAGGCGTCCAAGGTACATTGCAACATAGGTGGGATTCTACAAAATTGGTTCGCTATTGGTCCTGTCTTTTCTTCTTTTTTTATCGTGAACATCTGATCGTTTCGGAGCGGGGTCTGGCTGTCATATTCCTGTATTGCGTACCCTACATATGTACCATATCATGCGATCGTTGCTTGTCAGATAATTGGAATCGTCCAATAAGAAAGCATACAATGATTTCGGTACTGCCAGCTTCCACCAAGGTCTCGTGGCAATGATGTCTCATGTCCGAGCCGGCAACATCAGAACGCCGACTCAGGAACCGAGGAAAGAAGGAGGAAAGGGGAGATATAAAGCTGGCTGTAAGCCCGATCTGTTCCGTGTAGCATTTTCGAGCTCGTTGCTTTTCCCCGTTGATCGCATTGACATCAGTCCCGCATCAGCCCGACATCCCACCTTCTCACCGGGAGCCCCACCGTCGATAGGTTATATGCTACCCCGCTAGGTACACCGAAGGAATCACTTTCTCCCTTGGTCCGTTTATTTGCTTTTCCTCTCAGTTAAGCACGGCTTCATCGTGAGGTATATAGTCCTGCTCTCCCTGATAATCCTATCCAGGCCAATCAATCCAATCCGCTTCCTGGCTGACCGTGTGTTGTTCATCAAGGCGGAATTACATCGCAACCATGTCTCTCTCCAACAAGCTTGCCATCACCGACGTCGACCTCAAGGACAAGAGGGTTCTGATCCGAGTACGTGGGAAAAATTGCTTTCAATTACGCATTGGGTCCCCTCTCCTGTTGTGGAATCCAATCAATGGGAATGAGAGAAGAAGGCATTTGCTGATAGGATGACATCATCCAGGTCGACTTCAACGTCCCTCTCGATGCCGACAAGAAGATCACCAACAACCAGCGTATTGTCGGTGCTCTGCCCACGATCAAGTATGCCATCGACCATGGCGCCAAGGCTGTCATCCTCATGTCCCACCTGGGCCGCCCCGATGGCAAGAAGAACCCTAAGTACAGCTTGAAGCCCGTTGTCCCTGAGCTGGAGAAGCTCCTCGGCCGCAACGTTATCTTCACCGAAGACTGCGTTGGCAAGGAAGTCGAGGAGACTGTCAACAAGGCCTCTGGCGGCCAGGTCATCCTTCTGGAGAACCTGCGTTTCCACCCCGAGGAGGAGGGTAGCTACAAGGACGAGGAGGGCAAGAAGGTCAAGGCCGACAAGGAGAAGGTCGCTGAGTTCCGCAAGGGACTCACTGCTCTTGGAGACATCTACATCAGTAAGACTTACTCTTACCTCGCCTCATCTTGGCTCATTGACCGCCTTGACGAAACCAGTTGCTGACTCTCACTCTCCTAGACGATGCTTTCGGTACCGCTCACCGTGCCCACAGCTCCATGGTCGGTGTCGAGCTGCCCCAGAAGGCTTCCGGTTTCCTGGTCAAGAAGGAGCTTGACTACTTCGCTAAGGCTCTGGAGAGCCCCCAGCGACCATTCCTTGCCATTCTGGGTGGTGCCAAGGTCTCTGACAAGATTCAGCTGATTGACAACCTCCTTCCCAAGGTCAACAGCCTCATCATCACTGGTGCTATGGCCTTCACTTTCAAGAAGACCCTCGAGAACGTCAAGATCGGTAACAGTCTGTTCGACGAGGCTGGTAGCAAGATCGTCGGCGAGGTCATTGAGAAGGCCAAGAAGAACAACGTCGAGGTTGTCCTTCCCGTCGACTATGTTACCGCCGACAAGTTCGCCGCTGACGCGAAGACTGGCTATGCTACCGATGCTGAAGGCATTCCCGACGGTTACATGGGTCTGGATGTTGGTGAGAAGAGTGTTGAGCTGTACAAGAAGACCATCGCTGAGGCCAAGACCATCCTCTGGAACGGTCCTCCTGGCGTCTTCGAGTTGGAGCCTTTCTCTAAGGGTACCAAGAACACTCTCGACGCCGTTGTCGATGCTGCCCAGAAGGGTACCATCGTCATCATCGGTGGTGGTGACACCGCTACTGTCGCTGCCAAGTACGGTGTTGAGGACAAGTTGAGCCACGTCTCCACCGGTGGTGGTGCCTCTCTGGAGCTCCTCGAGGGCAAGGATCTGCCTGGTGTCGCTGCTCTGTCAAGTAAGTAAAATTTGTCCTTTTCAGAGCGCGCCAATAATATTATGATATCATAATGAGAGAGGGGGACAAGGCTCGAATTGGAGAGCTTTCCCCGCAGGTTAGAAGGGAAGAGGCGGAAGACTCCTGAATCTCCTCTCGACTGATGAACCCTGAGCTGGAGGGAAAAGTCCTTACCCGAAGATGTCCGGTCCTTTTCTTCAATGGAACCTGTTCCATGCCCATAATGTATCTCGGGCAGAATAAAAGAGATATACTTGAAATACAATATTTTGTCAATACAATGGAGTTCTGATTGTTCTTTCAATAATAGAAAAAGGCGCGAACCTTTAGATGTCTTCCCGTTCGGAAGGGGCAAAGTATATACACACCGCATAAGCACGACTCCGCTAAGGACGGAACATGATGATATATAGAGCATGAGAGCATGAGTTACGCCTACGTATACTACTATGGATACACGTAGTTAATCCTTTCGACTCAAATGACTAGGATCTAATGATGGTATCAGTATACGCGAACTTGTTGTGAGATATAGACAAGGCTAGCAAATCATATTTCACATTAGATGATAATACCAATAGTTATTCGAATCAATATTCTACTAAATCGGTGACCCTGACCTGTTAAAGTTATCCCGCCTCTGCACTGCACTATCCCAGCTTCCCAAAACGGAAACTTACCTAGTTCAACAATCTTAAAAAAGATAACCCCCCTCCGTCCCCCCAAAACACCCACATCAACCTCTGTACTACGAAGAAGCTGTGAACTACGTTTTTGTAACCACTGCGCTATTTGGACTTCGCTGTTAACAGGGGGCCATGTTATTCTGGACTATACGGGGTGCGATTTCTTTGTTTGGGGAGAGAGCTGACTGGAAGGGAGGAGGGGTCAACAGCCAGCCTGTAAGAGGTGATTGAAGCGTTTCTATCAGATATATACTGACGGTAGAGGAGTCTGATGGGCATATAATGTGCTTGTATGTTTCTGCATAGCTATCTACTGTTGCTATACCTCAAAGAGCATAATAGGCAAGTTCTGATCCGATACTTCCTATCGTCTTTCATTCCTCAACCTCAATAAGCCCACTCTCGGCGCCTTTTCTGGAGCGTTTTCGTGGAAAGAGATGGATGGATAATCGACGATGTCTGTCCAGTACTCCAAACTTGGAAATTACAGCATAAGTCACAACGACCCCTCTAACCGGCTTATCATGCTCTAGCCTAGCGTGGCTTGCGCCTTGCTTTTCCCGAAGATGTAAAGCTCGCTGTTCTTTTGATTTCGAACAAGATACATTATTATTCGTCCGTCTTTTCATTCCGTCTCTATCTATTTAGCCGCCTCGACCTTCTTGAGTTCCTCCCTGCGTACTCGTTAGCCTGGCTGCATTCCACAGTATTGTTTTTTCCTTTGCTGTCGCGCAGGAGGTACGGAGTGAGGTTGTCACGTACTTCAGCTGCTTTGAGAAGTCCTCGCTCGCATCGTCGTCGTCCCAGCTCTCCTCCCACAGGTGGACGCTTGTGCCGTTGGCTGTCGTTGAGCCCTGCTCGGTCTCTTCTTGGGGCCAGTCTGTAGATAGAGTATGTGGTCAGCAAGAGGTTAAGTTTGCGACGAAAAAGGGAATGGTGATGATGCGTGCAGCTGTAATGGGCTGTTCTGGGGCATTGTAGCATGAAGCTCATGGTGGGATGATAGATGTGCGTCAAAGGGGGATCGTGCTGTTGGTAAAGCCTGGAGCTCTGCAGGGACGATCGCGCGCACCTTCGACAGGGAAGTCTTCGAACTCATCATCTTCCTCGAGTACCTGGGGTGCCTTCTGCTGCTTGGGTTGTTGCGAGGCCTCGGCCTGGTTCTGGTTGGACGTCTGATTCGACATGGTAGCTGGTGTGATATGTGTTCGCAGGCCTCTTCAGAGGAGGATAGGGAGAAGCAGAGAGGCGATCGAAAAGATAGCCAGCTGTGAAAAGAGGGCCAGATGTTGCTGTGGGGGAGTATCGTGGCGTTGGAGAAGATGTCTGGTGCAGAATGGAGCTTGGGCGGTGATGATCGCGGAGACGCTCTACCTCTACTTAGCAGCGGGATTGGTGAGCCTCCAGACGTCAAGGCTAGACCCCATGGCCATCCCACATTGTTTTGCAAGGCTCATTTCTACAAGCTACAGCGCCTCCTGTTGTAATTTATTCCTATCAGCCTCAGCGCTCCTGGCTCACCTCAGCATGCATGGCAAGGGGCCATATTCAGCGCTGTCTTGCTCGTCCCAAAGCTCCCGCACGCCACGACGTCAAAAAGCGGAAACATTGTAAGGAGCGCAAGAGCCGGCCCCAGGGTGTGTGCAAAGACTCCCGCCCGCCTCCGCTGAGGCACGCGACCGTATTCGTACCCATTTTGCTCTCTTTCTTCCCCGTCGCTACCATAGTTCCCTCCTGTCTGTTTCCTTCGTTTCTCCATGAAGGATACAGACACTGTGGTGCCTCTTCTGTTGATGGGCCATTCCCAGATTCTATTTTCCTTATCCCAGGCCCAGACGGGTGCGGTTAGCGACTGACATCATAGGAAACTCTTTTCACTGCCATTCGGTTCTGCCTGGGTTCAATTCGTAACGATATTTCGCAGCAGCGTTGAAAAAAATCTAGACTGTTTTTATCGTTCCTTATCGTTCATTTATTGTGGGATCTGGTTTCACGATGTTGAGGGTGGGATCATGGCTGTCCGGCAAGAAGCCAGGCAGTGCTTCGACGCAATCTCTCGATTCCCTGGCTGAGGCGCAGGAACGTAAGTTGAGTCCTCGTATATGTCGGGATCGATCTGTGGATGGCAGGCTAATTGTGATCTGTGATGGGCTACAGTTGAGAATGCTATGCGAGGTATGCAGCAGCCACATGAACATGATCTTGAAAAGCAGTGGATAGAAGCGCCCGAGGATGATTGCTGATACACTATGATGGAATCTAGCGGCTACGTTGATTTTAAACGATGATGTCGACGCAGCTGAGGCAGGTCTAGACAAGGGGAATTCGTCCTACCACAAGGTATGCTATTGGGATGAATGCGGAGCCCCCAGAAGTTATGGATAGGAGACTGATGGATCTTGCGTGTAGCTTGGAAAAGGCGTCGTGGCATTCGTGCGGGCTACATTGGGGTTTGAGCAGGAGATTATGCGTCAGGGTGGGTCTATGGATTGCTCTCATTTGAACCTGCCTCTGATTTGAAGGATTGAATTTCAGCATCGGATCGACTCAATGAGGCGGAGACAAGCGCATGGAGCGATCAGCACAGAGCAACGCATGATGCGAATGCTCCGAATGCCTATCGGTCTGCCATTTATTCGCCCGGAGCAGAGTATGCGCTCTGCCAGGCGATGGCGCAACTCATGGGTGCTGTCATTGCGGTGCTCAATGAGAGCTTGACTGAGAGCATAAAGGGGTTTTACAAGCTGAGAAAGGCCTATATAACCCTTGATGGTATTCTACAGATGGAGGAGAAATACCTTCAGGAACGGAAATCCAAAGACCTGACGGGTGCTGTCAGAGCATCGCTTGAGAACCCCAAAACCGCACAGAGATCGGCTACATCCACCTTGGGAACAAAGGAACTATCCGCAAAATCGAGTCAGTTGTCCTTTTCTTCCAAACGAGCTCGAACCTTCCCTTTGAACTCGAAGAGAACAGACGCATCCGCCAGAAGTTCCACTGAAGCATTTCATGATGCGGAGGAGCCCGAATGTTCCTCAGACTTACCCGGGAGACTATCTGATTTGGATATCTCCGACAAGGTTTCTGAGTCTCCAGCTTCGATGGACTCTCTCCGCGGTATACATGATGATCCCGACTCGGACATTTTCACCACCCCCATTGACGTTTTCATTCACTCCGGGGCTAATCTGTGTTTTGGCGTTCTTCTCCTGATCATTTCGATGGTCCCTCCAGCGTTCAGTAAGCTTCTTAGTATCATTGGTTTCCGCGGAGACAAACATAGAGGCTTGCAGATGCTGTGGCAGGCGAGCAAGTTCCATAATCTCATGGGTGCCATAGCAGCGTTGGCTCTACTGGGTTACTACAACGGTTTTGTTCGATACTGTGATATCATCCCGGATGAGACGATGGATCATGGTGAGGGCATCGAAGGATACCCCCGTGAGAGACTCGCTGCACTTCTTGCGGAGATGAGAGAACGGTTTCCGAAGAGCCAGCTGTGGCTCCTCGAGGAGTCGAGGATGCATGGTGCTAACAAGAACCTGGAGGAGGCCGTGAAGATGCTCTCTGAAGGGGAGCGTAGCCCGCTCAAACAGGTCGAAGCCTTGCGTGTGTTCGAACGAAGCTTGAATGCTATGTATCTCCACAAGTACGAACTCTGTTCGCAGTCCTTCCTGGAGGTCCGTCATCTTATCTTTCCCTTAGACTTTGGTTTGGACAGGCATTAATGTTCCGTTCTAGTGTGTCGAACTCAACTCGTGGTCACGGTCATTGTACTATTATATCGCTGGTTCCGCACATGTTGTCTTGTACCGTCGCTATCTCAAAAGCGACCCTTCTCTCGCGGCGAAACACGCGGAGACAGCGACCGAGCTCCTCCGCAAAGCCCCCACGCAGGCTGGCAAGAAACGATTTCTGGCCCGCCAGCTCCCTTTTGATGTCTTCGTAACGCGAAAGATTGCCAAATGGGAGGCGCGAACCAAAGAATGGGGTGTCCCCCTCGTAGATGCCGTGGGAGTGGACCCCATTGAGGAGATGAACTTCTTCTGGAACGGATTCGGACGGATGACCACTGAGCAGCTCGAGGACTCACTGCGTAACTTGGAGTGGTCTGAAAGCGATGCCAATAAGCACTGGCACCGAGAAGGACCCGACGAGAAGGCCATTCTTGCTGTCCTTCGGGCTGCTATTCTTCGTTCACAGCGTCGCCATGAAGAGGCAAAGGAACTTCTAAGGAACCAGATCCTCGACCATGACCGGTCTCTCTTCAAAGGCCATCTGAAAGATGACTGGACCTGTCCAGCAGCTCACTATGAGATGGCTGCTAACCTGTGGATGGAGCGACCGAGCTACATTTCTTCACATGGACCTGTTGGTCCTGCTAGTCCCAGTACCGCCGCGGCCTCTAATACCTCACAGGAAGACGTGGAAGCCATTGAGCGCGAGAAGGTTCGCGAGTGCAAGGAGTACTTGGATAAAACCGCCAAATGGGAGAGCTACGAACTCGATGCGCGTATTGGACTCAAGGTGACTGCTGGTGAAGAGGCGCTGCAAAAGTGGGAAGCTTCTCGTTCCACGGCTTCGACCACTGCCTAAGATGGCCATTCTCTTCTCTTTTTTTTTCTTCTCTTCTTCTCTTTTCTTTTTCTTCTTCTTCGTCTTCTTCTTTTTTTTTCGCCATGTCTATATATTCTCCCCCATTTTGCTGCGCACGTATGTTTCTTGTTACGCCGTACGTATTGCAGTGTTCTGTATATAGAAAAGCCGATAGACGTCTTCTAGATAGGAAAGTGATTCAGGAATGCTACGAAAGACTAGACTTATCAGATGAACACTAACACGAAGATCATGGATCACTGATGTTTATCGTAGTATGCTGTTTCTACCATGCTTAAGAGTACGTCATCGGATGTTTGCAGGGTCCTCCTGGTCATGTGACCATATCCGAATCTTGTTCTCACGCCTCAAGATGTTATTATTGAACATATTATTATTATTATTGATGATATGAAGCATCTAGCAGAGGATTCTGTTGTCTACCCTAAGCGGACTTGCCCGCGACAAGACAAGGGCTGAACTTTTTACCGGAAGGTGGCGATCGCAGCCCGCAAGGTGCTTCGGATAAGCTGGATGGACATGGACAATCTCTTTGGCTTCGACAGGTCGGAAACATTTCCGACAGACAGAGATTGAAGCTGTCGGAACAGGCCGACCCACCGAATTGTATGGACGTCCGATAGCAAACTGAAGCGCAATAATAATAATGCCGACAATTTTCTTCGCTCTAAAAGAACGATTCAATACCAACATAGGCTAGTTAATGCCGAGTTTGCCGGATTAAGGCATCGGCTTTATCCAGACCGCTATCGGCTATCCGGCTTGGACTTCGGACTTGATGGCCTCCGACTGATACTTAGTTAACGCTCTCCAATGTTTCCGGCGCTTTTTTTGGTGACGTCTACCGCTGCCCCTCGTCTGCTGTTCCTGAAACTTTTTTTTCTCTCCTTCTCTTGTTGATTTGGTCTTTCTGTTGAAGATCAGGAAGAAGAAGTGTACATATTTTCAAAAATATCTTAGCTCGCGTCGGAGAACGATGCGCTCTTTTGAATAGGAATGGCATCAGATCTTATTACGTGCAGAAACACCGATCCTCATGAGCATGACGATGACAGCTCCGATGTTGAATATGGATCCATTGCTGGCCCAGCAAATACAAATGGAGCCAACCTGGAAAAGCAAAGCACAGCAGCGTCTGCGCTGTCGTCGATGGAACAGCGAGCGCAGTCGGTAGTCTCGAGGATACGGAGTCGAGAACCGGGTCAGACAGCGCGCTTTACGCACCCGTTATCCCATACGAAGACAGGACCTGATGTCATTGTTGATTTCGATGGGCCCGATGATCCGTATAGACCGTTGAATTGGGGGTTTAGAAAGAAGGCAATGACCACGTTACTGTACGGGTTAACAACAATGGGTAGGTCTTTCTGATGCAGCTAGCACTGGAAACTGAAGTAGCTCGCAGGTTTCTAATGGTGATTTCCTTCTTAGGTGCTACTTGGTCTAGTTCGGTGTATGTCTACCTTTTGATCCGGCCGTGGACTCGAGATTATACGGAATTAAGAAATACTAACTGTATGATAGCTACTCTCCCGGCATTCGTCAGATAGCAGGCCAATTCCATGTTGGGGAGGAGGTCAGTACGCTTGGATTGACCCTGCTAATGTTTGGTTTCGGACTGGGCCCTCTCATCTGGGCTCCATTATCTGAACTTTATGGCCGCAAACCTGCCGTGCTTGCCCCGTATTTCATCGCGGCAATATTCTCGTTTGGAACCGCCGCTGCCAAAGACGTCCAGACTATTATGCTCACTCGATTCTTTACCGGCCTGTTCAGCTCAGCTCCGATTACAAATACTGGTGGTGTGTTGAGTGATATCTGGTCTGCGGAGGAGCGAGGTGCTGCGATGGTTGGATATGCCATGGCAGTGGTGGGTGGTCCTGTTCTGGGACCTATTGTTGGTGGAGCCATTGTTCAGAGCTATCTGAGATGGAGGTGGACGGAATATGTGAGTACTTCTCGAGTGCCCTTCGCTGCTTTCAACATACTAATCGAGTTCAGATTACCGGGATAATGCAGATGCTGTTCTTCACCCTCGACGTTATCTTCCTCGATGAAAGCTATCCGCCTGTTCTCTTGGTGTACAAGGCGCAAAAATTACGCCACGAGACGGGAAACTGGGCATTGCATGCCCGACATGAGGAATGGGACGCCAGCTTCAAGGAAATGGGCAACAAATATCTCGTCCGTCCGTTTCAGCTGCTTGCGACACCGATCTGCTTTACCGTCGCCCTCTACGCGTCCTTCGTGTACGGTATCCTATATCTCAATCTTGCCTCTTTCCCCATCGAGTTCGAAGAAGAGCGAGGCTGGAATCTGCTTGTGGGGGCGTTGCCCTTCTTGGCCCTGCTCGTCGGTATCTTCATTGGCGCCGCATTGAACGTATTGAACCAGAGATTCTACATCAAGCGCTTCAAAGCGAACCGCAACCGACCCGTTCCTGAAGCCCGCCTGCCTCCAATGATGTTCGGCTCCATTTTCTTCGCAGCTGGTTTGTTCATCTTTGGATGGACATCCTCCAAGAAGATCTTCTGGATTGGCCCAGTGATTGGCGCAGCATGCATGGGTCTAGGCTTCTTCACGATCTTCCAAGCAGCGCTCAACTATCTCATTGACACCTTCCAAAAGACCTCCGCCAGTGCAGTCGCAGCAAACACATTCCTTCGAAGTGTCTTCGCAGGTTGTTTCCCACTATTCGCGAACGCAATGTTCCATAACCTTGGCATCGACTGGGCATCCAGCGTGCTCGGGTTTATCGCTGTAGGTCTGATTCCAATTCCTTACTTATTCTACATCTTCGGAAAACGCATCAGGGCTAGGGGCAAGTGGTCCCGAGCGTCGGTGTATAATGACTAGACGGTTCATATCTGGCTGAAAGCATATCTATTTCCGGAATCTTCGCTGCACGATATCATTTTGCGCTTTTACTGCTATTTCCTTCCTTCGACTTTTGTGCATTGAGCACACAACCCGCCTTCGAATATTTGCGAATATCCCATACGCATTCAGTATCTGCATTTGATCCCAACTTTGTACATAGGCATCTCGACGCATTTAGGTTCGAGTCGAACTGATATTACGATGGTTTACCCTGGAACATACGACAAGGATGGACATACGAACTAAAGAAAAAAGTTGAGTGAGATCTTCTTCGTTATGGGTCTGTATTATAGATGGATGGCACTTTGTTCTCGTTGTTGTTTCGAGAATAATAGAAACTGGATTGATTTAATTTAATGAGAAAAATCATCTTTCTGTTTCCTTCTGTGGCACGTGCGTATCATGTTGGGAAATAAAGAACGACATTATAAGAAAACTAGAGCAAGAGTGTTGGTATGAAAGGAAATTTATCAATCATGAACTTACAAGCTGACATGTGTCTTCATGAAGACAACCGGAGGAGAAAAGAAAAAAAAATACAAAAAGGAAATAGGGAATAAACCATCATCATTACCAGCCCACTACTTATGCTTCAACCATTTGAACCCTTCCATCTCGACGTATGACCTTCTTAGCAAGCCTCACAACCCTAACCCAAGACATCTTCTTCCTATTTTCTCCCCTCCTCTCTGCTCTCGTAGCTGCCGCTACAACCTCCTTGTTTCTTACAACAGGCATGCTTTTCCCTTCTTTATCCCTTTTACCTTCTTCACGACACATATTCAGCACAACCATCTGCCCCACGAGCGTAGGATGCTCAATCAAACTTTCAATCTGAATCTGAAACCCTTCTTCATCTAATAGCCACACAACCTGCGCGAGAGATACGATGTCTCCACCTAGATCGAAGAAAGAGCAATCTGGCTGAATGGATGGACAGCGATTGGTTTCAGGATCTGTTAGAACTTGTCGCCATATGCGAGTGAGGATATCTGATAGAGCGATGATTTCGGATCTTTTGAGTCCCTTTAGGTGGTTGGATAGGAAGGTTTCTTCTTTTTCTTTTTCTGATGGAGATGGAGATGGGGATGGTTGATTGTTGATGATTAGAGATGGAGTGTCTGAGAGAGTGGTTGGAGTGGGGAGAATTGTTGTTGGATGGCTGGATATGAGATGGGCTGTTGTACAGAGCATGTCTAGGACGTGTTCGGCGAAGGATGTGGTTATGTTGTTATTGTTGTCCTTGTTGATTGAGAAGCTTAGTGTGATCTCCACGACCCCGGTGTCCAAGGGCGTGGAGACGATTGCAAAGTCAGAAAAGTCCTGATCGGCTCCATAACCAGTCACGGTGTAGTTGATGTCTCCCATCTGTAGTTCTTTGCGGTTATCTATATTCTGGTGTTGGACTGTGCTGGTGAAGTACGTCCAGTCTGGCCAATCAGTACAGCGCCTGATGATTTCCCTGAAGCCAAGTGCCTCGTAAGGCATATGGGCCACTTGCTGGTCTTGGACGTAGCGGAGTAAATCAAGACCCGACCAGCCATTCCGGAATGGAACCCTAACGGGAACAATGTTCAGACATGGGCCTACAATCGTCTCTACGCCGGGAACAGAGACATTGCGACCGCTGATGGTGTGGCCGAAGACAACGTCCGGTTGTGCTGAGATTTTCGCCAAAGTCAGAGCCCACGAGGACTTGATGACTGTTGCTGTTGTAATGCTGCCATGGGCTATTGATTGGATTTGCACTTTCTTCGTCAGATTAACAGCTGTAACTGACGATCTGTTATAGTTCGGGGTCTGACGAGGGATGATCTCGGTCATTTTGCTATCTTTCAGAAAAGACTTCCAGTGTTCGTAATGGGTTGATGTGATCGTTTCTGTCGATGCACGTACATAGTTTGCGAATGATCTCGTCGAAGGTATCGGACCACCTTCGTATCCGGATCGAGTGGCGGCAAGTATCCTAGGAAGGGATATCCCATCATACTGCGCGTGGGACAATCGAATCAAGAAACGGTGTCGATCACTCGCTTTCTCTCTGATGACGATGAACCGCACAAATGGCTCCCCTTGTTTGAGTGTGGTCTCGCTGTCTTGACGGCGTAGCGTCGTCGTAAACTCCTCGAGAGTACTGTCTGTCTCGTAGACTGAGAATTCAGGACGCAATCTCCGAAGAATGACCTGAACGAATCGGCCTCCAGTACAGACGAAGACGGTTCGTAGGATGTCAAAGGCATCGACCACGCGGAAACAACTTTCTTTGAGACGTTTAAGATCCAAAACGCCTCGGCCCTCGAGAGAGAAATAGTTCAGCATCCATCGAGACTTCAAATGCGCCCCTGCAATCGCCAGTGCCTGGAAATCCGTTACGGGAAACACATCAGCGATACCGCCCCTGAAGACGCCGATTTTAGGACATATGGTGCTTTGGAGAAAGGCCTCGTTAAGATCCACAGCTTCTAGAAGAGAGAATCTTTGGACGAGTTCCTTGCTGGCTGAAGAGGTGAGGAGGTCGTCCATTATTTCGGAGGTCTTCTTTTCATTCTGATCTGAGATACTAATGATGTCTGTGACACGCATGATTCCGAGCATATCTTCAAAGATGGGGTTGCGGAATACATCGGCTACTGTCAGAGTCAGGCCTTGCTCGCGCGCGGCACCGACTAGTCTCATTGCAAGAATACTGTCTCCTCCTAGGTCGAAGAAACTGTCGTCTTTGTTTATCGAGTCTGTCGTCAAGTCTAGTAGCGAGCACCAGAGACTGAGAAGTGTGCTCTCTAGCTCATAAGGCGTTTCCCGGGAGGCTTCAGTAAATGGAGGATGGGGATCAACCTTGTCCAATTCCGGGGAGGATTTTGGCTCTTCTGTTGGAGGAATATCTTGGAGAGACTGGGTTTCTGGATACTGTATGTTCTCGTTAGGTGTCTTTTGCCCGGCAGCACCAGGAATTGTGCCGTCCTTGAGTAGCTGTTTGATGGTCTCCCGAACACGCTTATCGACGAGCTGTTGTAAGGCAAGGTCACTTAGGTCGGCGAACCGATTGCCAGTGTCTTTCTCGTTCGGAGACACTGGTTCTTCGTGCGGAGGATTTTCATCCACATGTTCAGCTTTCTCTGTGGCGTCGATTCTCAAGTCGGATATTCTCGTTTCTGGGTTTTTAATGAACTCCGTAAGAATGGCTGTCATTCTCGAAACTAGTCGTGAAGCTTCCTTGTTGGATACGAAATCTTCCCAATAGGTGAATAAGACCCCTTCCTGTCCTCGGGAAGTTTCTATATTCACTGTGACAGCGTACTGTTCGCGTTTCATTAGCAGACATGATAATACCGTTGTTAAAATGGTGTCAGCATACCTCGTTAGGATCATGTGTGGACTTCACATCAGTTATCAGCTCTCCCTGAGAGTCATCCGGCAGTGAGTGATTCTGGATCGAGACGGCAGTGTTGAATAGAGCTTTTCCTGCTAATCCAAGTTCGTGCTGGACTTGTGCTAGCGAACAATGCTGATGCGAAATACTATCGATGAAGTCATTCTGGATATTTCGAGAGATGTCGCTAAGGCACTGAGAAGATTCAAGCTTCACCCTGCAACATAGCATATTGATAAATGGACCGACTGCGTCTTGAATCCCGTCTAAGGGCGCATCGCGCCCCGAAGATAGATACCCGAAACACACTTCTTCCGAATGTGTATAGGCTTGTAAAACAATAGCCCAGGCGGCTTGCATAACGCTGGCAAGTGTGATGCCGGTACGGTCGCAGAATCCCTGTAGTTCACGGAATGCCTCGAATCGCATTTCCATGGTAGCTAATCTGTGTCCCTGCGATGGATTCTGGGTGAGTATTGGTAAGTTTGACGGTTGCAATCCTCGCAGCTTCTCTTTCCAAAACGACATATTCACATCTAGTGGCTGATCCAGAATGTAACGGATATAATCACTGATTAGCGGTCCACGTCCCTCAGGTAGCTTGCCAGTATATGCAAGCGCGAAGTCTCTAAGGAGGATTGGAACAGATGCACCATCTATAACTGCATGGTTTATTTCCATCTTGACAAAGATCCTCCCCGTTGTCGTCGTGCATATTGTCAATAGATGCGGAAGACGATGCCCTTTTTCGGAATTTTCCATATGCAGCTTTGTGGATCTCAGCTTGTCGACGGCTCCGAAATCCTCACAAGCGAAGATTTTGATGTTTTCTCTCACTGATCTCATGACTATCTGATCGAAAGTCCCGCCTTTGTGGACGCTGTCAACCAAGATAGTTCTCAAGGCTGGGTGTCGCCGGGTTATTTTTTGCCATGCCTCTTTTAGCCTTTGACATGCCACGCTGGGATTGCGTCGCTTGTCTCTCAGTTCGAAGATGACATGGAAAAAGTATGTCTCTTTATCCCGGATCTGACTTAGCAGGATACCTTCCTGCACGGGAGAGCAAGGATAAATGTCTTCAATATCCTCTGGATTCTGTACGCCTATCTTGGGGAAGGTGTGCTTGACGAGGGTTTGAAGATTTGGATAGGTAAGTGGCAATAGGGGGTAGTCACTTAAAGTCGGCTCAGGAGGACATTTTCTCAGCTGGATAACGGTTTGCTCCAACGATTTCTGAAACTCAGATATCCATCGGCAGATTTCCCGGGTATGCTTCATCCTTCTGTTATACGTGAAGGAGAATTGCAGTCGTCCTTCGATTACGATCGCGGTTATCTCGAACAGAGCCAGTCGTACTGTCGAAGGACCGACGTCGTCAGTAGTAGCAGACTCACTGAGTCGTGATTCTGCATGTTGGAACAACGAGTCTTTTTGCTCCAGCTGTTGGAAACGTCCGAGATAGTTGAACAATATCTCCATCGGGACGTAAGATCTTTCAACGCTAGAGCCCTTTTCTGAAGACGACAGATAATGCGCGAGGTATGCATTAACACTGGCGGAGAACTTTCGTCTAGTATCCTTGACTTTCTTCAAGATATCCAATTTGTCGCCTATTTTTGAAATTAGCTAGGAAAACACGAAGGGCCTTTTTTATACTTACCTGACTCAGAAAGGACTTTTAAAGGGCAAATAGTGGTAAACCAACCTACAGTCCCAGAAGGATCTATTTCTGGGTCCCACGACTCGCGTCCGTGACCTTCATTGAACAAAATCGGATGTCCTCGATCAGAAAAGACACTGCGAAAGGAATAGATGATTGTCGACAGAAACAAATCTATAGGCTCTGTACGAAACGCTCTGTGGCATTCTTCCAAGGCGTGTTTCGTAATCTCCTCGTTCAAAGAAAAGCATTCAACCACTGCATCGGCGTAGATGTTCGGTGTCCTTTCCATACCCCAGTAGTCAATGGGAGTCTGACCGATGTTGAACGGAAGAGGCAATTGCACGTCCTTGTTGTGCTCTGAACATAACCTCGACCAAGACTGGAAAGGCAGCGGTACGTCAGCTGGCAAGGATGCAGTCTCCATAAAGTCTTGAATGTCTTGGAGTATAATACGCCAAGATACCATGTCAACGCAAAGATGGCTGGCAACCATGAAGAGGACCTGAGTTTCGGGACCCAGGAAAAGATCAGCGGCAAATATCGGACCGTCAAATATGTTCAGACATTCTTGACTACTGGCGATCAGTGGTTGCATCTTCTGTGTGGCATCTATATGGTGCGATCGGTAACGATAGGATGGATCAACTTCCTGTAAAAGATGTCAACCTTTAGATTCTCAACAGGGGACAACGTATTAATGAGGTCCTACATCCGTAACCGTCTGTTGCCAAATGCCGTCGACTCCGATGCTGAAGCGCGCTCGTAACATGGAATGGCGCTTGATCACGGCTCTGATAGCATGTTCAAGGGTATGCGGCTCTACGGGATGAGCCAGCCGAAGGGTGAGACTTTGGTTAAATCGACTTTCTCCATTGAAGTTTCGTGCTGATCGGGTGTAAAGGGTCTGAATTGGAGATAAATCGAAGCCGTCGCCTGTCTTCTCTTGTTGAGAAACTAAAGTGCTGGATCCCACACTCAAAGCAAGTTTGGAGATGGATTCGCATTGTAAGATTGAATAGAGTGTTAGACGGAGGCTTTGCTTGCGTGCCTGAGCCATAACAGACATTGCTGATATACTATCACCACCTATATAGTAAGGAGATCAATAAGTGCCTGAATCAATTCCGATGGTCTGGAACTCACCTAAGTTCAAGAAAGACTTATTCAAATCGACGTTCCCGGAGGGTAGATTGAGCACTTGAGCACAGATATGTCCAAGCAGTTCCTCATTTCTCGTTATCACCTTGCTCGATTCTTTGAGGTTCGTGTTTGTTATCAAGTTGTACGTTTCTTCGGACATGTCTTCGATGAACTTCGAGACGCCTTTCCTATCAAGCTTTCCGGATACAAGCATCGGCATATTTTCGAGGGCTACCCATACGTGAGGAAGCATGTATGGAGGTAGTCGCTCTCCGAGAAAGCTTCTTAGTCCCTCTATTTGGGGCAGCGCTCTCTTCAGGCATGTTTTCCTCAGCAGTTCACATGAACTACCTGCGATTGCTTGTGTAGTTGAGTCAAACCCGTCGAGCGTCAGTACCACAACTATTCGACCCCTGCAATGACCCTTCTTTGGCAATAGGACAATGGCCTGATGAACTCGTTGATCGGAGATGATACGGCACTCGATTTCTCCAAGATCTATTCGTTGGCCATGGACTTTGACTTGATTGTCCTTACGTCCAATGTATTCAAGTGAGCCATCCGCATTATATCTCACGAGATCACCTGTTTTATATATCCGCCCCGGTGATTTCAGATTGCCCGCTAGACTCTGTGTCCATGAAGAGTTCTCAATAAATGATACAGCTGTTGTGGCTGGATCTCGAAGGTAACCCCTAGCCAATGCCGGGCCTGAGAGAGCAAGTTCACCAATGGCCCCTAGAGGCGCTAGGCGATCTTGGTCGCTAATGCTTAGAATCCACGTTGTAGTCGAAGCAATACCGCGGCCGATACAGTGCGAGCTAGACTCAGGAGTTACAGTCGCATTGACTGTTGAGACAACAGCCGCTTCGGTGGGCCCATAAGCATTTATGAGCTTCACAAAGTCTCCCCATCTCGTAATCACATCAGAAGTCATGGCTTCCCCGCCACATACCAGGACCTTCAAACAAGGCACTGTTGCTGGGTCAATGATTTTTGCAACTGAGGGCGTAAGGAGAGCCCACGAGACGCGGAGATCCTGGATAGCTCCTGAAATGTCCGTAAGGCGTTGCTCTTCATTGGGAACGCATATGCATCCACCGGAGATCAGTGTTGTAAATATCTCCATAATCGCAGCATCAAAACTGAGAGATGCAAACTGAAGAACACGAGAAGTATAATTTATGGACAATACAGGCGCGAACGCTACAGAGCTGCTAGCGAATGCTCTATGTTCGACTATGATGCCCTTTGCGCGGCCGGTTGTCCCCGAAGTGAAGATAACGTATGCGACGTTCGATCCACACACTCTCGCTTGGTGAGTTACGCTCGTGTTTGGATTTGAGTGAGAAGTGATGGTGGAACCGTCCACTTCAATACAGCGTTTGACGAGTTTCCTGTATCGAGAACTGTAAAGAGGCGAGCATATCATAATCTCCGCTTCCAACTCTTCCAGTATCTCTATATGTCGTCTTATTGGATGCCCTGGGTCCAATGGCACAAAAGCACCACCAGCCATCAACACACCCATAAGTATAACAGTCGTCCATACTGACCTGCCTATGCACACTGGAACGAAGACTTCGGGCCCAACGCCGAGCGTAATGAGATACGATGCAAACCGAGAAGCATACCTGGCTAATCCTTGATACGTGAGCTCTCCGTCCCATGCACAGATTGCCAGAGCTGTTGGCTGTATAATGTGCCTTTCCTCGAACAATTCGTGTATGCATTTATCGATCGGCTGTGGGTGCAGATGGTTCCAATTGCCTATCTGGTAGATGTCCTCTGAGCTTAACAATTTTAGATCACTGAGTTTCGATGAATTATCCGTGGATAATTCGCTGAGCTGCGTCAGAAGGAATCCAAGTTGATGAAGCAGCCGTTCTGCCTGCCACCGGGATAACATAGTCTCGTTGTAATGAATACTGATCGCTATCCCAGCACCAGTGATATTGCATTCGACAACTAAGGGATATGTTAGAAAGCCTTGGTTAGACTCCGATGATTCAAATGCCCATAGGCGTTCATCTAAATTCTCCCTGGAAGTCTGTGTGATCAACAGGTTCTGGAAGTCACATGCAACAGACGTGTCTTCACTGAGGCGTCGGATACATTGCAGCCCCGAGTGCTGGTGTGGTATCATATCTGTCGTTATTTTGTGCACCTCTTGCAGATACTGTGATATCGACCACTGTCGATCTAGAACAATCCGAGTGGGAACAGTGGTCAGCACAGGACCAATTATCTCAGATGCTCCAGCTATTTCACTGTTCCGACCAGTCAAAGTTTCCCCAAAGCAGACATCATTCGAGCCTGTATGTGATGAAACTGAAATAGCCCAGGCTGCCCGGACAAGTTCTGGGACAGTGATATCCTTCCTAAGAGCAGCGTACGAAAACTCTTTGTCGCCCCTTATGGACTGCATAGGTGACGTTTCGCTTGATGGGAAGCTCCCAGCCAGTGGGAAGTGGGTAGGGGAGGAATTCGCAAGGTAGGACGTCCAGAATTGATCTGAGTCTGATGTATCTCTGTGAAGGAGATAGCGGATGAACTTGGCGTAAGAAGACTCTGCTGGCCTTGACGCTCTGTCAAAGTATATGTCCTCCACTCTGCGGAAGATAAGACTCAAACTCCAACCATCATAGAGAGCATGGTGTATAGACAACACGAAATAACGTCTCGCGGATTGAGGCGCTGTTATTAGTGTAAATTGTAATGGCAGCGCTCCATTATGTTGTGTCATGACGATGGGTTGCCTTTCAACATTCTGCAAGCTCTCGGCAGCGTACCAGCAGATAGAATTATGTTTGGTCACGACTTGAAGGATTCCTTCAGAAGACGTATGTATTATTCGAGTTCGCAGCATATCATATTCATTGACAGCCTGTTGCCAAGCAGCTTTGAAGCGGTCAAGATTTGTGGCCTCGTCAAGTCGAAACGTGAGTTGAGCAACGTAAACACCGACTTTCTTAATAGAAAGTGCAATTAAACCTTCCTGTAGCGGACTGCATGGGTAAACATCAGACACTGAATCTTTGTCAATTTGACACTCGGTGGCTGCTTCGCGGACCGTATGTTCTATGGAAGTCGCTGTCTGCAATAAGCTGAAAGGTTTTGGCCTGGGTGTAAGCGCATCATTTAAAGGCTCACAGTGAGTAGCCATATCGGTCAACAGAGGATAGCGGAAGATGTCGACTGCTCGAAGTAAGATCCGTTGTGACCGCGCCTCTCCAATGAGACGAATTGCTGCTAATGAATCACCACCGAGTTCAAAAAAATTGCTATCGGCATGAATTGAACCTTGAGGAAGACTCAATACTTTCTCCCATAAGGCCAGCAGTGAATCCTCCGCTTTTGTTCCAGTCCTGCGTCCTTTGGCGTCTTTGATTAGCGTATAGGGCTTCATCTCTTCCCTCGAGAGCATCTCCGCAGCCTTTCGGAGTCTGAGGCGGTCGAGCTTTCCAGAAGTGGCCCACGGCAAACTATGGATAGGAAAGAATAGCTTTGGAACCATGTATGCAGGTAATATTGCCGTCAATGAATCTTTTAACTCCCGCGCTAGTGAGTGGATGGGCGCAGTCATTAGTAGCAGAAGTTCCTCCGAGTGATTTGATTTATCATGCCCAGGCGGAGAGTAAGCATATTTGGGTTCGTTTGGGACTGTGAAAAAGACAGCGAGTTTCTTTGCTGATGTTCTCTTTTCGCCGACTACTAAGTCAACAGCCACTTGGCTTTCGTCAGGAAGGCATTTTCTGCATTGATATTCGATCTCCCCTAACTCCACGCGCTGGCCATTAAGCTTGACCTGGTTGTCTATTCGAGACAGATAGCTGATGCTTCCGTCGAGATTGTATCGCACGAGATCTCCTGTCCGGTACATGCGTCCTTTAGGCTCTGGAATGCCTGTTAGGTGGCGGTCCCTTGCCCACGCTGGGGCTTCAACGAAAACTTCCCTGGTTCTAGCTTCGTCGTTGAGATATCCACGTGCAACAGCGCAACCTTCAATTATGAGCTCACCGATTGCTCCAACTGGCATAAGACGATGGTGGTTTTGCGGATCCGTTATCCACGAACGTCCAGAAACAGCACGTCCGATTGTTCTGGGATCCCGATTGACGATGTCGCCTCCAGAGTCGACTTTTGTATCTCCAATGCACAAGACAGTGCATTCTGTTGGGCCATATGCGTTAATGAGACATGTGCTCTTTGCCCATTTCTCAATAAACTCCGCTGGCATAGCCTCGCCACCTGAGAGAAGGGTCTTCAGCGTAGGGACTTCCTCAGGGTTTATAGTATTCCCAACAGCCGGCGTCATAAAAGCCCAATCAGCATTTAAGCGCCTTATAGCCCCAGCTATATCATTCAATCGATCATCATCGCTCGGTATACAGATGCAGCCGCCACTGACCAACGTACTCAGAATTTCCATGATACTAGCATCAAACGTGTAAGATGCAAACTGGAACACACGACTCATAGAGTTCATGTGAAATGCTTTCATGAAGGCAAACGAGTTGGTGGAAATTGAAACATGTTCGATGACTGTGCCTTTTGGCTTTCCTGTGGAACCGGAAGTAAAGATCATATAAGCCGCATTGGTGGGTTTGGTGCAAGCTGGGGTAAACGAAGGTGAGATATCGTCCATCCTGCACATAGCATCTCGACTAACAACAAGAGCTAGTTTCGAAATCCGGCGAGCCTTATTTTTATACTTCGAGGAGCATAAAGTAAGGGGACCATTGGTAGTCTCTACAAGGTCCCGCAAGCGTTTTTCTGGGTGCGCTGGATCGAGTGAGACAAAGGCACCGCCTGCCTTAAGAACAGCAAGTTGAGCAACAATAGCCCACGCGGACTTTTCAAAACACAGTGTTACGAAGACTTCTGCTTGAACGCCGTGCGCCCGTAAATGTATTGCTAGAGTCATCGATAGTCTCTCAAGCTCTTCGTAAGTAAAGCTCGCATCCCAGGCACAGACTGCTGGTGTTGAGGGTGGGCGTGTCAAGGCGTGCTCTGCAATGATTTCATGAACACATCTTTCAACTCTTTCAGGCACCCTGTCATTCCAATAGCACAGGCGCTGGTAATGGCGAGGGCTGGCAAAGTTGAGATCTCCGATTGTGCTGACGCGATCTCGATGAAGAATGTCATCCAGAATGTGCCCGAAAGTGTCGACGATGTATTCTGCGTTTTCATCAGACAGGCTATTAGACCAATAGCTAAAGTGAACCTCCAGAGAGTGGTCTGACGCTTCCACGTTGACAACAATCATATACTCGCTAGGGTCATTCACTTCAAGAAGGTCAAAAACCAATGAGCCATTCTCGGATCCTTCGATTTGACGTCTTTGATAGTTGAAGACAGTATTGAACAGGGGCGTCTCCGACAGTCCAAGGATATGTTGCACTTCGGCGAGAGAGACAGCCTGATGCTCCATACTTCTGACGAAATCCGTCTTAGCTCTGAGTAGGACATCGATCAAGCTGAGTTCGTCTGTGAGCCTAATCCGGCATACTAGCATGTTGATGAAAGCTCCGATGGCATCCTGTATACCGCTGACTGGTATATCCCTTCCCGAAGCTAAATAACCGAAACAGATATCGCCAGAACCCGTGTAACATCGAAGGACTAAACCCCAGACCAGCTGGAGCAAATTAGACACAGTCACTCCTGCGTCTCTGCAGAACTTGTGTAGGCCGTTCATGTTTTGCAATTCTAGCACTCGTGATTTGAGCCGTTTTTCTCCTTTATCTTCACAGAGTGACGGAAAGATGCAAGGCTCTATACCGTCGACGTACTTCTTCCAGTATGTAATAGATTGAGCTTTAGAACCCGACTGTAGATATTGGATAAAATCGCTGCACACACGTCCTACTGATCGTTCTGGTCCTCTTCTCATATACGAATTGGAAAGATCTCGCAGAAGAAGCGGCATAGAAGAACCGTCGCATATGGCATGGCTAAAGTCAAAACGGCACAGGATGCGTCCCGAATCTGTCTTGCAGATTGCTAATCGATGTGGAGGTTTCCTATCTGTGTAGTCCAGACGTTCGATGTTAGATAGAAACTCATATGCCTTCTCATCGTCGCACTCATAGCAGAGTGTCCTAGGGCATGTGGCTTTGAGGACCACCTGATCCATGAAAGATTCGCCGGGAAGGCTATCAATAAAGATCGTCCGTAACGATTGATGGCGCTGTACTACGTGCTGCCATGCCGCCTCAAGCCTTTCAATATCGACAGGTTTGTCGGCTTCAGTCGACCGAATTTCAAAGATTGCCGTGTAAGCATATTTCTGGGGGTCTCTCAATTGAGACAAGAGCATCCCCAGCTGCATCGGGGAACAAGGAAACACGTTTTCGACTTCCTCCAGTGATGAAATGCCTAGGCTATTCAACTGCTGGGACAGGTGCTCTATTCCGTCATATGTTAGAGGAAGAAGAGGAAAGTCACTCAATGTCGGTCCAGTTCTATACTTCCTGAGCTGTTCGGGGGCCAGTCGGAGCATGTTTGTGAAATTGTTGAACCACATCCGCAGCTCATTCTGGCGTGTCATAAATCTGTTGTATGAGAACGAAATATCCAAAGACCCTTGGTTGATCATCGCAGATATCTCAAGTAGCGCAAAGCGAGGTACGTCGTTTCCAATGTCAGTCGTTGCGTTTATCGCTTGGCCTGTTCCATTAAGCGGTCGAAGTAAAGCATTTGAGCTTCCGTAGTCATTGAACTGCCCTAGGTAGTTGAATATAATTTCCATTGGCCAATGACTTTTATAGTAATCGCCATCACTTGTCAGGAATCGACGGGCAAAGTATTGACGGCCTTGATGAGGTGTTCGGTTGCGCAAGTCCTTGATCCAACGAACGCATTTGGCAAAGTCGCCGTCTGGATGCAAGTTGTGTCAGTCACTTAGCGACTCGTGAAATCTTCCATTAAAAAGGGTTTCGGGCATAGGTTGTGATGGAATTTGCTTACCTTCAAGGGAATGCTTCTGCCTTGGCAGATGCACAGGAGTGAGCGTCGTAAACCATCCAACAGTATGCCAAGGATCAATGCTTGAGTCCCAAGTTTCACGCCCATGTCCCTCGTTATAGATCGCAGGGGGTCTCTCGCGATCCGTGAATGTAGCAGCAAATGACAGTAGCAGTGCCGCTAGTATCACATTGACAATTTCTGTCTCTCCGTCTACACGGCAGAACGTCAATAGCTTTTGACTGATGTGATAATCGAGTTTAATGTCCTCAGTTGTAATATCCCTGTAAAGATTGACGTGCTCTTGCATACCCCAGTAAGAAAAGTCAGCAATTGGAATATCACCCTCGAGTGGGAGCGGAAATCCTGATTTTTGCGTTCTTGCTTTTTCTGTCTGAAGTCGGCACCACGTCCTAAATGAGACAGAGGGTGGGACTGTTATTGGTAGAGATTGTAAAAGGTTCTCTAGATCTTCAATGATGATACGCCATGATACTATATCCACCACAAGATGATGAGCAGTCATGAAGAGGATATCATCATCAGACCTAGTCTGGAACAAAGCAGCAGCTATGAGTGGGCCTTCGGTGATGCTGAGACTCTTCTGCATGGATTCCATGATTCGCTCGATCTCTGAATCCCTCTTGTCTTTGAAAATAGATAGATGGTATGATCCGTCCACTGTATGGTGAATATGCTGTCTCCAGATATTGTCACCAGATCTGGAAAACCGAGCACGTAGCATTGGATGCCGCCTCACGAGTATGTCAAATGCCGCTTCAACTGGATGTGGGCTTGCAGACTGTTTGACTTGCAGCATTATACTCTGGTTGAAACGAGTATCTTTTCCATTCACGTATAGGAAATAGAGTTTTTGTATCGGGGACAAGTCAAATTCCTGTTCATCTTCATCATCATATCGAACTTCTTCCGGTACAGTGGCCAAGAGGGCGAGTTCTGTGATAGATCGGCTGGACATGATATCTCTAACAGTGACTGCTAGATTCTCTGACCGGCATTTGGACATTACCTGCATTGCTGACATACTGTCCCCACCCTGAGAATGCATTAGTCTCCATTTTGCGATGGAAGGGCTGCCTGCACTCACAAGACGAATAAACGATCGATTCAATCCTATTTTCCCTATCGGAAGATTCAGAACCTCGCTCCATATTTCTTGAAGACGGTATTCTGTAGCATTGGCCTTCCGGGATTCGTCGGTGTCGTCAAGTTCGTAAGAGGCCATTCGTCCATAAGTGTCCTCGCTCAACCTCCCGAGAAACTGCGTGATTGCGTTCCTATCCAACTTCCCAGAGGGCATCAATGGAAGTCTTCGCAACACTATCCAGCGGGATGGTATCATGTACAGAGGGACAACAGACTCAAGTCGTCTCCTGATATTTGCGATGTTGGTTGAAACAGACCTTCCGTCAACCACTGTAAACTCTTCTAAAGAGGAAGAGCTCGTAAGGTCTTTCAGAGCCAAAGCAGCTACTAATTTTCCGGCACAAGGACCTAGTTTCGGTAGTGCCACAATGGCCTGGTGAACTAGATTTTCTTTTCTGAGGTAATATTCCACTTCCTCAAGTTCAATGCGCTGTCCGTGGAGTTTGGCTTGGTTATCTTTGCGGCCAACGTATAAGATCTCACCAGAACAATCAGGAGCATACTTGACCAGATCACCAGTCTTATACACACGCCTTTCATGATTTGTAAAAGGGTATATCCCTGTTACAGGCCAGCCTGGGTTGCGGATGAATGATTCATCTGTTTTGGCTTCGTTATTGAGATACCCTCTGCCAACAGTCGGCCCCTCGATAACCAATTCGCCTGTACAACCAACCGGCATAAGCCTATGGTGATTGTTTGGGTCCACAATCCAGCAAGTGTCTACGGGATGTCCAAGGTTTTTCGGGTCTGTCTTTGTTGTCATTCCTGTCTTGAAAGCTGCCGCCACGGAACATTCGCTGGGTCCATACCCATTGACGAGAACAACACTCTGAGCCCAGGTCGAGATGTGATTCTGGGTCATTGGCTCACCGACAAGTACTAGAGTCCGCAGACCTGGAAGTTCCGAAGGTCTAAGTAATTGGGCGACTGATGGGGTGAGAATGGCTGTAGTCACTTCCATTTTGTTGATAGCGTCTCCAAGGGCGTTAAGCCGAGTATTCTCATCCGGCACACAGACACATCCACCAGCAAGGAGAGTTGTCAGTATCTCAATGAGGCTTGCATCAAATGTGTAAGAGGCAAATTGCAACACTCTGGAGTCGTGTGATATCAGCGAAGCTGCTGCCTGCTTACGAGATCCAGAGCAAAAACCGGCATGTTCAACTGTGATGTGTCAGCGTTGCCAGTACACAATTACATATATGAAATAGTGTGCTGTACTTATTATCCCTTTGGGATTTCCCGTGGTTCCTGAGGTGAACATTATATATGCCGGGTCATTGGGTGTGCAGAGGGGAGTTTCAAACTCAGAAAGAGATTGGTCCTTCAGCAGTGCAATGTTGATAGGAAGAACTCTATTTGAAAACCCCCTACACAAATTTTCATACCCCTCTGAGCATATAATAATTTCAGATGTGAGATCTTTGACTATAGCTCTCAACCGCGAAGTCGGATGCTTCGGATCCAAAGGTACAAAAGCCGCACCAGCCTTCAGTATCCCCAAAATAGCAACGATAGAGACGCCTGACGGATTTAAGCACATTGGAACAAACCAGGCATTTCCTTGCCGTGGCTTATATTCAGATATATAACGTGCAAGCAATGTTGACATTTTATCGAGTTCTTCATAGGTCAATGTGACGTCCCATGAGCATACTGCTGGTGCTTCAGGTTGAGATATTGCATTGTCATGTACCATGTCGTGAATGCACCTGTCAACAATCTTTAGCTGTTTCGAGTTCCATTTTTGTATGGTCATGAGGTCTTCGTGTCCAAGAAGTTCCAGTTGGCCGATTTTCTTTTCTTGATTGTCACTCGAGCACAGCTTCTCGAGAAACGTCTCGAGTTGGGAGAATAGCCTCTCTGTTTGTACTGCCGGTATAACATGTTTGTCGTAATTCGCAAGGATCTCCAGCTTCTCATAACCAACTTTACACGTAACATTGAGAGGATACGTGAAAAACCGAGACTGTAAAGATTCTTTCTGCAGGAGATTCCACATCTCTTCAGACGGCCCTTCTCTTTCATGTTCGATTGTGAGTATATTCTGAAAATCACAAGATATTAATGCATCCTCACTAAGTCGCTTGATATTGTGCAAACCTGCGAATTGATACGGAAGTGTTTCTGTCAGTTGCTTCTGGACAAGTTCTAAAAAGCACTTAACACTCGTGTCCTTGCCAATCTTCACTCTGGTAGGAACAATCGCCATGGTAGGACCAATAATTTCAGTGATGCCTTTGACGGGAACATCGCGGCCTGTCAGGATTTCCCCGAACACTACATCATCGGATCCTGAGAAGGCCGAAAGCGTAAGGGCCCAAGCCGCCCTCACTAATGAAGACACAGTTATATCAGGTAATGAAGGCCTCAATATCCTCGAAGTACGTTGTAGGGTATCATTTGCTTCGACTCGGTAAGACTGGTCAATGAGACGGGGAAATTGTACAGACGCAGGGCTTTCCAGACGTGAGCGCCAGAAATTGTCGGATTCCTGTTCATCAATAGCAGATAGAAATCCTATGAACGCAGTGTAATTGGCCGCTACTGTCTGCGTTGAATCGTGGGTGCTATTGTACAGTCTTTCAACCGTATCGAGAAGTATGGGTATGCTCCAGCCATCGTAAAGTGCATGGTGAATGGTCCACACGAAGTATCGAGTTTCCTTATCTCGGCCAATAATGGTGTACTCACTAAGAACACCCCCATTTGTAAACGGCAATGAGGCGCAAATCCCCGGTAGATCCTCGAGCTGCCCTAATGACCTCCAATTCATTGGCTGTTTGATCACTGTTTGGAAAAATCCGTTAGTCCTCGTGTGCACCACTCTTGTCCGAAGGATGGGTTGTGATTGCCAGGCGGCCTCCCAAGAACGCTTAAACCTTTCGATGTCGATACTCTTGGGCAAGCGATAAATATTCCTCGTTATGTATGCTTCTGGCTGTCCTTCCGTAAGCGCGACGAGTCCTTCCTGGATCGGTGTACACGGGTATATATCCTCTAGAAATTCGACGCCAACTTTACAGAGTGTAGCTATCTCTTTCTTCAGATTGCTGGCAGAAATTCCTTCGGGTATGAGGGAAAAGGACGTGTAGGTAAATGTTGGATCATTGCTCAAATTACCCAACGACGAAGTGACATTTTTCGCCATTTCCGAGAGTGTTGGTGTCTGGAAGATATTCGCTACGGTGAGTGTCAAACCAACTTCCCTCGCAGTAGAGGCAAGTCGAATAGCTCCAACTGAGTCTCCTCCGTGAATAAAGAACGTATCATCAGCGCCGATATTTCTAGCTTCCACACCTAGGACCGAAGCCCACAGCATCTGGAGCAGGTTCTCAGCCGGTGTTGACGGGCGTCTGCCGCTTTTCTCTCCCATCCTGTAAGAAGATATATCTTTCGCCGAAAGGCTTTGGACCAACCCTCTTAGTTTTCGACGATTTAGTTTGCCAGATGAAGTGAGTGGCATACTTGCAACTGGTATCCATAGCTGTGGGATCATCGAACGTGGTAACGAGCCAGATAGAGCAGCCTCCAAAGAGGACATAGTAGATCTGAACATATTAGACATCGGCAATAAACATTGCTCATCGTCTATGTGATTTGCGTCGATATTTTCTAGTAGCACAAAAGCTACCAGAACATTTCCGTCCAGCTTCTCATTTCTGACTGTGATCAAGTCAACCGCCGCTTGGCCTCTAGTAGGAAGGCCACTCTTGATGTGATATTCGATCTCGCCAAGCTCTATACGCCGCCCATTGAGTTTTACTTGGGAATCCTTTCGTCCCAAGTAGACCAGCGACCCATCGGAATTGTATCGGACCAGATCGCCAGTTTTGTACATTCTCCATCTAGGGTTTTCACTATCCTCACGTTCCCTATAAGTACCGCCATTGCATTGGAACATTGGTCTCCATTTGGGGTTTTCGATGAACGATTCTTTCGTCTTCTCTTCATCGTTGAGATAACCACGGGCGAGAATTGGACCTTCGACCAGTAACTCACCAACGCAACCTATAGGAACTAGAAGGTCATGGTCTCTCGGATCCACTACCCAAGATATACTTCCAATGCTGCGACCAATATTGTTGATTTCCTTCGATTCGCCGGCATTGGGGTTCACAGTGCAATTTACTGAACATTCGGACGGGCCGTACACGTTGTATAGAGGTACGTGCTTTCCCCATAACTCCCTTACATCATTTGTCAAGGGTTCGCCCCCAACCGCAATTGCCTTTATGCCTGGGACATCGCTAGGACAGAGTAAACTCGCCACTGTAGGTGTAAGATCGACAAAGTTTGCTTTCAGCGTATTGATAGCTGTAGCAAGATTACCCAGTCGATCACTATCTGACGGCACGCAGACACAACCTCCGTGCACAAGGGTCGTGAATATTTCTTCGAGGCTGAGATCGAAAGTATAACCAGCGAACTGCAAGAATCTTGTAGAGTCGCTGACTCCGAGTGCAGACCCATGGCTAATAGCACTAGTGATGAACGCTCTGTGCTCAAGGACGACGCCCTTGGGTTTTCCTGTGCTACCAGATGTGAAGATGACAAATGCAGCGTTCGAAGGTCTCGCTATTGTATATGACCTTGCACTATTCGCTGGCAAGCTTTCCATGAAGTGTTTGCTCACGGTGACGATGTCGGGAACAATACGGTCAAATAGGTGTGTCCATTCTGGGGCTGCGAGAATGACCCGGGCACCGATATCGACTATCCTAGCATGTAGAGATGACTTAGGGTATGTCGCATCTAGAGGGACACAACAAGCCCCTGCCTTCAACACTGCCAGCATTGAAATTATCATCCATGCCGATTTGTCGAAGCATAAAGGTACGAAGGTCTCGGCAGTGAGTCCGAGCTGAATGAGATGATCTGCTAATTTCGATGATAAGTCACTAAGCTCTGCATACGTGAAAGATCCGTCCCAGGCACATATAGCTTCAGAGTCTGGTCGCTTTTTGACTTGCTCCTCGATCACCTCGTGAATACAACAACTGACGCTGGCAGGCAAGCTGTTATTCCAGATTGCTATTTGCCGTTTATTGTCGTCACTAATCGTATCTAGCATCCCTACCTCCTCTGTTGGATGTTCAAGGATGTTTTGCAGCGACCGCAAGAAGGTTCCGGCTATGTTCGTGGCTTGTTCATGCGCTATAGCGTCGTTCCAGTAGTCCATGGTAATAGCGAGATCGTCATCGGAGGCTTCAATATTTACTGACAATTGATATTCTGTCGGATCTTGTGTTTCCCCAAGCTGTGTAAATAGAGAATGTCCCTCGGCAGTGACTTTCGATGTGAGCTTGCGATAGGATACGCAAGTATTGAAAAGCGAAGTATCTGAGAGTTTCAGGGTATGCTGGATATCTGCGAGTGCTGTATGTCTGTAGGGGATACATTCGGAGTAGTCTTTCTGAATATCAGTCATGATCACGTTCAGAGAGACATGAGCAGCGATTTTGACTCGACAGGGTAAAATATTGATAATTGGCCCGACCATCTCTTCTATACCATCAACAGGGGCATCTCTCCCCGATGAGAGGTATCCAAAACAAACATCGTCCGAACCACAATAGCAGCGGAGTGTCAAACTCCATGCGGCGTGGAAGACGTTGGACATGGTTAAGCCATTTTTTGCGCATACTGACTGCAGCGCTGAGAAATTACTGAATGGTAATCGTAATGTGCATAGCTTGTGGTCTGAATCTTCGCCATCATTCAAAGTCGGGAAATGACAAGGTTCCATATCCATCAAGTACGAGGACCAGTATTCAATACCACGGTTTAGTGGTCTTGCACGTAAATAACGGATGAAGCTGCTGAATCGTGGTACAGACTCGACGCCAAGTGCCCCTTCATATGCCTGGGCCAGATCGCGTAAAATAATCGAGATTGACTCCCCATCCATGATCGCATGACTCATTTCAAGCCTGAAATATAACCCTCCTACAGTAGTTCGACATATCGTGAATCGGTGTGCTGGCCTGTGGCGACTGTAGTCCACATTATGTTGTCTGTCCAATGTCTGCAGCACCTCGCTGTCTTCACTGCATTCAAATTGACAAATCTCAGGTACAAATTGCCTAAGCACAATCTGAGAATAAACATCTTTATCCGTCATGTTCTCCACAAAGACAGTTCGAAGTATTCCGTGCCGTTCAATGACTCTTCTCCATGCATTGCAGAGTCTGCTGATATCGATCACTTCGCCTTCTCTAGCTTTCACTGCATATGTGCAACTGACGTTGTAGAACGAAGTGTTCCTCATTTGACTGAAAATGATACCTTTCTGCGTCGATGAGCAAGGATAGGCCTCTTCAATGTTCTCCATAGACGTGACGCCAATGCCGGGCAACTTTTCCAGGACCATGGTCTCGAGCTGTGGGTAATCTAAATTTAGGAGCGGGAAATCGCTGAGCGTAAGGCGCGGCTTCATTGAAGCCAATTCTGTTGAAACTTGGCAGATCGCCAGCTGAGTCTGAGAGATCCAATCAAGCACCCTATCTTGGTGTTTCGAATTCCGATTGAAGGTGAAGGAGAACCGTAATTTGTTCCGCAACACAACTGCAGATATTTCGAAAAGTCCAAAACGGGGCGTTGTCTCTCCCACATCCGCTGCTCCTCCAGCCCCCCGAGCCTCCCCAGCCATATTATCGACTGCCTGAAATAAGGAGTCCTTTCTTTCAAGTTGCTGATACTGCCCAAGGTAGTTAAAAATCATCTCCATTGGATATATGTGGCTGTGCTTTTCGGACTTTTGGCTATTGAGCATATGAGCTGCGAAGTATGTGCGGCCGCTATCCGGCACCCGTCGACGCAGGTCTTTAACCTGTATCAATGTCCGTATAATACTATCAGAAGGCTTCACTTTGACAGCAATGGGATAGAGAGTTGTGAACCATCCGATGGTCCGCGAGACGTCAATAGATATGTCCCATGGTTCTCGGCCATGGCTTTCGTTATAGATCGCCGGAACCGGGTGATCTGGGAAAACCACGCAGAAAGTGTGCAAAAGAGTGGCGATCAATATGTCTATAAACTCTGTTCGTAAGGCTTTGTGGCATTCTGTCAGCAGCAGAGACGTTGTGGTTGAGTCGATTTCGAATCCTTCCGATATAACATCTCCGTATAGATTTGGGTGATTTTCCATTCCCCAATATTGGAAGTCCACGGAAGGGATATCCTCTGGCGGAAAGTACTGTTCTGCAGCCTGTATACTGCACCGATCGCGTTGTAAACGACACCATGTTTGAAAGGGTAACGAAAGCTCTGGAAGTGAGAAACTGTCAGGGTTTGTCAATGACTCTTCCAACTCTTCCAGAATGACGCGCCATGAAACCAGATCTATTACTAGATGATGGCCAATCATAGATACTAGCTGACTTTGACCTTCTATGTTGAAAAGGTCGAATGCCAGCATGGGTCCAAGGGCAATATCCAAGCATGCTTGGCTATCTGCTATCGCACGTTTAGTTTCGCTAATATTGCATATGTTGTGCACACGGAATCGATAGGACGTATGTACGTCTTTTGTTATGCGCTGTTGCCACTCTTTATTGGTTCCAGTTCTACCAAAGCGGGCGCGGAGCATGGAGTGGCGCAGAATTATGACCTCGACTGAACGACGCAGGTCACTGGCGTCTATCTTTCGTGTAGCGCGAAGGAAAAAGCTTTGGTTAAAATGTCCTTCCTTTTCACCACGAACTTGGAAGTGCAGCTTTTGTATCGGCGACAGGTCAAACGGTTCGTCGACAGCTTCATCGTACGTAAAACGCTGGACCACTTTCGCGCGACTTGCTAACTCTTTGATAGACTTGCTTTGCAACACGTCATGAACTGTGATGCCGATGTCTTTCCTCTTGCACTGATTCATGCAACTCATCGCACTAATCGAATCCCCGCCCAAACTCAAAAAGCTGCGATGTAAACCTATTCGACTTGGAGAGACACCAAGCACGCTGCTCCATATGGAAAGCATTTCCCGTTCCATAGTGTTTGCGATTTCCATATCACTTGTGCTTGGTTCTATAACAGCCTGTGTGTATTGGCAGTAGAGCTCTTCTGTCATACTTTCCAACCAATTTCTAACTCTCTTTCTATCGAGCTTGCCAGAGGGCAGAAGAGGGACAGATCCGACGCACAGCCACATAGAGGGGACCATGTAAAGTGGCAGTCTCTTAGCCAAGTCTTGGTTAATTTGCGTGGCATAAACATTGTAGTTCTTTCCCTTTACCGGACTCAACGGCGCTGGCTTTGGCTCCGACGCCTCCAGAAGGTTATCTCTCAAAGACAGCACGGCTACAATCTTTCCTTTGCAGTATCCAGCATCCGGGAAGAGAACTAGTCCATGTTTGGTGTATCGACTGGAGGAGATGTGATGCTCAATTTCCCTGAGCTCAACTCTCTGGCCGTGCACCTTGATTTGCGTATCCTTGCGTCCAACAAAACTAAGTGACCCGTTTGTCGAGTTGTACCTTACTAGGTCACCAGTTTTATAAAACCGTCTGTGTCGAGGTTCCTCGGCATGATCTCTTGACCATTTAGGGTCAAAAATGAATGACTCCGCTGTCTTCTGTGGATCATTATAACAGCGAGCCAACGTCGGCCCTTCCAATAATAGTTCCCCAGTGCAGCCGACAGGCATCAACTTATCATGATTATGTGGATCTACAATCCAGCAGCGGACACCAACTGGACGTCCTATATCTTTGCAGTCTGTCTGGGCTGTGACTTTTGAGTTTACCACTGCGACAACAGAGCTCTCCGTAGGTCCATATCCATTGACGAGGTTGATATTGGACCAAGTTGCCACATGTTCCGGAGACATAGGTTCTCCCATCAAGACAAGTGATTTGAGTCCGGGAACGGCTCCTGCATCCACGAAGTCAATGTAGGAAGGTGTGAGGAGCGCATGGTTGACACGCATTCTATTGATGGATGATGCGATATCGTTTATACGCGCTTCCTCATTCGGTATGCAGACACATCCTCCTTGCATCAACGTAGTCAAAGACTCCACCAAACTGGAATCGAAGGTATGAGAGGCGAACTGTAGGACGCGCGAATCTTCTCCTATTAACATTCTAGGTCCATGTAGATGGGCACTAGAACAATAGGCTCGATGCTCGACGACAGTAGCCTAGGATTATCATCACATCAGCATTCCATACTTCCAATCATAGAACTCCCAATATTCTTTACCTTCGGTGCTCCTGTAGACCCTGAAGTAAATATGATGTAAGCGGCATTTTTGGGTGTGACAGAAGGCGAGAAGTTCGCTTCATCTGAACTGCTTGGCAGTCTCTCAGCCCAATCGTTGTCCAAAGAAAGGACACAGTCAGCAAGAGCGCGAGCAATTGTAACATTCTTGCGAGAACAAAGGATAACTTGTGCTCCAGCGGTTTCGACCATTTGCTGCAGACGCGATGGTGGATGAGAAGCGTCGAGGGAAACAAAGGTTCCTCCAGCTATCAAGACGCCTATCATTGCCACGATGTTCCATCTCTGATCGTTCTATGTCAGTTGGAACTTGGTTTCAAGAAATGAGCTCTACACTTACGGATTTTTCAAAGCAAAGAGCTACCGAAGTTTCTTGTTGGACTCCCAGTTTCACAAGCTGACGTGCTACTTTGACAGCCAATTCGTAGAGCTCGCCATATGTAAAGCTGCCATCCCAAGAACACACGGCTTCTTTTCCAGGGTGTACAAGCACTTTATCATAAATCAGATGATGCACACATCTATCGACCTCTTGAGGGCATTCAGAATTCCAGTTCAGTATCTGTCGCATGTCACGATCGGTGCAAAGGTCCATTTGGCCGATCGTACTCTGGGAATTCAGAAGAATATTACCCACTACTTGGTCGAAAACGTGGGCGATATTAGCTGCGAACTCCGGAGGTATATCGGGATAGCTCCATTCAAGAAAGATTTTAGGTCCCTCTGAGAAGAGATCTACAATGATTCGGACCCTAGTCTGGAGAGAATCAATAACTGGGGCCTTTAGAACAAGTTTCTCCTCTTACCTTTTCTGAGCCGTTGGCAACAGACGCTGAGTCAAGTATAGTACACTTTGTACTGTAACAGGGAGATTCAGTGTGATTGTTCAACAGGAATGCAGTATTATATGCTGTATTCTCTGCTGGAAGACAGGCGTCTCTTTCCGCAGGATGATTTGACTGTTCGGTGGAAACAAGTCCTTTCGTATACTCTACCACCGTAGATAGAGTCATATCATCTTCAAGTTTGAACCAGGTCGTACATGTGCCTCCTTTCTGAGATCTGCTTGAACCCTCTCTGTCCAACAAATGAGCGGTTTCCTCATAGCCAAAACAAACGTTGTCAGAGCCCGTATAGCATCTGAGAACCAAGGCCCAAGCTACTCTTAAAGTCTGCGGTATACTATCCGAGTTTCCTGAGACCAGAAGTCGCTGTGCATGTTGAAGATCTACTGCCGTCAACATCTGGCGCTTGTTGCCTCCAGTCAAACCACCGAAGCTTGGAAAATAGCATTGGCTCGGTTGTACTTCGTCATCGTTGCCGATACAGCAGGGCTTTCGATGGTACGCTTCCATTTCGCTCGACGGTATATTCAGCTCTATACAGTGTGGGGATTGAGGGCTAATTCTCAGCTTCTAGCATATGTAAGTGAATACTGTTGAGGCTTTGCGAAAGTCTGGCTCACACGTTGGCCTTAGATGGGTACATGTCTCATTTTATATATTTGATACGGATGCAGCGGTGTGAGGTGGATAAGAGCATAGATAGCAAAGGGGCACCTGTGAAAGGGTCCCTTCATGATAGACCCCCTTTTGGAAATTCACCTCGCCCTTGAAATCGCCGAGCCCATACCTAGCTGCAAGAACGGGCATCTCATCCTCGTGGTATCACTACAGCTCGTATATGCAACCATATGACCATATGATCCAGCGCCAGATACCAACGTATTATCCCGGTAAATACCACATACAACTCATGCTTCCTCTTGATATTCAATCCATGCAGGCCGTATGCTCGCCTCTCAAAATTCAAAAATTGTTAGTCTGTGACTTACCATTCATTTCCTGTGTCCACGTAGCCCTTCGTGTATGTCACTGGATTTGTCTCAACTAGACTACGGATTTAGCCGGGAGTATTAGACAAAGCCCAATGTGAATTGAGCTACGAAAGCATTTTTTCTGGACTGCACCTACTACTTCGCCGTCCCAACAAGGCCTATGCTGGAACGGAGTTCTGCATTGGAATCAACTTAGTAAGTCATCTTCAGGTCTTCCCTGCTTGTTCTTGGTCCAATGAGAGGGCATACCCAAGTCTTCAGCTAATATTCCATGCATTCTTGATAGAAAATAGAATAAATAAACGAAATACATGTGTCATGCCTGTGATAGTGAAGCGTCAATGGCTATTAGCCTCGGCGTAAACCATGCGCCTACATCTTGATCATAGTGGTCACCCTACCAAATGAGGATGTCAAAGACAGATGCCACTCTATATGTCCAATGCGACGTTTCTGAAAAGTTGCTTACAAGTTACTCCCTGTGTTCCACGGAAGTTACATTGCTTTGCCTTAGGTGGATAAGATCTCACTCCGGGGTCTGTAAGCCTTCGCGCAGGGAAAGGATTCTTCATCCACAGTAAACAGCTACTTTGTTCAATGAGATATTCCAGTAACATCAAATTATTACCTTCCAGGCTGTTTCCATGACACAGTTCTATGAGAGAGGTCAGAAGGGACGTTGCGTTCCACAGTAAAAAGTCTGTCCAATCCTTTAGTGTCTCGTCAAAATATCTCCGACTATACTTAACTCTTGTGCATATCCGATGTTCTCCGTAGTCACATCTCATTTTTTGTATATCCATGTATCGCGTTCATTCTGCAATGCTACCATATGTCGGTCTTCGTTCCGGAAGCATGACCCAGTTCTCCCCTGCTAGCCTTTGCCACGTTCTCTGTACTTATGTGATGATCACACGTTTTATGGGGTTTTGCTTTTTATACTTGGCAGCAATTACCAATAGTCGCGTTACGTATGCTGTAATTGACTTGATACCTGTCTTACTTTCGGTCGAGGTCGAGGTCGTCCTTGATCTAGACCACTGCTCCGCAAATCCTCATTGAGCAGACACATCCGTACTATAGCCAGTACACCATCGATCTAGAACAATCGAGACTCCTTCCGGGCCGACCGGCATCTTTCTCCTGATCTCAGATTCCTGGAACTATCGTGGAATAGTCTAAGCCTGTAAGTAGCTAACACTGTCACCCACATACATACATCTTGCATACAATGCCATACATACATCTTGTTTCAGCTTGCACAAACTGTTGGTACCCCCAAATAAATAAAAAGAAATAGCAAATGCTATTACTTACTTTTTCTTGCCCCACAGTTGGTTACACAGACGAAAACTCCTAGCTCCCTGCGACCACACGTAATCTGATATTATGTTTTTATCCGGTCACTGAAGCTTCGGAACTAGCGAAGAGTTTCTGAGTTCAAGTATTGCGTGAAGAGTATTGGTCATCCCTCAATTTACAGCAGGCTGGAATCAGGTTTAAAACATGCATGGTCGTACACAAGTACATTAGTCCTGACCACTGAGCTTCGAATCCAGACTGGATTTTTTTGCGACTAAAGACACAGCCTAGAAGTAAATTTTCCGGTTGCCACGAAGACCCTTGTTGCACACGCAACAGAATAGAAAATCTTTTTTAACACAAAGCCAATCGTAATCGTCTGAGTATAAGGGGCTGTGTATCGCGAAACTACAGCGGGTACTCTTTTCGTTCGCAAATACTGGGGAACCAGACCAGAAAACGTGTTTGTTATGACTTACGCTGGACAAACCGCCTCATCCGCGTCAATCTCTACAGATCTCTTCGGTCCCCAAGACCAATTCATATCATCAACACAGTATGGCATCACAAGAGTTATCTTGCCAGACACTCGACAGTACACTGCGTCTTCATGCGTCGTATTGTCGCGGAGGGTTTGACTTCACTCTGTTATTCGAAGAGAGTATACTCACTCTGTTGCCGCTTTGTTTATTTATTACAATTGCACCTTTACGAATCCTTTATCTGGTGAGAAAGAGGAGAAAGGTGACACATGGTGGGTTGTTACCAGTGAAAATTGTATAGTCAACATCAAGCCTTCGCCCATACATCCAGATGCACTTACTATTCTGTCATACCTAGACAGCATTTATAGCTCTGGGAGTGATCCAAACCATCCTCATCATATTATGGGCTCTTCCACCGGCGGAAAGGACTCCGGCCTCAATTCCAACAGCTGTAATCACAGTAGCAGGGACAGCTGTCTTTTTTATCCTCTCGTACACAGAGCACAAGAACTCAGTCCGGCCGTCTATCATGCTAAGCATCTACCTATTTCTCAGTCTTGCATTCGACATACCCAGAGCGAGAACTCTATGGCTGCGTCGGACAAATGATTACAATGGACTTATCGCGACTATGTTCACGGTCACCGTGGGAATTAAAACGTTAGCCCTCATACTTGAAGCACTCGAGAAGAGAGGTATTCTATTGCCTGAATACAGGAGCTATCCACATGAAGCAACAGCAAGTATATGGAATAGAAGCCTCTTTTGGTGGCTCAATCCATTGTTCCGAAAAGGATTCTCACAGCTTCTGGGCGTCGATGATCTATTCGTTCTCGACAAGCATCTAGCATCTGAGCGTATTGATAGCACCATGACAGCTATGTGGAATAATAAAGGTACTCATCCCTGAAAATGCGTCGGAGTCCTCAGAGGATTGATTATTCGGCCAGTAACAAGAAGAAATCCGCATTCACTATTCTTCGTCGCAATGAACACGTTAAAATGGCCTTTGTTAGCTGCCGCCACTCCTCGGGCATTCCTGATAGCGTTGAACTTCTGCCAGCCTCTGCTGATAAACAGAACTCTCATACTGTCAATACAGGATGTGACCAGTCAGACAAATAATTTCGGATATGGCCTGATTGGTGCATACGTACTGGTATATGGCGGGATAGCGGTTCGTAAATCATATCGTCTCTGCCCAATAGTAGGCTGACGAGACTCGTGTTAGATTTTTATGGGCCAATATCAACATATAACATATCGCGCCATTACCATGCTGAGGGGAGCGCTCGTATCAATGGTATACAGAAAGGCGATTCGACTCAATGCGAAAGACGTCGACCCCGCTGCTTCCCTCACACTCATGAGTGCTGATATCGAACGGATTGTCCAAGGCTGGCAGACAATGCATGAAATATGGGCTAATATTATTGAAGTTTGTGTTGCTATATACCTTCTGGATATCCAATTAGGGGTTGCTTGTGCTGTTCCCGTGGGAGTATCAATCAGTAAGTAAACGAACCTTTATTCTGTAAGTCAATAACATCGAGACCCTGACTATATTGGATAGTTACTCTAGTGGGTTCCATGATCACAATGTTTCTCGTCGTTTCTCGCCAGGCCATGTGGCTTGAAGCAATAGAAAGGCGGGTGTCTTTCACTACCTCCATGCTTGGATCCATGAAAGGTATCAAAATGTGTGGCTTGAAACAGGTCCTATTATCGAGTCTACAAAGGCTTCGCATTAGCGAATTGACTATCTCCAAGAAGTTTCGAAGACTTCTGATTTGGAACATGACTCTAGGTGAGGGCCTTTCTAATCTTCCTAAGTACCGCTGATATTCAACTCTGATAACCATTCTAGCATATGTGTCTCAAATATTCGTCCCCATAATCACATTCGCTGTATACGTGGCTATATCCCCCAAGAGTGGAGGCGACAGTATCCTCGACACAGCACGGATATACACTTCATTGTCACTCTTTGCACTACTCACGGATCCCCTGGCGTCGCTGGTAATGTCATTGGTATCATTCATGGGATCTCTTGGTTCTTTTACCAGGATACAAACTTTCTTGAGCAAAGAAGACTATATCGATCAACGTCAACTGCCATCGAAATCTTCGGAATCCTCAATCGACATTTCGGAGCATTCTATACCGTCATTTGGCTCTGAAAAAATAAGTATTGGTACAAAGACGTCCGAGATGAGTCGCTCAATAAAAGGTAATCTGAGAGAACTCTATAATGACGCAGTCACTGTGCATGACGGTCACTTCGGATGGGATCTCGGAGAACCTATTCTGAAATCAATAAATATTGTAATTCCTCGAGAAAAATTCGCCATTTTGGTTGGCCCCGTCGGATGCGGCAAATCTACCTTGCTTAAAGCTTTCCTTGGCGAGGTCGCCTGTTTGGAAGGGACTGTACAGCTTTCCTCGGAGAATATCGCATACTGTGACCAAAGTCCATGGCATCTAAATGAGACTATCCAGAAAAGTATAGCTGCAGTGTCTCCATTTGACCCGGCCTGGTATACCACTGTCATTAGGTCGTGCGCACTGGAGGAAGATATCCGCCTGCTACCTGCTGGAGATCAAACGATAATCGGAAGCAGGGGGGTTGCACTTAGTGGGGGACAAAGACAGCGAATCGTAAGTCTAATGGTCCCTGCATTTACCAACGAGTGCTAATATCAGATCTTAGGCGCTAGCAAGGGCCGTATATTCGAGACGGGAGATCGTCATCCTTGATGATTCGTTTAGCGGGCTTGATGCGGCCACAGAGAATCAAATATTTCATAGCCTAATAGGTAAAGATGGGCTGCTACGCCGATCTCGATCGACCGTTATCTTAGCCTCCAGCTCAGGTAGAGACGACCTTCATCGTCATCAGAATTTAAAAAAGAGATGCACAAAGCTGATTTTTGCACAGCGAAACGTATTCCGTACGCCGATCATATCATCGTCTTAGATACAGGAGGCCGTATTAAAGAGCAAGGACAATTTCACGCCCTTAATGCGTCAGGTGGCTATGTATCGAGCTTTGAGCTACCTCCTGCTGAATGGGACTATAAACCTGAGAAGCGCTCAAAGTCAAAATTGCTATCAAATGCCAGTTCCTCGCCGATTGCAGCGAAAACGGAACAGAGCATCGAAGCAGAAGCCAACAAGAAAACAGGAGATATCGCAGTTTATCTTTACTACATTAAGAGCATAGGAAAGCTCGGGGCTTTAATATTTGCTATCTTCATAAGCGCATTTGTCTTCTGCATTTCGTTTCCAAGTGAGCAACTTCTATCCTGATTCCACAAGTACAGTACTCGATATTCTAACTTCTTCATCAGGCATATGGGTAAAATGGTGGGCAATTTCGAACATAGAAGAGCCAGGGAAACACCTCGCTTACTACCTTGGAATATATGCTATGCTTGGTGTGTTGGCGCTTGGCTCTCTGGTCATCGCGTGCTGGTGAGTGAGGAAAGACGCATCTATGCTTCTGGCTAATTTTCTCAAACCAGGCAAATTATAATCACAATGGTTCCTAGATCAGGAGAGCATTTCCATTGGACTTTGCTGAATACTGTTCTGAGGTGATGTCTTATCTTTCATTTGTGTTGCGATATGCTAATTTCGAGTAGCGCTCCTACAACATTCTTCTCAACTACAGATATCGGCGTCACGCTTAACAGGTTTAGCCAGGACTTGCAGCTTATAGATATGGAGCTGCCTGTCGTTGCTCTTAACACATTTGCAAGTAAGTTCCAAACTTTAGATATGCTTTAATGAGTTTATTATCTTACCTCGCTTCTTGGACGCAAGCTGATGACATATGGGTAGCCTTTGTCCTTTGCATTGCGCAAATGACTCTCATTGGAGTATCATCACCATACACGGCTATCTCATTTCCCGCAGTACTAGCTATTCTATACTTCTGTCAAAAAGTCTACTTGCGAACCTCCCGCCAGCTACGTTTTATGGATCTTGAGTCAAAGGCTCCACTATATTCTCACTTTGCTGAATCTCTTTGCGGACTCCTCACCCTAAGAGCGTTCGGATGGCAACAGGCTATGGAACGAAAGAACCACCAACTCCTCGATAGGTCTCAAAGACCGTTTTATCTTCTCTTTGCTGTTCAACGCTGGCTGACATTGGTCTTGGATCTAATGGTCGCTGGCATAGCAACCCTCTTGATAATCCTCGTTGTAGAGCTACGCCCTGATCTTAGTGCTGGCTTCGTTGGTGTTGCACTTTTGAACGTCATAATGTTCAGCCAAAGCATCAAGCTACTGGTAACATACTGGACAAACCTGGAGACACATATTGGAGCCGTTGCTCGTGTGAAGGTTTTCAGCGAAAGCGTCAAGTCAGAAGACCTACCAACAGAGAATGGCCCAGTTCCAACATATTGGCCCTCAAATGGTAGCATTGAATTCAAAGATGTCTCAGCAGCTTATACGTTAGTTCAATGCCCTTCTACTGTATAAATACGTCTTGAAACTAACCAGCTATCAGACCAGACGAGCTTGTACTCCGCAATATATCTTTTTCTATACAGACGGGTGAGAAGATTGGGATTTGCGGAAGGACCGGGAGGTAAGCAAAAATCTGCTCCATAGAAGGTTACAAGCTGACGATCCCTTCAAGCGGTAAGAGCTCTCTGGTCCTGTCTCTATTCCGCATGATTGAGCTATCTTCCGGCACAATAACCATCGATGGTATTGATATTTCCACCATACCCCGCCAGGAGATCCGTTCTCGCATCATCGGTGTTTGTCAAGATCCATTTCTAATTAAAGGAACTGTACGACTAAACGCCGACCCTACAGGATTGTGTTCAGAAAATGCCATAATTAATGCCCTGGAAAGCGTACAGTTGATGTCTGTAATTCAGGAGAAAGGCGACTTGGACACAGATATAGATGAGCTTTTCCTCTCACATGGCCAGAAACAGCTATTCTGCCTAGCACGAGCAATGTTGCGTCCGAGCACAATTCTAATCCTTGATGAGGCAACCAGCAAGTAAGGAAAATTAAAAGCGAAACCTGCAACACAGTGCTAACTACTTGCTTACCAATAGCATCGACAGCAAGACTGAGAACATTATGCAGCGTATCATCCGTGAGAATTTTGCGAATCATACCATCATAACAGTTGCGCATAAATTAGATACTATCCTTGACTACGACAAGATCGCTATGCTTGAGGCAGGCCGACTTATTGCGTTCGACGATCCGTATACATTGTTGTCCACAGACTCTGCTTTCAGCAGATTCTATGCAAACGCTGCTGCCGAGGAGTCAGATTAGGAAGAGATGGACTGACCTCGTAATTACATACGAGACTCGATCAATGGCCTGGTTCTTCCAGGGTTAATGCTACGCGGACGGTGTAGTCCCATCAAAGCACAAAAACAAAAAGAGCAGTAAATTGCATGACGAAGGACATGAATAGTTTAACGCAAATGCCTCTCATTTTCTTATATGCTTTCTGGTTGAATTTATGTTTCTATGTCCTATTATGATTTAAGCTACTGAAAACAAATTGAAACTCTGAAGTTCGGGTAATTGGCGACTATTCTTACATATATGATTTTGTAAGGTTGATCGAGATGCTGATTTTAGGATTATTCCCCCAGGACCTGATACGAAATCCGATGAGAAGACACGCCTAAATACTCCTCCCTTCAGTAAGATGAAATTAGCCAAACATCGTCATGTCCCCTCGCCATCATGAAAGTACAGTATAAGGGGATCTCAGAACACAGAACAATGAGATTTCGAAGTGCTACAAAGAAGTCAGGGTTCGTAGCAACAGGCTACGAGAGCACCATGGTGTCTTCATTGTCCTCTTCATCTGCCTCAACTGCGCCAAACTCCCAGTCGCCTCGCTCGATCCGGCTCACACGATCCAACTCCGCCTGGTATTCCCGACGCAGGTGGTCAAGAGTGACTATGACCCTCCGGCGTGGCTTATTTGACTCATGGAAGCCATTGAATCCAGCACCACCACCTATAGACGATCTGCTATCTCTGCGGCCACTCAAGTTGAAGCCTCCACTAGAACTTGCCCTGTGACTTGCAGACGGTGAACCAATGCTAACATCATCCATGAACACGTCGTCGTCCTTTTGCAGGCTGCGGCGTCTGTTAGGTTCCCCACCGGAAAGAGATTCTTCGGTTTCGACGAAGATATAAGCCTCACTCTTCTCAACGCAGGCAAGCAGGTTTATCAGAGCGAGAAGTTCGTGTCTTATCTCTTTGCTCTCCAGGTCATCTTCCTCGATCATGCGTTTTGTATCGTCGTTGTCATTGTTCTTCTTGAATATCAATTGCTGAGATGGGGCATCTCTTGCTTTCCGTAGTCGCTGCACGATTTGGTAGCCCACCTCGGCCGCACCACGGAAATCGTTGCGTGAAATCCGATATGCGTGGAGAATCCTCTGATAGTCAGGACTCCTATTGCTGGGTTCAAGAGGAGAAATGAAGGAAGTCTGCCTCTTGGATAGTGACACAAGTGTATCATCAACGTAAGATGAGAGGTGGGGAGTGAGGGGAATAGGTAAGTGGAGAAGCTGCTTAAGACCCGCGGTACCGGGGCCTGACACTGAGAGTATGCTGGTGATCAGGGAGCCGAGCGCGGATTTCTGCAACGCCAAATCTGTGTAGCGGGAGAGTGCCGAGTAAGCCTGGTCGAATTGACAGGTCTTCAGGGATGCATGGAAAAGTCGTGATAGTAAGTCGGTGCGCAGAGAGGCGTAGTCCGAATCACGTATGGAATTCTTGTTATCGCACTCGAGAGCTTGCAACGCAAGGATCGCAAAGTCAGCGACATAAGAAAATGCCCTAGCATGTTCGAATAGAGTAAGAATATGCTGGAAATATTTGGGAAGCCCATTATTGAAGTTATCAACGGAGAGAATATCGATAAGGCCAGACGACATCTCGTGGAGATTCCCGAGAGCCCTTCCGGAAGCTAGAGGGAAAAGAAGTCAGCATTGCAGCACACGAATTCATGCTATGCATATAACTCACAAAGTAGATGTGCGGCCTTCTTGAAGTAAACGGCTGCCATGTCATATTCTGACTTCGCGATGCACAGTCGGCCTTTCACATAAGTTGCCCACGCAGTAGTCGGTTGGAACCGCCAGAAATCAGACGCAAGGTTGATATTCCCGTTGGCGATTAGATCGCATTGTATAAAGACCAGGACATTAGGATAAGCAACTTCACCCTGTCTTGTCACCCATGATATCACATCACGAATGCCATAAGTCAACGTGCAAGTCTGCGGTATACCAATTGGTGGGCGAGGTTTTATGTGGACGGCAAAAAGATCCTCGAGAATTGTAGTAACCCTGACATTTCTGTTTTTTGTCTCTGGGTTCTTTAGTGAGAAAGTTGAACCTGCCGTCTCAGACTCTTCAAGATGCCGTTCAGTGCGTTTGCGGGTGTGCGAACCCAACCAAGACATCATCTCGTACTCTCTCAGCATATCAACAAGCGTAGAGAACAGGTCGACCGCATCGAAGGTCGAGCCTTCCTCCTGGTTAATCTCTCCATCCAAGAAGACTACAAGGATTAGAAGATCATAAAGAACCTGTTTCGTGTGCAGTATCATCTCTTGAGCACCGTTGACCGTAGCTCGGAGTCCAAATACAGTACAGAGAAGATCCGAGTCCTTTCCTGGGAAACCTAGCGGTGCCGTGCTTATAATGGAGTAAAAGAGCTCGCTTGGGAGGTTGTATATGTTCAAGTGCTCATTCATGGCAGCGCAGAGATTGTCAAAGGCCTCGTCAGTGACGCGTTCACCGAGTTCACACCGTTCTTGGAAAGCTGCCATTCGATCTGGAACGGAAAGGGATGGTTCAACGAATATCTCTGCATGCAAGGCGGCCTGGCAGGCTCTGTCAACTTCAGGGGATAGTCCTTTCCTGAAGCCTGCAGCGACATTGATTAGATACGGTGTCTGCTCGTATAAGTCACCTAACTCCGACTCAACATTCCGGTGCCGCCAACGATCGCCGATTTTGGCGATCTCATCGCGCAACACTGAGCCTGAGTTATGAAGAACCAGCTCTGTAGCGCTGCATTCGCGTACGAGGATGCAGGCATCCGACAACAATACCCACGGCATATCAGCATATGTATCGTAAGCAAGAGATAACGGCTCCATTCGCCTTTGGTTGATGTCGTCGGCTATCTGCCAAAACTGCCGCCACTTGGTATCCGTATCAGTTCTGTATCTGGTGAAGTCCATATCATCCTCGGAATACTTCCGCAGGGACACTGTCGCTGCGATAGTAGAGCAGAGTCTCTCCTGCAACGGTACGCTTCTCTTGAGTGCAGAAGCCGAAGACATGGGTCTTAGGGCTTCTTGGTAGGCTGCTAGAGCTGTCTCTAAAGTCTCAGGCGAGTATCTCCCAGGACTGAAAATATATTCCAACCACTTCTCGGTTGGATCAACCGCATCTGAAGATACCATAGCCGGGGGTGGTTCATGACGACGCAGTTCCATGGCCGATGAAACCCAGTTAGTCGACCAGTCCTGAACCAAACTTTGGAAGTCGAAGTGTAGACTGTTCAACTGGTACAGACTTTTGTTCCGCCACAAAACCCATAACTCCATGTGCCGGCCCTCCTCCATGGGTCTAATCTGGAAATCAGCGACACTCCAGAACATGTTTCCTGATGGGTCCGGATCAGGGACTTTGAGAGTGGCGTCGGGGAAGAGGTCTTCGATGGTTAACGGCGCCGTTAAACCTCCCTTGACAGCCCAGAACTTGAAAATTCCATCCTCATGCGGGGAGTAGGTAGCGATGTAGTATCGATGACCGCCATCCATTGCCCTCTCAGCATTGAACACCCGAATGAAGGATGAATCTGCCGGGTTGAGGGTATACGAGGGTGTGTCCTGAGGCTGTACCGGGCGGTTCAACAGATCTTTCGAACCAACCAGCTTATTCGACGCCAGGTTCCATACTTTCAACGTGTGGTTTAGGCAAACGGCGAAGACATAAGTCTGGTCAGAGGTTGTTGCAATAGCAGTAGCGGTTGTCTGATCAAGGTTACGACCATCGAATCGAATCGTTGGCTGGGCATTCCACTTCACAAGGCCGCGTAGCGACGCACCCCAAGTCTTCTCATCAAACGTAATTGGCGACCAGTGGGAGCCTATAATGAAGCCGAGTCAGTGTCTACTAGCAGGAAGTAAGTTCAAGGGTAAGAAAAGGTATACCATCGTCTCCAGCTCTCCTTGTCAAGCGCAGTAGCGCTCCACTGTCCAAGGAGATAAAAAGTTCGTATGGGCTGCTGGCATGGAGTCGATGCGGATATGAAAAAGCCAAGGGCGCTGGTGTGGACGTCTTGCACCAATCTGATACATTTTCATCAATTGAAGATGTCCTCCGAAAGAATTCAGGCCGCAGGGTCAAAGTGTGCAATTGTTTTGAGACAGTGAGCACGAACACATTCACCACCTCATGATCTTCCGGATCCGCAAGTGCAACTCCTGACGGGATAATCGCCTCCTGGAAATCCAATCGAAGTCTAACGTTGGCTTCATGATGCTCATGTGCGCTCCTGGTTAAGTCGGCAGACTGGATCTCCAGGACTCTGTTGTCGTCGACCACCCTCCAGACAAAGGCTCGTGGATAAGCCTTTCGCTGACGGAAGTATATGGATCCTTGGGTCGCTAGATATCGTTTCACGAATTCCTCCTCATCCTTAGATATCGGTTCTTCCTGCGCATCGAATGGTGCTATCGAAAACCTAGCTCGACGCTGCGCGCCATCCTGGGTCGGAATCTGGATGTTGACGACGGTGCTGGGGGACACTGGTCGAAGATCGACCTTGGTCTCCTTGTAAATTTTCGCCATTGCGGATCAAGGACAGCGCAATATCTCCCACGTATTCAGATATATGCGCGTCAAGTCTCCATGGCGGTTAGTTGGCGTCGTGTGGGATCTCGCTGCGTATGAAGGGCGCGGAAGCTGGAGCTCTCGAGCTGCTCAAAAAACACTTTCTTGGCGTTCTCCAACGCGCACCGCCTTGCCTTTCGGGATAAACTGCGCTGTTCCCCGCAATGCTTGTCCCCGTCTCTTTCGTGTCTTTGATATTAACTAGTCTTGTGTACTAGATTGCGAAGTCCAATGTGGTTTTATAATTGTCTATCATTACTTGATAAATTGTGATTGGGACACAACTTACGCAGGAAAGCTTTTTTTATTAGGAGTCACGAAGTCATTGAGGCAGATAACTATTCTTCACTCATATAATCCAGACGCCTAGTACTATGCCACAAAACAAACGTACAACTGAAGCAGAGTAATGCATGACACATGATAAAATCATAATGGGCTTCTCTCCCACCCTACTCCTTTTCCAGGTCCTTGGGACTCGGATCACCGATACCGTCCTCATTAATTGCGAACAAACAGTCACTTTCTGGTAGACACGGGCTATCATAGATCTTGCAAATTCGAGTCTCGCCTCTTCCCTTCTTTAGACTCAGCCTGGTGGTGCTTGCATGAGCTATTATATTACCACCAATTGGCTTCTTGGGATCGGGATTGAACATGGCACTAGGTCCACCGTCCACTTGAGCCACGACCTGATTCGTGATAACGACAGCAATCCCAAATACATCAGCTAGGCGCTGCAATGTCCTCAAGAACTTTGCAAGGTGCGTCTGACGACTCGAAAGCTCACCACGTCCGTTGAAGTCCGTACGGTAGAGGGACGTAGCGGAGTCAACGATGAGGAGTGAAAACCGCGTCTCGCACATCATCTGGGATGCCTGGTTGAGCAACTGCAGTTGATGATCAGAGTTATAGGCTCGGGCATATGCGACATTATCCAGGACTTCTTCTCCCACAAGACCGTATCGCTGAGCAACTGCTAGCAATCGGACCGGACGGAAGGTACCTTCTGTATCGATATACAGGCATTTTCCCTCTCCGCCACCCATATCAAATGGAAGCTGACAGGTCACAGCGAGGGTATGGCAGAGCTGACTTTTTCCAGTCCTGAATTCTCCGAAAATCTCGGTAATTGATCCCGTTTCTATACCTCCCGCCAGAAGAGTATCCAGCTGTTTCGAACCCGTTGTGATTGATATCAGCTCACTTCGCCGAGCATGCATCTCAGTGGCCGTCGTAAACCCCATGGGCACGAGTTTGGCAGCTTCGTAACGAAGATATTAGTCTCCTATCCTTATTCAAGAGTCTGACAACCGATTATGACGACTTACCCTCGGCTAAGACCTTGGTCGCCTTTTGTTCAGAGATGCCCTTGATCTGCTCCAATACTCGTTTGGGACTGTAGAACAGTATTTCGGTCAGAAAATTCTCTTTCTTGCATACTGGCTGAAATATTTCGCTTTTAGCATAAGATCGCAGGTATCCTTACGTGTATGCTACGTCCTCAACAGTATGGAACCCTCCATCAACGAAGAGCTTTATATCTCGTGCCGTCAGACCCGCAATGCCCTGTTAAGCTGTCAGAATATCCATTGAACCAGAGCAATATAGTTTGCGTAACGCGTTGCAATTTCTTCCCCCGGTAGGTCTTCTTACCTCTAGAGCAGACAGAGGCGTAGGCGCTCCAGGGTCAGGAAGGCCATTATCCTCAATTTCGTTCTGCGATTCCATATCGGCAACCATCTGTCTAGGTAAGAAGGATAAATTTGTCTGAGTAGCAAGTAGACCCTCTCCTTGTCTCGACTGCCGGGAAACACTCAGACGCCAAACCACGCGCTCGGGATTGTTTCAATGTACGATGTGAAACTCCAAATATCGAAGAAACAGCTGCTGCAGTCCTCACCGTGAGGACGCCGATTCAAAGAAGCAGGATTTTTCGGTCTTTTCGCTGTGGCAAAGATGGACTGGACTTTGTTGTTGTGTCGATTGACTGAAGGCGCTTCCCGACGCGTCGCTGCCTGTCGCGAGGTCACGTGCGCGGAATCAGGCTGCTAAGTTGGGAAATCTAGAACATTCAAGTCACGGTCTCTACTACAGTTCCGAAGAAACATAGTTTGAATGGGTATCAATCCGCCTTACAGTGTCTAAAGATTCCTTATTTATTCAATAATAGGAGACTTTAGAGATATACACATCAGATAGTCCAAAGAACAAAACTAGGATACTTCGTCATTTCAATTACCGTACCTTCATTCTCGCCAGACGGACTTTCATCCCCGAGGATCCTGACGTCTTGGATCAGGATTGCTTCTGAATACATCTCCGCTGAGAGCACTGTTTATGTCCTCATTTTGTAACTTGAGGATGCTGTTTCGCGGTGTTCCCAGCTGTCCCGTCTCTGCAACGTGCGATCGTCTATGGTTATTCATGGCCTCCAAATCAACCTGGCGACAGTCATTTTCTGGATCCACTGTCTGCCAGTGGGAGCTCATTCTCTCGTTGAGCAGACGGGTCACTGCTTCTCCAAATTCCTCAGAGGCATCGTCGTGAAGGCGACTGACTGGTAAAAAAGTAGTTTAGCAATATACCAATTACTTCGATCATGTTCTGAATAACTCACAGCCCGTCTCTGGTCTTCGACCATAGATGTCTAATGGTATGGTCGCATTCATATTGCCACTATCTGATTCGCTGTATCTGTTTAAGTTGATCATAGAACCTGACGTGCGAGGAGTGTGACTTTGACAAGTCTCGGAGTAACTTTTCCGTCTCGAGTCTAATCTTTCCAGGGCAAAAGTGTTTTGCTCATTCTCGTCCTCAGGGCCTGTTTTTCTCTTGGGGACGCTTGAGTAGCTTCCACGATATCCTGGAGTCAATGCATCATTCAGGTGAAGTCCTGGCGGCGCAGTTGGGAGTCTTTGTCGCTCCTTCGAGTTCGCCACGACAGTAGATAGCTGAGCTGCCAGACGAGAAGGGCTGGGTGATCTGCTGCCTACTGGAGTACCCGACTGATATGGACTGGGTACCGGCGTGTTGTGGTTCGATATCCAGATACCTTCAATCTGAATTCCACTTTCGAGTGCCCTCGCACCGAAAGGTATATCGTCTCTCCTCGTATCACTGCTATCTCGGTTCTGGTTTAGATCAGTCTTCTGGTAGAGGTTTGTTGCGCCCAGTTTTCTGATCGTCCGCTTATTGTAGGAAAGGATGCACAGCGCATAGACAAGTACGACGAACTAGGCGCACTGTCAGTGGGTATCTCAGGTTATTCCTCACAAAAATCTTACTATAAGGCCACCAAGAACCTGTAGGCAACCGCAATCAGTATTTCTTCTCTCGGAATGGAAACATGACCCAATCTTACTAGGCACATTTTCTCCCACAGCTGCCATCCTGTCCAGAATGCCATTGTCAAACCGGGGCTTAGTTTGTAGTCACTTCTGACTCGTTGTCTTCGTCAGATCTCCAACTACCCAGCAAGACAGTCAATGCAGGTACAGAATTGTAATGGGTTGAGACGGCTCTCTTGGGTCCGGCCGTGAAGTTAAAACGTTGTCATCCAGACAATAGGATGTTTTTATTGTTGACAAAAAGAGATATTGTATGGCGTTTATACCAGAAAAGAAGCACACGGGGAGTCCCTTGATCCTGTTCGAGCAGGAGAGGTTAACACTGGCAAGCGAAAGCAAGATGTCACGCGGCTTGAGAAGTCGTGATCTACTTCGAACACCTCGTTAGGAATCATAGACCACAACTCAAGAGTCGCTACTTAGATTTCAAAAGAGTGCTACCTACCTGATTTGTATGTTCTGCGTCCTTACTGTGTGCGAAATAGAGTGGGAAAGAACGACTCTACATTGACGGTTCCCGACGTCTACTGAAGTTCACTTCCATAGTGCGAATTTGCGTACAGCTGCTCTTCACTTCGCGAGTCTGTCAATGTATGTACATACGTCTGTTTCATACTATGCACCGGGTAAGAAAGAATGGAATATGACTCCCAGACAAGTGAGGCTCACGGCCCTGGAAATTGACATATACTCGGTAGCCGGCGTTTGCTCATCTGCGGGTATGCGGCTTAAGTCTTTGTGCTACCATCCAACTCATCTTAGGCACAAAGAGAGTTGAGGGGTCTCCTTAATCCCTGCGCGATCCCAGTGGATAGACTAGAGGTGTCTTTCTGAGATTTGTCTTCTCTCCGTAGTATGGGCACGTTTCGTGCTGCCTTGGCTGATCCTGCTTTTACGTCTAGTGGCCAAGTTTTATATACCTATTCTCATGGCTTTCTGCCAGTCGACCAAAAAGGAGAACTCGTAGTCTGTCTGGATCTAACATATCCCTTGGGCTCCTATGACCAGAAACGATTGGGTAGCTGGATGATCTAAGTGCTGGTGTTCTCTTACGTCCATCTGTCTGAGTGGCATCTCCGCGTGACTGCCTTGTTCCATATTTCGTATTTTATCGCTGTCTCGCCCATCCAGCATGCAGATTTCAGAGAAACGAGAGATGACCACAAAAAAGCGGGGGAAAGACCTATACTTTTCAGGAATAATACGGACTCTGTTCCTACCGATAGGTCGAAATAGCGACCAAGGCTTGTCGTTCCGGGTCCTTGCTGGCACATGGGGCGAACCACTCAATAAATTGGTTAACTACCTAGGTAACTATGCCATTAAAAGTAAAAGGCTGACTACCTACCTAAGTTGTGTAGAAAATAAAAAAAAAAGAAACTGAAAAAGATAGACAGGTTTCTAAAAGAGTAAAAAAGAAACAAAAAAAGCAGTTGTGCGACCTAACAGCCAGCTTCCCTGTAACGGGCAGGTGTAATCTGGTGCCGCCATCCCAGAGTGAAGATGTCTCTGCAGAATTGCTTCCCTCAAGGGTCATCTTCATTGCTTAACGCGTTGTAGCGATCGTGGATTACTCGCACGAGTACAACAGCGACTCCAGGATTCGAACCAGGCACCTTGCCCGCTGGTAATTACCTAAGCAGGGTTGCCAGCTTTACAGTCGCCCTTCCACTAGACTATCCATGACAGATCGGAATTAGAACCTTTCTTTGTTTTATAACCCAGTCCCACTCATCCCCAAAATCATATGGGAACGGAATTGTCTAAAGTATCTAATAATGAGAATGAAGAAGGAAATTCCCCCAAGGTTGCTAACGGCAATGATCATACACTATAGATCGCCAACATTATTGTATAACAATACATATTACCTACCACTTAGGCAGAGAATTAGCTACCAGGTAACTAGGGACTATCCTCTATGGCCGCTTGCGAACAAAAGCAAAATCTTTCATTCGGACCTTTCAACCTTGGCATGCACCAACATCTCCCCGCTTGTGGACCGTCCCTGGTGGCGAGAGTATTCTAAGAGTAACTCTAAAGGAGCAAGGAACAGCCGACGATCGTACATGTATCGGCCAACCAAGTTATCTATACGTAGGGTCTGTGCCACAGCGTAACGAGAATGATGCGACCACTGCCTCGGTCAGATTACAACCGTGGCTTTCCAGTCCGTTTAGCGTCAGCTCCGATCATAATATTAATGCTGCGCATCAGTCCATGTCGGTGTGGACGAATACGGCAGAGCAGCAGAAGGAAGTTGTCCCCTCCGGCCCTCCGATCATGTGAGTCTGGAGCAACCCAATCTCGTCCCTCGTAAACCCAAAAGGAGCGATCTTTCCAATTACCGCCCCGTCATCTCTGCATTTCTCTTATCGTTGTTACCAGAAGTCTCATACATTTAAAGCGCGACCATACTATATTCCATAGAGACCAGATCTGGCCGCCATGGCTCCGTTCCGTAATTTCTTGGGCAAAAAGCCCACAGCCGTGGCTGATATCCAACCTACTGTTAACGACGAGAACCAACGCTCAAGTCCCTTGAATGTGAGGCGGAGTCAGGATGAGGGGCCTAATGAGTACAAGATGAGTGGTAGGTCACAATTTACGACGGGGTGACTGTATAATGTCACCACTCTCGTGGGCATTGCGGCTTGATGACCGACCTATTGCAGTGGTCAACGACAGCGGCATCTATCTTCCTGTAGGGCTTCCCAGTGACCTCTAAGCATTTGTCGATCGCGCTTGGTAGGATTTACAGCTGACGAGCAATTGACAGCCGTCGCCCCCAGAGAAGCAGAGTTTCTGGAGCAAATACCCCGGCTCGGCTGGGTCGTCGAACCACCGAAGTCTGGTGAATGAGAATGAGCCTTTCTCTATTTCACGAGAGTCCTTCGACTCATACCGTCGATCGTTTGTTAGTGCCTGAGAGTTTCCTTCGGCTCAATTGCAGGGAGAAAGATTAATTCTCTGCACAGGACATTTCTGCGCGCTCGCCTGTCAGCCAAGTCGATACACTACCTTCTCGTACATCTCTCGATTCCCGGTTTTCGCGCATTACTTCGCGGTCGGCAATCAATGGAAGCACGTTCGATCGACCTCAATCGATGGAGGAGGAACGATTCGAAGACGTCGTCCTGGGTGACGATGTCAAACCAAGAAAGAAGGGTATCTTCTCTCGCATCGGTGAAACCTTGAGCGAGACGCCCTCTACCACCAATAACAGCAGACCGTCCTCCTCCTATCTTGGATTCCTACCTGGTAGGAAACGGACTCATAGCGGTCAGGGGTCCGAACTAGGGAGCGTGAATGCGCAAGCTCAGAGAACGGAAGTGGAGAGTACTGTATGATGATCCATGGAAGGAATACGGAATTGACTCATTGCACGGGAATGGCGGCGTTCCGGGTTGGTCTATTTATATTGGGGCAATCCCTCATCTTGGAGTGCTCGCCTGTCGAGATCAGAGGGTTGGGACATAATATTGGTCTACGAGACGCCGACGGTGGCTGGCCTGATCTTTTCGTTTCGTCTGCATACTACTACTTTACTTTCGTTTGGATCTCTAGTGCAGGCACTGATTACAGAGGGAGCAGCCATAATTTCGTGAATGATTGTCACCGACGTGGACATAACTCGTATCTGAGCCTTTATTAGGTTCATAACAGGTATAATTAAAGCCGAGAGTTTTGAACAGTGATCGTTTTTGAATATTCCTTTCGTGGGAGGTCCTCTTGAAAACCTGGTCAACAGATGTTGCGTTTCTGATCTTTATATCCTCCTCGTTCGTCTATAATCTAGGGAGATATGATCATACTAAGACCAGAGAGTCCAGCCAGCATCCATTGTATATAATTCGTGAGTCGTTTATCCAGGGAAGATGAATTTGTGTTCGGGATGCTCAACGTAACTCGAAAATTCTTCTATGTTCCATTAATACCAACATCATCCAAACCATAATATCAGAAATAATAAAGCACAGCTCTTTCCGATTAAAAGTCATTCCCATGATACCATCATCTTTCCCTTATCTCCCATTGATAAATGCTGCGTGGGTCCAGATGTAGTGCAAACACAGCAAACACCACCGGGACCCGCGAAAAACGTCCCCGGCGATAATTTATCCAGAAAAAAAATATCGAGCAGCAAAGGCGGTGGGCACAGCTGCCAATTTTTATTATTTTCCCTACCGATTTAATTTATAACCGGGAATCCATCCAATCTTGCAACTGAGAGAATCATCATGGCTGGAATCAAGCGCCGCGTTGAAGCCGGCGAAGATCACGGTGGTAAAAGAACCAAAGTGAAGGATGCGCTCAAAAGCTCAAAGTCCACGAAGAATGGCGCTCCCGCTTCTGCTCCTAAGTCGAAATCAAAGAAGGAAGTGAAGTCGACAAAGGTGGAGAAGAAGAACAAGAAGAAAGTTGTGGAGAGCGAGTCAGAAGAGGACGAGAGTGAAGATGATGAATTCGATTCTTCCATGGGGGAATCTGAGATCTCTGAGGACGAAGCCGATCATAAAGATGGCGACGTTGATATGGGCGATGCTAGCGATAGTGAGGAGACCAAGGAGAACGGCGATAAGAATGCTGTTGCGAAGAGTACGATCCCGTCTATGATTTCGTCTGACGCCGGTGATGTTTTATGCTGACTTTGCTTTGCACTTCAGATGGAAATTCCTCACGCGAATCACACGCCAAACAGAAGGCATTGCAGCAGGAGCGCAAGGCCGCGAAGCCGAATGCAGACTTGATCGCTCGGTCCAAGAAGCTCTGGGAACGATTGCGCCGCAAGTCCCATGTACCCAAGGACGAGCGGAAGAAGCTTGTTGCGGAACTCTTTGAGATCATCACTGGTCGTGTCTCCGATTTCGTGTTTAAGCACGACTCCGTCCGTGTTATTCAGACCGCTTTGAAATACGCTACTCCTGAACAGCGGAAACAGATCGCTGGGGAACTCAAGGGCCGGTATAGGGATCTCGCTGAGAGCCGTTACGCCAAGTTCCTTATTGGTAAATTGCTTGTGCATGGAGACAACGAGATTCGTGATATGGTTATTCCCGAGTTCTACGGGCACGTAAAGCGCCTGATGAGACACCCGGAGGCCTCTTGGATTGTGGATGACATTTACCGGACCGTTGCTACGAAGGACCAGAGGTCGAGACTTCTGCGTGAATGGTATGGTGCAGAGTTTGTCATCTTCAAGGTTGGTAAGGGAGAAGATGTCGTTGCCGACCTGTCGCAGATTCTCGCGGAGAATCCCGAGAAGAGGGGCCCTATCATGCAATACCTGCTTGAGTTCATCAACCTGCTCGTCCAGAAGAAAGCAACTGGCTTTACGATGCTGCACGACGCCATGCTACAGTACTTCTTGAACACGAAGCCCGGCAGTACTGAAGCGAACGAATTCATCGAATTGATTAAGGGTGACGAGGAGGGAGATCTCGCCAAGAACATGGCCTTCACAAAGTCAGGATCTAGGCTCATGTGCCTATGCCTAGCTTACTCGAATGCGAAGGACCGCAAACACCTGCTCCGATTCTACAGAGACACTATTAAGATGATGGCTGGTGATCTACACGCCCACATGGTCCTCTTGGCCGCGTACGAAGTCGTGGACGACACCAAGCTTAGTTCCAAATCGATCTTCCCCGAGCTTCTGAACCAAGGTTCGGCGGAAGAAGCCCGTTACGAAGAGCTTCTCTGGCAGGTTAACGACATAACTGCCCGCATTCCTATCCTCTTCCCCTTTGCAGGAGATAAGGTGAAGTGGCTGCTCCCTGAGGCAGACCAACCAGTCTTGAAGGAGATCCGCGATATCAGACAGGAGACCTCTAAGAAGGAACCTGCCATCCGTCGTCTGGAGCTTGTCAAGGCGGCATCCCAGACACTGCTCGAGTTCATTGCTGCGAGAGCGGAGTCTCTGATGGAGACTACCTTCGGATGCCAATTCATTGTTGAGGTTCTCTTTGACGCTGACGGCGACAAGTCTGCAGCGCTCAACGCTGTTGCCACTGCCGCTAAGTCGAAGCCAGAAGCCAAAGAGGCCGCCCACGTCGGACGTATGCTGAAATCCTTGGTCCAGGGTGGACGCTTCAACAACAAAGAAAAGACCATTGAGAAGGTGGAACCCCCGCTCAAGTTCAATGCCATCCTGTATGGACAGATCCAAGACGAGATTATGGCCTGGGCTGCAGGCTCGAATCCTTTCGTGGTTGTGGCGCTGGCCGAATCCGACGATTTCGACAAGAAAGATGAGCTGCTCAAGACACTCAAGAAGAACCGCAAGGCTTTGGAGAAAGCTGCCTCCGCCTCTACCGCTGGAGAGGATGGGAAGAAGAAGGCGAGCCCTGCCAGCAGTGGCGCCAAGCTCTTGCTCGAAAAGATCCGATAAACATCTTGGACGCTTCTCACGACATTCTTTCAGGGCACAGTCACCTTTTCAAAAATCGTCTTTGGCTGCATTTATATCCTATTTTACCGGAGGTCCATGTATTGTACCATTGGGTTGGCATTTAGAGCTATTTCTGTAGATAGTAATCATCCAAAAAGTTTCCCTCATGTGGCGATTCTCACACTCTTGCCAACGCTTTTTATGTTTTATGCGTCCGCATAAAGGAGCGATCGCGTAGTCGATTCACATTGCTTTAACGGTGGGTTTAGTAGATCATACCGGGATCTCCCATGCAGCCGGTAAGATTAGCTTATTTTCTTTTTCCTACTTGGTTGAATTCTCATTCCCTTCGACCGCGATATTAGAGTAGCATACAGTTAGTGATCCCCATTATTGTTGTTGATTCTGGATATAGCGCACACGACCGCAGAGTCTCAAAGTTCCGCAGCGAGTCCCAAGCCTTCTGGTTATTGGGACAAGCCACTGTTGGAACCGTGGACGTTGATTCCGTTCACGGATACACAAACCCATGGCGCTTTCAGGGGTGGCAGCGCCCATGCGCCCCCGTTCCTGGCTTAAGCCATTTTAGAGTAATTTAGTATCTAGGCCGTCTGCGGTAGAGGTCGGACGCCAGCAAAACAAGGGACTTTTTCGGGCGTATTTGACGTGTGCCGTGAGCCTTTCAGCAGAAAGAATCATTACCCCAGTCTCTTGGACCTGACATCGCACCAGAGCCGAGTAGAAGGCTCGTGGATTCGCCATTTTTGTCCCCAGAAACGGTCCAGATCACAGTTATATCCACTGCGGTTTGGCTTGGTGGGCGCGGTGGAGATCTGGCTTGCACCGATCACTACCGGTTGCGGCGAAAAAAGAGGGTGCAACTTCAGGGACAAACCGTCCTCCAGATCGCATCCCGCGACCTTTGCGAAGGTTGCACACTGTTGAACCTTTTTGTTTTCTGGAGGCTCAGCAGTGAAGTCATTCTTTTTGCCCTTTGCATTCCTCTCCCAGCCCTGCGCCTACGTGGCTGTCCTCTGTCTTACCCCAGGCTCTGCTGTCATTCTGTCTAGGCCCACATTCTGCGGGTTGATACATCGCATTTCTGTCGGCTCCGAAGTTTTACGATTGCCTACAATTACAAACAGATGTCCTGATGTTGGGTCAATTCAATCGACAAAGGTGATATCAGCATCAGATTCGGCTGCTTCCATAATATAGGGTCCATTGTCATCCGCACGGTGGATAGCTTCTCGCGTGTTTCACGATTAATAGTTAATATTGTTTGCTGCCATGTTAATGACGGCACATCAGAACCAGAGTGCGCTTGGACGCGTCTCTGGCGGAGATGACCAGAATCAGGACCAGGATGTGATGCAGATTTCCGTTCCGCCATCCCCGACTCTGACCAACCCGGATATGATCTTGCCCTGGGACGACACCGAGCGTCAGCAGTCGACGCCGTCTCCGCCCTTCAACCTGCCCTCCCTTGAGTCGCTCGCCAATATGCACTCGTCCTACGGTGGCCAATACTTCCAGGGAGACGCCAATCAGAATGCGGGGGCGGACAATTCACAGATCGGAGTCGCCATCTCAGTGCCCGCTCGACCAGAGAAGAAAGTGTTTCCGCGGACTATGTGGTTGTATGAAGGGCATGAGCCTGGCCGGCCATTGTCGGAGATTGGCGAGGAGGATGACAACTCACCACCACCGTCGAGAGGCCGGGAGGGCTATCATCTTACGGTACCGCAGAGCAACAGTTCCTCGAGGTCATCTTCCGCAACTGCGCGAGACGAAAGAAGTGAATCGCGCAGCAGTGGATCGAGTTCGACGGTCAGCGCTGGGACACAACAGGGGAGCCGTACGGTTCCAGGCCTTCAAAACATTCAAAGCACCGAAACCAATGGGTCTGGTATTCACCACATCCAGCAGGAGAATGGAGAAGGAGGACGCCATGCTGATACGGGGTCGAAGGCAGATGAGGAAGGCAATGGTGATGATGCCTCGTCTGCAATTCTAACGAACGAGGCGGAGAGGATCTTGGAGAACGCGAAGCGCCGATTGTCGGTATGTTTGAACTGCGTGCGGGGCCATATCAAGGCGGGTGCTAACATTGATATAGCTGATGGAAGGAAACCTCACAAGAGCGCGCACTTCAATGCGGATGAACACTCCCGTAACGTCTTCGCCCTCTCCCTCGCCTCTGGCAGCTCCTCTCCACATAGGATCGCTCGAACCAGGTGGCCTATACAGATCGATCTCCCGAACTGAGCCCCGTGCCTCCCTCCTGAGACCACGACCGACATATGATGCTTCGCAGGATTGGACTGGTAACTGGCACTCGCGGGTGCAGAGCGAGACGAATCTGCCGCTACACCTGAAGGCTACTCGTCTGGATAAGGAGCAGAGAGCCCTCCCACGTTCTCTCAGCGCAATGGCGACTAGCAGCACGTCTGGTCACCAGGACGAGGACGATTCCTTCTCTCATGGCGGATCACAGGGCCAGCTTAATCATAGAGCCTCGACTACTGCTTTTTACCCTACAACTTTAAACGCTCTTACAGAAGAACCCAAGAGTGCACCGATATCGACTGTGGGCCGGGAATCTCCGAGAGGACTCGGAATCTCACAGACCGAAGAGGAGGGCCCTAAAATTACTTCTATGGAAGATTTTAATACTGCCTATCCTCCAGAGGATCCACCGTCGCGTGCTCAGTCTCAATTACAAGTGCGAGACCTCAAGGATCAAATGACAGGTCTTAAGATCAAGATCTCGTCCTTGAAGGTGAAGACACAGGAAGATAACCTCCGTAGGCGCAGTCTCCAGAGTTTGCGGACTCCTAGTCCCTTGACGTCAGCAGACAAGTGGATCACCAATTCGATGGAGGTGCGTGAGGCTAACAACGACTTCGAGCTCAATGGGGGCCATGTTCAAAACTGGAGGGATTCCGGTATCTCTCAGTACGAGCTACAGGAAGACTATCGCAATGACTCGGACAAGTCCGGCACGACTGTTGATGGACAAGATTCGCAGCCTGACTATAACGAGCAGACCGATTATGAGGATCAGCAGTCTATCATCGAGAGCCATTATGAAGACGCTGAAGAGGGCGAGTACGATGATGAGTCTTCCGAGATTGATCGTGACGCACTCAACGAGATCCTGAACGAGCCGCTGGATGATGATCTAGCCTCAGTCTATGAAGATTTTCCTGAAACGACGCCCCACGAGGAGCGCGAGGATGCCTTCGATTATGAGAATTTCTTCCTCCACAGCGCATTGGGTAACTATTCGCGAGCTAAGATGCGCCGAGGAAGTAATGGTTCACAGGCTTCCATTGAAACGACACGGCCGGCTCCGTCTGGACACTCTGTTAGACACTCGCGCACAAATAGCGCTGATTCTATATCAACGGTGGCTACATTTGCTACTGCAACTGAAGGGGCAAATGCGTATGAAGAAAGTTCTCAAGGCGAGATTGATAATGCCCTTTACTGGGACAGGAAGGCCACCGAGGGTAGGTGTCTGCCTGTGATTCACAGTTTTGAGTTGTCCGCTAACCGCCGTCACTAGGTCTTCCACCGCCTGACTACTCCCCGGCTAGCAATATATACGAATATAATTCGAGACAAATAACGAATGGTTCTGAGTATCCTGATGATAATATGGGTACTCCACGCGCGAATCGTCTTCGACCCGACCTTCAGGATGGCCCGAACAGAGACTACTCTTCCCACCGTAATTCTCGAAATATCACCTCTCCTTTCTCCCCCGCTCGCGATGTGGCTGGGTCTACTACCCCGACTTCGGCATTTGTTTCTTCGCTTGTTGCAGCATCGAGTCCGAATCCGAATGCAACCACACCCGGATCCTCATCTCTCAACAACGATGACCTACGGCTTCTAGACCAGCTCTTTGACAGCCTTGGAAGAGTCTGCACAGATTTGCAGACAATCATAGACTCGCCCGATCCGGACCCCAAGACTGCTCGCTTGCTGAGAAGGCGTCTCGATGCGGCGAGACGTGTGCTGGATGGCCAGCTAGATACTTAACCCTATTCGGAGCCCATCTACTTGATCATTTCAGGTTATACAATTGTTTTTATACTATGACTGGGATTTATGGGCGACGAAATAATGTGCGGGGCCTTGGCCTTGATTCTCTCCGATATCCGTTTAATAGCTGAGCCAGCGGTTCATTTTATTTTATTTCTTTTCTTTTCACTTCTTTTATTTTCATTTGTTTTCTTTTTCCTTGCGAGGCTATGGCGAAACAACTGGGCTTTCGAAGGCCGGCGGCGTGGTGCATTCTCGATACCCGAGTGTTTCTGACTTCACTTCTTCTGTTTCTTTATGTCATTTTTACCGAATACCCATCAAGCTGTACGTAAGTTTTATATTCTCTTTCATTCTCCAAGACACTTATCGCCATCGACTGGCTCCTTCTCTTTTGTTCCAAAGCTGTGTTTCCGGTTTCGCATTCTGTGGGAAGTCTCTGGGAGCTGTGTTGTAATAACTTTCAAGATTACGCTGCGGTCTCAGGCGCAAATGGTGTCTGGATCTTCTATTAATTCATAAAGACCCATTATCTTTGATTTCTTCTGTTTTTTTACAAACGGCATTCGCGCAGTGTACAATCAATCCCAACGCGGAGAAATGTATCAGTACCAATCACCTCTTTGCGTCACACAAACTCAGAGTAAATATACCTAGAGAGGCTTCAAAGTTATTCTAGCATCTCTATGCAGATGTTATTCGCTGAATAGTTAGCTTGCACTTCCTGATTGCCTATACGTATGTGGCTTTAGGAAGAAGAGGGATATCTGGTTATTTGTTTGCTTCTTTCCGGCAGGAGTTTTTACCCTATAGTTGAGTATGACTTTTGATTTAAAAAGGCAACAGTTTGGCAGGTCCAAAAAGCTCATTCAACAATATCTTCTACTTATCCCAGTCCAATCCACATCCAACTCTAGAGCCCTCCTCCTCTTCCAAAATCCCACATAGAAAATCCCAAAAAACAAAGAAAGAAATAAAGAAATAAAGAAAAATGACACCCCCCACACCCACAACCGCAAAACGCCTCCTCATCTTCCAAAAAACCAAAGACCCAACAAACACATATGGTACCACCTTCAAGCTCGTCAATGTGTCAGGCCTACCAATTTCCGGTCCTATACCGCCGATGTCTTCGATGTTGGAATTGCCTTTACGTCTGTTGAAAGCACTTACAGACCTTTTGGGTCTTGTTAGGTTTAAGGGGTGGTATGTTGTTTTATATTACCATGTATTTCTTTCCTAAATCAGAAACTACATCTCTAACAATATTTAATTAACTACAGGGCCCTCCTCGGCGCAGCACCATACAACGATATATCAGAAGAGGGTAAATTCTTCGCTGCTATCGTGGAGCAGATTCGTGAACCTGTACCTGAGAGAAAATAAAATAAGCAACGTTGCGTCTTTACAAATCGAAATAGAGTTGAGTTTGGTTTGGTAGCGCTTGTTTTAGTTCTGTGTCTTAATGGAGAAGATTAGGTGTAATATGTTGGGAAATAGTCATATCTTTCTTTCTTTCTTTTTTTTGATGAATAGGGGACTTAGACTATTACTACTATGTCGTGTGATGGAGACTTTTGTCTGTCGCATGTGGAGTAAATATGATGATGAGGAATTACAGTAATAATTGTCAATATAGATAACTTCGCATACAGGCGAATACGGAGGTCTGAATGTTAGAAAAAAAATTACCTTTCCTCTAGGGATTTTTAGTTACCGTACATGATAGGAAAAGGGAAAGAAAAGCCCCAGAGGAGACAGAAGAAAAACCACAAAGCAGCTAGGCTTGAAAACTAGAAATCGATCCATTCGTCGGATCCCTATTTTTATCCTTTAGAAGATAGAAAAAGGCGGTCAAAAGAAAACCTGAAAATGAAAGAAATTACCGTATCACGCCTTTTTGAGTCACTTGTACATACATAATAGGGTAGTTAGGAAATGATGGCCCATCTGCTACTACCAGGCTGTGAGAACCCAGAGAGTAGGTAGGATTCTGAGGACAGAAGTCGAGAATCGAGTTCTGGGAACATAGAGAACTGTCCGAACGAAGGTGACAATGTCCGGAACGAGAGGCGCAAGAGAAAGCGTAGAGTTGGTGGGAATCGATCTGGTGGGGAAAACCCCGTAATCCAGAGAACAAAAGACAGGAAAAAAGGCTATGGGAAAATTACATGAACTGTCGGAGGTACAGTCGAGAAGTGAAGTGCAAACTTAAGATTGCAACAGAAAACCTCATTTCGAGTGAAAAAGAAAACAGACAGCCTCCCCAGGAAGTTCGCTTTTTGTTCTATTCCTGTGCGTCTCGGAGAAATTGCAATTCTGAAAGAAGTTCGGAGAGAAGACAGGAGAAGCAGGAAAAAAAAGATAAAGAGAGAGAGAAGAATGAAGTCCTCGCTGCCCTTGAACCTTGCGCATTGCCAAGGTATGCTCCCGGTTAAAAGGGTCTGTTCAAGTCATCTAAATCATCGGTAAGGTCGATGACTTCGTAAAAAGGAAGATAGTATTAAGTATCGTCATCAAGCGTCACTAATCGTTACTGGGTGTTGAACTCGCAGATTTGTTTCTGCCTCAACTGCACTGATGAGATTCACGGCATTAATTGTATGCGTTCGCCGGCATGAGGAGCCTCGCGCCGTACTTTAGTTCGAGCGAGCGAGAATCATTCGGGTCGAATTCGGCAGACTGGCGCTGCTCAAGGAATTGGGCTATTACCGATGTTAGATGGGGTTTCCAAGATAGTGTGATGAGGCAATGCTACTTACGAGTAACTTTGATGGTGTCAAACCAGCGGATCGCATTCTCGTCACTACCATCAATAGCCTTCAAAATGCCGTTCTCCGGTCTCGGGGTGGTCTTTGGCGGCAAGCCGCGCATCTTCAGAAGCATATGAAGGATGTCTGAGAAACGATCGCCCTGGCTTGCATAGTAGGGCGGACGCTTGTCCAGCGGCCACTGCATCAAGAATTAGTCACATGTAGACAACCTGGTCACACTTAATACTTACACGCGCCGCGTAGTTGTCGTTGTCCCAAGAGCGGAATAGCCAGCAGGTCCGCTCCACACAGTTGAGGAGGATTAGAGCCACCAGGAACGTTTCAAACCACCCACTTTGCTGACGCTGGAGCAGTCTTCTCTCGAGATCGTTCATCACGGTCTTGCTAAGTTGCGCAGCCCGCTTCTCGGTCGCAGATCGTAGCTGGCTACAGAGGAGACCGTAAGACTCGGGGTTGCTGACTTCATCAACTGGCATGCGACCCTCATCGGAAGATGGGGCTAGAGTATGCATGGAGGTGGGGGGAAGAGTCGGATTGACAAAGGTCTTCCACTGCAATTCAGTGTCCATGAGGATGTGAGTTGCTAGCCAGAGTTCGAGGACACGTTCGAGAAGCGTATCCTGCAGCTAGTTAGGATCCACTGACCATAACTAAATCTAACATGCGGGACGACCTGGATCTTACCTTCTTCTGCTCACTCAATTCGGCTGCAAGGGTCAAGGTAGAACGCATGAATTCTGAAGATTCACGCTCGTAGAAGAACGGGGCCATCTTCTTGGTATATGCCTCCAACTTTCCCGGGAGGTCATCCGCATCACCGTCGAGCAGATAGATCTCATGGAGCGGTCCGTGGAACTGTCCATCGTCGCCCAGGCCCTGGAGCTGCGGATCCAAGGTTGAGACCGACGGCTTGTGGCCCTGGAGGCCACTGAAAGTGACGAACACCGAGCTGTCCGCGAAGTGAGTGACCTCGATACGGCCAGCATAATGTTCAAAGTTCACGTGACTCTTCACGCTACTGACATCGTGGTAAGCTAGAGTGGCATGCAGGCCTACGGCCACATCAGCTTGCAGTTCCACGTAGCAAAAACGGTCCAGGGGAATATAGAATGACTCACCAGCATTGTAGAGTTCGAACTCGTCGGCAATTCGGGTGCGGATGCATGGTTGTTTCCAGAGCCGAGCACTCTCGACACTACTGCACGTACTGCAGGGGCTATCGCCAGAGCACTATACCAGAGGTCAGTCAGGGAATACAAAGGGTCACAACAACACGGGCTGGGAAGATCTCCACGTACGGGTTTCTTCAACATGCGACAGCGAATACAAGCTCCCCGCTTTCGAACCTCCTGCACTTCGCGCCGCCTGGTGGCCGAGAACCGTCCGCGAACTTTGGGTTTGGTCGGTTTAGTGGAATTTCCAAATTCATTCACGAAGCCCTTAGCATGCGAGCTCGGGTTCATTGCGATGGGCCGTGGGAACGTGGCTGCGCGCTGAGCGGCGGATGTCAGGGACGGATCATGCTCCTGGAGACTCTCAAAGAGCAGCTGTTCGGAGGAAGAGAGCGGCTGATTCGGCCAAGTCGAGCCAACTCGCGGAAGCCCATCCTGGCCTAATCCACCGTTCTCCTGATCCAATGTCAGGTTCTGAGGCACCATCTCATTCGCGGACGCAGCGATCATCGAGAGCTGCGACGACTGACGGGCGCTCGGGGCCGACTCCGGCGTGAGGGACGCATCACCCAACTGTGGAGAGGTCGACGAAGGCTGGTCGACGGATGGTAGAGGTTGGATCGCAGGAAGAGGGGGCGCGGTCGAAGTGGGAGGGGTAGCTGTCAGTCCAATGTTAGCAGACGTGTTTCGTGGAAAGGCGACAGCTGTAATCCAATCGCATACCTGTCGCATTCGCCCCGTTCTCATCTCCATTCTCGGAGTGGCCTGCATGGCCCTGGAAGCCTTCTGCCTCAAGGGCCGGGTCGACGATCACCGTCTTCCCTCCGACGGTCACAGCCTGGGTGTAGCCAGGGCCACGCTTGGTCTGGTCAGACGCGCCGACCTGTCGCGACGCTTCCGCCAACACATTGAGGCCGTCGAAACTCGGCCTGGTCGAGTACGGCAGATCGACCTTACCGCCCTTGGCTCCTCCGCCGTTGCTCGAGTCTTTGTTGAGATCCCCGTCCGCGAGATCAGGCAGCTCGTGCAGTCGCAACAGGACGCGTTGGCGATCCCTCAGCGGAATGGCCTGGCACCGTTTAACAAGGTGATTTGTCAGGCTATCGATGCGGCCCTTGGGGAACTTCTCTCCGCAGGCCTTGCAGGTGTGTTGGTAGCGGTTACTGGCATCCTCCAGCTTTTGCCCGCGGATGAAGAACTCTAAGATCAGCTGATTAGGTTTCCTACCCATCTTTCCCGCTGCTTGTTCACGGGGGCACACAGGGCACAGAAAGACGGTGGCAGCTGTCGAAACGCCCTTGGGGTGGGCCCTAGTGTTCTGCGAGATGTGATTTTATGCCGGACAAAAAGGACCTGGGAGGCCACCGGTGTCGCACGGTCAGATATCGAAGGGACAGAGAGGCGGAAGAGTGACGTGAAGGGGTGTGTGTCAATGACGGTAACCGTCAAGAAGGCGGGATTCACGAGGGGAGAATAAGTTCACAGCAAACACAAGCAAGGAGAGGTCGATTGAGGCGGTTGAAAGGCCAGTGAAGATCCAGTGGCCGTCGCGACCAGATGGACTCAGAGGAAGAGGATGCGGGCAGGGCAGATTTGGGCGGAAGAAGTGCAAAACCAGCGGCAAAACAGCGCCTTATGCGAGGGCGGTCACCGCTTCCTCCCGCCGCTTTCTCACCGCTAAGAGGCGGTGGATGCCCGGCTGACTCAGCTGGCGCTATAACTAACTAGTTATAACTACACAGAGAAGTGGTACAACAGGTTCCTTGGTATTATTATTATTATTCTATATCTGCGATATTATTTATTTATTGACACTAGACTATCTACTCTAGACTATCTCCAAGGCATCCACTAACCAGGAAGATCACTGCGATTGATCCCTGTCATGATCCGCTCCAGACCTCTCCGCCGCCCAAGAAGCCACACCGCTCGGGACGCTCGAGTCGTCAACAGACGCGGTGCTCCGGAGGCCGCCAGGGCACCCCCAGGATCTCGAAGATCCGCCGCTCGTCGCGACCTTCAACCAGAGATCCCTCGGTCAGCTTCACCCGGTTGGCTCCCCGGAGCACGTCCCGGTAGAGACCGCGCTGATTCAGACGCATGCCCTTCTTACTTGCCAACAGTCGCATGCTACGGTTGAAGATGTCGTTCCCGGTAAAGTACAGCAGGGCAGCACCTATCTCCGCTCCGGGAACAAACAGGAGGTCGATGCGACGCCAGATCGCGCTTCCCGGCAGCGCGGAGGCGCCATGCCACTTCGATCCGTTGCCGCGGGACGTCGTTGCCAACCCGGTCTGTAGGAAACCCTGATCGAACAGTTTGGGGACAATGTCATCCAGCATCAGGTCCCGGATTTGCTCAATCGTAGCGTCGGGTTTGGTGATAATCAGATCAATATCACCCGAGTCCGCAGCTCCCCGGCGGTAAGAGCCACCGATGATGACCTGCACATCGGGATCGACCTCGTGGATGGTCTTCCTCACAATAGCACCGTGTGCTTCCACTTCGGAGCGGGGAATGCGTTGACGGAAGTCATCGTAGCGTTCGACACCCACCCGCTGATTTCTAGTCAAGTCTGCTTTAGTTCGTAGATCATCCAGTGACCGGTAACCTTGCGCTATCCATCTCGACGCTTGGGATATTCCGGCGCCGTAGACGCCAAGGAACAGCTGGAGTACATGGTCTTCGGTAGTGGAGTTGGCACTCTCGAGACGCCGTAGACGGTTTGTGAAGACGATCTCTTCGATCTTGGCTGCAAGACGCTCTCCGATCCCGGGGATCGCCAGTGCTTCCGATCTGGTCACAATCTTTGTTGTCTGTTGTCGAAGAGCACTGATGGCTTTACGATAAGCAATCGTACGCCAGAGGTCCGCAGTCCTCGTGTAGTAATCCAGCATTTGCTGCAAGACTTCGATGGTCCGGGAGTTCGGATTGGCTGTCTCCGACTTCCCATCGTGCTTCTTCATACAACTGAAGTTTTGCTGCCAGGCTGGAGCTACAGGATCTGACCGGGCTCGCTTCGCCTTTTTCCTCGGTGCATCAGTTTCGGAATCTGATGTTACGGGAGATTCGGAACTAGGATCGACAGAGCCATTCTCATCCTCCAGCGGATCTAACGGCTATTGCCATGTTGATATCAGCCCTATTATTACCACATAGTACATCAGGTATACATACCAGATGCTCAACAGCTTTAACTTCGTCTACTACATCATCTAAAACATCCCTCTCTCGAGACGGAGGCAACTCGCACCGTTCCTCAGTGCCAGGCTCAGCAGGAGCTGAAGCGTGTTCGCTGTGAGAAGGAGTTGGTGATGCTCCTACCCTTTTCCTGGGCGGCTTTAACTGTAGCGAGGCATCCGAAGTTTGGCCAGCAGAAGCGGGTTTATCCTCCTGGTCTACAGTCGTCTTTGCTGAGTGTACCCGGAAGCGCGACTGAGTCGTATTAAGGAGCGACCTAAACTTGATACATTCTGAGGGATAGTCTTCGGTGACTAGCGCTATATTTGCCTGCGTTACTGTAAGAGACGTCCTGACGGCATTAGAATGGGACGTACCGGGAAAGCGTCCAATTTAAGGAATTTCAACACGTCTTCAAAGACAAGACCTTTGTCCACGATTACATGACTGACGCTATCACCCCATTTCGTCGCCCAGACAGCGCCATATTCCTGCGCCTTGCGGATGCGCAACCGTCTAGCCGGAGCAACATCGTTATTCGGGAAGAAATCTACATTTGGACAGTTAGCACCAAACTTCATGTGGCTGCATATATCAACACGTACAGAAAGTGAGGCCCTTGAATATTTGTTGCGATTCTGGTAATATAGTTAAGGAATTGACCCGTCTCTTTTTGGTTGCGGCGGTCTCTTTTCTACCTCCAGAAGGTCCTTCTGGCCTCAGCCTCTTCATTGTTCCTGTGTCAGCCTCCCCGCCGGATTTTCCGCATGGCATTTCCTTGACTATAATGATCTCGTCTGAGTTCTTGCGCTGTAGTGAAGATTCCGGAGCCGATTCTGCCCGAAGTAAGCTCCCCAGCTGGAAAGTCTTCGTGTGAGGGACACGCGCTGGCTTGATAGTTCTCTGACTCTTCTTCTCGAGACCTTTTCTCATAAGCTTCTCAAAATCATCAACATCAGAGTCACCGCTCAGATTATCCAAGTCATCAAGCTCTTTGAAAAAGCTTTCTTTGCTGCCTCTCCCCGCCATTTCTGCCGCTTCCTGTCCCGCCGCACTATCCCATCTGAACAAGAACAGCAAGCCATGTGGACGGCAGAATAGATGCCTAAAGTGAGAGCCAACTTGTGTAACTTTAACGAGTAAACGAGGCAAAGAAGCGCATATGCCTCTCTTCACCCTTGGGTCATCCAGGCGGGGTAACACGTCCTACCAGTAGACGCGAGGGACAACTTCCGCGAAAATGCCGCCAAGTCACGTTACTTGTCCTCCACTTCATTTAACCCGTTTGGGGTACGGACTTATTGTCGGCGGTCGGTCACTTAAATGCGGCCCAAGTGATGGTAACTGTAATGCTCTACCGCGCAGTTAATCATTATCATTGACCTCCAGGCTGCAGTCCCAAGCATGCCCATCATGTTGAAACCGGCATCATTCTCCTTCCTACTCGAGAGCTCCTCCTTTCTGCAAAGCGGTCGGTGCCTAGGCTGCCAATTCCGCAATGCGACTCCAATCTCAAGATCTGTCCGGCGACACTACGCCAGCAAAAGCAGCACGGGCAACGAGGAAAAACAACCCTCTCCGACTCCAGAACAGAAGACACAAGACGCAGAAGAGAAACCCTCTCCAGAACCAATCGAGGGAGAAAACCCAAATCCCGAATTCATCCCCAAGCCGCTCGACCGTCCTCTGGGCCTCGCATATCCTCCGCAGGAATGGCAGAATACCGGAATCGATGCGCGCACGTTGCGACAGCGTCGTGATGATTTTGTCGATTATGAGAAACATATTCAGAGACGGAAAGAGCTGTATGAACCGCCTTCTGCACATTCGCAATGGAGTCATATATCTGCTTTTCACCCAAAGACATTGCTAACCTAGTCATTTTCACCCCGAATAGAACTCGACAAGTCTCCAAGCCGTATTTCCGCGAATGGACAAATATGCAGTATCACGAGGGAAAGTCATTCCTGTCACCTGCGCGGTTATTCAAGCGCGATGCCGCCCTCTACTTCCCCAACATGTACGGTATCACATTGGCATCGCCCAGCAAGCCACTGAATACGACCACCCTGCTTCGCGGCAAGGTCTCCATCGTGAGCCTCTTCTCTAGTGTCTGGGCAGAGACGCAGGTCGCTACATTTACGGGTCCGAAGCAGAACCCGGGGTTGTACGAGATTCTAGCGAGTGAGAACCGGTTCGCGCAGAAGGTCGATATTAATTTGGAAGAAAATGCGCTTAAGGCTTGGATAGTTCGGATGTTTATGTGGAGCATGAGGAGGAAACTGCCGAAGGAGCAGCATGACAAGTATTTCCTTGTGCGGAAGGGTCTCGACGACGGTCTGAAGGAGGCTATCGGCATGATGAACAGCAAGGTCGGATACGTCTACCTTCTAGACGAGAACTGCAGGATCCGCTGGGCTGGCAGTGGACCCGCTGAGGAGGAGGAGCTGGATTCTCTGAACAATGGTCTGTTGAGGTTGATTGCAGAGAAAAAGAAATCCATTGAGTCGGCCACGCCAGCTGCAGAGTGGGAAAGCACCAAACAGAAAAGCCCGGCAAGCCTCAGACCACGGGTAGTGTCGAGAGCCTGATGGGCAAACAAATCTGTATATTATATGTACATTTATGATGATCGATAGAACCAACCAACGCCAGACCGTACCATAATTGATCCGCAGGACATGAAAGAAAAACGGAAAGATGATACCCAAGGAACGCCGTTGCTGATGTCAGGGAAAGAGGGTATGTTAAGGATCAGATCCGCTTCATCGGAAAAAGAGCAGCATTAGGAAACAAAAGCCAATAAAAGCACCCAGAATAATGCCATCCCGTCGTCTCTTTGCGCCGATCTTCCCAATCAACGAGTTCACACCGGGAATCGAGCTAGCAGCCCCGACAATTCGTCGGTTGATACTAGCCAGCGTCTCTCGCTGGAAAGCAAAATTCTCGTTGATGGCATATGCCTGGCTCAGCACGCCATCCATTACATTATGACTGCTGTCAAGATGCCCCCTCTCCTGGAGCATGTATTCGGCTTCCGCTTCGGGGTTGTTGGATCTGTACGCATCGATATCGGAACGAACGTTGGAGAGGAGGTTCGCTCGGTCTCTGGATTCGGATATGCTTGCCTTCAGGCGCTGCAGCTCACGTCGATGGTCGTGGAGGACCTCTCGATGACGGGAGAGGTTGTTCTGTTTGAGGGCAGAGGAGGTGAGGCTGGCTTCAGAATCGAGGAGCCGAGATAGTTGGGAAATGAGGTTTTCGCGCTGCATTGAATTATCAGCCACTCTTGCTCAATGACAACTGATCCCTTCACAGATGAGAGTCATCTATACCTTCTCAAGGAGATCCCGTAACTGGCCTTCGATCCGTTGCTCTTCTTCCGAAGGCTGCGGCGGCAGTTTGGTCATCGAGGCATACTGTGCGTAGGTGTGGAAGAGTCCTTCCGTCTAAAATCGCATCCAGTCAGCATCATATCCCAACAGAGACTCGAGATGAATCTGTAAATCCGTACCTGCGTTTCCAACGAACGGGCCTGCTGCCGAAGCTGGGCCCATCCGGTTCCGGTTGACGTAGCCATTAGTGACAATTAGTGGTAGTATAGAAATAGAATCTCTGGAGGATATTCAAGACTACCACTTCCAGTAGTCCTTTGCAATAGAATCAGAAACGTGCATGATGGGTTCAACCCGGTTTCTTCTTCGATCGCTGCTTGAATCCGACGCAGCGAGTCCCCAGCGCAGTGACGACGCCTCCTCGGCCCGCATCAGGACGCCAAGCCACAGCTCAGTCACGTGCGCTGTGCCCGCTTAGCGCAGGGCGAGGCCGCACCACGAAAAAAGCCCTAGTCCCACAACGAAACATCAAATTGAGCGGTGCTATCTTCAATCATCAAGTCGACAACCTTCACGACCCGACTCGAAGCCGCCCACCATGGTACGTTTTTGACCTTCAGAATCGCTGTCACCGGAAAAAAGCATGGAAGAGAAATGCTGACTGAAATTTTTCTCTCGTTTTCCAGTCGTCTGCCAAGGTCAAGACCGGTCAGCTCTGGGGAAAGAGCAAGGATGACCTCACGAAGCAGCTCGAGGAGCTCAAGACTGAGCTGAACCAGATCCGCGTCCAGAAGGTCTCTGGCGGTGCTGCTTCCAAGCTCACCAGAATGTGCGTTCAATCTCCTCCCGAAAGATAAGAATATAAAGAGACGGAAAATGGGCGATAGCTACGATGGAAAAAGAAGGAAATGACGGGGAATAATACGAGACTGACATGGAGAATTTTTTTTTCTTTGCAGCCACGACCTCCGCAAGTCGATCGCCCGTATCCTGACCGTCATCAACGCCAACCAGCGCGCTCAGCTGCGTCTGTTCTACAAGAACAAGAAGTACCTCCCTCTCGACCTCCGAGCCAAGAAGACCCGTGCCATCCGCCGAAGACTCACCAAGCACGAGGCCTCCCTCGTCACTGAGAAGGAGAGGAAGCGCCAGATCCACTTCCCCCAGCGGAAGTACGCCGTTAAGGTATGAAGAAACCGAGCCGACCCATATACCTGGGGGATTGCAAGATGGAGCAACATCGGATCCTGTTTGGATATGAAGGACATGCGCTGATGTGAATTTCTGCTACAGGCTTAAATTGGGACGAAAATGCATGGGCTTTGAGGCGGTGTTTTTTCGAAACTTCCTACGCGGGTCGTCGTTGCTAGTGTGGAAACAGCAATTGACTCGACTCCCTTCCCCGGGATGTTCGAGATCGATTCTTCTTCAAAAACGGGGAAAGAGTGGATTTTTCATGTATCTTAGAGAAGACAAAAGGATGCACCAAAAATCCGCACCAGCAATGAAGGACTTGTTGACATGACATGACCAAATTTTTTCTTGCGCCCATCTCCGATTATCAATGATGTCGATTGACGTAGCAGTCCCTTTTCTTTTTCTTTCCATTGATTTACTCGTCCAAACAGGCACTGAAGATTGCGCGCTCGCATGGTTGGTATACTCTTATGAAGTCACAGGTTTTGAAAAGCGCCGGCTCTCCCGTCCGAAGGGATATCCAACGTCCCCAAATGGCGCAGCCAAGCACCCCCGATTCTGTCATGACCAATGCATCGCACCCAATGGACTTGCAAAATATGACATTCTTCATTCCATGTGCTCCACTACCAGCATAACTCTAGGTCGACCTTCCTCAGAACTGGGGTAAATACTGCTCACCCATATGTCCCATCCTGGTAGGTATCTGCATAGCGAGCCGACCCCCTTGCGACGGGAAACTAGCAAGGCATCATCATGCCTGAGAGCATTATCAGCTCCCCCATACCTTATCAACTTGTATCTTGCAAGGGACAGTTTTCCTTTTCTCGCAGTTGACTCTCGCCCGCTGTCTTCTGTGTTCCTGTCATTGTTCCTTCCCTAACAAAATCTGGGGAGGTTGTCGATTGTGTATCGTTCACCATGGATAACTGAAAGAGAAAAAGAAATCACCATTATTTTATTGTTAACTCTCACATGCCGCTCTTTCAACCATCTCTGTCTTTTTTTTTCATTTCCTACAAAGCCGTCTACCTAAGTGTTTACTTCTTTAGCCTAGCCTTTCTTCTTCACTCTCTCTCCCTCTTGAAACCTTTCATTATCCGTCCCTCACAAAGACAGGATCAGACTATGCCAACAGGGACCTCGTGCTCATATCCAGCATGTTTGTCCCATTCAGTGGCCTCCAGGCCATAGATCTCTTCTCTTCGCCCCTCGGCTCTTCATGTTCTGAAAAACAACCCAAGGACGCTCGTTCTTCTTCTACACACTGGACACCACGAACAGCAACTGATATCCAACATGCGGCCACGAAGTCGACCTCACAATCATCATCGAGGTACTACAAATCGAAGCCTAAATGGCAAGCGTCTCTTTCGCGTTTCTTCCGATCATCCCCTCAGGATAAACATCAGAGGAGAAACGACACCAAGCTAGAAGCATACGACGACGTGGAGATGCAAGGGAACGAGAAGATCGACAACAAGGAAAAACACACACAGCGTCTAAGTCGAATGTCATCTCTGAAAATCCCCCGATCAAGAACCAAGAGCAGCATTGCAGATCACGAAAAAGAGAAGAAGACCTACGAGAAATCATCAATGACCACATCATCCACGAAGATTTTCACCCCGAATATCGGGATGTCCTCGACGTTGAAGAAACGTAATAGACCTCAAAGTCGTCGAGAATCTTCCCTGTCTACACTCCTATCCCTTCGGGACCACCACAGCACCAGAGTACCCAGTGCAACTTCAACAGCCGCTGAAATCCCATCATTCGAACCCCGGATCTCGCCCCCAACTCCAACTCAGACGTTCGCGGAACCATCAAACAAGGCAGTTCGAAGAAGAAGTACCATCAAAGACTGGAAGAAGAAAACAGACCGGCTATCTCTTTCTCTCTCCCTTTCCGTTCTCGCGCCTTCTGCACGACTATCAGCCTATGGGCCGTCACCTCATTGCAAAAGCACCTTCGAGTGGGATCGTATATCTCTCGATGAAGAAACAGCCCCGAAACAGCCCGTGTATAATCATCCGAAAACCGTAGCCAGGAGCGCTACGGAGAGGAAGAAGCCTGTCGTCGTGGGAAAACCACGCAATGACAATCCATCGTCCCGGTCTATGCGCTCGAAGAGAGAGTTAGCTTCGAGATCTACTTCGAGAAGTAGACACGAGTCGAGTATAGGTATGTTATATAATCAATTATCATCTAACCGTCTAACTATCCCTCATATAGAACATGGCTGACATATGAATTGTAATGCAATACAGATGTTACCGGAGACGGCGAATTCACCAGCCTCATGGAAGTTGCCAACGGAAACACCAAACGAACCGGTGGCGTTGAGGCGCTGGAACTCATCTAGAAATAAATCCCTTTTTTCCCCAGTCCATTATAGACTGTTGCTGTTTTTTTCTGCATTTCCAGATTCCTCCTTATTGATATGAAATGAACGCTCATTTACATCCATTGTTGATTTTTTTTGGTAGTATCATCTGACGATCACTTGTTTTCACCCTATTTCCTATGTCATACTGTGGGTTTTTACGCGATGAGATGCGATGCCTACCTACCTAACAAGGAGGTTATGCTCCCTCCTTCTCTCTCTCTCTCTCTCTCTCTCTCTCTCTTTCATTATTCTGTCTTATCTATCGCTACAGGCGTCTTCGAACGGGCCTTCTATGGACATGTATACACCATATGCCATCATGCCTTGTGTAATTGAATTGAAATTGCTACATTCACTCTATATTCATGCTGCTTCTAATCTGCTAGATCTTACATTCATAACTCGTCACACAATAGGTCCACAGCTGTCTCTCTCCGACGGCAAATAGAAATCATGATAAGCAGAAAATATAGAACGTATTCCCAAACCATATAAGATCCCAACATAGTATCATAGCAAAAGAAGACGCCAGGCTCAAATCTCTATAAGCAGATCACCCGCTAGTTATTAGTGGCTATATCACACATAGTTAATGAGAGATGTCAATTAGATTGCAAAATATGTCGATTTCTCAGTTACCGCAAAATCACGCAGAACCGGGAAGTACTGCAGCAGTCGCAGCGGGAGTGCGAGCTGAGTTGTGCTGCTGATGTGCCAACATTGGCACCGACGCGGACCCCGGTTCCAAAGTCCACATTCCCCCACACAGGCAAGACCGCAGAATGCCCAGTTTAGCGACCAGGCGAAACCACAGAAACGAGCGTGGCGGTGTGACGTCTCCAGATACTTCGCCGCAGCGGGTGCAACGCCGTCGGGGGATTGCAGACTTCCCTCTGTTGCTGTCACCATTCTGATCTGCGGTGTCAGTGGGAGATGTCCGCAGGGGGACCTTTTTCAAGATGTCGACTTCTCTACTGCGTCGATAGAGCTCTGTTCTGCGGTCATATCCGATCCCGAGCCAGCTGTAATCAGCTAGGTAGAGCCCCATGCGATCGATCTCAGGCTTTATTGAGGGAAGGGTCTGCCGTAGAAGGGTCGCAACCGCCGGAACGAGCACCGCAGGAATTCGAGCATTGGTGAGGAGCTCCTTCTCTGGAGCTGGTCGCTCGGCGTCCCCAAACCCAGCGCCTTGGTAAGCGTGTCGTACGGCAGAATCGACACCTGCCAGAAATTTCTCATACACATCAATCCGCACGGGCGAGGCGCTGATGACCTTGCAGATCTCGGCATAAACTACACGGGCCTCGCCGGAGAGAGAATGCGCGGCTGCAAAGCCAGCGTAGACGCCACGCAGTCCGCGGCATATGAACCGCAGGAATGCACGAGACATGCTGCAGAGGAGAATAAGCAGGGACAGGGACGAGGCTGATTTCACTGTCACAAAGTCAGTTGACATTGAAAAACAGAAAGTGAATTCTCTGTGTTGTGGGCTCTGCGCTTACCTTTCTGTGCGAAAGCTTCCTGGTCAGAGAAGACGCTTTGAAACTCATCCTGCAGGTCAAAGAGTTCGTCGAGGATGTAATTGGCAAAACCCAAAGCCCATTTAGTATTTCCCAGGATCATCCGTAGCACATCTACAATCCCCAGTTAGTGTGAAGAGAGCCTCTTGTCAAGGATGGAGCTCACCAGGATCATGGGGCTCGGCTTCCCTGGCACCCTTATTATACTGGAAAAAGTATGCGAAGAGTACAGAGGCATGGCGCAGATGAAGGATTGACCATGGTACTGCCGCTGGCAGCGTGCGCGGTTTACTGTACTCTTTGAAACCCAATGCGGCCTGTACGCTTAAGCACCGCGGAATGAATGGGTGTTGCATAAGCTTGTCGTGTTCGACCGTGAAGTTGCAGTTAATAGGTAGAGCCCGGTAGACTTCACTGACGAATACGCTTTGGGCGTCTATGACCATAGTCAGTAGGGAAGTCCGATTATCTAGTGGCTGGAAGTCCTGACCTGGAGTCAACTGGCGCAGAAGCATCATGACTATATCATCTGTATTTGTATCACTTCCGCAGCCGCGACAAAATGCAAGCGCTAATGCTGCGACTGCTGCTGAGAATTTACCTGTATCGATTAGTACCAGCTATGTCAAAAAGATGAGCCCATACCTACTATCGTCATATAGCCCCTCTTCCGCTCCAAACGAATGCTCCATCGTCCTAAAGCGCATCTGCCAGTCCGCGTCCAGGACAACAGCCAAGCATGCATTGGGGGAAAAGCTGATGTGAATACCTATCGCTATTTAGTAAGAAGCTCCCATGTAGTAGTCCACAGAAGGCCACCGACCTGACGCATCGAGAGGGAAATGGAATCCGGCCTGAGCCATGCTGGTAACCGTATTGGTGTCATCGACCCCGTTGAAGTTGGTCATGGTCTTGGGATCATAGAATGCGATAGAACTATCGTCGTACGTCACAGAAAGCACGTTACCATATTCCGTGTGGTCTACAGATACGATATATCTATCTGAATAGACGTCCTCGAGCCGTCTTAGATCTATCCGAGGCTATATAACGTCAATATATCATGCTTTCCGACAGACATCAACATTTGCTTACCTTGGTCTGGGCATTGCTCTTCTTAGATACCACCTCATCAAACTTGGGATGGAGCGACTGTGCGGCTGTCTCCAGCTGCCATCTGACAATGATACTTGAAGCACCCTGCTGCTGTTGCTGGTGGTGTTGCTGCTGGTGATGGTCCTCGCTGACATGCACAGGACTTGAGAACACCGCGATAATCCACGGCCCAGAGGCGCTTCCCGCCGTGCTCTCGGACGGTCCCGGGACGATATCGAGACGGGTGAGACAATACAGTGAGTTGGCGGAGTGAGAAAGATCATCGGAATGATCGAGTCCTGAACGACCTTTGTCAAAGACACCGCTTGATGTTTCGATCTTGCTGTGCAAGAAGCGAAGGGTGGGTGTTGGAAAAGGGGCTGCAGCGGATGCTTGCTTGGGTTGGTTGGGGTCCCATTGCGGAGGATTCCATGTGATATTCACACGGTAAACCGAGATCTTTTGACATGCAGAATGGGTCGCCAGGATAATGCCGCCTATATTCGGACAGGGTCAGTGATAGGACAGCATTGATAATCTGGCTATGGGACCAACCAACCTTGAATCGGCGCCAGGGCAGCGTGTGTTAAGAGCCCGTCTGAGTGAGCAGTGTGCTTGAGTTCCGTTGAGACTTCTGCCCATCTACTGTCGGGATTCTGATAGAGCAATCGGATCTGGGCAGACCGGGTGATGCAGACCAGTGCTGACTTGTTTACTGGGTGGAAGGGGCCGATGGGCCGGCGGCGGAAAGGCGAATATCCCCAGCGGCCATTTAGCTTTGCCGCCTGGTGGAAAGCATGAATCTAGTTTGCGAGTCAGTCATGCTACTACAGGGGTACATGCTGCATGAAGCGTCCAGGAAGTCCATACGATTCGTTGCAAATTGAGCCACATCATCCCGACGATCTGACCTCCATCATCGTCGGCGTCAAGGACTGCCTGTCGTTGACCGGAAATGCTGTTGAGGGCAATCGATATAGCGTATATCGAGACCCTTCCGGAAGAATCCACGACGGCCAGTTCGGAGCCCGTTTCGTTCCAGGACAGATGAGCGAGTGGGTGACTCCCGTGAGCCTCTGTAACAGCCGTGAGAGGCGTATCTTCGCTGAGAGTCCATTTACCATCTGTGGGCCGGCAGTATAAATGGCGCACATTCACCCTGAGACCGTCTTGCGAGATATATGCAATACAGCCCAGCCTGGACCAGGCGACTTTTCTGCGATGCATCAGCTGGAAAGGCTCTAGAAGGACGATGCACGGGGACACACATACTGGCAGCATCCCACGAGGCGCATCTCATCCAAGCGCTGAGCCAGACCTTTCGTCGCTGTCGTTGATGAAAGGCCCAACTCGAGGGAAGAGGGATCCCCGAATAGATCATCCACATCGATGCCTTCCTCCATGATCATGGGCATGCTGAAGATTTGCAGCAAACAGAAGGGATAAGAGATACAGTGTGTCCTTTTCTTTTTTCCACAAAGTCGTTCACTAGTACAATTCACAGATGCTGGTGAAGCCACACGCCATGTTCTAACCGAGCAGATGTAGATGCCAATGGGTAGGTATAGCGCATCAACGGACACATTTAACGAATCAGGATGCAATCATACAAGCGAAATACAAGAAAATAGCAGATCTGGGTATCTCAACAGCAGCTCCAATGGACGGCGGAATACTCGAGACGAAAGAGGGAAAGTACTGGCCGTTAAGTTCGGTCCATCCATCGACTTTCCCTGTATTATTATCCTGTCTCTCTCGATCCTCCCAACTTCCCCGGAGGCAGCAGCACGAGCCATGCTGAGTCAGCTGGCACATGACACAAGCGCCGTCTCCCCGCCAACGCAAGCGACAGTGGAGACAGCACAGCCGCAGCCAATCAGCGGCGCCAGACAAGCGGCAGCAGAGTAATTCTTATACCAGCAATTGACATTTGAGACCGGCAAGTGTTGTGTTGTATTATTCTGTTCCCACGAGGGATTATGATTATTGTTAGAGTAGAGTAACTAGGTAGTTCACTATCACCAAGGGACTCTGACGTACAGTAGCCTGGATCACAATATTCTGCAAGACACACCGCCATGACTTGGGAACGTCCCGTCCCATTCTTCCTGCGATGAATTAATTGATCCTGTCTCTCTATCTCCCAACATCTTATTAGTTAGTTAGTGAACCCCCCGTGCTCGAGCATTCCTCCCACTGCCGCCGGATCGGATTCCCCCTCTGCCCTGGCGGGTCAAAATAAACACAAGCGCTTGCAAGCCAAGCGAGCCGCTTTGCTCTCTCGCCCTGAGCCAGACTTTCTGAGTCCGGCACAGCGACACCGTCCTGACCTCATCTAACGTCGCCCGATCTCTGGTCCCTTTTTTCTCTCTTTCTTTTCTCTCTTCCCACCTCCAGGCTCAGAGAGATCGGGCAACTGACTGGTTCTCGACCGCTGGACCATTTACCTCCCCGAAAATCATCCTGGATTTGGGGTTTTCCCTTTAATTCTCTAGTTTTACCGGAAGATTCCCCCATGCGCCTGGTTTGTGTCCTTCTTCGATCTATCCCGAGCCAGCTGAAGGAGCGCGTGCTCCGTCAATCTCTTACAACCTCACCTGATGGCGGCCACATCCACGGCCGCATACAATGCGACCACGCAGCCCATCGTGACTGCGATGGAGATAGACGACGATACCGATACGTCTGATCTCAGTTCACCCCCGGCATCTCCTCGTCCACCGCCGGGGTTCTATCCCTCGCCGCCGCCCTCGCAGGATCAAGATGCGGACGACTTTAGCGCGGCGCGCAGCCAAGACGAAAGGCCCGCGAAGAAGAGGAGGCGGGTGGAACCCAAACCGCGCACGACGCAGCACTTGGATCTATCCCGCAATGACGAGCAGTCCTACGCCCAGCAGCAGGCACAGCTGGATCTGCTGAAGAAGACCTTGCGCAAACACCGCAAGATCGTGGTGATTGCCGGTGCCGGCATCTCCACGTCGGCCGGCAGTAGGTGTTCCCCGTTCCTGGCTGCAACGGCCTTCTGCCAGCGCTAACGCAGTCCTGTAGTTCCTGACTTCCGCTCGACAGACGGGCTCTTCAAGTCGGTGCAGAAGAAGCACAACCTCAAGTCGTCCGGCAAGCTGCTCTTTGACGCAGCGGTCTACCGCGATGACTCCCTCACCGCGTCCTTCCACGAGATGGTACGCTCCTTGTCCGAGGAGGCCGCCAAATCCTCCCCGACCGCCTTTCACCACCTTCTAGCTCGACTGGCCAAGGAGAATCGCCTGGCGCGACTCTACACCCAGAACATTGATTGCATCGAGACTTCGATGCCACCGCTGGCGACGCAGGTTCCACTGAACAACAAGGCACCATGGCCACGCACCATCCAACTCCATGGCAGCCTTGACAAGATGGTGTGCCAGAAATGCCGCCACCTCTCGGATTTCCAACGCGAGCTCTTCGATGGTCCTGATGCGCCTCTTTGTCCTGCGTGCTCGGAGACAGATGCATTCCGCGCTGAGACTGGTCAACGCAGTCACGGAGTAGGCAAGATGCGACCGCGCATTGTCCTCTACAACGAACATAACCCGGACGAGGAGGCCATTGCTTCCGTCATGAATTCAGACATTCGATCCCGGCCCGATGCTCTAATCGTCGTAGGAACCAGCTTGAAGATCCCAGGCGTACGTCGTCTCGTGAAAGACATGTGTACAGTTGTCCGCAGCCGGCGAAATGGAGTCACGATGTGGATCAACAACGACCCGCCAGTGGGCAAGGAGTTCGAGGACTGCTGGGACCTCATGGTGACGGGAGACTGCGAGGAAGTCGCTAGATTAGCCGGGCTGAAGCGGTGGGACGACGACAGCGAAAATGTCTTCGACGAATGCGATGCTTCCGAGGTGGAGCGGGTGAAGAAGCAGCATGGTGGCTTTTCCGTCGTGGTCCCCACGACGCCGCACAAGCAGCAGAAGACAAATACAGGCTTCCTCACGCCCTCCTCCAGTCACGACGAGATGTCAGGGGTTTCGCAGAGACAATCCCCGGCTCCGCGTGCGAACCCGGCCAGCAAAGGCCCCAGCATCAACGACGTTCTCCGGGGAACCAAGACAGCAAATCCCAAAAAGCCAGGCCCGAAGAAGGGCACGGCCAACAAGACCACAAAGGCGACCAAGCCCCGTGCAAAGAAAGAACAGGCCGCCAAGGTCACCAAGATCACATCTTTCAGCAAGGTTACCAAAGGGACCAAGGCTGCGGCCGGCACAGCCAAAGCGGTCAAGTTGGAGAAGGGCGAATCCGCCAAACCAATGCATCCCCTGCCACCGGGTGCTGCCCGCAACAATGGGCCTCTGTTCCCCAACCTGGCTACCAAGGGAGATGCCTCTCCGTGTGGTGAGCTCTGGCGCAATCCGGGGACTATCTCCCCACCACGCGTGCCTAAGGGTATGACCGACCTGTTGAGCGAACCCAGCGCGTAGCGGTCGATTTCAGGATCCTCCGCTGTCATTCGAGCGCATTTTACCTTTTATATTTTTCTTCTAGTTTTCGATCTTCTCGCCCGCATCGCTGAAGGGCCAGATCCTGCTTATGAAAAGTCGCAGAGATACCAAGATATATTACTGTTTGCATTGGCGGCGTTTCCATGGGGTCTAGAGGAAGGACGGGGGCGGTGCTGTTTCTTTACGAGAGACCGGTGGAGGGACCGATTCGCGTCCTTTACTGATTATATCGGGTTATCTTGTTCGTTTCTCCTGCTCGACTATGTTGGCAGATTCTCTCGCGCGCGCAATTCGCCGTGCTGTGTAATACCAGGCGTTATGTGGTTTGGGGAGCGGGTCAGTCGACGACATGTGTGTTTGTGTTAATTATCCCTCATACAAGTCTTGCGGCTACCTCTTGACGCATCTATCCGCGGTGTCGAGGAAACGTGTTCCGTTTTTTTCTTTTGCCTCACTGCCGCCCGTACAGAAAGGCTACTCGACCTGTTTTACGAACTGTGTGTGTGTGTTATCTAGAAGAGCGAACTGCGAAAGTCGCTATGCTATGGATACGGATATGAATGTCATATTAATACAACCGCATGCTCTCACTCTCACTGGTCAGGGTGCTTTTTCCATCGTAGAATCAGAAAAGAGGACAACCAAACACTACTCAAAACTACGTAGATATAGATAGATAGATCGATCGCGAAACTGCACCGGAGACCTCTGTCTCGGTAAATTCATTAACCCAAACCCATATTCTCTCGCAATTGCGCCCCCGGACCATCATCATAATCACTCTCATCCGAATCCACCGCATCCGGATTCGCCATCCGTCGTCGCCGCGACGAATCTCCATCAAGATCCTCCACGAGCTCGTTATCATTCCGTCTCTCTTCCTCCTCGTCCTCCTCCTCATCTTCTTGTTCTTCCTCTTGCGTCTCATCATCATCTTCCTCTTCGTGCTCTTCTTCTTCTTCTTCTTCTTCTTCTTCTTCCTCCTCCTCCTCTTCCTCTTCTTCCGTCTCATCGTCATCTTCGACGGGTTGTTTTCCATCCGTTTCACCATCGCGTTTTACGCGCTTTGTCCCACGAGTCGGAACGGTATCTTTCTCCTTCTCTTTCTCTTTGGTTTCTTTTGAAGCTTCCTCTGCTGTTCCTGCAGGTGTGGGTTTTGCTGCTCCTCCTTCGGTCTGTTCTTGCGTTTGTTGGGAAAGGGTCTGTTCCGCGCTGGCTTTCTTGGCTTTGCGCTTGTTGTTGGCGAGATCGGTGTGCATGGCGAGTTCGCGCTCTACATGAGGACGGAGAGAGTCGAATTCGAGTTCTGAGAGGGCAGAGAGCACGTCTGTAGGTGCTAGGGTGCGTTTTAGAGTGTGTTCGTTGGCACTGTTGGTTTTTTTGCCAGGGGGGCGTATGTTAGTTTATGAGAGTTTGATTTGAAGTCTGAGGGACGGAGGGAAGGGAAGAAGACGTACTGCGAAGCCACGTAGTTGACGAAGACAGTCGCTGCTTTCTGGATAGCGAGCACGGCATCTTTTTGGATTGTTGTATTTGGTGGAAGGACGGATTTGGCGAGTCGAAGCGTGACGGATCGAGGGAGGAGATAGTCCTGTAGTTATTATTTAGAGGGTTAGTTAATTCATGCTTTCTTTGCCCCCCCCCCCCCCCAGCATGATATCACTGTAGCTTATGTTCCATTTTGTGGGATTGACATTGATCAGGAGAAGACTCCCATGCAACGTGATGGGACGAAAAGGGAAATTCCATTCCACACAAGTCCAATGAGATGTATAAACAAAGCTTACCTCGACGTTCACACCTCCCTCCGCCTGCGCCTTGAGCTGCTGCTGCGTCGCCGTCACCTCATCCGCCTCCGCGGGCGTGACGGACGACGTAGATTTTCGCGGCGGCATCGTAATCTGTGATGGCTGTGCTGGAGAGAAAAAGAGGAAACGTGGAAACGGCCACTACTCAGAAAGCCCAATGGTCCATACGGACTCCCGGGGTCTATATCCTTTCGTTGGCTGTGCCTCGAGATAAACGAGATACGAGATTCCTCGTCGCAGGCCGGATAAATCCTGGAAGCTCGAACCTTCTTCGTAGATAATCGCCAAGTATTCAAAACGACTTCCAACCAAGGATGATCCCCTCGCAACAAACTGCGCTTTGCAATCTTCTGTCAAACTTTCCCGACACCTAAGTATCGTCCGAACACGAACACCTCGTCTCGTCTCGATATCCGTCCCGAATCTCACTATCTCACTGACTCGCGATATCGCTATTTGCAGGGATTATCGAAAGACGTAATAAGCGACGATTTTCTTCGGAACAAATCCTCGTATCGAGAGACCGTGTCATAAAACCAAAAAAAAGTCACGCTCACACAAATAAAAAACCCAGTACGATGAAGAGTGAAAAATGTCAATCTCGAATTTCTCTGCTGTAAAAGAGGATAACGTTGCGGTGTACGAAAATTGTCCAGAAAGCTTTTGGAGCAAAAAAAAGTGCAGGGCTAGACTGGTCTTCCGATTGAACGTGACGCGAAACCGGCGCGACGCAGAAATGGCGGGGAGCGCGAGTTGGGAAGGGGGAGAGCTTGTTTTTTAGGTTTGGCACTAAAGGAGGTCCCTTCATTGCAGGTTTTGCAGTAGATATGGAATAATAATTAATACGTAGGAGCAGAAGAGGGTCGGGTTAAATTGTTATTATTCTTCTAATATTCTGCTAATAATGCATATATCTTGGTGTTGAACTCTCAGGAAAACCTTCTGGTCGGGGGTAACATTAATGGGTAGTTAAGTATTAGATGCAGATACTGGCGCTTTCATATGGCGTCATTCCAACAACCTCGATCCATTGTCTCGGGATCGAGTCAGTCAAAATAATAGATTCCAATTTCTCTATGAGTGCTTCTCTACTGGCCATTTTGTTCTTCGAATGCCAAATAACGGTCTGATTAACGCCAATGCCAATGTCCTCTTTGACTCGATAGAATTTGGCTATTGAAGATTGGCAGGTAGCCAAGAACTCTTGTGATGGATACAGTACACGTTGGCAATACCAAGTTGTATGAAAGACGAGGAGATAACCATGCTGCATAGCCCCTTAACCAGTGACTCCAGTCTCCTCTATACGCTTTCCAAAGCCAGCAATCTCTCTACTTAATACATATAAACCTCATCAGCAAAGTCGACCTGACATTAGAGAACCATCCCCCCTTCCGGCGTCCTACCATTCACCCACACCCCATATGTATGTACAACAACAATAAAGGTCCATTTACCAGTCAAGGAGCCCATATTGTGCGGTGGTACAAAGCTATTCCACCTCCATCTAGCGGCAGGCTTCCTGTTCGAACCCTGGAGTGTCCATGGGAATTTCAAAGAAAAATCCTGCCCGTCAAAAGCATAGGCAGGGTTTTCGTAACACCCTCCCTCCATCTCTCTTCCTGTGGACGATTGCTCGGGGGTATGAGCTTTTTTTGCATCCCTGTCTGTTAGTGTATACTGAAAGAGAGGTTGATTATAACAGGCTATCGGAGTCGGTCAGAAAAGGTTGATTTCTTACTCATTGTGCTACATATGACTATATAAGGGAGTGCAGTAGTTATCAGAATATCCTAGTCTTTTGCCAGTAGCGTAGCGGTCTAGCTCCTGGAGTACACTCTAGAAATCGGGTCGTGACACTCATCAGGTATTATGATCATACACGCATAAGTAGGAATCGACTTTGTCAACATGGCTACACTGGCAAAACAGATAATCCCATTCAATAATGAATTCTATGTATGAAAGCCGGCCAAACGCCTCCCTTTTTGGTATGGTATCCATCCATGAGCGGAAATCGGACAAACATTGAATATCACAGGTAGATAAACTTCCTTGGCAGACAAAGACAAAAAGATCAGTCGAAGGGAACTACTCGACCATCTCCTCATCCTCTCCCTCTCCCTCGCCATTACCCCACAGACCCTCGATCTTAAACTCCTTGGCCCACTCTGTCACGATCTGCTTTGTGTCAGCACCTGGTGCGGCAGCAGTGCTACCCTCAGAGCCAGTGGTTGCAGCCACAACTGGGAGAACAGGTGCCTCGACCCAGCCCTGGATTCGGCCATCACGCCAGTCCGTAATCACCGTCATCGCGGCACTGTTGATGTTGGGCACGCCACCCTTACCCAGACGGCCTCGTTTCCGGGCAACTTGGATCAGGAAGTCGGTGGTTCTATCGCCGCCGGTAGGGAAGAGCGGTGGGAGGTTGTAAACCTTGAGCAACTTTTCGAAGAGAACCTCAGAGGAGGAAAGGCGGTTCAACAAAAGATTGACAGCAGGAATAGGATCCTCAATGTGCTTAGGGGGAAGAGCGTTCAGAAGGACAAGACGGGCCTGCTCGTCCTGCTTCTTCGACTTCTTGCCAGACCTACCCGCATTCGGGAAGACGATACCTGGGGAGTCGATAAGCTTCAGCTTGCTGTCCAGTTTGACTTCTCTCAGACTAGTGGTAACACCAGCCTCCGCACCGGTAGGGCAGGCGTTGCTCGATCCCTTGTTGAGACGGGCAGTAAGAGCGTTGATAACGGAAGACTTTCCAACGTTGGGGTAGCCGATGACGCCGACCGAGATAGCTCGCTTGAGCTGTTTGCTGTGCGCGTAGGTCTTGAGCGCCTTGAAAAGCGTTTCCGCAGTACCCTTCACTGTAAGTTGCTTGTGGTCAAAGCTGTGGGCATTAGGGGCACCATTGGATGCCTTCAGAGGCAGCGTAGGGAAGTATCGTCGCAAATGGATCAGCCATGCCTTGAGCACGGGAGGAGGGACGAGATCGATCTTGTTGAGAATGAGGATCAGTCGTTTGGATCCACCCTCCGCAGCCATAATCTGACGTTCCACCTCTCTCGATCTTGTGCCCTCTGGGTCTCGGGCGTCAAGGACGTAGAGAATGACATCCGCAGCCTCAGCAACCTGCTTGAATACCTTGTCGAAGGCCTTTCTCGAACTCTCCTTTGAAGCACTTTGCGCTGCCAGAGAAGGAATATCATCGACAGCAAGACGCGCGCCACCATCTTCATCATCCTCATCCATTTCATCGTCCTCGTCATCGTCCATCTCATCGTCGTCAGAGTCTTCGTGATCTTCTTCGTATTCCGCGGCCCTTGCTCTCGCTGATGCGAGCAGAGCTGCCATGGGATTCGAACCGTCTCCATCATCTTGCATCTCATCGTCATCATCAATCAAATCCTCGTCGTCCTCGACCATGTCAGCAACTTCTTCATCTTCGGCCTCGTTTTCTTGCGCTTCGCCCTTACGGCGGGCGCGGGCCTCTTCCCGGAGACGCTGCTGCTCTTCCTGCTTCAGGCGCTTCTTCTCTTCAATATCGTGGAGAATCTTATCCTTGAATGGGAAGAGATTGGGGATGCCAGGGTCCTTCTTGATCTTAGAACGCCATTGGGGATTCTGACGACAACAGTATGTTAGGAACCGCAATCATTATCTCCAGTGTCATGAAAAAAATCTAACCTTCTTCGCCAACTTTCTTTCCTTTCTCTTCTTCGCCGCGCTGGCTTTCTCGATCTTGTGTCGCAACCGGACAGGCACCCGCTTGGAGCTCTTGCCTGTAGAAGGCGGTCGTCAGTATTTTTTTCTTCTCTCCGATCTGCACGATAAGATCCAGCAATGACAGCAATTCTCTTACCCAACTTAGTCATATTGAAAAATTTGCAAACCCCTTCCCTGTTTTCTAAGATGGAGGGTTCAGCAAAAAAAAAAAAAAAAAAGAAAGGGAACAAGAGACAAGGCGAAACTCGTCCGACTCAGTACTCTCGACCTCGAACAATTTTGTGCGGGCCCCGAGAAAGTTGAGCGGCGCCAAGATTTCGCAGCGCTAAGATAAAAGGAAGATGAGTTTGGCCGATCTCCGATCACCCGCGGGGGAAAGAGAGAGTTGGATTTCAGATCAGCCCACGGTTCGAGGCAACTTTGAAAGTCTGTACGATACATTTTTCTTCTTTTCGTTGCTTATCCTTTGCTCGGTGTTCGGTGATATTATCAGCTTTACAGAGACGTTTAGACCTGTGTTCCATTTCATCAAGTCATTTCTCTATCTTAGACTGCAGTGCTTTTCGTCTACAACCTTGTCCTCCCCCACCATGTCTACGGCAGAAGCGAACTTCTCGGCTCCTCCTGAGGTGCTTACCTTCGATGGTCTGCTGTTTGACTTCGACGGAACTATTATTGATTCCACAGATGGTTAGTATACGGTCAATGCATTATCTGTCCCTACAGAACCCAGTACTGAGTTGGATCTCACCGGATAGCAATTGTCAAGCACTGGCATAAGTAAGCAGCCCAATATGCCTTCATGGCTCTGCGTCGAGACTACAGAGCCATAAGAATGCTATTACTAGCCTTGACCTTTTTGACGAGTCAATAAAACCCCGATCGCTCACACTCTCGCAGGCTAGGAGAGGAGATGGGCGTGGATCCTAATGTGATTCTTGCTACATCGCACGGACGACGGAGTATCGACACTCTCAAACTCTATGACGAGAAGAAAGCCAACTGGGAGTGTAAGTCCTAATTTCTCCCGGTACTGTTAGGTCCTTAAGATTGCTTGGCATGTTCTTTCCATGTACAAATTCGCTCATCTTATGATCGGATCACCAGATGTCAGCGAAATAGAGGGCCGCATCCCAAAAGAATACGGACAAGACGCTGTCGAAATCCCTGGTGCACGAGCCATCCTTGAAAGTCTAGAGAACGCAGGTGCCCCCTGGGCAGTAGTTACATCCGGAACGCGTGCGCTTGTCGAGGGATGGCTTGCTGTGTTGAAGCTCGCTCATCCCAAGTTCCTCGTCGTCGCAGAGGATGTGGAAGTTGGCAAGCCGGATCCGCAGTGTTACCTTCTGGGACGCTCCCGTCTGGGTCTGAACCACAGCACGTCGATCCTAGTTGTTGAGGATGCCCCGTCTGGGATCAAGGCTGGTAAAGCTGCAGGTTTCAAGGTTCTAGGACTTGCGACCACTCACACGATTGACCAACTTAAGGCGGCGGGCGCGGATTGGATCGTCCAGGATTTAAGCAGCGTTGCACTTGTTGGGGTCGATGGACAAGTGAAGATCGAGATCAAGAACGCCTTGCGATAGGTAAGGTGCTTATGGCTGATGCAGTTCAACTGCAAATGGAAAGCAGAGGAGACGATCCTTGAAACAACAAAAAAAAGATGAAACCAGGGCAACCAAGACATAGACGTCTCACCACATGATACCTTGCATATACTAAGTCACACTACCGAGAGACAAGAAGTGAAGAAGATCCAAGCACGAGGCAAGTAGCCTGACCGCTTCGTTGTGTCCATTGTATACCACCTGCCCTACGGAAACAGCAACTTCTGAGACAACATAGAACAAAAAAATTCTTCGAGATCTCGATAAAAGTTGGAAGGATATGACTCCTCACATCCGATTGAGCTTTATCACATCAATGATTGTGTAACATGATGTTGCGGCCAAACGTAGAGCAAAAAAAAAAGCTGCTAGGTATACTCGACCAGTAAAATCCCTGGACGCTGTGTGAGCAGGCTCTTAAAAACATATCATTTGTCCTCTTCTCCGTTGGTTGGACGAGCCCTGCAGGGTTGCGGAATTGGTATACGAAAGTACGTTCTCGTGTACCTGGACAAGCTTCCATTGCAGTTCCAAAGGTTAACCGAGGCGCTTCTAAGAACAAGAGAAGAAAAAAAAAACCGTCGTGCAGCAGAGCGGCTTCGGGCAACGTGCCGATTCAGACAATCAGGCCTGCTTGAACACGCAGCTCAACCGCAGTAGTCTCACTGCGAGATGCAGGAAAAGTAACTGCACCCTAAAGGGGGGATGGTCCAGTAAGCGATTCAGGACATGGTAACGTGAACGGCAATGATTCGGTGCCACCGCTGTCTAAACGGTAGATGCTTTTGTGGGATGTAAGGGGGTGGTGTTTGGGGAGAAGGTATCTATGGCCACCAGTCCACAAAGAGGCGGCACTTGCTCGACTGTGCTGTAACTAAAACAACACAAATTACAAGCTGGTTTGCCCCTCGCGGACGACCACCAATATAGAAAAGTACTTCGTGACCCCTTCGCATCTTTTGGCGACACGGTTCTCGAGACTGCAAAAGTCGGCAGCGGCTGAGTACATCGTGCTCTAGACCGTGTCTTCGTGAGATCCAAGCCTCGACGGAGACGTAACAGATGGGTCTCTTGCCTAGAGACGGTCTATCAGATCTCGCCACTGTCTCACAAGTCAGGCCAAGTCTCGAATCATCCAAATATATTCATAGTAATAAAAATAATACAGCGACTCAGACTACACAGCCACTAGTTAGTAGACTCCAAAGGGAAAGGTAGACGGGGATCAGTGGCGGTGCGTCGATAAATACGATCAATACAGCTGGTCTGAAATTATTGTTGTCTGTCGAGAAATCATAAATAGTTAGCAGAGTACTATTATTATTATTACGTGTCTTACCTAGGTGCGCTTGTCCCTGGCCGGATTAATGACCGGATAGCAAGTCCGCAAATACCGCATCTGTGGACAGGCGATCTCGGTGTCCCAGGCAAAAGAAGCCGCTTTATCCAAGCTTCAGCGCCAAGCGAACCTAACAATACAATACCGCTACAGGGCACCGCGTATGCCATATGTGTTCCGGCATCTTCGGGGATTTTCAATGCTGAAGATTGAGATCGTACCGTCTCCTGGATAGGGCAGGGCAAGATAGAGAAATCGGCAGAGCGGCCCGTGTAACTCAAGACCCTAGAGAACCATGTCGACGACAGAGGATCTTTCGCAGATCCCAGTTGCTTACCCCTCCGATGATGCACAACAACGCCGAGCTATCCCTTGTTGGTCCGCAAGCCCAGTCAGGTGCCTATCTGCTCCCAGCCAGAAAGGATGGCTTCCCAGGGGTTCACTGGTGATCTCTCGTTAGTAGTTCAGCACAACGACTGCATACAGTCATGACTGCCAACTCAGTTGCGCAGGGCCGCGGGCCCTTGACAAGACTCAATCCCCGAAAAACGACTCGAATACGGAGTACCATGCTCCCAGTGGAAACTTGGCTAGACATCTGCAGGGCGAGACTGATGGCTCTGGGACGTGCTACTTGGCATTGCCTACCATATGTTTATGAACTCCTACTTTCCGCGAGGCGACAGGAGCACAGGCTGTGATTTGTCATTGGATAATTGTCATGAGTCTCAACCCAATTGGCGCACCAGTCCTGTGGGAGTGTGACGGTGTGATCAATCCGCGGACCCTGAATATCGCGGGGAATAAAATGTGTGAAGAGCAGATCTGCCAACCTTGATGTGATCGACAGAATCTCTGAACTATTGATGCATTAACCCGATTTGATCACGCTTTTCTATTCCCACCGCGTACCACGCACCAACGGTATACGATGGTCTGTGGCCTAGTGGGGCTGACTGGAAGATTGGACAGTACGCCATACGGCGCCAGTCTCTTCTCGAGTCATTTGGAGTTCAGAAAATCTGGGGCGAGCAGAATACTTAGCGTCTGACCGGCCAACTCATGTCAGTCTTTACCCAAGGATGGACGAAATACTGCACAATTAGATGGCTTATCAACGTGGTGCGGGTAACCAAGAAATGTGTTGTACCGCACGAAGCGCCTCGAATGTGGTTGCGATATCAAACTTCCCCTGTTAGTCATGACGCCTGGACAAATCGCGCGGATGTGTGTGATGGGGCCGTCCCGAGCCAAGGCGGGTTGTCGTTTTACATTCTAACGACAACAACGTGTCCGTTATCTATCCCAAGCTCAGAGGGACACACGACTTTCAGACAGCTCTGTTGGATAGGAATAATAATAAGCCCGAGACAACAAGCACTTTCGCCCTTTAGAATAGGCCCTTAGCCTAGGGCCATTCGGAAAAGGAGGAGCTTGGCGAAGTGAAGAGCCCCTTGAGAGGCGTGGACGCGCGACACAGGTCTAACGCAGGAACAGACCAGGAACGGACACGGCGAGCCAGTGAGAGCGGTCACAGTACATCGGATATCGGGAACCGTGTCTGCAAACTTTGACGGGTCAGAAAGCACCGATTCCGCAGAGCCGTCTTCGCTGGGATCAGGGTGCGTTTGTGTATGTGTGTATCTTTGCGCCCACCACAGCGACAGAGTCTCGTCGAGTGCGTGCCCGGCCTTGAGGAAGGGCATTATTCCCAGTCAATAACAGTCAAGATTGTCGCGACTGGGTCGACGTTCCACGCTGGCGCTGGTGATCGGACGGAGCGGCGTCAGCTAAGCAGCGGCTCACCAGCTGTCAGGATTTCGCTGGCGCCTTAGTAGTATTATTGTTTCTAAAGTTCCTATCCTGTGGACTCTGACAGTGGTAACAGATACACCAAGCCGTCTATGGCGTCTTAGGCTCAGATACCGGGATCCACCACTCTCCCATGGTCAGCCAGCCCTGACGATGCCGGGGAGTGCTCCCCAGACGGCCAGCACGCTCGCGATCCCAGGGACAGCGAGCAGTCAAAGAGTGTGGGATCACTGGGATGAGCGGTCGTGGGCCACTAGAGAAGAGACCTGAGAGCCCCTAGAAACGGAACAGGCCGGACGCCAAGAGGGCGTTGATGGTGGATTCATGTTAAGACGAAGTGGATGGATGGATGGGATTTTCTCTCGTTCTACGGTCGGTGGTAACTCCAAGCCGTACCGTCCGTCTCCCGTATTGTTACCGTAGAATCCCCTGGGCCAAGCCAAGCCCCATCCCCACGCCGGGCCCAGGGACTGCTCCCAGGTACGGTATCGATACGGCGCCAAAACAACACTCCACCGATTACTCCCGTCCATCCAGCGCATCGTCTCGCTTGCCCTCACCCCCGAAAAGTGATTCCCCCATCATCACGGCAGTTTCAACTCCTTCTCCCTTCTTTGCTGCTTTGCTCTTCATCATAATCCACATCGTCGATCTTTCTTTTGTCCTTTTTCTCGCCGTCGTTCTCTTGCACACATACTACTCTCTCTCTCTCTGTGTACAATCCACGTTCTTTCTACTACCCGCTCTCGATTCCGTCTCTCGTTTCGTCTACCGCCAGTACATACGTGCATACATTCATTCATTCACTCACTTAATCACTCACTCACTTGTTTAATCCGACCCGACGCCAGTAATTCAACTGTCTCTCGACTATCTCTCGTTAAATCCAAGCAGCAACTATCAGACTAATGCGATAGATCGATATCCAACGGCTGCCTGCAGTGCAGCACTCTTCGGTTTTCTCGCCCATCTTCAATTGATTTCCGCCACTATTTTTCTTTCGTTCGCAACCATGAGCTATATACATCACCCCTACTCGTTCGCAGTCCCTGCGGGGATGCCATTGGAGCAGACCGTCACCTATGAGGCCCCAATGCCACATCCGGCTATGGCAAACACAATGGATGGTTACATCTATGCACACCCCCCGTTCGAGATGGCGGAGTTCTACCCGCAGCCCACGGTGATGGAGGACTATGAAGAATACGCAGAGAACTTGTCACGGCCGCGTTTAACCAAAGAGCAGGTGGATACACTGGAAGCTCAGTTTCAGGCCCACCCGAAGCCAAACAGCAACGTCAAGCGGCAACTAGCATTGCAAACCAATTTGACCCTGCCCAGAGTTGCGGTTAGTGAATCATCATCCATGACCAACTGGGATTCGTAAACTGACAGTGCTCGCAGAATTGGTTCCAGAACCGCCGGGCAAAGGCCAAACAACAGAAACGGCAGGAGGAGTTTGAGAGGATGCAAAGAGACGCCAGTGAAAAAGCCAGTCAGGATAAGACAGAATCCAGAGATGACTCCAGCGACTCGACAGAGACTCAGGAAAAGCAGGAAGAGGAGGAAGAACACGATGCTGGGAAACAGCTGACACCCATGCAGACGCCAGCGCGCACGGGCGATGAATCAAAACTTAGCGGCAGCGGTTCCGCACGGGCAAGACACCAGAAGACAAAGAGTGAGGTCACAAGAGAAGCGACGTTTGCTTCATTGCAAAGAGCGCTCAATGCAGCTGTGGCGGCTCGGGGCCAGTACGCAGATGGAACCATCCAGCGACGAGGGTCCGATATCGAAGCCTCCATCCACAACTCGAGCGCATTTGCGTCCGCTGATAAGAGTCAGGACACACCGAATCCGTCTTTTCCACAGTGGGAGAGCAGCAGAGATTCGTCGATGTCTTGGGGTGCTTCCCAGAGCCCCGAGGAGACCTTTGGTTTTGGCAGCTTGAACGCGGCCCATAACCTCCACTCTACGGAGGGCGCCCTGAACGTTCCTCAGTTGGAAAGTCCACCGAATCAGAGCACTGTTACTGAGGACATGTTTGGTGAGGTACAGTTTGGTCAACAGGCCGCTGAATGGGGAAGGCGTATGCAGACTCCTACGGATGCGATTCGTCATCACGCCAGTTCAGACCAACTATACAACTCGATGCAGTTTTCAACTCTTCAGGCCTCTGACATGGCATCATGTCGACGTGGTTCCTCCTCAGAGGAGCTTGCTGATTCTTTCGGTAATATTGGCATCAATACTATTCGACACTCCCGAAGCATGCAGCAACTCCCTCATCGAACGGATGGCACCACCTGGAGACACCCAGAAAAGGAACTGGATATCGCTGCGCGAAGGAAGCGCCCGAGGCCAGCTGCCATTGGCACAGGTTCATCCCGATCCTTGGTTGGGCCCCCTTCCATGTCGCCTACGAGAAGAATCCCCAGCTTTGGTACCGGTCATCATGTTATGAGACATGCCAAATCACATCAGAATCTTGGTTCTCGAGGGTATGCCGGTGTCCGGAAATTCTCCGCTGCTCAGCGCTCTCCACTTGGGATCTCGAACTTTGCAGAAGCTGGGGTCTTCAATTCTGCTAATGTGGAAATGGGTTCGATGCTGCCACCTTCTACGTCTTCCAGCTCGTTGGCACCACCTACGCCTCTGACTCCTGAAGACTTGCAACACTTGCTTCCATCCACCCCGAACGAGAGCAAGTTCTGCGCAAGCGCTCAGCACGATCAGAACCATCTATTCCCAACCACGCAGCCAATGCAGATCAATATTGCGTCGCCTCCTTCTACGCCCATGACGGTGGATGTGTTCTCCCAAATGCAGTATCAGAACATGGCGCCGCCAATGTCGGCACCTGCTCATTATACTACCTTCCCGGAGTGCTCGCCCTGTTCTGGTGCGCCTTTAACAGCGAGAAGCTGGGCTGATGGGGCTCCCATTCCATCGCCAGACAACTCCTCGTTTCAATCGGGCATCCACATGCCCCAACCAACTCATATTTCGCCGATGGCTTATGAGCAGTCTCTGCAACCTTGCAGCGATGCAGATAACTGGCCGCTGTCAGAATCTGCGCCGATGCTCAGTCCGATTAAGAGCTCCAACACGCCACCTTCAGCCATGTCGGACCGTAAGGCAACAGAATTCCTCATCCAGGAATTTCCAAAGCAGCAAGAAGCCCATCGCTTCGTCGCGCAGCAGTTGCCCCAGCAGAAACACAAAAGTTACACGTTCGCCAATCGAACACCCAGCGACTTCAATCACGAACTTCCCCTTGGGAATGGTCTTTTGCATGATGGCGTCCATGCGAGGCCAATGTAGCAATATTCAGGATTTATGTGTTCCTATATATGAGCTGTGGCAGTATTCTGCCTCCGATGTGATTTACAGGTTTTCTTTCTTTCGCTTCCCTTGGCTACTTCTAAGATATACCCGCCTTTTTGGAGGTCTATTTCACTGTCTCATATCTACTTCCTCTCATACTGGGGCATTCGGTATTTATCTGCTTATCATGTTTTGTCATTATTACTTACCCTCGGCACTATTCCTGCTTTTCCCTCTGGGGCGATGAACAGTCTCTGGCATGGTTTTATGGGGTTCGAGTCACTTTTCTCTGGACAGTCTTTTCTTTCTCTCTTCTCTCTCTCTTTTCCTCTCTCAGTTCTTTGTCTCGCGGTGTGGGTATCTGTCTGTCTTTACAAGCGCCTCCTTAAGCAGCATTCCCGGAGGGTCTATTTTCTTGTCACGCATCTAGCGTGTCGAGCCCTCCCGGCGTAATTACATATTAATATATTCGGCGGTCTTGTGGATGCCACAGACCAAGTATTTTCATCTACAGTTGTGGCTCTATCTATCTTAACTGTTAAGGGTAATATCCTATGAAAGGACGCGTCCTGTTCGCTACTCTCTCAAGAGTCGATCACACGATCGAGAAAGTCTGATTGGGCTCATCTGCGGTGGCAAAGCTTTCCATCATGTTAAGTCAAACTGACTGCTATCTCTAGGCCCACTCCGAACATGAGTTGGAGAATGCCTACATGATCAGCAAGTCAGAATCCTGACAAGCATGTTTTGGTAGTATATAACTATCACAATGACTTTTATCAAAAGGGCCTAGTCTCTCGTCGATCGAATCGGCGAAAGTTCCATACAGCAAAAGTATTGTGCACTTGTACAGTATATTTCCCGACAGCTCGCCGGTAATATACGCAATCGCCGTCATAATTATAAGATAACGGTCGTGCGACAAATTGGCACCGTCCATCATTGCCCGATGTTTCAGTCTACGGGGCCAACACCTGCTGATCGCCGTTGAGTGACATTCCTGTCCCCGGCAGACCTTAACAGCCAGCCTGTATAAATAATTACAGTACATACATTCGAAAGATAGGCGTCTTTACTACGGGCGGACCATCGGACAAAGAAAATTTTTGTCACTTGGCTCCGCGCGGGATAATTAAATAGTTAACGGCTTAGTTAAGTATTAGTTATCTGGTTTTGCTGGGATGCACGTGCCAGACTGGCAGGCGGGATTGGATGCGATGGATGAACAGCCAAGTCTACCCAGTCTGGGCACTGGGAACGAGCGCATCGACATTATTATTATAGCATGCATTAAGCATTATTATTGAGCCTTCTTCTGTTTTCTTGCTGCCCGGAATACAGTATACAGCATGGCTCTCTTTGCAATCAGTGCGGATAGCCTCTGGATAGTATGTACTGTACATACTCATCTCCAGCGTTGCTGTTCGCTACGGGATCGATCTATTCTTCAGGATGAGTATTCGACGGATCCATCGTCGTTCGAATACGTAAGTGCCGAGTCCTTGGTTAGTTAGTTATGAATACCCAACCCCGTGGCTACCTGCCCGAGGAAAAGAAGAAAGAAAGAAAGAAAGAGAAAAAAAGAACGCATCCGTGCTCAAGAACGGATGGAGACTCAGGGGCTGATACTGGCGCTAGACTATCTATGTACATATATAAAACAGACCGCGGTAAACAACTTCGGCCTGATCAACCGGACTTGTAGTTCCGACCGCACCCACAAACAACAACTGACGCAATGGCAAAGATTATTCCAATTAGTTAACTATATCATAAAGTGGTCGATCTTAATCGCCGATTCTCACAAACCTCTCAGTAGTTACAAGGTGCTCTTTCTGGTCGTCATGGCAAAGGCTGGCATAATGCTGCGGAGAGCAACTATGGAACTCCGGCGTAGAATGTCAGTAACTAATAGATAGACTTAACTCTCATTATCGCGATGCTCCATTCTAGTAGATAAGTGCTATGATGTTATTTGGGCAGTAGTATGTATGTACATCTCCGGGAATGCCTACGGTGGACTCGTGCTTTTCTTTTTTTTCCTCTTCGTTTACCGGCATCTAACAGGCCCAGAATGTCCACAATTTCTGACAATCAGAACTAGATAATCAGCATATCTAAATGCCTTCCGGACAGCTAACTATTGTTTCGTCAGTCTGCTCATGCGCCCCCTCTAAATGGCTAATACCACTTTCTTAGATCTCCGTCCACATTGCATTAAACAATGCCATACACTATACATAGGCATGTTAGTGCATATATATATATATATATGAATACCAAAAACAGACAAATCACTTCTCAATCCCATTAACTAATCATGCTCGCACTTATTGCCATTATTCTCATTATGAGACTATATATATATATGCGTCTATTATATCCGCAAGGTAAATTAAGCCCGACCTAGACACACGTGAGCTCAATTTTATATCCGCCTAAATATAGACACAACAAGAATAGTTAGTTACTTAATGTTGAAATGGTTATAACTATAACCCAGTTACTGAATAAGTAAGTATTACACTATCTATGTAACTCCTTATGAACAAAGTCAAAAGATATAGGGATGTACTGTATATATTGTTGGCGTGTCGTATTATCCGTTTACAGCAAGTTCTTCAATATCCTAATGATAGGATAGAACCCACTAGAACAGTAAGGTCTAGATTTCTTCTATATTATATGCTATAGGAGATCAAGATGGGACCCCCCCCCCCTCCCCTCCCAGAAAGAACTAGAGTTAAGCAAGAAATTCAAGCAATATAGGAAATAGCTCGGTCGTTCAATTCTGACTATGCTTCCGTGTAGGATTCGATAAAATCACCAGCAGGTCTGGATAGAATATTATAGGTATTATATGTCCGCTAAGATTCAATCTTTGGAAACAGAATAGGTTATATGTCTGAGTTTCCGGCAGGAAAAAAGGTCCACGTGCAATTACGAAATCATCACGGGCTCTTTGATTTCTCGAGATGAAAGTTGTATGCCTACGGTGAACGAGTATGAACTGAACTGGAATCAAGTGGCTCTAGTTCCATCCACGGGAATATTAAAAGTGTTAAGCAATATTGAACTCTTCTTGATCAAACCATAATACAAGTAACGGCCTCTACGCTGGGAAGGGAAGGGAAGGAATAAGGGGGCCTCCAAAAGACTTGGACCTTTTTACAGAAAGATATACAAGAGAATAATGGGACAAGATCCACCCATGACGATAATAGATAAGAGACGTGGAAACGTGTATCATATTCTTAGTAAGGGTAAAGAGATAAAGGAATATAGGCTAGAGTGGAAAGATATAAGATTCATGGTAGCATGACATACGAAACTCGAGGCCAAATTGAAAAGAAAAGGGAACTCGTGCAATCATACGGGGTTACACTGGAGGCCCCTAGCGACATAAGATGAGTCGTCCTTGGCACTACCCCCCGAAGAGTAATGGTCGAATGACGACGAGCGGCCGGCTACTGTCGCCAGAAAGGAAAGGATGACTCCCTCCCACTTTGCCATTCTCAATGAACATAGAACACGGTTGATAGTTCAATTTGGTACCTTCAAAGAGGCAGAAACAACGAAAAAAAGACATGACACGTAACATACGTCTACCATCCCGCAGACTCCACACGGGAGTCAGTACGGGCTCGAGAAAAGGATCTTAACGATGAGGCGATAGAATGCATGGCCCATAAGGGAATAAGAATTGCAGAAATATAGACAAGAGAAGGGTAAAGGGCAACCAAGTGCGAGTCATAAGTAGTAACTCCGGAAGCATTGTACGACAAGTGTAAGAAGTGAAAGCATGTTAATGAGTGAAAGGTACCGATCCGAGGCAGAAAAAACGTTACAGAAATGCAACACAGAGAGACCTCGATGCAAAGGGAGAACTTGGGGATATCAAACATAAGAGGACAGTCGAAAGGAAGATGATCCAATAACGGCCTCATCAGCCCTTTCTACATAGGCATAAATGCAAGATTGTTCGGATAAATGTGTAGACCAAATTCGTTCGACCGAGCAACTATATTCCTCCACACACGCACGCAACCCCAATAAGGACCGAGAGGAAGGAAGGAAGAGGACAAATGGGTATAAAAGGACGAAAGCGAAGACAACAAATAAGGGTAGATCGAAGTATCATTAGTGATCACCCTCAGAACATATAAATTCAGACCAGGGGGTATAAGATGCACCAGGGGGGGAAAGCACATGAAACAAGCCAGAGGAACGAAAACAATTGAAATTCGCGTTCAACCCAGATGAGCCAAACCTGCCACACCCCTCGTTCTTTTGACGCCTCAAATCCCATAAACGCCAGCCGTTGTAGGAAAAGAGTTTGCGCCGGTTATGCGCTAGTAACCTGTCCATCCTCCCAATGGACTTCCAGATTGACCTGGTTGAGGCTGTCCAGGCTGCATAGGCCCGCCTACTGCCGACGGCCAACTGGGCATGCCAGGTCCTGCACCCATCCCCATAGCGACTCCCGGTTGCTGGTGAGCTAGGAACTGCTGACCGGGACCCTGTGTCGAAGGATACATTGCTCGCGCAGCGGATAGAGCAGGGTATCCAGCCGCAGTGACGCCTGGGTAGCCAAGAGATGCCATCGTCTGCTGTGCCGTTGCTTGAGGGTGCATCTGCATCGATTGGGGCATCTGCTGTGGCGGGCGGGGCTGGTTCCGCGGCGATTGAGAGGGATGATGCTGCTGGGCGTTCTGAGGAAGAGGCGACGGCGTCTGCTGTTGCGGATGCATCTGCGCGGCATACTGGGGCATCCCCATGTTGTGATGCGGAGAGGCAGACATCGGTGACGGCTGCGGCTGAGGTGGCGGCTGACCCCACATCTGCTGCGGTTGTGAAGCATATCCATAGGGAGTGCTCTGTCCCGATCCGGCCGAGGATAGAGAAGGGTTGGATCTCTGATGTAGCAGATCCGGTCGGATCCCCTGAGGCATTCCACGGATAGGGGATTGGGCAATAGGCGTCTGATGAGTCTGCTGTTGGGGATAGGAAACCTGAGGCGTCATCATCGGCGTCTGGTGAGGCATCACTGTTTGCTGCTGACCAGCGTTCATCATGCCCGAGGACAGCCGGGGCGACTGCAGCGCCTGTGATACTGCAACATTGGCCTCCACCGGCACCGACTGTGACTGGGATGCAGACACCGGGATATCCCGCTGTTTGGCGTAGAATTCGTCCAGGCCCTTGTGACGGAAAGCGCGCTGAGAATTTAGGATCTTGTTGAAATCTGCGGTGTGCCCAGCTTGGTTGAGGATCTCTGCAGCAGTGCTCGGTTGTGTGCGGTCTTGATACGGTTGCCCCGTCATCTCCTGTCGTGGACGGGGGATGTTGCTGTACTCTCGCAGTCGAGGGTCATCTGTCGTGGTCGGCGTGAGGTGGATCATCGGCAGCGGTGCAAGCGACGAGGCTGGAAGCCCCAAACCAGGCGGCAGCCCATGAGTCGGTGGCATACTCTCGATCGCGTTACTGTAAATCACATCGCCGTGACCAAGGTTGGGTAGCATGCCAGCACTGGCTGCTTCAGCGGCTGCTGCGTCTCTGGCTTTTGCCGCACCTGGTCTCTTCTCGCCAGCCAGATCTTCCTCAGTAAATCCTTGCTTTCTCGCCTTACTCTCCCAGTAGTCATCCCGAACGCGTCGCCCATCGACAATAACGCGACTCCCAAATTGACGGAACATGGACTTGGCGGTGACGATGGCGATCTGTCGCGACCGATAGGAGTACGGAAGGATGTCTTGCTGGATGAGATCATCTTTTTCTGCCTGCGTCGCAATGATCTTGTAAAGGGATCGGTTTTTGTTGAAGAGAAGATACGAGTCACGGTATCCCAGAACGCGCGCGCACTCCGTCGCCAGCATGAAGAGCTTGTCTCCGCGGTTGGGAACACGGAAAGTCCTGCACTTGTACTGCCGCGAATCCTGAGGATAACCCAAGGCATCGACCTTTTGCTCTCCTGCTTCGTCAAATTCCTTTGGAATGTATTCATCGCCCTCTGGACCGAGCTGATCAGTAGTATGATCCCTCACTGTGGGTAGAGCCTTCACAAGAGGTTTTGTGGGAGTAGTCTTGGGGACAGGAGACGTTTGCGACGGAGGAGTCTGCCGGGGCAGTGATTGCGACTGCATCTGAGGTGTTTGCGCTTGCGCTGGGACAGATGGCGGTTGTTGAGACAAGGCTACAGGACTCGTAATGGTACCGCTGGAAGTTCGTGGCGTCTTTGGAGGGCGCCCCCGTTTACGGCGAGTGTGATCATCTGTAAAACAAAGGGTTTTCTGTCAGTTCGCTCTTCCGTATCTCCCCCAAAACGCGTGAGACGAAAAGGCAAAAAAAATCTGTCTGCCCTCCACAAGCAGATTACAAATCAATCACTGGAGAAGAAAACTCGTACCATCGTCATGCTCTGCCTCCAAAGTCACATCTTCGTACCGCTCCGGGGAACGACTACGCTTGATGCCTCGCGGACTGGTGCTCGGCGCAGCGATGGGAGGAGTTGGCAAGGAAGCTGCTTGCAAAACCGTCAGCATCGATTCACCATGATGAGACGACCCAGTACAAGCGTTCGACAGAGCAGATTATCGCCAAATCGATAGAATAATCGCGGGCCATCAAACGCTGACCAATATCAGGACTTTCTTGATGTCGCGCGAGCATATCAAATGGCGCGACGCGGCAGGGGACAGATTATTGAAGCATACCTGCAGTGTTGTTCAATGCAGCCGGATTGATGGTACCGGAACCATCTACCAGCTCTCCTCCCATGCCATTCATCGAGGCGGAAACGGTGTGGGAAGTGCCATACATGATGGGCCAAGGATGGAGGGGGTTGAGGCCGTGAAGGCCGTTGGCGCGTCAGCGGACGCGGTGGGATCGAACAACTCGACGAGATTGCCGCCGGGGATGGATCGTTCTCAGAAGAGGGTGATGCAACGATGCAAGCAGACCGCGGATGGTTTGCGCAGAGGTCGCATGCAGCTTGGTCCACGAAGCAGCAGGGCGGATCACCGGGAGCTGAAGCAATCGCAACTGGACCAAAAAGCTTTGACTGAGGGGGTTCTCGGTAAGGCTGCGCGGGTACCGCCACAACGAGGCTGAGAACCTAGCCCGACCAGCTTTTTCTGAGATCCTCCGTCGCCGTCGCAGCGCAAGATCGCGGGCCGCGAACAAATGGAAAGGACGGAAAGCAGAGGAATAAGGCGACCGAAAGAAAGGTCGGTGGATACGGGCGACTGGGGTGGTTTGAAGGGTGGTTCAGTCGGCAGTCGAGGGTTATGGTGGGGGGTTGGGTGTTTTGGGGGAGGGGGAACCGGATAGGATTGCGAAGCAGAGGACACAACAAGACAGGATGTGCAGCGGAAGCGATCTCGAGGAGAACTGAAGGCTTTTCCGTCCTGTGCGTTGCTTTTCGGCGGCCGTCTGGGAAGCGCCACGCTGACGTGATTGGGCCAAGGAACGAGCCGGGATGGAACGGACGCGAGGAAGCGACGGCAGCAAAGAGGCAGCAGCAGGAGAATAATATCTAGAGAGCAGATGCCGATGCCTGGAAGGAAGGGGTGGTCGGGAAGATAGTAGTAGTATGGTAGTGGTGCTTCCAGCGATGATTAGAGTCGATGTCCGATCGCGACAGACATGCTCGATCGGGAGGATTATTGGTTCGTTAGTGCTGGCGCCTGAGGAACAAGCGATTCTTTCTTGCCTAGCACAGCCTGGTTCTTGCACGCAGGCAGGAATCACAACACGCCAACGAGAGGAGAATCGCAACGCAGTAGTGGTTCGCGCACAGAGACCACAAACTGTGATCGCGACTCTGAAGCAGCAGACGCGACCTGGAGGGGGCGTATCTGAGGGAGCTGGTTGGATGGCGGCAGATGGCTGCTGGTCGTACACGGACGATGCAGACGATCTAGTCGGTGGATGATAGACTTCCCCCGGGTAAGTTAAGAGAAGAGAGGGATCAAAGAGGGGTTTTCCCAAGTGGGACACGAGAAATCGGCGTTCTCTAAGTTTCTGGCAAGCCTTGGGCTGGCTGTTGGCGGATGCGCGAGTGCGAGCCAGGGATCCAGCAGGCGACGCGAGGGAGCGTCAAGCGGAAGCTGCCGTCGATCCTAGTACAGTAGTTAAGTTAACTTAGGTAGAACTGCTGACAGGCGCGGCCTCAACTAGTTAGTTAACTGAAGAAGTAAGTTAATAAGGAATTAATTAATCAATCAACTCAAGTTAGTTGATGGAAAGAGAGAGAGACGGACGGAATCTGATGAGAAGAGATCTGAGAGACCGCGGTTGGTGGAGAGAGAGAGAGAGAGAGAGAGAGAGAAGCCGTCGTCGGGAGGCGTTTGGACATTCAGCGTTTGTTGGCTGAAGGAAAGCAGAAAATAATAATGGTGGCCAGAGCGGGATCAGCACAAATGAAATAATGATTAATGAACACAAGATCTCAGTTTAGCACTGCCTCTTGTCCTGTTTCTCTCTTTCTTCTTCTTTTTTTTTCTATTTTTTCTATCTTCCTTTTCGTCTTTTCGACTCTTTTCGATCGCCGGTCCTTCCGTTTTGGGATAGATCACGAGACTCTCGCGCTGACAAAGGTCACGGGAACAGAAAGTGGCCAGGAGAAGATGGAGGAGAATGAACATTATTACTCCGTACTGAATAATATAATACTGAAGACAAGACTACTACATATCGGATCAATGTTTACTATAGTAGAATACTCTACTAGCATAGGTAGGGCCCGGATAAACCCTACCAGGATGATCTCCACCGGGATGTCTTGATGGAGCCGGCAGGATAGATGCGATGCAGCATGTCTACGATCAAACCGTCCAGGTGCATACGTCTTATCCAGAAGAAACTTAATCATGTAACACCAGCCAGGCAAAGGGCGGAAGCGCTTCAAAGTTCAGTGGTTCTCATCCGATCTGGCAGCATGCAGCTCCGTTGACTACTAACTAACTATTCGTTCGGCAATATTGTATACGTTACATGTTCAATATCCTGCCAAAGCCACCGCTGGTGGAGGCTTCAAGAAGCTTTATATAAGTTACTTGGTGCTGCCACTGTAGTAACGGATGTATACCATAATACGAAAAACAGATTCCAAGCCCCTAATTCCTGGAGCGAACATGGTGGGCGATGCTGGTGGTTCATACACAAGGTAGCAAGCCCGAAAAGAGTAAGTCCTTAATGACCAACAAGGATCTGTGTCCTCCTGATTTCGAAAGATTTCAGACCGCCACCTTCCATCCATACTGGGACTCTCCATTAGAAGTTACCTTCAACGCAACGGGGAATGTCCCTTCACGATGGGACTTTTTCTTTTGCAATTTGCAACCTCTCAGCTGCCCCTCGTCCGTCAATCGACGACTGACTCGGTCGAGTAGAGCATATCGGGAATCGCGCTAAGGACCACGCTACGGACTGGCTCTCATTCCATTAACAAGCATGCATCGTCGTACGGAGCTAACTGTCGACAATCCGCCACTCGAGATGAAAGAGGTGGGACCCAGGGCTGAGCAGAGCAGGACACAGCGCGAGGTCTGCAGAGCCCATGATATGATCGGTCTCGAAAGTTAGGCCGGGTCTAGGGGGATATGCCGGCAGGGACTCGCATCATGGATCACCCCTCGATATCGGAATCAGATGGCCCATTGTGTGGCCGATACCCTTGGTTTCGATGGAATATACTATCCCTGTCGCTGGAGCGTCCTGGAAGCTTTTCTCGACTTCATGTCCTCGTGAGACCTTTGTGGTTTCTAAAACGGCCCCGGCTCCGCTGCCTCACTCCTTCACTTTGATATCGAGACGAAGTCCCCAAAGTATGTACAAAGATAATGCGACAATAGAGTTTCGCACTTTCTCGGCCCCCTACAAGGTCGACAAGGGTCATTTGAAAGCGGGCACTAACAGTCGATCAACGGCCCCATCTATGCACCGGCCACCGTAACGGAGCAAAAATATTGATACTCAAATCTGAGAGTGATAATACTTGTTCTTTGTCATGGCAGCCAGTCGCCCAAGTCTTGGAGGAGACAGAGATTCTACGGCAAGTCTACGCTCATAAGCGCCACTAATGCTAAGGATCAACATGGTCGGTCCTCGAAGGGGAGAGACGGCTTATGCGAGAGACCAGCTGAAGACGAATCACAATCGTCACTGCAGTCGCGCTATCCTCTCATTCTTAGTTCTATCTTCCTCGTGATAATTATTGTCCGGAAGAGGGGCATGAACCGGCATCCAAAAGGAAGCAGATGCAGCCTCCCTAGGCTAAAGCAAGTCCCATGCCCTTGCACTGCATCGTACAGTCGTCGTACGCCGTTTACTAGGGCGATCGGGAGGCGCATCACAGCCACTTAAACTCTTAGTCTCCGGTGATGGCCCATGGGCTGGGCGCGGCCGACAGTTGATGATCCATGGTCTTGTACTGGGTAAATACATTATTGAAACTTGCTCCCCCGCCTTTGATTTTCTCCTCGAAACCTTGAAAACTACTTCACCAGATAGACATCACAGTCGCCGTCTAGGTGCCGCCAAGCTTCGCGGTTCCGCGTCGTCAACTGCAGTGTGAACCTGGGTCATTCCGTCGAGAGTGCGATCCGGTGATAACAATGGAAGAGGAAAACTGCTCTGGGAAAGTTCATGGCCGTGGACATCCCCAAAGTCCGTAAAGCCGCCCGGATCGCCCATGATCTTCGTTTGAGGGCTCGCTAACTGGTCTGTGTTGCCTTTGCCAGTCACTAAATACGGAATAATCCATGCGCCTATCTGGGTTATCGTAGAGCCTTCCATCTGCGGGTACCTACTGAAGTGCCTCTAGGCTTGGGAAAAGCATATTTCACATTAGTACAAGAATCGAGCTGCTCAACCTCCTTTGGGAGCAGTCGATATCCCGAAATGCTCGACCAATATGTGGCTGTGTAACAAAGAACAAAAGTCAAAACCCCCGCTATGCAATCGTAATCCAGGCAGCGTCCCCGCAACGGCCCTGGAGAACCATGAGGAGTCAAATCGATCTGAGTTACAGGCAAGATAGGGCACAAGATGCGCGGGAGAACGTCCCGGTATTATTGAAGAAACGATGACCATGGTCAAAACAGGGCAAGATCGCGATATTTTTTCTGTTATTCCCGCGTCCAGCTGCGGTCAAAAGAAAGCCGCTCGCAGATATTTGCCACTGTATGTTTTGGAAGTAGAATACTCCGTAGATCTATCCCGATAGTCATCCCAGGGTTCAGTTCTCGGGCCACCGGTTCTTCCACATCTGAGACAACGAGCGTCATCCCCGCTATCTTATCAGCCAAAACGCGTGGCGACGCGACGACACAGAGAGAAGAACGATGAAGTTTTAGCCGGAGAGTCTGGATTCAAAACAGGGATCCAAGAATGTCTGGACTCTGGGCTGTACGCGTGATCCCAATCGTCAATCATCTCTGCCGCCCTCTTCCGTTCTGGCGGTCAAAGCCCGACTACTACTGTACACGGACAGTAAGAGAACAATCTAAAATATCTTCTTGAGAGACTTCCCGAACCAATGAACGGTTTATTTCGCGACATAACAGACGCCGTCCATGGCGAAGCAGCCGAAGACTTACGACTAGGATGATGTCAGGGCGTCCGTGCGATTCTCCGGATATCTCATTTCTTCATCTCTTCACAGGGCCATATGACTTGCTTCTTTACGAAGTTCGTCTTTATTTTCCTTCTGGAATCCATGGTGGGGAGAGATGCGGCAATTCCCTCCTCTCTTCTGCCACAAGCGTGTCTCGTTTCTGCAGTCACATCGAGCTTTTATTCTGCTCGAAAGATAGCACAGCAGATCCCACCATTGGACTGCTTTTCAAGTCCTCCTCCGAGGACAATCACCCGAGAACTCCGCCGAGAACGGTCCTCTCCGACGATGGATTGGAGCGATGTTCGGGGTCAGAGAAACAACAATCCCGGCCTTGCAGTAGTTCCCGCCCGTTGAGAGAAAAAAGCAAATGACGCTACATATACTTACAGACGAAGTACAGCCAGCCGGCTACAAAAGACGATCGCCCAACGAACCAGATAGTCGGCAGTTCTCCGACTCGCGCCGTGGATGTTACCTAAGGAATGCATATCGTTACTTTCGTTATCCAGCAACTGCTATTATTGGATACTCCACATGTCTTTCATCCATCTCTTTCGATCGAGAGGAATACCACTCATTGCTGAGCCGGATCTTGGACCAGAGAGGGAATAACCACCTCAGCGCAATATGGCAGTTTTGCCGGGCTGCAGCTTCCACTAGGTTCCACTATCTGCCTATTCTTCTCTTTCTGTTGTCATGTCATATTCGTCATCCCTACTAGTACGACCGGAATATGACACGAAGAAAGCAGACGTCCTCTCTCCATGCAGGGTTCAATGCGCGTGAGGGGAAAGGAAAGGGAACAAGGGAAGACAGCCCCGGCGAATGACAGGCACATCATCATTACGACTCTGAGTCATCCGTCCGAAACTTTTTTCCCTCTCCGCAGACGCTAAGTATGGAGTATACAGCTTGATTAACCAAGGATAGGAATGATTCGAAGAGTGCGAAGAACATGACAGCTGCCGCGGGCCCCCGTTCGTTCCAGGGTTCGTTTCGGAATTTTCAGATCATTAGCCACCTTAGCTAGGTACCTAGCACGTGGAGACCATGGATATACTCTAATTTACGCGTGTGAAACAAAACACCCAAGGTTGCGAGAATGAAGGAAAATCTCCTGGGTTGAGGAGAGGGGTTGAAATGGAAAATTCTTCTGCAACTCGTGACTAACTTAATATAGAGTAAGTACAGTAAGACTAACCTTATGTGATGCAATTGGCGATGATAATATATGCGGTCTGTAATCAAGATAAAACAGTAACTTTAATATGGTGAGAACGAACAGTACATGGCTCTCCTTGCATTTCCATATCTGATATAATCTTGGTAAAGCATCACCTTCCATACATTGCTCAAATTGATATTTCCCTTCCCATTTCATACATAGGGTGTGAGGATCTGTGCAATAATTAACGTCGAAACCGACAGCTTTCGATTCCAGATAACGCATAACTCCCTCCCAACAGCGAGCCGCCGTTTTACTAATACCCCCACTACTTATAGGATCACTCTACACTCTCTGAGTACTATTTGGTTGATGCCATCCTAAGGTAATACAATTGCCAACTCTTTCGAAATATTTCTACATGTTTCAACTTATATATATCCAACCCGATCCTCTCCCATCGGTAATAAAAACTCTCACACCCCTCCAAAAAAAATCAGTCGAAAACTACTCACAGGTCGCTGCTTTTAAACAAGAATTCCCCCGCTAAAGCCAGACTCTGAATAGAGGTCTTTTCTTGGGTGTTTTGACTTTGACGTTAACAATTAATTTCCTGTCCCCTTCGTTTTCACTTCATTTAATGAATGCATTGGTACCTACCTGAGCCGATATTGTTTCCGTGTTCGTACTCTGTTCCAGAGCAAAGACTGTCTAACAATACAATTCGGACACATGAGAAGGAGAGCGGGAAAGAGATAGCATTTCGTCGGTGGTGTTGAAATAGAAGGAGGCTGGGGATGTGGTTGTGGTTGTGGCAATACCATACTTGTGGGAGGGTGACTGGTACTACCAGGTATATGTACAATCGGAAAGGTTGGACTTGGATAATAACTATATCCGAAAGAATGCTGAAACTCGTTAGCTAAACCAGGCTCCTATGTCTATGCAGTAATAAATACTGTTTCCTCTTCTTAAACTCCCTACTGTGTTGGGAAAGGTTAATCTGCTGATATTGCGTTGAAGAGTTGTCTGTAACTCGACTCCTGAGAGATCGGGATAGATAGTGATGAAGGGCGAAAAGTTCATGTTGTACTTGTCAGCTATGTCTGCTCTCTGGTCAAGAATTACTTTCTCCTTCAACATGGGAACCGGTGTAGTACCGAAAGTAGAGTGATGTAGCGCAGAGGATTTCAGTTCGCAATGAGAAGGTTGAGATTGATTTTTTTTTTTTTTGCATGGCGCCATGATGCTTCAAGCAACAAATAGATATCTAGATATCCAATTGGCCAAGTACGCTATTGCGGCACTTTTGAAAGAGGCATCGATGCAGATGCATGCATATATAGTTGCGTGTGGAGATAGGCGATCGCATATCACATGGCACGTCTCGTGGGAAGAGGAACATGAGGGTGAAAAGGAAAATGGGCGAAGATATGAATGCTGTATCGAAATTGTTATGATCACTGGTCGAGGGCTTGTGCCTGACACTATATATAACAACCGAAATCACGTTAGCTCTCTGTATTCTTCTTTTCTCGGGAGATGAAAGGAGGACGGGCCGGGCTCGATCCGGCGACCTCATCCGTGTTAACGATGCGAGATAACCAGCTACTGCCACTGTTCCTGCACAAGCAAATGAAGCAGTAGGTTAATTGACCGGCCATCTGTAGTGCTGTTGTAGGCAGAATGGATATTTGTTCCGTATATAAATCACACCAGCCAGCAGTCTTCCAACAAGATGGCCGGATAGTCTAGTTGGTTATGACGTATCGTTAACACCGATAAGGTCCTGGGATCGAGCCCCAGTCTGGTCACTTGACATTTCTTTTTTTCGATCGCGAAATTTTTTTTATGCCGGGACTGGGACTAACTTACCATCTGCCAATATACCCCTTTTCGCCTCAACAGGTCCCCATGACTTCCTCTCTCCACGATTCTGGATCCGCCCCCGTCTTCGCTAGCGCTAAAGACGAAGATCACATCCGCCTTCTGGATCGTAGCGAGCCGATGTGCTACGGCCACGATGGTCATGCGACGCTGGGCCGCGAGACGGTCCATCGCGGTCCGCACGAGTTTCTCAGAATGTGAGTCTAGACTGGACGTCGCTTCATCGAGAAGAAGAAGCGAAGGGTTACGAAGCAGCGCACGAGCGATGCAGAGACGCTGTCGCTGGCCGCCACTGAGGGCGGTTTGCGCCTGGATGCCTAGATGCGTCGAGTAGCCGTCTGGAAGAGAGACGATGAAGTCGTGAATTTCGGCGGACTTACAAGCCTGGATGATTCGTTCTTCAAGCTTTTCGTCTTCCGTTTGATCGTCAAGTCCGAGAAGGAGGTTTTCGCGAATGGTGCCCTCGAAGAGGGTCGGTTCCTGCGAGACTAGGGAGAGGGCTCGACGGTAGGATGATATTTCAAAGGATCGCAGGTCCTTGCCATTAAGGTAGATGGAACCGGCGGTAGGTTCGTAAAAGCGCTCAAGGAGGGAGATCGTAGTCGATTTTCCGCATCCAGAGGGTCCAACGAATGCAACGAACTGTCCGCTTTCGATGTTGATGTTGAGATCCTCGAAGATGGAAGTGTCTCGCGTGGGATATTTGAATGAGACGTGTCTGAGCTCGATCTGCATACCTAAACCAGAGGTTGATAAAGGCTCACCAGCAGTGGTACCGTGCTGGTCTGGTTTTGGTCGAAGATTAAAGATACGGTTGGCGGCAGAAGTGGCTTGGGCGAACATGGGAGCAAGACTGAAGGCTTGTCCAGCAGCCTGTCCTCCTTGAACAACGGCAGTATAGATGACGAAGAAAGCGAGGGGATCATATTCTCGGCTCGCAAGTAACCGTCCACCGTACCTGAGGGGGTGGTGTGAGCAAATACCATGAATTTTAGATACTGAGAGGAATCTTACCAGAGAGTGAGAGCCATGGCACATAGTTCCACACTATCAGAAAGAGCAAATATAAGCGTGGCGTAAGTTGCTTTCCGGAAAGCTCTTCTGACCTGTTGCTTGAGCAGAGCAGAATACCTATCCACGATATAGTCCTCCATGGTCAATGCAGTGACTGTGCGAAAAGCACCAATTGCTTCGACGGCAAACTGAGAGCTACGAGCAAAGACGTCCGAATTCATCTGTTCGAATTTGATCTCATATCGGATGCGCATGAAGGCCGCAACAAACAACACTGGTAACGCTGCGAACAAGGAGACAAGACTCAGCTTCCATCCGAAGGCGAATGATATGACGACACATCCGATCAAGTTGAAGATGGATATCATTGGGAATGCACCACTAGCACTGAGCGCGTCTTGAACCTGCTTCGTGTCCGTGGAAAGGCGCGACATCAAGCTCCCAGAGGCATTGCCATCGGTATCGTAGAATGAAACAGGCTTCCGGAGCATGCTTTGGAAGTAATCCTTTCGATATACTGAACCTATGTGCTATACGCTGTTAGGCTTGTGAAGGTTGACGGATTGATAGAACTCACCGTTGAAATAGACATGCCAACATAGCCCACGAAGAAATAAGAGACTAGCATAGCCAGCGAGAGAATAAAGAACATCAACGCCCAAAAGTTAGCTGCATCCTTGAGCTTCTGGCCGGTAAACTGAAATACTTGGATCAGTTGCGCGAAGAGCCAACTTTGCAGTGCATAGGCAGCTGTCCCACATATGAGTGACATTCCACAGGGCAAGAGAAAGTATAGGTGCAGAGGTCTACTTACCACCACAACACATCGTTGCGCATAAGATCAGAACATAGTAAGGCCATAGGGTGCGCTGTTCAGAAACTACACGGCCAACGGCAGCATACTTAGTACGCGAGTTTTGAGCCTCTTCCTTAACATGGACAGATTTGGATACTGTCTTCTCTGACTCTTGAGCCTCCTCAACAGGTTCAGTATCGCTCACATCATCAATCTCCGATGTCCCTCCCGCCTCGATATGTTGCGCTTCGACAAGGTTGTGATACATGCCATCCGGTCTTGACAAGAGATCCTCGTGGGTACCTTCCTCGATTTTAGTTCCATTGTGCAAGACGATTATATGATGAGCTCTGCGAATAGTCGACAGTCTGTGAGCAATGGTGATTGTTGTCAGGCCTTGGGATACACGATCAAGAGCCGCTTGGACAATTCTCTCCGAATGGACATCGACAGAGCTCGTGGCCTCGTCCAATATAAGAATGCTGGGTCGTTTCACAATACTGCGGGCGATGGCGAGTCGTTGACGCTGGCCTCCGCTCAGTTTGATGCCGTCCACACCGACAATGGTTGAGTAGCCCTATAATCATCAGAGACATTCGACAGGATGCATAGAAACAGGAGATACCTCTGGAAGTCGGTTGATGAACTCGTCCGCATATGCCTCCCTGCAGGCGCTTTTCACAAGTTGCTCTTTGACCTCTGCTGGCTCATTCTCCCATTTGGAACCCAATAATCCATGCGCGACATTGTTGAGGATAGTATCGTTAAAGAGAAAAGGCTCTTGTTGCACCAGGCCAATCTGGGATCTCCACCATTTCAAGCTCAGACTGTTGATGTTATGACCGTCGATAGTGATGCTACCGCAGTCAACTTGAGTCTGGTCACCGGCTTCGAGCTCGTCGACATTTATCGTATTCTCTGTGCCATCTGAAGCGGACAGAGCATCCACGCTCGTCTGCTGGGGTGCTTGCACCTCGCCAAGCTGATACCATCTCTCCAGCAAACCAACGATCGTGCTCTTCCCGGACCCTGAAGGCCCTACCAATGCCGTGTTTTTTCCTTTCTCGAAACGAGCACTAAAGCCTTTGAGTACTTGAACCTCCTTCCTGGCAGGGTATGCGAATGTAACGTTGTGGAATTCAATGTCTGCATGTGCAGAGACCTGCGGTTCCTGAAGACCATCCCTTTCCACGCGATCAGAGTCAATGATCTCAAAGAAGCCGCCGGAAGCACTGATGGCTTTGGAAATTTGCATCACTGGCATGAGAATACCGCCCATGATGGTGCCCACGATAAGGACAGAAAAGAACACGCTGCACTAGGGTCAATATTATCCATATGTGAGAATGCGTGTCGAACTTACATGATAACAGTATTGATGTTTGCGATGTGCCCCTCTCGATAGAGCTCCAAACCGAACCAAAAACTTAGCGCGTAATTGGCATACATTGCGAAAAATATAAGGCCGATCTGTATCCCCAGGATCAATGGTAGTCTCATCCCGAGTTTTCGTGACACCTCAACCCAGTGGAAGTATTTCTCTGATAACTGCGCCTCCGCCCCCAGAGACAACACCGTACGGATAGAACCGAAAACAGAGCCAGCAATCGACGCGTGATTTTCATCTGCCTTATCGGTCTCCTGTTGGAACTTGATCGTCGTAGGGGCAGTAAGACCATACACGATAAGTGACCACAGTAATGTTGCGCTGGCGGCCAGCGTAAGTGCCCAGGAGTATCGAAAGGCTACTACATATGCCGTTACAAGTAGAGCCAGTGATTGGAAAAGGGTAGATAGTCTATCAGAGATACTGCTCTGTATCGTGTTGGAGGAGGCACTGATCGTATTCGCGACCGTTCCTGTAGATGTTTGGTCGAGCTTGCTGACAGGTTGAGAAAAGACAGATTCTATGTACATGAGCCGCAAGCCTGCCGTGACACGAAGGCCGGCCATTCGAAAACAAAACTTGTGTTCTTTTCAGCGTCGATCGAGCAAAAATATAAGCAAATGAGTCTTACCATAGATACGTAAGTTGTCGCGAACTTCGCGATAAACAGGTACACGATCTTGAGACTGGAATGATTGTTTAGGGCGCCGACCTGAGTACTGAATAGGGAGATGAAGACACATACGCATTGCTGTCGATTGAGGATTTGAACTTGCTCTGGGGAGTACTGTTCCCTGGTATAAAGTACTCATTGAAATTGCCAACGATATTGCCGAAAACGATATTTCATGAGCGGGAGGACCTGTCCACGAGTCAGCTATTGATGTAGAAAATCGATGAGAGTATACATACGACCCCAGAAGCCACCGCGCATAACGTGGCTGCTGCGAATAGCAAGGCATCTATTTTCGATCCATAAGAGAGAGCCCGCTATCAACGATTGTCAGTATAGAGTTGCAAACGAGTTGATATGCTGCACTCACCAGATAGCTACCCAAGGAAGCGGGTTGGTCCTGCTGTTTATCGCTGTCTTTGCGCGTTGCATCAGACTTGGTGGACTTCGATCTGGAGTCCTCCCCACGCTTGTTCGATTCGACATCGTGTCTAACATATGTCGTATCTAGGGGAGTCTCTGGTTGCGTCTGCACAGAGGCAGCTGACAATTCACCCATCTAGAATTGGAATCGGAGTTGAGAGACACGGGAAACAAGGGAGTGCAGCGACGAGTATACCGTCGAGAAAGTTGCCGTTAGCTACCCGTCAGAGCAGTACCGCGAGAGTTCCCGCTTCCCTGACAGCACAACGATATTTCCTCACATGTGGTGGACAGAAATATTTATTATCAGTTCGTACTGTGTGTAAGAACTATACAGATCCTTACTACAGGAAATTAAAGCCACGAGGGGCGGGTGGGGACTAGCGAACTTCGCGCTGCAACAACCCAATGCGGTTAAATGTACTGTGACATGTCAGTTCTCTTATTTACAATACCCCTTTGTACTTAATAATAATTCCGTGTTATGCAAGCTATTTTGTGACACCTCAGTGTGCCTAAAACTTTACGTATATTGCCATAGTAAATACTGAAAAATAGACACGATTCAATTCTAAACCACTTTACAATCTGTACTCGAACTCGGATTCGCAGCAACCATCCATGATAGTGTCTTACAGTACATAGAGTTCCTCGCCATAGAAGGACTACCAAGGTAAAATGTTCGTCGCTTAATCTCGCTGTATTGTCGCGATACTCAGTGCGCACTTAACAAATACAGAGTAATAATGAGTCTTCTCGAGGAGATGGAGTAAAGTTGTTCTCGAAATAGGCAACAACGTAGTGACCAGCCAATAGCGTTCCATTAGAATAGCACGCCCGATTTGCTGTAGCCTGTCGGTTCCCATCGACCAACAAACGGCCAGTTTGACCTTGGATCGTCTCGCTAGTGCTTCAGCTTCGGAGTATTTTTAGCTCACAAAAAACATCGGGGGGTTTGTATTATTATAGGTTGATTTAGTCGCATCAGAGAGTGCCTAAATAATTGATGATTTCTAGATAGCTAGCTAAGCTTTCAGAGAAAGTCGTGTAGTTCATCTCCTCAGAGGTTGACATATACAATGAGTGATAGATTAGGCAGTGAGATACCCTGGAACGGGTAGTACTCTCATACGCGCAATACTAGTTACTTCGTGTGTTTTGAAATAGAGACAAATGTGGTTCCGACAGTCAATTGCTTCGTGTTTGATCTTTATCTGCATAGTATCAGTCATGGATGCATGTATAGCACTGTACATACGGGCCATCAATATTACTATGGTGAGTCAGACTTTGATAACCTGTTGATAATTTCAAGAAGAGACTGTAGATCTGTCGCAGAAGGTTGTGACGAGGTCTATATTCGGGGTGGTCAAATGAATGGGTATTTGCTGTGGAAAACGTCGATGCTGGAAGACAATAATACAATTAATACTCCCGGGTAGCCACGATTGTCTTCTTGTCGGTGTCACCAGCCACTGGCAGCCAGCCACGTTTTAGATCCATCTGATAAGGTCACACAGCCGCTACCTTCTCGTAATCGTCCCTTGTCTTGAATGAACGGGAGCAAACAAAGGCAACCGGAAACTCTTCAGATCTTCTTTTATAAGAACTTGTTGCAGCAATAGTATCATTCGAGCTGCAGAGGATATATAAACCCGACATATGAGAGGCAGTATGACAAGAGATCACAACTATGGAGTACAATATACGGTAGCCATACCTAATCTGAACGGGGAAGTTAGAATGAGAGCCTGAGGCATAGAGAACGCCGGTAGCTGACATAAGTCGAAATACTCCACTTTGACTCGACCGGTTGCAGGACGATCTGATTGTGTCTATGAATAATAATAATGCCGATTCACTGGATTTCGGTACTCTCTATCCGTGGAACTGGACATGTTAAGGTGGTATTGCACAGTATCATCTTGCGCGAACCCTGTCTGTATAGAATACTTGGTTGATCTGGGCGTTCATCTCCCAGATCGCCCATGACTATCTCAACGCGATCTCCATACTATTGGCGACCACGTGAGGATGCCAAGTCGGCCCGTCCCAGGGGGTTCAATAATAATTTCTGGGGGGCATGAAGGCCCGGCGTTCTTCTTAGTGTTCCTCTTAGCGCTAGATCGGTCAGCCCCGGCCCCCGAGCAAGCGAGTTAAAGAATTCAACAGGCAGACTAGTCTATCAGCTCGTGTAGAAAAGAGCCGGGCGTGGGTAGAGAAGTTTTTCCGAGAAAAGTCTTGGCCGTTTTCCTACCCTCGCTTGGAATGATGACACTGCCATCGTGATCACTATGCGCCCGGTTTACAATGCATGACTCGCTCCTCTCTTCCTGAGAGACGTTCCATGTATCACTCATTTTATTCCCGGGACGCGATATCCTCTTCCGGCGATTCTTTTACTAGAACAACTCTCGTATCTGTTGGCGCAAACCCGGATGGCATCAATATGACCGTAGTCAATGACTACTGGTCCTGCACCTGTCTTTCCCTTCACGGCCTAGCCCGGGCAGAGATGTTACAGTCGAGCATACGTTGTCAGCATTTCCATCTCCTTGAGTCGTCGCCAACTTGACGCCAAGTAATCGCGGAGGCTAGTGGCGACGCCGGCAGTGGAGAATGGAACAATGCTAGATCGAGGTCAACCCAAGCGGGAAGGGGGGCACGCGCCCTTGATGTCAACGAGATCAGTTATGAAAACCCCCCGGGGGCCTCGTTTGAAACCAGGGGGAGAGGCTTCATGTCCTCCGTCCTGAGCCGCTACCTACCCCGCCTTTTGCGATAACTCTGAGTATTCTCCATCCATCTCAGTTGCTGTCTACAGTTGAGTGCGCTGGTGTGCGCCACTGTCCTCCCAATAAGAGTAAGAAAAGTGAAAAACTTGGCCGAGATCCGTGCCGGTCCGTGGGTATCCCGTCTCCGAGGCGATTCGAAATCAACCGATATCCCCGATTTACAGCTATTTTCTTCCCTTTTTTTTCCCTTCTATTTGTGATCGCCTGTCCCTACAGAAATAAGATATTCCTGGGGGACTTGGGACATCACCGGTATCTGGTGTATACGAGGTGAGAGACTGGTCTCCTGACGCTGCTCGCGCTGTACAGGAGGTCCGCTCTTTGCGCCTGGTGAACGATCAGGACGACTGTTGCGCGGCGACTAAGAAGGTCTGGGAGAACAAACCGGAGGACATTTTGCAGACAGGACGAGACGGCTCTCTAGGTTCTATTTCGAATGAACTAGGAGTATCGCGTAAAGGGCTGGGACACAGGTCACAGAATGCGAAAGAGACGGTGACACTGGGAGAAAGGAACACGACGACATGAGGTACCTGAGTTTGCTGGCGCTGCTGATCGCCTTATACCCGATCTTGATTCTGGCGTCTCCATTGTCAGTCCGCGCCGATGCAGCCGAGAATGAGGAACAGCAGCAGGAGCAGGAGCAGGAAAAGCCCCCAAAGCCTGCGGAGACCAAATATTTCCACGAGCCTGGCGGTGATGATATTATGGGGCACTATGATACTCGGTTCTTCCATGGTGTTGTCTCGTACGACGAGCGGACAGATACACTCACTCACATGATCCGCGCATATTTGGAGTTCTTCCGGGAGAATGGTCTGGAGACATGGATTGCACATGGAACGCTGTTGGGTTGGTGGTGGAACGGCAAGGTAGGCTGAGTGACCCGGAAGGTCCTGGAACTCAATGCTGACATTCTTTTTTTCTTGTAGATGCTACCGTGGGACTGGGACGTCGATACCCAGGTTTCCGAGGAAACTCTACTATACATGGGAGACCATTTCAACCAGACGATAGCGCAGTACATCTCAGAAGATCGAAAGGTCAAACGGAGGTATCTGCTCGATGTCAACCCGTGGTCACGCCAGCGTGATCGAGGGGAAGGCCTGAATATCATCGACGCCCGTTGGATCGACATCCGCAACGGTCTATACATCGACATCACCGGCCTGAGCGAGCTCCATCCCGACGTCGAGCCCGGAGTTTGGCAGTGCAAAAATTTCCACAAGTACAACACGGAGGATCTCTACCCGATGCGTCAGACGACCTATGAAGGCGTGCCCGCCAAAGTGCCGTTCAAGTACGACTCGATTTTGATCGCAGAATATTCCGGCAAGGCATTGTCCTCGACTCACTTCCAGAAGTACGTTATCGATTATACATTTTCATTATAGAGCCATTAGCTAACGTTTTGCGCAGCCACACTTGGAGCCCTGAGCAGAAGATTTGGGTCGCCGATGAGCCACACATTGCGGAGAGACAGAAACAGGAGGAAAAGGAACGGAAGAAGCAGCTCGACGAGGAGAAACGACAAGAGGATCGACAGAATCAGTACGCCTGATGAAACCATATCCCATCTACCTGGTACGACTCGACTCGACTCGACTCTTCTGATCACCGTGCTTCTCTTGTGACTTTTCTCATTACTGCTCAGTTTTGGCGTTAGCGGTTCCTCTGGTCCTCTGGCTTCTTGCCTGTGCATGGTTCGGCGTTACGTTTGTTCTTTACGATGCATCAGTCTGCCCTTCGTATACATACACAGCATCAGCTGGGCGTTGGATCTATTCTTGGCATGCGGAAATGGCGATCTGCGATATATAACCTCTGGATAGTCTGTGTTTATCTTCCGGCATCGTCCACCTATATCTACTGTATATAATATCCTCGCGAGATCCTCTTGGGCACAGAGTTCTTGGCTTGTGATCCTGGATATAAATAAATTCCATTACAATTTCTACTCGTCCGTGCTCAAGCTGCACGTCTGGACTGACAGTCTATCCTCCTCCATCATCCTCAACCGCTTGCATCCTGACTACCAGCTTTTCTGAAGATACCACCCCTTCGCATCATATCACAGTATTTACATGTCCGTGTAGTCAGCAATACCAGCGGTACAACCCCACCACACAGAGCGCACTGCTGCATCCCACCCCCCCCCCCAAAAAAATAGTACACCCAACCCCCCTCCCTCCTCCACAACCAACCATGAAACAGAAATCAAAAACAAAAAAAGAAATATTTGTAGACTCCGATGCGGGGAATCGAACCCCGAGCTGCTGTGTGAGAGACAGCGATGTTAGCCATTACACCACATCGGATGTAGTTGTTGGAGTGGTGTGAAAATTTTTGATTCATGACCTAAACCGAAAAATTATGGGTCTGGTTTTGGCTTTGTATGTGCCGTAGTTCGCGGATACCGGTGGGTAACTACTAACTAGTATCCGTTCTGAGAGGTTATTATAGTTAAATAGCTTTTTTACCTTTTAATAATAATAAGTAGGTAAGTAGTTAAGTAAATATATATATTTCCGCATAATAATATAGTAGTGTAATAGGAGAATAATCGATAGTTTTAGTACTTAGCTCGAGGCTAGAAACTAGGATAAATTCACGGGAAAAAGCTACCCCCTCGCCGAGTTAATATACCCGATGCCCACTTAATGATAAAAGCACCTAACTATACGATAACGAGGAAAGGATAAGGGAGGTTATTTAAATCGTTTGGATACCTTACCACATAACCTACCAGTCCTTAATATAATGAGTAAGCCCTTAAAGTTATAAGATATTTTCCCGAATCGACGTTTAAGCAATACTAGAAGTACTAACACGGTGTGTGTAAGTTATTAGCCCTAATAGGCTTACCAGGTAGTTAGTCGAATTTTATCTACTGGAAAAAAGACATTGCAACTTTTTAAGCAGCGAATTCTGTGGCAAATCTAGTAGTCCTCTATTTTCGGAAACTAACTAGATTGAACAGCAGTTATCAAGTATGCTAGTTCGTTCCGTCTGGGTAAAGCATTTCCTACAAGATACACTTAGAACACTTTGTAAGCAATCTTCTATACTACTTGAAAAACACAGCAGGCGATAGCAAACAGTGGCGAGTAAATGTTGGGCACTGATTATAAGGGCGATGCTGCTCTGAAAAAGGCTATGATAAATGTTTATTGAATGAGTTGGGTCTCCTCTAGTCCGAGTATAGGAAGGACGAAAAAACTGCCCTGCAATATGAAGTCTGACGGAGAAGAGTTAGATATAATCGCTGCGAGGTCGAGCATCTAGAAGTCATAAATGACCCTAACGGCCAAAAGTCACCACAGCAAATATAATGACTACTAGACTAATCTCCAGGACTATCGTCATTTCTGCTTCTCCATACAGTCACTAAGATGCAATTTCCACTCATAGAGAACTCATTTTGTAGCTATTCTATAATTTGAAGCGAATTCACAAATATGTGTAGTAATAAGGCCAGGTGCGCGATATCTTGCCATCATTATAGTCTTCTATCTAGGCAGAGGTCAGTTGGATCGGGAAAACAATCGGGGAGTACTTACTAGGGCGTCAAAAAACTCATTAACCATTTCCTTTTCGTCCTCTATCCACTGAGAGTTCCATTTACGCTCTGAGAATGTCTGTGCATGATCAAAGTCGATCCAGAGAACCCTTTTTGTGTATTTCTGGACCATCATGTTTCGAGGGTAGGGGTCGCCGTGATAAATTCCCACTCCATGGATGCTCTCCAGAATTGTACGAAGTGTGGCTATGCGGTAGTCTGAAAATGTTGAAAGATCTATTTCATGCAAGTCCGGAATATATTCAATGAGGATGGCATTGGGGAAGAGCTCATCCTTCAAAAACCGCTTCAAAAAGGGTTGGCACGATGTTGGATCGATCCCTTTTATCACACCGTAGAAGTCTGGTACCACTCCTTGTCGACATAATCCGTACTCTTTTAGACGATGATATGCAGTACTCTCACAGATGAAGGGATCGATTTCACGGTTAGGAGGGTCGGCGTAAGATCTCTTTGCGCTGTGGTACTGCAGTTATCTTAAGGAAATGCTCAGGAAATTGGGTTCATCATAAACAACATACCACCTTAAGAACACATAGTTTCCCTTGAACGGTCACTTGAAAAATAGTAGAGGAGTCAGATTCTTTGAGGACCTGGATGAAAGTAATATCGGCAATTGTCAGTTCCATGGCTAGCTGCCTGAGAAGAATCACTGCAGTGCTCTCGGTCGCTATACCACGATCGGCCGCCGTTCAAGAGTGAAGGAACTATTATAGCTCCTGAGACTAGACTGCAGTATCGGTGCGGAGCACTTAGCTACGCATCTGAGAACGTCATGATACTGGGAAATAATCCTACAGAAAACTAGTCAAAACCACTATAGAGCTCGCGAATAGCGGCACAGAAGAGAGGAAAAGAAAAAAAAAAAGAATAAAACCGCATAAACCAGTCGTGATAAAATCAATACCCGATACTATCACCCGTAACCAGGCCAAAAAATTTCGGAAACAAAAAGGAAATCTTAATCTCTCCGATGCGGGGAATCGAACCCCGAGCTGCTGTGTGAGAGACAGCGATGTTAGCCATTACACCACATCGGACTTTGTTGGAATTGTTGAGAAGATTTTGGTTAATGTGCCTTTTCGAATATTCTGTGCCGTGGGCTCGCCCGAGCTTATTAATTGCGCCTTTAGATCGCCATCTGAGAACGTCATTCTATGTTGGAATTCCGTTGGAAATATAGCCACCAAGTAAAACTAGATTAAGACAATCCAGTTTCATTAGCTAAAACAGATATCAACTAGAATCCAGGTACACAGTTTAAAATGCATGCCTCATCGAATGCCTTAGTCAATGACTAACTAACTAACTAACTAACTAACTATCAACAGCTGACATCGTAAATGTCACGTGACTCTAGAAGGCAACCGATGCGGAGAGAAGACGGAGAAGAGTCGATATGTAATTGTCAGCCACGCCTCTTTGCCTCTGTTCATTCCTCGCGTTTCTCTCACTCTTACTCACGTATCTATTTAAGAATCACAGAATACAGCTTCAGTTTCCGCCCTACAATTGTTATATGAGCACGTCCGGGGAACACCCTGCATCTCTCTCCGCAATGGATTCGGAGAATGCGATAACGCTCACTATCCACTATCGAGGTTCTCCTCATGCATACACTCTTCCTGCGTCTGCTACGATGCAGGATCTCTCTTCGACAGTCGCCTCAGAACTACATATACCCACGGAGAACCAGAAATTCCTCATCTCCCCAAAGCCCGGCATGCTAAAGGCTCCGTTCCCTAATACTCCGTTGGCGGAGTTCCTCCCAGACTCGATTCGCTCTTCGCCAAAGTTCAAAATCACCTTGCTGGGCAGCCCTGCCCAGGAGATATCAGATTTAAACGAGGCTGTTTCATCAAATCGCAGACGTCTTGAAGCCCGAGCTACCTCTTCCTCGCACCCGCGCATCTCCCGCCGTCCTCCTGGAGGAGTACGCACTCTATCATCGCCATCACCAGATACATACACTTTCCACCGACTTCTCCCGCTCTCCTACCTCCCAAATCCAGATCGCAGCCTCCAGTTCCTAGCGCGCCTGCGAGATGATCCAGGGATCAAGTTTGCGATGCAAAAACACCGCTTCTCCGTCCCGTTGCTTACGGAGATGAACCCGGCCGAACACACGACAGAGTCATCGCGTACACTGGGACTGAATCGGAATAAGGGAGAGGTGATCGAGTTACGTCTTCGAACAGATGCATACGACGGGTATCGCGACTATCGAACGATTCGGAAAACGCTCTGCCACGAGCTTGCGCACTGCGTGTTTAGCGAACATGATCGTGACTTTTGGAACTTGACCAAGCAAATCGAGGGGGAGGTGGAAAGAGGAGATTGGACTCGTGCTGGCCACCGGTTGACGGAACAAGAGTTCTATAATCCACAAGATTGGGAAGAGCAGGCGGGTAGGGAGGAAGTTGACGACAGAGGCTGGACGGGTGGCGAGTTCGTTCTAGGTGGATTAAAGGAGGATCGTCCCAGTGCGACTGGCACGGAGAGTCGAAGGGAGATATTAGCCAGAGCGGCGGAGGAACGGTTGAAGAAGGAGAAGGCAAGAGGCAGAAATCCGGAGCATAACTAGGAGGAATGGGCAGTGTCTTCTGTTGCCATACTACCGTGTTTCTCTCTCCCCGATTACTCTCGTGCCTCGATTGCATAGCGGCAATCCTATTGATTTACGATTATTACGACCTGTCTTTGGAGAGCATGCCATGTTGCATTATTTTTTGATGATATCCAGGAGTTTGCATTAGAGCAGATCGTGCTGTCTTTTGTTTTCTTGGGAATCGATAGATACTCATTGTATTACTGTACTATACTTGAAACAAGTGCGGAATCAACCGTTCCTTTTGCATTAAAGTAGATATCGTATTTTTAGTAGTTGCTATCTCAAAACAAATGACAGCGTCATATGGCATATCAAAATGTACTGTATATACACGGCACTACCTAACTAGGCCTCGACCCAGTCAAGTTTCAACTCGATTTTCCTTAGATCTGCTCATTCACAAACAACCCAGCCATACCCTGTCCGGTACCAATGCACATACTCGTGACGAGGACCTTCTTCTTCGTCCTTCTGGCCTCGCTCAGGATCGTACAGATCTGTCGTGCACCAGTAGCGCCCAGTGGGTGACCCAGCGCAATGGCGCCTCCGCGAGGGTTGACCTTCTCATGTTCGAGGCCGAGGTTATTTAGGCAGTAGACGGCCATGGAAGCGAAAGCCTCGTTGATCTCGTAAATGTCGATGTCGGACTTGGCCAGGTTGAATTTGCTGAGAAGCTTGGGGATGGCGGCTGTAGGGCCGATACCCATGATGCGCGGGGGCACACCGGCAACGGTGGCGCCGCAGAACTTGGCCAAGATAGGCTGGTTCAGTTCAATGGCCTTGGAGCGGCGCATGAGGAGGATAGCAGCAGCTGGAGATTCATGGTTAGCTCGCTGATGGTTTTCAGAAAGGATGATACTGCTGGTACATACCACCATCGGTGACCTGACTGGAATTTCCACCGGTGGACTTGTTTCCAAATGCGGGGAATGCAGGACGAATCTTGCTCAAAGATTCATACGTGGTGCCATATCGGATGCCTTCGTCCTTGGTCAAGGTGACCTCCTTCTCCTCGCCGGTCTTGGGGTCCTTGATCTTGGTTGTGATCGGGACAATCTCATCATCGAACCAACCGGCCTTCTGTGCCTCCTCTGCCCGGCGGTATGACTCTGCTGCATAGCGGTCCTGCTGCTCACGGGTAATATTAAAGTCGTCGCCGACGTTCTCGGAGGTCTGTCCCATAGGCTGCATACAGTCGGCAGCCTCCTGGGTCTTCAGGACCTCTTCGTTGAAAGGCCTCTCCAGACGATCCCCACCCGCAGACATAGACTCAGCACCCATGGCGATTCCGATATCAATGGCACCCAGCTGGATCTGGTTGGCGATGTCCTGCACGGCCTTTAGACCAGATGAGCAGAACCGGTTCACAGACGAAGCGCCGGAAGTGTGAGGAATGCCAGCCGCAAGGGAAGCAGCTCGAACGAGGTAAGCGGCCTTGCCATCATTGACCTGGAAAGGCAGTGTCAATATGCGGAGTTTCCTGAACGCGTGGAAGACTAGAACTCACGTTTCCGAGGCAAACGTCTTCAATGAGAGCTGGGTCGATCTTCGACTTGGCCAGGACTTCCTTTAGGAGAGCATAGATGATGTAGTCTAGATCGGTGTCCTTGAAACCGCCCTTCTTGGCCTTGGTCAGCGGCGTTCGCAGTGCGAGGGTGATGACGATATCATCTGGGTTTTTCTGAGTGCTATCCCGAGATCGTAAGTATATGGATTGAAATGCGGGGATCTGTAAAGCTGGACTGCGAGCTTACATTGCAGAAACACCACTGGAGCCTCCCTTCAGGTGGTTGAGGATAGAGGACAGTCGTTCCGTAGCCATGGTCGACGCTGTAGCAAATGCTCCAGATTATGTTGCTCCTTGATAGCCCGGTCAGCGCAAATCCAAAGCCAACCGCGCTGATGACCGGCCGGATGAGAAACAAAGATATATGGAAAGCAAGAAACGATGTAGAATCCCGGAAACCGAGGTCTTAAAACGTGGGACGAAGCAGCTCGAGCTCCGCGAAACTCCGCCGGAGCCGGATGCGGGGAAAGATACAAGCGGCAAAAAAGAAGAAAAAGAGCAGTATATGTAGCCCCTTAAACCAGTAATAACGGAGTTTGAGATCTTGCCACTTACCTGCGACAAAATAAACACTTCTACTTAGTACAATCCACTTCTACTTAGTACAATCAATTGTACGATAAGGGGCGAAGTCAAGGGTGAAACAAGAGAGAGCAAGCGGATGGAGTCTTGAGATGGTCCGGGGCCCGCACTGGAAAAGAGCCGAGGCTCACGGCACGCACGGTAACTGGTACTTGGATATACCGCTGTTTTAGTACTGCGGATGATGTACCTGATACTTCCAGTTGAACTTCAGTTCGTCCGGCTTACTGACATCTGGCTATTGGACTGAGTAAGAATGCTGCTATTATTCATATTCAAGAGATCGTGCCGTTCAATACTTCACTATTCTGAGCCCACCGTTAATTACCTCGGGAGTGAGTTGATGCGGGTTGCATGCTGTCATGTCTGATCCCTCTTCACCCCCTGGGTAAGTAATAGTATCCCAAAAAAAAAAAAACCAAACAGAACAATTAGGGGATAATGACTGGCGTCATAAGAAAATCTAAACAGAATTTGATATATGGAACTAGAAAAAGGAAGGTATATATAAACAGAGCCCAAAAGAAATAGTATCCAACAGAAGGAAAAAAAAGAAAGAAAAGTAAACACCGCACCAATGGGGAATGAATGAACTTCAAGCCAACACGGCTTCTTTCCTTGGCGTAAGCCGCACCTCAACACCTGTTTGCTTCACGAACCAGGTGTTGCAAGTTTCCCACTCCTTATTCTGATCCCACATCTCGATCTTGAAGTGTCTGAGGACCTGGGGCACCAGCTTGTGGAGCTCTGCCAGGGAGATATTCTTGCCAATGCAGGTTCTCGTTCCGTAACCGAAGTGCAGCATATGCTTTTCCATGTTGGTCGCGTCGCCTTCGAGCCAGCGGTCAGGGCGGTATTGGTCTGCGTCTTCGCCAAAGATCGACTTGTCAAACTGGACGACAGCACCGTTCATACCGACGCGGTAGCCAGACGGGATGTATGTGCCACAGAGTTCCATGCCCTCGGCCGGGGCGAGGCGGGCCATGGTCAAGCCAACACTGGGGTGAATACGGAATGCTTCCTTAATACAGGCGCAGAGGTAGGGGAGCTTGATGGCGTCGGAGTACTTGCAGGGGAAGGTGAGCTCTCCTTTCTCAGTGGCTTCGTCGATCTCTGCAACGACCTTGTTATAGGCAGACGGAGTCTTCATCAGGTAGTAGAAAACGGCACGGAAGGCAATGGCAGTCGTGTCCGATCCGGCGAACCTAGATAAACTCATGTTAGAGGGGGTTTGGTCCTTCTTGATGAGCGAGACTTGTTTGCACTTACAAGCCAACCCATGCCTCTTGCGTGATTTCGCCCATCTTGAAGTCGACCTTCTCGCCTTTCTCCTGGTAGATGTCATAGAGCTGCTGCAGGAGATCGGTACGCTTTTCAGTTTGAACAGCCCCCTCACCGAAACGCTTCGAGACGCATTCTCTGGCCGCATGCGCGACTGTATCGATGGCTTTCAGAGCTTTGAGGGAGCCTGGAACCGCGATGGCCGAGCCCAGGATGAGGGGACGAAGGTACGTTGGACCGACTCCTGTCACGCAGAGGAACGGAGTCAGAAGCTCCAGAGCATTGATCCATCCCTCATGATCATGGCTTTTCTCCATGAAGCCGAACATCCGGCCGAAGTACAGCTCGCCAATCACGTCGAATGCATACCTACGCACTGGTTAATATCCTCATGCAACGGATACGCAGAAAAGACTGAACAACACACCATTGAACCCATGTTCCGAGATCAAAAGGCTCATTCTTGTTTGTATGCTCCTTCATCTTCTGCATAAGCACCTCAGAGCAACGGTCGATGTACCGCTCCGACTGCAACACATTCGAGAGAGAATAGACATGGTTGACGATGCGCCTTCTCTCGCCGTGAAGCTTGTCAAGGATTCCGGTGAAGTTATCGGGGTACTTGCTGAAGGTATTGTTACTCCAGACAGGATAGAAATCCGTCTTGTTCAAGGCATCCTTGATCCGGTAGATCTTCTTGATGGCATCTGGCGAAGCACAGGCGACTTCATTGGGTCCAATCCGGATGAGCGGTCCATACTTCTCATGGAGACGCCTCTGTGTCTTTTCCATGTCACCCCGGATGATCTGGAGCATGTACCATGTTCGGCTGACGGTAGCCAGCCATGGCCCCGGCACTTTGCTCAGAGGGTGAAGGGTTCTGGCATAGATGATCCATACAATCCAATACAGAACAAAGGCACCAGAAAACAGGCCTAAAGAATAAAGAGGGGATACGGTCTGCAAAGCCGCTGTGAACGCCATCTTCAGGACTTGGAGATTACCTGAAGCGAAGGCTTCTTCAGCAAGGAATGGAAGAGAAAAGAGAGTAAAGAAGAGAAAGGGACAGATTTGGCTTTGGATACAGCTGCTCGCGCAGCCTCTCTTTTAACTACATACTATACTCAGCACAGTCAGCAGCGTGGCATCCACAATGCTAGCCAAGCACTCGGTCTTACCACTAATACCCCATCTGTCAAAACGTCCACGAGCTAGGTTCCCCGTGGCGAGCCCGTTCGTCTCAAGCCCACGGGCTGCGACCTGCCTAGAACGAGACAATGACATCCACCTCTTCGGGACGTTCACCCAGGATAACCTGCTTCTCTCTAGCGGACATCCTTCGGAACCGCAAATTGTGGACGTTTGAAAGACGCCACCAGAAAGCTGTCGGGAATCGGGATATCTACCCTAGAGTTCGGCTAATGCACTCTACATAAGCTACGATACCTAGGGTGAAAACTTGATATGGAATAGATCGTGGTCGGATCCTTTCCAGAAGGCCTAATTGAGATCATGAGCTCTAGGAAGCCCATCAGGTGCGGCATAATATTATTTCTAAGAGGCGGGGGTTTCACATATGATTGCATATACCCCTCACTTATTCGTTCAACAAGATGCCAACTCCCCGTCTTTTCATACAGGGGGAACAGAAGTCCACGGAACCCCAGGTTCAGAGCTTTGAGAACCCGTCTCTGTACAATTAGGTACTTCTCGACTCCCGAAAAACTTTCTTCAACCAAGAAGACTAATGCACACTAAATCAGACAGGGCGCCACTGCAGTCCTGACTCCTTGGCCCCGGAAAACAATGGCCAAGTCCGAGCTTACCCATCTTCGACCCTGAGGCGACGCCGTGCCATTATCCTGGGAAAAGAGGACTGAAGAAAAGCGAAAAGAGCGTGAAGAAGACCAGGTCTTGAAACAAGCTGCGCCGCCCGGTAGTCTGGTTGTTCCTGGTTTGGCGTCTCTTCTGATATGTCCCAAATTTACGAGCTGGTCCACCGGATTGTGGGGCCGGACAGCGCCTCCGGAGAGATAGACTCGTGGACGGCGCAGCTGTCAAGATGTTGTATAGAGTTTACTGACTAGTTAGGGTACGCACGTTGAGTATTATTACCGACTGCGATGTGGCCGCGCGAGGAGCGCCGAGAGGTTGGTACCAAGGCGGCAGGCGAAGAGGCGTAGTACTAGTCTGACAGATCGTCTCAGGTGTATTGGAACACGAACCCGAAAGCTTGGAAGCAGCGAGTAGTTATTGCTTTTTATTTCTTTATTTCTTATTTTTCTTGGATATGTCACTGATCTGACTCCGTAAGGCGTTTCTAAGAGTCCGGGGTCCGATCGTGTGGATTTACAGTGCTTATATCTCAAAGGAGTTCCTCGGTCCCGTTGCGTTAAGTAATCTCGAAGACGAGGACTTTGTTGTAAGGATCTCGTTAACGAAAGCGCTGGGTACTTTTGTTTCTGTTTCTTTTTTTGGGGATCTTTTTTTTTTGGCACAATGAAGGTGAAGTGGGTGTTTTCCATAGCCGTGGCTGGCCTTTTGGCTATTGTTCAAGCCCAGGGTCAGATGCCAGCATGTGCGGTATGTTGCAGCGAACGATCCCCTACTATCCCAAAAGGCCAGAACTGATGCATTTCCTCTTCCAGACAAAATGCCTGGGGTCATATCTCGCAAACTCCACCTGCAGCGCAACTGACTTCGCATGTATATGCGCGGACGTGACCTTGATGAATGGTGTGCAAGACTGTGTCCTCGGTAGCTGCACAATCAAACAGAGTTTAAGTGAGCAGATCCAGATAATACTCCCTATTCTGCGCGCGCTGACATCCCTAAAGCGGCCAAAAATGAAACATCGACTCTTTGCGGCGACCCAATTCGAGACAGGACAACAGTCACTCCCGTCATTACAGGAGTATCAGGAGGCCTTGCTATTATTGCGGTTTTCCTCCGACTCTGGGATCAGTATAACAATCTGCAGATTGGTGACATGACTGCGGTCGCATCACTGGTAAGTTACTTGCAGGTGTCTGAGTTCGTCAGCGATCGAAACTAATTGTCGCCTTTCTTTCCCGCAGGTTCTCGCGCTCCCGATGGGAGGATTGGAGTTTGCCAGTACGTTATTGTCCGAAAGTTATGCGCAGGTGTACAACACCATCGATCCAATGCTAATCGGCAAAATAGTGTCACATCTAGGATTCGGAAAAGATATCTGGACCTTACCATTCAACAATATCACCAAGATCATCCAGGTAAGTCACTCTATTATTCCACCCGGGACGATTGGACGCATTCGACTAACTAAAGGGCTTTTACTGCAGTATACCTGGCTGACCGAAATCTTCTACATGGCCGCGATGGGATTCACCAAAATCACGATCCTGTGTCTGTATCTGAAAGTGTTCCCATCGAAGCCGTTCCGAACCACTTGCTTCGTCACTATCGGCGTCTGTATTATATTCGCGCTCGTCTTCTCACTGGGCACAGTTTTCCACTGCTGGCCCGTCTCGTATGGGTGGACTGAGTGGAGTGGAGAGACGCAAGGATATTGCATCAATTTCAACGCTTTTGCTTGGGCTCATGCCATTGTCAACATCATCCTCGACTTGTTCGTCATCTTTTTACCGATCCCGCAACTACTTCGACTGGCTCTGGGAACTAGGAGGAAAGTTCATGTGATACTCATGTTCAGCGTCGGATTCTTGTGAGTACCGTCAATTACATAACTGCAGGGAAAGGGCTAACTAAGATGGTATAGCATCACGATTGTCAGTGTCATTCGTCTCAGTTCCCTCGTTCAGTTCGCCCGGTCCAACAATGCGACATGTAAGTTATTGTTCATTCAGCAGAGAAGAGTATATACTGATCACCAAACAAAACAGATGACAACGTGCCGACCGCATACTGGAGTGTATTGGAAGCCTTCGTCAGCATCATCTGCACATGCATGCCAGCCGTCCGATCCATCCTCCGACGAGTCTTCCCAACGTGCTTTGGCAGCTCTAACGACCCGAACTCCTACGAAGACCGGAACTACCGGATCTCATCGTCGCGGAATTTGACCGGAACAGGAATTACGAAGACGGTCCAACATACTGTCAGCATCTTGCCGAAGAGCGGTGATTCTGATGTGATCGAACTGATGGATAACGAGGAGAACGAACGGCATAATAACGGAAGGGAGAATGGCTGGTGAATTCGGTGGTAGTTACCATTCGGAAAAAAAAAAAAAGCCTGACCATTCTTCTATTCTATGTTTTTACTAGATTATATCCCTTTTTCATTTCATTTGTATCTATCTATCTATACCTAATGTACCGTAACCAGACATTTCCTATACATATACATACGTCCCAATTAGTAGTAACTAGTAACCACGTAACCACCACTTAGACAACTTCGCCCTGCGATCCACACCCTCCGTTCCATAACGACAAAACTGGCACCATGACTGCAGCTTACTCACAGTAACGGTAATTAACAACGACTTGCGCTCCCCTGTCACTTTTTGTCACAGTCACAGTCACACGAGCTATGAGCGGCCCGAGCGAAGCGGGCCGAGGCGAAGTTTGACAGCCGAAGCCCAAGTTAGTTGCTTTAGTTGACCCAAGGATCTGTCTTCCCGTGTCTCAACTGTCTGCAGGACGCGTTGGTATGGAGTCTAGTCTAGTCTATCTAACCTGTGGTTGATGAGTATTATGTATTATATCCGCCAACTTTCCTGGAACACAGATTTCGAGGTCAATCAGCTGAGAAGACCCATGAAGAAAGATACTACCCATCTGAACAGTCATACAGAACTGCATAATCATATCACTAAACCTGGTAACATCAATAATAATAACTTAGATCCTCCGCCTCATCTAATCCTGATACCCCCCCTCCTCGTCAGAATTCACCGCGGTAGCCGCCTAGACTACTCTAACCCCCAGTCCATTTACCCAACTCATATCAGCGTCTATCTAGTGTAAGCCCTTGGGTCCTCTAGAGTCGTCGGATCAGCACATCCGCAGGAAATTAGTTTTATCGGTCCGAAAAGGAACACCATGCATGCCACACTAACTTACCTCAGCCAATAATGGTTCGGGAATGTTCACTGCTGCGCCGCATAACGCCAAGGGGGAAAGTCTGAACTTTGTTGTGAAGAAAATATGGTAATTAAATATAGTTAGTTAGTTAGTAGTTAGCTTAGTTAGATAGGGTACGGAGTATCTAGCCTAACTGACTCACTGACTAGACTAATTTTACTGAATCAGATTCAGGCATATTATTAGTGGTTCGTGAGCTCGTTAACTTAAGTGAAGCTGGATCGGCTTCTGGCCAGGGCGGTTTGCGCACGGAGTTCTCGGGGAGGCCCGAGGTAGATTCTCATTCTCCTATGTAGTTCATTTTTCTTTTCTATCTAGACGAGCCTCAAAGGCTCAAATAAGTTCCAGACCCGTGGATTGGATTGAGTTGAATTAAGAAAACATAAAACGGCGAAGATTACCGAGAGGCCAAGAAAAAAAAGAAAACGGCTCTCCGCCCTATCTAACTTGAGCCTAACTTAAATCTAATAATTCTCGTCGAATGAAAAGAATATTACTTAACTTATTCAGCTTCTTTTTTTGGAGGGGATTGGCCCCTAACGAGGTTAAATTATTAACTCAGTAGCTACGAGTTAGTAATTACCGGTGGCGGGACAAGAATCCGTCGCGGCGTCGCCGACTAATAATACTCAATATGGAGTATGATTAGTTAGGGCCTTGGAGGATGAAAAATCAACTCGAAGGATTTTTAGTTGTGGCTGCGCCGTAGTAGCTAGATGAAACATGGGAAATTCGTCACGGGCTCTCTAGCTCATCTTTCGCACGTTGGGAGGCGTTTTATGGCGGATATTCTCCGGGTTAGTTCGTTTCCATCGCGGGATTTCGAGGGGAGGGGGAGGTTGTTGGTGAAGAAAATAAGGTGTTTTAGACGGGACGGCTGTCAGAACTTTGTCGTTATCTACCTTGACGTGCATGATGCTGTGAGTTGTTACACGAAACGATCGAGGAATCGGAGATAACTCGAGACCGAAGTACAGTAAAGTAAAGTACTGTACTTAACTACTCCTTAAGTATCTACTGGTAACTACTGTACGTCTTTGCTAGGTTCTTCCTTCGTCCCGTGGGTCACGCCGATCGTGATGAGCGGGAGATCATCGTGATGAATAAATACTTAGAAGTCGATATGCTTTTTTCTTCAATTGTCAGTAGACTAATTAACTTATTATTATCATTATCCTCCTACATTTCGTATACTGCCAACTCTTTTTCTCCCTTCCCCCTTTTTTTTATTTCATCCCCCTATTCTATCACCTCGTTCCCGACCCTCAAGCTACAAGAAACCTTCAACGCCACTCCCACAACAAAGATGAGCTATCCAATACTTGGCACTGGGCATCTCTGCAAGAGACAGTTATTAGTTAACAACTTAACATTAAACAAAATCTAGATCTGACCCAAGACCCAATAATCCTTCCTCTATAATCAGCCACCCGCTTCTTCCCCGGCTCTAAAAATCCAGATACTTCTACACGATTGGACGCACAGAGCTAAAATATTTTTTTAAACGATTTAAACGAAGCGGCCTGAGCGTTAGCATGAGAGAGAAAGTAGATTAGATACAATACCTAACGGCGTTCCCGCGAATAATGGGCACGTTCCTTTTTTTCTCTTAGAGTCTCAATTCCGAGGAGAAATGGATAGGAAATGATAATATACTTTTTATGGCTTCGATTCTTGGTCGTTGGTTCGTTTTCTGATGCGTTTAATAGGTCTGGTGGCAGTGTGGTAAATAATAATTACAGAGGTTAGGAGGGAAAAATCAAGGAACTGGACATCTGTGCTTTGTGCCACTGTGGGGATATGGACACGGTCACCAGTGCCAGATGTTGCGTATAGACTGGGGACAAATCGCTCGAGGCAGTTATGTAAACAGCAATAGTTAATAACTATCTAAGTTAACCCGCGAGTAGCCAGGAGATTATTACACATAAGAATGGGGACATGTGAAATCGACGCTGAAAATAATAACGACAGCCTTTGGCACTAGAAACGGCCGCGTTTCCACCCGTAATAACTTCGGATGATGAGCCGCTTGACCGCGTAATAATGTTAACTACAAATAGAACAGTGAACAGCATAAAGACGTGAGACATCGGCAATCCAGCCCGAAACCTATATCATATATGAGACAAGACCCTGGCTTGATTGAGTCTCGAGTATCCACGCACCTCCCTAGAAACCTTCTGTTAGAGATCCAGGCAGACCGACACGGAATTCTCCTTTTTGGTCGACTGGCAAAAAGCCATTACCTTTCAAATCAACACGTCCTTCGTGAGTATAACCTCGTATTCCATGATGTGGTCAATGAACATATCAGAACCGAGTCAACTGATAGGAGATTCTGCACTCTCCTGATTTTCTCAGCAAAACTTTTAAATTCTGGACCCTCCAGATCTTCTCAGCAAAAGTTCTGAGCGCTTGCACAGGTATCACCAAGTCTCTCTCTAGGGGATGGCGAGGAGAACGGCCAACAACCTTGTCGAAGGGCATACCCAGCTGTGTAGTAGTCGTAGTTATGCCATTCACGTGGGACTCTCCGGTAACAGAAGTTGAGTTATTTGTTTGAGATAAGTTAAGAATTCAGACTCCGACAATCCTACTTCTACCACAAAACTCAGCTTTGCATTTGTCAAAGCCGGATGGAGTCAGGAGCATTCAGCCTCCTTTCTCCAATTTCCCACAATAATTATCGTCGAACCGAAAGACTAAATATCACAATCGACATTTATGGCACATAGCTCGAGCAGAATTAACAGCCTGCTGAATATACCTATCCGAGGTCGGGATGTCAAATAAGTGAACATTCCGGCATGGACTCTGAAGGTTGGAACCAGCTGAGTTCACATAATAATAAGAGCAGATCAACATATGATGTGATTTACATTTTGTGCCGAAGGACTTCACCAACATCTCTCTCTTATAGTGATCGAGCTCTGAATCCCATTTCTGTATAAATAAAAGAATTGATTATACTTGCTTATTCGCGACTGATCATCACTCAGTCTAGAAGATTATACCGCGGAGATAGATATAGAGATAAAGAACTAAACTCAAGTTTGGTCTTGCTGAAGCGCTCATCGACGGCGTTCTAAAGATTCTTCTCATAAGCTCCCGTTGGCGATGAATAGAATTGACATTGTTTATGGCAGATAGCCCTTCGCTTAATCAAGAAATTGAATGATCTTATCGCAAGTTCATGTGCAAGATTTATAATAACTTCATAATTAAGATTCCCGTTTCTGTATAAAAAAAAAGAATTGACTATACTTGCTTGTTCGCGATTGATCATCACTCAGTCTAGAAGATTGTACCGTAGAGACAGAAGTGTAAAGACGAGGTACTGGTCGCGAGTTTGGTCTTGCTGAAGCACTTGTCGACGGCGTTCCAACGACTCTATTCTTGTAAACTCCCGTTGGTGGTAAATAGCTGCTGCTTCACTTCTTTCGCCAGTTGCGCAAGAGGATCCTCATATTCGGATTCAACTGAGAATTCAGAAGATGAGAGTTCAGAAGATAAAGACTTAGATGCGTTCGAGGTGGATTGAAGGAAGGTCCACAATAGGTGAAAAAGTGAAAAGGAAGTATGAGGGAAGTAAGGAGGAAGTGTAAAACCAGGCAGGTCAAATAGGCGCTCGCAACTGATGAAAAGAGAAAGGCAGTGAAGTCCCTTGGTTGTCTGTGGCTGTTTTAATCACTGCCTTGCTACAGAAGGTGATAGATATCATCAATAAATCCCATAGAATGTCGACAGTGAATGATCCATTCTGTCTATAACGTATTACTACTACTGCTACTCTCCTAGTTGTTATCATCAAATCCTTTCCCGTCGAAGGAAATCAATACCATTGCCAATTTCCCTCTCTCGCTAATCATAAGCTCTCTATGTCGCAGCTTCTTTCAACTCTAGGACCTGACATCTATCAGGCCATGAAAGAGGAAAGGAAAAAGCTCCATGTCTGAATGGAGCTCCATCCTTTCCACAGTCTGAAAACTCAATTATTGTTCTTTATTGCTCCTCCTCATCTTTTTTGTCCGTGCATCGTCACCGGCATCATAGATCAGAATAACGATGGGGGAAGAAGCACAATGGGAAAATACAAAAACAAGCACACGCATTCTACATCGTGATCGGGGAAGCAGACACTCCAAATCCGCGCCATCCATCAGGACCTATGTAAAACATATGCAGCCCAAGAAAGATCATCATTCAAGGCAGCATTTACTGCTTCTCCTCAACCTCAGCGTTCTCCGCGGGAACGGTAGTCTCGCCGGCAGGAGCATCCTTCATCTCCGCGTCAGCGGCCTCGGGCTTAGCCTCAGCAGCCTTCTTGGCCTCCTCCTCCGCCTTGCGCTTGGCCTCCTCCTCGGCGCGCTTCTTGGCTGCCTCTTCCTCCTGAGCCTTGAGGATGGCCTGTCGTTCAGCCTCGACCTTGTCCAGGTAGCGTTGGATAACAGGACCAGCCAGGAAACGGATCTCGTCCATCTTCGCAACGTAGATAGCCTTGGTGGTGTCCTCACCCTCTTCGTAGAGCCAGTCCTACACATTATCATCAGTATCTTGAGAGCAACTGTCTCAGACGGGGATATGCTACTCACCTCCGTAGAGGACAGCTTGGCTCGGATCTTCTCCTTCTCCTCCTCGCTGGCGAACTCAGAGTAGGTAGTGTCGATCTTGTCACGAAGCTCGTAGATGAACGCCTCAAGCTCGTTCTTCTTCTCGTCGGTATCGGCGACCAACTTGTCCTCCATAGTCATGGCGTTTTCACGCTCGGTCCAGGCCTCCTTGGTCTGCTGGTCGATGGAGGAGGTGCCGGTCGAGATGGGCAGGTCTCCCTTGCGAACCTGCTTCTTGACCTTGCGGGTCTTCTTGCCTTCAGTAGCAGCATCGGTCTCCATAGCCTGTTGGAAAGAAGAAAAAGTTAGAACGGATACTTCCCCCATTTGGAACTGCGGATACTTACATCGCCCTCCTTCTTCTCACCCTCCTCGGGGATAGGCTCCTCAACCTCAACGTCCTCAACGTAGTAGCCGCTCTCCACGTTCAGGATACCGTGAAGGTTCAGTCTAGCCTTCAGCTTGCAGATCATGAAGTCATCGTTGGCGTCAGCCTTGACACCCTTGACGGAGAAACGTCCGATCCAGGGGTTGATCTTGCCAGGGAGCAGCTCAGGCTTGGCATAGCGAGCCTCGAGGTCGAAAGGCTGCTTGCGGTAGAAGGTGAGGATCTTGGTGGAAGGCATGACATTGCCCTTGTTGAAGACCGTAAGGCTGGTGTCCTCGTCGGGAATTTCGGGGGACTGCTCCCAGGTGAACTCGATGGGGTAGTTGACAATGTCGTGCACGGCGAAGTCACGGACACGGAAGACGGGGGAAAGGATGGCGCAGCTGAAAGCACATCCACGGGCAATGGCCTCGTCCTGGTTGAGAGTGAAGGACAGAGGCTTTCCGAAGAACTTGCTGATGGTCTCCTTGATGATGGGAACACGGGTGCAGCCACCAACCATCTCAATGTAGTCGATGTCCTCAACCTTCAACTTGGCCTCCGCGAGAGCCTGCTCCAGGGGCACGGTGATGCGCTCCAACAGGGGGCGAACCATCTCCTCCATCTCCTCACGCTTGACCATAGCACGCACATCGATATCCTCCGTCAGAGACTCAATGCTGAGGGGTGCCTGGGCATTGGCGGACAGAACCTTCTTCAGCTTCTCGGCCGCAGTGAGGGTACGGGCCCAGGCCTTGGTGTTGGCGCGGATGTCGACCTTGTACTTCTCCTTGAACTCATCGGCGAAGTGGTCGACGAGGGCCTTGTCGAAGTTGCGACCACCGAAGTGACGGTCGTAAGCGGTCGCCTTCACATTGAGCTCGCCCTTTCGGAACTCAACAACGGAAGCGGTGTAGTTGCTGTGTCCGATATCGACGAAGACCACTCTCCGGGGCTTCTCCTCCGCGGAGGGGAGATCCAGCTTGGTGATACCGTAGCCCAGGGCGGCGGCAGTCGTGTCGTTCATAAGTCTCAGCAGCTTCAGACCGGCGATTTCGGCGGCATCCACCATAGCTCTCCGCTGCGCATCAGTGAACCAGGGCGGGCAGCTGAGGACGACATCGGAAACGGGAAGCTTGAGCTCCCTGGAGGCGGTGTCCTTGATCTTGCTCAGGTAGGCGGCCACCAGTTGCGTTCCAGTGAACTTCTCCTTCTTCCCGAGGTAGGTCACCTCAGCACCAACCTGTCCATTGACTTCACACAGGGTAGCCGTGTTGTACTCCTGCTCGATCTGGACATCTGGGTCTGAGAACGTACGACCGAGGAGACGCTTCAACGAACCGACGGTGTTCTTGAGGTTGGAGACCTCCTGTGTCTTGGCCGTCTCACCCAGATATCTGCTCTTGGGACCGAATCCAACTAGAGATCTGTATACGACAAAGAGCCACCGTCAGTACAGATATTTCACAGCAGTTATAATAATAAATAAAACAGGATATCAACTTACGGAGTTGATCGGTTGGAGACCTCATTTGTGATCTGTGCACCAGCACTGCATGTTAGTCTTGTTTCACATCTGGCGTAGCCACCTATTGCACATAGATCTGGTCGGTTGACTCTTATGGCGGGGGGAGGAGGGGGAGGTTACGCACAATGTCAATACCCTTGTTCCTTGCGACACCAATCTTGGTGCTCTGCGCACCGAAATCTATGCCGACAACACTCATTGTGGGAGAAGATTTAGGTGATGGAAGATGGTATGGCGGGTTGAAAGGTGGGTGGAGGAGAGAGAATGGAGCGGATGATGGGTTGCGGAGGGGAGGAATTTGCAGCTGCGAGCTAACTTATCACAGCGGCGGTGATAGACGGTGAGGTGGGCTGGGTTTTTTTTTGGGCGGGCACTGGTCGTCAGGCGGGCGAGGCAGCGTCCTTGCGCAAGTATTATTATTACCTTCGTCACTGAACAGCGTGCTCAACAACAATTATTATTCACAGGACAACTGGAAGATCAACAAAAAGGGTGAATTCTGGACATTGACCTAAAAATACTCGATTATCTGAGAATATCCTCTACTCCCTTCCTGTTCTGCTCTGCCTTTACTCAATATTTCTCGCATCGAAGCTTCTGGTGCCCACTCGATTCTTCGCCCAACTCACCGCCCTGTAGTTTTTCATCCGGCAGAACTGAGGTGGCGGGCTGACCGCTCTTGGCGGGGCTCTCCATGTCATGTTGATTCTGTTCTTTTGGGCGTCAACTGTCGACGGGATTATTTATCGTTGAGGGCAATTAGTGGCTGTTATCTCCTACTCTAGAATGGCTGGAAGCAATTACGAGTAGCTTCTGCCCAGCATACTCTAGTCATCATGGTAGATACTCTACGCTATGGGCCAGAACGCCTGGGAGTGCCCCACTTCTGGTTATTCAATCGAGGAGGAATAATGAATGATTCCTTTGATGAATGTTGGTTCTCTTTCGGACCAACTGACGTAGCCCGCTGGCCAGACACGAGTATGTCCCTGATAGGCCTCTTTTCGGTAAATCTGTCTACTAGGGTACGGGGTTCTTTGCGAGTCGAATTCATTGAAGACTTTTTCGGTATTAGCTTGCTATGATAGTAGCCTGAATTCGTCGCCAAAGACTGTCTTGAGAATTGAGGACTAACTGCCTGACATTGCATTGTCTTTTGGTCTTGATTTTGGGCTCCAGAAATGTGTTGGGTTATTCATACCAGGTCATCGGCATCGCGCGATCTCTTGAATGGCCACAGCCGTTTCTTCTGCAGCTTCTTAGGGCGCGCCCGGTTAGGCCTCTGCAGGGGCACGAGGGACGGGTGGGACTCGCTCTCCAGGCCCTCGGCACTCTCATCCCAGTAAGGTTGCTGCGGACTGTTCCTCCCAAGGGGGCTGCGCATCAAGTGTGACGAGCGTGAAAGATCCAGGGTCGTGTCTGGAAGAGCCAGCGGAGTGCTTGACACGCTGACTGTCGAGTTGGTCGGTATTGTCAGTAGCGATTGAGTGACGGAATCAAGACTCCCATGGCTATTCTCCTGTGATAACCCAGTCCCGTTTGTGATGTTCGCATAGTCAGACTCGCCGGGGTCAACAATCGAACTGGATGACCGTTGTGCCTGACGGGCAATGTATAGTTTAGCCAGATCCTCCTCACCCATGATACTCTCAATGCGACGCGGCATGCAAATCGAAGTCTCTCCTGATTCACCAGTAAAGACCGAATCGAATGAGTTGCGCGACTGTAGCGGGATTCGTGGGATATCAGGGAACTGCGTCATGACCTGAGAGAGTGTCAAGGCTGAATCCTCCCTATTGAGATAGTAGCCATTGGACAGCTGTTCTGGTGCTGCGAAGCGACCCTCCACCTTCTCGGAAGGATGTATTGGAACCACTTTCTTCTCTTCCTCTGCTGTCCGGAATGTGTCGAGGTTCACGTTGAGTTCGTCACCCTGAGCCTTTGCCTGTTCCACAGCTTCCTCAGGTGAGATGTGATCACCAGCGGCTGCAGCATCCGCTCTTGGACCACCCCAGGTTCGCTGTCCTGCAGTGAAGATGCCGTAAACCATATAGAGCCAATTGAAGAACGGGTTCAAGATGAACATCAGCGGATAAAGCCACGCCTTGAACCGCTTCAACTTTGCCCCAAAATAGAGCATGAGGAGATAGTTGAGGCCCAAGGAGACAGCAATGAAACCCACTGGGAGATTCTTGATCTTGTTGGACGTCGTAATAATGGAGATGACCATGATGAAGAACAGGAGGGCGGTGGTGCGAATCGTATTCTGCATAAAACGCACCAGACATAACACAGGGTATCGTTTCCATAGCCGAATATCCGTCAACATGCAGACTTCATTGGTAATGAATCCGAGAAACCATCGACGACGTTGCTTCAGCAGACTTCGAAAGGTCTGGACTGCCTCGGTCTTGCAGAACGCGCTCGTGCACATCTGTATCTGATACCTCTCCTTGGCCCCAATCATAAACAAATGCGTAAGCCACCGATCTTCTCCCAGGTGACATTTCCCATAATCGAACAAATCTTCGCACTGCTCAGCCTTGTCAGCGAAGTAGTACTTGGCCATCTTGCGGAACGCTGAAAACCGTAGTATTGTCAGTGCCCCTGGTAGGCAAGTCACTGCACCACAGCTCGACTCAACAGAACGCTCGAAGAGCTGTCCATGAATATATTCCATGTCCTGCAAGATCGTAATCAGAGAGTTCTTTTCTGTTGTCGACGTGATGACCCCGGTCATAGCAAGCATATTATGCTTGCTACCTGGCTTCAACTCCATGTCGTACATAAAGTTTTGCAGACAGACTCTGTCAAGTATGCAATCGGAATCGATGAAAAGTACGAACAAGTTATCATGCCGTTTGAGATAGTCTGCATACACCTTATCTATTAGTTTGAAGGTCTGCTTCTGGCAATGGCGTTTGCCGCCGTGCTTGAACCGCGATACCGTTATTCTTGCACCCTTGTAGGTCACATCGATGCTCTGAGGATAGCTTTTGAGAGAGATCGGAATACCGAGGTGCGAGACGACTTTCAGGTAATCCTCATCGACGACACCTCCATCGTACGATAGAAATACGTGAATACAATATGCTGGGTAGTCGCAGTCAACGACAGAGTCGATAGCCTTTATCAGAACGGCGGGGTCCTCTTTGTATACTGGCATCACGATAACCGTCTTCGGAGCGGTCTTATCATCGAGGACCTGCTTGATGCGTTTTGTTCTTCCCAGAGAACTAGTGACTAGCCTGTAAACGCAAAATAACCATGGCACGATCAAGAGAACTGCGAATGTCCAGAAGGCAAACCACTGTAGAAACGAGACCATCTTTTCTGGAAAATATTGTGTGATTGCGGCTGGCAACGGAAGAGTGACAACCATGACCGGGAGGAAGATACCCCTGTACAGAAACCATCTGGTAAGTCTGTGCTTCCGAACAGAGTAGCTATTTCACTCTACCTGAAAATCGTGAACAAGAACATCATCATGATGGCTAGGACCTTGATGCTCCAGTGTTCCGCCTTCTGATATACCTTGACCAGGCAATAGAGAAATGCCGCCAACCAAAGAAACCACTCGAGAAAGGCGGCGAGCATGACGGGACCGATTATAGATACGTAGACAATCTATGACAAATCTGGTTAAATCATATTCTCCCAGCATTTCAAGGGCTTGTCCGGCATACATCTTTCACCGGCCATGGTGCCGTACTTGGCGACTCGCCGTTGTCGTATTCCGACATGAGATTCAACGTTATATGAACGAGACAATGGACTATCTGTGTCCAAAGAAAGAGGCTTCTGGTTATTGATCTGTCGCAGAGACCCGTGAGCCAGTTGCGGACGAACCTCGCTAAGGATACGAAGCAATATAGAAGCGAAAACCGTCGGTCAGAAGATATTGGCAGAAGTGGCAGCCCTGAAGTTGTAATAGTGACCTGCTACCAGGAAGCCTTATGATTGACGATAGCGACGGAATGAGGAGACTGATGGATCCGAGTAATAGAAGATTATTTTCGATGTACCTGCGACGATACCGTAGACGAATACCTAGTATCAAAGAGTTATTAAGAAGTGATTCAGAAGTCGAGTCGTGCCGATAGATCTCTGTTTCCTCTTCTTACCTCAGCTACAGAGGCTTGCCATGCAAACGAATCTTGCGGGTCAACTGCATCGTCCTCTTAGAGAGTGAGGCACATATTTGCGCCTTGTGCGATGTCTGAGAATAAAGCAAGAAGCTATCCTTAACGGGCTGGCGATTGTGGAATGAGAAAATACTATAAAGGCAGGAATCATGTTTTGCATAAAAGAGGCGCAGACCTGCCAGCAAACATCGCCGAGAACAAGGCAGGTGCGTGACTGCAATTCACGTCTCACAAGACACGCAGATGCTATTTTAAGCACATTACATGCGAACACCACTCACAAAACTCATTTGAGGAGTCATATTATCCGCACATTGAGCAGCATCATTATTCTCAATGTGCTGAATTTGTTAGTTTGATGGTGAATTGTTAGTAGCTGAATTTCCTTCCTTTGTTCTAGTGGTTTCTTTGTTTCGAATTCCGGGTCCAGTATGAGATTAATCATAGGTCCACGCTAATATGGTACTTCTAAGTTCGATTATGCTATTATGAAACCAGACTACGGCAGCTAGGTATATAATTATATCAGCGACAAGTTTCCAACTGCTGCCGTCGTGGGGGTTGCAGTCGAAAAGCTAATGATCGGTTGGATATGGCATCAAACGTGCACAATGCAAGTATCCATAATATTACTTTCGTAAATATATACATGGAACATGAAGTCGAAGAACATGTAAATTTAGCTACTGAGACGTTCCAGCATAGTATGCATCCCAAGAAAACCAGTCGAAGGTGCTATCCAACGCCCGTTTGCGACTGTGTGAATAACTTGATGTAGGAGCAACTCCAGGTACTGATGGGATATTTTGCCTTTCAGGTCCAGATGCAGGCCATGGAGCTGTTATATCTGCTGGTAGCCACTGTAGGTAACTATCGAGATCTAACCCTTCGATGGCAAAATGCGGAGCGCTTTCCTCGTGAAGTGCGTTACCCGGAAGTGATGCAGCATTAGTGCGCTCTCTATCAAGTGAATCATATCTCTGACTCTCTTCGTACGGTAGCGTCATCTGGGAAAAGTTGCTAGATGTCGTAGTTTGACTAGCAGCCTGTCTTGACATAGTGGTCCTCACATGATGTTGTGCAAGCTGCAGGAATACAGAGGCGACACGTTCCAACCTGGAGCAGATCTTGGCCAGGAGATGTAGTTGGCTTCTCATGCTAGCAAAATAGGATACTGTTGTGGCCAGCAGGCCAAGGTCATGATCGATCATTGACCTCAACGATCCGCGGCTGTGAACAATGTTCTCGAATATCACGAAGAATGGAGTAAAGGGATAATAAAGGAGTTGCCTACGATGATTTCATGACGGGGTAAGAATTTGTAGGATAGGAGTTTTAGCTTGCGTGGGAAAGGTATAGGGATTCATACCATACTGCTCCATTGTAAACGGATTTCCAGTTGGAGACCATTGAGGGCAGAAGTGAGATGGCCTCTCGGGCAGATGCCAACCGAAGGCTTGAGCAAGAAGCATCTCCTTTGAGAAGTACAATAAGGGTATGCAGATATCCAAATCTGATGCCATGAACGCCTAGATGCATCTCTCGAAGTTGAGTCGCATTCGCCCAAGCGCTTTCTCTGGTTATGGTTTCCGACAGAGCCTTATGAGGACACAAGTAAGAATCTATCATCGAAATTCTACAAGGATACAGAGTGAACGGACCTTATTTGTGTGCGTATACCATGCATCGAGTTTTATCCTGAGTTCATCTCTTGTCAGAGGTGACTCCCCAAAGGTCAAGAGATCCACTATGTGGCCGGTCAACTTTGCCACTTCGATCATACTGCTAAATAGCTCAGCTCCAAATGTAGAACCCTGCGTGCTGCTGCAAGAGTCACTGATAACTGGGTTCTCATGTGGATGGAATTTAAGCAAGTAATGACGGCCAGGCAATGGTATATTCCCGTACAGGGCTGTAGGGAGAAACGTAGGTCGGCCAAAAGCAAGGGCACAAGATTTGTCGATCGCAAAAAGGAGCCAGAAGAGACAGAGTTTCCGTTGTCTGACATCGGAGTCATTGTCGGAGGCAGCATGAAGCCCCAGAGCTTCAGCTTGGCGGCAAGCATGTCCTACCAACATCCAGGACAAGTTAGGGGAGGCAAAGTCCTCTCCGTGGACAGCAAGTAGCACCAAAGCCTGTATATTCTCTTCACGTGGTTCAAGAAAGATACTGCTGTTGTTGAGTGCAAGTTGCATGTTCCGTCGAAACCTTTCGACTTGATTATTATCATCATGTTCCGCGGAAACGAGGGCAAGCATCATATAATTGAATAAAACCACCCACGCCTTCTGGGCGACATTTCCTGGATCAAAGACAACCTGTCTTAGGATATCATGCGATGGAATCTCGAAATATACCTCAGCCATCTCTATGCATTCAAGGAAACCTAAAATGAGCAGACTTCAGCCAGAATGATCGACGTGTTATGGATAACAAAAAGCTTACGGCCTATCAGACTGTATCCAACCCTTTCCGTGGGCACGTAGAACCCAGAGGCCTCCTCTCTCATCCCCTGATCGATTTCGGCCCTAGTTAACGTATTAGATAGATACTGTAGTTCCGAATGAGCTTCCTGATGAACAGAGCTCTGCGACTTGGATATAGCCTCGATAGTAGCTGATGTCTCCCTTAGGAATGAGAATGCGTGTGATGGACCGACGAAAAGCCCCGGACTGGGGTCGCTCTTCGGGCCAGGAATTGTCGAAGTTGGTCCCTGCCTCTGCATTTCCTGAATATCTGGGGCCACGACTCTCAAAATCTGGTTGATTGAAATGTTTAATTGCTGGATAGCATTCTCAACACGTTGCAGCCGTTGGCCAATATTGCCGTCCATCTGAAGAGAATGCTGTGCATTCTGTGTGCTCGTGTCCACATCACTTGGTCCCAAACTAATCAGTCATGAAATAGTCTACGAGACAGGCATTTTGGACAGCCTACTTCTGATTTGTTGGGACATGAGAAGGAGATGAATTATCTCGCGAATAGTCACAACTGCCGGGCCATGGCTTACAGGTGCTACATTTGGGTAGCTCCTTTGAACACCTGGGATCTAATTAGCTTTATCAAACTCAACATTATGGTGTGTATTACTTGAGCTTTTTCTGTCGACAGTAGTCACACTAGACTGCGGTCAGCAGTTGCAGAGCAAAGAATTGTTCAACTCTTCCTTACTGCGAAGCGGGCTAGACCATCGCCTGTCTTTGTTGCTTCGTTATTTTGCATCCTAACGACTGAATTGATCGAGAGACCCCCCTACTCAAAGAGATTCCAGACACCAGGCAATGATCGAGAACAAATCTGATAGAATGAAGCCGGAGGCCACCTCAATACCCTTCCGGACGATGAGTGAACAGGGCCCCACAACTTCCGGAAGGTCTTGTTATGAGTGGCTGGGGTGCCCCCGCTGTTTCCGTCATTCTCCAATCATACGTGTTTCTTCCGGAGGCCGCGAGACATATGGTATCAAAATTATAGCTATAAGAAACTGTAAAGATAGCTCAGAAACACAGGACACAGTATGATTCATCCATAGTCATGCTGCGGGGTTGTCCGAGTGCATCCAATCACTACTCCTTAGACCCTTTTCTAGATGCTACCTAGTCTACTATACTGAACGAGAAGGAAGTTCAAGTGCACCGAATATAAGAACCCCCAGAGACTTCTTAGAACCCAGTTACTAGAATTTAATGACAACTGCATTGCTTCGAGTGAGCTCTTTCTTCCAGAAAGACAAAGCAGTCAAGTAACAGAAACAGATCTATTCCGTTCTTGAACTCAATATCTCATCCCACTGTTGTTATTCTCCCCATTAGTCCATAATGGCTCCTGACATTGCAATCATCGGTGCTGGGCCATGCGGACTAACATTCGCTCGTTTGCTCGAGCTCAACAATATCAACTATATCATCTTCGAGCGTGACGCATCATCCACACCCACGCCGCAACATCAGGGTGGCACCTTGGACTTACACCCAAAAACAGGCCAGCTCGCTCTGAAGCGCGCAGGTCTTTTTGAAGAGTATAGCAAGATCGCTCGCTGGAACGCCGGTACAGGAGTCGTTATGGACCCAGCCGGTAAAACGTACGTCAATTTTGACAAAGGAGCGGAGGGACCCGAGATCGATCGTGTGCAATTGCGTCGTCTTCTCCTTGATTCTGTGCCCGAGGAGAAAATCCGTTGGGATCATGCTGTCAAGGCTGTGGAGAAGGTTGAATCTGGTGCCGGTTGGGTGATTAGATTTGCGGACGGCAGCACGGCGGCTGGGTTCAAGCTCATTGTTGGAGCTGATGGAGCATGGAGCAAGATCAGGCCGCTGGTAAGTGGCTCCTCTAAGCTATGGAGGGACTCTTCTCGAATAAAGCCTGCGAAAGACATCTTTCAGAGTGAGTTCGGACCAAAATCGCTGACACATATTATCTGTTCTTCCCTAGATCACGCCTGCAAAACCGGTATATTCCAGGAAAATGTATATCGAAGGCCGCATCCCGCAAGGCAATCCACGCTACGCCGCTGTCAACGCAGTTACGGGCGCTGGAACAATGATGGCGATGGGGGCTGGTAAGCAGCTTGCTGTACAACAGGTGGCCGACGGATCCTATCGGGTGTATCTTGGACTGCAAGTGCCCGAAGACTTTCCCCGCAACATTATTGACATTTCTTCCACAGAGTCTGCTAAGAATACATTCTTATCTTCCTCTGAATTCTTCGCCGATTGGGCGCCAGATCTCAAAGAGATTATCGCTAATACAGAAGGGCCCCTCCGCTCCTGGGCGATGCATAGAATGCTTGTCGAATCGATGGGGTGGACGCGTGTCCGTGGCCTTGCTCTCATAGGTGATGCAGCGCACGTCTCGACGCCTTTTGTTGGCGAGGGCGTCAACTGGGCCATGTACGACGCACTTGTGTTGGCAGACCGTATCGTCGAGCAATATAAGCGCACTGGTGACGGAGTCGCAGATGAAGACGATCAATTGGAGCGTGCAGTGGCACAGTATGAAGAGGAAATGTTCCCGCGTGCCAAGGACTTTATCGAGCGTTGCATGGCTAGTGAGGAGTTATGCTTCAGCGAAGATGCTGCGCAACGACTTGCAGATATCCTCCATGATCCCAGCCAGACCATCTTGGGCAAGGCCTGAGAACAGAAATTGGACAAGAGACGGGGGTTTGACTGGTAACTTACTGTGCTGCATATGGGGGTATCCTGTTTAATATACGTTATATGCGTTAGTGAAGCGCTGGATAGATGAATACAATCTCCATTTCTATTCTCTTCTCTAGCTCGCCTCCATGTATAGGTGAAGACTAGCTAGCTGGAGCCCGATGTCATGATTTCGATTCTGCTCAGTAGGCGGTTGCAATTGATCCATGATGCGATACTCCCTCAATAAACCTTAGTATGACAGGTGCTATTCGAACAGTAACATGACAGGGTTGATAGTTTATGTAGGGACAAGTGGAATGAGTGACTGCTTCTGCGCCTCCAGGACTCAGACAGGATGACAGGTCAGATCTAGACCAGTTAGGGCTTATAGGGCTAGACCCTAATCAGCGATAAGGGGTTCCTTGCTATTTTATCGGCTAACCAGATATAGATTAGTTCATATTTCGCAGCGCGGTCACGTGTACGAGACCGGATCGAAGAAGATGAGCAGTTCTGACGCGCTGCAATTCGACGGGATATCTTGCTGGTAGAATATGGAGAACTATCCTATTCAATGCACTGTAGTATCGTAAATACTTGATCCCGCGTAAATGCGACCATAAATCGGCCGGGCTACACGCGTGACGGACATTTCCCTAGTCTCCGCTGCGGGCGGCAGCTGGTGCAGTCCCGGTGGCTGAAGCTCCCGATTGCTCTGCCAGAAAATTTCCCCCGCCGCTATCGATCGCTCGCGTTTGTCGAAACAATAATTTCTTCCCTCGCCATTCTGCCATATTTCACGTCTTCGCGTTCACAGCAGCTCGAGTGCGTGTTTTCCAAATCAGACGTGAACGTCTTTGTTTGTCAACTCTTCATCTTCGAAAGTCTTACCGACCTCGAAGAAAGGGTGGCGTACAGCGGCGCCCGCTGCAACTGCGAATTCTACGACTGTCTGGTTTGCTAATTCTCACCTGCAGTCATGTCCGACGAACAGAATCCCACTGGCACTGCTCCTGCGGCCAACGTGGAAGCTGAAAAGGATGTCCAGAACGTGCTGGCGGAACTGAAGGCCGAGGAGGGCGCCGCTCCGACAGAGGAGAAGAAGGAGTCCGAGTCTAATGGCGCAGCGGCCAGTGATGAGGCTGCAGAGGAAGCGCGGATAGTCGCAGAGGCTGCTAAACTGGGAGAAAAGTCGGAGGAGGCCGAATCGAAGACTGAAGAAAAGTCTCAGAAATCCAGAACCGGACGCGGAGAGCGCCCCAACTATCGTGACAACATCAAGTTTGACCCCACAAGCCGGGAGACAACCAGTGATCCTGTTGAGATCAGAAAGCAGGTAAGTCAGCACTCAGAATGGGTGTCCCTGTCCGTTGGTTCCTAGTCGCCAGTACTAATTGGGCTCTACTTAGGTGGAATTCTATTTCTCCGACTCTAACCTCCCCATGGACAAGTTTCTTCTCTCCAAAGTAGGAGGCAGCGCCAACCGTCCCGTTGAGCTCTCGTTGCTGCACTCGTTCAAGCGCATGCGCCGCTTCCAGCCTTTCAGTGCTGTCGTCGAGGCACTCAAGTCCTCCGAGACTCTGGAGCTGGTCGACAATGACACCAAGGTGGTCCGCAAGGTGCCTCTTCCTGAGTCGGTGAACGAGAACCCTGACGCGGATATCGTCAAGGTCTTCGAGGACAAGGCAATGGACCGCAGCATCTACGCTAAGGGTTTTGGTGACGAGGAACCCAGCACCCAGTTCGACATCGAGGCATTCTTCGCTCCGTATGGCCCCACCAATGCTATCCGTCTGCGTCGTCATTACGACAAGACCTTCAAGGGTAGCGTCTTTGTCGAATTTGACTCCGAGGAAACCCAGAAGAAGTTCCTTGCCTTGGACCCCAAGCCCAAGTGGAAGGGACAGGACTTGCTGATCAAGAGCAAGAGACAATATTGTGATGAGAAAGTCAAGGATATCGAGGCTGGTCGCATCAAGCCTAACCGAGGCCGAGGCGGTTCTAGAAACCACGGCCGCGGTGACAATCGCGACTGGAAGGAGCGCAGAGCTGAAGATCAGAAGAGAGGTTTCAAGGGTGGCCGTGGCGGCCGGGGAGGACGTGGTCGCGGAAATGGTCGCGGAAATGGTCGTGACAATGCTCGCGAGAATGGCCGTGAAAATGGCCGTCCCCAAGAGATCCAGAAAGATGCGCGGTATGTTTCCATTTATCTTTCATTGTGTGAGACGTTTGTCGATCGCTAATATTTTTGTGGCAGTGGCGTCCCCGTCATTCAGAGCACTACCGGTGGCGACGAGGCTTCTAAGAAGCGAGCTCGCGAGGAAGATGGAAATGCGAACGGCGCGCAGAACGGCGACCATCCTGCGAAGAAGGTTGACGCCAAGGAGGCATGAAGAGATGCCTGATCGTCCATTCCATATATCCACAAAAGTACAGGCGATGCGGGTCAAGGGGTGTACTCTGCTTTCCCTCGTGGTTATGTCCCGCTGTTTACCAGCTGATGGCGTTGTGCATTACTCGGTCGATTCGTGACTTGTTCTCACCACTTGCAGACACTCTTCTCAGTGTCACGGTCTTTTTCTTTTCTTTTTTCCCTATTCGGTCGGTTGTACTTCTCATATCTTTGTCGATTGGACTCTTCTTTTGCCATAACGGGTTTTGTCTGTGTGTACATGAGAAAAGGAGGAGACGTGAAGGGCATTGCTACAACGGCCATTTCGGAGGTCACAATCGGAGTACACGAGATGTTAGTCTCATCGAAGCAATTCATATCGGAGTTGCTTTGCAGTTGCTGCATGCCAGCCGGCATTTCTGGTATCCCCGGAAAGCGCAGCTGCAGCTGGTCTCAGTTTTTCGACTCGACCTATATTCGAAGATGACATAGATTCTGCCAATTTCCAGGCAGACACACGAGCTATTCCTAGGAACTAAGTCCCGGTATCATCTCGTGGATCCGGTGTCCTATCAGCTGTACAATAACCTGCTTACGACGCCGCGATGAGTTTCCGAGAGCATATGCAAGCCCAATACAGAGAATCAGTCATGAGACAATCTTGGTATTCATACTCCGTAAACATATAGGATCAATGCGCATAGAGCACACTAGTGTTATGTGTCCGAAGGGAAATCAATTGATCAGACAGACAGATACATATCAGTTTAGGCCATAGGAATCCAACAATTATCCATTGGACAGGAACAATCCTCAATTCAGATACTGCTTCTTCACAACGTTGAACCCCTTGAACTGAGGCAGAGCCTGACGGATTTCCTGCGAATAAGCATACTCACCACCAGCATAGTTGACCTGTTCAAACACCTTATCCGGCATACTACCACCCATATAGGTGGACTTTGTCGTCGGGAACAATGAGATATCAGAGAGCTCATTGATGCGCTTTTTCCAGTTCAGAGCTGCTTCTGGAAGAGGGTCAATATATTTAACTCCCTGGCGCTCCATCTGCTTGATAGCATCGGAGATCCAACGGCCCTGAATCTCCACGCTAGTAGGTCCATTGCTGAGCAAAGTAGGTCCATGTGGACCATAGAGATGGAACATATTCGGATATCCACTAACCGTGGTGCCGAGATAGGTGTAAGCACCTTCCTTCCACTCATCTTTCAGTGATTTCCCATGGATACTTTGCAAGCCCATACTCGTCATGCCACCGGTAGTGATATCGAAACCGGTAGCAATGCAAATCACATCGAACTCATAATGAGATCCATCCTGCAGCTTGATTCCGGTTTCGGTGAACCCAACGATCGGGTTATTCTTGATATTGACGGCTTCAACACTAGGTCGGTTGAACTGCTCATAGTAGTTGTATTCCAGACATGGCCTCTTCACACCCCAGGGATGTGGCGGTTCGACAGGAGCCAGAATCTCACGTTGCTGTGGGTCACCGATACGTTCGCGGACTTTCTTAAGCCAGAAATCGTAAACGACACGATTCGCCTTCGGGTCGTAAAGGTAGTCCTTGTAATTGGCAAGCCAGTACCGGAAACCTCCATCCTTCCAGAGTTGCTCGAGGAATGCTTCCTGCTCCTCTTTGCTATCTTCAAACACGCCCCTTTCGCAGAATGTATAGAGGAACCCCCCGAAGCATTTTTCACGGTAGTCGAAAAGCTCGGGATAGAAGCGCTTTGAATCCTGCTGTTCCTTGACGGTAAGAGCGCGCTTTCTCATGGGAACAGCGAGATTCGGCGTGCGCTGGAAGACCTTTAGTTCGCCCGCTTGGGGACCCCAGGCCTGAGTGATTTGCACTCCGGATGCTCCAGTGCCTATAATCGCACAGCGCTTGCCTCGAACGTCGATATGTTCGTCCGGCCAGAAGGACGAGTGATGGATGATTCCCTTGAAGGTATTCGTTCCAGGCCATTCTGGGATATAGCGTTTTGCCGCAAAGCCCGCAGCAATGATGAAGTATCTTGCCTTCGCGACCCTCCCATCGGCCGTCTTGATGTGCCATTTCCCTTCATTGGTATCGAACTGGGCCCCGACTACAACGCTATCAAAGGCGGTATCTTTCTTGATATTCAGCACCTTATCAACATGATCGAAGTACGCTCGCAACTCTTCGTAAGTCGGGTAGTTGGTTGACCAAGTCCAGTCTTTCCAGGTTTCTGGGATCGAGAGCTGGTATTCGGGGACTTCTGAATCGACTCCCGCTCCGGGGTAGCAGTTCCATCTCCAGGTTCCGCCGAGATCGTTTCCAGCTTCGAAGATAACTGCCTTTAGACCTTGTTTACGGACCTCGTGGAGGCAGTAGACACCGCCGAACCCGCCGCCGACGATCAAGACATCGACGTCGAGATCGTCGGCATATGGGCCAGTGGTGCTGCGGCGGTGGGCGTACTCGTGGAGCTCAGTCTTGATCGGCATGGTGGATGTATGTTATTCGACTAAAAAAGAGTCTTATTTTCCTTTCGTTATATCAGGAGAATCTGGAAGGATTTGTCCTAGAGAAAGGGGATTCTCGACGCCGTTTAAATATTGTAACTCCATGCTGGACATCTCTAGCATCAACCCCCCTCTACAATCTCTTATACAGTTCAACCCTCCGTGCGGACATCCGCACGAAACATTACACCGAATAGCGACAAAGACAGAGTCGAAAGCACGTCGTCTGACTTCACTAGAATACCAGCTTCGGGCCCGCATCTCTAGACTAACCCTCAGCAGAAGTAGATCCTCCGGCGAAATCGAACATTGTCAGCTTCTCGAGCATGGGGGACCTACATGAACTATACTATAGTAGACTATAATACTATACTGATATTATGCGTAGCAGCCATAGTTGCAGCTTCGGAACGCGTACGTCTCCCCGCGGCGCTAAGTAGGTAGATCTGGGCCCTCCGCACAGCTTCAAAAGCCATGCGGAGCAGCGGAGGTGATCTTAACTTTTACCCCACACTCGACCCATACGAAGATATGAGTCCGCACGATAACTTTAACTGCTGTCGGAACTAGATGGTTGGGTGGGCAGTCGGAGGTTTTATGGATAGATAGTTCACTTGCGGAGCCGTATGTGTTCCGCTAATTGTCGATCCAGCGTTTGTAGGTGGGGAGTCGTTAGGAGAGTCTTGGATTACGCGGATTTCCGCAATATGATGGAAGGTGTATAGGAATGAACAGTATGATTGGGAATACTTTGTATAGTCACTGCGTGTTGGACTTTGATGGGACCCCGCAACAGGCTCGGAGGGCTTGGAGTTTTGTTTGCGGATGCGGAAACATCGGTCAAATAGCGACATCTGCAGACAAGATATTGCGTCCGTTCCGTCAATCACCGCTGTGCCTTTCGCATCTTAGTGTTCTCCTGACCGTCCTTCGTAGGTTCTGTTGCCCATAATATCGCAGATAGCTATCTTGGTAGATAGAATACTCAGAATGTCTCGCAATGATATAATGAAGTCCATACCCCATCATCCCTATTTTGTAAGAGACAATCCGGGAATTTACTTACATCTTGGATCAATGCTCCATATCCTTTTAAAATGGCCCAATTCTCAGCCGAAACCATCAGGTCTCTACAACAAAGACTCGACGCAGCCCTGCCTCGATAGGAAGAAAGATGTTCCAGGAACTGTCGTGGTCGTGGTCGACAAACATGGCGAAGAGAAATTCACCTCTGCAAGCGACACCTGCTGTTGTGGAACAACTGAAAAGATGACACTTGATAACATCTTCTGGATACCATCATGCACCAAGATGATTGTGGGAATCGCTTGCATGCAGCTGATGGAAAGGAGTTCCCGCCCTGGATGGTTCAAACTAAGTTGAGAAACTGTCTCCGGGGCTAAAGCAGGCGAAAGTTCTGCAGGATGATGGGAAGTTGGTTAATAAGAGGGCGATCACGTTGCGAATTCTACTGTTTCTCACGTTCTCGAGCCAATGTCGATGAGCTAGTGAGACAGCCAGGCGAAAGGCTGGGACGACGATGTAAGGACTAGACCTATCCTAATCGACCTGAAGAGTATCTGACACGATTAGGTCAATATCGACTGGGCGGGGATTCTCTTCGAGCGAGCCACTGGTGTGTCGCTGAATGAATATGTTCATAGAAATATCTTTGGACCCCTGAAGCTGCAGAATATCTCCATGTTCGTTCCCAACACCGTCCATGGAAGCGAACCCTGCCTATCTGAACCAGAGAGTCCCCAACGGACAGCTCTCACCACGGGATCATCTCCTCCGACGCCCGTTAATCCTCAATAGTGCGGCAGAGATTCAAGGATCCCTTGATAGCGGTGGAGCTAGATGCTTCGCCAAGCCACAGGAGTATTGCCATATGTTGCTGGTAACTCTTCACCGTTTTCTCTTTTGGTGATGGGACTGAAAAGTCGACGCAGAAATCTTGACCTTCCTAGGTACTGTTGACGGCGCCTCGCCAAAGACCGGACAGAATGTAAAGAGACAGTTGGAGAAATGTTCCGAAACCAGATTCCAGAATTCCCCAGTTTTGGGACTCAAGGCATTCCGTCCTCAAAAGCTGACTTCGCTTACCCAATCTAAGACCTATATCCATTTTCCACGCCGCAGGGATAGGGACGGACATTTATGCTCACTGGAAGAGCAACTGACAGATCATCCGGGACTGCCTGGTGGACGGGATTGTATCAATTGTATTGATGGTGTGGTAGGGAGAAAGGGATCGCTGGAATAGTGTGTTCCCAGATACTGCCATTTGCACACCCTCAAGTGTAGGAGAGCCTATAAATGGACGTCGAGTCTCTGGCTTACTAGAGCCTTGCACCATGGCGTCTTACGGAGCATCAACATGGCCCGTGAAAATTCCTTGCTGCTAGCAATACATAAGCGCCCTACTTACTGCGCCACCCGTACTTATTTCACCCTGCTCCAAGATCCCAGACGCGTAGGATACGACATCCAAATGATTGACATAACTCATCGTCTTGCGCACAGCAGAAGGAAGCCGAGAGACCAATATGCGGGGTCGCAGGCTGCTGATGCAGCAGACTCGTATGGGCATTGTGTAGGTAGTTGAAGAATACGATCCCGACGAGTAAGTAACAGCCTCTAGTGCCCGTGAACAACCGACTAGATCGTCGCCTCGATTACCCCAGGTTACCCCAGAGTCGCCAAAAGTGCATCACCGTCGGAGCGAAACCTCCACCCGCTTTCCTTCCGTTGTCGACTCCGCATCATCTTCGATACTTCAACCATCAGACACCAGCTAGCATTCTCCACTCATTGTCGTTTCTGTCACTAAGCATTGTATCGATGCTTGATTGTCATCATCTATCTCAATCTGAATTGGCTTGAGCTGTATCGACTTTGTGATCACACGCTGGACCTGCGAATGACCCGGCTGGTGCTTGGAATCGAGGACGAGTTTTTTTTAGAGAGCACCAAACACAACCTTGCGCCAAACAGGCACATCGCAACTTCTGAATGGAGGCGCCCCTCCGCCGTCAGCATCGTAGTTGCGATCAGTGCCGGAAGGGAAAGAGGGCTTGCGATGGGAAGGCGCCAGAAGACATATTGTCCCATAAACCGAGCTTGCAGCCTTCACAGGGATTGAACGCTACTAGCCACGAGGAACTTGATATACGGGCACCGGCCCCCTGTTCCAATTGCAAGAAGTGGGAAAAGACCTGCACATTCAACTGGCTTTACGTCGCTCTAAGAACACCAAAAGATCGTCGAAAGAGAAGGTCCAAAAATGTCGCGAAGGCGAAAGAAACAGGCATGGGGGAGCCTTTCCTGAATCCTTACCAACAATCGCTTCACCCGTCTACGTATCCGCTCATGGATGGTTCAAATGGAACGCCCCAATTTCCCACGTTTGATCAGTATCCGTTGCTGCCTTTGAACCAGCCTCCTGAAATGTTCTCAGGCATCAGCTCTGATATAAATATGTTGGAAAAGAATTCCTGGAATACACATCTCATGTCTAACATCCATTTCAGGAGTCAGTACCAAGCGAGTAATGACACGGGACCTGGGCGAATACCTCAGGGTCTTGGTTATGGAGAGTCCCCACAAGGCCTCCCCTCGGGTTACTCCCTCGACAGCGCTGTTGTAGCTTCGCAGCCATACAATCCTAATGCCATCAGGAATGGGTACGGTATCGCCAGAAATGACGAAGAGTCCCCAGAGAGCAACGACGGTGTCATAAATCATCTCATTGATCGGAACTATGGCTTCACCAGACCAGGGAAACCTTCTGCCACAGATAGCATGCACAGCTTGTTCTTAACGTCCAGTGACCTTGCAGAGAATTTCTCCCGTGCAACACTGACGCAAGACATGCTTCGCGTGTATCATGACAGCATGGAGAATGCTTTATCGTGCTGGCTCACAGAGCAGAACTGTCCGTACAGTGTCGCCACATCCCCTCGAAGTCCCCGGGGCAATCCATTGCTCAATATGGCGGAGAAAGAATGGGGACCGAACTGGTCCAACAGGATATGTACTCGAGTATGCCGATTGGATCGCGCTTTTTCATCAGTCTGGGGCCGGACTCTCACAGCTACGGAAGAGAAGGCTGCATCTCGAGCTCTTCTCACTGCGATAATGGCATTTGCCTCTCAGTGGACGCGTAACTTCCAGGAGAGAGCCACTGTCTTTAAGGTGTCTCCGTCAGCATCAGATACAGGCAGCATGCCATGCACTAATGGTAGCTTGTTGGACGATTCCAGCGATTCCGACTTTGCCTGGTCTCAACCAATTCCCAGTACATCAGAGAGATCTGCCCAAGAGAATCTATGGAACCAGGCCCGTCAAGCTCTTGAGAGCGCAGCTGGTATCCCGTCTTTCCGACTCGTATTCGCCAATATCATATTTTCCTTAACACAACGCCCGCTGAACATCAATGACCACCTCAAGATGATGGCTGACCCATCTGTCGCCATCCGAAATGGTGGTCATGCAGCGAGGGGCCTCAACGGTATCAGGAGTCCAGCGGTTGCGGAACTACACGAAGTATTTGACAACGATTCTGCACCTCTATTTCTGGAGACGGCAATGAGGCAGCTATTTTCTTTCCGCTATAAGCTTACAATTAAACAAAGACAGAAAAGCAAGTTGCCAGGAGACGGAGAGAACACTTCAACGAGGTGGAGCGCACACAGTATTTCCCCATCATCAAGCAGCAGCCAACGATGGGGAGACAATCCGGGGACGGATCAGACGAGTCAGAATTGTCTCAGTCCAGAAGACAACGAGACGTTCAATCTTCTCTTCTGGCTTGGCATGATGTTTGATACCCTCACAGCTGCCATGCATAAGCGGCCCCCGGTGGTCACCGACGAGGATAGCGATATCAGATGCGTGACGCCACTTTCTAGCCCACAGACCAGGGGTAGAAATTCCGGTTCTAATAAAGAAGACTGGTCTCCTGGTATGGACAGAGCCGAACAAAATAAGCAAGAGCTATGGGGAGATCTCTTCCTTCGCAAGAGTGCCGTGGGGCAAGGAGCCAACATACCCCGTTGGCCCTGTTCTTATAAAGAAGCGGCAGAGACGCTTTCCGATGCTGCGCCAGTGAAGGTGCTACTTTTCCGTCGAGTTTCACGTCTCCAAACACTGGTGTACCGCGATGCGAGCGCCGAATCTATCGAAGAAGCAATCCAGAGCACATTTTGGGTTTACCAGCACTGGAATTCCACGTATAGACCCTTCATTCTGGATTGTATGAGAAACCACGATGACCTTCCGCCGCGCATACAATCATGGTATGTAGTCCTTGCCGGGCACTGGCATCTTGCGGGAATGATCCTCGCGGACACACTAGAGAGTATAGACGAAGCACGGCTTGGGTTGGATTCGCAGCGCGAATCTCGACGTGCCATGGACCTCTTCGTCACACTCCGGAAAGAGAACGCTCTAGCTGTTTCTAAACTTGCGCAGTGCTCCCTCCAGGGGAAGAGCTCATCTTTCGCCAGATGCCGTCAATTCCATGACTCTGTGAACGAGGGTGCCTTCTTGACCGAGCCATGGACGGCTGTTCTTATCCGTTCATTCACCAAGGCGGGATATATCCTTTTAGATGAGGTGGATATGTCGCCTCACGTTGTTCATCTAGGAAATGACCCTTCCGAACAAGCCTGGCGTCAATGCAGGTTCTGTCTGGACGCTCTTTGGTGCCTAGGGAACAAGTCAGATATGGCTCTCCTGGCCGCCCGGGTGTTATCAAATAGCCTAGAGAAAAGGCTCAAGGAGCGACAGGATCAAAACAATAATATAACCATTCCGGTATTCCTTAGAGACGATTACCTGATGCAGGACTTACAAGGGTTTGATTACGACATCCCAATCCCATCGCTTGGAGCGATATTTTAATCACCCTATTCATCTTCCTCTGAACCACTTACCTTACATTGACTTGTCTATTATATCAATTTTTTTTTTCTCTTCTATTATACTTGGACATTTCCTTGAGCGTCTAAGTTTGGTGTATTGTATGAATGAATGAATGAGTCGACGAATCGATGAATGCGAATGATGACTTCCAGTCGAGCCTTTTATAGCTTCTACTACCTCGAAAGGGACACTAATGCGTGTAAAAGACGAGCCATTTTTTGATTGTCACCTGTTACGAGATCTTTGACAGGTTTATCCGCCACTCAAGCAGGAAACTCCAAATCATACGCCAACGTATCCTCACATAGCTCCTCCCGAATCTTATGCACCCTATCCGCAGCAATTCAATTAGCTCAGTTCCAAGCAACAGCTTTCACACCATCCTATCCAACCACAAGCAATAAAAAAATAAAACCAAAAAAAAAGGACGAAAAAGAAAAGACCCAAAAGCTCACTCCAAATGCGCCGGATGCGAAGCATAACCAGCAACATGTTCCGGCGACTCCAGAACAGCCACGAGTCCCATATCGAAGCCCTTTGCGCGGGGCACGGAAATAGGCAGCGGAGATCCCGCGTGGAGGGAAATCAGGCCGGGGATCTTGCCAACCATCGCGCGGCTGATGGCAGACCAGTTGGCGAGTTGTTCGGACGTCACGCCGGGTTTGAGGCGGAAAAGAACTGATATTGTTAGTTAGTTAGGAACTGGTTATTATTACTTCTAATAGGGATGATTATTTTGTGTGCTTGTTTTGGGTTTTAAGTATAATGGTAAGATAAGACAAGAAGGAGGGAGGAAATGCGATGATGAAATGGAATGAAATGAAATGCGGGGGACGAGGTTAACTAGATACCATACTTACCGATGTGGTAGACGGGCATGGCTTGTTCTTGATGTGTACTTGGTTGATTTCTCTGTTGTATATGTTTTAAGAAAGTAATAACCAGTGATCTATCCAGAAGAAAGGATAATGCTTTTAATTAAAGAAGAGGAAAGTTGGAAAGTCCGAATAACGGATCGGCTTTTCGGTCATAAGTAGGAGATAAAAAATAAATCCAATAATGAGGGGGGTTAAGTACTTAAAGGTGGAGACACGATCTACCTAGGATCGGAGACGCACCGATATATATTCAGCGACGGCTTGAACTCTCTCGGTGATGATTATTTAATTGTGTGTATTGATCCTTTAAAATTGAGGGACGAGGCATGTTGCAAGTAAAGGCTCTGGATGAATCTAGTACTACTTGCCTAAAAAAGAGTTAAACACTGAAATAGTGGCACTCCTTATATGTTTATATCAAACCCCCGGGGTTAGTTAAATCCTTAAACACGTAGAAAAGGGTATGGGGAATTCTATCTATGGAGTATTCCTTATTTAACAAATGACATCTAAGTATGAAGATCTTAGATGCTGATCAGAGCAGAAAACCAATCTACTCGCCATCGCCGTCTTCCCCCTCATAGTCGGAGGAGTCAAAAATCATCGTCTCCACGGAATTTCCGTTTCACAGACCTGTTTCCGCAAGTGTCTGATTTCTTTACCATCGAAACCTGTAGCCGTCAACCGGACGTTAGCGATGCTGATTCTAGCCTTTGGGGTCGTGTGTATCCTAACAAAAACGAATATAAGAACAATTATGGAGTCTGGGTCGGATAGAGTGTACTTACACAACTTACACCTCCATCGGTGTTCTGCAGCTCAGGCATCGTGTATATAGCCATCGGAAGCTCAGCGTCCCTAGGAGCTGTGATGATGCCAAATTCATGAACCGGGCAGCAGTTGCCTGCCATCCATTGACTGCGACCGAAAAACCCAATGATCTTATGGCCAGACCATGGTTCTATCAATAAATCTAGTCAGCTGGTTTCCTGTTGCACTTTGCATGCTTTTACGGAAAGTGTCTTGAACATACCTAGCGTGAGGACTTCCTGGTCATCATAGTCCTCTATTGCTCCGTCGACGGTTCCATCGGAGAGGTGAATCCTCATTCCGCTCAAAGCCCAGCTTGAACGAGTGATTTCGACTTTCGTGATCTCAACACCTTCGGGAATGTCTATCTTCCTGGATAGATGGCCACCTATTTCAATATAGCGTCTCTATCAGCAAATTGCAAGCAATGTTATAGCTTGTACGGATAAAGGATGCTTATTCCTTACCGAACTGGATAGGCACTTGGTCCCTCGTCACACGAGGTCCACAAGGGACCTTCTCTCCGTTGTCATAGTACACAACAGCTCCATCAATGATCGCGCCCACACGCATATCAACAGCCACTGCTCGAGACACTGTTTTAGGAATACTTGTTAGCATTTCGCGGTCTTATGTCGAACAATCGCTGTAAACGTACGTTTTCCGTCCTTGATTTGATGAAGGAGCACTGCCCATTCCCACCATCCTAATGCGTCGTCGGCTTGTTTTTCTAGCACTTCGCTCATGATAGAATGTTTCCAAAGGAGAATAGAGGACCCGGGGATGTGGATGGTATTGCCAGATATCAATCGCCAAACGTTTCCGATAGTTGTATACTGGCCGTTCATTCCCAAAATCTTCACCTGGAGAGGAGTTTCTTTGCCAAAGCGCTTCTCGAGTTCAGCAATACTGTGCTCGACATTTTGCAAAGGTTGAGTGACAGATGGCACAGGTTCCGAAACACCGTTGAACTGCACACAGGCAAGACCGACTCTGTGTTTGATGCTGATTTTGCTAGGGAGGCCTTCATGGTCAAGCACTTCGAACGCCGGTTTACTTGTCTTGTCATTGGAACTCAGAGGAGTATCGCCCGGAAGACGAAATTGTGGTTTCAAGCGGAATGACAGAGCATCAGCAATATCCCACCTGGCGTCGTTCTCACTGTCCACTACCAACTCACCATCAGAATTGGTATGCGTGCAAAATGCTGTGTGAGGAAGAAAGTTCTTCGGCCAGTCATGCGCATATCCTCTCGCCATGATCCCCGTCGTGTGCGGCGCACCGAACGCATGGCCTACTTCATGCAAGAAGGCACCTTGGCCAACAGCGCACGCTTCCCACGCAGTTTCACATTCTCCATTGTCGTTGCCAACAGTGCCATCGGCAGGCGTTGTGTCAAGGAGGCAAGCAGGAACTTCTTCTAGGAAGCGTGGCCATGAGTATGTGAGATGGGAGCCAAATATTCCGAGGGAGATCCCGTTTGGATCACACGAACCGAGGGCAGCATGTCCTAGAATAAGATCCATTTGAGATGAAAAAGTCGAGTCTAGAATAAGCCCCGCCACAACTGGATGCTGCGAAGGGAGGAATGGGCTCCCATGTGCGATCAAGGCTTCCTTGAAGTATACATGCAAATCGTCCTTACGGCGAGCGGCAAGATTCTGTTGGGCAACTTGAGCATCTCGCAGCTCTTTCACGGTCTTTTCTGATCGAACTAAGTGGATTTTAGCCGTCGAACGAGCCCCGTTGCAGCCATCTTCATCATACAGCGATGGCTCATGGTACGCTGCATTCAGGAAGTCTCTGCTGAGCGTATCGGTGCTCCATTCCTCCTCCAGGCGGAACGACCGTCGTCCCAGGCCCTTGGATCGCATGTCTTCTGCCGTCAATGCTTGCCACATATACGCCGTCATGCGGAATTTGGCAATTGCGGCGTTCAGATCACCATGGGCGGTGGAGATGCCACGGTTCTTCGAATGCGGGCAGTCGATCAGAAGTGGCGAGTCCTTAGCAATCATAATGGCGAGATGGAGAGGCGGTAGCTGTAAGAGAGGCACATAGGTGATATTCAATTGAATTGTACCTTGAACTTGCCCTTCTCGATAATGTTCCACCGTCAGCTGGTTCGGTCCTGGTGATAATATCACCAAAGCCTTGAAACGGCCTTGGGCAATCGGCCAGGATTGCACGGGGAAAGATCGTGATCCCAGGCCGTCTGCTGTGGAAATTGAGATGCTCTCTATCTCACTATATCCGGCTCTCTCGCCATCTCTGGATGGGCATTGGCCGATGAGAAGTACACAGCGCTTGTGACCATGTTAGTAACACTGCTTGTTCAAGTGGATTGGAAATTGCGACCGCGCAGGAATTGGTCAACTCACCTGGTGCACCGTTTCTCCATCGACAATATTTTCCAAATGAAAGGGTGATGCTGATGAGGATCCCATTTTGCTGAAATATGACGATACTTAGCACCGATAACTCCAGGAGCAATTAGATTTTCAAACGGAAGTTCCGCTGATATAGGATTAAAAAAGAGGCAATATATGGAATATAAAGCACCGATTGTGCTCTCAATAATGATTCTGCCCCAACCATGATGAAACTCCTTATATATATACCTCCCCAGACGGCATTGAGCAGTTGGAAATCTTGCCGTGTTTACTTGAGTTTCCGCGCTGGAGCCTAAGGATGCCTGGAAGCTAAAGCCGGTGGCGCATCGTTGGTCAAAAATAGCGTCGGCCACCCCTAAGATAAGCGAGTGGCACGCATAATTATAGCACTTGCTTCGTTTTATCTCGTTCTGGTCTTCAAGATCGGCTGGAAATTTCCTGGTCGGACAGCATTCTATCCACTCTCTTGGCCAGACTTTGCTCAAATTGACCCACCCCGTCTTCTTGCTCTTCCAATTCGCCTCTTTTAAGCACATATACCGAACGACGTCGGCTTGTTGTGCCTTCTTCCTCGTCGGCGAGTCTTTCAAAGGTCTCATCCACTTGTGTTTCATCATCCCATTTACCCTCAATCACGGATCGGAGTAGGAAACGATCATGAGAAGCAAGGAGGATAGCACCGTTGAAAGACGAAAGAGCAGAGGCCAATGCAGTGACCGTATGATAGTCCAGATGAGTGCTAATTTCATCAAGTATCAACAATTGTGGAAAGCTCCAGACAATCCGTGCTAGAGCTAAACGAGCCTTTTTGCCATGACACAGTCAGTTGGTATTGAACAATTGTTCCAAAGATCTTACTTACTAGTTGTCCGCCTGATAGTTGAGCAATGGGCACGTCAGATGCTATATGTCCATACAATCCTAATGATGAAAGAAGACCTCTCACGGCTCCCTCGTTTAGAGTTCCATGCGTCTCGGACATCATGAGACTCAAGGCAGTTGAACCAGGCTCACTTCGGCCGAATTCCTGCAATTCTTCGACAGAATGTTGGCTGTAGTAGACAGTCTTCAATCGTGGATGAAACGAAGTTTTGCCCGCAGAGGGAGTTAATCCGCCAGTCAATATGCGCAACAGGGTTGTTTTCCCAGACCCGTTGAGACCCATGATACCGACGCGGTCTCCCATATGAATAACCAAGTTCACACTGTTCAGGACAATGCCACTGGAGTTAGGATATCGGAATGTAACCCCCTCGAGAGAGAGCAGGGGCCCTGGAAAGCGCAAATCCGTCGCGTCAGGTAGTGTCAGAACCACACCTCTCTCGTCTGTTGGAACTTCAATATCTGCCCGGCTTTTGAAATGAAAGCCAGCCAGATCTCTGCTCCGCTTGAACCTTCCTCCATTTGGATTTACTTGGACACCCATGCGATCATCGATCCTCTTTTGGCGGGATTTAGCTTGTCGAAGCTTATTTTCGTCGTTTGTCCTTTTTCCGATCTTTATATTCTCGCGGATGTTGGTTTCAATATGAGCTATCTGCCTTTCCTGGGCTTCTTTCATGCGTGCCCAGTAGAGCTTCTTTTCTTCGAAATTCCGTTCGTATGCCGCTACGTTTCCTCGGAAATATTCAAGCTTCTGATCTCGAAGAATCAGCATTTCTTCGCAAACGGAATTCAAGAAATTTCGATCATGCGAGACAAGTAGAACGGTCGTGTTAGTAGTTTCTCGAAGATGTCGAAGGAAGTTTTCCAGCCACATTATGCCCAGTAGATCTAGGAAATTAGTCGGCTCATCCAATATCAGTATATCTGATTGTTGAATCAAGACGCTCGCTAGCATGCACCGCATGCGCCAGCCACCAGAAAGGGTCGAAACTTGCTTATCCAATGCATCTTCCTTGAAGCCTAAGCCTCGCAGAATTTGGCGGGCTTGCCGCTCTTTATCAGACAAGCTGGTCTTATCTCACATTAGCTGACGAACAAGCTGGGCCGGTCTATGGCTTATACCTCTTCAAGCTGGGACTGTAAATCCTGCAGTGTCTCCAACGCAGCCTCTGTTTCCGTTTGAATCGTCTGGGGATCGATAGCTTCCGGTCTTTGGGTGAATCTGAATGGGTTAAAATCATAGTCAGAAGAAACGGTTCGGTCGACTCACAAATTCATCGAGATTTCAAGTTTTGCTTCTGCTGCCTTCAAATCCCTCCTGGCTTGTAAACCTCTTGCTCCGCTCTTGAAACTAGCATTTTTCCTAGCAAGTGAAAGTTCCTCTTCCGCTTGCTGGAGACGTAATTTTCGAATAGCGAACACAGGTTGCAAGGGATCATCTGATTCGAAACTGCTGGAGATAACTATAGAGAGAGGGAAGGATCGATCTCATCAACAAAACATAGGCTTTGAACGAGGAGCCCAAAAGCCAACTTACGGTTTGCAGTTTGAACAGCTCTATTCCGAACACGGTCACTGCTGAGAACGAATTCCAGGACCGTACCCTCTTGGTTTGATTCCGTATCATTTCCCCTCTCGTTTTGAGGATTGGTTTGTTGCAATATGGCAATGCAGGTACTGAACGAAATCCCAGGTATAATTTTCTCAGCCATTGCGCGCAGAAGAGCTAAACAATCGTACTTCAATCAGCAGTGCATCACACACGACGTAAATAAATAAATTTATTTCTCACTAGATTTTCCGCTTCCATTTCGTCCCAGAAACCCGTAATGGACCCCTGGTTTCAGTCGCAAGTGACTGTCTGATATGAGTTCTCGACTGCCAGCCTTTGCCTTAGATTTCCCTTTAGCCTTGGTGCTGGATGCAACTTCCGTGGCTTCTGAGGTGGGAGAGGCTATGCTGATGGTAAGACCGCTCACGTCTACCTTTTTAATATTGTTGTTAACGGAGAACATCCACTTGAGAATGACATTGTTTACTTGCCTCTTGTGAAGGCTTATCATTCAGATGAAACCGAGTCTCTCTGCATGTTGCAATGATGGATGGAGAAGGCATAATGGCCTAAGACTTCGTTCAGGTAGCCGAGCTAGGTTGCAATTATCAGCGGAGAGAGACAGAAGAGATACAAAGAATGAGGGTACTAGTTCCCAAATGGCTTTGGGAGAATAGAATCCATTGCAAGAAAGGGGACAGTCGTTTTCAAAGTTTATAGATACGGCTTCTAACGGCAGTCGGGGTCTGAAAAGGGTATAGCCGCTGCAACCGAGAAACATGCTGGGAATCGATGGCATGCTTCCATATTGTAATTTATTATTATTCGTCAACTTTTTGAGGCTATCCACCGTACAGAGACGGGTCAGACTTAATTCTGTGAACGGAAATTTTCCCGCTTCGCCCCCCTACCGGGGTCCGAAAAGCAGGCGAAGGACGTGGTGTACAGTCGAGTTTAACCAGGGAGTCACCTTGGGTAGGAATCAATAGTTGTCATGATTATTTCTCTGCGCGTATTAACCTAATCTTAACAGGTCTCATACATTGTTTCCAGACCTATTCGTCAAAATGCCACCCAAAAAGCAGTAAGGGTCAGATAGACCTGCTATCGGTCAACGTCGACGATATCTTACTAAATCTTCCCATTCTTCATACACATATTCAGTTCCCCTTTTTCTTCTTCGTCTTATCCACAACTCCAATCCATTGGTTTCTGACTCCACGCCGGGCCAGGGCTGTCTCGATGGCTTTTCTCTGGTCTCCTTGTACAAGAACTTCCATAACACCCCTTGGCGCACCATTGGCCTGAGACACACTCGTGCTGCTGGCGCATTTCTTTTGTAATTCCTCGGCCAGGAGACTGGGTAGAATACCAAAAACCTCAAGTCCCGAAACCTTGCTAACTGTCTTAGAGCCGGTACGACGCTCGAGAGTCACCGTGACAGAGGGTGCGGGACCTGGTTTGGGCTTGACGTCCGCAGTGGTTTGGTTGTTTCTCAGTATAACGTGATAAGGCGCCATAAGTGTACTGTCCTCGACAATGCGTTTCAGAAGTTCATCACGCGTGACAGCTCCGCGTGCTTGGGTAGCTCTGTCCTCCGAGGAGGACGAAGTAAATATCGTGTTTGCGAGGAACGGATTCAAGGATATAATACGCCGATTCTCCTTAGAGACGAGATCCTGCGACTGAAGGTATTCATCAAGACGCTTCGAAACGTCCGAATACTTGTAGTAGTTACTCGGGTCACTGCTCGAAAGGGATGGGAAGAGAGTGGGAGTCAACTTCTGCGTTGGCCTGTAGAGAGTCTGCACAGTAAGAGTTTGACCGACGGACGGATCTCCCTCGCTCGTTGCGGATTTTTGGCCACCAGAAATGGGCTTTCCAGCGTTCTCAATGGCGTTCTTCGACGGAAGTTTGTACGGGACAAACTGGTTAACAAGGGGATCATTGAAATCGACGTCTAAAATGACAGTCTCCTGTCCGTTTCGGTCCTTCGACTTAACGAGACCCGCCTTGTCGAGGTGCTTGATGAATTTCTTCACATTCTTCCAGCTGGTCTTTTTGATCTGGTAAAATTGAGCTTGCTGGGGAGAGTATATTGGGAGATAGGGGGTAACAAGGCTGGAGATCAGAGCAGATGGCTGAATAGGGAACGATAGTCCATGATTCGGCGCGGACGCATTGTCTTTTTTGTGTTGGTAGAGAGCATAGACGAAGGCCTTGACGAAAGCTTCGTCGATTTCTGGATTGCAAGCTTTGTCAATACCACTTTTCCGCCTGATGTGTTAGGTGTTCTTCCGTACCTTTAGTTGTGGGCTCCTTTTCTTTCTCGATTGGGACGTCCTCCGGTTGTTGCTCAGGAGCCTCGCTCAGTGACACACCACCGTCCTCTTCCACCTGCTTATCACCTTTCTCTTCCTCCAGAGTCAACTCAGCGACACCCTCTTCGATATCATTTACTTCCTCGTCCCATCCTTCCAGGAACTCTGGGCCTGGTTTACCCGGTCTGGACGACGAACTCCAAGACCACAACTCATCCCCTTCCCAGTGGAGACCGCGAACGGCATGACCTTTTGCCCCCTGCACCTCTCCGAGAGACGATACATCAATCTCGCACAATCCAACAAACTGTGGAACCGTAGGCTTGTCCAGGCTCGAAACCGCAACTACGGCACCCTTGACGGCACGCTCCGGGAACGGGGGCCCATTCGCAAGACCAGGCGTCATCAGATCAGCACCGCTACACAGCTTGCCCATCACGAACCCCGGAGTCTGTAGCAGGGGAACCAGTCGTGGAAAATGCCATAAGGTGTAAACAGACGGGTAAAAACGGCCATCGGCACCAGGTCCATGGTCTATTTTGAACCACAGTATCCGTTCTTCGCCCTCTGGATGTGTGCCGACATAGACGGTACCTTGGACTTCGCGAAGCTGTGGCCCGGCCGTCGTTGTAAAACGCGCTGATTGTGAGTTGTCTGGGAGGAGAGCATTGCGTATCGCGGTGAGGTTTGCAGATGTCTGGGTCGAGCTGGCAGCGGCAGCAGCCTCGTCAGGATTTGTCTCAGATGGAGCAGCGGCCGGAACGGGAATCTTGTAGTCTTGAATGATCTGATCTGCTATCTTACGCCTGTCCGAAGAACGCAGAGACGCAAGGTTTTTGATCTGGAGCTTCAATCAGCATTTCCATGCGGCAGAAAACGATAAAGGCGTGAGTGCGGGGGAGGGGTAAATGTTACCGTGGGCTTCTTCTTGAACATCTTCGATGACGAGGATAAAGTTGGTATCCAAGGAAGTAAAACAAACAAATATCAACGATCCCCAAGAAAGGCAGCTGAAGCCGCACCAAAGCGTGCTGTGGTCTATTGAGAAAAATATCCAAACTAGCTGTTGAGCAAGCGGGACGATGATGTTATCCCGCGCCGACACAACATGCTTCCCCACAGTCCCCGACCGGCGATAACTTACTTCACTACTAGCACAGGAATCAGGGCTTGATCCATGGGGAATTTGAAGCCCTACGTACTTTCGGGTCTGGGACACTGGTTCTTTGCCAAGAATGGTGGATTATATCTCCATCGTCGTCTGGATCTGGACTACGTGGGTTTCCGATATTAGGTCTTGACCTCTCTGACAACGACAGTTTCAATAAGAGCTACTTCTCCTGTCCAATCTCTTATCTCGATTTCATTTATGTTCCAGAAAGCCCACGCGTTGGACATCTCGCTAGGACCCAGCCCTATGTGAAAATGCGGCCTCGGGGCTTAGCAGGATAGTCCTTAAATCAGTATATCTGGACCTCAGTGAAAATCTCCCACTATTGACAGTGAGGAAATGGGGTAAAATACAAGAACATGGAAGTTGCTAAAAGCGGTATGAATGTTGGAAGACTTCTTCTCCTGCCAGCACCAGGGAGTCCTTGCGAAAAACCACAATGGAAGGAGCGAAGGCTCTGGAACGAAACGACGACCTACAAGGCAGACTGGCGCATGCCTCTTGACTTGCCCCGTAGGGAGCATTGCTGAGGGTCAACAGTCTATCATGACCTTGCGCGATACTGTGCCCAGTTGCAGCGAGTCTTGCAGCTGTTCATCGTTCAGATGCCACGCTCTTTCTCAATGAGTATATTCCACTCTTTTGGTTATGAAGATCACATTCTTATTTTCTGTGCTCGTTCTAGCACTGAGTTCTTCTGGTACTGAGTCTTGCCGCGGCAGTTTAGAAATGCCGATCCTAGAAGCAGAGATGCTTGATCCCGTCACGCTGGCCGCTGTCTTGTCTCCTTACCGTAACCTGGTGGCGTCAGATCGTTATTCAGGTGGGACTGATAATTTCGTCCCAGATGACGTCCGTGTTGAAAGATATGCGAGAGCAGTACCGTGGAAGGCGAGAGATGCGGAGAGACTCGCATTCCAGAATCCCAATCGAACCGGTCTATATTATCGTGATCGAGTCCTGAACACCAATTCATATCCGTGGAGCACAATTGGACGTTTGGTGTTCAAGAAATATGAAGGCGACTTAGGTGGTTGGTGCACAGCCTCTCTAATCGGCAGGAATATGATCCTCACAGCAAGTCACTGCTATCCTTGGGGCTACCGCTCAGGTAGATGGATGCGATTCATACCTGCCTATACCAACGGCAGTGAACCATATGGCGGATCGTATGTCACCAAGTGTCGTGGAGTGAAGAACACTTTCAACGTCACAGGAATCGACTATATCGTGTGCCAACTCTGTGATCCTCTAGGAGACAAGGCTGGCTGGATGGGCACGCAATGGTGGGACGACTCAGGCGAATACATGAAGAGATCATGGCGGAGTTCTGGTTATCCCTCTGATTCTTTTCGTGGCCGTGCACAGATGCTCGTGTCGAGCATCAACCTCACAGACGTGGATCTTCATGCGGATAAGGGCAAAGAGCTTGAGTCTAGGATCTTCGCCTCTCCGGGATGGTCCGGTGGTCCCATGTGGGAATTTATTGGCGGCTTCCCCAAGATAGTCGGTGTCTGTAGCGGGAGTGAAAAGGACTGCAGCGAGAGCGTGCAAGGATGCTATGGCGCCGAAGGGGTCTTGGACGTTGATACTTTCCACGATGTCTCCGCTGGCGGTCGACTGATGACAGATCTTGCCACGTACGCACTCACTCACTGGCAAGACGATGACCAGGACAGTGATGGTGAGGAATCTCTGGATGATTCTGAGATCGTAAGCAGACTGCTTCCTAAGACAACTGTACGAGACAATATCCTTTAGCACTTATTACAATAGCCACCAAATATGTTATTGATAGCTTCGGTACGTTCTCCTCATCTTCTCGTTCCAGTACAAGCATGAGAGCTGGTCTAGATGGTGCGATACAAGGCCATGCTGTAGGCAATTTTGCGCTAGTCACTTGCCAAGTACTAAGGGCAATGAGAAGTTGAGTCCATTGCTGCAACAGAAGGGTCTGTGCTGCTTCCTGCTTGAACCCCGGTCGTCAAAGCAGAGGATTGTATCATATCGACAATTTCTGGTAAGCGACAGCTTCATGGATATTATTTCTAGTGTCTGATGGTTTTGATCAGGTTCGTTCGATGGGAAGAGGCTCAAAGAATGGGTAAGTATGGACCCATTGATCGGGCTCGACGTTCCTTCTTCTTCCCTCTGAGTTTTGCTGTGCCGGCGGATTTTAGCATAATGAATGGCCACATATAAATAGGCAAGTCAATAATGGTTACACGGTCACTTCATAAGGTATGCTAGTTGGGAGCCCTAGGTTGATGGCAGTTTGCTATTCGTTTAGAATCTATCGGTCCACCATCTACGTACTGCAGGGCACGCAGACTATTGGGCGTATCATCACTAGGAGAATCTGGAGACAAGGACATTGCGAATATTGTATACAGCGAATCTAGATCCCCTGGTCAGTACGTTGGAATGGGACACACCCCCGGATACGTTGGGACGCCACGGGTTTGAATTCCTTAGGTTCAGTCAGTCTTAGCCCGAAGAAACACGAGGGCATTCGGAGAACCAGTCAGCATGATTGGTGGATAACCAAGAGGGGGAAGTCAAGATGACCACAATCTGCTTGAAAATAATAAGATTCTCTCCTGATAGTCCTTTCTTTCTGACATCCGAAGCACAGACGGGAGCTAACGGGATACTTGGCTGATAATGATGAAGCATAATGAAGCTTCCCCCTCGGTATCATGAGAACTGGCTCCCCACGACCTTGTATGCGAATTGAGTTTCTGTTTCGCAACGATGTCATCCATCGCGGACTGAAATCACTATCGGGGCCCCTTCCGTGTCATCTTCGTATAGTGTTTTCGCATGGTTCCTGTCCAAACCCGCCACTCGATCCTGTTAAGCGCCAATGGTTTGGGGGAAGTTGTAGCGGCGATCAGACGATGATCGAAAATCCCTGATACAGTAACTAGTTATTATTATGCGGTGGTTGGTGCACGTTTGTTGCCACGATGCAGCAAGCGTATGGTAGAGTAACGAACCCCATTCCCCGTTCTCTCTGGTTGACGGTAGATAGTTAGATGGTTATCATTATTATTGTTATTGTAGACAGACTGTGGCTTACCTTGGTCCTCCTTTCCCACACACAATCAATCCGGGGTGCGCGGCTGCGGACTCGGGAGCGAATCGTGGTAGCCTAGTCGAGTTTAGCGGACGCGAACCCTCACCGCGAGAGATCGGGGAAAGACAGTCAGAGACCGCCTTTCGCCTCAACACGCTGGACGACCCGGTCCAGGGGCTCTATCGTTCTGTTGTCTCTCCCATCTCAGAACGCGGCTGCTGCGACTCTATTCCTCCTCATCGTTCACATCGTCGCTGAATTCTTATCCGATCACGACCAGTGCGCAGTGCGCACATATCCCCAGTCTCGGCGACCGTCCTGTCTGCGAGCCGCCTTCCCGTCTCCAACCCGTCGCTGGTCGCTTCAATCCGTGTGTGTCGCCCAGACGCTGCGCAGGAAGGTCAATAACGTGGAAGGAAGAGTACGTCTCTGATATACTGCGCTTGGGACTGTTTGACAGGTCTCTCTGATCGCCTGGAGCCCGTTTACGACCCTCGCAGCGGTAGCCGGGACCGATTCCTCCGTTCAGAGTGAAGAGAATTATAAGGAGGCCGAGGAGGGAGGACACGGGCGATGAATCAATCCTGATAGTGCTGTCTCACACATTGCCAACGTTTCGAGAAAAGAATGAGACCGACCGACACTCCGTCTTCCCCGCTGTTCCCTGCATTGGATCCGATCATACTCGACGACGACATGGAGAGCCCGTATCAAGACCTGAATATGGGATTCCTCGATCCGACCAGGTTGCAAACGTCTTCTGGAGGAGCCGGTCGCGAATTCGACGATCTATTCTCGCGAACTACTGCCTCTAGAGTGGCTAGAGACGCCGAATCCCACCTGGCTCCGTCAGAGCTCTCCACCAAGAGACGTTATCGAGATCAAGATCGGGATGGATTGACGCAACCACACACTGTTCAAGCAGATTCTCCAGCAGATACGCCTGATAACTCGAGTCGGAGTTCTTCATCTGAATCGCCGAGGGATCATGTACGGACTACTTCAGTTGCTTCCACAAATTCCGCGATGCGTGACAACTCGACAACAGACGGTCGATATCACACCGATTCGTGGTTGAATTCAGATTTCGGATCGTTAAAGGAGGAGCCGCTATTTGGACTGGAGGCTGACATGCCTCCTCTCGATGGTGGATTTCACATGGACACCGATATTGAATCGAGCAACAAGGCGATGGATTCTGCTTTCGACTTCGAGAGCGCTGCTAGCAGCCCCAGCCCTCTCAAAATGGAGACATCTTCACTCCCGAAGTCGCAAAAGATATTCAAGAATCAGCTGCGCAGCCCTTCCAACCCTCCCATCCAATTTACCCACTCGAAGATAGCTTCCCCAGTAAGTCCTTTTCCATGGATTCTCCCTATCGCGAAAACCCCCTCACTCATTGCATCACTCATCCAGGGTACTACGTCTGCATCCCCATTCTACTCTCATAGTTCCAGAGAGGCATCACCTATGACATCCTCGATGCTGCCGAGCCAAGGACGGTCATCGTTCAAGCAATGGGATGGCCGGTCTCCATCTTCGGCTTTGGAGGAGACGTTTGGAGGTATCAATATGAATGGCGGATCTCCTCTTAGCACGACATTATCTCCCAGTCTTAATTTTGGGTCAAACGGGCTGCCTTTCGGACTGTCAGAGTGGCCCTCAGAGCAGACGATGGCCGCCCAAGATTTCCCTACGCAATCGGCCCCTCCGAACCTCAGACCAGAAGCTCCGATGCGTCCTATTCTCACCGTACATCCTACATCGTTGAAATCCCGTGTTGAGACGCAGATCCCTATCAAGATGACTCTTTACCCTGTCCCTGCGGGGGTTAAGAAGTTACGCTTGCCATCTCATACGATCTCCAAGCCGAAGTTTCTCGCGAAACCAGATACGGAACGCTCTCCGGAAATCCTCGAATTACACACAAGTCTCGTATGCACGAGTGCGATGCAGGACCAAGAGAAACTGAAAAGGGCGTTCGCAAGAGCAGCACAGGGTGGGCGATCATCCAGTGTAGGCCAGGACAATTCAGAGAGCACTCCAGAAGAGGAAAAGCCTCTAGATGGCGGCGAAGTGAAGATTTGTGCTGGTTGTATACAGCGCGAACGGAAACGAGCCTCGCGAAAGAAGCAACGGAAGCCTGACGAAGATGAACTATTCCAAAAAGATGAGGAGAAGCGGGTAATTGTGTTCAATACAAACGAGATCAAAGACTGGACGGAACCCTCTAAGAGTGCCGTTTCTGGTTATTCAGATATGGCAGCTTCGATGGTGCCTGCAGGAGCAATGCAGGCTGAACTACCCATGCGAATAGCTTGTTACTGCAGGCATCAAAATGAGAAGCTTGGGTTTCAGTCAGTATCCCCATTTATCTTCTCGGCGTTGGATTTAGCAGCTGACAACACATTTAGGGTTATATTTACCATCAAGGATTACCAAGATAATGTTATTGCTCAAGCAATCACAAATTCGATAATGATCACTGATGATCACAAGACGCATGCGCCTCCTGCGCCAGCGCCGCCGCCGAGCTCTGCTCTGCCTGATGGTACACAGCTTCCAGGTGCAGGAGTGTTTGTTCCTAATTCTAACATGGATGTTGGAAATTCGTCTTCTGGAGGACAATCGTCGTTCCGATTGTCTCACTCGACGACCGACTTGCAAGGCTTGCAGCAGAGATACAGTCCTCAGCAGTATCCATTGACATCCGGAGCTTTCGTCATACCTCAAAATGGGGTTTCTGGCACTTCGAGTTCCTTCTCTGGGCGAAGCCTATCCAGACAAGCATCGCCTTCCGAGTTCCAGGCACCTTCCAGCAAACGTCGAAAACACAGTGGTTCCATCAAGCTGCCGTCCGGTCTCACGATGACGAAACTCGAACAATCTCATTCATCCAGTGCCTCGGCCTCAACTAGCAATGGACCTCATGCCTCCGGTACGCGGGCGTTTGCGTCTCCAATAGAGGGACCTTTTGCTACCCCGGCGTCGCTGCCTGGTCAGTTTACCAACGGTCCACCAACGCCTAACAACAACGAAACCAACCCGTTTTTCAACTCTACCGGACAGCACGGAGGTCTGGACAGTCTGACCCAGCAACAGTTGGTGTCAGCACCTAATTCCGCGCACCCCAGTCGACCGGCAACTCCAGGAGGTTCCGGACGGAACAGTTTCCCAGATCCTACTCTCAATATGAACATCTCATCCGGTCCCGCGAATTCCATCTGGCCCTCTTTGACAAGCACTACTAACCGGTTACCGTCGATAATCCACAAATTGGTGCCCGCTGAGGGTTCTACCACCGGAGGAACAGAAGTCACACTTCTGGGCAGTGGTTTCTATCCTGGTATGGAGGTTGTCTTTGGAGACACTCTCGCGACTACGACTACGTTTTGGGGAGATAAATGTCTGAATTGTCTGACACCACCTGCCCTCCAGCCCGGTCTCGTGCCTGTGGTGTTCAAACACGAACATCCAACTTTCGGTCAGCCACACCAACAAAACCAGCCTCTCATTCCAAAGCAACAGCTGTTCTTCCGTTACGTAGATGATCGAGAACTCCAGATGTACCGTTTGGCACTGGGAATACTTGGGCAGAAACTGCGTAGTCCGGCAGATGCGTTCCAGACTGCCCAGCAGATCATGGGAGGCGATCCGACCATTTGGAACCTGCAAAATGACTTCCAGGGCGGCAGTTCTGGAGGTCATCAGCGACAGGTACCTGGACTGGGTGCTCAAGGCAAGACAAGTGACATGGACTCCAAGATGCTCACTTACCTTGAGTTCCTTGATCTCGATGACAATCCACGCTCGCCCAAGTACAATATGCGGTCTGCAACTGGTCACTCCCTGCTTCACTTTGCGTCTTCATTGGGCTTGACTCGATTTGTCGCGGGACTTTTGGCCAGAGGCGCTAATCCGGATGTACAAGACAACAACGGAAATACACCGATGCATCTCGCTGCTCTGAGCGGCCATGCCCACATTGTCCACAGACTACGACTGGCTGGCGCCAATGCTGATGCGCGCAGTATCCGAGACTTCTCGCCAGCCGATCTTGCCACAACGCTGACTGCCCATCAGGCGGCGTTGATCCCGGCACGGCACTATCGTTCTCAGAGTGTTGGGTCATCGCCCTCACAGAGACGCCGCTCACACAGTACAGTTTCTCTCAACTCCTTATGGGAGACTTCCTCTGCGTCCGGCTCTCTTGGTTACGGGGTGGATGACTCTAGTGATTCCGAAGATAGCGAAGCGGACTCCGACGACGATACTGGCCATTATCGCCCATCATCCCGACGGTCAAGCATCCAGCAGGATGCAACCCTGTACTACACTCGATCTAGGGAAGGGACCATACCAACCGACGGCATTCAGACTCCCGCAGAGACAGCAGGCGTTGAAGATACCAGGAGCTTTTCTCCTCCTGCGGCTCTTATTGCCTGGCGGAACCATCTCGCAACGCAGATCAACCAGTTCCAGCAAAGCGTAGGGAGAGCCTTCCCTAACCTACCGGCACTCCCGCCGATGCCAGCTCTGCCCGATTACCAAGCGCATCCCATGATGCGACGCATCACCAACCTAGTGCCTCATCGGCCCACGACGTCTTGGTCTGCGAAGGAGGGCTGGTGGGATCTGTTGACTGGCAATTCTTCTCCCAACAGCACGCAGCCTCCTGCTTATGAAGAACTCTATCCTCATCAAGAAGGAAACGAGGAAGATCTTGACACGAAGAAGTCTTCACTGGTCCGGGCTGCTGCTGACGCTGCAGTAGATCAGCACTTTGAAGCGCTTGAGACTCGAGCAAGTTCATCCAAGTCGAAGCCAGTCAAGGAGGAGATCAAGGATATCAGGATTGGCCGGAAGACCATATCGCGCGAGCAGCAAGAGCAGCTGCGACAGCAACAAGCACGGAGGATGAAAGGACTTGGAAGCGACCGGAACTTATACTTCTTTTGGGTGAGTATCCTGCTCATCTTGAACTGGCTGAACGTGAGACTAACAAACGATCTACAGATTCCTGTATTGCTTCTCGTCATCTGTGCATGGCTTCGGAATTTGCTTCCCGGTGTTTGGCAAGGGTTCTCCCAGGGTTATGAATTAGTTAAGACTCGTTACGGATGGTCCACGGAGGTTGGCTTGTGAAATTATCCAATTCTTTTTTCTTTTTCTTTTCTTTTTTCGATCTCCTCTAAGCATGTTCTTGCCCTCGTCTGTCCAATGCTTGTATATTTTTTCTTTATTTTCTTGTGATTCCTTTTGTTTAATGGCAGGGGCGTGACTCTGTCTCCGAGGATATCCTGGCTTCCCAAGCCACCTGCGGTCTCCGTGATTCCCACTTGTTGTCATGTTTGTACAGAGATTACTTGTTCGGGTATAGTAGTCGATTTAGATGGCCATTATTATTAATAGTGATTTTGATCTTCCAAACATCTGTATAACTAGGTATGTAGTAGTGGTACATAGTTCACACTGGATAATGCCAAGATCTGGCCCGTGCGTGATTATTGTCCGCCGCGGAGCTCCACGAAGTCAGATCGATCTACACCGCGACTGCGATTCATGCCGGCATTTCCAGTCAATTCAAGCTGCTGCCTGGATGCCGGTATCAAAGTCGCATGCTCATACCCGACTGACCTTGGGGAAATATGGATCTTGCACCTCAGGACGGCTCCAACAAGGTGACGGGTAGGAGACTGCTTCCCCCGATGATTCCCTCCTGGCTGCTTCCCCAGGCTGACCGTCGCGCGCAGTTGAATGCACCGATCCCTTCAACGTGCTCCCCGATGTTCAACCGATTCTCGAGAAGAGACTGCCTCTGAGAAATCTTCACTGGAAATCACCCAGTCGTCCTCTCCGGTCGATTGAATCGCTTTACATTGACCTCGTCCCCGAAAAACAGACCGATGAGCAGAACCCATCCAACGATCCTACAACAGCCACTATACCACACCGGCGACACCAGATCCCAGGCTTGCGCCAGACACCGTATTTGAAGATATTCTTTCTGCGCTGCGACGACAACGAGTCGTACAAGGCGACGTGCAGAAAGCAAATCCGGGAATGGATCAAGACGCACACCTCGACGGCGCAGGCCAGTGGTGCAGCACCCACCAGCCAGGAGAAGCACGACGCATTTGAGTGGCTTATCGTACATGTGGTACAGGATGGAGAGGCGGCAGAGAAGACAGCATCGATCGCCAAATGGGGTCGTGGCTCGACAACGGTGTTGGAGAAGGTCAAGGCAGACTTCAACGGGTCTTCCAAGACAGCGGTGGATCGCGTAGCCCAGCTGCGACTTCCTAAACCTGGAGCGACGCAAAAGCCTCCTGACTTCACCGATCTGCTCGAAGATCTAGTCGAGAAGATGAAGAATGCCATTCTGACCTCTTTCGACTTGCGAGTCAGCCAGTACGAGGAAGACATCCGCGAGAAGGATTCACAGCGGAGTCTGCCTGGGTGGAACTTCTGTACGTTCTTTATCCTGAAAGAGGGTCTTGCTAGAGGCTTTGAGAATGTAGGCCTTTTCGAGGATGCTCTTGCTGGCTACGATGAGCTCTCCGTTGGTCTGGATACCGCTGTCCGCGACCAGCTTCTTGGGGAGGGGGAACAGCACGGTGGCGGCTTTCTGACATATACGAAAAACTGGAAAGAAAAGGCAGAGAGTTCATTGGAGGCTCTCTCCAAGGGCTCTGCCGTTCAGGAGGATGATAGTCATGACTCTGACGACTCTGATGACAATAATGAAGATGGGGACGAGCCGACGCCTACTACAAGTCCAGTAATTGATCCGGATGACTACCCTCTCGATTCAGCAAAGAAACCCTATAGGGAAATGATACTGTCTAGCGATATCTCAATTTTCGATTTCCGTGTCTACTTGTTCTCGAGACAGATGACCTTGCTTTTGCGGGCCGCAAGAGCGCCATCGGTCTTGGACAAGGATGCTACCCCAGCGCAGAAGAACAAGAAACCAGAAGACCTCACTCTCCTGGCGGAAGTCTGTGAGCGAGCTACTGAGTTCATCTCTATCGCTGCGCGCACACTCCGATATGATCTAGAATGTGGCCTCGAGGAGATCACGGATGAGAAAAAAGCCGAGGTCATCAACAATCTTGTTTCGACTTGGACATATGCCGCCGCCTCGCAGGTACTAACTCAGACGGATACTCCAGCCCTTCCAGTTCCAGATTCATCCCTTCGGAAAAAGAAAGGATCCACGGAGGCGTCCACGACAACGGAGAGCAAGCCGGCAGTCCCCAAAAGATCGAGTTCACTGCTTTCCCCCGTATCACCACGGCCTCCGAGGCCGAAGAGCCAGGAGATTTTCTCGGCAGAGCTTCATAACCCTCCGCCATCGCGGTCACCGTGGGAGATGGGTGCTGCCGGCGCCGTTATCCAGAAGACGGGCTCAGAAGAACTAGCGTCAGCAAGAGGCGAACTATGTTTTCTTGCGAGACGTGTCCTAGAAGACATAGGCCGCCGGCTCGGATGGGCCAGTAAGTGGAAGGAGCTTGACCTGCTTTTCGACGACTCGGTTGGTTCCAACGGCGACATGCAAGAAGTTTCGCTTGATGATGCTGCAGAGGGCAAAAAGCCCAAACCGTCCGAGCCAGATCAAACTATCGTCTCTCGTGCTGGAGGGATTGACTTGCTCGTCTTGAGCAAAGCAATTCGATCCAAAAAGAACTTCTATCTCCTATACGAAGAGCTTACAGATCTGATGTTCCGCCTCTACGTCGCGGCGAATCGGACAAACTCTGCAGAGATGGCAATGACTGAGATGTCGCTGCTTCTGTTCCTCCAGGGAGACTATGAAACCGCCGCTTCTCATCTCCATCAGCTGGCCCCTTTCTACGGGAATAGCCGTTGGACGATACTGGAGGGTTCTGTACTGGAGCTGTATGGCCGATGTCTTAAGGAGCTCAAAAGGAATGAGGAATACGTCCGTATTCTTCTCAAGCTGTTGGCGAACTACGCAGCTGATCTTCAGTCCCAAATGAGTGACAGACAGAAGGCGACAGCCGCTTTCTCAGAGTTCACACAGTCCGGTCGGGTCTCCAAGTATGTCAAGGAGCTCTTCAACGCCTCCAGTGCCCTGCCAAAGGAAATCTCTGCCTCCTTCAGTGATTTCTTTGCCGATCTCGAGGTCAGTCCAGCCATCCGTCATTACAAGGATAAGGACGGGTTCGAGTTACAGATGAGCACGCGGTTTTTGCTCGAAGAGGTGGTCAAAGTCAGCTCCATCAAGATGCGGCTCGTAAGTGCGAACACTCAGCAGAGCAATGAGGTTTGGCTGGAAAGCTCAGAGGAAGTGGTGGTTAAACCATCCCTGACAAAGCTACTCATTCCATCATCGGTAAGTCGACCCCAAGGGTAGCACTAGGCTTTTTACAGTTTTCTGACGCTCAGCCAGATAACCTTGCAAGGGAAATACTTTGTAGATCGTGTGGAGTTGCGGTCTGGTAACATTGTATTCTCTTTTGGGGAAGTCAGCCAGTCTGCATTTCTGCCAGGACTCAGGGATGCAAATGATGGTGCAGAAGAGAAGAGACCCTACATCTACTGTCATCCCTCAGCCGATGGCCTCGAAGCTAGGATCATCTCACCGCGCTACATCAACCTCGAGCATTTGCGGACTGTTGATGTCGAGCTGGAAAGTGGCTGGAACGATATCAAGAAAGGGGTCATCCGTGTTAGGCCTGCCACTGCTGGTCTCCGGCTCCGGATAGCTGAAGCAGCAGTGGTAGAAGGAGAGATCAACGTTATCAACAGTTCTGATAGCGGTAATATTGAATTCACCGATTTCCCTCCAGGATCGTCGGTGCGGTTCCGGATACCGTACACGGTGGATGATAATCACACGATGCTTTCTGCAAAGCTGGAGGTCGGATACGAAACAGAAAAAGGAAAGTTCACTTACTCTTCATCGAGCACGGTGGTCTCGACTCTGCCGGTCAGCGTCAACGTGCAAGATGTATTCAAAAATGACATTCTTTTCTCCAAGTTCACCGTCAGCCCGGCAATGATGATCCCTCTACGTATCCTGGGGTGTGATATCCCAAGCTCTGACAGCTACGAGGTTCAATCCAGCATCCAAGGGCCTGTTGCGTTTGATGTCTTCCCAAAACAGCCGGCATCGATTCTCTACAAGATAAAACAGCGGACAGAAAACCAAATCAAGGATGCCAACTCGAAGCGGTCCCTCCGGCTGACGGTCGAATTCACCTGTCTCGACGATGAGTGCCTGACGGCCATCAAACAGCGCTTCGCGGAGGACATCGAGAAGACTCAGCTACGCCACCTGACGCGGCTGCTGACTCCGCATATCGTGGAAGCCTTCCGCACGCAGCTCTCGACGACGGACATGGAAACAATCGGTGTGGTGAGGGAGGTGGAAACGCTGCCCTATGAGAGTGTGCAGTGGGACACGATCCTCGGCGCTCTGCCCGGGCCGCAGCAGCCTGAGGTTAAGGGCTGGCTGATGGAGTGGCACAAGGTAAGGATCGACTCCGCATAAACTCAAGACGGATCTCAACTTTTCCTGTATCCAACCAACAGGAAAACAGAAAACGAAGTTGATTCAGCTCGTGAACTAACCTAATGATCCTTCCTCCAGAAAAACCCAACCATCCCCATCCCCGATCCCGATCCGTCACTTCTCAGCAAGCAGATCGTCATCCCCGTCGATGTGCCCGAAGTGCCCATCGTGCACACGGCGGAACTTCGCCTGACGAACATTGGCCACGAACAGCCTGCGCACGCCGCCGTGGGCCAGACGATCGCAGCGGAGCTCATCCTTCGACATACCCGTCGCTGGGCCTCCTCATCCTCCTCGAGATCTCCCGAAACCAGTAGTGATGCCGCAGAAACAGCAACTCAGCCCGTCGAGTTCTCCTACGAAGTGCTCGCCAATCCGGAAATCTGGCTCCTTGGCGGTCGTCGTCGCGGTAACTTCACGGCGCCCGAAGGCGAGACGCGCTCATTTCCCATCCTCCTTCTGCCCCAACGTCCGGGCCATCTCCTCCTCCCAGGACTGGACATCAAGACCTTCGCAGTCTCTTCCCCGGCCGTCTCTGGCGGCGGCGTGCCTTCAGCGACGGCGCAGCGAAAGCTCGTCCCGTGCGAAGTCGACTATCGGAATCATGGCGAGACGCTGTTAGTGCTGCCGGACCTGAAGAAGACGACGGTCAGTCTGTCCCAGTCCGCGGGCGGGGGGTCATGGCTGGTTGATTCGGAGAGGAGAGTCGAGGTTGGTTCGTAGTGCCCTGTCTTCATAGTCTATGCCTTCTCACGATGTATATACGTAAGTTTTCTACAAAATGTACATGCATACATATAATACCATTATTAGCACAGATACTTTCTCTACGTAATCAATTCCCCGACTTCCAAAGACCTCTAAATGATATATCTTGATAGCGAGTTAATTACGATTTGTTGAACGTATTGCATCTATAAAAGTAATGTTAAATAAAACAGCAGCGGCTCAACAAAAGAAAAAAAAAAAAACACACCGGACCATCCATGATAGAAGCCCGCTGTCCTTGAGGTATAGTTAGTTACCCAAATAAGGAATCAAACCTTAGGGCACAGGGCACAGGGCACAGGGCTAAGACGTGACTTACTCCAAACAGGCCAGTTTAGCAAATCCCATATCTTTCCCCAACAGGACTAGCGTATACTAGCTATCCGACCCATCAGATCGCTCCAGAAAGCCCCCAAAGACTAACCCCTTCTGCATTAGCGCCCGTCAGGCAGTTCTCCACCGGCTCCAATTTCTCAACAAAATCGACGATCTGTCCCAACAAGAATGGCCGCTGTTTTGGGGGGGAGAAAAAGAGGAAAGGGGGTGTAAGTTATTTTATTGTTACTTTCCTTTACTCCGTACTAGTTCAAGTCAGAGAAAGGGGGGGAAAGGAAAGGAAAAGAAAAGACAGAAAGGACTTTCACGTGCCGAGGGAAATAATAATAATAATATAACGCCATCGTTCGTCCAACGTGGGAGGTGTATGATATACTGTATATTCTGTACTTTATTTTTGATGGTATATTCTTATCGATTGATTGGAAGGATCTCAGTGAACTTGCTGTCCCTCATATTATTATTTGTTATTATTATTACCATACTCTTCTACTGTACCCCAACGGTTCATTACGGAAGGGGGATCAGTCACATGCAATGCAACAACTGCTGTGTTTTGCAGGCGGGCACTGCAATAGATGATTGATTGATTGATGACCTCTTTTTCCTGTCGATCGATCATTTACCGCGGTTTCAGCATCGTATTATTACTACGTACTTCATCGAAGCAAGGAGTCGTGGTGATTAGCGTACGGTAGTATGTACTGTACATACATACATACATAGAGGAATGAGTAGACTCGACTCGGTACCGAGCTGCGTTCTGTTCGCATGTGAATAATGTCAACGAGGGGTTCGTTCAAACGAACAGCGTCTTGAAAGTATATTAGGTATGATATATTACAGCCTGATGCGCAATAATAATGCAGATCAGGCAGTCTTCTGACTCTTGGTAAAGCACCATGAAGTATTCGCGTCTGGGCTTGCAGATTATTATCAAGCCTTCGTCCTGGGTGTATACACAGTACCATGTATCGTTATATGGTACTACCACTACCCCGACTTTTTCCTCTCCAAAGTAGTCTACCGTAGACTACCTAGGTACTCGCTACATATCTACCGTATAAGGCAAAGTAGCGTTTCTCAATGAATGTAAACTACCACACCGTCAATCTTCATTACCAATAGACTTGACCTGACCTGACCTCCTCCAATATAGACATGTCCATGCGCAGACACCAGCCATCACTAGACTAGTACGGAGTACCACTCACAGAGTATCATGATATTTTCTCCCCATGTCTTGCGGGGAGAGTTACAGGAATCGGATTATATTATTATTATTTTAAGTTTCTTTCTCCTCATCGCGACAGCGGTATTCCCTCAGACTATCATTGGTCAATCACACTCACCGCCCCGATCGGTCCCTGGTAAGTTTTGGTAGATAACTACCATAGATACTGTACCTAGGTCACGGTAACGTTCCCGTCACCGGGGAGTTACAGTAGTAGTGTGCAATCTTACGCGATTATTACTTACCAGAAGTTAAGTTACGAAAGGGCCGAGTTTCCTGCGACGAAGAAAAGAGCTGAGGGGAAAATAATGGGATCGATCATACCACGATTCCTGCTGTCTCCCCGGACCGTCCCGCCGGATGTTGCGCGAAATAATATGGTTTGGGAAAGAAGGAAAAAAAAAAAAAAATAACGCTCTGGCAAATGCCGTTCCAGCGCGATACCTGTGGGCAGATAGATCAAAGTGGTCAGTCACGGACAAGTACCATATTACGGCGTCTGGAATAAAATAAGGAAAACCTCGCCACATCTTGTGGCGAGAGCGAGCTTTTCTCCTGAAACTAGGATGAGGGTCTGGTCTGGATCACAACGAGCCTATCTAGTCTACTGGTACCGGAGAAATTTCACCATTGGAGAGAATGAAACTACCATAATTGATACGTTGGTAGATCTACTCCGTACATGGCGAGAAGAGGACGTGCTGGTCAGCATTCCATGTGCGGATTCCTGGCATTGACGGGATTGAATAAATCATAGATATAGTAATAATATCAAATATATCAAGTAAAATATAAACGCAAACTTTCCATCCTCAACAGTATAGTAGTAGTATTAGTTTGGAAACGGCAAGACTGGGCTGATATGGTAAAAAAGAGAAAATCTAGAAGACGCCGATCGAAGGCCGGTTAGCGTACGGGGTAATAATACGGTGGAGCGTCACGAGGATTACCGGGTCTTGGCATCAAAGCCCGCCGGCGTATCAGCGGGGAAAGGGAAGAACGTGAAAATTACCTGAACCGTGACTGTTGGGGCGACAAGCATGTGGCAGCTCAGTTTCCCCAGTTAGATAGTTGGACCGGCAAAAACAAGAAGGAAAAAAAAAAAAAAGGCAAAAATTTAGATACTTACTTGCCTTTACCTTACAAGGCCGATCGATCTCTCAGATCCCTCCCTCGTCTTGCTCCTCTGTCTCCTCCGACTTCAAAACCCGCCGCATTCCCTTTTCCTTCCTGCTCCTTTCTTCTGTGTCTCTCCCTTATACCCTCCCCCTCCCCCCTTTGATCCAGGAGGTCCACAGAGTGCTTGCGTATCACCACAGCTCTTCAGCCAGCTGAACATCTTCAACCCTGGGGGCTGCTGATCTGTGTCACACAAACAGGCGGTTGTTTGTCTTTATTATCGAGTAAGTCCTTAGACAGCTCTCTCTGGTCTCAATTCGTTTGCTAGCAACAGATGGTCTGGCATCAAGGGTCAAGGGTCAATGATGCTAACAAACTTCCCTCACAGATAGATTCTGTGAATCTCCTGAATAAAAAACACCATCCGTCCAACATGTCGTCCACCGCGATCCCCAAGCGCGTTGCGCTGAACCGTATGCAGACGACGGACTCCTCTGTGGCCAGCTCGGCCTCAGTGTCTCCCATGGAAAGTCCTCGTCAGTCTCCTTCGTCCACCTCGTTGTCCTCGATGGCGTCTGAGGTCGAGCCCCGTCGCACCAAGATGCTCGACACCTACGGCAACGAGTTCGAGATCCCCAACTACACCATCAAGGACATCCGTGATGCCATTCCTCCCCACTGCTTTGAGCGTTCCGCAGCCACCAGTCTGTACTATGTCGCGCGCGACTTTGCTCTCTTGGGAGCCACCTTCTATCTCTTCCACAACTATGTGACTCCGGAGACTGTCCCCTATCTGCCCGCCAGAGTCGTGTTGTGGGGCTTGTACAGCGTTCTGCAGGGTCTGTTCGGTACCGGAGTGTGGGTTCTGGCGCACGAGTGTGGTCACCAGGCCTTTTCCCCCTCGAAGAAGCTCAACGACACTGTCGGATGGATCTGCCACTCTGCCCTGCTGGTCCCCTACTTCTCCTGGAAGATCTCCCACGGCAAGCACCACAAGGCCACCGGTAACCTGGCCCGTGACATGGTGTTCGTTCCCAAGACCAGAGAGGAATATGCCTCGCGCATTGGAAAGGCCGCCCACGAGCTGAGTGAGCTCATGGAGGAGACCCCTATCGCGACCGCTTGCAACCTGGTTCTGCAGCAGCTCTTTGGATGGCCCATGTACCTCTTCACCAACGTCACCGGCCACAACAACCACGAGCGCCAGCCTGAGGGACGCGGAAAGGGCAAGAAGAACGGTTACTTTACCGGTGTCAACCACTTCAACCCATCCAGCCCGCTGTATGAGGCCAAGGACGCCAAGCTGATCCTCTTGAGTGACCTCGGGCTCTTCATCACCCTCGCAGTTCTGTACTACATTGGCACGAACTTCGGCTGGCAAAACCTCCTCGTCTGGTACGGTCTTCCCTACCTCTGGGTGAACCACTGGCTCGTTGCCATCACCTACCTGCAGCACACCGACCCCACTCTCCCTCACTACGAGCCCGAGGTCTGGAACTTCGCTCGCGGTGCCGCTGCCACCATCGACCGCGAGTTCGGTTTTATCGGTCGTGAGCTCCTGCACGGTATCATCGAGACCCACGTCCTCCACCACTACGTCAGCACGATCCCCTTCTACCACGCCGACGAGGCCAGCGAAGCTATCAAGAAGGTGATGGGCAAGCACTACCGCACGGAAGCCCACACTGGCCCTCTTGGCTTCCTCAAGGCCATGTGGACCAGCTTCCGTATGTGCCAGTGGGTTGAGCCCACCGAGGGTGCCGAGGGTGAGAGCAAGGGTGTTCTCTTCTTCCGTAACAGGAACGGTCTTGGTGTCCCTCCTGCCAAGATTGCCAAATGAGTCACTATTGTGGCCTTTTCGGCTTTTTAAGGGTCGATCCTCGAGTTCTCTGCGTGGTACGCTCGCCGGACCGAGAGCCGCGAAGTGACATTTTTTGTTTCGTATATATCGTTTCAACTGTTTAAAGGGAAGGAGTCGGGTGCGGTTTTCTGATGTTGGTTATGTCCCCATTAATGTGCGATCAACAATCTAAGTCCTGTGCTCTGGACTTCCGAGTGCGTCCCCGCTTAGCGCGGTCGTTGCGTTGCGAACAGCACTCCATCATGCATCTCTGCTTTTTCCATCATATCGCGTTTCGATCTGTTAGAATAGTGTTCATAGACGATGATATCCATGGCAGCCGTGTGACGGTCACAGCCAGACTCGAAGGGGTTGGTTGGGATAGAGAAGGAGAATAGACCAGATAGAGTCAGTCAAAACTGAAGATTCTCGTCGGAAGCATTCACATCTTGTTCAATCCATACATGAGCGTTGTAGCCAGTCAGCGAAATAGCCCAGTGAGCGAAATAAGCTTCGTCAAAGTTGCACAAGAGAATGGACCTTAAAGGGCAAAGGGAAAGAAATAAAGACAGCACCAGCCCAAGATCATACGATGATAATGATGATAAGTTTAGTTAATTAAACCCGAAATCTAAACGCGGAGAGAAAGCAAGCTGTCAAAAAGTGCGGGGTATGACCCCCATACTTATATCGCATTAATAATTAACTTGTGTCTGGGTCAGTTAGGATCCTCCTTTCTTCTTCCGCCGAAAGCCGAGAGATCCACCCTTCGACTAATACATATAACTACTGTACATAGTTATACTTAAAACTTATCCATTGATAAAGGGGGTTTAACAGAGAAGGATTAATTAATTAAGTATTCACTAAATAGTATCTATATCAGCGCATGAAGAAAACGCTAGGTAATTTGTTGAGTATCCGTTTGTAGCAGGGCCTAAATATAGGATAGGATAGGATAACTTACTTAGAACATACTAGATCACTGAGATTTACTATGGATTCTCTGGATGCGATATATATAGGAGATGAATGTGGGTTTAGCTTCCCCTTCCCCTTGCCCTGTAGAAAGTAGATTTAAGTGAGGAAATTAAGTTGTTCGGGTAATAACTGTGCTTCTGTATTGTTATTATTCAATGTTCGATTCGACGGTATATCTCTACAGGGGTAGTTAGTAGTATAACTAACTAACTTGGAGTATTATTAATTACTCCATATCGATATTCCAGTAGTAGTGGCATAACTGTAATAATATGATATGGACTGTTTATATTATACTCGATCGAATAACCTAGCCTGTGGTTATATAACTCACTGGTTAGTTACATAGAGTGTTAATTACTACTACTACTATTATTATTATTATTATGGATCTTTCTATTTAATCGAGAATAATCGCGTAGTACCTAATCCCCTTTGCTCAGTTGAGTGATCTACTGAGATAATAAGGAAGATCTAGAAATGTCCGGGGGTAGATCTAGTTAGTTATAGTTCTTCGGCGCGGGGGTCTCTATTTATCTCCTCCTATTGACCTACATCCGAAGGATCTAGATATCTAGCAGATTCTATCATCCCTACCCCTGTAAGTTTACATATCTACGATATCCCGAATGATACGATCCAGTCTTTCGGGAAATAAATCAATTTCATGACTCAATACTCTTTCATTCAAACATGAACGTCAGCGTCAACTATCCCAACGCCAAGAGGGCACATTGAATCGTCCAAACATGAAGCAAAAAGGAGGAAATAACAGACTCCGATTCCTCGAATGGAGAAGAAAAGAAAGACAACTCATACAGCATTGCAAGACGTGTCCGCTCACAAGAAAGAAAGCATAGCATAACACATTGCTCCGTTCCCGACTGCGTATCATCATTGAAATGCAAATATCGAAAACAAATCGTCACATTCGTAAGGTTGGTCGTAAAAGAAGGCAAAAGAGGGTATTATTCTGCACTCAAAAAAAGGAGAGAAAAAAAAAAGACCCAGAACTCCAAGTTGGTGCAAAACTTAGAAGATGTCATCAGGCCATTGAAAGTTGTCAGATGGTTTGTGTTGCACACGATGCTCCTGACAGAGTGAGCGCAAAGTAATATTTCCCGGGCCCAGTTCCGATCCCTTGATGCTCGTCAAAGCTCCAGAGCAGCTGCTATCTCTCTTGGTGTTTGCAATGAGCTCCTGGGGCACCGGCGGGACAGGAGGGATGTTCTCTTCTCCGTTGAATCCCCATCCCTTTCCGGGACTGATGATGACCGCGTCCGGATCAGCTGTAGGGTTCAGCTGAGGCTGAGACTGGAGGTAGAAAGGCTGAGGTGATGATCTATTAGACTCCGCAAGTCTAGGCGGTTCCGCAATTTCGTCTGTCATTTTCTCGCAGGGCGATTCCGCTCTCGATTTCTTCATCTTCGAACAGGGCGAGGATCTCTTCTTCAGGTTCGGGACACGCCTCAGAGGGGTCGGGGTCCGTGGCATTGCCAAATGTTTGGGAGACTTGGGCTTGTTAAGAGCCGTCGAGTCTGATTCTTCTAGCTGTTTCCGCTCGACAGCCCCCGGACTATCGCCTTGTGAGTACTTCTGCGCCTTCGACTTCCTTGCAGATTGCTTCTTTCGGGAAGATCTGTCAGTTTCCGCACCCTCGTCCTGGTACTGTTCCTCGGGCGGGATGTCGTTGCTTTGCTTCCGGTTAACATCAGGTGACTTCCTCTTCAGTGGAGAGGCATCTTGAGATACAGGATGCCTCTGCTCTTTGGGAAGCCTCCGCGCCTTCGGGGTGGAAAAGAGCTTCCTCGTGCGTGCTTGCTCATGCTCACTCTCGTTACCCGACTCGACGCAACGGATGCTGTGGGCTGGCGCAGGAGCAGACACCGGTTCCGGGCCTGATTCAGCCTGGTTATTGAGAAGCCGCTCAGACGGCAGAGATGGGAGAGCTCCTGGCACAAATCGCCTAGGAGGAAGTGCGTCATAGGCTACAACAGGAAGCGGAGGCACCGGGGGTGCTTCCAATTCGGCTGTCATCTCACGCAACTCTCTCCTGACCCTTTCAAGTTTGTCTTCCAGGTTGCTGACTTTCTTCATCAGTTTGGCTTGTCTGGCAAGCTCCTTTCTTGACCGTTGCTTATGGACCGAAGGACGCTGGGAGTCCTCCGAGGGCGTGTCAAGCGACCGCCTCTGAGGAGATCCATCGCGGCGTTTGATGGAAGGAATGCTCAACGCAGACCTCGCTTTGCGGAGATCTTGGAGAGATGATTTGAACGAAGACACTTGATCGGGACGGCCGGGAGTGGGCAGCATTTCTTTGTTGTCGTTGAATGAGGGTTGGTACCCATCTCTGGTGGATAAGCTTGCCGAGGTATTTCTGCTATGGTTACCTGAACTGCGGTACTCCATCTTTTCCTGTATAGCTTTCCACGTCTGGTCCGCGATCTCCGGATTCACCCCATTGCTGGTCTGTCCGAAGTTGCCCTTCGTGCCTCGGTACCCAGACTTCTTGAGTTCAGCATAAGCCTTCTGTGCCTGGGTCTGCCTTTCCTTCATGATCTCCTTCTGCGTTTTGGGTCTGTCCTGGGGGGGCTTCCAGATATCGGAAACGTTCTCCCACATCCCGAACGGATTGAACGCAGCGGCAATGGCCTTGCCAAACTTGAAGATGCCCGAGTGTCTCTGCGCAGGGCTGTCGTGCACCAGTTGTTTTCCCTGCATGATCTCATCATCGCGCACGAAGATACTCGGAGGTTTCTCGCTGACGCGATCATTCATGCTACCCTCAATGAACCTGGAACGACGGTACCGGAGGCAAGGAGAGCCATTGGCTTTGTCCTTCGACCCCAGAGTGCGGGAACGAGGGGAGCTTCTGTTGGTCACTGCTGCATGATCACCGCTGGGTACGCGGAGACCATGTTCGTTGTACACGACCTCGTTCCGGAGGGGCCAGTCGTTGGAGCGTCTGCGCTTGGACGAGTGAGCAGACTGGGTACCGTAGTAGGCAGCAGCATCGTCATCATCGCAATCGTCTTCATCGTAGGCAAGCTGCTCCGTCTCTAGCTCCTCCTCTGCATCGTCAAAGCGGCCAGACACATCCGAACTTGGGGTCGCGTAGGACATGCTCGAGCTAACGTGCGAATGCTTCCGCTTGTGCGACGAGCTGGGCTCGCTGGCACAGTCGCTCGCGCTGTCCATCATGAGTGCTTGCTGAAGCTGCATGTCTGCACGGAGGGGATCCAGATGCAGTTCCACTTCCAGATACGGTGTCTAAACATCTCCAAACAAAGTTATCAGCTAGAACGCTCTGGTTGCATCATTGGACGGATGTTTCAAATCTCCAGGCTTTTTATGGTTTGTTTGGGGTCAGGGATATCTGTGGGTGATAGATAGCAAGACGGACCTCTGCATCGCCTTCCCTCGTGTCCATCTTCCGACCCAGCAACGGCCGTCGCTGAGCCCAGGATGCTGTGTGATCTTAGCTCTCAACTGCTTCTTGACCGGTGCCGCAATGGCCAGCTGAGACCGGACCCTCGATGGAAATCGAAGACAAGAGAAGAGAGGATAGAGAGATGAAGAGAGAATAATAATAAGAGGGATAGCACGACGTTGACGTAGCAAGCGTGGACTGGATTGGCTTGGATGATCGGGTTGTGCCGGTTTTCGTTTGTTTACATGCGCTGGTTTGGTTTCCCCTCTCGTTGCCGGGAGTTGAGCTGGCTTGGTCGGAGCAACAAACAAGTAAAAGTAACTAACTAGAGTAGCTTCACTAGATAACTTAGATACACTAAACTCATCCTCCTCGGTCTCATCATCTGCCAGCTGGATTTCCACAGGGTTTTGAGCTGGCACGCGACGATCCTGTTGTTGAGGAGAGATTGGGGATCTCCTTGGTTAAGCATTTATTATCATCTCCTCGATGGAATGGAACGGTAATAATAATAATCAATAATTCAATAAAACTAGACTAAAAGAGCCACACGCTCGGACCGGACCTTTTTGTCTCGGGCACGATGCCCTTTCATCAGAATATTCAAGAGCTAGCGAAATGACAATGGACATGCCCATTCCCACATTTTTGTCAAGCTTTTTGTGCGCCAAATCATCAGTCTCGAAGGGATGCTGTTTCGGATGCTGTTTCGCCCTTTGGCGTACGTCAACTTTCTGAGACATATCAATTAATCCATCCTTGCGACGGGCAGTCATTTATGGAATGTGAGATGGATCCTTGGCCTGAATTGGAGGACTAGAATACCTACCTAGGTACTCAGGTACTCTCGAACACGATTTCTTTTTCGCGTGTATAACGCGACTGATGGAGGCAAGATGAGAAGGAAAGGAGAGAAAGAGCGGACAGAGGGGCTGCGGTGGTCAATTCTTATCCCAAGGTGATATTATTGCAATAAATCTTGCTATAATCCTATCTATTTGAATTTAGAACCTGAGCAGTAATACTGAAAATGACTCCCTCTGCAACAATCCAGCTCCCCTCTATTCTGGCCTAGTCAGGCGCCTATAAAATGGCACTTTCCCCCTACCTGTGTCCTCGCTGTCATGATCTCAGTAACCTCGGGAGTTACCAGGCTACATGTATAGCACAGGTGTAATACCCCCCAGATAGTTATTGCGGTCTTTTGGTGTAGTGGCGGGCACGTGCTAAGTATAGCCGGTGTATAGCAGACGCATCTTCGCATCTTTTCCTTGCCTTGACCAATCTTCTTCTAACCTCTAGGTCAAGTTTTGCTTAAATTTCTTTAAGGAAATAGTTTCGCCGCCTAAAATTTATATCTAGTAATTTTAATCGCGCCTTCTTTCGTGTCCCTTGCTGAGCCTGGCGAATTATCACGTCAACACGATGACATCTTCAAGAATCCCCCCTATCTACAGGTTAAATAGGTTACTGCGCTGTTCCCCAATTTGTGCATCAGCTCGTTGCCACTCTTTCAACGTGTCGCCTTCACACGAGTCGTTTTTTCAAGCATACGTCGAGGCGATGGATGCCAGTCGTCCCCTCAATCCCACTCTACAAGCTGTGAAGTCTTACAGAGCATCAGCTTCAATGGAGATAGACAACTGAAGGAAAGATACGTCTAATTTAACGTTGCAGAATTGCAGCGCGTCGCGGCCAATGCAGTAAACCGAAAGCAGTGTGTCCGCATCGTCAAGATGGCCTATAACCGATCATGAAAGAAAGTCTGCGTACCGAATAAGGACTGCTTTTGGATAGAGTTTACTGTCTCTTGCCGTTTGATACGCTCAGGTGAGTGGTTTTTGCAATCTGGTTTGGCCTTTAGGGACCATGCCCTTGTAGAAGTAATACTTGACAATATTGACTGTAGACATGTTTGATCCCCGAGTACAGATAACATGATGACTGGAATGTACTTTCTGTTGCAGCAGAGTAATTTGCCCACACCGTGACTTTCTTAGATTTATAAGACGTCAGGCTAAGACTTTTTCATCCTGTTGAGCACTCCTAAGAATCTGGCGCATCCGCAAATAAACCCCCCTGTCTTCTTTCTTTCGTATTCTTCCGTTAGGGAATACCACTTTTCGTAACTCGAGAACCCACGGAACTAACGACTCGTGATATTCCGTGAAATTCGCCTCTACGGTGCTCCTGAAGACATCCTCCTCTGATATTGTTCCCAGCTTAAGCTTAGCTAATTCTTCCATGTCGACATAATTCCATTTCTCGAATTCGGGCATCGTCCTGCTCCTGTTTCCTGGTCCATTATAATGGATACAAATCCAGAAGAGAACCCAGAAAAAAAGACTCCAAATCATGGTTGAAAGTGTGTCTTTCCCCCAAAAGGAGACCAATAGCCATAAAAGCCCTGGTCCCAGTCTTACCTCTCGCCCCAGAAGGTCGTTCTCGTTGCTCCTTGATAGCAAGGTCCAAGTCGATTAGAAACGCTGGCCAGGATTGGGTTTCTTTCCCCTCGTTGACAATCAGATTGCCAGTGGAAATGTCGCCTGTACTTAACCTAGCGAAATGAAAAAATAAAAAAAATAAAAACAATTTTACGCTACATAAACAATGCCTTTGAAGGGGAAATCGCCCATTTAGCTAGCTAGCTTGTTAATAACTAGCTAATTTAGAGCCATTGGCGGCCTCTCTAATCACATTTAATGCTTCTTCTTGCAATTGACATCACAATGGCCGCACGATGCGTAGATGGAAATAGAGAATCGGGTTACCAAGGGAAGAAAAAAAAAAAAAAAAAAGCGAAGAAAAACCGCCTCACATAGAACTCAAAAAATTGCCGCCACCATCCAGAAATGCATGGTGGGCAGAGAGTATATTGTACCGTCTAAGAAAGGGGTGGTCGACGTAGAAAGAAGAGAGAAGGTAGCCGCAGCCACTGCAGCGAGTCTTGAGAACAGGAAGACGCAGAAGCAAACGGGGAATATAATAGAAATCCACACACACCGTGAATGAAGAAATGTGCATAAGGGTAGGCCAATTTCAACACACAAGGAAAATTTCGAAGGGTAAAAAAAAGGAACGTTGGCTGTGCTCTACACCAGGACCGTATGCGAGGCGAAAAAGAAGAAAAAAGAAAAGAAAAAGACCATATATAGCAAAAAAAAGATATTCTGGTGTTTGACTTCCGCAAGAAAAAAAGCTCCATACAATTCCCTCTCACAGGAAAAAAAACCCCCAGCCAGAAACTCCGAACAAGAACTCCTTGCGGGAAAGCACGCAAAAGAGGACTGGAAAGAAAAAATCAATGATGTGCAAGAAAATGGGAATGAGAATCTAAATAATAGAGTAACCTGACATCTTTTTCTCAGACTTTGCTACCACGAACAGGCGTCACTTTGGTGGACATTGTTCCATCTGCACGTCTGTATTCCATAGCCGCACGCTCAATCCCTAGTTCCTCGAAGAATTTGGCAGTTTCCAGTTCTGTTTTTCTCCCATTGCGACCACGCCCAGGGTATGCGTTCAGATCCGCAGCATCAGGACGCATGCCGTTCTGCAGAGACCGCTCCTGGTGACCAAAGGAATCCTCGTGTGTGCGTTTCGTCAGTTTTGCCTCTGTATCATAGAGCAGCCTCTTGCCGGTCACTGGATCATAGTTCCGCGCCTGCGGAGCACTTATCGACTGCGGCATGCTCGTGTACTCCCCTGAAAGAGTCTTCAAAGGCGGCAGAGATGGTGGGATTTCGGTGGCTGCTGGCGTGCGGGCTCGAGGAACGGAGGGTTGTGTCGAAGACTGATAGGCATTCGGGTCGGATGAACGGGGCTCGCCATACGGTTGAGGGTTGACTGGTCTGGGAGGGTCAACCAGTCGCAGAGGAGGCAGAGAAGTCTTGGGATAATCAAAGCGTTCTACCTGCGGCCGGGGCTGCTGGTAAGGGTAGCCTTGGACAGGAGGCTCGGACTCGGCTGCGTTCGACAGTCTGCGGACATGAGCGTAGGCCGGGTGTGGGGAGTATGCGGCTGCTGGTGCCGCAGGAGGCTGTGGCGTGGGTGGTAGCTGAGGAGTCTGGTATTGTGTTTGTGTCGAGCCAAACGTCAGGTGTGACTGGTAGGTAGTGGGAGCAGGCGTAGGAGGGGGAGGTTGTTGGTATGGCTGCGGGTAACCATATTCAGGCACTGACGGTCGCCGTTGACCATCAGGGACATAAGCAAAAGGTGCGTCGATAGTGCTGTTGCTGGTGGATCGTGGACGTTCAATGGGAGTGGCTACATAGGCATCGGGGGTCGAGTATCTGTCTGAGCGAGCATATACCCTCTCCTCGTCGTATTCATTGTACTCTTTGGTCTGCTTGTCGCCGCGGCGTCTCATTCGGACATCGCGTCTGATTCGAACCCTGCATCCTTGCTCCGCCACAACTCTGCTCAGCGAAGTACTCGTGGCGAGACCCGGGAATTTCTTGGCGCTATAGACGGTGAAAGGTATCGACTTGACTTCGAGACGGAAATGAAGGTATGTCTGCGGTGCGATCGCCTTCATCGACGGCTGAATGGGCTCCTGAGGGGGTAGCGGAGCATCCTTATCCGCATCCTTGGGCTCCTTCACCTCCTCGTATAGGTTGAAGTTCAAACGGTATCGGCCCTCGTGGCGAACGGACAGGTCGGGGAAGATGAAATAACCGGCTTGGGCAGGGCGATCGAGGTATGCAATACCCGCAACAGGCACACCCGTCAACACAGGGCATGTTGGCGGATGTCCTGATACTCTCCCCTGAGCAATTGGACGAGCGGTATCCAACGTCGCGAACAGGAAGAAATTGGCATTATAAGCAAAAGTGATGTCGGTCTTGTGCATGTCATTATTCGGGTCGGATTCGTAGATACGTAGTTCCACCACAGGTGGAGGATCAACAGGCCGACGGTCAGCAGAAGCTATCAGACAAAGACTAGAGTCAGCGACGGTTTACATGTGTTGTCGAATCGCAAGAAACCTACACTTAACACCGGCACCGCAAGCTCTCGCACGCTCTGGCTGCTGGATGACCGACAACTTGTATGTGATCTTCTTTCCCTCGCGAGTGATTCTGCTGATCGAATGCTCCGTCTCATTGGACGGAGGCATAAGGGGTGGTCTCGTCGTCGCCATGGCGAATGTGACAATATTATTTATACAATTAGGAAAAAAATATTCCGAACGGTGAACCTCTGCGCTCAATTGTCAGCGACTACCTCCCCGAGTTGAATACCGCACACGATCCAGAAGCCTCGTTCTGTGGTGATCAGAAACATTGGTCTCCGCGGTGGTGAACAGACGCAGGACGGCCGGTGCCATTGATTCTCCCGAAGTGCAACGTACTCTCAAACCGGCAGATCAATCAATCTCAGATTCCTTGCTGTCCCAAGACCGCTGTCTGTACTTCTTTCCGTCCTTCTTTCCTTCTTTCCTCCCAGCACGAGAATGATGTATCGAGTGTATCTGCAACCAACCGACCCAAGCGGTTGGGAAAGCTGTAGGGTTCAAGCCGAATAAGGAAGCCGGTGAAAAGGGACGAGTCCAATTCAATGCTGGAGCGTCCAGTATCTGTCGACTGCGTGAATCGGCAACGACCTCAACGGCGATACGCTGGCCGAACGAGGAAGGACGCAGGTGAAGTCGACAATGGAGAAGAGAACGAGTGTAGGACTGAGGTATGGGGATAGGAGAGGAGAACGGATGTCCTAGTGACGGCGGGCGAGTCAGCCGTCGGAGGCAGTAGAGTACTAGAGTGATCCTACTAACGCAACAGAGTCGCATTTAGAGCGGGCGCCGTCGTTGGCAACCCTGGTATAGCTCGCGAGAATCCTGCGTCGTGGATGGCCGGCGACGGTGGATCGCGGACCGTGGCCTGCGGGGAGGGTGGTTTTGGGCCCATGGTCGAGTCCGGCTGATGGGCGCAAATATGGGATGGATCCTGCACTAGAAGGAACAGGGGGGTCTGCTGGGCTTCTGCGGGCGACGGTGCGCCCTCCTCCGGCCTGCGGGCGCCTAAGCGAGCAGCCTAGGCTATCAACGGCTAGCCGCCCGTCTCTCGGCGGTCCCAGCCCTGGGGCCATGTCCCGATCCTGTACTGGCCGTCGCCCCTGATAGGCTCGCCTGCCCAGCAGCTAAGCTCGGGGAGGTGCCCACCAGCTACACGGGAGGCCGTGCGTGGACAAACCACAGGCGATCCTCGAGGCCGCGACCTGGGACGACTGGGGCCCTGGGCAGACAGGCCCCACCGGTCTGGCTGCTTCGGGTGGTTGCTCTGCAGCACACTAAACCACCCACCCCTGCCTCTCCGGGGCCAACCGCCCAACGACCAAGATCCCAGAATCCCAGGATCCCAGGAAAAAGGCGACTCCGCACCTTCTCCCAGTAACTGCTCTGCCGGGTCGTGGTCTGACTCCGGACCCAGGGGGTCGGCACCAGCGGTTGCAGGAAACCATCAGCCGTTCCTGCCGGTCGTCCTGCCTGCCTGTTCCGTCGTGCCACGGGTGACAAGCAGCGATTAATTATTCTCGCGGCCACTTTCGCTGCCTCATTAACGGAGTCCTTCTTAGTCTCTGGTCCGGGGTGAGGTGCCAAAGCAGTTTAGCAGATTTAGATAGCAGAAGAGACTTTGATCCTAAGAAAAAGCTGCTGCCGGATGTGCCCACTGCTGAGCTCCATTATTATTCGGGCGAGAAGAGTAGTAGGAAAAGCCAATCTAACCACCGGGTCCGGGACCAAAAAGAAAACTGGTCCCAGTCGGCCTTTGCATTCTCTGAAAATGGGATCCGCAGCATGCGACGGCGAGCCATCTGTCCTCGCCTGGACGAATAAAGCTGTCAACCTGGTCAACCTTGGGCTCCTGCTAGCAGGGCCGGTTCCTTCCCAGAACCTGCCGGCGCGCTGCAGCCAAGCCTCCAGGCTCGCTGCTGGTTGGCTGTCGTGCCCGGAAAGAACCGGTCCTCTGTCTCGCTCTCTGCGGTCCGGGTTCCCAAAAGGGCCGCGGCGCTTACCACGGCAGGAGGGGAAGTGGTGTCCGTACCAGCAAGTACCTAAAGTTCTAACTAACTAACAAACTAAAATCAGTCAGTCTATGCTGGAGCTGCCCTTTATCTTCATGAATCATGGCACACTCCAAAGTTCCCAAACGAGCTTTACGCTGGCGGTGAGATGTACCTCGTGCGCGTCGTCCGCCACACGGCCCGACCAACCGTTGCCGGCAAGCATTTGGGGCAGTATGGTATTATTGTTATTGTTACTATCATTGGTGATTCGCCTAGGCAGTCTCCCAACCCTGCTACGTTCATAATGAAATGTCCACAATGCAGAAGTTGTGAAATGTAACTATCTATCTATCTATCTAGTTTACAATTACTCCATTTCCTCTACCAGATCTTACTCCTGGCTTGATGTTAGGGATAAATTATTTCCCTACCTGGCTTGTGCGCATCTCGTGCGACTCTTCTACGCGCGCCACGGTCGGAGATGTCGATCCGTTCCCGAATGATAGCGTAGGCCAATTCCGCACTGCGGAATCTGAAGGTAAGGCCGTGTTTCTTTGTCTGGCCCGGAAGAAGTTGTCCCAAGGATCTCCAGGGGGGATTAAGCTACCATAGGTACGGCATCTGCCATCAAGAAACTCATCCTGGGGATGGGATCTTCCTACCCGCTTTTCAGACTTTGCCTTTGACTTCAGCGATAGTTAAGTCGAGGTCAGTATTTGTCACACACAAAATGTGTTTAGTTATGATTTTAATTATCTTAGGAACACAGGCAGCATGACCTGGTGTCTGGCTCTGGGAATCGTGCTGCGGTTACTGGAGTACGTACTATGAAAATTCCTAGCTGGACCAGATCCCAATCGCCTCGATCCACGGGCTGAAGCACTAACCGCCGTCGTGAAACTTTCCTGGCATGCCTTCTTCCCATATTCGGTGCATACCATAGGTCCTGTCACTTCCACGACCCCGGATGATTCTCCTGAATGCAGCGTGTCAGCGGCGTAGGAGCTCGCTTCAGGGGTACCGCGAGTAGTACAAACGAACTATTGTCTGATTCGAGAGCAGGTGCCGGGAGGTTGGCACGATGGCTTTGTGAAGGTCAGCAAGCAGCTAAGGAGACAGCTATTGCTCAGAAGAGTAACGGTTCCGTGCCCAGTTCCTGGCATGAAGTGCCGCTGCGCAACGGACAGGATGACTATGAGGCTTGAGCATCAGCAGAAGCATCGATCGTCTAGGACTCTAGAGTCATAGTCACTTAGATGACTTTCTCCGGGCTGATAAAGACTCATCCAATGATAATGTGTCTGAAGTAAAGCTCGAGAGCTTGGCCATCTTCATCCTTCACTATTATTACTTCCGTATATCCACCAGGGCGGATCTACCCGCACACCAAGCACAGAACCCTTTTCTGACCGGCCGTTGTGGATCTTCCCCCGCTCAGGCCCCTCGATGGAGCTCCAGTGCCTCCACCAAGTCCCATGGTTTGCCGTGCGCGTCGTCCGGATGCTCTTTTTTGGTGTTGATGTTAGCCTTGCTGCGCCGCAACGGCCAGTTCGTGGCATTATGTATTATTAGTCAATTTATATTAACACTGAGTATCTACCGTAGAGTAGAGTAACTAACTATGTATTCTCTCCCGTGGCTAATAATAATACGTGTAATTGGCCAACCCGGTTCTATACAATTCTTGCCTTCGCTTGCTCCAGCGTTAAGTATCTGTGAGATGCGAGACTGTCACCAGGGAATCCTGGTAACCGGACATCCACAGGTCATGCCATAAGAGAGTCACGCTAGAAACGTTTTTTTCTTTTTCTTTTTTCTCTCGAAAAGGGACGCAAAAGGCTATCGAGAAAACTGTCCGATTCTTTCCCGCTCCTTCGACGTAATCGTTCCTCGTCTACCGTGGCTGTCAGCAGGCGGCAATGCTCGCCTTCGAGAGGATCAGGTGGACATGAAACCATCTACCACGGAGCAAATAATACCTCTCCCTAGGAGAGATGATCCTTATTACAGTATTATTCTGGGTCTTGGTTTTCACTTAATCTTTCTTCTTTCGTAGTAGCTTTAACTTTGGAAACTGAAAAAGATCGTCGATCTAGAAACGCTACGGTGTCTGCAGGGACTCAGATAATAATAATAATCATAATTGCTGGATGTTCAACATTGTAACTTGTAAGTTGTAACTAACCCAGATAATTGATATGTCCCACGCTTGGGCCGGCTGCTGGCTTTGCTCTCTGAAGCTCCAACGGTACGTAAGACTCCTCTGTAGGTATCTATCTATCCCAGATATCCAACCCCGCTTTTGGGACGCTTCTCTTGCGCCCTTCTCTCGGCCACGACTTCAATCGACGTATGTGATCACGTCGTATTCATCGAGGGTTGCAATGGCCCACCACCAAGTTCGCGCGATCCCTGCCTTGAGGGGCGTTCCACATGCAATAAAAAGCCTGCATTCGATAATCTATCTAGGCGAATCTCCCGGATTGACGAGCGTCCTGTGAACCCGGCGAAATGTATGGCTACAAAATCTCCGAGCATCCGTGGACTAATAATACTGCAATGTACGGCTTAACGGAATAACCGTGTTGGCGCCACCGACGGCCATGAGATGGACAGGGGCATGGCGCGGATGACAGCTCTACTCTAGGGCGAATTTATGAGCCGATAATATCCCGTTGACGGCAGACTAGATGGAGGAATACACTCTCTTCTCTTGCCTGTTTTCGTTCACTTATCCATCTTCTACCTCCTTCGTACTCGATCTGAACAACGTATGCATGCACATGTCTCAAGGACGATGCTGGATTGAGCATGATCTATTGATTTCCACTGTCCACGTGGGGACCGTGTCCTCCATCGAACGACTAAACCCAGATCAAAGGGCACATAAATGTGATTGATCCAAAATTCAACTTTCCGTCAGGGTTTGATGAAAAACCCAATCATCAACACGACGTCTACACCGCCGGAAACTTGCAATGTCTGCTCAGCATATTACTACATTGACTGGATGGATGCATTGATGTTGTGAGAGATTACTCAGTTGTGCGCCCTTGCCAGGTATCTACAGCCTTGTTTGATGGGTTGACAAGCTTCCACAGAAGCTGAAGTTGCAGATGACAAGATCTTGCATTTCATAGCCTGCATTTTCTCCATCTTCAAGTCGCTTCTCAGCGATCTAGCTCGAATCCCCCACCTTCATAGCATTCGCCATTCTAGGTCTCTGCGTCCGAAATGTCGTACATGCCGCTATCTCAGTCGCGCAATTGCAGAAAACCCCATACTTTACCCCGTCAGACGGATATAGTTATTAATCGTGCATAGCAGAAGGATATATTTCCGTTTCTGGTATACCTCCGTGATCTCCTCTCGTGCAATGTGATACCGCTAATCAGGCTCTGTGCAAGTGAGCGCCATATACGATAGAGCACTAACTATTGCCAAGTTTCGACCGTTTTTTTCCCTTCCTATCGTATGCAGGCACTACTATCTATTTACAGCTCCTTGCATCGAGACTTTTGATAGTCGATGTGCTATGACTGATTGGCGGGTGTCCCTCTTGCATACTCTAGAGTCTACATCATTATTGACCCTTTTTTTTTATTATTCTATCCCAACGCAGGGACGTTATCGTCTCCACTGCCCTCGTGGCTCTTGCATTCCAGCTTCGTCTCATGTCTGGCAGCTCCTGCAACAACGGACTAGGTTGGCATTCCACGCTTATGTTCTTGGGCACTACGTATCACTGGCCCTGCCATGTGAAAAGAAAGGTCCATCCGTGCATGTGGCATGTGGAATGTGCCATTGGCCATGCTTATCCGCAACCGCTGTCAAGAATGATGTGTTTCTTCTCTTCTCTTTTCTTCTTCTCCTCTCCGTCCAAAATGAATGTTTGTCGATCATTCTTGGAAATTGATTTTCTGCTGCGGTCAACTAACTAGGCTCGACGTCTTGTCTGGGATAGACTAGGATACGAACACACGGGCCTCGTGTCGCTTGGGCCGTTTCATGGCTATTTTAGTTATTATTACCGATCTTCCGCAGCCCTGACATTTCCGGCTAGATAACATATCTTTTGCGATTCATTCCGTCTCAGCTTCTCCCCCCCGCTCATGTTACTAATCTGTCTCGCAACGGTCGCGCTCGGATCCTGAGCGTCGGGTCCAAACTAACGTAGCAAGGAGCCGGCAGTTGGGACGGCAGGGGGCGTAAGGACGGTTACACAGTGCTATTATTGATGCTGAGTACTGATTATTGCTGTCGGGTACAATGGCCTTGCTTTTTTTGCTCTTCGATCAAACACCGACATTCGGACAGATCGGTTACTCCTTTTCATCGCCATGCGGATAGTTGGTTGCCTGCCTGAACCAAGTATCATTCCTTCCGGGAAATACATCCAACTGAAATAGACACCATGAGTACCTTTCCGGTAGTTTTTTAGTAGAACTGTCAAATCGTCCCATCACAATGAATCGTTGGTCCACCTTCCAGTCATGTTATCTCCCGCAGCAGACAATACAATAGTTAACGTTGGTGCTTAATTGTGCTCCTCGAGAGATTCAACAGGCTGTAGATGATCCCCCTCTTCGACAGGGATCAATTTCTGTACTCTGTTCTTGCCACGGAGGCATATTATCAATCACGACCCTTTTTGGCTCTGTATATTTATAATGTCAGACGCCGCTCGTGGAAGGATACGCCTGCCATTGGGGATTGGTTGTGGGATGTGACTGCATGTGTAGAGTCTCTTGTATGTATGCACGGCACATTGTTCCTCTTACCGGCAAGGTTTTGGTGAGAGTAGATAGTTGTCGATATATCTGGTGTCTCTCGGTTTTAATGTTTCTGATGCCCATGTCGTTTGGTGAGGGTTTTTAAGAGCAAATAATATGGTGTCGTTAGCTAGTAGATGCATGTATAATCCAGGACTCGGTGGGTTCAACCGTATCATATCCTCAGATGGTCTATTTTTGTATATTGCTAGTGATTTTCTGTTTGGATAATGTTCATTCTGGTTTGTCTTAGTTCAATAGCTTTCCTGGACTTTATGTACATTCTACATAGAAAGATCTGGTAATTAGCCAGTCTAATTATATATATACTGTATCTATTTATCCGCAACATGGAGGGATACAAAGAGTATAATTCTCAACATTGCACCATAACATCCCTCAAAACAAGATAAAAAACCTTCATCATCATTCAATTACTGCCATAAGATGTGTTGTCTTCATCATGGACACAACATTGCTATACTACTGTCAGTCACACACCCGATCGGGACGCGAGCCACTAAACGCGTTCGGTTTCCCGTAATAGGACATCTCGCGACTCCCCGCGAATGCCACTCTCGCCCATTCACATGGATCTCCTATCAGTCATACCAGGATTCTCGACAAAATCCTACAATCATATCCTACCGTCGCTGGAAAAGAAACACATCACCACCGTCGACCTCATCACAGTCGAGCCGCTCGAACTCGCGAAGCGAGCGCATGTCCCGCCCGGAGACGTCCGTCGTCTCTCCGCGCAAGTACTTCAGGCATTGCATCAGGATCTGGGGTTCCAGGATGAAGTCGACCAGCGGGAAACAACCGGGAATGAGGACGTGAATGGTCGAGATACGGGAGTTAAGCCTGGACCTTCGACGAAGCTAGATCCGTCGCGATGGAGGACGATTAGCACTCTTGATCCCGACATAGACGCGCTTTTGGGCGGTGGGATACCCACGGGATATCTAACGGAGGTGACGGGGGAGAGGTGCGTACTACTGGATTCAATTCCTCTATTTATATTCATTTAAGGGACCCATTGCTTATCTCCATCGTTAGTGCGAGTGGTAAAACCCAATTCCTGCTGAACCTGCTTCTCGCCGTGCAGCTCCCTCCATCAACCGGTCTGGGGAAACGAGCGATATACATATCCACAGAAGCGCCGTTGGCGACGACTCGACTGTCGCAAATAATCGAGTCCCATCCTCACCTTTCCGCTCTCCCAGAGAAGAGCCGCCCTTCTCTCCAGAATATCCTCTCCATTAACGCCATCGACCTCGAGACACAGGACCACATCCTCAACTACCAGCTACCCGTGGCGATATCACGCTACAATGTCGGGATTGTGGTCATCGACTCCATCGCAGCGAACTACCGCGCAGAACACACGTCGCACAGCATGCTCGGCCTGTCTGCGCGATCGGGAGAGCTCGCGAGACTGGGCCAGATGCTGCGCAACCTAGCCGCGAAGGAGGACATTGCTATCGTGGTAGCGAATCAAGTTTCTGACAGGTTCGATTCTCTAGACGCACACTCCCGGACAAGGGTAGGCCAGATATCGAGCCCGTTCCGCGAGTCGGGCGGCGCGCTCGCGTCGCAGAAGAGCAGGCTCGATATTGCAAACGGGGAGATAAACCCTGGCATTCCGTCATCTTCACCTGCAATCCCATCCTCGCCATACGTGGACGAAGAGAATGCGGACGGTTCCTATCCCATAGGGAATCCGGTGCGGAATGAGATTTTGAGCCTCGCGCGTCAGCAGCAATTCTTCACTGGTTGGGGGGATACCCAGCCGGTCTGGGATCCGGAGTTCCCATACCATACACCGTCAAATAAAATCCCAGCTTTGGGATTTGTCTGGTCGGCGCAGATCGCTTGTCGTATTGTACTGAAGAAGGACGAAGAGGTTTCTCTTGCTGATATAGCGGCGTTGAGCCAGGAAGTAACCACCACGTCCAGCTCGGGCGATCGGATACCTGTCACGCAGAAAGAAAAAACAGCTACAGGGTCCCATGAAGCAGATACGGAGACACCCAAGAAGGCACAGACGGAAGAAAGCCAGCTTTCACTCTCTCAGAGGGCTGATAGAATCACTAGACGACGAATGAAGCTGGCATTTGCCCCGTGGGCAGCCGGTGCGGTGCAAAGAAGCGAAACAGGCGCTGAAGAGACGAAGAAAGCGATCATGACGGATGAAGTCTCATTTGAGATATGGAAGGGCGGCATCAGGAGCATCGAGGGACGGTGAAAGGATCGATTGGTCCTTGCAGCGATTGTGACTATAATGAATAGGATACCACTCACGTTACTTGAATATTCAGAGAATGTACTGTACTGTACATCTGTTTAACTTGGCTGTGGTAAGAATTTCTTCACATATATATCCAAACCAATATCTCATCCAAAGAAGCAAACAGCAGTATAATACAAATCACCCACATACCTACTATTCGAATGTCATAACAAAAAGGGCTTACAGCTCAGCGTGGTTCCAAAACGCTCAGCGTGGTTCCAAACCAACTCTCACTTACCTACTTAACTACAATAATATATACCAAAATCCCCTGATTACCCTAAATACCCTAATTCCCTAATCCCTAATTATTTTGTGGTATATGATCAGTTATGGAAGTGGTGTAAAAACCGCGCCAAGAGTTTGGAACCACGACGAGCTGGCACCCCCTCAAAAAAGATCCTCAGAAAGCTATGCCTCCTGCGAGATTCTTTCTCCGATTCTCTCGTATAGGTATGCAACAATCATGTCTATATTCCCGCGCATTATAAACAGAATTCAGAGTACTTTGCCAATATTGTCTAGAGAGGCCAGGCTGTTGCCCTTCACGAGTCGACATTATTCCTATCAACACCCTCGGTCTCATATGGCTAATATTGTCGGAGATCCACATGATTTCTTCAGCTACACAAGCGGACGATGGATATGGGATGAAAGGCAGCAACTTCAAGAGAGGTATCGTGAATTTGATATACTTGAACTGCAGAAAATCGCTGTGGAATCAGCATCTTCTGGACCCTGTGTTAGAATGGAAAAGTTAGGGGAAGGGTCATACAACAAGTCTTTCAAGCTCACGATGGCAAACGGGAAGGCAGTTGTTGCTCGGATTCCAAATCCGAATGCTGGACCAGCTTTCTTGACGACAGCGTCAGAGGTGGCCACAATGGACTTTGTGAGTAGCTTCTGCCATCAATCATTCTAATTGACCTTTTTTCGATTTGCATATTAGTGATCTGACATAACCTTTAGTTAAGAAACATGCTCCACCTTCCAGTCCCCGAAATTCTTGCATGGAATTCTGCAGTTGACTCTACGAATCGTGTAGGCGCTGAGTACATTATCATGGAGCATGCTCCGGGTAAAAACCTCGCCGACGTTTGGACAGACATGGACCTTGAACATAAGGTTCAGACAATGGAGGATATAGTGGCCATCCAGCACAAATTGTTGTCGTTGAAATTACCCAAGTATGTATATTTATGACTAAGGAACGAAATTTAATATAACGTCTAACTTGAGCAGATATGGGTGCCTTTTCTATAGGAAAGACGCACCTCCTGGGTCTTGCCCTGCAATAGTCGAAGGAGATAAATTGTTGCATGAACACAAGAACAGCATTGCTGAGAAATTCTCTATTGGGCCAGTGGTGGACACGGCGTTCTGGAGTAAGGGGCGAGGCGACATGGATATTGATCGTGGACCATGTACGCTTGTTTCATCATTTCCTTTTCGCTGGTTTAAACTGATAATTATACAGGGACTTCCGCGGTAGACTACGTACAGGCTTTGGCCCTTCGAGAGGTAGCTTGGATTCAGAAACATGCAACTCCGCGTTCTCCCAACGATCCGTTATTCGTTTCCCACAGCCAGAACAACCCTGCTGAACACGTTTCACTTCTCCAGAGATATCTATCTGTTGCTCCTCATCTAGTTCCACGGGGGGAAAATATTTTGGGGTCGTTCTTATGGCACTCGGACCTTCGCACTCCTAATGTTTTTGTCGATGATACTGGCCATATCACTAGCATCATAGATTGGCAGAGCACATGGGCTGGTCCTTTGTTTCTAGAAGGCCGCCATCCGCACTTACTCGACTATAACGGTGACTTGATACTCGAACTACCTGAAAATTTCAAGCAGCTGGATGAAAATATGCAAACTGCTGTTAAGGACAAAGTCACCAAGTCGATCTTATTATATCTCTACGAGAAATATACGGCGGAAAGGAACCCACTCTTAAGCAGAGTGTTCCGATATCCAGATGGCAAGACATTGACAGACCCCATCCGCTTTGTCGGGAATACATGGGAAGGAGATATCTTACCGCTACGAGAGTCTCTAATAAGAGTACAGAAGTAAGTGATGTTTCTACATATCTGACTGATTATGCTTACTAAAAAATATTTGAAGGAAGTGGGATTTATTAGGCCATACAGCTAGGTGCCCCGTCAACTTCTCTCCTGAAGAGATTCGCAAACATCATGAGGATGGCGAAGGCTGGAATGAAGTACAGGACTTCTGGGACGCCGTATCGGGAATCATGGGAAGGGATGGCTGGACCTCACATGCAACATACGATCAAGCTATTTCCATCTATTCTCAGATCCAGGCTAAAGCAGCCTCTCACTCAAACGACAATGTGTAGCAGGGACACCAGACTGGCAACTGGTGTGAAGAGACCTATGGCGGCGGGCATAGATCTGCATCTGTCTTGTGTAAGTTGTCTTGTGACAAATGCTTATCTGAGTCAGCAAGCATATTCTTTGACGGGCAACATGACCAACCACATTGCTTCTGAGAAAACCTGCATATCTCCCCAAACAACTCAAGAACGGTTTCATGAGGTCATATGCTTTTGTAACGACTCGCAAGCCGATTATTCCCTCCTACTATCGCTTCGCTTTAAAAGGCGGGGTTAATCTATATGGCGGTGGTATCGACTGATTCCCCATGAGAGAAAAGGACCTATGATGCTGACCTCTCATGTACATCGCAGGATACATTGAGTACTACCATATCACCTGCCTTGAGCATACACACCTCGCCTTACGACCTTGGTCGCATTCCACCTGCTAGGGACTTCGGAAATGTTGTCGATCACCCATAAAGCTAGGAGACAGCAAGTGCACCAACGGACAGGTCTGTACGACACATATCTAAAGATGCATGGACCAGAAGCCGATCGGCCGAACTATTCGACCCGGTCAATCCGCCAAGATAGCGTGACTGATCAGGGGCTCTGAACATCTGGCAGCCTAGATGACCACATTTCCCGGTTAGCATCTTGATGAGTGCATTTGCGGTCGAAGAAAGCATTAGTTCAAGCATACCTTTCGACCATTGAGATCTAATTTTGCTAGCTTGACTACCTCTTCATCGCTCAGGTCTGACGGACCCCGGACCGTACGAGCCGGATCAAGTGAGCTTCTCCAGATCCCCATCCGCTGATCCTGCTTCAAACCTGGATACTCGATGGTGATGTGAATACCACTCAGAATCGCAGGGTCGAAGTTTGAAGCTCGATTGGTGGTGAGGAACATCACCCCTTCAAACCATTCCAACATTCGAAGGAAGACGGCGACGATACCATTCATGAAATGGTTCTTCTCGGTCCGAGTTTTGAGAAACACTTCTGCTTCGTCAAGTAAGAGGAGAGCATTCTAGTGTTTCGTGGTTGCGAAGATTCTCTGCAATCGTTCTTCAAGTATACCGGTATTAGTGCCCCGTATCGAAGTTTGCACTGTCCGGAAATATGACCTTTCAGCTGCCCTCGCTGGTCTTCGCCTTCCTCAGCGCCTGCTGGTGCTGCTCCTGCCTGCTGCCATCCTTCCGTGGCTTCGGCATAATGCCTCAATATACCTGCGGCCATCATATGCCTTAGATATTAGGCCGGAACAAACGAAAGCATACAACCTGTAAAGGACAGGAACCCCATCTATAGCAGATATAGCGACCAAGTATGTACCTCGTATTGTGATATCTACTACATACATTTCCTGTTTCGACGCAACTTTGCTCCCCTTAACTCGGCTTCTCGCTCTTACAGTATCTGTATCTGTAGATTACCGTGCACGATAAACATTGTCATGTTCACGTTGAGCACGCTCCAAATCCTCCTCTATACTACTGTGTCCTGAAAGATAACACTTCAGTGCGACGGCTGTAACCTCAAAAGTAGCACGAACAGTCGGCCAGGCCACAACTTCTTCCTCATCATTCCTCTCTGCGCACACAAGCAGGACAGTGTCGTCTTTCGTTGACCTCTCATCCATAATGGCAAAGTATTCAGTTATGATTTCAGACTCTGTATCCTCGACAAGCTTCAAGAGCAGTTGGTGGCATTCTTGAGGCGTTTTCCCGATAAATGGGGAATCTGGGCTGCTTCCATCCTCGACTGGTGCTTCTGATGCCTCATCATAATAGTCGTCAATGCTGTCCACAAATACAAGGTTCCATTCATCCTCATCCATGTCATTTTTCTCAATAAAACGATCCATGACCTGCAGACTTTGAGCTAAGCTAAGCCTAGGGAGGGGAAAGAGGGAGGAAAGACACGACTGACCTCTTTGCTCAGAGGAGCAGCGCAGACTAGATACAGGAAAAAAGGCACTGTGGATACGTCCCATCTTTCAGCGTATCGGTGCGATAGGGATAAGAATAGTCAGGTAACAAGACAGAATGATTCTAGTAGACTCTCAAGATAATCGTGAGAAGTGTTACCTACCAATGGTTGGTTTCAACAGAGAAAACGGAAGTCAAAACAAGCAATAAAGGATAGGGTATTAAAGTAGTACGACTTGGAAGTCTCGCAGTCTGACATAATATTGCTTATGGGTGTCGGCTGGACCCGCAGGGAGGTACAGTTCTGAAATAGGCTTGAAATAGGATAAGTTAGGTTGCAGGTCTATCATAAGGGGAAATTTAGAACCGCCCCCATCTCGAGCTCTATGTACTGACAGAGCACAAGGCTGATCAGACGTCCCAGGAGACGCATAATTATGGTATTGAGTGCTTTAACTTAGGTGGGCACTCACATTTTGTCACACCCCGATCACACTCTTATTGTCAAGAAAACAATAATAGATCATGTCCTTGAAGTTCTGCTTGCAGTTAATCTTTAGAAGTAAATCAGCAACGCACTCGAATTCTTTGTTCAAGTCTAAATACGGAGTCCTCGTTTTCACACGTGCCTAAGCTCTACTACTAGTTCCCACTATGATGAAATCCCTCTACGAATGTCTCGGTGATTTACTCTCTAACAAGACTAAATCATGATATTGTATTGTCCATGTTGCCATGAGTACTTATGATATATCAAGGCACCCCACCCTTAGAAAAGAAGGATAATACAGTGACGACCATGCCATTTGTTGCTCGGAAGAAGAGGTATGGTATAGTATATATGGAACTGTTCGTATCGATATTCGTATTTGTATTTGGTCCTGCTTTAGAAAATTGCAGTTGCGTTGGCGTGGGAGCTGACGCCGCCTGTTTATTTGTTAGTTAGCGTATACATCATAGTAGAGAAGCAAAGCAAAGCAAAGATATGCTATGCTATGCTATGCCTCGGTAAATAGGATGTTTTATACACACCAGGAGTATTCGCCGGAGCACTCGTAACGAAGAACGACCAGCGTTTCAACTCTCGAGCCTTCTTCGTCAACCGTTCCAGATCCCACATCTCACCCAGCGGCATTCCCCATAGCGAGAGGATGTATTCATGTAGGTAGTATGGTTGCGCGGTGGGCCAGACCTCGAAGGAAGGTGCATCGCCCACCACGCCTGCGAAGTAGCAATCATGGAGCCAGTCGATTATGGCTTCTTCCTGCTTGAGACCGGCCCATTCGAGTTCCGGGCTATGGGGGTCCTGCTCCGCGGCTTTGCTGGCATCCGTATCGTCGCTTTCGAGATGCATTGGGCGCAAAGCACCCGCGGTCCGTTCCTCGGGAGTTAGTTTGTGGTATTGTTCCACGAATCCCGAGCGGATGAATAGGATATCGCCGACTTTGATGTCGCCGCCTTGGGCCTCGGGCCGGATGTCGATCCCCTGGGCCTGGCCGCATTTCTGGAGATCCGCGAACGAGATGCCGTGAGATTTGTACGGGTCGTAGTTGTGGCTTTGGAGTAGCCCCAGTAATCGAGGAGGATGCCGCGGCCGGCAATGCCGTGCTCGGCCCAGTGGTGGATGCTGCATTTGTGGTTGGCGGTAGGGCCGACAATGTCGGTTCCTTTGGCCTAGATAGTTTTGTCCCGAGTTAGGATTTTCATTTCTTTTTCCTTTTTATTTTAAATATTGTGTGGGATATTTACCCCGTTGTAGAAAGTTTGCGTCGGCATGTGTGCGAACTATATACGAGTAAGCATTGACCCATGTCAGTGGCTTGCGGTCTTCGAGATAGTCTACCTCGGTAATTAATATAAACTTACATGTCTAAACCCGTCCCATTGGGTGCCGCTCTGTGTGTTGAGCTCGTACTGGTCGTCGTAGCAGACGTTGTCTACTAGGACCTTGATCTTATGCACGAACTTCTCGCGGCCGAATGCGGGCGTTTCGGGGGTGTTCAGTGGAAGACTGTTGAGATATCACACCCGTAAACATCCATATTTCGCAAGAAGTCTGGTCTGAGCGCAGTGATATCTGCGAGATTCTGCGGTGAATGAAAAGGAGAGAAAAAAAAAAAAAAAAAAAAAAACTCACTTCAACGGCACGACTTCTCCAGTTTTGATCTCAGCAGAAGCGGCTTTTACCCGTTTAGGAGTCAGGAGGTTCAATCTTCCAATCTATAGCAAAAGTACAATTCCAACTCATCAGCAACGATCTCATCGATCTGTTGACTGCGCCGCCGGAAAGCAAAGTCGGATACGTACCTGGTCGTCTTTGCCCCAAACCCAGGCAGCTCCCTCAGGAGCACCTGGGATCTTGGGCAGCTCTTTGCGCGTGGGAAATCTCGTGGCATCTGGATTCCATGGCAATTGTTCTGAAGACTGATTACCGCCTCTCAGGAAGCCGGTGGCTTGTCCCAGTCTTCGACTGATGGTAGCAGCCATTAGGCCTGGTATAATGCTGGTATATGAAGGGAGGGATTGTGATATAAAGGGAAGGTGTTCCAAGTTAACTTGAGCAGATAGAGAACAAGCGCATAGATGACATCTGAATTGTGTCGAAGGACGAAGGAGCTCCCCCGCACATTTTAAATAGATCCAGGCGGCTGACCTCTCCCCGCATTCTGCACGCTGCAGGCTCGAGACCCGAGTGTGGGGTGGTCGATCAGACCATTGTCTCTAAGTACGTATACCAGGATGCCGGAATCCAGGCCCGCGGGGGATATCCGGGAGTCGCTGGGAACAAACGTAGCATATCGAAGCCGAGGTAATCAGGAGTGACCAGTAGCAGAATTACAAACGAACCCAAAGAATTGGATTGTTCTGATCTTCGAAGATTCGAGGTGCTGACCTTCCTGGATAGAGCATATCTCAGTAGCTAGGTACTTAGTAGCTTTCTAACCCATCCCGTTCAGATAAGAACTGCAACTGCTAACTGATATCGATGATCGCGAGCTCGCAATTCTTCATAACAAGAGTCATTCAGATAACCGACCTATGCAGAGCAATTGATGGGCAAGAGAGACTTCTTTGACGTCGTGATGCTCCACGTCACCTACTCAAGATGATAGGTCTTCCATTTCGGTCCACGATCTGCTTGATGGGGAGTAACAACCCCGCAAGTGATAACTAGAGCAGCACTTAGCATGGATCACTTACCGAGGTGACAGCTGTGGCGATCCCGATCTGTAAAGTACCGAATCGTCTCAGGGCCGCAGTGAGCGAGATTCAGGCAGTTTCCGTGTTTTAGCTTCTCTTGTCGTCTCCAGGCGGGTCGAAGTTGCAACAAGCTTTGCTGTGTTCTCTGTGCTGGAAGCCTGGGCCAGATCGGAAATTTGCACTCTGATTGGAATGAATGGGAATAGTCCAGATCGAGTAGCGATGCGTCAGGCATAGCAGAGTATTTTGAATAGACATGATCTACACTAGGATGATAAGTTGCGGATCCGCACTGGTGGTTTAGAATGATTACGCGGGTAGGTTAATGATCGTTATAGTAACTCAGCAGAAGTTGGAAAGAAAAAGGGCAAATAGACCCCGCAAAAGGGCTATTTTCTTTTCTTATCGCTTTTATGTTTTGACTGATTATGTTACAGGTCATGCTCCTGCCCGGTTGCCCATCGCGAGCAACCGTTGCAGTTGTGCCATATAGGCACTTGAAAACAAAGGTGACAACTCCAGGCCGTTGGGGAATAGTGGCTGAAGAGAAAAGTTGCACATAAGCACAATCATTCGACCCAAAGTCAGGGCCATGTAAAGCAGAGACAGTACAAACAGAGCAATGCAGTCCCAGGCTTGCAAGCATCCATATATGCCACCGTGTCCATTCCTTGTCCAACGACGCCGGCAAAGACATGAGAAGAAGACGCTCAAAAGACAGAGATGACGCAACCAGCAATCACAACAAACCCAGACCACCAGTCAAGCAAAACGCCATTGTACCACATAGTATGTGGATATTTCGTGTAATACAGCATGCTAATTATCCGTGACCATATCTGCCCCAAAACATAAAGTAGGAGACGAACCTTCCTTGCCGCTCCCAAAGATCGCGAATCATATCTGAAGTCCAGCTGCCCGCAGGCCAGCACGTTTCGATGGAACTTCACATTATCACATAACAAACAACGCGGCTCAGCAACACATCATCGAACTTAAACGGTACTAGAGGTGTATCTAGCTTTGTGTAGGAACGCCGGTGGCTTGAGAAGCACCACGACCGCCCCTGATACCGCCGCGTCCACGAGCGTTGTTATAGCCCCGGTTGTAGCCACCTCGGCCTCTTTGGCCTCCGTAGCCTCTTCCTCGACCGCGGTTTCTGTATCCACCACGGTAGCCATCGACACTTCCCTGGCCGAAAGTCTCGATGTTCCTCTTCTCTTCCTCGCCACGCCATTCCCGGCCTCTGCCGGTGCCTTCCTCGCGGTCACGGCTTTCGCTAGAGATATTGTCGAAGAAAGACGACTTCTTGTTATAAGCAGCCTGGGCGAGAGTAGCAGCGCCATCTGCCCCCGTCTGCGCCTCAGCAGTACCGTTGACATGGTCTTCAGGCTCAGCCACCGGAGAGCCGGAAGCAATAGCCTCCTTGAGGAGATCCTGTTTGTTGAACTTGGCATTCGCAGACTCGAAATCATAGTCGGTAGTTGGGACCTCAACCTTCTTGGTCTGCCCCTGGAACTGTCCGCGGTGAGCACCACGTCCGCCTCTGGCATTCTGGTATCCACCGCGCTGGCCACGGTTGCTACCGTCAACCTTGACCTCACTCATCTTCTTAGTGAGGTTGTCAACAGCAGCGTTGGTCTGCTGGGGCTTATTCTGCGCGTTTGGCTGAGGCAGTTTAGCCATGGCAGCAGCCACAGCAGCAGTCGCAGCGCGAGTGGCTTCAGTGATGGCAGCCTGTGCCGAGCTCTGAGATGCAGCATTACCAGCAGGGATGTTAGGCACTGCCGGGATGACTGGCTTCACGGAAGGATTCGCAAGAGGAATAGCCGGGACAACCCGACCACTCTTAGGACCATTAGGTGGCACTTTAGATGGAGTGGCGGGGCCAGCTGCAGCAGAAGGGGCAGGTCCAGAGGTGGGCTTCGCAGAAGCCTGGACGGCCTCAGCCACAGAGGGCTTCGACTCTACTGGCGGTGGAGGGGCAGCGCCCTGGCCAGGAGCAGGTGTCACAGGCTTGCTTGAGGCCTTGTCACCACCTGGGAGTTCAGAAGTGGGTTGAGGAATGGAAGGGGCAGAACCGGGTGTTCCAGGAGCACGGGGGCCAACAGGTCGCTGACCCGGAGCTCCAAGCGGCATTTGGGGTGGGAACTGGCCTGGTGGCTGAGGGAAACCCTGCCCGGGAGGGGGATACCATCCTGGTGGTGCACCGTAAGGCATACCCGGGAAACCCGGACCAGGAGGGTAACCAGGGGGGCCAAAGCGCTGACCATAAGGAGGATAGAAACCTTGAAATTGCGGTTGCTGAGGATAGCCAGGAGGAGGCTGGCGAGGGCCTGGAGACTGTTGGGGCTGCTGAGGCCGGGGCAGAGCCTGAGGAGGCCCTGGACGGGACATGCTCTTCAATAAAGGTCAGCATAGGTCGCAACATATGGAAACAGATAGTCATAGGTTATGTGGATGGAGGTCATCAGAAGGAAGGCAACGGAAATATCAACAAGGATTTGCGCATTCAGAACAGGTCTGTGTTTACATCCGAAATGATTCATCATATGACCAGGGGATATCCCATTAAAAGGAAATTGTGAGGCTGGGAGGGACGAGACAGAGACTTACCCCTAGAATGGCAGGGTCATTTGGCACCTGAGGAGGCTCAGGCTGGTTGTTCTCCTTGTTGTCCTCTGCTACACTGATGTCTTTTACATCGCTGCCTCGGAAGACAATGTATTCATAAACACTTGTGGACGCAGGGATCTCCTCTGCGGGGTTTCCACGTCGCCCTTCCGTGCCATGAGAGATGACATTCTCGAGGGCAATCGTGGAAGCTTCGGGGTTAATCTCATGTAATGTGCCCACATAACTGGAGGAATCGTCAGTAAAAGGTGCTATTGCGAATGGAAGTCCAATAGGTAAGCATACCGGATGTCACTCTTGGAGATGAGGTTGAACCGTTGACTGCCTGCTGTCAGCTCGAGCCCAGCCGCACAATGCCAGATTCACACGCAGCGAATCCGAGAGACTGACCCTATTAGATGGTTCATGTCCATGGTGGCGGATTGCGCGAAGTCGCGCGGGTGAAGGGGGTGAGAGAAAGGAAAAGAAAGAAAGTGGGAATCGTGAAGGTGTAGTAAGGATGGAGAGTTCAAATTCGGGCTGAGCTGTTTGTGGTCAAAATGAACCGGTGCTACGGCAGGCGGCAGAGACCAGCCAAGCAGTCTGGAGACACGGTTCCGGAATGGTTGATTGATAGATAGTTGGACCTTTAGCTACACGGACTAGTGCGGCCTAAGCGCGTATACACTGGTCATTAATAATTATTTACCAAGGGAAACGTTTCCTTGCGTATACCAAGTGGGCTTTCATCTCTGTGTCAACCAACATCGACCTTTGTGCTGCTTCAGGATGTCTCGCTCCGCGCATCGAGACGATTTTTTCCAGACTACGTCCGTTAGCGACCGCCTCTCGCTTATTTTATAGAGCTAGTACTAATTCATCGTCCAGCGCCTCTCTCGAGGAAAGTGATAGGAAGGCCGCGAAATCTCGCAACACCGCAGGGAATCCCATAAGACTGCAGAGTAAGATTCTTGCTGTGGCCGCGGATCCTACGAGGAATGGCTTCGTGTATGTGGCAGAAAGCGCCGGTGCAGTGAGGAGGGTTGCATTAGAAGTAGGAGCGCGGTGTCCCTGAAGAGAAGAGGATACAGCTGATCTGACCACATGCATAGACTGGTGAAAGTGACGCTGTGTTCAGAGGGCCAACTGCGCCTGTTACCAGTCTTTGTTTCAGCCCTGACGGGAAACTACTCTTTGCGGGGTCCTGGGACAAAACAGTCTGGAGCTGGGATATTGCTACCAGACAGCCAAGGACCCGATATCAGGGCCACGCTGACTTTGTGAAGTCTGTTACTGCTGCCAGAGTCGGAGGCCAGGATGTCCTCATATCCGGCGGATCTGACGCAGAGATTATCGTTTTCGACATCGCCAGCGGCTCTCGGCTTCACGTCCTCAAGGGACATGCTCGGGGAATCCAGGATCTAGCCATTGACCCAGTTTCTCTCGAGTCTGATGGCTCCAAGCTGGTCCTCTTTAGCGCTGGAAGTAATCGGGAGATTCGCCGTTTCAATATCCCTCCTCATACAGGTGATTTGAGCGACGCGGACGCTCTACTTGCGCATGAAACCAGCGTTTACAAGCTGTTTTTTGACGCTGACGGCGATCTATGGACAGCGTCTGCCGACAAGACTGCGAAATGTCTCATCCGGGATAGTGACTGGAAACCGGATCTGGTTCTTCAGCATCCAGACTTTGTCAGGGATGTTGTGGTTCACGACCCATGGGTCATCACAGCATGCAGAGACGAAGAAGTTCGAGTGTGGAATAAAGCGGTATGTTCTATTCTATCCCTCTTCTTGAATGATCACTACCCCTAACACGCTTAGACGGGCGAGCTCTATCATACATTCTCCGGTCACTTTGAGGAGGTGACTGGGCTGCTTCTTGTCGGAACTACTGTAGTCAGTGTCAGCATTGATGCTACGATCCGACAATGGTCCCTGAAACCGGATGATCTCCAACGGGCAAAGGAAGAGTCCCAGAAAAAGAAGCCGGAGGGTGAGGAAGCGCCTCAGCAGGAATCCATGCTCACAGAGGAGGAGGAACGCGAGCTTGCAGAACTGATGGCGGATGACGATTGAGTTGGTTCAGTGGATATTGTTCTTGATGATAGATGATGTGATGAGCGTACGGGAACTCCCCGGTAAATAAGTAAGTATCCCGCGTACCTACCGAGTACATAGCAAGATCGTATACCCGCGGACGGGAGTGTCTTTGATAAGTCTGCAACCTGCATCCAGATCGCAGTAAATAAATAGTAATCCATACTATAATATACTAGAATACTAGAACACTAGAATATTAACACTAGAATACTACGATACTACGATACTGCCGACGCTGACCCACGTGACGAGTGCCTGATGTCAGTTACTAACAATGACGCCCGCATGCCGTCGATCGACCGGCCGACTCGGGCTCCACATCCGATATTCCATACACATACTAGTAACTACTAACATACTCCCTTGCCAGTCCGATAACGAGCCGGTCTCGAGGCTGATCTCTTGGTTTCTCAGACGTCGTTTGTGCAGCTTCAAAGAGACAATCTGAGCGCGCTGCGAATTTCATCCGTGATTGACTGAGAAGCTGCCTCATCATCCGCGGCTGCCTTCCAGATCCGTCGCATTACTAACTAACGGGTGCTTCATCTGCCCCACGCCCCTTCCCAGAATTGCGGTGCTCGTCGCATCGCGACCATTGTGTGATAGCTGCTTGTTATCTGTCCCAGACACTGTAGACGATCGCGTGGAACCGGCGACTGACAAGGAGAGAAGAATATGGCAACTCTATCCAGCATGCAGATCGACAACCCAGGCGGTGGAACGGGACAAGGGCCCAACCTGGTCAATCGGCTCCATGAAAGCAGGTCACCATACGTGAGTAGCCCGGTTGGCCGCTGTGTGTAACCGCCACACTCACTCTCGTACAGGTCAGAGGCCATATGCACAATCCAGTTGCCTGGCAGCTTTGGGACTCGCAGTCAATTGATTTGGCGAGGAGATACAACAGGCTGATCTTTCTGAGCATCGGCTATTCGGCATGTCACTGTCCGTTGTCAAATTCCCCGAATGAGATGCTCAAGCAGAAAACTAACAGACTGCCAGGGTGTCACGTTATGGAAAAGGAATCGTTCATGTCTCCGGAGGTAGCCGCGATCTTGAACGAGTCGTTCATTCCTATTAAGGTGGACCGAGAGGAGAGACCAGATGTCGACGACGTGTACATGAACTACGTGCAGGCCACCACAGGTTCTGGAGGCTGGCCACTGAACGTCTTCCTGACACCGGACCTCGAACCCGTGTTTGGAGGCACGTACTGGCCTGGACCCAACTCAAGCTCGCTTCCTCCTCGTGGGAGTGTAGATGGCCCCATCGGCTTCGTAGATATCCTCGAAAAGCTTCGAGACGTTTGGCAGACACAACAACAAAGGTGTCTGGAGAGTGCCAAGGAAATCACGAGGCAGCTGAAGGAATTCGCGGAGGAAGGGACACATTCTCAGCATGAGCCTCGCGAGGCTGACGAGGATCTGGAGATAGAGCTCTTGGAAGAAGCCTACCAGCACTTTGCCTCCAGATACGACTCTGCCAATGGTGGATTCTCGAGAGCACCAAAATTTCCCACTCCAGCAAATCTAAGCTTCCTTCTACGACTTGGTTTATATCCTAGTGCGGTCTCTGATATTGTGGGTGAGACGGAATGCGCCCAGGCGACGGCGATGGCGGTTAATACGCTCATTAAGATGGCTCGGGGAGGAATCCGCGATCATATCGGACATGGCTTTGCGCGGTACAGTGTCACGGCTGACTGGGGCCTTCCCCATTTCGAGAAGATGCTCTATGATCAAGCACAGCTCTTGGATGTGTACGTGGATGCATTTCGGGTGACGGCTGAACCGGAGTTACTGGGTGCCATCTATGATCTCGTCACTTATCTGACGAGCCCTCCTCTCCAATCTGCAGCCGGCGGTTTCTACTCATCCGAGGACGCTGACAGTTTCCCAACCCCCAACGACACAGAGAAACGGGAGGGTGCCTTTTACGTGTGGACGTTGAAGGAGTTCAAGCAAGTTCTTGGGCAGCGAGACGCTGGCGTGTGTGCCCGTCACTGGGGCGTCCTTCCGGATGGCAACGTCGCTCCTGAGAATGACCCGCACGATGAGTTCATGAATCAAAACGTCCTTTCTGTCAAGGTGACCCCGAGCAAACTAGCCAAAGACTTCGGGTTGAGCGAAGAGGAGGTTGTCAAGATCATCAAGTCCGGGCGGCAAAAGCTCCGCGAATACCGGGATAAGACCCGTGTCCGTCCTGATCTAGACGACAAAATCATTGTCGCGTGGAACGGACTTGCGATTGGCGCACTCGCCAAGTGTAGTATACTACTGGACGAGTTTGACAACGCAAGGGCGGTCCAATGTAGAGATGCAGCAGTAAAAGCTGTTAATTTCATCAAGGGTAATCTCTTCGAGAAGAGGACAGGTCAACTGTGGCGCATTTACCGCGACGGTAGCAGGGGAGATACTCCAGGATTCGCAGATGATTATGCATACCTAACAGAAGGCCTTCTTCATTTGTATGAAGCTACCTTCGATGACAGCTACCTACAGTTTGCGCAGCAGTTGCAACGTGAGTCTACTTTCATATCGTCCTTCCTGATGGGTTGCTGACAAGTTTCTAGAATACCTCAACACACACTTCATCGCTGAGGGCCCTGATTCTTCGTCTGCTGGTTATTACACGACGCCGGCAAATATGACGCCGGGAGTTCCTGGGCCTATCCTCCGTCTTAAAGGAGGCACGGAAGCTGCGACGCCATCCGTGAATGGGGTCATCGCACGGAACCTTCTTCGCCTGTCAGCGCTGCTCGAGGAAGAGAGCTACCGCAAGCTTGCACGCGAGACGTGTAATGCATTTTCGGTTGAGATAATGCAGCATCCGTTCCTCTTTGTGGGACTCCTCGATGTCGTGGTCGGACTAGACCTCGGTGTCCGAACCGTTGCCGGTATCTTATCCACGGCAGATATCACCTCGTCCGCCATCCCACGTGGAGATGGAGTGGTCAGCAAATCCGACGAGCCGGTCTCCGCCCGAGACTTGTTGATCAAGAAAGCCCGAGACGAAGCAGGACCAGCGACGTCCACATCGACCGCTGCAGTGTCCCTCTTAGACATCCGGCCCGCCTTCGTGGAAGATATGGCTTCGAACACATCTATATGGCTGAAGGGGATGAATCCGCTCTTCAAGGACCTAAAGCCGGGCCAGCCGCCGAAGAACTTCTTGCTGGTTTGCGAAACCGGCAGCTGTCGGACGATCGATGTATGATGCTGAAGGGCGAAACCGGGCGCGAGGAAAAAAGAAAAGGAAAAAAAAAAGAAGGGAAGGTCGAAAAAAAGGATCTAGTTCAGTTCATTATGGCGAGGCGCTGCGATGGTGGCGCGATTGGAGCATTTTTGAGTGGTGTTTGGTGTGCATTGCATTGGATTGCGATTTATTTTGTCGCTATATCTGTTTGAGTAACATTTTTGTATTTACTATCTCAGCATCATAGATGGAGGTTTCTTTGACTACTTTAGAAGGTCTGTCTTGCGGAATATTTATGCATGCTCCACCAATGACATTTATCTTGACATTTATCTTTATGACTTACCTACATGCTGCTGTCTCTCTCAGTCCTCGTCGCTCCCCTCAACCGATCAAGGACAGGAATAGAATCAACTTCAACTCCCATCTTCATACCACATACAGTACATGTAACCAGACGACACGAAACACAACCCAGAGTAGAGAGCAGCAGCATCTCCAGCCCATTGAGAACCAAATGCCTGGAATGCCACAGCATAAGAAGCGATATGAGATCGATAACGGACCCCTCCCTCCAATCCGTCATCCTAGATACGCCACTGATAAGGAAGGGCTAGCAGACGAAAGAAAGGAGGTTGGGAAGCGGGGAAAAACCGATGTACCTATCTATCTATGGTAGGATATCTGGTATGTTACAGAATCGCTTGCTTGCTTTTGCTTCTACTCCGTGCACTACGCGACAGACGATCAATTTGCAAGGAGTGGAGATACATAGTTAGCGTTAGCATTACTTACGGTAGATCCCATACATAATCTTCCCGGCGGCGGGGGAGAGAGAAGGTAACGAGACGCGATAAAGGCGAACTTTTTCATACATTCCTTTCGACGTCATTGATGGGTCTTGTTTTTTTATATAGTACGTAGTATGTATGTAGTATGTAGTATGTAGTATGTACATAATCTACGTACTCTAAATGTGACTGAGAGCACGTGGAGTGTGCCACGGATTGGAATGAGGGGGAAATAAGATACATATGTATGTCTCTGAGAAAGCTAAGATTGTTGGAATTCTAGAGGAAGAATTGATGGATGGATGGATGATGGGTGGTTTTCTACAGTAGATAAGTTATGGATATGAGTCGAAGAATCGAGGAGGTCCTAGTCAAGCTCTGAAAATCAGGCCGCCTTGATCGAACGATGTACTGTAGATCTTGGATGATCGAGATCGATTGATCTGCACACTATACTATCTATTGCTGGATGTGCGGGTTGGACACGGACTGTGTGTTCGTAGCTAGTTAGTTAGTTATTTATTCTTACTACGTATTACTATTTCAGAGAACGCTGGTCAGAGCGAGTATCTAGAGTAGGTAAACAATAATATATCATACACCTTGCTTGATGGTGGTTTGTTTCTGCTCGTTGTTGAACCGCTTCCAAACGTTCTCTGGTTCGTGTTTCCATTCCTGAGAGGAATTGTCGAACTGGTCCCATAGCCCGGAACGGCTGGACCCGTTGGCTGCCGAAGGAGCAGAGCGGGAGGCGGCGAAAGAAAAAAGACTTGTAAACCGCACAATTGGATTTCTGATACTTTCTCCAACTTTGGGACAGCCAAGTGGACCGTGTTTCACGTTGTTTGTTTTTTTCATCGAACTTCGAACTGGATCAGATGCGGCTTTTTGGTGCCGTGGAGGTCGATTGGTTGTTTGCGAATCGAATCTGGACAGTCATACGATCTGAAACGACTAAGATATATTGAGTGCTATGAGATGGCGTAAATGTGGCATTCGATATACGCAAGTATGGTACCTAATGTCCTTGTCCTGCGGAGAATTTGGAGAGGGAGATAGCCAATTGTTTCTGCAGGATCTGGGATGAGGATCGCATCTTGATCCTTCTACCTAACTTGGTTGAGTAATGGTAGTTAATGGTAATAGTAATACTGTTTATTAGTATCGTTTTACGATGAGAGAAGGTAGATGAGAGAAATTGCTCGATCAGAACGGTCTGGAACAGTCTGTCTGGCCATCCGAGAAGCCGCGGAACAACAACTCCGACATGGTGGTGCGTGCCTTGGGAAATTGGGCATGGACCTGGCGCTTAAGTAAGTATTACAGTAGCTAGTTAGTTAGAGTCACATAATTAAACAGAGGCAAAGCTAGGATGGTAGAATTGTTTGGCTGAGAAACATGATTTCATGAAGCTGTTTGTTCCAACGCCAGGAACCGCAATAACAAACGACAAACATATCTCAGTAGTAGTACATCTGTACTGCGTCCATCACAATCTTTCGACCAAGATCTTCGAGAGCCAGCCCTGGTGGATGCACCGCTCGGGATATCCCTTCAAATCACGGAGATGAGGGGTCCAGCGCCAGCTAGCTTGACCTTCTCGCCAAATGACAGCGCCATCGTGCCTGGCACGGCTGCATCGACATCGCGCTAGGCCAGGGGTTGGAGTCGTTGAACGCTCTCACCAGCACAGATCGCCCGCGCCAAAACGTCCGCCACCCCATCATAGTGTCCACCAGCGAAATTGATTCTCCCTCCGTGGCTGCTGGCGACTGGCTGTCGCTGCAGGGCAAGGGGCAATGGTGAATCTGAGATCCAGCGGCTCCACAGTGCCCTGGGACGAGAGATCCAGCAGGTTGAAAATGCATTCGGGTGGCTGTCTCCCAGGCATCGCGCGTGTGTCCACTATCTACGCGGGTGGCATGTAGCTCTCGCTACACGCTCAACCTGTGGTCGCGCCGGGGAGCAGGATGGTGATAACCCCGCCGTACACGAGTATGTACGAGACTACGAGTAGACAAGCAGAATGTGAATGCTGGCAGTTCCCATCGGGAGGAGAAGTGAGTGATATTGCTTCGTGGAAGGGCGCATCCCGGCGCATATACAAAACGAAGCACCCCGGACGGAGGAGGATGTCTGGACTCTGGAGAGAATATCACCAACGGACGTCAGGTTCAACAGCAATTATACTAAACGTGAGCTTGTTCGGCACCAAAGCCGGTGTCATATTGGCCATTGCTCCTCGTCTGGTTTCACGGCAAATTACAGCGCGTTATATCGCATCCCTATATCGTAGCGGTCCCGCCATTTGGGCCCCGGCTCCCGTTCCTTTCCCCTTTCCCACTTGCCTGGCGCGACTTCATCTACAACCTCTCTTCGTCTCTGCGAGAAGACTTTCTTTCGTTGTCGGCTCTTCTTCCTCGCGGCCTCGCTTCTTGTACGCTTTTTCACTCTTTCAAAAGTGCTTCAGAAGCAGTCACTCCTTTTTGCTTTCGTCCATCAGCCTCTCCAACAAACAAGCAGTCGATCTGCGTCAGTCACGGTCTCCCAGTCCATCGGTTTCTGAGCAATATCGCAAAAGATTCGGAAAATCAATCCAGGACTCTGGTCTTTCCTTATACAGCTGTATCTGTCGCATTCGAACTACTTCCTGTGGAAGCCCTGCCAGTCGATCCCTGAACAACTCCGTCATTCCCTGATATAGTCAAAACATTTCTAAACCACCATCACAAAATGCGCGCCGCAGTTCTTATCGGCGCTCTCTGCGCCGTGGGCGCCATGGGCTCGCCGCTCCAGAAGCGTGTTTACGAGACTGATCTCAGCATCGTCACGGTCACCAGCACTGTCACTGGAGGAGAGCAGGCTGCCACTGCAGCTCCCGTTCCAGTGGAGCAGAAGCAAGCCGCTGAGCCTGCGCCTCAGGAGCAAGCTACGACTGTGACCTCCGCCTACGAGTACACCGTGACTGCTACGTCTTCTCAGACATCCGCAACTGAGGTTGACCCCGTTGCGACCTCTGCTCCTGCTCCTGCTCCGGAGCCTACCACGACAACTGCAGCCCCCCAGCCTGCGACGACTTCTTCTTCCTCCGAGGTCACCACCGCTCCGGCCCCTACTACTTCGTCCACCACCAGCGCGGCTCCTGTTACCACCTCTTCTGCTACCACCTCGTCTGCTGCCCCCAGCCAGTCCAGCACCAACGACGACTACCAGGCGATGATCCTGGAGAACCACAACATCCACCGTTCCAACCACTCCGCTTCCGCCCTTGCTTGGTCGACGGACCTTGAGTCGACTGCTCAGCAGCTGGCTGACGGCTGTGTGTACGAGCACAACACGTGAGTTGCCTGGGATGAAGATGTCAGCAAGGAGAATTGGACTAACTTGGCTATAGTCAGATCGGTGGTGGTGGCTACGGTCAGAACATCGGTTACGGTATTTCCGCGCAGAATATCGGCATGATGATCACCAACCTGATGTACAACGATGAGTTCGACTACTTCAACAACCTGTACGGCGAGGCGAACCCGGACATGACCAACTTTGAGAAGTGGGGCCACTTCTCTCAGATCGTGTGGAAGGGCACCAAGGAGGTTGGCTGCTACACCAAGGTCTGCAACACTCTGCAGAACGTCGATTCGGATGGCCCCATTCCTTTCACTGTTTGCAACTACAGCCCTGCAGGTGAGTCTTGACACCTTTTCTGTTGAGATAGCTGAGCACCACGGATACTAACCTTGGATCCTAGGAAACTATGCGGGCGAGTACTCCGACAACATTGCCAGGCCTCTGGGTCACGCTTTCTACGCTGTCGCATAGACTGCTCAGGCCTGAGGCCGTCATTGCATGATGGCCCGCTCCTCTCGTTCTTGCGCTCGAGTTCGGTATACATAGCCTTCAGTTGTTCACATTCTTGGCACGTATTTATTCTCGGGGGTACCAGGATGTTCCGGTCTGTGTCTGGACACCCTGCATGAATCAGTATTTGGACCGCAGGCGAGCCTCGTCAACTGCCAATAACATATCTCGTCTCCGGCGTATGCGCAAGCTGGCCGCCAGATCTCCAGTGGATATACATCTTTTGTCTTCACATCTCATAGCTTTTTTGTGTGTGGCATGCGTCTTGAAACGTCTTTCGCGACAGGGTCGCCCGGCCGCCGTTCTAGGTGCCTAGCCAAGACTTGGCGGAGGCTCCCCCATGGGGATTCATCCACCAGTGACCAGCCCAAGCCTATCCAGGGACGGCCGGGGGATTGTCCGGGTTGATGTGTGACGTATGGTTCTGTTCATCTTCGCTTCGTCTGTCTATATTGTCTAGCTAAAATGTCCGAGCTCGTTGCTCGTTCTTTGTCACGAATATGCAGTGCTTTCCCTCGCGACTGAATAATACGTAACATGAGCCATTCTCGTCACGTAGCGTGTGGTCGAATCGAATAATAATAATAATGGGTCCTCCGGTGTAGCATCTAACTGCGTTCGTACAGCTCATCGTCATGTCCGCTGCAGGCAAACGCAGTCAGATCGGCCGAGCGGTCGAGATTCGGCAAAGACTCGTTCCCCAGTCGGCGCTTCGGCGATTCTAGAAAGAAGTTTGTCCCCCACGTGACTCCCCACCGGGGCCCCAGGATCTCCCTTCGCCCGAGACGTCATCGTGGCAGCTAGTTCGTCCATAATCATAACGAACGGTTCGGCGTCAGGGACCATCAGCGACCAGTGCTATCGCCAAGTTCGCTCTGGGTTCAAGGTTGTCATCATCGAAACCCGCGTACCCGGAATTGCCACTGACCCTTCTCCGCATCCGCTTGCCCCCGGGTTGAAGAACAGGCCTTTCTGAAAGCGAACATTCAAACGAAGCCGTCCACGAAGCCCTCCAACGAACGCTTCGACAGCTGATTTGATCTTACATTTCCCTCCTCTGATCCGGGGTTAAGACGCGAGAGGCGTTGAGGCAGTCATTATAAGAATCAATCATACGAAGACTGCATTCAAAATTTCCTGGGACAGTACAATATTCGACCGTCCTGCTGCTTTTCCATTTTTTTCGCTCCCTTGCCCTGTATAATAATAGTCCTCCTTTGCGTCACAAACGCCAGCGGGTCTGTTGTAAAGGGGAAAAAAAAAGAGGGTACGTTATCTCCCAGCATCATTCCCACATATCTCCATTATTCCATTTTGTCTGCCCTGCCCTTTGCGACTCCTCCCTGGCGCCCAGGTGTACAGGAACGGCACAGTGCATTGCAGTCAATAATACCCAGCTAGTGTGTCTTGTGCATGACACTTTCTCCTGTCATCCGTTGGACCGTTCGTCCTGGTTTGCACGACCTAAAATATGCCCGTCCACAAACGGCCCTTTGGGTGCTGACGAAGGAAGTATAGGGAAAAGCCCTCCGTTGCTCCGATACCATCCTTTGGCTCCGTAGCCTCGGACGCCTAGAGTATATCCAGTCAAGAACCGAGATCCACTCCACTTGAAGCAACATTCTTGAAGTTTGGTCGAATTGTAAGTTTTCCTTTTCCCCTCCAGCGCACTATTTTCCCCTTCAAACCGACGCGCACGTCTTTCCATCCTTATGGTCCAGATGGGGCTTCCGTGAGGATCACCACCCCCCCCAGACGGCGGGGTAGGAAGACTCGGAGATGATCATCCGTTTCCCGCTGGAGATATATATCTCTGGGCTTTCGCTCTTACCGTTGCTGGACTTTTACTCAAGAATCCCCTGATTCTCCTCCCTTGCCCATTACAATGTCTCTTTGAGCATCGACTTATTTCCCCCCTTTGCAATCTCCATGCCGTCATACTGCCTGCAGGATTGCCATTACTTCTACCGCAGCGCCCTGCGTCTTCTATCAATTCCTACTTTTCTCGCTTGTCTCTACGCTTGATATCCGTTAGACCGAAGCACGTGCTAAGACATGGCTTACTCTTCAATGGCAGTCCGCTGTTTTACTTCTCCGAAACCTCTGGGTGAGACGTTAGGCCGGAACACTCAATCAACACTCGAGTACAGGATGGCCGTCTCCAACACGTCAGCGGCCATCAAGGTCGATACTTTCACCGAGAATGAGAAGAATCAGACACCAAACGGCACCGAGACGCCGCAGAAAAAAGGCATCACCTTCGCCAATCAGGATTCGCTTCCCAAGCTTCCCATCCCGGACCTTGAGAGCACCTGCAAGAAGTATCTTTCTGTTCTAGAGCCCCTGCAGAGCCCAAAGGAACATGAAGAAACAAAGGCTGCTGTGCAAGACTTCCTCAAGACAGACGGCCCCGAGCTGCAGGAGAAGCTCAAGAAATACGCTTCCTCCAAGACGAGTTATATCGAGCAGTTCTGGTATGATTCTTACCTGAATTACGACAACCCCGTCGTCCTGAACCTCAACCCCTTCTTCCTTCTCGAGGATGACCCGACTCCGGCAAGGAACAACCAGGTCACCCGAGCTGCATCCCTCGTCGTCTCGGCGTTGTCTTTCGTTCGAGCCGTCCGAAGGGAGGAACTCGCCCCTGACACGGTCCGAGGCACCCCTCTCTGCATGTACCAGTACTCTCGTCTGTTCGGAACGGCGCGAGTACCTACTCAGGATGGGTGTGTCATTGGACAAGATTCCGCTGCCAAACACATTGTCGTCCTCTGCCGCGGCCAGTTCTACTGGTTCGATGTGCTCGATGACAACAACGACTTGATCATGAGCGAGAAGGATGTTGCTGTGAACCTGCAGGTGATCATCAACGATGCCCAGCAGACGCCCATTCAAGACGCCGCAAAGGGTGCTCTTGGTGTTTTGAGTACGGAGAACCGGAAGGTGTGGTCGGGATTGCGAGAGATCCTTACCAAGGATGCTGGATCCAACAACGCAGAATGCCTCAACATTGTCGACAGTGCCCTCTTTGTTCTCTGCCTTGATTACACGGAACCATCGAACATGGCAGACCTTTGCGCGAACATGCTATGTGGAACCAGTGAGGTTGTCAAGGGCGTTCAGATCGGTACCTGCACCAACCGATGGTACGACAAGCTTCAGATCATTGTCTGCAAGAATGGAAGCGCCGGCATCAACTTTGAACACACCGGCGTGGATGGCCATACGGTCCTGCGTTTTGCAAGTGATGTCTACACCGACACCATCCTCCGCTTCGCAAAGACTATCAACGGAAACGCACCGAGTCTGTGGGCGACCACCAGTCCCGACCCAGCCAAGCGTGACCCGCGCAGCTTTGGCAATGTCAGCACCACTCCTCGCAAGCTGGAGTGGGACATGGGTCCGGAATTGAGCATTGCTTTGCGATTCGCCGAGTCGCATCTGGCTGATCTCCTCCAGCAGCACGAGTTCCAGGTCCTCGATTTCGAGGGATATGGAAAGAACTTCATCACGTCGATGGGATTCTCCCCTGACGCTTTCGTCCAGATGGCGTTCCAGGCCGCCTACTACGGTCTGTACGGTCGCGTGGAGAACACATATGAGCCGGCAATGACCAAGGTCTTCCTCCATGGCCGAACGGAGGCTATCCGTACGGTTACGCCGGAGGCGCTGCAGTTCGTCAAGACTTTCTGGGGCGAAAACCCGCCCGAACAGAAGGTGGATGCGCTGAAGAAGGCCACGGAGAAGCACACTGCTCTGACGAAGGAATGCTCGAAGGGGCAGGGTCAGGACCGACACCTGTACGCGCTCTACAGCGTCTGGCAGCGTTCGTTCGACGAGGCCCACTCTGTCAGCAACAGTGCGGAACTCAGCTCGAACGGCTCCTTCAGCCCTCTAGAGAACGGCTCGATTGGCGATTCTCCGAAACGGTCGTCGACTCCGTCGGAGGACGGTGCGTCGTCCAACGGCTATGGCAGCGTCCGTGGCATGAGGAGCGTGCCGATGACCCCCGCGATTTTCAACGATGCTGGCTGGGATAAGATCAACAACACCATTATTTCGACCTCCAACTGCGGCAACCCGTGTCTGCGCCACTTCGGCTTCGGCCCGACCTCGGGCGATGGGTTCGGAATCGGATACATCATCAAGGACGACTCGATCTCCATCTGCGCCTCGTCTAAGCACCGCCAGACGGCCCGACTGATGCACACGCTTGAGTCGTACCTGCTGGAGATCCGGAAGCTGCTGCGCATGACGAACCGGAAGACGATGAGCCCGCGGACCAGCCGTGCGCGCGAGATGGAATCGATGACGGAGCGCTACCACGGCGATTACCGACGCGGCCGGATCATCCGGGGCGGCGAGGTGTACGTCCGGGGTACGGATACGCCGACGACTGACAGCGGGGAGATGGATGAGGATGGCATGGGTGGATGTAAGTTTATTCACGATCATGACGATGATAAAAGATAAGAATAGTTTACTGACTGGACCCACAGATGGCTTCTTCGATGCGGGAATGCTGCTGCACGCCCTCAAGGGGCTCCATGCCGAGCGGGAGCGGGGCGGCGAGAAGCCCCAGCGACGACGGCCAGTCGGCAAGAAGCTGTCGCTAACGGATTATTGATTTACTTGATATATACATACGTATATATACGCCTTTTTCTCTGATCATTATCGGTGATGGATACCACGTGCATCTCTCGCATGGCGCTTGCATGGATCCCGTGTATGATGATTACATGCTGTGTTTGTTGTTTTGGTTTCTAGCGAGTTATACTTCCTCATCTTTTTTCATACTGCTCGGTTAGGATACCTGGAGCTCTTTTGATGACGTCTTTTGGTCTCTATGTATATGCGACGGTCATATGTATCTGCGAATCTATGCAGCGTCTGGTAACAATTGATTTCTTTCTACTATTCTCTCTTGTATTCCGGACATGGATGGGCGGGCGCCTAGGCCAAGCGATCCCGTAGTCTGGTAGATCTTCGGATGGTTCCGTATCGGAGACATGCTGGCTCCCCCGCTTGGACATCAAGGGCAATCTTGGCTTCATGCCTTATCCATGGGGTGGATCGCCCGGTGGAGAGGTCAAGAATCATTTAGCCGCCATGTCGAGTTCGAGTTCGATATTATCGCTGTACGGTGACACCTGTCGTAACATGATGATACCTAGGTGACTAGGAGGCGGTATACGATAATTACTTATTGCTATAGATAGTTCCTCTCTACCTTGGCATCCCTCTCTGAGGTCTCATTCCTCAAACTCCGTCGCAGACCAGGACAACATATATAGTCTATGGTCAAGTAAGTAAGTAAGTAATGATAACTAGCAGATTTCAGCCTAAAAGATGCGGGCAGGGGTAAAGGGAAGGGAGGGGCTTGCAGATTTTCTTTTCTTTTCTTTTTTTTGTATTTTTCCTTGCCTTCCCCCCCATTCTGAGAGATAGATCGGTGGGACATGTAAAGTAAGACAAATCAGAAGGCTGGAGCTGCATGTTGATCGCTGTGGTTTTTATGCATGTCAGTCTGTCAGTCTGTTTGGCAGCTTTGGCTGCATAGTCTACGGAATACTCTAGGAGTGCTCCAGTTGGTTACTTGTGGTGGTTGGTTGGTTGGTTGGCAGTCTAGCCTGGGCGACGATCAGTAAGCAATGATGAGAATAAGTTGGGAGATTCTTTTTCGTTCTATGGTATTGTTTTGCCTTTTGTTTTTTTGCCTGAGGGAGCTTTAGACTTGAGATTAATAAGTAGTTTAATTAAACAGTAAACTTGAATAACTGAAGTGTGGATTTATAGTAAGATGAGAAAGAAAGAGGAAGTTTTATTTCAGGTGATATGATGAGTAACTCTTTGCAAGTAAGTTAGTTAACATAGATAATAATTCATCATAATATAAGCAAACTAAACCATCAGTCGACCGGGCCAGCGCTCATCCGCTCTCACGTGACCAGACCTCAGCGGCAGATCCCGTGATTTACGATCCGTCACAGTCACGGCTTCTCCATTGATTCTGTCCTCCTTTCTCTGTGTCTGCGATCTCTCTATCTCTATCTCTCTCCCTCTCCCTCTCCCTTTCTCTCTCTCTCTTTCATCCTTCATCCAGAGGGAGTCAATTCCCCTCTGTCTATCTCGTGTTATTGTTCCTCTATCGCAACCCGATCCCTCTCCGTCCACACGGTAAGTCTCTTTGCGTTGCCTCCCGCCCTGATCCGTCGGCCATTGGAGCTGGAGCTGGCCCCCTTTCCCGACATCGGATGGTGCAAGGTCGAGCTGTGATCGGCACACGCCATTGCCTTGCCTGAAGCAGTTTAGCGTGCCGACGCTGGCCGTCTCAGACGATCTCAGTCTGAGTCTGTTTCTGTTTCTTCTGTTTCTCGCGCGTCGCTCGATGCACCCACCGCCCCAGCTCATTCCAATTATTCCACTAAGCGGCTGCTAGTCAGCCTCTTCTCGCCCTCTGTTCGCCAGCCTTCTGGTTGCCAGAGCCCAGATCAGGCTGTCAGGCTCGCAACCCGACCTGAGCAGAAGCTGCTGCTGAACTTCTTTCTCCACTCGCATCTATCTCATCAGCAGCCGGCTCGTCGGTGGTCCACTTGGAACACCGCAACTGCATTGGTCTTTGCCGCGCCCGCCGTTGCTCTGCTACTGCTTGCTGCTCCTGCAACCACCCCTCTTGGAAAGCACCTCGATTTCCCTCGACACCGGCGAAGAGGGGCTGGCGCTCATCGCCGATAACAGAATTCCCCTGTCCTCAGTCACTGATCTCATTGCTATCTATCTAGAAATCCTACCACCACTACAACAACAACAACTCTCCGAAACCACTACCGGCGGTCACCCCGGAGCACATCGTCCACCACTCCCGCTACCCTTCCCGGACCGCTGGGAATTTTATCATCTGCCGTCGATCAGCGGTCGCAATCTCGACGACGGCAACCACCTTCGCCAGCTTTCGTCTTCACCACCCGTTCTCCCTCCCATGATGGCGGCGGTCGATCAACCCATCGTGGAGTCTCTGCCTCACGGTCCTGCAGATGCGACCACTTCTTCCTCGTTCACGCCGCCCAACAGTGCCAACGGCAAGAAGGATGCCCCCGAAGGCGTCCCGTCCGAGCTGTCCGATCTCGAACTCGATCAAAATGCATCCGCTGCGCCGGCGCTGGAAACTGCGGAACCAGATGACGTTGAGATTGAACCGGATCACTATTGGGGAGATGGAAAGATCCCGGTGTTCAAGCCGGTGAGTGTTTGGTCCTTTTTTTCTATCCGACCTGTGGGACGATAAGCGCCAGCGGGAACCAGGCGCTTATCGGGAATGGTAGTTGTGATAGAAGGTGAATCAAGGCTGACGGAGGGGGGACTGGATTCTAGACAATGGAACAATTCCGTGATTTCCAATGGTACATCCAAAAGGTTGACAAATACGGCATGCAATCCGGGATCGTGAAGGTCATCCCTCCGAAGGAATGGTAAGGGTTCTTATGAACGCTCTTTTGCAGAATTGGGTCCTTTGTTACAATCGAATTGCATTATTGAGTATATAACCGGACGAACATGGCTGACTGGCGCTTTAGGTCTGACTCCCTGCCCCCTCTGGACGATGCCGTCAAATCGATCCGCGTCAAGAATCCAATCATGCAAGAGTTCCACGGTTCGCATGGGACCTACACCCAGGCCAATATCGAGAAGCAGCGGTCTTACAATCTGCCTCAGTGGAAGGCACTCTGCGAAGAAAGCAGCCACCAGCCTCCAGCTCGACGAGGAGAAAGACGACGAAACCAAGAGCGGGCCACTCGCGCCCCTCCCGCCCCGAAATCGTCGACGCCTCGTCCCGATACTCAGAAACGAAGACCAGGGCCCGGACGTCCTCCCAAAAGATCGAATCAGGTCAAGATCAAGGAGGAGCCCCCGGCGGACGATGGCCTCGAGAAGTCGAAATTGGAAGGGCCGCCGACGCCCGTTTCGCCGCAATCGAACCCTATGGAGGCCAAGACCGAAGATCTGAGCGAGGGCGAGTCTTTGCCGGCTCCCAAGCCCAAGGGTCGACAGCCCAAGTCCGTGTCTGCGAGGAGGAAGCACAACCGCGGCGAGGCGACGGACCACGTGGACGAGGAGACGTTCAAAGATTTCGACTACCGGATTCACGATAATGACGAGTATACCCCCGAGAGATGCGAGGAACTGGAGACTGCATACTGGAAGTCTCTGATGTTTAATAACCCCATGTACGGTGCTGACATGCCTGGCTCCCTGTTTGACGAGTCGACCAACTCGTGGAACGTCGCCAAGCTGCCCAATTTGCTCGACGTACTGGGCCAGAAGGTGCCCGGTGTCAACACGGCCTATCTGTACCTGGGAATGTGGAAAGCCACCTTTGCATGGCATCTCGAAGATGTCGACCTCTACAGCATCAACTACATCCACTTTGGTGCCCCCAAACAGTGGTACAGCATCTCGCAGGAGGATGCGCCTCGATTTGAACAGGCCATGAAGAGTACGTGTCGACTTAGCGAGAAAGAGATGACAGTAGTAGCATGACTGACAAATGTGGGCTTCATTAGGTATTTGGCCCAGTGATGCCAAGAACTGTGATCAATTCCTCCGCCATAAAACATACTTGATCTCTCCCAGCGTGTTGAAATCTCAGTTTGGCATCACAGTCAACAAGTTGGTGCACTATGAAGGCGAATTTGTCATCACATACCCTTACGGTTATCATTCAGGATACAATCTGGGCTACAATTGCGCCGAATCGGTCAACTTTGCGACGGAGAAGTGGCTGGACTACGGTCGTGTCGCCAAAAAATGCAATTGCGAGGCGGATAGCGTCTGGATCGACGTGGGCGAAATCGAGCGCAAGCTGCGGGGCGAGTCCACGCCGGAATACTACGATGAGTATGACAGCGACATGGACCTCGAGGGCGCGTCCGATCTCTTGACGCCACCCCGCAGTGTGCCCGAGAAGTCGGTCGGTCGTGGTCGCAAGCGCAAGCTTGACGGTGACGAGCCTAGAAGCAAGCGCTCTAGAGTCTCGGTGGAGATCACGAGGAAGATTCCCTGCGTACTGTGCCCGAATAATCTGGACTACGAAGACCTGCTCCCGACTGAAAACGGCAAGTCGCATGCCCACCGACGATGCGCTCTGTACATCGAAGAGACCAGCATCCTTCGGGATGAGAGCGGCCGCGAGGTCGTCTGTGACATTGACAAGATCCCCAAGGCCCGCATGGGACTCAAGTGCCTTTTCTGCCGTGAAGTGCGCGGAGCCTGCTTCCAGTGCAACTTTGGCAAGTGCACGAGGGCGTATCATGCGACTTGCGCTCTGCTGGCCGGCGTGCAGGTTGAGTTTGGCTCTGTCGCTGTCATTGCGGACGATGGCTGCCAGTACTCGATACCCAGCGTTGATCTCAAGTGCAAATTCCACCGACCCAAGCGAAGCGAGCCTCTAGACAAGGACCGACGTCTGAATGAAATCGCGCAGCGACTAGTCATGGGAGACCTGGTGCAATTCCAGGTCGACAAGGAGATCAATGGGGCGGTCGTGCTCCAGAACCGGCCGGCAGAGCGGACGTTGATGTTGAAGGTTCTTCCTCGAGGGTGAGTCAGAAAAAGCGTTTAATTTTGTTATTTTTTGTTTTTTTCCGGCGGCCGGCCACCCTCCCCAATTAGATTCTGTTCTACTGGTGCAGACAAGACACTAACGGATCTGCCCCTAGCGATGTGATCGAACTGCCGTACCGGTGGATGCTCGTCGTCCGCAAGACCAGCTTCGCGCCGCTTCCCCCCGGCACAAAGCCACTGCCAGCGCATCTGGCGCGAAAGCCTGAGAGCCGCAAGGACATCTCGTCAACGCTCCCCGTGGCGGGCGCGCCGTTCAGCGACGCCAAGTACCCATACCAGTGGGCCGAGTTCGACTCCGTTTCACTGCCGGCCGAAGCCCCACCGGTCAAGGTCGACGTTGAGAAACCGGAGCAGATCTGGTATTATTTAGGACAGTCGTCGACCGAGTGTAGGGCACAGTATACACACAACCCTAGCATCGCGGTGCACAACCCAAGGTCGAATTTCCTGGACAGCGTCAAGGCTCTTAGCGCCCGCTTCCCCTCATACCCCCACCACCTTTATGCCCCTCCAACCCCGATGCTGCAACGCCCTTCCCTTCCTCTGCAGCGAGCGACCCCGAGTGCTGCCATGACTTCTGCCTATCGACCGCTGCCGACTGCTGCTACACGTCCCTTACCTCAATTCCCCAAGACGCAGCCCGACCTGCCCACCAATACCTTTGCCAATGTCCGCGAGTTGATCGCCCGTCGGCGTCTCGCCCAGATCGCCGACCATGCCAACGTGTTCGCCGGCTATACCATCGTCAGCCCCGAGCTGGTCGTGGAAACCCTGCTGGGCCCCATGGGCTCAGTGCCGCCGCAGAATGGCCTGGAGAAGCTCGAATTGGCCATGGCTCAGCAGAGGGTGCAGCCGCGCGCGTCGGACGGGACCTTGCTGCCGCTGCAGCCGCTCAACATGCGCTCCGAGGAGGTCAATCGCCTGCTGCAGATGCTCCGCTTCTCCATTGTCAGCCACCGCGAGCGACTGGACGTTATCCAGAAGAGAGAAAACGAGCAGATCAAGCAGGAACCCGTCGACAGCAACGGCAATGGCATCGGGGGGAGGTTGGTGGGCAAATACGCCTATCTCGACCAGCAGCGGGCTCAGGCACCAACGGTCTACCAATCACCGTACAACATGCCGTCCGGCTTCTCGGACTCCGCTAAGAAGGAGTTGGAACTACCGCCGGAGGAGTACCGCCTGCCGAAGGAGTCTCTCGCCAACGACTTCTTTGCCAGTCTGTCCCAGGAAGATCAGGAGAAGATCATGAGGACATGTGGCAGCTTCGTCCAACGGGCTATCGACCGGTCCCACCCCCACAGTCGGCAGAGCTCGACGTCCAATTTCCGATTGGCCTCGGTCCTCGCACGCCAGGTGGACAATCCCACCATTGATATCACCACGGTCGACGATATGCCCATGTCGGGGCTCGATCTGCCATTGCATGCGGACTCTCCAGGGTCCAGTTTCAGCAGGAGTCATCTGCGATTCCAGTCCCCAGCCGACTTCGGTCACGGAGACCATGACTCATCCATCATACCGCGACATCTGAACGACCACCATGACCTCTTTGGCGACCAGCAAGCCAACACGCGGTTCTGGCAGCAAGGTCCGTGGGCGCCCGGTGACGGTAACACGCCAAATGAAGAGAACCGTCCGTTCTTTGGACCACATGAGCGCCTCAAACATGACTACGCCTCCTCCGATATGTCCTTCGGACGCGGGCCTGGCTCGCTGCACTCAGTAGACATGGCCGGGTTCGGTCTTGACGGCACTGACGACCTGTACGCTGAGCTGAGCCCATGATTTGGGCAGTCTCTTTTCTGTTTCAAGCGCTCCCCCCCCCTTACCTTCGCTGTTCTCCACTGCATTATATGTGATGACATGTTCGGACTGATGATGACTGCATGACTGGGCGTTCTTCTGGGCTTCTTTATTACCACCCGATTATGACGGAGTTGATGATAGCTGGTTTCTATTACGACACAGCTTTGGACTTTTCTTTTCCCCTCTAAATTCTTGTTGGATCTCACGATTTGTACCATGACCGACGGCTAGACGTCGATGAAAAAGTGGCAAGTGGCACAGAGAAAAAGCAATAACCATCAGGGGCCAAGATATGGTACGGGTGTTTCGCATGGGCAGGTTTGAACTACTTTCGCCTCTTCTTCCTGCCACGAGGATCCTGCAATTGGGCTGTTTATTGGTCTCTTGCAATTTACAATTTACTTCCTCGTTCAACGCTTTATCCCGCCATCATCACCTTTTCGCTCCCTCCTCCTCTCCACCTCCACGCAACAAATGTCTTCTCCCCCACCGCTCCATTGATTTACCACCACCACGTCACGTACACTAGATATAAAAACAAAAAGGAACTTGACATGATTTTCACTGCCCTTGATACCCCCCGATTCCCCCGTTGCCCGTGTGTTTTTACTTGCTATTCCCCTTGACATTATCCAAAGACAAAACTACATAGGAAACAGTCCTTATGGAGTCTGCAGCCAGACTCGAAAGCACAGGCGGAAAGCGCCTTCTTAGCACTGATGATGTGCTGAGCACTTCTCCAGATCGGAGAGAGCAGAACCATGTACATGGAGATGATGATCGATCTTGATTTCGATTGACGATCGGCGATCTCCATATTATCGTTTGGATGCATTTGTTGGAAAGACAATTCCGAAATACTAGACGATCGTTTAACAATGTACTTGTGATGTTGTATACCTGTTTATAAGAAAAAATAGTGATATAAAAATAAGAAAATAGACCAACACTGCATTACTTTTCCATCTTACCATGACAGAAGTAGAAACAGAAGAGACAAGAAGTCAAAATAATCTTTTTCCACTTGCTTAAACTTTTCGAGTCCCGGCAGACAATCCTCGATTGACTTTCGCGGGTGCCATGGTTCCCGTCAGGGGAGTGAAGTGTGGCGAGCTAAAGGAAGGGTAGTGAAACCCCCCCCGAGAGGAGTCTTGAATGACGCAGAGGGAGTAAAGTATCCAAGCTGTGAGGTACGTACGTAGTTTGAGGGGTTGGACTGGGATCCTTCATAGTTGGTCGGTATATGTATGTACATAGTACGTAGTTTACCTCGTACTATTTCTGACCTGCAGGATGCATACCGCAAAGCAGGCCGGGGAAAGAGGGGGTCCTCTCCTTGAGTTACATGCATGAACTCATGCATATATATATGCATTGTATCGGCGTACAAAGCAAACGCCAGGTGATCTCTCAATTATCTATTTGTGGCAGATTCTTTGAATCCTGATTATGCTCGATGATTACTAGATTACTAGGATCTAGATTCTTTATATGCTAGAGATAAAAATATGGGATGAAATCCCTCCTAGACCTAGAGTTAAGCAAGCAATTCAGATTCTGCTTCCGTGCTGTTTTAGGATTCGACACATTGCATGTATGTAATAATATAAAGAAAAGGGAGAATGCATACTATAGTGGGGGAAAGAGGTTTCTTTTTTTTGTGGTAGGCTGGCATGTGCTCAGTAATCAATCACAGCATAATAGCTATGGACTGACTAGTAAGTAATATAAATAAGTAAGTAGGTAATTAGGTGAAGTTCTAAGAAGAGGGAATTTGGGTTTATTTATTTACTCCATAGCCGGTGGCTTCATTATCCTTTAGCGAATTTGATTCGTTTCTTCTTTTTTTTTTTTTTTTTTGGTAAGATATGTCTAGTTGTGTATATACACACCCGTCTCGAGTCCGTCCGAATAATCATTTATTGATTACACTAGGCAGATAGCTACCTACAGTATATACTTTCAACTATACTCGTATATACATCTACAACCCACATCTTTATCTAAATTACAACCCCAGCCTTCTTCATCTGGCAGGCCCTCCTTCACTTTCTTCTCATAATCGACTCCCTCGTCTCTCCGATCCCAGCGAGGAGGAAATCATCCGTCACGAGCTCTGCCGCCGACGGCCTCTCTTCAGGCTTCCATCGGAGGATTTTTCGGAGAAAAGAGATGAAATGGTGCTGGTCGTTCGGGTAGAGTTTATGTTCGCGACTTTGAAGCGTTTCGTTCGGAATGGGGATGGTTCCTTTCCATGTTCCTGTGGGAAATCAGTAGGTGTGTTTTTCTTTCTATCTCTCGTTTTTTTTTTTTCTTTCTTTCTTGTTTCTGGGTTTAATTTGTATGTATCTGGTGTGGTGGGTGTGGACACACCTCGATCGTCAAAATAGCGCCAACTTCTCTCGCTTCTTCGAAGAAAGTCAGCAGGGGGAGGACCGAGTAAGGAGACCATTTCTGCGAGGTGTTCTTCGTTGCTGAGGAGGCCGTTTCGACGCGCAAAGAACATCTGGCTGCCTTCGAAGAGGTCCCATGCCTACGTAAGTAGTCGGGTCGCCCCGAAGTATTAGCACTGATTGTAACTTTTGGTTGACCGATTTCGTAACTTGTAGAACGGACTTGGAGGAGAAGTAGCAAAAAAAGAAATGTAATAGTACAGATATAGTTGATCCAAGAAGAGAGAGTAACTCACAGTCATCCCAACAGCCCAAATATCAACCTTTTCATTCCATTCCATGTCCAATATCACTTCTGGCGCTCGGTATATTCCCGGCATGATATCCCCGTGTTGTTTCTCGCAGCCGATTCGGGCCTGGTCTAAATCGCATAGGACAGGGAATCCCGCGCTCGGAGGCATTTGGCGAGAACAGTAGATATGACGATCTGGGAGGATTTTTCGCGCTGTGGGATGTTTCATTTCGTCTTCTTCCATCCGTGAGAGGATTGAAGGGTCTTCGATTCCTTGGAGGAGGTTGTTTGAGGAAACGTCTTCAGCATCGTGATGCGTTAGCTTTTCTCATTCCCATCCCGAGCGAACCCAGATCCAATAACTGATCTTTGATAGAATAATATGAAGAAAGCGACGACGAACCTGTATGAACCACCCCCGCTTCATGAAGATAATCCAACGCCATAAGCAGCAAAGTTATGCCCCTCTGAAGCAGATCCTTCGGTAAGCTATTCCTGTCCCCATCCGGCAGAGAGCTGATCAGATCCGTATAACTCTGTCCGAGCGTCTCATAGAGCAGACAATTATGCGTCCCGTGGGGCCCGTGAATGTCGAAGCAATCGATAACGATCCGTACGCGCTTCCTGCCTGGATGGTTGAGGGCGCGGTTCTGGTTCTTGAGGTAGTTCGAGATGGTGATTTCGTGGTTTTTGCGTCCGGCTCGCACGCAGACTTTGAGAGTTAGGTATTGGTTGTTCCTGGAAGTAATTGCTTGTCAGTGTGAGAGTTCTATACTATGTATATACATCATATCCGGTAAATAAATAGTTATGTGTTTAGGAAGAAAAGCTAGAACAGGGCCAAAAAGAAACGAACCATAAATCCCGACATAGCCACACAGTGGACGACGTGCCGTATCCCAATTTACACACGACTTGATATCGCGATCTAAACACCTCACCGATATAGACAGGATAATAGTCCTCGGGTCTGTACGACGGTAGCCGTTCTTCTTCGATGCGTTTCGTGGGTGGTATCGTTTTGAATCCAGACTGGGGAAATTCGCGCCGTGTCGAAGGGATGGAGATTGACGAGACAGTTCTTGCTGATGGGGGATTATGAATATGAGTATGGTTGTTAAAAATGGGCATCGCCCGACGACAGATCGGAGAGGAAGAAGAGATGCGAAACGTCAATTGGTGGTTTCGTAGACGAGTCCGAAAGACAGACATGGCGGGATTGCACGTGTTTAGTTATCGATTGGATCGAATTTTCAGATTTTGGATTTCAATTCCACATCGGCGTCGTGATTATCGTAGTAGCGATAGCTATAAGTCATTTCGATGTCCGTTTAGTTCTGGGTAGGAGGAGGTTGGGAGTAAGATGATGCCAGGAACGCAGGAGATGAGATCCGTGACGTATAAAAAATCCGATGAGAGGATGGGATTCTATAGTTGAACTGCGTCTATTCTTATGAAGTAAGTCTGTCTAAGTAAGTTATGTGATCTCACTGCCCAGAAGAAGGTATTTGTTGGGGGAGAAGAACAGAATATCGATTTATGATGTCATTCGAATCGGTCCTATTCCTAACAGAAACATCTAGTTAGCAGAGGGACATTATCCACGTCCTAATGCACCCTGCAGAATGCATTATATGAGATGTGATATACATGCAAGAAAGAGAGTCTAAGTTACTCTCATGCTAGTCTACTTACATTATCGAGGCTAGTCTGGTGTTCGTTCGCATAACCATCGACCGGACGGACATCGAGATAAGTTAATTTCGCATGATTATTCTGGAACAGTATGCCGTATAGCTTAAAATCGTATTTATCCGATTCCTAAGTATGTTATTAGCATGATTTTGTCGAATCTTGACTGAGACCTGAACAACTTGAATTGCTTGCTTGCTTGCTTCTATTCAAAAATAGAGACTGAACTGTAGAACACAGCCATCTATTAGAATGAGAATTGGAAGAAACTAAAAAAAAAGGTTACAGTTCTACGAACAACATTTCAAGCTATGCCGCATTGCTTTACCCATATCACCTCTACCAGATCACCATCACAATAAGACTTTAGTCAGACGTACTCTCAAGGAACTACCTGCAAGGACTGAGGGTCTACAAACAGTCCACGCAGCACACGGCTCTGGTTAGCCACGAAGATGCCCCCGTTGAGTGTACTCTCACCAACACTGAGAGCTCCGTACTACTTTTCAGTTGGACGAGGTGCAGCTGTGGTCAGCGAATCATAGCTGCAATAACGCCCTCGGTTGATGGGGGTCGTTGTTTGACCTAGCCTTCATTGGTGCAGCCAGTATTTCCTAAGATTCTTCCAAATCATTCGGAAGCTTGCGCCCCTAGATTCCCCGACCATGATTGTATCTGTCATGTCGAGTGATGAGAGCTCAGGTTATGCCTTGGTTAGAATCACCTCAGTATCGAACGCTTCTCTTAATCGGTCCTTGTACCTTTCCTCTTCCTCGATCTTCCCCTCGATCACCCGTGCTGCGCCAACACACCAATACGGGGCCACAACTTGATCAAAGATCCGCATTTCACAGTGTTGTGGACAAAACAGTCGTTGGATATGATCGGTAAAGACTCGACACAATCCTTTTGGACTATTGATCGCATGAAAGTACCAAAAGCTTCCAGTCTCCCAACACTTCCTTATTATTGGTGCTTGATATAACGTCTCTCCAACCATGCCCCTCTCTTCTTGTTCGAAAGCTTCGAGGTATTCCAAAACGAGTTGATGAAATGTCTCAAGATGTTCACCCGGTTCCATCTGATCTATAGCCCGCCCGGAAAGCCAGTATGGAGGGCATTGTAGTTGAATCGGCAGGGAACATGCCCATTCCAGGTCGATTAGAGAGGTAATATGCCAGTCCTCATCAACAAAGATATTGCTCTGATGAAGATCTGTAAGAGTGAAAACAAAAGGCCCGTAACGAGAATTGCGCGGAGAAAAGTGATGAAGGACTGCACGCATTACAGTTAAAGCGGCCATTTGCTGCTCACCGTCATCTTGGTCGTGGATAGAATTCGGCTGAAAGGAAATACGATTATCGTGACAACTCAAAAGATCAAGAAGGTAAGGTTCCACAGCTGAATAGGTAGAGCTTCTGCTGATGGCCGTCGGAACGCCTTCATTCTCCAAGGACTGAAGTTGTAGAGTCAGAGGACGGTTAGTCAAGGTTATGAAGCCTTGGTCGTTTAAAGTCAGAGACCCGATAGCTGCCAAAGGAGACTTGTTCAGCGACAGAATGATCCGAGCCAAGCCATGGAAAAGGTTCGAACGGCGAGTCTTGTCGTGGCGGAAGGTCTCCCAGGTTTCGGAGAGCATTTTCCCCTGTGAAACCCTACTTATGATGATATAGCCAGTATTCAGGGTGTCTTGAGGTCTTCTGCTGATGTACCGGCATGGAGTTGGAAATCGAAGCCACGAAAGTAGGGTCCTTCTTGCATGCCACATTAATCGAGCGAAGAGAGGTGTTTGTTCTGGAGCCGTGAACTAACAGGAGAGATGGTTAGCAGACATCGGAATAGAAATGGATACAGGCTCTATTGAACATACAGTCTGGCCATTAGGAAACCCAAATCCAAATAGATATGGTATCGAAACGTCTGGACAATTTTCTTGAATCCATAGGTACGAAGCAACCTCGCAACGAAGCTTCTCGTCCACGTTGCCTGGAAACTTTGCTTCTCCAACTTTGTACGGCAGTGGAATCCTAACGAGCACCGAACGCACCTTGGAGGGTGGGCTGATGTAGACAGGTATGCAAACGTTGTAGCTGCCAGATAACCAGGTCTGGACATCACTAACTCGGCACTTCTTCGCACCGAGGTGGAATGAGACAATAGCTTCGATCTCAGCCTTACGGGCGGACAAGTAACTAAAGAATTCTTGTCTCTGTCGTGGATATCCGATTTGAGCAAGTATGTTGTCGTCGTCATTCAAGGCCTGGTCTAGCGTGATTCTCCCATTCAAAAGTGGTAGTGTGTTCGACATACCTAGGTACTGGGTCGATCTGCAATGGCTATCGGGAGACGGCGTTGGCTATTGAGAAAAGGATTTGTTTGGATGGAAGATTGCTTTCATGCTGGATTTTGGCCCCTGGGGTAGCAATTCCAGCGTCCGCTTCGGGGCCTACTGGTTTCCAGAGCCCCATGATGCGAAAAAATAAACAGAATCTCAAAATCCAAGAGTTGTAGGGCTGTACCGACCACGTTTATTCTGGAATACAGCGGAAAAGATACATTTACACATATTATTAGATGAATCCAAATCTCCAAGATACTTATCCGCGAGAGCCAATTGGTCACGTGCGTCATAGGTTGGCAGAATAACATGTCAGATATGCTGAGCACTCAACCTTAGCAGCAGCGTTATCAGTATTACTGTAACTAACTGCTGACATGCAGAATAACTAGTTGATAAAGATTTTCTTCTGGGCTACTTCCAAAATGCTTCTGCCGCCGCTATGCGCAGGACTTCAAACGCGGACACTGGCCGAGATAGGATAGGATTATAGTTGGTGCTAATTAGTGGATTGTCCAAAGCTAGTTAAGGTGATGGCATTGACAAGGGCAAATAAAATACCTACCTAATTAGCTTCTCCTTCCCAGAGTGAACGTATAATCTCTCCTGGTGACTACAGACCTCAGCCACAATATTCAAGGTGTAATTTCATATTTAAACCGCCTACTTGACGGGCTGCTGCTATACTTATCTTTTCCGGCCAGATATGAACGGCTTCAGGAACCGCACACGACCAAAGATAGATCGGCGCCGCGTGGACTTGACTTGGCCCGCCTCCGCTTTCTGGGACAGCGCGATCTAAAAAGCCCGTCAGGAGCTTATCTCTGCTCTGAACTGTGATTTCGGTGTGTCACTCATCCGGCGCGCGCTGACCCCTCAGCCTGTATAATACGAACCTCGGGTTTCCTCACTATGTCCTCCCCCATTGCTCATGTATATATATTCTTCTTTTTTGCCCTGGTGTAGCCAGCCTCAAAAAGGTCTTCAGAGACTCCGGACCAAGGCAATAGGAGCTGTCGCGTGGCGAAGCATTCTATACCACATCAGTGACGGCCTACCATGCAAGGATCCGCCGATGCCAGCGCCGATGCGGCGTTGGCGAGAATGGGATACAAGAGCGAGTTGCCTCGCAATTTGAGTATGCTCAGTATCCTGGGACTGTACGTGATGATTGCTCGATATCACGTTGATTCCGGCCGACATGACTGACCCGGTTGGCTCTCTACAGCTCGTTCGCGATTATGGCGGCCCCGTTCGGTCTCAGCACCACATTATACATCACCCTCACCGATGGACAAGCCGTGACTGTCATCTGGGGTTGGGTTCTAGTAACGCTGATCTCCATTGCCATTGCAGCGTCTCTGGCGGAGATCTGCGCCGTCTACCCCACAGCCGGAGGGGTCTACTATTGGAGTGCGATGCTCTCTACGAAGGAATGGGCGCCGCTGATGTCCTTTATCGATGGCTGGTTGACTCTCGTCGGAAACTGGACTGTCACCTTGAGTATCAACTTCTCTGGCGGCCAGCTCATCCTCAGCGCCATCTCGCTCTGGAACGAGGACTTCGTGCCCAACGAATGGCAGACGATTCTCATGTTTTGGGCGGTGATGCTGGTCTGCGCGCTGATTAACATATTCGGCTCCAAATATCTCGATCTGATCAACAAAGTGTGCATCTATTGGACTGCGGCCAGTGTCATCGTCATCTTGGTGACCCTGTTGACGATGGCCGACCACCGAAGAAGCGGAGCCTTTGTCTTTGGGCATTATGATGCTTCCAAGAGCGGCTGGTCAGTGCTAATCTCACCTGTCTCGTATGTTTCTTTTCTGATCTGACCTCTCTTCCAGGCCGAGCGGCTGGGCCTTCTTCGTCGGACTGCTGCAAGCTGCATACACGCTGACGGGATACGGTATGGTTGCTGCAATGTGCGAGGAGGTGCAGAACCCGCATCGGGAGGTGCCCAAGGCCATCGTGCTGTCCGTGGTGGCTGCTGGCATCACCGGTCTCTTCTACCTCATCCCGATCATGTTTGTTCTTCCTCCCGTCGACCTGCTTCTGAATGTGGCCAACGGCCAACCGATCGGTCTCTTATTCAAGACCGTCACTGGATCCGCTGGCGGCGGTTTCGGTCTTCTCTTCCTCATCCTGGGAATCCTCATGTTCGCGGGTGTTGGAGCGTTGACGGCCGCCAGTCGCTGCACCTATGCCTTTGCTCGAGATGGCGCCATCCCGGGATTCCGGCTCTGGCGAAAGGTCGACAAGCGTCTCGACGTTCCGCTCTGGGGCATCATCCTCTCCACCCTCGTAGACTGCTTGCTGGGTCTGATCTATTTCGGTTCTTCCGCTGCGTTCAACTCCTTCACAGGCGTCGCGACCATCTGCTTGTCTGCCTCGTATGGCGTCCCCATTCTGATCAATGTCATTCGCGGCCGACAGGCAGTGAAGGGATCATCGTTCTCGCTTGGCCGATTTGGATATGCGATTAACATCGCGACCATCTGCTGGATCGTCCTCGCCATCGTCCTTTTCTGCATGCCTGTATCACTGCCCGTCACTGCCTCTAGTATGAACTATGCCAGTGTTGTTTTTGCTGGTTTTGCATTCGTCAGCGCATTGTGGTACTTGGTCTATGCGAGGAAGAAGTTCACGGGTCCGCAGGTCGCCACCAACGACCAAGCGAGGGAAGAGGCTGGTGTCATGACCGGGCAGGCAGTCGTGGATGCGGAGAAGATGCCCTATTTGGAATCTGACGGGCCGAAAAAGCAGGATGGTGTCGCTGTATATGAGTAGGTCTCTTCCCAGGAGTATTGTTTGATATTCTTGTTATAGTTTTCATATAGAGACCATGTAAACGTTTGATGATGTTCATGTATGATATTATATAGCAACTTGAATGTAGAAACCACACCAGAAATAGCAGCTGCTCAGGCCCAATAATAACAACCATAGCTATGACATTAGCAGTTAATCTCTGTGGAGTCGACAAAGTCCCAGAGTTGAAACGATGAATCACAGGCGGTTTCTCCGCACGGCTACCCCCCTGCGTTCAAGCTCCGAACAACAACCGCGGTCCCGACATCGACCTCCACGAGCATCTCTCGCAGCACAACAATGCTTGTCACTTTATCCTGAACCCTACAGCTTCCCGACAAACTCCGTGCGGAGAGAATAACTTCGGAGTCACAGACCTTATACTCATCCATCGAACTCGCCCATTGTTCTCGCTCGCGTGTTCGCGAATCAACGGCCAAGGGAGCTATCCGGGGAAAGCTGCTCTTTCGCAATCAACCGCAATCGATTACCCCATTTCTGCCCTATCCTCGCGTTCAGGACATCTCTTCGCATCCGGTCGTTTACAGCCTTTTTTACTCGCCCAGCTCGGTCGAACCGTGCACTTTTCCCTAAAATCGCAACTCCTGCAACTCCGCTCCGTCGTTATCCGCTCGCTTCTATATGAGTATCGCTTCGGAGGGGTTGGGATTGACCGGAGTCTCATGAGGAACGGAATACATATCTGACCATGTCGGACTCTGTTGGTACGTACCATCCGGCCCCTGCTGAATGTGCGGGGAACGAGTTACATCCTTATCGACAACCCCGTCCCCGGTCCTTCTCCGCCGAGAGTCTGACAACGAGAATCTAACCGCTCTCTCTATCTATCTAGATCGAGTCTTTGTCCATGCCCTTAATACGGTTAAGAAGATCCCGCGGACAGGCTCCGCAAGGCCGCCGCCGGCGGATCGGCTGAAGCTATATGGATTGTACAAGCAGAGCATGGGTGCGTCGGTCCCTTCGTGATGTGTCAGCATCGGGGGGAATTATGCTGACGGTTGTTGACACAATTGCAGAGGGGGACGTTGAAGGAGTGATGGACCGCCCCGAAGGGGACAGTGCGGAAGTTCAGGCAGAGCGTCAGAAATGGTACTTCACCCGATCGCTTACATGTCGAATTGTGAATCTTTAGTTCTGACCCGATGTCTTTCTCATTAGGGATGCATGGTATTCACAGCGCGGTCTGACACGCACCGAAGCAAAGCGACGCTATATCACAACCCTCATTGAAACGATGCACCGTTATGCCTCTCAGACGGCCGAGGCACGGGAACTTATATCAGAGCTGGAATTTGTCTGGGATCAAATCAAGTCGAACCCTTCATCCTCCTCGTCTTCAAGTCCGTTTCGGACAGCAAGTGTGCCGATGGTGCCACAGATGCAACAGCCCAATTACGGTAGTATTAGCGGACGATTAGTAGGTTCAAGTCGCGACGATGATGAAGAGGACATGCGGATAGGTCCGGGTAGGGACTCAAGATTACGGGTCCTCAGTCCGGTCAGTCAGCCCGATGAGATATACGCGCGGAGGAATTATGATCAAGAGGACGACGAGGATGAAGAAGATGAAGAGTATCAAGAGGCCCGGGATGGGCCTTACGACGAGGACGAGGAGGAAGAGGAGCAGGAGCAGGAGGAAGACATCTCAGACGACGCCCTGCGGCAACCTCGAGAAATCGGGGGCGTAGCAGACAGCAGAGAGATATACCACCGTAAATGGCGGCGACGCGTCGAGCAGGCCTTGACCAAGATGACCGCTGAAGTTGCCGCGCTGCGTGAACAGATAGAGACGCAGTCTATCCACCACCGACGGCGATCGAATCTATGGCGGTGGTTCACCTGGCTCATCTGGGTCGTCGCACGGCAGATCCTCTGGGACATGGCCATCTTGGCGAGCATCCTTATCTGGATGAGACTCAAAGGTGACCGGAGAGTAGAACACAAACTAAAAGTTGGATGGGCCGAGGTGAAGAAGCGGCTACTCAGGCTGCGCTTCCTCACACGTCTGCGACGGACACCGTCTCTTCCATGAGCGGTTCACGCCCTCTTGCCATCTTTCTTTTCCCCCTGATCTAAGCCGACATTTGGTTTTGATTTCTTTGCATATATATACATAGTGTACAAATTTCAGGTATACCTTCTTGACAGCCACCTGTTCCTTTGTCTATCTAACCAAGTTATTATCAGATTTCGCAAGCGTCTAGGGAGAGGGATCTATAGAAAAGGAAAAAGAGGTTTTTTTTTTTTTTTTTTTGGAGAACTGGTTCAATTCAACTGTTATGATTGGACAGTTCCTGTTGGGATTAGGGTCTCTAGAAGACTTGTATGGAATAAACATATTCCTGACTATAGGTGAGATTTATACAAGAATGAAAAAAAAAAATAAACCCAGTATCAAAAATCAGCTATCAGTTCGGAATAGCCGTATAAGTGATCCATTGGCCCTATACCTGCGTGTAAATTCCAGCCTCGGTCCCTATTGGCTTTCGTGACAAGACAGGATCAATCGAAAGGGCAGACACTAGGTCTTCTACTTCCATCGCATATATCTTGACACTTCACGGATATTTATACAACCCGGTTAAAATAAACCCAATCGATCGAGTCAGCTATAGCACATCACGGTATTATACTGGAGAAAAGAACCGAGTACGAATAACCGTCGTATATGCTTGATTTCATATATCTGAAGCATATCATTGGAAGTCCTTACCCAACGATACATGCTTGAGCGGATCATAAGATGGATTTAAAAATCCCATCGGAGACATTACTCCGCCCGCATAGACCAGATCAGACTAGATCAGATCAGATCAGACAGACCACTGGCTGCAGAAAGCAAATAAGGCCCACAGCCCTCGACCTCGATAACAGCACAGATTTTTGCGTACAGAAAACCACATGATCATTCCTGATGCTAATATGTACAAACACAGAGTTTCGTGCTGAAACACTTCTCTTTCAAAAATAACGGGAGACCATAAAAAAAGTGACACAAGTACAGAGGGGGGTCCTTGTTTTCTAGTACTGAGGTCCAGGGAATTGCGCGTATAGCTGCTTCGGTCGCAGATGGACGGGAGTCTGACCTTCTGGGGTTCCGGGGATGGTTTTCTTAAGGCCCTGTATAGTGTTTTGCATGTTAGATGGGTTTTTGATATTGCAGAGAGAGCCGCGCGGACTGTGGTAGGAGAGAGTAGGGGAATTGGGAAACGTACGAGCTTCTCGAACACGCATTGGTTCAATTCCATCTCGGGCTTGCGGCATTCCCACATGTGGTGGTTGTTGTTTTCCAGACACTCCCAGTGCGCGGTGAACTGCTTCAGGCAGTGTGTGTTGATGTCCTTGATCCTGCAGACAAACCGAAACCGGGTCAGTCATCCATGCATCCGTGATTCCCTTCTATATAACCCATTCTTCCCATTGGTGATACATACACGCTCGCGGCGCAACGTGTGACCTTCCGACCCTCCTTCAGGCACTCCAGCTCGCCCCGTCCGTTCGCCTCCGCCTTGCACTTCATGTAGTCATCATTGTAGGCCTTGCACTTATCGCCGATAAAGAACGACGCGCTCATCAGCGGAGCAGACGTAGCACCGATCTCCTGGACCTTGGGGATGTCATCGGGCATCGGCGTCGGGTCGATGAGGAGGGTTTGATTGAACCTGTCATGTTACGATTCATCAGCAATTGAGCGCGCAGAAAAGCCACGACGGAGAAGGGCAATTCCATACTGGGGCTGTCTTCGAGACATCTTGGCGGTATTTGAGGCGCTGGAGAAACTGCCTGGTCTGCTTGCAATCGGAGGGCGAGGTGGACAGTCGTTTCGAGGGCCGTTTGGAGCGAGAGGGCAGCTTGCGAGGTTGAAGGTCAGTTCTTTCGAGATTGCTCTGATTGGCTGACGGGGCCTCGCTCAGAGGCCGGGATTGGATGGCTTATGTAAGTAAGGCCGTCCTTGCAATGCGATATGCGCTCTTTTGGACAGGATGGGAGTATGAGATGCTCAGGTTGGAGATTTCTTAATGGGAAGGGATTTAAGTCGATTATTCACTGTATTTCTCTTATTGATGATGTCCCTCAATGCAGATTCATTGCTGGTGTTGGTGCAACTAGAGTAAAATCACGTGACGGGACGTCCACTCGAAAAACAAATCGCCAAATCGAGCTCGGAGCTGCCGCGCTGCTGCTACGATTTCTCGCGAGTCAAAAGAGCTCCCTGTCGCTTTACTGACTCTATCTTATCGGGCCTGGGCATGCGATCTCGAATCGTCACTCTTTTGACCTTTTATCTGCCCTAGCAGCTTGCAATCCTTCAACAAGAAACAATTCCGTTGGGGAGCTATCCCACCCCTCCCTCTTAATACGTCTACCACGTCCCATCATTCCATACAGTTAATTATCAGGGTCTATTTTCGCAATGTCTTTGTTCGGAGGACAGACCCAACAGCCGCAACAGAGCGGCGGCCTGTTCGGTGGGTTTGGCTCAAATACGGCTGGAAACCAGCAGCAGCAGAGTGGAGGAGGTCTTTTCGGCTCTACGCAGAATACTCCACAAACTGGAGGTGGTCTATTTGGCTCGGCGCAAAATCAGCAGAGTGGTGGAGGATTGTTTGGCTCTACACAGAACAAGCCCAGCGGAGGGCTCTTTGGGAACACGCAGAACCAGACCTCTGGTGGTGGTGGCCTGTTTGGCTCGGCTGCGACATCGCAACCGCAACAGAGTGGAGGACTGTTCGGATCGACGACTCAGAACCAGAGTCAACCGCAGACCGGTGGTCTCTTCGGTTCCACGACCCAGCAGAAACCCCAAGGCAGTCTGTTTGGTGGCTTTGGACAGCAGCAGCAACAGCAGCCTCAGCAGCAGACCGGTGGATTGTTCGGTGGGTTGGGATCAAACACGCAGCAGCAACAACAGCCTCAGCAGCAGTCGTCATTGTTTGGTGGCTCTTTGATCGCTGGGCAGCAGCAACAACAACAACCACAGCAGCAGCCCCAGCTCGGCCAGAGCACTCAACAGCAGAACTTGGGATCTAGCTTGTGGTCTCCGGGTCGTGCGACTACCGGAGGTGAGTTTGGAGTTATCAGCGTTGAGGCATCAAGTTGTTAATATAGCAAATAGTTCATCGAACGGTGCCTATGCAGATGATGATCGTCAAAGACAAATGGGAACCCGTCAACCGGACGTCTCCTTTCCGGACATATCTCTACAACAACGTCGGTGAAGATTCCGCACCGTTCTTCCAGCCAGGACCCGATGATGATGAGTCGAAATGGGAAGAAGCGCTACGCCAGCGTCCCAACGCGGGCTATGTTCCAGTTCTGGTGAAAGGATTCTGGGAGATTGGCAAGCGGGCGCAGAGGCAGAAAGACTTCCTGACTATCATGCAGACTCGACTGCACGAAATCAACAACTGCCTCACCGACTTGCTTTCGAGGCATGACTTGAAGATCTCAGTCAAGATTGCGGACTGCCGTCGAAAACACATCGTGTTGAGCCAGCGATGCCTCTCCCTGGCGGCCAAGACGCAGGTGCTGCGAAACCGTGGTTATGCCATGGATGACGCAGAGGAGGAGCTGAAGAAGAAGCTGACGCAACTGGAACGTGCTGTCTTTGACCCCTCGCTCAACGGACGCGCCGAGGAGATCTGGGCGAGAATGCTCGCCATCCGCGAGCGTTCAAAGCTGCTACAGTTGGAAATTGAAAAGGCTGGACCAGCTGCAGCCGAGGAAGCAGATGACGGACTGGATGAGTCTGTAGTGAAGACTGCCAAGAAGGTGCGCTCCCTTATAATTCCATTGAACATTTTTACAGCGTAAACTAATATTATGTTCCAGATTCTCGAGGACTACGCATCTCAAATCCAGCACCTGCACAAGGAGTTAGAGGCGGTGAAGAAAGACTTTGAAGAGGTCCAAAACTCGAATGGTAACTGAACCCATGCAGGAGTAAAGTTCTTCGGTTTAAGCTACCTTTGGTGATAATGGCGGAACGCATTTCTTTTCGTTTTCAGCTCTTTAAATTATTTTCTCATGCATGATTCGAGATTCGAGCAACATCTGGCCTTGGTCCAAGATAGCTACGTCTGATGTTCTTTCGGGAGACGGCGTTATACGGGAAGACGGGTCCTTTTTTACATGACAAGCTGTTTTTGTTTGGAATCTGTTTTTGTGGTAGCATAAAAAGCAGCCTGGTCGTCACTGGTCTCGTCTTGGTCTTGTTTCTTTTCTTTTTCAAAGTTTTTCTTCTTATCTCCGTTTTCTACCTTTTCCCTAATATCAAGGATCAAGAATGTACAATACCAATACATCTATGTATGTCGAGTTCTTTGTCGACACGACATATCTAAGAAAGAACAAAAATAAAACAGACAAGACAGACAGACAGACGAGACAATATCCAAAGCCACCTCATGATAACGAAAAGAGGAAACTTAATTTGCCATCATCTTTCCAGACTCCATCAATGCATTCGTCCCATGATGAATGACGTAGGGAAGGTGAAGTGAGGTGAGGTGAGAGTTATGCCATGTCCATGTCCATATCCCATATCGCATACATAACCGATCAGATTCCGAAAACCAGCATTATGCGTAACGAAAGGAGAAGGACAAATTCGGCATAGACTAAATTTACAAGAACTTCTTGACGAAGTCGACGGCGAAGGGAGCTATAGTTTTTTTTGAAACGAATTCGTTAGTTCTCGCTTTCCCGGGAATGAAAAAAAGAAAGAAGGGCGTGATCGAAATGCAATGGCATGGAAAGAGCAATGGGACTTACAGAGGTAAAGGAGGATACCGGCGACGATGGCAGAGTTGACGGTCTGTTGGGCTTCGAACTCTCCGGCCTGTGAAGTGTAGATGTATTAGAATTGGGGATTTTTGTAATTATCTTTGCGTTATTGTTTGAGTTTTGTGGTTGATGCAGCAGCGGATGGAAGGATGGAGTTGGGGTGCTGAGAGGGTTACATACGCGGATCTCCTCCTTAGAGAGCTGTGGTTCCTGGCCTGTTATGATTTATTTGAGTCAGTGATATTGGTTTGAAAGAGTGATGTTTCGGTAAAAGAGCAAGGGTCATGATTTAAAGCTTTATGTAGTATTACTGGAAGGATGGTGATTGGGAATGTGTAAGAAGGTTGAGCGTACCTGGCATAAACATTTTGACGGCTTTATGTGATTCTTGTAATGAAGAAGTAAGGTATGGTTATAACAAGAGTCGTGCGAGTCCAGTACTATGTAGCGTTGTTGAATGGGATATGTATTAATATATTCTCGAGAGCTAAGTTATCGCTGCCCGGACTTTCTCGAAAGCTTTCACCAGCCGGACGCACAGGCCAACTGCGTCTTTGGGGCCCGAATTTATTTGAGCCGCAACGTCGTCCCCTTTCAAACCAGCCACCCCGCGAGAAGTCGTGCAACGGAGCTTGACTTCTCTATTCATCATCTTCTCATATTTTGTGGGCTGATCAGCAGTCAGCATCAACGGTTTTACGGTGTTCGCATATACTAGTCAAGGCTTGGTGATTTCTGGTCACTTTAGCATTGCGCGAAAGTCTCGGGAAGCGCGCCTCGGAGAGCCAAGGAATAACGTCTTTTTATTCACATCAGCAACAATCTCGAGTCGCGTCTTGTCTATTTCGATTTTGTATCTCCCCCATTTAGAGAAGTGGTCAGAGATATAAAGCTGTGATAATGTCTGCTACACCGGAAGATCGTCCCGGCTCGCCGGTCGCTGAGGAGAATAACCACCACGAAGAGAACGGTCATGAAGAGAACGGTCATGAAGAGAACGGTCATGAAGAGAACGGCCATGAAGATGCGGAAGCGACAAATATTGAGAATGAAGAGCAGGAGAATGATAACGCTGCTGCCGATCTGTTGTCCGATGACGAGTCGGTGTTGTCGGAAGTCGATGAAGCGCAGTTCGAAGACTTCGATCCCGACAATGTCGCTATCGAAGAGCGTCCTGCTCTGGCGATTGATGAGGAGAACCTGAAGCTCATCGGTCGTCACAAGCGCAAGCGAGATGGCGAGGACGGAGAGAGACCCAAGAGAAAGGAGGGTCGGAGAAAGAAGCGACGAGACGACGAGGAGGTCGGCGGAGAGGAAGCGGAGGGAAAGGGTCGCAGGAGAAGGGATGGTGACCGCAGGAGGAGAAAGGAGGCCACTCCAGAAGACGAGGAGCACTTGGATCCCGCTACGAGTGAGTTTCTCTAGTATTACTGGGATTGGGGTCAACGGTTACTGATGGACGCTGAACAGGACGCCGCCGAGCCCTCGACCGTGCTATGGACGAGGCACTGAAGAAGCCAACTAAGAGAAGAGCTCGCAAAGCGGATGGCATTGTAAGTGCTTCCGAAATTGACTTGTGTAGTCGGAGGGTGCTAATAAGTCTCTGCAGGACCTGGAACAGATGGCCGATGCTGAGATCGAGGATGTCCGCAAGCGCATGACACAGGCAGCCCAGCTGGACGCCGTTAACCGCCGGGAAGGTAAGCCTGCGATGCACAAGCTCAGGATGCTCCCGGAAGTGGTGTCGCTCCTGAACCGCAATCAATATGTCAACAGTCTGGTTGACCCCGAGATCAACCTTCTCGAGGCGGTAAAGTTCTTCCTGGAGCCTCTGGACGACGGATCGCTGCCAGCATACAACATTCAGCGCGACCTCATGAACGCGCTGGCGAAGCTGCCTATCAACAAGGAAGCTCTGATCGCCAGTGGTATCGGCAAGGTCATTGTCTTCTACACCAAGAGCAAGAGACCGGAACCGGGCATCAAGCGCCAGGCGGAACGTCTGCTGGCGGAGTGGACTCGCCCGATCCTGCAGCGGAGCGATGACTACTCGAAGCGTGTGTACCAGGAGGCGGACTTTGATCCTACGTATGTTCTTCACTTACTCTTCTTTCTCTCCGTCATTCGTCGAGCATACACTAATGACTACTACAGGAAGCTGGCAATGCGCCCGCAGGTACTAAATGCGCAGGCCACGGCGGCGGAAGCACGTGCACGCGAGCTCCTTCCGCCGCGCTTGGCGAACCGCGCGCGGGTGGACCAGACTCATACGTCGTACACGGTCGTGCCGCGCTCGACCGTTGTGCAGGAGAGCAAGTTTGCCCGTCCGCTGGGTGCGAGCGGAGAGGATCGTTTCCGCCGTATGAAGGCGCGGCAGATTGCGGCTCAGAAGGGATCCCGGAGATAGAGCATGGCTGTCTTGCTCTGTCCGTCTCTTCGCCCTCTATCGACTCTATATCATTCACAAACACTGGGGCCTATGGGATAGAATCCACCTGGCACCTGTCTGCGATGAACTGGGGTTACTTTAATCTTTCTGCGATGTGGACCCGCATGGGTCTCGTTCTGGGGCATTTCCGGTGGCGTCTACGGGTCATGGAGTCTGGTTGTTTCTATTCTCGTCCATGCTTGCATTTGTGTATGAGTATGTTCATCCCGCTGCAGTAACGAGGGAGCTTCATTCTGGCGGTGTTTGCAGATGAGCTGTTCTGTTTCATTTACTTCGAGAAGCATCACGAAATCAGGGAAATCCCATAGAAAAAAAAGCATCTATGACGTAGTTAGTTCTTCTCTAGCGACTTTTCCTGCATGTTTCTGCCCCTGCAAGGTCTCGGAGATATCTTGGATGTTTATTACTCTGAACATACCATATTATTATGGTATTATGGTAATCTCTACTCCAGCCCCTCAGAGGAGAAGGCATTTCCCCTCATGATTACTTTCCCCTCACGACGGGAATCGGGCCAGTCAGGATCGCACGAAAAGCAGACGGAATGGAAGGAGGACGGCTGAGTCAGCCGACGTCATGGGACTGGCCCGAGTTTTCTCCAGGCTCTGCAGGCTATCGGACGTCGCCTTTTGCAATTTCTATTATTTAATTAGTTCTTCTTAAACTAGTTACTTATTTATTTGCTGGCTTATCTAATAATCTCATTATTGACCGCTTCGGCAAGACAAGGAGAAGTAATAATGATAATAATAATAATGCTGCTGCTTTCTCGGGCGGTCGGTACGGCTGAATACGCGGAGGAAACCGCAATGCTCGACGTGGCGTGGGCCGGGAGTAAAAATGACGGTAACGCAGGCGTACCAGACTGCCCTGTCTGCTTCTCCAAATCCCGAGAAAAGACCACTTCCGCCAGTCAACGTCACGGGGCGGCGTTTGACCGCAAGCAGCTTCCCGCTTCCGGCTTCCCCGTACAATAATAGATAATAAATATAATCCTGACCTCACCCCCTCGTCACCGTCAGTGCTGAGTATTTCCTTATGTCCAATTGATCCAGATTGCATATTATTCCTGCTCTCATCTCGAGTGTCGCTATCACAAGAAATCGACAAGCTGTTCGTTTGCTGTGTGGTTGCGCTGAAAAGACAACAGCAGATAGTTAAAAGCAGACACCGTGTGTTGATTATTACTTACGGGGAGGAAACGACCAAACGCCAGTGGATCCACACCCGGTGACGACGTGATTGATATATTATATATCTATCGACCCGACCCGCACCGCCAGAGAAAACTACGATCGCTTGTGCGAATTCAACTTCCCATTCGCAATAGAACTAGCGGACATTTGCAACAACAAACAACTATCAGAGAAGCAACACAACCGCCACCATGAAGATCTTGACCAAGGAAGAAGAAGATGCCCACTACAGGTAAGCAGTGCACCGCGCAGCCCTTTGTCTTGGCGAGACATTCTTCATTTTGGCCAGTCGTAGAACAAATTGGCTGCAGATTCGATTGACAGTGGAAAGCGGGAGTAGCTAACATGATGGGCATTGCAGGGCCGTCCTGAAAGGTGGTACCATCGGAACTATCGCCGGTCTGGTCGGCGGTTGGGCTGGTGTTCTGGCTGCTTCACGACGATACCCCTCCTTCCGTCAGCTCACCATTCCCCTGAGGGCTTTCTTGGTGACCTCATCCGGTACCTTCTGCGGTATCATCGCCGCCGACCATTCCTCGCGCCGCTTCGAGGCCGAGCGTAATGTGAACCAGACCTACCTTGAGAACCGAGAAGAGCGTCTCCGTCGCGAGGAACTGGCCAAAATGAGCTTCTCTGAACGCGCCCTTGCCTGGGCCCACGAGGAGAAGTACAAGATTATCGGTGCCTCTTGGATTCTGAGTATTGTCGGCTCCTTCGCTCTGGTCAACCGGAACCCCTACCTCACCGGCCAGCAGAAGATCGTTCAGGCTCGTGTGTACGCCCAGGGTCTGACGCTTGCCGTCATGTGTGCCACTGCTGCTTTCGAGATTCATGACCAGCGCAAGGGAGAGGGTCTCCTGGATGCCGCCCGCAAGAAGGGCACTGTGCCACCCACTGAGCACCACGAGCGCTACGAAGGTGAAGATCTGTGGAAGGACATGGTCGCCGCTGAGGAGCAGCGTATGAGGCAGCGCAACCAGAAGATTCGCGAGGGCGAAGAGAAGGAGCGTCGCTCTCAGTCGGAGCAGAAGTCGCAGGCCAAGAACGAGAAGAAGGAAGAGAAGGAGGACAAGGAGGAAAAGAAGGAAGAGAAGGAGGAGAAGGAGGAGAAGGAGGACAAGGAGGAGAAGAAGGAGTAAAGGGGGACTTCTGCTGATCCTGAAACTGTCTTCCGGCGACTAGTTGTTCAACAGTGATGGTAGCTCAGTCATCTACAGTGACTATGCTTCCACTCTGCGCTCTGTTAGTGGCAACCCAGCGAGTTTTGAGATCCGACTCATGGGACGCTCTATAGCAGCGACATGGACTTCGCCAACACGGATACCGCGATAGAAGCATCGCTATCGAAGTATCCATCTCTGCCACACACATCATCCTCCGTCTTGCATGATCCTAACGATCGGTGTCATCCGATTCGACTCATCACCTCACCTCAACTCTCTTGTCTTTCTGCTGGTTACGTTGTACATTATTCTAACTTGAAAAGCGACGAGCGGGCTGGTTTGATTTTCTACCTATATTTATCCATTTCCCTGGATACTACGACTCTACTGGGTTGGCTCTTTGTCCAATATTTTGTCATCTGGTAATGCATCAATACGATAGACAAATAAATTCATCGATAGACTGTTTTGAATATCTATCTCGTCTCACAATACTAGATTTGTCCCAAGAGCTGATGATGTCATGACTTTTCACCCGGGGTTCCGGGCCTAGATTCCAGTCCGCCTCATAAAAGCTTATTATTACCTTTGATGATGGTACTACAGCACGTGATATAGTCACTTTCTTTCTATACATCTTTTATTTGAGAATGTATATTGCTTTTCGTCTCTTTAAAGCAATTGCACTTAGCGCTTCTACGTCCAGCTAACTAATAACTCCAATTATTGTGAAACCGCCCAGGGGCCAGTCTAGTTGTACATTACCAAAGTTGTATACTAGGTACTTAGGCAGCCAATACTAACTACCTGCTTATTACAGTTTGTCGGGTAAGACTCTTATTGACCATAGTAGATAGTAACGAATGTGAGAATTGAGTGCGAAGAACTAAATACATCTGTAGAGCGAAAATGAGCGTCCTTATATATCCTTCCGCTAGTATATTGATAACCTCATGTCAATAATGAATTGGAAGAATCGACGACATAAGGCAAATGTTTTCTGGTCGATCGCCACTAAACGAATATTTATGCACTGCTTATGTCTTCCGGTCACAAGCATCTTGCGCAACGGACATGCCAGCCTTTGAACGAGTAAGTTGTTCTGGTCTTACAATCACCGAGCGTGCCGGGTTTGATGGTGAACTTTCGTTCATTTCCTTTGGAGCATCCATGGTGTGGCCATATGCCCATTTCCAAGTAGTCTGTATCGTCGGTATTCTCAAACTGCACACTCGCAAAGGCTGAAGCATAAGTGTGGCAGGTTCCGTCAAAGGATGCCTCGGAGTTAACATTTCCGCAGCCTGGATAGTCGTCTAAGTAAGCCCAGTAATGCAGCGAACCCGACCTAGGCTCATTGTTTCCTCTTCTGGCGATCTTTGACCTGGCACTTGGGGATGAATCCATTCCACTGGTGTGATTCGAAAGACCTGTGCTAGCAGGTCGCGTGCCAACAGCGGCTAGGCCACTTGCACCTTGCTCTTCCAGCCACTCGTGCGTCGTGGAGTTGCTGGAAATCGCACTGTCATGATTCTCATCGGGTTCAATTGTCGACTCCGCAGCCACGTCCATGCGATCAATCACGGCAATGATACAATCAAAGAGCTCTTGGTCTTGACCATGAAAATCGATCTCTCGCCGCTCAGCCGGCACAACCACTGTGGTGCCACCCTCGTCGACGTAGAGATTATACTCAACGCCTGTCCTTTTCACACAATCCAAGAATGTCTGTGACACCTGACTGTCTAGCTGACTGGTTTTGATATACTGTGACATTGCCCACGGTCTGTGATGCCGTCACCAACAGAGGTATACACGACAGTGCTAGCGTAATGATTGCAGGCAGAAACTTCATATTGTATATGCTTGACAAGTGAGAACAATGGATAATATGTATAATGGACCTGAGAGACTTGATGTTGTATACAATAAAGAAAGAAATTGTCTGTAGAGAGACATGAAGTGTGCTGCTTCTGGTCCCCTTAAGTACCACGATCCAGTCGTATTCTTTTTTTAGGTGACCTGGAGGAGCATCACATAGTAGAGGAGGTGGACCAAATCCTTCTACTTCCTAACTTCATGGTATTTTCCTCTAGCGGGTAGCTAAAAGGGGAAATTCGGGGGCGGTTTTATCTCTCCCTTGCAAGCGGCACCATCAGGCTGAGTTGATAACCAGTTGGGTGGCAGATCTCAACGGAGCGCCTGCAAGAATACATGCGGTACCTGCCTGCAACCGAAAACCTGGACTGCAGCTAGAAGTTGCATTCACGGCGCCTTCCCGATGCACTGATCGAATGAGGATCAAAGGCGCGTGTTGGTTGTTGTTAGAGATCCAGGCAGACCAACTAGGAGTTCTCTCCTTTTTGGTCGACTGGCAGAAAGCCATCAGTTAGTTATCAAGGCTGATGACCAGAATCGACAACTACTAGCTTGAGGATCGGCCACCGTGCATGCAGGGCCAGCGCCAAACTGTGGCTGATTGAATCTTTTCAACCGAAAGATATAACAACATCGACGGCGAGGTATGATGTTGGCGAAGGAGTCTCCATATTCCTCACTCAGCTTTCCGCCGTAAGCTGGTGGAATAATAGAAACCTCATTGCCAATGTGAGGCATCGACAAAAAAGATCCACAACGGATTACAACCGATCGATAGGGGCAGCTGGAGGGCGAAAGATTCCATGAGGCCTCGGTATAGATGTGTCGAACAACAGTCGCCGGTCCAGTGTTGGGGGCGATATCCGCTAAGTAGCTATGACTTGTTCTCTTCTGACGCCCCACAGGAAGAAGGTCCTAAATGAGACTCACCAGGATCCTTTCAGTTCGGGCGATCCGGCTCAAAATCCGGAAGACAATAAATGAGACTTGAACCATTCTTCAGTCGGAAGACTCCGTAATAACTAAGACAGTGCAAGGGTTATTCATATGCCGCAGCTTAGCGTTACGTAGGAAGTTTCCTAATTACTTCCAACATATACCGCCTTCGGGTACTTACTTAGTGCTTATATCTGATGTTTGCTAAAACATCGCAGTTGCTTCAGCCGTAACAAGTGAGCTTGATAGAGAACTTAGCGGGGCAGCTTTGACTGCAGGATAAAGATTTAGGGAACAACATGTAGATCAGAACAACAAATCGAGAGATGATGATGATGATGATGATGAGGAGGAAATGGCTTTTGACCTATAGTCTGTTCTGGAATTCTAGGAATCTTTGAATTGCCTTCGTTTGCCATTAAGGACTTACACGAAGTTAAAGGTATATGACAAATGACAACATCTACAGATCCCAGAATCTTATAGTCCCATCTGAATCCGGCACAATAGCAAGTCGTTCTGAAGCAACCATCTCAGCACGCGGAAATTTTTCTATCTTGTCTTGCGCACGCCTTGTGAACTGCTGCTTTAAGTTGGTTTCGAAATCGTACACATTGACTGTCCCTTCACTGATCTGAAAAATGAGCTTCCGCCTGTTCAGAAATCTGACTCCGCGAACAACTGCGAGGAATCCCATCATAGGATCTTCAAACGCTAGGCTCCATCGCATCTGCTCCTGTCCCGTGTATGGATCCCAGATGGCAAGGGTGCCTTTGTCGGCTCCGCACGCAATCGCAGCACCATCGATACTCCATGCTATGGACCTTGCCATACGATGAAAGTCAAAGCTAGAGACTGCCCGCTCAGTGCTTATCTCGTAGATGTGCACTTGGCACTTTGGATTTCCCTGGCTGATGGCAAGGTATTCTCCGTCGGGGGAAAAGGCACCGCACCAAAGTTGGCCCCCAAACGGGCCCAGCATGTGAAGACAGGCTCCTGAGATGATGTCCCAGATCCGAGCGGTGCCGTCCCACGCAATCGATGCAGCTCGCAGGTTGTCAGGGGAGATGCCAGTCCATTGTATAGAGTCCGTGTGACCAAGCAGACGGTGTTGCATGGACCTGCTCTCTATACTCCAAATGTTAACACAAGGGAGCAAGCTCGCTTCACGAGGCTCTCCACCTTCATCTTCATCATTCTGGGTCGTCTGGTTCTGGCTAAGAAAGATCATGGTTTTTCCATCTGGACTGAACGCGGGGCTGCCGTAATCGCCTAGTTCACCCTTGAAACGAAGATTGCCGGCGGTGTTCTCGCTCGCCTCCATCCTCGAGGACAAGAGTTTCCCGTGCTTGTCTAGTTCCCATAGGATGACCTCGGGGCTTTCTTCTCCAGATAAATCGTGGCTATCTGATACCAAGAGATAACAACCGTCAACGTAGTTTGCAGAGTCATACATCACGCTGCTGAATTGGACTGTCTTGACCATCTCACTGTGTCCTTTCAAAACTTGCAGGCGCTCTTGTGTAGCCACTTGATAGACATGAATGTCTTCTCCGACTCCGATCGCAAGTAGCAGATCATCAGGACTAAGGGCGGGAGTACACTCAATTTTCTGCCGGAGCTGAATCGTAGCCTTCTCTTGGCCCCATTGCTTGGGATGACCAGGAGCCCAGGATGCAGGAACTCCGGCTGGTGAAGTGAAATCGTGCTCGAGTGCGTAGGTATACCGTTCGAGGAACTTCTTTTGGTTCATCATCTTTGCCTCCTGCCTGTGCTGTATAGGTATCCTTGGGATAGCGTATTCCTGGATGAGAGAGCCCGTGAGAGATATTCTCGCTGTTGTCAAAAGTAAACAAGACTTTGCTCTTGAACTGAACTGCGTTCCTGATCAGCTTCAGCCGCAATTTATACGCGTAGTCATGCCTCCGACCACCGACACGCCTCAACATTGATCCGAAGCGTTCGTTTCCCTCACGCCCAATTAACAGGTCCGGCCTTCCACCCCTCAATACTCTCGTACTTTCTTCTTGAGGTTGTTAACAGACTCGAAACGTATTTAGCAGGAGATTACCCGTGCTAGACAGGAGAGCTAATGAAGCATTCTGCCCACCTTATCGCAGGTAAGAAGGGATATTGACCCCGCATCTATGACAATACACCCCCATCTTACTCTATCCTAGAGGATGTGGTTTTCAGAACGTAACTATAATTATACGGGTGACTATATTCCCTAAAATACGGACGCTCTATAAAAATAAGAAATATCACTGATCTAGGGACTGGCCAGCAACAGTTAGCTCACGAGTAACTAGGTAAGTAGGCCCTATGACTGGTAAGACTATAAGATCTTCAACCGGCATATCTTCTCGCAAAGACATCGTCCCTCATTAGCTTGCTGTTCTGCGCGCCAGTGGTTTTCTAGCAGACTATCTAGACCTTGAGCCAGGGCAGACAAATGAAAAGAGGTTAGAACAGCTACTATGAGTCATTATGACTCAAAACAAGTTTGTGTGAAGGTGACCGCTCCCTGTAGGCACTCAGATCCCAACTACTCTATATGACATATTGTACAAAGTCACTACTATGGCGAAAATGGTGTCAGCATCCCTAAATATTTATTCTGGTCAAGGAATTTAGTATATACACAAGATCCACCTAATATTTCGTACCAGTGCTTCTTATGAGGGCCGTGATAAAGGATAATAGTTACCAGGTTACAGAGATTGCTTGAAACGGGCTAAGTCGTTAAAGTCAAAAGTTTCGTGAACTATATCTTCCAGTATATTGACCGAGGCTGCCTAGAGACCCAGTTCACTAATCCATGGGAGTCCCAGCCCAATGACTGCTCATTACAGATCAAATATTCATCTTGACATCACGATCGTAGTACTATCAGCAGTATCATATTCATCATTCTTTCTTTCCCTTTCTTATATCTCCCCATATTATTAGGACTTTTAAAAAACGAAGACTACCTATGCTTAACTCCGACGGTTCCTCAATTGAATCATGGATAAGATACCTTATTGTCCTCTATTGTGCTTCATTTGTAGCATAAATATTATTCCGGAGAACAATGATAATTCTACTAGCGACGGTTTTCGGAAACATGGATCTCTCGGACTTGAAAATTGCTATGATTTATACGCGGGCTGGTCAAGTCCTATGCGACTAGGTATATGTTCCCTTGCGATATCCTCTTTTCGTATCCTCTTTTGGACCAATGCGAGGAATAATCCTAACAACACCTACACCAGTTCTAAAAGATACAAGCGAATCAGAATCATACCGCCTATCCAATCTTTGCAAAATGAAACCAGATGAGGATTGGGATGATGTGTGTTTCGAATATGAGGAAGTCATCGACGATCAGACCGCAAGAGAAGAGCAGTTAGCTATTCTCGAAATTGATGGCACAAGTCCTTGTGCGAATCGAAAAAGAGCTTGGCCAGCATCTTTTTTCAACAACCGAAAGTTCGCGCATCTCAGCCCACAGGCATACCCCATGCACGATTACTGCTGGAGGCTCCTCAAAATGGCAGTTGGAGAGGACGCTGAGGATAAACTTGGCTCCATTATCCGATGCCTGGAGAACAAATGGAGTAGGGAGACACTAGCAAACTTGAAAGCTCGCAACAAGTGGACTAACGGCTATGCGTACACTTTATGCAATGATGACCAACGAAAGTCGCATTTCGGAGATAATGTGGAGTATCGAATATCGCTGACCGATCCTGAAGCCGTCCCCGAGGCATTGGAGCTCATCTCAGAAGCCCTTCAGTGCAAAGATCAACAGAGAAGGAAACCCACAAACGACGTGAGTGATCATATTAATTACAAGCCTTCATACGATGCCTCTCATTCCATCTTCCGCAATCTCCCAGATGACATCGTATACATGGTTCTGGATTATCTCCCGGTGAGTGACTGCCAGAGTCTCTTCCCAATTATCGGCTTTATTCCACCTCAATCATACTGGTATCGCCGTGTGAAGCGCTGGTCTTTCTTCCTTCCCGAGATTCCCAAGATGAAACTCGATAGAGACGTGGATTGGGGATATCTGGCTCGAAGAATCGAAGCGCTCATGACAGAGTCTCACGGGTTACTAAATAGGCGGCGCATTATCCGCACTATTCTCTCTGTCAAAGAAAAGGTCGTATAATCTTCCTCTTATAACTGGAGTATCCGGGTATTGCAATAGTCTTATGCACGTATGTGACGAGTAGACGCATACGGATCAGTCTCTAGGGGGCTTTTGGTACTTACTATGGCATATCCACCCTGTACAGGTAATAGACCTGATATCTCGTTGCTGTCTAGATCCTCATCTTCACCAAAAACCAATCTCATCTCGCTGCGAGGATTGTGCTTTAAAATGGGAACCGTCTTCATATGTAGTGGCGAAGCTATCATTCAAATATCAGTAGGACTGCGCCAGTTTGGGTTTTCCTTCTCGTAGATCCATACTCACAGCCATAGGAACTTATCCCCAGAAAAGCCAGACTTTCCAGGATTGACTCGGCATAGTGACAGTACTAACTCCGAAGCGGATAACTCTCGTCTAGGAATGATAATTGGCCATGACGAACCATAAGGTTTCTCTATGAGACTTATCTGCGAAAGTAAATAGAAGGCAAGAAGTTGAACAACTTCTCGAGATGATATTGCACTTCTTCGACAGGAAATCTAGACCAGCAGATCTACCTTCTTTGGTACTGCCGGACGAAACGGCTAAACATTCTCTTGATCTCAGCTATATCCCCGTTAAGACAGTCTTTGTATCTTGGATAGGGTGGGAGAGGGGAGTTTGCGGTGACAGTCCAAGTGAAGACACCCCTGCCAGCACACAATAAAGCTTCGATAGACTGAGCTTGGGTTTCTGCCAGCATAGCTTTGCAATAGTCATTTACTTGCTCAACGTGTCTCCAGTTCGGGGCGTCGCTTCTTTGCACCTTCTTGAACTCGCCATAGATGAGTTTCTTTTTTTCGTTAGTTCGCCGTTCATAGCAGTGGACGACCACGTCCACTCTCTTCCGGTCTCGATCCGCGGGTGGTTGCTCCGGAGCACAGTAGATTTGCTTTGATGCCGGGAACTGCGTCGTTAATATTGCCATCCAGAGGCGAGCCGTATCGGCTTCCAAACCACCTGGTTGTACCTCGTTATAGAGGCGGAGAAGACCCCTGTTGGTGACAAGTCCTTTAGTGTTTTGAGACATTTCGAAAAGTGGGAATTTTTTTTTTCAGAGGAAATGTAGTATGTTCTCAAGCAGTGGATTTCACGAAGAAGGGTCTTGAAGAAGAGAAAGAGAACGGAAAACGAGGCGGACGAATTGTTGATAGTATATTATCCTGTTACTCCTTCTACATTTCTGTATATACATCATCTGCTCCTTCCAATCATGGTGGGGAGTTCTCTCTCAAAGATTATCCGTGGCCAGGAGCAGTGCAGCTGCTTCCAGTTTCGAGCTGGGTAGGAAGCTGCATCCTGCATGTAAAACGTAATAACAATGTTAACATGGAAGACTACGAAGAGCACAGGAATATATCGAGAGGACAGAGGGTGGTTGACCTGATAGTAACATGACGTTCGCAGTCGACAACCAAACATCTAGTACTAACGGCTTCCCCTCTGCACTCCATGACGAATCAATGGTTCGGATCTGGAGCAGAAGATATGGTATCTACCAGCACAGAAATATCCTAAATTGCTGAAAGCCCAAGCCTATAAGTCCATCCCATCAATCTATCCCTATATCCCGCTAAATATAGTCTACGTAGCCCTGGTAATGGCCAACCCCAAAGGGCAGTTGTTTCTAGAAGAACAAGCCAAGAAATTTAATGGCCCAGGGAGGACTTCTTGGTCGTCAATGTTGGTCCCTACTTTGGATGCGAACGAAGTAGTCGCTGGCTTCATGCTCGCATTTGATCTGGAATTGATGGCGTCGCTCTGTGGAGAAGACACTCGTGATTGCCCGGTATTAAGTATTTTCTTCTTCTTCTCAATTAGCATCTTCTCAATTAACCTTCGCCTCCTCTCCTCATGAATGGAAAAGATTATTTCCAATTTTTGTCCCAGAGCTAAGTAAGTTCGGGATATTATCTCTTTGAGTTGTCCGAAAGTTTCAATAGCTCTGCGTTGTTACAAACCTAAAAGGTTTCTATAGTCTCATATGTTGTCCTATCATTAATCGTAAAATCGCAGATTAGGAACAGTTCTCTCGGGTTGACCTATATAAGGAAGCCCGTTTCCTGTAAACAGCCATTGATGTATCATTTTGCCGATTTGCTGGCACAATTCGTCCCAGTGTATTTTTTCCTCTTCTTTGAGTTCTTAGCTTTTCCCAATACAAAATGGATAACCATTCATCTCAATCGCCCAGACAATACGCGTGGACTGTTCTTGCAAAAGATCTTGGATAGCCCCATAACATTCATCATTCGGGACCTCGATTCCCATTCTGACGCTGCAGTTTTCGACACTGAAGGTTAACTGAGCACTGGGCATTCATTTGCTTATGTCTGGTACAGATAGTAATCACCGCGCAAGAGCTTTCTGCCAAATAGTATTCCAATTATGGTTTCAGGTACTCAAATCAGGGCATATATCGAAAATATCGTGTGAATACAACAGGATATAATAGGGTACAATGTCGCAAACATCGAGGACAACTGCGGTTTCATCTTTGATGATATGTTCCTGCCGGTCATTGAAACGGTCTTCTGTCCAAAATGACTTCAAAGATGCCCAGAAGGTGACATAGTCTTAGTAATCTGTATTTCCAATAGCGTAATGGAAGAAGACCTTAATATGTTTACCAGCTTCCGTACTTATATAGGTCTCATGGTCTTGTGTTTGGCACTATATATTATTAGTAACTATTAATGCAATATAATAGAGAAGAAAGGCCTAGCATAAAAAATAAGATAAGGTATAAAATTTATCAGTTTTTTAATTACTGACGAGCGTCTCAATATGTGTTTCTATTCGGGTTCAACCGCAATTTATACATAGTAATGCCTGGGGAGCAGAGTCTAACCGAAATTTACGAGTGGAAATGATGTCGTATACGGCCTCCATCGTCGTCATTTTCGACGTCAGTTCGAAGGGTCCTCACATTCTATATGGAATTGTGTGCCATTATTTGCATGATGGGTATTTATTTCATTCGATTCAACATGTACTCGTAAATCAAGGATATACAGACGGCAGAGAAGAAGAAGAGGAAGAAGCAGCTACAATGCCCCGAGAGAAACAAAAGGGAAAGAAAGGGGAACTAAACAACATCCACATCGTCTTCTTGCCTTTCCAAATCATTCGTTAATGCGCCTCATATTATCAAAATACTTCTTCCCTCGGTACAGCATCCTTTTCTTTGCCTTTTGTTTGTTTTTAATTTCTTAGTTCAAACCTTCTCGTCTTGTGATTGGTTACCACGACCAAGGAACTTGGACTCCTCAAGGTTGTTGAGCTGGTCTTCTTGCTTATCGAGACTGTAGTTGGTGATATAGAATAGGGTGCCGCCAACAAAGGCAAGCACAGCCACGAAGCCGTAGTTCCAGATCAGAAGAGGATCGGCGGATAGAGAGACGAGAGCTTGAGCAATGGCAGAGGAGATGGCGTTCATGAATAGAAACAATGATTGGACTGTTATGGGAAGAAATGTCGTCAGTGGGAGACAAGAAAAAAAAGAAGGAAATAAAATAGAGGGAGGAAACGGATGACCACGAACCCAAACTCTTCATGTTTTTGGGAGCCTTGGTGTAGGCATATTCGTATCCGGTGATTGCGGCGAAGATTTCGGAGAATGCAATCAGCACATACGGTATGGCCTGCACCCAAACGTTGATCGGGGCAGTCTCTTTACAGCTACTAGCCTGGCTCCCACACGGGCTCGTCTTGTAGATGTAGTACTGGATGACCGCGGCGGATATCATGGCACTAGTAGCCATCATGTATCCAACGAAAATCTTCTTCAGTGGAGTAAAGGTGAATCCCAGTTTGCGGATACCCGGATAGCCAAAGTGGTCCATGATCGGGATGAAGATGATCAGAGCAAGGGGGTCCAGATTGCTGATAATGTCGTTGGGAGCGCCGTCCAGCTGCATCGTAGCAGCTTGAGACGTCAGATTACCCGTCATTTGGCCGTATGTCAACCCTAACGTTGCGTTAGTCTGTTTCTTGAGCTGTCCGACAAGTGTCTGAGCCGGACTTACAGTATATTGGGTACCAGAGAAAAACGGCACAAGCCTTAAGTGCACGCCGCACCTCGTCAACCCATTGGTCGTCGAATGTCATCCACTGTGGCCTGTCCTCAATCTTGCTAGGCTTGACGCGTTCCCAGAAATCGTCACCACGGACATTCTTGATCCTGTTTCAGAAGTTTAGCCATACTTCGCCATGGTTAACTAACTATCACGTAGCTAATAATTCAAGAGGCAATCATACTCACAGTGTGAACGGATTCCACGACCATTTTCCCTTCAAGGCCAGTGACCAGAGCTTCAGAGCTTTCACAACTACAGATCCGGTGGGAGGAGTCACGTCGTACTTGTTACGACACAAAAATAGGACTAGTGGGCAGAAGCAAAACATAACTGTGGGAAGAAGGAACGAGAGCCAAAATCCAACGTATTTTTCAGCATAGACCATCGCAATAGAGCCGAGCAAAGCACCGACGTTGATCATGAAATAGAAATAGAGAAATATCCGAGTAATTGTCTGCGCTGGATCCACAATGACACGCTCGCCAGTCTTGGGAATTACTTTGACCCATAGTCTCGTCTCTTTGTACTGCTCTGCTATCAAGGGAGCGATGTTTGATCTATAAGCAGAGTTGGTCACAGTTCGGCATGATATTGTATGGGGGGCCGATTTCTTACTTGAAGCCTCCTGCACCGATACCGAAGATAACAAGACCAATAGTGAAGCAGGCGATGGCCCCATTAGGATGGACAATAATATCAGGTACCGCAGAGATGATCAAAAGGATGTGGCCCACCATGGCGAAGCCTATCGATGCCTGGATGGTCTTTAGACGCCCCCAGAACTCGTCCGCAACCCATGCACCGAGAATGGGCGTAAGGTAACACCAGAAAGTGTTAACTGGGGAGGCACAAACCTGTCAGCCCATACTCGAAAATGCTTCGTCAGACATCATTGAGGACTCACACATTGTTAATCCAGTGGAAGCTCGCTGCCCCATGTCTAAAGCGCCAGACTGGCCCTCGAAACCAGCACCAGTTCGTGAACCCGCAGGCAGAGGCTGCTGGATGAAGTTGACGACTGTACGGCATAGTCAGTAAGTGAAATGACTGATTTTATACACGAGGTACATCATACAAACTGCAGTCGTTCCATAGTACGAGAAACGTTCGCAGAGCTCGACAAAGGCGACAGTATAGGCAGTCCACGGGACCCTGTCAGCGACTCGACGCAAGGCTCGTTTCTCCTCCTCAGTGGGAGCCACCCGACCGTCAGTGAAGGCCTCCTGTTCCAGTTCTTGGAAGTTAAGGCTAAATCCTTTCTCAGTAATCGTAGCGGTCTTCTCCGAGGCGGGAGTTTCCATGCCCTGTTGAGAAGGGTAGGCCTTGGCCACCTCCACGATATCAGAATCTTTTACGCGTGCGCTCATCGTGACGATTGATCAGAAAGACACTGTCCGGTCTCTGATGCCAGCCACACGAGGGTAAAATGCGGCAGGAACATGACACTGCCTGCGGGCTGGCGTTGTAGATATACGGCGGAGATATCTAGAGGGGCGTGTGTCCTGAAGCGCCCTGCAGACGATGTTGCGACAGCCAGCACGTAACATCGCAACGCCTCCAATTGCTTAGTTTATCGGGCCAGTGAGTGGACCTCCTTCAACAGGGATGTTCTCTGTCGACAAACATAACTTGCCATATTAGGACCCAAACGCCAATAATCAACGCTAACGGCGTCTCCTGGGACATGATAGGTGTAACGGCTGGGGTTCATAAGTATGCACGACGCCGTTGGGACTATGCGGTGCCCATGTCTTCCGCGACCAGTATACTCGAAAGTGAATTAACAACATCTTTTGACCTACAGGCACGGGGTTTTCTCCGCCATTGTCCAGGTGGATCTCAGTGTTCAAGATTTTCTGGCGTCTAGCACAGCATCAGCTTGTTGTCCTACAACCTGTCTGATAATATCCACCCCTTGGTCGAGGTTGAGAGATTAACTGTCATCGCGACTGAGAATGATTAGGATTGGTGTGTGATACTGCATTGACAGGGGACGATTATAACAACTTTGCTTGTTGGACGTGAATGAACGACCTTCTCTTATCATAAAGAGACGGAAACAAGAAACCGCATGCGAAAACTCGATCATTTCCAAATAGTATAAGATCTTAATTTGGTTATGAGAGTCATCAATTCCTCCGCTGCGGCGCTATCCGGGCGAAGATCTCGCAATATTTGGGCGGGGGTTAGATACACAAGCCAGTACGGAGTACAAGGTACCTATCAACCGAGACTCGGGGTGGCCGAGGTCTCTCTTGATGCACGCGTGGACATGTTTCTTTGGACTCTAAAATTTAGTCTTGGTTTGGCCATTTCTCCTCAACCCGTAGAGAAGCGGCATGAGCAGTTGGACTTGTGAGTGATAAGTTAGAGCTGTACGGCGAGTGCACTGCTCGTGCTCCCTCACTAACAACTTAAAAGAGGCAAGGAGGGACAAACGGTGCGGCGTAGCTACACTACACCAATAGAGTGATATGGCATCAGCATGGACACTGATAACGCAAAGTGCCATCGCCCAATCAGATGATGGATACCGAGATCAGTCGATGTAACCATCCGTCTGATAGATCACAGCCAGCGTCGCTCAGCAAGTTGATATAACGGATACTGTAACTCTCATCTCAGGAACCGTTGATATTGGCGTCCAAATGCGTCAGGCTCAAGTATTGAGATGGCCGTGCATACTAAGTAACTATCCATCCCAGAAGGTCAGCGGTCATTGGTCCCAGGAAAGAAGGGTCAAGAAAGCCCAGCGAGCTCTGCGGATACATAATGTCATATTGGCAAAAGATTAGGCGAACAGTAGCGCCATATTCATCGTCTATTAGTTATTATTACCTGCTGGGGGGTCGCTCGTTCTTCTGCTCAGGCCCTTTGACTACTCAGAGCTTGCGACACATGCTGGCATCACATCCTAAGTAGGTAGGGATCGTCGATCCAGGCTGGTGGTACATAGAAAACGAGAAAGCCGAGAAAGATGCCTGCCGGTGCTTGCGGTCAGAATAAACAGCAACCGTTGACTCCTTAGCTCTCCTGCTGGCTGAATTTTAGCTCACCGTGGCTTGTGTTTGGCTCTCTGGCTGGATACGAGGACACATATCGCGAATCTGGATAAGGGTCACGTGCTATCGAATTGGCCAGTCGTGTTCCAAAATCGGCGATACTATAACTATAATACTATACACACTGGTAAATATACAATTCGGATTACACTTGTTTGTCTTATCGTGGGCTTCCCCTCAATAAGTAGCACCAGGTACCCGTGTATCCAACCACTTCCGTGATATTTGCTGAATGACAATCAGGCCCAGGTACTGCAGAACAATAGCAGTACAGATGCAACTCAACGCAGTTTCAAGTTGAAAGCGATCAAGCCTCCCATTCCGCGTGAAGCTTCGTATCCAGTTCAGTGTAGCCTTCTATAAGCTGCAGACCCCGCTTTCGTTCCTGCTCGATCATCTCCCAAGTCCACTCTTGGGAATCCCAAGCTTCGCCATTCTCCTTCTTTTGTTTGTCCAGCTCTGCGGAGTCGGGACTGTTGTCTTCATTGACAGTCAATACCTCACGGAGCAATGATCCGTCCACACCTTGCGCTGCCGTGATCCCTTCTGTGCTGGCCGGAGTGCCAGTCGCTGAAGTCTCGCCAGAGTCCGCAACTACTGGCTGCTCAGAGGTACCCTCGGGCAACGAAGGTAGGAACCCACTGGCTCGGAGAACCCTTTCCGGAGGCACAGTCAGTCGGCCTTTTTTGACCACATATTTGCTGATGGCAACAGCAAACAGAGTCTTGGGTTGACCCTTGCGCTTCTCAGGGCGCAAGAAGAAGCTTATGATGTATAACCACTTCCTGTCCCAGGCAGCAACCTTGGACTGGATCTCGTAGAGTTCAAAAGGCTTGATCTCTCGTTTGAATGTACAGTACACGGAACCAAGGGCGATGTACATGGATGCCTTCTTTTTGGACGGCCTTCCACCTTTGCTGGCATCGAGGAGCTCGTTATCCAGCTGCTTGCTGACAATGCTCATGCCAGGGCTGTAGAGCCGCGTGACGAGAGCGGTACGCGAGATGTCAAGGTCAGAGAAATAGGTGCTATTGGACTTGTGGATATTGTAGTCCGTTTCTAGGAAAGGCGTCCTCGAGTAGATACTTGTGGGGACGAAGACCGGATGCGTGGGCTTGCCCTTGGAATCAAGAGCACGTTCTGCATTGCCAGGAAGCGTGACTCCTGGGCGGAAACGCAAGTTTCCAATGAGATAGTAGAGCAAGCGAACCTGGGCTAGTTATTAAACACAATTCCATGAATAACGTGTAGAACAAGTATTAAGTAAAATGGGCGACAGTGGATAAAAGGGATGGATAACCGTTCTGAAGTGCTGCTGAACCGAACAAGATAGGTCGACCTACATGCCATGTGAAGGGGAGATTCTTGATATTAACCAAAGCCAAAACTAAAGCCAAGGTCTTCCATGACACCAGAGGGAGCAATGAATCGACAATGTCGCGGACGCTGTCGATCCCGACAGTGGGGAACGACATGGCTGCCATTTCTGATCTGGCCTTAGAGTGACAGAGGCAAATTTATATCAATTGGCTAATGCGGCTTGAAAGCGATGATAAAAAGGGAACGTGTATGCGCAAGAGCCGATTGATCCGTATCGAAGAGCTCCCTAGTCAACCCCTTAGACGCAGATTAGATTCAGATATGAAGCAAGATGACACACCACAGATCACACAATTGAAATAAATAGAGAGAGTGGAGTGTGATTGTTATAATAACAAATAAATAAAATATAACCTGTGTTCAGGAAAAAGAAAAGAAAAGAACACGCGGATGAAACTAATAAAATTCCAAAAAACTATCTCCCTATCGTCGTTTCCTATCGAGGTTTCATGGAAAGTACCGAGGTTCCCGACTTACGCTTAGACTACTTATCCACGTGATCTAGACCCGACCAGGTGATTTTAGTGCACGACCAAGACTAAGCCTATCTGGGACTTAACCCGACCATCTGAAATACTATGTACAGTGAAATCTTTTGAAAGTTTCTCATCCTTGAACTAATATAACCCTCCTCCTATGTCGGGGCAGAGCTTAACTGATCGGCTAATATGCCACAAGCCTCTTCAGGCAAGAATTTCTTTCCGAGGTTGCACTTTATGTACATACGTCATCCCATAACTACCCAACATAGCTGGATCAACCCAGGAGCAACCAAAGAAAAACAAGAAAACCAGAGAAGCCCTCGCCCCTATTCATGGACTCTTTAACCCGGAGAAGAATGAGTGGGAGCAGCCTACCGCCGTTCGCAGCTTGTTCAAAGACTGGAAGGTTGAAATTGGGCTCCTTGACCTTTGTAGCTCATCAGGTCTCTCAACCAGGGACATAGGCATTCAGTGACATCTTGATCACTGCCAGCAAGGACAGCCACGTTGTCTCCTTCTTAAGATTCACCTGTGTCCGAGCCGGACGTTGATAAATACTACTACTACTACTACTACTACTACTACTACTACTACTACTACTACTACTACTACTACTACTACTACTACTACTAGAAACTTTACCTGTCGAGAAGTCAGGAAGTATTTCCAAATCGTTTTCTGAGCAAGCAATACAGATGATACACTTTATCACAAATGTAAGGGCTGAACTTATTCAATACTGGTTCAGTGCCGATTTTCAATTTGTCTAGTATTCAAATTTCATTATGGGTATTTCAGATGGTCTGGTGAGCGTGCATGGACCAATTCTAAGTACCTAACGACACAAGTGATGAAGTTTCGTATACGTTCACTTCAGCACGCCTGAAGATTCTTGATACTTCAAAGATGCTGGTAAGAAATTACAATATCCTGTTAGAATCTCTAGTGATTAATGCGTTTATTAGAATCATGTTAAGAGGGAGAAGGAAAAAGCAGCTGCAGAAGACCCAAACTTTTCTATAGCTGCATCCGACGATCTGAGGAAACTATATGCCTACTTCTTTAAGGAGTCTACACCCGAAAAGCTCTTCGAGGTCTTTTACTGGATGAAAGGTATATTAGACTTTGAGAAAAGCTCCGAGTTTGGGAAATGGTATCTTCAGAGTAAGAGTTTTTCAAGACCTCAGATGAGTAACTACCCAGCTAATACCTTCATATCGCAGATGTATATGCGAATCGGGACGCATGCGATTGCGATTTCGACCGCGATCGCGATCGTGCGGGTTGTAGTTCATCTGCTGCAATAGCAGCTGCTTCGAGCAATTGCTGCAGGCCTTTTCGGGCTTTGATAATCACGTCCTTCAGATGGCCGCGGTCAACGGATAGCGGGTATTCACCCTGAGTTCCCAAATAGGCTTAGTATTGGTTATTCACTAGAATACCCTGGTCAGTTGATATAGAGTACGTACAGGAACGACAGGCTAGTCCATTACCATATATGACATTTGCTTTTGAGTGGCTGGCAGGACTGCATAACGACTACAGTTCTCTAATGCTCTTCTTTATTTAGTACCTTTTTCATTTCGAAGCTTTTCCTACTTCAAGGCTTCCATCGAAATCCTTCGTTCTCGTGGTCTGGAACTCGACTCGGACATGGTCAAGACTGCGATATTCGCATACAACACTCGGACTTGCTCACTTTGAGGCTATTTATACGTCTGGACTGTTCTCACTTTGATATATTTGTCTTTCAGGTTCTCGTTGCCACAAAATATTCGCTTTTTTAGCGATTTAAAACTTTCCTTCAATATGTCTTCTAGAAAGGATCTTGACAGTAGGCTCCCAAGCCCTGATAGAACGGTAGAGATTCGACCAGAAAGGGAAGTAACAGAGCAAATATCTCTGCATTCTGACAACGAGACAGCACCGTCAAATCACACGGTCACCAACCTCATCTTGCGCAACCTGTCCGATGCAAAGGAAGAAGCGACGGTCGTCTACGACATCGATGTAGACACGGCCGAGGAGGTTATCAAAGAGCTCGATCGCATTATAGAAAACAGGTCTCTGAGGTATGCAGTGTGATTTAAAAGTCCTCTCTGAGATTTTGTCAAATTATACCAGGCTCTCTTACAATTCTCGTCTTCAAGTTTTAAAGCTTGTCTTTTTACCTTCACAAATCCACGATGGCCACCAGCCCTGGCTACACAACGCCATCCGAGCTTGGACGCTTGAGGGGCTATTGCTTCCTCAAGAAGCCGATGGCCTTGAGGTATTAACCGGGATGAGTTAGAGATTTTACCATCCTTCACACAGTGAATATTCATAATATGAGGCTACAAGGTATTAGGATTTGAGTCGTTCGGAGGCCCATATATCTCATCACGCAAAGAACCTGACCAATGTGTTATACCGGAAACTATGACTATCCCCACTGTCGTAGTTGAGAGCGGGTGGTCTGAGTCTCGCGCACAATTGCACAGGGACAGAGATCTTTGGCTCATTGGCGGATTAGGATCAGTCCAGATTGTGATAATCCTGAAGTGGTCGAAGACGCCACAGAGATCCATTAAAGGAGACATCGAAGTGTTCGACCTCGATGCTTTTGGGAATATCAGAACCTTACAACAGGAGGTAATTTATTAACGAGTAAGTTAATATACCCAAGAACTAATATATATCATCGTTATGGACTAACCCTGAGTGGGACCCAGCAAACCCGTCGAGGTCGTCGAAGTACTTACTGAGAGAGTTTATCCATGATGGGATCCCATTCTGGGGTCTGGTTGATATACCTCCCCCTGTCCGCCTCCCATGATTGCTTCTATGCAGGTCGTCAATATTACCAGGGGTCAGCTGTTCGGCTCAGCGCTTCCGGCTGGGCAAAACCCGGAAACGGTTTTCACCCTTTCTTTGAATGACCTGCGGGATATTGCGTATCGATGTATCAGACGCGAAGGATTTCTTCCGGCCTAAGGGCCTTTTGTTGGGGTGATGCATGGATCGAATCAGTGACCAGGCCGAGAGTAGATTCGGGAGACCCTCGGGAGGATAATAATTCAGACAGTCGAATATAAGAGAAATGGAAGAACAGCCCTCAAGCAGAAAGGGACTCTGGAGGCCCCCCTATACCCTTTAATGTGAGCGAGGTCGCTGTTTCTTTTTCTCACCCCCCTGTACTTACTTTGCAACAGTAATATACGAATTCTCATTGTCTACTACATCTCGTGTCTATTTAACCCGCTCAAAACTCCTACAAACCATTCCAACCAACAACAACAGATCACCACTCTCTCTAGAAGATCGCCATACAGTTTGGAGGACTCGACACTCCCTGAGCACAGTTCAACGGACTACTCGAGACAAAGAACGTCCATCTCCCCAGCTTCTTACACAGCTCCGCCAAATCCTCCAAATAAAACATCTCCCCAATCGGAATACCATAACCAGCCAGCAGGTGATGATGCAGATCCCACTCCGGGTTGAGTGCTGGAAACACTTCAAAGCTCACTGCATCTGATGCAACGGCAGCGAAATGGTTATCCCACATGAACTTGATGACTTGCTCTGTCTGCTCGATTCCCGCATGCTTGGGAACCTTCTGGGCCCTATACGCGATCTTCTCTTCTTTCGTCAGCTTCTCCCACGTCTTCGTCAGTCCGACACGTAGGAAGAAGATATCTCCACGCTTGAACTCAATGTTACATTCACGCGCGATAGTAAGGACATCATCTAACGTGACGGTGTGTTGTGAAAGGGCATTGACGCTGATTCCTTTCTTTTCAACATAGGAGAGGTAATCGATCAAAACGCCGCGGCCGGCGATTCCTTTCTTGGCCCAATGCCCGATTCCGATGCGTGTGGGGTGCGGGTCTTCACTCATGATCTCCTCGATCTTTGTGCCTCCGTACCAGAGTCTAGGTCCGTCGGGGGTCAGTCCCGGAGCGCTGTGGTGGCGGAGTCCGTCCCATTGAGAGGATTGTTGTGGATTGAAGTGATATTCGTCGTCTAAGGCGATTCCTTCAGCGCACCATTTGATTTGATGAGAGAATGGTTTACGGCCGTATCCTGGTGTTGTCATTAGCATGCCTTATTTATGTAATGGATTGTATAGATCGTCGATAGAAGAGCGCTCCACACTCTCAACAAGTTGAGAAAGAAACGAATACTAAGACAGCTACAAAAGAGTAACCCAAAGAAGAAAAAAATGAAATTACATACCTGGGTAATCCAACTTTTCCAAATCCCAATTCAAGCAGACGCGTTCACCAATCTGAATCTGGCTGCGCGCCGCCTCTGCAACGACCTCTGCCGTCAAAAGACGGAGCATTCCCAGACCCTCTTCATGCGAACCGGGAGGACAAGGCCAGTATCTCTTCTTGTCAGGGAGATCTTCATACTTCTCTGGTATGTCGGCCATTATTGGTGATGTTTGTGAGTTGGTAGCAGTAGGTATGAAACCACTGCGGGTTCAAGTAAGTAGTGCGTAGATCGCTCTGCAGTGGTATTGAATTAGGTACCCGTCGACGATAGAATTGTTTTTAATCCGATCTTTAATCAGGAAAACCCAACACGTTTATCTCAGAATAATGCCGCTGTTTAAATGTTTACAGAATCGGAACATCACCGATGGCGGATAGTGGTAACCGGGATTTCGACCGATGGTGGGATTGCTTGTTTTCAGGAAAGAAAGCTACGAAGCTCCACGTTTGGGCTTCCGAACCCCGCAATTACCCCTCGATTATCATCGCGGCTGTTAGTTATATCATGGCCGTGTCAACACTGGGAAATTATTGACCGGACGCTAGCAAGATTAATAACTTTCGCAGTGTCTCCACCACGTGTTCTACCTGGCATACATTCATGTACTGTATTGTGCGCTGAGTATAGCTTCATTTTGCAGGGAGAATGTAGAATACAGTATCGCTCTCCGGTCATATGTGTACGTACAAACGTTAGAAAAAAAACAACAAAAAAATGACCCTTTGTTAATACATAGGAAACAAAAATGGCCAGCCGGCCCCCGGGGTATATCCAGTTAAAGTGCATTCATAACCAACTTCCTCTCGCTCCCAGCATCATCAGCTCTCTGAATAGATTCTTGTGATAGCATTGTCGTAACTTTGATGCCGCCCATGTTCTTCAGGCTGTCGCTATCCTTGCTGCTGTCGTCATCGCCCCTCCTCTTGGACTTCAACGAGTACATGTGAAATTCAGGGTCAGGGTCACCGCCTCCTATAACGGAGGCATTTATGTTTGAGAAAGCTCCATGAGTAGTTCGGCTTCGGACGTCTTTGGTTTTGGAGCTTGAAATCCCGTTAAACAGACGGGGGAAGATTCGAGAGATGAAAGGTCTCAGACTCGGAAGGCATGCGCAGATGATAGCAACATTACATTCGACTGCGGACCACGTCGCGGCACCAACATTGTCATCTAGTCGACTGCGTTAGCAACAGTACTTTCTTCTTGGAAGTTCAGAGCCAGATAAGACCCAATCCACATACAAGTTTGGTCCTTAGCCCTCGAGATAACGAAAAGACTTTTCAGACGGAGGCAACTTGTCACAGTAACGCTGGGGGAGGACGGAAAAGAAATTAGTACGTAGACGATGATGGGTGTAATGTCGGGATACTCACAATGAACCCAGGGCAAAAACACCCATAAGGGCTAGCTTTTGTCTTTGTGGAAGTTGCAGGGATTTCAGAACAGGCATAGGCAAAATCATGATGATAATATCGGTCAAGATGTGCATGCCCGAATTAGAGAACCACAGTCCTTCCTTATTGAGGCAGTGGCCAGGGATACTGTCATCCCAGAACTTGGCCACTGGGATGCAGTTCAGCCACGCCGTGAGGACTGTCCACGTGCCATAGAGAGCTAAAACGGCAATCATGATGTTGCAAACGATGCGAATCTTCTGGGTTGGGAACACCCGGCGATACTGAAAGAGAATGGATGCTTTGGTGGAAATTAAGCTGGTTTGGTAGATAGGCACGGAAGCCCAAAAGCACTGTGAAAGGGTGGTTAAAACCGGTAGAGAACGGATATCTACAATGGAATATCCTTACCTTCATTTGCTTGACGAGAATATCCGGAGGGATATCCGCGATATGTATGCCCATGCCATATTCGACCTCTGGTAAACCATTTTGTTAGTAAAACTACGTTCATCTTCCGATAGAATCCCGATAGACTATGATATATGAGACTAACCGCCTGCGAAGAGTCCCAAGAAAGCCAAAGAAAATATCTGGAATACTGTTAAAATAGACTTCAAGCAAAGCTGGCTTCCATAGTGCAGTGTGACTTACAAGAGAGATGAGGATAATCCAGTCATCTGAACCCATCTGTCTTACCAGGAATAACCTGGTGTAGAATCGACAGAGGACTGTGACTGTTGCCAAAGTGGTGAAGACGATACTGATATCGAGGGCATGACGACCACGAGATCCCTCCATTTTGTCCTTTAACGAAGCAAAAGCTTCCGAGCTCTAGTAATTATTATAATAGTGACTGAAAGGCGTAGGAAAAAGAGTGGACAGCCGGAGGCAAACGTCTGGAGATCGAGCCCTCCGCGGTCTTGACGTTGGGGAGAACAACTGGTGCCCTGGAGGTGAGCTATATGCACCGGTCTAGTTCCGCCATCCAAGGTAAAACCATCTGACAGACAGGCGGAGGAGCAATGTTGAAATGTTATTATTATTCCAGAGCGGAAAAGGAGGGACGAAATGGCTCCAGGAACGACGAGTCAACCTTCTCCAGAGAGATTTAAGGCTAGAACGGTACCGGGTGGATACTCTTCGGATCTTCTCATCGTAGACGAGCCACAGAACCTTGTCCATAACGCTCCAAACCCTAGAGTCCTAGCACTGACGATCTCCAGGGACCGGGTCCTTTTTGGTTCCTCGCGGAGATCGGTAAGAGTGCCCAAAATGGCGGTCCATGGTAGAGCACGCCCTCTAACTGCAAGCGCTGCACGAGCTTTCATACGTAAAGTAGGCGCATGGTCCGCTAGCAATAGCGAGACCCGGGGAGCATCTCAATAGAGTAGTAAATACGATATCTCAGGAGATCTACATCTCGTTTATTCCGATCAGTCGTAAGGGAAATGATTCTGAAAGTGGGTATACAATCCAGTCTCGATTAATAGAAAAGGCCGGGAATCAGCTGCTAGAACGACCGGTTGCCCCCTATGCCGACCTGGAAGATCCCTGGCCACGTGCATTGATATTGACCACGCTATGCGATTATGATGGCTGGTGACATTTTATTTACAGCGTCAATGCGTCGATGTCTCCGGTGACCTTCAAATTGATATATCCGGATTTTCTCAAGAGGTCATCCAAATTCGGTTCCGTCGTCTGGATATTATATAGACGCATAACTGCCGATTCTTGAGGTTAAATCTTAGTGAAGTATACTGAGTTCATCCGACAGGGATCCTTGACGCCAATTTTCTGCTATGTCCCGATAAGAAGAATGCTCAGCAACAAAGTTCAACAGCGAGAGCAGCAAAAGGTCCTCTAGAGTAGCGTTCAGACTCGCGACGTAGCACGGGCTTTTCTCCGTCACAGTAGCGTCCCACTACGACCGCCAAGACAGGAAGTTGAAGAACGCACAGGCTAGAAGAATCTACCACAGTGGGGTGCTTGGGCTATCATGTAACTCTGTAGTTCAAGTTAGCCCAGTCTTGCCCTCGCCGAAAGGCGCAGGAATTTGCGATGTGCGATCGATCGTGAGTCCTTTGCCGCTTGCTCATCCACCTGGCCGGTACATGGTCATCCATGTGCGTACAGCCAGCGCCACATCCGATGCCCACATTATTGCATCTATTGTTGTTTTTGTTTGGTTCTCATTGATCCCTGAAAAAACATAGCTCAGGAACTTCCCCCCTGAGGTGCAAGAAATCAACACGGTTAGACATGGAAGTTATGAATCGGGCCGGTCAAACTGAGATGGATACCATGGTTCGTCTCCTGTCAGGAAAACCCGCACTGCTGGAGCATCCCGTTGGCAGGTTGCAACTCGAGTCGTAAGAGACCGGCCCAGGCAATAAGAAAACGTGCCTGCGTTCAGAAAGTTGCGTCCTGCTTCTTGGTCGAAGTTTATGAGCCACTCAGTTGGTGCGGGACGGGAGGGTAGACGGAATACCCCAGTGTGCTCTCCAGCTGCCAGCAAAAGCAATTCATAACGGTCCCAATTAACTGTCTGGCATTTGCCTGTCAAAAGCTAAAGGAATATGTACCGAAAAGCAGCACGAAACTCTACGTCCACGTTGTATCCACAAGGGGAAAACGTAAGAGACGTTGTATGGATGCGGCCAAATATTGGCCGACCACGCGGATAGTGAGCACGAGGAGTCCAGACACGAGGAGTCCAGGTGTCACTTCGTAGTTAGTTAGTTTCCCAACGCAGATTACTAAGATGCAGTGACATCAAATCTATCACTTTGACCTTGCCACACCATCAGATGATATGGTAACTAAATCATCGTTTTATGCAGCAGTTGCGCCAGGGCAGCCTGTGCCAAGTCAGCCTTATAATTCAGGTCTTCAAGAAAAAGCCTAGCAACCGGCTAATTTGGTGCGATCTGATCTCAGGAAAATTGTCCAGCGTGCCTCTTACGTAGAGTAGGATTTGTAGCGTGTACGGTCTGGTCTAATCAGCTCTAAAATGGCCGAAGAGCGACCATGACTCGCAGTTGCCGCACAGAGCACCTGTTGCGACATCGTTAAGGCGAATAAGACTCGTTAGCGCGAACTACTGGAATGCCCCTCCTCGATCGTTCGCATGGCGTCCACGATAATGGTGGTTTATGCTTTGAGGCTTGGATGGCTTCGATAAACCCTCAATAATTCAGCGCGCCACCAAGCTTGGACCTGCATTAGATATGTTATTAGCTCCCACAAAATCTCTTCTAGTCGAGTCGACGTTGTTTTACTTACGGAAAAAATATTCATGCGCACAAAGCCTTGTGTGGCTGGCAAGAGCCGGAAACTCGGATAGATGGTGCGACAACGTGGACCAAAGTAGCAAAGCTTCTCATTTAGGGCTTATTCTGTGCATGATACTGCGGGCGCCGAGGACTCAGGGGCAGGGAACACACGCCGGGCGTTCGTGAGAGAAAAGGCGCCGTTTCGCCCTGATCGTCGTCTCGAATCGAGAGAACCAGGGCTAAAATCGGCAATCGGCGAGTCGGGGTCTCATATCCCTCACGAGACTACGAGCCGCGACAGACCGTTTCCTGTCCAGCGCTTGTCCCATATCGTGGGTGATCGACCACGTTCAGGCGGGGCATAGCCATGATGTTATTCTATATGGCTCCGAACCGTAGCTGTTGTTGCCCCTGAAGATGCTTGATACCTGCAGTGATTCCACAAATCACAGTTGTCCAGTAGATAACTTTGATATGCGCGACAAGACATAGCGGTCATTATTGGCTCTACAGGACATGGTCAATCAGACATGACATAGCAGCCACAGACTTGAGCATCTCAGGCCCATCAGAATTGCCCTCAAGCCGAGGTTCATTGGTTTCGTTGCTGCAGTGTTACAGCAAAAAGAGTATAGCGGCCCATTGATGAATCGGGATGGGTATTATTATTATTGCTGGCTACGTTAGCCACAAGCAATCTGGCTAGGAATTTAGGATGTCGAGTCTCAATCATATAATCACACAATAGGGCAACGTGCTCATTGAGGTCGGGCCACGAAACGGGTGTGCTGCTATGTGTCTGGATATGTTCTAGCACGAAGGCCGTCTCCCGCCAGGGACCGCTGGGACGGGCTTCACGGCCATACTAAAATCGCCCCGAGATCGTTCATAGCACGAGCTAGGCGGGAATGCTCCGGATAGGTCTGTTACGAATGCGTAGATCTTCTTGTCCAATATCCATCACCACCACTGAGTCCACGACGGGCTATCGTTATGTTAGAATAGTTATATGCTTCCCGCGACAGCGCGGGCCGGGGGGAACGGTACCTTCCACGCCGTGTCCTAGTCCAAAGGTATTATTGTGGCTCAGTACCGGCTTCCTGTGGGTCAATGCTTGACGGTATTTGATGTTAGGTGGATGCGATAATAATAATAGTACCAAGTGATATGTTATGCGGAATTATTGATCCAGCAGAGGTCATACTATCAAATCAAAGTTTATCAAGTTATCAACGTTGACAGACCCAGTGAGGGGACGACAATGAGACGGGCCGCCTTGATGATATCGTGTACCAAATGATGTTCGTTCCATTGAAGCTCACGCTATCTACCATTGGCGGGAGATGGTGCCCCATCGAGGTTGGCGATCTTGGAAGCTCTGCAGAAAGACGGTAAAGAAGTGATATTATTATAACGCTGTGACTGGAGGATCAATAGTCAGTATAAAATCATGATCAACCCCGTCTGGAATCTAGATAAGACATCTGTGTTCTGGAATTATCTCTAAAGGAAGAAACAGCTCTAGATCGGGGGGAGTCCCGCAACTATTATTGTCCCGTCCGAATGGTCCTTGGGGCAGCCAAACCTGTTAACATCCCTGTCGCCTTTTCCAACCGCACGGGCTATAAACGCCTCATTATTGTTATCTCTCGCCATGCCAGTACCTCATAGAGTCTACCCCGTATCAACGATAACTATTCCACGTAACCACGAACCATTCTTACCCCGAATTATGACCGGCGGCGCGAGACTATTCCTCCACAAACCGCACCATCGGAAGCTGCTCCCCGCGATGGAGGAAGTGCCAGCCCTCTGACTTTGCTGTTGCCGCGGAATGACAGGGATGGACGAGTTCAGTAAACCCAGTGGCAAGCTAGTTGTTACAGATCGCCGAGCATTATTTTGATACTGTGAGAATGGACCCGATGGAACGATTCGCCTAACAGATGTCTCAGAGCTAGGATACAGGAGAGGCTTTCCCCCTGTTTGGTCCTCTACGAAGCTAGAGCCCAGGGGATCTGCACTAGTTACTAGGTAGCAGGATCGAAGAGGAGCTGCATAGATGCTAGCTTTAGGAGGAAAGTGCAACGAGACATAGGGCATCGACTTGGAGAAAATGCCAGTCCTAAGATTCTAAGGAACATTGCTAGCATCGCTAGCATCGCTAGTCATTATGCCGTTCATTGAATAGTTTGGACGAAGGATTGTACTGTCATTGAAGAGCAAGGTGAAGTTCCATTGACTTGTAGAGCATGAAAGCGTAGCGACAGCCATTTGACTATCTAAAATATCTGCTCGATTGTTGTATCTCGGACGTATATCCTTTTTTAGGAACCTGGGTCGCAAAAAAAAGCCAAATATTTCTCTATTGAATGATTGGAAACGAGAGCATCTTGATGGAAGGTGATATTTCACCGCTTATATATATATATATGCAGGTACACGTAGAAGCTGGCATGGCCCCAAGCATCTTGTTCTGGCATACATGTCCTAGCTATAGCTAGTTAGTAGTAAACCTGCTCCCTCCCAGGAATTCTGTGTTGCATTCTTTCCAGAGATGCATAGGAAGCAAACTGAGAAATTGTCTGTCGCAGGCGATACTATGCTTGTCAAATACAATGATAGCCCTGCAAGATAGTCCAGCACTGTCATAGGAGGGTGATTCTTAGAGATTACATGCCCGATGCGACTAATAAGAATGCATGTATATATATTAAACAATATTATCTCAGTAACCAATAGCCAGTGTATTATGTCTTCTGACTGTATAGTCTCGTTCTTCATTCTGGATATATCTTGGCGTTCTGAGGACCATAGCAGTAGTTAACTAGGTACTTACGGGTTTCTTCAGATAGCGCACAATGATAAGCACATAGTCCACGGATACATTATTATTATACGCGCTCAAAGTCTCTGTAATAATAATGAAAACCCGGCTAAAAACGGATATTCTCATTGATGGCGCCGGGTGAAGTTGACCATAAGCGCGGCCCGTGTGGAGCGGAATAATTTATTGGATGGCAAAAAGGACGATAGCTAAGCATCGCGCTTGGACTGGCCATCAGCACTACTGTGTCGATAGCGCTTCATCTGGAGATGACTCTTTTTCTTTATCGACGCCACTCATTTCTAGTCAAGATCTAGCGATGAGAGATGCGCGTTGAGAATTCAATAGTCGCGAGAGCCCCGCGCTCTTCTGGTCGAAATGTAACTCATTCGCGGCGGGGATGTCTGACCTGCAAAAAACGCAAATTGCGATGCCCAGGTGAGCGATAATAATATATTAGCACCATTTTATTCCCGATCGGGAACTGATCGACTTGGTAATAGAGAACAAACCAATTTGCAGCCGCTGCTGGGACGATAACAAAACATGTAGATACGAAGTCCAGCTGCAGTGGGAGGATGAAAGCCGTCAGCGAGGCGTCAAGCATGGTCGGGCTACTCGGACTTTGGCTCCTTTGAGCACCCAGTCATGGGTAGAGGCCCCGATGAAAGGAAAGGTGGAACATTTTATCAATACTACTGTGCATGACTTGGAGGATGAAGTAGCCATTTCGTTGTTCCCTTTCAGGCATTCCTACACAATCCTGCGCAGAGCGTCTAGTCCGAGCATCATCATCGAGCCTGCATTGTTTCCGACTTTGCGCGCGAGTCAAGACGGTCAATTTTTCGATTTTTGTAAGTAACTATACAGCTCTTCTCTGGTGTCACTCTGAAGGTCTTAGCTGAGTGATGTTATGCAGACTTGCAGCGCGTTTGCGAGAACATGACGCTCGTTGACTATCAATACAACGCTTTTCGCCAGATCATCCTGCCATTATCATTGAATGATGATCTTGTTATGGAGACCGTTCTGGCCCTTGGAGCCTTAGCACTGAGCGCTACAGGACAGGAGAACATTTATACCGTTGCATTACGACACAAACATCGTTCGATTCGACTACTTCGACAGAAAATCAGCAATATCGAAACAGCTGTGAATGACTATAACCTGATAGCAATTCTAATGCTTTGTGTTTTCGACGTATGTGATCTTATATTCATTCAAGTACTACTCTCCGATGCTGAATTCCTTCCCGGTTTAGATATCTGATAACTGCCAAACATCCTGGTCAACACATTTATCGGCTGCTATCGATTTGATGCGCCTGCAGACCGATAAAAGTAAAATACCAGCGATATCACCGGCTGTTTCTGAATTTGTTTCAAGATACTTCCTCGTCAGGGACGCCCTTGGTCGCTCAGCCTGTGGGAAGAGGGCGAAGATTAAGGAGCTCCCTTCGTCACAATCTGATGAGGTAAAATGCGCGAGCCTACCTCCTTTCTCTGGATTCTATGCTTATTCAAATATTATTAGATCGACCCTTCTATTGGCTGTTCATATGAATTAATCCATATCATCTCGTCAATAACAGACGCTTCAAGAGAAATAGTAAGTACATACATAAATACATAAACACATACAAATCCACGCTTGTATCCCACTCATCCTTATTCTAACCTTTAACCCGAACAGACCATATCCAACACCAGCCTCATGGAATCAAGCGACTGGTTGAAGAAAACCAATAACATAGACCACCAGCTCAGATCCCTCGCCCAACGACTCCCACCTTCCTTTTCACAGAATCCCACAACTGCTTCTCCCAGCGAAGCGCTCTCACCATCTGACATCCTCCTACGAACATCAGCATTCATCCACACCGCAGCCAGACTATACTTCATCGCTACCCTTCGACCACAGGAGTGCTCCACAGCTCAAACACAACACCTACTCACCAGCGCTATAGAATGCATCAGACCCCTTTCACCTACTTATCTCCGCTCAGCGCATCTATGGCCGCTTTTCGTCGCTGCCGTGCATGCCACCGAGGACGAGGACAGAGTATTCTTCCTGGATCAGTTCAGCGTGCTTGGAAGACATGAGTTTTCCATCGTTGCGGCGGGGTCTATTGCCCGTGTGCGAGATATTGTTGAGACGGTGTGGAAGAGAAGAGATTTGGCGGAGCCTAGCTCCCATGTGGATGAGACTAGGATACGTAGCGATTGGGCGAGATATGTGCAGCCTATGAGTGATCAGTTGAGTCTGGGTTGATGCTGTACGCTCGTATAATGATGATGATATGTTCAGTTTTGGTTATAAACGAGTCTGATGATGAGATGTTGCGAGCAACTTTGGCAGAAGGGCATGGGATAGCGGATAGAATGTGGCTGGTTTCTATTCTCTCTATTCGCTCTTTGCTTCTCTCTTGTATTCTGTTTATCTCGTGTAATACTACTTACGGAAGCTTGCCCTTATTGTGGCCAAAGATACTGAGAACGCTTCTCCTTTCACAGATGCTTCAAACAAAAGGATACTCGTGTTCTTTGATATTTATACACAGTAACCATTCGATCCCACTAAGACTTTACATTTTTTCCTGGATCTACATCGGATACAGTCCCTTCGGGCCTTCCTGATACTTCCTATTTACGACAATGCAAATAAACGGGAAAACTCAATCAATGGTGTTCAATCGCCCCTTCATATGCGCCAAACGGGTTCTTCATCCCGTTTTTTCGACTCAACACAAGGTACTTATAACACAGAAAGACTCAAGATATGTATCTCACAGGTCGTCCTCTTCTTCGTAGGACGACGACTTTCCTGAGACTCCCTTGCCGCGCAGATCGGACATTTCGTATTCCTCTTTGCGACCTCCGTTGGCGGCAGAGGCAGACATGGCAATTGCCTGCCTTCCGGTGTCGGAGGACTCGAGGAATTCGCGAAGTCGACGCTTTCCTTCCTCTACTGCCTGGCGAGAGGCTGCCTCAGTCATCTTCATGATTGGACCCCAGAGGTTAAGTTTGTACGTGACAAATGCTCCAACAGCACAAACGAACAAGAGGAGAAAGTAAGCGGGGTTGCGGAGTACTATAGTAGAAAGTCAGCTTCAATGTTCATTTGAAAAGATGGTTTCGGAAGAGTCTGGATGTGATACTCACCAGCAAAAATTTCGTTCCAACCAAGAGCAAGAAGCAAACCGTAAAAATACAACGGGACCTGGGTCATGCCTCCGATGGCGCTTCGTTTGGCTTCGACATACACTCCGTCGGCCGCCTTCTTGAAACGCACCGTCAGGTCTTGTCGCTTAGCGTCGCTGAGGATGGTCGTCTCCTCTTCCAAGCTCTTGCCATCTTCTTCGTCCACGCCGCCAATGGGAGTCAGATCCTCCTCATCAGCAGGGGTTGCTGAGCTGGGAGTCTGGCCAATCCATTTGTCAAGAGGTGGAGGAGCATTGGTCTCTGAGAGACGGAATCGAGATAGCAGAGGGATCAGAGTCAGAGTTGACTCTCTGGCACGGGTATAGACACCCTCGATGTCATCGGTAGGACGCCATATTCTCGGTACTCCTGCCTCATCATACCGGAATTTGTCCTCGAAGTTCTCGCGAAGCTTCAACAAGAGGTTGCCCTCCATCATTTCCTCATCGATCTTCGTACGTAGGACGCCCCAGGACTTCCTTCTGAGGCGCCAAAGACCGACATCGACCTCTTCTAGGCTGGCGTCAAAGCTCCGGGCACGATCTGTGAACCTGCGCTCCGCATCGAGAACTGTATCCACGAACAGGTTCCAAATTCTGTCCCAAATGTCCTTCTCTGCTGGCTTCTCGCCGGTTTCGGGAGCACCAGAGCCGCCACGCCCCGAGCCCAGAGCGTTGAACTCCAAACCGACAGATTCTGCAAGCCGCGATTGAACCCATTTTTCAACACGCGTTGCCAGCCGGCGCATCTCCTCTCTTCTAAGTCGCCCACTGACCTCTCCAAGGTCCTTCTGATATAGAGATAGGGCACTCTTATAGTCACTCCAGGCAGCACCTTCCACCACCAAGGCACGAGCTGCTTCTTCAAATCTCGTAAGCGCGGTTTGCGTCTCCTTTGAGACAATTTCGGCGAAATCGTAGCTTGCACCTTTCTTCTGGCCAGATTTGACAGCTGCAGAGACAGCTTCACTGAATTCATTAACGCCCGATTTGTGAGCTGCACTGAGCTGGCCGTGGACAAGGGCTTTCAAACGGGTATCGGTCTTGTCTTCCAGTTCTGCTCGCTTTCGCTGGTAAACACCCTTATGGTATCGACTAGCTTCCGTCTCAAACTTCTGGAAGGCCTTCGTGCGAGCCGCCCTCATCGCCGGGCCCAAGCCTCCGAGCACTTGCGGCTGTCCAGAGCGAACGCCTTCTGCCTGCTTCTCCTCAAAGGGGATAATAGCCTCATCGAAGGCGAGTGTGACTTCTCGCAGAATCTCGTCACAGCGGAACTGTGCAAGCAGTTCTTGTTGTGTGGGGAGGTCCAGGTCCTTGTTGTTCACAATCTGGTCCCAAATACCCTCCGCATATCTCGCGAAACCGTCGGCAGGGATCCGTCTATGATACTCAGGAAGGAATATGCCGCCATCATTGAGTTCCAGCACGTCTCTCTTGGGATCCTTGCGCCCCTCACGGAATCGAGTGCCTAGCTTCTTTACCTCCGCAGCAAACTGATCGGGCTGGTAGCCCTTATGCGGCAGACCGTAGAAGGCAAAATCGAAGTAGTCATGGATCGTGGACTTCTCCAAGCCCTGGGGCTTAGACAACGATGCCCATATCCGTGACAAGTCCTCGAGCAACGTCTTCTGTAGGTTCTTAAGGGGGGTAGCGCCCAGGAAATCACGGATAACAAAGAACAGTAACGATCGGTGGGTCGTGCTATATGGGATCTTGTTAGTCATATCCAGAAGTGTACCGGACAGCCAGACTGAAGTTCAACCTACTTTCTGTCTTTCAAGAAAAGCTGCAGATTGACCTCGAAGACGGTCTTGAGCAATCCCATATTGGCACCCTGATACAATCCCACTTGGTGTTCCCAAATGTTGACGATCAGCACCTCACTGGTCGCCAGCGCGAACAGCGCACTCTTGCGCTCGAAGTCCTGGTCTTCGCCTCTTTCGCGTCCATCCGTACCCTCGACGTCCATCACTAGAATGTTGTCTGCCATTCGGGTGCTTTCATCTGTCCCCTGATTCTGCAATTTGTTCTTGGATAGCCAAATACCCTTGGTGGTCTGTCTTCTTTCCAGTTCGGACATGACGCTGAATTGTGTGCCAAAGAGGTGATTGAGGAGCGTGGACTTTCCGGTTGACTGGGAACCAAATACCGAAATAAGGTGGTAGTTAAACCCAGCCGGCGTTACATTTTCAAGGGAGAGATATTTTGACAGATTAGGACTATGGTAAGCTGTTAGTTGACGTTGACCGGCTGCACAATGCTAGACGTCCCCTGATGACGTGTGTGCTCGATTGCGACAAGGTAGGGCGCGAGAGATTCCCAAGGGCAGCAATAGAGACACATCTGTACAAAGCATGCTTGTTTTTGTGCGAGTAATATGACCTACTTGAACTCCTTTTGTTCGTCCACCACCTGTACGCCATGTTCGTAGGTTGTTGTGTCGTTGCTATCACCGACGGAAGCCATATGGCCGTTCGTCCCTATGACGGTGGGAGCAGTTGAGCTCCTGTTGGCGACGAGAGGTCGGTCCGACATCTCCAGCGATTGTATTGATGGCGAGAGAGAACGATCGCTGAGGACAACCGGAGTATTGCTGACGGACAGGATCAAGGAGCGTCAACTGTGGCGAGACCGCTGCGGCGCATGCAGTACGAGGGGGCAACAGGGGTAGCCAGTCAACAGAAAGGCGAGCTGAGCAAGATTCAGCAATGCATGCAGTCCAGGACGCAGGAGATGATGCCTCCAAGTCGCAGGAGGAGTAATGTTCCGATAGTGGAAGATGAAAGTCGCAAGTTGCCGAGCTGGCCTCGGCGATGCTGTTGCGGTCGGACGGTGTTGGGATCACGGATAGAGATCACAAGTAACTAGCTCCGCGGGCGCGTTTCTGGGGCTGTTCTGGTGGGCCAGGATCGAGCCACCGGTTGACCGCGTGACGGATGGTCGTATAAATAAAAGAACTCCACGACATAGTTAGATAGAGACACAAACTGGTCTATTTGCTCTCGTGGCTCCTCCTGTCTCCCTGCGGATCAGCGTCAATTCCCAGTCGGCGATTTCCTCGTCTCTGCAACGAGTCGTTTAGCGCCAGCAGTAGTTACAAGTAGACTCTCAAACAGTGTCCGTCACTGAGCTATGACGCACACTTGTAGACGATCCAAGCAGCTAAGTATATATACTCTTTATCTTTCCGTCACTCTGGAAATAATAATATCGGAACCTAAGGGACTGTCGGTACCTATAACCTTCTATAGGATGACCTTCTGCCTAGCGTACATTCTCTCATGGATGGGTTAAGATACTTAATCTTGACGTCTTACTAGGCTGTAAGGATGGCCCGGGCTAATTATTTTAAATGTGCAACTATCATGGCCGAGATTTATTGGAATCTGGAACAGGGACAACAGAGTGGAACCCCCGAGACTCCCCTGAGCAGGCCGCGCAACTTATTTATAGCCTTGTTCTAGAAGCATGCTCTGCTCCAGAGAAATATAAAGATGCAGTCTCTCCTTTCTCTATGCCAATGTTAACACCCGGACAAAATCCAGTGTATCACGTCTGTTGGTGCACAAATAAAAACTTGAACCGCAAAGAATCTGATCGAATCATGGGACATCGGTTGAATTATGGCAAGCTGGTTCATGAAAGGCGTATAAGTGGAGTGTTATTGTACATGATGACAACAATGCATCTCGTAAGATGAGTAGGGATCTAATTATGTTACATGGACCTTATTCGCAGAGGATTATTCGATCACTGCGTTGCCATCTTCAGTCCAGTTCAGGTTCCAGCCCTGGTCCAGATCGAGACCAACGAGGGGATTCGACCACATGCCTAGCCCTGGGTCTTCGAAGGAATTGTGAAAGCCGTTTGGGTCCAGTCCCGTATATGGTAGCGCAACCACGTTTTGCAGCTGGATCCACGACTCATCCGGGTAGCCACCCTCTGGTATCGGTGTCGGCTGCGTCGAACTGACGGCCGTCGGATTGGACTGCGGAGGAGTGTACAGCTGGTTCCCTTTCTGGCTTGATACCTGGGAATAGCTTGATGTCTGAGGCGAGCATTGAGTGATACGTTGAGCGGAGAATTTCTTCCCCGGCGCGACAGTGATGGTGCCAAAGAATGGGACCGTGATCTTGCAGCTTCTGCTGCCACTCGTCGAGCCAGGGCAAGAATCTCCAGACGAACAGTTGTCACATATCGTGCCCAAGATATTGGCAGACTGCGCAGCCACAGTGCCGCCGCTCTCTGCAGCAGCACGACGTAGACTCTCGGTAGTTTTATTCACCAGCTGCCAGTCCTTTTCATCTTGCATTCTGCTGTAGTTCTCCAATTCCTCCGAGTAGCCAAGTAAATGGACGACCAAAAGCATACCCAAAGTGAACGCGAAGAAGTCAAGCACTTTGCATATGTAGGGATTGATGCCTGCAAGAGCTCTCAGATCCGTGTAGGCGACCAAGCCATTCCTGGAGGATTCGAGAGCGGCATCGTGACAATATTTGCACCTTCTGTCCGTGTTCGATTTAAGCATGAATGGTAGGTGAAGCAGAGAGCGTAGGAAACTATGGTAGAAGAGGCTCATCAGGCGATCACAATTCTCTTGTACTGTATACTGGTCACCGGCATTCGGGTCCCACCAGCTGCTTGGCATCTCTTTTGCCAGCTCCTCCAGTTCCTGATCCATCCTCAATGTCTCCGGCAGGGACATTTCTCCAGGACGTTGATTCCGGTCGATGACCTGCCCCATGAAGACTCCTATGCGAGCCACATATCTCTCAAACCCGGTCAGTTGGCCGTTTAAACACAATTTAACTTGTGGGGAATAAGCATCGTCCGAAACAGAGTATGGAAGGCCCAAAATGAGACTGAGGAACCGGTCTGTTGAAACCAAATTGATCCATAGTCGTAGACGACGATCATATAGCTCATCACCGGGGCGAGGCGGTTTTGCGGTTAATAAATGCAGGCCAGTGAGTTGGGCAAATTCGATAGCCCGACGACAGGCCAACCAGGCTTTTCGTGGCCGCCCGACATTAGTATGATATTTCGAGATTAGCATCTGACACTCGATCCCCGGAAAGGTGGCTGCAAAGTCATCATCATGGACGATGAGCCTGTATATCTCGGAAATGCAGCGGTCGGTGTACTTCTTTGGGTCGAAAGGTCGTTGTAATGCAGAATAATCAAAATCCAATGGGAGCTGATCAATGCTCAACACGACACAAATAAGCATCTTAGCTACCTCAGCAGGAGAAGCGGGTATGTCGCAATGTCTGACACCTGTTGTTAAAGACCTGCGGCAGTTATCGCATATTTCTGGAAATCGTGTTTGCCAGTATGCCCACCACTTAATGGTTCCGTTGAGAATTCTATCTATATCTGGATTTGGAGGCAGAAGAGAGATCAATGCATTTCGTGCAGAGAGAGCCTTGGGTGACATATCCTGTGGCACAGCTTTGCTGTCGTCGCCCGATGGGGGATCTTCTCGAGAGACTACGTAGTTATTGAACAGTTGCAAAACAGGAGCGTTCGCAGTTTCCAGCTGATCGTACGAAGAAGACACCGAGGAAACTGTCGGTGTTGGACATATGTCATGGCTGGTGCTTCTCTGAGCCCTGGCAGCTGTAGGGTCATCAGTATATTGCTTCGTTTGGATAGACGGTTGATGAGTGAAAGGGAATATATGCCAAAAGTCACTTGAAGCATGATGTAGGTAATCTGCAAGCTTGCTCACCTCGTTCATTCTCTGAAAAGCTTTGTGCAGAATGAGCGAGAGGGACACTCGATTGGCGACCTTCCAATTGCGTCAAAATACCAGCCACAACAGTTTCCAGCTGGGCGACTCTCTCTCGCAGACTGTATCGCTGCTCTCCCCCAGTGCTGCGTGGCGGCAAGGAGCCATGTTCCTGATCAATGCATACGGATCCTCTGGCATAACACTCATTACAGACGTTGTGACGTTCTGGATCAAAGGTGCAACGGATCTTCCGGCGTCGACCTAGACAAATTCTGTCAACAAGAAGCAGTCCATCATATCGATATTAAACGGCCATAGCAGGAAGTGTGTAGCTGCATGGAATTCCCCGAAAGCGTAACTGGCTGGGCAACAAGAGCTGTCACAGTAGAAATGCGGGGGCACAGCGGATGATACATTCTGATGTGCCGCGCAGGATGCACAAAACCTCATAACACAGACATACATTCAATGCAGCTTCTAGTGCCTTTTCTCATCTTCTTGCGTGGTGGACCTTCAAGGTCCAACTGGTTCGCCGGATCCATGATGTGCAGTGAAACGGAGAACCGAACAGTCGGACTTGGTTTCGTCCGTGATGTCGGCTGTCGCGGACGGACTCCAACGGCGTTTATCTGAAGAAGCTGGTTACCAGAGAACAGACTGGCTGTGACAGCTGCTCGACAGGTGTTGATGCTCTGACTAAGAGATATACGCGACAAAGATCTTAACGCGTCTGTCTAGGCACCAGTGATTGCGCAACGGTCTTCACTAAGATAGCGGCAGAGAACATCGATAAGTTCAGTAGCCCGCGTGCTTCGAATGTCTAAGTAGTCGTTCTATGAGCAACCATTCAGGTCATGACCTGGAAGGGAACACTGACAACACAGCAGATTTGCAGAAGACATTACGTCCCAGCGAATTCGACAGCAAGCAACTGGTAGAGTTCCTTCGAATAATGACTACGGCAATACGATCTGTAAGCTGCCAAGAATCATAGTTACAGATCAGATGCTTCTTCGTTCGTGCGTCCGTTTCGTCCGCCGCTTTATGTCCGGCGGAGAGTCGTCCCGGTCTTTGGTTGGCCAATAATAGCATATCTAGCTGGATTTTCGTTTTCTGCCATCCGCAAACGGCTTAGCTTAACATATCTTTAGCTGACAAAGCATTTCGGTCGAATTGCTCCGTCGGAGATTAGAGATTATCGCGTGTATCGTAACTGGTGATCGCCGGCATACTGTTCCTCGTTAACATGGCATGGCCCCCTGGCCGCCTAAATGGCATGCGTCTCAAACATCATCATCTCAGATACTCCTGTTCGAAGATCATTCGCCAGATCGTCAACAGAGACACTTGGGAGAGATGAGAGAGCATTGCAAAGCAATATTGGCAAGTTTGATTCACTATGATTCACCATCACTCATGCACTAAACAGCCTGGTTCTCAGCCTTTAAATGATTTGCGATAGGTCTAGATTATTCTGGGTAAGCGCTACAAACTTAGATTACATCTGAATCGTGTCAGATATGAGCTAGCCCCAATGTTTATGTCGTATTTCCTCGTTTAGTACCTTGGATACCGTAAACGAGGCTCCGCCCCGGCATCCCATAAGCTTGGGTACGAAGCATAGATGACTCCACTATCATTCTTACAGATGGAAGTTCGTCCATCTGTCTCGGAGGTTGTCTGTTGATGACTTGTTTCCGTGCCAGTCGTCAACAAATCAGAAAGATTCTAGCAGGGATACCGATCCTGAGTACGATCCTACTGTTTTTTTCAGCCATAAGGCGTTCCATGTAGCGGAGGTATAAGAGTCGCAAGGGGACTCATTCAATGGACAAGAGTAAAGGTACATCTGAACTGGATACCATCACCATTGATTCGGCGCCGAAGAATATCGTGGACAGTCCCTTCCATGAAGCAAGATGGCTGAGCCAGATCGCAGATCGTCCCTTTCGGGACATACAGTGAATGATGTGGATGTCAACAGCACTCTGCCAACATACAAGATCGATATCGGAAAGAACCAGCCTGAAGATGACCCGATTGAGAAACGAGAAGATGCGGCAGTGGAAACGAAAGAAACGACAACCGAAGAAGAACAATACCCCGGAGCCTTTTCCCTCACGTTTATTGTCATAGCCCTCATCCTGGCCATGTTCTTGGTCGCACTTGATATGACCATTGTCGCCACGGCGATACCAGAAATCACAGACCAATTTCACTCCCTTGATCAGGTTGGTTGGTACGGTTCGGCTTTCTTTCTGACGCTGGCGTCATTTCAATCGACTTGGGGTAAAGGATACAAATACTTCACGCTGAAGAATACATTCTTGCTGTCGATTTTCATATTCGAGATTGGCTCCTTGATATGTGGTGTTGCTCCGAATAGCACTGCCCTGATCGTCGGCAGAGCCGTTGCTGGTGCTGGAGCCGCAGGCATCTCCAGTGGCGTGTATACTATCATCGCTTTCTCGGCACCTCCACGCCAGCGGCCTGCGTATACCGGTATCCTTGGGGCAACATATGCGGTTGCAAGTGTCGTTGGTCCTCTTCTTGGTGGGGTTTTCACAAGTAATGTTACTTGGCGGTGGTGGTAAGTCGCTTCCATTTACTCGTGATTGGGCAAGACTAACTCATCGCCATAGTTTCTATATAAACCTTCCCATCGGTGGAGTGAGTGCGGCAATCATTGTGTTTCTCTTCAAAAACCCCCCAGCTGCCCGCCCTGCCCAAGCAAGCTGGAAAGAGAAGCTCCTACAAATGGATCTCCCAGGCACATTCACTATCATGGCAGCTGTCGTGTGCTATCTGCTTGCTCTCCAGTGGGGCGGTGTCTCAAAGGCCTGGAATAGCAGAGACGTCATCGGGGTTCTTGTCGGCTTCGGAGTCCTCGTGATAGTCTTCGTTATTATCGAATGGAGGATGGGTGAGCGAGCGTTGATGCCCGCACGAATCTTGAAACAGCGCAACATCCTCGTCTGCTGCTTATACGTCCTCTTCGTGGTCGGACCGATGTTCATCCTGATTTACTACTTACCCATCTACTTCCAGTCGATCAAGAACGTTTCAGCATCCGAGTCGGGAGTTCACAATGTTCCCTTCATCCTGACCGTCAGCATCTTCACAATTATCTCCGGCGGTCTGATCACTGCCTTCGGCCAATTTGGCTATTTGATGATCATCGGCTCTGTGATAGCAACCATTGGTTCTGGGCTCATCTATATGTTTGACATCAACACCGGACCAGGTAAATGGATCGGATATCAGATTGTTGCCGGTGTAGGAACCGGACTGGCAGGTCAGATCTCAATCATCGTGAACCAAGCCTCTGTCGAACCGTCCGATCTTGCCACTGTGTCCGCAGTGACGCTTTTCCTCCAGACCATCGGCGGTGCATTCTGGGTATCAGCCGGCGAGTCAGCCTTCATCAATCGGCTGGTTCAGAAGCTACCCGACACTGCACCCCATGTGAACCCGCAACTCGTTGCTGCTGTTGGTGCCACCGATCTTCGCAAGGTGTTTAGCCCTGAGGATATCCCCGGTATCCTACTGGCATACATGGACGGCCTGAAGACTGCATTCATTCTGGCTATTGCTCTGGGAGGAGTCAGCGTCATCGTCTCCTTGTTTCCTCGATGGGTCAGTTTGAAGGGCAAGGCCGTTGCAGGCGGAGCTGCATAAAGGGCGTTTAATTGGTAATGAAGGCGCATAATAACTATATCCGGTATAGAGAATTTCACGTCAGCATGTATAACATCTTATTAAATATAGATTATAATAATAATGATGATACCCTTCTCCTTCACAATTCTTTTACTGTGAAAATAAAGATCTATCTTAGATGTTACTTAATAAAAAATAAAAAAAAAGCTATGTACAATCTTTAGATGAGGGCACATGTGGCTAGTAGAACATTTCGCGTGAAGTAGGAGGCGACAGTTAATAGAGATCACTCGAAATACTATTATTACCATCTCGCCCAGAGCGCCAACAAAAAAAAAGGCGGACAACATTACGTATTGCTCCCACTTCTGCTTTTCTTCATTTTCATTTTCATTTTCATGTTTTTGCTGCCTGATCAATCACTATCTTGCGGTTACTAGAACTCAAGACTTAATGCACCACCACCAAAAGCTGAAATCCCGACTAACTAGTTGAATATTTATATACTGCAATACACCAATCTCAGTCCTTTCTGTCATCTCTTTCTAACTATTCCCCATCACTAATCATATAACACACGCTTCGCCTAAAAACACCACAGAAACAACACATACTACATAGTTACATGCATCAAACCAAACCAAACCAAGCCAAGCTTATGTGATGCATAATGCACGACCGACCGGACATAACCAATACCAGTACTGTCTTGAATCTTGATAGGAATGAACTTTTGACACAACATGATTTATCAAACGACCCCTCCTTTCCCCACTCACTCACTCACTTCCTACCAGCACAATCAGTGATGATGGAAGGATATCATGAGACTCCAGCTCCTCATTCACGGGGGGAATTTGTCAGGCTGCATGCATCCTGCATGCATGTAGGAGCATAACAGGAGATATCTCGGAGCCCCAGCAGCTGAGGTGAACCACATAACAATGTTGAAGTACCTTTGCGGATTAATCATTTGGGGGGGGAGGGGGGCTTGTCATGTTTTCTGGAACTAACTAAATACATATTCTCGAGGATAATAAGGAAGGTGGGTTAGGGCGACTAAGCCGGTTGGGTTTATTTATTCCGTATAACTCTCCGTAGGATTTATTAATCTCCGTGATGGGTTTCGGAATTACCTAGAGTAAGTATGGAGCTTTTCCAAGCTCCGGTTCTAGTACATACATAGCCTCATTAGTTAGTTATCCCTTGCTAAGGCTTGGTAGTGTATGTAGTTACGTATCCTGAGTCATGGAATACAGCTGCGGAGAAAGACTAAGTGAGCGGTAAGTACCGGTCTAGGGATCAGTTAGATCACTACGATACGAAAGAGAACAAAGGAAAAAGACAAAGACAAAGAAAGGGGGAGGCTGAGGAAGGAGGAGAGTAAGAAAATTTGTCGTAACCCCTCCAGTTCCTCGCCGACTAAACCCAAGTCCGTGTTCTCGGTAAGTACTTACCTAGGTACCAAACCACAAAAGTCAGAAAGAACCAAGAAGGAAAGTTCTCCCAGAGAGGAGAGGGGGGGGGCGTTGGGGTTTCTCCTCCCTCCCTTCTTCCGTCGGAATCTCTCCACTCCCCTTCCCGAACAATGTTCCAGGAGAAATAAGAGGGGATCCAGAATGACAAAAAGCCCCGAGTTGACTAAAGACCCGAGAACCTGAAAGTCGGATCCGAAGCACGTGGGTTTGCGTGAGATAGATCACAAAGAACATCACATAATTACCTAGGTACCTAGTTAACACACAGCTTACAAGAAGGGTGATTTACGCCGACGTCAGCCTCCAAAAAAATGGCCCCCAACAAAGAGTTATTTTTTTTTGTTGTTGATTCCAGTATTTGTATTTGGAACCCAAACAATGAAAACACCATGGCGCTTACAGGATGCGCTAAACCAACTCTACTCTGAGGTAATTATTAAAGAGCTATAGTAAGTAAGTACGTATCCTTCTAGATTTTATGTCTTTTACATCTTACTCAAGTGGAGACGGGGATGGGCTCCGAGATGGGAGATGCGCCGCGATCTAAGCTAGTTGCATATCCCCCCTGCGGTCCCTCTTTTCTAGTCGTCTATCCTTTCTCTCTAGTTAGCACAAAGGTACCTAACCTAACCTATTATTTAGTTCGATCCGAGGAGATGATATCCAAGGCAGCGTGACGCAACGCTGATCAGCTAATGCTGGCCCCAAGTGGGGACGCGGTGGCTTGAGTATTTGAGATTCTGGAAGACCAATACGGGGAGACTAAAACGTTCTGGTATTTTGGTTCGGGACAGATTCGTGCGTTGGTGGGAAAAAGTTGTCTGGGGGTTGTATGCAGGTGCTGATTCGTAGAAATAAATTGTAATTGCCATTGTTGTTCTTTTGTTTCTCTTTGGGGGCGGATCTCAATGGTTTTGAAGACTAGTTCGATCGTGTACTTAGAATATGGTACTTACTGTCCGGGACTGCCCCGACTCCGTGGCACAGGAATCAATAGTCGAACGTCGCCAAGGGATATTTTCTTCCCTTTCTGTAGGATCGTGCGAAGAATAGAGAGCTGTCAAAAAAAAAAAAAAAAAAGAAAAGAAAAAAGAAAAAAGGAAAAAAAAGACAGGTGGCAGTAAACTGACAGTCTTCGGAAGAGGAAGATCAACAAGGAGATCTCAGATCGGATCTGGCATCCACCAACAACAATGCCCCGTATGAGAACTCAACTCGCACTCCTCCACATTGGCACTGGATACTCGAGAGTTTCTTTCTCTCTGCTCGCTCGGCCCGCCGGACCGACACTATGTGCGCGGCTGAAAGGGTATAGGCGGCTTTCTCTTACTACCCGGTACTTATGGTGCGTCTCTATACGTAGGATGAAAATCCCTCGTACATCTATCTACCCTGTCGGCGCATGGGACCCAGTGGTGGAGCATGTTGAGACGTGGACCCCATCGCGGAACAAGCAGGAATTGCTGTCGGCTCCAGAGTCTCCAGGATGAGATCGAAATATCGCGGATGTTCCATGTGGAGGAGGAGGAGATGGAGTTTGGATTGTTGGGCGTCAATCTAGGGATAGCGCAGGCTGAAAAAGCGAGAGAACAATAAGACATCGGTGGGGTCTCCCGAGCGCGAGATCTCCACCCGCGACTCCTCCGGTCGCTATCTGATCAACGAAGGAGCTGAAAGGGAGATCAGCTCGTTGTTGAGAGCGCGTCTGGCGACTATTATTACCGCCTCACCGCGAGGAACAGGTGTTCTAGCAGGGTGGAGAATGGATCGGGATGGTCGCGGGTTAGTGTTGTTAGTGGAAGGATGAAAGACCCAATGAAGCTTGTCATTTGCTGCAGAGTATTCCAAATTCTAATCTAGAGCACAATCACATTATTCAAAACAACGACGCCACGATTTTGAGTCGTCGGAGATGCGCCCCAGTGCGGATAAATTTGTCATGGACCCAATCTTAAAATCCTGAACGCCGCCACAGTGATAACCGATAAGAGATAAGACAAGAGAGAGTGATCGTCGTGACGCTTGCCAACAAACAGGTAAATGGTCTGGAAAGAAAACAGAAAAGAGAAGCCAAAAAAACAAAAAAGAAAACAAAAAGGAAACCGCTAATGTTAACGAGTGCGAGAGCGCCGAACGCGAAATCCTGATCTAAAATTTGCTGGATGAAAATGCCGCCCTTCGTAGAATGTGTTCGTTCCGGTTTCGTCGTCATCAATCTTTTGGATGAAAGTCTTGCATGATCGCTCAATTGCAAACAGGCAGAGGAAGTACCACCAAACGCCTGAAAAGACATGTTGCGGATTAAATATGGAGTAGTGGAGATGGACCAGCCGTCGAAAAGGAAGTTGTGCTGCAGATGCCGGAAGTCTATGCAGAAAGCAGGCCATACAGGGTTTCTGTAAACGCCACTTCATCAATAACTGTACCGAAGCTTTAGTGATGTTAGCTATGAACACTACAGTGGGATCCATCGAAGGGCTCCTTACCCGAAGCATCGTCCTTGTTCCAACAAGGCATCGCAGAGGAGGTTAAACCGATCGGGGGTAATGTTGGAGAACCCAGGATGCCTCTTGACACGGTGCCATGCCTGCACGGGAGTCAGCTCCCCGTCCAATTGGGGAGCCGCTGAGGGTTCAAGTAGTCGCTCAAGTTCGCCAGCAGGGATTTGCCATGACGAGTTGTTTTCTAGGTTGCGTGGCGCGTAGGCAAGGAGAGAAGCTTGTACGGTCAACGTGTGGCCTGACGGGCCGTGGGAGTGGTTACGGCGGATATGGCGCAGGCATGGTTTCTCGAGACTGCGACGAGGTCAGTGTTTTGAGTAAAAGATATGGCATCAGGAAAGCGTACCGAAGGACGAACTCAATCCCCGCTTGCGTGCTATCCAGTCCATAGGGATGGGGCTCGTGTGGCTGCGGCCGGCAGGATGGGCGCGCAGATTTGCGGTCATGAGAGCAACCCTTTCGGGAGGTCTTGTGCGAAGAGATCGAGAGTTGATCAATGTCTAGGGTCGACTCCGAGACACTTGGGGTTGGGTATCGTGCAAAGCCGTAATAGGGATGATATCGTGGGTCAGGAAAGTCCGACATATCGACCTGCAAGCGCTGGTCACGGCCAGCCCCCACCACCGAGACTGTAGCAAGACAGCTCCTGGGGAATTGCTTAGCCGGGAGCGGATGTCCGTTGGTAATCATGATTTCCTTAAGAATGCCGTCTTCGACGCGAGCTTCAATGAGTTCACGCATTTTGAATGAATCGAATGGAATTGGTGTGTTGTCTTTGAATGAGACCAGGTGCGCGCTTCCTCGAGAGGTCTTATATCTTTTCTCTGGGTTGCCAACGATTGCTAGCGGCGGCCGTTAGTCTGAAAGGGCCAAGATGAGAGGTTCACTGTTGAACAAAGAAGAACATACCCTAAGTAGATCTGATCTGATCCGGTGGTAGTGATGTCGATCTCGAGAGACAGGCTGGTGTTGAAGAATCATGATCGAGCTCTCTGATGGCGATTGCAGTGATTATGTATTTCGCAGGGATCACGCGATGGGTTTCAATTGACAAATATGCGAAGTAGTTTAAGCGTGGGGAATGGAAACATGTGTGGAGCGAGCGAAAGGTATCGCGGCGCGGACGATTCCAAATCACAGCTTTACCACAACTGCGGGGACAACCGCGCAGCAGCACAGCAGAACCTTATCTGACCAGCTGGAATGTATGGAATAAACATATCAGACTACTTCACAACCTTGCTGCATCCAGACATGCCTCACGGATAGGCCGCTTCTTGAAACAACATAGGCGACGGAGGGTTGGCGCGCAAGGAGCGTCGGAGAGCTCCCTGTATACCAGACGGCCTTCGTCCAGTGGCCCCAGACAGATCAAGCTAAGCGATTTGTCAAAGCGAGCAAGAGGCGACAAACATTACAAGCTGTTTCGCACACCTTAGCTTCATTCCGGCTACTGTTCCAAATGGCAAAAGGCCCCTGCCACCCTGGACGGCCAACGTCTCTTGAACGAACAAAGAACCAGCCGGTAGCGGATTCTCCCCGAAGCACTATCTTCGCAAACGGGCACTGTGAAGATCAAGCTCAGAAATCTGGCGGTGAAGCGTTTCGTTGCTCGTCGACTTCGCAAGATCCGACATGATGGATGAGAAGAGCCGTCGATCCCAGCCCAACACCTGCTGCTGGCTCTCTGATACGTCCAGGAGAGGCTTTTGACGGGTTGTGGGGAAGTATTCCAAATACTTTTGTGCCAGGACCGCATTCCTGGAGATCGCAGCGCGCTTAGCCTGCCCTTCGGCGGTCGCTTTCGGGCCTTTTGGGGCGCAGACGGCGCGATGGCAATTTGGAATATTCGCGGCTGGTGATTGGAGCCTGTGTCGATTGTCGCAGCACCGGCCACTTCCTGGTCCCCGCGGGGCGCGGACTCGAGCTGTCAAGCAAGCCATCTGCGTATCTAGTGGGATATCTGATGCGTTCTGGAAACGTATTCTTCACGGTTGGCGGTCCCCTGCTCCACTGGAGGCTTTGAAGTTGGAGAACGACTGACTAACAATGCCAGAGACCCGGTCCAGGCATGACAATATGCATCCCGAAACACCTCCGCATCTCCTACGAACCCTGCTGTCAAAGCTCCTAAATTAGAGCCTGGCACCGTTGGACTGTTCTTGTCAGCAACAGTGGCAGCAATTCCTACCGAGCAGCGCTAAGTAATAATATGCTTCGCTACGACTTGCTTTGTTATTGTCTCGTTTCCACGTGAGGGAAGCGAGAACGACACTTCCAGTTTGAGTCGCTCTTGCATATCCATCAACTTCCGGTTGATCCTCTGTGGGCTTACAAATGTCTTCTCTCGCCTTCGAAATTCTCCCTGGACGGCACGCTCCACGCTATCAGGGCCAAGTCTCTTTTTGGAATCCCTGAATTTCCAAATTCTCGGGTCAACGGGTTTCAATCCGAGAGGAGAGACCCAGAACCGGTCGTGCACTGTTTACCAGCCAGATAACGAGAGAACAGCTATCAAAGGAGTTCGTATAGTTATCGTCCAGAGCCCTCCCGGCTTCTGAACCCCAGTTGTTAGCGTTTACAGGCTTTCAATGGCAGTAAGGAGTCGATCAAAGCTCGTCTAAAGAGATTCTCATCTCGAAGCTAAGACGAACTTCGCCTGCCATCCCAGATTTGTTGAACTGTTGGACTAGGGCGATACTGGAGCTGGTTCCACTGGACTTCTAGCACTGATTTGCACGTGCCTGATGGCTTGCATTGTTCGTGTCCGCACCATTTACCAAAATTGGCAGACCGCAGATCCCTTTCGTCCTCGGGCCCCTCATATCTCCATCTTGCCTGGTACGATCAATACGAGGATGTGGGATCCAAAGTACATGTCCCGAGATTGCAGCACTAGGTTCCTTTCGTGGCGTTGAGACCAGTCGTTGCCGGACCGGTGGGAATCGGGGACAGGAGATATTGCACGTCTCCATATTTCACGTTAACCGCACATTAACCGCGAGTTGACAGGCCCACATGGCATATTCGAAAATCAAATTACGTATTTGCCATATGATTCTGCCGTACAAGTGGTTCGTGCGCGGGTTAACTTTACTGCTGGAGATGCTATAGGCGAGCAGCAAGCGCAGCGGAGCATATAGACCGTAGTATCACCATATTCGATCGTTTAGCTATCAGAAGCTAATTACCTAACTTGGTTATTCAACTAGTTAAGTAAGCCGGGGACGAAAATAAGCTTACTAAACAGTATTCTAGAGCTTTGAAAATTTTCACTGCAAGCAAGAAAGAATCTCGACTGCTAAGAGTCAAATGGTTTTGTATACATGTGAGCACACCAGGGGGTAGGATAACAGTTGGTGTTGGTGCATTTTCATTTATATATATAATTGATTGCTATTAGAAGTCCCCATGATTCAACTATTAGTTCCTTATATTGTCAGTAATCCATTTCATTCTTGGTTATCATATCAACGCAACCAAACAACATTTCTGTATCTAAACAACCATAGTTCGAAATAGCTCAACTTCCATCATACAAGTTCACAGAAAAGGAATATAAACGAAGTCCTACCGTTGCAAGCACACATTTAAGCTCTAAGAAACGCTTTGAGCAGCTCTAATTGTAAAGTGCACGGCCTGCGCTAGTTGGCAGATGAATAAACAGTGTTCTGCTTCGATTTCCTTGACCACTTTAATCGGACTATGATATCATCTACGATATACCTCTGAAATGCGGGTGGCATTATAACATATTTCATTCCACTAGATACCTACCAACTCGGGATATCTATCGAATATCAAATAGCACGGAAGCAAGGTCTGACCTGGTCACAACTTGAATTGCTTGCTTGCTTCTAGCTCTAGGGGGGGGTATTTGATCCCATATTTATCTTTAGCGTACAAAGAATCTAGACCCGAGTGATACAGTGGGTTCTATGAAATTCCATCCTATATTGAGGATTCGGGAATCCGCTGAAAACGGATGATTGAAAAATTACCTGGCGTTTGCTTTGTGCGGCGACAAACCCCCTTGAGCTGGCTCAGTGGTCTTTCCAAGATAGGAAAATCTGAAGATATTCGGGGCGTGGCTTAGCTCGGTTCGCTTCGTCTAAAAACATATCTTCAATGAGCATATCTAGCTTATTCGTTCTACTCAAGTTGAAGCCTTTTCTTACCTATTCATGTATGAGTCCATTCAACGACATCTATCCGATTCTTGCTAATCTATAGCTCTCGCCCTAGTTTCTGCAGTATATATGTGCTGCCTAGATCCTTCGTGGACAACCAAAACTCGATATAGTTAACTTGCGTCACTGGCCTCTGTCAATTGATCTCTAATGCTCATTATTGAGTATACTGTAATCATCGTCGATCGTTGACCTCATAAGTCGTTTCGTGTCTTTCCGCAACTGATTCGTACAAAGGTCAGCGTCAATATTGGCTTCTCGTAGCATGGCTCTCTTGGCCGTTGGGTTAGAATATTTCTCACAAGGTAATAGAGGTACGGCAACGAATAAAGTATTTGCGGTGTTTCAACAGAGGTCTTGGTTTGAATACCAGAATACTCGGGCATGAGTCTGCGGGCTTATAACACGTGGGAATCTAGGACCACGGAAGCAAAGGTTCTGAAGGAAAATTCGATACGGGAATAAAATCTTGATTGTTTAGAGAATTAAAGGTGACCGAAATCTATCAGCTATTTATGCTCCCTGACTCTATCCTGACATGACTGCTGCCTGGAGCTGATCTGGAACATTGTTTCTGATTATCCACAGTTCCAGCTCCGTCTGCTTTGATCATATACATGTGGATCTAGATAGCTTCCTGTCGCAGCTGCTACCCGGTTTGTACAGGGTAAGAGCAGCGGTTTGCAGCGGGTTTGAAGCTTGTCTCCACAGAGGCTGTGAGCGCTGATAATATCGCTATAGAAGACATGAGTCAGGAAGGTGGCGAGGAAATTGTTTACATCAAGTTAGATTATGATAACCTAACAGCGTAGGTTGGTACTTACTGTAGATATTGTGACTTCGGTTGTCACGTACAGCTCCTTTCTCGCGTTCTCGGGTTGATGGTTATAGAAGTGATCTTTCCCTCCAACGAAGTGGAACAGTCCATCCTAGAGGCATACGATGCGCTAAAAAGGGGGTCACACCGAAAATGATAGCTGCAGAAAACAACCTTCATATCGGTTATCACACCAGGTGTAATTATATCTGCTTCCTGCCAGGCCTGTAACCGCTGCAAGTGATCCTCCCACTTTTGAAAGGTTCCCATCGATATAGACCATTTTCACCGCCCCAGGTTTGTCACCTTTGTGCTTCTTCCCAAGTCCCTCCAGTGCTTGCTACGCCGGCACAGCTCTGTATGAGTACCCCACCATAACGCAGTCTTTTCACCTTCTGGCACTTCTAGACTTGTGGAGCGAACGACCTTTTCATTCTCTGCTAGACTGGCAGTACTTCCAGGCCGCGCATGTAAAGCGAGTATAGGGAGCTATATCCGACATCGCTAACTCGCTGCATCAATGGCTCGAGGTTTTTGAGTCATTAAACGCGCCGTGCACGGTGATAAGAGTTGGCTTTGATGAACTCGTGGTCCTTGCGACTAGTAATTTCGGACTTGGCTGCAGGTCCACCTCACTTCTCATATTAGTATCGTCCCAAGCAGATCCTAGCGAATTGTTCCGGACCAGGATGAGATTATCGAAATAATGCCATATTGTCAATAGAAATGGTAAATGTTATGAAAATCTGCAGTGGTTAACGCGTCTTCGGGGAAGATGGGTTATTTTATACTCTCGGGAAAAGGACATGTCGGATGCTACTTAATATCAACATGTGGAGGTCCAAAACTCCGTCGCAAGATCCATAGCGCTGAATACTTTTAAGCACAAAGCTGCCCTGGATAGTAGCATCTATCTACTCCGCGCGGAGAAGCTATTTTCCTACCCCAGCATTATCATACAATGATCAATCATGACTCGAGCAGTGTAACGCACCGTGGAACATTGACAGCTTCATTTTAGGTAAGCTGCAGGACTAGTAGGTTAAGTGCCTAATGCGGTGCAATGAACTCGTTATATGATGGCTTTCTGCCAGTCGACCAAAAAGGAGAATTCCTTGTTGGTCTGCCTAGATCTCTATCATTATATATTACATCATTGCCGCAGACTATGAAATCATACTGGTCAATCGTAGTGGAACATACATGGTTGTCGTTACACCCGGTCAGTGTGTATCAACACCGCGCGATGACTATACTTTATGGATCAACAGCTCCTATTCTCCTTTCTAGTCATAGCTAAACGCCGAAGACTATTCTCAATTGAATAAGAACGATCATAAAGCCTCCATTCGAGTCTCAGTTGATGAAAGATGGATTCAAGGATTTGTCAATTGAATCTTCGCTGATCGGGTTTCTATTGCACACCCTCGGTGTCAACACGTCTTGGTATCCGTGTCCTTCTACTTCCCCTTACTTGATAGCTTGTCCTTTCGTCCTCTGAGCACCGCAATGATGATGGGAACGCGAAGACTGGCAATGTGATAACCTCGGATTATACGGCAATGTGATAGCCTCGGATTATACGCAATGCTTTCCTCACAGTGATACAAACGCACGTGGTGGAATAGATTCAAATTCCCGGCGCCGTAGATCATAGACAAATTCGCGTTAGGCATTATGTACCATGATGTTTCTCGTGGTCATAGTCGTTCCTCGATCAGATATGGGATGAACATGAGGGATTTTACACCGTGGATCGAAGTAAATCCTGACTGTGCAAGGCGTTTAGTATAGATTGGCCACTTACTCTTCCAAGTTTACAGGTCCCATCATTTTAGGGTTGACTAGGAACATAGGTCTCGTCTCCGTAAGCAACAGCAATGATAACTTGTTTTATAGTTTTAGTCTGCCTTCGTTTATGTCTACATTTCCACAGGAATAAATCACTCACTGTCGTTACTATACGTAGGACCCAGAGAATCAATGGGCCATAGTCCAGCAGCACTGGTTCCACGAAGAGCGTCCATCCTGAGAACCGCGCCCTAGCAGCTATTATATACTGGTAGTAATAATGGGAGTTTCTATAGACATGTGAATATGAAGGAGAATTTCATCATTCTAGCAAGGATGAAATCATGGGAGGCCGGATTGCTCCTGACATTTTCTTAGACGTACTCTTGCAACAATAGCGCGCTGTTATGGACGGCAGTTGCCTTATCCAAACTGCCATGGTCATAAGGCAATGTTGTACTAGTGGATCCATTGATACTTTTCAATAGGAGAGATTGGATGGTCGTAACCACGCCGAGATCATTGTCGGCACCTTGACTCCGAGCCAGAATGGTCTGAACGCCCGATCCACATTATTGAGCTGCAGACGCCCTTTGCGCGCCAGCAGTTAGGTAAGCACGTGGTGGCGCTGGAGGCGAAATCGAAACGACGTTCAGTATAGGTACGAGCCACTGAGAGTAGCTCATTGCATCGAGGAAACCGCCGGCTGGAGTTCGGTCGGGCAGAATCGGGGTCATGGAAATGGCAGAACCAAATTAGCTTCAACGGAAGAAATACCGAGAGACGTTATCGACAGCTTGGCTTGGGAAGTGTTCTAACCAAGGGTCTGTTCTCCAAGCCTGCTTGGCAGTATGCAGGTCCAATCAACCTTGCTGTCTTTGCGAAATTAGAGTTGCCAGTAAGTTTGGCACTTCAGGAGACAAAAACTGAAAGGCGCATCTAGCTGAGGCATAATGCGGAAGATTTGATCAAATGACCCTGGTGGAAAGATAAGGTTCTGTATAGTGTTCGGGTTACTCCTCTGTCCCTGGACAAGAAGAGGGTTAGTTAGGGGACCATGTTAGTTACCTTAGGTAGTTAACTTGCTAGTTATTGTCAGCCTGATGAGGCACACTCGCACAGGCTTTAAGGTTGATCTGCAGTGCTAACCGTTTAAACTAGTCCTGACTTTGGACAAGCATATACTTACCCGTCATGGTACGTGAAGCCATTGGATGCTCTTCGCAACATTAATTTTAAGGTTTTTGGCGTTCTATCCTAAATCTGGGCAGTAATCATATATCACGCACTTCGTTCCGATTGATTGTGACAGTGAATAAATCACTGGAAATGAAGCTAGCTACTATACTATTCTTGCTGGCGAGCTACCCCAATAAGGTTCCGCACTGCGTTCGCTAGTTCCGTAATAACCATCCCTGCGCGAGGAATTGTGTGACCTTTGCCAGTGTCAAAGATAACAGCAGCATCAGGATCACACACATTGTACAGGGCAAGAGCGCCGTCGCGGTATGGGTCTATCATTAGGTTAGCTGCCAGACCTTGGACTAGAAAGGAGGGTGGGAAAGGAACAGTACCGTTAGCTCCTATCACATGTAGTGTAGGGATATTGAGAAAACAGTCACTGTCATCCGCTAGAAGAATCTTGCCTTCCTTGCTGATTGGGGGCCATCCGGTGAAAAACATGGCGCATTTGATTCGTCGCGGTCGACCTTCTTCTTCTAGTCTCCGCTCCTCATCGAGAATGAAGGATGCAGCTACCGTCGAGCCTTCGCTGTAGCCTATAATTCCTTCGATCGAGGGGTCTTTTTCCAGTTCCCCGTAGAGGATATCCATCACTTGCTGCCGATTCCTCCAAGCGCCATCCTCACGACCTCCTGTCAGGTTTCGCATGACATCCTCGGGGCTGTCACCGGCTGGCAGCTGTCGAATACGCGCGATCATGGAATCTTCCGCAGTACCACCATCGTCTATCCATCGATAGTGTGGACCAATGCCAAAGTACTCATCAAATCCTGTTTTTTATAAATGAAGTCTGTTTAGCATGCCAATGACAGTAACGTTACATTCCTGATAATGTGACGAACCTGGAGGTGGAGAGACAACTACTGCACCATTGATATAATGAAATGATGCTGTCTGGTCCGGTTCGAGTTCCTTCTCCAGTGGCGCTGGAGAGAAGCTCAGGTTAGAGAACTTGCGATTTCAGGAGATACAATTTGGTAGTCACCTAGTTGGATGCTGATGTTCTGAACATTCGTCAGTATGCATACATAGGAAAGTGAGCACGCAATTGCCCCAGGAGGAAGTATGTTTTGCCGATGTACCTACCGTAATGCTGCCAATGGCACCATGCAGACACAAGAAACGCATCTTGCTCAGTAAGTTGCTGGGAGCTCGATACCAGGACACCGCAAGGATTGGAAGCTAGTCTGAGTGGAACTCGATGAGGCTTTGCAATGGGATAGCAGGAATGAAGCTACAAGGAAAACTGCGAGAACAAGATTCGGCTATATAGGCTATCCATGGCGAAGTTCCCAATTCTAAGGTCGAGCTACGCTTGATAAGCGTGTGAAATATAGTTCCGCTACCGCGTAGTACACTATAATGTTGTTGGATTATAGTTGGATTGAAACGTGGTACCAATTCAGCTGCAAGAACGCCGTTAATCCCCGAGTTCCCGCCTGGTACACGTGCATGCGACTATCCTGAATCCTGATTGCGATGATCTTCACGATGGCCTGCAGGACTTGGCAGAACCGTTATCCTTGACATCTACACGGGGATTTTTACTGGCTGGAAATTAAGCCTCATCTGTACCCCTGCAAAGAGAAGTGCTAATTATCTGTTGTGCAGGTCCCCAAACTGTATAGAGGTCGCAGAACTTGGTACGGACCTTCTAGGAAAGTTAAAGATGATATTTTAGATACACGCGCCATTTAAATCATGATTTTGATCAATATGTCAAGAATCCACTCTTTAAACCACTAATGCGGGTGCGTAGATGCATGCACTTGATGCATTTGATGTGATAGAATAGTACGCTCAGTCCCCTATTCGTCTCACTTCCGCTGCTCCGTGCAACGCCCAATAAACGGTCCTGGACTCATAGTTAGCTCTCTGTCTTGTCTGATAAGAATGCATGTAAGTGCTTATGCTAGTCAAATGTAACCGCTTATGCTAGTCAGATGTAACAGCCTATGCTAGTTACATGTAAGCGCTTGTGCTATCCGTAAGCGCTTGTGCTACCTGTAAGTGCTTGTGCTAAATCTAAGCGCCTATGCTAAAAGTATGCGCCTGTGTTATGTGTCAGCGCTTATGTTATAATATAAACGTTCATACTATCACTAAATCGCTCGTTGTTTCGAGGCGGCATCACATTAAAGGGCACGGGGATGGATATCAATGGCCCAGTACGGATGATAGTCGATGAATTATGCTTTCTTAGTATTCATCAGGTGGATCTTATTATTATCGCCTTGGTAAGATGGCACTCAGGGACAGGACCTTGTTGCTTTTGGATTCATTAACGTCCGGCGAGGTGCATGTGAAGCCCGTGACCCTAGTCGAAGATATCATAGGCCGAAGCCAATGCGGTAGATAGAGAGAATTTCAAGGAGGGAAAAGTTTAAAACAGGGGGGCAGGGGGGTTCTAGGCTCTCAACTGGTCCAGAGTTTGGAGTAGGACCCGGGGACGAGTTCCACGGCGGTATATTGGTTTAGGTGTATATCCCGAGAGTATATGCTGAAATGTGTTTATAAGAAGCGAGTCACAACCATGTATTGCCGGACTCCTGTTTCTCCATCAACTTCTTCTTTCTATCTTCCCACGTACTAGCACGAATCTGACAGCATGGGCGCGGAAGAACTTCCCCCTTTTGCTGATGCTGGAGCTCCTCCAAAGGCGCTCCAGCCCATCGCCATCATCGGCTATGCGTGTCGGTTGCCTGGCCAGGTCAGCTCTCCCACTGATCTCTGGGAGCTCTGCACCCGTGGACGATCTGGCTGGTCACCAATTCCTAAAGACCGCTTCTCTTTTGAAGCATACCACCATGCAAATCCCTCTAAGACCGGCACCTTCAATCAGGCAGGAGGTTATTTCCTTGACCAGGATCCTGCCCGCTTCGATGCTCCTTTCTTCAACGTGTCAGCTCAGGAAGCCATTTCTATGGACCCGCAGCAACGGCTGCTCTTAGAGTGCTCCTACGAGGCACTCGAGTCTGCTGGGATCCCCAAGGAATCACTCTCCGGACGACAAGTCGGCGTGTTCGTCGGCGGAAACGTCGCAGACTACGAGCAGCACAATGTGCGAGATGTCGAGACAATTCCCATGTACCAAGCAACCGGCTGTGCAACATCGCTCCAGTCCAACCGCATCTCCTATTTCTTCAATCTTCGAGGTCCAAGTCTCACTGTCGACACTGCCTGCTCCTCATCTCTTGTTGCTCTTCACTATGCTGTCCAGAGCTTGCGTAATGGAGAGTCAAAAGAGGCACTGGTGGCAGGGTGCCGGCTGAATATCCTGCCAGACCTTTTTGTCTCCATGTCTCTATCACAGTGAGTGTTCCTGTCGTTAACCTCGTCTGGGTCAAAGCTAAATTCTGATTAGGTTGTTCAACGATGACGGCAAAACATATGCGTTCGATGAACGAGCAGTATCGGGTTTTGCGCGAGGAGAGGGTGCAGGCGTTGTCTTGCTGAAACCACTCGACGCTGCTTTGCGGGACAAAGATCCGATTCGGGCTGTCATTGCAAATTCTGGCGTTAACCAAGACGGTCGGACGCAGGGAATCACTTTGCCCAATGGAAGTGCGCAGGAAGAGTTGATCCGCCGTGTGTACCAAGAGGCCCATCTCGATCCAGCTGAATGCGGTTTTGTAGAGATGCACGGCACAGGAACTAAAGTGGGTGATCCAATTGAGGCAGCAGCTGCCCATGCTGCGCTTGGACATGGCCGCACTCCCAGGAATCCGCTCTACATTGGATCTGTGAAATCCAATGTAGGACATCTGGAGGGCGCAAGTGGAATCATCTCGATTATCAAATCAGCCATGATGCTGGACCGCCAGCTAGTACTTCCCAATGCAGATTTCCGCAAAGCCAACCCAAATATCCCCCTTGATGAATGGAATATGAAGGTGAGTTGGTCGCATTCTTTTTATTGACAATATCGATGTCTAACCTTGATCAGGTTCTCACATCAACAAGACCATGGCCCCGGGGCAAGAAATATATCAGCATTTCTAACTACGGATTTGGAGGCACCAATGCGCATGTAGTCCTCGAGAAAGCACCCGCTGAAGAAACACCAGAAAAAACGGCAGATTCTGAAACCCATACTGACCCCAAGCGCAAGTTGATCTTGATATCGGCTAGCGACAAAGAATCGTTGCAGACCAAAGTCAAAGACTTTGGTGTTTATTTTGAACAGCGGCCGGAAGTGTTCGAAAAAGCCCTCTTCGGTAACTTTGCTTACACAGTGGGCAACAAGATGTCCCATCTTTCATACAGGATTGCCCTTTCAGCCACTTCGCTCGATAACTTGGGTATACAACTAGCCCAGGCGAAGATTAACGCGGCCCGTGTTCAAGGGCGCCCAACAATTGGTTTTGTCTTTACCGGACAGGGTGCCCAGTGGGCTGAGATGGGTGTTGGCCTCATCGACGAATATCCCGTATTTGCAGAATCCCTCAAGCAGGCCGATCGAGTCCTCCGGGATCTGGGCGCAGAGTTCTCGCTCATTGAGGAGCTGCGGAAAGATCGTGCCGAGTCAAATATCAATTCTCCTCACTTGAGTCAACCCGCCTGTACTGCTCTCCAGATTGCTCTCGTTAATCTTTTGGAGTCATGGTCTATTCGCCCTACGTCTGTCGTGGGCCATAGCTCCGGCGAAATCAGTGCCGCTTATGCTGCTGGAGTGTATAACATGGAGGCAGCGATGGCTCTTGCCTACCGGCGCGGCCAGATGACTCAATTGTTGAAACAATCGTTTCCTACTCTGAAAGGCACTATGATAGCTGTTGGCGCGAGTCCTGAGACAATTCGGCCTCTGCTTAAGATGCTCCGTGAAGGTTACGCAACTGTGGCGTGTGTGAACAGCCCCGGTAGTGTGACTGTGTCTGGAGACGTGCCAGCTATTGACGAGCTGGAGAAGACACTGCAAGAGAGACAAATCTTCAACAGGCGCTTGAAGATCGATGTTGCGTACCACTCTGATCATATGAAGAACGTCTCCACCGAATATCTGGCAGCGATCGCGTCCATCGAGCCTTCTATTTCGTCAAAGGCTACATTTTGTTCATCAGTCCTTGCCCGGGTCGCAGAGCCTTCTGAACTGGACGCTTCATATTGGGTGCAAAATCTCACATCTCCAGTATTGTTTCCGGATGCTCTATCTGCACTGGTTGCTGATGACGCAAAGCCAAATTTGCTGATTGAGATTGGACCGCATTCCGCTCTGAAGGGTCCTATCTTAGAAACACTGAAAAACTTGGGCTCGAGCGCCTCGAAGATTTCCTACAGTCCCACCATTGTGCGTAATGCGGACGCAGCGGAATCGATTTTGAATACCGCTGCCGCTGCCTACGTAAGAGGAGCGACTCTGAACATGACAGAAATCAACTTCCCCTGCTCGGGAGCCAAGGATTGTTCTTTCCTGACTGATCTTCCTCGCTATCCCTGGCAACATACAAATCGGTACTGGCACGAACCTCGCATTGCTCGGAAGCACAAGACTCGAGATGGCCCGAGAAGCGACGTTTTGGGCGTCGTAGCAAATTATTCGAACGACCTAGAGCCAACATGGCGAAATATTGTCCGTCTAGACGATATACCATGGCTCCGAGAGCATAAGATGCAGGGCGTGCCAGTGTACCCCCTTGCTGGCTATGTAAGTTGATAGAATGATGGTATACTATTTTGAAAGCAACTGCTAACCAAATGATATAGTTGACCATGGCCCTTGAAGCTGCTCAAAGACTTGCAGCGCAGCGCGGGGTAACATTCTCCCAGTTCCAATTGCGTGAAGTCATCGTCGGATCTGCACTTGTCCTCAGTGATGAGTCAGATGTCGAGACTATCATCTCTCTCCGGCGATACGCCGAAGGAACTAGAGGTTCATCGGATATCTGGGACGAATTTCGCATCTACTCGTGGGACACAGAACGTGGCTTTACCGAACATTGTTCTGGCCTTATTGCGGTACGACCAGACGCGGACAGCAATGTTGATGCCATTTCCAGTGCCGTGGGGAGCGAGGAAAAGTACATCCAAGCGCAAATATCCAAAGTAGAGCAGGCTTCTACTCAAAGGGTCGAGTCGGAACATCTTTATCAAGTGTTAACTGACTTAGGTGCAGGATATGGTCCCACTTTCCAAGGACTAGAGAACTGCTTTGCGGATTCTCATCATTCCCTCGCTGATCTGTACATCAGGGACACCAAGAGTATCATGCCAAAAGGCTTCGAACCAAAGTTGACGATTCATCCAGCTTTCCTGGATGGCTTGCTTCATCTTGTGTGGCCGATATTGGGCCATGGTAACATGGACCTGGATACCCTATACATGCCAACTATGATCAAGCATGCAACGATCAGTAAAGATGTTCCACACTCACCTGGTGACTATGTCAAAGTCTACGGAACTGGCAATCCCAACCTCCCTATCCCGGAGCCGACTAATTTCGATCTTCTGGCACTTCCAGAGAAGTCAACGAAGCCACTGATCGTGTTGCACGGCCTTGTTATGACACCAATCCGGGACTCCGGTGCTGGTAGAAATGAAGACATACGGCAGCTATGTTACAAGTTCCAGTGGCAACCTCTGGAAGAAGCCTTGCCAGCAAACGGAAACGGCGACATAAATGGTGCATCGATTACGAATGGCTCCTCTGATAGCCACAGCCGTGGTGAGGATACCAACGGCCATACCTTGCTATCAAATGGCAATGGTAATACAAATGGAGTGTCAATCACGAACGGCTCGTCCCATAACCATACCTATAGCAACGGGCATACCAATGGCAATGGAAACGTCGTACTTACACATCACGCTGATCTCAATGGCCAAACCACAACAAATGGGCATGCAACTCCCAATGGAAAAGGCACTGCTGAAGCTACACAACATGATGTCGTTATTGTCAAGTTTGGCGACTCTGCTCAGGTCGCTGACGAACTTGCTGATGTCATTGGCCATCTGGCAGAGAGCCGCCCGTCTGTCTTTGGGTTGGGTGATGTTGTTGACTTCACTGGGAAAAACGTTATCATTGTTCAAACACGGGACAGCTCACTACGCCATCTTACCGGCTATCTTTTTGACGCTATCAAGAATATTCTGCTTAGTGGCGCCAATATACTCTGGGTTTACCGCAGCGACAAGCCAGATGCGCAGATGACGGTTGGGCTTACTCGCTCAGTCCGGTCAGAAACTCTGGCAAAAATCGCGACACTGGGACTTAGTCCGCAAGATGTTGATCTGGCATACGTCCCGATAATAGCCGCCATGGATGCTCTCTGGCCCATTGATGGTTCCGAGCCAACAAAAGACTTGGAGTTCAAGACAGAAAACTCGCAGTTGTTGGTCTTGCGCGCGGTTCCTGACGATAATACGAATGCATTTGTCCACAACGAAACTAATGGACAGACACTGACCCTTCAACCTTTCACTCAACATGGCCGACGATTCAAAGTTCAAGTACAGAACCCTGGCTCGCTTGATAGTCTATACTTTGAAGACGATATCGTCACTCCCCTGGGTGACGACCAAGTCGAGATCGAAGTAAAAGCGACCGGTGTCAACTTTAAGGACGTTGTGGTATCTATGGGACAGTTATCACAACCATACATCGGGATTGAATGCAGTGGCGTTGTATCCGCAATCGGTAAAAACGTCAAGGAAATCCAGGTTGGCAAACGAGTGATGGCACTGGTAGAAGGCGGATATTCTACTTATGCGCGAACCCCGAGCACCAGCGTCGTTGAGATTCCAGATGAACTGCCGTTCGAGACAGCTGGAACTCTCCCAGTGGTCTTCTGCACAGCGTATTATGGCCTCTTCGACCTGGGAAAACTACAGCCCGGTGACCGTGTCTTGATCCATGCCGGTGCTGGTGGTGTTGGTCAAGCAGCAATCATGCTGGCACAGATGGCTGGAGCCGATATTTATGTCACTGTGGGCAGTGTGGACAAGAAGGAATTCTTGAAAACTCACCATTCCATCCCCGAGGATCGAATTTTCTACAGTCGTAATGCGTCATTTGGACCCGCGCTTCGACGAGCAACCAACAATAAGGGCGTGGATGTCGTTATCAACTCTCTCGCAGGTGACCTTCTACGAGAAACCTGGCAATGCCTCGCTCCATTTGGGCGTTTCATTGAGATTGGAAAGGCAGACATTACGAAGAACAGCCGCCTAGACATGTTCCCCTTCGAGTACAACGTCTCATTCGCGTCTGTTGACCTCACGAAGGTTGCGAAATACCGTCCGCAGTTGATGAAGCGTCTTCTTGAAGACATTTCCACACTCTTTAAGCAGAAAATCGTGCGGCCCATCACCCCTCTTACTACATACGGCATTTCCGAGCTAGAAACGGCATTCCGTACACTACAGACAGGGAGGAACATTGGAAAATTGGTGGTGGTGCCTCGAGAAGGTGACCAGGTTAAAGTGGGTGATCTTCGCAATCTTTTGATCGTTAACCATCGTTACTAACTTGTTTAATCGTTTACAAGGCCTTGACGCCCAGAACTGATTCTGCTCTATTGAACCCGGATGCAACCTACATCCTCATTGGTGGAACAGGTGGTTTGGGCCGCAGTATGGCAAAATGGCTATCCACCAAGGGGGCGCGAAATGTTGTTCTAGTTTCACGTTCCGGCAAGATTGACAGCAAGGTACAAGTTCTAATCGACGAATTGGCCAAAAATGGCACCAATATTATCGTCAAACCCTGTGACGTGAGCCAACAGCAGTCGGTTGAAACCCTCATCGATTCTTTGAGCCACCTGCCTCCAATCCGCGGAGTCGTGCATGGTGCCATGGTCCTGAAAGTGAGTTACCTGACCATTGCCATCTTGTGAAGACGGCGCTAATTAGCATAGGATATGCTCTATGAGAATATGACCCTCGATGACTTCAACGCTGTTGTTTCCAGCAAAGTGGATGGTGCCTGGAACTTGCACTATGCTCTTGCTAGATCGCCACTTGATTTCTTTATTGCCCTTTCATCTGTCGCTGGTGTTGTCGGCAACCGTGGCCAGGCAGCCTACTCGGCAGCGAATGTATTCCTCGACGGCTTCATGGAATACCGCAAGTCTCGAGGCCTGCCAGGAACTTCTATTGACCTGGCAGCCGTTAGCGATGTTGGATACCTGGCCGATACTGACCCTTCCCGTCAGAAGGAAGTCCTCAAAAACATTGGGGGTCAGACCATCGATGAATCAGAGGTCCTAGCCCTTTTAGCAGCTGCTATTAAGGGTGACCTTGACCGGTCTTGTTCTGGACAATGTATCACAGGCCTGGACTTGACCAACTCTATTGACAGCTTCTGGGCACATGATGCTAAGTTCAAGGCCATACGAGAGGCTGCTGAGGCATCAGCAGGTACCACCGCCCGTGACGGCGCCGTCGTGCCTCTACACCAATCTCTCAAAAAGGCAGACTCCAAAGATACTGCGCACCAGTTGGTCTATGAATCGCTCGTCGTTAAACTTTCCGAAGTGTTGGGTATCTCTGTGGACGACATGGATCCCACCGTCACAGTCTCTTCTTTGGGACTCGACTCTCTGGTAGCCATCGAGATCAGGAACTGGATCGCTCGAGAGACAGAGGCGAACGTGCAGGTGCTCGAGCTTCTCTCTTCCGGCTCTCTCGGCTCCTTGGTCGATATTGTTCTTCGCAAGTCCAAGATTAACGGTAACTGGGGTAAATAGATTTTAGCCAAGGAATTTGGCAAATGGAGGATTATGTACGTACATGGCACCATCCTTAGTGTGTCCTTGCGTGGTTTCAAGAAGATTAGTATGACTTACGTTAGACATGTCTATTTCATTACTATAGTATGCCAATTAACTCACATATTCACTTTGGCCTCCTCCTTTTCTTCTGTCTTATGTTGTGGTTAGTGTTACTGTTGTGATATCTTAAGACTTTGCGATTTACTGAATAGTCATGTCTTCTGGATGTAAGAAAGGTGATTCAATTGGTCGAGGCCACAGCTTTCGAAGGAAGATTATGCCTTAATACCCAAGAAGTGAAGTGTCTGTACAGCGTATTCTCTGCACGAATTGCAGGGTTCCTCCCGCTTAGCGTCATCCTTGGGTATTATCTATCACAAACGTGGTCATCAATAAATGTACTTCTGCCACAGGTCTGCAATGGCAGTAATTATCTCAATGTTCTCTGATCTCCCTCGGATAGCGAGAAATATTTCATGAGCCTTTTAAGATGACCATATAGAGTTTACAGCAAAAAGGAAAGCATGCTCCGTGTTTGCTGTGGCTATGGTGTGAGCATGTTTAGAATGCTAATGGGTTTCGGAATTGCCAAGGATATCAGATTTCATACTAGGCGAATACTGTCAATGTATCAGTTGTGAGGCTTCAGATCTACATGGGTCCCTCCTCCAAAGAATAAGTCGTTACCTAAAGTTAGCATGTCCTTAAGGCGCCATCCATCTTCCAAGCAGCGCCAACTCATCGGAGAGCAACATGTCCATATAAATTCATCCCACACATTGAGTCGTCCAGCACGTTTAGTAGCTATTTCTCTATTGTTATTATTATTATTATTATTATTATTATTATTATTATTATTATTATTATTATTATTATTGCGACGGGCATGGCCTATTGACTTGGTCCGCCCCCACATTTTAAGTACTAGGCAACGAACACTAGCGACATTGAACAGTTTAATACGAGGCTTCACAGATCAAAACACAGCCACGGAGAAATGAGTCAAAGCTATTCGACTCATGTTCACTTTTACATTCAGCTTTTAAGCTCTTGCGTTCCCATTGTATGTCCAAGTTCTTAATCCAGAATACCAATCTGCCTTTCAAGTTACTATTCTGACCTCGACTCTATACTAGCTATCGCTACAGTCGGAAAGAGCATAGGTCGTGCGAAGAGCACAGCTACACAATGGCTTGGGAACCACCTCCAGACTTTCTCCCTGCCGCTGCTCCCAAAGAAGCGCACATGCGCAAGGTCGACTGGGAAAGCGCCGGGGAAAAGTTGATAGGATATAAAAACTACATCGCCTTTATTATCGATAACGCATTCACCGAATCCGAATGTCAACAGCTCATCAAGGCTGCGGAAGCGAGCACCATCACCCCAGATGTGCCAACTCCAAAGTGGGCACGCGCCATGGTCAATGCCGGTAACGGTAAAGAGACCATGGTGACAGATACGCGAAATTGCGGACGGATTCTCTATGACGCCCCAGTTATTGCGAAGAGGATTATGGACCGTCTCAGGCCGTTCTTGATTGAGTGTGGCGTTGATACTATTTACGATCAAGGCCATATCACAGGTCTTGGGCCCGTGAAGCGTAAGGAAACATTGCAAATGTCGCGGCTGAATGAACGCTTGCGCTTTCTCAAGTATGAGGGGGGTGAGTATTTTCGTACGCACTATGATGGGGCGTATGTGACGCCCGATGGGAAGGAAAGATCACTTTTCACGATCCATCTGTATCTGAACGGAGACGGAGAGCAGGATCTGAGTGAGTTGGCAGAGGCAGAGAAGAGAGTGAATGAGGATGGAACGTATACGAATATGGACCCTTCCGGCAAGCTGTTGGGAGGCGCTACCTCTTTTCATCCCGATTTCATGGGCAGTGATGATGGTGGTCTGAGAATTTTCCCGAAGACTGGGTCGGTGCTGCTCTTTCAGCAGAGAGATTTATGGCATGCGGGAGACGATGTCTACCGCGGGGTGAAGTATACGATGAGGACAGAAATCATGTATAGTAAGGTTGATCGCTCCTGAGTTTTATGCTGTCCTGTAAACATAAGAGACCTTTTGGGGAAGTGGACAAGTCCTCAGAGAATCCATTGTGAACAATATTGTCGCAGGTCAACCGAGGGTTACTGTATACTTCAGCCAAGGACGTAGAAGATCATTTTAAGTTATGAAGTAAATAGTTTTTATATTGGTCGTATTTCAAACACACATTCTGAAGTGGAGAGTGGGCGGAAGAGATGCCAGTGATCTACTACATCTGGAACAAAGGTGGTGGTACAATGTACAAGGCTGAAACGAAAAACTCCGGCTCATTAGCACCGTCCCGACATTTCCCGTTTCTCCTGCAGTCCCGTGCGATTCCCGTGCTTTGCAAGAACGTGCGAACAAAAAGAGATCGATCATACAGAGCAGCCAGTCATTCGACTCGCCTATAATAACAGTCGCTTAGTCGGTCATGACACGGGTGATAAGACCAGTGGCCACGGTACGACCACCCTCACGGATGTTGAAGCGCTGACCAGCTTCGGCGGCGACGGGGTGGTGAGTCTTCAGAACCATCTCGACGTTGTCACCAGGCATGACCTGCTTGGACTGGTCATCGCCAGGCCAGCTGAGATCGGCAGCCTCATCTACAAAACAAGTCAATAAGCTACTCGGATCCAATAGCGGAGGATATGATCTACTCACCAGCAGTGCGAATAAAGACCTGGGGACGGTAGTTGGCACCGAAACCAGTACGGCGACCACCCTCAGCCTCAGTCAGAACGTACATGGAGACCAAGAACTTGTCGTGGGCCTTGGTGCTTCCAGGGACAGCGATAACCATTCCACGGCGGACATCCTCACGCTTGACACCACGCAGCAGAAGACCGGAGTTGTCACCAGCGCGAGACTCGTCGCAGGACTTCTTGAAAGTCTCAATGTCGGTGACCTTGGTCTTGATGGGGGTAAGGGAGCCACCAATGATCTCAACCTCGGAATCCTTCTTCAGGATACCACGCTCGACACGGCCGGAAGCGACGGTACCGCGTCCAGAGATGGAGAAGACCTCCTCAACGGACATGAGGAAGGGCTTGTCGAGATCGCGCTGGGGGGTGGGAATCCAGGTGTCGACGGCCTGGAGGAGCTCGTCAATCTTGGTCTCACCAAGCTCGGGCTGACGGCCCTCGAGGGCGCAGAGAGCGGAACCGAAGACGATGGGAGTCTCCTCGCCCTCGAATCCGTAGCTGCTCAGGAGCTCGCGCATTTCCAGCTCAACGAGCTCCAGCATCTCCTTGTCCTCGACAGCATCGACCTTGTTGACGAAGACGACGATCTTCTGGACACCGACCTGACGAGCGAGCAGCAGGTGCTCACGGGTCTGGGGCCTACTAAGTGTCAGTCGCAACTCACACGTAGACAAGCTGGGAAGACTATGGGGTGACATACATCTGACCATCAGAGGCAGCAACGACGACAATAGCACCGTCCATGTTGGCAGCACCAGTGATCATGTTCTTAATGTAATCGGCGTGACCAGGACAGTCGACGTGAGCGTAGTGTCGGTCGGCGGTCTCATACTCGATGTGGGCGGTGGAGATGGTGATACCACGCTTTCGCTCCTCGGGAGCCTTGTCAATAGCACCATATTCTAGGAAGTTGGCAAAGCCCTTCTCGGCCTGACGCTTGGTGATAGCGGCAGTCAAAGTGGTCTATTTGGCGCTGTTAGGATGGCGACGGCCGGGAGTGTAAGGGTCAAGAGGGCTAACCTTTCCGTGGTCGACGTGACCAATGGTACCTATTGACCATTGTAAGCAGGTATTCGAGCACCATAAGCAGTGGGATGCATACCAATGTTAACGTGAGGCTTCGTCCGCTCGAAGGCGGTCGCGAAACCCCGGGCAGCCAGTCTCTCGTTTGCGAAGACATGGTGAATGGGGTTGACGGCACGAGGCCGCAGCAGAGAAGACCTGCTGCTCCGCAAGAGGAGGTTGATGGATCTGGAGATAGACGACATCCTGACTGCCCTTCGACTGACAGAGGGGGGACGAAAGGAAAGAAAGGGGATGGATGAGATGTTTACAAGCTGTCTGGGCGAGTCGAAGTTCTTCCATCCAAAATTTTAGGATCCCGGGCTTAGTCATCAAGGCACCCGAACTGGCCAATTGGAACGCACGTTTTGCGGACTCCCGGAGAGCCAGATACGCCTGGATAAGACTGGCTGGACGAGACCGACTAGAGCATACCATATTGGATCGTTGCAAGGCGATTGCGAGGGCATTGTCGGATATTCCATGGATGATATGGAGTCAATTACCTAGTGAGAGAGACCTGAATCAACTAGCACGCTAGCATAGATCTCTTTCTGAGATGACTACCTAGCTTCAGCGCAGAGACCATAGCTTCCTTGACCTTAAAACTCCTACATCTGTAACGGAATCAAAGGAGTAGTTAGACATTGGTGTCATTTTTGGATTTTCCTTTTTTCGTAATCTTATATGTGCCCTTAAAAACCTGGCTCCGTATTGTACATGATATATGAGTCCGCCATCTTCGCTTCACGCGTCCTTCTTTTTAACCACCATCAGAACATGCTTTCCTGGCTCTCCTTCCATGGGTTTCATCTGGGCAGCGTCCGCATCCCTTACTGTGTCCAGCACCGTATCCATCACTTTCTTCACTTCCTCCGCAACAGGCGGCCTCTTCCCTTTCTTCCGCGTCAAAATGATCTCGACTTTCCGGCCCTTCTCGAGGAACGACACGAGTTGTTTCATCCGATGCGAGAGGTCATGTGCATCAATGGCCCAGTTGAGTTCAAGTTGCTTGACGGCAGTCTTTGCCGCATGGGCTGCCTTTGATTTTGCCTTCTCTTGCTCACGCAAAGCTTTCTTACTCATAAGCTTGCAAACCGGTAGTCGGTCTGCGGAACCAGGGGACACTTGGACGAGGAAGTATTCAGATCGATTGATGGATCGTAAGACATTAATCGTCCTCTCAGGCGGATCCAGACCTCCGCTCTCATTGACCAGTTGTATTTGCTGAGCACGAATATCTTCATCCTTGATGATTCCCTGCGTCTTCGGGCCAGCCGCATTGGCTGCTGCGGACTTTGCTCCTCCAGAATATTGGATAGACCTCACTTGTCTTTGAGGCTGTGAAAATCCATATCGCGTAGTCAATGGAATTCGTGAGATTTCTAGCGGACGGAGGAACGTATGGCGGAGTGCTTGTGCTGTCGACACCAGGCCGCGGATATGTTTCATCTTGCTGCAGGCGCCGGTGGCCAGCGCAGCCGGCGGAGTTATCGTAGAACAGAGAAGATGGATTGCGTGAAATAATAAAGTTCGATCACCAAGGTCTCTAGCTAAACAAAGAGGTTGACTGCTGAGAGAACAATAATAACCATAGTCATAACTCGCGTGAGAGCACCGCTTGCGGGCGTGTTCCAGAAACGGGATCGAACAGCCACAGCCGCCATGCGCCACGCATTTCTACTACTACTATTATTGCCCCGTACTGCAATTTGCCACGGGCGATTCCTCTCCCAACTTCTCCCCTGCGGACTCGCACCGGATACTTTCTGTTCGCCAGCTTCTTTGACGACATCGAGGTTTCCGATCCTTCTCGGCCACTGACTCGTCCAGAGAAGGCCCTGAGGTTCCTGGCGGAATCAATGATTGCCGCAGCTGTTCCCTGTCATTGATTCGCCCCCTTAACTGGTCGTGGTACGGTCGCTTCATCCCCAGTGTACGCCCTGCGCAGACCTGTTTGTTTCTTTTTGCTCGTATGTCGACAGGTGTTGACACTGGACAACACCCAGGTTTCTGGTCTTATCTCACGCTGAGACCTAGCAACAGGAAGCGATTAGCATTGCATCCTGCGAAGGCCGCCATTGGTCCATCTGAAAAGACACATACGAACTCGGACAAACTGTCCGGAAACCCATCACCCATGATAATGACGCAGAGCCAGAGATCGCGGTACCTCAAGACTGGGGCTATCGTTGGTGTTTTGCTATTCTTGATTTTCATTCTCTCTCCCTCAAGGAACACAGTAGCCAGAGTCGGCGGAGGTACGTTCAGGAGCGGAAGGTTGAAAGGAAACTACTGACGGCCAACAGGACAGTCGGAGTCCGGGTCATCACTCACGACGAAGTGCACGAAGCCATATGATCCATCGAAGCCTCTTATCCAGTATGCGTTGATGATCGATGCAGGCAGTACGGGCTCCCGGATTCACGTCTACCGGTTCAACAACTGTGGTCCTACTCCTGAACTTGAGGATGAGAGATTCGAGATGACCGAAAAGAGAAAGGGCGGTTCAGGTCTCAGCTCTTACAGAGAGGATGCTGAAGGTGCAGCAAAGAGTCTGGATCCTCTGATGGATGTGGCCGTGAAGACGGTTCCCGACGAATACAAGTCGTGCACACCCGTTGCTGTTAAGGCGACTGCTGGTCTGCGAATGCTCGGTAGCGAAATGAGTGAGAAGATTCTGGAGGCTGTCAGGCATCGTTTGGAGACCGTCTATCCTTTCCCTGTGGTTTCTAAGGAGAAGGGTGGCGTTGAGATCATGGATGGTTCCGACGAGGGCGTTTACGCTTGGATCACTACGAACTACCTGCTGGGCAAGATCGGTGGCCCTGACGAGACGCCTACCGCTGCTATCTTTGACCTTGGTGGTGGTTCGACTCAAATCGTCTTCCAGCCCACTTTCGAGAAAAGCGAAGACGGCGGCATGCCTCAGAAGCTCGCCGACGGCGACCACAAGTATGAGCTCCAGTTTGGTGGCAGGGACTTTGAACTCTATCAGCACTCTCATCTGGGCTATGGTCTCATGGCAGCCCGTGACGCCATCCACAAGACTGTGGTTGAGTCTAAGCTGGCTCTGAGTCCCAAGGATCTCTCCTGGCTTAACCAGCCCATCCCCAACCCGTGCGTTAGCCCTGGCATGGACGTTCAGGTCAATCTTACCTTCCCAGATGACCACCCACTCGGGCCCCGTGTGACTGTCACGATGGCGGGTCCAAAGGAACTGTCCGCTTCGGCGCAGTGCAGGGGCCTAGCGGAGAAGATCCTCAAGAAGGATGCTGACTGCAAGCTTGCCCCGTGCTCATTCAACGGCGTTCACCAGCCTTCCCTGGAGAAGACTTTCGCCAGAGAGGATGTCTACATCTTCTCGTACTTCTACGATCGGACAAAGCCCCTGGGTATGCCAGACGCTTTCACCCTGGAGGAGCTCCACCGTCTCACTAGCACCGTGTGTGCCGGCGAAGATAGCTGGGGTGTTTTCGAGGGTGTCCAGGGAGCCTTGGAGGAGCTTCGGGATCGCCCAGAGACGTGCCTTGACCTCAACTTCATGCTTGGTCTGTTGCACACTGGCTACGAGATGCCCCTTTCCCGCGAAGTCAAGATTGCAAAGAAGATCAAGGGTAACGAACTCGGTTGGTGTCTTGGTGCAAGGTAAGTTCTTCCATAAAAAAAGGGTCAGAAACGAATACTGACGTCCTTTACTACAGCCTGCCGCTCCTTAGCAAGGAATCTGGATGGACTTGCCGTATTAAGCAAGTTGCGTAATGACTGACAATGATCGGTGCTAGACGCTCTGGTATAGAGAATACTGCTTTTTTTTTTCTTTTTTGAGGATGAGTTTTCTGCGGGATGAAGCGCGCTTCTTCCTATATAGATCTTCGTATCCGGGCCATCAGATCTCTGGGATGTATTAAACATTTTTCACGTCAAGTCACGGTTGTGATTGTATCTATGGATTTACTGGGACGCTTAATTTTCTCTCATGTGGCTGGTTTTATGGTCTCTTGTTAGTTGGTCCACAACTAGCTAAGTCTGCAACAGAATGGATCTTCTGACGAGGTTCTGATCCAAATGCACTTGAGAAAACATCGCTCATGATGCTCTAGATGGAAGGGTTCTCAGGAGGGAGCTGGTTTTACTGCAGATGAACAGTCTCTTTTGGCAAAGAAGCTGTTAGTCTTCCATTTCCTCAATAGCCGGTCCTTTCAGCTTTGTCTTCTTGCCCATCAGCTTATCCAGGACATTGCTATTCAGTTGTGTCCGATGTCTGCTCGTAGATGGACCTGTTTCATTATCGGAGGTGCCATCGCTATCCTCTTCGGTACCCGATTCGCCGTTTCCTTCAGTATCTTGTCCCTCCAGGACCCCCAAACCAAGATTCTGCGAGAGTCACTGCTCAGTACCTTCCCAAGTAACCATCTCTGTAGCGTGGAATAGACCTACCATTTCTATATACTGTCCCTCATTCTCCTCATCCACGTCGTCCATGACTATATCCTTGGATTTCCCAGCCTCGAGATTTCGCTGCAGATCGTCGTTCGCAGCTTTCAGCTTGGGTAGGAAGCTTGAGATGCGAGAGAGTATGCTCGAATCCCCATTCATTCGCTGTATTCGTGGTTTTGGCCTGCCTGGCACATTTGTTATAGAAACCTCATCATCGGAGCTGTCGTCCGACTCATCGATGTCATCTTCAGCGTCTTCTATCCGCCTTTCGCCACCATTCCCACTTTCGGAGGAAGAGGAAGACGATGAAGAAGAGGATGACGAGGACGTGGATGAGGAAGTTGTGCCTTCGGAAGAAGTGCTTTCATCATCGCTGTCCTCTTCCGCGCTCGAGCTCTCCTTCTCGGAAGAGTCGTCACGGGAGCTTACTGTGGAGGTTGTGTCAGTAGACGAGCTGGAGTCGGAGCTGAGACTTTGTCTTCGCGCTCGGCCGCTGGGGGCGGGTGCCCTGGAGCGTTTTGAGGGCGAGACGGTGGAAGAAGGGTCATCATCCTCCAGCGGGCGCTTTCTGCTAGTTTCATCCATATGAATTGACTCGTCGCGGCTCTGTTGGGGGCGTGAGTTCGGGGTTTCGTCTGCGGCGGTGGAGTTTGCGGCTATTGGGGGTTCTTGTTCTCTTGAGTTTCAACCGGGTCGATCGTCTCCTGGCTTGTCTTGGGCTAAGGCGTGGTATGCCCGTCCCACGGCGGTTGTTTCGACTACGAACGAGACCCTGATGCTCGTCTTCCCCAGCGCATGTCTGTTTTTTCTCTTTTCTCTTTTTCTTTTGCGTATCCTGACTGCTCTCACAGCAACTGGATGACAGGAGAAATCTTGCGAAAACCAGCTTCGAGATACAGAGCGTTGATCCAGAGGTGAGTACTACCCCTCATGCTTACTATGGGCCGGTGATCCATGGTTCGCCTTAACGCCCTCCGTTACTTTCTTTACCTCTGCAAAATAGCTTAGCTTCAGCATGCTATCATATATCCACAGACTGTAGTTCATGAGTTCTTTCACCGTTTATCATGAGGCTGGGGAGACAGCATCAGGTCATGCTGCTCAGGTTCTACTGCTGATATGGTGAATGGACGGAATCATAAGGAAGCTGGTTCCATGATGCTGAACTATTCTGATGGCGTATTCACTGGTGACTGACAATGTGACTTGAATTGTTGCTTTTTTCTTTTCTCTTTGACATCAGTGAATGTCTCCTATTTCTAGATTCTATATTATCTTGCAACACTTCACAGCTTCTCTCCTTCCAACTTTCATTTATCACAAGTTCAAGTTGATCTATGAGTACGGTCATCTTATGGGATCCCACTGCATTTAATCATTCTACTTAGCATTACACGACTTTCGAGATGCCTATCGCTTACAGTACCAAAGCAGGGAGTAAAGAACCTCACAAAGCCTTGTGGGCGAGCGACTACGTTCTTCTGCTCAACGGAGGTCTCCTTTCGGAACTTGACATCTACTACGGCTTCAAGGCGTACCTATCGAAGGATCTGGTTGATCTCGGCCCAGATCAGTATATTCGCCTCTTGCGAAGCTACCTGCCCCCGGACCACTCCCGAGACATCCTCCGTGAAGCTGGTTCTAACGGGCCTCTTCTTGACCCGTTGAGCCTGAAGACTTTCAACTACCTCCGTGACTTCTCGGTCATCACGGCAAGATACATGCAAAAGCTTGATAACGGCAAGTCCAGTATGAGTCAACCAACATTGCAGATCAACGGAGAAGAGCCTGCCCCAGGTGATACTGGCAACAATGACTCGGGATCAATAGCTTCGACGCGCAAGTCGCTGCACCAGAACATCATTGGCAAGCTCCGCCCTTTGCCGTTCCAGTACCATTGGACAATCTGGTATGATAAACATACGGACTCCAGCAATTACGATAACAGGCTCTATGTTCTGTATGAAGACGTTGCAGACATCGCAACATTCTATCGCGTCTATAATAATTACCCCTGGGATAAAATCAGACTGCGGGATACCGTTCACATTTTCCGAAAAGGCGTGAAGCCTGTGTGGGAGGATCCAGAGAACCTCAAGGGTGGATGCTGGACGTTCCGTGTACCCAAAGCTAAGGCACAAGAGTTTTTCCATGAGATCGCTATTCTGTGCATGGCGAATGAGTTTCAGGCTGCACTTGAGAAAGGTACAGACCTTATATTATTGCCCCTGTTACTTTTCCAATTTTATAAGCATATGGCGATGCTGACAGATAACCTTGCAGAGCATGATCACGTTCTGGGTGTCTCGACTTCAATTCGTTTCAATTCCCACCTGATCTCTGTATGGAACAAGCTTGGGTCCAACCAGCGCGCAATCAAAGCATTGGAAGAAACCATTATCGACCGGTTGTCACCAGAGTTGCGACCCGCAGGAGGCAATTCATATTTCTACAAACGACACGATGAGCACGACGGTTACCAGCAGGCAGTTGAAGCTTCCAAGAACCAGCCCGGGAAGAAGGTCGAGACTCAAGACGAAAAGAAGGATGCTCATGCAAGCATTGCTGCGTAGTGTGGCTGGATGTTTCCATTATCACAAAGTGATTTGCATTGCATTTACAAATGGGCATGTTGCTGATCTTCCCTGTATTGCTTGTAGCATGCGTGAGCTAGCGGTTCTTTTTTTTTGCCCTTAACCGTTCCTTCTACTTCGGCACTGGAATGGATGCTTTGAGTCCACCATTCTATTCACAAATTGTATGCATTTTTTCCGACTTGAGAGGCTGGAACGGTCAACTGACATTCCGGATATGTTTCCTGGCTTTTCTCAGCAGCCTCTGGGGACTATTGAAGCAAATTCGCTCCTGTCTAGTAGTTATGATGTAACTAGCCCAGCTCGATTATCAGATGCCTTGTAACCGAAGCCTGCATCCATACAGAATCCGATGGCTCTGTAAAAGTCAGCAAAAGGATCAGAAAATCGGTGGGGCTTTCTGTTCTATCCCCCGTTTTGAATCTAAGACTACATTTGAATCTAAGACTACATGGGATAGACTATTCAGTTGCGATCTTACGACATGTATAACAAGTGGATTTTATTTAATGGTATAACGCGTTCATTCATCAATTCCTCATCAAGCATAACTACATGAGCCGGTAATATATCTACTCGATTATCACGACATCATCACTGTCTATCAGCTCATCTTCGGCTGCGTTCGCAGTCGAGATGTTTTCTTTTTTTCTCTCTCTGGTTGCTGTGGCGTACCAGGGTTTGTCAACCCACTCTGTCACGAGGTGGGCAGCTTGGTGGGCTAGGGAGTAGAAAGCCGGGTTATCTTTCGGGGAGAACATGCTGATATGCGCAGTCGTTTCATTGGAGGATTTATCGTTTGTGGCCTTGATCCATATAAGGCCTGGGTCGGTTCGGTTTGGTTGCTCGTCCACATCTGGAGGCAAGCTGCAGAATGTGCGGTCCTTGGAGCGTATGATCTTCTGGCTGATGGAAGATTTACCTTGGTGCGTTGGATCAGGAATAGACTGGGCGCCTCTTCCAAGACACGTATAGAAGTTGGCACTGCCGATTTTGCGCTCGATATAGAGATTAGATAGTGTAGAAACACGTTTCCGAAGCTCTTCGGAGCGCGCCAAACACCCCACGAATGCTAGATGTGAAGTTACCCAGCTCCAGCCTGCTGTGAGGTTATCTCGCTGAGAATAAAGGGCGGCTGCTCCGCCTGCGGCAGCAGCGCCCGCCGCCCCGGCAAACATGGCATAGCGACCCCAGCGCTGCCACGAGGGGGTGGCTGCGGCATCTGCAGAAGCCGCAGTGGCAGTCGAGGCAGGCAGTGACTTCTGCTCCTGGACAGTCGTGCTCGTCGTTTTGGTCGTGGATGTATTGTTACCCCCGAATCCAAATACGCTTGCAATTTCAGATATCGTATTGTAAGCCGTGGCCACTGTCTTAAGATGACCCTCGGCACCGTAGGAAACGACTCCTGGAGCAATTCCTAGAAAAGGTGTATCGAAGGCCATTAGACCTTGAATATGAGGGAACATGAACGTGGTAGGCTCAACAGAAGTCGGTCTTCCTGCGCGTTTCCCGTCCGCCGTTGAGCTCTCGCTCAGAGACGAAGGCGGCGGAAGTGGCTCCTCTGACGCCAGTAATATGAGAGTCTCTCCTCCGACTATACCGCCCATCGAATGTCCCACCAAGATCACATGAACAGATGGATCAACCGTAGGAGATGGCGCATGGTTTTCTACTTCGAGATCAATGACTTTATTCTGTAACCTTTTGATAAGGAACAGTCTAGTTAGCCAAACTGCATCTGCACATAACACTCTTGGCACCACACACCATTCTCGGAATCTCCCCACGCATTCTTTTAGGTCTCCTCTTGTCTCGTACTTCGGGTAGACTGCGGTAACGACCTCGATGTTTGGGAGCGCATGGCTGACCAGAGCCCTCAAGTGCTCCGGGAAATTTACGAAAGTATCGTCACCTCCCTATATAAGCGACTGAATCGTTAGCTATGCAATCTTCAACCATGGCAAATCTTAGCTGATGCCGCATATGCGCACATCGTCTGGGAAGGTATGCGGGGAGAGAAGCATGTACCTTGAAGCCGTGGATGAACACAAGGAGAAGCGTCTTCTTCATTCTCCTGGTGGGAGGACAAACAAATGATTCATCTTCGTTCTCAGTGGTTATGCTATTCTCCGGATAACATGCGACGGAGATCCGGTTTGCTGATTCTCGAGATGGATCGTCCAGATCGTGCACTTGTCACGAGGCATCGGGCCATTTGCGTCATGGGTACCACGTGACAGACCGCCCACCTGCCGTCGATCCCGCCAGAGGGGTTCCTCGGCGACAAATCGCCGTGATTGGCCGAAGCCCTCTGCTGCTTGGATAAACCGCGGACGTTCCTTTGCTCTCGACGGGCGGACCAGGCAATTGCATAGATCTCTGTAGCCAAGATACTCTTCTTTCTTTGCTGAGAGAAGGAATGGTCTACAGTTTCCTCTCTGTCTAGCTCACTATCAGAAATCTTCAATCGACCAATCGCTGAGCATCTGCTATCAATATGCCAAATCTTGTGACGGTTGCGACGTGCAACTTGAACCAGTGGGCTCTGGACTTTGAAGGAAATACATCTCGTATCATCGAGAGTATCAAGAAGGCAAAAGCAGCCGGCGCAAAGTTGAGAGTTGGCCCCGAGCTGGAGATTTGTGGATATGGATGTCTTGACCACCTTTTGGAGCAGGATCTCTACCTGCACTGTTGGGAGATGCTCGAGAGGATTCTCAGTGACAAAGATTGTTCTGGAATGATACTAGACATAGGTATGCCGGTGCAGCATAAGAATCTTCGCTACAACTGTCGAGTGGTATGTGTTTCGTCCCACTGAGTCCTCGCGCAGATATGACTAATACCCTGTGATAGATATGTCTGGATTCGAAGATCCTCTTGATACGGCCCAAGATGTCTCTGGCTAATGATGGAAATTACCGCGAGGTAAGATAATATGTATCCTGATACATCATCGCCTTCTTGCTTGCGGTTGCATCACTCGAGAACATTGACACCCTATTAACAATACTGATGATATTTCAAGATGAGGCACTTCACACCCTGGATGCGTCCTAGGCAGTATGAGCAATACCTCTTGCCCCGTAAGATTCAGTTACTACAGGGTGCAACTCACGTCACTTTTGGAGACGCTGTAATCAGCACTCTCGATACCTGCATTGGAGCAGAGACTTGTGAAGAGGTAAGACACACGGTTCTACTTAGAGTTACATCACTAACGGAAACAGCTATGGACTCCGGACCCGTAAGTGGTGTCATTGACCCCTAGTTTATATATTCTAAGGATTCTTTTTAGGCCGCACAACCATATGTCATTGGATGGAGTTGAGGTAAATATATACCAACTCCTGTAGTCCTATGGAGACACTGACGTCCGTTAGATCATCACGAATAGCAGTGGCTCCCACTTCACGCTTCGGAAGTTGGATACTCGGCTGGGGCTCATAATGGAAGCTACCAAGAAGAACGGTGGAGTCTACCTGTATGCGAACCAACAAGGAGTGGACGGCGAGCGGTTGTACTATGATGGCTGCGCAATGATCGTCGTGAACGGCAAGGTCTTAGCGCAAGCATCTCGTGAGTCTCTCAAGTACAGCATCTTCCTGCCTGTTTTCTAAAAACCATGCAGAATTCTCTCTTTCCGATGTCGAGGTCGTTACGGCTACTGTCGATCTGGATGAAGTCAGAGCTTATCGCTTTGCACCTTCTCGTGGACTTCAAGCCGCCGTCACCCCGGCGTATAAGAGAGTGGAGACCGCGTTTTATCTCACATCAGATGATGAAGACCTTGGCAAGATCCCCAGTCCTGAGCTTGAAATCAGATACCATACACCTGAAGAGGAGATCGCTCTATGCACCGGTTGTTACCTATGGGATTACTTAAGACGGTCAGGGGTCTCTGGGTACCTTGTTCCGTTATCGGGAGGTATCGATTCATGTGCCACAGCGACTATGGTCTTCTCAATGTGTCGTCTTGTCATTGAAGCCTGCGAAGCAGGCAATGAGCAGGTGATCGCAGACGTACGACGTCTAGCGAGATACACTGATAGTATTCCAAAAACACCCCAGGAACTTTGCAACCAACTGTTCCACACTATCTACATGGTTAGTTAGCAACAAGATAACGTATCTCAGCCGCTGATCGATTTAGGGAATGTCGAAACAATCCTCGAAAGAGACACGACAACGGGCTAAAGATCTCTCGGCTGCAATTGGCTCTTACCATGTCGACCTTGACATCGATGAGGTCTACAATGCTCAGCGCAACCTCATAGTCAACGCTTTAAACTTCGAACCCAAATTCAAGGTAGAGGGTGGCTCTGTGACCGAGAATCTCACCTTGCAGAATATTCAGGCCCGCTCCCGCATGGTCACTGCCTACGAGTTCGCTCAAATTCTGCCTCTTTCCCGTAATCGACCTGGAGGTGGATCCCTCCTTGTAGTAAGTTACCTGTTGGCGATCGATGACACCACGTAGCTAACATCGATATAGCTTGGAAGCGCCAACGTAGGAGAATCCCTCCGTGGATACTTGGTACGTTATCGCGTATTAATATACAAGCCGTGCGAGCTAACTAGCAACTAGACGAAATACGATTGCTCCAGTGCGGATATCAACCCCATTGGTAGCATTGACAAGCAAGATCTCAGACGCTTCATCGCCTGGGCACAAAAGAACTTCGACCTGCCCTGCCTTGAGGAGTTCCTGGATGCTGTTCCCACAGCGGAACTCGAGCCTGTTACCGAAACATACGTGCAAAGCGACGAAGTGGACATGGGCATGACGTACGATGAATTGACCGTATTTGGCCGACTCAGAAAGGTTCATAAGCTAGGTCCATTTGGAATGTTCCAGCGCCTCGTTCATGACTGGGGTGCCGAGCGCCCGCGAGTTTCTGGTGACAATCTACCCGTGTATACCCCAGCTCAGGTCGCAGAGAAGGTCAAGCGCTTCTTCCACTACTGTACGTATACATCTTTCGTATTCCTGCCTTGTCCTTGGATGCATATCCTGGTTGGAACTGAGCTAACACGCTTGTCTTCAGATGCAATTAATAGACATAAGATGACGACGGTATGTTGCCAACCTGTTGAAAGGAAGGCCGCGTATCCCCGGCTTCAAGATTTCATGGACCTGATCTGATATTGTTGGAATATAGTTGACGCCTTCCCTGCATTGCAACGACTACTCACCGGATGATAACCGCTACGACCTGAGACCCTTCCTTTATCCAAGTTACTGGGTACGATTTCCCACACCTTGGTGATTACGTATTCTTTTCTAACTCATAACAGAGCAGCTGGGCATTCAAGAGAATCAACGAGCAACTGGAAAAGCTCGAGGCGCTGAAAAAGTAGACAAGTCGCCCTGGAATGCATGTGATGCATATAGACAGATTATATAGACCTCGGGTTCATTTATTCCTGGACTGAAATATGTCGGAATCCAGCAGAAATGTCGCTCTTCCCATAGCTTAGAATATTGTTTTCTGCACAATGTGATCTTCAGGCAAGAAAGAGTCTTGATATGCGATTCACTTACGGCCTGTTTTGGTAACGCCGTATTTCAGCGAGTACCTTAATAAATGAAAACGAGCACATGAATGTCAACTTGGCAATGAAATTGTTGACTCCTGCTTATACCTCGGACGGACGAAAGATAACTTTCTCTCCCGAGACTCCCTTCCTGTTCAAACCCAGAGCTTCCTCCACTGCGCCCAGGCCACCCGAAACCACACGCGACCGGTTCGGAATGTAGAGACCCTTAGCGATATATCCATCCTCTCCTCCCAGACTCTTGGCCATAGGTTCGCTCAGATAACGAAGATCTGGAAAGCTGCCGACACCCAGGACCCGTTTGATATCTACCTTGGGTTCCTTCGACTGACTGAGCGCCGTGGCTTCTGGATCGACGACATCCGGGCGGACGGTATGTACCGTCACGACATGGTTGCTAGCAATGGTCTTCGCAGCTTGGACGATCTGGACGCTCAATTTCTGCGTCTCCTTCGATGAGATGGCATCGAACAAGAAGTCTAAAGGCAGTTCACCAATCGCGGCCTTGAAATCTTCCACAGTTGCCTGAGACCGGTCCAGCACGACATGTGCGCCGAGCTTCTTGAGAAATTCGTGATTCGCAGGGCTTGCGTTTGTGATAATTCGCTCGAAGCCCGATAGTCTCGCCAGCTGTATCGCATACTGGCCAACCGACGAAGCACCCCCGATGATCACTACGGCTTTGCCTTTTCCGACTTGCTCACCTCCCTTCTCCCACGGAGGTGTAATACCATGGCCAGTCTTGTCATAGAATGCAGTGACGACGGCTACCGTAGCGAGGGATATACCCGCAGCCTGCTCGTCGCTGATGTTTTTTGGTGTTTTCGAGACCAAGGCAGCTGGCATCTTGCAATATTGCTGGAAAGTGCAATAATCATATTTGCCTATGATACCCTGGAAGAAGACGCGATCACCCACCGCAAAACCAGAGACATTAGGCCCAACCTCTGCAATTTCGCCCGCTGCATCAGATCCGAGTATGGCAGGGTACTTGTCGATAAAGGCCTGCCAGTCGCGCATCTTCCAATCGACTGGGTTAACAGCCGTGGCTGTGATTTTGATGGCAACCTCACCAGCCTCCAATGGTGGCAAGGAGCGCTCCTGAATGACGTTCTGAGCCCCTGGCTCAAGGACTATAGCCGCCTTGAATGACTGCGGAACTGGCATGGTGTGTGTGTGATGTCGTCGTCAGTATGATGATATGACACAGCCGTCGCAAGAGTTGTCGCTATTGTGAAATCTTGTATTGTTAGGAGTCACGACCGGCTCCCGAGTAATAGTTCCACTACGGTTAAATATGATATACAAACATGTATGCAGCGAATTCAGTGCATCGGAGCGAAGAGCGAGCTGGTGGAGCCAAATCCGGATACTTAGCTGCTTATGTGATGTTTGTCCGACTCCGACCAGTTCAGATAGAAACCACGCAGATTTCTAAAAGATTCTTTGGCGGGTTTATAGTTAACAGAACTAATTGGTCTTTATTTATCCTCTGTTTTATAATCTAGCGGCCGGATTATTGGTGAGCCAAGTTTGTTACGATCTATCTGCATGAGTTCCAGTCGACTCACGATCCTTACCCCGCCGACATCGAAATTGGAGAGGACAATTGAACGAAATATAGCATTACAAAATCAAGCTATTGGCGCATCCTTGCCATGAAGATCAGTTTCGTAGTCTATATTTGGACAAACATAGAGAGATCTTCTGATTAAGCCCTAAGATTTAGGATCAAAATGCTACCATTATCTACAGGACTGTTGGTGTCAGCATCGTTATCTTACGGACTTGTACATCGCAAGATTGTGCTTGATATTTTGGCCAATGTCTGTTAGTAAATTTGGACCTAGCAGGACTTTATCCTATCTATCTTGTGTACGATTCTATGCAAAACTTTATCCCCAAGGGTTGAAGTTGGTCCGCACAAATGCGGTGGGGACTCTTGACTCGAACTACGGCCGGACATTGGGAGAAAGCAAGACTCTTGCTGCAATAGATCAGATACAAACTCAATCGATCTCCTGTCAGTTGTCGGCTCCAGCTATTGGAGTATTGGGGTCGACCAAAGCGTTCTGTAGATTAGACTACATGTAGATCCTGGTTCTACTTACCCACACAGATTCAGTCATGTTGAATAGCTGAACAAGATGGTGAGTTAAGAATACAGAGTAGTCTATGCCCTCTAATCAGAAGAAGTTCGAAAGAAGAAAGGGGACTATAAACCATGTAGGAAATTGACGGGCTGCGTAAAGGAATCACTACATGGTGTGAATGGATTCGATATTGAACAGCATTACAGGGCTGGCTCTTCACTTTCGGATCGTTTTCTTCTTGAACTTACTCTAGTCACTGCAGTATTCCCGCTGATCAGGTTATTTGTGAATCTTCTTTAGTTAATATGTCTTGTGAAAAGGATCTCGGGGATTCCCTACCTAGCTAAGGAGTTCCTGGCGGAATTCTCCCACTCCTTCGCTCAGCGAGCTCCACCCGTGGGGATAAATAGGCCGATCTTCTAGGGAGTCCAAACAGAAGTCATCTTTGTTAAGTCTCAGACTATAGTATAACTTGGCTCATGGCTTCAATCAAATAGCTCGGTTATCTACCGAGTCGCTCTTAGTTCTAAAAGATAGTTATAGTCACCAATCTCATCTTGAGAATGCACACACCGGAGTTAACATAGAAATTACGTTTCGAAGCGGCAACAGTCGGTACTCGATGGAGCTTTTTGACTCTGCTTCAGATCCTTCGACTCAAGGCTTGGCGGAAGCGAAGGGACGAGGCCATCCAGAGGGGTAATCTCGTCCCTCCAAAACCGAGAACACCGGCACACCGCAAGACAGGAAGTGACGTTTTGCTCCGCGTCACAAGAGGCGCTCCCAAGTTATACACCCATCAGTTAATCCACAGACAGGGTCAAATTGTTCCGCCAGCCAATGTGGCGGAGGAGGCAGGATGTCAATATATACCAGACTCTGTTACAATTCTGGTCTTCAAGTCTCAAGGATTGTCTTTATACCTTCACATATTGACGACAGCCACTAGCCACAAATGCATAATGCTATCAGATCGTGGATACTGCCGGGGCTACTGCTTCCCAGGAAGCGAACAATCTTTCAGTTTTGGGCAATACCAGTATGAAATCCGCATAATAAGCCGGCCATGTATACGACCCTGTTGCACCTCTTGTTCTGAGCGTGTCTGGCGCCATGCGGAGATAGAGGCATATATCATGACGATCGGGCCGTACATCACAGCAGGCAGAAATGCAAACACAACTTTTCATTTATCTTTGAACAGGTTGCGAGCATTAGCGAGAGAGAAGATATTAACGATGGGCCTTACTCCCGCGTAGCTCTCGCTGGCGATTAGCAACCTTGCCCTTCTGGGTAACCGGCTCTCCGGTTCTGACTCCGTATTTTGACTTTGTGGTAGGCCTAACCGGGGATTCTATGATCAGTCGATGGATAAACTCTGATGCTGATGTCTCCAGGATCCCCGAACCTTTCCAAGGTCTCAGAGACACAATTTGTTGCTTTTAGAGCAGTCTGGCCGATAATGAGGACCGCTGACCAGTTTGTTGGTGATACCTACCTATACGGCATCGACAAGTTCTGAGAGCACGCGAAATCAATTGTGAACAACCTGGGCAGTTTCAAAAGATTTACTGATATGCTTGAGGGAACGCGACATGTTGAGACAACAGGAGATGTTACAACAGTAACCTCTATCTCAACACCGAGTCTATTAATGATAACTCCTCATTGGTATACAGCGGAAGTGACTGAAGACCGAATCAAACCAAACTCGGCCTCGTTTTACCTTTCAAGCATATCTTTTTCGCTCAGAAACCACTTCTAAGAGTTGCTCCGCGAAGATACGCGTCAAAAATGGAAGAAAACGCACTGGAAATACGAAATGTCGTCCGCCAGGACAAAGCTCTTCGACTCGGAACACATACCTACTTGAGTTGTCGTCGACCAATCAATGGAATATAATTTTAAACTAAACGCCTCAAAACACTAAAGGACTTATCACCAACAGGGGTCTTCTCCGCCTCTATAACGAGGTACAACCAGGTGGTTTGGAAGCGGATACGGCTCGCCTCTGGATGGCAATCTTAACCACGCAGTTCCCGGCATCCTGATGATAGGACAACACCTCAACCATTGGAGGCAGGCCTGGCATTTATGAACTACTACCGGAAGCGTACCGCGTTTCTGTGTTAAATGTTCAGAGCAATCGCTATCTCTCAGTCATGATCAGAAGTCATACACACTATGGTGATGTCCGTATCTTGTCTGGCCGTATATGGGATATCGCGGCTACAGAATGGAACCAGCAGTAGGGAGTTGTGTCACAGCGTCACTACGAGGATTAGCTTTGCAGTGGTACGCCGCAGAACTGTCTATCTTGTATCGTGATCTTCTTCATTGTATATATCCTGGCTACCTAGTCAGAGGTCTCCACAACTTAACGCCGCGTGCGATTGGAGTCAACTCGGGCATGCCCCAGTTTGCCTCGTCGCTGGAAAACAAGTTGAAAGAACCCCTGGGAGGATGAATGAATCAGTATCCCCAGGTGACATCAAACGGTGTAAGCACCTGAAGTCAACGATGTCAATGAGTTTCTCGGACGATTTACTCTGGACCGCAATCCGAATATCGAAGCTGAAATAAAAGTGTTACATCTAATTGTTATTTTCTATATTTTGTGTCTGCAACGTAACAGTTCAGTATACATTTCCTTTTCCTTAGCCAATTGGCGTGGCGGTGTCCACATGCTTGAATATTTAACCAGGGCCGCGTGCAATTTACTACAGTCAAAAACTAAGAACAGAAATAGCGAGTGATTCTTGTTTAGCGAAGCTTTTATACCCATGGGATTGAACTATCAAATCTCACCACCTCCGTCTCCAGCAAGCCAAAGTGCATTCAGTAACTACCGCGCTACTTGTGAGCAGCCTGCGCCACCATGGCAATCTCGAGAGACGCGTTTAAAAAAGTCATGGAAGCCGCAGTTTCGGTTAGAGAACACGTCTATGACAACTTCTACGCTTCCCATTGGAGATGGGAAGACGACAATACCAACGCCGACCGTGACGCAAGTAGCTTTGCCGATCTTGCACATTTACTAGGCTTTTCCGCACCGGAAACCTACTCGAATTCACTCACACCCGCGTTTGAAGTCCATGCTCGAATCATAGACATATTGAAACGTGCAGTCTCAGATATCGGAAAGAGTGTCATCATGATCCATTACGCGGGCCATGGGGGATTGAACTATGTACTCTAAATATTGTCCATCACAATTAAGCTGTTGTGGACCAATCAGCGGAAAATCATGCTTGGTGATAGGACAGCCGAGGTACCTAGGTTAGATAGCCACGCTTGTCTCCCAACAGTTTAGACGCGTACTTGATACTACCCTACAAGCATCAATTTCAAGTGATCTATCGCTCGACGAGATTGTATATAGGAACCCTGCAGGTCGACTAGGATGTTATAGCGTTCCTACGACAAAGATCCAGAGCAGTCTCTCTCTATCTCTCCTATTCTTTTTCCCTTCTGCTGCGCGGGAATATTTACACCCAGCAACGTTCATCCCTCCTCGTGATCGCCGCTTACTTCGTAGTTAGCACGCGGAGGTTTATACATATTGCCTTAGAATCTTTCTTCGAAGTCGCTCTTTTTTTTTTCTTCTGCATTCTCCGTCAAGACATTAAATCGCCAGTAGTGGCCTGTCTTAATCCACGATGTCGCCGAAACAGAGTCCTGCCAACAATGGCCAGGAACAACAAATAACGCCATTTGCCGATTTGATGGCTCTCGAGCACCTCGAAAAGAGCACGAGGATTCTTGGCGCACCTACAGATAAGCCAGAGGTTGTCGAGACATTCCAATCGGTATCCCTACCATTCAGTCCTGGCGCAGGCCAGCGCGCCTTTGGCGGTCATGTCTTCGCACAGTCTGCATATGCAGCCTCGAAGACAGTAAAGAGGGGATTCGTGATACATGTGAGTTCTTGATCTGGCGGCTTATTCATATTAAGAAACCTCCTCTGTTCTATCTTATCTGGAACCGAATCTCGATAACTGACAATCCTATACAGAATATCATGGGCTCTTTTATCTTGGCTGGTCGTCTGGATGTTCCCTTCGTATATACTGTCCGTCACGTCCGTGATGGCGGAGTATACTGCATGCGTGCGGTCGATGTTCGACAAAATGGAAACGTCTGCTTTTCCTGCATCTGCTCCTTCAAGCGACTTGAGACGCGCTTCTCCTACGGCTATCAGCCTGCTGTGGATCTGCACGAGAAGTATCAGTCAGTACTGGAGGACAAGAAGCCTGAAGACCATCCCCTCGCTCCGGGAGTCGATGCCGATTGGTGGATGCGAGCAGTCGAGATGGGAGAAATTGAGGAGGGAGAGTTTGCTGGAGTCGATTTGAGAAGGGTGGACATGCGAAAGTATAACCGAACAGAAGAGATCAGAAAGAACCCGCATAAGTACCGCCAATTGCAGTTCTATCGAATCAAAGGCTCCCCCGATTCGACAATCCAGGATCTAAATCAGCTCGAGAAGAACGATCGGGAAGGTGAATATGATAATCTCTATGCGTGCGCTCATCTATATGCCAGCGATAAGAACTCGTTGATGGTCATCCCGCGATCCTTGGGCCAGAGCGAGAGCTGGACCGCGATGGCAAGTCTGAGCTGCACGGTCATATTCCACCAACATGGCGACGCGCTGCGGATGCTCGATTGGGATGTGACGGAGCAGGGGGAGAAGAGATCGCGGGAGAAGTGGTTCTGCCAGGAGGCCTGGTCGCCTGCGTCAGGAGGAAGTCGAGGACTCTACGAGAGTCGACTGTGGAGTCTAGACGGAACGCTGCTAGCGACGACCATGCAAGATAGCATGCTTAGATACAAGGCACCACAGAAGCTATAGAGTTCAGGGACGGTTGGCAGTTTTGGGTACTGTCAGTTGTTACCAGTAGACATATAGCATAGCGTGTGACCTGAAAGTATATAGACCTCTTGAGGAATTATTTAATTTGTCATCCGTGTAAAATCTGCGGATCTCTAGTCTTGTTTGTCCCCAATTTCATTAGACTTGGTGAGATGAGAGACCCTGCGGAGCTTGCCACAGCAAGATGAGCGTACCCAGATGTGAGAGCGAAACAGAGGAAACGTAATTTATACATGCGCCTGATATGCTAGAAATACAGAAATTGTCCGTTCCCATGAAATTGTACAATCATCCAAAAGCGAAAAATCCAGCGTCTCTAATGGCCCGTAACAGGGCAGAATCTCGTTCTTCCCATCGAGATTTATCAGATTCGTCCACCCGCAGCTCCCCCCTTCCCGAAACAAAGAAGCGAAATCAAACCCTGGGTATCTCATGGTCCCCTGCTGATCGAATCGGAGATGCTCTGCGTGTTGTTCCACTCGACCCTGCCATCGACATCCTTGATCTCCTCGAGCTTCTCGCCCAGCTTGACGACGGAGAAGCGGACCATCCGGGGGTCGAGACCGAGTGTTCTTCGGACAGCCTTCTGCACGGCGCCAGATGAGTCGAAGCGCATGATGAAGTGATGACCCTCAGTGTACCGGGCCTGATGCTTCGTAGTAGGCTTTGGCAGACGGAAGGTTCCCCAGTTTGTGTAGCCGCGGACGACGCCGCCAGAGCGGAGGACTTGGATGCCAGCGTTACGGGCGATTCTGCGGACGGTGTCAGTAGGTTCTTGTTATGTTTCAATTATAGCTTCACTCTATTGAAGCATGATTCAAGCCTGTTGGATAGGATAGGATGGATAGGAAGAACGTACTCGCGGACCTCGTTGAGACTGCCCGGACGGACCTGCGAAAAACAGTCAGTACAATCCAGCAGTTCACAGAAGAGCGATAGGAATAAACATACAACAGCGATCAGTTCGTACAACATCTCTGCGGCGATCTGTATTATTATCTTATTGTGTCTTCCGTAACGCAGAGACCCAAGCGGTTTAGCAACAAATGGCTGATCCGGAGCGGGAGATTTTTTGCGCGTGTCCCGACTCGCCGAACTTCCCCAGCTTATCGGCCCCGTTCTTGGCTCTTCCCGTATCAGCGAAAGCGTCCGCAAGCTCCTACAACTTCCCATCTTCCAATTCTTTTCCCACCACACTCACGGTTCTTGTTATTTTTTGTCCGTCCTTGTTTGTCCAAAGCCTCTATATTCAAGATGTCTACCATCGCCAGAGCCGCGCGCCCCTTCGCCTCCAGGGTGCTCTCCCAGACCCTCCCCCGTTCCACTTGCGTTCCCCGATTCACGCCTGTCCGTTTCCCGCGGGGAAGTGTCAGGAGCTTTTCGCAGAGCCCTTTCTGTACGGAATTCCCATTATTTTCAATTATAGACAGTCTCAGCTGGTCTGCAGACTCGTGTATGGCTTCAAGTAGAGACTAACACGAATCAATTGACGCAGGGCAAGTGAAGAAGTACACCGAGTCTCACGAATGGGTCGAGCTTGACGACAAGGGCATTGGTCAGTATACTTCTTTTTCTCTTCTCCGAAATTTCTTTGAAATTCATAATCGCCCAAAGATACTGATACCCCAATTGCTTTACAGCTACCATTGGTATCAGCGAGTACGCTGCCAAGTCTCTCGGTGACGTTGTGTACGTCGAGCTCCCCACTCCCGATCTCGAAGTCGCTGCCAACGAGCCCGTCGGAGCTGTCGAGTCGGTCAAGTCCGCGTCGGACGTCCTCTCGCCCGTCTCTGGACGAGTCGTAGAAGCCAACTCCGTCCTGGATGATTCGGCCAAGATCATCAATGCCAGTCCAGAGGGCGATGGCTGGATCGCCAAGGTTGAGGTCTCTGACCCTTCAGAGATCGACTCCCTGCTGGATGCGAAGGCTTACAAGGACCTCGTTGGAGAGGCTGAGGATCACTAAGGGAAGATATCCAATGTAGGAGAAATGAAAAGGGGACTGTTATTTTGTTCGTGGGAATATGTTTGTGTGCAAGGAAGAACGATTGGTTTTCATGTTATAGATCCTTCCGCCAGCAAAAGGGAGGTATGGTGTCTCTGCCATCCGATTTTTTTTTTTTTATTTTTTTCAACGAAAGTATTTCGAGATTTGGATTATGTCTTATGGTCAGTTATTCAACAGGGATGACCTTTTGTTGTTTTGTGTTCATGGCATTTCCCGGTGCTTTTTAAGTACCCGAACCGGTTGCATCTCTTATGACGACATACCTCTCCTTGCCGGCGTTATACAAGTCTAAGCTCACTTCCACTCAACACCCACATCAGCCACACTTTTCTTTTGAAGATCGCGATCCTCTCGTAGACTGACGTTTATGAAGAACTACTCTCTGACGGTTCACTTTATCTCGAGCTAGTCCCAGCTGCGACTTTTTTGAGATTTTCCTTAAGAAGATCCGGTGAAGGCGTTGACGTTAAAAGCAGAAGAGGACATTTTTATGGTAGCTAAGATTATAAAGCCATAATTCTGAAAAAAAAAAAAAAAAAAAAAAAAAAAAAAAAAAAAAAAAAAAAAAAAAAAAAAAAAAAAGCATAACCCCCACAAGTGCTGTATACGCCATAGACACACAAAGACTCCGCCATGTATATTCGATCCCAATCATATTATGAACCAAAAACCTATACAGGTGGTATAGACTCCCGGCATATCGGACATTGCAGTCTCAGTCTCATCCAGCTCTCCAGACAAGTGCTGTGGAAGATATGCCGACAAGGAGTTACCATGTAAGCGCGACGTGCGAGAATGCTCGTCGCGCCGTCTGCCACACTACTTGGGCCAGCGCCTCCAGGGGCTGAAAGGACTGGCACTTCGATGTCCTGCATGCAGATAGCGCAGTCGAAGATTTTTTTCCTCTTATCCTTGTGTTGTCTCGTGTGACTATTGCTGTCCGTCCTGGTGATCGTCAGTGAGTCCCGCTCCTGTGCGCGAAGGAATCCGATCGGCAACACTCCGCCTGACTCAATGTCTTCCCCTGATCCGGAGGCTGAAGTGTCGCGGAGAATAGGATGATAGTCGTATGCTGGCGGCGCCCAACCGCGGGGAACGAAGAAGCGTGGGCCAAGAATGTCTTGACTTGCGAGGGCCCAGATCTGAATCCACACCCATCCAACCATAGCCAAGGCGGTAGTCGTGTCCGGACGGATGAACAGGACGTTCCCGGGCACAGTAAGGAAGTACACAAAAGGGAACAATCGCAGGAGGCTCTGGCCGATGACGAATTCCCAGCTCAGAGCTTTCGGGCAGTTCCGCATGACGTTGCGATAGATTTGGGGCACCCAGAAAGAGAGGTACAGAAAGCTCACGAACCGCGCATATATGGCCCCTACCAGATTTGGCCACACGACAGACCACAAGGACAGAATGAGCAAGCAAAATAGAACGAAGTAAAATCGAGCGTACATCGCCCCGACATCGCTCCCTGTATCCGACTGCCCCTGTCCAGTACCGCCGTTATTTGTTGCTTCTGCATCGTCAGGAGCATCCTGGTCAGGCGGTAAGATAATTGGCGTTGCCCCCGTATCTGTCGGCCTCGGTGCCGTAGCAGGCGGAGGCAAGGTCTGGCGTGCGTTTGTATTCTGCGAATTCTGTCTATCCTGCTCTCTTCGCTCAGGAGCCTGAACAGCCCAAATCTCCATCATGAACCGCATTCCTATATAGCTGACGGAAAGGAACGCTAGGAAGGATGTCGCCGTCAGGATCAAGAAAGAGACCTCGTCGTACAACTCCAGAACAAGGAAAGAAATAGCGAATGCATCTCCTATCGACATCATTGCAATCGTGTAGAAGCTAATGCGGCTCCTGGTAGACGGCGTCGACGCCTCCTTGATCTGTCGCAACAGCAATGATATTTGGCCCACGAAGACACAGGCCATGATGAAGATGAGACGTGCCGCGTATTTACCATATTCCTCCTGCTTCGGCCCAGTGAGGTAGAGAGCATCAGTCGGGGGATATTCAGGAGCGCCTTTGGTTTCCAAAATGAAACCACAATCAGGAGAGAACACGACTGCAGACATCTTTATTGCAGGAGGTGGTGGGATGGGTGCTCCTTCCGGGAACCTCAGTTCATCCTCGATCCTCGAAATCACTGACGCTTCTGCTAACTTATCACCGATGAACAGTGGATGTTGTTGGAGGTAGATGACATATTCACATTTGGGAGTGGGAAAGCCCGCACCGTGAGAGCCATGAGGCAAGGAGCTCCATGGAAAGAACGTGGGTGGGCTATTCTGCTTCTCCGATATGGTATCCGACAATGACTTTACCAGAAGATCATGAGAGAGATCAAAAGCATCTTGCGAAAGAGCAAGATGGGGCAAAGAGAATATCCCTCCGAATTTCTCGCTCGTTGTACTGAGAATGATGCCTCCAGATTCAGGGAAATGAACCCCGAAAAGCGAAAGATACCAGATATTTCTGAGAGAAGAAGCACTTTCGATTGCCAGATTTGCCTTTACCTCTCTGACGTTGCGATCATCTCGCCACAACTCTTGCCCTTCCCCCTCATGCAGTTCCAAATATAGTGTTCCAGTGTCCCCTGTGACATTCAAACCAAACTCACGGGTCACATATTCATTCTCGATAACCAGCGCCGTGACATTTATATGCGAACGATTAGCAGCAAGCGGTTCGTCGATCGTCTGCCGGACCCAATCGCCACGGAGCTTGCTTGTGACGTTGCGATAGACGGGGAGGAAGAGTCGCGTGAGGTTCAACTGAGGGGCGCTATCCCGAGAATCAAGGCCTTCAGGCGCTTGAATTCCAGAGCTCAGAAGAGCTGACTGTAACTGTCGACGGGCCCTATCCTGGACGTTTGGTAGCAGGTCCCACTCGTAACTGTCATTCTTCCTCAAGCCGGCGATAGGAAGCCACTTATCAGCTTGAGCGTCGAAATCTCCATATCGTGACTGGTTCAGAAGACTGAGGGCATCTCGTTCTCGAGCAAGCTCTTCCTGATGCTCCTTATCATGATCAACGATGGGAGCACGACCCTGAGAGTTGATCAGGAAATAAAATGCTATGAGAATGAATAGAAAGGTCCCGCGGCTATCCATAAACGCCGAGAGCAGGGACCATTAGAATCGCCCCTAGTGTGAAAAGGAGAGGTTTACGATCGTCGCATTGCTGGTGCAAAGCCAGGTATGAGGGAACGATCAGTAGCAAATGTGGCTAACAGGAGTCTGGGGGATGTTATAGGATCGATGGCCAGACCAGAGGGGGCGGAACAACATGTGGAGCGGAGTGACGCGATAGGCAAAACTGGGAGCCTGAGGCTGCCGCGGAGCAGTTAGTCTAGTTAACTCTATCTATCCCGCTCCGCTCTCTCCTGAAGCTCCTTACCATAGATAGATAGATATCTACACTTCCATCCAGCTGTTGGAGTACGGAGATCGGTGAGCTTTGACACCAACTGTGGGGCATGCTAGTTATCTGTCTCTAACTTCTTTGAAACAGCCATCGAGCCAGCTCGTCCTGGGTTTTGCGCAGGCGCTATGGCGGCGTCCACTCTCCCGATCCCTCGTCCTCCGCGGACCCCTACGCCTCCATCTGATGATCCGCCTACGGACCCTGACCCATCGCCAGTGGCCACCTACGATAGGAATTCGCTATCGCCCATGGTTGATATGTATCGACCGGGAGGAGTCACCGAGTCAGCTTCAATGGATACTTTGAGTCCAGCTCGATCCATGCACAGCACCATGTCTGTTGACACGCCCGCAAGGGTGCAAAGCAGCCCTGGCGATGGCGCATCGGGGCCCTTCAATTTCAAGCCAATGACGATGGCGAAAAGCCCCGTCATAAAATCTGTATGGTCGACCTCTACATGTCTGTAGTAGATTTTTGCTAATGGCACATACCCGGTCAGAACATCGGGCAAAGACGCGGTCACAAGTACAAACACAGCAGTATCTCCCATCAGATATTTTTGGAACCGCCGCCCAGGGCGCCTTTGGCATTACCCAATTCTCTGCCGATACCCACGTTCAAGGAATGCCGGAGTAGCATGTCGAAAGAGCAACAGACCCGATTCTGGTGGAGTGTATGTCATATGTTCGTCGCCGGCTACACCCTCTGGAGTGCCCACGGCTCTCTTGCTATGACTGCTCTGTCGCATCTTATCCTCTTTGATTCACTTGGGGCTCTGCTGTGTGTCGCTGTTGATATCCTGGGCAATTTCGAAGTCTGGAAACGTTCCAGCATCCGGCATCCTTTTGGGCTGGAACGCGCCGAAGTGTTGGCTGGATTCGCGCTCTCCGTTCTGTTATTATTCATGGGTTTGGACCTGGTATCCCATAATCTCCAACACGTATTGGAAGCATCTGGTCATGAACCGCACCATACTCATGAGCATGACCGTGCCTCAGTGGGCAGCGTGGATCTGACTGCAATACTCGCTATCGGTTCGACCTTGATCTCAGCGGTCGGCCTCAAGAATCACGCACGAATTGGCAAAGCAATGCGTTTTGCTTACATTGAGTCATTGCCCTCTGTGCTTAGTAACCCCTCTCACTTTCTGACCATCTCCTGCTGCGCGCTCCTTTTCATCCTTCCTTTACTGTCTGCCCAACTTTACCTCTGGCTCGATAGAATCATGTCTGGTACCATTGCTGTCTGCATGTGCATTCTCGGGACGCGACTCGTGAAGACATTGGGCTCGATGCTCCTCATGTCGTACTCGGGCCGTGGTGTGCCAGAAGTGATAAAGGACATCGAATCAGATCCAGCCGTATCTGCCATCGACGAAGCCAGATTTTGGCAGGTGCACTATGGGCTATGTATGGCTAACTTGAAACTTACTGTTTCTGATTCTGAAGAAAACCTTGCGCGACTTCGAGACCGGATTTCCAGCCTGGTAAGGAACAGGCTAGGGGGAGGCTATGGGTCAGGGGGTCAGAAGTGGGAGGTATCTTTACAGTTCACGAGTGAGCGGACATGACGGAGTTGTTTATTAAAGCAACTTCACTGTATTCATTTTATTATCAGGGTAATCTACCCCTGCTGGTTACAGAAAAGAATATGAATAAATTCTTTCAGTATTCGTATTATTATTATATATGCGGCGCCCTAATGGAAGGAAGGACTCTAACAGACAGAACCTGGGGTTTCAAATTTTTTTAGAGAGTAGGCATGTAATGAATCTATTGCCGGAGTAGATCCCCATTTATATGAGTCAAATCAGAGCCGACTTCTGACGCCCGAGAACAGGCTTCGGACTGGAACGAAAGACAGAGAGAAAGGTAATGGAACAAGTTGAATTTGAATTGAATAGTTACAGTTCGCAGCGGACCAAATCATCAAAGTAATCCTCCGAAAGGACAGTTGCTTGTCTTCAAACACACGGGGAATGGTCCACGCTTTTCGGTTTCCCCCATTCGGAAAAGGAATTGACGCATGATGCACCAATCTCAGATTTCCCCTTCATCACCCTCCTTCATTCAAATTCACGAGCTAGCGGCCAGAGTAGCGGTTCCCTCGCGCTCATCCCTTCTCCGTCGCTTCTCCAGAATAGCCTCTCGTCGCTCAGCGAGGATCCTCAATTGTCTCTGCTCGACACCCTGGAGCCAGTAGCCGAAGCTTCCACCAACGCCCGCGAAGAGGGGATACACCCAGAGGGATTCCTTGTTCAAGAGGGGGCGCATTTCGATGCCCAGCTGCCAGAGTCGGACGGCAATGCCTGCGGACAGAGGGGTTTAGCCAGACGAACCAATTTCTATCCCATTGGCCAAGTGCCAATACTATAAAAGCATGATAAAAACAATCGAGCTAGCGATCACGTACCGAAGCCGCCCCAGAAGAGAACTTTGTGCACCATGTTTGGCGAAGGTTGTGAGGTTTGATTTGACAGGTTCGGATGATAGGAAGGTTGTGTGGGTGGCTGAACAGGTCCGTTGGACACCTCGGCTCACACGACACCGGATTTAAACAGCGCTGAGGTCGTGCCGGCGACGCAATGGACGGAGGTGATGTTGCGGCAGGCAGCGTCGAGCAAGTGAGGTTGGTCTTGAGGCTCTCTCAAGTTGCTTCGATCCCGCCTGGTCAATTCCCCGGCGAATCATCGTCCGGCCGTTCGCAAGCGGGTGTTCCGAGATGGAAAAACATTCCGCCGGACACCCTGCGGTCTTTCACGACGCGCTCATGGCAGCGCGACAGAACATCCGAGCAGTCCAACAGTGTGAAACTGAAAAATGTGGACAGTTTCTGGTGTCTTTCATTGTCTTTACTAGTCTGCCATCATCATGGCTGGTCCAGAGAACATGGCAGACGGAGACTCCACGGCTGTTAAAAGACCCGCGTTGGATGTCGAATCACTCCAGAACAAGAAGTTTAAGACCGAGGAGCTGCCGATATCAGCAGCGCAACGCGCCGCAATCGATAACTTGTTGTTTTCCTTCAAGAAGAAAGGAGGCTTCGATAATATCCGCAAAACAATCTGGGCGGAATTCAACGATGGGGTAAGTGCATTCTTCCTCGTTGCACCACCTTCTTTAGCCCTTGCGACATACTTTTCTACGTTCTTACATTGGGACATTGTGACTAATTACATGACATGTAGGAGGCCAAAAAGAAATTTACAGATTCGCTGATCGAGCTCGCTGAGTCTGAGATTGAACGTGAGCCTGCGCTTTTGTCGCGGGAGCGGGGTAAAGCAGCGACCTTGATCGAAGGTGCTGTGGACCGCAGCGATATCTACAAGAATGTGGAAAGTACTATCTACGCGCTGATGCAGAACCATTTGGATTCTATTCTTTCCTCTATCAGGGAGATTCGTCGCCAGGAGGTCGGGGAAGAGATAGCGACGCAAGAGGAGAGATCGGGCAACAAGACCGATGAAGACTTCGCGCGCCAGGTTAAGGAGAAGCGCGATGAGCGAGAGAAGATTCGCCAGGAGGAGCTACGCAAGCAGAAAGAGATAGAGGAGGAGAAAGCCAAAGCAAAGGCTGAAGAACAGCGCAAGCAACGGGAGATCCAGCGTCGCAAGGAAGAAGAGGAAGCAGCGAAGGAGAAAGAACGTGAGGAACAGAGACGGGCGGAGCGAGAACGCATACGGGAAGAGCGTCGTCGGCTGGAAGATGAGAGAGAGAAGGAGCGCGAAGAGAGATATGAACGACGGCGGCGGGAAGAACAGGACAGATACCGGGACCGGGACCGTGACCGTGACCGTGACCGATCTAGAGTCTATGACAGAGGCGTGGATAGGTCTCCCCGTCAGCGCGACTCCAAGAAGACGCCTTCTCCCGCGCCGAAAAAGAGGACTCCGCCCCCTGTTGATGAAAAATCACTGGAAGAGGCCGCCTTACAGATGCTCCTGAAGGAGGGAGAAGAACTGGCAGCGAAGTCACGGCAAAAGCCTGAGTTTGACTTTGAAGAAGCGGAGGCTATTGAAAATGGTCTCAAGCCAGCACCACGGCAAAAGAGTGTTGCAGAATCGAGGTACTCCAATACTCCCACTGGACCCCGAGAGCGAAGTTCTTCACACCACCCGGAACGTACACGGGAGCGAAAACGAGAAGGCAGCCGGAGTCGGTCACATATACGGCGCCCATCTGGCTATGATGACGACCGTAGGCGCGAGACTAGAGATCGCTCAAGAGCTCCGTCTATTCGTCACGATCGGGATCGGGACCGGGATCGGGACCGTGAACGCGATGGCGATGACAAACTCTCCATTCGCGACTATAGGGATGATAGAACCTACAGGAACAGACACCGCACCAGAAGCCGGTCCACGGTTAGAGATCGGGATCGAGACAGAGACAGAGACAGAGATAGGAATAGAGATCGCAGCCGCGACCGAGATAGAGACCATGATCGATATCGCCCTCGAGACCGCGATCGCTCTCGTGACCGACGAGACAGATCGCGTCGGCGGCGGAGCCACTATTCACGCTCCCGGTCCCGATCCCGAAAGCGCTCACGTTCCCGGTCTCGGTCCCGTCCAGCTCGTCGACGATCTCGTTCCCGTCGTCGATCTCGCTCTCGCCGGCGTTCGCCTAGTCAGCTCGATATCGACCGCTATGTACCGGCGACGAGCAACAGGAGTCGATCGCCTCGCAGACGACTGCGGTCACCGGACAGGGATGATCGGCCGCGGTTCGTGGAAATTGACCGTTATATTCCTGGCGGTGCTTCTCTAGGCGATCGAGACAGAGACGGCTCGAGGGATAGAGAAAGAGAAAGAGATCGCAACCGCGACCGCGACCGGGACCGGGATCGCGATAGAGACCGAAAACGCTCCCGGTCTCGAGACAGGGACGCGGACGATAGAAGAGACCGGCGGAGGAGCCGGAGCCGGTAAAATCCATCCGATTGAATGGGAATGTCTGCTATGGCAGCAGACATATGTCATTATCGACCTAGCGGTCTCTGTATAATTAGTGGTAGTTAGAGTAATGATACCAAAATTAATGAGTAGATCGATGGCAAGAACATCCTGGAACGCTCGATAGTATTTCTCAGGAGACTTTTTCCTCGTACTGTGTATGTATAATGACATATCGTAATTACCTGTTTCCCCTGATATTTGCAAACATTCAAGGCAGGCAGCCAGGTACTCTTTTGAAGTTACGGATACGATTTAATCTCAATCTATACCATACCATATACAAACGCAGTGTCCAGACTTGAAGCTTTTCATGCTGCCAGACCCACCTCGGACCCACATCTCCCCAGACGAAACCTTAAATTCCGGGGGTTCGACAGTAAGTTCCACTAGGCCGGATGCGGATATCTAAGCGAGGAAACCACACCACAACACCCAAAACTCTCACTTACTCGGTGATTTTCTTGTCCAGCACCTTAACGTCGACAACCAACAGCCAAAGGCATCCGTCAACATGCCTACTCGCCTTACCAAGACGCGGAAGCACCGTGGCCATGTCTCGGCCGGTCACGGTCGTATTGGAAAGCACCGCAAGCACCCCGGAGGTCGTGGTATGGCCGGTGGTCAGCACCACCACCGTACTAACCTCGACAAGTACCACCCCGGTTACTTCGGAAAGGTGAGCGATTGAGAAAGAGAGAGATGATGATGATAAATTGGAATGGAAGACGAAGAGGAGCAACAGAAACTGACGGCTTACAGGTCGGTATGAGACGCTTCCACCTTCTCCGCAACCACCAGTGGAAGCCTACCATCAACATCGAGAAGGTAAACGGACCCGACGAATAACAATAAAAAAAAATCTTCCAGAATCAGATGGTTAACACTTCAAATAGCTCTGGTCTCTCGTCCCCCAGGAGACTCGCGACCAGTACCTCGGTGAGAACGCCAAGGCCGACAGCGCTCTCGTCCTCGACCTCCTCGCTCTCGGATACTCCAAGCTTCTCGGAAAGGGTCGTCTTCCCGAGATCCCTCTCGTCGTCAAGGCCCGCTACGTCTCCCGTGAGGCTGAGCGCAAGATCAAGGAGGCCGGTGGTGTCATTGAGCTCGTTGCGTAAACAGCTCTTTCACAACGAAAAAAAAGATGGAAGGCATAGGAGACGGATACGGCTTATGAGATACCAAAGGAGGATACCCGAGACATAAAAGGGAATTTTCGAGTCCCATGGGCGGAACGGATCCTCCTGCTGCTGCTGGCAAGGTTCAAGGAAGGAGTCAGGCTGGATAGGGAACCAAAAAGCAGGCCCTGTTCGATAGACTACTCCGACTTCTGTACGCTAAATCCTGATCTCTATGAATGGCAAGAAAAGAAAACGTTACGCCCATACTTGGTCTCTACACGAGGAATACTCCCCGTAAGCCGTATTCATAATGGACTATTCTTCGCACCGGATGCCTGTATTCTCTCAGTAGCTGAAGGCGCGTATGTTTCGCAGGACATCTCCTGTAATACAGATAGGCGTAGAACCGCTCTTTCACATCTACAAATACAGTCCGTATACGTCTCCAGCAGAGGCGATCATATATCATTAATAACTCCTCTCTGCTGTTGCAGGGCAAACATTCAATTGAGAGTCCAGAAACCACCGTAATGAACTCTGCATTCAATATAAACTGATAAGTCAATCTATGTACGACGCGCAAACGTCACCATTCAGAAATATGACCCTTCTCCGTTTTGCGCGCACTTTATCACTACGCTAGATAAATATAAATAACCGTAATAGGCCTCGAGCCAGATTGGTATGCAAAGTAAATCCATAATCCAACAGTACAATTATAAACACAATAGCGACAAAGAAGGTATTCAAGTAGATATACATACATTTATCTCCAATGAATACAAAACAAACCAACCCTGATCTCATCATAGAGCGAGCACTCTCCATGTTTAAAACAGTACAGCCATAACTCCAGCGATTCCGATAAAGAAAGATAAAACACTACTGATCCCAATTTATACACATGCAGAATGCCCATTTGGCTATCTTGCAAGCCAGGATACATATCATAGAAACATCGATAGTTAGCATAGATAGTGAATAATACTTACATATCCAACATCGCTATCTTATCTCTCCCGCCCCTCCATTTCACAACTCACATGAACCACCCTATCCCAACTGCTAGTCTCTAATATAATAGGCCGATACATTCATCTGCTGGATAATTCCAAAGAGGAAAGAATAACCCTAATCACATGTTGGGAACGATTGCGTCGGCTTTTGATCTTCAAGTTCGAACTTCCGACGCTACGACGTATTTAGCCGAGTACGCGCGCTGCTTGCTGCAGCTAGAGAGGAGGGATCACACCACCGGATCGGCGCCGAGTCGCTTTGTGCATACTATCTATGCATAGTTGGGAACTCGTGTCACAGCGTCGGGCTGGGGATGGTTTATGCAATAGAGAGGTGCGGTATGCTTCTGTTGGTTCAGGGATGGTGAAGTCTGGACTCTTGATGATTCTGCATGATTGTTGCGCTAGCGGTGTGTATGCCATGTACATTAAGAGACATATGATTGAATCTGCTATCGGTCATAATGGACCGAGTAAAGCTATCACTCACTATACAATTATGCGGGTGTGTCTTTTGCTGTAATTGGATGGAGAACATAAATCCTAGTTACAGCGTCCCAAACTCCTCACCATCAGTGCTGCTGTTCCTCAAGATAGGACATGAAACTTAGGAAAGCCCAACGGGCTACAAATAGATAACGATATATGTGGACGTGGAGGACACAAGACAGCCAAGACACAGCATTAGATACCCAGGAAAAAATATACATCAACTGAAGTATCATGCGCACGTTGTCGCACACCTATATTAAGTACAATAAATAGTTATAATAACAAATCATAAGAGGCGTCTCAGTAGTTGTAGGAGGTGGATTGGCGATGGTGGAACATGCTCCCGGCGTAGTCGGAAGCAGCGTCCTGATAAATGGTCGTACGGCGGTCTTCTTCAGGCAGGAGTTCCTTAACTTCCCAGCTATTCGGCTTGACTCCGACAGAAAACTCGAGATCCTCCTTGGTGATAGAGTCCCAGAACTGCAGCCATAGATTAGTTCCAGGTTCACTTAAGAGGCGGGTCTGATAAACGGTTGCAGGCAAAACATACCTTGTAGACCATCATCACTGCTAGAAGATTGCAGAAGGTGGCAAAAAAGAGTCCATCCAAATAGTGTTGTACCTTGTTACAAATGGTCTCGCCCACCGCGTAGAGGATAATCTGGCCGGCAACGAAGAAGAAGATGCCCGCCGCAATATGCCCTAGTGGCCAGCGGTCCTCCAGTGTATTGACAACCAGTAGAATCTGCATCACTAGGTAGATGACCAGGGAGATTGCATTGAGAATATACATCACGACAAACAGACCTACGGTGTTGTTTGGTGAAAGGCCAGCGATCCCCCGGAATGTGAAGAGCGATACTATGAAGGAGATCGCAAACATGCCGAGTGAGCTGAGCCTGAGCAGCCACACCGAAAGCTTTGTACCGTCCTCATACAGTTGAAACCCGACGAAACCGTTAACGAGCAGGCTTGTACATAGAGCGGATGCGAGACCAATCTGGATGGCGGCGAAGTACGGGAATGGTCCACTGCCAGGTGGGACAACCCCAGCATCAATGATGAGAGAGAAGATAGTCAGCGCCATGTAAATGTAGAAGAAAGTCATGATCTCCTTGCGACCTATAAACAACCAGAGTCTTATGTTAGAACTTAGAGACTCAACACAGCCCTCCTGAATAATCGACAGAGAAACCTACCGACTGCAGTGAATTTAGACCTCACGTGGAGAATCATAATAGCTGTCATGATCAAGGCGAGGATATGCATAAAATCTGATGCGCCCTCGAAGATGATGGTATTGGCAACCTCGATATTGCGTGCATAGCAGGTTGGCAGTATTCCAGTCTCCCCGGACACCAGCGACGGCCCCCCTACCAGAGAGCAGAGGGGTAAAGGTGTCTTGCGACAAATGTCATCGAAGCTCCCGAACCCCATGATGAGTATCCCAGATGGCCTCTGATACCTTATTCTAGGATACACGGCTTGCCTGTCCCGATCAGAAAGAGACTGCGGGGTCCAGGACTTGTGGAATGAGGGGGGAAGAATTGGTATCAATGATTGCCTGGATAGGCGCCTTGGATCGATCAACAGGGACCGCAACGTCAACACACAGCTGCGCTCCCATAGAAAGCACGATCTAGCGAGTGGCACTCCAGTACGGAGGGAACAATCGGATAAACGAGTGTATGGTAATCAGTGTCGATCTGATCCAACGACTGTGGTTGTCGCGGTGGATCCGATCCCGTTCTCCAGGAAACGTCCAGATCCTGCTGCGGCTCAGTGTTTGTTGCCTGGGGTATCAGTCACGTGGATCAAGATACGTTCATTGGCTGCTGGCTTCAATGGGGGACCCCACTTATCCTTTCTATTTATAGACTAGAACGAGGGCTTGTTCTCCCACGTGATTTTAAAGTTGCTCGGAACTTGCCTAAGGCTCTTAGCTTACATAACTAGACTACCGAACTAACCACACCAACATGAATAACTATTCTCTCCTGAGTTAGTCGTCCCTCGTATTATTATTATCAGGAAGCTTCTTTATGGAACCCCTATCAGGTTCTCTCCTGCTTTCAAAAGCCCTGGAGTATTATTGCTTTAACTATCCTTCTTCAGTCTGGTGCTTCATCTAGCTTTCCTAGATTGCGTCACACCTTCCCTCCACTAATGCTTGCTCGACCAAAGCCTCCGACCGCGACTTCGTGTTCGATCACAGCGAGACTAATAATACCCCACCTTTCACAGGAGAAGTAATAATGGAAAGAGATTATAATTGCTCAACTGCTTGGCATCCGTTCCTCCCCGACGCGCAGCTTGCTGAACAGTGAAGGGTAACCGACCTTGACCTCAAGCTTTCTAGGATCTTCCCGGCTTGCCATTCATCTCACGTTCACCAGAGCACTCTGCGGCCATTCGAAATGCATCCATGGTCGATAGTCTCTGGTAAGGCTCCCGTTGGTCATTCAGCTGGCCTTTTATACTTTAGTCTTTGTTTTTTTCGCTTCTGTTCCTCCCGCATGGTCTGAGGCTTTGCAGAAGTAGACAATGCTGATCAATCATCTCTCCGTTGATGGCATAAACTATCTTTCCATGCCTGGCCCGATCGTTAGTAATGGGCAACCGACACGGAATCATCTGGACAATAATAATCTATGATGCATGTCCTGACGGAATCAGACCCAGCGTCGCTTACCGCACACTAGCTAACACGGCGTCGCTAATCGTGAAAGACACGACTCATGCCCTCCGGCTTCGGCTCTCTGTTCGGTCTCCTGTGGAGGTTCCGTTACCCGTGCATGCTCAGCTGGTCGAGTAATCAGTCGGAGGAGTGCCCTCGAAGCGACATCTTTGTCCACTGGCTTTTTTCCAGATAAGGTGGATCATTACCTCTAGAGAATATCGGCCATTCCGAGCAACCATTCCGCGCGCAAGGTTCCAAGCCGTATGTGATTTCTAGGCCATAGCGGAGTCGAATGTCCCCTAGATCGTGGCCCTACCATCCTTTCCTCCGTATTACAAAGTCAAATCATGATTCCCTTCAACCTTGAAGTGCTTCAGGGTTCTGAATATTCAGACGACCCCGTGAAATGCCTGTGCGAACAAGTTTCTCCGGCCCCCTTAACAGCAATAGCCATACTCCGGGATCCACAGGCTGGATAATACCCCAATCACTGACATCAGTTGATCTGGTTCCAGCTATTGAACTATTGGGCTCCAAATGCTATTGAACCCTCCGTTAACTTATCCGATTTTCGATGGTGTTTGGTAGTTTCCGTCGTCATCTCTTGGGTAATACAGACCCCCTCGATACGGGCTCAACAGGTCAAGTTTCGACACGTGCCGGATGCCTCTGGCAGGCACTCAATATCATGCTTCTGCCCTCGTTCTCCAGAACGCGTTTCGACTGCTGGAACCTTCGATGCGAGGTCATAATCGTGACTGCATGATACCTTTCAGCTTAGCTGCTCGTGAACATCCTTTGCTCAGTTGCCGTAATTTTCGGCCGATATCAACACCCCTGTTGCATCTTCATGGTCAATCCCGCCGCTACCAGACAGATCTTCATTTCGAAAGCGATATTCTCCTCTGGGACCAGGCCGCATTATCCAAACGGTTGCTCTTCCTACCTTTTCGCCTCTGGCTATGACTGCTGCTTTCTGCAGGGATCATAATATCCTGGCATTCATATATGCATGAAGGTCCAGGTTAGCGCCACGTGCGAATGATGAAGCATCAACGGCTACTAGCACCGGTGTCGATCTCCCATTGACCCGGATTTGCAGGTGGGAACTTTGTGAAACATCTTTAGTCCTAGATCTCAGTGTAGCCACCACGCGTACTACTCTGAGAACGCATAAGGCAGAACCCTACACCTATAAAGTGACATGTCTTGAAGAGCCTATTTTTTGACATTGGTTTTGCCTGCTGCTCCCATCCTGCCATCGAGATCGACAAAACACTTTCGAACGACATCTTATTCTTGGTTTCCCTTCCTGGGGTACAGTCAAATCGGTGTCACCGCCTAGTCTCAACTTCTCAAGGCCCCGATCTACCTTCCTGCAGTGAAAATCTATATCGACCATCAACTGTGGCATGACGCTTGCCAAAATGTGCAACTACTTCAAAAACTTTTATATATACAGTTCATGCCGTGATCCGTCTTCTCACTTCTTCCGCACTTCTCTTGATGGGTCCAAAGAGGCTCGATGCTCGGACAGTCCTCATGATAGATTCATTGTTGTCGTGGGGAAGTGTCGCATATGCTCTCGCTGATCCCTCCTGCCCACGCGCCCTTCTTGACGACAGGATCCGAATAACGACTACGCCTTTGAATACGGCGCTCTGCTGACTCCGACATCGCTTTTTAAATCTGATACCCGAAGCTGACAGCGTTGAGTCGCTTTTCGATAATGATCTCGGAAGCTGCTTGCTCCTACTGGGGCGATCTCGCTCCGCGGTTTATGCTAGTCAGCTTGTCTCCTTCCCTCTTGGGGTGTTTTGGTGTTGGCCGTCGCTTGACTGTTTCATTCTCGAACCCATAGATTGCAGGTGCACTTCTTCTTTTTCTCCCGAGTCCTGGCTGATGGCCGATTTGTGTCAAATCCCTTGAAGCTGAGATCATGCATTCCGCCCGACTTGCTCTCGCGGCAGTCGTCGCGCCTATGTATCTCACCTCTTTCCCCTCGAAACGCCTCGCTGTTTTGACACAGCATGACACATAATAATCAGTCAGAAGGAAGTAAAACAGTCGCACGATGCTGGGATCATGGCAATTACTTTTCCCCACGGGAATGAACTAAGCGCCCGAATCCTTTATTGGTCTCGAATGATTTCTACCCGACGCAAGAATGTGCGCCCTAGCAGCCGAAGAACCGGCTCTCTACTAGGCTATTTGATATTGTGGATCGGCCTCCTTAGCCATGAGAGTACGATGTGCACTATAAGACCCCCTCAACAGAATTTATTCTCAGGGGCATATCACTTCCCCCATCCCCGCACGAAAATTTAACGTTATTAAGACGCCCTCAGCTGCCGCGCGGAGTACTTGAAATGAACCAACGTGCAGACACGCGGCCAACCGAAGTAGCAGCGTGTTGCAGATCTTTGGCTGTTTCCTTGTTAGATTTCAATAGTCAGCCCCGCGATTTCCAAAGTTGGATGCATAGGGAAACGAAGCTGTCATGACGCTGCAACCGCTATCACGAATAGTGCTTCACCATCACGCGGCGCCGTGCACAGCATGCATTGCGACTCTTCTGTAACTGCGGATGGATTCCCTTCTAGATCTGAGTTTCGGATAACGGCGTGTATAAATAGCCGCAGCATACTGTCGATGTCAAAAGTGGCGGCTGCAAAGAAGATCTGTCTAGCCTTTATCATCTATACTTCTCTTGATCCAGCCGCTGCGAAACTGGATGACCGGCTGTTTGCACATATTATCTGCCGAAGTCCCGAAACTAGCAGCAGCTCTGGAAACTCTCAGTTTCTGCTAATATTGGTGGCACATTCAGTCATAACAACGAATATTCTCGTGCACATACTGGACATGAAAGTTATACATACCATACGGGTACACTCCGGTTACTAGTGCGCCGATCGGTTGAACAAGTTGCATCATCGCGATAGACATGACATCGAACCCCCGCCATGGAAAGAAGCCCCTACAGTACGGAATATAACTGGGAAATACACGAGAGGAGTCTAAAATGAGGGGCTTCTGGCAGTTTGCTCATACTACGGATAGTCTATAGGGGTCTCGGCTTTGGGATGCCCGGTTGGCTGATCATTTACCGCTACTGTTCGGACGCTTGGTTAGTATGTCTGTCTGTTGTTGGCCTTCAGTTGGGCATGCCCGAACCGAACCGGCTTCTGCCGTCACCGCCAGACCAGTTAATTCATGCCAGTCACGGATACTTCATTGTCCCAGAGCCCCAGGAACCGCAAACCAACATATCCGCGGGATGTCCGAGGCAGCTGCACGATGCGCTTTCTGCAGACCCTAGTCCGAACAAATGCAACTCGACCGGACGGCGCCTTGCGCTCTTTATCCAATGCGTTTCCCCAATATTCCTACCCCTGCTTCCGCTCCATACCCGTATATCCAATATATCCATTCAAGACCCCTCTTCATGTGGCAAGCACCTTGGCGTGACTGCCAAGAAAGCCTAATAATGACCTCTTGCCCTGGGTTGCACCGTGTCTGCTTCAGCCCCTTGAAATGGGTTGCTGGCAAGTTTGGCACTAACTCGAGGCTTTGTGCACTGATTACTATCATCGGTTATACTAGTTAGTTGGCTGTTTGCGCTCCGTGTGTGTAGTCGCGTGCTAATAATACAAACGGAAGTGTCTGTTTTGTTTATGCCATCCATTACGTGAAATCTGCTAACATTCTGCTCGAATCTGCTCCAAACTCTGAGGCTTGTTCAATATCTTAATCCTTTCACTTTATTGACCGAGTGGCTAATACTCTGCATAGCTTCTGGGACAATATATGGACACTTCGAGCTAATCGTCCGACCTGTAGGTATATGCTAGATTGGTCGAAGAAAGGATCTATGCGACATGGGATTTACTAAGTTTAAACTAGACGGAATCTGGCTGCGTCTGCACAAAGTTGACGTACTACTGTGATACGATCTCGACGTCCCACGTATGGGGAGTGTATTTGTTCTACTCTGTTCATAGAGTTGGGCATGAGATCCTGCCAGTTGGTCGTCATCTATTGCTTGTATGTACGAAGGATGCCCAATTGACGACTCTTTTCCTATTCAGCTTGGCCCGCTATTTTGACTTTTTGGTTCTTTCATATCTTCCGACTTTTTCGATCGGGCAACCTCAAGCGGGCCCGCTATACGCTCTAAACGGCATTTGCGCCGATTGTGGATGATATTCCTCGCAAGACGCACGTTCAAGTTTGATGCTAGCACCCTGTACGACCATCGCGTCTGCGACTCGGCAGCCTAGGGGTCAGAAGACGACGCTAATATCTTTCATTGCGTCGCGAGAGATTCCACATGTTTTCTGGAAGGATCTGTTAGGGCATCCCGTGTACGGAGTATTAATTATCATTATTATTATTATTTCTTTTCACCTCGCCAAATGCTTTCGCTCTCCTGCGTGTTGCACGGTGAACCCACACGTCGGTTGCATCAAGAAGTCAAAAGTCCCTCCATTGTGATGCCTGCAGATATGAGGGGAATGGATCGCTCGAGCAGTTAACGGCATACATTGACTCCTGAATTGCGGAAAGACCCAGCACAGTTTTCCGTCGATCTTCAGATACATGAGTTCGACCTACGGCCACATTATCAGGAACGGCAGCAGGGGTTAACCCGCTCTCATCTCAGAGCAGAGGCCAGCCGCTTCTGTCGGAACTTTTTTGGAAACTAATATGGACGGTTGGACCGAGACCTCGCTCTCGGATCACTTAGCCTCACCATTTCGTCGTAAGTTTTCCAGGCCCAGCCTTGCTAACTTTCGGCTCGCAAGTTGAGTTCAATAGTGGACAACTCAAACGCCTTTTCGTTGGCATCTTACTACAGAGTCCAGACCATCCCATTTTAACTATCTACTCTGGGATACCCGGAGAGAATTGCTAGATCTCGGCCATTTCAGCCGCTTCGGTGGGATCTGCATACACTTTTCCATGATGTATGCGTTAACTTTTATTTATCCGTGGTTATAGTAGCTCCTCTCTTAAGCTCACTGTTAGTTACTAAACGTCACGCCTTTTGCACTTATTGGCTTCTCGTCATTAATTTCCTGTCCAACGGACCCAGAAAAACGTTTATAAACGAGATATTCGTTTCCCGTACGGTCTACTCTAATAATATTGAGAAGGCCGATGGCAGTAATTATGGATACTACGCCAAGGACATGAAGACCATGCTTCAAGTTGCACCTTGTCTAATTCCGTGTTACATGATTTGGTATTGATTCTATCCCGAGATGACCATCCTGAACCCAACAACTGTTAGCTTTCTCGCAAACGAACCATGGTGACGACCTTTCTAATCCTGGTCTTGTACCTGAAATAAGGCCTCCAATGATCATACATTCTAGTAGAAGGATGTTATTTCCACTCCTAGCGGCATTTCACGTTTCCATTTAGGGTTATACTGCATATGACGTGTCTAGTCGACTGGGGAGAGACCCATAAATTCGTTATTTCAACGGGTCCTGCTGTTGATCTGGTGTAGCATAAGGAGAGCCCCGGTTTAGCTCGCATCTGGAGCTGGTTCTGGCCGCTCCATTTCCTCACTACGCTTGCATGAATACTTTGTAATTGTAACTGCATCCTGAAGAGAATTTGGAATTCACCTATACGTCGCACATTGTAACTATGCGCAGGGCAGCCAATGGCCGGAATTCAACCTATTCAGAACACTACCGGTTTCATACCACAAGATGCTTGGTGGTCACTTGAGCAGGGCAGCTAGCTCGTTGAATAATAGTTAATAATAATAGAGGTCCCATTGCAAATTCCCCCAACGTTCCGCTTTGACTCCTTAAGTAACGGCTAGTGGCCCCCGCGTTGTCTCTCGTATTCTGAAACCGCCTCGGTTCCGCAACAACCTCGAATTATTGAGATCGATAGTTACTGAGCATCAGAAAAGAAGATCAATTGTTTAAGGGCTCAATTGAAAGGTAGATGGCAAGATGGTTTACACGGAGAAAGATAAAGAAGTCGTAGGATATTTGAATTCCAATTATATGACCTTGATTGAATATTGGATATTACGTCTCTTAGCAGGTTAAAGCTGCCTAATTCTTCGTTGCTTGAATGATCTAGCTAGCTAGCTTAGGCTATTACCTATTACCTATTCCTACCATGGGTGGATCTCGCTGGAACTCCTCCAGGAACTCCCTAGCTAGAATAGGGAGTCTCCGAGATTATCTGTTCTTATTATTATTGACAGAACAATCTGTCCTAGACAAAGAGAAGGAAAAAAAAAGACCCTAGCACTTATGAAACCAGTAATAAATTATGCCTTTAACATGCACTTTTTATCTTAGGTGATTATTTCAAGTTGGACTTGCTTTCTGATCTTTACCCCGGTCTCGTCTCATGGCCCGTGCACAAATCCTGCAGTAAGTATCAGGACCAGGGCTCTTTTGCAATATTATTAACCAGACCTTGGACCTCATAGGTATATGGGTATTTGTTCCTTTGGAAATTAAATGGTCCATTTTAGAAGAGCAAAACTCCAGTCCGGCGGAATAAATATGGATCGAATTAAATACTTCTTCTCCGAACTTTATATGGACGGATCGTAGCGGTCCGCGTGAGTGAGGAGAACTGGCATGATTACCTGCTCAGTTGAGTGGCGTGGTGGACTTGAATCGAGGAATATAATGGCGCTATGAGGCGTGTGAAAGGATTACAGACTGACTAACAGGCACGAAATTGTATTCACTCACGGTGAAATAAAGCTTCCTGACATTTTGATCTGGGACGGCCATATATCGGGATTCCTGGACTGGGAGTCTGGACAATGATTGCTTGAGTACACATATTTTACGGCAGCACTGTGGCTCACATCAGAGAACTTTTGGTGGTATAGCTTCGTGATGAGTTAGGTAGCCACAAGAGCTAAATGCAGAATATACGCTTACGTCTTTTAGGAGAGCTTCATATTATAGGCGACAACATGCAAAACTGAAAGCGAAGACCTGTCTTCTATTCAGCGACGTAAAAGATTTCAGAAAATAAACAAAGATTCGACAGTTCCAGGACTCTATCTGAGCCCAAGCAGAGAGCGGAGACGGCCATACTGGGTGGTGCCAATAGCAACTATACCTACCAGTGCAGCAACGCTCATGGTCCACTGCAAAGACCGCTTCGCAGTTTCTTCCTTGTCTTCCTTCTCATCATCCCACTGCACAGTTCCCTTGCCAAATCCGCTGCTGTCGACATACGCAAGCTTTGGGGCGCCGCGCATAAGCTCCGCGATCATATCAGCAAGTGCGCGCTCTTTCAGCAGAGGAATTAGCCATTTGGTATAGAACTTATGGAATGGCGTCACCCAGGCTTGTCCTTCCGCCACTTTAGTTGAGAAGTCTGTGATATGGAGGGCGCGCGGCATACGTTCCTCCTGGTATGCTGCAAAGGCCTTGTTGAGCGCCACCAAATCAGGCTTCTTGCCTTGCTGGGACGCCAGCATTGCGTGAAGATGATTACAGAGCACGGCGACAGACTCGAGTGCCATGTTTCCTCCAAGACCGATGTTAGGCAACATCTGCGCGGATTGGATGTCCATCAGTATTACTGTCTCAAGGTATGAATGGAGATTGATTTGAATGAATTGGATACCTTGTGCACTGAGTCTCCGACCAGGACAATCCGATCGTGGTACCAATGCTGCAGAACACCTTCCTCAAGACCGACTAGTATCGCGCGGTCACGCTTCTTCCAAAGCTCTCCGAAGACAATAGTATCTGAGACAGGGTGGTCTGCGACACTTTCCGCAAAAATGTCCATCTCTCTCATCGTGTACCGCAGTTGTCGCGGCCAGAGTAGGTCTTTCTCTAGCTTCTGGTACACGCAAAAAAACAAATGGGTAGGTTGGGATACTGTTGTCAAGACAAATCCCGAGTCACTGCATATAGTCAAATCCCTCTCGCCTACTTCGGACGCTGGAGGTCCCATGCCTAGCAGCACTCTGAAGCTAGTTTTCATACCTGGTTTGCTATCATCAGCCCAAGAAAGCAACAAAATGTTGGTTAGCCAAGAAGCGCACTTTTTCTTTTCTCCTCCGCTGTGATCAACCCTGGGGTTGTCTTGTTGGCGTGCTCCCACATCATACTGCGCACCGGGCTCCGTACTCCATCGGCGCCCAGCACTATGTCTCCCTTCTCCACTGTGCCATCAGCCAGAATAACTTCGACGCCATCCTTGTCTTGTTTGATGGTCTTCACTTCACAGCCTACTCGAAGTCTGTTCTTATCCGGCAGATAGTCATAGAGAGTCTGCAGAAGCTGGCGTCTTTCCAGCAACAAAACATCCTGTCCATGGCTGGAAACGAGATCACGTCGACAATCAGCTTATACTTTTTGTCACTTTCCTTCCATTGAAATATCTTTGACCATTCATTATAAACATAAAGAGAGGACCCAGAAACATATGAACTCACTTTTCCTTCACAAAGGCAAAAAACGAACTGTTCATGATGGCCTTGCCATCGGGACCGCGCGACCACCACCGATTCAAGGGCACACACGACTCTTCTAAGGCTCTGAGACATCCAATCTGATGCAGGATCCGTGCGCCATTGGGATAGATAGCTATACTGGCTCCGAGCTGTGGCGCGATATCTGTTTGTTTCTCCAACACCACATGGTCAATGCCTGCCCGTTGCAGACAGTGCGAAGCCACGAGGCCGGCGAGACCGGCACCAACGATAACCACTCGGAAAGGAGTCTCCGTTGCTGTGGTACTGGCCATGATCGTCGATTCAATGATGGCAGACAATGAATGATGTCAACAATCTGATGGATTCTGCTAGGTATATCCTGAACCTAAGACAAGAGAGCTCAATAATATCACCGGTACGCCCGTTTTTCTTTCGTGGAGCTCCCGTTACACCTTGACATTTGCCCATGTCCTCTCTGTGGGCCGCCCTGGGGAAACTAACAACAGCCAACAGAGCTAATCTACTCCGCATTTGGTACGGAGTACTTAAGTCTTATGGGCCCTTATCGTCACTCGACGAGTCGGCCTATCTAGCTGTCACAATGTTAACTCCAGAGCACGCACGGATGCTCCGAACTAGAGTTCCTCTGCGCTTGGATGTCCCGACCAGTACCAAGTCCAGTAAGTTCATCCCGTCAATCAAGCAAGCTTCTCACCGCTTCCTGTGAATTTTGAAGACAGACAACTGCTTTTAAGTTATTATTATATATCTAGCTTGCAAGCTCGGCAAGTAATCGTAGTATCCTGAGCCGGTGGGCTCGTTCGTCCCGGCTTTTTCTGACCGAAACGGGGGAGCCGTGCGGTTCGGCCCGGGAGAACCGCCCCACGAGCCCCAACGTGGAGGAATTACTGGTACTACTACTTGGTATTATCTACAGGTCTTGTCTGATCTAAATATTGAATTGTTGTACGATCCCAACTTTTTCTCTCTAGAAAACTAAAAACATATCTCGAGTTTTTTTTTTTTTTTTTTTTTTTTTTTTTTTTTGATCCGGGGGTTAAGTATGTAACCATGTATCTGATTCTCCGGATCTAGAGCGTCTCCCCACCGAATCGAAATAGGAAGTTGAACAATGCGCCACGAAAAGGACCCGCAGCATAATAATAATAATAATGATTATTCCAGTTACAGTTTCTACTATCTATACTCTAGTCTTGTTTTGCGGGGAATAATAAATAAGCTCGTATTGGTCCACAGAGTGATTGGTATGGTACGCTCGTACCATAGTTGGGGATGATGTAGATAGAAGACGAGTGGCTCGTACAATAATTAAATAATTATCAACTCGTTAATTACTTGTGGGTAAGTTGGTTGTTCGATATTAATCTAGCTTGTGAACATGTATGGCCCTTAACTACTGACTGGGCCATTGTCATACCATATGCGGACGGTTATGCTTCGTATCGCTATCACTACAGTGGAAATAAACGCCAAAATGGAAAAGTTGACATTATTATAAGTATAATTTTACACATAAAACTACCTCCACCACCTTGATCCTTATCCTCTTTTCTTCCCGTATCCACAGAGGCAATGGTAAATAGCTCCTGGCTATTATCGGAATAACGCGCTTCGTAAAAAGATTCTATCAAATCAAGAAAGCCACGGAGTGACGTTTCTCAAGCTCGAGCTGCGAATTCTCTGGGGACGGGGAATTGGAACTTCCTCTCCGGGATGTTGTCTGAAGATGGGGAGTGTGGAAGTGGTAGTCGAGGACATTGTGCGGTTGTGCCTACTCATGAACGACTGGAGGGTAGAACGCTGGATCCTGGCCGGAGTGCCGGGCGTGCGCGGTGTTCTTGGGGTCGTGGGAGTGTCTGGCTCTCTGTGGGCGATCGGAGGAGTAGGGGGATATGGTGGGTAGCGGTTAACTGAGTTGCTTTCTGGGATAGGTGGTGGCGCGTATGAGGTTGAGGGATGCTTGTCTCCGATCTCGGTTTGTCGTCGGGATTGATGGTTAACCCAGCTGTTTATAGTACGGAAACGCGGCGGTTCGCCGTCCTGTGTCGTCAATGTGTCCCGGACGCCTGTTCCTGGAGTTGTTGGTGCCGTGCTCCAGGAGAAGTATGAGACGCCCGGCTTGCGAACCTTGGGAGGCGGGGAAAGAGGTTCGATGGAAAGTTCCTTTTCGAAAGGACTTATTTCATAGTCCACTTTGGAGTCACGCGAATTGGTGTCTGACTCGGTACCGAGTGACAAGTGGCTCCGATTTGCAAGGGCAGCGGTAGCTGGACTGCGCGGAGTTCTCGCAGTCAGATTATCGGATCCGTTACTCGACCTTGCTGCTGAACTTCGTCTGAGGAAGAACTTAGGACTCATCGGGCTCAACGGATTCGAAGTGAGCGGTCCACGCAGAAGCCGGCTTCTGAGGGATGGCGGTCGATTATTAGAGCGATTCGATTCCAAGTCGGATCCGACGGAGGACTTATTCATAGCTTGGTCTCGGGCCATCTTCAGCTCGTTGGGAACATCCCAGCCCGCTTGATTGCTCTCAGGCCATGACTTTTCACTCATTATCGGTCCTGAGGGCGTGGGACGGTGCTGCGAGCGTTGTCCATTCAAACGTGACCGCAGATAGTTGGAACTGCGTTTGCGTCGAATAACAAAGAACACGACTATAAAGACGATTACGGCGCATCCAACTAAGAAACTGGTTAGAAGTTGACACAAATCCCATGCGCGAGGAGGACTAACCTGTCAGGCCTACCACCAGTCCTACCTTCTCAGGTGTGCTCTGCAGCCCTCTGGGAAAGCCATGGGGCATTGGACGGATACTGCCCGCTGTTGGAACGGTAGGAGCCCCAGGAGGCGATGCTGTGATCTGAGGAACCCCAGCCGAGCCTGGGGAACCAGGCGAGTTCTGCTGCTCTTCGTCCGCTTCCTCATCACTTGACGATGCGCTCTGGCTATCTGATGCTGTGACATCTTCCATGTCTTCTACCGCCTCATCCTCGCCTGCTGTTCCAGGACTCCCCGTGGGCAGCGCAATAGAGGAAGGCGTATGTCTCTGGACCAAGGCTCGACGGTTGTCTCGTGCGATGTCTCGAGGTGAAGACTTCGTGCGCATACTCTTCCTTGACTTCAAGTATGCGAAGAAGCTCTCATTTTCCTCGTCGCTGCGTCCGTCGAGTTCATCCTCTATTCCTGAAGCTGGGCGATTCAAGCCTGCTTGTGGTACCCGTCGTCGCTCAAGTCCCTTATTGTCGCGAGTATACACATCTCCTCTAGCGCGCCTCGTTACACGCCTCTCATTCATTATGTAAAACTATGCCCCCAGGTAAACGCCCAATCGATAGAGCCCAAGCTGAACGAAAGTCAAGAAATGAATATTAGAAGTACCCAGGGCATCAGCAGTCCAGCTTTCCTAGCCCAGGTATAACAGTCAAAACGAGAAATACAAAAAAAAAAAGAAAAAGACAATTTAGACACCCATGAAATAGAACAGACCAGCTGTCAAGTTAAAAAAGAAATAAAATCAAAAGAGAACAACCCAACCCGAAGGCCGCGCAAGAAGAAAGACAAAAAAGAAAAAGACGAATTAGAGGCAGGTCAATTATCCAAAGACACGTTACGCTGCCAAGACCAGGTCTCGTGCTCAAACAATGAGTGAAAAGGACTGGGTCTCAGGTACCTCCCTAGAGGCTCCGCATCCCCAAGAGCATAAACCAAAATTGCTGGCATATGCGCAAGTTGTGATTGACCCTGCTAGCGGGTTATTTTAGCTTGCCTGCCATTTTGAGCAATTTCTGGAATCGGAGCGAGGAAAGTGAACGCGACAGGAGAATTGGCCAAAGGTCAGGTACAGACCAGTTCAGACATTGAAGAGACTGTCCTACACAGAAAGTAGACAGAGTCTCGCAAAGATGAAGAACCTTATCTGCAGAGAGGTACTATCGTATAGAAGATCTGCATCCATACATGGACATGCAGTGATCGTGATGGCGGAGAGCATCAGATTGCGGGAGATCTTCTGGATAACAGAGCCGACACTATATCCATATAGAGTATTGAATCGACTGCGGAACCGCCCACTTCATCCCTTTTGGACAGGAAAATGGGCTAGCAATATTCAGCCCAGAGAGCACGGAGCATGATCTGCCGAGATGGACGGGTTTTCATCACCTTTCCTCTGATAGAGTGCTTGGTCCTCCTCCGCGCCTGTTCATCTCTTGCATCTGGTGTACCAGAATCGAATAGTGCAAAAGCGGCGCAGCTATTAGTTTCTCCTTCTATGAATCTTCAGCCACGAGATTCATGGGCTGCGTTCGAGACTTCGGGGGCTAGGCGCGTCTTCGCTATTCAGCATGCTCGGCCGAATTCGATGGTTCATCGATGTTGCAGCGAGCATCAGGTCACATATCCTTCTCGGGGGCCGTTGCAGACGGATAACTCAATCGACTTGAGTTAGTTATGTTGGACACTTTACGGGGCCAAGGAGGCGTTCTGGTCGGACCATTGTTTTAGATCGCGGCGGGGACGACCATCAATGGCCCAAACAGAGAAGCATAGTCAACAATAAGATATTGTTTACGACACGGAGGCCACAGCAATTTGCTACTTTCGGCTTTAATATCCGGAATATGCCACAAAAACGACCCAATAATAACTATCGCTACCGTGGTATTTCTCACTTCCAATTGTTGTTACTGCCCGCGTTGTAGTCTCCCGAACCGCTCGAGGAACAGCAGATTGAAGTAGTTAGAGAGATCAAAATCGTAAAGAAATCCATTGAAAACATTGTCATCTAAAATAGGTCGTCAGACGGAAATAAATTTGACATCATTAACATTATGCCAAATAGTTATCCAACTTAACTGGCTCCAGCATACTTCCCAATGCTTGGTTGTCTGTGCTTCCAAATTTGAATATAGAACAACCGCGGCCAAAAAAAAAAGGGATAACTCAAGGTTTGTGTTTGGGTTCCCGTATCATGCAATATAACTGCCATCAGAGTTAGACAACCAGTATCGAGAAGCATCTTGAAGCTACGGGTGAGACAGCTTGGCGAAGAGCGGTACTTGCCTTACACACGTCTTCTCCATCCCTGCAATCCATTTCTCTAACCATCTCAAATCCCATCTTCTTGTAGATCTCCACATTCGGGTGACCCTTTGAGCTTTCGAGATAGCACTTCATACCTTTCTCATCTGCTTGTGTGGTGACCACTTCGAACAGTTTCCTTCCGATTCCCTTCCCCTGTGCCTCAGGGCTGACGGCCACGATGTTACAGAAATAGTAACCTTTGGGATCCGTCCATATCTCCTTTTGAGCCTCTTCCTGAACCGCCTTCCAGATCCAATAGCGGCGGGTGTTTAGGCCGCCACGGCCTAGGAAGCGCACGTTGTTGACTAACTGGCGGAATGACAGGATCCACGACTGGATCCAAGAGTACCAGCTTTCAGGAACATCCGTAGCCTGTGGAGGCATCCAGCAAGAAACTCCCAGAACACGCGAGGAGGGAGCGACAGCCTTGTCTTTCTGATCTGGCGTCTCTTTTGCGACATAGAACAGAGCATTGTTGATTCCCCAAAGACAGCGGGCCTTCAGGGAGCCGATATTTCTTTTCTTATTGAACTATATTCAGCACATACTCAAATCATAGAGATCGCAGGTCGACATGAACGACCGCGCCACGATAGGAGCGTAGATGTTAGCTTGCTTGTCTTGAAAAGGGCCTGGCCTTGGATTTAACCCATTTAACCCCCTTTCAATGAATGGTTAAACTCGGAACGATAGTTGGTAACACCCCAGAGAGAGAGGTCAGTTCGCATCAGTACCACTGGCGTCCCTGATGGACTGCCTATACATACCTTGGAAGAATCGAATACCCAATTGAAGTATGGGTCGTCAGCAAATGCCTGCTGAATACATTCTATGGTGCCAGGAATATCTTCCTCGGTGAGAGGAACGATCTCAATGGCCATTATGAATCTGTTGGCCTCGGAGAGCCACTCGACGATGGGATGGAACGAGATGGGATGGCCGGAAGGCGATGTCTAGTCTCCGAGCAAAGAGGCTCAGAAACGGCGACGAAATCGGAAATAATAAGGGATCTAGAAGCCTGTAATAGATGACACCTATCGATCGGAAGATTCGAGTGGAGAGAGAGGTTCAATGAAGCACGCGTTTTCTCTTGTCTGATTCTATTCCAACAGTATAGCATCTATTTCAGCGGCAGGCCGTAAGGCGTCTTTTTGTAGCGCGCGAACAGCGAGTGTTTGCTCAAGGAAGAGAGACAATCTCCCACTCGTTATATAGTATTGGACGACAATCCTTCTGAGATCACCAACATCTGCAGATTACAGCACCGGGATCTGCGTGACTGTCAGCCAAGAGATAAGTGAGGCGATACGTCGTCGGGTGGGACAACTCGACGCAGAAGGCGGGGTTTGAGGCCGTGGGATGATGCAGATGCAGACATTATTATTGAGAGACAGCGAGCCATGTCTCGTTTATATCCCCTCTGTCGCTGCTGCCGGGGATCTCCCACGATGATGAAGATGGGAGAGAGACCCCGCCGAGTGGTGGAGAGTCAGCGCCGCTGCTAGCCGTCCTGGGCAGTTCCAGGCGGGAGTCTTATCTCTGCGAGTCAGCGGCATCCATGGACGGGTCAGGGTCGTATTATGGATCAGATGTTTGTGTGGCACAGACTCTATAGACAGAGAGGATCGATGCTGCACTGACAATAGAAAATGAATAAATAGAATAGGCGGTCTATCTACCTAGACAGGTATCTATCTAGTGCGGATGTACCATAATGGACATGCTCTATGTATGTACATACATCATGCAACATGGGAAGTGCGCTCTACAGAGCCACAACAAATGGGGAATCATGCAGCCTTGTTTCCTCTTTTCCTTTTCCTTTCATCTCCGCTTGTTTCTCCGGCGCCAACGCCACCCAAGACCCTGATAGGGACCGAAACTGGTCCCTTTTGGACATGCAAAAGCACAGCACAATACCCGACATGAGCCTTAACACGCCTGGAACCAATTTTCGGAGCCCATGATCAACCCGAGAATAAAACCACTGGCGCCAGTCTATAATGGTCTTCTCAGAAACCCGATATTAAAGTATATCATAATCTCGTAAATCCAAAAAACATATAGCCGTAACGTTCGTATTATATCGTGCTCTGCTCACTGCACAATCGTGTCGCCCAGCCGAATCCACTCGCGCGGAACGTCCATGCTGCGGTTCACGCGTCCTCCTGGGGTAAGTGGCACATCGACTCTCCCTCTTCCGCGGTCGTCATCTTCATGCTCCTCGTAAAAGGACAGCCGGTGGAAATAATCTTCGAGGACGGCTTCGCGGTCATTGTCCCCAACGATCGAGGTATATTCCGGAGGTGGTGTCACAAGAGGCGGCGGCGGAGGCAGATCCTCGAAGGCTGGAGGCGCAAACGATGGCGCTCGCAGGAGATGCATGGGGCGCGCATCGCGCTCGCTGGGTTCATGGGCCAGGTGTGCTTGCTGAGGACGAGCCAGGCCGCCCGAGCTGGAGGTGAAGCTTCGCGGGAGGCCGTTCCCTCGTCCATTGACGGAGTCGGAACCCGAACCACTATCATTGCGATCAAAACCTGACAGTGCAACAGATGAGTTGCCCTTCTTGATGAGGGGGGCTCCAGGACATCCACATTCAAATTCTTCAATCGGAATGGATGGATCTGAAGAAGGCGATGAATACGCGGGAAGGTATATGTTGGCCTGCGTGGCTTTACAGGAGAGGATGTGGAAAGGGGAGTCTATGGAGATCTCGAAATGCCGCCGTTTGGTGGGATCCTTCTCATCGACTTTGGAGAGGCGCATCACGATCTGCAAAGGTTATCAGTAAGCAGACAGAAAGGACAATAGCTGAGAATCATCGACGTACCTTGATCCAGTGATTGATCTGGATATTCTCGTACGTGGTGTCGAAATGCAACCGCTGAGATTCATCCCGACTCTTCATTTGGTGACAGCTGGGGAGCTGCACGTTAAACTCCATCTCCGTTGGTCCAACACCTGTATCGTTTGCTAGATCCCCCAACAGGCTCGTGCGATTCCGATCAATGAATTCTTCACCACGCGCAGCGGCTTCCCGATGGTCCCAGTCGATGCCACCACCAGCAGTGACACGCATATTACTGCCCGGGTACGTGCTAACACTGGCGGAATCCGCTCTCTTCTCAAACAGAAGCACTTTCTTGGCGGGCTGGAAGCGATGCACACTCTTGTCTGAAGTCCAATGTTGAATATTCTCAGTGACGTAGACCTTAATCCGGTGGCATTCGACCTTAGCCAATGGTGTCAACTTGAATGCGATGGGCACTTGTGATCCGAGAGGGAAAGATTTGCCCGAAATCACGATATCATAGTGGAGCTGATCTTCCCAATTCCGGGAGATAGCAATGGGCTCGACCTGTTCGAGGGATCCTTCCGCGGGGGTGCGGATGACGGGAATCTCAATGGTGCCCAGAAGATTGGGCCGGAATGCACCTGATCGTTCGACAATGGCTTCCAAGTCATATCGGACAAATCCCAGTTCACTCTTGATGGTCTCCGGAAGAGAGCCATCAATCGGGAACTCAAAGTTGTAGATATAATCACCAGGCGGGAAAAGCCTGTAGTTGCGTTGGGGCTGAGCTGCTACACTATGTGGATGATCATTCTTTCCAAAACTGCGAGATTGGTTCGACTGCAGCGATAAACGCTTGGCTTCCTTGGGAGTGGTATGGCTGTTGACTGACGTCGATGACACGCTTTTGAGAAAGAGTTCTCGAGTCGTAGTGGTGACCTCTTTTGACGTGACGGAGGGGGCGACTTTGGCCAGTTTGTAATAGTGAGCTCCATAGTCATTATGCATAATCGCGGTATCTCCATGGTTGAAATATACAAGACCATGAGTCACCAAATCCTTCTTATCATGGAAATGCACCTTTTTCGGCGGAATCCCTGTTAGTCGTGCGTTAGCGCATTATCTACTGCATAAAAGAGTCTATAGAATAGATTGACATACCATCTGGCCAGTCCGTCTGGGCATGACCCCGGAAACAGACAGAGATCTTCTTCACCTTCACAGACTTGGTGGTTTTGATGTGAAGATGTCCCCTCAGAATAGCCGATTTCTTCGTGCTCGGGTCGTTATGGTCATATCCTGGCAAGAAGAGAACAGGTTCCGCTAAAGCGACCCCCACGGAGATCCCATTGCCTGTTGCGACGATCTTCTCTCTCCGCAGGACGGGGAAGGAAGCGCCAACATCAGATGCAGAGCTACCTGAACGTTCGAGCAGTGTCGCGCTCTGCGCCGCGACTCCAGATGCAGTCGACGTAGAATTGGACCGTAGCCTACCGGCCGCAGATTCCGTAGAGGGTATCATTGGCTCATCTCTCGGAGGAAGGATGATCTCCGAAACCGGGCGGCGGCGGGTCGTCCTGGCAATCGGGATACTTGTTGCAGAAGGGTTCGAAGAGGTCCCCAGGCGGAGGAATCTCTTCGCGTTCTCCCGTGGGCCCGCCAGTTTTCTGAATACTCGGAGATCTCGACGAGTTGCCTTGGGCAACTGATCGGAAGCCAGCTTTGCGCGTATACGGGTGACACACACCGGACGACGGCGTGTTCGTCCAGAGCGAAAGAAGGACGGGTTTTGCTGGAGGGAGTCGGTTGAGGGGGTCAGAAATTGAACGATATGTTCAAGGGTGCTGCCGGATCGAAGCGAATCCTGCGGTAGAGGCGATGGTGAGTCTCCATCTCTGAAACAAGAGGCAAATGAAAACATATTAGGGGGAAAAAAAGGCCTGGCGCGGAAGCGAGGAACCAAGGGTACGATCCAGAGCACCGTTGACGTCGAAGAACGAGTGCTTCCGACTGTACGGGCACGACGACGGATACCCAGGGAACGCGCAACTATGGAAGGCCCGGATGACTTGTCTGATGTCGCCGGGAATCGAGGACCGCGAACAAACAGCAAGAGGAATCAAATAAAAAGAACTTACGCTTTTTGCCCAGCGAGGGGGGTGTGTAGTCGGGGATGAACGCCTTCCGCTGTCTATCGAGGAGGCAATGCAAGGAGGTGAGGTGAGATGTGCTGCCGTATCCGATGCGCGATAGATCAGGCCGGATCCTTCATTCCACGGATAAGCGCCGGGAGGGTAGGATCCTACACTATTGTAGCTTAAATGCGTATTATATCGGGGCCAAAACGAAAGGGGGGCCAAGGCAGATGAGGTGAGAGGATGTAAAAAATCACCAGATGGATAAATAAGAAGAGAGATAATAATAATAAGAATCACTAGTTAACTATACAATCCACCAGAGAGCAGAAATGAGGAGGTGTTTCACTAGTTCGCTTCGCCCGGGAATCGGATGGCGGCGTTGGATTCCCTTAAGAAATACTGTATGATGACGCGGGTCGCTTTTCTTCTGAGTAAAGTTGGGTCTTTCTCCGGCGATCCGGGCCAGCACGATCAATCAGACTTTTTCTTGCTTGTCTTGCCGTTTGCGGAGATAGATCGGACAGTCTGGCCCTGGTGCTGATCCTCGAAACGATCAATCTGAGTTCGTTAGAAAGTCTTTGGCGCAGTCCCTGAGTACTATAGTGAGTGCACTCTAGGACTATCTGGTCTAGTGAAATCGGATCGGACTTGAACTGACGGGGCAATCGATTTTTTAGAGATATTTCCTCCTGCCTTGGCCGGCTACGCTCTGGCTGCTGCTGAACTTCTGTCGATCCAAGGGCAAAAGAAGGCTTGATTACCCGACTGCTCGCAACAATCGACCTGTTCACTTCACTGTTGGCGCCGTGACGTGCCGGTCGCGGAGGCTGCTGGAACTGGAAGCTTTTCTTTCTCTTTGGGTTGCGGGGATGATGATCCTCAAGGGACTTTTAGGCTCGGGGAGATCGGAGTGTTTCTTTCTTTCCGGGAGAAAGAAGAGGCTCGTCCTAGCAGCTAACGACCATTATTACTTGGCTGTCCCCTTGGCCTAAGAGCACTGGAGTAGGAGACAAATATTTCTCCACGGTGCAAGCAGATTCTTCACGTCGAGAAGCAGCGGTAACTACTAACCCCAAGTACCTACACGATAAGCTTGTGTCAATCTCACCGGTAATTAATCCTTGGACAGCACGGCCACCGCATAGATACATACACTAGTCAGACGACGGACTGCCTCGAGCAGCACCTGAATGGTCTGTCACACAGTCACCAGTTTCGTTTTTGTAACTACACTGTTATTATTCCATGGACGGGATCATCTAGACTCGAACTACGTTGGATCGCATGCTCCTCCTCTTCCTGCATGCCTCGGTGATGTCTCCTACTAATTACTCCTGCACAAAGAATCCAACCTACCAGAGTGACCGGATAGTCAAGCCACACGACGCCTCGCAGTTCACACAAGCTCACGAAGGGATCTGTCTAGTCTTGGGGAGAGTCTGTGCGGATTTGGAGTCGCCCGGAAAGTGGAACATGGCAAACGGTCGATGACTTCATCATCCGATCCTAACTGAACTAACTGACTGACTGATAATCCCATAATAATAATACCTCTGATGGTGCCCAAGTAGCGTTTATCTCCCACCCGTATCGCGCGATCCGAGCATAATCCCCCAAATAACACCGAATGATCTCTTATTTTCGACGCAGGCCTCTCTGCACGTCATCATCGATCGAGTGTATGAGCCCAGAGCTGCCTTCTCCGCCACATACTCCACGAGGCCACTGTCAACATTACGCGGCGGCAAGATGTTCTTGACCAACGACGGAAAAGTTCTCCAAGATCAAATAATATAGTCTTATTACTCATTATTGCACCGGAACATCAGCTCTGTGGCAAGGTACTTTGCATCATGCTTGAGTGTATCTAGCACCTGTCAACAACTCAAGCTTCCCGAACTACCGGGCCATTCGGAACCAGAACAGAGGCCCCCTTACCAGTATTCATCTGCCGGAATCTCTCTACCATAGATCTTTTCTCTGCGAGACAAGGTCATTCTGTGACCACTGTTTGACAGTTGAGACACGCGTCCTGGTAATAGCATCTGACGTTAACCTCCCGCGGAGTGACGGTACCAGAGAAACCGGTTCCTGATTCCCTGTCCATGACCCCGCAGCATATTGGTCCCGTCCAGACGGGCCAATCCACCAGCAGAGTTTAGGCAGTTAATATCCTTCAAGGTCAAAATAGCTTTAAATCACATCCGCTGAGCAATAATGAGGAGATGTTACCAGAATTATCCGTGCCCGTGCGTGCCCTACATGAATCACAGTATGTGCACCATCAGCCGTACTATGAATGCCATCCTCTAAGCGACAAGAGCGGCCGTAAGATCCCAGCAAGGAAATATCCTTGTATGCTCCGCGATGTGCCGTCATGATTTAGTTTCATGTAAAGACAGCAAAACCTACTCATAGCCATCTACCTATGTTAGTTACCTTGCCTCTTCGGAACCTTCCGGGGTCATGAAATCCGAAAACTCGGATTCTCCTGCATATGGTATGATCTCTATCTACCCCGGACTTTATTCGATTATACACGCGCCTAAGCCATCCATCGACCCAAGACTGGGACAGGAAACGAAAAAAAAAAGAGTCTGTTAGACCGTAAGTTTTCAGAGCCATCATAATACCATATGTGAGGGTAGAGTCATAATCATACCACCCAGCGCTATGGTAAGCAGTCGTCACATGCATGTGCATCTATCCAGTCTACTCGGTGTTTCGTGGAATTTTCACTGGTAACGAAGTACATAGTCAGAATCTCCGGGCCGTCCGGGTCGTCCCCAGGAAACGGAAGGGTCTAGCACTCTCCAGATGTTCTCTATCATAGGTTTTGCCTCGGCCACGAACGAAATGAGGTTGCTGCCTAACAACAATTGAACTTGCCTCCGTATAGTGAAAGATCAGAGAGACCATATTTAGATACCTCGAAATATGGCTTAACACCCACGAGTTAAGTTTTCGAGGCAGTGTGCTCTATTCTAACTTTCATGGATACCTCATTGCTATGCACGAAGCTCTACTTGAGATCAAACAGATCAAGGGTCCGCTGTGTACGTGAGTAGATTTACTTGGGGGAGCAAGATAAAAACTGATAGCATCCTCTGGGAGTATCCAGATTGATTGGGAATAAGCAGCTGCTTCAAATGGGCTGGTCTGAGCTGTTGATTGGCTACCAACCTGATATTAGTGATGCTATATTACTTAGTCGGTTCTATGAAAGCTCGAGTCATAATATATACATATATACTCAGAAGATACCCTGGTCAACTTTCTATTATTGTATCTCGGATATTCATTTCTATCTTGTGGGTTGATTATCTATTAGATAGTCCACACTTAATATGGTACAGAAAGCCTGGCCGGGAGTCAATGTTAATTTGCGTCGAGGTCTAATGCCGGCGGCTTCCAGCATAGTAGATTATCCATACGACTAAACAACATTGACAGGCTGATCGTTCTTCTGAACTGCTTTTATTTCCTATATACTAATTCAATGAAGTACTAATCCCAAAGAAGACAGTTACGTGCTGCCTTGCTTGTACCATGGGTTCGAAAGTCCGGAAGTCCTCCTCCGCCATCTACCTGGATCCCACTCAAAAAAAACCCCCCCCTCCAGGCTATACCCCCCCCCCCCCCCGCCAATTCATTCCTTATTCTAAAAGACAATGACATTACCTAATTCTTAACAAGATACCAATACCAAAATAGGACTGATCTCAAGCACTCAAAAATAATGTCAAAATTCCGTCGAATCGGCGCTGGCTTCTGCGGCACAGTATGGGCTGAACCAGACGACAGCTCAGCATTCAAACGAGAAGACGGCGGTCCCGGACGATCCCTCACCAACGACTTCGAAATGCACAAGCGTGTCATACAGAGTCTAGAACAACTTCATGCTCTCAAAAAGAACAACGCTACCATCCACGAGACAGTAACTGCGAATGCTCCACCTGAAACGAGCCCAACGATAATAACCATTCCTACCTGCTATAGATTCATCACACCCGCAGACACCGACTGGTGGGATACGAACCTGATAAGATTCCCAGAGGGATATACACCCTGCAACGTTATCCACGCCCAGCGCATCCCACCTATCTCTCAGCCGGTGCGGGAATTTCTCATCGATACATACTGTCCACCATCAATCATCGCAGAGATAAAAGCCAGTGATACGAACCGAGACTGTCTTATTAGACCATACCTAGGAAGAAGACGCGTACTTCCCACCGAGTCGTCCCAGAATGGTGATAATGGGGGACCATCTTCAAGACGACCACCTCGACAAAGGGCTTTTTTCTCCCTAAGGAACTTCCCCCTTCACATAGACCAGATGGAACAATTGGGGATTTCCTATTCTGATATGGAAGTATATACCAGAGGAATGGCCGATGCGCTTGCCACGATGCATTTCAATGCGGGAATCGATGCGAATGATGTCGAGTTCGTTCTGGCGCCTCCGCCTCCGCCTCATAATACAGCATTGTCATCGTTATCAGAACGCGACGAGTATCCGGTTATTTCAAACGTTCTCGGGACACATATGATGTGGATTCTGGATTTTGACTGCTGTCGAGATATCGCTGTGGATGAGGAGAAGGGGCTCGAGCAGGTCATTACGGCTTTTCTGCGTAACGATCCGTTCTATCCACGACCGAGTTCTAGTGAGGATTTATGGAGGGTTTTTCGAGTGCGTTATATATGGACGGTACAGGAAATTGTGCGGGATAGGACAGATGCGGATAAGGAGAGGTTGGTTACGTTTGCGGAGAGGTTCGTTAAGGGGGTGGAAGAGAAGGAAATGGAGAAGATGCAGCGGAGGGTTTCTTCTTAGAGGAGGTAGAATGGGATAGGATAGAACATGGCTTTTACGGGTCAGCTTTAAAACGAACATAGATTCGGGACTTTCCTTGAGTGTCTGGGATCTAGTGTTGTCGGTGATGGGACCAAAATCAATGCGTCACAAATTGTACTAATAAATGACGAGTAATATCTTCAGAAATAATATTAATGGTACATATCTATTGTGAAGGACAGACGCAGAAGTCCTAGTTCGGGAGTTCCCATGTTCTCAGTTAAACCAGGAATCATCCAGTTCCCCGATGTCCATTAGCCCATCCCCACCAAGCAGGTTATCGTCACCATCCCCGCCGAAATTATCATTCTCCATGAAGAGATCATCGAAGCTGGATCCTCCTGGGGCCATCACTTCATCTTGATTGTTGCTGTTATTGTCCTTCTGCGCATCTGATTGCTGCTGACCCTGCTGTTGGGAAGTGTTGTTTCCTGTGTTCTGCAGATCCATATTGAACTCTTCGTCAGTTGCATTCGCAGCATAGCTCTCGAGACCCGGCAACAACGAGCTGATAGAGCCGGCTTGATCCTTTGCTTGGCCATGGCCGCCATTATTTCCAGCCGCAGAATCGAGGAAGTTGGCTCCCGCCAGAAAGTTCTGGTTACCAATCTCATCGTTGCCAAAATCGAGATGTAAGTCGAACTCGTTGGGCCCAGCACCGCCTGTGTCAGGAAGCATGGAACCGAAGAGCTCGTCACCTGCCCCCAATTGCTGGCCTGTCTGAGTGCCCGTTTCTTCTTGCTTTTCGGTCTTTACATCCTTCTCTTGTCCCGTCTGCTGATGAGTCACTGCTTGAGTCACCTTTCCTTCACCCTTCTCGTCAGCCTTTTTCTGCTCCGACGATAGCGCTCCTGTCTGATTGGCAGATCCCTGGGCCAATTCTCCCGAGTCAACTGGCTCTTCTTTCATCACAACGTCCTCTGCTGGTTGAGGCTCAACGGTAGGCGCTGCTGGTACAGGAGCTGGCGGCGTCGTTTTCTTCGCCTGGACAGCTTCATAGTCCTTTTCCAGGAATGCCTTGGCGATAAACTGAAAGGCGTCAATGATAATACGATCTTAGAGTGGGAGCAGGCTTTGCATGTGTTGCTGTCAACAGATACTAGACGGGAAGAAGACATACGATCTGCTCTGATAGGTTATCTAACGCATTCTGAAATTGCTCGTGCGCCGGTGGGATCGCCCGCTTTAACTGGGTCCTCGACAGCATGGACCCTGACGAGCGAAAGAACCGACCCGTCTCAATGAGCTTCCAGATGTGAGTACATGGGCCAATCGTGTCTGGGATAGAGGGCGTACTGTCTGATTCACCATCGCGGTGAGAACCGCAAGGGACTCTGGGTTGGCAGTCGAGTTCACGGCAACCATGGTGGAGGCTTGCTGCACTGCTGGCTTGCTTGGAAGAAAGGGCAGCTCAGCCTTCAAAGAGTCCTTCGCCATGAGGTGGAGGTGCGCAGAGCCCGTCTCGAAATGCTGGGTCAGAATGAGAAGTATAGGGTAGTTGATCAGCAACCTCTTTGCGACTGGAGATCGTCCTTTATTCCAACAGAGCTTTGGCCAAAGCGCAGAACGCCACGCGCCGGGAAAGGGACAAAAGAGGCGCAGGAGTGGGTATCACAGAGCAAGAATGACAGGAAAGAAAAGATTGGATCGAAAGCAGCAGCGGAGGGGCTGATTGATATCAAGCGAATCTCGATGGGGTCTATTTAACCTTCTTCCCAGGGCGTATGGGTCCACGATGAACCGTGCTCCAGCTGGAGAAAGGTGGATGAGAGGACGTGATGGCCTGGTTTGATCGGTGTTGTTGCATACCAGACCTGCACGTTAACAGCCAGACAGCCACGCGACAAAGAAACACGCCGTGCAGGCTAAAACGAGGCTTCTGGACGTCTTGCTCTCACGACAGGATACTCCCCTTCTGATCGAACAAAGATGTAGAGATGCGCCATGGGCCACCACGCTCTCCGTACCGGATGGTGTAACTAGAGCAAGCTGTGCCGCCTAACGCTATCAGACTTAGCGTGTCCCCTCCCCCAAGCGGCTCTTAGGTTGCCCATCCAAACTCCTCGTTCACTTTTCCGCCTCCCCATCCAAACCCCCCATAAGATCATCGCATCTTTTCCATCTCTCGTGATCCGTTTCGCGGTCTCCTGGCGTCCGGACTCGAGTGTTTTGGTTCTCTCTTTCCTCTCATCTTCATCCTTTTTGGTCCTTTTATCCCGTTTCTTTGGCCTCTAGCTGCGCCGCTTTTCCCTCGCAGTTTCTCGTGGCTTTGGATTAGTTAGACAGCCGTTTGTTTGAGTCTCCGTTCCCGCAACCATTAATCCGCCACGAAAATCAGCTCCTCCTGCGCGCAACGATCCATCCTTCTCAAGCTATTGTATGATCTAGCCCCAAGTTCACTTGATACCGGTGCCTTGATAGTCGCCCATTTTCCGTCTCGTCTAGCTTTGCGGCCGTTCCCATTGCGATCTGCACCGTTCCGTTGTCGATATCGTGATATCCCGCTAACGCTTACATTGATCGAGTGCTTCGACCTTCATCGAAGTTATATATAATTGTCGGTTTTCTTTGTATTCGATACGTATAAACGACTTTCGGCCCAACAATGGCGGACAACGCGCCACCATCCTCTTCTTCCACTCTTCCACCGCCTCCTCAGGCAGCTGCAGGCGCTCCGGGTCAGCAATATGATGGATCTCAGGGGAATAGTCAAGGGAACCCTTCCCATATGCCTCCACCACCTCTGCCCCCTGTGGTCATTCCACAGAACACAAACCCGATTCCGACGGCAATTACCTCCCCGATATCAGGGAACATGATGTCTCCGACTAGCGCCGGCGGCTACGTGCGTCGGGCGGCGCCAGAGCCAAACAAGCGAGCTCTGTATGTCGGAGGGCTGGATCCCAGAGTCACAGAGGACATTCTCAAGCAGATCTTTGAGACGACAGGTCATGTGCAGAGTGTGAAGATTATTCCGGACAAGAACGTGAGTCGTTCACCAGCTGTTGCCTGAGACCCGCCTTTATTCACTTCACCCGCATAACCTCCATCTATTCTCCGCACCTCACCTCAATCAACTCTCCACTCCACATTCCTGTGACTACATCTGCTCAAGACAGCTTGCGGACACTGTCTCGAGGTAAGAAGCCGATAGCTAACTGCGACGAAGTTCCAGAGTAAGGGCCTGAACTACGGTTTTATCGAGTACGACGACCCTGGTGCGGCAGAGAGAGCGATGCAGACCCTTAACGGACGCCGTGTCCATCAGTCGGTAGGCGCTTCTCTTCCGTTACAGTTCGATGTCAACCATTCTCTGACAGGTCTTCTCTCTAGGAAATCCGTGTGAACTGGGCCTACCAGTCCAACAACACGAACAAGGAAGACACTTCTAACCACTTCCACATCTTCGTCGGTGATCTGAGCAACGAGGTCAACGACGAGGTCCTCCTTCAGGCCTTCTCTGCTTTTGGCTCTGTTTCTGAAGCTCGCGTGATGTGGGACATGAAGACTGGTCGGTCCCGTGGCTACGGTTTCGTCGCTTTCCGCGAGCGCGGAGATGCCGAGAAAGCTTTGAGTTCCATGGACGGGGAATGGCTTGGTTCTCGTGCTATTCGCTGCAACTGGGCCAACCAAAAGGGACAACCTTCCATCTCTCAACAGCAGGCGATGGCCGCCATGGGCATGACTCCTACCACTGCATTTGGTCATCACCACTTCCCTACTCATGGCATTCAGAGCTACGACATGGTGGTTGCACAGACTCCTCAGTGGCAGACAACTTGTTATGTCGGAAACCTCACCCCGTACACAACACAGAATGATCTCGTCCCATTGTTCCAGAATTTCGGCTACGTCGTTGAGACTCGCGTCCAGGCCGACCGTGGATTCGCCTTTGTGAAGATGGACACCCACGAGAATGCTGCCATGGCGATCTGCCAGCTTAACGGATACAACGTCAACGGACGTCCATTGAAGTGCAGCGTATGTCATTCCATCATATATTCCTCTTATCTGGCATTGCCCTTACTAACAGCGTCACAGTGGGGCAAGGATCGTCCTCCCACCGGCCAGTTCGATGGTTTCTCACCGCAGCAGGCTGGTGCTGCTGCTGCTGGCTTTGGCGGTGCCGCGTCTCCCTACTTTCCTCAGTACGGAGGTCCTACTGGACCTATGACCCCTACGGGTAAGTTGAATTATGTACCGTGGTCAAACGTTTCTCCTGCTGACTGTGACGGCTTCAGGTCCTAGTCCGGCTGGTCGCGGTTGGGACCAGCAGGCTACCAATTTCGGTGGTCCTGGAATCCCAGTCCAAGGCTACGGCCAGCTTCCAGGCAATGCTGCAGGCTATGGCCGTGGTCAGACGCCTCCTGGAGCAGCATGGGCTCAGCCTGGTAACGCCGGCTTTGGAAATGGCTTTGGAGGCTACCAGGCGTAGTCCATCATCATGGCCGCTTCCGTTGGATGATAGTCCTTCCTGAATTGGTTTTTGATGCCTTTCTGAACGTGAGTGTAGCTGTCTCGTGCAGCGAGGAGAGCATCTCACTTTTTTCCATCTTCGTTCTATATTCGTCGCCCATTTCTATTCGATTCCAGCACCTACCTTCTGAGATTGTCATTCCCAAATAGGTTTTCCAAGCGAATGTTTTCGTTTCTACGAGTATTTCCTTCAGTGGCCCCCCTCAAATGAAATTTGTGCGTCTGTCCGTCAATACCCCTGAATCGAATCCACTCGTCTATTGGATCATTCCTTTCCCCGGTCTTTGCGTGAACGTTCGTGTGTTTGGTTGATAGCTTCTTGGATCCCCTATTCCGGCGCTCCCCCTTGAGTAAACTAAAAGTACTTTCCTGTCGCTTCTCTCCCCTCTGCCACTTGGCTGTTGCTCAATAAGCCTACCTTTCTAAGTTTGTATCTTCGTATCTTTTTCGTATGTGCGCGGCTTACTGAGCGAATCTGATGTCTTCATGTGCGCACAAATTTATTTCTTTTTTTCTTATCCCATAATTTGCCTTTCGAATATTTCCTTCTCGCCAATGCTACGACGAACTTCACGTGAACGAATCTAGTTACTTTTCTGCACCCCCTCGATGCGAATATTTTCTATAGCTTCCTTTCTGTGGTCTCTGAACCTTTCTTGATGCCAACGCTGAGTTCATACTTTCTGTTCGTGGAAAATCTTGAAATGGCTCATCCCGATACGTCATCCATGTTGACATTCCCCCTATTTTTGTCTCGTTCTTTCCCGTACGTTTCGTGTACATCTCTGGCCCTGTCGGTCTCCCAATTTCCCCTCTACTTGGAAGAGCCTTCTACAATTGTCTTGGATTATGCATTAGGGCGCCCAGCAGATGCATATGTTAAGTAAGCGGCTCTGCATTTCCTACCACTTTAGAGAGCAGAGCTCGTATGCCACGCGGAAATTGGAGTATCTATGGATGCATGGAGAAGCCCAAGCTTCCATGATCATCTGGAGCCGTGTCCACGTTGTCCAAGTATTTTTTTCACGAGATCGCATAGTCGATGTAGCATGATAAGAGTAAAGTAAACCAGGAGAAATCTCCGCACGCCTTGCTAGTTTAACTAGCGCTAGAGCCAAGCTTTAAGCTACCTGCGCATGCCATTACCCCGGCTCCACTTCCATTCTTGTACTGTGAAACCAGCTCCTTAGAATCGTCAGAACTCTCTGGTCGAATTCGCCGGACTCAAGTTGTCCTGCCAGACTGTCAATTATCCCGGACGATTGGAGGAAGGGCTGGCCCCCGACGCGCCAATGGAAGATGGATCCGAGCAGACGCCTGTGGGACGGTCCGTCGACAGTGGAGAGCTTCTTGGGAGACCACGATCGGGGAGCGCCAACAGCACTGGTCATCGCCGCAGCTTGTCTGGCAGTCTCTTGGCGAAGCTGTCGTTCCTCCGGATGAGCCAGACAACAGATACAAGTTCTGGGAAGGATGCTGATGTCGAGGGGGACGATGGAGATGGCTCTCTCCCAACACCGCGGCCGAAGGGCAGGGCATTGGCGACAGCGATCCAGCAACAGAGGCGGACCCGCAGGAGGAAGGGTTCCTTGCGCAAGACGGCCCTGCTAGGCACACGATTCGAATCCAGGGAGAAGAGACTGAATAATGGCTCGCCCAGGAGTTTAGACGTTTCGCGCGGCGACTCCAACGGATACAGTACCGACAACACCTCGCGACGCTCACCAGTCAGTCCAACCTCTCTCGACGACGAAGCCACTCCACGAGGCAGTTTCGATGGCGACGATGGTATGTCTGCCTCCGGATGGTCGCGCGTGAACACACGACGCAACAGTAACCTACTGAGTGCGTCCACCACTCCTTCGCGTCTACAGCCCAACGTGTCCAGTTCGATACTCGGCGATGAGACAACGACCGACGACGAAGACATCATCCCCTTCCCCCGTCTTGCCAATTCCACCATTCGAGGTGCATCCACCACCAGCGGCACCGGCGCCGCTGCTGCTGGAGTCCACATCCCGACCCCATCATCCAGTTCAGATTCCTACTTCCCTCTCCGATCCGAGTCTATGAGCCGGCAGCACAGAGCGGGACATCGTCCGAAATCGCCCCTTGCAACTCACTCCTCTGACCTGAAGAGCGTCCAGGATATATGGGATTACTCAGAGACAGAATGGTGGGGCTGGATCATTCTCATAGTGACGTGGATTGTGTTTGTGATCGGTATGGGCAGCTGCTTCGGAGTCTGGAGCTGGGCATGGGATGTTGGTGAAACGCCATATGCACCTCCGGAACTGGAGGATGATCCTACCTTACCGATCGTTGGGTACTATCCTGCCCTGATGGTCTGCACGGCTGTCATGGCGTGGGTTTGGGTGGTGGTCGCGTGGGTGGGGATGAAATATTTCAAACATGCGAATATCTCTGGAGAAGATATCTAGGATTTTAGGGCCAGTGAGCATGTCGACATGACTTGCAACGTATACTATTGAAAGAGAAGGGAAGAAGTTTTTCTCTTCTGGCCTTCCTATACTGGCTCGACATCCTTGTGGGGAGTGAAGCTGGAGAATCAGATATGCTATTCCTTGTGAAAGCGACTGACATTACAAATGGTATGTATTCTCTGCGATGATATACAGAAATTCTCGCTAACTTGAAATGTTGAAGGTTCGAATAGTTAACTACAAAAATGTATTAGAATAACGACGTGAAAGCATCTGGAAACTCCGAAGTCCATTCCGAACGCCAATTCAACCTTTCCCGACATCTGCGTCTCCTAACTCCAGCATTCGTGAATCAAATTCATACAACATCCTTCCAGTTGTCCCTAGATTGGAAAGAATCAATAGCACAAGCTTGGTCCCGTTCAAGTTTGTAGCTGGATCTGTGTCATCTTGTGGCTCAGTTCGTGCAGTCTCGGGCCATTGATATGCTCATTGGTGTCCGCCGAGTCGGGCTCGGGAGGCGTGCAGGCAGCGGCTGCACTCTGGGATGGGACTGCGGTGCCCTGTGCAGCACTCTGACCTTGAGATACCGCATAGCAGGAGGAGCGGTCCATGTTGGGGTCATCATCATAGAATTCATCCAGGATAGGATGCAATAACACAGTCTGCTTGTGTATGGTGAGAATCGAGTTTGTAGGAACAGACACCCAGTTATCTAGCAGAAACGAAAGTTAGCAATGGAGTGTATTATATGATATAGAAAAACGAATCCACTCACGTCTCTCGAAAGTGATAGGCTCACTAGCCACCAAGACAATATCAGCACCTTTGTCGTGACGCTCCATCTTGAAATGGCCCTTTGTCTTGCCCTCCTTCCACTTGGTGCCGGAAGAAAAGTACAAACTCGCCGGTTCGTCAGTTTTGCTGCTTATATACCGAGTGCAGATGACCGTATGTCCATCTGTGACGGCAAAGTTGAGCAGGCTGCGCGTCTCCACTCCTGTCACATTATGCTTCTCCGGAATCTCTCGCACGAACTCGTTAATCTTAGCAATCGTCTTCATCATAACGCGGCGCAGGAACGCCTGTCCAAAACCCTCTGGGCCAGGATCAGAGCTAGGATCAGCCCCCTCTTTCTCCATCAAATCGAGGAACAGAGCAAAGGCCCATTCGCTATCCGTCCCTCCCTTCACGCCCAGATACCACTTGTCCGCGAGGGAGTCAGCCAGCGCGCGCTTGATGTACTTCCATCCGCCAACATTGCCATTGTGCATCCACATCAGGGTATTGTGCTGGAAAGGATGGCAGTTGTTCTCCGCGAGGGTGCCCTCGGTCGTTGCCCGCACGTGTGCGAAGATCAGGTTCGAGCATGTCTTCGCTGCCAGACGCTCGAGGTTTTCACAGTTCCACGCCGGTAGTGTCGATGTGAAGATGCATGGTTCAGGGCCGAGCTTAGGGTCCGTGTAGAATCCTACTCCGAAACCATCGCCGTTGACGGGGCGGCGTCGGTCCTGTTCGATGGCGGGATTCCGGTTAGATTGATTGCTTCGTTGCCAGTTATAGGTGTCAGAAATGTAGTTTAACATACAAGTCTCAATCTCGAATCATAGGACTGGGTAAGAATCGAGTGGCTTGGTTCTGTGATCAGTTTGCTGAGCAGGATATCGTTTCTTCCTTTGTAGACCTGGGTTTGGAGCGGTCAGTTCAGCTGCGAGTGGCGCGTACTTACTACAGTAAAGTACCAGGACGAAATGAACGGCGTAACTTACCAGGAGACGGCACATGTTGGGTCACAAATTGCACAGTTGAGATTAACACACTTTCAGGTAGAATAAACCAATTCAAAAAGAAAACTCCGGGCAACCCAGGGGAAATCGCCGTGGGAAGAAGGGAAGAAAGCGACTCCTCAAGTTCTGCCGGACGTAAGAGTCATAGGAATACACCGATTGTCAAATGCCAAGAGAGTGATAAGCGGACAGAAAAGAAACGCAACCTGTACGGGGAAAGGGAAAGAATAATAAATCAAGGGTATCTGGAAAAGAAAAAGAAACCAGGAATTCCCACACCGTCTGTTTGTTAATCCGATTACCTTCCATACCTTCGTCGTCACGCCATCCATCTCACACCGCAGCCATGACACGGCGCACGTGACTCACCGCTTCTCCGGCTGCCGAAGCGGCCACTAGCGCAGGTCACGGGCATCGCGAGACCGACTCCGTAATCGACTGTTGTTTTGCTCTGCTAGATATCGCCACTGCGCAGACGTCGGTCTTGCGCAGGAATTCCATCTAACCGGACATTCGACCATCTGGCCTGCGGCTGGAAAATGGTCATGCTGATTTCGCCAATTCCGAGACACGCATGAAAATTCGATAACCATGAGCGGGAGGATTCTCTCCCACCGTTTGACTCCGCTGTTGAGGAGGGGCCTGCTGGCCCGCCATATGCACAGCGTGAGTTCGAGAACTGGTGGTCTCCTCCGTGCAGATGGAAATGCAGTGTTACGGGGTCGAGCGTGGCCGGTCGGTGCCAACGCTATACACAACAATGTTCCGGCGGTGCGGACGATATCCTTTGCGAGGATGCTACCCCGGATTGCGCTCAAGCTAGTCAGGCTTCCAGCTATGTTCGGGGGAGCGATGATTGCCGGATTGGCTTATATACAATATCAAGCGAATCGTACGTTTCCAGAGAGCTTTTCTGAGGGGAGGTACATTTGCTGACCGACATTCTTTGAGTACAGAGGCGGGAAACTACGCCATCGACATCCTCAAGCGGGCAGGTGAGACTGCTACTGATACGGCAACTGGACTATTCAACGGGCTTCAGGGTATGGCTGAGCAGACGAGTCGTGGCTGGGAAAAGAAAAAGGAAGAGATGGAACTTCCGGAATGGATGCAGAAGATCTTCCGTCTAGGGGAGGAGTCTGAGTCTGAAGGCGGCGGTTCTGGCGGCCAGGGAGGATCCCCCAGAGATAATCGTAATGCTGCGGCTGCTGGAGCTGCAACGGCTTCTGCTTTCGGTTATGACAAATCTGATGAACGAGATGTCCGAGGTGCGACGCAGATTGCGATAGACGATCAGATGATGGTTCTCACGCGGAAGATGATCGAGATCAGAAATATCCTGCAGACGGTGGGGCAGTCGAGCACATTGACGCTTCCATCAATAGTGGTCATTGGATCTCAGTCTTCGGGTAAAAGCTCTGTCCTGGAAGCTATCGTTGGACATGAGTTCCTCCCAAAGGGTCTCAACATGGTGACGCGCCGGCCGATCGAGCTTACCTTGGTCAACACGCCCGATAGCCAAACAGAGTACGGCGAGTTCCCAACTCTTGGTCTCGGGAAGATCACCGATTTCACCCAGATTCAACGGACTCTTACCGACTTGAACTTGGCTGTACCCGAGAGAGACTGCGTCAGCGACGATCCCATTCGCCTGACGATCTTTTCACCTCACGTTCCTGATCTCTCTCTCATTGATCTTCCTGGATATATACAAGTTTCGGGCCGGGATCAGCCCCCGGAGCTTAAGCAGAAGATATCCGATCTGTGTGACAAGTATATTCAGCCTCCCAACATCATTCTCGCCATATCGGCCGCGGATGTTGATCTGGCCAACTCGACCGCCCTAAAGGCCAGCCGCAGAGTTGATCCCCGAGGAGAGAGAACAATTGGTGTGGTCACGAAGATGGATCTGGTGGATCCAGAAAGAGGTGCAAGCATCTTGCAGGACAAGAAATATCCTCTACGGCTAGGCTATGTGGGCGTGGTCTGTCGGGTTCCTCAAACCACAGCGCTCTTCTCTCGGGCGAGTGGTAATATCTCCAGCGCCATTTTGAAAAATGAGAATGCTTACTTCTCTACGCACCCTGCGGACTTTGGTCCGGATTCCGGCGTTGAGGTCGGGGTTTCGACTCTCCGTAAGAAACTGATGCATGTTCTCGAACAAACAATGGCGTCGAGCCTAGCAGGAACTAGGGATGCGATCAGTCAAGAGCTAGAAGAAGCGACTTATGAATTCAAGGTTCAATACAACGACCGTCCGCTCAGCGCGGAGTCTTATCTTGCAGAGAGCCTTGACAGCTTCAAGCACTCCTTCAAGGAGTTCACGGAGCACTTTGGCCGGCCGCAAGTCCGGGAGATGCTCAAGAATGAATTGGATCAGCGCGTGATGGACATTCTTGCGCAAAGATATTGGAACAAGCCGTTCGATGACTTGTCGCCCCCGATGCCTGAGCTGGACCCTCTTACGGACCTGCCAAAAGCGGATCCGGAGTCCCTGTATTGGCACAGAAAGCTCGATGCTTCAACGTCTTCCTTGACTAAGTCTGGTATTGGCCGACTCGCGACCACGGTGGTTGCAAACGCTCTCCAGAGCCATGTCGACCATCTTGTGGCCAACTCTACGTTTGCGTCGCATCCGTACGCGCAGAAACAGATCAAGGAGGCTTGCACGACCATCCTCAACGACCGCTTCTTCAGCACAAGTGACCAGGTAGAGAATTGCATCAAGCCTTACAAGTTCGAGATCGAAGTGGAGGATATGGAATGGACCAAGGGACGAGAAAACGTTAGCCGGGTACTGAAGGATGAGCTGCGATCCTGTGAATCCGCTCTAAAGCAGGTCGAGCAGGACGTCGGAAGAAGAAAGCTGAAGGATGTGATGGCCTTTGTCGACAAAGTGAGAAAGGGAGACGTTGTTCTGGAAGGCGATGGCGCAGGCGGTGCGGGCGGGTTCAGTTCATCCCTCCTGCAGAAAGGTTTGTAGTCCGTCTCCTCTTTTACGGTCTGATGCTGATGCTAACCATCTATTAGCTCGTGAGGGCATCTTCCTTCGCGATCGGGCCGATCTTCTCAAAATGAGACTCCTTGCGGTCCGCTCGAAACAGTGCAACAACAAGAAGAACAAATATTACTGCCCTGAGGTATTCCTCGACGTCGTTGCCGACAAGCTCACGTCGACCGCTGTACTTTTCCTGAATGTTGAGTTGCTCTCCGAGTTTTACTACAATTTCCCGCGTGAGTTGGACATGCGACTGGGTCGACATCTGTCCGACGCTGAGGTCGAACGGTTTGCGCGTGAGGATCCTCGCATCCGCCGACATCTGGATGTGATCAGGAAGAAGGAGCTGTTGGAACTGGCTCTGCAGAAGATTGAGAGCCTGCGCCAGCTGGAAGGTCGCAACTTCACCAAGTCCTCGCAGCGTCCGGTGCCTTCGAAGGAGACGACGCGCGGCTGGAGCCTCTTTTAATCCTCTCCACGACCTGACTTTGACTTTATCTTTGCTTCTTTCTGCATTCCACGATATACCATCACAGTCTTGACCGTTTGTAGAAAGTCGTTCACATAATTGTGTCCGGGAGGCGTCCGGAATGAGACTGCTTTCCTTTTCTCCTCGATGTATTATTTCTTAAGCAAATATGTACGAGCGCGCAATGGCCAGGGTGTAATCATTCAATCGACTCAGGGACAAGACATTCCCATACTGTGCAATTAGCACCTCCTTCCTAGAGAGTATTAACTCCAACATGAGAAAACCATATAGAAGCGAGGCGACCTTTTTTTAGTTAAGAGCGTCGATTTAAGTATGTACATTGGTCATAGGAAATAAAAGTAAGACCCAAGTGAACCACATCCATCCAAGACTATGATTATGTGATAATAAACAACATGATCCGAATGGAGCCGATCGACTACGTCCCAAAATAGAAATAAATCCTCAGAGGCGAGGAATAATGCGTCATGTAGTTAACTGCTAGTTATTTATAACCATGGACAGCGTGGCCGAAGACAAACCGGGCCGAAAACAGTGGAGAGGGTTCTTGGAGATTTACCGATTCCAGGACCAGACAACAGGACACTCCGACACATCGAGCAACCAGTTAGTAGTAGCTATGGTAGATCTCCAAAAGCTACAGGACTGATCTCCGGGAGGTCCCGCGGCGAAGGGGTGGAGATTCCAGGAGTAGATACTAGATAGATACAAAACGTGGCGAATTGGTAGAGATGTGTATCCGTATGGAGTACTTGGAGTAATTATTATGATATACGCAGTTTGAATCAGGTCGCTTGTTAATCATTGACGAAATGGGGGTTTGTTTTATTAATTAATTTATTAAACCGCCACGGATGGATGTTTGGAACTACGTCCCATTGACAGGGCCTTGTGGAATCATTGGGCTTTTTTTGTTTTCTCTTGTTGATCTGTACTTAAGTATCATCTTGTCTTGAATATAGATATCTATATAATATATCAACCGGAAGACAACGGCTTCCCATCTCTGATACTTACTAACACATCAAAACAAAAAAAGCCGAGATCCAACCTTAAAACCAAGCTGTCTCGAGGAAAGAAAAGAAAAAAAAAAGAATTGGGAACATCAAGTGGGCCTGTCTGGATAATACCCCAGATTTCCACCGTTCAGCTGGAAAAAGGCAAGCTAGCTTTTCTCCTCAGCGATGAGGGCCCCCCCTTTTTTCTTTCTCTCCTTCTCCTGGGTTCTCCTCATCTGTACTATAGCCACGGCTTCATCGGGCGGGAGGGACCGGGAGGATACAGATCGGGACGAAAAGTGTTCGGGGTGTTAGTTGGTTAGTTGTGTCGTGAGTTGTCCTCGGGGAGATACGGTATGAGGAATAATAAGTAGTAAGGAAGGAATAATTATATGGTATTTAGTTGGAGTGGAAGAAGGAGGAGGAAAGGGAGAACCTGAGAATATTATTATAGATGGATTAGATAGATGATAGATGATAAAGAGTTAGTTAACTCCTCACGACACAAGAAGGTTCCCCTCACGCGGTACAAATAATTTAGTTAATTAATGAATCAAGACTTCCCCCTCACGGGAGCTCCCGGGCAACGGACGGCATGAAAAGAATTAGTTAGTTAGTTCAGTCTAAGTAGTTAGTCGAGATAATCAAACAATCAAATAATCAATTCCGCATCGGCTTCGCTTCCGACCGAGAAAAGTTCGACCCCGAAAATGGAGCACACCGGCTTGCCCAAAGCAGTTGGATCCCAGAGGGCTGGACGTCTTCTTTTTTAACGCTTTTCTGTACAGCTTCATTATTATCGTTTCATTCCCCCCCAATCCAACCAACACCCCCGTTGTTTGCCAAACTCTCCCCTCTTCCCTTCGCCTTCGTGCGACCAGTGGTCAGAGAAGCTGTCTTGTTCGGTGCTCGTCTCAAGATGGTGTCTCCGTCAATGCAGCTGGCGTCATTGTCGCGCAGGTCGCTCACAATGCGGTCGCAGCTGCTGACCAGAACCACCCAGCCATTGAGGACCAGCGTGCTCTCGCGATCTCCTCTCCAGTCGTCCTTCCGCAGGACTTACGCGGATGCTGCCATCCCAGAAGCCCCCAAGCCTCGCAGACGCTTCAGATTCCTGCGATGGGCCTGGCGGTTGACCCTGCTTACGGGTCTGGGTCTGACGGGCACGGTCGCTTACAGCATCTACGAGCTCCGTCACCCGGCTGAGCAGATCGAACCCGATCCCAGCAAGAAGACTCTGGTTATTCTCGGTATGCTACTCGTATCCCTTTCTGCTTCTTCTCGCGGAGGCGCGCGCACAGAGAGCTAACACCACGGTCGCGCAGGAACGGGATGGGGTGCCGTCTCGCTGTTGAAGAAACTCGACACGGAAAACTACAATGTCATCGTCATCTCGCCCCGTAACTTCTTCCTGTTCACTCCCCTGCTGCCCTCTTGTACGACGGGTCTGATCGAGCACCGCTCGATCATGGAGCCTATCCGGAACATCCTCCGTCAGAAGAACGGCCGAGTCAAGTACTATGAAGCAGAGGCTACCAAGATTGACGCTGAGAAGCGCGTCGTCTACATCAGCGACGACTCAGAAGTCAAGGGCGATGTGTCCCACACCGAAGTGCCCTTTGACATGCTCGTCGTCGGAGTCGGTGCGGAGAATGCTACTTTCGGTACGTACTGCGCTGTTCAAGTGAGAGAAGCTGTTGTTGGTTAACCGCATCTTCCAGGCATCCCCGGTGTGAAGGAGCACTCGTGCTTCCTGAAGGAGGTCGGTGACGCCCAGAAGATCCGCAAGCGCGTTATGGACTGCGTCGAGACGGCTATCTTCAAGGACCAGACCGATGAAGAGGTCAAGCGTCTGCTGCACATGGTCGTGGTTGGCGGTGGTCCCACCGGTGTCGAGTTCGCCGGTGAGATCCAGGACTTCTTCGAGGAGGACCTGAAGAAGTGGGTTCCCGAGATCAAGGACAACTTCCACGTCACCCTGGTCGAGGCTCTCCCGAACGTAGGTTATCCAATTGGATTCGCACATCCCTTCAATCGGCTGCTGACGGGTTGTTACAGGTTCTTCCCATGTTCTCCAAGCAGCTGATCGACTACACTGAGTCGACCTTCAAGGAAGAATCGATCACCATCCGCACCAAGACCATGGTCAAGAACGTCACGGACAAGTTCATTGAGGCTGAGGTCACCAACCCCGATGGCAGCAAGGTGCTCGAGAAGATCCCTTACGGTCTGCTCGTCTGGGCCACCGGTAACGCCGTCCGCAGTGTCGTGCGCGACCTGATGAACCAGATCCCCGCCCAGAAGAACTCCCGTCGCGGTCTGGCTGTCAACGAGTACCTGGTCGTCAACGGAACCGAGAACATCTGGGCGGTTGGTGACTGCGCCGTGACCAACTACGCCCCCACCGCCCAGGTGGCCAGTCAGGAGGGTGCTTTCCTGGCCCGTCTGTTCAACACCATGGCCAAGACGGAGGCCGTTGAGAACGAGCTCAAGGTCCTCTCCGCGGAGCAGGCCCAAGCCAAGACCGAGGAGGACCGCAACCGTATCTTCGACTTGATCAAGGAGCGCCAGAGACAGCTGCGGAGGACCAAACAGATCGGTCCGTTCCAGTACTCCCACCAGGGATCCCTGGCGTACATTGGAAAGGAGCGTGCCGTTGCGGATATCAGCTGGCTGAGCGGCAACATCGCTAGTGGCGGAACCATGACCTACCTCTTCTGGCGCAGTGCTTATCTGAGCATGTGCTTTAGCAGTAAGTTCAATTTTAGTACTCTTGAAGAAAAAGAACGAAGCTAATTTGTTTCTCTCCAGCTCGGAACCGTGTGCTCGTCGCTCTCGACTGGACCAAGGCCAAGCTCTTCGGCCGTGATGTCTCCAGAGAGTGATTTGTTGATTTTCATGTCCTCCCCTGAACCTCTCTCCCGAAACCTCCTATTACCTACATCTCCGTCACGCCATGTCTCTCCATCTTTACATTCCCGCTGCGGCTACTCATAGTGGCCTTGTCTTCATAACCGAATCCTTGGCATGAATCTTTGGGAAGATGGGCTGTTTGCTTGGATATACAGAAGAGAAAAAAGTAGACCCTGGCACTCAGACTACCCATCTTCTGCAGATGCCGGAATCAATCAAAAAGAAAGAAAGAAAAGAAAACGAACAAAGAATTGATCTACACTGTACGAAATAGATAGACTCGGGATGCTGTTCTACCACTATCCTTTGCCTTTCATCCTGCATTTCTCCTTTTTTTTCCCTTTCTGCATGGTCTCTGTTATTTTGGGGTGTACCTACCGCTGAGCATTCTGTACCGATTATAATTTTTCTTTGTTTCGAGTTCTGTAAGCTGACGATTCCACGTTCTTCTGTCTCTTTATGTAGATTTATTCTCGTGTATGAGAGCTAATCTGACTAAATGACAAGTATAGTATAATGCCTGAGTATGGGTCGAACCAGAATGTAATACGGACCTTGTCCTGGTCATGGCGAGAACTATCAAGACGTCAGTCAGAACTTTGACAGATGCAGTAGTAGTACGGACCTTATAGTCCAATTTGGACTTGGGACTCCTGGGATCGCAGCATCTACATAGATATATAGATAGCAGTGTCAGATCCTGAAGGTACTAGCTACGTGCTTGCTTAACTCAGATCTAGTAGTTAACTAGGGGAGGTAAATCCGATATTTATCTCTATAGCATATAACTAAAATGAAGAATTCACATCTGAGGGATTTACGTAGTAGGTTTTATCTTATCCTGGGATTAAGATGTTAAGAACCTGCTGCAAATGGATGATATTGTTAATGTGATATAACTCTTTGCGCTCGAGATAAATATGAACATGTTTTTAATAGAGACGGACGAGTTGGTTCGAGACTCGAAACGCGAAAGTATTCGAATACTGATGAATGGGTTGTCTAAAGCGATTTCTTTCTGTCTGGTATTCTTTGTAGACTATCTCTAACTATATATATATCTTCCCGTGGAAATCTAAAACCACAGAAATAAAGACCCTAGATAAGCATTCAACACAGCAATAAAATCATACTTACCTAGAGAAATAGAAAATACCAAAACCCATTAGCTATTTATACCTACGGACTTACTTTATCCTGACATTCCTGCCGTCTGAAGCTAAGCTAGAATATAGTTTTACACATTCCATCGTCCCAGCGTGTTTACTTTGATGTTATATTAATTGATATAGCTATGTGGCTTCCTGTTGTAGCCATTGCCCAGTTTATAGTTAGCTCGCCTTTATAGAAGCCGTGAGCGCTAATACTTCTTTCTTATGTGTATTAATTAGCAGGGGCTTATGTTAAGCTGTTGCAGTAGTGGATTAATGTGAGATTCTCTTAGCACAAAATACATCCTTTGCAGCAGGTTCTAAATCTAGAATAGAACCTATTAGACTACTAAAATCTAGATTCTTTATTGCGTTAGCGCTTACGGCTTTGATAGATGCGAGCTGCAAAATGCTATTACTACCCTATATATATTAAGAGTAGTAACTATAGAATAAATAACATAAAGCCTGTCAAACATTGTATAGCACTAAAGAAAGGTTTTAACCTGAATAACTTGAATTATTTGCTTGCTTCTAGATTTAAGAGGGGGATTTAATCCTATATTTATATATAGCATATGAAAGAATCTAGATCCTAGTTAATATAGTAGGTTCTATCCCTATATTTAGGGCCTGCTACAAACGGATAATTAACAGATTACCTGGCGTTTGCTTTGTGCACCGACAGAAGCTATACTAGGATTAAACTAGATACGCTGGAATTAAGAAATGCGAAGGAATAGTACTAGAGGCAGTGCTCTGGGCGGTAGTAATTCGAGATAGAGTCCGTCGGCTTATATAGATAGTTGATAGATTTCGGTATCCTTGAGTTCGTTAAGCAATCAAGCTCTTAGTCCGGTAGTACGCTTCCGCGAGATTAAATTTCTGCGTATAACTACAGGAGATAAATGGGGATTAAAGATCTCCTCTAGAACTATATTTCGAGTAGTTAAAACTAGACTATAGTTTTATGCTATTTAGTATTCCATATAACTTAGTTGAGATACACGATACTATATACGGAGTAAAGTGAGTTATTGTCTTAATAGTAATCATTGAATAATCTCAGTATCTCACAGAGAGACGAATAAAAATAAAAGAGACTAGACTATAACAATTGCCACAGGCAGTAAGTAAGTGCTTTGCTCCCTAGAACGATAATCGTATTCGTACGCTATGCTAAACAGGTCTATCTATAGAGTGAGCGGTGAACTGCGAGAAGTAGTTAGTTCCTTAGTCAGAACTATCTATCCGGTGTAAACAGGACTATGTTATATTCGATGTATGTATGTATACGGTATACATTGCTCGAGGATATAGTATATCGCGGGGTTAAAAAACCGCAACACTGCAGCAGGGTATGTATATCTCTCTCCCTCCCTCTCTCTCTCTCTCTCTCTAGATCTAAGAGGGCTAACTAGCTACTACCGTGCTTTCAGATTAGGGATTTATTATATCTCAACGGTCTTGAAGATAGATATATATCCGAGTAATAAGAAAGGATACATAATCTAACCCCCGTCTGTTAACTAGCATCATAAATAAACGAAAATCATCTTAACGTAAATAGAAACAAAAACGATAAGCAAGTAAAGGATAAAACAAGACTGAATATTCAACGGTAACAAGATCTGTCTATAGTATTCTGTCTTGTCCTCTGAACTTGATATATTAGTTCCCTCTCCGTCTCTCTCCCTCGCAATGTCTTATTTCTGCAGCATAACGAGTACTACCCTCAAAAATAAAAGATAGTGACCGAATACAAGAAGAAATATATGCAAATCCTAAAGTAACGCTCTGGATACAACATCGTAGAACTTAGGCCACGCATTCGCTTTCCTTTCTCGCAATAGAGGCTCGACTAAGTTAGCGGGGTTTACGTAGAGTATGAAGTATGAGATTGAGACTTTGTCTGGTCTAGTCTGGTCAAACGCTTTGGCTTTGCCGCTGAGGAAAAGTAATTAGGAGGAAAAAAAAGGACGAGATATTCTCCCCAACGTGAAGGGCAAAAATGATATTCATATCAATTATCGTGTTAACTATGGTGAATCTGGCGCTAAGCCAAAAATGGATATATTGAAAAATGGAAATTACCTTACCAGTGCATATCGACTTGCTCTTCCAGTAGGTAAGTTGTATTCTGAGCTAAAAAAAAAAAAGTTCGATACATGGGGTTTGAGATCAGAGTTGACCGCGTGCGTTCGAATACTCCGTACAAGGTTGCAAAAATGGCCCAAAGTCAAACAATCGACCGCGGACGGAAAGAGAAGCAAGTAGATAGTTACAGTAATATTAATACATAGGTACTCTACTATTATTACAGTTTGACCGCCTGCTCTCGTTTATCAATCATCTACTGTACCGGAGTATCGTATCTATCATCTAGTGGGGGAATTCCCATACACGGCTGGAACAAGGGTGGTTAAGTGGACTGGAAGGTTGAGCTTTACGATTGCCCCATGGGCCATGGCAGACTAGTTGCAAGGAAAGGAGAAGCTGAGACCGGTAAAAAAGGAAGCTGGCTGGCAGTGTTTTGTTTGCGACCATCCATCCCTTGATAAATTAGTTCCACTTTACTGCCGCGGCTGATGTTGGCATTTTTGACCGTCTCTTGCTGTTCGGGTTGAGCTCGTAAGAGCGCTCCATACCTACTTGTGAGATTATCGGGTAACGCGACCTAGTCTACTCAGATTCGTTTCCAAATGACCTACCTACCTAGTCCCGGGGACATCCCTCAGCCGATTCGACGCCACGTAGTTACCGTAGTTAGCTGGCGTTCACGCTCGTCGATGTTCATTAGTTAGTTAGTTGAATCGGCGGAATGATATCGAAAGATCTGGCGGGAGGTTTTGAGACAGGCGACGCAATGCGTTGATATTTAGTGTGATGGGAAAGTAATAATAACGGGCCCGGTCTTTGGCAAGCCACTGATTCCTCCCTCTTTCTTCAGTGGAGACCAGTAGTGAAGTCGAGTTGAAGTCTTTGGCCGAGACTAGGTATTGCTACTAACTAGTATTTGGGCTTAGGTTGTAATAAGAATAAAATATCTCGGATATTGGCTTATGTCGTAGTTATATCACGGATATCGTAGGCTAATAATAATATTAACACCCGATATTCAATGGTCTCCGATAATTATTATTATTTTGGCCGCTATACCTTGCAGTATTCGAAACGGTCACGATCGAGTGTAACACTGACTGTATTGGTCGCCTGGCATCAACGCGTCCGCCATTTAGTCAGATCACCTCACCACCTAACTAACTAGATAGACCCAAGGGACTTCTGGAGCGGGTGAACTTGTGCTGGGTTTTCTCGTGAATCTACCATACCATACCATACCATACCAACATTGACGCCATACTCTCTAACTAAACTACCTAAACTACCATACATGTCTCATGCCTCGTCACTCGGATCGTCGGGAGGATCCAGACGGATAGGTAAGATGGGACGTGGCGATGTAGAAAAGAAAAGGAAAAGGAAAAAAGGCTGTGTTCATGATTCATCCCACTGCAGTTAACTTAACGGGCTAGTTCTCCACAAAACTAAAAGTTGTTTAGGATAATCTTCGGCTGATAAGGAACGAGAACAATCGACGCATTTGGTGCACAGATGCTGGGGAACTGTGCGGCTTACATAACAACTAACTTAGCCGTTCGTTAGATTCGATACAGAGAGGACTTTGATGGAACCAAAGTAACGGGTCATCATGATTATTATCTATTCGCTCGAGGCAATAATATGACCGCGACAGCTAGCGGGAATTGTACGGGCTAATTAACTAATTCATGGTGTGCATAGTTTCATGACCGCAGCTGACGCGTGGGTTTCTCCACGGAGGACAACGGATAAAAGGTATCAGGAATCAATCAACGATGGATGAGAGATCTGTACTACTACGTACTCTGATTGCGGAGTTCCGTAATGAGTAACTAGTAGTTCATTGCCAGATGATTCGTTGTCTCATTACCATATCTAGATAGACTCCGAGTCCTGTCCGCGGCGACTGGCAAAGTAAAGCAAAGCAGGGGAGATGAAGATCTCGACAAGATGATGACAACCATGGCACTCGCTCGAAATGGCTTCTGATATCGGCAGTTGATGCCTAGGTAGTAAGAAAAATATCATTAATATTATTATTTAGTATGTATGTATTCAACTTTAGCAGACACGCCAGAGATGATGAAGGAGGGCTGGAGAATTGGTGCAACGCCAAGCGGGGCGTTTCAGACCCAGCGAAGTTTTTAAGAGACTCCGTGAAGGGTCCGTCCTTTGCCGGATTCGTTATTTCCCCGTCGCTTGGAAGTTCAACGAAGACCAAAACTCCTGGAGACTTCCTTTGCCGTGGGTTCCAGAAGCTTGCCCAGCTGGAGTCGACCACACTAGAGAACCTAACCTGGTGCCGCTAAAAAGGGAACTGCATTATTATTCTCCATACCATATCGCGAGAGTGGGCGAGACCATCCGCCATGGAATTTTTGGAGGGCTTATCAAAGCGTCGCAGCTGGATTCCTGTGAAGTGGCACTGCAACTGTCGACGAAGACGCATATCACAGTGTATTATTATCCCTGATCTGTGCCGTTAACTTGACACCCGACCTGCTCGCGGGATTATTATTACTGGGGGCCTCTTGTTCAACTAGAGTGCGTGCCGGCTCTGGTGGTAGTTACATAGCCATCGTACCGGCCAACCGATCTTAATGACGCCGCGTGCTTGGACGGAGCTCGTCTGCAGGTAGTTTCGAATTCAAGTTAGGCGCTTTCAATCCTTAATGCAAGTCCGTTAGCAGAAAAAGAAGCTAGCGATCTTAGAAGCTAGGCGTTGCTGGCTTAGGTGTCAAAGAATAATTAATTATAGCGCCTGTGGTCCTTGATCATACTCCAGACCATGCAATTCACATTCCCACGGTCATCCAGGGATTATTATCGCAAAGTCATCCTTGAAGTCCGTGTGCCCCCATCTGTGACGCATGGTTCGCCTCGGACCCTTGTTTGACAATAATGTGTACGGAGTAGATGCGTACGTGGTAGTTTCCGTGATGATCCTGTCTGAGTACCGACGACGGTTTCGAGAATCTGCGTCCCGCGTGCAATTTCAGGCTCGGTGAGCAAGGATGACAGTATGCTGACTTGGAAAGGAAAAATGAAGTGATCCGGCTGCGGTTCCGGATGGCTTTTTGTTCGCCCGCAGATAACTTTCATGCCTATCAGTGCAGAGATTTAATATTACTCGATAGTGATCTATACTGCACTTAGTAGGCCCGTGAGGGACCTGTTCCCGGTTGATACGGGGGCCTTCTGTGCCACCAGTCCCCGTTAGTAGTAGGTAGTGGTGTGATGCATCATGGCCAGTGTCTCAACGTCTTACTGGTATTATTGCACTGCAGGATTGATATTATTATTATTGTTGATGAATTTTCGGTGGTAAGCAAGGAGCCCTGTTCAGCAAGACCAGGCGCGCCAGCCCAAGTCGATCCATGACCGGTATGCACTGGAGCTGGTCAGCCGGATCATTAGTGTGTGATGACATTCTGGACAAGCCAGACAAGGCGACGGAACGGACACCAGAGATCCGGAGATGAATCGCCGCCCGGAACAGTGGGATAGTCGAGTCCTGCAGATGGGCGATCTATTATTCATGTTCTCTGTAGGGAGTAGGAATCATTGATTAGGTATCCTCTCGTCTCAGCCGTGGTGGCTGCCCGGGAAATGCATGACCAAGACCAAGAGAGGTGCAACTGACTATGGCTGGTGATCCATTGGGCTTGAGTTTGATCGTCCTCATCGCAAGCTTTGCTCGTTCGTGTCTTTTTTTTCTCAGCACCAACGCGTCACGCCAGAGCCGATCGGCCACTCAGACCACGGTTGGAGAGGGAGGATTCTCGGTCTCCATCAGCGACGAAGGCAAAAAGTTATTATTTGAAGGATGTTCCGTAGAGTCTACTAGACCTTGGCAGCAGCGTCCATCCAGTAGTTGGTGGCTTGGACGCTAGAAGACCGCAAGACCATCGAGGGGATGGATGGATGGATGGAGTTTGGGGGGAGAAAAGCGGGCGTCAGGCGGTTACAGTACGGTACTGGGGCGGGCGGCCCTTTCTGGGCATCTGGGCTCTCTTAGGCGTGATTCCGGTCTCTGTGGCAGTGTGGCCGCCCGACGAACGCATCCAGCGAGGGCAAGAGCCGTACCAAGAATACCAAGAATAATACCGAGAATACCAGCGAGAAGCAACGCTTGTGACGGGAGACGCGGTGAGGGTAGACCGACGGTGATTGGCTGGAGGCCCAGCGCCGCAACCGGATCCAGCGACGCTGGGGGCTGATTGGTGGCGAGGCCAGCAGCCGCCAGCAGCGACATGCCCAGTGTGGCTGACCATTGGCCAGCCCAGCCAGAGCAGAAAGAGATGGATCTCTCTATCGGGAGAATTTCCCCTGGATCGCCGCGTAACAACGGCCATGCTCCAGGCGAAGCCCAGCGCTATCGGCGTCTGGCGAAGTTTACTAGAGTGCCATAATTAATTACGGCATGCTGGCTGTTGGATGTGTGATGCTGGATGCTGGCAAACCTCGTGAGGCATCTATGGTCTAGGGACTGACTGGATTCTGGAACCCTGGCCCCCAATCAGAAGGCCAGTGTGACCATAGACTGTCCTATCCTGTCCTATGGTAATCCTGTCGGCTCCCGTTCGGATCTGCGCAGTAGGAATGCGCTTCCTGGACTATCAGAATAATACATAATAATACAGCGGTTTCGATGCAGACGGATGATGCGTTGAAGATGTTCATACCATCAACTAGATACCTGCTAAACAGGCCGGATCGATGATAGTAGTAGAAACGGCCTGTTGCACCCTCACATCCTGCCGGGACCCGCACGCGCTGGTTGGCTCAACCGCTTCACGTTGTTGCCTTTCCTCTCTAGATAGAGTTCTCGAGTATCCCCGACATGCTGCATCTTCCATCTGGGCCGCTGGAGTGTACTTTTTGGGCAACTTGCCAGTCTTCTTCCGCGGAGTCCGACAAGCCCCGTCCCCCGTCTCCCCCGGGGGAGATGACCGAACGGGGTGATCGGGAGATCACAGACACAAGCATCTAATTTTTTTTTTCTTTTCTGCATTTTTCTGCTTGTCCAGACTCCAGGGAGACCCGCCGTATTCCGTGCCGGTGAGAGTGTTTTGTGATGCGATGTGCGAGTCAGGTCCAGTGGTGGTTGTCCACTCAACCGGAGTTTATCCAAGTACCATGCTGCTACTATCCGCGCGGTTTCTAGGCTGTAGCATTCGTCGCGCGATGATAGGTCTTGCCAACATTACTGGGGAACTGGGCGGAAAAAACAGAAATGATTACGAAGGGCGGCGGAGGCAGCGGCAAAAAGGCTCGACTCTGACGGACAAACCAGACAAGGGCGCTGGCACCCCCTGATTCGATTCCGACACAAGAGAGGATCGAGGGGGAAGGATCATGATGCAAAGCGAGGCGAAGAGAGATGGGGGCTGAGAAGCAAAGGACGGCCGACACTCAGCTAGCCAGCAACAAGACGCGCTGGAGGTGGACGATCCAGAGGACTACGACCTGCTAAAGCCAGTCAGTTGCCCCCGTCCGACCGCCTACCGTAAGACCGACTGGCACAAAGTCAAAACACGGTCGAACGACCCTGGCATGGATGAATCAATGAATGAATGGATGGATGGACGAATGAGTAAGTAAGTCAGTAAGTGGGAAGCGCCGCTGCTCGATGGTGTAAGAGTCTCTTGTCCATCACGCTTTGGCAAAATTCAATATAACCCTTTTCGCGTGGGATCCCAGGATCCAGCGCCGACTACTACTGCACCCAGTCGGTCCTCTATCCTGCGAGATGGCCCATTCTCGCAATAGTGTCGTAGTATCTAGACTATTATTTCATTACTTGTGGTATTTTTATTCTTTTTTTATTCTTATTTTTGTTCGTTTCTTGGTCGCACGACAAATCAGCTGCCCAGCGCCCTGCCCCATCAGCGTAGCGAGGGGACCATGGATGCCCGCCATGCCATGGATCTGAGGTATCGCCGCGCGCATCCTGGTCTGGCAGAGCTCAGCCATGGCGATTGACATGGAATATGATGGGACAGGATGGCATGGTATGGCTGCTACTACATACTAAATTACTACTCTCCTCCGTACTCCGTACTCTGTTGAAGCAGGACTGGCGACGGGGCGCTCTCGGGCTCTTGGGACTTGGACTGGGGGGCGAGCGCGGTCACCGGCATGTGAGTGGACGAAGCAGGCGGTTGCGCCCATCAGCACCAATGATGTCCTCGTTGCGTCCCCACAGGAACTGCCAACAGCCAATCAAACTCCACTCAGGCTCTTCCTTTCGGTGTGCTCGGTGTGCCTCGGGTGGCAGTTGCGCGGCAAAAGGAAGTTGGACAGGCTTTAGGTCTTCTTCTTCTGGTCGAGATGGGTGGATTCCTGCTGCTTCCAGGCCCTTGTTGCTTTGCTCTGGCTCTTGCTGGCTTGCTGGCTTTTGCTTGCTTCTCTCGTCTCCTCCTTTTCCCGGGTGCGGCGTGTTGAAGGTTCGTCCTTACATACGCAAGTCGTCGACTCCGTCTCGTATCCCAGAGATGCTCATCCCGTCTCCTGCTGGCCGCTTGACCTATCCGGGTGCGTTCCGTCCCCTGGCAGAGGAAGCAAGAACAGTACAGAAGTAACAGAAACAAGTCTAGTTTACCCATCCCATACCCATCTCATACCCATACCCATCCATCCATCCATCCCTCCTCCCCCATAACTAAACTAATAATACGATACGACACCCAAAGATCCATAATCCATAATCCATAATCCTCAATCCCCGATCATTCCATGCTTGCTCCGTACCCATAATTCCATTCCTTTCCCTTCCGCCCTGGTGATCATCCACCACACGCACAAACCCCCTCCCTTCGCCTCCCCGCCTTCCCGGCGCCCTTTTAGCATGGGACAAAAAGGAAAAAAAAAAAAAAAAACCAAACAGTTAACTTAGTAGTAGTATCTAGTAGTAGATTCGAGCGGCGATGGTTGCAACGCGACGCTAAACCCGTCTTATGAGTGTTATTATTGGTTTTTCAATACGGGTCCTCCGCTAGCCTCTCAGGAGGGCGGACGCCCCCCCAGACGCGCCCTAGGGCTGCTGACCTGCCCTTGTAATAGCCTGCATCCACCGGTGGCTCTGACATCAACCGGTCTTTGACTCTTTTCAAGACAAAGCAGAGACAATCGAAATGGAAACGTCCAAAACGGACCAGGCCAAAAAGCAAAGTCCAGAAAGGAGGATCAACCGATGGACCTGCTTCCGGGTCAAACTTTGGCAGCGCCTAGGCACCACCACTCCGGACGAGTACTAACCGACCCTGTCCATACAGAGCATCTTCTGGATGAGGCATGATGTCTTGACCTCATCCTTCATTATTGCCCTTTCTCGCTGTCTTTTTCCTTTCTTTTCTCTTTTTGATTCCCTTTATCAACATCGTCATCATCATCATATACTCCTGATTGGAAGTGTATCCTTTCTCTCTCTCTCTCTCTTTCTCACTTGTGTTGCTCTTCCCTAATATGTGAGCTTGTCCTTGGCCTGAGCTCACATCTCTCTCTCTCTGTCTCTCTCTCCCCGCGAGAAACCCTCCCCCCTTCATTGCCTTCATTCCATGGGAACCAGGCCTGGTTTAAAAGCATTCACCGGATCTGCGCGTTGCTACCGATTCCCTTTCAAGCGGCTAGACTATTCCTCAATTCACAGAGTTCTTTTCCAAAAAAGTGGACCGCCGGACGTCCAGAATCTGTAGATTCTCATTGTGACTTACATCTCATCGGATTCCCCGCCTTTTGGGACGCCTGTGAAAGCAGCAAGGCCTGGCCTTTTAATCCATCAATTGATTGCGGAGACTGCTGATGAGAATTTCCATGACCCGGCTTCTGGAAATACCTCCTCCTTCACATCGATTCTATCCAGGGACTGATTCTACTTTATCACCGTCCCTATGCCTTCCACTCTCCCGCAACCTCACTTCTCGATCCGCGATCCGACTCCTCCACTGACACACAACATCCACCGTCAAGGGCTACCGCTGTGGCCGAACAAACCGCTGGATACCACATCGGGAGGGTCTATGAGCTGGCCTGTTCCCTTGCGGGACGGTTTGCCTACGCCTCCAGGCGATATGACCGGTGTCGCCTATAACACAACGGCCACTTCGTCGGATCATGTAGGGAAATCGTGTGGACTCCCGATCTCGAAATACCCCAGTCTATCCTCCATGTCACAGTCGAACTTGGATTCACGCTCTGGCGCCACCCGAGTGCCTGCCAGCAAAGTCCGTAGCCAAGCTCCGTCTTCCCAGAATGGCTCTGCGTCAGAAACCACCGAGCAGAAGAAGGGTTCGAACGGGTCGATAGCCTCTTATCTCCAAATCCCCTCGTCGATCAATGATAGCAAGGGAAGCCTTGCGGAGTTTGCCGCTCAGGTAGGGATGAAACAGTGGATGATGGGTGATGCGGTTGCAATGTCCTGACTGTACTATTATAGATCACCTGTCTATTCTGGTTCGAGAAAACTACGAAGCTAAAGGCTATCGAAGACCGTATGGCCGTGAGCTACTCTCTCGTACCGGAAGCTATTCCCACGATCGGATTCCAGAAATGGGTCACGACGATTCTCTCGACCACGCAAGTCAGCCAGAATGTCATCCTTCTGGCTTTGTTGTTCATATATCGACTGAAGAAATTCAATCCGGGAGTGAGAGGGAAGAAAGGCAGTGAATTCAGACTGATGACCATTGCTTTAATGATGGGAAATAAATGTGGGTGAACCTTGAACTTTTGGGGCAAAGGACATCATATCCTGACTATTAGCAGTTCTCGATGACAACACATACACGAATAAAACATGGGCAGAAGTGTCGGGAATCTCCGTGGATGAAATCCATATTATGGAGGTGGAGTTTCTGAGTAACGTTCGTTACAACCTTTTCGTGTCGAAAGAGGAATGGACGCAGTGGCACGTGAAACTCGATCTGTTCTCAGACTACTTCAACAAGGCATCTCGTATGCCCGCAGAGAACGAACTCACTGCCACGACACCTGTACTACAACTCTCTCCCAGTCTCGTGCCAACCTCCAATGGACGCAACGTTCCGTCATCTCCCGCGTCGAAATTGCCGTCACCTCCAGTGACAGGCCATTTCCCTGTGCAGCCCAGCTGGAATCCATCCTTCAACGGTTTGCCCTACCCCAGCCGCTCCCCTCCAAGGCAGGTGCCCGAGACAGAATCGCGGCCAGCAAGCCGGAAGCGAAACTGGGACGATCAACTCGAAGGCCATCCAGCAAAGAAGATTGCTGTGTCGAACAATTATCCGACGCATATGTCGAACTTGGCACCGGTCTCCATGGCACCAGTCTCCATGCCCACTGGAGCCACGACCCTTCCTCCCGTCTTGATGCCGACGTCTATGCCGCCTACGACCGTGCCGTCTATGTCAGCTTCTGTCCCACGTCTGCCACGGCCTGATATCCCTCTCACTTCTGCTTCGATGGGCGCGAATGCTCAGTTACCGATTTCCCAGGTCCCGCAGCTTCCCCTTCCAGGTGGACGCCCTATGTCGTCGGTCTACAACCCCCCTACAACGTGGGCCCAGCAGCTGCCTGCGCCAACAAGTGTTGCACCTCCAAGCAGTATCTACAATGGACCCATTTCTCTCCCCGACCCTGGAAGGCGCCAGAGTCCGTTTACGTTGCCATCAGGGACCGTCTCCCCTGCTCTGTCCGCCTACTCCGTCCATACTCCGCAGGCACATCTTTCCCCCTCCTTCTTCCTGACCAACCGGAACTCACCGTACCGCCCGGTGAGGGCTGTCAACACTCTTCTTATTCCACCGCCGTCTGCCTCTCTGCACCACCCCCGCACGCTGTCTTTTGATCAGATGCGTTATCAACCGATTGGGAAGACTCCATCTGAACGGAAGACGGGAGTGCTGCCATACCTTCAGCACGAAGCATGGCCTCAGGGCCCGATCGCACAGCCAAATTTCCTGGCTGGCCACAACTACCATTCGTGAATCAAGACCCCAAGGTGGTTCTTGATCCCTCTTATTTAATTACGAAGCTTCTACGACCCTCGATTTTTTAACTTCACCCTGTACAGAATTCTAGATCATGAGCATTGCACCCTGGAGTTATGCCAGATAGACGGATATTACGGTTTCTTATTCCGATACTTATCGGATTTCTTCCCTCTTCACCACCATATGCCTTTTAACTTTTGCATTGTTACGGCGTCCTGTATTTCTTGATCACAGAGCTTCTATGTTCATCCGGGTAGAGCTTCGGGCTCCCCGGCGGCACTTGCATCTGTTGATGTCTGCATTTTCGGGCGTTAGTGGTCAGCTGACCTAAGGAAGTCTACGGCCGTGGTTATGGCAACATGTTTATTATTTTCTACTATCATGCCACTTCCAGGAGTTCACTTACTCCCTGGATTATGTGTGTATTCAGATTCGTCATCTCTGGATGATGATACATTGCATCTTTTCTGATTGTGAGCCGTGATGCGGGAAATCTAGTGGATCTCATGTGAGACAGATGCAGCATTAACAAGTGATTCGATCTCAACTCCTATCTTCGCCGTAGTTTGCCAGTAGGTTGTAGTCCATCTGCTTCGAAAGGATCCATTATTCTGAGAAATCCGAGGAATGAAATTTCCAGCTGGGGACTTTAGAACAAGTTACTAATGTGCATCACAGATTCGTCTAAAGATTGTAGTTAACTATTCTCACAATAATGTTGCTTATTAACTATCGAAAACATAGACGAATTGTGCCGCCAAGACCCGGGACTGCGGAGTGCACTCCGAACCAGTTGTTCCGTTCCGAACATCAAAAGATCCTCATCCCGAAATACAGGACATGACCGCGATCATCATAACCGGCCCCCCAAACCCCCATCATGCCTCCACGACTCCCCGCGCTGGCTCTGCCTCTGCAGAGTTCCAGCATCCAGATTTCGACAACTGCATCGCCATTGTCGTTCCTGCTCCAGCAGCAGAGTCGGAACGCTCACATTCTCGCATCGCTCTCCGACAACCCCGGGGCATATAATAAGCGGATTCGACGAGGTCGAGGTCCTGCTTCGGGTAAGGGAAAGACGTCCGGACGCGGTCACAAAGGTCAGGGTCAGCATGGAAAAGTTCCTGCGGGATTCAATGGTGGTCAGACGCCGGAGATTATCGTCCATGGAGAACGGGGGTTTCAGAATATGTATGTGTTTCTTGTTGTGTTTCTTTGAGGGCGTTATGATAATGATGAATGATCATGTACTGATGGGGATGGATTCTAATTAACAGATTCTCTATCGAACTCGCCCCCGTGAACCTCGAACGTATTCAAGAATGGATTGACCAAGGCCGTATCGACCCGACTCGTCCCATCACTGTGCGCGAACTGGCCCAATCGCGCTGCATCCACCAGACCAAAGACGGCGTGAAGCTCCTCGCCAGCGGCGCCAGCTCGCTCAAACAACCCATCAACATCGTCGTGTCTCGCGCGTCCGCGTCCGCCATCGCCGCCGTCGAGGCCGCAGGAGGCACCCTCACCACTCGCTTCTACACCCGCGCCGCTATCCAGCGCATCATCAAAGGCGAGACGCACCCGTTCGTCTCTCTGGCGTGGACGGCCCAGAGCGGCAGCGAGGCGCTCAACCAGACCGTCGAGGAGATCAGCGAGTCGAAAATCATGAAGGAGATGGGCTTCAAGTACCGTCTTCCAGACCCGACTAACAGAAAGGATATCGAATATTATCGTGATCCCGCCCATAGGGGATACCTCAGCCATCTGCTCAAGCCGATGGAAGGTCCGTCGTTGTTCTTCCGCTCTCCTGCCGATCGGAGATCTGCTGCGGGTGTTAAGAAAGAGAAGAAATTACCCGAGAACAGACTCTGGTAGTTTTTCTGATTCTCCATTTCTTTCTCTCTCTCTTTTCAGATTTTTTTTTTCATCTCAACGTCGCTGGAGTTTGATATATTCGAATCCTGTATTGGTCCTCGCTTGATAATGCCCATATCATACCTCTCCCTCCTTCCCTCCTCTAACTTCACCTCATCTTCATCCCGTCGGGCTACCTTTTTTATCTTCACCCGAGAGGATGCTGTTATATGTATGTATGTATGTATAGAAGAAATATGTCGAGCGAAAACATTCAAATGGATTAGACCTCTGTGTACAACATGCAATATGAACATTTCTTGAAAGATCTTCTTTATGAACATACAAAACAAATAAACAACGTACTATCTAGGATTTTATGAATGAGAAGATGGTTATTCCCCAAGGTAGCTTCTATAAGAACCTCATTGAAGCTTTGGATCGGCACCATATTTTGAATCGAATAAAAATGAGTTGAAAGATTCGAGATTCATCAAGTCAGAGATGAGTATAATCATAATCCACATATCGCTGACAAATTGAGAGAAGTCGGAATAAATACTGAAGATAGTTGCGGGAGATAGTGAAAAAGAAAAAGCAAAGATAGATATAAATACATGATGCCACCACAAATGACGGAAATGAGAATCGTGATCCAGGACCAGACCAACGCCAGTGCTTAAAAAAAGACAAAAAAAACTCACTTCATCCACGTGATGTCATCGCATATAACCCTTCAGCAGAGTAAAAGAAAACATAATCTTGAGACAACAGACATGGGTATCATCGATCGTAAACGCCAAATAAGTAGCGCTCCCTTGCTATCAGAGCGCCCCCAAACGATCGTTGCCAAACCCAGAGTCATCATCATATTGAGTCCAAAATGTGCACCGTCCGATTCGTTCATAACAAAAAATTCAGGAGAAACGTCATTTATACCAGTACATACCACACAGCAAGAAAGAGTTTGACATAGCTATCACTCCTGGTGGCAGTTTACTCTTAAAGCTTCCATACCGTTTCGTCCACGCTACCGGCGCTGTCGGAACAACCTCGCAACCACATAGAATCGAGAACATCTCTGATGTTCCATCGCTTCCGAAGGTCCATTTCAAGGCATCCGTTGATTACCTCCAGGGCATCTCGACAATCCCGAGAACCCTGCCCGCGAGCTTCGCGTGCCAGCACAGCATCTCGGTTCCAGTTCCCGTTGAGGATGTTCGAGGTGACCCGTGGCGAGAAAGGGTCTTGGAACGGCCTGGATCCCACAACAACAGAGTAGGCAACAACACCAAACGCCCATACGTCGACGGCAGGGTCGATGAGACCTCCAGTCGACGAAAGAAGTTCAGGAGAAGCATATTCCAGGCTTCCTGCTATGCTCGTACTCGTGTCAGACGGACCAATGGTCTTGGGGGGCGGACGGTCAGCAGCGTTGTCATATGGGTCGGGGGAGCTGCCACCGTTATCAGTGCTCATCCACTCCGCCATCCCGAAATCGCACAGCACCAGATTGGAAGTTTTAGTTCCATCTGGCAACACAACTGGATCTAAAAGACAGTTTTCCAGCTTTATATCTCTGTGCACAATGCGGGCATCCTCGTGCAGATATCGAATAGCAGACGCCAGTTGATAGCAATACTTCTGTGCGAGCTTCATGTCAAGACCTTGGCGATTCGAACGAACCGCATCAAATAGAGTCCCGCCGATAGCTAACTTGGTGAAACAAAAGGTGGCATAGTCGGTCTCGTACACGGCATCAAGTGTCAAGACATTGGGATGGTTGAGGTAACGCCAGATGCGGACCTCATGGTCAAATTCTGCTTGGACCTGGTCATTCTCACGCTCACTCTTGCCAGTCACTTGTTTTCGGACAATTTTGACAGCGAGCCGCCTAGTCTCGCCACTTTCCTCTACCTTGTAAGCCTCCTTAACAACACTGAAACCTCCGAATCCTATCTGCTTGCCAAGCACGTACTCGGTGCCGACCATTTGGCCTTCATCATCTGGCTGAGGAGCTGGTTCTTCACGACTGCTCCACATCGAAAGAAATGTGCTGGCCGGAGACTTGCCGCTGGAGGCAGTGGAGCGACGAGAGTGACGCATCGACTGTCGTAGGCTGCCATTGCGGTCGTATGTGTAACTTCTTGGCTTGTTGCTAAATGGCGTCGGAAGGCTATCTGCCCATAGGCTAGGATCATCTAGCGAAGTGGACCGCTGCACAGGTGATGCGACAGCAAAGGGCGACAGAAGCATATCACGAGGCCCTTCTGGTGGAGTCCGCAGCTCCTCCGTGAGCGGGGAAGCGGTGGAAATCGAAGTGAGGGACGTAGGGCGATCCAGCTCGCAGCCGACCAAGTTGTCTTCGACAGGACTTTGCAGAGAACTCACACGAGAACTGCCGGTAGGGAAAAGACGCTGTCTTTCCCGCCTTCTGGGGCTGAAATGCGGACTCGCTTCCTTGTCGTTCATGGAAGGTGTATCTTGCTGATATTGCGCTGTCCGCAGGCCAGACGGTCGCATCTGGGCCTTGGATGTTGACCTGCCTTCCTCATTGCGCTTAACCATTGGTTCCTGCAACACATGATGATCACCCGATTCGAGTCTCACATGCGGATCAAAGCTGATGGAAGGTCGTCGGGTTTGCAGGAAGGTTTCGATTGGCGAGGGACGGACATCCCCCGGCTTATGGGAGTAACTTATGTCTCCATGGACGCTTGAAGGATGATCACCGGCCCGCGGGACAGAGATTGGAGACGTCTCGGTATGCAGCTCATTCAGTACTTCACTCTCATCATCAGCACCATGACCGTTGCGCCCCGAACGGTCCAAGCCGATTTCGCTAAAGTCTTCGACTCCATCCTCATTCACTGTTGTCCCAGACTTGTGAGCATACCCTGATTTTTGACGGCGAGGGAATGCCGTATCAATCCTCAATCTTGCAAGCGCTTCCCTCTCAGCACGAGCCATGCCCTCGCAGAGAGCACGAACAGCTTCTGGATGTAGATGTTTGAGAAACGATCGGTAGCATGTAGATGGTGACAGCTACCGGAGCAGGTGGCGAGGAGAGAGAACGTGGTGGTGTAGTGTAAAAGAAGTGCTGCCTGCCCCCAGCGCCGAAAGTTTGACGGCGCCGGGAGGGGAAATCGGAGAAGTAATAATGTCGTATACGTCAACCCCGCTTTATAGATCGCAGATCGTGAGACACGAACGCCCAGACGAACAGCACAGCGTTGGCAGTCCTGATGGGGGACACACAGGTGATGATGTTGTCAGTTGTATGATGAGAAATCGAAGCCCGGGGAATAGCCGGATCGGGGGAGACGAAAAAAAGCAGGCGGAGGAGAAGCGCGGAGGAAACTGATCCGTCCGAATCGGAGGTTGCCGATGACGGCACGCCCCATCTCCACAGTCAGCTGACGCCGATCTGCCCTAAGATCTGCCCTTGCCCTGAGCCCTTGATCTTGGCAAGTGCTTGGCATCGACTTGGCGTTCCTTGGCGTGGGGGCCAGCAAGTCTCCGACAGCCGCGCGCAAGGGGCGCTTGTTTGAGGGTCTCTGGAGACCTCCTTTTGAGACGGTCTACGGGGAACCGTCGCACGGCTCCAGACCGACTCAAGGCAGGACGCGGTATCTTGTCGCTCACGTCGGACTCTCGTCCGTACGCCAATCTTTTAGCTTTCATTTGCCTGTTCTCTGTCCGTCTTGTGTCTCCTAAGAGTCCTTATCTTCTGCTCCCATAAGAGGGATGGTTGGCTAGTCCGTACCCTATACGCTGCACTCCGCAATTGCTCACCTTCGTTCATCGACGGTATCTTACACAATTGCACTATCTTTCATTCGTTTCCTCGCAATCGACTTTCATTCTTTATCCGTGCTGTCCTGGTAGATGCAGGATATACCAATCGCTTCTGCGCTGAGATTGTGTCTCATGCTTCTGATCGCCCAAATCGCCGTTACGGATTGATCTTGCGTTGTTCCCTACCGCTAATTATATATCTGCCTGAGACGTTGCAGCCATGACGAGACCACAGATCATTCGTGCTGGTATGTCAACCAGTTGGCTTCATTATGGCTGTGGTCCACTGAGAGACCGATCGACCGAGCTAAGATGTGGATATAGATACCATTGACCTTCAAAGTCAACAGCAAGAAGCCTCAGCTCAGGACCATACACGGCAACAGACGCGTCCAGCTGGGCCCGGCCGACCAGCGCCCCACCAAGAACAGTCAATGCGCCATGCAGAACGTGATACGAGAGGAGAGATCCATAGCGCGGGACCAGGCGACGAACATCAAAATGGAGTGGATATCTATGACGAACCAGATGAGATGGCCTCAGAGGACGGAGGAAATGGAAATTACGGCAATGGCGCAGGTGGAGGATCTGCGGAGGAGGAAGAGCTTGTTGACGGAGAAGGAGACGACCTCCTGGACGACGATATGATGGATAAGATTTCGAGTTCTCCTTCTATTGACGATGGTGGGTGCTTTCAGCATATCCAGTCTAGTGATTCAATCCTGGAAGCCAAGTGCTGATGGAAAACAGAGGATATCGATTTCGAGTTTGTCTATGCGCTTCACACGTTTGTTGCGACGGTCGAGGGACAAGCAAACGCGACAAAGGGAGATACCATGGTCCTGCTTGACGACAGCAACAGTTATTGGTGGCTCGTACGTGTTGTTAAAGACGGAAGCATTGGTATGTGTTGTGTTGTGTTTCCCCGTAGCACCAACACAGCTAACAATAGTAGGTTATCTTCCGGCCGAACATATCGAAACACCAACTGAAAGACTTGCCCGGTTGAACAAACACCGGAACATTGACGTAAGTCTATGACTCCATGGTTTCAATCACTTTCTAATAGATTCAGCTCTCGGCAACAATGCTTGGGGACAACCATGAAAAGTCCAAAAACCCTCTCAAGAAGGCAATGCGCCGGAGGAATGCCAAGACAGTCACCTTTACAGCTCCCACGTATGTTGAGGCATCTGATGTCGAATACTCAACAGACGAGGAACAGGATGAACATGATTATTTCGACGACAACGTGGAAGTATCCAGCCGAGATGCCCAAGATGTGCATGAAGAGCAGGATCCCGACATTGTCGTCCAACCTTTGAGGCCAAAGCAATCCAAGGAAAAGACAGCTGAGGAGATTGATGCCTCGCAAGATGCTCAGGAGTCAGATCCTACAACTTCGGAGAATCCCCGGACAAGCGAGGAGATGCTTGATGCACAGGGTAAGAGCAGTGTCGCAAAATATGCCGTTCCTAGCTAACCTACTTCGTTTAAAGAGCCTACGGTGAGCAGATCCAGAAATGGAACCGTGCGAAACACGGATTCTTTCTTCAAAGACGACAGTGTAGAAACGAAGAAGATATCTCTTACACCAAACCTTCTGCGGGATGACTCGGCTGCAAACGGTCTTTCCACTGAGGCAAAAGAGGTAAGCTCAGCAATAGTACTACTTCTGGATCACTTCCGCTGATATGCTTTAAAGAGTCGTGAAAGCATGGAGAGAATTGAAAAGGAGCTGGCTGCGGGAGACAAGGACAAAGAGAAGGACAAAGACGATAAGAAGCGCAAGGACAAGAAGTCCGGTATGCTCAGTGGCCTTTTCAAGAGGAAGGATAAGAAGAGCAAAACGGCCGAAGATGAGGGCGAAGAGCACGGGAAATCCTCTGAGGAGCTCTCTCGTTCGTCACCACCGCCGAAGACATCGTCCGAGTCTCTCGAATCCCGCTCTCCGAAAGCTCAAGGTCCACAACGACAGACCAGCAAGTTACAGAAACAGCCACCTGTCGAGGCATCGTCTACGAATGAAGTGCAGCAAGTATCTGCCGGTCAGGAAGCTTCTAGCGACAAGATCTCTCCGACGAAAGAGAACTTTGGCCCATCAATCCGCCAGGTTACGTCTTCGCAAATGGAAGATGTTCCAGAACCGCAACCCCTTCGTTTGCGCACTTCTGAGGCTGCTTCGAAGGAACAAACGAAGGTCGATGTGGATATATACTCTCCGAACAAGTCTAATTTCAGTGCTTCTGTGCAACCGGCCGTGGATCGGTCGAAACCAAGAGACACTGAACCGCGACAGGGCCCTATGGCCCAGATGGCGCCGAAACAGGCCGGACTCCGGGTGTCTCCGCCGCAACATCCCCAAAAGGGACAGAGTGCCGCGCGGGTGTCACCGGTGGATGTATCGCCTATAGACACCCAGTCATCCACACAACCTCCTGGCCTAATGGCCGATACTTCGTCGCCGGAAGAGCAGCCTGTATCCCCTCTGTCATCGCCTTCTCCTGAACTTGTCGAGGCGCCCGAGTCTAAGCACGAAGATGGAGCTCCCGACACCGCCCCCTCTTCATCTGCCCCGACTCCTACGTGGAGCGATGCTAGCCTGCTATCCTACTTGGAAAATGAGAATGACATCCGGGACTTGCTCATCATTGTTCATGACAAGTCCAATGTACCACCGGCCGGACCCGATCATCCTATCACCGGTAGTCTCTTCAAGGAAGAAAGCAGGCGGCTCAAAGAGATGTCTGGTCAACTTGATGACCTGCTAGGGAAATGGATATCCCGCAAGACTGAGAAGGTCGCGGTCAAATAAAGTATTCAGGAAGGTGCTTGAGAAAGCTCTTCTTGCAACGAAACGACAGCTATTTGGAGCTGTTCATGATGATTTTATCCGATGCGAACCGCCCAACTTTCTTTTCCTCCTTTCTTTCTTAACCTACTATTTCACCTGGGCATGCTTCGTTCCTACTTTTACCCCTTTTCATTTCAGTTCTCTGACGGTTTGGACGTCCGGCTTCTTTGTTCATTCCTCTAAATACCCCTATGCTTGTCTCGATACATATCAACGATTCTTATATCCGCCACAACTAATTGTGGCGCTTTATTTCCTTGACCTGGGTTTCTCGCATACTCTCGTTGCACATGATTGCATTACGTAAGCTAGTTCCGGCCCTGCTGTGCTTTGGGGCAGTATCTAAACAGTTAACATAACATCGCCGTCACAATTATTGTCATGCTTCTTTCAAATATTTCATTGGATTCAGACACAAGCTGAACTAGAGGATATCATGCAGATCAATTGAACCATCTGTTCTGTTTGCCTTCCCTAAGTATGCTCCATAATAGGACTACTTCTGTCTAGATAATGTATGCGGGCAGCTTCCTAAAGAACAATACATAACTGATGTCTCGTATTACCTGTGCCATCCATATCCCTTCTTTTGGTCTTTTGTCCCTCCGTATCACTGAGTCAAGTCCTGGTCTCGTTGGCCACCCCTGTAGTCTAGCTGAAAGTTCCATTTCGAACCGTTCAATTGGAAACGGTCCCTCTAGAATCTCTCTTAACATATCAGATCCTGGTGGGAAGTCATGTTCCCATGAAGGCTCCCCAGCTCCCCTCATGTTTCTAAGAATGCTCTGTCGAAAGTGCCAGCGCAAGACATTATCTGAGACACGATTTGGGTCGGCAGGATTTCGACATTGTTGATGAATCCTGCTGATTCGGATGAAATTGGGAGATGAAGATGATGCAGGAGATGAAAAAAATGATGAAAAAATGATGCCACCACGGCGTTGAGGTACGACTTGACCACGGAGTAGCCAGCGAGGGCCTCAGTCAATAGGACAACAGAACTCAGACAAAACAATAGACACAACAGTAGACTGGTTACACAAGGTTTCTAGAGCTCAACTGATGATAATATCGATGGCGTTCGATGAGATCTTGATGGGGTAGATACAGTGCAGTCAGCGGGGAGGGGTGCTAGCGGTGTCGATCACGACGATCAACCTAGCTTTTGACAAGACAGCAGGAAAACCCTGCGAGAGCCCTGGAACACAGGAAAACGATGGTTTATGGTTGGAGATGCCTGGATTGATGGGACATGCTACCATTTGTTGATGAATCTCCCAATTTCATCCGAATCAGCAGGATTCATCAACAGACATACAGGGTCAAGGATTCTTCCATCTAATCCAAAGTTATCAGGGATAAAACAAGTAATCTTATAATTATCCTTCAGATGAATTAGCGGAATATCCGTTATATCCCTATACAATAGGTAAAACCACTCACATCTGGGTTCACTGAAATTGAATAATCGTTAAATAATTGATGTATAGATGACTGAAGAAGAAAGCCATTCTGAATAGAACTGATAGGTGCAGAATGGTTTTGGTCCATAGATCGAAATTATTCTCGGCCCAATAGGTAGCTTTCCCTCTCGAGACCTGCTCCTGCTGTGCCAATGGCACTTTAAATAAGGTATTTTGGTTCCATTGGGACTGCGTTTGGCTTGGGATTATTTTCTGTAGATATTGCTGGAACTCTTGGTTTGTTGTAAAGAGAGCAGCTTGTTGGTAGAACCCGTGGAGTCCAAAAATAATAGGAGTGAAGATTCGGTAATAGCCCGCCCAACATGTCATTCATCGAACTATTGAAAAAATGGACATTTCGCCCATCATCATTAGACGGAGATGACTGGTCCTCCAACGTTATGCCAGTTCTGCTTCTTCAAGGTGCAAAGTAGGTAACCTAACGCAATGTCAGTAGAAACGTGGATGCTACATATGTCCTCTAATGAAGGGTAGGATCCAGAGAATCCAGAGGATGCAGGTCTAGGGGTAGGTGATGGATAAGTCGATTGATTACTTAGTGGAAGAGAAGGACTTGCTAGTTAATGATCACCTTCTCTTAACTACCACCTAACCACGTGGTAAGTGATCAGGTGATACGACAAACGGGCACAAATCTTCGAGAAAATGACCGTTAACTGAGTGCAATCGCCTTCACTTCGCCATAGTTACAAGCGAGGCTTAGACGCTTAGAAACCCGCTAGAATACAGAAGGATTCGAATCTCCTGCTGCGCCTTGCTAACGGCGGGCCGGAACGTCATGGGCACCAAGTGGCACTGCTGCTCAGCCCTAGAGCTCTAGTTAACTAGTCTAATCAACTGAACGGCTGTTCGGCCCCTCCACTGGGGAATGGTGGAGCGCTTACCAGTACATGTAGTGTACAGTGTACGAATCTGCCAACGTATATATTATCTCCGCATCCTCCCTGGTCTATTGCTTGAAAATTTCTTCAATAACAACCCAGCAAATATCTCGAAGAGCTCCCCTCTTCTCTATACAACCACATCTCCTATCACATCAACACCATGTCTGACCCGTACAACCAGCATTATTCCCCTCCAGCGCCTGGAGGATACGCCCCTCCCCCGCCTCCAGGAGGTCAATATTATCAAGACCCTTCCTACCAGCCACATCCACCAGCATACGGAGGCTACCAACAACCACCACAGCAAGACCCCGCCTACCCATACCAGCAGCCGCATAACGCATATCAGCCCCCAGTGCCATACCAAGGCGCTCCGCCTGAGAACTTCGGACCGCCACGGAGACAAGACAGCTTTGGTCCTCCGATGGCCGGTGGTTTCCAGCACGGCCAGGCCGATCATCAGTTCGGTGCTTATGACAATAGCAACCCGCAGGGCCATTATGGATATTAGTACGTCTATCCCATACTGCTCGAGCATTATTTGCCGCATACCATAGATTGAGAAAGCAGGAGCTGACTCATTTTCCTCCAGTGGACCACCTGACAATACACGCGGCTACTCACCCTCGCCTAACCCTCAACAGCAGCAACAACAGCCACCATATGACCCCAGCAACCCTCACGCTCAATACGGCGAAGGTGCTCCCGGCGCAGATCCCAACGCCGCCGACGGCGAGCGTGGCCTGGGCAGTTCCCTGATCGGTGGCGCAGCGGGCTACTACCTGGGTCACAAGAAGAACCATGGATTCTTGGGTGCCGTTGGTGGTGCAATCCTCGGGAACATCATCGGGGATAAGATCAAAGAACATAGACACCATGAAGGCTCAGGACATCCAGGAAGTAGCCATGGCAGCATTTTCGGCGGGAGCTCGTGGGGTGGCAAGTGGTGATCAATGATCCTGGCAACTCTGGCAGTTGACGGGTCTTCTAATTCTATCCTAACGTCTCTTATATCTCTGCATTATGACCTTTCTTGCGAGGGGCTTGTTTTTTTATTTCTTTCTGGTGTTCTCGAAGCTCTTCATCTCTCGTGCTGAGACTCGACGGTTGGACTCCTTATGACTGGAATAATGACCTTGTTGATGAGTGCTATGACTTAATGTTGTATCCAGTTCTATCTATAGACAGATATGAGTGATCTGAATGTAACAATCTAGTGGAATTTGAAACCTTGGAAGAAGCCACTTCATCCGAAGAATTTTAAGAACCAAAAACATCTCACTGCTTTGCTTGACATGGCCAATCGCACTATCTCTAGATAGTAGTACGGAGTAGTGATAACATATATGAAAGACTTCTCAGCCAAACAATGAGCTCGGTCGCTATAGGATCTTCAGATCTACAGCACGCCCTGGTCATTGAAACAACTGAAGAAAGGGCCTCAAGAAGACGCTGGAGATAAGTTACCTTAAGAGGGGATTGCGTGCCGCTCCGTGTCGGTCCGGCTCCCCACTACTAGTCGTATAACAAACAGCCACCGATGGAGATCGCAGCTCTCTAAAACAACTATGACGATTTTTGATATTTACAAAATGTAAAGCATATCCTGCTAGTAGCGAGTTTTCACCGAATGGTGAGCGACATTGAGTATGGTCACATTAGCTAAGCGCCGGGCTGCACTCTCAACCACCAATGATTTTCTATGGTCTCCGTCTCTCCTGTTTCAGGATACCTACCCAAAGCAGTAAAGCAACTGTCAATGGGGACTTTCATGGTGCTGCAGTTTCAGCCAGAGCAGGCGCCTGATACGAACCATCTCCAAAGGTATGTCTCACCTACGATCTGGGAAGCTCGGATGTCGTTTACCATTCGTCACGGGTGTAAATCGCCCGTCCATCTCTACCCACTCCTACAAACTGCAAGGGGTAATAGCCGTTGATTATTTGATATAGAGACCGTCATTGATCGGCTATGATGGGAAACTCTAAAACGATCTTCCAGCTGGAGATGTCTGCTGGGGAGAGAAAAGTCGATTCTGACACACTTGGTTATGCTGTGCCTGTTATAATATTGGGACGATTTCTTCTATCCTTTCCGGTGTCGCCGCCGTGTTTCGGTCTCAATTCTACTGGCATATCGTGGTTCAAGCCTCGAAGTGCTATTTTCTTCTTGATACACAGCGACATGCAGTCGACCAGTGCAATCACGCACTGCTAGAATAGTGCTGGACACTAATGCATGATCATTTACTGCTGGGTAGTACTTTGCAGCGCATTATTGCCCGGCCTTGCTGCTGTCCCTGACCTAGAAAGCTACTAGCTGGATAATCTCTGTGGCTTCTGGTTAGATAGAAGAGCATTCGTGCGCTTTCCTTTTTTCTAGTTCGTCGAATTTCGATCAGACTCTTTTTTCGTCTCATCTACTTGGGCTTTGTGCTTCCGTCTACCTTTCTGCTACACTTCTGCCAGGTAGCATATATCTCCGCGATAATACGGCAGATGTGCTACGACACTGACGACCTTGAGAACGGTTGCATATAATTTATCCCCCCTGGCAGCGAGATCTATCAGCTCTCGTGGAACGACGTTTGAGACCAACCATATTTTCTGGTCTTGGCTGGGTAGACAATTCGTCCACTCGTGTCAGCTTCCTGGATGGCAATTACCGCAATGATCCTGCCGCGGAAGACGCCTCTATTCCTGACATTTCTTTTATTCCCCTACATCTCATACGCGAGGGCTGTTTCGTTGTCAGACTTCCAATCTATCTCGTCATTTTCGGCGACTTGCACGGCTGTCTGGATCGCCTCGATCCCTGGCTGCTCTACAGAAGATTTCAAGAAAGGGCACTCATGCTCGTCGCAGTGTATAGCAGGATTGCAGACGATTAACGTGGTGGTGAACAAGGCATGCGAAGGATCGCAGGCGGGGAAAGATACCTTGATAGGCCTCTTCTTTCAGGGACTCGGAGTGTCGACGCTCTGTCCGGACTCCAACTCAGATTCCTCGAGCCAAAGTACCAGTGAACCCGAGACAGCTGAGACTACTTCGATGGAAGAAACGACAACTAGCCAAAGTGAAGCCCCTACTACGTCCGACCAAGCGAGCACTACGCGGACATCTACTTCGCAGCTCCCGCAGACTACTGCAGCGGCAACCACAACCTCGAGCACAACGGCAGAGGCAACCTCTGCAATATCAACAGCACCTTCGACACTCAGCTCTAGTGTCACCAGTGCCGCAGAGACAGCAATCACTACGGCTGCCGTGAAACCTCCAAGCCCGGCATCTTCTGTCTCCTCCTCGTCCTCGTCTTCATCTTCGACGAATTCGATACCCCCTGAAGCTACCAGAGGATTCGGAGGATCCGGGAATGCATTCGATATTCTTGCAGGCGAAGGTTCCCGTACTGAAAGACGATCCCGGAAAATGGCAGGGATCGTTTTCGCTGCAGCTTGGGTGGCAGGAAATGCATGGCAGTAATTGCTCGCCTCTGGCAGGTACCTGCTTGACTGGAGATTGGAACTTCCGGTTCTTTGTATAGAAATTTGTAACATTTGAGAGATGCAGTTTGGTCATGGATGGACCATACCTTTCATTTCGTGACTGGGGGGTTACACCTGCAGTTCTTTTATTCGGTGACCGCTTCGGTTCTCATGTGGTACGGCATTGCCGTCGCTTCGTATCTATGTCCATGAAAAAGTTCAAATAGGTGGACATGTTTCTCTTCGATTCGAGAGATCTTGTGGACAGCGTCCCTGGATTTCATGGGCCATGGCCCGTTTTTAACTAGATAGATTCAATAATTTGATCAGTGGGTGTCGCAGCACTGCGTGGCAATAATAAATGTAGTAATGACTTGTTGCTGGACTCTTGCAACCGGTGTTATCATAACGTACAGGACGACAGTTGGGCCGAACGCGGTCGATATACGCATCCCCGTAGTCTGGTAACTCTTATTATTAGCCCAAGCTGAGAGAGGCATGATTCCACATTTTCAGCCAGCCACGTAGATCGCTGGAATCAAGGATAATACGCGAATGATGTGATGGAGATCCGGGCGGAAGCAGGAACGTCAAGCGCGAGATCTCCCGGATCTCTCTCCTCTCCTCTCAGGTCCTCACCAACTCTGTTCTCTCAGCTGTCCTCTGAGGTCCAGCAGTTGAGCTGATGCATGATGAAACCGCAGGTCAAATGGGAGCCTCACTCGAGGATGATCGACGATCCCACCGACGAGCCTGTTGTTATCAGCGCCGTCCTCGGAGTCAGACTCCACCGCTTCTCCGCTTGAACATCCTCTTCGCCTCGCACAGACGGTCAAAGGTATGCAGCGTGACCAGCACACGCGACGAGTGGCGATGACTTCGCTTATCAGGATTGTATCCCATCCGATCGTCGTCTGAAGTCATTACTCCATACTCTAGACTGCAAAGCAAGACCCTTTCTCTTCCTGCCCGTCCCGACGCGTGTGGGGAAGGATCCACGGAAGGGAAGATGGCTCTATCGCTGAGATAGCGCTTGATAATTGTCAGTTAGCATGATATGACTTGACTAGTGAACGGTTCTTACACAGCCCGCTAAGTAATAATCCAGGAGGAATCAATATTATTAGTTAGTTAGTTGGAGTAACTATCTATGCCAGCCTTCCCCATCCGGTCGTCGTCTGCGTGACTCGCACGCCTCACCCTAGATTGTGTCTCGTTTCCTTTCCTCCTGTCCGCTGTCCTCCTCCCTTTCCACTCTTCTTCATCTTCCTCATACTCATACCACTGTCTCTTCCACAGTCTGCACGAGGAGAGATCCTTCGTGCGTCGTTTCCTAATAAGATATAGCCTTATCATCCGCTTTCGGACTCTCTGTGCCGTTATCTGGATAACGACCGGTTTCCCCACATTAGCAATTGCGGGAGGTGACTCTTCATATCGGGTCGGATAACCAGATCATTTACATCCGCCGAGGCAACTTATCTTCCTGGTATTGTCGGACGCAGTTCTCATATTTGAGACGGTTGTGTGGACTCACTATCTCGACAACATCGTCGCCGTCCTAGAAGAGACCAGGGACATCAGAGACTGAGCTTGGCCGCCAGATAATGTCTTTACCATGGCTGCAGGACGCCAGCCTTGTTTCTTCTCTTCCTCAGCATTGTGAACCTACGACCCCGTTTCTTGCTACCGTTTCTTCATTCTTCCATGTCTGCCTTCCTACGCCTCTCGCCCTCGTCTCCTCGCTCCTGGGAACAATAAGTATCGTATCGTGGCTGTTCGCACAACTCCCTCAGATCTATAAGAACTACGTTTACAAATCGACGGCTGGATTGTCCCCGTTCTTCCTCGTCGAGTGGTGCTTGGGTGATACAGCGAATCTCCTAGGCGCGCTATTTACACGGCAGGCTGGTTGGCAGGTGACCATTGCCGGGTACTACGTATTTGTTGATGTCGTGCTCGTGTTTCAGTATTACTGGTACACTCACTTTGGTGGATGGAAGAAAGGGAAGAACGGGACGTATTCTGCTGACGGTGGAGATGAGGGTCGACAATTCTTCGAAGGCGTCTCTCCATTTGAGGATGCCTCCAGCGTTGATATTTACCCGGCCGAAATGTCACCGAAAACGAAAGCAAAAGACGCAGCAGAGAGAAAGGGTTCCTTCATTGATACGACAGAGAGTCGGTCTATGTCCTACAGTAACGAAAAACTGGGCTCGTCCAGTCGCTCATTCTCCCGTGCTGGAAACGGGCTCGTGATACCTACCGCGTCTCCGAAGACTGTTCTCCTGGCGTCGATGCTTTGTGCTGTCCTGGCAAATGCATCTCCCACAGGCTCTCCTCCGCGACTGCAGCCTCAGGAAGAGCCTACAGAGACCGCGATCGAGATCGCAGGACGTATACTATCATGGATGTCTACGCTCCTCTATCTTGGCTCGAGACTGCCGCAACTATACAAGAACTACTGCCGGCAAAGTACTGCAGGGCTCTCACCGCTACTGTTCATGGCAGCTTTCTGTGGAAACTTCTTCTACTCTTCGTCTCTCGTCACGAACCCCAATGCCTGGTACGACTTCCCGGCATATGGCGGTGGCGGTTGGGTTGGGCCAGAGGGAAACGACCGCGTGGAATGGGTCGGAAGAGCCATACCATTCTTTCTTGGTGCCGCAGGTGTCCTTGCTATGGATGGATTCATGGGTGTCCAATTCGCTATGTATGGCGAGGCAGGCGAGGCTCCTGTGATCAGAGTCGCTGATCCGCAGCGAGGCCGCAACCGATGGAGGAGAGTCAGCGGATGGATGAGGGGCTGGATCCCTTCTATTTCCCCGGAGGGCCCGGATCGGAGACTCGCACAGGAGGAACAATCTCTGCTGGGTAATGGCCACGAACGATATGGTTCTGTCTGATGGTATTTCCAATAGACTTACACGTCTATGATGACGATGACGAAGGTGCATGGCTGTATTGATTCTTCCGATGGGTTTTCTATTTTGGAGAACATTATGGCAGTCAGATCTGCCCTGCAACGGCGTTTTACAATGCATTATCTCACGGCGTTTGGATACATATGGCTTTGGCACAGCGAACCCATTCCTGGACAGGCGCGCGGGTCCAGAATTGGGGCCGATTAGACCATTTTCGGACTCAATATATTATTATCATTATTACGATATGAAATATACAATCTACAATATGCAATATAACTGAAAGCTCCCGTTTTTATGGTAAAATAAGTGTTGAGTAACACAATCGTTGATTCAAGACATCCTTCCTCTCTAAAGCAGTAGTAACATACACGTGATTTCGTGTACCAATCTACGCGCAACCCGCCGCGAAACTCTTCAGATGAGGGGACCAGCTCGCGCTGGAAAAAATCGAACAACGTACAAGATCTCTTAATCATATCCTGGAGATTCTCACAGATTCCTTCTTCCCTCCGCATGGAAATAACGAATACCACATACCTCTCCATTCCCCCATCTTCCTCTGAACACCACCATGCCCCGCACATACGGCAAAGTCAAGCAGACGCGTCTATCCTTCACGCCCGTGGCAAGCTCAGCCTCCCCGGGGGCTGAGCGCAGTCCTGGCTCTGACCGCGTGGCTAAAGTTCGATATGAGCATCCGTCCAAGGTCACACTTTCGCGTGGTCGGTTACGAATCGATGACTATCCGGCTTTTAGTCGCAATGATGGAGCAGCGGGTAGTGTTGAGGTTTCGAGTATGAGTACTCCGGTTAAGAAGAAGAAGAAGGATAGGAAGAACAAGAAGAAGGGGTCTAAATATAAAGTGAAGGGAAAGGGAGATGAAGGTGAGAGATACATCTATTCTGGGTTCGGTTGATTGGTTGGTTGGAAGAGAAAGGAAGAAGAGAACTGAATGATCGTAACTAACATTGTGGGGTTGAGGGCAAATGAAGGAAGAAGAATCGAGCGATGATGAGAGGAAGGAGTCTTCGGTTCGACAGTCACAGTCACGGTTATCAGCATCGTCGGATGAAGATGATGAAATTGTACAAGCTTCTGCTCGCAGACGACGGGGACAGTCTGGAGTGGTCGTTCTTGAGGAGGATAGTGAAAGTGATTCTGACGGATCTGCTACGCCTGTTCCAACAACGAGGAAGTCTCACGAAGGGAAAGAATCTAGTGAGAAGGCTTCTTCGAGCAGCAGTAGGAAGCTTCGTTCGGGCAAAACTTCACGCAATGAGGGGTCAAATGCAGAAATGAGGACGCCGCTGAAAAGGAAATATACCGCTACGGAGTCTGAAGATGATTCTGAGTCCCCGGTGCTGACTGGGCGTTTGTCCCGTACACGACCATCGACTCGGCAGCCTTTGGAACAGAACTCCTCAGGGGCAAGCGATGAGGAAGAGGTGGTCGCTCATTCGACCACTCGACGTTTGAAACGCGGAGCAGCACCGAGTACTGCGTTTCCTGTTGATGATTCGGATGATTCGGACGATGTAATATTGTCTTCCCCTGCGAAGAGAAGGAGATTGGACAATGGACCAGAAGCTCTTCGGACACCTCGCCAAACTTCGGACCAGGATCGGCTCGATCTGGAAGAGGATCTCGAGGATCTGAAGGACTCAGGTAATACTATTTCCCCGGTCTCTAAAGTGGCATATGATGCTGACATTCTGATGCAGCTGTCAAGAAGACGCGCACTCGTGGTCGGCCAGCTGATTCTGCGCGCCTTACAAGACAGAAGCAGCTAGAGCTGCTCCGTCGAAGGCGTGCCGGCGAGAAAGCAATAAGCGTTTCGGAATCTCAGCATTCAGACAACGAGTCTGATGGTGAAGGTGAACAGAGCGAATCGGTCGAGGAGCTTGAGGACGAGTCCGGGTCAGAAGATAGCCAGGACACCGATGTTGAACCACCAGTATCTGAAAACGAAGATCTGGACCGGTATGAGGACGATTTTGTGCTCCAGGACGACGAGGGTGAACTGGGCGCTCCCACCGATCTTGCCGATATGCCGTTTGAATTCACACGACACAGCTACAAAAAGCCCAAGGAGTTCTTCAGAGACGTCGTGGAATGGATGGTGCACAATAAGCTCAATCCCGCCTTCCCTCGCAATGATCCCGTCTACCAGGTTGCTTTCATGAAGTTGGAGGATGAGGTCAAAGGTCGCGCTGGATCTCAACTCGTCTCTACGGTATGGAACTCCGACTTCCGTAGAGCCTTAATGGCACGGCCGCAAATAGAGGTGACTCTCTTCCCTATAACGGAAGGTCATCCTTGCGATGCTTGCAATAGATCTGGTCACCCTGCGTCCTTTGATGTCAAACTGTACGGGAAGCCTTATTCTCTCGAGACTCTCGAACCGCTCTCAGACGACGAAGACAGTGATGAACAATCCGAAGAGTCTCACGACACCAGAGACAAGGATAAGGATGGCAATCCTCTCCCAGACGAAGACAGACGATTCTACTTGGGAAGGTTGGTAATCTCGACAATGCCCCCCGTAAACCCATGTCTCTGCTCTTGAAGAGAAAAAAAGAGATCCCCAGATTTATCCAAGCTGACATCTTCCCAGACACTGCAAATCCCGCGCCACAATGGCACACACCCTCGTCCACTGGCGCTTCCACCTCAGCGAATGGGTCATCGGCTATCTTGAGCACCAGGGCGTTTTCAGCGACGAAAAGATCATCGAACGCAGCCACTGGAGCGTGAAACGACAGACCAAGTACGCCAACGAGGTCGTCGACAACATGGTCGAGACTGGCGAAGTTAAGAGACTCTGGCGTGACTTCCATATCAACTTGACAGCTGCCAGGGAGACTACGGTATGGACCTAGCTCTTTTTTTTTTCTTCTTCTTCTTCTTTCTTTCTTTCTTTCTTTTGATGTGTATCACTGACAAGATATATCACTAGGAGAGTCGGTGGTAATCGAACCTCGTCCTGAAGAAAGATTCCATACATGATCATGTATGACCTTTGAATATTCTTTTTCTTTTCAGTGGACATATTGCTTCCAAAAGCGTTGACATATTTTTATTTCCTCTGGCCCGCTGGTGACTTGTTCTCCATCTGTTGTTTCATTGGAGAAGCTTTCCTTCAGAGATACCCCTAATTAACATTTCTTGTATCCCCCTTTTTCTAACTAGCACATACATCAAATGTGATCACGAGAGGGTCATCATCATATTGACACGCCTGGTAGTTCTTACAGATGGTACTGGATATGATATATCGGTTGTCTATTTTCCTAAGTTGAACGTTCATGACATAATGAAGGAGCATTGAAAGTTCTTAAACCAAATCCATTTGGACATCCCATGACGTGTATAAATCACAGAGTTTATAAAGAATCGTAGTACAAGTACATGACGGATCACACGTGTGCGTGAGATCCGCAGGATGAGTGAGTGGGAGAGAGAGGATAAAAATGACGGAAGAACAGACGCAGAGGGAGTCAGAGATTGTGAGAAGAATCACTAGCCGGAATCAGTCTCATCCATGGTGATTCTGTATTCTCCACCTCGGGAGACTTGACATCCATGACCTCGTCGAATCAAGCAATGCACCGTCTTTGACCTCATGAAAACAATTTCCGCAGGCATCGCTAGAAGCACGATTTGTACACCTCCCTTGCCTCGGGTCTTCTTGAAGGTCGTCAGACAGATTTACATCATGACCGGTGTCAGAGACGCAGTCGTCCAATCTATCAGCAAAAATAGATTTATTCAGATCCCTCCACAGTCCTGTGCTTCCTTGCGTTAAATGGGTTGATTTACAGAGTGGGCTGGCTCTTCTGCTCCTCAGTACCGGGGACGCCGGGGGCGAGCATCTGCGTAAGAGTAATGATGTTAGCTTCCCTATTTCCATTTTTTTTTTTGTAAAAGTGGCATCTCCTTTGTCTTTACTCGGTCTCTGCAGGTAGGGACCTTATCTCTTGATGCGGACGTGAAGGCCATAATTACTGGGATGACAAATAACGATAAACGGGATGAAAGTGTCAACGAACCTCATTAGCACCCCGGATCATACCCTGCTCGCGCTCCATCTGGACATACTGCTCCTCCTCGGCGTAGGCCAGCGCCCACGGAACACCAAGCAGGAAGGCACTGGTGCTTATGATCCACAATGCCCGACCGCTGAACAACAGACTGGACTTTGTGAAGGATGTGACCGAGTCGACAGTGTTGAAGAAACGGCGGCGATGAGCCGGAGGAATGATGTCCTTCAGAGCGTAGATACGCTCGTATAGGGTCTCGTTCTCGATTTCAAGGGCGGAGTCGGTCGAGATTTCGGACTCTGGTGGTTGGGAAAGAAGAAAGTGTCAACTTTTGTTATCGGGCCAATTTGCAGAGCGATCTGATCCGGAATGCCCCTGCGACCGGCTCATGGCACTTGGACACAATTGAGAAGGCCGTTGGCATGATTGAAAGTAGGGCATTCAACTGATGCAGAATCTGACCGCGTGCGAGCGCCCGTGGCAGCTGGCGCTTCCGCGAAAAGAACCCCGAACCTCAAACCGTCGCGATGATGGAAGGATTCATTCAATACTCACCAGTGTCGGTAAAGTCATCCTCCTCATCGTCAGACGCAAGGAGCACGTCGTTCTTGGAAGGGGCGGGCTTCTCCTTGAAGTGTTCGTCCTCGACCTCGGTGAGCTTGACCATTGTGGCGGTGGTGTATTAAAAAATTGAATAAAAAGGGTATTCCAGAAAGAAGAAATAAAGCGTTTATAAGAAAAGAAACCGTCAACAATCTACACCGTGAACTGTGAATGTTCTGGGGGAGGTGTTGAAGTTGTCGAGTGTTGGATTGCCGGATGAGCGATGGACGACTTAACTTTTGGGCGGTCGAAGGTTCAGTCCAACTTTTTCCGTCCCAGAAGCGGCAAGGAGCTTGGACACCGGCCCGATGACGACGTTCTCTTTACAGCACTTCTTATGGGTGATCATTGACTGCAACTTATGTTTTACATATTATTACTTGTTGTCTTCCTGCAATCCCAAGTGTGGTTTCGAATCTCGTGGCATGGTCTTTCCGTGAGGACAATCTACATACTTACAATGGCCACTTTCATACGCGACCGTGAAATCCGTATATCCGTAGCCTCCCTAGAAAGCAGATCGATCACACCCGTCGTTCTCTATGGACTGGCGCGAAAATAAGACGAGAACGCATAACATTCAGTCTCAAATGAGGTGAGAATTCATTATTATCTATATACTCTAGTACTGGTGGTAATCGTCACCATGAGTATCATCACTTCACATGCCGTGTCTTATCCAGATCACCGTGGACCGCTGAAGGGAAAATGCACATAAAAAAGAAAAGATCTATATTGTACATTAATCAACAGTGATGTAATAGTGCTACATGGCCGCCGGGGAACTATAACTATCTACAGCCTCCCCAGCTTCCATCGGGAAATCCGCTCCTGGATCTCTTCCCAAGGGAACGGTCGCAGCTTGTAGCCTTCCAACTCTCCTTCCTGAAGCACGACCGTTGGCTTGCCTGTGCCCTGTCCCCGGTTGTTGACGTGGCCGCCAAAGACCTGCTTGGCCACCCGTCGCAGGTCCTCGACGGTCAGTGACTCGATCTTCTCGCACATCTCCTTGACCGGAACTTTGCGGCCGTGGACCTGGACCTGTCGGCCGAGGTCCTCGAGCTCAACCATGCGCGACTCCAGATTCATCAGGAGAGAAGAACGGAGCTGGTTCTTAGCACGGTTGACCTCCTGCGGCTGCAGAGCGGAGTAGCCGGTGTCAGAGGTCAGGGCCTGCAGCTCCCGGCACATAACCTCGAGCATCTGAGCAGTTCGCGTGGGACTGCACGACGCAGAGATACCAAAGAGACCGCTGTCAGTGTAGCTGTGGTTGAAGGCAATGCAGCTTTCAACCCATCCGTGCTGGTTCAGCACGTTGGTGTAGAGACGGGAGTACATGCCCTTTCCGGGACCGCCGGCAGAGAAAGATCCGCCACCTCCCAGAAGGGTCTGCAGGGTCGCGAGTGCATAAATGTCAGGAGAGGAGATGGGAAGGGCCTCAAAGGCGAGGTGGATGTGACTCAGACGGGGCAGCATAGGATTTGCGGGAGGCGGAATAGGAGGGAGCGAGAGGAAGCCGCCGGTATAATGGGCAGGGCGGTTGAGGTCCAACGTCGATGACTGAATGAGACTGGAGTCAATCGGCGAGACCGTTGTTTCATTGTGAGGTGTAGAGAACTTTTTGAGGAAAGGAATCTTCGAAAGGATATTCGACTGCGACGAAAGATGCGCGGTGTTGGAGGTTGTCGAGGTCGGACTGAACTGAGGGACAGTAGGCACCTGACGCTCCTGCTTGACTGATTCGGAATCTGAAAGGGAGGTCTCAATTCCGACCCCAGAGAGAACAGGGCCTTCACTCTTCTTCATATCTCCGAAGAACTTCTCGGTGAGCTTTACGGCCTCCTCGTGGGGAACACCGGCAAAGGCAACAACCATCCTATCTGGGTTGAAGAAAGTCTTGCGATACTTCTCAACAACAGCCTTGTTGATCTCTCCTAACCTCTCCTCCGGACATAGCAGTGGGTTTCCGAGAGTGTTATTCTTGTACGCAGCCATGTGAACAAGCTCAGGGAGGATGAGCTCCGGCTTCGACCAGATCTCTCCGATCTCATACTCCGCAGTCGCAAGCTGCTGATCGACTTCTTCATCCGTGATCAGTGGTTCACGGATCGTTTCCGCTAGGAGACCAAGTGTTGTTGGGACGGCGGAATTGAAACTCGCGGACTGGTACATCAAGGACTCGCGGGACGATGCACATTGGATGTTTCCTCCAAGTGCCTCCAATGCCTCAAGCATCTCATCCCCTGACCGTGACTTGGTCGATTTGAAGGCCAGGCGGTCCATGATATGGCTCACGCCCCGAAGACTGTCATCCTCATACCGAGATCCAGCATCGACATATACACCGACGCCGGAGAAGGGGCCCGGTAGAGATTCGGTGGCCACACGGACTCCATTTGGCAGTGTTGTAATCTGGTCAAGCTCTGCAGGGTCCTACACAGTAAATCAAGTTAGAAGATGTAGGAGACGGGCGATCCAGATCATTACGTACCTTGACCTTCGGCTCTCCGACAGTAGTAGCGAAGGTCCTTGAAGCTGTACGAGGAGCAGTTCGAGCGAGGGGCTTGGCCGACTCGACGGCTCGCAGCGCTGAGCGACGCATTGTAGTGATTGTGAATATAGAAACGGAGTTCCGCAGACCTCTCCGTTTCTCCTCTTATCGTGATCTCCGTGATGTTTGTAAAAACCAGGAAGGCTTTCTTGCTGGCCGGAGCGGCGAATTTTGGGCCCGACATACGCGGCTTATCTAATCAGATCGCCAGTCAAGGTCCAGACGATCTACATTACAAAAACGAGGACGATTGGAAATAGAAGATATTCGGATTGTCTAGTATACTACGCAATTGCGCTTGCTCGACTTGCAAAGGGGCCTAGACCGGACTGCAAGCCCTGATTTTCTCAAAACAAGATAACTATTGACACTGGATAACGTCAGCAGCTCATGCCTGGGATACAATGCACGATGCAGCCTATGGAGAGAAAACGTTCCCCCATACTTCTCAATGGATGTTACCCCGATACGTCTCCGAAGAATCTTCGGGGACGTCTCCATCGGGAATATTTGGTCGGTGAGCACGCTCTTCAGTCGTACTTTTTGGCGCCTCCTTCTCAGAATCATTCCAACGGAATCGAATCAGGATCTTTGTCTGCCTGTGTGCAGAAAACTCCCGGTATGCATCAGGGACTCCTTCAATGTCTATCTCCTTGGTGACAATGAACGCCGGATTTGCAGTGCCGCTTGCAATCAGGTCTCTGAGAAGAGTTTGGAATCTTCTAATCTCGGCAATTCCAGTGCCAACGGTGAGACCTTTCATCCAGAGTTCTCCAACAGGAACAGTGAATGTGTTCAGGGCTGGATCCGAGTACGGTGCCCCAGCAGTTGGACCGGTTGAGGGCCAATAGATACCTACGATGCCGATGCCACCGCCGGGAGCAGTCGCGGAGATACACTGTGAGATGACATAGCCGGGGGCAGCCTTGAGTTCAGCGTTCAAGCATTCGAATCCAACGCAGTCTAAGCTACGGTCCGTGCCTCGGGGCTCACGTTTCATGATCTCCGCGATTGGGTCGGTCTTGGTGAAGTTGATGGGAACAGCGCCGATGGATCCAGCTTTCGCAAGACGAGCATCCACATGGTCGATACTATAAACCACGCGAGCACCCTGTAGAACAGCGCTGTGTGCCGCCAGCAAACCAACTGGACCAGCACCAAAGATGGCAACCGATTCACCAGCCCGGAAACCAGAGGAGCCGAGACCCCACCAGCTGAGAGATACTCAGTTTGAGTTTCCAGAGGAAGGAGACTAGCTTACTCACGCTGTACAGAAGATGTCACTGACCATCACAAAGTCAGCCTCCTTATCCTTCCCATGCGGAAGGAGGATGCAGCTTTCATCTGCAAATGGTACTCGTATATATTCCGCTGGCGAGACACTGTTAGCGATTGTCGCTCTCCTGATCTGATGAGATATGTTCCACGGACCTTGAGTGCCTCCAAAATGGCCATGGACGTTACCGAAATCAGCGCCCTCCCCAAACAGACCTCCCTCAGACGGAGGATTGACATTCAGACAGTAAGAAAAGTTGTTCATCACGCAATTGTTACAGAAGCCGCAAGCCGGAGCCGCCCTTGTAACATACATCAGCACTATACCACAATTTCAACTCATCAACCCCTTTCAACTCACGACTCCATGATACATACGAGACGATAACACGATCCCCCTTCTTCAGCGAAGAGACCGCATCACCAAGTTCCGTGACGATCCCCACTCCCTCATGACCCATCACCCACGGGGGATTCTTACTACCAAGACGACCTAATTAATTAAATCTCGCATCAGCTCCGCGCCCTGCCTACCGTGCTCCGACCAGCGTCTTCCAATCCAGATCAGACTTGACTAGATTATATAGAGTAATATACATACCGTGATAATCATGCAAATCCGACCCGCAGATCGCAGCAGTGGTAAGTCGAACGATGACGTCTCGAGCATCTCGAATTATCGGCATCGGCCAATCTTTCACTGTCATATGGTAGGGTTTCCCTTCCCAGACGGTAGCGCGCATGTACTTGTTGGACATGGTTCTATTGATTGTAGCTCTTCAATTTTGTTTGTAAGAGGGCGAATAAAGAGAAATTCTAGCAGCTAGTATTGCCAGAAAAAGACCATAAACCATAAATCTAGCTCCTATAACTATTATCCTGGTGGCAAGCGGAGATATAGAATCCTATTACCTCGTCAGTTAGTTCAAAGCTGGAAGATAACAAAAAAAGGAAAAAAAGAAATATTAAGGAATATACTCAGGATCCCCATCTCATCATATCTTCATTATCAAAAAAAAAAATCGCCCCTCAGCCACTTGTTGGTTGTAGTGGCTATTCGGTATCTCAAATCCACCAATGTCTTTCCGCGCATATTATATCATATCATATCAACCGGACGTCAATTCCATAGATTTCATGCCATACCGGTTGTCTTCTGAGTATCAGAATGAATATGAGTAAATGAGGAATGGTATGGAAGGTTCCGATGTTATTGGGGGCTTTTTTTTTTTTTTTTTCTTGTTGGGTTGAGGCTTTCAAGTGAGTCCAGAGTAGTTCGATAAGGTTTTGGTTTGTTTAATGGATATGAGGTAATTTTAAGCTGTATTTTTTTGGAGATTGGAATGTTACGTACGACTCACTACGTAGTGGAGTGGGTATTGTATATATAACTATAGATTGCTGATACTTCTAGAGTATAGTGGATCGAAAGTTGGGGTCTATCTGAGGGGACTTTGCTTTTTGTATGGTAGAGTTGGATATATATAATAGTTGATTTGCCTGTCTTTTTTTTTCTTTGTTTCTTTGTTTTTGTTTAAAAGGAAAGAAGCGAGTTCCCTCCATCTATATGTACTCTCTATTTATCTAGAGTTCTGTTTTTAAAACGAAAGAGCTAGAACGATACCAAAGGACCGACCGATACTCTATCTAAGGATGTTTTGCAGCCCAGTCTCGGTACCAGTCAAGACAAGAAGCATTAGCGACACTTGCACCAGTCTTGATATTCAACCCACAAAGAATCTGCTTTACTGCATTTTCAACTTTCTTTCCATTCGACGTAACGGGGATCTCTGGACAGGCATCCACGATGCCGGGGACGTGGCGTGGACTGAGTTCCTTGCGGATGGCTCCTTGGATGCGCGCTACTAGGTCTTGAGAGATTGGAGTGGATGGTGAAGTCAACTTCACGAAGAGGACGACTGTCTCGTCTGTATCGATGCCTTCTCTTCTGCGTCCGATGCAGAGGGAGTCTTCGACTTCGTCTGCGAAATGCTTTAGAATGACGTTGTAGATTTCTGCGCTTCCGAATCGGACTCCGGCTGGTTTGAGAACGCCGTCGCTTCGGCCGAGCATCACCAATCCGCCGGTGTGGGGGTTTAATCGGGCAAAGTCACCGTGGTGCCATATGGATGGACCGAAGGCGTCAAAGTAGCTTTTTCGGTATTTGTCGCTGCCAATGGGGCCAGGCGGCCAGAACATGACAGGCTGGACGGGGAATGGTTTCGTGCAAACCAGATCGCCAGGTTCGTTGGTGGAGCTGATGTCATTGCCGGCATAGTCGACTATGGAGACGGCCATTCCTAGGCCTCGACATTGGATCTCGCCCTTGTGGACGGGCAGGATGGGACAGCTGGCTCCGAATAATGAAAGAATATCCGTGCCGCCGGTGATGGAACCCAGCATGATGTCGGGGTGGAAAGAGGAATAGACGTACTCAAAGGTTGAAGGTGCCAATGGAGAGGCAGTGCTGAAAATCGCCCGTAGTGTTCTCAGAGATGCTGGACGATGGGGATGCTGTCTTGGGTTCAACGATGCCTGTTCCAGCATGGATAGGTACTTGGCAGACGTGCCGAAATGCGTGATCTCAAGTTCATCGATGATTCGGGGCATGGCCATTTCGCCCTTACCACCTTCGGGGTCCAAGGGCCGGAAGGGGGAGCCGTCATAGACGATGATTGTAGCACCACTTGCCAGGGCCGAGACAAGCCAGTGCCACATCATCCACGTTGTGGTGGTGTAGTAGAACAGGCGGTCCCCTGGACGGATATCGCTGTGTAGGACATGTTCCTTTTTATGTTGCAGGAGTGTCCCCAGCGCGCCATGCACAATCGGCTTGGGGGCGCCTGTTGTACCGGACGAGTACAGTATGTAAACAGGATGCTCGGGATCCAGAGACTCGAAGCGGAGAGGAGCTGTCGGCTCCCGTATCGTGGACAAGAGATCATTATAAGCGCTCACGCGGCCCGCCTGCGGCTTTATCGAGGTCAAGTCAAAGGTGTGTCCCTTGACAGCTTCAAAGATGATCACCAGCTCGAGGGAGGGCAACTGCTCGACCACCTCTTTGACCTTGCCGTGAGTGTCGTGCACTTTCTCGTTATACGTGGACGCATTATCCGCGAACAGGATCTTCGGCTCGATCTGCCTCAGACGTTCCAGCACGGCGTGGACGCCCGTGTCTGGAGATACCGCCGTCCAGTATGCACCGATAGCGGTGGTGGCCAGCATCGCAACGACCGTGTTGATATTGTTGCCCAGAATGCCTGCCACCCGGTCTCCGATCTGCACACCTGCTTCCCTCAGGCCATTTGCACATTGTCGCACTCGTTCGCGCAATTCCTTCCATGAGACGTATTCACGGATGGTCTCCGTGGCGCCAATAATGGCAATATCCTCTTCGCGGGGGTTGGTCGCGGGGTAGAGCAAGTTCTCCGCAAAGTTGAGACGGCTACCCTCGAAGAAACGCGGTCGGGGGAAGAGAGGCACATCGGATTCTAGGACCTGTCAGAGTCAGATGTATTCTATCTCCGTCATTGGTGACCGCGAATATGAGAATCAGGTAGAAAATGTGGGAGCAAAAGATAACCCCAATCATCAATAGCAAGAATAACAAGTGCTGAGCGGCTGAGCTGCTTACTTTGGTATACGGTTGATGAGCCTTGATCGCAGTGTAATGCCAGATCTCTTCCCAGAATTTGGCAGGTTCCGTCACACTCCACTGCCAGAGATCATTGTAGTCCCTGAGGGGGATGTTGTGCTTCTTACTGACGAGTTCCTTGAATTCGTATATCTTCGTTTTCTCTGGAGACGAGGGGCGCCACAGCTCCTTTGCGGGCGAGCTATCTTCCCCATTTGTAGAAGCCATTCTGGAGAGCAATTGAATCCAATCAGTGCGGTTTTCCCTGATGTAGATTGAATAATTATTCCGTGCAACGACTCAATTGAGTTCCTCCCGGACTGGACAATAACCCCGGATTTTGGAGTCTTGGAGCGAAGTGGGACACTGAAGTTATCTCGTTATCGATAATCGATTTGCGACACAATAATCCCGAGGCAAAAGAGCCGTTGTTCCCAACAAACTGTTCCACAAAGCGGGTAGAATCGGATAGTCCATGCCAACGATATGTATTAATATTAATTATCGCTTTAGGATAATAATAATACTGATGTCTCCTTATTTTGTTCTTTTTTCTTTTCTTTTTCGTGGTGTCGTACGTGAGAACACATGGACTGACCATCCGGGTTTAAGGACGCGTAGAGCATATTCTAACTATGGGATTGTTTGCAGACAGCAGTCGATTGTGTCCTGTACGACGTATAATACTAACTATGTCAAATCAATAATGGTGTGAATCAAGATGACACGTCGCATCCCAAGGAGATGGCACAAGTACCATTTTGAAGGCCCCAGGCATATATAACTAACTTCTTCCAGCAGATGCCCAGTCTGTCCATAATTATCGGAAAGAAATTGCACTCCACTTCAACAGGGTACTTTCGTCATCTGGAAGACCGTAAAGAGCATTACCAAATATCAGAGAGGTTCGAATGGAACTTGCCTTTGCATCCATGGCACCGTGTTGGCGGCAGGATAATAATGAGCAATTTACTCCGTACCATGTATCGAGAACTCTCCACCATGAGTATCCGCTCGCTATGACCCGGACACTGGGAACCGTGTCCTTTTGGGATACCTAGACCCGCTCGTGCTTTTCTCGATATAGCTACCATCTATCTAACGGCTTTGGGCATCGGACAGCAGTTCTCATGGATGGATGGAAACGGGATCTTCATAGTCAGCTATGCTCATTGCGGCGTGCCTCTCTTTCTCTCAGGTACACGATCGATGAAGTCACCATCACACCTCGAGCAGCCGCCAGAATAATATCATAAGTTAATAATACCAATACATCCTCCTGTCTATCGAGGAGAAACAAGCAGCAGTGTAACGATCTGCAGACGACCGATCCACGATCGATTCACCGACACAAAAACCAAAGAACTTGAGACGGCGCAGTGGAGCAGGCGGTTGCTGATCCGACCGGGCGCTCTTTTTAATTTTTTTCTTCCTTTTCCCTCTCTGGCCAACGCTTTGCCCCTTTCTTCATCTCCCAGGGGGGATTTCAGTGGCCTGACGGCGGCGTAAGATTCGCGCCGGCCACAAAAGACCCTCTGGCGGTGTTGACGGTGTATCGGGACCGTATCGTAACATCCCCAGCCTGCTCGCCGTCAGTCAGTAATAATAATAATAATAATAATAATAATCATTACTGAGATCGAACTCTCGCCTCTTCTTTTCCCCCTTTCCACTGCTCTCCCATCTTCTTCCTCTGTCATTGTCGTCTGTCCTGCTCAGGTTCTGCGTCCGATCCGGTCGACAGCCAGCTCTATCGACCTGGAAGACGAGCAGCGTGTCCTCCTGATCCTTTGTCAGGCCATTGAGCGCTACGACCGGCTCCCTCGGATCGTCCGTTCAACTCTCGGGTATGTTCGCTGCTCTGCTTCGATTCTTCCTCCAGCATCATCCCCATCCCCCCCGCCCGCACACGCCTCTTCAGCTCCGTTCTCTTCGTGGCTGCATCTTCCATTGCTTGCTGGTTCTGGTTCTGGAGACCAACTGACATCGCCAGACGCCAGAACTCAAGTCCCGATCGCCTCGTCACGCGGCACTCAATTGGGACGCGCCTGCCGCCGGGGTTGATCGACTATCCATCCGTCCCGATTGCTTCCATCCTTCGACAAAACTGCTCTTAAACTGGTCCTGTCCGTCTTGCGATGCCTCGTCGACCTACGAATCCTTTCGCCAACACCTCTTCTTCTTTCTCATCCGCAAACTCCTCTGAAAAGGGCGGAACCTCCACCAAAGCTCCAGCCAAGTCGAGCCGCCTGAGCCAGCTCTTCTCGACGTCTCCCAAGGCCAAGTCGGAACCCCAGACGGCCCAGGCCTCCCTGCTCGCTGCCAGTGGCCTCCAGCAGTCGACCACTGCGACCCCGCCGATCAGTTCGGCGTCACTGTCTCTACCGACCATCTCCCTGTCCACGGCGACGGCCGATAGCACCAATATGGACGAGCCGCCAACGACACTCTTTCAGCCTCCGTCCGCGGAGGAGACGCGCCGGCTTGCGAAGCAGCATGCTCAATTCGGACCTCTGGGCCACCCCAGCCACCGCTACACCAGTCGACACCATGGCGGGGCCTTTCCGGACCCGGTGATGGATGAGCCGCCGTATTATTATCTCCTAACCACCTATATCAGTTACCTAATCCTAATCGCCTTTGGACATGTGCGTGACTTTTTTGGAAAGCGTTTCCGGGAAGAAAACTATCGGCATTTGAAGCCTCGCAACGGCTATGGCGCCTTGAATAGCGACTTTGACAGCTTTTACATCCGTCGTTTGAAGCTCCGTATCAATGACTGTTTCGAGCGCCCCGTCACCGGAGTTCCCGGAAGGTACATCACCCTGATTGACCGCGCCACCAAGGATCACAACAAGCATTTCTATTTTACTGGTACCACGACGGATACTCTCAACATGAGCTCCTACAACTACCTGGGTTTTGCTCAGTCGGAAGGCCCGTGCGCGGACGCCGCTGAGGAGACGATTAGAAAGTACGGTATCAGCGCCGTCAGCACCCGCGCGGAGGCCGGAACCCAGGATCTTCACTTGGAGGTCGAGGACCTCATTGCCAAGTTTGTGGGCAAGGAGTCCGCGATGGTGTTCTCTATGGGTTTCGGAACCAATGCTACCGTCTTCCCGGCTTTGGTCTCAAAGGGCTGCCTGATCATTTCGGACGAATTGAATCATGCATCGATCCGTTTCGGTGCTCGTCTCTCGGGCGCATCGATTGGCATGTTCAAGCACAACGACATGAAGCAGTTGGAGGAGAAGCTCCGCGAGGCCATCTCTCAGGGCCAGCCTCGGACTCACCGTCCATGGAAGAAGATCTTGGTCGTCGTGGAGGGACTATACTCTATGGAAGGATCTATGTGTAACCTGCCAGGCATCATTGCTCTGAAGAAGAAGTACAAGTTCAACCTCTTTATCGATGAAGCTCATTCCATTGGTGCCATTGGACCCAGGGGCCGTGGAGTGTGCGATTATTTTGGCATTGACACTAAGGAAGTCGATATTCTCATGGGAACGCTCACCAAGTCCTTCGGAGCCAACGGTGGCTATGTCGCTGGAGACAAGGCTATGATCGACAAGCTGCGGGCGACCAACGCTGGTGTCCTGTACGGTGAATCGCCTACCCCTCCTATCCTGACTCAGATCTCCACTTCCCTTCGGATCATCAGTGGTGAGCTTGTTCCCGGCCAGGGTGAGGAACGATTGCAACGCTTGGCTTTCAACTCTCGCTACCTGCGTCTTGGTCTCAAGCGTCTGGGCTTCATCGTCTATGGTCACGATGACTCTCCTATTATTCCTGTGCTTCTCTTCAATCCCGCCAAGATGCCTGCCTTCTCCCACGAGATGTTGAAGCGAAAGATCTCCGTGGTGGTCGTCGGTTACCCAGCCACACCCTTGGTATCCTCGAGAGCCCGCTTCTGTGTGTCTGCAGCCCATACCAAGGAGGACCTCGATCGCCTGCTCACTGCGTGCGATGAGATTGGAAACGTGTTGCAGCTGAAGTTCTCGACCGGTATCGCGGGCGGTTCTCTGCCTACTGAAGAACTGACGCCTGCACCGGAGATGGAGAAGGTGTGGAACCGCAAGCACCGACCAGCAAAGACGATTGCCCCTCCGAGATGGAAGGTCGAGGACGTCATCAGAAGAGGAGTTCAGGACGCGAAGGTCTCTCTACAATAGGATTGTAATTGATATTCGCTCCTGATGTCCTGATGAAAAGTCGGAACTTGGTCATTCAATCGGCTCGGTGGTTGCTGGTCATGCCGCGCCAAAAGGTTGATCGATACGATACGACTACTACTACTACATCTGGAGATCATTCCTCCTGGCCGGGCCATGCTCTTTCCCCTTACTTGAACGACTCGTACCGGCACTCCTCGCATTGCCAATGTTATGAATCCCCAAAGAATGAACAGAACGATGATCGCACTTCAGCATGGGTTGTCATACAGCAACAAGGTGTTCCACACCGTTTTGATTCGTCGCCGTGGTCGCTTCCAGAGCGCAGCCGGTTTTCTTTTTTCCATTTTCTTTCCATTCACTGTACTTATTAGATGTCGATTACAGTCCCTGCACTGCTTCTCCTTCCAAGTGCTGGCAGGATGAAGACGATCCGCACGATGCTTTTGAGTTGGAGTTCTTACTAAGGGCGAAATGGATTGAGAGGGATCGCACCAGTGGCAGGCTGTAACGTAATTACGAGTTTATAATTAATTAGATCGCTGTGAATAATGAATATTGTTAAAATAGCCTTGCCGTCATGGCGATACTGAGCAAATCTTTTCATCTTCCAAGATAGATTTTCCAAGATCGATTGGACTCACGTCATTCTCTATGCAAGACCGCATTGGTGCTGATCTGGTGACGCCGCAGTACTTATCCAGCGAGAAAAGTCACAGACAAAACAAGAGTAATGATGTACTGGGAATCTTCTACGGTCTGCAAATTGTTCGTTCCTCCTCGATTCAGCGCGGGACGTCAGACGTATTTGTTTGATGTGCAACATCGCCTTCCTGTAAGACATGACTTCGAAAAGGTATAGCTAGCCGATGTACATACATACTATCCTTTGACGCGTGTAGAGGAGGAATTCCCCTCCCCTCCGTGATATTGATCTGTCGGGGCAGAGGTATCTAGGTAGGTAGCTGACATCGATCACGTGACACTAGTGAACAGTAGCCCCTGAGGAAGGCGTCCAACAGTCGTCAACTAATTATATAACAGCCTTCCGGACCATCGGTTTCTCCTGTGGTTATCCAACTATCCGCTTGTCCTCATAATACCTAAAAGTGGGGTTTTCTGATAAAACGTCGTTTCTCTGGAAGTATACCCATCTATGAGCATGTCACCATGATTTCTCACGAATCTTCAGATGCTGAGTTGATTAGATACTGTTTGTCTGGGCCACGTGACCGAATCATCGGTGGAATACCCGAAGGTAACCTCGTCGTCAGAATTTCTGAGCAGACCGTGATCAAATTTGGACCGGGACTTTCTAAGGACGAAGCAATCAATCAGCAAAGAGCTTACGACCTTCTCGATCATGATATTGTACGAGTGCCACGCGTCCATCGGTTCTTCACCGACAATATGGGGCGTGGCTATATCATGATGGATTACATGGAAGGTAGAGTGATAGACCCGCTGGAACCTGATCGCATTAAGAGACTCGCGCGTGTGCTTGACTATTTCAGCATGATAGAGGGAGACACCCCTGGGAGTCTTAGCGGCGGTCCTTGCCGTGGACTGCTCTGGCCAGAAACCCAAGACTTGACTTTCTGGAGCATGGAAAAGATGGAAGCATGGTTCAATAGTAGACTTTTCCCAGGCGAAGGCAAAGTCTCTTTCCGAAACTGCAATCTGGTCCTCTGCCACCTTGACATTGCCCCGAGAAACGTCATTTGGCAGTCAGATGGCGGTATCTGCCTGGTTGACTGGGCCTCTGCGGGTTTCTATCCGAGATTGTTCGAGTTCTGGGCGCAGTGGAACATCGAAGGCAAGGATGGTTCGTTCAACAGGCTGCTTCTTGATTCTATGAAGCCTCTTCAAGACCACGAGATGGCGCAGAAGTGGTCCATCTGTCGCGTGTGGTATAACATCCAAAAATACGCCTTGTGAGCACCACCACACACTGTTGTTGATTCACCTAACGTTCAAATAGTTCCAGAGAAACTTTACGTGGCCGAGATCGAACCAGGAGAGAGGAGAAGAAAAGGATCCCAGTCCCTGGCCCCCCCCTACCTCAAACTTGTTAATTATGGAGGGACATCCACCCTTTGATGTTGGAGATTCATGTTTCCAACATCTCAATACCTTAACATTCCGCTTTAATAATATGCACACTTTTACCAATAGAGCTAGAGAGGCAGAATTTTATCCCTTGGTCGGAGTCGAGTCCAAGGCTAGGAGCCGGCCAAATCCTATATTGCACAGGGCGGCGAGCAGGAGCCCCTGAGGGGGGCGTCCAACACCTTTCGCTTCCTGTCCTTCGAGTAACAGATTTCATTCCTCAAGGCGCAGAACAATCTCAATACGTACAAAAGACTACCCCCGCACAAACCGTGTTCTCCCTCATCTACCAGCTTCTCAGCCCAAACTGTACCTGTCAAAGACTCAAAAGTCCCCGGCGCGGTTCTTTAACCTGTTATCTATGTTACGCAAGGAATGTACCTTGGACCCAGTTTAATGGCTTGAAACTCCCAGAAGTATGATACTGAAACTGAAGATGTGGCCACAACTGCTGAGAGGCTTGCCCAGAAACGTAATTATTTTGGCCAAGGTCGTACATAATACTATATCTAAATAGACAGTAAGCAGGTGACATTGACTTGACTGGATATACTCACACCCAGTAGCGACAGCCGGACCCTCCGCCAGACATCTCATATTTGTGGCGACCAAGGCCGTAAATAAGCCTTGCAATATGTGCCACTTGGACTCCAGAAGCGGCCGGGAAATCCCAGTACTTGATAGCAGAAGTGGTGACAGCGTATATGTGAGATGTCCACTCAAGCAATCCAGTGGGATCTTCATATTCCGCCCTCATATTGATGCGGATAGAGCCAGTGTTGTTTGGAAGGACCAAATAGATAGACCAATGGTTGTCGCTTGTTGTGGGCCCAGAAACGCCCATAGTATGGACAACAACTCTGACTTGATCAACTGGTCGGACGTCATGTTGAACTGTTATTGGATCAATTGGCGGCATGGTGTTGAGGGACGAAATATCTGAGTGGCAAGGAATTATTCAGTTCCGCAGACAAGATAGCCTTTACATATACATCCCAAATGGTGGCTGAGTCAATGGTCATGAAAGGCTTAATATACCATAAAGAGTACCTTATAATATTATCTCCAATGGCGTCTTACAGGGCTTCTGGATTAAATGCACTGAGATAAAAACAGAGCACACAGTAGCGCAAGACCCATGTCAACAAGGGCTGATGTTGCAGGGTTCTAAGCAGCATGCTAGTCTTATAGTCTTGCTGCACACCTGCTGAAAGATATTGTCACACTAATAGCGCATATAGCAGACAAATGAAAGACCAAGAATTAGCGCCAGTTCATGAGTAAATCACGCTGTTGAACTAGGATGTAGATAGCGTTAACCTTTCTCTGCGTCGATCGTCATAAAGGTACCTTTGCGCTTCCAACAGTGAACAATGCGACGCTTCAATCTTGCTTTGCGCCTTGCTAGGTACTTAGCCTGTAGCCCAAAGGCGGGTAGAACTCTAACCTCAAATTTCGAGGGACTAAAGGATCGATAGGCCACACTTTCATAGTTTGTATTCACACTGAAATTAAAATCAAGTGGACTTTTACCCTTTTGTTCTACTGGAGATTTCTATTCTTTATGAGTCCCCCTTAGGACACCTGATTAAACATTCAAAAACATATTATATTCTTGCTTCTGAACTTTTTGACCCGAGACTTCCCTCCGCCAACATTAGTTAATGGTTTCTGGCCTTAGTCAGTGACATTATATAACTACTAACTATTATCAAAATCAATATCATTATATAAAATCCGCAGGCATCAATATACCATCGACTAAAGCTATCCAGCCAAATGAGGGACACTTCCGTCCCGTCCCGTCCTATCCTATTACTACTTTTAGTCGCCAATTAGAAGTGTAATAGCACCTCCATTAGGATATTATTAACATGGGACTTATACTGTAACAGCAAATCAGCCCAATTCACTGGCGATAGCGTAGGCCTGACCAGATATTGCTATGACCATACTTTCGCTGCCTGACCATGATAAAAAAGCTTATGAAGCGCATCAATAATAGTATAAGCGTTGTCATGTTCTTCCAATTAGTCTATAAGATAGGACTGGCCAGGATAGACGGCATGTAATTAGGTATCTTTAGAAATATACCTGCCGAAGGTGAGGACAATAACAGCAATCTTCATTCATTCTTGAACTGTCAGAGATAGCGAAAACCGAGGGCTCTGATATCAGTTACATATATTTTGAAGTTGATAAAGTGTTGGTGCCCGACAGAATTTCGCTCATGGTTACTTCGGCGGGGAAGCCTACGAATCCCATCATTAGATACACTGGCCCCTCTATGTCGGGAGAGGCATTAGATAACTGGCCAATGCCTTTGCTATTTGCTTGAATTGCTTTCGATGGTCATACTTTGTATAATAACAATTCCATAGCTTAGCACGTCCCAATACCTTATGGGAGGTCACCAGGGCCACAGGCTTCGCCTGTGTTTCGCCGGACGTTAATGACTACTACTACTACTACTGTTGGGAATTGATCTTGAATGCCTGCATCGGTGTATATGTCTAACGGAAGCTGCGACTCTATCGCTGTCAGTTCTGAGGCAAAGGAAGGGCGAACGCTCCTGCCTCGATAGTACAGGGTACAGTTCCTATGTCGCTATACGTTTTTGATATCCTACAATCCTTTACTTCATGCTCAAGAGCGTATCATACAGAGATTTACCTCCTTTTTCACATTCACAGTTTTTAGAATCGCATACCCGCTTTCATATCTTCCTGAGAACGCTCCAAACCTGTTCCTGTCAAGAGCTCAACCATACGCTTCAGATCTTCTGCTGTATACATACCATTCAACAGCTCCCTATGTGTGGTGGATTGCTGAAATTCTTACTCTTTTTTGTGCTCCTCTACGGAGTGTGGAAAGGTGGAGTTGCTGCTCTAGAGCGATTCCATGTCAGTACGAATTCAGCCCGGCAGTATCTTACGGACCCCATTGACAGCAACGGGAAGGATGAGCCAGTATCTGTGACATACAGTGTATCCAGCGTGACAGATCGGCAGCGTACAGCTTTCGGTTGGTATGTCCTGCCAGAGGATATCGAAGAAGTCAGTTCAGTGGCTGCGAGCGATGCCAATATCGAGCGACCAGAGGAAGACGGACGTACCTCGATAGATGGATATCAGTATTTGATACATGACTTGCGGATATGCAGAGATATCTTGGATGGTGTCTTGAAGAGTGCAAACGGGACTTTTCTACATACCCATGTCAAGGGTGATCTACTCTTCTGCAAGAGTACCCTTGAAAAATACGCAGAGCAAGAAGCCAACGGCAATTTTCAGTCTTCACGAAGGAGAATGTCATTAGCGGCTGACAGAGAGGCGTTCCCTCCTGAGACACCCTTTGATTCGCGGAAAGATACAGCCCGAACGAAATTCCAGAAAGCGACTCGATTATGTGAAGATACAATCTGCTCAGCACCAGACCTCTACGGGACTTGTGCCTCGAATCGCTTGCGACTCAAGAAAGGAGCCAAGGCGGTTTGCAGTATGTGTTATCCATACAAGGACTACGCCCTCATCCGCGCACATTGCAGGAGAAGACGGTACCAGGAGGCTCGAGCTTTTTATGTCCTCTGTGCGGTTATGATAGCAGCAATGACGGCTGCCGTGGCTTTGGTATGCATACGTGACGTTCGAAGAAAATCCAAAGATGGTCGACCGGACACAGAACGGAGGATAAACAAGAGTCCAACCAGACAACGCAGTGTGTCTCGACCTTCCAAGCGGATTGGTGGAATTAGTGGAAATCAGTGGTTATCGAGAGTGCCATTTCTCAAGAAAAGACACAATATGGAAAAGAAACCAGACGCAACTGATAGCGATATAAGCAGTTCGACAAAGAACTCGACTTTGCAGCAGAAATGGGACCGACTAGGGATTTTCTCCAGAGGTACTCGGAAACGAGTACAGGACGTATTCGACCTCGAGGCTCTGTCAACAAAAAACACGCAAAGTACAGTGACTGACGTGACTGAAAAGGTCCCGGTGCTTCCAAGAGCTCGCAGAATGAGCTCGCGCTTCCCCTTGACAGAGATCGATTCAGGACCGTCTCTGACAGACTTTTATGGAGAGAATCTTCTTCCTCCTAACGACCCTTTTGCGACCATTCACACGACACGTCCGAGCGAGAAGGGGCTAGCTGGCACGGAGGATGTTTGAAATTGTTTATGCTCATGTCAATCAAGGAATAGGAATTATCCTCTTGGAATATATAGAATAATCGGAATTTTCTCAGCCACGGCCAGACTGAATACTTAACAATCACCGACTAGTTAGACTTCCTGTCCTCTTCTATTGCATACTATTTGTAGGAATATGGAGTTAATAAATAGCACCAAATACCGCCTGGATATTAATTTCCTGGATATCTCCATTTCTGCTCCTAAGCCTATTGTGGAGATTCAGGACTATGCTTCGATATTTGAGATTTCATTGAAATGCAGAATGGAACATAAATCAAACATGCTAATGGTCAGAACGTGCAAAATGCCAGAGGCTAATTTCGTACAACACGGTATCTAATATACCAAGGACAGATCTCATCCAGCTGATCGCTTTACCTCATCCCCTCAAATCAACTCACAACTCCTTCGTCCTTTCGTCACTGCTTCTAATCCACTCCTCCAACTTCGCGCGATCGCGCACCCTGAACCCGACCTTGAATGGCTTCGGGTCCAACGTCAAAGAAGTCTTTGTCATATTACACTCCAACGGATCAAGGATCGGATCATCCGCGCGGTTCTTTGCGGGCACGATCTCAAATGCGCTGATAAGTCGCAGGAACGCAGTGTACAGTTCTCGATTAGCGAGGTGCGAGCCAGCGCACATACGGCTTCCGGCACCGTAGGCGTAATGAGGCGTTCCAGAGCCGTCAGGGACGTCGAGGTAGCGGTCTGGGTTAAATGAGAAGGGAGATTTGAAGTGTGTTTCGTCGTTATCGGCTGCGTAGGCATTCTGTAGTGGGATTGTTAGTATTCTTAGAAGGTAACGAGATATAGATATAGGTGCTGACCATGAAAAAGGTAGATCCTGCAGGAATAACAGCATTCTTCCAAAGAATATCTTTGATACTGACACGTGGAAGGCAGATTGGAATAACCGTCCAGAAGCGCAGAACCTCTTTGACTAGAGCTGTGATGTATGGCACTTTCTCTTCGAGAAGACATCTCTCCCATGCGTCTCCGTCAGGGTAGACTTTTATGATCTCGTTATAGGCTCGTTGCTGGATCTCTTGGCCGTGTGCGCTGGAGAGGTAGGCGATGCCCATGATGAGGTTGCCGGGGACAGTGTCGAGTCCGGCGGATACCATGGTTAGACAGATTGATTTCACCTCCGCTGGGATATCGTTAGCATGTTGTTTTTTTATTATTCGGGATAGCCGCTGGCGTCTAGATTCCCACCTTCATTTAGCTTGGCTTCTGGGTCTTTGAGGATATTTCCCGTGATGCATGGTTTATCAGTACCCTTGGAAATGCGATCTCTCAACATATCCAAAAGCAACGAGAGATACGCATCTCTTCGCTCACGGAACTCTTTCGCTTTTGTGCTCATGCTTGGCCAAAGACGCAGCAATGGGATGTAATCCTGCCAGTTGTTGCTCGTACTGCGGAAGTTGCTTACTTCGCGCTCAACCAGACAGATTTCCTTCAGCAGCTCATCCTCAATGTTTCCGTCGATGCGAATGCCATAGTTCAGCGTCAAGCTAGTGTTCAGCGCGAACCGCTGGAAATATGGATTCGGATCAATATCAACCGTCCCATCCTTGCTATCCTGGAGGAGTTCCTTAATACTTGCATTCGATTCGAGATCGATAATCGGCATATAGGACTGCACGGCCGGTCTATTCAGCGCCGTCGCAGCAGCCTTCCGTCTCCGCTTGCAAGATTCATCCCACGGTGACGTCCCGATCGTGAAGCCCTGAGAGCTCGAAACGACAGTGTGAAAAGTATGCAGGGTCGGGCGAGAGATCAATGCAGACTGATGAGTGACCCAGAAGTACTTGACGGAGTCGAAAGTATTCGCAAAAATGATTCTCTTATTCCCCATCCGAACCTGGAAGACAGGGCCGTATTGCTTCACCCATTCTGCTGTCTTCTTCGCATGCTCCTCGCCTAATTGAATCAGGTTTCCGAAAAGAGGCACCCCCGGGATCTCGGGAAGGTTTTTGATCTTGGGGATATCAGTTCGGTTGAAGTATCTGATGAGGGAGTATACCACGGCGATAACCGCAACGACTGCTTGGATCGTCATGTCGACCTGAAAACCATCCAAAGGTAGGTAGTAGAGAGAAAAGATTCGACAGACACCCCTCCTCTGACCTGGCTTGATTTAGGACCCGATATAAGTCCGGCGATGTTCAGCCTATATATACCTAACTACTGAGTAACGTATTACTGCATAGTCGTGCACGCGGAATGCCCGCAGCAGCTGCAAGCGCAAAACCGCGGAAATGAAATCCAAACAGACTCCCCGCCATTATAATTGTGACTACTATGGAGAATCCATTGCTGTCTCTGATGTCTGGCCAGTGATCCCTGTGATCATACTATGTCGATCACTAAAACGCTTTGGACAGCGGCCGGTATGAAAAACATGTCCTTGATTGGCGGAACCCGTCTCATGCTCCTTGGGAAGAAGAGGAGTAATGGACCTCCAAGAAGATAGCCGAGGGAAACCGTCCAGGACCGAATACGTAACTTAGTATTACTACTGCGTTTGCATTAGCACCATGCGGTTTCTTCCCCGCGGGGAGGGGGCAACCGTTTGTGGGCATGATTGAATGAATGCCTATGTGGGGAGAAGCGCCGAGATACTAAGAACATTCCCCATTACGAAATAATAGAAATGTGCCACTCAGCGCTGTCAGAAAGCTTGCGGTCAGAGCTGCTTGCTCGGTTGTAACTACAGTATATACCCGCGGAAAGCAAACCGAAACGAATGGTCCTAGCCTCGGAACGTTCCGCGCTGCCAGGTTACTAAGTACTATCAACCTCATTGTTTCTTGTTCTTGTTCTTTTTTTTTTCTTCTCCTTCTTTCAGTATCATATTATTGTCAAGATTTTACAGCATATTTAGATCTATTTAGCTTGCATTGCCATCAATCTTGGTGCGGCCTCAGACCGGATTGAAGATACTGTATCCATTCGGTATCCTTATCTCGTCGATATCTCGAAGCTATCGGTCATAAAGCAAAACATACTATCTACTTAAGGAAAGGCTTTGATGGATACACAATTCTTCGATCAGGAGTTCTGGAGTCAACACAGACACAGCTTTCGACACGTGTCGTGGAAGATGCTAGTCAATTATAACCTGTATTGAAAATCAAGGAGCTTTGAGTCTAATGATATTTTCGGCATTGCAGCAAGAACATTAACATAATTCATCTGGGAGTTTTGATATTTCCATGCCCGGTGAACATAACCGTGAACTTTGGATAACATCCTAGGATTAAAAGAGGCCAAGAATAAGAATGTATTATATTGGTCATGAGAGAACTACTGGTCCCGTGTTTCTTGATTGAGCAGAGGTATTTATCCACGTATCCCACATCTTGCCAGCGTCATCCTGCTTATTCTGCGTACATTCTTCATATTTTTTTTTTCGTACTTACTTATTCAGTCATATAATATGCGAGATCAGCGCCCTCTTCCTTTTCCCGTGCGAGTTCACCATTCCCAAGGAATGCGAAGCGATTTGGTGAGATATATTGGAAGTCAAAGTCTTCGCCGCGGATTTTCTCCACGCACGCTGTGAACTTGTGTCAGCCCAGTGGTCCATCGCTCATATGTATTAGAAGCCAGGTAGGGGGTAATATCGGTGTGGGTAAGTAAGTTCTTACCTTTAAAATGCAACACACTTCCTGCATACATAGCCACGACACGATGAGGGTCCCTGGCACCCTTCGTATACCAACTATCGCATTCATCAGCCCAGACAGTACGCTGGAGCTGCTCTTGTATATAGATGTTAAAGTCGTTGACGACGTCTGGTTTGACACAGACGGACTTGATGCCCTCAGTTGCAATCTTCTCCGTCCACTCGACAATGTAGTCGGCTAGCCAGCCGACAGCGCGCGTCACAGAGCCATGACCGATAGGGCAGTTAGGTCCGTGGAACATGAAGAAGTTGGGAGTATGCGGCACACATGTTGAGAAGTACGCATTCTGGTTCGACTTTTTCCATGCGGCGTTTACCTCGAAGCCGTCACGCCCGACAAGCTTGAAAGGCGGGATAAAGTCAACATCGAATCCAGTCGCACAGACGATCAGATCGAACTCTTCTTCTTTGCCGTCTGTCGTCTCGATTCCTCCGCTGGTGAAGCGCGCGATTGGGGTGAAGTTAGCAGAGGCGTTGTCCGCTTGCAGGGCTTCGAGATAGCCATCTCCTGGAGTCAGGCGACGACAACCGATAGTATAGTTCGGGATGAACTTGGCCGCGAGATCATCGTCATTGCCAAGTCGTGCTTTCATCAGGTTAGTGCACATGTCCTTGAACATGGCATTGATAGGAGATCCTTTAAGCATAGCACCGTAGACGAAGTTCAGACTATTTCCTCATAGCGTTAGTTGTCCTGGCAAGGCCTATAAGAATGATCCGTAGGGAGAACTAACGAATGCTCAAGCTGCTTGCGATAAGCGAGGAACTCCTCTGGTGAGGACTCAAAAGTCCGCTTCTGCTCATCTGAGTACTCAAAGTTCGCGCCCTGAGGTGTGAACTGTCCTCCAAAGTTGATGGAAATCCATGTTGGATGGCGAATATAGTTCACCACCTTCTTGGCAGTCTTCTGCAGCGCCGGTACAATCTGGATACCAGACGAGCCATTTCCAATGACGGCTATCCTTTTGCCCGCGTAATCGTACGATGGATCCCTTTGAGATCATGTCAACGGAAAGCGCTATATGGACTTGGTGGAACCAGAAAGAATAACCTACCACTGAGTGCTATGCATGAGTTTCCCCTTGAAGTCATTGAGGCCAGGGATCTGCGGCCAAGACCATTTGCTACATGGGCAAGGGTTAGTGCTGATTTCGCGTGAAGAATCTTTACAGTTAAGCTTACTTTAGGATTCCCGCGCCGCTGATCAAAATGTCAGCCACGTCCTCGATAATCTTATCCCCCTGTTGGACCTTGATCTTCCATCTTCCTGAAGGCTCGTCCCAGATACTCTCGGTTATCTTCGAGTTGAGCTGAACAAGCTCGTCAAGCTTGTACTTCTTCGTCGTTGTCTCAATATAGTCGAGGATTTCGTCCCCTGAAGCGTAAAACGTGGACCAGTTCGGGTTCGGTTCAAAGTCAAAGGTGTATACGTCTGTTCAATTACAATAGTCAGTGTACACAACATCTCGAAATGAATGGCCATACGCGGGAAGAGCGGTGTAAGGAGCGGGATGGGACACGTACGCGAGGGAGCATCGCTTTTTATGAGATAATCAAATTAGTCTATCTAGTGTTCATATTCATGCCAGGAAGGCCCCTGGTCATATCATATTCCGGGCAGTTCCTGAACGAGGACCTTAATCTCAAGAGTGAAAACTGCAAGCTTACCAACAAAGTCCAGGGAAGCGATTCTCAGCCCAAGTTCCGCCAACAGTCGAGTTTTTATCATAGATGACAAAGTCCACGTAGTCACCCAGCTTCTTCTTGCTGTATTTGATCCGGTGAGCCAAAGTCAGGCCAGAGAAACCGGCTCCAATGCAGATGAGACGAAGCTTCCTTGGCGTAAATGCGAACTGATTTGCGTCGATTGGGACCCAATTCTTGGGCCGTCCTTGGGGAAGAGTTGCTGTGCCGTTCTCGTCAGCCATGATAACGAATGGTCTCGGAAGACGTCTTGAATCCAAAAAGAAAGGAATCAAACTGAAACGTAGGCCATTGGAATAACTAGTTATCATCGACAACTTACTAAGGGGTCTAGGCGCAACGTAACGGCCGTAACAATTCACGCCAGTGAGACTAAACGGCAGATTTCTCATCTAGATGCAGTAGACCTCGTGGAATGCAGACTAGAGGCAGATACATGTTGCCCCAGTACAGGCAACTACTTAGCAAGACCAGTCGTCGAGTTTCATAGCAGACAAGTGGGCCTGAAACAAGCTTAAGGTGTTTAGAATCGAATTAGTTCGGACGGCAACTAAAACTTCTGACAGGTCCGCAGGTCCGGTCGGAGATTTGCCGTTCTAAGAAGCACTTGACCGATGATAGTGCGCTCGACGGGCAGCCGGGGATGTTTTAGAGAGACGTTAGTTGGCGGCACTACTTAAACATTGATGTCAAAGTATTCTAGGGCAAGCGGATCCGCATTCCGAGAGGTGGATGAATCCATGGATACCGCCTGTCATGACCTATTTCAGCCTTTTTGCTGTGCCGCAGAAAAGAAATGCTTGCGGCACAGCAAAAAAATAAAAAAAAAATAAAAAGCTTGCATAGGTCAATGGCGGTTTCTCATAAAGTTGCTCAAATTCAAGGGATCTAATAGAATGTCAGTCTTACTGGGCATATGAAGGCTTTTCTCACCGAGGAACTACTCAAGCGACGTGGGACTTTAGAGGCAATAAGATACCTGCGTTAAGGACTGACCCCCAGTTTCCAGAAGCACGATAGATAAAGATTCCGATCTTGTTTCGAAAACCCTTCCTTTGCTTCCCGTGTCCAGCCCGTGCCGACACCATCTGCTCAGATTGCGGCTCTACAAGTGCACAATGTGGGTTGCTCCTGCATGGGGGGTCCATGTTATGTGTCAGCAGCTTGTATCGTCAGACGTTAAGACTACCTGGGCATCTAATTAACTATCAGCTAGTCTTTCTTCGAGACCAGCGAACCCGGAGCTGTGGTGGACATACCCGTAGCCCGCCGTCAGTCCGGGCCCTAATACTTTGTAGCTGCAAATAGCTTCTTTATGATCTGTCTCGTAAAATAAAAAGTGGCTTTGTATATCCATTTTGCGCCTCTTCTATAGAGCGGCAGAAGGTCATTGCTGTCTGCGAGACCGCATGCTGGCTCTTGTTGTTGTTGGTTCTGCAAATACTCTCGTTTCATGATAATTATACAAGACAAGGCAGGATATCTGTGAATTTTCTTTTGTTCTTTTGTTCCTTTTATTCTTTTAGTCTTCTTTAAGCAAGTTCTATTCTAAAGGTTGGAAGTCAACCCACGCATTCACCCAAAAAGGTCAAACTTCAGGATGTCGAGTCTCATCATTGGCCCTCCTCCTGCTGGGATCGATTTGAAGGAAAATCGTACCCCTTCGAACAATGCAACAGTAGGAGTCGTCATGGGCATTGCGACATTCTTCGTAGCGGTGCGCTTCTATTCCCGTACCACAAACTCAGGTACAGGGTTGGGAGCTGACGATTGGATGACCTTGGTCTCTCTGGTATGGATCTTTCGCCTTAACAAAACATCAGATAACTGATTTATGTGCCCAGGTATTCGCATATGGCACTGGTATATGTTGTATATTGGGTATGTAATGTCGTTCTTCATTCGAATAGACGAAAAAAAGGCACTAATGCATTATCATAGGCGGCGAGTATGGGATCGGAAAGCACATATGGTCTGTTCCGGAAGATGATGTGCTTGAAAGTATGAAGGTAAGCTGATCCTGACCAGGGGGTCTCCACTAGCAGATACGATAGGAATACTCACACAAAGTCCAGATCATCTTTGCCTATGTGATCCTGTACGCAAACACTGTGCCCGTGGTCAAATATGCCGTTCTCCTCCTATACCGTCGGATCTTCGATCTCACCTGGTCGCTGTACATCTGTGCCTTTCTCGCTTTCGGATACGCGCTCTCGGTGTCAGTGACAATATCAGTCGCCTGCAAACCCAGTTCCTTTTTCTGGACTCAGTGGGTTAATCCACTGAGCGGAGGAAAATGTACAGTTAATTTGTATCAGTTCTATCTTTGGAACGCGGTGGGAAACCTTCTAACAGACGTTCTTATCCTCTGTCTACCAATACCTATTGTCTGGGGACTCCAGATGAGTGTGACCAAGAGACTTGCCGTCATAGGCATCTTCATGTTGGGTGGTTTGTAAGTCTCATCTCAATTCCCGGTGCCACCCTTTCGGAGACTTCAGTCTAACCCGGGCTTTTTATCAACAGTGTCTGTGTCGCAACTATCGTCCGAATTTACTCCATCACCCAGTTGAAAAATACTGTCGATATCACTTGGGCTATTGGAGATGCTATGATCTGGTCCAATGTTGAACCCTGCATCGGGATAGTGAGCGCATGTTTGCCTACAATGAGGCCTGCTCTGCGCCAGGTATTAGATTCTTGGGGTATTAGTCGCTTTCACTCAAGCAATAACACAAACGATGCAAAGGCAAGTGGCTCTGCCAACCAGGGTGGACGCCGTATGGTGCCATCTACAAACCGCCATAGCTATAAAAACATCACTAAGACAACATTCCGGCCGGACGATGATGAGGTATACCTGACGACCGATATCGCACGAGCTGAGAGCGTGGTCAACGAGGAAACTTCTCAGTCAAATAAATCGGGTGGTTTTGCGCAAGAGTCCATTGGTATGAATATCACTGTGAAGCAAAGCTTCTATCAGAAACAAAGCCCAAAGATCACATAGTAGATTGTTTTGGCATTATTCTGTCCGATCCTCCACTTATCGCTCTATGCCGAGAAAAGTGACTTTCGGTGTTTTTTGTCTTTTAACTGTTTCGAATCATTGCCTATATATATGATCTAACCTATAAATTTCATATTGTCAAAGAGAGACCATCTACCATTGTTCTTGTTGCAAGCTACTGGATATTAGATATCAATGGCTGCATCGACAGCAGCTTGCATACGCATGTTAACCCTATAAGTACGAGGGTTGACACAACGACTACAATCAATAACCGGACGCACAAGTACTCTGCTCAATTATTTTCCCAATTTCAATTACTTAGAAGTATGTAAAGTATATATCTTATTAAATGGTATCTCAAGAGAAATTCTACATATTCAAATTATCTGTTTTGTTGTTCTCATCCTGACGTCAGGCGGAAACTGCGGAAATTGAATTACTGCTGTGAATATTTAAATCTGCAAGTGTCTAGAGGCTTTATTTCTCAAGGGAGGAATAGATATCCATATATTACTGACGATCATATCAGTTCAGGCAGTACAGAAATGTCTTCCTTTGCACACCCTGAAGCCAATATAGTCCCGTGTAGCAGCAGATTCCTAGATCTGGAATGTGCCAGCAAAATATACCCTTATCAGGGAACAGAACAGTTTTGGAAAATTTGGGACGATGAATCGCGCAACTTACGAAATGGAATACAGGATAGCGAGTGGGTCTTATTTTCTGGTGTGAATAAAGACGCGTTTGACCGTGACTTCCTTAACTCGTCCGACGACATCATGCTCAAGAACTGGAGCTCATACGATAGAAATACACGTCTTCTACTCGTTAAAATGCCTGCCTCCAATGAGCATGAAATCGCCAGATCTGCATTCGACTATATTATGGGCATGAAGCGCAGAGCAATGGGACTTTCTATAGCATTGCTTAGCGGTCTAAACACAACCCGCTATGGAGACGATGGCAGTTCAAAACAACCCGACGGCCAATACTTTCCAGCAAGACTACCACAATCCCGGACTCCATCTAGAGACTGGCCGACTGTTGTCCTGGAAATAGCAGTCTCGGAAGGACCTTCAAAGCTGATATCTGATGTGAGGTGGTGGATCCGCCAGCATAACGGGGCTACAGGAATCGTGTTGACTCTAAGAGTCGATCGTAACACGCCAAAGATTACTCTCGAGAAGTGGACTAGAGGTGAACAAGGGCACCCCCAGCAAGAATCGACAACGGGCCGCTTGTGATCCCCTTCGAGCAGATCCTTTTGCGTCCCCCAACAGAACCAAGAGAGGTGGATATTGTATTCGACAATCAAGATCTAGAGGAGATCGCGAATCAGATATGGACTGTACAGAACTTCTGATACCGAGAAACCGGAGGCTGTTGGCACCGGTGCCCGCAAGAGTGTGCACTGACGCGACGCGGCTTATTTTCTCACTCAGAGGACCAAAAAGAAGATCTCGTGCTGCTCCGTGGAATGGGGCATATCCAGTAATTGGCAGATACTCATACCGACCGGAGTCCTGAGCTTTGTTTACTCTGGAGCGAAGCTCGCTGAGCTTGAATTCTCTAGCAACTAGCTCAGCCTATTTATCTATGTGGGTGGAGCTGGAAAGGCGTGGGAGAAACCCGACAGGAGGTCTGCCTGTAGGGAGGCCCCGACATTTACTACTTCTTCTGTCTACAAGTGTCCATTAGGATGTGCCCAGAGATACATGGTGTATGGCTTTGAAGAGTTACTTTTTCCACAGTCGGCAAAACCCAGGGCTTGGAATTATTGTCGCGATAGAAGCCGAAACCCAGGATGACTTTTTTCTCATGTTTGTCCACTTCGAAAAGCTCCTTGAGGTTATAGATGGCGTCGAGGGGCACTGCATCGAGCGCTGAGAAGGATGACTGCGCGGGTATGGAACTCATGTTTGTTTTACTTTTTTTTTCTTTGTTTTTATCCCTTAGTTCGTTCTCGTGGGCATCCAAATTGAAATACTGTCAGAGATGGTGTTGAGCAGCGCCCATACTTACGTAGACAATTTCTAAAATCTTGCCGATACTTGCAGTTTCTTCGTATCCATTGAAGTGACTCTTCTGTGAGATTTACATTCAAGCTAGAACCGCAGTATGTTTGGATCACTTACATCGGCAGTGGTATTTGATAACTTGAGGCTAGAAAATAAAGGATTGTAAAAAATGCGAGGAGCAAGCGAGGAAAGGAATTCTCATTGTGGACTATCCCAAGCTCCTCCAGCTAGCTAGCTAGATAACACCGATGAGCTACGAGGCCATCTGGGTATCAGATGTCGCTCCAGGCCCGGCATACATAAGGATGTTCCAAGTAAAAGCAACTATCTAGTAAAAACTAATCCGTGAATTATTCGCCGTCCACTGCGCACTCGGCTGAAACTGTATAATGCCTCTAGTGTTGTCATCGTATCTATAGAATCTAACCCGTTTTCCAATGGCGAGGATGCCATATACAGGAGACCTTAAAGCGGGGGACCTCGTACGGTGTTGAGAGCTGAGGTATCCCGCCAATTGCGCCTCTCCGTCATCCCAAGTTGTCCCACTGGATTGGTCATCGTACTTTTTGCACTGAGTTATGAGAAAATACTTTCTTCTTCGTGACTGCCACTCAAACAAAGGTGTGGAAGTCTGAGAAGCCCCTTCCTCCGCTGTAGGTGGTATGGGCACTTTGCGGCCTCGTGATCTATAACCTGCTATGGCAGGAAATGCCAGGTTCAGGATTGAATTTCAATTCCCGTATAGGTCGGATTCAGTAGTGTCTTTCCTAACATTGTTATTTCCCGCGCGCGGCGACATTCACGTACTACAAATAATCAGCATGGTCATATATGAGTGCGACAAATGAAGCCATACCGTAGGAGCCGGTGCTGCCATTTTCGGAAGTCTCAAGAAGTTGAAACTATGGTTGTTATTGTATTTATTAACTTCCAGCAAGGCGTATGGGGGCTTGTGCCCCTGGTGACCTCCCATGGGGTATAGGGACATGTTAAGAATATATTATATATATGTATAAAGCGCAACCGTAGAACTCAAGCAGATAATAATGGCGTTGGCCAGTTATCTGGGGCCCCTCCCAATATACTGAGGGACCAGGGGCGGCGGGGAAGTTGGAACTATGAAATCGGGGATAGAAGATTATTCTTCTATGCCGTGAAGCAGAGAAAATCAATTGCTGGAGATTCAGTAATATCTTTCATGGAGAATATTGCATTGGTGAATATTACAATAGCACAAGGTAAACGGGAATCGCTCTGTTATTGAATAGCGGTGTTCATTCACGGAGTATATATTAACTCTTGGAACGAAGCTTGCTGAGCCTGAATTCTCTAGCAACCAACTCAGCTTATTTATCTCTGTGGGTGGAGCTAGAAAGGCGTAGGAGAAACCCGACAGGAGGTCTGCCTGTAGGCAGGCTCCGACATTAACTTGTTCTAGATTCCCTGGGCTGTGGGGCTTCTCTACAGGTACCCTACAGCCGAATAAGAGCAAAATGCATAAGAATGAAGAGTCCTGAGGCTAGGTACAGGAATATAAGAGTCTTTGAGCAGTTGAATATTGTACTTACAACATAATGAACGTCAGTATTTTAATAGTCATTATCTAACATTTACGAACTTAGATAATCTATTGTAGCGAATGCAAGTTACTAGAGTAATATCTTATTTTTATGCGGGTAGACAAACGAATAGGTCGATCTTATACAACCGTCTTAAGACGACAAGCAGAATGTTATCACAATATATTATACTTCCTCTGTTAGATTGTGACAAGCTAGACTCGGAATGTTTGAGATATCAGGAGGCTTTTACTATTAAGATAGAGGTAGCATCCTATCCTATTTCTCGTCCTAGCAAGCAACATATATATAATAGCGCGATGATAGTCAGATGATACCGAAGCTATATCATTATCGAATATTTCAGTTGATAGTGCACCGGTAATGCCTATCGGTTTGTCATATTGCATTTCTATATGAGCTCCTCCTATAGTAGCACAGCAGACGTAAATATAGCCACTACGGCTAACTAGTTTTCAAATTTTGGTCGTCTTCGGCTTTTCTTACATCATACTCTTTGACAGGCTAATAATATTACCGATGTTGTCTGGAATTGAAGACTAAAGATGACATCAGCTAGGGAAATAAATAGTTGCATTTTACACAAAAGGTACAAGCAGGAGGACTTCCTACTTGAAGGGTTTTCTAATCTCTCTATTCTCTCGTACTATCCTTCTTCTTTTTTTCCCCCCTGATTAAAGTCTAGCAGTTTTATTCTCCAACTATGGAGGATCAATATCCCGTGAATCGCCCGTGGAAAAAGAGACTCTGTATATGCTGCATAGTATGTGGAGTAACGACATACGGGGCTTCTCCGGAGGATCCAATTTTTCAGGACCATGAAGAGTGGAAGCATTGTACAACCACGAAATCAACTGTGACAGTACAGGGAAAACAGCTAGAGAGCATGTATTTCCACAGCGAACCTTGGATGTGGGCTTACTTTTATAGAGCAAGTATTATTATCTTATGATCTTCTCCCTCACTGTGTACATTAGGAAATACGTGAGAGGGTAATGCATATCATTTTACTAATTTGGGTGAGACAGTTCTGTATCAACCGAAGGACGACTCCTTCGCTATCTCAGGGATCACCTTGGATTATTTGAGCGTAGACTCGCCTACTGCTACTCCTGTCCCACGAGATCCGGACCTTGCTTGTCTTACTATCCCTATGTCACGCTCTAGAAGAGATTTTGCTCATTTTTATACAGCAAATATATTAGGCCGGGATATCAATAAGGAAAATGGCCTAGAAGTTGGATATCCAGTTCATGTACACTGCTGGCCACTGGTTAAACGCGTTATTGGGGACCAATTGGTAGAGGCCAATCTTAAGACTTTTGTGAAAGCGATTTTGCAATTCTGGAGGGAAAACAGTGAATGGTGGGATTTATTGCCATTTCTTAAGGAACGCTGCGAACGCTGTGAGTACGAAGGAGAGAAATGTGTCCATATCCCTGATTCGGGGAGAAAGAGGGCACCAACAGGACGAAATCCCACAGTTATACCGAAGATTGAAAATCTTATCCAACAAGCTGCTGCACAAAAGGCCTGTTCCTCTGGAAAAGATCACCCCCAGACGCACCGGCAAAAGCGACAGAAACGGCACGAACGGCGGCAGCAATCGATTATATCTCAGATTCCTCTTGATATATCAATTGAGATTGTTGAAACACTTGATAGCAAAGATGCGGAAAACATGCTTACTGCGTTTGGGTGGCAGTTGCCCGATATATATTGGCAGAGCCGTTGCCAGAAAGAGGTGGTCTTTGAATTCCAAGATCTAATCGATAATCGGACGCCCATTGATTGGCAATTTCTTGCTCTTCGGTCACAGAGATCGCTAAAGGGCCTTTTGCCATTGCAGAATCGCGCTCGGATTGTCAAATTCCTTCAAGGTCTTAAGGAGATCTTCCTTGCTATGCTTGAAAAGGATAAAGTGAGCAAGTGCCCTAGACTGGGAGCTTGAGATATGCAGACTTAGTGTTGGCGCTCACAGCTTACTGGGAGACGAGCTGCAAACAGCTTGTACGACTCTGCTGAAAGAGAGGTAGGATAAGCAACGTGAAGCCACCTAAAGCCACCAATATAGGATCAAAAAAGACACGCTGGAACAAGTAAATGCTTATAATTAGTGGCGGAGGCAGTGCTTCAACCAACGAGTAATCAAGATAAAGTCTATAGGCATAAATAGCTGATAGATTCCGGTATCCTTTAGTTCTCTAAGCAATCCAATATTCATTTCCTGGGTCATATGCTTTTTCTGAGTCTTTGCTTCCGTGATCCTAGATCTCTACACTTAGCTTAGCATATGTTGTATCCTAGAGAATAGAAGCAAGCAAACGGAAGCTGACAATATATAATGTCATCGCCATCGCTGTTAACAGGCTGAGAGCCATCCTTGCTTTTGCTGCCATCTGCCGTAATGGACTACAAACCGTACAAAACTGAATCCTTCTTGAGAATAGCCGGGATTAATGTGCCCTGGGAATAGTTATGCAGGAGAGCACTGGCGGTAACGAGGCTAGAGGGACCAGCGGCTGAGATGGAGGCAGATTATGTGAAAATATGCTATCAACAGAACGGAGTGTTGAATCATCAATTGATATGCTAAAGGTACAGTAGTGGTGGGCATCAAATGGACGAGAACAGCGAGTCGTGTCATGGGACAGCTCATGGACAGCTGTGCGTTTGTACGTATCGATAATAGCACTGCGTCTAGTAGGACCCCGAAGACCAAGACTTCTGTCAACAAAGATGGATCTACATTTAGAAATATCATCAAGTATCCCATTGGAAGTAGTATCTACAAAATAAAATTGATTATATGAATACACTACTGCATCTAATTAATTACACATATCTTACAATCGAGAATAGCACCCAATCCATGTCTCAGCAAGTAAACTCCCGAATACTCATCTGAGACATTCTCCAAGAAGAGGGCCGTTCCCTGGATATTGGAAACATCGAGACAAACAGTGCTATCCGTCTTTCAACCCGCACAGCCCCCGCTCTGTCAGCCGCGGTGCTATACAGATTTGGATCCTTTCTGCCACACCAGTTGGTCATACAGGATCCGTATTCTGCAATGACAAGAATTCGAAACGGGCAAAGGCAATTAACACATAGTAGACATCCAAAGGCAGCACAAGGAGAGTGAAAACGAAGGACGGCGGTGCATGTATCTTTCGACTCTGAGCGGTACAGCAGCATCCCTGCAGATCTGATGATGCTCCATGGATGATCGAATCTACTGTCTTTCCGAAGCAACAAAACGTATTTTCGTGGACGTTCCACTCTCGAGGTGGCGTCAATAAAGACTTCGGAACAACCCCTCACCAAGTAGTACTTTTCATATAGGAACGTCCGAGATCACACGCTTTGAATTTCGCAATGATAAGGCGACCAAAACACACTCCCCAAGTGAGACACTCCGTATCGTCCCAGGACAACTTTGCAACGTATAGATCGTGATAAGCCTTCAGCGGCAAGACTATGTGTCCCGTAACAGCTTCGATCCCGGTAGACTTAAGAGACAGTTAGTCGAACATACGTACGAAACTACACACGAGCAACAGAGAGGCACAAGAACGAACTCAAGACAGCTGCCTCAGCCATTCCGAGACGTGTTCCTCCGGACTGCTGTCGAGACGATAAGCCTGCCGGACCTCCTGTTGCGTGGTAAAGGCATCCATATTCCGCTGTGTCAGCGGAGTCTTATAACGCGCCTCCTTCTTGAGATACTCCCTCTCCGCAAAGGCTGAGCGAGAGATCTTGGATGACAACGTGTCGCGAAGTCGACGGATACCGCCGGCGGCTGTGGAGGGGATCCGGGGAGGGCGGAACGATGACTCCTCCCTCCATCTGTCATTTAAGGATGATGACGGCTCCTTGCGACCTGCATGGAAGCCAGCCATGGCGATTCATGAGTGGAGAGAGAAGATATTCTTGTTAAACTCCTTGTCGTTACATGCACGAGGTGATCACTTGTTTGGGGAGTTGAGCAAAAGGGGAGGGAAGCGCGAGTAGATGGAGAACTGGAGGGAGTGAGATCATCGTCTTGCCCGAACTGGAAGTCCTCTCTGGGCCTAGTGCGCCGCCTGGCGAACTATGGGTATGCGTATTATTGGACCGTGGTATGGTATGGTCACAGTGGGGGGCTCTGTTGCCCAGCAGCGACTCATCGCTCGTTATCCTTGTCTGGTATGGTCGTGGAAAGGTTTTGCTCGGGCTTGCTGACTGGCTGGAGCTGGAGTCTCATCCCGGTTGGTCAGGTATGGTCAGGTATGGTCAGGAATGGTTACGCAGCCTTCTCGAGGCGGCCGGGCCAGGCGTCCAGCTAGGGGTGGTATTTTTGAATTCCAAAATTTCATATATTACATGGGTTATTAGGGTTTAAATTTCGCACGAAAAAAAACCACATTGAAAATTGGAAATGTACTAATAAACCAGTATCCACCCAATATCCTACCTGGGAACGCAAAAACCTAAGAGGCGAAAGATCCTCATTACTATTGGCCGAGACCCTCGCTCACTTTGCCTACTTTTATGTTAGCGCGCCTGGGAGAAAAAGGTGAAAAGTGCAATGGCAACATTTCCTGTAATATTTCACCAGCCCTACGTCCAGCGCCCGTCAGCCCGCGTCTCGTCCTGTCACAAAAGCTGTTGCGCAGCTCTCCGCATCCCAGCGCGCATCCCGATAGTAGTATTACCTCCATCCGCATCCGTCCCCCGTCAGCCTCTGTCCATCCACTTTCCACTTCCAACCCGCCCAGAAATCCCGTGGTTTCTCGGTTGCCCTCTTTTTTCCCTCTTTTCTCCTCTTTCTCTTCTTCCTTTACTACCGGCCTTCCCTCTCCTTCTCTCCTTTCCTCCCCATTTTCTCCCACGCTCAGTCAACCATATACTTCACCTCGTCCTTGCGATTCCTTTACCTTTCCTTATACACTCCCTTTGTTACCTGATACGCTCAATTGACCACCTAGGCCTGTCGCCGGCATCACGTACTCCCCCTACCGCACGGCCTACGCTCCAGACGACCATTGACTGCAGTCTATAAGGCTCATCTTGTGATCTATAGGTTACTATAGCTCATTGTGTCCAGCTTACCTCACAGAGACGGATATCTTCCAGCATCGTTTGCGGACCTTTCACCACCACCGTCATGGGTCCAATGCTCTTCAACTCCGGCTCCGATGGCCCTGCCATGGTCCTTCCTCCTTCCCAAGACCACCCCTTCGCTCAATTCCCTTCTCATGCCACGCCTGACGCTGCCTTTGGAAGCCCTGGAGGCTTTGCCGCTGGCCCCAGTGCGTTCTCCCTAAATAGCCACCAGCAGAACTCTCCCAAGCTGGGTGTCAACCACACGTGGAAGCCTGCTTCATCTTCTCCGTCGGGATACGTCAACCCTTCCCGGAAGCGCACACGCTCTGATTTCGCCGACGAAGCCAACGATGACTCGTATGGGAACGCTGGCGCGGTGGCCCCTGCTCCTGCGCCAGAGCCTGTGCCGGCAGAAGAGCCCATTTACGGTGAAGGCATGGTGCTGCTCAACCCCCGTACTGGCCTGGCGCTCTCTGCAGAGAGCCAGACTGGCACCTGGTACGAAGAGACAGTCGAAAAGGCCGTCGCATCGGCCCCTCCTGTTTCTTCCAGATCCACCACGCTACGCGCAGACGCGTCAGATATCCCCAGCCGCAAATCCCAGCGCCTCGATCTGTCGGCGCCTGGCTTCGACGATATTACTCTCTCCACGATCCAGAAACGACTTCATTCTTCGACCAGCGAAGAAGAGCATCGCCGCACCCTCAACGCTTCCAAGAATGGATCACCCAACGAACCCCAGATCGACAACTTCACATATCTTCTCGGAATTAGCTGGCAGAAAGTCGACCACGACGGTGACATGGCGCCTGCTGTACGCGGTTGGGAGAAGTACATCGACAACCACTACGCCCGTCACCTTCAGGGGGCTCAGATTCTGTTGAAGAACCGTAGCATGAATGTGTATTTGGTCGCAGCGCGATCGCTCACGCAGGCTACTTCGTCGACCAGCGGCGCTGGTGCATCCTCTTTCTATCTCTTCAGTGATGATCTTGCCCAGGGTCAGCTCGTTGGGTCAAATTGGGAGACCTGCTTGCAGAATCTTCGATCCACGCCCATCACTTTCGAAGGAACCGAGGTCCTGAGAGCCATGGAGAAGACTCCTGACCGACTAGTCGAGAGCCAAGCAACTCCTATCAACGGCTCCGCGTGGCACGGCATTCCCCAGGCGTCTCCGGCCGGCGGCGTCGGCTTTGGTAACGAGAACGGCGGATTGAACGGAGGAGCGGGAATGGGAACGGGTATGGACATGGACATGTAAAAAAAATTCTCGATTTCGACATTTTTTTCGACATTTTCGGGCGGCTACTTTTCGTCTTCTCTTTCTTCGACGGCGTTCTCGGCTCGCCAAATTCGCTGAAACTCGATCACGACACCTACGTAAACCTCAGGAGTCGTATCTTTTATTTGCTCTTCCTTTTTTCTTTTTCTTTTTCTTTTTCTTTTTCTTTTTTTTTCTTTTTTTTTTTTTCTTGCTATATGTTCTGCGCTGCAGAACAATCTTTTCTATTCGAATTGTTCCAGGATCGGTGTCAGGCGCGTAATATGCCATTTCGTCAATGACTCAATTGTCATTATTGTTTTCCCTCTTATTCGACGACACAGGAGAAATCGAAGAAATGAAAATATGAATTAAGAGTATCTCTTTTCCACTCCACTGTAGTTACAATCCACTCTTAGTCCGGTCCAGTAAGAACATCATTTAACTACTGCGCGTCATTGTGTTTTTCCCTCTTAATTCCTTAGCGCGACTTGTCCGGTTTCTTAAGGTCGAGACGCGGTGGTCCGAGCTGCTAACTCGCGTGGGTTCCAGTTGATACCGTATGCCCAAGGCAGTAATCAGGACTTAGAGTAGTTAACTAAGGCATGGATCCTTTATCCATCCATCATCCTACCGTATTATTATTCATCTGCTTGTTTACTGGTTTATCCTCGTCCAGAAGTAAAAGCAGAGTGTGATTGATTATAGATATCAGTGATCAGTTATGCAATTGCGAATTTATCGTCTTTTGGTAACTATTACAATATAGGATAGTTATATGTTTCGATTACCTTAACTTGGTGAACTAACTACGTGGACATTCGCATCTGTGTCCTACATACATGCATACATACTTAAATATCTAGAGCAGCTCGGTCCAATGGGAGTAAGAGTTCCCCAAGATGTATATTAATATTTCATTGGGTTCAAGAATTGCCTCTTAACGATAGTTAGAGCAAGTATGTTCCACCTCCAAAGGTAAGCAGTAGCCAAGGGTAGGCGGGACGCTGAGTATACATAGATAGGCAGGGCCAAGCAAAGTGCTCCCCCCCGGCCAGCGGATGAGAGTCATGAACCCGATTAAGAATACAGCAAGGATGCAGACCAGCTGCATCAGACAATCACGAGGGTCGTTTCAGTCACTCCCGTAATCATAATCACTACCTCCGTCGTAGTAATCTTCTTGATAGTTTCCTGCAAAGGCGGCTTCGAGACCGTCGTCATCCACGTCGGCTTCATCCATATCCTCCTCCTCCTCGTCGTCTGAGTAGTCGTTAGGATCGTGTACGAGGCGTTCGGTCGGTTGCTCCGGTTCGGGGAGCGAACCGAGGACTTCCTCGTTGGCGTCTGATGGCTTCTCTGCTGGTGCAGCCGCAGCAGTGGCCATTCCCTGAGGTTTGGCTGGGACTTTTGCTGGTGCTGGTGCTGGTGCCGGGGTCGTCGTAGTTGGCTTCGTGGCAGCAGGTGTGGCGAGTCTTGAGCGTGAGCGTCTTCCGGCCGTCTCTGGTTCCACGCTTTCGCTGCGACGGGAGAGGATACTCTGGCTTCGACTGGAGCGACTGCGGCTCTCGCTCTCAGCCTTCGATTTAGCGGCCTCTTCCGCCCCTTCTTCTCCGTATAGAGATTCCAAGAGTCGGTAATTGATCTTCTTACTGAACCCTCTCTTCTCCAGCATGCGGCGTGTCGCCTCCGCAGGAGTGGAAGCGCGTGTGCTTCTTCCCTCCTCATCTTCTCCTTCCCCTTCGAGATATGTAACATCGCCCAGCCGCCCTCTGCGCCGCTTACGAGGCTTCCCACCGCCTGAAGTGCCGTTTGCTTCTGCCAAGGCTTGCTTGAGCGCCTTTGCCTGCTGCGTCCGCAGGTAGTCCTTGTTTTCGTGCACCCAGATGCGCTCCTTGATTTCTACCTCTGCCGATGAAAGGAGACAGTTGGCGACTTCTGGATCATCTTCAAATTCGGCGGAATCAATTTCTGCGCTTTCTGATACAGGGCCCCTTGGCGGGAGGGCACTCGGGACAGGCTCCTTGGAAGAATCCATAGCGGTTTCAACCATATTCGATCCTTTCGACAGCAGCGCTGTCATTTCATTTTCCAGGGCATCTTCTGCTGCTATCTGCTCAGCGCTGGGAGGCACAGGCGGCGCATTCTTCGATCCCTTCGGTCTACCTAATTTCGGCCTGGACGACTCAGCGGCGTCAGTCTCCCGTTGGCCTGCGACTTCGGAAACAACTTCGTTGACCGCTGCGGTCACTGAGGACTTTCGAGTTGTGTCCATAGCAATAAGCGCGGGGTCAATCGGCGGGTCAGGTATAGCAAAACCATCAGCGTCCACGCGTCTCTTCTGAGCTGGCGGTGGAGAAAGCTCCTCATCAGACTCATCTCCTTCTATCTCCGCAGCTGTCTCCGCGGACTTCCTCTTTAGACTCTTGCTCGGTTTTTTCCCTTCTCTCGCCTGAGTGAAAGAGGGGGGATCGTGCGCATTCTCAAGCTGAACGGAGCGGAACTGGTCGACGGTCAATTCTCCACTCTCCGTTGAACTGAATTCATTCAGACGTTGGTTTATAGTAATTTCGGTGACCTTGACAACGTAGACGACCTCTCGTACTGTCCGGCGGAAGTTGTTCATTCTCGCGGCTAGAATCAAGGCAGCGCCACAGATACCCGCAGGGCGTCTGCCAGTAGTCATCCAATCTCGATTCATTCGTTGAACGATCCGGACGGCCTCACTAGCCACCTGCATCATAGACGATCCAAACTCGAGCTGCTTCGCAAATCGATAGATCAAGCTCTCCGGATCGATAGGGTTCATCAGGAAGACATTTCCCCCCAGCCGTAGCTCTTCCAAGAGGGCCTTGTATGCACGTCCCAGTTTGAAGACGTTGATCATGAGGACATCCGCAAAGTCAATAAGCATGACTGTATTGCCATCCTGCCGTCGACAGGCGATGTATAGACAGACTGCTGCAACGGTTTTCGTGCGACGACCTTGGATGAAGTTTAGTCCCACGGCCAGCTTGAAGACCTGCCCTGCAGCTTTGGTGGCGCTTTCTGGGATGGTCAGAGCCCGCGAGAGTTGATTGATATATCGGTTACCGTTTTGTTCCGTGATTTCGCGGCTCTCCATTCCACCTCCCCGCTGAAAGCCGGGCCCGTAGCTCCTGACATGAGATTGATCAGCGCCAACAAAGGTACCCTGGACCATCGCCGCTCCTGACGACGTCTCTCCAAAGGTGACTTCAGACACGATGTTCGATTCACTGATGACAGTACCACATCCCGAACAGACCTTCTGCCCGTCGTCCTCAACGATATGAGGAGCGGGACACCCTGGATTGGGACAGGTCGTTGTCTTCGGGTGTGTCGTTGGCTTGCCCGGCTGAGGTCGTGCGACGGCCTGTGGACGTCTGATAGGAGTTGGATTGGGGCCCTTCAGACTTGCCAGGCGGCCGACTGGTGCTCTAGGCCCGACCCTGGGAGGACCTCCTGGCCGCACGATCGGCTTGGGAGCCGACATGATGGATATAGAGTTGGTCGAAGAAAAACAGTATAGTGAAATACAAGGTTGGTATGGATGGAAACAAGGATATCAAATTATGACTGTCCGCAAGCGCAACACATTTTAGAACAGTGTCTTATCGGATCACATGGAAAGACAGTGCAGGAGCATCCACTGTTACAGGCGACCAAGAAGCACGATCAGTCTTGAATCAAACGAAGATAACCATAGGCGGTTTATAGATCGATAGATGCGTTGGACGCGGAGCTGGGCGGCGACTCCCAAGTGCGGGCGAAATCTCTGCCGGTGGAGATTCGGTGGTCCAGCGGCTGTCGCGGGGGAGGTCACGTGCGTGTTCCTCGTCGAGCGCGCCACTCCAACGGCTCTCGTTCGATTCCCGGCACAGACAGTCGAATTAATCGGTTGATTCGAACGAGAGAGATGTCGATTATTAGACTAGTTACTATTGCTACTTAATATCTCTTCCAGAAAGGGCCGATAACTATGTCTCCCCTAAGCTCAAGTTAAGTAACCAGCCAGTATGACCAACATATGATCCGTGGTCGCCGCTGCAGAAAGTTAGTTGTGTTACAACTGGCCATCACGCTTCATTCTTGACCGTTTTGTGCGACCGTGATCATACCAAGCTTCTGTGCAGGAGGGCAGCAGGAGATTAATTCCCCGAATCTTCAGCATGGACCACGTCTTCAGTTCAGCCCTCTGTTGGAACTTGGAGGTGATCGCCTGGATGCCCTGACTCCGATCCTGGAATGCGCTGGCAGCACCATCATCACGTAGGTCTGCTATCACAGGATAATACATAGTCATCCATTTGCCCCCTGTGGTCCTTTAATTCTCGACTGCATTCATAGATCCAACAGTATGTAGGCGCTATCTGGTAGCGTCTTCATCCTTCAAGATGCGCTCTTACCGCTATTTGCTGAACCGATTGTTCGAGTGCGCGATTTGTGCGTATTTTCCTGAACCCGGCGGAGCGACTATGACTGCAATTTACGCAGAAAGAGCGCATTTGCGGCCCTTTCTCCCAGCTTCTTTCTACGTTATTTAGATTTCATAGCACTATCATCCAACACTTTTCTTCTTCTCGTGCTCATCACTGTTCCTATCCTTGTATAATCTCGCGGCACAAACACGGCTGTTCTTTTACGAGACGATACTTACGTCACGCTCTAAGCTGAGAACCCTCTCTCTATCTCGCTTTGAAGGGCTTCAGTCCCTTGAGGTGCTGTTCTTTTCTTACAGGAAACTGAACGCTCGCACTATAACTCCTCATTTCCCACCAATACTGGATTGAGGAGCTCCAGTTGTGGTATTTCCTGGCCTTGCTGGCCTTACATTCCTCGCCTCTCCGCATCCCGGAATGTCAGCGACAATGGATATCAAGCGACCTGAATTGAGGTCGGCTATATCGGCAACCAAGCCATCTCAGATGTTGATCGGATCCCACAGACGCGATATTTCGGATAAAGGAACCCTGACCACCGTCCTCCTGGTGAACAACGTTCACTGCGCATCATGTGTGGCCTATGTTGAAGAAGTCCTGTCCGGAATGTCATCAATCAAGAACGTAGATGTCTCGATCCTCACCCATGAAGTACGAGTCCGTCATGGCTCGACCACCGGAGCTTCAGACCTGCCTATGGCCCTGATCCATGCGGCCTTCGAAGTCCACCACGCAACGACTTACGATCAGGAAGGTCGTCCAATTTCTGACATTGATACATCTGACTGGGATACCACGCGTCCCAGGACTCCACGGAGGCCATCTTCGTGGATACCTTCCAATCCTTCTACCAGACCTGAACAGCCACGGGCGAAAAGCAGACAAACAATACATATCGAGAACTGCGAAGCGTGCCGAAAAGAAGAACTTGGAAAATCTATTCATCCTTCACAGTCATTGGGCGCACTTGACACCAAGAAGAGGGCATTGGATGATGGCACCATTCCATTGTTTTGTCACCAGTCTCTGTCGAGTTGTGAAAAGGAGACAGAAGATCTGCTTTCTCCAGTCGTATCTACACACTCAGATGACCACAAAGAGCACTTGCCGCAGACAGACAATACCCACCCTACAGAAGAAGTCCACGCCGATTCCAAGATATCAGAAGATGCAACAAAGGAAACGAGTACTTCCCACTTAACTGAGGCCGCTGAAGAGTACGAAGCCCGCCTCAGCATAGGCGGAATGACATGTGCTTCATGTTCCAACGCCGTTACGAGTGAGGTTCAGCAGCTGGACTGCGTTAAGAGCGTTACTGTTAACCTACTCACAAACAGCGCTACCTTGGCATTTACCGGCCCGAAGGAAAACATAGACAAAATCATAGAGCAAATAGAAGACATCGGTTATGAAGCATCGCTTTACGAGCTTCATGCCAAGCGCCGACCTTCGCCGGAAGAGTACGAAGCGCGGATCAGCATCACTGGAATGACTTGTGGATCGTGTTCCAGTGCAGTTACCAGAGAAGTGGAACAGTTGGATTTCGTGAAAACGATCTCTGTTAACCTGTTGGCTCATAATGCGACACTGACCTATACTGGCCCAAAGTCGAATATTGACGAGATCACACGCCACATCGAAGGTATTGGCTACGAAGCTTCGGTTGACGAAGTAAAACCGAAGTCAAGATCCGGGAAAGAGCCGACTACCTACATGGCAGAGATCAGTATCGGTGGCATGACCTGTGGATCCTGTGTCGGTGCAGTCACCCGTGGCCTCGAAGAACTGCCCTTTGTTAAAAGCGTTGCGGTAGACCTTTTGTCCAACAGTGGCAAGGTTGAGTTTGAGGGAAGAGATAACCTGGATAAGATCTCAGAGAAAGTTGACGATCTGGGATATGACTGCTCAGTGGTCAATTGCCATCCCGTGGATCCCAATGGAGACGAAACAACCGAAGTGTCGACAACTAGGACGGTCATGATCCGTGTCGACGGATTATTCTGCCATCACTGTCCTGAGAAAGTAGCCGAATCATTGGAGGTGTTCAGAGGTGACACTTTCGACTTTGAGATAGAGCAAATGCTGTCCCTCAATGACCCTATCCTGAAGATTACCTATACACCGGCACCCCCGACACTCACCATTCGAAGCATTCTTTCGGCAATCCAGGAGGCCAACCAGGCCTTCACACCAAGCATCTATCATCCTCCTAGCATCGAGGATCGTTCACGTGCGATGCAACTACATGAGAGGCGCCGGTTGCTGTCTCGTGTATTCTTTGTATTCCTTGTGACTATACCTACCTTTTTAATCGGGATTGTGTTCATGTCATTGGTGGCACCCACGAACCCGATTCGTAGATATCTTGAAGAGCCAATGTGGGCAGGTCGAGTATCTAGGAACGAGTGGGCACTTTTCATTATGACGACTCCAGTGATGTTCTACGGCACCGATGTGTTCCACGTCCGAGCCATGAAGGAAATCCGCGCTCTTTGGCGGCCTGGCAGCAGGGTTCCAATTCTGCGGAGGTTCTATCGATTCGGAAGCATGAATCTCCTTATTTGCGCAGGCACTATGGTCGCTTATATATCGTCTCTCGCGGTTTTGATCATTGACGCCGTGGTCAACACTCCTTCAAGCAGACAGAGCTCGACATACTTCGACTCCGTTGTCTTCTTGACTCTCTTCATTCTTGCCGGACGTTTTTTGGAAGCGTACAGTAAAGTAAAGACGGGTGATGCTGTTGCCTCCCTTGGGAAGCTCAGACCTTCAGAAGCTTTGCTTATTACCGACAATACGGATCGATCGGACAACCAAGCGGAAAATCCCCAAGGGCGGAAAATGCAACGAGTTAGTGTCGACTTGCTGGAAGTTGGTGATAGGGTTAATGTCCCCCACGGAGCCTCTCCTCCAGCGGATGGCACTGTTGTGGGCAGTGGCTCGTACCGGTTTGACGAAAGCTCCTTGACTGGAGAATCAAGGCCAGTTCACAAGGCAGAAGGTGATAAAGTCTACGCAGGTTCCGTCAACCTTGGCCAGCCGGTGTCAGTGGTAGTGACCGAACTAGGAGGTACCTCGATGCTTGACCAAATTGTTGCAGTCGTCAGGGAGGGCCAGAGCAAGCGAGCTCCATTGGAGAGAGTGGCTGATATACTAACTGGATACTTTGTCCCCGTCATCACCCTCATAGCCATACTCACATTCATCATCTGGCTTTCTCTTGGGGAATCTGGTGTTTTACCAGCCGACTACCTTGACGTCGCTCAAGGTGGATGGGCGTTTTGGAGTCTGGAGTTTGCTATCTCAGTCTTCGTCGTAGCATGTCCTTGTGGATTGGCACTCGCCGCCCCAACAGCCCTCTTTGTCGGTGGAGGTTTGGCCGCGAGACATGGTATCCTTGTTAGGGGAGGTGGTGAGGCGTTCCAGGAAGCAAGCCGCCTTGACGCTATCGTCTTCGACAAGACTGGTACCTTGACCGAGGGGGGAAGTCTGAAGGTATCCGACCACGAGGTTCTTGTGACTGACACCGAGGATGAACAAGTCGCCTGGGCGCTTACACGGGAGTTGGAAGACAGCAGCAACCACCCTATTGCAAGAGCCATCTCCGAACTCTGCAGTACAAAGGCCCGAATTTCGATAATATCATCTGACATCCACGAGATATCCGGTCAAGGAATGAAGGGTATCTTCACTGTCTCCGTTGCTGGTGCTACAAAGCAAAACAAGTACGAAGCAGCTATTGGGAACGAACGGCTTCTTAAGTCTCTTCCTTCTTCTCATACGGATACCTACTACCTTGAAAACCTACTCTCCCGATATCAATCCGCTGGAAAGTCAACTGCTATACTTTCTCTTCGCAAAATATCGGATGCAGAACCGGATACTACCTTTACTCCAGCTATTGTGTTCGCGACGTCCGACCCTATACGCGCTGACGCTGTGGAAGTTATTTCTCAACTTCAGGAACGCCATATCAACGTATTCATGTGCACGGGAGACAATCAAACGACCGCACACGCCGTTGCCGCTACCCTTGGAATTCCACGTGAAAATGTGATGGCAAATGTCATGCCTAACCAGAAGGCCGATTTCATCCGCGGAATCCAGCAAGGAGGCTCCCAGGATGATGCAGAAGGCACATTCCAGAACACGAAACAGTCTAAGAGGACGATCGTAGCTTTCGTAGGCGACGGAACAAACGACTCACCAGCTCTCGCGGCCGCGGACGTCAGCATCGCCATGGCTTCTGGCTCCGACGTCGCGATCAACTCCGCCAGTTTCATCCTTCTGAATTCCGAACTGACAACAATCCTGAAACTGGTTACCCTCAGTCGCCGCGTTTTCCGTCGCGTCAAGATGAACTTCGGCTGGGCAGCCATCTACAACGTTAGCCTGGTGCCTATCGCGGCCGGCGTTCTCTACCCCATCGTCAGCGGAACGAAATACGAAATGCTCAATGGCAAGATGACGCTAGTCAACGAACACTGGCGGTTCAGCCCTGCATGGGCAGCCTTGGCTATGGCGCTGAGCAGTGTCTCGGTTGTCTGTAGCAGCTTGGCTCTTAGAATTGAAGGGAAGAATATCCGGAAGTTCTTCGGGATGACGGATTGAAAGAAATGGCATAATTCCACATGAAACTTTCACCCGTGGCCTGAATGCTGTTTTGTGCATATTCAATGTCTTACGCCTATAATGATAACGATGTGGCATAAAATCCAAATTTCGATGCGTCATACCCATACGGAAAGTGGCGTGCTATGTGGTAGGGGGCGATTATGCGTTCATATTATCAATGTCTTCGTTGGGCATCTTTTTACTACTACGAATCGTTACCATATGGTGTATTAATGTATTTATCTACAATAGCCCAAATGGGGATATGTATGAATCGTCTGATTAATGATACTATACTTGTTCATAATAAGAGAGGTTCCGGAACCAGTGTGATCGCTACACTCATTGCGTATCGAGTAGATGAGGGACAAAGTAGTTGTCTATTAAGTGTAACCGTTCGTTAATGTAAAAGCACTCTATGATCATTCAACCGGAACCGGGTTCTCCCCATATCTCCGCAAGCTTTTTACTCAGCACTTTCGCGATCTTCTTTCTCCCCACAATTGTCTTCATCCGCTCGGAGATCATTTCTTCCTTCTCCTTCGGATCAGCTAGCGCCTCGAATGCCTCGATGAAGTCCCGCGGTGTTTTCCACCGTCGCTGGATCTCGAGAGCTTTCTCGCCCGTCACGCCACGGGTGCACATGAGCATTTTCAGGAAGACATCACGCAATGATAGGACGTCGGACTTTGAGGTGAGGGCGGAGAAAGTGACGAAGGTGATGGCAATAGTGGTGTGTGGGTTTTCTGTTCGAAGGCGGTTGAGAGTAGGTAGGTATGACTCGGAGGAGAGGTCGTGACTGGACATGAAAGCGAGAGAAGTGGGCGGGTTCACGGCGGTAGATGCGTTCGTTGCTGTTTCGGAAGGTGGTTCGTACATGCGTCGTAGAAGAGCGGTCATACGGGCCAAATAACGGATTGAGTCGTCGAGATTTCGGGTCTTTTTGACGAAGTAGCCATTGACTACCTGCGTCGACGCGATGGCTGATGATACTAGCTCTTGGTACTTTGCCGCGGAAGGATGGCTTGAGTCGTGCGTGATAGCGAATTCTTCGATTAGGTAGACGACATTTTTCATCCCTGAACGGCGGAGACGGAATTTCTGCTCGTGAAATCGTCCGTCTTTGATGGAACCGATGAGGTCGTCGAGCCGCTTCCGCTCCACGATCCAATCCAGCATTATCTCGTCGCCTTCCTCACCAAACCGGGATAAATAGTGAGGATCGTGACATTTTGCTACCCAGATAGCGTCGCCAAGTTCCAGAGCACGGACTTGGGGTACGATGCCCTTTTTGCGTAATTCGGTGGAGATATAATCTCTGTCTGTAGATGTCCGGACTTCACGGGTGTCCAGAACCAGCTGGACGGTGAAGCTTCCGGGAGGGAGAACGATCGTTCTGACGCGAGGATCTCCAGGTGCTCTTGTGGGTGGATTCTGTACCAACTGAGGACCAGTCGCTTGATATTCCGTAGGCAGTGACGGCGGACGCGATTCAGACCCTAACCGTACAATATCCGGGCCTTCGTCCAGCGCGACGGATGGTGTTGCTGTATTCCTAATAGGTTGCTCAGCTCTTAAGGTTGTGCTGGGTGCGACAGGTTCATTGGGACGCGTTTCTAGAGTCTTTTTAATCCTCTTGGCGACCTCCCACCCTTCTTCTGTCAGAGCATACTTCCTCAGCGGTCGCCCGTGCTCGTAGACTAGATCCTTCTGGATGAGGGTCTTCATCGAGTTCCAGGCCGTATAGAACTTAGTAGGATCACTGGGAGCTGTGAAAGAAGCGTCACAATAAGGCTGAGCTGCTTCGATGAGCTGCGCCTTGGTCATGCTCTGGGACGAATTCTCGTTCAGAGTTGCCAGGCCTATGAGTAAAGCATATGGCCCAGAGCGTAAGGCCGGAACATACGGCTTTGCTTTCTTAGGCCTCTTGACCGGTTCAGAATCTGGTAAGTTCTCTCCTGAGGGCCGCTTGTTCGCTATTATCTGTTAGCAGGACTCACAACTGGAAACAGCAGATATACCCTTGTGCGGCGGTTCTGGCATTGGGAGCCCATTCTGCTCACAGTATGCCTTTAACTTCTCCGTCAGACGCTCACATAATTTGGGACCCAGGCCATTGAGCTGCTGTGCTTCAGACGGATGGCTGAAAACTAGAGGACATGCTTTCATCGAATCATATGCTTTCTTGTATCTGGAATCGAGTCAGTGCATGATAAATAGAGAATATGCCTGAGTATCAACCATACACAGTGAATCCTTTGCTATTGCGCTCTCTGGCTTGTTCCAGCCATTCCTTGATCCACCCTAGCAACAGAGGGTTTGCGCAGGTATCTGCCATCCTGATATCGTGAGCAAGTCTATGTGGATCTATATTGGGGTCTCATGCTAGCACAGTCTCCATGCGACGGATCTCTCCGTGACATCGGCCGAGCCACGCAGATGGAGCACCGTATCTACTAGCTGAGCGCTCTAATCGAACAGAGACCGACGGGCCTTCGCGGATAAAGAGGCGATACACGCGTTGGCGGCACGTGGTCACGTGGGTGAGAGCGCACTCACCGCCCACTGGGGTTAGCGCGAGTTTCAAAAATAGATCGAGTCTACCATAAAGTCCGACTATGGTATGAGGGGATCTTGATATCAGATCAGCATTTGCAAGATGACCGCATGTGGATCCATTGCATCTTACGTCTTGATCGATGGCATCTGGCAAAAAGAGAAAAGACAGCCGACCAGGCCATTCGAATGGCATACTGGAATCTTGGATGTCAACGGGAGGGATGACGTCGATTACCCACCATATCATGGCCAAGACGGAGGCCTCCTTGGTACTCCTCAGGGCATGGGTATATTATGACCGGGAACGTCTCTATAAATACAATCCTCGTCTTAGTAGGACCCTTAATGTCCTATTTGCCGGTGTACAACGAGTGATCTGCAGGACACAATATGTCAACTCCTCCGCCTGAGATGGCTGCGGCCATACCACGCGACACACTCAATGAGAGCAAGAGCAACAATGCAGCGTCCATGGCTGCTGCTTCCCCAGGAGGGACAGTACAGGATACGATGCCGACAGACAGCCATGCGCTGGCGGTGGAGCAAATCCACCCTGACCAGGACGAAAAGGGCATCGTACAGAAAGCTGGAGCAACGACTGGTTTGACGGATGTTGGATGGAATCGACGACCGGATGATGTTGACAGCCCCCTTGTTGCGGGCTGGTCCAACGAAGATCTCTGGATGTTGATCAGACGCTTCAATAAGGTATGCATATACTTGTCAGTCACGGTGTAGCACACAACAAGCAGGGCTGATCCATTGGCAGCAAATATACCGTGTCAAAGCAGTTCCAGAGCCCCCGATGGCTGCTCTTGATCTCAACGTAGCCGACGATGAAGAGTTTTCACCGGACAAGCTCAGAAGCAAGCTGGAGCGACTTTATGTCACAGTGATCGTGTCACTCATTGCCGCGGGAAAGCATATAGTGCGGTTGCGCTCCTGGAGGGAGCCACGCCGAACGGCGGCATTTTGCGCGGTACGTAGAACACTATCTGCGATACTCTAATATTTTGCGTCTGACTAATTGCTCTTTTCTAGGTCTACTTTCTTGCCTGGCTCTTGGACCTCCTGACTCCTACTCTCCTCGGTACAGTCCTAGTTTTGATCATGTATCCGCCTTCCCGGAAACTGTTGTTCCCTCCGGCTCCATTGGCTCTCGTCGACTCCAAGACAGGATCGGTTAAGACTCCCAAGGCAGGAGTACTAGGCTCACATGATAGTGTGACGGGTGCCCCAGAGAAGCATCGCGGGGAGGCTGTCGAGCAAGAGGCCAGCAACCTCGTTTCCAGTGTAGCTAGTGTGGCCGTGGGAAGTGCTGTTGGAAAACATGATCAAGGGACACCAGAAGATGATCCTATTGAAGGATCAGCACCGGACCCCACGGATGTTGTTGCCTCGTCGGCAGATGCAGCGAGTGCTGGTCAAGGCGCAGTCCCATCTGATGCCCACGACAAGACTAGGGAGCCAATGAAGAAAGAAGTCTGGGAAAAGGTGCAGCCAGTCATGCGTATTCTGAACGATGTCTGTGATACCTGGGAAAAGTTTGAAAAGTATGTTACAATCGAACACACTTGAATGGACAGTTACTGACTGTTATCATAGCGCACTTTCTCCAAAGCCGCCATTCTCTAAATATGCTCCCCTACAGTTAGCAGGAGTCCTGCTCCCTGCTTTCTTGGGTTCTCTCGTGACACCATGCTATGTGTTTGTCAAGATGAGCACATTCTTCGTTGGCTTTGGTTTCTTTGGAGACCCGATCATCAGACGCGGTATGACGATGTTGAACCACAGGTTCCCGCACTGGGAAAAACTCCTGGAGTTGCGAAAGTAAGTCAATATACCATGCTACTGGACTTGATCTAGATCGTAAATCTAACATAAATACAGCACACTTCTCAAGGGGATTCCCACCAATGCTCAGCTTGCGATTACTCTTCTTCGAATCGGCGAAGCGAATGGTGCTCCACTCCCACCTCCTCCTGGCTCCGAGCTGGAAAGGGCCCCATCGCGGCCTGCTTCACTGAACAAGGAGGAAATTCCTTTGGACGCTTCGCACCACGAGATTGAACAAGCCGCAACTGGACAAACAGCCGAGGCCAAACAAATCACTGGATCTGGAAACGACCAGAAATCGCAACAGGGAGGCAAGCAGAAGAAGGGATTCATGTCGTCAGTTGTAGCATTCATCAGAGGAACTACTGCCAAGAGCATGGAGACTAAGCTTGCTGTGGACCGTGCAAGGGCTGCTGTTGGTTCCAAGAACGCAAAGAATCATATTGGTGTCCTCTCCCTAAAGGGTCAACAGCCGGCGCCTGGCGGGCCTGTCGAATTCGAGGCTAGATATAAGGGCAAACGTGGGGCGATCGTCGTCGATACATCCAAAAAGCCAGCCGTTGTTTATTTCACCACCAAGCCAGTATCAGAATCTGAACAGTTTGACCAGAACAAGAAGAGCGAGAAAGAAGTTCTCTTTTCGATGCCTATCGATGATATTCAGGAACTGAAGAAAGTCGGAGGTATTGGATGGAAAGGAAAACTCCTCGTCGGATGGGCAGAAAGGCACAAAGAAGTCATCGATGGCTTGATCCTTAGTGGCCCAGACCCGCAACGATCCTATCATGTCACCGCTATGAAGTCAAGAGACTACCTCTTCAATCGCCTGATTGCAATTAACGGTCAGGTGTGGCAGACATATTGATCTGGCTACACTCTTCGGAGCTATACATGTACTTTTATGAATATGAGATATGATGACCTCAGATTTAGCATCTGTACTTCCATAATGAAAACCCACCGACTGTGATTTTAAAGAGTTTTCCCATGAAGATTTATGCGCACAGTAGTCGAGGTAATGATAGTAGTTGTTATTTTTTTTATTTGATGTAGCTTCTCGATTGCTATGCAAGCATTTCCTTGACTTTGTGCTGATACGCCATTGAAACCTATCTCCAAACTGATCTGTCCACCTGAAGATGTTGTCAAATGTAGCTTATAAGCCGTTACAAGCCTCTGGGTCGCGCTTGAAATATTGATACCACCGAAAATGAATCGACCCGGGACTCATTAATCACTCAAACTTGAAACCAATACCTTACCCGTTGCAGATCAGGAAGTGACAATCTGTGTCGTTATTATGAAGGCTCCTGGTGGCCAATACTCGCAACCCTACTCATACCTGGCTCTGCATGTCGCCTTGCACATTCCAATTTGCTATCTTAAGCAAATTATTCGACCTTCCATCACTTTTTAGCCTTCTCTCCACGATTCAGCTATACCATATAGTTCCAGACCATCTACTACTTCTCTAGTACTGGATCATATCATTCTCGAGTGTCTCTGCTTCTCGGATAACTCTTCACTAATACTTTAACAGCACGAATGCTCTTATCATTTGAACGTCAGATGCACACATGATCCCACTGGCCCTTCCTGAACTATCTCTATAGATTCACCAGAGACTCGTTACTTACTTCTTTACCACCAAATCCATTTCAGACAGAAGCCAAAACCGTTAACTTCTCCTATCTGTCGTACTCCCACACCCTTTATTCCAGAACCACTACTCCCTAAACATATCACCAAAGATGGAAAAGAGCGAATATCCTGTTTCCATCCCAGACGAAGACTACATATCGTGTCCCTTCCAAAAGACGCTTGAAAGTTATTTCGCGGGAGACGCGATGGACCAGGTCCCAGAGGACAATGCTGTTGAACATACCAGCATGGACGAGAGTGGGATGCCATTTCCCGAGCCAACCGACTCCAACTATCACAAGACCGATCCCAACGGCGATATAATACTGGTCCTTAACATGATCTGCCCAGATACGAATGAACCGACGAAAATGAAGCTTCAAGTCTCATCATCGTTCCTCGCATCGGGATCTCTTGTCTTTCAAACCATGTTCACAGGGGGCTTTGAGGAGGCGCACCGCCTGCGAGAGAATGTAACCTCTGGAATCAAAACGGAGATCTATCTTCCAGAAGACAACGCAGAAGCCATGAAGGAGCTCTGCGAGATCATACACCACCGAGAAACCAAGTCCGATTCCGTCGTGTCGCGCAGTCTCGACTCAGTTTGGGAGACGATCATACTCGCCCAGAAGTACGACTGTCTTCGCCTGGTCGTCGATAGATTCGATTGTTACCTTTATCGAACGCAGAAGTGGATTAATTCCACTGATATGGAAGCGACAGTAAAGATTCTGGTGATGAGCTCTCTTCTCGGAAATAACATCGCATTCCGTGGAGCGAGCGAGGTCATTATCGAGAATTCGACTTGGTCACTGACTTGGATCAGAAGGTTTGCTCAGAGGGTGGGGGCGCCGTTGAATATTGATCGGCTTTGTGGTAAGTGCATACCTATATAATAGTGGCAGGATCGAGGAAGCGTGTACTTCATCCCTGGGACTGATAGAGAACTTATCACTCCGGCAGATGAAATCGAAAAGATCCGCGAGGAGCACCTATCGAAAATCTATCAAGGAATACAAGATATTGGAACATACATTTTGAAACAAGGTCATATTCCCGCCTCTCAAGAAGAATCTACCAGACTGAGCACCACGGAATGTCGAGCAGCAAGATGGCTAGCTCTCGGGGAGACCATGGATGCCGTCGGAATGTCTCCGTATGAGAGAAATGGAAACATAAAGGACATTCTACGGAAGATCAAGAAATGCGGAAGTATGAAGATTGGGGGTTGCATTGGACGCAAATGCAAGTGCAAGGCTCCCGATTTGGGTTCCAGAATGGTCAGAATGGTTAACTCCATCCATATCAAGGGCCTGGAACTATCAGACTTCAAAACTGAACAGATAGACAAGGAACCTGCCAGTTCAGTTTTGAGGATAAGGATGGATTGAGAGCGAACTTTTTTATTTTCCCTGTCTTCTTCTTCACCTATGGTTGTTTTCGATCTGTTTTCTGGTTTGGACGGATGATAATGACGATTTCCTTGCCCATTTGATTCATCTATTTTCAGGTGCTATATTTTAGATTGATATGCACGCCAAGAGTTTCCTTGACTCTCTCCTTGGATCTTGTTCTCACGCTGGCTTAATAGCATAATGCCTACCTTAGGTTAGGTAGTTAATGAAAAACCAAGCATATTTACGAACATGAAGGCCACCCGCGTACATTATGCGTACAACAGAACGCAGATCTAACTTTTCTGACAGACATCCTAAAGCAAAGCCCCAGGCAGTTTTTCTTCAAAACTATTGATCTTGGTAGAACAACAGTGTAGGTAGAACTGTACATACTTGATCTCATTGGTAGAACCTGCTCTGTCCCCACACTGAGATCCGAATTTGGCTTAGCGATTCTGACGGGTGTCACCGACTTGAAGACTCTCGTGCAAACTCCCAAACTGCCTATTAGGCACTTTCCTTGTGAATTTTCAGTAAATTCAGATAGTCCGAGATTGCTGTCGGAGATGACGAGCCCGTTCATAACATGGTAGGAACCCCGAGGAGTACAGGGTGCGATAATTGTCGGGTACGGAAGAAAAAGGTGAGTGACGTTCATCGATGCTTTGCAAAGATAAGCACGACCCTATAAGCATATCACGTACTGAAAGGTATGAGTTAAGTGCGGAGAGGAACGTCCTCAATGCCAGGCTTGTTTGGCCGCAGGATGGCCATGTCCTGGCTATGCGAGACGTTGGAAGTTTATCAACGAGAACCAGCAACTGGCTTCTTATTATCAGAAGAAGAGTTACATCTTCGAGGAAGTTGATACAGTGCCAAGTACTGTTGAAGATTGGAACCCAGATTATAATGATCTATATTTGTGGCCATACGGAAAGCTCTCGACATCGGCAGGTTTCGGTACATTCAGGCTCAACATACCTTGGCCTCTAACCTCCGAGCACGACCGAAGTGGCTCTCTGCTTGTCTACATCATAGAAGATCCGAAGAGCCAAGGACTATTCCCCATTAATTCCCATGGTGACTATTTCAGCTTCATACCCAGTCGTATCGGCCACAATGTTGCTCTTGACGCTTCCGTGTCGTGCTTATGCGGTCTTTTTATCGATGTTTTCACTGGCAATTCGACGATCTCGGAAACCGCCATCCGCCGGTATATGAGCAGTCTAAGATGTCTTAGAGAGTGCCTTGATGATGAGCGGAAGCGTTTGGAGTCCGAAACTATTTGCGCATCTGTCATTCTGCAATTGTGTGAGGTATGGTCCCCTTTGGTTTGATGTGTACTGAACGCTGGTTCCTAACTGGCGTCATCGCAGCTGGTAATGAATGCAGATAATGGGAGATGGAGTCATCTGTCCAGAGGTACAAAAGTCCTTATACGAGATTGCGGACCCGAGAGGTGTGCTGCTCCTTTTGAACGCGCCCTGCTTGAGTCGCAGCGAGCTTGGTTTGTGAGTGGTGCAATGTTCTTTCTATTGAAAATGGGATTATCATGCTAATTTATATCTAGATAATGTTAGATATGAGTGAAGGCCAAGAGTGTTTTCTCTCGCAATTGCAATGGCGCCAGTTGCTCCAGAGTCCGGCAGTATTTCCTATCAGTAAAGGGCCTCCAAGTCTGTCCCTACGTTCGAAGCTCTGTGATCTACTTGTGGACGGTCCGGACTTGCTTTCGGAGGCGTCGAAGCTGTCAATGCTGGAAGCCAGTGGTTTGTGCCGCAAATCCGAACTAGAAAGGCAACGTGATCATGTCATATACCGTGCCGTCTCGATGAAGCAGAGCATTGAGAGATGGTACATTGAGGAATTTGAACCATCGCTTTTAGCACATAGGCCTCTAGCCAACGCGTCTACGAAGGCCGTGCCACCATCCGATTTGCAATCCAATCTTGGCATCCCCAGATACCCTGAGGTTCTCTTCGGTGTCTTGGACTGCATCTCCAACTCTGTCTTGATTAGACTTGACGAGCTGCTGTTGTCACTCACAGCAGGATCGCTGGGAGGACATAATGGGTCTGCTGCTGCCGTTGACCCCGACATTACCGCGCAGCGACAAGAAACTGTGCGCACATCATTCGATTCTGTGCGGCAGAGTTCAAGAGTAGCCGCAAAGCCTCTTGAATTTGGAATGCGCCAGATCTGGTCAATCGGCCGCGTCTTTAATCAAGGCCAGACGTTTGACATATGAGAAGGTCTAGTGCTTTGCTTCGTGGATATTGAATTCTACTGGAAATTGGTTGCTCGCCCGGGAGAATAATAATCTATTCCTAGGTATCTATGATCAACTAGTTATCTCGTGGGTGCCTCAACAATGAAAGCAGTTCCTCGAAACTCTCAACAATGTGCTTGCGCTCCTCATCCCACAGTTTGTCCTGGCCTTCAACATCCGATAATAATCCCAAACTCTGTCCGGTGGCCGCTTTTACCAGATACTCTCTGTCAGGAAATGTCAATTCAACGGCCCGCTCTGTCGGTCGCATGTGCAATCCGTGCAGGACCTGCTTTAACTGGGCGGCTGCCTTGCCGCCTCCGTGTCCGCCATAGCTCACGATCATGGCGGGTTTGCCTTTCCACTCGTTGTAGAGATAGTCGATGGCATTCTTGAGAGCCGCCGGGTAGCCCCAGTTATATTGTGGTGTGACGAAGATGAATGCGTCGTAGGATGCGATCTCTTTCGACCAGCGCTGAGTGTGAGGATGAGTATACTGGTCTGGGGAGGTGATCTGCGAAGGCACCCCGGGCTCATTGAACATGGGCAGGTCCCATTCAAGGAGGTCGATGAGAGAAAGGGCTGCTGAGGGGTTGGTATCTTGTATGGTCTTGAGGACCATCTCACTGATCTGAAGACATGCGCGAGGGACGCGCTGGCTGCCCACTATGAGGCCGATCCTTGGGACCTTTGGTACAGACATATTAGGTAGGCTTTCAACAAGACAGCCGCTCCTCTGAAGAACAATAAAATACAAAATAGACTGTTTGCACGATATCTGCAAGCACAGCTCACGTCGCGCAGTCGCAAATGATGCTGTCTGAATATTGTAGAGTGAAGGGCACACCAAAAGAAATCAGACAGTGTTCTTTATATGTCATCAACAATATACTGATCTTGCAAACAACGCACAACTTGCTGCCTATGGACTTGGGGTTGATGATGCGCTCCAACGAATCAGACCATGCAGAGCTTGCTGCGAGAACCTACTCCAAGATATGCTAGTCCAAAAGATCTAGAGGACATAGCCAGTGGCAGCGTGCACTAGTGACGCCCACCGTTATTAGTTTCGTCGTGCAGATCCGCCATTCCCGCCGTCGGGACGAGATTGAGGTTATTCGGAAGAGCTCGAACCCGTTCTTTTCGGGCAGTTTCGGGCCCGATATACTGCGGTCTAACCATAATTAGAAACGCCCTCGGACCCGAGATATCCATATTGAGTCAAGGTGAGAAAGATGAACCAAAGAGAACCATAGATGACTTGTATTCCAATATCGCCACAGCCTTGAAAGACGGGGACATTTTGTGCCTAGGAATAGACGATCCAATTGGATGTGAGCGATGGGAAGATAGCTCAGGTTGCTGTATCATCATCACTGTTAGCCTAGCGCCATCAGTGGATATGGGTTCATGATGCGCTCCAATCATGTGGATGTGTCCCTGACGAGCGTCTATGAGGGACGCGTATCCGCATGTCGATTCTTAGCATAAAAGATAGTGATAATAATGAATAAAGGAACCATCGCCGTACAGAAAAAGATCGACAGTGGTGTCATTGTGCGCAGTAACCAATGGGCCATGTTGTACAGTATCTCAGGTAGTTACTAGTTGGCCCCTTGATCCGAGTCAAGCTTCCCGCGGGCCGCGGACCGCCATGGAGCTGAGCTAGAACAACTATTTATGCCTAGTTCCATCAGATTAAATTACTTGCTTTTGGAATTTAAATAGGAAGATCTGCTCTGCTTAGAAGAGTAGGCTGAATGATACTTTTACTTTATACAGTACATGTGCGACATTACCATATTTAATATAGCTACAGTACATCATACTTGAACATCCTACTCACATACGCCATACACTGACTACAAAACAACCCCCCAAAATGCCAGAGATCAAGAAAGTATGTCCTCCCTGCTCACGAGCATAATCCCACGTCAAAATCTAACAATATCCAAAAGGCCATCATCATCGGCGCCGGCCCTGCTGGTATCGCAGCAGCAATCCGCCTAACCAAACACAACAACATCTCATGCACCGTGTATGAACTCAGACCAGTCCCAACCACACTAGGCGGTGCGATAGGCATCCCATCAAATGGACTGCGTCTTTTCGACCGTCTCGGTCTCTACAACGCTCTCTCGACCAAAGGTTCAGTGGCGTCTAGATTCCGTCTCCATTTCGCACAAGGCGGCGGCGTCGTCGAAGCCGACGTTATACCAGAAGAAGTTCGACAGAAGACTGGATTCAGCCTCATGCGCATCAAACGGGTTGAACTCATGGATGTACTCCTCCATACTGCATCGGAGATGAATATCCCGATCCATTTCGGGAAGAAAATAGTCACTATCACCGAGGACGACGAAGAAGATACGAAGAGCAACAGCAGCATCACAGTGACTTTTTCCGACGGGACAACCGACTCCGCAGACCTGCTTCTAGGCTGCGATGGGATTCACTCCGCTGTACGAACGCAATACGTCGACCCATCATGTCAGCCTGAATATTCAGGAGTTTCCGGCACGTGCGTAATCTTACCGACAAGTGCTCTTTCAGCTGAGAGCCATGAATCATTACAAGCCATCAACGTGTCACTTACGACTGAAGGAGCATTTGCTCTCGTACCCTGCACTGCAGCTGGAGATGAGTTGTTTTTCGTCTTTTCGCGGAAAGTGCCACTTCCTGAATCGGGAGATACGCGAGATGGATGGGAGGAACATCGCAAGAAGGAGGTTGAGAGTTTTAAGAACATGTTGCTTGATGGTGTTTTGAAGGATGTGCATGGGAAATGGGGCGAGGTGCTAACGCAGGCTGTGAATGGGACTAGTTCTGTGTCTTTTTATCCTGTCTATCGACTCCCGTTGGGGGGGAGGTGGTTTCGTGGTCGATGCTTGTTGATGGGTGATGCGGCACATGCGATGCAGCCGCATGCTGGACAGGGGGTGTCGATGGCGGTGGAAGATGTGTTTTTGCTCTCGAGGTTATTGAAGGATGGTGAGGGTGGTGATACTTCTTTGAGTGAGGTCTTTGAGAAGTTTGAGCGCGTGAGGAGACCGAGGATTGATCGGATCTACGAGACTGCAGCGCGGAATGGGGAGAGAAGAAAGCAGACTGGTCCGTGGGGTTTATGGGCGAAGGAGTGGGTGATGTGGGCGGGAATTCTAGCGTCGAAGGCGATAGGCAAGCAGGTGACGTTTATTTCTAATCCGGAGGATCTGGTTTATGATATTGATGAAGTGGAGATTTGATTTGAAGTGAGCTGCGCTCAACTATCTCAGCTATCACAGCTGGAGTGGTGAATGTTCACCTAAAGATACATGCATCTCGACTCATTTTTTTTTCTAGGCTTTTCTCTTTTCATTATTTGTTCCTTTTTTGGCGCCTATTTCACATATCATATGTCAACCCATATCTGTAGGCTTTCCTTGTTTTTTTTTTTTTTTTTTTTTTTTTTTTTTTTTTTTATTATTCTTTTCATCTTCACATAGATATCGTTCCCAACTGACAGCTCCATGAGCTGTTGCATAATGTTCACATGATAGTCGTCGAAATGATCTTATAGAAAAGATCTTTAGTGGACATAAAGAGAGAATTGCTGTCATCAGATCTCTACTGGACCCTTCTGAGTGAGCTTAGTCGCTTTCATGTTTACCACCCATCGTCGGAAGAGCAGGTGAACGGGGTGCCAGCCCTGGTGGCCGAGGGAGCACATTGAAGCCAGTCGCTCAGGCAAAGACCGGTGACATCGGTCAAGTGCAAGAGATCGTTCAGCTGCTTCTTGACTTCTTTGAGTGCATCACAGCTGGCGCAGCGGGACGGACATCTTCCATCCAAGGACCAGACGTATCTTTTGAGGACATCACGGACCTCATACACTGCGGCTGAGCTTGGAATCGGTCCGTTCGACTGCAGAGTATACTTGAAGCAGTTAATGAAGGACAGAGGGCAGCGACTGGTTGATCCATCGACGTTCTCAGCAATGGACGTGACGGTCTCCTCAATACGGTCCAGACCTTCCTGCAGGTCGTCCTTGAAGTCCTGAGAGAGGACCTTAATGGCATCGAAGACGTAGCCGTAAACTTCGGGACTGAGGATCGACCAGTCAAGGCCCACTTCTTCTGCGAGTCCCGGAACGTATTCCGAGATCATGGTTTTAGTGAGCTCAGTGAATATCATGTCGCTGTCGACGGTCATACTGATGGCGACCAATTTGAGCTGTTCTTCGAAACGATCAACTGGATTAACGTCTTCGATGCCAGGGAAGCCGATTGAGACGAGGGGCGCGAAGATTGGATACAACCCGTCGATGAATTCGAGAAGAAGAGGGGCACAGTGATAGTTCTGAGCCACACGGATCAGATCCCACAGGACATTGACATCCCAGTCGTGGACCAGGAACATCTCGATCTCGTGGAGGATTGAGAACAGGACTTTGATAATAAACGGATTGTCGTACTTGAAGCGGATATGCAGACGGGCATGGCGGGGGCGCTGTCGCATGCGAGCCCTGGCCACCATAATCGCGAAGATAGGAGAAGCAGTCTCCATAACCCTGGATGAAACCAAGATATGATTACATGGTTTCAGTCCGACGTGGAGAATGGTATCTCCAGACGGGCTAAGGACACATGCGTTTTCCTCTTGCTGCATTCCAGCGAGGACAGGCGCCAGTTCGTTGCCTTTCTCAGCAGAATCAGACATGGTTGGATCTGTCTGACGTCTCGTAGCGCGCGCTGAGTTCGTGATGGCAACAAGGACTTGGAGTGGGGGAAGCAGTGATGAAGGACGGAAGACTTTTCGAGTCCGTCAAGGATGTAGTAGGAGTGGTAGACGAAAAAGAAAGACTCGTTTCTCGTACTGAAAGAGTGTAGCTTGTGGGAGGAGTCAAGGAGCGGAGCGGGAAAGGACCTGCTGAAGAAAGGAGGACAATGAAGTTTTTGTCAGCGAGAGATTCACATAACAAGTTGTCCTATTTACCTCTGGCTCCCACCCCGTTATCTCACGGAACCGCCCATTATAACATGGAAAGAAGAAAGGCACTGAACATGAAAGAGCCAGTACCTATTAACAGAGGCCGCCTATTGACAAACATGATACTTAAACCAACTGTACAATAGAAGTAATGACCAATGCAAAATACAGCCTTATACTGTGAGGAGAGAATACCACTGTACAATATACCTATCCTACTGGTACCCTAACGTTCTCAGCCTCAACACCCAAGAGTGAGGGTACTTCCTGTAATAATCAGCATCACTTATACTCATACTTAGCAGGCATAACCCTCAACGATCTATATATTCGTCTGATTGGCCAGGACACGTGGTACGCCACGTGTGACCCACAGAAACCAGATTTACTTATCCTAAAGGGGGAACGCGTGGTTTTTCGTCTGATTACATGACCACATGCACTCTTGTTCGTCCGATAGTTATGGAACAATATAGCACATTCTTTCTACTGGTTGATCTTTTCCATTCTGTGTCCCTGAAAGATGACAGAAGTCTTTAAGCATATATCCTACAGCATGAGATGTTCTATGAAATCCACAGTCTATATTCGTGTTCTATAGAATACCTATTGCTCCAAACTATCTTTATAATCAATAACCGCCTGTTCGAACGAAGAATCCCGCTTGAACCCAAGTTTGATAGTCTGGCTGTTATCGAACTTGGTGGGCCATGAGTGCAGGATCGCTTTGAGACTAGCATCTTCTTCCTCCTTCAGCAGGGCCAATTTATCCTTCCCGCCAACCTTCTCCAACGCGTCCATCATTTCCTGGATCGTGACGCAGATGCCGGGGACGTTGAGCTGTCGGATGTGCGGGGGAAGCGAGTCTGCCGGCAGCGTGAGGGTGAAGAGGAGATTGTGAACGAGGGTCTTCGGGGAGCAGAGCCATGATTTGAAGGAGCGGTCTTTGAGTGGGATAACCGACTCTTGTCCATTTAGAGGCTCGCGGATCATACCGGAGAGGAATGATGAAGCTGCTGCTGTAGGGGCACCTGGGCGAACTGAGATGGTTGGAAATCGGAGTGTGAAGCCAGTAATGAAGCCTCGCCTCGTGTATTCGTTGATGAGAGCCTCGCAGATGAGCTTCTCTGCGCCGTATGAGGACTGGGGGGTAGGAGTAACGCTGTCATCGACCACTTCGGGTAGTGGCTGGCCGTAGACGGCCTGACTTGATGAGTAGATAACCCGCACTCCAGGGGCCGTCTTGCGCAGCTCATCCAGCAAGCTGCGAGTCGCGTCGATATTAACGCGTAACCCCAGATCGAAGTTGGCTTCTGATCCAGAGGACATGATTCCGTGGAAAGCGTATACCGCATCCAGCGACTTGTCAACTACCGTGTCCGCGCCACTCAAGAGGTCAGCCTTGATAATTCGGGCATTCTGAGGGTATTTGACGCCCTTAGGAATCGGTGGTTCGTTGATGTCGGTCAGAGTGACCTTGTAGGATTCCTCATTCAGGAGCTCTCTGGCCAAGAGCTGGCCGATAAAGCCAGCCGCGCCGGTGATTAGAATATGCATATTGGGTTGTTTGAATTGAAATTGACCACAGTTAAGACTTCCTCTGTTGCCAATTTCACAGTCGTACCTGCATTGACATTATGTAGTGATCCCAAATGCCCCTCCTTTTGATTGTTGCTCCTCTCCTAAGCTTTCGCCGATATGGAGCTGAGATATCAACATCATCGGACTTGCTCCGGCACTCGCATGGAGTCCGATCTGGGCTATCTTGGCATCACATTGGGTCAATCATGCAATGGACGAGGATTTTATATCAGTGTCCCAAGATCTGCAAAGCCAAGTATCCTCCCAGGCCCCGTTGTAGAGACAAGATCTTAATGGGTGATGTCGCAGCTGCTCCCGAATCCCAAATCCCCACTATCGGGCGAACTGCGCTTCACAAGAGCCTGTCTTCGCTGTAGGACCGAAGAGTCTTATATATAACGGTATAGAATCAAAACTGAACGAGAGCACTAAGTGTTGGATGAAGAGTTCTCGTGTATGCTGAGATGATGAGCACCAGTGGTCCAATCGAAACACGGAGCACAACAGGCGCACTTCCTTACGGTTGATAACAGGGCTTTCAACGAGATAAGAACCGGGCTACATACTGCAGCCTCATAGTGATCAAGGAATATATGATTATTGGGAAACTCAGCTGATGCTTGAATCTGTTTCCAATCTCAATGGTGAACCTACTGACCTGTGTACTCTACCCTGCTCAATTCGGCCGAATATGCTGCTGAGTCATCACCCCGCTCCCCACGCGGCTTGGCGTGGGGTAATGGGATGCCTTCGGTCTTCAGGCCTACTGGCCCGAGTCAGGTTACTTACTGGACTGAAGCAGGAAATCGAATTCTTCCTTCCTCTCACCGGCCATGGTGGCTGCTTCGTTGTCATTTTCCCTCATGAGATCGCGAGGCTAGACAATACCAGGCCGGTCTGATCCTCCTGTCCAATGCCTCTTTTCCAGAGCTGCAGCGTCACAGACGGCCATGGCGACGCCCTCGCTGAAACGATCGGCGTACGAAGCCGAGTTGGACGCACCGCGAAGAGACGGGGATAGACAGTCCGTCGAGATGCGCACGCCTCCGCCCAAGATTTCAAAAGCAAAAGCCTGTACGTAGACCGTCTCTGGTGAGCACGGATACTGTATAACTGATCTATGAGCCAGGTGCGGAATGCAAGAGGCATAAGATCAAATGCGAATTGAAACCCGGGGAGTCCAGTTGCGCAAAGTGCAGACGAAGCGGGATCAAGTGTGTTGTCAATGACTTCTCTCAGAAATTTGTCGACGACGACAACATGTGAGTGCTAATGTTTGGGTCAAGACGAGCCATGCGGTTGGCTGGTGAGACTTGGCGGCTAATCTACAAATATCTGATCTAGATGGAAATCCCAAGCATCGGCTACAATCCAGCAACTTCAGGCAGCCGTGTCCCATCTTCTCCGTCAGAGTAACCTCCCGGAGCTGTCGACATATCCTGCTGAAGGTAACAATCACGTTCCCAGTCCAGCGTCATCCAATCACACCTACCGCCATTCTCAGGATGAGGGACATCCGTCTGTGACTGCCGCTGCACAAACCCCGGTCATGGAAACGGCACGAGAGAACTCTGCAGAGCCAGACCTCGAGGACCGCGAACTCGTGCCGGCACCGATGCGTAGCCTGTACGAGGTGACCAAGCTGCGCAATTTGCGCAGCAACCCCTTCGAGAAGCCCAAGTCGACTCTGCTGGAGGAAGACTTTGTCTCGCGGGGCTTTATTTCGTTGCACGAAGCCGAGGAACTATTCGCCTATTTCAGCCGGACTATGAACCAATTACTCTGGGGAGGAATCCTGCTTGTCCACGAAACGCTAACATCGGCGCGGCGCGCATCGTCTTTGCTCTCTGTAGCCGTTCTGACCGTGGCCGCTCTCCATATCCCCAACCGGACCGAGACTCTTAACGTATGTTACCATGAGTACGTGTCACTGGTGTCCAGCATGTCTTTGACCCGGTCCCACACGCTCGACGACATCCGTGGGCTCTGTGTCGGTGCCTTCTGGTTGTCTGATCTGAGCTGGAAACTCTCTGGGCATGCGGTCCGCATTGCGACCGAGCTGGGCCTCCATCAGAGCTTCCAGAAAATGACGCGAGGCCACAATGATCAGTATGAGCGTGCACAGCTGTGGTATCTGCTGTATGTGTGCGATCACCACTTCAGCATCGCCTACGGACGACCCCCCGTGATACACGAGGATCTTGCTATCAAGAACTACGAGACGTTCTTGCAGTCACCGCTCGTGGTCCCTGGAGACATTCGACTGGTGGCGCAAGTCGCCTTATTTGTGATCCTCACCGAAGCCTATCGGACATTCGGGTCGGATACCGAACAGGCATTGAGTGAAGACGACTTTGGCCAGCTGCGAGTTTACAATGTTGCTGTGGATCAATGGCGTTTGCTCTGGCAGCCCCGTTCAGGTATGACGTTGGTTGGTCCTTGCTCTACTTATCCCTCTCTCTACTTATCGTATGCGCATGACACTGATGCCAAACACCTGGTGTAGCTGACAGCCCCTATGTGCGCACGTACCCGTCCAAAGGGGTTGTGCTACATTATCACTTTGCCAAATTCCAGCTCAACTCGCTCTCGCTGCGCGCTCTCTCCCCGACCAACACGCCGGTCTTCTCGATGGACCGGAAAGAATCGGCCAACATTGCCATCTCGTCGGCGATGGCCTGTTTGAACATGGTCCTCGAGGAGCCTGATGTGCGAGACGCGATTGTGGGAGTGCCCATCTTCACGCACACGATGGTCACGTTCTCAGCGGTGTTCCTGCTGAAGGTCGCGGTGAACTGGAACAGCGCGTACTTGAACATCGACGGGCGCCAGGTGCGCCAGCTGGTGGAGCGGGTGATCGCGCTGCTGAATAGCGTGTCGGCCGGGGAGCGTCACCTGACCCGGCATATCGCGCGCGGTCTGGGGAAGATGCTGGAGCGCTTCAATGCGTGGGAGGGCGGATGGCATCCGCACGGGCGAGAGCTGAAGAAACGCGACATGCCGGGCGGCGCGAATGCTATGGCGCAAGGGTTTCCACCGCCCGATCTGATCTACGATATGGTAGGGACGTATGGATTCGGGCTGGATGAGAACCTGCTGGATCCCACCATGGCGACTTTTGAGTATCTCGCGACGTGAGGGGATCTGTATACCTTTCTTTTTTTTTTTGAATATCATCTATACCTTTTTTGTTTATTAGTGATTATGATACCAATAAAGTACTTGCAACAATAATATACTCGAAATATTATAATAATAACACGGTGTTCAATGTTGCCTTTTCTACTCCGCTTTGGCCTGATGTCATTGGGAGCTGCCGCGCTCGTCATGGCGGGTCTGGGGTATTGATGGGTACGGTATTGGTAATACCGACCAAGTACCGTACGGGCACCGTCTGGGGTGAGCGCCGACAAGGCGGAACAGCCAACGCAGCAGCAGTGTCAGTAGTATCGAATACGCGTGGATACAGGGCTTCTCCCTGAGAGCTGTAGTGTAAGTACTGTACTGTACTGTAGTTACTTGTTTACATACATACTCTAACTCGGTAATAGTTACTAGACTGACTTATCTAACTCAGCATGCCGACTCTGGAACCTGGTGGCTTTTCTCGTCCAGGAACCAAGCAAGCGTCGTCTCTTCCCCCCTCGTTAACTTCCCGGTCTGCTTATCCCCCATGTAGATAGAGTAAGAGTACGAGTAACTACCATAGACTCTAGGTTAACTCGATCTTCCCTCAGCCTCCCGTCAACCTTCCTTCTCCCCCACCGGCGCCCGGTTGAGAAGGCTGTCCCATTCCATCCCCCTTCGACCTCCCCTGCCCTTCCCTGCCTTTCCCTCCCTTTTCCTCTCTCTTTCTCTCTTTCCCTCTCTCCCTCTCCCTCTCCCTCCCTCCTCCCTTCTCCCAGATACCCTCCTCTAGCTAGCCAGTCCTCCCTATCCCGGGATTCGTGGGCGTCTTTCTGACAACCCTCCATTCCATTGAGCCCCATCCTACCGCTCAAATCATCCTAAAGCACCTCCCAATCATCCAAAAACACCATGTCCACGCGCAAGAGAAAGCAGGAAGCCGAAGAGGAAGAAGAACTCGTGGCGCTGCCCAGCGACGAGAGTGAAGAAGAAGAAGAGTAAGTCATCTCGTCCCCCGCTCAATACCCGCCATACGCGACCGCATCATCATAATCATTATCATCATCATCTGGCGCTCCCTTGCACGTCACGTCAATGGCACTGCGGTCGCCGATTGTGACTGGGTGGCCTTTGAAAATCGCTACATCACATGATTCGATTGGCCTCCGCGATGCCATTGCGCGCGCGCAAAATAGCGCCTTTGGATCGATATATCAACTTTTTGAAGACGATTCGATCAGACTGACGCATACTACTAGATATGAAGATTCTGATGTAGGAAGTGAAGAAGAGGAGGGCTCGGAGGAGGAAGAGGAAGAAGAAGAAGAATCCGAAGGGGAAGGGGAGGAAGAAGACGCTGGAGAAGCTGCAGGTAGGTCTTCTTTTCCTTCTCAACTTGCGTTGATATCGCTCTTTTCGGTCATGGGACAGATATCGCTGACCTAGATGTCACTGCAGGACCTCCCGCTGCTAAGAAGCGAAAGACTGAGGCTGCGGAAGAGAACGGCGACAAGGAAGAGGAGGAGCAGAACGGAGAAGGTGAGAACGGCGCCGGCGAGGAAGAGGAAGAAGAGGCAGAAGGGGAGGAAGAGGAACCTGAGGAGACCGCGAAGGACAGTGGCCCTGCTGCGGCCGCGAAAGAGGCCAAGGGCGGCCAGGTGCCCAAGGAACCCGAAACTGCTGAGGCGGAAGAAGAAGAGTAGAGTGCGATCACCGATCTACTGCAGTAGCAGATCGGAGGCGTCTAACGCACGCTGTCCGCATCTCATTGGTTTGAGTCCCGCGTTCAGATATAGATACGTCCCAATATGAAATGATGTCCTTATCTACTCTACTGTACTAGACGGCGTGATCTTGTGCTACTTGCTGCCACATCATTACTACTGGGCATGCAGCGATCAATCTATGTACTGAGGCCCATTGCCCTAGATTGCGTAGAATTGCTATGTTCCAAGTCTGCATAAATACCAGGTCGCACTAGGAACAGATGCGGGGAAATTGGGATCAGAACGGGTCGCTGAAGTGGAACACCTACACTAACTAACTATTTAAATAACTGCCTGCACTAAACAAGTCGAACCTAAAGAGCACGACACTATGCTGCAGACGACCAGAGTATGCGCGAGAAGACCGTGTCTATCTCTCCCTCAGAAGTTTGCCCAAGGTTTACTTACACCAGGCGCATCTCTGCCTATGTATATACTAGGACGTCACCTACGCATGGTTTCAGAGACTCCAGCAGCATCACAAGCATGGAGGATAGTTACAAGAAACAGGTGGAAACAGTCACTAAAAGGAAAGTTCTCATCTTCAACGACATATCGCTAAACTGCAGATACCTCCAAGTGCTCTGCTTTCTCCTTCGACGCGTCAATAATACCCTCATTATCAGCTCTCAATCTCGCCCGCTCCTGCAACTGCCTCTCGATCTCCGCCACCTTCTCCCTATTGACTGAATCCCGAGCCACCTGGAAAATCGACGGTCTCGTGCCGTCCTCGCGGTCTGCGAACAGCAGATCGACTGCTTCCAATGGCATTTTACTCGTCTCCGGAAAGCAGAAATACACCAGCGGCACGGTAGCGAAGTTGATCACGGCGAAAACGACATATGAGCGATATCCAATATTCGTGATCATGGGAGGAGTGATCTCCACCACGAGGAAAGTGAATAACCACTGCGACACGACGGCCAGGGCGCCTCCACGCAGCCGGAGCTTCAGCGGCAGAAGCTCACTAGGATAGATCCACATGTTGGATTGCCAGCCTAGAGTGAAGAAGGTCTGAAAGAGATAGAGCACCACAGCCGCGGCGTAGCCGAGTCCCTTGGTTCCAATCCCAACGAAGATCGCAGACAGAGTCATACAGATGCCCATCCCAACGGAGCCGAGCATGAATAGCTTCCGACGTCCAACCCGATCGACCACGTACCAGGGAATCAAACTGCTGAGGAAATACCACACTTGCAAACCGCCCGCTACGAGCAGGGCATCATAGCGACTCATCCCGATGGAATCTTGAAAGATATACGGACCCAGCGACGACATGACATTGACGCCCGATAGCTGCTGGAAGAAATTGGCTGAGAAAGCAAGCGCAACGCGCGTGAATCCGCTGATACCGTTATCTTTAAACACATCACTCCACGAACCGGCCTCTTCGGCCTCCACTGCAATAGCGTATTGGATTTCCTTCAGCTCCTCGCTGACTTCTGGCGTATCGGGGTATCCTGCCCGGAGGGCCGCTAGGGCTATCTTGGCTCGTTCGATCTCACCTTTGGCGCAGAGATATCGAGGTGATTCAGGTAGGAAGGGCATCATGATAACGGTGATGATGCAGAAGACGATCTGGAATGCACATGGGAGTCTCCATTGGACGGAGCCGGGGTAGGATGTCATGCCGTAGTCGAGCCAGTTGGCGATAATCAGACCCATGATTAGATTTGATAGTTGCATTGCCATCATTCGGCCGCGGGATTGAGGAGTGGCGCCTAAGTAATCATATAGATAAATAAATCAGGTCATGTTCATTGAACCTTCCACAAGGAGAAAACCAACATAATAATAACAACAATAACACCAATAAAAGAAGAAGAAAAAGAAGAAAAAAAAAAAAAAAACTCACATTCACTAAGATAAATCGGAATCACCGTAGTCATAGTCCCCAATCCAAAGCCCGCAACAATCCTCCCCACAAGAAACTGCGCCAACCCAAACGTCGTCGTCTGCAATATCGCCCCAACACAAACCACCACCGCACCAGCGATATTGCTCTGTTTCCTTCCAAACCGATCCCCCAGCGTGAACTGGAACAGCGCACCAAGAAGACATCCCACATCATACGAAGCGACCAGGAACGCTAAGAGGGATGAGCTGGGGTTGTTGAATACAGAGAGAAATTCGGGCGATGTGGTTAATCCGCCCATGAAGCCGAGGTCGTACCCGAAGAGGAGGAAGCCGATTGAACAGCAGAATGTTACTGCGTATACGAGGTTTTGGCCTCGAAGGCCTATGAATGATGGAGAAGGAGATGGAGAGGAGGACATGGTGTTTTGTTTTGTTTTGTTTTTCTTGGGTCTTGGTATAGTATTGTTTAGAGGCTTAACGCATCTCTTTCGCTCTGTATATATATATATACTGGTAAATACCAAAAGAGGAGACCGGCTATGTAATAAGCTTACTCCCGGCTTTCCAAGCGTCAATCCCCTATTCCATTACATATGTACGGACAACTGTACCTACCCTACCTACCTACCTACCTATCTACGCTATTTCCCAGATTCCATCACCATCATCATCATCATGCATTACCGACGCTCGACGATCAGACCATTCTTGGGCGGGGATAAACCGGGGTATTTTCCAAGATCAGTTTACTATTCGTCCTACCTAGTCAGTTAGATGCTTGGTTAGTTAGTTAGTTCACTAGTTAGTTAGTTAAGTCAGGACTAGGTAGTTAGTTAGTTGACCCCATATTTACCGTTATATCATTGCATCGGAGCCAACTCCGAGCGTGGGGAATTGCGGGATCCGGGGAAGGAATTTGCGGGGAGGATCGGAGGTTTTCTTTTTCTCCCCGGGTGGGGGTATTTTAGCGATAGGTATTACTACACATAACTAACTATAGGTGGGTAGGGAGGTTGTGGTGTTTATGGTACGTGCGTATAAGTATCAGGAGAGTTGGGGGGGATAGTTAGGATCTAAACCTTGGAATTTAAAAAAAAAGGGAGAAGAGTCTGCCATTGCTGTTCAAATTGATTCTTGTCTTGAAAGGGAGGTCAGAGGAAGAATAGATTGTAGTATTTGCTTTTGCTCTAGATAATTATTAGTTACATTAGGTAGTTAGAGAGCAAAATGGATATGTTTATGAAAGTTAAGGAAAGAGAATTTACTGTTGCTACTTCGCATTTAGCGGAACGGTGCTAGAGATGAAGTATTTAGTTCCGTTCCAATGGCATAATAATTCGTGTCACACCAGAGCGAATACGACCTCGAATGAATGGATGCTGTGCCCTGGCGTGGCTTGCACACTCGGAGTACCTCCGTTTAACTCATTTAGGCAGTTCCGTCAGTCAATACCTAGATAACTAATACTTTACTCCGTAGGGTAGCCCGTAAAGAAAAGAGCCCTGGCATTCCAGGGTTGATTATTACTAGGTGATTGAAAAATCTATATTTTTGCCCGTAAAGAATGATTTATAGCAACCTTCCTTCCTCCGTTTCCCGGTTCCTGGATCAGAATTTCCAACGCGCCGCCGTATGGTACATACGCCGGGGTCCCTCTCCTATAATGCAATATCAAAGGATAAAACGAAGAAGCGCTAAAATACAATAACGAAAGAAAAAGAAAGCGTATATCAAGCGTCCGATGCTTGCGTGTCCATGGGCTCGGGTTCATCAGGCTTTCCTTGCTCCTGCGTCGAATCCTGTTGTTCCGTCTCCTCATCATCGACATTAGGATCAAGTTCCGTTTCGTCGGCATCTTCGTCCTCGGCTTCAGGCTCTACCTCGTCCCCGTCGCCTTCTCCTTGACCTTCTTCTTCTTCAAGTTCTGTGACCCCTTCACCTTCCGCACCCTCTTCCGCCTGCTCACCGTCTCCTTCGGCGTCCTCTATTTCCTCGTCCCCTTCTTCATCTTCATCTTCTTCTTCACCGTCGCCTTCGCCCTCGCCTTCGCCATCGTCCCCTTCATCGCCGTCCACAGCTGACAATTCGGACGTGGGATCAGGAGACCGTCCGTTCAGGTTGGGGAACAAGAGATCCTTATGTTCAGCATTGAGTTTGGACAGCCTCTCCTCGTCGATTTCGCTTAGCTCGCTTTCGTCATCGGCGCTGTCATGTACACTGCCTGGGAGACTGCCCCTGGGCCCTCGCTGCTCATCTTCGCGGGCGCTGTTGCGGATAGGAATCGGTGCAGTGGTTTGAATTGTGGGCACCGACTGGCGAGGGCCTTCACCTTCTGTTGGGACAGCAGGCTTTGGTAGTGCAGCACGAGGAACCATGCGGTTGACAATCGCTTCCGCTCTCTTCTGGATGTCTCTTCGAGCGATACCCTTGGTTCGACCCCTGGGAACCGGTGCTTCGGAGGGCGGAGCAGACGTGGGAGGAGTCGGAGTGTCAGCAGCACCGTCATTGGTCATGAGAACATGGTCGACCTTCATCTTTTCTTTACTCTCCTCCTTCGCTTGCTCAACGAAATGATGGATGTTCACCTCGTAAAGTCGAGCATATAGGTCGGCCACAAGATCCTCCAATACCGTCACCTTCATGAGGTTGTTGTTCAGCTTCTTCAACTCCACCGCATCACGAATCAACTCCAGGAGCGTCATGCATGTGGTAGGAAGTTGGGGCAAGGCATCCAAGCGTGCAGTGTTCGTAACAAACTCATCCCAGCTGAGGGGCTTGAAAATGCCCTCTTCATGTCCCTCCGATATGCCGGCCGCTCGTCGAATAAGCTAAGAAAACTAATTAGGATCTGAACCTGGAAATCAACATGATGCTCGCATTGCTCACCTTCGCGTAGACGAGACATATGTCTTCCCAGAGCTTGGTATGGTTGATGAAGTCGCCTTGCTTCTTCCTGACCCGGCGAAGCAATTGCTCAAGATTTGCCCTGTCGTTAAGCTGATCAAGAAGACTGACAAAGAAATAGACATAACGAGTAGTGTAAACGAAATGTCTCCCTGGTCGCTCATATTCTGGCTTCCAGACTTGCAAAGTCATAGTCTTCGTGAATATTTGCTGCGTCAGTTCATGCTTCGCACTTGCGGCAGCAGATTCATCCTTGCGGTCATCGTAGAGAATATGCGCAGTCTAGAACGGTCAGTTGACGACAATGCGATTGAGATGGATGCAAACGTACCCTTGCCACGATACGGTGATGCCAGTTCGATTTATCGGCATTCCTCAGATTCTTCAGGACCTCTAGGATATATGGCTGCCAAACCTCAAGATCTTCTGCTGGTGGCGATACTTTACGGGCCCAGGGAGTTGTCGTTAGAGTGCTGCTACCTTCAGTAGGCTACAAACCGTCAGTAAGCAACAGACAGAAGAAGACAGAATGATAGTTTACCTTCAGAACACCTCTACGAACGAGCTTATGCACGATAGACACCAGTTTATAGTGAGGTTCAAAGATAGGTTCCGAGCGACTATCCTTTCTCTGAGGGAGAGCTTCAATAGCGTCAAGCAGACAATCAATTAGATCGTCAATTTCTACGCGCTTTGACGGTCCTCTCACGGTATCGTCGCAGCTGAACATTTTCCAGAGACATTTGCTGAGGATGTAGTAATTCCTGAAGCATCGTTAGCTCCAATAAACAGGAGTAGACCTGGGACAACTCACATCCATTGCTTAGGCTTATCGATCATCGCTCGCCTTAAAAGATAGCTGGCAAAGTTCCATACGGAATATAGTCGCATCTCTTTGAAAGGCTGCCCCTTGTACATCTGCTGGGTCTCTTCCTTGCTGAAATGGCGAGTGTAGTCAGCAAGGCTAAAGGCACCCATCGACAACGGTTCTCTTGAGGACGAGTACATGCGAATTCCGAAATCAGTATACAGATCTGAGAGGATTGCACGATTTTCAGGGGTTGATTCCGCACTTTGGATCGCTGTGGCGACTGCCATGGAGTAACAATGAATTGCGTTCCGCTGTAAAGCGACAAGTTCCGCTCGGTTGTTGTTGATCTTATCTGCAGACCATGTGATATCTTCCTCCAGTTTCGTGTCGTAGGTTTGTGCCAGTCGATACCACGACTCCCATCTCCCTGACCCGTGCTCCAGGTCCTGTCTGAAATAAGTGATCGCGTCATCCAGATCATTGGTTGGGACCGGATTCAGGCGCTTCTGAGAGCGGAATTTCGTCAAAGCTGCATGACCAAGGAGGAAATACCATCCTTTCTGAGCGATCTTGGCACTCTCTGTCGGAACAGGTATCATGGAAAGTTCGCCTATGCCTTGAACGGCACGGAAGAGATGTGAAGGATTGATTGGAGACTTGAGATAAGCCGACACAACCCTCCTATTGAAAGACAGAGGCGGCGAGGCTCTGGTCATGCCGATAGACTGCTGCATCTTGTCGATAGTAGACTTCAGTTCCGATTTCGAGAGATCCTTAATACTCATCCTGTTCGCCTGCGCCATAACAAAGTCGATCATCATGACTGCTGTCGCCCGATCCAGCTTCTCTGGATGACATCCGTGGTCCACCGTTCCATCGTAAGCCGACAACTTCACGCCATGTAGATCAAATAACACTTGCGATATGTCGGAGTCGTAATTATCTTCGGTTTGTAGCGTCAGTAGTTCTGACTTCATAACTCTCAAAAGCTGCTTGCTCGAATATTTGCAAGCTGAACGAACCCCTAAAGCATTGTGGACAGACCGCAAGTAATGTACACGGTCGTCAGCAGGTGTGTCAAATTGTTCCTTGTTTTGAATGATGGCTTCTTTGAGAAGAGCATATTGTAGGAGCCATGCTCTTACTTGCATGTCACGTAGTTTATCTTTAAAGCTCTCGAGTGACTTCGACAGCTGACCACGGAGCTCTGGGCCGGCCAGTTGACCGACGCGAACAGAGTCTTCGTAGAGGGCAAAACTATGGAGCAGTTTCGAGAGCTGGGCAATTGCAGACATTGATGACTGCAAATGATCGGCATCAATGCACTCAAACGATTTCTCCGGTTCAGCCAAGACCTGCGCCAGTGTCTTCGCTAGCACATCGTCGACTGATTTCAGCCATCTAAGCAGGTTGATTTGACGCTGCTCTTCGGGAATCTCCGTACGCGACGGACTTCGAAGCTCCCTCATTATCGTTTCGATGCTGCGAAGGTTGCAAGAGACGACCTTCGGGGGATAATTTATTGCGCGATATGCATCCTGAAGTCTGCGCCACAGAAAGAGTCTGAGCGTGGCATCCCCGCGGTCGAGGAAGGAGGCCATCTCTTGTAAATGAGAGCCGGGAATCTCTGGAGCTTCGTCCTCACCGTCGATAAATTGCACGGAAGAGGGCTCAAGAATGGGCTCAATGCTCTCAATGAGATCAACAGGATCCTTCGAATCGGAACCGAAGATCATCATGAAAAAGTCCATTGAATTGAGTCTTGAAATCTCTTGATCCAGAGCCGCCGCTGATATTTCGGGCATTACTGCATTGTTAAGCAGGGTGATCTCAGGATCCCCCAGAGCTGACAGGATGTTCCTCAAGTCCTGAAGGCATAGGAGGATGTGCTCTCGCCCTGCATCCTCAGCCATGTTAGAGTGAAACGTAGATGACCACAGATGACGAAGACCAATAGTTGTCCGAGATGCTCTGTCATCTCCATGATCCATGAAATGATTGACAGCAGTGCGCGCCAATAGACCCCACCTAGCTAAACGATCTTTTTGAATTATTCGCGTCCCACCATCAACCTCGCTGTTGGGGTTGTTGATGAGAGCATATACGTCCAGATGTAGCTCATACAGAGTTTGGATCATCTCCATCTCTGAGTAGTGTTTCAGAGTGTATTCAAAAGGACCTTTGGAGGATTGGCGAAGAATCTCCTGCTCCAGCTCCGAGATGCTCTCGACCATTCTGCCGTAAATGAACTCATCCTCCCGGATCGATATCTGGACCACAGTCTCTTTGAGGGCGTCGGGCCATAGGGAAGAAGTGTAAGTTGATTGCATATTAGGCCATCCAGATCCGTTGGGAACACTGGTATCTGTTGAGAATCTGCCGTTGCCCGGCATAAGAAGCTTTTGCAGCCAACTCAAGGCGACTTCATGCAAATGCAACCACTCCCCATTTACGCACTGTACAAAGGCGGAGAGTCCGTCACCACCGGAGAGGACCTTATCGGGTCCAGGTTTCTTTATCGGCTTTCTTGAGTGCTCAAGGAATATTGCTAAGCCTGACCTGTTCATTCCGCGAAGGTCTTGAAGTCCGGTGGAGCTGTCCCCTTGAAGGACCGCTTTTGACCTCTCATCGTCCCAATTCATCAACGACTTGCGGAGATCTCGATAAAGCATAGTCTCAAGTGTGTTCGATTGAGTCGCGGCTAGGTTTGTGGATTCCTTGCGATCGTCTAAGAGACAGACTTTGCTCTTGAGTTCATCAATCGAACCCAAATCCTCTACGCCTACCTTGGAGAGGAGGGAGCCAACAGTACCGAACATCCACTGGTCAGCATGTGAAAAGACTTCTAGTCGATCTTCATAATACTTTTCCTGGTCGAAGGTAACTTCATCGGCTTGCTGCGCAGCTTCGACGTTAGATTCACGGGCACGAGTTCTTCTGCTCTTTGCCCGTCCACTTTCACCAGCGTCGTCATTACCAAAGGACCCAGAAGACCTTTTTCGCGACGGTGCAGATGCTGATTTCAACTCTGTTTCATCAGCCGGCTCCTCTTGCGGACCGGCGTCTTCGTTTGGCTGTCCTGATTGACCCTCCAAAGATTCTCTAAGTTGCGTTTCTGCTCGTTGATCAATGGACGAATGATCCTCAGTAGTCTCCACTTCGTTAGCATCCTGGGCTTTCGTCGCAACTTGGGATTCTGGTTGCTGCGTCTCATTGTTTGCCAACATGTCTACGTCTTTAGGCTCTGTTTCAACCTTGGTCTGAATCTCAGGTGCCGTAGTTTCGACAGGATCCTCGATCGAGGCTGCTACTGAAGGTTCCTCTCCAACTGGTAGTTGGATCTCGATTGCGGCCCCCGGTCCAAGGTGGGTGTTCCCCTGCTCCTCGTCCACGATTATCTGTAGAATAGCCTTTCCTACAGCTGCCCATGTCTTATCAACAGGCGATATTGCTTGTCGAACAGGAGGCGGAGCGAGTGGTTTGTGTTTTGGATCGGTGCTCGAGATCTGGTGTGAGAGAGCAGGAAGATAGGGATAAAGGTCGGTCTGGCTCCTTAACAGTCTAAGAAGGGCCTTTTTCGGGGTCTTCGATGGAATCTGCGATAGCGATGGTCTGTCATCAAGTTTTAAAAGTGTCCCGCGGAGGTCCTCCATGGCGAAAGCCTCCTCCAATCCCAGCTGTGCTGTTCGCGCCTTCAGCTCTTCGTCCTCGTCTTCCAAGACACTTTCGAGTCCGAACCTCGTCATTCGATAGCTCTGCAACGCGCCTCCAATCCTGGCTGTTTTCCTCCATAGGTCCAGGTCCGTGTCGTCTCTCTCCAACGCCTCCGCGAACATCTCCAAGGCCGTCTTGGACTTGGTCGCAATATCGCCCACGGAGCTTGGGCTAGCCTCCCTGATGTCTTCTCGGGTTTTCTGCAGTGAATCTTTGAGCGAGTCCAGAAGGAACTGCCCGTAGTTCTTGTAGGACAAATAGATGGTTTGAAGCAGCGTGCTCGACGTCTCGTTGATATCGTATGCGCCGGTCTCCGCGACCACCTCATCCAGTATATCCACCTGATCGGGCAATCCATCGTGTTCAAGCGTAGTGCGTTTATAGTCCGATATCGACTCAGGATAGTTGAAGATCTCAGATTTGAAGAGGGCCTTGTACGCCTCCGCAGCTTGCGGGTAGAACTGGGGGCCTTGAGAATGCAGTTTCAGCGCATTTTGGTACAGCTTCAGCGCCTCCTCAATCTGGATCTCCTTCGTGTCATCGATCTCCTCCTCACTGTCTTCATCGGGCTCGATGTTCAGAGCTACCCAGGACGACATCGTGCAGTATCGCGACGGACGCGCAGAGCTTCGGAAGTGCTTGCTCGAACGGACCAGCTGTGAGCATCAAAAGAAAACGCGACAAGGGATATGTCAATCAATCTAGGGGGGTATTAAGAGCCCTGAGGTCCGGCCGTAGTACCAGAGGGCGCCACCAGGGCATCAAGATCGACAGGCTGGATATTGCGGGGGAATTAGCCAGCTCCTTTGCCAGCTTCATTAACATTAAATTAATAACTTCTTAATGTCCGGCGCGTCCTGATCGGGAGATGGAGCCAGCAGCGCTTGGACCAAGGGCCACGCCGTCCCGTGTGCGTCAGGTATTGGTAATACTGAAATTACCTGACATAGATATTGCTTTTTCTGCTGTTAAACTGGTATATCAACTGTTCCCGTACTGTCATTTCGGTAGTTTACTCTACTGCAGTACTCCGCCGCTCCACCAGCTTCAAGCTCACTAACTACTGATCTAGTATAACTGCCAGCTAAACAATAATCTCCCCGGCGCTGCAGCACTTCCAATCTATCTATCGGAGTCTGTCTCGTTCAACCTCCACCATCCCTCCCATCTGATCTCCAACTAACTGCGCAGTCCATCTGCGCTCCTGCCAGCGCCATGGTCGCGCCCGCTGTCCCTGAGTACGTGTTTCTTCCTCAGGCAGAGTTCCCCTACTCCCCCATCGATCCCAAGGCCCTATCGAGCGAACTAGTTGTCGCATCTACATTCCCACGTGGCGCATGTACGCTAATGGGATTGCATTCACTAGGATAATCGAGGATGACGATATTTTCGCCGCCGTCGATGCTCGCACGGAGTCGCTTCAGAACCTGAGGGAATTGGGCCCGCCCGATCTTGTGTACTTGGTGAAGCAACCGAAGACCAATTCAACTCGTCAGGTGGGCCTCCGTTGTATATGGGATGCGCAGGATAATTGATAACTGACCGTATGGTGCATTATCAGACAGGAGTCTATCACCATGTTACTGGCGTTGATGCCTCATCGTCCGCAAGTCTAGCTGCCTACGTCAACACCTTGACCTTCTCGCCATTGGATAAGACACACAAGGTTGTTTCAGGAATTTACTGGTCAGACTGCCGTCCAAAGGAAAGAAAAGGGTCAATTAGTTGACAGTCATACAGTTGCTACAATGCATTCTCACACCTCGACATGCGGGTGGAGGTCAAAATCCCCGGTAGTCTGGAGAGTTACTGCATCGATGAGCGAGGAGACAAACGTGTGGCCACGGATGCTCTCTGGCTCGAGACATTCCTGTGCGGAGTTCTGCGAGCATACCTGTATGCCGATGATGGAAGCGGTGATACTATCAAGAAGATCGTTGGCGTCCGCCGGTTCAATCCTGTCACCAACACGGAAATGGAACACAAGTTTCTGGACGCTGCTGAAAGACTATTTTTTATGGGTTTGTAGTTCTGCCTTTGACTCTGGTAGCTCGAGACTGACGATAGTCCAGGGAGACAATTGAGCTCCGATCCTGAAACGCAGGTGCCTAACACCGTGAGCAACCACCTCACGTCGGGCCTCCTTAAATATATCCATACCACTGGCCGTTACACGTCAGGAATCAACTTGTTTGAGAAGCTTCGCACGCGTGACGTCGAGGTCTCATCCCTGCTGGCACGGGTGTTGATCTCGTCGGACGAGGAAGTGCAGGCGGTCCGACTGATGCATGACGCGCTCCAGGATGTACCCATGGACTATGCTTTGCTCGACTGTCAGGCTGCTTTCTGTCTGAGCAAAGGAGAGGGAGAGATGGCGTTAGAATGTGCAAAGCGCAGCGTCACCGCTGCTCCCAGCGAGTTCAGCACCTGGGCGCGGTTGGCCGAGGTTTATGTGAGCCTCGAACAGTGGGACTTGGCTCTTTTGACATTGAACTCGTGCCCCATGTTCACTTATCAGGACAAGGATGCTCCACGGATGCCTCCGCCGTCTCGAGTCATGTTGCCTATACTCGCTGAAAGCGTTCTGGATGAGATTGATGAGGGTCAGCCGAAGCAGGGAGAGCCACACGATTTCGTTCACCCCTCGTTGAGGAAACTTCATGCCGCCACTTATCAGGGAACCTTCCTTAAGGCCTACAATCTGTTGACCAAGATTGCGGCCGCAATCGGTTGGGACCAACTGTTGAAGATCCGGAGCGACGTGTTTGTCATGGAAGAAGAATATCGTGTTGAACGTCAGCATGTGCCGAAGCCTGGCCACTCTCGGAATGCTAGCACTATCGGTTTGCGCAACTCTGAGAGTGAAGACCGGCCCGTGAATGGCAACGGTGCCGAGAACGGTGATGGATCAGAATCCAAAGACGAGCTGGCAGATGAGAAGACAAACGGAAACGGCGAGGTTAACCAAACTGAGCAAACCTCTATCGAGAGACCAGAGCAGACCATGGCTTCGGAGGTTGTAAAGTCCGGAAATGAAGACGTGAGTGCAGGATTAGATGTTCCTGGAGTCTTAACCATTTCGATACTAATGTGAAGATACTAGCATGACCCATCGCATTCATCGTATACACAGTTCAAGAACAAGCGTCTCTGCGAACGCTGGCTCGACAATCTCTTCATGGTCCTCTACGAGGACCTGCGCATTTACACTATTTGGCGAACAGAGATGGCGCAATCACGCCAGCAGGCCATTGATTACAAGAAAACAGCCACAGAGTGGGAGATCCTGGGTGAGCTCGCCGAACGTCTGCACCACTTTGATGAGGCGGTTGAAGCGTATCGCCACTGTCTATCCATTCGATTCTCACCCAAGGCGATGCACGGTCTCCTGAAGCTATACGAGCAGAAGAACGACACGAGAGGCATGTTGGGTGCGCTTATCAGGTTGATTGCTTGGCAATATCGCTGGTACTCAGAGGTAAGCATCCACGCTGTATTAAATTACATGCCATGGTCTTTAGTGGATCATGAGACCAAAGACTGGAGATGTCCTAGATTTATAGGAAGCTAGTACTGACAGACATTCAGTTCTCTCCCGAGCTCCTGTATTTGATCCGCAAACTTATCGAGGAAGAAGGCGCCGTCAAAGTTCGCAGTATCGTCCAGGCAACCAATCTCCCACAGCCTGTTCTCGACCTCACCCACCACTACTGTCAGCTGTGTGCGATGTTCCGAAGCAGCGGAAGTGACGGTTAGACATGGAGCGCAGTAGCATCAACCCCTTCATCCACCCGCTGATACGTATACGTCCTTCACATAGAAGGTGATCTGAAATCATTTTATAAACAGATCATGTTGCGTTGAAGTGGGAGTGCAGTGCAAGGGAAACGAAAAGAATCAAAAAAGGAAACGCTACTGAGATCCGATTCTCAGAGGGTTTGAGGAAAGTGTGTCAGAGGACATCGATAAGTAGTAGCAGCACTACGCTGTAGCGGGTGGCTTTCTTTATACTCGTATTATACCATACCTGATACAAATACCACTACAGCATGTATTTAATTTCTCTTTTTGCTTGTACTAGGGTTTCATTTCAAACAGGAGCACAATAACGTCATGCTATTACAATAGTGATCTCCTACCAAATTATGTTGTCACTGAAATAATAAACGCCTTATCCATCCAAGCATGTCCAGGGGAATAGTGAAAGAGGAGGTAATCAAGGAGCACCAAACATCAAACGCGAGAAACACGAAAACATGGAAATGTGTGTAAAGGTACAGGGTGGATACATCATATCTCGTCTTCAGGCGCAAAATCCCACTTCCGAGTGGTCATCTTTCTTTGCTTCCTGGCCGGTGGCTTTTTTGCCGATACAGGGGCGCTATTTTCGGACAATTTCAAATGGTCCAGCCCACGGAGAGCATTCTCAATGTCAGCATCGCTGCTTCGCAAGCTGTGGCTGGATGCACTTTCTGTGCTAGGTATGGTGTTTTTCTTGGATTTCGACTTCTTCGGAGATTGAGTTGGAGAGCGGTTCATCAGCTCTCGTTCCAAAGCGGCGATTTTTGCGCGGAGACTGTCGTTCTCGCGCTCCAGTTCATCGATCTTCTCATCCTTCGATGGTTCTGGATCTTCGTAGACTAGGGGAAAGACTTGTAAGAAACGGAGATTGACTCTCGTGGGGGAAGATAGTGCTTACTCTTAACTTCTCTCGAGATCAATTCGATCTTCTTATCGATATGCTGGTCATGACGACCAACCTGTTCATCCCATGCGAGCTGCCACCGTCTTCTTTCCTCTTCCATGCGTTCGTCCATCTCTACCCAGCATTCTTCACGCACATCCTGCTCGATCACGAGGCATCTCTCTTCAGCGGCCCTCAGCTTCATTTCAACTTCTTGTCGTGCGATTTCTTCCTCTGCGAGCTTCACTGCCAGAGTCTCGCATTCATTCGTTATGCGTACTATCTCCTGAGCGGCATTTTCCAATTCCTCGATAGAAATGGACTGCGGACTTGTCCTTCCACTGGACCCTTTACCGCCTGTTGAACCAGAGAGGATAGTGCTTGCGACAGAGGGAACGCGGGGCACAGCAACTTCCCTAGCTAAGGCCGAGTACCGGAGAATTTGTGACATGGCATTGAAGTCTCCCATGGGATCAGCTGTCACGATCATGACACCCTTCTGGGGATACCGCTGAGTTGATGTGGCATTATTCGATGGAAACGAGTTAGAAAACAGGAGTTCTGTAAGCTTGCATTGTCTGAAAGGTACAAGAGCAGTCTAGTCATAATTAGTTCATGCCGCTGATCCTGCAATATGGCTTGTAGACTTACCTTGTTACCCTCCTGGATATCACTCTGCATCTGCAGACATTGTCCAAGGTACATCAGACTTTCGTTGATCTTGCCACCCTCTGCCAAAGTAGCTCCGGCAGTCTTTGCTGCTCTCGCTCTTTCAGACCCTATGATCATCATTAGCTGTAGTGCCAGGCGCTTCGGTCTTGAGATTCTCACCAGCTAAGTCCACGACGGTCAATGTATTCCCTGCCCATGTTTCTTCACCGTATCTCTTTCCTCGTATTTTTCTCTTGACCTCCAAGCAAAAGAAGCCATGACTTCGAGAGCTCACGCTGTTACTCCCAGTTCCGGCCACTCTTCGCTCGGTGAGGCCTGTTTCAAGGACCATGAGGGCCTCTTCGTAGGTGCTACAAACAATCTTTCGCAATCCGGCCACTACCTTACGGTCGGGAGACGCTCCGGTAGGCTTGAAAAGCAGAGGACGTCTCTTGTCTTTCTGGTTTGCACCCAGCCGCGTGATTGGTCCACCGGGCATGGGAGATAACAGGTCAAATATGCGGTCATTGTAGACTTCGTACATTGACACAATCACGACATGTTCTGATTTCGGATCCATATCGATGCCCAGGTCGCTGACATCAGGCAGTTGCGGGAGTGCGCTGGGCCGCTGTGGCATATGACGACGAGAAATGCTGCATAGAGATATCGTATCCTTTAAAGATCCAAATTGTGAATTAGCCTATTTTCCGGGAACATTGCGCAACTGCGAGTCTACGGACGCAGCGCTTGGGTTCCAATGAGAATGTGAGGGGCTCCATACCGTCATAGGCGTCTGAGCTCTGGACATGGGTGTTTGGGCTCTCGAATTTCTTCCACGTTCACCGTTTGGGTCTCCGTATATGCTTTCAAGGAAGGCCGCTGCGGAAAAGAGTTGTGCTTCAGAGGCGTCGGTCGCAGCTAGCGACGAAAGGAGGACAGGGTCTACTTGAGCATCTGCATTGCGGATGGTGGGACCTAGAGATCGAAAAAGGACATCGAGCATCATCTGGGTCATGCCTCTCTGAGTCTTCGATCCAAGGATAGTATGACTCTGTTATATAACTTATGTGAGCTTTGTTTGAGAGAGTCATGATTTCATAGTCTGACCTTCCCACTTCCTGAGCATCCCAGAGTAGCCACTAGGCCGTCTCTACCCTCACGCAGCACTCCCTTAATAAGAGACACCATTCCGGCGCCTTTGAAAAGGTCCAGTTGCGATGCATTTTCCTCGAAGACTTTCGTAAAGGCGAACTTTTCCACCGCACGCTTTCTCGAATCGCTTGGAGGTTGCAACGTGATATGCGTAGGAGCGGCTGCTTCAGCAGATGCGTTCTCGCTTCCACTAGCTGCAGGATGAATCTCAGGAGGCTCAACATTCAAGTAACGCTCTCCTGAGGCACCATGCTGCTGAGAAACTGGCGGACGCAGGCGAAGATAGACTTGAAATAGCGATGTTTGTCCCTGCGGTTGCTTCGATGGGGGATTCATGGCGATGAGATTTCAAGTCCCGGTGTGCATTTGATCCGAAAGGAATAAAATTCGTCAGTAATAGGAAGGGAAATTATACGTCTCTCGTGCTAGATGTGAAATTAAGGCATCGATGATGTCGGAGCTTCAAATGTCAGTTCTGGCGGAGACGATATGGCTTTTCTCGATCGGGTAAAGCGCCGTCGTCCGGGCAACGCCGTCGATAATCGACTACAGCCGTTGTCCGTTGTAACTTGTAGTTATGTGAGTGTGACAGTCGGGGGGTGCAGTTATATTTTTTAAATTTATTCAATCGCAGAAATGAAGCCAATTTCCAGGCTCGCTGGGAGTTCCCCGTACAGTGCGGAGAACTTTCGGAATATGCTGTATGCAAATGTGAGCATGCTACGCATTATTTATATAGTCGATTCTACTCAACTAATAGTTGACTATACATCTCACATTAGTAACTTACTACGGCACTACACTACAGGGATTCGGCTGCTACTATGTAAAACTTTAGTGCCAATTCTTCCAATTTCAAGGGCGAGGCTGGTAAGGTAAAAAAATCCCCTACCCGTATCTCTCTCACTAGTACGAGGTCACTAGGCAGAAACATGAAGAAAACAATAGTAAAAGAAAAATGCTGAGATGGTGTCCTAGCAGGCCCCCCGAATACAGCATGAGAAAAGAAATACGGCCAGACCCTGTGGGAAGGATCCTTGCCGGGAAATTGAAGACTCCGCGTGCATAGTTGAACAAAAAGAGACAACATGAAGTACAAATTGGACCGAATATTTCGTTACAATATTTGGTCGCAGCCTGCAACCTTTTTTTTTTGGCCGATTGCAACAACAGGGAGGAAAGATCAAAACGGGATAGAGTAGAGAAATAAAACCCGGACACAGCGGTACTAGTGAGATGAGCGAAGAGTGGCACAGTTAGGCACGCACGCGACGACTTCGCATCCAGCGAAGAAAGTCTTCTTCAGGAGCCAGGTTTTTCTCGTAGGATGACGTACTCGCGACTTCCTCCACATTGATCACTTCTGGAACAGCTTCTATCGATTCGCACTCTGGACAAAACTCGAATGCGGTTGCTGGGTAAGGATGAGAACTGGCAGAGCACCTGGTGATATCACCGGACTCGCATTCTCTCCATCCTTTCTCCATGGTTCGCGTTTGTTCCATGAAGATGTGACCCGGGTTTGACTTGGCCAGGAAAGAAGTTCTGAGTGATTCTGCCTGCTGCTTGTACAAGCCGGCGGAGCGAGGATACTTTTCACACAAGTCCAGGATCCTGCTCACAGATTTCTCCATATCAAGAGAATTGCAAGTAATGTCGTCGACACTTCCAGCGCGCTGGACGAGACATTGGAAGCTGAGCTGAAGGAGTCGAAGCTCAACCTCAAGACAGGGTAGCTTTTTGGAGCTGCACTTGGAAATCGAATGTTCAATGTTCTCTATATTCTCTCGGCCGTGTATGAACACTGTGCGAGCAAGAGTACGAGCGAGGATTTCTGTTTGATAAGATGGATCCTCAAGAGTATCGAGGAATTTTGATACTTCCAAAACATCTTTCAAGAATATGTGGCGGACCCTGCCAAAGAGTAACTCGAAGCGTGTTTTAAATTGCATATTGAATGGAACGAATTCTGGCGAATTTTTGAGCATTTCGCTCAGACGTTCGATGTTCTCTTCAATAGGGATAACCAGTTGTTCTGTACTAGAGTTAGAAAATATCCGATCTGTTTTCGAAATGGTAAATACCTCGTATCGCAATGATCTGTTCCTGAACTTCCCTAAGAGCTTGGTATCTTTGAGAAATCAATTGCCTATTCGCCCCATCTGATAAAGGACTTGGTCGGAGCCCCATTTTCAGAAGGGGAAAGTTGTTTCGAAGCGTAATCTCGTGATAGGATAAGCGCTTTCCAATGATACCTATGTGTCCTCCGATCCTTGCAATAAGCTTCTTCGTTTCCTCCAGGAGCTTTGGGACCCCAGAAATCATGGCGTAAGCTGGAATGTCATGGATCTCTGCGCCACAGTCGGGACATGTCATATTGCAATTCTTCAGCTTGCGACTGTCGATAAAAGAAACAAATCCGTATCTGTCAATTTCGTATGCGCCAGTTATTCCAACGTGGCGATCGAGTGTCTCGGACTCAAAGCAATGACCACATGGCAGAGTAATAACGGGGCTGCTAGGACGATGACCAGTCTTGCATTCAGTGCAGACTGGTCTCGACTTGTCGGAGCAGGACACAGGAATACTATGGCCGCATTCCTGCAGTTGGAACTCATACTTTCGGCAGGATGGGAAGCAGCTAGACAGGCAGCATAGTACTGCAGTGTCTTCTTGATGAATGCAAGTCGGGGTTAAGATTTGTGTACACGGATCACAGGGATCACTGCATTTCTTCTCACATCTGCCGTGGAGGCAGCGTTTCCCGCATGGTTCTTGACAGGGCGGACAAGGATTGGTACCATGGCACCTAAGACTTGTCAGATTCTATAACCAAGGGGGGAATAATATAAGGACCCGAGGACTTACTCGACGCTGCACCTGTGGGTGCAAGACAGCTCTTTTCCGCATTTACTTACGCACGGGGGATGACCTGACTCCTGGCACCTCGCACATTTGCCTCTACAGACGTGACCACAGGCAAGCAAGGATTTGCAATCTTCGCTGCAGAAAAGTTCTTTATCCTTGTCGTCGCACTTGACAGACAGTGTATGTCCACACTTTAGGCTGGTCTGGCTGACTATCACGTCACACTGCAAGGTCGCGCCCCAGTAGTCCTTGTCGCATGTCACAACACCGATATGGCCGCAGTCAAGTTCAGTAGTTGCTTGTTTATGGGTACAGCTGCCACAGTCTTCACCACAGCGCTTTTGACAAGGGTGTCCGCACTCGGGATGGGTCTTGTTGCAAACCTCTGTGCACTTGACTTGCCCGGTTCCATGAAACTCGGAAGGGTGGCATCTGTTGCACAATTTAGCATTTTTAAATACTCAGCAGTGGGTTTACTAACTTTTCGCTGCATGAATGTCCGCAAGGCAATCTCCCCCCGCAAATCGCTTCGCATAGTGGAATTTTGTCGAAGTCAGAAGGTTCCTTGATTTCAAAGACAGTGTCGCAATGTTTCATCTCACGAGAGCACGGAGTGACTGCTAGGGAAGGACCAAATCGTGCTGATTCTTTAAATATTTTTCTTGATGATACATTAGCCAAGACCCTCAGAGCTGAATGATTGATAAGGAATACTTACATGATACTATTCCACATCGGCACGACCTCCAAGCACTGGGAGTTCCCAAAGATAAAGAATCCATCACGAGCCCTGCTGCAGGCGACATTGATCCGATTATCGGTTCTCATAAAACCTGGAGAGTTTTCAGCATTGCTGCGCACAGTCGTAAGAATAATTATCTTTGCTTCCTCTCCTTGGAAGTTATCTCTGATAGGAATTAGCGACGTAAAATATAATTAACTGAGGAGGTATGCTCACATGGTTGAGACACGAAGCATGTCGAGCATATCAACATCGACGCGGTCATTCTTTTCGAGGTCTTCTTCATCAAGTAAGCCACCGTCGACCAAAGACTCTTTGTCTTTGTCGCTCAAATAAAGGTTGGTCATCCCATGCAAGCATTTGACCAACTCGGCAAGTTGTCCGTTGTAAGGGGTCTGCAGTTGTTAGAAATAAAACGTCCGATGAATTGTAAGATAACTCACTAGAACTGCTATGTCGCCACGTGCATAGGAGTTGGTGTTTATCAAATATCGAACGAGACCGTACACCATCTGGACTTCAAAATTGTTGCAGAAAGACTTTGTAGCCCCCGAAGCTGCAGGGGCTTTGCTCTCTGGATAGCGGTGGTCGAACCAGTAAGCTCGGTGTGATAAGCCTCCGATATTTGCATGCGAATGCGTACTGGGGTGGTCTGTGAGGGCAGGATACAAAGTCCTCCGAACCAGAGCCGAGATATCAGGGTGCATTCTGCGTTGAACATTAAGCTGAGCATATGGAAGCTTCCTGATCCCGGAATCATCAGACATGAGCCTTTCGAAAAGTGACTCATCCAGCCGATACTGACTTCCCGCCTTGGTCTCAAGAGACAGGCTACGCTCGTCAATTTGAGGTCTGTATTGTCAATCATTAGCTCAAGCTGCTTGATTTTCCGGTTGATTCCGCTCTGGACTTTACCTTAGCTGTAAAGGATCACCAATAAAAACCGCATGTTCCAATGATTGAAACAGCGTACAGAGTGTGTGAGCCTCCATGACTTCACCTGCCTCCTCACAGATGACAACTTTCAAATCTAGTTGCTTGAGGAGATCCCATTTCGATGCACACGCAGTAGTCGTCATACCGATGACCTTCTGTTTTAGAAGACAGCGTACGTCTGTCGATTGTCGATTGAGCTCAAGCTGGCGAACAGCGTCCTGATGCTCAAAATGTATTCTGAGGATTTCCCTTGATATAGCCTTCTGGTCTATCTCCTTTGCCCATTTCGAAATCAAGGCCTTGCGCTCAGCAAGAGAGAGTTTCCAAATATTTTCTTCCCCTGCAGTTTGGCTATTATCGTACGCCCTGGAAACGATCTCACGTAGGACAGATCCGATAATCTTAGCGTTATCGATGGACTTCATGCCGTCGGGGTCGTTCTGACCTAAGAATGCCGAAAATTCTTGCGCCAAGCTCTCATCGAAGACCTTCAGGTCTCCGCCAGCACTCCAGAAGACATATGGGAACCCCGAAGCTCTTTTAGCAAGTCCAGATTTGTGAAGTCTGTCTCCAGGTGTGGGAGTAATAACCAACTGCTTGAGTATGTGATGATATCGTTTATTGGCTTTGAGGTGCTCCGCAACTGTGAACCACCCAATCCTGTCAGGATTGCTGACGGAGTCACAGATGTCCATACCATCAGCTGAGAGACCTATATTTGTGTCAGTCACTTTGCACAATTACTCAATGTGTAGCTCAACTCACGCCTAACATCGTGTAGAATCTTCGACACGTCTTTTTGTTCTTTCTCTGTCCTCGCTGTTGATCTTGCGAGTGACTTGAGATTGTATTTTGCGGTCCAGTCTTCTTTACTGCCGGTTCCTATGCGTGCAACGTCGGTGACACCATGGTCGATGAGATCCTTCAGAAAGCTGTCCAGCGCATGATTTGTCATACACACCACCAGTATCGGCTTCTCCCCAGATTCTCCGGCTGCCAGGATTGCCTTGGTGAGGGCGACACCCAGGAAGCTCTTTCCAGTTCCAGGGGGCCCTTGTACAAAAGCGAGTTCATTACTAAAGCTCTCTACAAAAGCAGAGGCCTGTCCCTCGTCAAGTGTCGTTTCGGACTTCACAATATCCAGGAACCGCTTTTTATCCCTGACAAGGTTTCGAAGAGAATATTTGGGAAATGCTGTCGCTGCTTCGCTCTTCGCTTTGAGAGAATTGCAGTCAAGCACGGAGGTAGATCTGCATGCGTAACAGGGTGGGAGTGGGCCAAGGTTCTCTTCATCTGCATTGCGAGGGGCGAAATAGCGTGTTAACCCGAGATCATCGCCCGAAAGTTCTTGCATTCTTTTCAATATGGGATAGAAACCGTTGAGGAGGTGCTTAGGAAATTCAACCAAGACAAAGCGCCCTGATCGAAGCTTTTGAGAATAGAGAAGCATTCTTGTTATATCCTCTTCGCAGTCCTTTTGAGCGAAGAGAAGCTGGACCGCAGCTGTTAGGCGAAGCAGATTAGCAATCTCGTCTTCGTAGGAAATGTGGTATTGAAAGACTCACCTCTCACTCCATTCCCTCCTCTTGATTCCATTGACTCCGTGCACTGCGGGAGAAGAACCTCGAAAAATGTAGTCGACAGACTCACGTCGTCGTCGTCGAGGCCCACAACTGCCATCAACATGCCCTTTTCGAATCGACCACTCCTGAACATCTTGCGTCCCCTCATAGGCTTCGGACAGTTATAGCTGAACTGTAAGAAGAGACCCTTACGGTCGTCAAAGCGGAGATCTTCAAGTTCTGCTCCCCAGTACATGTAGTAACGGTTTCCTGCTTGCGTCTCTTGGCAAGGGTCGTACTCCTGAGGCGGAACTTCCATCGCACAAAGCTTTTGCGCAGCAGCGTAGACGCAATCCTTCAATCTCTCAATATTGTCATGGCGAAGTTGACGGAAGAGCGTGTCGATAAGCCTCTCGGGACCACGTTCAAGGAAATGTGGCTTGTTGAAGTTTTTGTGAGGCATGTAAGGAGGTCTCATACAAAGGACCTCGTCGGTGGTTGGCAAAATCCGTATGTCTTTGATGCTGGCAAAGTCATTGTCGTGCCTAGCTCCAGCAGAGGAAAGAGTTCCAGGGCCGTCACTATCAAAACACTGGCCGTTCTTTGGAACTGGCCTTGGCGCGAAAGATAGATAGTTCGGTGAACTAGCCACAGCTCGAGTTCTCGATAGGCCGTTTGAGCAGCCAATATCAAGCGTGGAGGGCTCGTGCGCATGGATTTTAGTCTCCATGATGAGCCCAAACGTTTTTGATAAGATTGAAGAAAAGAGGCAGAAGTCTGAAGAGAATGATGACGGGGATGAAGAAGTTGTCTCAAACAGTGATCAGCGACAATACAGATCGACGTACGCTCACTGGCAAGACGAATACAGGAAGATAAAGCCGACAGATCGGAGATTAGATCAGGAATGAAGCAATCGAGTAAGCCCTGAAGCCGTGGGCTTCTGCTCTCAGGGGTCGGCCGTAGCTTCCCGGAGGAATCCAGGAACTACTAGCTAGACAGCCTTAACCGAGGCAGAGCGTCGTGGAGTTCAATTGGTCAAAATGTCAGCAGTTTTGAAGATGGAATGAAATGACGAAGATATAGCGTTCTGTGTGAAGGTTGAGGTACGATTGAAGAAGGGGGGAGGTGGTGAGGAGGAGATCAGAAGAGCGAGAACAGGAGAAGAGGGAGCAGACACTGTACTAGCAGCACCACATGAGGAACACAACCAATATTCTCTGGCTGGGAAACAATAAAAGGAGGGGGCTGGTGTTGAGCAAACAAAGAGCGTTGTAGGTGGACATGCTGTTGTTGTAGGTCATGTGAGAATTGTAGTGAATTTGCTCTAAAACAACGACAAGGTCGCCTCCAGTCAGCCATATACTCAGAGGTGCTTCCTGCGGAAGAAATAGAAGTTCTGGGACATTAAGTCCGATAAGTATTTGATCCCTCAGTTATCATCCAAGAACTTAGAATGGGATAATTAATGGGACAGCTCACAGTTACCATTGCAATTCTCATTCAGGGGCTTCTATCGCAAGGAGAATGGTATGCAACAAAAGCAGCATGCGGCAAACACAGAAGAAGGCAATAAAATTGTAACCTCGAGAATCTATAAGTAGGAAGGGACTACTATTGGACGTTTTCTATGTATTCTGAGGTGGCAAGGATATATTCCTGCAAGCAGCAAGCGAGAGTATCAAATACCACCAGACCCAGAATTGTATTGGCAGTTCCTACTGTAGGTCTCGCTCTATCGACTAATCAAAGACAAGACATGTTTAACTATTTGTTCCATTCTTTAATTGACCCATCTACCGTACATGATACTGTAATGAGACAAACGTCTTCGGAGATGAGCGCTAAAAACATGCTTGCGCCACATGAACAAATAAGCAACCTAACTAGGTAAATAAAACAAGGAATCTCTTTCGAATTCCACGAATCGAAAAATTATTAGGCGCCCACATCTACTGAGGTATCAGAGGCATGCCGATAGAGATAGACCGTGACCAGACGGCCGTGGCTGCAAGAGCGGAAGTGAAATTGCTCGATGTATCCATCATGTTCGAGGAGCCAACTGCTCGTATCGAATACCATGGGGACACACTTAGGCGGATGCCTTCTTTCTTCCGCGTGTAGACTTTTTCTCGGATGGTTCTTTGTCGGCCTCCTGGTCTTGAGTAGGAGCAGCTTTCTTACGGCCGCGCTTGGGCTTTTCCTCAACTGCCACCGACTCTTCAGCGGCAGCTGATTTGCGGCCTTTCTTGGATGGCCTTGGATCAGGATTCTCGGCAGCTGCAGTTTCAGCATCAGCATCAGCATCAGCCAGCTTTCTCTTCCCGCCTTTCGCAGCGGGTTTTGCCTCCTTTTCAGTCTTCTTCTCTGCGGAGGCAGCTGACTTTGCTGGGCGACCTCTCTTCTTAACTGGCGCTTCTTCCTCGGAACCAGCAGATTCGATGTTAGCCTTTGCGGCTGCAGTCTCCTTCTTGGCCTTCGCGCCAGCACGGCCTTTTTTGGCTGCCGGTGCCTCCTCTTCCGCATCGCTCTTCGAGCCATTCTTCGTCTCCGTCAGAATGATAGGACCATATTGAGCGAAGGAATCAATCACTTACTTCCTTGGCAGAAGCCTTTTTCTTGGTAGCTTTAGCACGGTAACCATGCTTTCCAGGACGGTTCATCTCCACATCCTGTGATATTATTGTCAGTGGACAAATACAGCAAACGGGACGAGTTTAATCCCCTTACCCCTTTCCAGTCAGAATCAGATATATGGCCTTGCTCAATGGCCTCGCGAACCTTGGCTTGGTTCTCCTCAGAAATCTCTTCAAAGCCATCGATGGCGCTATAATCTCCGTCTGCCTCGTCCAAGATTTCTTTGAGGCCCGCAACGATCTTTGGAGTCACGCAGCCCCTAGAGAATCTGTTATTACACAAAAACAGCAAGGGTTCTCACTGACTTCAAGACTTACCAGTGTCTCCAGAAGAAACTCTGGAACTTCTCAGTATCGACCCAGGTGCCGAGGCGAAATTCACCCTTGGCAATTTTGATCTTTTGGTCCTTGCATTCCTTGTTTTGGCATCCGGCACGACCAGTCGATGCCTCCTCTAGAGTAGCGTTAGCTCATGAAAGCAGGTCATACAATTGTTGCAATTTCATTTCCACGCTCTCTGCATTGGACCAATGGGCAAAAGAGTTGATTGTTCCAGACGAAACGCTGTTCAAGTGAATTTTCCAAAAGAGACAGAGAGCAAGACATAAGGTAACTCAATATAGTACAAATGTATGTATAAAGGAAAGGAACGGCTAGTCTGAATTGCATACCTAGACGATAGGTACCCATCTTTGCTTTGGGCGGACGAGACACAACGACGCGTTGATTCTCGCGTGTACTTTCGAATTGATGGCTCTGCTCTCGAACAGAGAAAAATCCTATTACAATAACCAATTAAGCCTGATAATTGCTATTAGATCTCCCAGAAAACTGGAACAAGAACCGTGGACGATGGATAAAAAGTGTCCCGTGGTTACGCCTAGGGAGGTTGTTTGCGGTTGACGAAAGGCGGGCATCGCTTCTTAAGTGCTGCGCTGGCCACGGAAAGCCTAAAAGACCAGTCCCGCAGGCGCTGACACGTTTTTCCTAAACAACCCTGCCACGAGAACATTTAAAGAGGAGAAATAATAAAAGAGAGTCCTCTTGAACATATTACATCGATACTTGTACTTTGCGAAAATAATACATTGTTAAGGGATGGTGGGCTTCCTACATTTCTCCATGGATGTTGCGGGCGCATACGAATGACAAAACCAATTGCACCTAACTACTGATTACCGTTATCCATATTATCGCAGTCCTTGTAGTTAGAAAATCCATCGAGTGATGGCAGAGATTCTAATTGTACCAAAATGAAGTAAGGCTCAAGTCAACAGAGGGCAGAACGTTCATTCAGGGTCGTCGCAGAAAGTTATACTAATGGTGCGGTATCGTCAAAAAATAGCCCATGCCAATAAGAGAAGACTCGGCCTCATTAAAAATATGGCTCCAATTGGTTGAAACATAACTGAAGCTATCATGGTTGATTTGATATTTCCACCGCAGCAGCTAGAATCCTTTGCAGCGTCGTGACATGTTTCCGAAGCATGACTACAGCCCCGAGACTCAGACGGGATACAAAGGGCGAGGCCGCATTATCCTTCGTTACAGCCTTATCTGAGTTATAATTGTAATGGTCGATCATGGAATTGCCTTCCGAGATAACCTGTTTCAGCAATTCGGGGCGCCGGGATCCGTCACCTTCAGCTGGGCCTGGAAGATAATGCCAAACTAGAACATCTTCAAAGCTAGGAACCGGATTTTCTAGGGCATATTTGATGAAAGTTCGAGTCATGACGAATGCCCTCTCTGTGTATTGGGTCGCTTCCACCCGACTGTCTCCTTCAGATGCGAAGGCCTCGAATCCTGCTTCATCTAAACTAGTCATCAGTATAGATCCAAGAACGGTGTCTGTTTCATTCAAACGTACTGTAGAAAGGATCTCTGACTAATACCAGACCCATGATGGAAACCAGTATTTGAAGGACGGTAGACCTGGTAGGGGACCAATTCTCATCTGGATTCTTTGGTGGCCAAGTCCCGAGAATGCTGAGACAAATTTTTCCATCCTCATAGAGATTAGGATTTATCCGGCCCATATTATTCGTCCACGAGTGGAAAAACGTCGCTGGAGGCGAGATGGGGAAGTGTTCATCAAAATGGAAGTCGATAACAAAAGGAGCATGCTCATAAGGTGTGCCTTGAGGACCAATAATGAGAACTCGGAGGAGATCAATCCTCGATTCCCAGGTGCGCGCAAAGATACCCTCTGGTAAAGAAGTCCCAAGAATCTCATATTCCTTGCGAATACGGCGAAGTCTCTGAGCTCTAGCATCAGGGCCAGGTTTGCCAAGAAAATGATGATCAGACGGGGGCGAAACTTCCAAAATAGCGAAACTAGGCGGGCAAGACGTAGGCTGAGCAGAACCGACAATAGCAGGCTGACTGTCGTTGGAAGTCCGTTCCTCAACAGCGGGACCACGAATGTCTTCTGTTTCCTCGTTATCTGGCTGCTCTGCAACTGTGATCTCCGCAACTTCAGGGACAGTGAAAGCGTCATCGGTAATGTCATCATCAATTTCAGCGTCATTGTCCTCATCATTTTCCTCGTCATTTTCTTCCTCTTCTGTCTCCCACAGTCCATCATCGCTGTCCCCATCGAGCCGCTGACCGCCTTCGTACTCGATCATCTGAATGATAGTCCTGCCGTCAAGGCCGTAAAAGTCAAGGGCTCTGAGATCCAGTCCATCTAGTGCTTCGACTGACGGGCCGTTGCTAGGCTCCGCGTCCCCATCTAGTACCAACAGGATTTTTTCCAAGGGGACACGTACATCACGGCAATCCTGGAGAGCTCCCAAGCGTACCGTGATAGTGCCATCGAGATCAAGCGATATGATATGTCCGATCCAATCGTTAGGAGTGCTGAGAGGGAAGTCGTCCCTGCGTACACTGTGCCGTGCAGGCAGAGGGGTGGTATCAATCTCCGCAGAATCTCTGAACCATTCCTGCGTCAAAAGCACGTCCTTCAGGTGGTCAAGGTACATATTTGCTTGGCTGAAATTTGCCGGAAACAAATAACTGAAGAGGCAAGAACCAGCCCCTGCGGACGAAGGATTCGAAGGCGTTAGCGGAATGAGAGTTTCGTGAACTCGTTGCGGGGTCATCAAAACTATATCGCCTCTTGACTTCACCAGAACAGGGTGAGTAACTAGCTCGTACATGGAAACCTCTGTAATCTCGTCGCCTATTTCGCCTAGTACTGAGGTTGGCCGCAAGACATTGCCCTGATGAAGGAGTTCGACTTTCGGATCCCTGTACCAACGAACCGAAGCAATGCGCTCCTTGCTGTTGACAGTTTGTACGATTCCGATCTTCTTTGGGCGCAGCACTGTAGCGTTTGACTCGGACGTATGGAAATCGAGGGGTCCACGTGTACCACGGTTATTAGTCGCGTGAATCTCGATGGCATCTTTCAGCGAAACCATTTCCCCGGGCCATAGCTCGGTTTCAGGCACAGAGAACTTATGCAATTCAGTTGAAGGTTCCGTTGTGACGCTGAGGTCCTGCCATTGAACCGTAACTTCGGTCTTACAAGATACGATCTTGAATATATTAAGATCATATCCAAAGGACTGGTCTTTTGGAATACGATCGAACTGGCTGTACTTGACAGCAGCACCAGCGGGATCTCTAAAGCGGACCCTGTCTCCAACGGAGAGATAAGAATCAGATCTTACCGTACTGCGGGAACTGTTCCGCGGAAGCTTTCCTTCGTCGTACGTCACGGCCTGTCCATGTAGTGTGGAAGCTCTGATAACTTCACTCGACGGTCCAAAGGGCGAACAGCCCGCAGCAAAAATATTGGAGCATAGCCAATCCACGTGTATATCCATCGGTGGAGTGGCTATGACATGTCCTTCTGGCCGCACATTTTCATTCTCGTCGTAACCACCAGAAATCCAATGACCGCGCCTCAAGTTCTTATTTGACGTTAAGGCAAATTGGCCAGGATACAGTGTCTCTGAGGGCATCGACGTACACCAACGTCCTTCTCCAAGAGCGAATGAGCTCACTCCATCCGGATTTGAAGGCATAGAGACTATGGGTTTTGTCCCAAGAGAAATTGGCAACTCAATGACAGAAGGGTTGAGAGGCGAAACTAGGGTCCTGTTTGGGAGCATTAATACTACATCCCGATCGACCTGTTGTATGACCCCAAATTTTTGCCTGTATATGATATAGTCGCCTTCATGGAACTCGTCATAGTCCCGAAGCTCCTCTGAAGGAATATCGAAGAGTAGCGGTGGTGTGTCTTGTGCTTGAGTGTCCGACGGCTCGTCTGGGCGTTTGATGGCGTTCTCTGTGAAGCGGACTGCACCCCGCTCCCCCGTTTCTGGGTCTAACGGCCTGAAAGCTATAGGTTGCAGGGTACATTTTGTGGAAGCACTGATAACGGTGCCACTGACCGTATCTCTAGGATGTCTCTTGACTACATGGCCGATTTCCAGCGATCGATCGACAAGTTCGAGGTCATCTTCGTGTATCAGGGAACTTCCTTGTGTGGGTTCACTGAACACGACGTAAACATATCCCTTTGGAGGCTGGAACAACCTGTCAGCCACCGTCTCTGCGTGTGTTGAGTTACCCTCACTATTCCCGAGTTCAGAAATTCCAGCAACTGGTTCTCAGGCACCGGAGCATGAGACACTATCAGGTTTTCTTCCAGCGGTTCGTGAGTCTCGACCTTGAACACGTATCAATACAGGATGGACGATCGGAGGATGGAGGATAGCACAAGGCATACGTCGTAGTATGTTCTCTGGTGATATGTCAGATACCGCGCTCATATGAGTTCCCGTATCAGCTTACATCGACCATTCCAATCAGCGAGGGATCCGACTTCAAAAAGCAGATATCATCGGGATGGAGCTGTATAGAATTGAGAGTTAGCTGCACCGTCATATCAATTGTGTCAATAAGGCCGGGCTTCCACTGACCTTTCTGTCTGCCTGGGTTGCATGGGCAGAGGCAACTTCCGGGGATTCCATCGACATGGCTCACGCGGGGCAGAAGGGACCCAAAAGGAGTACTCAAACAATGGGGATAGACTCTCGGAGTCCTGAATTCCGGTTGAATAAAAGCATATAGGATCCGTTGTAGTTTACAACAGCCGAAAAGGTATATATATCAAACGAACGGAAGGGCAATTGCGGTGAGCTCCGCTAGAGATATCAATGGATCACAAGCAGTAACTGCCCACCGCGGTCTAGGCGTGACAAGTCGGGAGTTGTCTTACCTAAACCACGATGCAGATTGACTACAACGACACTAAGAACATGCAATCAAACACCAATGGATACCAGTTACATGGTCAAGGAGTAATTGTCCGAAGCTATAATGCAATAGAAGCTTCCCGGCAGCTGCGAGCCACTGCCATAGCTAGAGTAAACTAATAGATGATCTCTTCCATCGGGGAAGTCTGGCCCGCTTCCTACTCAAGTGATCCGCCGAACGCGGGTTTCTTCTACTTATCTCTCTCTCTCTGCGCGATCGCTTCTTCATTGCCAACTTCAACTCCTCGACTATTGCTCCACGTACTCGGGTCTTTCTTCACCACCAAGCTTATCCGATCCTCACAAAAAGACCCGGAGACAAGGTTCACTATTCCGGAAAGCTAGTCACGGAGCTACGTCAGCTTTTCGTCTCGCGTTTCGCGACAGCTGACACCTAAATTCTGAACCGCCTCCCCCACCGTCTTCTAGGCTTCTAGAAAAGCTGAATTCGTACTCTTCCAACATGTCAGAGTCCGTCCCCGAGTCTGTACCCACGAGCGCGGACCGGCGCAGCAAGCGACCGCTGAAGCGTCGCGCGCTCACGCCAGTCTCCGAACAGGCGACACAGATCGAATCTCTATTCAAGGATCCTACCAAAGATATCCAGATTCCTCCTCCAAAAAAGGAGAAGACAAGTGCTGCGCTCCCTCCACCACCGGAAATCGTCGCCAACGTACAGGGATCTTCGGCTGGTGCGGGGTCCGGCGAATTCCACGTCTACAAAGCCAGTCGCAGGAGGGAATATGAGCGGATGCGGTTGATGGAGGAGGAGGTGAAAAAGGAAAAGGCGGACGAGGAATTCGAAAGGAAGAGGGAGGAACAGAAGCGCAAGGACGAAGAAAAGACGGAGAAGAACAGAAAGAAGAGAGAAAAAAGGAAGGCCGGAAAGAATAAAAGGGGCGGTGCGAGCAACGGAGATGTCGAAATGAAGGTGGATAAGCCAGATGGCGGGCCTAGAGGACATACTGGGGAAGACAGAGGAGAGGACGAGGAAAGGCCCCAGCCTGCTGCCGATGGAGCAGAGGCAAGAGACTACGATGAACCAGGTGTAATAATTCATGAAGACGACTGAAGGTCGAATCGAACGGGAAGGATTTAATAATTAAGGTGGACCAAAACTGTACCAATACCGAGATACCCATTTATTGTTCATCTAGGATATTCATACAAAATGGATATGCATAATGCAGCGTTATAAGGCATTTTATTACCGACACATTTTTGGATTAATCGTCACCACCGCCGACGTTTCCACCGGCCTGCTGTGCCGATTTAGCACTGCAAATATCGTCGACACGAAGAAGGAGGCAGGCAGACTGTAAAGAGTGTTAGTCGAGTTCGAGTAATCAAAGTTAGTGGACTAACCTCTACAGCTGTCTTAATACTCTGCAGCTTGACAGCTTCGGGTTCCCAGACACCATATTCCTTCATATCCACGAGATTTCCAGTGTCGCCGTCCACACCCCACGTAGTGTTGCCCTCAACATGTTTGGCTCTCAGACGGGTGAGAACTCGAATAGGGCTGCCACCGGCATTCTGCACAAGCGTTCTAGGAATGACCTCCAGAGCGTCTGCAACGGCCTTGTAGGGCCATTGCTGGACTCCTTCAACGGATCTGGCCAGTTGGCTCAGCTTCACAGAAACGGCCATTTCGGTAGCACCTCCTCCGGGAGATAGTCGGGGGTGGAAAATAACATTCCGCGCGACAGACATAGCATCCTGAAGGTTACGCTCGATTTCGTTCAGGATATCTTTCGATGGTCCTCTCAGAAGGATCGTGCAGGCCTTGGGAGACTTGCATTTCCTGAGGAAGGTGAAGTACTCGTCGCCGATCTTCTCAATTTCAAATAGACCGCACTGCGTTCCGACGTCAGACTCCTGGAGGTCGTCCACCCTGTTCACAATAGTTGCACCAGTAGCACGGGCAATACGGTTGTTGTCCGTCTTTCTAACGCGGCGCAATGCTGTGACGTTGTTCTTGACGAGGAAGTGCTGGGCGAGATCTGTGGAGTTGACCGTTAGAAAATTCCAAGACAAAACTAGGAGATAGGCATACCTGATACTCCCTTCTCAGTGATAACCAGATCGGGCTTTAGTGCCAAAATAGCCTCACACATGCGCTTCACCTGCTCTTCCTCGATTTCCAGAATGCGGTTCCAGTCGTCTTCCTTGGTGATCTCAATGTTGGTCTGAGACTCTCCCTTCTTGTACTCCAACGGACAGTCGAGCAAGATGATCCTCGGGTTCTCTATTCTCCTCCTCATCTTGGGGTGCGTGATGTCTTTGTTGACCATCACACCATCAATAACCTCGCTGCTCTCAATCTCGCCACCAGGAATCTTTTCGACACGTGCGTATCTCTTGATATCAACTTCCTTCTTTCCGCCACCGGCGTCGAATGACACAGTTCTCACCGCCTTGAGTGCCAGACTGCACATGAGCTCCGACCATCTCGATACGAACTTCGTTCCAATGGACGATTGGATAAGGCTGTACATGGCCTTGTCATCGTCGATATCAACAGGAAGTGAAATCTCCTCCACGACAGCAAGGGCATCTGCGAGAGCACGCTTGAATGCGGATATGATGACGACCGGGTGGATGTTGCGTTCAAGCTGAGGGAGCGCCTGGGCGAGCATTTCTCCGGCTGTCGGGTTGTCAATAAAGGTTCTATGGAGATGCTAGACAGGCCACCATACCCAATATAATGACCGTAGTTGTTCCGTCACCAACCTCCTCGTCCTGCGTTCGGCTGAGTTCGATCATGCTCTTTGCGGCGGGGTGCGCAACCTCGATCTCTCGGAGAATGGCGTGGCCATCGTTCGTCAAGACAATACCACCCATAGGGTCCAGAAGCATCTTCAGCATTGCCTTCGGGCCCAGACACGATCGAATAATATCCGCGACGCTACAATGGTCAGGTCAGGGTCGAACGGCAAAAAAAATTCGGGTACACGCACGTCTTAGCAGCTGTGATGTTGGATAGCTGAGCTTTCCGGCCGACCTGTCTGTCCCCATTTTGGGTGTCTTGGGGTCTTGTTAGCTTTCTTGTCCACTGTTGCTCAAGCTCATATGGACAGCGCGGGGTGAACGTACTCATAACCACCACCGGTGCCTGCATGTTGGCGGTGTCGGTGCGGGGCTAAATTAGAAAGATGAAAAGTATACTAAACAAATGAGAAGGTAAATCCGAAATCTTTCAAGGTACCAAAGACGTCGGAGGTGAGATAACGACCACTACAGCTCGGTGTGTGGTGCTCTCGCGCGCGTCACTTGCTATCAAATTTCCAGTGAACCTCTTGAAGTGGGAGCGATGAGGTCCCCGACCACTAAACCATTTATGTACTAGCGCATATCCCACCCACTCAGGGGAGCTTCTCGAATCTCGACCTCGAATCGTCCTCCAGTATACGAGACGGAGCTATAATTGCAGAGAATTATTGTGTCAGTTCTTCTCCGGTATCATCACCAGTTACTGTCATTGGAAACTATCCATGTATAACATGCCATGACTACTGCTTTTCGTTATCAATAAATTCCCTATCCTACACAGTAAAACCCCTCAATTGTGCTTTGTACTCTCAACACCAGAGGCGAGGGCATTAGTCTCGAGATATGTGTTTAGAGAATGGCCACTGGGAACATGGTCCAGTCCTGAGCTTTGGAATGACCATCATTTCACTCACATTGGAATCGCACGCACATCGGGACACAAAAGTAATAAACAGAGACAAGCAGACTACTTAGACATAAAAAATCTCACGGTTCAGTGAGGCATTCAGTAAGCATAACACCATTGAAGCTTCCATCATTTCTTCTCCGAATTCACTTCTCAAAAACCTTAGAATGACATCAAATCGAAAATAGCCAAATTAACTTCTCTTCTCCAAGAGCGGAATGCAAGTATTGTCTTCCATATTGTACCAGAAGTCGACAGATCTATCCTGGATTATCTTCGTGTTATCCAACTATAGAGAATCGATCTCCTTGTAACGACGGAGAAAGGTATAACATGCCAATTATGTCTCTTTCTTCAAGAATCTCCTCAGTGCGCAAAAGCTCTTTTTGACAGGAACACGAATCCTTGACATAAGTCGTGATGCTTTCTTCCCCAAGCCCGGGCTGAACGTGTTTCCATGACCGCGGCGATGACCTCCAGCAGTCCTTCCTCGTGCGTGAAAGTGGCTCGGTTGGAGGAACCCATCACTTACTGAACGCCTCGCTCTTCTTCCTGATGACGGCGCTAGAGGTGCGCGATACTCATGAGGCGCGAGACTCGGGCCCATGTCAGCCATGGTATAGTCATCATACTGATAACTTTCCTCAACGCGCATCCACGTATCTTCCATGATAGTAACCGGTCTCTCTCTTCTTGGCCTCGGGGGCCTCGTACGAAGGGAGGCTGATCTCATCACTGAGTTCAACAAACGCTCTCCTGTCTCGGCCCCAATGTGGACGTTTTGATGGCCCACACACGGCGGATGCGTCGAGTATTCATTGGTAGTATGTTGACGATTTGCGTGCATCCGGTGCGGATTGGCAAGTATCTCAAGATTTGGGTCCTGCGCCGACAGTCTGCTGAAACGCTCCATTTGTATTTCTCGCATGTTTTCTTGGAGATGACGGGGCAGCTGAGCCATGGCGAAATCATCCAGCTCATAAAGAACCTCGTCTTCGTCTTCCATATTTTCTTTTGATCCCCTCCTCTGCATCCTCTCCATCCAACTCAACCATGACTCCTGGCTGCTTCTATCGAGATGGGAGTCACGCGGAAAATGTTGCGTAAAGGTCATGTCGATAAAAGTCTGAGTCTATTCAGAACTGGGTTGTCAGGAGATATCAGTATATAGAATGCTCATGACCAATGAGAAACGTCAGGGACTAACCTACACGATCAAAACCAAGTCAACTGCCGGTCAACGCACAAAGGCCATCTAACAATGCAGTATTCAGGAACACTCCAGGGCTTCAGCATACGCAATTATGTTGTCGATTATGGTGGTAGGGTCTTCGCGGTAAGGACAGGTCTTCGCGGTGACTGAAATCTTTCACGTGTAGGAGGTCATGAACGCGACCAGGAAACAAGCTTAGAATATTTACAGCGTGAAAGCCCTTTCATCTAAGGTGTTTGCGTGTGCGAAACCGTCTGATCTCTGTGAACAACACCCAAACATGGTATAGCGGGTAGTTCCTTTAAAATACGTCTGTTAATCCGCAGTTCTTGTATGATTCTACTTATATCAACAGCATTTCTTATTCTGTAGGAGATAGCCCACTGTCCATATTGGCCCATTTGGGTTGTACTTTCACGGGAATGAATGGAATATAGAGCCGGGGTTATTGGAACAGCAAGTTGGATGATATGAGCCATTCAAAAGGGCTATTAATCTGAAGGGGTTGTCCTGCAAGTCAATTATCTGAATCATAATTGACGAGATATGGTCTCTATGGAATACTATGTAGGTTCTATCCTGCTTTGGCGTCATTGTCGAGTTCCAGAATAACAGGGTAGTATCAGTCAACAGAGTTTACTGAAGTTGAATCAGGGCTATCAAGAATATTATTACACAGATTACACAGATGTTTTGTCAACGAATTAGACCCCTACCCTTGCGCAGGAGCATAAAGGCGGGAAATGTGAAATTAATTCAAACTAAGGATAGGGGATGGCCATTAAAAGATAATAATACTGAAGAATAACAAACTGGAAGGGCAGGCGAGCCACCACCAGCAAAGGTATCAAAGTGCAAACCCATCGTCAACGTACAGTCGTGTTTGTACAGGTACATAATCACTCGAGGCTTATAGCCCACCGCTCTTCGCTGTATACACAGGCCAACCGAAAGGAACGACCGCATTAAGCCATTCCACCACTAGAGCAGTGGAATTAGGCCATTCAAAACTCTGTAGACTCACCGATATCACAGACGTCAAACGTCCCTGTTGGAGGAAGGCCGTTACGTTCCAGAGCCTCCTTCAGCTTCTTAGGAGGCTCTAGAACATCTTCCTCCGTCAGAACCCATGTGCCCCAGTGCATTCCAAGAGCTCTTTTGCATTTAGTGTCCTGGAAGATGTTTACAGCATCATGAGGATCCGCATGCATAGGACTCATAATCCATCGAGGATCATAAGCACCAATGGGGATCAAACCGAGGTCAAAAGGCCCCTTGAATTCGCCGATCTGTTTGAATGCAGGGCAGGTGGGAAGTTTGTATTCTGGACTGTGGTCATCGGCACCCTTTGGCAGTTCTGGAACGGCTCTGTATCCCGTATCACTAAAGATAATCAGTCAGTAGAGTTCCCGACATCACACGAGAGCTACATACCCGGCAAAGTAGACTTTAGCACCTCCAGATTCAATACTCCAGGATGCCCACAGGGTCTTCGATCTGTCGAGGATGCCTCGGTTGCTTGTATGCTGGCAAGGCAAGCAGGTCACACGTCCCAGAATCTCGACGGCTTTAGAAGATCCGTCTTCCGTTTCAACAACATCCGTAGATGGAGACTGGGAAGGCGATAGAGTCATGTCGCGCTCCTCCCACCAATCCAATTCCGTCATGTTATTAATTCCCGACTCAGTGAACCACTTCTTGTTTCCCAAGGGCGCAAAGAAATGGCAATTCGGGTGCTTCTGCGCAATTTCCGTAACAGTGTCATAGGAGAGATGATCATAGTGGTTGTGAGAGATCACCACGGCGTCAATCATAGGTATATCACCGATCTTGCAAGGCGCCTCTGTGTAACGCTTCGGGCCCAACCACGACAATGGAGAGCACCGATCCTCGAATACAGGGTCAAACAGCACTCGAAGACCGCTCGGGAATTCGACATAGTAGCAAGCGTGACCAAGCCAAGTTGCTCTTAGCTTTGGTGTCTGTCTGGTCGGAAGGAACTTCGGGGTATGTACAGGAACTGTGGGAGGAGTCGTATCCGGGACGTTTGCCTCTCCAGCCAATCGACGACTGAGGAAGAGAAAAGTCAGGACCGGTGAAATTAATTGCGCATACTGAAACCAAATTTATACGCACCGAATCAAGGACGAGGCAATCTTCAACGGCTCCAGGTCCTTCCAGGAGCTTGCGACTAGGTCAGCATGTTTTCCTGTTCAAGCTCTATCTCTGGCTTGGCTTACTCCCATGGATTTCTAAATCCACCTTTCAAATGATGCGCCTTCTTGCTAGCATCGTCAGGGACCGCGCCTGCTGGCGAAGAGGATATCGTGACCGCATAGAGGACGGCACTCGTCGAGGAACTCATCCCGCGCGCTCCAAGAATTGGCTTCCTTGGGCCTTCAGCGCGTCTAGAGTGATGTCGAAAAAAGCGTCGAAAAAATGCGTGTGTCTGCCAGTTTCTTCCACACATCTGGTGTCCTTTCCCAACGCGACAATATTGTATCTCACGGCTTCCGTACTCCTAAGATGGGCAACCACTGCGTATTAAAGCTCTTTCTTTTCTGAGCAAGTCGACAGACCGGAGTCGAGAAATTCTGCTGCCTAAGCGCCAGTTCACAGCGTACAGCTGAGCTATTATTATTGCGTCTAGAATTCTCTTTGGGGGCGCATTTTCGACCATCATTTATCTCCGGATCTAACTCCACGCGGAGGCTCGGTCGAAAATAAGGACGAGGCCGAGAATGTGGAGACGATTGGGGGAGCATCGCCCGAAGCTGCTTGACAAGTTGACAGCAGCCATTTTCAGGGATTTCCATAGGCAGTTGTCTATAAATACAGACTACCTCTGCTAGGTGGCATTGTGAGACGCGGTCTATTTATATCAAGTGACCTTTTTGAATATTTAGGTTTCCAGTAGATGTAAAACAAGTGTACCTATGTCAGTGCACAGCATTAAGTAACTTAACATTGTTGAAGGCCCCCTCCGGCTGCCCCTTTCGGCGCCCTGCTCCCTAGCGATCATGTGACCTAGCGAGCCCATATAGGCTTCGCCTAGCTCCTAGATCTAATTAAGCAAGCTTTCTCCCGCTTCCTTCAGGTTATATCGCCCTTATCTTTACCCCTTGAGCTATAAGCTAGTTACCTGTTAAATTGATATTTTAATTATCCTATTAAATTCCTTAGGTTCTAATTATTTATTTTAAGCTTTTATAGCTTTAAAATATGCTTAGTTTTAGTATTTTATTAACCTGTGAAAATTTTTCTCTAATAAATTCTTAAAAAGCCCTAATTATTAAAAATACTAGCTTAAAAATAGATCTATTTAGTTACCTATTATAGTTTAATATAATATAATAATACTATTATTTTAGATGCTATATTATATTTAAAGAAGCTCTATTAATTATTTAATTAAATCTAAATTATAGTCTAATACTTATTATATATATATAGGCAGTTATACTTAAAAGATTTCTAGCTATTCTAGTATTGCAATAAGTAGCTAACCTTTTATTAAATAAACTAATCCTTTCTATAGAGCTTATAGACCTTACTCCTAATAAATAATTATAAGAGGAGACTAAGATAGTATTTATATAGCTAGAGGAGATTTATATAGAGATCTCCTGTAATACTTTAATAAAGTTAGTTTATAAAACTACTTTTTTACTATATATTCCTCTATAGGAGATATTATACTAATCTATAAAATAAGAACTAAATAATATTTATCCTATTATATTAGAAATATATTAGGGTTTATTCTTATATTTAAATACCTAAGGCTATTAGTAATTAATACTACAGTTAATGCTAGTAATAAACCTTATTACTCTATTAAATTAGCCCCTATTATAGTAGCAGGAGAAATATTATAGTACTAAAGTTAATCTACTATATAAGCAAATTAATAATATATTTAAATAGCTAAAGATACTTTAGCTGTAATTAAATAGCAGTAATTTTTAGAATTAAAACTAATAATTTAAGCTTACTATTAATAATCTTAATATTAAGAATTTTAATATCTTTAACTAAAGCACTTTACTTAAAGGAAATAGCTAATAATAAAAGACTACTTAATCTATTATAAAGAATTAGATTATAATATTGCTAGACTCTAAAATTCTTAAAATTATTTAATTTTTAGACTAGCCTATTATTACTAATATTTAGCTAGAGCTAAATAAATAATTTAGTATTACTAGATCTATATATTAAGTAAAGCTCTACTAAGAATTAATAGAGCTTTATTATAGTACTAGTATAGGGGATAGAATAACTAACCCGCTAGCTAATACTTACTTAATTTAAAAGAGTAAGGTCTATATTCTTCTAGATTATATAAGGAATTATATAACCTTATAAAGATATCTTTAGTATATAGCTTAATTTAAATTTAAGTTCTTTAAGCTATATCTTATTTACTAAGCCTACCTATAATAGCCTATTTTAATCTAAATTAGCTAAATAGAGATTTTATAGCTAATCTTAATATTAACTATTTTATTCTATTTATTCTGACCTGCTCCCTAAGCTTATATCTTAATATTATATAGCTCTTATCTAGGAGTTAATACTATTAATAATACTTGCCCTAATTCCCCTATTCTTATTAACTATTTTAGGGGAGTTTATTAAGTATATTACTACTAGCTATAGGCTAGAATAATATAACTATTATTGCCTAATATATAAATATATTGCTAAAGCTAAGTTATTTATAAATAAAGCTAGCTAATATATTAAATAGATTAAAATAAGATTTTAAAAATTTTAATAAGAGTTTATAGCTATATAATAAAGGCTTAAATAAAAAAATACTAATCTTAAGGCTATTTAATAATATTAAGAAATATAGCTTAATAAAAAGGAATAATAATATATTTAGGCTATTCTTAAGAGAGATTAAGCTTATTATATAGCTATTCTTACTATAAATATACCTATATTTATATTTAAATCTAAGCCTAATATTAAGAGATTTACAGTTACTTTAATAGGAGTATTTAAGATATTTATTATTATATCTTTCTCCGCCCTTAGATTTTTAAAAAGATTTTTTAACTTAAATAAGTTTAAAAGTAATTAAAAAGATTTTTAGTATTTTATAGCCTAGATCTAAGGGAAGATAATAATTAACTAAGACTAATTCTTAATTCCCTAGAGCTATATAGCCTATATAATTAACTGCTTAAAGGATATACCTTATACCTAAGTATTACTATATATTAGAAATAAAACTTATACTCTTAATAATTACTAAGAGATTCTAAATATTTTAAAGCATATATTTAATAATTCTAATTATATAAATAATATATATAGTAAACTATTTAACCTCTATTAAATTAATAAAGAATTTAAAATTTTTTTTACTAAGTTCTAATACCTAGTGCTAAAAGGAGAAATATTTAAAGAAATATTATTTACCCTGCTTAAATAAGCTATTAATTAAGAACTTTAAGAAATATTATTATATAATTAGCCCCTAAATTATAAATATTATTAATTTATTAAATTTTTATAAGATCTTAAGAATTATTACTGCTAGTATATTATAAACTAACCCCTTATTATAAAGACTTATATTGCTGTTTTAAAACCTATTTAATATATTTAGTTTCCTTTACCTGCTTTAAGTTCTATACTAGCTATAAAATATAATAATTAGCCTTAGAGAAGCCCTATATAAAAGAATAAATTAGCCCTAGTATAATTATATAATCTAATAGATTTAAATACTTCTAGATACTTAGGCAAGAAAGGATATAGCCTATTATATTATAAAATTAGTGCTTGCTTTTACTATAGCTCCCTAAAATATTATATTAGAGATTACCTGCATTTAAATAATTATTAGAAGATTTAAATTATAGCTATATATAAACCCTATTTTTAGACTCCCTAGGCAATTTAGTTTTTAAACTTATATAATCTATCCCCTAGCTAGTTTTTAATAAAAGAAGTAAGCCTAAAATAAGTTATAGCTAGGCTTAAGAATTATATATTATTTAAATCTCTGCTATTATTATTTATAGAATTAATCTTAAAAAATACTTATAATAATTAAAATTAATAATATTACTTATAATATTAAAAAAGAAGAAAGAAAAGATCTACTTATTAACTTATACCTTACTTAATACTAGAGCTAAAAGATAAGAATTTATAGACTAAAGATAGGCTAAAGACTAAGAATTAGAGCCTATCCCCTTAAAGAGTCTAATTACTTTATATATATTTAATAGAAGAGAACTAGAGGATAGGAAGATTATATATTATATCTAGATAGATATAATAATTAAAGACTATTTTAAAAAAAATACTAAGTTCTATATTATTTAACTAGCGTATTATCTTATTATCTTAAGACTTTTTTAATTAAAGTACTATAACTTATATCTATAATTTACTATCTATAGTATTACTTTTAATAATAATTATTATTAAAAAAATTATAATATACTCTTAAAGCTAATTAAAATATTTATCTTATATAATATTCTCCTAAAAGCTTTATTCTAATACTTATTCTTAAGACCTAGAAGACTAGAAAAGAGAAATATAGCCTTTATTTTCTTAGCCGCCTATTTTATTTATACTTAAAGAAATATTTAAATATTTATAATTATTCTAAAGGATTTAAATACTGCTCTAAAAATTAAATAAATCTAAAAAAATAACTTTGCTTACCTATTGCCTAAAGAGTTTAAGAATTATATTAATATTTTTTCTCCTAAAGAGGCTAAGCGCCTACTATTATATTATTTTTATAATTATAATATTAAGCTATTAGAGAAGAAATTACTTCCTTTTAAATCTTTATATATTATATCTTAAGATAAATTAAAGGTCTTAAAAGAATAGATTAAAAAAAACCTAAAAAAGGGATTTATCTATTTAAGCTTATTACCTACTATATCCCTAATTCTATTTATTAAGAAGCCTAGTAGAGGGATATAAATCTATATAGATTACTAAGCCTTAAATATAATAACTATTAAAAACTAATACTCTCTATCTTTAATTAAGAAGACTCTAAATAATTTAAAGGGAATAAAGTATTTTATAAAGATTAATATTATTTCTATATTTAATAACCTTTATATTAAAAAAGGATAAGAATACTTAATTACCTTTCGCACTTAACTTAGCCTATTTAAATTATTAATAATATTATTTAGCTTAATAAAAGTATTAATAATATTTTAATAGTTTATTAATAATATCCTATAAGATTACCTTAATATCTTTTATACTATATATTTTAATAATATCTTAGTATATAATATAACCTATTTTAAATATATCTAATATATCTATACTATTTTATAGAAGCTATATAAAATAAGCCTATATATAAAAATCTAGAAGTATAAGTTTATTATCTCTAAGACTAAGTTCTTAAGTATTATTATTAGCTAAGACTATATTAAGATAAACTTAAATAAGGTAAAAATAATTGCCAAATAGAAGACCTTAACCTATATAACTAATATATAAACCTTTATTAGATTTAGTAACTTTTATTATTAGTTTATTTATAATTTTTCTAAGATAATTATACTGCTTATAAACTTAATCTAAAAAGAAATTCTCTTTAATTAAATATCCGCCTATTAGTCTAATTTTAAAGCCTTAAAAGAAGCATTTATTTAAGCCCTAATCTTAAAGCTATTTAACTAGACCTATAAGGTTATAATTAAAACTAACTTATCTAATTATATATTAGCTAGAGTTATATCCTAATATAATAATAAAGGAATCCTATATTTTATTATATTTTTCTTAAAGAAGCTCTTTATTATAGAGTGTAATTATAAGATTTATAATAAAAAATTGCTAGTAATTATTTACTGCTTTAAGAAATAGCGCCCTAAGCTTAAAAATATATTATTACTAATTAAAATTATTATAGACTATTATAACCTAGAATATTTTATATTAA